TCCCCGTTAAGGAACTACCTTGAACGTAACAGGCTTGGCGTGGCCAAGCAGGTTCGATTCATAACAAAGCGTCCCACTCCACTCTTGTACTTTGCCCGCAGCATTCTTCGCTCCTTGCACAGTCCCCAGATCACCTTCAATAAAAACAGCGCTTGCTGCTCCTTTGCTCAATAGATTATGGACTGTTGCATCACCAGCTGCGCGGCCGCGACCAACAACAGCTATATGGGCGCCGCCTGCGGCTAATGCCTCCGCAGCTGCTTGACCGATGCCAGAAGTCCCTCCAAAGAAAGCGAAATGCTTCCCAGTAGGATCACGGCCACCGTCATTCAACATCTCTGCGTCCGTGGTATTGTAGCTGGGACAAATTGACTGTGATATTGAGTATTATGGCAGGTCAGTAGGTCAAGAAATTGGTCCCCGCACCAAACAAATTGCAGGCTATTGTTCACCCTGAAAATTCAATCTGCGATGGACGGTCATCCAAGGTCAAGTGCAGCTCGAGTTTAAATAATCAACAGCGGCCCACTCGGCCTCTTTGTGGTTATTACACAAAGTTTTAGCCATGCAGCCTGTAATCTCTTCCTTGCCTTAAACTCACAAGCTATGGGAACGCCTGGCATAGTCTAGCCGACTTCCATCTACCCAAAAGCACTGCAAACCCGAACGTGGCTCGTGGAAAGTGGGCCAAAGGTAGTATGCTGACTAAAAATGAGGCGGGCCATTGTCAGGAACGGATGCACTTTGTATCCGCGATTTTATCAGAGGGGGTGGAGGGCCATCGAAGATTGGAGATATGTCATGATGAACCTGAGTTCACCAATGGGAGAAATAGTTCCTCAGATTGGCGCAGAGACGGAGGATTTCGTCCGAGTAGACGGGAAACCTTATTCAGTTGTCAATGGCATGACATTCCTAGAGATAACCAAGGTTTTTCATCGCCCAACACTTCATAGAAAGAAGTCTTCAGGAACTTTAAAATGGCTGTCGACGGCCCTGACTGTTCGGGGCTTCGGCAAACGAACGCTAAACGAATTGTCAATGTAGGATGGCAGATATTGCGGTCAACGGCGTACTGATACTACATTTCTAGGCGTGTCTTCGATGCAGAACTCGCAGGGCTCGGTGTGACGGCCGAGTCCCAAGCTGTCAGAATTGCCAGCAGCGCAGTGAGCCATGCCAGTATATCGAACGAAAGATCAGGGGGCCAGGCCGGAGGTACACATTTTACTAAGAACCCTAAATATTATTCTTTGCTGACTTTCCTCCTTCCCAAGCAAACAGCATATTCAGCAGCTAGAAGAACGACTGAATACTGTCGAATCAGCACTACGAGCAAGTGAATTTCAAAGGGGGCACGATGAAACTGTGGAAGCTGACATTCATGTGAATGCTTTCTTGCTCAGTGGGTAGCAAACTGTGCTACCCGTTTTATCGCGATGAGCTAGGACTGACTCTGCACAGCCTACAGAGCAGAATCCCTACCTGCTGGATGTGGTTGATCCTGATCATGACATGTTTCGGCAGTCTCATGCAGACAATCCGAAGCGAAGCTCCGCTGTTCCCGCTGCCGGTTCGTCCGAGAAAGACAATGTTAAACCTGACAGACCTAGATCTCCCGAATTCTTGAGTAGGATGTCCTCGATGTTGCCAGGACCAGACGCTTTCCCATCGATCATGACACAGCAAAGCCAGGGTCGCTTCTCGAGAGAAGTTCACGCTCCACTTCCGTCAAAGGCCCTCATCCTGCCCCTTCTAGGAGGAGCGCTAGATGAGATAAGCAAATTTTGGCCATTCCTTGACACCAAGTCCCTCCTGGGAATGATGGAAGAGCAATGCGCCGCAGGGCCTGAGAATTTTCACCAAGACCCGTGTCGCTGGGTTACGGTAAACACCCTTCTGGCAATAAGCATCCAGTGGAGAACCGCCAGTAGTGCTATCAACAACCTTTTCCCGGTGACATGGCCATTCTTCAAAAATGCGTTATCTGTCTTCCCACAACTTTCACTTCAGGGGAAGGACATCGCTGCATGTCATTCGGTATTGGTAATGGCCATTTTCATGCACGGAACGGGAGATATGCGAGCTACCGCCAGCCTAGTTGCTGCAGCAGCGCATCTTGCCCGAGTGGCTGGCCTACACAATCCTGACTGGTACGGTTCTATGGATGTCAACGAAATCGAGAATCACAAACGGGTATTCTGGTCCATTCAAATCATCAGCAACAATTTATCCATGAGATCCGGTCTTCCTGTGGCGCTCAACGACGACGAGATCGAGATTGACCTTCCAAGCGAACCTACAGTCGATGAGGCAGGCAGTTCGAGCGTGACTGCAGCCCACCTTTGCAGATATATGGCACAACTGTCGCTTCTTCAGTGTAGAATTCTCCGAGTCGGACGAGATGCAAAGAAAACATCCCAAAGCCCAACCGAGTTTTACAGAGATATCTCAAAATTGGATCATCGACTCGAAGAATGGAGACTCGGACTGCCTCTGGAGCTTCGGCCTGCAAGGGTTGTTCCACTGTCAGAAGATGATCTGGATCCATCGATCGTGAATTTACAGCTGACTTACTTCTCGACGGTGTGGAAGCTCCACCAAGACATGACCAACTACAACAGCCGTCCTGAAGTCAGCACATACCTATTGGCGATTCCCGAGCTAAGACAGGATTTCTTAGCCACACCATGGTTGTCGCCAACCGCAGCGGATGCTGCTCGCATGTCATTACTGCTATTTATGAAGCATATATCCTCGCCTCCCTTCCCGTTACTTTGGTGAATCGCTCCCGAGTCTAGTTGGGATTTAGGCTGATATGAATAGGAATCTCCTTCATCACATAGTTTCGGCGTGTCTAATTCTCCTTGCAACAACACTCGATAGCTCAGGCAATGCCGATGTGCTTCCGGATGCCGAGCTTCTTCTTCGGCTTGTGCCACATCTGCGAAGCCTGGACTCACGAGGATATGACCTACGCAGGCTCGTTGTCGGAATTTCAAAAATGCTTGACCTAGCATCATACGCAGTGAGTGCTCAATGGGACAAAACGTCCTTGGAGGATACGAATATACACGATGCGGACACAGCAGCCCTCCGCGAGCAGTGCAAAGTAAGTACATAGCCTAGTCGACCACTAGGTGATGACGCGCTAAGAAACGATAGCAATTCCATGAAGCTCTGGGCGAGGGCGTAGATCTGCAGCACATCTCGCAGGGATTGATGGGCAATATGCCGGATCCATGCGCAAATGCCACAAAGGCATTTTCTGGCATTCTCGAATTTCCCCTGCATTTTAATTATGAGTTTGGGCTATTTGTTCCTGCTGTGTTACAACCTGCACACCATCAATTCATGTCCTGACCCAGACATATGTTTCTCACAAGATGGCTACCCGGTAAATTGTGATTGTGTGATCGAGGTATCAGCCACACATTAACTACGTCTCTGGCCCGTCATAGTGGCCCTCAGGCATCTTCCTGCCTGGTTCCCAGACACCATCATCCCGATCGCCAGTCAGGTCCGATCGATTGATCACATCAACAAAGTATTCTCCAGATCCAAGATCCCTCACCCCATAGCAAAGCTGAAGCTTGCCGAGATGATCCACTATCTCGTCTCCTGATAGTATTGAACCCTTGGACCCTAGGTCGTCAAGTGCAGGCTTCAGCAACTGTGCTGCAGCAATGAAGCTGGTGTCCTTTATCACAGCCCTGGACGACAAAAGAGTGACGATTATTGCTAATATCAGCTGTGTTGCGGGAAGAGCGATCAAGACAAATATGACCCAATTCCAATCAACCTTCAGCTTTTGTTGATCCATTGGAGGGAAGCCGGATTCTCTGATTGTAGGACCGTGTCGATCCATGATCCCAATTGAGAATGATGAGAAAATCGCGATGCTGTATGAAATGTACTGGCTAGAATTGTCAAGAATTCCTGTACTAAATCTTGGACTCTGTGGATATTGGGCGTACATGGATCCGTCGTCAGATCTGGATGCTGGTGTCTGCCAGGCTATTCCACTGGCAAAGATCCGCGCTACTTCATCGGGGATCTGGGCATTTTCAGTATTCTTTACATTCTGTATTGTTTGCTTGAGGTTTTCGAGAGGTTCGATTACACCCACCCAGCTTTCACACTCGTAAAGGTGATACAAACCATCAACCGAGGTGTCATCAAGAATCGGCACCAATGCTTTGACAACAGTGCAACGCGTGTCACAGTCCACGCTTTGATCCGAAACAGCAGTGCAAAGCGCACCACACTCCACGGTATCATCCGAAGCCCATGTTGTTACGGTTCTAGATTGTGGCCCACTCCAAATCAGAGAGTTGCTGGTGCCATCCTCTTCCTCCACGAGTAAGGTGTTATCCGTCGAGAACCTGGAGTTCTTAGGGGTTTCACAAAAGGCAGCTGATATCACTCCGCGCGCTGTGACGGCGCACCTCTCTGGATCACCCTTCTCTTTATCTGGTTCAGAGCAATCTCGGAGTACCATGCTAGAGGCACAGAAATCTAATACTTCGTTGCAGTCCCAGAATACGGCCTCGTTTCCATCTGGATGCTGATCAAAATATGTCGCGTTCTGCAGTTCAAGTGAGAATTCACCGGCACGGCCGAATGCATTTGCTAATGCCTTTGGGGAACTATTCGGAGGCAGGAAGACAGAAATAGGGTCAATTGGACTGACTTTCAATTTTGAAAAGTCTGTGATGGTGATGTTGCCTGATCAAGAGACTAGTTAGTATGTTGCATACGTCAAATCTTTCGTAGGTTAATACCCACCTAGCTCCCTATTGTCGAAGCCTAGTTTGTTGACATCGGGCGCAACGATTAGTCCAAGCGCGGCCACAGCGACCTGCATAGCCAGGTTGAGTAACAAGGAAATTGCGCAGAACCACTGGACCTGGCTTGGAAGTTTCCGACCTTTGACTCGACCAGACCATAGTAGCTGGGCGCTGGTAATCATACTTTCACATCCCAATACCATGTCAAATTGTTTCAATTCAAGAAATCTTGAAGAAAGCAATTGCCATCTAATGTTTTGTGCAAAGCCCTTGAAAGCAGATGCAAGTTGAGCACCAAGGAAAAGCGACAGGCCAATATTAATGGCGTTGTAGTTCCTGAGCTGGCCGTCGGAAAGCTTCGCTTGTTTCGAGTAATAATAGTAAACACCCATCAAAGCAGCGCAGAATGCCGCGGTCAAGGTGACCTGCCAAAGGCCGCTGGTGAAGACCCTCCAGCATTGTTTTCTTCGGTCAAAGACTCGACTTGTACCTGAAGGGTCAGGTGTCGTGTGTGTTCTTTTTCGTTTGGTGTGTTCCCATGGCTCCGTTCGAGAAATCAGAGGCGTTAGTTTCTCCATATTGGTGGTTGACCATATTTTCTTCTTGATTTTGATGGGGACTTGGTCTTTATGCGTGACCACCTGGGTATTATTGAGTCTTGAGCCGCCATCAGTGCTTGACGAATACGAGAATTAGCGCCCCTGGGCGGAAGTCAATTTCAGCTGCCAAGGCCGATCGGGCGAAGCATTGATGGACGTGAGCGCCATGCCTTATCAAAGCTTAGATCTTTGGGATTCTAGATTTAGCAGACGGTAGCTCGCCAGAGTCATGAGTCTCGATTTGGGTGTGTGTGGCCCAAGCCTTCCCGTCTCTAAGCTCACCTTTGCTGGGTGTCTCACAGTCTAAGCATACCTTGGCGACAGTCCGTTTGGATGCTATAAAAATGAAAATGCTGTGACCCCTCGGACCAACCAAGGGCTTTTGGGAGCCTCGGGTCTTCAATTCACCTGATCAGACCATCTGACTGCTCTATTTTACATCTTGAAACATTTCCTGGAAGCGATTTGAAGCAACACTAAACGCCTAGAAGCGTCTTTCACACAATAAGTGTTGTCGGTTTGGCTCGACTCTCGTCATGTCTGTAGTATTTCACAACTTCAAAAACGTGCCTTCACTCCTTATGGTGGCTCATATCCAAATCGTTTGAAACCCTGTGCGCCAGTATATGCCTGATTGTTATTTTCCCTCACAGGGTTCGTTGTCAGCGAGGTAGGGCAATCAGGTTGAACGTCACAAGACGACAAACAAAGTTCAGGATCAGATTGTAAACAGGGTCCCATGGGTATATAAAGAGCCATCAGTCGACCAATATTTCTTGAACGAACTTACGTTTGTATTCATTCCCCCAAGTGGTTCATGGAATGCTCTTGCCATCCCCATTGACATTACATCTCGTCCTTGATACTCACTTGAGCATTCCATTCTTCCCAACATTGGATACTTCTGCTTGCAGTACATCCAGAAGCTGTGTGTGCAGTTCCTGCTCCAGTTATAAATGCTTGACTTAACATTTGTCTTAGGCTGTGATGTATCTCTCCACTTCCACCCAGCAAATGCTCCAGCCGCAACATCTCAGCTGCTTCCCCTGAGCCGCAATGCATTTGGAGTACCTCCTCGCGGTCATCCCTCACAAATGCAGCACTGCTAGCAATCGCTTAGTCGTCGTCCCTTCTCGCGGGACGTGCAAACGGGCCGAGAGATCTCAAGCATGCCTGTTTCCCAAACACGCCAAGTTCCTCGAGGTTAGTTCCCACGTTCGTTTGTCTATAAGTATCTCTCTTGCCCCCCCAACCTCTTCGTCTTTCTTTCTTTTTTCTTTTCGCTGTATATATATCACAAAAGGATTTTGCTCGCGCTATTACAGTGCTTGAGCCTCCCTCCCTTGCTGGCTTTGGCCTTTGTTGTGCAAGTGTCTGTGTGCGTGAGGCAAAGTGTATGTCTTTCTTGTTGTTGCTGGTGTTCTTTGTCCTTTGTGTTCCTTTGTCCATGTGTTCTCTTGCCACCTTTGAGATGCCATCAACTGACCAACTTCAATACAGGGGCGTAGTGGCAATGGCTTCATGAACCAGACAATCATCCTGGTGGAAATGACAGCCGAAGGTAAGTTGACTCAGTCTCTCCTGTCCGGGAACATCGCTCTGTATCTCACTTGCCAACACTCCTCTGCAGATCCTGTTGCGGATCTAGCCTGTCAACAACGAGGCTAACATCTTCCATAGAGTCCAGTCTTTTCAGACTGCGGCTGAAGCTAGATCTGCCATCCTCCACCACAACCACATCCCTTTCTGCTGTCGACATTAATGTTGAGCAACCCGTTGCTGCCGCAGTACTTCCCTTTCGAGGGTGGGCAGTCAACGCGGTTGAACAAAGCCTTGGGCGTAAAAGGTATGATATTCACTGCACTGACTTCCATCAGCTTCCACGCTAACCGTCGGCTATTAGTGGCAGTCTTGCAAGTTACTCAGCCTCGTCGTTCTGAACAAAGCTCCTGGCTGCTTCACTTTTGCGCTCTCCGGCGTTTGAACTCTTCACTTCACCTAGTCACTGGCACTTCATAGGCAGTGAACGGGAGTCGCAGCAGATTGCGCTAGCGCACACAACCTCGCACTGCTTAAGTTTCGATTCCTCTGCCCTTTTGTCCCTCTCTTTGTTTTTTCTCCTCTCCACCCTCAATAACAGTTGGCATTTTGCTGTCCTTCTTCCTTCCCTGCCCACCAATCTTGGTGTGGCACCCTTTATTCATCAACAGAATGCCTCCAAAGAGAGGCGGTGGTGCTCGTCGGGGTCGTGGGAGTAATGGTGAGTTTTCCCTCCAGCCGATCTTCAGGGTTTGACACAAGACTGACCCGTCATCCAGCCCCAGGTGACCCCAGCCTGGCCGAACAGGTCAATCTTCTCGACAACTTCCAGCAGAACATCTACCCAGGTGTTGCTGCCCGTGACATGATAATTGCAGATCTTCGGGCCAGTAACTGGAATTTGGACGCTGCAATTGCAGCATGGAGGACGAGACGGCAGGCCTTGCTCTCTCAGCAGGCTGAGGGGGAACCACAAGTCCCTGCCAATAACGCCGTCTCCGAATCATCCTCTTCGCCTTCCTCCCCGACTTCCACTGCTTCTCCCCCCTCGACTCCTTCTCCTCCACCACCAAACCGCCCAGTCACAGTGGGTCGTCCAATTCCTCGTCGCAATGCAACTTCGGCTCCGGCCAAACTCATCCTCAGACTTCACATGAGGAATTCTCGGCCACCACCACGAGCCAGCCAAGTCACAGCAGCTCAGTCGGCAGTACCATTCAATGAGAATCACGAGCAAGAGCGCCGTGACGCAGCTCTCGCATTGAGACTGCACATGGAAGAATTGATCGGAGAAGAGGGCCTGATCAGCCCAGCAGAAGCAATCTTGATGTTGAATCGACGTCGTTGGGACCTCACCCAGACAGCAAAGGAATTCAGAAAGTTGATAAAAGCTTCGCGTCGAGAGACAACCCTTCTTCGTCTAGCACGAACCTATGACCAGATGAGAACTCCACTTCAACAAGAAGTGGCACCTCCACAACAAGGAACCATCTCAATGCAGCAGAGCGAGCGTCTGGCTGAACTTCTCAACATCACGGGCCGCAACGACTGGCATTCTCTACGAGTTTGCCTCCAAAGCCACAACTGGAATCTTGTCGCTGCTGTCTCACAGTGGTTCACTCAGGGCATCCCACCAGTCCAGGCACCGAGCTCTGTAGAACACGGAGGTGTCAGACTGAATACCAATCTGCACCAGCTACCAATGCCCACATGGGATGACACAAGATCGGCATCAAGCCTTGAAGGCTGGGCCATTGAGCCAGAAGAATTCGCCAAACCCGGCGAAGCAGACAGTGACAGCTCGTCAGAAGAGGGAACTGGGCTCATCAAGCAGGACAGAAAGCGACTCCCTGGCTTTCTGATCAATGCAAGCAGAGCAACAGCAAAGAAGGGAATGAGAAACAACAGTCTGTTTCTCATTGAGTACATTTCTCGCGGCAGATACTGGTACAACCGGTTCGAGCAACAAGCGAATCTCAAATGGCCTGGCGTTGGATTCCCAACAGCCCCCCACGGCCAGAACCCAAAGCCAGACCAATCAAAGCTGGTAGAGTTCGACTGGACGAATCAACGCCATGTCGACTGGCTCAACAACTGGAGAAGACAGAACTGCGACCGAGTGACCGGTCTGAAGAAGCGGGCGGAAGCCCAGAAGTGGTCAGAAGAAGAGCTGCAATTCTTGTACGACTTGTCGGCAGAGCTCTTGGACAAGAAGAAGAAGGAGTCCCCACACCTTCCCGAAGACCACTTCCTTCCCTTGAGATTCGACAAAGACATCAAGGAAGATTGGCGAGTCCGCTTCAACAACAGATTCCGTGGCACAGTCCAGCCAGGATGCAGCCAGCCTCGACTTGATCGCGAGCAGAGCGCCATCATGACACAGCGAGCTCGAACCAGAGCAATCGTTGACCGATTCAGAGTCAAAGCAGACGTCGACTACTTCAAGAAGATCGACGCAGCCAAGAAAGCCCGAGAAGATGCAGCAGCTGAAGCTCGTGGTGAGAAGCGATCTCGAGAACATGAAGACGACAACTCTGACGATGGTGTCCTGGAAACCGACTCTGAGGATGAGGACAGTCATAAGGACAAGCGAGCCAGGACTGGCGAGGATGAGGACAAGGAGTAGGGGAATTTGCCATAGCAGCATAGCCCGGGGTGAGGGAGGAGAGGGAGAGGGGAATTTGCCTACAAGGCCTAGCCCGGAGAGGAGAGTGATACTAGACAGAAACACGCCAGACTTCGCGGAAACCAGACCAGCGAGAACAAGACTCTCAGGAAACCAGTCCATAGATAGAGCACAAAACAAAAAAACACCCAAAACAAACACACACAACGCTTCTTCTTCTTCTCCGGTTTCTTCGTAAGTTGTAGATCATTGCATTGAATTTGATTTCATTCTTCATTTGTCATCGTCGAAGAGAGTTGGTTCTCACTGTCGACTCCTTTTCTGTGGAAGTCCGTTCGGTTCTAGCTATGTATGTATGTATGTATGGGTCGCGTATGCCAGATCATCTGCAGCCTCTGGCGTCTCGAGCAAAAGCGACAGCGACATTTGGGTATGAGAAGGTGGTAGTATACACGGATTGTTTGGAGTACGGGGTTGGTATCAGTAAATCTAGATCGGGATCGAGAGCGAGATCGACAAGAAGGGAAGAGTAGCAGAGGCTGAATTTTTTATTTGAGTTCGTTTCTCCGAGGAGGTTTCTTCTCATCGTCTGTCCTCTCATCTGTGGATGTAGAGACTCGTTCTAGCTACAATTGATTATGCAGCCTTTGCTGTTCTGGGTCGACAGCGAGGTCACGGAAGGTTGAAGTGGAAGGGGCCTCAGATTGGCACGGAAGTCGATTGGTGGGTTCGAAGTGAAGCAACGTTGACATGTCCTGACATTCTAACGTCAGTTCCGGAGGACTGATTCTCATTGCTCATCATTTCATCTGCCCATGGGTTGGGCGGCTCTGCGTCTAGCTTGAGGTGGATGCAGCCTGTGGTGCCCGTGTCGCTGACGGCCGTCCGTGGACTTGGAGCACGATTACTGGATCAGATGATGGCAGGCTGCACTAAGGTTGGTAGAAACTTTTTCATTTCGATTCTCGTTTCGCTTGGTTCTCATAAGTCGATTTCAGCCACAGACTAAAGCAGCTTTTGGTATCTTATTCGCGTTCTCCGTAGATGAGCCTGGGGCGTTGTCAAGCCGCTGCGCCTCACCTTCGTCCGTTCTCTGGATCGCTTTTGCGTCAATCTCTGAAGCCGTCTTTACTGGTGCTGTTACATCTTGATTTTCGTCTGCCTTTTCCTGCATCTGCTGCTTTGTCTTCTTGCTAAGCTGCAATGCGCCGCTGCGGAGTGCGTCTTCAGGTAAGGGCCGGATGTGCGGCTGGCATACCCACCATGGTCGCTTATACACTGCGATCACCTTTTCAGTCGCAGTGAGCTCGGGCCGGGGAGGCTCGACTGCTGCAGAGACTTGCTGCAGTTCATCCGGTGAGTTTTGCTTCGCTTCAACGAGTGAATCTGGGTTTTGTGATGCGTGCTGATTTCCCGCTTGCGCAGATGATTCTGATGCAGGTTGCTGCTGTTGTGAGGCATATTCGTCTATTCCCTGCACAGTCACCTGTTCTACCATCGCTAGGATGCGTTCGAACGATTCAATGTCCCCTACTCGCGCCTTGGCCAGAGCATCCCGAATATCAGTATGGATTGATAACATTGGTCTGAGCAATTGAAAGAGGTGGCCCTGCATATATTTGACATTAGGGTCGTTGTACAGACGGCTGTTGATATCTCGTCTTCGCTTCTTGCTTTTCTTCTGCTGGCCTTCTTCGGAATGATCTTGGGCAGGGAGTCGAGATGAAAAGTCGGGCTTGTTCGGGTCACCAAAGACATACAATGGTGGCCGTGCGGGTGGATCGACTTCAACACTGTATTTGTAGATGATGTCCATATATCTACGGAACACAGCATCGATCCGATAGCCACTCCTGGCTTCTGTGTCTCCTCCATACCAGTATTCTCTTGGATTGGGTTCTTTGGGAGGTCTAGCAAAGATGGTCGGGTCTGAAAGGTTTCCCTCTGCACTCATGATCCCATCAACTCCTGTTGCAGCAAGGCAGGTTTCGAGGTCACCAGAGTTTAGAATATTGCCATTGGCAAAAAGAACTGTTTCCTGTGGAAGGTTGTCTCTCAGATACCGAATCATCTGCCAATCTGCCACACCAGTATTGTGCCCCTTCTGTTCTCTCCGTCGGCCATGAACTGTGAGAATGCTTGCGCCTGCGGATAGGATCATCTTCGCATATTCCAGAGTCTTCTCGCGAGTCTCAAGAATTCTCATCTTTGCCGTCACAGGTACTGGTAGTTCATTGTGTAGAGTATTGATCAACTTGTAAATTGTGTCCCAGTCCTCCTGCAGAAATGCTCCATAGTGGCCAGCTCTGGCGATGCCTTGGGGACAACCCAAATTCAAATCCACCGCATCGCAATATGGAGCCACATACTGCGCTGCATCCAATAGTTCTTCCGGTTTGTTCGCACAGAATTGTACAAACAAAGGTCTGTCAATTGCTGGATTTCCATCGAGCCAGGCAGGCGCAGAGGATTTCTCCTTCGACACCAATCCTTCTCTTATGGCTTGGAAATGGTGGTCTCTGAACTTTGGTGTTTCTGTAAACAATCGAGCATGCAGCATGGGAGTGTATGCCAATAACGATTTTGATCTTTCTTCATCGAGATAGGACCGTGTGAGGAGTCTCCAAGCCTGGAGAATGGTCAATAGTTGTTCGAACTGGGGCTTTGAGGGTGTTCAAGGAGGACGAACAAATTCTGAGCGATCGACCATTGGCGCCACAATCATTGTTGGGCTTCCGATACTTTGGTAGAAAGCCCTACCGGTGAGCTTCTGAGGGAGCTTGTGGCTACCACCATTTGAGGTTGCTTGTGTCATGGTTGGCTGCAAGAACTGTTTGGTGAGATGTTGAAAGATGTTCAAAACGGCAGAAGCAATACTGTTGGACATGGGGACTGCTTGCCCATACCTCAGTATTCGCAGATGATCACCTGTGGGTGTATTTGTACGAATGCATCCTCATGCGACCGTGCGAGGTCTTTGTTATGAGATCAAAGACTGAAGTGAGTTGAGTTGATGATCGACCAGAAAATCTTTGTCCATGAAAGCGCCCATAGCCCACCGTAGATCTAATCTAAATGGAACTCCGGTGAGTCATTCGGCTTCTCGAGTAGGATTGACTAAAGCTTCACTTCAGGCATGTTGGTGCTCCGTAAGGGAAGGGTTGCTACTGAATCATGGTCTAGGATTGACTGACTGACTGCGTTCGCCATCTATGGTACTTGACGTCATACTGTATTGAACTCCAAATGGTTCTCTTTACTAGTCTACGCGATTGACGAGTCGTTCAGGCTTGCGACTGTGTTGCGCCTAAAGCTGCGACGGGTATCATGGAAATAATTCTGGAGGCTTGAGATAAATCCCTGACCTCTATGTCGAGCAACTTATTATTTCGCTCTATCATAAAACGTTGATACTACTATTTCCCCCCCTCTCCGCCTGAACCAGGCTCATTCGTCAGCCTGACTATGAAGAAGAGTCAGGGTCAATGCCATTGACTCGTTGTAACAAGGCTGTGCTTTTCATTCACATTTGTGGGCGCTTCGTCTGATGTGATATTCAATTTTTGGAAACTTAATTCTCATCAGTTCCCTCCTCAGCAACCCCTGAAGCTAATAAAAGTGAGGTCCCGGCCCGTCTAATGGAGTCCTGGGCAATGGTCCATATACGGTGTTTACGCAATGAACATTGTGCGATCGAGATTAATATTCCTTCGCAGATAAGTACGGCTGTATGTATTCTCTCTGCTCGCGGAAGAGCGTTTGCATGGCCCGAGCCTGTCTCCGACACGCCGCTGTTGAGCCTGCATACACGAGGAAGAGGCTCGTGTAAATTCCTTGGCTGCACACCGTGGGACAACTCGACACAGAAACACGAACCCGTCCATTCACAGGGTTGTGAGAAATGGTGCTTGGCTGCCACAATCACACGAATCAAAACGCGGGCCAGATTGAGGCTGAGACTAACACACCACTAAGATCACACTCTAGATGAATGTCAAGTTTGTATTTCCACAGAAGTGCGATGCGGCCATCAAAATGATAACAAGCCCGAATCGTGTCCGGCCTGGATCCGAAGTTGTTTCAACAATCAACGACCATCACCTGCCGTTGACCTTGATATTCAGCATAGCAGACTGCAGCGTCTTTCAAGGGTTCTCTGAGCTATTACCTGGTCTCACACTGGTATCACGATCCCAGCCTTTCCGACCACACACATAAACCGACTCAAGACGAGACACCAACTCAGCCTGGGGGCCACTGTCTTCACTTCCTGGTCCTTGCAGATGAGATGGTGGACTCGTTTAGCACCGGTTCCCCGAACGAGGAGTTTACTCTATTGGACAGCTATTCGTACAGCCACTTTGGTGTCCATGGGTGACATCAGACCATCACGAAATCATTACACAGTCAATCTTTCAATCGACAAATGTGCCATTCGAGGCAAATCCGGTATGTTTTGATGCGTTGAGTGACTGCCAATTCTTCCAATTTGGTTGCCTGATGGACTTGTGGTGTGCATGTTTTGAGAAGGTTCACGAATCTAATATGGTCGCCACCTTCCTACAGGTGAGAGCTCAATCAAAGCCAGTCCGCGCCAGGCAGGGTTGGGAGCAGCAAATACCTTCTGCTCGAAACCCGTCCACCCTGGCAGGGCCTCCGGGGAAAGTGGTCAGTAATGAAGAGTAAGGGGTTCGGGAAAAGTATAAATTTGAACCCCATGCACGTCTCCGCCCCCTTCATATACTGTTCACGAACACCTAGATCTCATACTGAGCACATCTGTACGATGATGATTGAAAGAGAACCTTGACTTCAGAAATGCCTCGTGAATTATGATGCCTGTTGTGGCGGAGGAGGCCACAAATCTGCCTTGTTGAATACTTGCTGCCCACAGATTGCAAAAGGTTAATCGGTAAGTCGTGTGCTCACATACTGTGTTGGTCTACGACATTTAACTTATAAAGCCACTGCGATATGCCTCAGCTTTTTGGAATTATACAACATAATTTGCAATTTTCCTTCATTGTTCTTCTAATCCTTGGCCTTATTACAACCCAAACTCAAGTTTCGGCATGGCTGATAATGAACAAAACGATGCGACGGGCATTCGTCCAGGCCTCGGAAGGACTCTAACACACGACAGTGCCAATCCTGAATGGATCAGGTTTGCCCAGACTCTACAACATAAAACGCGCTTGGAAATCGAGGAGAAGAACAATAGCAGAAGTGGAGGTGTTCTCCCTGAATTCGCCAAAGGTCTCTTCACGGGTATTATCTTTCTCTCGACATTCGGCGGATCCATCACGTTCCAAACCATCATTCAAGACCTCGGAGACCAAGAGGACTCCAACCCCGGCCATCGCTTCAGCCGTAAGCGAGCAAGAACCTTCCTGGCCATCAGTTGGCTGCTGTTCGTCATTGACCTTGGCGTATCTGCACTTCTCATGGCCATGCTTTATCTCTACCGCGGCCCCAAGCAGAGCAGCTGGGCCGATACCATCTACGTCCGAGTGCTGTCGTTCATCTTCCTGCCTGGTGTTCTCATCGGAGCGCTGCTGTTCTCGTCACTGGCTGTCACCGCCTACTCGGAGCCTACTGGATGGACGGCCGTTGGCTTTTGTGGAGCCTTTGGCCTTGCAGTCCTCGTTTGGTGGTTTGTCGAGATCGTGTAAGTTGAAATCCCCAGAACCTTTCGGCTACCAGGCGTCGCGTGCTTATCATTCTCTGGGTCTAGCATCTATAATTTTGGAATAAAAGAGGAGTCAGTCTTCGGGAAGCAAGTCGGAAGCGAGGAGCAAGATGTCGAGAAATGCAGCAGTGAGAGCTCGTAAGAACATTCGACCTTGATGTACGACATGAACTTGGGTAAGCGCTGGAACTGGTGCCCTGGCTTGGCCGATTTTATTCTATGTTGGCCAGCACATTCGCTACAACCCACCTACAACCCACCTCGATTTCCTTTGAGCTTAGCGGTCTCTCACTGTTCAAGGTTATGCTCCAAGGATTTGGCTGTAGGAATTTGGAGTCTACATTCACTTTGACTCGTTCATTACCCTCAAAGACCTCCCACTTGGCCGCAACATGTTCAAGAGATTATTTTTGGAGTTCGGCTGGAAATGAAACGGCGGACAATTCGTATCTTCCTGGTTGCAATCAATCTTTCAGGCATAGTTATATATTGTCATTACCATATATCTAATTTTATACCTCCACGAGCATGCTTACACTGCAGCGCCATCGTGAATATGAATCGTGCTGACGACACTCACCTGCATCCTCGATCTACCCGGGTTACATGCCTTGATAATAAATCAGCAATATTGGATGCGGGAGATGTGACGTCAGAGGTCATCAGAGACGCGTTAAGTGCTACGCGTCGCGTCCACTACGCTACACGCGACCGCCGACCGAGGCAAAAGATCGAGTGGGTGATATTTAGTCCAAAATAAGTTCGTTCTCGAGTTCCCATTATCCAAGACATTGAGATCACAGAAGCTAAAACATGATGAAGGGATGGCATTGATCGTGTTCCATACCGTATTGCTGCTGCATCAGTATGCCCCGTCCATGGAATTCGCCTTGTCAAGCCTCGCTACCACATTCTGAGCCCTTCAGCCATGATCACCACTTCTTCCCACCCACACACTGCTCAAAATCCATCACATATCTACGAATCATAGACACATCGCATGCTGCCCACCGAATCATTGACGCCCTCGTATGCCAGGCCATCGTCAATGCCGGGTGTCCTCAAAGTGACGGTTGTCCCGTTGGCGAATTTGATGTGGTTGCTGCATTTGTCGTCGCTGATGTTTGGGGTTAGCTTTGTTACTCCCTACTGACATCCTGTGAGTTCTTACCTGTAGAATGCACAGAAACAGTCGGGATCTGGTCCGAGTGCGCTGAGGGACTGGTTCTGTGATGTTGGGTCATGTCAGTATATCTGATGTTATACGACCACGGCTCCGTCCACGGGAAGTGATACTTACCCACCAGCCCATGAATGCGAAGCACTCGCCCGTCTTGGGAAAGAGATGCTGGCACGGTTCTTCCCAGAAGCGGTTGATACAAACGTAGACCTAGTGGGGACATGTATCAGTAAGGATTCCCAGTTTCTAGCAAGATGCGGACTGGACGTGGAACCAGTTCTGGACATACCCCACAGGTGGAATCATGGGAGCCGCCTGCTGCTGTATGAGTAGCAACAGCAGGTATGGTGACGACATTTGTGCTTGTGCTTATCAGATGGATCGTGGTTGTTACCTCCCCTTCATGGTCGACGGGCAGGGCTGGAGATGCCGGGACTGTGTTCAAGGCGCTAAGGCCGAGGAAGATTACTTCTGAGATTCTCATCTTGGTGGCAGAACGTTCTTCGAGGCCTCTAAAAGTAGAGATGAGATGAGGGCAGCAAAGAGATGGTGGATAGACGCTAGTTTATCATTTCTGGGCATGGATTTTATGATCGAGGTTGTTGTGTCCTTACAGAATTGCTCCACATGGGCCCATCCTGATGTCGACGGCACATTTTCGTGTGGTTGACAAATGGGTAGTTGAAGGTGTACCTGCATCGCCTTCGTGACAAATCGAGCCACGTGGTCCCCCACGAGTCTCTATGACATCTCCATCTTGAGAAATCGGCTCGAGACATATTCAGGTGTGTCGCAAAGATAGTTCGACATAACGATAATTTCCTTACTGTATTCATACACTTCGTGGGATTGAACGGTTCCTTGAAAACCAAGTTTCAGAATCGGTCAAGAAAACACCTCAACTTCTCAGATCCACGCCGCCGTCCTCAGACCGAAGGTCATCTTCTGCTGCGCCGTTCTCACCACTGCCAAATATCTTGTCTATCCGCTGGTCACGATCCCATACAACCTCGGAATTCCCGTCCTTGCTAACGCGTTTGAAATACTTGATGCGGTGTTGCGGGATCCAGTCTTCTTCCGTGACCTCTGTGATCCAGTTCCTGGCGGGTGTTTCCTTGATGCCGTCAAATCTCTCGAGATAACCAACCTTGAACTGTGAAATATCAAGATCCTTGTCCCATTGGAGGCGGTGTAGAACATCTGTAGGCAAACATGAGCACAGTCTGGGTGCTGGTGATCCATGGGAATAGTTCACCTACCTTGAGCCGTCCTCATTCGTGAAGTCGGAGTGCTATTTGAACTGGGCATGCTGCCATCCTTCCCGCGTTTCCGCTTGGTGTAACGCTCGAGATCTTGGATTTTCCTGGCTTCGTCCTTATCTGCCTGTTCGTTTTCCTGCTCGATTTCCTGGAGATGGTTGCCTGCGATCTCCCTCAAACGGGCAATGCTATCTGAAGCGGGATTTGGTCCCTCCGATGTCTCTGCGCGAGTTTCCGCCATGACAATCACTGTGGTCCGACTGACGATTCTGATATTGTACGTAGAGAACGTAGTCCCTTCAATGCAAATATGGTTTTGCTAGACCATCAATAGCCTGAAGTCTCAGCCTTTGGCACGTGATGATGCCGTGATCTCGACGTGAGTGTTTGAGAATAGCGATGTCGAATTAGATTCTCACAAAGCCATTTTATTGCCGTCTATCATTGTGGCGCAGCTGCTGCGGAAGGACCAACACTGGCATGTTGAACGTGACTCACCTTCGCCAAGCCCACACAACTAAAATTGCAAGTGCGAACTTAAAGATGTCATTGACGTACCTACCTAGGTGTTCGAATAGCAAACTGGAGGGTAGAGAAGTCGAAGGCCGCTGAAAATTAGTGTAGCTCCAAAATCGAAAGTACGATAGAACGGGGTATCGGAGTCATGCACAGTCATACGGGCGCTCGATTTGCATGGTATGTTCCAGGCTAGTCAATAGATGCTCCACATCAGGGGCACTCCCGGATCAGTTAAGCCCAGGGCAGCCTATGAGAGCCTCCTTACCGGCCTTGCCACGACGGCGGATCCCCATCCGGATGTTTTGATGCCCGACTCAAGGCGGACGTTGGGAACAAATAATGGGAGAGTGCGAAGAGCGGTCCATAGAATACTTACCTTGCCGTGATAGAAATTACAATCTATCGATAAGACATTCGGTCAATCATCAGAGCCTATGGCCAAGCGAAACAAGGCTCGCTGGAAAGCAATTGGAGAGACATCAGCTAGCTTGCAATGGGTTCCCACTCCTGAGATGTCCGATGCCTGTCTGAGAGGACTTGTCACGAAGAACACATTGGATATGGCTCTTAGAGCGGTCAAGTTAGGAGCCATCCCTCAGCCAATATCCTATCAGCATACTCTGTGAGGCGATTGAGGGCTTCGAGCCCTATTTACAGCCTGGCTAAAACCAACTGATAATCCTGAACATGAGTAATGGGTTTCGGTTGTGAACTCGCCGAGTGAGGCTTGACACGTGTTGCGGTGTTGGAGGACCGATGTTCGTTCGAGTGGCCGAATAGGTTGGAAAGAGGAATCCTGAAGGTGGTCAGACTTCAGTGCATAACTTGATATGCACCGGGGCACTATGGCAATCAAGTTGGGTGACAGGACTGCAGGAATGGCCTGACGGCGCATGAAATGGAGTGATTCGAAAATGTAATTCCAATTTGGTGTAGAAGAAAAGAGAAAGACAGAAAGATCCCGGAAACAAGGCCTCCAGAGCCCCTTCTGCGCCGTCGTTCACTGCTAATCCCGCTAATCCATGCATGATCTGGCCTGTTGCTCTCAAAAGAGAAATTTTGTTGTATCCAAACCCCAAGCAGATCCGCTCACATGTATTCAAACAGCAAAGTGTAGTCTAGAACAGAACATTGAAAAGGCTGCGAGGTGGAAGCCAGAATGCCTCAGGAATCCAAAGCTAGATCTGTAGAAAAAAGCAGATAGGTACAAAAGGAATCAATGTCAAGGTATAGAACTTCTGATAATGAAAATTAATGTGTTTCAATCGCTATAATATTTAAGTGACCTGGCTTGGCGCGCACGTTCCAAAATTTCATTCGCGGTGACAGTAGAACTCAGCTTAAGAAGCGGTAAGGATCTGGGAGCAGCGACTACCATGGCGGCGCTTCGTGGGACATTGAAATGTGAATCAGCTTCGTTCTGCTCCATGGACTGCTGATCAGCGAACCTGCGGCGCTGTGCGAGTTCGCTCGGAGGAATGTCTTTGAACCAGGTCATGTTGATTAAGAGATCAAGACGTCGGGCATCTAGTTCGCGAGCACTTTCTCCGAGGGAGGATATTAATTCTTTCCACTGTGCATTTTCTCTGAGAGAATATGTGAATTCTTTCCACCGTTGAGGAGAGCTTTGCAATTCGTTCAACATCCATGCATTGATGAATTCTGTCGGATCGATCGGTGTCGTTTGCAACGGATCAAGATAACCCCAGACGGGTTTGGGCTCTCGTGGCAATTGTGGGTAAGCCGGTTCAGATGGGTCTGTTCCGTGGTATGCCTGTGATTCCAGGTCCAACAGACTGGTTTCATCTTCTAGGGTCACTTCTCCGTCACTAGGCGAGCGCAAAGGATGTCCCCCGGAAATAGTATAAATTTCATCGTCTGTGAGCCAGCGTCTCAAAGAGTCTAAAGTGGCTTCGGCAGCATGTAGCTCGTCAGATAATGCCTGATTCAACATGTCGAATGATTCAAGAAAGACCAAAGAATCTTCGTCTAGGCTGAGACCAAGCTCTTCGCGTGATGCTTTATCAGACAGGATCTGTTCATGCTCAAAATGCAAATCGAAGATTTTCTCACGTACAGCTTCAACGTCACCTGTTTGGGAGAAAAATTGTAGAAGCGCCGGAGAATGGAGAGTGTCTTCCAAAAGGACATTTTCAGGACCTTGTGACGGAGTGATGGTATGCGACTTGGACTGCACTGCCGGTTCGTTCGTGTTTGGCTGAAGGACATTATCAAAATACCTGCTGGAACGCCACAGGTCTTGTACAATGGGATTCTCTTGTTGCTCATATTCATCGTTGGCCGTTCGAAAATCCTGATAGTCATTACCCAAGATGTTGCTGAAATCACCATCGAGTCGACGGAACTCCTGATACAGATCGTCTGGTATAGCAGTGCTCTCGACGACGCGGGCCATATCGATCATAAACTTGTTGAGCGACGACATGAATGTCGTTAAGCTGGTTGTTAGAGGTGCTCTGACATCGTTGAATTTTAAGGTCTGATGCAACACCTTCTCGCTTGTGCGTTGTAATGAATATAGGACTGGGAGAAGGTTCTGAACTCCGTTGGTAGTTCTTCCAGCATCTGCAGATAGTAGACTGCCACGGGTCTCAGGCGGCTCAGATGGCTCACGTTCAATATAAAGGTGTCCGTCATCCTCTTCATTGATATTTTGTTCGGAGTGATTGGAGCTACTGGGGATGGGTTCTTGGGGATAAGCTGCATTTGGTGCTTCTGATGGCGAAGGGGTTGTGGGCTGGTTACTGTTCACATCTGTGTCCATATCTCTTTCTACTTCCGCATCCTCTCCTTCCACCACCTCCCATTCTTGCAAGAAAACGTCCGTTGTAAACGAGATCTACGGTGGCCTTCTCTTGCGTCAATGTTCTCCCAGGATGTGGACGAGTGTTTCTCGAGGTAGGCCAAAGGAGGTGTATTCGCGAAAACCCCTTTGAGTGCGGGCGGTCCTAATGTGTTTATTTTTAGCACGCGTATAATGCAACTCTCATATTTCTATATGCAAAAATGAACACCTACTCATACACAGAGTTCTTGGGCCAAAGGAGTCTTGACTCAAGGAGCCGAATGCCATTGACGAGGGCCTAAGATGCATGCGCGTTGCGTGCAAAAGGTCGAATGTCCTTGTGGGAGCTATCTCCACAATAGCGGACCACCAGAACAATTCTTTGGTGGCGCGGATAGACGCGAGTTAAGTACTTTAACACTAACTACTCCGTAGATCAGCCATGATGAGTTAGCCGGTACTTTCGGTCATGAGTACGTACTACGGATACTCAGCACTGAACTCCATGGGCGTGTTGTACCGCCTACACTGATACGAATTTACACATGGGAACTTGAGAAACGAGGCCCTTTCAAATCAAGCTATGCTCCAATCTTAAGGAGCACCCTTGTTCCCTGTTAATTATTGGCTTCTCGTTGGTACGAATATCCGGAAAACGGCAGGCTTGTAAGGGAGGCACCCACCCCCCAATGCCGTGATGGGGCATCCCGGGATGTTATAGGCCAAGAGCCCGAATGGTGATGCACTATGCTGTCTCCCCACGACCCTCAAGTTTTAACTAAACAGGCATGGCCGCTTTCCTGGACACCACCCTACCAAACGATCAGACAGTCTGCTGCGCGCCTGTGGGCCGATCCGCGCAACGCTTGGGCCGTACGAAGCATGTCCAGAGTTTGAAGGCGTGGAGCCGTGGACGAAGCTCTGGGGTTACGCTGTCGCTCCAGCATGCCGAAGGAGTTCCAGCAAGATACCGAGGACTTCCTGCAAGTGGAGGCATCTCCTCTTGGGCGCTAAAAATGCAAGTGCTCGTCTGGCGACCTGAAGACAGAATCAACAGTCACGAATGAGCGCTCCAACACCTGGGACACCCTTGAAACTTGAAGGTTCACTATTCGTTTGCCGTCAAGAGTAACTCTGGGACATGGCTTGGTCTAGCTTCCTCTGCCGCGGACTATGCTGTATTCACCCGACAGAGCATTTCCATCAACAGAGAGACAACCCATATTAAGGATGCATGTCCCATCTCGCAGCTACAACCTTGCCATCAATACATACATGCTTGTTATCCGGCGTGTGTCGTGATGAGTTGAGTGATCATGTCTGATCGAGGAGACTCGCCTCCCCGGCCTCCCAGGAAGCGTCCCTCGACCACAAATGACCGGAATAGTCCAACCCGTCATGCGGGGTCTCGTGAGTACTCGAGTTCCACATCTGTCGATACCCTGTTAAGTCGTGAAAGGACCACCGGTTGGTAGAGAGCCTCGATCGCCACCAAACGCTGAACAACGAACAACTCAACGGTATGCAGACTTCGGAAGTGCTACCGCACACGGCCACAGGTCTCTTCTTGCTAACAACCATAAGTCAAACCCCGAGATCCTCCGAGAACGATCCATCATATCGGAGGTCAGTAGTATACCGTCGCGACTCCGAACCGTTAGTAGAAGACCTCCCTCCTAGTCCCCAAGTACTGACATCTTTCAAGAACAAGCGAGCATTATGTCTACGTATCAGAGTCGCGAGAATCCTCGCGCCATCCTCCTTCCACACGAGAGCGGTCTGCGATCGATTCCAGTCGGCGGCTATCACCCGAGAGAACCATTGTTCGTCCAGCCCGCACCGGCTCAGGGAGATCACCATCGGCTTATCGCCGCCAGCAGCAGAATCAGCAGGCGTCGTCGGCCAGAGACCAGCCTGCACACCTCGCTTCAAGGGCGCATTACTCAGAACAGCACTCTTTCCAATCTCGACGACAAAGTTCTTCTCATCAGAATTCCGAGGAACTACCTTACCCTCCCAACACCTCCCGGCTTGGTAGAAATGAGGAAGCAATTTCGGATGACTATGAGCAGACCTTTCAGAGCCTGGATATCAGGGATCGGGCTCAACGGGAACGTCAAAGGGTACCATTGACGACACCAATCATTACTCAGCACAACCCTTCGCACATGCCTATCTCAAGTGGACAGACCCATTATGATTCCAATGCGCACATCCCACTTGGCCGTGCAACCGCAGGTCAGGTTTCAGCATCTGAACACACGACATCTCAAATCACCAGTGCATCGGCATCATCGAGACCATCTGAGAGTACATTTCGTACAACTTTGCGTTCTGCGCTATTAGTTTTCGCCAATGTTCCGCGAAATGACTGGGAGAAGCTGAAGAGTCGTATTCAGAAAGACCCATCACTTCTTGTCGCAGATCCTAAGCTGTTTCTGACTGAAGCCATCCATGCTTATGCCGCAGGAAAGGACGAGTACGCCAACCAATGCATTCATCGGGTCGCACTATTGCAACGGCTAGCCAAATGTAAAGTTAACACTGCTCTAGGCAGAATGAGCAATATTGAAAACCTTGAACAACCTGAGGCCAGAGAATTCTACAAGGAGTATGATCGAATACGGAAGTCAGGCAAAGAGGGCGCAAAATTATTAGCCTCAAGAGACTCCGGTTCAACAGCGGCTCAGAGTCGGCCTGCCCCCCAATCCATACCTGATGCCTCAGACGATAGGTATCCAAGTACCATGCCGACTAATTCAGTGGGTTTAGTCTCTGCACAGTACGCGGGTCGTACCTCTGGTAGTATCCCGATCAGTGCTGTGACTGGAACCGACATACACGGAGCGTCAGCCTATGGTTCAACGCCTAACAATAGATATCCCTTAAACACAGGTTTTCCGATCATCAATAGCCACCACCCGTATCCTCCAGTCCAGGGTTCTTCCATGAGTGGAAACCGTGATGAACGCGGCCCTGTTTCTCTCAGATCACTTGACATACAAATCGGCAGTATTCCTGGGCACTATGAGCCTTCTTCGCCTGGTCCACGCTCTGTGAATCCGAACCCTCCCCCACCAAGCCAAGAGGGCCCGGTCAACACACATATGATATCTGCACAATTACCAAATGTCGTTTCATACCAACTCAATCAGGCGGATGACGGGCAAGGCAGGTTTTCCACCGGAAGAAGGCGCCAGAGCACGAGCACCTTATCGATCGGTGATATTACGGTCACTGGAGAAGCCACTGTACAGCCTGTGCAACAAGGTAACGTGGGTAGGCTGGACTCGCGATACCAAGTTCGCACTGATGCTCGAGTCTTTTACAAGGTGGGGAGAGTTTTTTCTGTTTTATGGCATGAGCCCTACAGTCAGACGCCCCCCAAAGGTGGGGCTAAAGACTATACCAGCACTGCCAAACGTTCGACAATTGGCAAATTCGGTGAACAAATTTATAGCACAATTCGCCGGATGGTCGTTGTACGCGAAGGCCACGGCTATTGTGTGTGCATACAAATTAATACATATGGCGGGAAAGGTCTGCGTAAGTTTGTCACTGCTCGAGGAGTGGTCAGTCAGCAAGACGTCGATAGTCACTCAATAATCCACATGACGGACACCAGGCCCGGCTACTTTCAAGATGAACCTCGAAGCAAGAAGCGACCGATTGCAGTCAACAAGGCTTCGCCGGATCAAAAGCTAGGACCCGACAGCAGATTGTGCTACTCTCAACCGCACACGGTGCAGCATAACGTCAAGGCAATGCACGTTGGGCAAGTGTCAGAAGAAACTTTGCCCTACTTGACTTTTTACTACAGAGAAGCCCAGACGTAGGAAATGCGCCTCACAAGAGAAATCCGCCACTGACAGGAAGTGGTATGCTTCAATCATCAGGCACCAACCTTATATATACGTTTCTCCTCAAGTGCGTTTTCCAACAAGTACTTCGTCATGTTGGCGATCTATACCTTTACGACGGGGACAATTTCCCGATATCATCATACGCAACTGTCCGACCCACACGGACAACAAGTTTATCATGAACGACATTCATCTCTGACGGTCGAACCAAGGATAAGGAATAACACGAATGACTAGAAGTTCAGCCATTCGCACGACTTTTACATCAAAGCATACATCTATACGTATGGACTAGCCCCGAGCTACTCCCAACCATTTTTCTCCAGTTGATGGGTCAGTTCACCCAGACAACGATATACGTGTGGAGTAGTCGAGAACTACTTCCATTCATCTCATCTACGAGATTATTACGATATCTACGCAGGACACGAATTTCACTTCACGTTTGTATTTGACTGGGTTTTATTCACCGACCGGGAAGTTTTTCACGGCCAGGCGGCCGACCAACGGAACAATATCCAAGAACGCATTTTGATAACAACTGACTCGCGTTTTGATTGTGCCGCATCAGGCTTTTCCTTGGAAACAGGTGATGGGTTGGGGAGCAAGCATATGTTGTTCAGTTAGCCCGTGCTTTTCTTTCACTTTATGATCCATTTACCCGATATTTACGGCCAAAGCGTTCTAGCTTAAGAGAGGGAACAACAGGGTCTACCTCAAGTCTAGCTTATGTCCTACTCAGTTATTCATGGCTAAACCTCAAAGATTTTCAGGTTACGGGCAGGATGGCCATGTCATGCCTTCTGCAGGCGAGACGTTTTTGTCTGACAGCTATTCTACACATCAACCCTTGGGTTGGGTTGGTGGTTGCTATTGGTTTCATGAGCCTTCGGTGACGCAACAATCCGGGACCATGGCATGGTTTCACAGAGCTAGCATTCTCGGGCCAATATCAATGTCGAATGATTAGATGATCAAATAATCAAATGAGTCGTCAAGGGTTAATTTGAAGCTGTTAGCTTGAGACTATTCTACACCTGCCCTCTTGGGACTCTGTTTGCATGAAACCTTCAAGATAGTGACGATACCGAGAGATAATGAACGTAGGTCGTCCATTTGGGTGTCGTTGGAAACCCCACGCGGAGCCTCATGCGGGGTAGATGATCGGGTTTTTAAACTGAGGATAAGGGTTAGTCAGGCTCTTTGCGAGTTGGTTTGGAAGGTGGGTGCTGCAGGATACCATGCAAGGTTGGCTACTGGATAAACGTACTCGGAAGCATGCATCATGGACGAGCTGAGCTGCAGTTGCAGTGCAGACATCACCAATGGGACATCACGCGCAGTGCGACATCCATGTTGAAATTCAATCATGCCACAGCACTCTGCATTTTGCAAATGTTAGAACCCAAGTGCTGAAGATGTCACATGTATGTCGTTCGCTCCTGAAATCCCTTCCGTAGTTTTGGACATTGCAAAAGTACGGAATGTTGACCATGCTGCAGCGCCTCATCCGAAGCCGTAGAGGGATCATACAAGGCTGTCACCGCGAGGCATGACAGCTTATGGAAATAGCGAGCTCTGTACTCCAGTTCTCCGTTGAACAGCCGCGTCAGCGTTAAATGCTTTGGGCCAACCCTCTCAAATGTGCTTTACAGCTCGCGATTGAGTGGGTACTTGGTATAAAGGAATGCCCATCTCAACTCCTAGCCCGTACGTATACTCACGGCACTCGGCATCGTTGACCAAGGTTCGAAATCCCCGTGGGGGCTCCCAGGTTGTCCACACCTCATCCTGGTTCCCACCCCGCTCACCACACCTGAGTCCCGATACCTCGTGCGTCAAACCAGTTTGGCTCTTGCATGTCCTGCAACTAGTCCCATGAGCTAGACGTGGTGCATGCATGCATTGCTATCGTGGCACTTAGCCCACCAAGAAGTAAAGCCTAAATCGTCCAAGGACATTTGAAACACGTCCGCGCCCCAACCATCGGTTGTCTTCATGGTTGTATTGCGCCTTGGACCGGCAATCATGATACTGACTTCCGATAGATTTACGCCCGAATGCATCAATCTTCACCGTTTGTTTGCTACATTGCAGGAGTTGCAAACAAGAATCGCGATGTAATTGCAGGCTGAAAGTGATTTCCTCTGGCTAGGATTTCAGGAAGTTGCGAGAAGCATTTCCTTAGCACAATCCAGGGTTCTTGTCACACGACAAATCATGCTTGCTTCGACCACAAACTCGAGCCCTAGCCTGGCTGAATAAATCCGAACTATTCCTCGCTGGGCAAATAATGCATCCATTATTACAGCAGAACGAAACTTTAAACCATCTGCGCTCACACAGGTCATTGGACAATGGAGAAGATAAACCCCAGTCGTTCGAGGTGTTCCTTAGCTGCTAGCACTTCGGTATCTGTCCGATGTCCTGGACTGCAGTTCGCTATCGCTAACATCCAGAGCGTAGATCTCATCACTTGCAACTGCTGTCTTGCTTCTCCCCAGTAAATGATGGAGAACGGGTTGACCAGATAGCCTTTCTAACTAGACGCCATCAATGCATGCGCCTCTAGGAGTGCGCAGCATGACCAGTGATGTCCACGGAAATGGGGGTGCCTGGATCCCAGAGGTTTATCGCAAGAAATTTCCCAACGCGAGGTTGGCTATTCATGGAACGGTGGCTGCGAGTCCTGGGAAGCAGCACCTTGAGTTCCGATGTACAAGCGATCGCATGTGATTCCCACGGGATGAGATGTACTGTTCTAGTCACCAGCTTTGTGGCTCATTCCTAATGCATGCGCAAAACCTGGTTGTCGGCGTTGCTGAGCAGACTCTGAGCGGTGCGCATATGAGTCTTGCAGCGCAGATACAACATGATTAGGGCCGCGGTGAGAGGTTGAAATAGAAGGCCAAATGCCGGCTACCCACGACCTTGCTAGAATATTCTAAACTAGTTCAACTTTACAAGAGTCAGGATTCAAGACGTTAGAGTGGGCTTCGTCGCTGTGCACCCCAATCGAAAGTCAGAAATTTTATAGTAGCTTGTCTTTTAGCTACTGACTTACCTCGTACTCATCGAGAACTGGTGACGGCTCGGGCTCTCGGCTTGATGAGAGAGCGTTAGCCCTATGCACAAGCGTAATGGGGTACTTTACTATCTAGTCGATATCACTCTCCCTCCTTATACACTTCGTACGCCTTGCACACGTCAAAGAGGTCCTGTTTACCGACACGGCGGGCAGGTGAGATGTGCTCGACGAATTGCCCTTCACAATCGCCCAGTTGAGCTGAGCTCTCTACTTCCTTTCAGCAGTGGCGCGAAGGGGGCGCTCAAGCTCGCCATCTCAAACTCATCCTGTGAAACCTCCCGGTGCAATGCATCTGAGCAGTTTCCACACAATTCTGCTAGCCAACACTGTCGTGAGTCAAAAACCCACGCATTTGATGGCAGATTACTGTCGAATGGCTTGCACAATTCCAGTGATGGAGCTGATGAGGCCGAAAACTAGGGTGAGAATGATAGCTGCGAAGGCAGCCCACAGAATTGCCCAATCCACCGGCCGGCGACGATCAAACAGCAACTGTCTAAACGTTCTAGGTGTTGACTGGTCATAGTGATCCTGCAGTGCTTTCAGTCGACTGCCAAAATAAGGATATGAAACAAGGTCGAGCTGAGCGAATCTGTCATAACCAATTCGTCGCCCATAATCAGCCTCCACGTCAACGAGGTGTCTTTTTTGGAAGTACCTCGTTCGTCTGGCCCCACTTGTATCTATATTTGGGAAAAGAAGGTACAGTGTGCGACACACTTCATCGAGATAATTGTTGGGATATACCTTCCTGGTACATTTGTCAATCATAACCGCTTCCATTGGTCAGAGCAGAGACATAACCTACCCGTGGTCTTCGTCTTTGTACTTTTCAATGGCTGTTGCGTGACGAAAGACATGTATCTTTGTTGTTGTGGCGAAGTGTTCCATCATAAGATGGTCCCCAAGTACGCTCGTTGGCCAGAAAGAGAGCCCTGCTATATCGACCAGATTTTCGATGGTAAAGTCATACGACAATTTCCCACGCAACTCAAGCGGCGAAGGCATCCACTTCTTGGTCTCCTCTTGAATAGTGGTCCCATCAAGTCCTTTCATCGCCGCTGTGAAATCATCTCCTCGTTTGCGAGCGATCTTGTCGGCGTGTAGGGGCATGAAAAGCCATAGCCGGACAGCAAAGTCAACAATTTTGCTCAATGCGGTTGCATCATCCTGGCGGACGAGCCAAGTAGTTTGTCCGGAAGCTATCACGGCGGCTTTGATTTCTGATATTGGCCGGTGCAAGTTTCCCTTCACAATCTGCACGATTTCCGCCACCTTCTGGCATTGTTCGTCGATCTTACCAAGAGTGATTTCCTCTTTCCGAATCAATGAGGCATCGTAAAGGAGATCTTTGTAATGATCAAAGTATGACTGGGCTTGAGATTTGGCCAACGCGTCGAAATCATCAGTATTTGGACGGACCAACCCCCAGACAGAATCCAAAAGTGTAGCCAGCGCCTCCTGTTCCAAGTTCTTTGACGGATAGTTCATGATCACTCACGTCTCAGAAGATGATTGACTCACTGGGAGGAGTATTGACAGCTACACTTGATCCGTCTTTATCAGGGCCCAGTTTTCTCGTAACATAGCCCCATTGCTTAGCCACACGAAAGTCAGTCCGCCATTTTGTTCGAAGCGCCTTACCAAGCCCATGAATCCAGCCACCAATTAGGGGTGTTTGGTTGTCGACTTAAAAACTTGGAAGTCTCCCTCCCGTGCTTCATGCAATAGATGCGTAGGAGAGCAAATTAATCTAGTGGCTATTGCATGAATGTGGAGTTCCCTGGTCAAGCCTCTGTCACGCAAGTGGGGATTGAGCTGGACAATTATCACCAGGAACCTTGACCCGGATTGCACCGTGCCAGAAGCCAGCTAATAGTCTCAACCGCAAGACAGCTCTTAGGCTTACTTTCTGTCCTCTTCAGCTGCGGGTAGTTTTGAACATCTCTTCTCCAGTGGCCGAAGGGCCACTTGCACCGAAAGACACCTCCTTTCCAACAATCCAACGCCAAGTTACCCCTCGTCAGCCGCTTGCTTTTGGCCTGTGGCTCAGCATTGCCAGCCTGACTTTGGGCTCACTGAACTGAGAGAGCGAACTCATCTACCTCACATTGACGACCGCATCACATGCCACTACACATAGCCCACACAATACTCAGACTAGCTGATGATTCGGAGCTCGCACGGCATTTGGAGATCTGCCACAGCCTTGGGTCGAAGGAATCGATCTTATTTCAGAGGCATCCGCGCCGCTGAGCAGGATTCTTTGGAGTGTTCAATCACCAAGACCCCCGATTGAAAATTGCTCAGCCTTTTCAATGGAGATGAGTGTATCGACTACATTGGAATCTCCCCACCTTGTGTCTCAGACACTCCCTTTGACTATCCCTTCTGTACCCTCACACACATCTTCACAGCCTCCTGTAGGGGCTGTAGCATCTCATGCTTCGACGCTAGCCCCTCTCCATGGACCCCCTCAGTATTGCATCGATCCTGTCGCAGATGCTGCAACAATAACGTGCCCCCATATGCATTCTCGGCCTCATGTCGAAATCGTGGCAAATGAGGCTCCAATGATCCCCGATTTCATAAATTGGCATTCATTGAGCCTGGACGCAAAACTCTGTTGTATTGCTCCAATTGCAGATAGCGCTACTTACATCGGCTGGACCGCCTGGATGCCAACCAATCGCCTGGACCATAAATGGAACGACGAATGCGGCATTTTCGAGTTTATAAAGGATTTCCTGAAACAGGCCTCGAGCGAAGGAAAATTGTTTCGCCGGGCTAAAGGGCTGAATAGGATGTCTGCAGAGCTTCAATTGCTGAGCAATACTGGCCGACGAGAGGACGCTACTCCCTATGTAGTATTACTACACCCTGAAGAGTATCGGAAGGAGGCTGGCAAGCTCATTGAGCGCCTGAGAACTACGAAACTGATCATGAGACTTGGATTTAAAGTCACCGGATCGGTGCAAAACATTGTCATATCTGGGGCAGACGTGACCAGTGCTTTCAGCTCTGGCATATCGACAGTCCATGAGCACGGTCATGCAAAGCGCAGTGCTTGCGGAATGCAAATCAGCGTCCGGCCCGTCGCTACCGAAGCTAGTGGAGGTGGGCGACTAGCCACGATAGGGGGAGTGTTGGAGCTCCGGCCCAATCGGTATTTTGGGTTGACTTCAGCTCATATCTTCGCTGAGCCCAATGTAACCGACGAATACTCCGAAAATGATTCAGAGAATAGCGATCAGGAGTTCGGATTCATTGGTGATGGACACTCTCGTGAGGCACCAAAGGAGCATTACATTTTTAAAAGTGCTTCAGAAAAGCAAGATGGAAACTGGGAAGAATTCGATCAACACCGAACTAGCCTGGATTCCCCGACAAGACAAATTGGTACTGCTTTTTCGCCGGCTCAACAGAGTGAATTCTCCATTGATATGTTGTACAACGCGACCCTCGATTGGGCTCTTGTGGAGATCACTGACCCCGGAATACAATTCAAGAACTTCTATGAAGCGTCGGACAAAATCGTCAGACCGCGCCCAGATCCCCGTCGCACGAAGCCTTTCAAAGGCGATGTCTTCGTCCTGTCAGACGCCCTCGCCCCACAAAAGTGCAGAAGCAGTGGATCTAGATCAGCTATCAGTGTCGATTGGGGAGATGGCTTTGTCGAGGTTTGGAGAATTGAATGCAAGTCCGGTAAGTGTGCACTGAGTGATGAGATTTAGCATTGAACCACAACTGCCTGTTGACAAGATTTGTTGCTTACTTCGGGCATATGTGATTAGACTTTGGGTCATGCGGCTCATGGGTCGTGGATCCTGTCGATGAAATTGTCCTTGGCATCCTAGTAGCCCACAGTGAGGATCAGTCTCTCTCGTGGATGCTTCCTGCCGGCCCAATCTTTGCAGACATCGAGAGCCGGTGGGGAGTCGACTTGGCCGCTGGAGCCAGGCCACTAACATCTCGACAGACCGGCCAAAGAGGCCTTCGAGAAGACAATCCGGCACATGAGCGCGTGGCATGGGCTGCCTCGATGATATCCTCTTCTGCTACACTGGGATCGACCGATGGGCACTTACAAAGTCTCGACAGGGCTGGGCCACGAAAGGTTCGGGGAGAGGAACGCCCAAGCACCAGCACTGAAGGCCTTCAGTCGCCTTCAGCTGTATTGCGTGGACGTGGCGCAGGATATATGAGATATCCCGATGGACGGTGGAAGCGGATAATCATGATGAAAGGCAAGTCTTCGCATTGGTCGAGTCTGGACCAGGCTGATCGGCAGCATTAAGGTACACGTTTTTGGCAAGAACAACACAGTGGAGAGCTGGTGCCCTACAAAAGTCAGTACGACGTTTGGCCAGGGTCCCACGTGTAAGTCTCCAGAAATCCATGCTCTGGTCCTTGCCCTCTTACCAGCAATCTCCAGCGTCAGCCCTAGGCTTATTGAGCCAACCCAAACATCAAGTACTGCAAGCGGTTGGTATCATCAAAGCCAACAAGACCAACCGGCTATCCAAAGGGAGCGACTCGTGTTGGAACCTCCCGCTCCTTCAAGGCAGGTTTTAAGTCTACGCGGCTGTGCCACTTGCGATGTCGTAGAGTGTCCAACCGTTCCAAAGCTCGACGTCTGACACTAATAAATTATGGTAGTACTCAAACTGAACATCAATCAAGCATTTTACATTCGTCACTGATTCAGGAGAGCGATATAATGGGAGGGAGCAATGACGCCCTCCATACCTCCCGGTCGCGAAGCTCATTGCAAAGTCCAACATCTAGCACGAGCTCACCTACTAACTCTGGTGTTAGTCTGGGTGGAGTACCATATACCGACAGAGGTAGGATACACTCCTGGACTTCAGGATTGGAACCCAGCTATCAAGGAAGGCATGTCAATGTTACCACTGCGTCTAGTATCAGTAGAGGTGGACTACCAACGACAAGTTCAGATAGTCCTGCCAATCGTGGTGGAGTGACCTCGACAAGCTTTCAATATGAAGGAGATGATGCAGGACAACAAACAACTGCATACCGATTTGGATCACGATGGCCTGACCAGCCCAGTCCTTTCAGTGTACTCACACCTTTGTACCCGTTGTCAGATCCCCACCGCCCGATTGCTTTCAACCTCACTAGCGAGACCAAACCAGAAGCACAAGTCTCGTCCCAATTGACCTACTCGGATCCTCACCAGGGTGGAGATGGTACAGCCCAAGGTACCAGTCGAGCAGGTTTTGGGTATACCATACCAAATACTGGAGACGAGTCGACGACTGCGATTGAGAATCAAATGATTTCGACCCTTTTGCCCCAGACAAGCGATCTGCCTCCACCATCAGTGTACCCTCCACGGGCTATGAGCACAATATCCGAAACCTCAAGTCTCGATAGTGGCTACTATTCTAAAACTGATGGAGTTGATGAAGTACGAACCGCGGTTAACAAGATGGCTTTGACGACAGACACTGCGCGACTCGCTCCGGGCTATAATTTGAAAAACGGATATCTATTTTTTGAACCAGGGCGAGTATTCTCAACCATGCTTCCTGAACCAATGGGAGTCCGTCCAGGTGGTATTAGGGATTCACCTTCCAACGCAAATGTGGTCGAGGGTCTCTCCGGGGAGAAAATATACTATCACATCAGACGATTCATTGTGATAAAGCGACGCCGCGGCTACTCTCTCTGCGTACCGATCAACACCTATCTATTCAGAGGCGTCCAGTCGAAACTCGAGCAGGAGGCGCATTCGATTGTCTACGACAGCTCAACGAAGCAAGCCCCCAGCAAATCTAATGGAGAGAATAGAATGACGAAAACCCCTATCGCGGTGGACTTGAATCAGGGCCACAAGTTGAACCCAGCTAGCAGAATCCATTTTGGTAGGATCACGTCGATTGATTGGAACAGCAAGGTACTGGATATAGGACATGTTGCTCAGTCATCCATGCCTGTCTTCGAGAAATACTGGAAGGAGGAACTTCTTCAATGACGGTATGAGTGATTGCTGGTTGCGAGTTCTTGTAGTGCCTCATGGGGTTTCCCTAAGCAGCCAGCCGATACAACACATTTTGCAGATATTTCCTATGAGATAAAATGATAGGCGTATTTCTTGGACAGATTTGTGCTTTTCATCCCCTTCCTCGTGGTTCGATCATGGCAGCTCACGAGCATCAAGGACACAAGACTGGATAGACTCTCCTGGCCTTTGACGGCTGGATTCACAAGACGCCAAGACCTGAGCGAAATCGCATGGTCGCACAAATAACGAAATCTGTTCTGGCTCACTCATGAAATCGATACGGAACAAGCATCACTACCAGGGGGCTTAATCCGTTGATTCGAACCACCAGGCCCCGTGCAATCCAGGCTCTGCCTCGTCTATACCATACTAAGCAGAGATCTCGAGATACAGTCCTGACAAGGGGACTATAGGATTCAAGAATGTACTTAGTTAGTATCGGCTTAGGCTAGCTGCCAAGCATCCAAGTTTAGGCGGTAGGTAAACAAGCTGTGCAATACGATGCTACCGTAGACACTCCCCAGCCTAGGTCCGTATTTTTGGTCCTAAATGCAGCGAGAAAGGCTACGGAAGTCTAGTAGCTACCCCGGAGAAGAGTCAAGATTTCTCCGTGCAAGTAACATCGAACTCGGAACCTTCAGCCTCGTTGAGCAAACCTCCTATCGCTCTTCCGCCCGGAAATGCCAACACATGTTTTGGGAAAAAATTGATCTGAGCCGCAATGCCAATCTCCGTGATTGATTTCAGTCTGACATACGCTTCCCCTTTTCGACGCTACGGAGAACTCGGACATCACAACATACGATTCGGGTATGGTGATTGCCTTTTTTTATTGTCCCCGGATTTCGGCTTCTGACCTGTGCATCTAGCCCCCAAACCGCGTAATTAGTTCCGGGGGCTAGGTCCCGCTGCGGGTAGCTGCGATCTCACGTTAGCGAGAGGGGCGGACCGCGGGAGCGGAACTTTGGCGACGCAACTAACTACCCAACCAACGACTAGTAATGCAGCTGACTGTTTTCGTCCGCTCTTGCTTTTGCTGCCCGCATAAGCATAATCACAAGCTTCGAGGCCCGGGCCCGTGGTTCTGGGATAGGGATCGACGAACTTTATTTCGTCGCTGCGGGTCTGGATGGTATTCGCATAGTCTATCACAATCGTACCCACCCGATAGATGGTAAATTTCTAGCAATTCGCTGACGATATCTCGTTGCTGGGTGCTAATTACATCGTAAAGTGGACTGCGTTTGAGTGTAACAGCCGGAAGACTCTTTTCCTCACATTGAAAATGGTATACATAGAAGAAAGGTAAAGTGTAAAACATAAAACGCAGCGCGGGTATCTTGAAAAGCCAAACATCAGAAGAGTGTCAGGTCAATCGCGCACGGGTGATCAAACAAAAACCGAGCCTGATCCAATGCTGCAAGATTTTGTCACACTGGGAAACACTGATCGTATACAACCAATCGCGCCATGTTGTCACAAGGAAAGAGGCTCCGAAACACCAAAGCACGACATCTTGAGTAAGAAATGGACTGTCATGCGGAAAAGATTCATCATTGTGTGAGAGACTTTGCGTGCGAACTCCTCGAACGCCACCGCCGTAGCGGTGATCTCATGAGACGTCGCGCAGCTTTGGGTATAAATCGATCATCTTTCCGATGTGTTGTAGATTTTGGGAATATATTGCCATCGACCTGAGCCCCTACGGACCAGCGGGGGCTGGTCATTCCGTCCCTGGTGTTTTCATCAAAGTCGTCATCGAAGGTAAGAGATTTTGAAGTATGATGCCTTGTCGGTCTCTTTATAGACTTCCGTAGGCTAATATGGAGATCATGGTCGAACCAGGAAGTGAGCAGACGGGTTTTAATTGCTCTGTAATTAGGCGCAAGCATGTCATCCAGGTAGTGATAGTGAATAAATCTGGAGAATGACAGCCAGGAGGCTTGCTGGCACTTCAAAAACCAAAATGAGACATAAGCAAACATAACCTCCTTGCGCGTCCGCAGGACCGCCAAAGTCATTGATAACCAGCTTCTGGTATACTTTGGGTAGTGGATAGTCGTTGAGACTGGCCAAAGGTCGGTTGCGAGAGCCTCGAACACATCCCAACGTGCTTCCAAGTCCTCGCCATTACCAATACTGAGCGCCGATTCCCGATCATTTGTGCTGACATCTGCGAACTGGTCCATATGGAAGAATATCTGCGACACAAGAGCAACCTGTTCATTCCCATGATTAACAATTTGCGTGCAACGATTGATTTCAGACTCAATCTCAGCAAGTTGATTTTCAAGTGCATCATGAGTCTCCTGATAGCTATCGAGATATTCTTGAGAATAAGGATCCATAGCGATGCCGAAGGTCAGCTTCGTTTCAGCATCTTCCTGTAACACGATGAAGTCTTGTTGATCTTTCAGTAGGCGTGCGATGACCTGGTGCTTCTGCGGCCACAGCCTCGAAAGCCGGATCTCTGCCGCCGTGAAATGGTGATCCTGTCTTACTCCGACACTTGCGACGAGATTTTCCAAGTAGTTTGGGAGTTGCTGAACGGGACTAGAATGATGCTCAGGTTGGGATTTATGCATTTCTTCTCCTGGAGGACCTCCCTGCCTTAGCATTCCTTGCAACGGCTCCATACGCATCACCTCTAGTGGAATGAGCGTCTCCTCTCTAGGTCGCGATTCCAGCTGGTTTGCCGGTGGCCGTTTCGTCGGGAGTGCGTTATTGATCTCCCTTTGGCTTAGCAAATCTGTTGCCATGTTCTGGCCAGATATTATTGAAAGCGTCTGATTCGTGATCTCTTGCTCCAGTGAGACTTGGTCCATTGGCCATAAAATCTGTTCGTATATACCAATTTGTAGCCGTTCGAGTGTCCTTTCGGCAGGTTCGAGCATTGCATGTGCATCATCAATGACTACATTTTGTATTTTTATCTGCTTCGACAGGCTTTCAGCGTCCGCAATAAGAGCAAAAATTTTATCATGCTCTTCTCCACCAATTTTTGAATCTCGAAGGAATCGCGAAAGGTCTGACAGTACACCATCAAGTTGAGAAATTGTTGCTTCTCGTTGCCTGACCTTGTCTCGGGCTGTAGCTCGCAGGCTATGAACGACCTGCAGCTGAGAATCTACATCCTGAAGACCCCGTTGAAGCGAAACGTCGATTCTAGTTGTGTGCGGAATTTGGTTTCGATCTTGAGAACTTTGGGGGTATTTTGGTGAAGGCAGCATTTCGTTCTCCGCAGGTTCTGGGTCATCTCGGACAAGGGCAAGGCTATCGTGTCTTATAGAATGTCTTATGGGAGTATCATGATAATTGTCGTTTCTTGTGAGCGGTGGGGTATAAAGTTTATCTCTTTCATCCACCTGTGCCCGGCGTGCGCCTGACCGCTCGGAATCGATATGGAGGACACTGCCGTGCTTGTAGGTGAGATGTGTAGCAAAGGAGGGAAGTGAAGAGTCTTGAGTTGAAGGCTCATGGCTACACACAAACATTAGCAACGTAGAGAAGCTGCAGAGAGCTGTCACACTTCAATGAATATCGTGACACTGGAGTTCCTGGTGGCGATGATTGCGAAGACTGAACGATCCTTGCCAGAACTGTGCTGGCCATGGGGTGAGGGTAAGCCTGCACAGCCTTACTTGGGCGAGAAAGTAGCTAACGGGGTCCGAACCACTGTATCTGCAACCAATTGTTGGCCTGTAACTGAAGCTCAGGTGCTGCCTGCCATGGGTCCGAAGATTCCAAAAATTGGAATTTCCCGAAGACAGTCGGGAAAGTTGGAAGATTAATTAACAACATTCAAGGGAGGCACCTAGGCATTTGGGGAACTCATGGTGGATCCCTGACTTCCCTTAAATAACTGGAGAGCCTGGGGGATTGCTTTAAACTTGGACTACCCATCCGCTAGGTTTAGGTGGCTCATGGCTTGTGTAACGCTGCCCAGAATTGCCTATTTTGACTGGATTCTTTGCGGAGTTTCTCGTAGGCGCCTCACTCCAGAGATGAACGCAGGCCTCCAGCCACCTAACAAACTATCTACTTCTAGTTCTGCATTCCAACGCGGTGCCGCGAGTGGGTAGCACTCCGGGAAGTCCAACCAAAGTGCCCCTGAACTTCTCATGGACTACCTAAGTCAGGTGGGCATCACGACCCACCACCCGCGGCCCGAGCCCTAATTAACTCGATGGAACAATCTCAGGCTACCTGTTCCAACATTGGCTAGGTAGAATGTAGTACCTAAGGTGATTGCTCCTGCCTTCTGCTGCCTTCTGCTGCCTTTCACAGTACTGTTAATCCACCTAGGTAAGTACTCGTTGTCACATTTGGTCGCCCGTCAACTAACTATAATCCCGTGGTCGAAGGGAATCTGTTCGACCAAAGTTGCCATCCTACTCTGTTCAAATCCGGATCAACTCCAAGCTGAATTCAAAGCTGCCGCATTCAAACGCAAGCCAAGCATGAAGGCCAAGGGGGCGGTCAACTCCCACGAGATGTTGGCCGAGTGTAGTAGTTACCTACCCAAATACGTGGTTCCTTCAATTGGTTGTGCCGTTGAGGTCACCCTACCCTCAAGTCAGCTGCCAGTTCTTCGTGTAACCCTCCAGAAAAGCCTGAATGTCAGACAATATTTCATCAATCAACCCGGCTTCGGCGCTAAGCAAGCTGTTGTCCTAGGGGCCTCGACCTCATGAACCATTCACCAAGGACCAAGGAGCAGGCCGAGCGGCAGTCCTTAACGGTGGGCTGCTGCAACTCTGTGCTTTAGCGTCCAATGGGTGCTTCAGTTCTCCACGCGCTGCACAATGACGAACCTACGAACCTTGCAATAGCATGCAAGAGTGCCCGACCGCCATGCAGCTATCATCATGGCATTGGTGCATCTAGATGTACTCCGAACGAGAAATGTCGAATCGACGTTCTGGTTGAAAAGAAGTCGCCACCTGGCGCCATCTGCTTTGTTGCATCTTACCCCTATCAAAATTTGCCCGCTCCGCAAAGGAAAGGTAACTGATAGGCATGCGGCTCAAAGGTCAGCTTGGAATCGTCGGGGTTGATAATCCTTCTCCAAGCTCTCCGTGCCAATAATGGATTTGCTCTCGTTTCCCCCATTCTTCAGCCATAGAAACCGGGTGCCGTGGGCATGCCATCCGGCTACAAACTCTCTCGCCAGCGACGATGGGAAAATTCACGTTAGTCACCGACTACAAGAAGGACCCTGATGGTGTTGTCAGAGGCAAGGTCCGCGATAAAGATGGTCTGTTGAGCCAAACTCACTTTTTGGGAATTGGGACCCCTAACAATGACCCTCTGATCTTAGGCCGACTATACTGGCACGAAAAGGGGACCAACAATCTCGAGGAGATCCCCAGAAGTATGCCTCCAGTCGAGGGACTACGCGGAAGAAGTGTTGGTCCTTCTTCTCGGACTTCCAACGATCGACTCGAGGGGGCGAGACGTCGACCTTCCAGATCCCGTTCGCCCTTAACGTAAGCGACTCTCAGGCTGATAGTGTACCTTCAAGCCTGCCTCATACTTCCAGGCCCGAGATTATTTTGCTAATCACGTGCTGTTAGAGAGGATGATGAGGAACTGCCTTTATCATCTCCATCCACGGCAGAAAAGAATTTTGTTATTAGTACGTCTAACAAGAACAGGAATACTCGAGGGGCCGAAACCAGAGGTGGAAGGCCGGTAGAAATCAAATCTCTGCCCATAAGATCTGCCACGGGAATTGATCAAGTCGCGGAGAGGCCATTGATGGGTACAAGGTATGCTCCCTGCTCTGCAAACTCTCATGAGGGTGGAAAGTTACTGGCGTGAACCCGACTCGGATCGTTGGCCGCTAATTCTGCTATGCGTAGTCCCTACAATGCACATTTGGACCAGCTTGATTCTACAATGGGTAGAACAGCTTTGAACCAGGAACCTCGCGTAACGAACCATGTGGGAGAGGGCAGTGCTCCTTCACAGCAAAATATGCTTGCTTCGCCGCTTGCTAGACTAAATCTGCCTTCCGATGTTCTCGACTTCATCAAGCTTCCGATTAACAGGTTCCGGGGAATACTGACATTTCTTTCGGACCACCCAAGATTTCTTCGTTCAGGACAGATTCCCATGTTTGATGATGCAGCTGTTGAAGCTATGGTAGCCGGAGACTTGGTTCTCATGCAACAGTGTATTCAGCGGCGCATCATTGCTACTCAGTGCATGAAATCAGCAGGGTATGATCCTAACTATCTGAAGTGTTTGATTCAGAACGATCCAATCGTCGGCAAACACTTTTACGATAGTGTGAATCAATTTGTTCTCAGCACCAAGATGAAAGCCGCCGCAAGGAAGACCAACAAGCTCGGGTCGCTCTCTCAAACACTAGGCTATGTCCAAGTGAACACAGCTATGAACCCGGCCATCTCGTATCCTCACACAGCAGCTACTCAACCTACTGCACGAAGTCCTGGAAATGCTGTTCCCGAGACAAGGTATCCAGTGGTCCCTGGCCCATTCGAAGCTGATGGGAACGATCGATATGGAACATCGCTGCCCTATCCTAGTTCAGCGAATGTGCCAGTTTCAGCGCTCCAACCACAAATATCTGCTGCCCCTATGCACGCCGCTGCCTGGTCAGGCGACAATGGTCGTGATGATTATCATGACGACCAGCCAGGGCACTACCTGCCCCAGATGGGTAACATCAACTCAGGCTCAGTTCGAACTTATCGCCAAGGAGGGGAGCGCCAGCCACAACACAGAGAGCCAGGCGATACAGACCGTGGGGTGGGCCGTTCTGGTCCTCCAGCAAGTCACAATAGCCCACAACCCGGCCCTAATAACCCACAGCCAGGATATAATCACCCACAGCCAGGATATAACCACCCTCAGTCAGGATATAACCACCCGCAGATGCCACACCGGGAGCCAGGTGACACAGACCGCCAACCCACTTACGCTGATCACCAACAAGGCCAAAGTAATCCACATTATAACCAGCTTTCTGCGCGGACATACGCATCAACCTCCTCAGATCAGGGATTGCGAAGAGACTCACAGCCTACAGCTACAGTGACTTCAAATCCGCAGCGAGATGAGGACTATTTTAGTGGGATAACTCGACAAGCTGTGTCCAAGAGCACCCGCGTCTCTGGGAGGCAATTTGAAGACCCAGAGAAGCTGGACCGGAGATTTAAACTTCAGGATGGGAAAACATTCTTCACTCAGGGACGGGTATTCATGATGATGTATCCAGAGCCCAAAGGAAAGAACCCAAAGAGCTCAGACATCCTTGACACAGGGCCTGACAGTTCATTATCGGTCATTAAAGATCGTTACAAACAAGATGTCTTCACTCATGAAAAGCGATTTGTCGTAATTCGATGGCGCGAAGGTTACTGCCTCTGTGTGCCGATCAATTCATATCGAGATAGCGGCGTCGCCAAAAAAGGGATGCAACGGAGAGAAAAAGCAGCCCATGCTATCATATATGACAACAGCAAACGGCCAACAATGCCGATACTCCCGGGGGAAGAAGATATCGTTAAGAAACCTATTGCTGTGGATATGATTGGAAGTCACACGTTGACCAAGACAAGTCGCATCCATTTTGCGAAGATATACACCATTGAGTGGAATGTCAAGGTCATGGCAATCGGGAAGATTGCAGATAAGTCGACGGATCTCGTTGAGGAATACTGGAGGAAGGAATTGATCTATGGCGAGTCATGAGTTGCATTGGATTCCCGCCTACGTTATCAGACTCAGTCAGGTAACACTGACTCATTATCAGTCACCAAACGTTATTATCATCAACAAAAGAAAAGCCCTTAGCTTCTTTCTAACTTCGCAGGGGATGAGAGGGATCTTGCTGTCTACGGACTGTCCTCACGGTTTCCACCCATCTGCAGAGAATGTCTGGAAGTTGCAGGAAACTCTGGTACTAAACGCTGCTTTGCATTCCCTTCGAAAGTTTAGCATATCGACGATTTTCCAGTGTTCTTTTTAAATTTACAGCTATTTCTCGGCGAGCTTTTGGCTTTCGCAGCCCTGTTCTCCCCTTTGCAGGTCAGCCTTGCATGACTTGATTGGTGGTCCCGGGCGGAGACGAAACAGGCGGAATTCCAGGGCAAATCTCGTGTCCCCACGAATGGGGCCTTGTTGACAGAGGTTGACTCATATCTCCGCTCGGTACGCCACCCAGATTCAAGGTCATAATCTCCGATTGGATAGGAATCATACGTTAGCTTGACGCAGAGAGGGAGGAGACTAAGAGTGCACTAAACTGGGGTGCTGTACAAGCGTCATCTCCGCTTCCACGCTGTGATAGGCAACAACTCTAGTGCATGGGATCTCTTTGGGCAGGAGTACACGATTGAATTTGTTTCCTTGATTTAGCTCGCGCCTGCTTCATGTAATGACTGACGAATACTCACCTTTTCTGAACCTAAGATCTTCATCTTTACTTCATCTCTCATTTGTCAATGGGTCAAGAATTAGCCTGGCCACACCGCCCTCGTCACACAAGTCAGTGACCCAACTCGGCATCGTTCGCCACATATAATTGGTCAAGATTCGGAAAGGTGCCATGGTAGGCTTATGGCTAACATCCAACTGAAAAGCAGAAAGCAGGAAAAGCCGCCAGTCTTGTTCCATTCCCACAGCTGGGGGTTGAGAACGCCAGCCCAACCACCAGCACCCTTGCTGTCACTCAGCAGGGTCTCGAAGCTGTTGGGTATCATTCCCAGCCGATACGGAAGATCCTTCCCACCGAGGATCAATCTAGAGTCCCTCTTACGAGTCCATTGAGTAGGACTACCCCCAGAACGTGTGCTCGAGCGAGTGGATCTTCATATCTAGCGCAGCTGCAAGGTACTCTCTCCTCTCGCTTCCATCATTCTTGCTTGCCCATCATCCCAAGTTACTGTCATCCTGGAGACGAGCTAGAGAGAAGAAGACATCAACGATGAGCCTCAAGCCTTGCGACTGGTCAATACAGGCACCATGGGTCATGTGCCCGTCTTCCGCAGACATGGCTATCCCAGGGACCCCTGGCAATCTAGGCAGCACAGCCAGAACAAAAGTTCCAGATGAACTTGAAACACGGGTTGAATTCTCTCGCGAAACATTCGGAAAAGTTCACACCGGAATTACATCCCACACTAATAGCCCATCGCTTCCTCGTTGGATCGCAGTCTTCAGCAATCAGAACATGGGAACATAAGGGCGACCATACGGAGTAGATCTTGCGCCGAGCCCCTAAGAACGGCGGAAGTGGCTTCCCACTGATTTCGGTTACTAAGAATGAAGCGACCATAGAGAAACTTATGCGACTTCTCGGCGACGGGACTGAGATCTACTCACGCATAAGCCCTCAGCGGTGTCGAACCCAGTACTCGGTATCATCCGTGAGCTCTTTAGGCTTCTTAGGCCCACTGTTGCTGCTTACATGGGGTCCGAGTGGCCCAGGTGCCACTCGCAGCGATGAGCTGACGAGTAGGCACTTGACGGACAAGCTAGCACGAAGCATTTGCCCGACATTGGCACAAGGCCTCGGGAAGCTACTATTATTTGTCCAGACTGGGGAACTGGAGAGGAGAGTTCCGTTTCCAGCAGCCAGATACGTGTGATCTCTGAAGTACGCAAGACTTTGCTTTTTGAGAATCCATGGCTCCTGATTATCTAGTAGCTCTGCCACCTCACGATCGTGTCTGGTCGCCATTGGCTTCAAGATGTGCGTACATCACTGGATTTCGTTCGTGGCATCTTTCAAACCGCCGCACGACGGGAGTGTATTTCAAAGAACATTACCCGTGCCCGACATATGGTTGACCTCACTGCTGTTCCCCATTCACTTTCTGAGCATCACCGCATTGCTTAAATGCTAATTCGTAGCGTGGGATTCCGATGTTGTCCGATATTGCTCAAGTCTAGCGAACTGGACGAATATATCTGCAGTTGAAATGTCAACGTCCGAGGGTATCTGCAGGGCGCAGATTGAAATCCTCAACAACTGAATGCTCCGGTCAGCCATCAAGAGGCTCAAACAGCAGCATTGTCTCGAATCACGATATTGAGGCATTCAGCCCAAAAGTCGAGGCGACGGAGTCGCAAATACTGGGCACACTTATGGACTCCATTCCATTGCTGATGCTATATTCGTCTCACATTACGGGGCAACTAAGATTCTGCCCAACCAAGATGATACAGGTGGCCGTGAATCGTAATTATCGTGACGAAAACATGACGCCCCAAACCAAGACGCCATCCACTCCAACGAACCCAAGAAAAATTATCAACCCGCGCAGTCGGGCATCAACATCTACAACATGTCGTCCTTCAACTCGCCGTCGAGACTACCTCCATCCCCCAAGCCTCGGCCGCCTCCCAATTCACTGACCTCCGAACTCTCCCAGCAAACACTCGTCAAATCGAGCTGCCAGCGTTGGAACTGTTCTTCCAAGAATTCAATCGTAAGAGGTTTGGGCCAAGTCTTGAAGATGGACTCCGAGGCTGGGTCCTTCAGCATTGTTTCGTAAGACTTGAAGTGGACACGATGATGTGAGATGTTGTGCCAAGCATCGTCCATGTCGATGTGAAGCTGTGATCCCGAGAACAATTCAAATCTGGTACACCGTTAGCTTCAACCCGTAAATTGGTACTTTGTCCTTCAGGGCAGTGATCCATCATCATATCGGAATGAGCCATGGGAGTGGCGTAGCCTAGGTCCCGGATATGTCTCCCCCGCAAAGTGACTTACCCAATGTAGACACCAGCGGCACTTCCGAGACTAATAATCTTTGCACCGGGAGAAGTCTTGACCAAGTGGTAAATCTCGCAGTACGGCAGCAAATCCTGATGTCCCGGTAGATTGGGGAACAAGGGAAATTTCAACTACTGAATGTTAGTCCTTCCCGGTACCCCACAAGAATCGAAAATAAGTTAAGCTACTTAGTCAATGCTTACAAAGTGAAGATCCCTTGCCTTGTTCTCCTCGTTCTTAATCTCCCAGAAATGACGAAGCACGATCTGATCAGTCCTCGACAAATTCCCCACCGAATTCGACGGCAACGCCGTGATGGGATAATTCGTCGGAGGCCGATTGGCGAAGTCGAAGCTGGAGCTGGTGTTAACCGAGACAGGTCTCGAGTGCTGGGAGCCATGCTGGGAGGAATTCGTGGTTCCATTTGGGAGCATCATGGGCGCGTGGCTGAGAGGCGGTGTATATGAAGTTGGCGGTGAGTGTGGGAGGCGATCACGGTCACGATCACGCTCGCTTCGCTCGTTAGTAGCACGGTCGTTGTCGCGGTGGACTGATCCAGATCGGGAAAATCGTCGCATGTTGAACAGTGATGGCATATTATGAGGAAGAAGAAAGAAGAGAAGGAAGGGAATGAGAATTAGTCTAGAGCTGGGAGTCTAGCGAGATGCGAATCGGGCCAAGCGAGTGACTGTTGGAAATTGGTGTTGGTGGACTGCCTCGATGCGAAATAATAAAGATGGAGGTTGGAAGTTCCCCATCATCATCAAGTTTGGCGTTGAGATGGACCATGAGAAACGGTGAATCTTTAATGCGGATGTGTGACTTTTGATTTGCGCGGATCGGAAAATAGTGTCCGGAGTGGCTTCCATGCCTTACTCTTTGAGGTTAGCTGCCAGACAGTCCGTCCGGAAATACATCAACTTTTTTCCGGGGCTTCAATCTTAAACTTTGGATTTATTCCAACCGCCCCACGTCACCATCTGGAAATCCACCGCAGACTGGCTGCGGACTCCGAAGGAGGGCGAGCGCATGTCTTTGTCCGGCAGTAGAAACTGGTTGGTCACAACATTGGAGTGATTGACCAAGCTGCCTTGGAAAGAGTTGTTCATCGCGTCCATCTGCCACTAAGTTCTTATCAAGAAACAGTTTAGGATGGACATTACGATCACAAGTAGCCTCACAATTGGTCTTGAACTACAATGCTCGATCTCGTTCAAACACTGAGTGTGATCCAAGAATGATGGGGGCAAAGCCAAGTGAGGCGCAAAACGCTTCCACTGCGACTTTAAATCCTATATTGAAGCTAAACCTCAATCCTCTGCATGAGATTGGGGTATACTTGCGCCTATCGATCATTCCAGCTAGGTGTACGCGCGACAGATCGCTTCTTGTCGATGTGCCCCATCTTTGGTACACTGAAACATCAGGTGGGTCTCTGCAAAAAACTGAATAAACCACCCATTTCGCCATTCCGTGCCTCGTACTCGGTACTCTGGACTTGGAAATCATATCAGACTATCGAATCGGCCACTCGATTTTTCCAGTGCATGGAAGAATTGTGCACTGTTCTCCCTCAGGTTCTATGGCTCTCATACGCCGGAAGCTCTGGAACGTATGGTGTTCCCCTCAGCTCTGCTGCCATATGGCCTGTAGCCAACTCTGGCGGCGGTTGAACGGGCTGCTGCTCTGGAATGCCCGTATCGGTCTTGGTATCATGGGTCACAGTGGTTGAATGCCGCCCCTGTCTGCGCCTTCTTGCGAGGAACCAGATACCCAGCACTAGGACTGAAATTCCAGCCACGCCACCGACCACGATACCACCAATTGCACCACCGCTCAATCCATTGTTGTGATTCACTTGTGGTGTGCTTGTGTTACTTGCCTCCCCAGCTATGGCGGTGTTTGTCGTAGCACTCGAAGATGTGGAAAAAGCGCTTTGACTTATGGTATCTTGAGCGCTTGTTGTTGAGGTGCTCTGGGTGGTCGGAGTCGATGTGGCCGAAGTCATGGAGGAAGTTGAAATCGAAGAGGCAACTGCAGCTAGAGCAACCGCATCGAAATACAAATAGGTAGCTGATGGTTGTGCAAGGCTGAGTGACGTGTAAGTCTCGTTGAGAGTCGATCGACTGATGTCATTCAGCAAGTTGTTCAGCGTACTCAAGCATGCGTTATCTCGAGATTGATCGCACCGCTCCCTAATACTCTCCAATGTGAGTTAAGATCACCCGTCACGAACAACCCGAACTGCGGCAACACTGACCTTCCAGCGATGCAATCCCATGTTGCAGTCTTTCCTTGACATTTGAATGTTGTACTATCCGCGACAGCTATGTCGGCCCAACAAACATCGGTCTGGTCGCAGCAGAATGTTCGGACCGTCTGAGGGTCTCGTGCACAAGCGCTCCCAGCAGGATCACATCCGTACAGGAGAGTATCATCGCACTGAAAGTTCGTAAGCTGCGTTGTGAATTTCCATCCGTCAAGGCTGTTTGCCATCGCCAGTACCAGAATAGGAACGACGTTATGATAGAACGAGATGAGTCTGGACTATTTCCTTGAACCCGAAAGTCTTGTAATGCAAACCCAACAAGTTTCGCACCCGCACGTGCCAACACAGCTTCCCAAGCCCTTTTGGGCTGGATAACACTGCTCCTGCTAACCAGGCCAATTCCATTGCCATTGCTTGCCCACGCTGGCTCATGAATGGCTGGTGGAGAAATGGATGGCTTCTTGGTAGCAATCGTCTACCTCGTCTACTGTCCTAATAGGTATGGCGTGCAGCATGATAGGGTCTTTCTTGCTACCGCCGTTCCTCTAGCAGACGAGCCTCCCTTCGAATCCTGGTAGGTCCTTCATGCAGAGTCCTTTTCACAGAGTTGGAAGTCAGCCCGCCGCCAGTGCCAAATCAGGCCTGGAACCGCGATGAAAGGCAGCTTCCTCATAGGTTCGGTTCTCCCTTGGCGACTGCCTTACCATTACTCTACTTGGTCGCCTCTGATAATTGGCGGTTGGCCTAATCAGTGCGAGTCGCACGCGGGTTCATTGATCTTGGATCCGAATCTTCGTCGAATTCGTCAAGATGGAGTCCAAGATGTGCAACATCTCAGCAATCACTCCGCATTCAAAGGCCATATTTTCGAGGACGAGTCGTGCAGGTCGTGCAAGCGCCTGGAATCTCTGAACACTGAATCAGCCACATAATGAGTTCCGCGTTCATCTCGCAGGCAGCGTACGCCCGGAACAACGGCTGGGAGACCCACAGAGAGCGCATCACCGAGCTTTATTGCAAAAATGGTATGCCATTGAAGAAAGTCATGCATAGCATGAAGGAGGATTATTCCTTCGTCGCAAAGTAAGAAATACGAGCGTATCCGAACATTTGTGAATGCCGGCTCACTATTAACTCTGTTTCGATGTTAGTGAACGTATGTACAAGACACGGATCAAAAGGTGGCGACTGAAGAAGAACATCAGAGCGGACGAGGTAGCTAAAACGGTCCACTCTGGTCTTGCTCCTCGCCCGAACGGCAAAGCGTCTTTGCCAATGGTCCAATATCGACATATGACATGGTCAGACGTGGAGAAGGAACTCAAACGCAACCCCAACATTGTAGCCAAATTGGACAGTGGCTGCATACTCCAGATTGCACATATCGACGGAGACATTGTTCAAACGCCTCCGATTCCTCTTACCCGCGTCTGGCCAGCAATATCTCCTGCGATCTCGCTCGATGGCGCCGCAGAAGCACGTATCCCAGATGAGATACTCCGCCTGACGCGCGACTACTGCATTGGCGCTGTGGAAAGCGGGACATGGCGCCAACGCCCATCTGGACAAGGCAATTACGAGTCAAGCCGCGGTGGGGTCACAGCCTACAAACGCCTACAACACTGGGGTGAAAAGATGAAACTCGCGAGGCATTTGATAGGCAGTACCGAGCTGGACAGAGGGTTTCGGTTGCTCAACTTCCTACTGGACAAACTCTCATCCCTGTTAAAGGACGAAGATCCTTCTCTTCTGCTTCACCTCGTCCAAATCCTGTGCATCTTGCGCTCTGTCCCAGTTGACTTGCGGGATATTTTGTACAGACACTTTCAAGCATTGACTCGTGCGACATGGAAGCAAAAGCATCCCTTAATCCTCCTCGTGGATAAATTGGTCACCCTAATGCAACTCAGCCCACCTTATATGACTACTGCGTTACCTCTCCGATGGATGTCAGACAGTCTCGATCCATGCTACGACACCAAACTTTTCTATTTGAACTATGTCAGCGGCTTGTGGACCCCCCCTCCAGAACAAATGATTCATGAGGGCAGCATTCTTCGTCAGGTTGTATTGAGGTTTCAAGCCAATTTGGACCCTCATCGTTCGATATTTTACTTCAATCATCTTACTGTTGCGCTTGGTATGATGATCGAGCGAGAGAGGCTCTGGCAGGCCAGTCATGTGGTCGATGCCGTTGTCCACCGCATCAACACAACAAATAATGGGACGCACATCAAAATTCTTGCTGAGTGGTTCCAGCTTTTCAACCGTGTCAGGATCCTAGGCGCCATGGGTCGCGGTGATCAGGCGCTTTCAGTGGCATGGCAGTTGTATGAGTATAGCGAGTCAATCTATGGACACTACCATCGATTGACTCTAGAAGCCTTGGAGTTGTACTGGGATAGCAAAGCCGAGAACAAGCAGAGGGAGCCTACCGATGAGCTCCATCAAAATTGGAACGGTATCGTGGAAAGGCTGGTAGAGTTGGCACTCGATGATGAATGATGTTTGCGATGCCTTTTCAATACTTGCAGCCGGTTGCAATAGGGTTCGAAAGGTGGTATGATTCATTCTCCGCAAATGAAGTAGCCATCTTGGCTGTCAACAGCAACCAGGATCGCTAGGCAGTGGATCCGTGGAGCAGCAATTGGCCTTTGAACCGCAAACACCAGAGACCAGGGATCAGTTTCTCAATTCCGATGGGAGATTAAGGTCAGGAGAGGGACTATCATGTATTTTCGCATTTCAGGTCGGATTTGGACAGCCTTCTGAACTTGTTCTAGTGCCCGGAGTTCTATCTCACCGTCTCGAGATCCACCAATCACACATGGCCTTGGCCATCAGTATTGTGGCAGCCTGGTTTGAACATGCCGTCAGCTCTCGAGCACAGCCAATTGTGAAGCAATTCCCAAAACCTAGGAAATGATGGTCCTTTCGTCATGCCGACTGACGAGGCTGACCGGAAAGGTGGCTTGGTGATTGGTGCTGTCAGCTTTTCCAGCCTCATCTCCCATCGGATCAATTTATCCCGACTCTCGGGTAATGAATACTAAGTTTTCAACATCCTTCGAGATATAAGACAAGCCTAGGTTCCTAAGTTCTTCTAAAGGCGAATCGATCTTTCACTCTCCTCGTCAGTATTTTCCAGCAAAATGGCAACCTCGAGTACGAAAGCAACTTCACTACGGGTCGGAGTGCTCGTCATTCCTCCAGTCCAACTTCTCGATCTATCCCCAATTGACCTATTCGGGATGTGCAGCCCAGAATATCTCGAAGTCACATCTCTTCCAAGACCTCTTCTTGAACTCGCCATTCCAGTCACAATCCACTACATCTCCGCGTCGGGACCGGACTCCAATGTTCAGCTGACAGCCAATGCACAGATCCGCGCAACAGCGTCTTTGACGTCTCCGGAAGTTCAGCCTGGCGAGCTGGATACACTGTTACTTCCTGGTCCCGACCCTAATCTAGTTCCTGATCAACAATATCTGGACTTCTTGCGAGCACATGAGAAAGCTGGGAAGACTGATATTCTTGTGATATGTACAGGAAGCTATGCAGCCGGTTATGCTGGGATTTTGAATGGAAAGCGAGTGTCTGGACCACGAGGACTCCTGCCAGACTTGAAGAAGAAGTTTCCAGAGGCCAAGTATGTGGAGCGGAGATATGAGACGGATGGGCGACTATGGTCTGCAGGTATGTTTGCTTACGCCATCTTTCTGCAGTCTTGGTCAATGGGAATCTTACACGGACTTTGATAGGTGGTATCACAAATGGCCTGGACCTTACCGGCGCGTACCTTCGTTACAAAGTCCAACGGGAACTAGCAGACCTAGTCTGTGCCATGGCAGATGTTGACGACCGCGGGCAAGACTACGACACTGGAAAAGCGGGCAATACGCTATGGTGGATTTGGCTGATCCTGAAGTCAGCCATCAAGGGAAGCAAAGCAGAGAAGCCTAAGAAGCCATGATTGACCGGATGTCCTTGGCTTTTTGTCACTGATATTAGCCGCATGGTAGTCAGTATCATTACTCAGATTATACCCCGTGAATGAGGCAAGAACTAGAGCAACATCACCATGTACCATAGGACTGAACCTACACCGGCTCCTTGATGATTGACGTTCTTCGCTTAAACTAATCGCGAATTTCAGATTGGAATGCTTCGACCAATAAGAAATACAAATGGACTCAGATGTAGCAGTAAACGAGGACAGTGGAAGATTTTTCTTGTAGTACCATTCTACAACCTTCTACGAGGGTGGTGATGCCTTTGTAGAGGGATCTGTAGAGCGACAAGCGGCTCCTTACGCTTGACTAAGGCGGAGGATAAGGCAGTACGGTGGAGCACAAAATCATGATGGCAATAAAGAACCTGCCTTTATCACATCTCGTCAACCCAATTACCCCAGACAGATTGAGGATTCCAGATTCAGGTTGATATCTTACCTTCTATATGATGTCCTGCACGCTCGTTGATACACTCTGGCGATACAGCTGCACTCGAGCCCCGGATATTGCGACAGCACAAAGCTAGCCTCGCGTCCCGGTCGCCCAATTCTTCGCCTAATAACCCGAGACATCGGGCCAAGACGTCTCAATGCCTTCTGATAGAAGGATCTGGTGAAATTGATCGAAGAGATCTTTCTTTCCTTGTACCTCTTGTGGATGGAAACCCGTATCCAAGCAGTGCGCTGCCAACAACCCAGCAGCCTCGCCAATGTTCCATTCCACCGGATGCAGACGATAGCACCCATTCGTGATATGCGTGGTGCCAATGTTCTTGCAGCCGGCGAGGAGATTACTCCGTTGCTGTGGGATGAGTGCCCCGAGAGGAATCTGAAACGGACAGCATGCGACATCGATATAACTGTCTCCACCAGTGGAAGGGTGTAGGTCGATTCGGTACATGCCGACGCCAACGCTATCGGGGTACTGCACAGCTCCCTTGTCGCCACGTACTTCCAATGACAAGTCTTGCTCCAGGATCGTCGTAAGGGCTTTGATACGCCGGCTTTCCCGAATATACGGCGCCATGGCAAGTCCATGCTCAGTACCCATGACGTCGCCTCGAAGTCGCAGACCCGGATAGCCTTTGCCGCTCCCGTCTGCTCGTGGACATTCAGTTTGAAGGTAGTAGAGCATGCTGTAGGATAGCGAGGCCGCTCCGGTAAGCCGCTCTTCAAAGTCACGCTCGGGGACGTCGATTATGGGCTGCTCAAAGTAGTCGATCATTGGCCAATTCACTAGGCAGATGTCGGACTGATAGGCTCCTGGTTTGAAGTTGTCGCGGGCTGCGATACGGCGGAAGGTCCACAAGTTCATGTCTCCGCCAGACCGCCGTTGGTCGGCGAAGACCAGTGCAGGGTCGTCATTAGGGTTAGGCGTGAATTCACGCTCAACTAGTTCCAGCGTTCGTGGATGCGGCGCAACCAGGCCAAGGAGAGGTGCACCCCAGAAGGCGGGTTGGCATTTGCGCCAATAGTCGTATGTCGCTGGCTTGGGAATGGTATGATTTTCCCCTTCAGTGTGATCGACGGCGAAGCAGATGGAAACAGCTTGCGAGTTGTCTGGCTGGGCTTCTTCAGGTGCGCTCGGCTCACCAGTTTCTTTCCTGGATTCGAAACCTGTCACGTACGGAGTATTGCTCATTGGAAGCAGGTCTCCTAATTCCGTCGCATCAATCACGTAGTCCCCCTGGACTGTGAATGTGGTCCCAGTGTCGAGATGGCGGAACTCGACCGCACGAATCTGGCTGCCTTCCATCCGACATGAGATCGGCTTCGTCCGCCTCTTGATCAAAAGCTGCCTCGAGCCAAGGAATGGTGATAGCATAGCATCGATTACAGCTACAGCAACGCGAGGCTCATGACAGAGTTTGCTGACATGCCCAGCACCAGGATTGAGCTGCGGTCGTTTTCTGGCTTCCTCCGTCAGGGGATAATGATCACGGTAGTATTGCCGAATGCCATCACGCAATGCTCGATAAGAACGAGTGACGCCAAACTGCTCGACCCAGGTATGTTCGTCAGGTGGGACAGCCTGGCTGGTCAATTGACCTCCTAACCATTCGTACTCCTCGGTCAGGACGACTCGTCGTCCTCTGCGCAAAGCGCCTAACGCAGCAGCCACTCCACCCAGACCACCACCCACTACCAGTACATCGGTCGAAAATAATTGCGTATTCAAGTATTGCTTATGCCATGTTGCAGCGAATCTTGATTCACTAGACAAAGTGAGGTCCGGTCGTGCCTCTGACTCTATGTGGCCTAAATCACCCATGGTCGTCAATGTCGACAATGGACCGATGCAAAAGATTTTAGAGATATATTCAAGATTGAATGAAAATGAACGACTGGCGAAAAGGCTCACACCATGGTCTAGTCACCTTTAAGTGGCATTTCATGTTATGAGTGCGCTGTATTTGTGCCGGTCTAAAAATCTATTTCGCGACGATCAGCTTTGTCGCATTACATTCTTCCCGAGACTCCCCGGAGTAGCCTCGAGATCTCTGGGCATTTCTCAACGGCCTTGAGGGTTAACGAGGCCCCTTCCCCTTAGCAGGTAGTGTCGTTTTTTAGCTGCGGGGTAGGATGGGGAACCGAACGCAAGCCCGGAGGACCTTGTAGCACCACCGAGCGTCCCCGAACCCTGCTTAAGTATCTTCTAACCTACAACTGCGAGTTTCGCCTTCGACCGCTTCGCGACTTCGATCATATGCTTACAGCCTATGATGTCTGATCACGAATCAGGACGAATTGAGACTTGCAATCCGTCAACTGGCGCCAAACGTGCACGACCATTACAAGGTGACTCTCGCTACCCACGGAAAAGGAGCCTCAAAGCATGCCATGTCTGTCGTTCAAGGAAAACCAAATGCGATAATGTCCAACCTACCTGTGGCTTCTGTGCATCTCTGCAAATCCGTTGCTCATACGATGAAACCGATAAGGATCATTCCTCGTGAGCTGTTCTGTTACCGTGTCACAGTTACCACCACTAAATCATTGTCAGCTTTGACCCTGCGACCATAGAAATACTTAGACAGCTTGGAAAAATAACCGAGTCTCAAAATGATATTCTGCACGCAGTCCGCGACTTTTCCAACTCAAGTACACGACAATTAGACTCGGAGATTCCACCATCCACTCCGGGCTTTCCTCGTTCCCCAGAGGTAAGAAGGAACGTAAGCCAGAATGATCTAGGAGCGATACCTGAACAATTCCACGATACACCCTATGACTGGGTTGGGTTGCAACCCGACTCAGTGGCGTCAACGTCGGCTGTGTCTGCGAATATTGCTGCCGCAAGATGGTTCGACGTCTTGACGAATGACGCTCCTCGCGAGGCTCTGTTCGAGTCATTTATCATACCTGATCAGCATTCTAATGCCCTTGATCTCCCTAGCAGTAATGGCGACAACGACTTAAGTCCATTGCAACGTGCAACCAGAATCGTCGACAATTGTCCTCCAAGGCTGGAAAGATCTGAGGAATTCTACGGGCCTGGGGATGTCAACGCTTCTTTTGGGGACAGCCTCACATGGCAAGCATCCGAGAGCATATCACTGCTCAGAGAAGAGCAGGTCCTGTTTGAAAATTTTCTGCACGGTATCAGTTCTTGGGTATGCTTATCTCCATGAAAGATTGGTATGCGGCTACTGAAAATCAATCTTAGTTTGAGCCTTTTGACCTTGCTCGTACTTTTTCGACACGGGTGCCTCACCTGGCCATCAGGAATGCAGGTTTGTTGAACGCCATATTGGCATTATCTTCGTATCATGTATCGCTCAAGGAAGCCATGGATTCGGAGCGGCGGACGGAGCAACGTACTGCATTGCAATATTACTACCAAACACTTCATTACGTTCAGAAAGCAATGCAGTATTCTTCCTATCGCAACAGCCTAGAGCTAATGGCAACAACCATGATTGTTTCAACCTATGAAATGCTTCATGGTTCCTCCAATGATTGGCAAAGGCATTTACGAGGAGTCTTCGGAATTCTTCGGTCTCGACAAATCGAAGTTGAAATTTCAAGTCTCGAGAGCACGACCTGGTGGGCGTGGTTGCAACAAGATATATGGGTGGCTTTTCGCGAAAAGCGCCGGACGTACAGTACCTGGAAGCCCAAAAAGACGTGCTCAGAGCTTCGAAGCGATGAACTCGCGGCACGAGCACTTTGGAACCTGGCTCAAGTCGTTAACTTTTGTGCTCTGGAGTCTACCATTCAAGCAGATGTTCTGTTTCAAGAGCGCCGCGACTGGGCAGATCAACTCAAGGGCATGCTGCGAGAATGGCAATCGTGTCTTACAGTTGAGTTCTCCTCTTTGCCAGCCATGAATCGAGACAACTCTGGAGTGTTCGAGCCCCACCTGATACATCCTCAGTCCTATGGTAACCTCTACTTACGTACGCGACGACAATGCTTGTGCTAATATCATCACAAGGTTTGGCAATGCAGGTTTTCCACGTGTCCCAGATACTCATCTACGCGAACGAGCCGTGCTCAGGAGGGGTCGTTGGGTTTCTCAAACGGCAATCCTTGATTCAGAACAGCGTGGAGATGGTCTGCGGGATTGGGCTCACTCTCACGGACAACGCATCGAGTATACTAGCTTCACAGTGTGTGTTTATAGGTAAGGTCATACAATTTCAGAGCCACGTCACCACTGATCAATAACTCCCTTCGCAGCAGGACTATTTACCCAGCAACCCCAACAGAGGATTCGTATCTTGGAGCTGCTTGATGTGTATCGCAGACGGTGTACTTGGCCTTTGACATCTCTATCATCGGAATTAGAACAAATCTGGAAAGAACCTGACAGATTATGGGACAGTATGCAGGAGAATTAAAATAATGAAGCTAGAACCGCTCCTCAGGCGCGTTGATATACTTTCCGCGTAACATGTACAACAAGGCATTAAGAAGTTTCAAGTCCCCCATTTGAGATAATTAATGCTTGACTGAAAAATACTCGAATTACAAACTCTGAGTGATTTCATTCTCCTTTAATGTTCTGGCACTGTTCTCCAGGGCACGTTGCCAGCCATCGTTTCTACTACCGACACTCCCCGAACCCTACACGCCAAGACAGCTCGTCCTCGGCACAGAACAAACTCAGCAGTGATGACGCCTCGTTACCGAGACTCCCCGACGACGGAAAAGCCTTGCACTACCTACCCCTGCCGCATCTGTTCACGGGGACGTTTGGCGGCGACCTACTTTCGCGCATTATCGAGTTTTCAATCTTAGCTAGACACATGCAACTCAGGTTGTATACAACACGCCACATGATGCTCGACCACTACCACAAGGTATAATAATCTGGATCCGTCCTGTACGCTTCGAAATGTTTTCTAGTCCACGTGGTAAACCGTGAAGTCTAGTATCAGAAAAGTTAGGATCATCCAAACAGGCGCGATGACTATCTATGGCGTCTTGCGACGCATTGTTCGAAACGATGCGATTCGTGTTGACCCTCCAGAGATATACAACTGGCGTGTCCTGGCACTTGCTGCCTCTGTGAGTACAACCAATCCAGGTCCCAGATCTTCCGGTGCTCCCAGGAGGCTTAAAGCATTGAATCCCCGAAATATCAAAAGTGTGCTAACACCTTCTTAAGGCATGTTGTGCAGGAACCATGTTTGGAGTAGATGCTGGGATCATCGGCGGCGTTCTTGCGATGCCTGGTTTCAAAAGGTATATCTCTATCACTCCATCTACCTACACATCAAAAACTTGGATGGTGCTGATTCTGCAACGTCAGAGAGTTCGGACTCGACAAACTTCCCCCCAGTGCTGCAGCCAATCTCTCTGGCAACCTTGTTACCACCATGCAAGCTGGTGCGATTGCAGGTGCGTTGGTCTCAAGTCCACTGGCAGACCGAAAGGGCAGGAAGTTCTCACTGCTCGCCGTGGCTGTGACTGGCATAATTGGTGGATTGATGCAAGGCCTGTCATATGGACACCTTCCTGCCTTCTACATTGGACGGTGAGCTTGCGAGTGAATCTATTCTACGAATGAAATCGAATAGCTGACGGCGGAGTTCTAGCTTTATTGAAGGCCTCGGTCTTGGTGCTGGCACCATGCTTGCTCCTACTTACGTCTCCGAGAACTCTCCTCGCGCTATTCGTGGCTTCTTGGTCGGATTCTTCCAATTATTGTTAGACGCAGGTGGCATGATCGCTTATTTCATTAACTACGGCTCTCTGTTGCACTTTACAGTAGGAACAGCATTCGAGTGCAGGAAATTTTGCATTTGCTAACTTACTTTACCTTGTAGGGTAAGGCTACCTGGATGGTTCCACTCATGTGCCAGTCCCTCGCTCCAGCATTGCTCCTCATTACAATGCTCTTCTGCCCAGAATCGCCTCGCTGGCTCGCATCTCAAGATAAGTGGGATGAAGCCACAAATGTATTAGCAGATGTACGCCACCTGCCTCGAGAGCACGCATATCTTCAGCAAGAACTGCTCGAACTTCGCGTCCAGCTGGATCAGGAGAAAATAGTCATGGGCAACACAGGATTCTGGGCTTTACAGAAAGAATGTTGGACGGTTGCAGGCAACCGAAAGCGCGCGTTGCTTACCATCCTCATTCTTGTTTTTAATCAGTGGACTGGAGTGAGTATATCATGAACTTGACCTATGCCTTCATCTTCGGCACATTCTCAGAGACTGACAATGTTCTTAGACTGGAGCCATCAACTACTATGCACCAACCATTTTTCGTAATCTTGGTCTCTCAAGCACGACAACTGCTCTTTTTGCGCAGGGAGTCTACGGAATTGTCAAAACTACTGGTGCACTGATATTCGTGCTCTTCCTTGCCGATTCGTTGGGCCGCCGAATCTCTTTCATGTGGAGTGGTGCTGTACAGGCATTTTGCATGCTATATCTAGGTTTTGTGAGTGAAGCCATAGCCACTAGTCGACCATTTGCTAACCGACGCAGTATGTCCGGTTTGGACCTGATTTGGGTAACAAACAGACACCGCCACCATCCGGTATCGCCGCGTTAGCCATGGTCTACATCTTCGCCGCAGCTTTCAACGCTGGCTGGGGCCCAGTCGCATGGGTCTACGTATCTGAGATCCCGAGTAACCGGCTCAGGGCTTACAATGTGGCATTGGCTTCATTCACCCACTGGGTTATGAATCTGACCGTCTCCAAGACAACACCGGTGATGCTGCTTTCCACTCCGTACAAGACATACTTCATCTTCGGCTCCATCAATGTGGTCATGGCCATCACAGCATTTTGGATTCCGGAGACTAAGGGAGTAAGTCCTCGAGGTTCCGCTTGGCCCTATTCCGCAATTCTGACCACACACAGATATCTCTCGAACGTATGGACGAGCTTTTTGGCACTGCGGATTTGTCAAATATCGAAGACGTTGGTGTCGCTGCCCAGCAGGCCAAGCAAGAGGAAATGGCCATTGAAACCGAAAATGTGCATGCGAATAAGGTCTGATAGTGCTTGCCTATGCTGGAGGCCGCCATAGTTAGTGCTCTGAAGCAAAGTGCCCGGACATGCATTCGATGACGATCAGTAGTCCTGTCCAAGATGGGACACTACCAAGCGGGACGAAAATTATGCCACGGAGGCTGATGCTCGACGCCTTCAGACTAGTGAATATCTGGGTCTACACCCTATCATTCTTTGAGCAGTGAACTAAACCTGCCGTATGAGTCAAAAGAGAACTCACCTTGTAAGGACTTGAAGAGAGAACCACGCATACTTGAGGTCCGGTTAAGTTTAAATGAACCTAATAAATTTAGCAGTCGATATACTTGAGGGATCCTCCCGATAACAGGGGAAGCCTGGAAATTGTGGCCACCAGAAAGCTATGGTTCTCGCGATGCCTTTCAACTCTAGAATCTTGGCATTCCGTACGTGCTCAACTAGAAGAATTGATTCATAGGGAACGGTGCCGGACCTAAGTCTTGGAAAATGCTTGCCGCGATATCTTCCTGTGGGACGCAAGACCATTGACTTTGCAGGCCTGTCACAGGCATGGCTGAATATGCCAACGACCTGCGGTCTCGAAGGTTCTTGTCAATTGCCACCCGGCGTAATCCATCGCCGTGCTTTTTAGAATCTGGATTGAGGCCCAGGGCCCGTGGAATAGCCATATAGCCTGAGATATCGGATTCAAACTCCGGGAACTGATCAAACATGTCCTTGCAAAGAGTGAATGAGGAGAGGTCGTCCAATTGGCGGCGGAATAATGTAGAGAGCTCATATCTATCCGTCATTCGATTGTGCACATAACAGTCTCGAAGATCGTAAGGCCAGGCGAAGCGGAAATGCTGTGCTAATAGCGACCAGAAATGGTTGGAACAGTATTTGTGTTGGTGGTATATGAATCGCTCGCGGAGGCCAGGCCTGGAAGGAGAACGATCAGTCATCGCTTTGAAGGAATAAGTTTTGAGTTTCGAGGGTTCTGGATTCCCTCCATCACCTACCACACGAAAAAGTCGATCGCATAGGCGTGTTTCTGAGCCACTTGCGATGGTCTAAAAAATCAGTTAGCCATGTCATTATTGGAAGCCGACAAGCTATGGGCTCGATATGATAATTACCTAGGCCGGTACCAAGGGGGTAGTTTCGAAAGATTTTCTTCCGTGGGGTTCAGATGGCACTATAAGAAATCTGGTCAATCGTGAGCGAAATTACTCATATGCTCTCTCCTCACCTGCAGTAGCATGTTCATGATACTCAAGACCGCCAAGCGATCGACAGGGCGGGATTTCGCCCATACTTTCTGATCGACTCCCTGTAAGATTCGCCACGAGGCGCTCAACTTGCCCAGAGATAGATCATTCCAGCCCTGTGTCACAGCGCGCACCGCAATGTCATCGTGGTTTTCGCCACCAATGAGCTGATTCTCGGGACAGCTATGGGCTTTCCAGCCCATCAATGTTTCACTCATGGTCGACCATAAATTGGGGGTTCCAGGTTGATTCTGGTGCACACAATCGCACGTAAGCCCACTTTCTGGAAATGAGAGCTCGATGGAAGCGGCGCTTGGTGTGTCAAAGTGGAGATCATCCATAGCGTCCAGTTTCGGAGGTGCTGTGACATTTAAGCTTGCCTCATCGTATATGCCATCAAAATAATCTAAAGCTGGCGATTCGGAATTTGTGAAATCGAAGTCGGCCTCTCTCTGCCTGGTATATTCGCTCCTCTCTAGTCGACCCTCAAGTCCCTTGACGATCTCCCAGTCGACCGTGGGAGATTTGTCTTCGATGTTCGCAGACTCCGGGGGGAAATCGGTATAGTCTAACAAAAAGAAGCGTTAGCCTACTGAACAGAAGTTCGTACAATTTTGTTTCGGAACATACCATCTTGGTCAGTGTCTCGATTTACACTGGAAGTTTCGGTGCCGTTGATCTGAGCAATCGAAAGGATCGTTGCCAGTTTTTGTTTGAGAGATCTACACTCGGCACGACTTTCTTCGAGCTGCTGTTTCAATTCTCCATAGACCTCATTGCCCGAAAGACTCGTCAGGTGCGTGACCAGAGACTCTAGCTCGGCGATCTTGTTCTTATTGCGTGCCCGTGCTTCACGCTGACAGATTCGATCAGCAATCCGTTTCTTCTCACGACGTTTATCGCTCATTTGACTGGATCTCTTGCTGGCTTGACGCACACCGGCAGGTGCCTGCTTGTGTGGTGCCTCACTTGAGATGGTTTCCATTGCTGATAGATTGCACCGGCCTAGTCTGGCCGATGCCTGAGGAAGATAAGCCAAAAAAAAAAAGAAACAGTGAAAGGAAGGATCTGTTCTTGGAGGTTTTCATGCAGGGTTGCCCTCCACAAAGTTCGCAAGGCGGGGTGGCCTCGGCGTCAAAGCAACTCGGCTTGCTGTACCGACGAGCCGAGTACCACATATTGGGCGCAAAGGGTGGCTAAGCCACCTTACTCGTTGCCCTCTGATCTTGACGAGAGACATCTCACTTCCTGGAATGATTCTACCCACGGTTGTGTATAATATAAATGCTTTCCATGATAATTCCCAGGGTTTTTATTCTTACAGGTTTTGCATGTGATCAATAACTGGTGCAGAAGACGACCATGCCCATTCTCACTAACAAGACGATCTACAGCTTTTCAATTCGTTCCACATACTCAAACAACTCTGTCACTGGCATATCCCACGCCTTCGCTAATTGATGGTGCCTCTTCTTATACCCAAGATGCTTTAGCCTGGCTTGCGCTGCTGTTTTCAGCTGATCTCGGCCAACTTGATGTCTATGTGCAGCATCTGGGCCATCTGCGATCCGAACAAATCTAGCATATGTCCACTGCACGTCGTTGTTAGTAGGGGTGTGAGAGATTTTGGAACACCAATTCTGTGCGGCGGGGCAGATCTTACAGCTTCCGGGAGAAATGTGTGCTGCGTGAGGCCTTGACCACCAAGCAGCTGCATACATTCGTCGATGACCTTGGCCACTCCAATAGGCACCATGACCTTTGCCTGCGCAATTGCATATCTCCCCGCGACATTTCCCATCAGGTCCATTGTTTCTGCGGCATTCAAGACCACGAGTCGTAGAGCATCTAGTTCCATGCGCATATCGGCAATCCTTTCGATGTTGCTATCAAATTCACCGATCAACTTACCCCGAGGTTTCTTTCGCGTGTCGGTGGCTCTGATTAGTGCATGCTCATAGGCACGCTCACCTTGGCCTAATAGTCTCATACTGAAATATCTCAGTCTCCACAAAGCTTGTGTAGAAGGAGGGCCTTACCAATGGTGTATTCTTCCAGGTCCCAATCGGCCTTGGGCGATCTCAAATGCTCTGCCCTCTCCCAAGATAATGTTCTCCACAGGAATCCTCACATTCTCATACACATACTCTCCATGTCCCTCAGGGGCACAGTCGAATCCCATGATTGTCATGTATCGAACCATCTTCAATCCTGGAGCATCCCTGGGCACAATCACAGTCGAGTGTCGTTTCCACGGGTCAGCGTTGTCTGGATCAGAACAGCCCATGAGTATATAGAATTTCACATCCTCATTGGCTAATGAGTTGCCATACAATTTCCGGCCATTGATGACATACTCATTTCCCTCCCGCCGGATCCGACAGCTGATGTTTGTCGCGTCAGAAGCAGCAACATCTGGCTCTGTCATCGAGTATGCGGAAGACCATTCTCCGTCAAGAAGAGGCTTCATCCACTTTTCCTTCTGCTTTTCGGTGCCATACTTAGCCAAAAGCTCGATGTTTCCGGTTTCTGGAGCATGACAATTGAGGGTCTAGGGTTGATTTCAGTTAATCTGCACTCTTCGTAGTGGGGTGCCCTCTCACAGACCATCGGTGCCCAGTACACTCGCCCAAGAATTTCACAGCAACAAGAGTATTCCAGAATTGTGAGCCCAGGACTTTCTTTGAAATGATTAGGAAGAAACAGATTAAAAAGGCCCGCAGCTTTTGCCTTTTCCCTCAGTGCCCTGATATAAGGTGGCATTGCCCAACGGTTTTGCTCCAATTGAGCCTTGACAATGTGGTCTGCTGGAATACATTCATTCTCAACCCAATCGTATACTTTCGCGATGAGTTCAATTGCCTTGGGGCTGAGCTTTTGCCTGTACCCTGGAGGGATTCGGGCCAGAGATGGATGATCCGGTATCGTAGCCATCGCGTCTTTCTATTGAGCTCCGTACGAGATGCTTGACTTGAAATAAAATAAGCAGGTGGCCTCGATTTTTACCGCAACTTACAAGGCTCATGATATTGCTTAGAACTTAGTCAACTGGTGTTAAGTTTCTGACTAGGTTCGGGATATTTACCGGCGGACCGAGGTCAACATCATAAAGGGGGGTTGGGGGAAGTCGTCTCCGCACTGGCTCAGCGCCTGACGTCGACGCGTGCGATGTCGAGTTCCCATCTCGAAGGCCCAGTGCACAATCAATTACATCGTGTCGGTTCCCAAAGGGCCGAATGTACTGCCCTTGAGGCCTATGCGGGTCAATAACAGCAGCATATTTATCCGAATACCTTTTTTTCATATGGAGCAAATGCTCATATCCATTGCTGAGTACATCCATACACCCATGAGCTAAGGTAAAGTTGGAATTGCAAAGTTCATCCTTCCTTTTCCACGACCAGAATGTCTTTCGTTTCGAAACTTGAGTCCTTGCCTTTGCAGCGGTCCAGTATTCTGGATTTTCTCTTTCCAGACGATGCACTTATCTCAGACAAGCCTCTCTGGATCGATGCCACAGATACATCGCGCTGGCATTCTCCCAAGTCTGCATTGGCTTTGGCGAGAAGACTTGGCTCTGGCCTCGAACGGTTAGGGGTGCAATCAGGCGACAGATGTTTGCTCTTCACACCCAACCACATAATGGTTCCAGTGGCGTATCTTGGAATCGTCGCCGTTGGTGCCGCTTTTTCTGGAGCCAACCCAGCGTTCACTGAGAAAGGTGAGCTCAATATGCAAGACTTGGATCGTTGGACTGTCCACAGACTTACTGATATTCAGAATTGGAATACCAAATTGCAACTCTGCAACCAAAAGTTTTGTTGGTTCATCCGACGTTACTTTCGACCGCCAAAGCCGCTGCCGCGAAAGCAGCTGTTCCAGGTCTGCAATTATATATCTTCTCCGACCAGGAAACAGGCTCTCTTGAGGGTTTCCGTGATTGGAGAGTCATTCTTAGCACTCTTGAGCAGGGTGAACGTTGGCATTGGAGAAAGCTGAGTCCGGAAGAGTCCGAGACTACAATCGCAGCGATCAACTTCTCATCGGGGTAAGTCTGTTAAACTCCGGCAAGTTTTCGTCTAAAGCTCACGAAAACGTAGAACCACTGGATTGCCGAAGGGCGTCTGTGCATCTCACTTCAATGTAATCTCGAATGTGAAGCAAATCTCATCTCTGTATGACTTCGACCCCTCTGAAAAATGGGCAGGGTTTCTGCCTCTTTATCACGCGTATGGACAATGCTATGCCATTTTGATAGCTACCATCAACCAGATTCCTATTCTCATCATCAGCAAATTTGATTTTGTCGATTATCTCCGGATAATTCAAGTCCACAAAATAACCCGACTACAAATTGTTCCTCCCATCATGATCATGCTAGCTAAAAGACCCGAAACCTCGGGATATGATCTAAGTAGTGTCAAGGAGATACTTTGCGGAGCCGCTCCGCTTTCGAGAGAACTTGAAGCTCGGGTGTCGAAGAAATTCAACGTCAGGATCACGCAAGGTTGGGGCATGACTGAGACAACATGTGCCGCGACTGGAGTTCCATATTATGAGAACCATCGCACTGGCTCTGTGGGGATTCTCATGCCCAACACAGAGGTGAAGCTTGTCACAGACGATGGTCAGTATGCTGCTATTGGAGAAAGTGGAGAGCTCTATGTTCGTGGCCCACAGATTGCTATAGGGTACTGGAGGAACGAGCAAGCAACACTTGATACATTTGACCCTGTTGGTGGGTGGTTGAGGACTGGTGACGTGGCCGTGGTGAGCACAGAAGGATGGATGTCGATTACTGATAGGAAGAAGGTATCATGAAAAACTCGTCCGTCCCCGTTAACAATGAGCTAACTCGTTATTTGCAGGAGTTGATTAAAGTCCAAGCCCTTCAAGTGGCACCGGCAGAGATCGAAGCGGTACTCATAGAGCATCCAAGTATCGCAGATGCCGGTGTTGTTGGCATAACTTTGGAAGATAGTGAATGGCCAAGGGCATATGTGGCGCTAAAAGAAGAGGAGACAGCAAATGTAACGGAGAAGGAAATTCAACAGTGGTTGGACGCTCGTGTGGCAAAACATAAACGACTGGTTGGAGGGGTCGCATTTGTACCTGAAGTTCCTCGATTGGCTAGCGGCAAGATTCAAAGGAGAATCATGAAGGAGTGGGCAAAAAGAGATGCAGTGGTATTGAGCTCTCGGCCGAAATTATAACTCAAAATGCTATCGAGTGTCATTATTATGGTGACAAATTCAGCTACTGATGTCGGGAAGTAATTGATCAAGCATTTTCTTGACATTGATATTCTACAACAGCCACTCACGCTACACTGCCTAACATATAAGGTAGTCCAGAACTCAAACCACCATCCACTGCCCAAACTTGGCCATTGACATAACTAGCTTCATCGGTCCCTAGGAAGAGTGCAACTCTCGCAATCTCATCTGCCACTGCGCCCCGTCGAAGAGGGCATAGCTGGCCAACCTTATGAAGCGTGCCCCTTTCTCGCGCTGGGCCATAGAAAACCGGTTCCGTCATGCCAGATCGTGTCATCCCCGGAGCAATAGCATTGCATCTGATATTCCGGCCGGCATATTGGAAACACGCTGTTTGCACAAGACTAACCACTGCAGCCTTAGAGGCACTGTAATCAGTTGTCCCTCCGTTCGATCGGAGAGCAGCAGTTGAAGCAGTAGCGATGATAGAGCCGCTGGAATAAGGCTTGTCTTTGCTGGTGACCTGCATTGCCGGGCCTGCATGTTTTACTGCGAGGAAGACACTATGGTTGTTAGTTTGTCATTTTTCTCGTCTCCAGGATCTGCGTCTTCTTGGCTCCCAGGTGTTGAATGGAGAAGTGTGTAAGCTTACCTCGTCAAGTTCGTCCTCATAGTTCGCTCAAACTCCTCGACATCTGTATTCCAAACTTCCTTCCAAGTTCCTGAATTCGCTGCGTTGGCGAAGAATACATCCAGCTGTCCGTAGGTTTCCAGAGCATGTGCTACGACTTCCTTGGTTGCAGCTTCATCCGCCGCATCAAATTTTCGTGCATGCACACCCACGTTGGGATAGAGTTCATTCAACTCTTCTACGTGCAGATTCAGGTATTCATCCACGTAATCACAGATGTAGACTGCTCGAGCACCATTCCGAGCATACTGATGGGCAGTTGCTCGACCCATCCCAAGCGGCGAATTGCAGCCAGTGATGATGACCACTTTTCCCTGGGCGCGCCTGATCCGGTCCTCTTGTCAGTCTACACATACTTCTCAAGAAGTCAAACAAGAGAGATGCAAATGCCGCTCGTCTGAAAGGATAGCCACTCACTGTCCTACCGAGTCTCCAGCTCTCCGTGCAACTCGAGGCATCCCTTTGTACGTCCCTTCCTCAATGACAGGAGGCTGGGCAATCTGCCCGGCGACCTGGGCTAATCGCCTTTTCGGTGTACTGACGGTCGACATGTTCACCTTCAGATAGGTTTTGTCTGCAATAAAAAGATTTCACAAAGCCAAAAATTGGTAAATGACAGGATTTGAGACAGTTGTCAGACCTCTTGACCTCAGCGAACTTGATGGCTTCTTGGCACCTTCCGAAGTCGAGATCAATGTCTACTGTTGGCAAATTCTGACCCGTACTGCACTGACAGAGCTCTTTTAACCAAGAATCAGAGTAAAGGAGTAACGAGGAGATTGACTTAACTAGCCTCCAAGGGCCCGAGTCAGTTAACCGAGGGTTTGGAAAAAGCCGCTAGGTCGAAAGAGGAAAACAAAAACTTAATGGTGTTTGAATGAAGCTTGCTCAATGTCAAGTCCAACGTGCGCGTGCATTTCTAGAATACAGCTATAGCATTTGGGGGGCTCGCAATACCTCCAGGAGTATTCAATGGAGCACTAGTTAAGAAGAAGCTCCACCTTTGCTGGCGTTCACATTCCGCAGCCAGCGCTTCCAAGTCCCATAATTCACCCAGCGGCATTCCCCAGAGTGCAAGAATAAAGTCATGCATACCTAGATCGAAGAAAAGGTCAGCCTGGGTCCGGAAAAACATCCTATGAGGATGACTTACACCAAGGTAGCTGAGGTGGCCACGCCTCCCACCCAATGGCATCACCACCGACGGCAGCAAAATGGGAATCCCATAGCCATTCGACTACTTCTTCTGAGCCATCCACTCCAACATATTCCGATCCATTCTTGACCCGGGCAATTCGCTCTTCAGGGCTATGCTCATTGTACCATCGTATCCAGCCAGACCTAACCAGTAGAATATCTCCTTGGCGAAATGTCACACCCTGTTCCACAGCAATGGCTTTTAGGACGTCAAGGGTGATACGGTGCCTCGACATGGGGTCATACGCGATATTGTGCCGTGCTGCATAGGCGACATAGTCGAGGAGAACGCCTCTGCCAACTATACCTCCGCGTTTGCTCCAATCTTAGATGCACTTTAGTACGCATCCGAAAGAGCAAAGTACATCTCTGTCTTCACTTACGGTCAGTCCCTATGCGGTCAGTCTGCAAGAGCTCATCGTGGTGGATGCCGTTATAGTACAGTCCTGTGCCGCTATGGCCCCAATGCCCTGAGATATATGAGCATAATCGCCCAGATTTAATTTGCTCGGGTGCCTACTTAGACCGTCCCATTGACTTCCAGATTGCGTGTTGATGCTAATCTCATCATCGTATGAATACCAAGAAGAGCCTTTCGCTCGCCAGTCAGTTATATTTATCACTGGTTTGATGCGACCAAAGCCTGGCTCGTGGACATGGTCAATAGGCCAACTGTTAGACGGGTTAGAAGGTCGTGATCGGGTTCGCACACAACGATCGCTATTCCACATACTTCAAAACAACACTGGTACCTGCCCGTATCTCTTCTCGAGCCTTCAATACTGTTTCCGGGCTTAGGAGATTCAGAGTTCCAACCTCATCTCGAATTCCCTCCTTATCGAACAAGCCCCAGGCGCAACCGTGAGGCATGCCCTTCACGGGCGGTAGATTCTTCCATGACGGCAGCTGGAGGTCAGACATGCTGTGTATGTGATATCACGGAAAGCGAAGTCAACGGCTTTGCAGGTCTCGCAAACTGGAATGAGGGTGTTTCCGAAAATAAATCTAGAGCGCCAAGCAGCTCTGCGCTGTGTTGAAAATTAAGTCGTTCCTGAATGTCAGGAGCCCCCTGACCACAGTTGAATCCAGGTGTGGTGAGTGGGATCGATTCAGATGGGGGCGAGTCAGACACAATTTCCCCACATATCCCCGCAGAGCTGGATGCTCCGCCAGATCATAGACCGGGGCATTAATATCTCCACCATTTCACATCAAGAAACTTCGGGTGACGAGTATTGCGCATTAGTTTTGCAGCTCTGAGACCAGCTGGAAGGCCCATCTTCGAACTTTATCTACATGCAAAAGCACTTCTAGAGAACCTCGTACTAGCAGTATGGTTCGTTCAGAGGGTAACAAAGCCCAAAAGATCAACGCATACAATGTTTTCTTACTCTGTTTCATTGGCCTCGGGTCAATGACCTATGGTTACACAGCCTCGATTATAGGAACAACTCTTGGTATGTTCTCTCGTCAACTCGCCATTTTCCTTCGCTGACTTTGCTCTGTAGGTCAACCGTCCTTCATTGCTTATTTCGATCTTGCCACGAGAAGCGATGGAACCGACCTCATAAGTACTATGAATGGTCTTTTTCAGACTGGCGGTACCATTGGTACTTTGATACTCCCATATGTGGCCGATCGATGGGGTCGCAAATGGGCAATCGCAGTGGTAGGTGGACATAAAGCTGGAGAGTGTTGTTCTTCGTGGAAGCTAAGATCCTGGTGCAGCCGGCAATCATAGCAGTTGTTTCAGGAGCCTTCTTGGCTGGCAGCACGAACATCGGCCAATTTTTGCTCTTTCGATTCTTCGCGGGTGCCGCAGCCTTCATGATTCTTGCTGCAGTTCCGGTAAGTAAACTTCTGGCTTCCTGCAAGATATCACTGTCTTACACTTCACAGATATGGATGTCTGAAGTGGTTCCTGTCCAATTGAGAGGAGCATTGGTTGATGTACACGCTGTATTCCTCATTCTCGGTTACACTATTCAAGGGTGGATCGGGTTCGGATTCTACTTCTGGGATGGAGGCTCAGCGACCTGGAGACCTCCTCTAGCCTTGCAATGCGTTTGGCCTTTGGTTCTTCTTTGTGGGATCTATTGGGTTCCAGAATCGGTACGCTACCACCTAAGTTATAATGGGCGAAGCTAATGATATGTGATGTAGCCGCGCTGGTTGGTCATGAAAGACCGTGTGGATGAAGCTAGGGAGATTCTCTTCCGCCTACACTCCAATCCTGATGATCCTGAAAACGAGTTCGCCAGCGCAGAAGTGTACCAGATTCAGAAGCAAATCGCAATCGACAAAACGCTAGGCAACACGTGGATGTACATGATCAAAAAGCCATCTTACCGAAAACGATGTTTACTCGCAATTGGAACAACAGGAATTATTCAATGTTCTGGGGTGCTAGTTATCAACAGTAAGTTATGATGCGCACTTGGTTTGGTAACATTGGTTGACTTGCTCTAAGATTATGGCCCAACTCTATATGCAAATTTGGGTTTCAGTCCAGTCAAGCAGCTTCTGTATCCTGCTGCATGGCTTACCCTCACTCTTGGTATCAACATTATGGCGATGGCAACAGTGGACTTGTTCCCTCGAAATATATACATGGGATTTGGCGTTCTGGGCTGCATGGCCACCCTCATCATCGAGGCTGCGCTAGTTGCCGAGTTTGTGCCCTCTACCAATCAATCAGCACTACAAGCAGCTGTGGCGATGCTATTCATCTTCCAGATTTTCTACGGGTTCTGTCTTGACGGTAAGATTCAACGAGTCTGAACTTCACAGAGAGCAATCATTTGACTAAGCTATATTCATGAGCAGGTACCCAATTCAGCTATCTCAACGAGCTGTTCCCTACACATATCAGAGCAAAAGGCGTCTGCTTAGGAGTGTCTATGATTTCTCTGATGAACATCATCTGGCTTCAGGCAGCACCAACTGCTTTCAAGTGAGTGCGGTTGAAATACTGGCAATACTGTAAGCTTACAAGGGAACAGCAATGTTGGGTGGAAGTTCTACCTCGCTTTCATCATTCCTGGAACGATTGGCGGTGTCATCATGCTATTCTTCTTTCCTGATACCAAAGGCGTGCCCCTTGAAGAAATTGCAGCTATTTTCGGCGATGCGGATGAGGTTGCTATCTATCAGCGCGAGATCGAAATTGACCACACCACCCATACTGTCGTGATTCGTGGTCCTGATGAGGAGAAGACTGACCAACCTATTATGACTGAGAATATGGAAGGTCATAAAGCACCTATCAGTAATTCACAGCAAGCATAGCACAATCACTCTTTGTCATGGAGACAGAGATGAAATCAACACGCAATTGGCAACGCATCAAGTCATATCTCATGGACTCGAATATGGAAAGTGCAAATCCATGACCATAATAAGTAGGCCCAGAACTTCAGATTTTTAGTACTCGTGACAATAATATAATCGCGCCCAGAAGTATTCCGCGGCTTTTTAGCTATGGTTCACATCGCTCCAAAATGCCATTCATGAGCTGTCAACCTGACCACATCCGAGGCACATCGGAGTGACACTATTATTTATAGAACCTTGTTCTCTCGGCATGAGCATATATATATTCCACACAATTCCATTCCATCTGAAGTCTCTCTTATTGTATTCTCCAACCCAAATCTAAACTCCCCGTAAAGAGCAGAAACCCGTCCATCATCGACACAATGAAACAGCCAATTGATGAGGAATCCCTACACCTATATCTCGAACAACATGTCCCGGATGTTCAGGTTCCAGTAGAGGTCCAGCAGGTAAGTTTCAGACGAACCCGAACCTCCAACAGAAAAGAAATGAAGAAACTGACACGTTGAATCCTCTTCCATCATGTGCAGTTCGGCTTCGGAAACTCCAATCCTACATACAAACTCACGGACCGCCGAAGGCACCATTTTGTGCTTCGCAAGAAACCTCCGGGAAAGCTGCTGACTACGGCGGCACATCGGATAGATCGCGAATATCGAGTCATTCGTGCCTTGAACGGAACAGATATTCCAGTTCCAAGGGTTTATTGTCTCTGTGAAGACGAAAATGTCATCGGTACACCGTTCTACATCATGGAGTTCCTTGACGGTCGTATTTTCCAGGACGCACATATCCCTGGAGTGTTATCTTGGGAGCGAAATGCAATGTATGTATGCCAGTTATGACTGTGTTCTTGCAATCATCGTCCGGAGGTCGGAACGAGTACTGCGGACTAACTTCGAACAGGTGGAAGGAGGCAGTTCAAACACTCGCAAGACTTCATTGGGTAGATCCCATGGCGGTCGGGCTCAGTAGTTTTGGTAAATCACATGGCTTCTATACACGGCAGAGAAGGACGCTGGAAAGTCTCGATAATTCATATTCAAAAGTAGTCGACATTGAGTCGAAGGAACCGGTTGGCAGGACACCTGGCATGGATGAAATGCTAGCATACTTCGGGGATGACCAACACCAGCCACAAGACTGTGCCTCCATCATACACGGAGACTATAAGATCGATAATCTCGTGTTTCACAAGACGAAGCCAGAAGTAATTGGGATATTGGAGTAAGCTTCCTATACCACATGAACCAACGAACCCTCAATAACATGAACTAACCAATGTGAATGTGACAATAGCTGGGAGATATCAACGATAGGTCACCCTTTGTCAGACCTGAGTAACCTCATTCTTCCATGGACAGTGACACAGAAGTCGAAAAAGATAAAACAGTATTCGCATCCAGCATTCGACCTGGTCAGCGACACGCCCGGGATGCCCAGCAAAGACCAATGCCTTGCATGGTATCACGAAGTCGCAGGCTGGAACCCCGAGAGTGAGGTTGGCTGGTCTGATGCGTTTGCGATCTTCCGCACAAGTGTCATGCTCCAAGGAATCGCCGCTAGGTATGCCATAAGGCAGGCCAGAAGCGAGGAGTCTCTGATGTTGGGTCGGGAGAGAATTCCGTATGCATGCGCGGCTTTGAAGATGGTGAGAGAGATGAAAACCGTGGGGGAGCAGGGGAGAACTCCGTCAAACAGGGCTCAAAGTCAAATCGACGAGAGGAGCTTTAGTCGGCATTTGAAACTCTAAGGCATCTTTGATATGGGAATTGATGACGGCCGAAGAAGCCTGACTGCCGAAGGCTTGTCAATCTATGTACCTGCACACCAAGGACTTATATTCATACGAGTCTTTTGATAACCAGGGCCAACAAACCTTGGCCATGTCCAAAGCTAGTGATTCTCAGGCATGCGTGTTGGTCATGAGTCCAGATGAGCAAGAGGAAAAGTAATAGGCCGCTTCGACTTTGTAAATTCTGGAAGATCAAACAGCGCATCTCAGCACTACATCAGTGCTAGGTTTCCAAGCAGAGAACACAAACAAAGGCAACAGATTGTTACTCGACTTGTGAGGAATACCCCAGGTCTTTGAGTCTATGAGACGCTAAGTGGAAAAACAACTGCACGGAACTACGGATCATGATGATGTGAAGAAACACTAGCAGCAATGACACCAATAAAAAGCCTTCTCTGCTCGCGCAGGGTCTTCGTGAGTCACAAGGTAAAGAATCGCGCGGGATCTCACGCAGGGTCGAAAAATCGCAATGCAGACCATGAAAAGTGAGAAATTTTGTTTGTTTGTTTGTGAGTTTTTCTTCATTTTGAATTTTGTTCAAGTTTTGGCTATCGAATCTTCCTCATTTTTTCTGACCGCGATGTCCATGACATGATGTTCGCCCCAGGGCCATGAGACCATTCAAAACTGAGCTCTCAATTGCTTACTCTTGCCCAAGTTGCTTTTGTTTCAAGCGCTTCCAGATCTTCCTTCAGAACTCGCAGTTCCCTGTCGCTTGTCTTTCCTTCCGTCGGACAGTTCTTCCAGCAGCATTCCACTTCCAGAACAGAAGCCGAAAATATAGTGGTGCTGAAGTCCACAGATCCAAAGTTGTTCACTCCATCGTCACCGACGACTTTGCGGAGAAAGCGAGCCAGAGGCTTCTAGCCTTCTCGCAGAGGGCCACCAAAGATAAGCCAGAAGACTATCTTTATATATATAGATGGAGAAATACTCGTGGAGAGTATGATAAGACAGATTGTTTAGTCTGGCGTTTCCCGGCGCTCGAGCTGCTCGGTGGAATGTTGCCTTGTTGAATTATGGTTGAATGGAATAGAGGAAGTTGTGCTCAGAAGATCTTGAGGCATTATTGTTGATCTGTGTTCTCGATCTTTGCTGTTGATCTGTCTTGTTGATCTGTGATGAAAAACTTCTCTCTGATTCATGGTGAAATGCAGTCCACGCGCTCTCTGATTCATGGTAGAATGCAGTCGAGGAGCTCTTTTCACTGTTCAGAAATCCTTATCTCGATGCAGAATGAGTCCAGAGGCATTGATGATTTGAGGAGTGTGCAGACCCATCCAAGGCCATTGATAGGGAGTCCTCTGACACTTGTCATAACTCGCACGAATGTCTTATCCTCAAGTTCCAGACCATGATCATCAGTGTTTGGATACACAAGTTTGTAGCTTTTGAAGATGGTTCGATTGAGGCAGTCCTTTGCCCACAATCTGATATGGAGGTACGACCCATCATTCAGCTGAAAACTCCTTCCAAAGTGGATGATTGCTTGTCACAGGTTGAGCTGCTTGGTCACGTGCTGGTCATGTCATCCACAATGTGCTCTTGATGACTTCCTCCCAGAGTTGTGGTCCTAAAGCCACAGCATCTGTCTCGAGCATCTGAACAACAAAGTAGGAAGTGCTATGGAAGTCTGTTCTGATGAAACCAATGATCTTGGGCGGGAACGGCCTCAAGATCAGCATCCGCGGTAAATACCGCGATCGCTCGGCTACAGACAAGAAACATAGTCACTTGACTATTTCTATATATACCTGATGATGTTAATTGATGGTCTCGCAGGAAAGAGTTGAAGCCCACTTACCAAAAGTGATTTGATAGCTTGCTTGGCCTTGTAATGGCCTTTTGAGCTGGAAGCTCAAGCCATGCTGTGATGGCTGTTGAGGAGAATTGCTCAGTGGAGTCAGAAGGTGTATTTCAGTTGTGGCTGTCAGCAGTTGCAGGTGACGGAGCATGATTTGTTTGGAGTCCATTTGCCGAGAGAGCTACTGTGTGTGTTGACTAAACCGCCTACAAATTGATCTGTCTGCATGCTGGAGATTGATTGAGAGTTGAGCTGATTTTGAGAAGCCCCGAGTTGAATAGGGCTGGATCAGTGGCAGACTTCAATGCCAGGATTGCCAGCAACCCCGACCCGGCACGCTGGTGGTGATGGGTCAGCAGCTGCAGGGAACTTTGAGAGGATGTGCTACAGTGGAAGGAACTTACTTCGCAATGAACAATAATGCGCTGGGGGCTCCGGATTCGCAATGAACAATAGTGCGCTCCTTCCTGTTCGCAATGAACAGTAAGGCGCACACTAAGTTCGCAATGAACAATACTGCGCTCCCTCCTCTCCCACAGGGGAATCAGAGGGGGCTCCTGTTGCCAGCAACAGAAGACCACACGTTAGTTCGCAATGAACAACAGAGCGCTTTGTAACATTGCAGGCGATGCCCCAGATTTCTGTTGAATGGTGGTCAGCAAAAGTGGATATCGCGTGAGGTGGAGGACTTGAGCGGGAAGAAACGAGACTCGAAGCTGGGGAATGGATGGGAAAGGGAAAGGGGAACTCACATTTTTATATACATACAGCAGGCAGATCGGCTGCAGAATCTCTAATGTTTGAGAACCCTACGCTTGTCGACGAGACTGTTTTTGTTGGGAGAGAAGAGGAGGAGATATGAGGAAATGAAAAGTGTCATTGTGTCATGCCGATCTAATATTTCCAGGTCAGTTATCACCACAAAACGCGACAGTGTGAGGGTGGGAGAGGGATCTTACCAAGGCTGAGGGATCGAGAAGATGACGTGATGAAAGATGCAATATCTTTGCCATGCCGATCTGGAAACTTTATGTCAGTTATTCAGCAGTGCGCAGTGTGCACAACACCACTCAAGGCAACAATTTCAGTGGGAAAGAGTGCTCATACCTGTGATTCAAGCACAAAGACTGTGTCTTGTATGACATAGCTTGATGGAGGGAGCTGGGGTTGTTGGAAACTTGTGTCGCATTTGGTGTCTTGTGGTGTGAGTCTTGAGTGGAAAATTCAGGTTTGTGATAAAGTCTCGCGACATGAAAAACAAAAAGGGATCGTCCCAAGGAAGACACAAGATGATTGGAGGAGGAGACACCTATGGAGCAGAGATCGGCAGCATTGAATGGCCATACAAGAAAGGGAAGTGCTTTGATCTGTAAGAGAGAGGAAGAAGATGTTCAATGGGACTGAAATCCTCGCCGTTAAGCAGACATACAAGAGGAGGAATAGTGTTGTCTCGATTTGTGAGATGGGAAGATGATGACACAAAGAGAAAAAGAAAGGAAGAGATCAATTCTCAGGAATCAGACGGTGATATTTATAGACAGATTCTTCGGCTATTGCCAATGTGAGAGTTCACATCAATTCACGATGACAGCAGCGGCTATTGGAGGAGACCGTGAAGGGGGTTGGAGCGGGATTCTTATCGACGGCTATGGAAGGATTCCCGAGCGAGGCAGTTACGAAAACGTGACCGGTATTTGTCCCTTCGGCAATTGAACTCGACGGAGGACGTGAAGGAATGGGAATTGCTGAAGCTATGGATTGTCATGGAAGAATGGCCGGAAGAGGGAGAACTTGTCTCCGGCGAGGCTGGCTGTGATGGGGCATCGTCAATCTGGAAGGATTGGGGAAGATCGGTGATGAAGAAAAATAGAGAAATCAGGGATAAGAACGAGTATATGCTTCATTTGTCTCATTATCGGGATGGACTATCTATCTGAGGACTCGAATAATCATCAACACCATCGCCAACACCAGTCGAACAGAAAGAAAGGCCTGCAGAAGCCCGTTAAGCAAAGTGTACTCGAGCAAGAAAGTCACAAAGCAGGCTTCAAGCACCACGCTCAGCACAGTACTTCCGGACCTCCTTATCTAACTTCTCGTATTGTATGGTAGCATTTTCCATAATCTCCTTGACAACCTTGACCTCGCCTTGATTCTCAACATTGGACTCCACAGCCTGCTTTAATCCACTATCAGCATAAACCGACTGCATGAGGTCCATGACGGCAAACAGCTGATTGGGCAACCATGTGATGATTGGGCTACCGCCCGTAGCAGTAGGATGAGCTGAACGCTTAATGATGTACTCTCTCGCGAAGAGCCAATGGCGCCATCGGAAGCTTCGGACGTGGTTCAGTAGCTTGAGGTAGAGCGTGGGGAGGATGAATTTGTCTGCATCTGATGACGAACCTCCAGAGCAGTATTTCCTGACACCAAGCTCGGCAGACTTGCTCATAACCCAGGCGAGGAAGTCTCTGTGTGGCTTCGGGCGATAGGAGCGGAAGTCTCGCAAGATCTCGGTCAGAGGATTGTTGGGCATGGGGATTTCCAAAATGTGGTCGAGCATTGGGATGATGCTGTCGTTGGCGCCAGATTCGCCGCGGAAGTACAGTGGCTTAGAGTTGCCGTACCGTGTGCCTTCGTAGATGACCCCATTGGGGAACATGGATTGATTGGTGATGCCGAAGATGAAGGTGCGGTAGGAAATGTAATCTTTGGGGAGTGAGTTGGTCCACATCTGTTCCATGTGCGCTTCGATCGTTGTCATGGCGTCGAGCATCGTCTGGAATGCCGAAGCTGCGGCGGCGGTATCTTCGGGTTTGTTTTCAATGGTTGCGAGAAGAGATGTTGCACCGTCAATTAGCGGGCCAGTGGCTTGTACCATGTGGACATGAGTCAGAATGAAACCTGCTTCGGAGCTCTTGGGGTCAAGACCAAGTTCGAATGCTCGGACAAGTCGGATATTGTCGTAGACGCTGGGTCCGACTTCTGGTGATACCATGCTGTAATTGTACAGCGCATAGGAAGCTGCGTATGACATGAAAGGAGGGATGTCAAGTCTAGTCAACAGTGAGCTGTAGCACCATGATCTAGGTAAACAAGAACTTACATATCTGCAGCCTTGACCAGAGGAGACGCGATGCATTGAGGTAGGGTCGATCTTCCCAGTCCGAGCCCAGCACTATTGTCCTTAGACCATTTCTCCCAACAAGGCTCCAGCAAGTAGGCACTGGCCAGGAAACTGTAATCACGGAACAATGCAGTGATCGCCTCCAGATCGTAGTCACCACCTGGTGTGACCCGTAGCTTGTCCATTTCAGAAGTCAGGTCGGGCAGCTTCCCAGAGTCGATCAGTGGACCGAGCTTAAAGGTTGCAAGTAGACCGGAAGATCCATCAAGCTTGACAATTGGCATGTCCTCGACAATGGCTGTCATCTTGTCGAATGCCTCTGGTAGGCGGATGAGCGGTGGCCGACATGGTAGGAAGCCGGTCTTGGTCGTGATGGTGAAGGGATCCGTTGAGGCTGGTAGTGTGGTGGCATCGGAGTGCAGATGTGGGAATAGCGTTGAGAGAGGTGGTAGCGGTGGGGAGTCCTCGAGGTATGTCATGATGGAAGGTGTTTGGTAGTCGAAGAGGGAACAGGTTATATCAATGTCAACTATGCTGGAGCTCTGAGCACAAAGGCTTGACCGAACAAAGAACGTAAAAAGTTCTCCACCAGAGACCGCTTTAAGCCCGAAAAGTATCAAATTGGATAGGCCTGTGGTCTTTGACCTGATTTGGAGCGTATCAAGCCCACCTTGAGCTGAAGGGGGGGCAGCCGTATATATCATCGTTGGCCGGAATTAAAACCGGCCAATGACCACCAAAACTCTGAGCGATTGATAGGAGAAGAGCGATCATAATTTTCGCACATTCCAATCATTGTGAACCTAATACAACCCCTGCCAAATAAACTAACCGCGAAAGGAGAATATCTCCCGTATCATTTCAACTCGAAATCAATTTGGTGTCACACTGCACCGGGGGTGCCAGCCTTGTCTTGGCATTGTTTTCAACGTCGAGGAGCATACATAATATTTGGAATTCGACTTCAGAATAGTAAAAGAGACAATTTTCCCTTCTAATTGAACGTCTTGAAGATGTGGGCTTTTCATCATGGGATATCATGAAGTTGGTACTAATCTAGTGCCATGGTCGAGGACAATGGCAGAGACGCAAGCACAACATGACAAGCCAGCCATGGAGTGAAGGGCGCAATCATGCAGGAAAATTCTGGGAGCTGATGTAAAAGTGTAGGAGAAGCCCACCATGGCCCCTCTTTCACGATCTTGTTTTTAAGTAATTGATTGCATCGAGGCCGGAATTTGATACGCATTGTCTGCTGAGAATGCGAGGAGGTTAAATGTTGAGGTCGATTGTAATTGGTCTGGCCGGAATTGATACGGCCTCGCACGTGACTTTACCCAACGAGGCTGCGGAACGAGGCTGAACTGCTGGGTAAGATTATTGAAGTTCCTGTGATTGGAGGGAAATATGTCCCAAAAATATACTCGGAACTGTATTTCAACATCGGGAAAGGTCATCGTCCCGAGGGTTGTATGCCAGACATCTGGGTCATGAGAGACCCAAGGCAATGCTCTCACCCTTCATACCAACTCAAACTCCTGAAGCGCGCGTCCTGTCGCACTGAATGCATCAAATAGATCACTTGGATATAACCCGTGAACAGCACACTCACCAATAAAGTGGCTTCTGAGTGGTGCTTGTGGCAAGGATCGTATCGGGTTCATCAGGTTAGGATCAGTCGCTTCGCTTCCGTTTGCGTGTTCGGGACCATCGACCATCTGCCTCCCATCGCCCTCAAGGCTGTCATCATGAAGGGGTCGCAGAGCATACAAAACTCTTCCCCCTCGGAAGGCACACAGCCAGTCTCCAGCTTCCACGGAGGCAGATGTCCGTATTGATTCGCACTGTTCTTCTGAGTCTAGATAGGTTTGTCCAAGATCATTCGAGTATCCTTGGCTCTTCGATCGATGGAGCATCTTGACCAGTTGTGGACTGCTCGTAGTCAAGGAAGACACAGATTGTGAGAACTGCTTTCCGAAGCTCAACTTCCTAGACTCGAGTTGCTTGCGTGCAATCGTGTCTGCAATGAGGTGTGTACTCGGCCAAGAACCCGGTCGAGTTGCGATGCATCCAAGACGGACGCCTTGCACTATCAGTAATGGAGCTGGAGTCGGGAGATCAGGATATGGAATAAGGCCCATTCTGTAGACTGGAGCATCCGGTATCTCGTCCACAGGTGAGGATGGTGAACAGCCAAACGTTTCGTCGTCGAAAGCAGCTTCTGGACCAAGAATTGTTGGTTCGGTGAGAATCAAGGGGCGTAGAGGTAACTGTTGCCGCCAATCCGGTAGCCAGGATGGCCATCCTTCAGTTCGAGAATTGCCTTTGTAGAGTCCAGCAGCGCTCAAAACCGCCAGATCGTTCTCTTTGTCGAGGCAGTATCGAAAGGCACTCAGATAGAGTTCAAACAAAGTCTGCTCCACAGCGGCTGGACTTTGTGGTGCCGCCGAGCTTTTAGACATAAACTCTAGATGTGCTGTCAACTCCGGCAGCAATCCCAGAATGGCCAGGATAGCATCTTCGGGCTTCGTACTGAGTCTCGGCCGCGTCAGCATGAGTAGATTACTCAACTTGAGACCCTTGTTGACCTCACTTCTGATACTCATGATATTCTCGAAGAACCCGTCGGAGTCATACAGAAGGCTCGAACTTCGAAGTTTGGAGGCGTATTCGAAGTACCAGGCGCTCAAATCGGCCCATGCCATTTCGCGAGCTCCGCAGCAGATGATGGCAGCATTGGCAAGTACGATCTCTTGGAAGGTCCATTTTCTCCTGAACCAGGCGTGTTGGAAGATGGAGAGGGCATGCTTGAGCGATGGCGGCGTCTCCTTTCTTTTATTCTTTGGTCGGGTCGGGGTGAGACTGTTGAGGCTACTCAGACTCGAAGTGGAAGATGCAAGGCTCTCGCGCGAGCCAGACCGACGATTCAAATATTTTGAAACACATGAACGGCTGGGGATACGACGGGGCATTTTCACTGGTGTGGATGGTGTTGAGACTGATTGCAAAAAATCCGAGCGTGGCAGACTCGAACTCAGTGTAGTTCCTTCAAGTAAATCCCATGCCATGGCCATCCTCTTGTCACAAATACCCAGCCAAACAATGACTCGAGTAGCGGAAGAGTAAATGGCGCCCATCTGTCCGACTTGATTCATTAATTCTTCTTTGTCGATTTGGTTAATGGACAGCTGGTCAACCCATATTCTTCGCCAGGTATCGGGATATCTTAGATGGTCAAGAGCAGTGAAAAGCGACTCTGTAACTCTGAATCTGAATCCATTGCAATTGATTGTTCTTCGTGATTGAACCGTATCGCCCCAGACATAGCTCAACGCCTCATATTGGGTGGTTCTCGGCGTTGCGACCACACGCATCTCACACTCGATTGAGCTACCTCTCGCGCCCGGCGCAAGAAGGAGGATCCGTAGCTCCCTTGAAGATAGCTGGGTATAGACATCTCCAGAAACCGCTGTGGGGTCCAGCTTAGATCCACGATCATTCATCTCGAGAACTTCGCGGACAAGCTGCCTTGCTCTTACTCGTACACATCGATCTTCTCATGTCGCTACAGTACGCCCATCATATGACCGGTTTATCCGGAATAATGAGAAGCTCTGTTTTTCTGTACATTGGGATAATATTGTCACAAATCGGGAGGAATCAACTGTCATATCCCTCGTTATAAGCTGATGAAAAAGGAGTTTCCAATTAAGATTATTTTCGCCCCCAACCGGTGTTGACGAGAAGCCGTGGGGCTGAGTTGCAGATGCATATCCCACCTAGAAACGATCTGTTATGCTTGTACTACCGAGGCTCCGTTCTGCTTGAGGAACTCAAGCTTAAGCCGAAATTGTGAATCGGTCCGGGGCACTTGTAGGCGCAGCATGGGCACCTTGCATGTACATTACATTGACGTTTATGAAAAATATCATCCATTGGTGAACAATGAGATGGTTCGTGCCGAGAGGTACGATACCATTAGTTATTGATACAATCTTCAGATGTTAGATCCCTCTAAAGCCATCCGGGATCATCAGACCAGCAACCTCAGTGACGCCCCTTTCCATTGCCAGTAGATTATATGCCGCTGCAGCATTGCCCGTATCCATAACATCCACTCTGATCCCCAGCCTCTCGGACAGATATTCCCTCGTCTCTTTTCCCAACATCCACAGTTTCCTTCCAGTGCCAATAATCAGAAGATCCGGCTTGGGGTAAACAAGCTCCAAGACCCCTAGCGACGATTTCGGGATGTTAATGATCCCTCTCTTGTCAAGCAGCTTGCCAAAACCTTCTGCGTTCGATACTGCATTTGTGTCCCAGGGAGTCCACACGAATGCCTCGCCATCGAGCAGAAGAAGGCCCATTCCGCCGACGGTTTGTTGCCCATTGTTGAGATGGAAGCCATCGTTCACACATGCATCAATGCTAGTTGCAGGAGTCACTGCGCCTGCGTTCGCGAGGATGTCCATCTTGGAGAAATCGGTTTGTGTTTCTTCTTCGGAGACTGGACCACGGTCATGAGTTTTGGGAGCACGTGGATTAATTCGAGGCGGATCTGGACGACCACCTGAAAGCTGAGATCGTGATTGAGGTTGTGGAGCGACGGCGCAAAGTCGTGATGAGGTGGTTAATGGTCGAGTTGTGCGCACTGGCATTGTTTGCCGCGCAGCTCTTGCAAAGCAGGCATTTTGCGATGATGGGACCCGGCATGCAACTCGCATTGCCCAGAGGAGCTCCGACGATGGTGCGCGCATGCTGGTTTTGGGGAAATTTGTAGGTGTCGTGGAAAGAACAGGCTCCTTCTGATCTACAATATAGACGATTTGTGTCGTTAGATGGAAAGAACAATTGTACAGTTTCGCCCGATCATGATAGTAGATCTAGGTCATCTACAATCGCTGGTTTGATAGGGGAAAAGACCACGGTTCATGACGACTGGACGGTACAAAAATTCCCCCAATATTTAAGGTGCTCTATGACTTCATGTGTATGCGCAGCAGTTCTTCATCACCCACCGTAGTTAGTGCTGTCCTCAGCGGATCACTTGGGAAGGAAGCGCAAGGCTGAGGCCAAGCGAGGCTGCTTTCAACATCCTTCTAGGCTTCACTGCAAGCCCGCCGAATATTCACTCACCAACTCCACAAGGATATAATTTTAGTCAAGTTGAAATCTCCTCAACAATTAACAGGGTAGGGAGCTATGTCAGAGGCGGAACTCCTGGCCTTAACTGTTAGTCTGTTAGGAATCCCACTACTTGAAAGTCCTCTAACGAGGATGGTGGAGATAATACAAAATCTCGACAAAAAGAGGTTTTATCCTGCTTCGGCAGGAGTTTTTGTGGTTTCGGGGTTCGAACCCTGAAGGAAATGGTTGTTTTTTTGACCTTTTTTCTATGATTGTCTCGCTGAGTCTAGTATTACGTTCATGGTGAGAGTGACTCTTTTCCCTTAAGTTACTACTCATACCCTTGCTTTCTTCTCAGAGTTCGAATTATTTGATCAGTGAGTTGCATTGGACTTGAACAGTGCTTGACAGCATGAGTAAGTGTCGCTAGCTGCAGTGATTTTTGGACGTTAGTACCTGGCCTGTAAGAGTTTTTCAAAGTACCAGTGTTCCGCAGCAATGAGTCATCGCTCTCAAAGTGCATATATCGTAGCCCATGGTCTTAACTGCCGTTCCCGTGCTCCGCTACCAGTCATCTCAGAACATCCTACAAGCACAATCCGCCGTGGGCGCTCGAATTTGAACACAGCTACGGGAATCAAAACATGGATCCTTCACTGTTGAATCGGTCCTGGACACATGAGCAAGGGTTTCAACTCTCCACCAACCCAAATCAAATCCCTCTTTCCGACCTCAATGACTTCTTTTCCGATATGCCGTGGGCAAACCCCTTGCCAGAGGCGGCACTGAGAAACCTAATCCGCCAATCGCTGTGCTTCGCATTATACGACGTCCACAACGCAGACCACAAGCTCGTTGGAATTGCACGGTGGATCAGCGATTTTGTGTCGGTGGCATACCTAACAGATGTTTATCTCCTACCAGCTTATCGGTCGCAGGGTTTGGGGAAATGGATGATGAGCTGTATTGACGAGACTTTTCACTCAATGGAGCATCTTCGTGGTATGATCTTGATTGTCGACCGTGGTGGCGGCGAGGAGATACTTTACAGGAAGTACCTCGGCATGGACGACTTGCAAAGTCCCGCAATCTTACTGGATCGGAAAGGCCGTGGATCTGCTAGATAGACAGCCAGGATCTGACCTTCTGGGTCATCGTCGAGACTGCATAATCTTGGTTCCATGTTTTCTGATGACGTCTTCCATCTTGTTTCTGACCTGGCTGCAACCATCAACTCCAGTCGCCAGCATACTTTCCATCTTATTGTTTGAACCGCCGATCGAGATTCTCGACTCCATGATCAAAACTGAAACCTTGTCTTCCTCACCCTGGTTTCCCGCGACAGTTGCGAGAGAGAGAAATGGGAGCTCTTGTTCTTCAGCGAGGTTCAGGTCCAGAATAGGTTCCGGTCGGGCCGAGGAGTCGTCCGCAGGAGCAATAGTACCACCTGAGATCGCAGCCAGGATGGAAGGCATTGGAATACCAGCATCAACCAGTGCTAAGCTAGCTGCGTTCAGACATGCCACCAGTAAAGCACCATCCAGACTAAGAACGTGGAGAGAGATTGAGATGGTCGATCGCGGATAGAGGTGAGCAAAAAGGTGGCTTTGGAACGCTTGAGAAATGGTGGTCTGGAGTTCTTGGGTGCGCTTGTCATTTCGATTGCGCCTCCTTCGATCCATCTGCGCAAATGGAGCGAGATTGATTTCAGTCTCGACTGTTGCATTGAGATTATCTCGCCCTCGACTGTGAAACCGTTTAGCATTGACATCAGATTGCGCAGTTCTCAGAAAGTACCCTTCTCTTGGCCCTGTCACTGTACAGACAACCATTGTATTTCCCATTGTGAGTAGACTGCTTCCATCACTGGCAGGTTGAGTGGAAATTGACGCAGTAATTCTCCGCAGTTCGTTCCACCGTCGACCATCTTGACGGAGAAGGGTCTGCGAGTAAGTTGATAAAGTGTCCAGCGGCATCGCGAGACCAACGCTCGAGTGATTGTACTCAGCAGGCGTGGAAGGGAACGCATGGAAATTCTGAAGTTTCTCTGTAGAGATGGATCAATTGTTCGCTGCGCCCACGTGATGTGGTGGGGTTCTCGCGTTTTATGACGTAGCGCCACCTGACGCGGTCGCCAGCTACGTGACTGCCTCCCCTCGATTGATTTGGGACCTTTTATTTTGCCCCCGCATTTACACTTTCCTCGAACCTTCCCACATGCGCCTCAGGCATTCCTATTGATGCCCTCAGCGATCCTCTTTCCAGCATCATCGTCCATAATTCTCCATCTGATCGTGCACAATCAAAATGGTGTTCACTGATAGCAGTGATGATGAAGACTTGGATGTTGGCCGCCCTAAATTCAAGGTCTCAGTCAAGAACCAACCCTCTCAGAGACGACTTTCCGAAACCATTGATCTAGATCCGGCATCCGCCACAGAGTCCATCGTGTCCGATATATCAATCTCATCCGCCAGAAAGAGAAAGCGCAGTCCCTTCGACAGTACCGCGCCTGCTGAGCGGTTGGCCTGGGACGATTCAGAGTTCAGCGATAATGAAGACGAGATACGAGAGAAACACAAGCAGAAAAAGTCTGTTGGCAGGAGGAAAGCTCAAGCCTCCACACGTAATGCCAGAGCGATCGACAGCAAAGTCAATGGCCCTTCCAGATCGAGACCCGCTGGTGCAACCACTGGAGTTGGGCGACAAGCCACCAAGAGAAAACAATTCAAGGTCAAAGAATATGGCGACGAATCAAATCCTGATGAAGATTTAATGGAGTGGACAACGCCGGAGTATGTTAGAAATCGTCGGAAAAAGTTCGACGAACGCGCTGAAAAACTTACAATCGGTGGTCTGCATCTTCCTCCCTCATATGACGACGTTTACTTCTCCGATGACGAACAAGTTCAGACTCTGAAAGAACGCCCGGACTTTCCTGCGACCAGAGCCTCTAATCCGTACGCCGATATCCAACTCCCTTACTCTCTTGGGATCATACCGGCTTCGATCGCTCAGTTTCTCCGAGAATATCAAGTCGCTGGTACAGCATTCTTGCATGAACTATTTGTCTATCAAAAAGGAGGCATCCTTGGTGATGATATGGGGCTGGGAAAGACAGTACAAGTCATCGCTTTTCTTACTGCCGCCTACGGGAAGACTGGAGATATTCGTGACAAAAAGAGAATGAGGAAGATGCGCAAGGCTGGGAAGTGGTATCCCCGGACCCTCATTCTTTGCCCTGGCACTCTGATGGAAAACTGGAAAGACGAACTTCGACGATGGGGCTGGTGGCACACGGAACTCTACCATGGAGGTGTCAAAGCGAGACGTGAGGCTTTTGAAATGGCCAAGGCTGGTATGTTGGAGGTCATGATCACTACCTACCAGACATATCGAACAAACAAGGGAGAAATCAACACAATCCAATGGGATTGTATAGTGGCCGACGAGTGTCATAATTTCAAAGAAATGAAATCGGATACAGCCAAGTCAATGAACGAGCTCAACGCTCTTTGCCGTATCGGCCTCACAGGTACTGCAATCCAAAACAAATACGAAGAATTCTGGACATTACTCAATTGGACTAATCCTGGAAAACTCGGCCCAATCTCCACCTGGAAAATCGCGGTTTGTGAGCCATTGAAGCTAGGGCAGAGCCACAATGCCACCAACTACCAATTGGCACGAGCTCGCAAAACCGCGAAAAGCCTTAGAGACAATCTGCTTCCGCAATTCTTCATTAGGCGAACCAAAATGATTATCAAGGATCAACTGCCGAGGAAAAGCGACCGTGTTGTCTTTTCGCCTCTGACTGACACACAAGCGAAAGCCTACCAAAACTTTCTTGAAAGTGAGATTGTTCAAGCTATCAAGAATAGTGGTGAAATCTGTGATTGTGGAAGCCAGAAAAAGGCCGGCTGGTGCTGCCATAGCCTTCTTGAAGATGGTACGCCATGGCAGAAGCATGTTTTTCCAGCGATAAACAAGCTTCATCACTTGTCGAACCATTTAGCTCTTTTAATCCCCAAGAGTGATGACGCTACAGATAAACAGGCCAAAGATCTTCAGATGCTAGAGACCGCCATGCCAGATGAATGGGCTGAACTTTACCGCAACCGAGATCACATCTCAGTGACTGGTAACCCTGAGTTCTGCGGAAAGTGGAGAATATTGCAAAAGCTCCTCAAGTACTGGCACGATCAAGGTGACAACAAAGTCTTGGTGTTTTCACATAGTGTCCGTCTCCTAAGAATGTTGAAAAATCTCTTCATCAGTACTCAATACAATGTCACTTACCTCGACGGAAGCATGTCATATGAGGATCGTTATGCAGCGGTCAATGAGTTCAACACATGCCCCAGACAGTTTGTCTTCCTTATCAGCACAAAAGCTGGAGGTGTCGGTCTCAATATCACGGCTGCCAACAAAGTTGTTGTGGTAGATCCCAATTGGAATCCCAGCTATGATTTGCAAGCACAAGATCGGGCATATCGAATTGGGCAGCTGAGAGACGTGGAAGTATTTCGACTGATAAGCCAAGGCACCCTCGAGGAAATCATCTATGCTCGGCAGATATACAAGCAGCAACAAGCGAATATTGGCTATAATGCCACCTCGGAACGACGGTACTTTCAAGGGGTACAAGATCGTAAGGATCAGAAAGGCGAACTGTTTGGTCTACAAAACCTTTTCGCTTTTCAGAATGAACATACAGTTCTTCGGGATATCGTCAATAAAACGAATATTGCAGAGTCCAAGGCAGACGTTCGTGTCGCCGACCTTATCCTGGATGAAGATGAGCGGGACCCTTCTGATGATGATACCACCAACGAGCAAGATACCCTTTACGACCCCAGCAACCGCGATTCGACTTCAGAACGTGCTGCAATGTCACAGCTTGAAGCAGAGATTTTGGGTGAGGATGATCGGAAGAACACCCGGTCAAAAACAGCATTCCAATCCAACACCACTACTATTCGCAAACATGATCCCATTCAGGCGATCCTTGCCTCGGTCGGCGTTTCTTACACGCACGAGAATAGTGAGGTTATTGGATCCTCCAAGGTTGAAGCTCTTTTATCGAAAAGAGCAGAGGAAGCCTCGGAGCCCCATCGAAAATGGGGAACGCAAGAGCAACTGGCCAAAGTATTTGAGGATGAATCTGAATCTCAGTCAGACGGCTTTGGTTACAGATCAGCCAACAGCGTCATGACTCCCAATGGTGGTATACGCTACATCTATCGCCCACCACAGTCAGTCATGCAGCGCCAATTTTGCAGCATGGCTCGATGGGCCGGTTATCGTAACGATGTGGTGAACTTTGCCTTGGTTGTGGAGAGCTGGACACAAGCAGAACGAAGAGAATGCCTTGATCGATTCTACCAATATCGAAGAGATTTGATGGACGGCCTGATCAAAGAGGAAGATGTCAAGATAAAACCTCAGGCACGAGCAGAGGTGAAAGAAGAGTTCAGCATGAAGACCGAAGTCAAGGAAGAAGCAAAGCCCGATGTGAAAGTGGCAGTGAGGGATGAGGCTGATATTGAAACCGAAAGTGAGGATGAAGACGATGAGTTGTGATTTGGCGTGACTGAAAGGGCAAAAGCTCTGGTCGGATTAGATAACGATGTTACGAACCCTTGATACCCCCCAATTGCATAATGGAGCTTGACAACGAATGATTGATTTCTTTTGAATAACTGGTTCACGATTCTGTCGACCTTATGTCTCTGCTATTGCGACTCATGAGTGGCTAGCTGGATGACTTTAATTATATTGATTGAATCCGAGAAAAATTCCCACCAACGGCAAATAAATTGCATACATTAGTAGTGCCACCTGCATCCGAGGTCTTCTAGCCGTTGATCATATATCACAATAATACTTCTCGCTACAACTTTTTCTTGTGTAACAGCAAAATCTATCCGTCCATTGCCGCTTGATCTCCTAAGATCTATACCTTCCCCACCATTGGACTCGTTCGTACCTAGTCTCAAGCACTGGTTCAATATGCAAGTCGGCCCATGGAAACCCGAAAAGTTCATCAACTTGGCCAATTCCACAGACCATTCTAACTGCTTGTAGAAGGAGACATCGTGAATTAGAGTTGCGGAGACGAAAACATGGAGAACTGGAACTTTGGGGCATTTCCTGACCCACCTGCTTTTGATGAACTTCACATTTCTAGTCCACCATGAGATCATCGTCCTCCGGGGACGTGGGAAGCATGTCGTCGGGAGACGATATCGGCATTAAACTCATGGCTCTTTGATCTCAATATAAAGCTCTGTTGTCATAAAGACCGAATATTAGGGTAACAATTCCAGGTAGGAAAATCGGCACCGCCATGCAATCCCTCCTTTTCCTTGCGAGCCTCGCGGCTGCAGCCTATGCCCAAATCAACCTCACCTCGTGCAATGCAACGGACCTCGCATGTATCGTGAACCGCACTCTCGCAGACCAAGCATTACTGGAGACACCCAATTACGTGACGGTTCCCATCGAGGATGATCCTTTCTACAGCACGCCCTCGAACTTCTCCGCGCAAGATGCTCAACCAGGGCAGATCCTCAAGATCGAAGCCCACAGCAACATCTCCTCCTACGCCATTCCACCCGGCCAATCGCTCAGCCGGATAATGTACACGTCCGTCGACGAGAAAGGTTCCGTCGTCCCTGCCACCGCTGCAATCCTATGGCCGTTCACACCGAAACCCTTCAACAACTCTTCGCCGAACACCTACCCGCTCGTCGCCTGGGCGCACGGCACCAGCGGCGTGTTCCGGCAATGCGCCGTGTCCAATATGCGCAACCTGCAGTACGACTTCCGGTCCGTGTTCACACTCGCATCCGTCGGCTACGCCGTCGTCATCGCCGACTACGTCGGGCTCGGCACGGACCAGCCCTTCAGCTACCTGGCGTACAAACTGCACGCCAACGACGTCGTCTACGCCGTGCAGGCCTCGCAGTCTGCGTTCCCCCAACTCTCCGCCGAGTGGGTTTCCTTCGGCCACTCTGAGGGCGGCGGCGTCGCGTGGGCGATCGGCGAGCGGCAGGCTGTGGCGGAAATCGCACTGCCAGGGTTTCTCGGCACCATTGCCGCCGCACCACCGCCGTTCCCCATCGCGAACACTGCGCCCGTGGGCCATTCCGTGTTCGTCGCCTTCCTGTCCTTCACGATCGCGCACCTCTACGGTCTCAACCTGACCGAGATCTTCAACCCGGTCCCACTCCAGGCGCTCCAGCGCGTCCGGGATATCAGCGGCTGCAACGACGCCGGCTATGCCGCGCTCGCGACGTTCTCCGCCGACGACATCTACGCGAATACATCGTGGCCGTTGTCCCAGCCCGCACGGGACTTTGCGAAGGACTATTCCGTCAGTGGACGGCCGCTCGGGGGTCCAATGCTCATCATCCAGGGTGAGAATGACACGGTCGTGGGCACGGCGGGCGCGCAAGCCGGATTCAACGCGACATGCTCGCTCGCTGGGCTGAATGGAAGTGGGAACGAGACGGCAGCGCTGAGCGTCGAGTACGTCTCCGTGCGCGGCCAGGACCACAATCCCTCGCTGTACGCTTCGCAGCGTCTGTGGCTGCAGTGGATTGAAGACCGGTTCAACGGATTACCGACCGCGCGCAGCGGCTGTTGGAGGACGGAGTTGGGTCCGGGATCCAATACCAATGTCGACTCTGACTCGCAGGGTGGCAATGCTGCGGCCCAAGTACAGCTACCGGAACGCTTTGTTGTGCAGTATTCTAGACCTTGGGTCACCATCTTCTCGTCCACATTTTTGCCGCTCAGGCTGCAGGCGGAGAACTCGGGATTCGTGGATCCGCCGTCGGGTGCTTGAGTTGACCAAATAAGGTCAATTGCAACGATGGGATCAAATATGGGAGGAATCATCATGTCATTTATCGTGGGGACTGATTTATCTCCGGAACGTCGAATCGTATCTGTGGTGAATCTCAACAGCAAGATTAAATTCATGAATTGGTGAGAACACTGCAGGAACTGTGAGCATTTCATTCACCTGGGATTTATTTCTGTAAGAAAGATAGCTGCTGCCAGATTGTTTGCGATTCATAATCAGGAAAGGAAGTTGAGTGTGAACTTTTTATCCTTCGATTTTTGTCATGGTGGTACAATCACTTGATAGCTAACCAGAATAACCACTGGCGCCAATGTCTGAAAACAGCCATAATTGCGGTTTCCCACTGCCAGCTGTTTGCTTGCATTACGAACGCCGTCCACGAAATTTGCATAGTCCGACATAACTCATTCAACCCCCTCATGCGATTATAACACAATTTCTTCGCATTCAATCAAGCAAAGGCATCCTCCCTGTCAGCCCAAATATCCTCCAACTCATTAAAGCTGCTGAAATGCACGGGACGATGAAGATCATCGTAGAAGCGACGAGGAGTGTCGATCTTGACATAGATAGGTCGCTTCTCCACCGAGGAGAAACTGGCGCCCATAAAACTGTAGTTCCAGGTATCTGTTTCAGGGACCAAGAAGTAGCCACGGATCTTGTCAGACAAGAGAAGTTGAGTTTTGACGCCAAAGGCAGTTGAGAATCCAGCTGGGTTGTCGGATTGTGTGTCCTTGTTGGATGCTCCCCAGGTGTATCCTTCAGGAGTCAGTGACCAGGATGATAGGGAGACGGAGCCTGGTGTGAATGAGACTGCTAATGTGATGGTCTTCTTGTCCCATGATGGGTGCTGTGCCATCAATTTGGAATGCATCGTGACGTCGGATGCGGGCATGTAGCTTGTCTCGTTGCCTGCAGCGGTGTGGATAATACCGAGGGGCTCCATTGACTTGAGGTATTCATGTTGTGGAAGTTGGTGCGGAAGCTGGACTTCACGAGTACTTCCCACTTGCGGGACCATGACGATGGTTCGGATCTCCTTGACTTGGTCATTGTCCGGTGGAGATGATCCATACAGGTAGCCAGCCGTTTGCACACGGAGATCGGCAATCGTAATAAACTTCTTCAGGATGTTCTTGGGTAGAATGTAGGTGTAAGAATCGTCAGCCTCCTGAACATCATCACTCGAAATGTAGATGTTATTCGCTCGGGTGCGGAGATTTGAGGTTGCAATAGCACGAGTTCTCCATTCCGTCTTGGATGCGAATGACTGCTGTTCATATTGCGAGGTGGTGGTTACAATGATCTCTTCCCCTCTGACATTCTGAGTTTTGGTTGTCACCGCAGTAAGTTGTTGTTGCTCTTCTTGTTGCTTCTCAATTTCTGCAGCTTGTTGTCGTTGCATTGATGGTGCAGAAATTTCCATACCCAAGATGATGTCTCTGATTTCGCTGTTCGTGAGTGATTGAACATTGACATTGTTCTTCTTTCCGTAGTCGTTCAGGATAAGATCTCGGAGTTGAACTTCAACCTTGATCCAATCCTCATCGGATAGACTAGGCCAAATGTGATGAGCTTGGGTGATCACTGTCTTGTCGGGGCGTAGTAGAAGCTTGGTTTTATCGTTGTTGACATGAAGCGCGCGCAAGATTAGAACAAGTCTGGAGAATGCAGTGTATGATGAGATACTCTTCAACCACTCGTCGTACAGATTGAACAGTACCATCTGCGGTTCCTTTGCCTGAAGAATCATATCTGCGAGCTTCTCGACTTTCATGGCTGCTTGGAAGGGCAGTTGAAGCTCTGAGGCTCGGATTGAGATGTTGGGAAAGTCGAGTAAATGAACTTCCAAGGGATCCAGCAGACCCTTGCGCGTCACGATCAGCTGTTTGGGCTGTTCTTCAACAGGCAAAGATCTGATAAGAGCAGCGACTTCTTCAGCTGTTTTCCATTTTGCCAACTGACCAAGACGTTTCTGACCAGCCCACACACTTGTGTGAATAATCTTGAGGAAGAGTTGACCAGTCTTTGGGTTGAATATGAAGATTGCTCCGTTGATAGGCTTCGTGGTTAGATTGCCTTCGAATGTCTTGTGAATCGTAACCCGATAGACGTTGGTATCATCGATGAACAATTGTGTGACATTGCTGAACAGCTCGGAATAATTCTGTGAGTTCAGGAACTCTTGCGTACTCTCAGAAGCATAAAGTTGGAGGCCTTTTCTGATACGTTCGCGAAGAACATACAGTGCAGGGTTGGCTTTCATAACCTTCGCCATGGCTTGTTGAACGAGGGCTTTAAGCCCAGGGAAGTATTGGCCATAGGCAGAATAAAGATTGTAAGCCAAATCAATACCAATCATGAGACCGGTGGCTGAGGGGTAGATACTCATACTATCGGTTGTGTAGTCCAAGAATTTGGCTCTGACATAACGTTCAATATCATGAGAATCATAGTCACCATACCGCAGTTGAACATCGATCCAGAACTTGTTTGTGGTTGTTGCTTCAATCTGGTCCTTGGTATCGAAAAGGAGTGATGGTCGAGTGACGTTCCACTTATGGCTTGCAAACAAGAGAATGTCTGCACAAGAACTATTCATCTTGTACGACTTTCGAGGATGGATTGTCTCCTTCTGTACTGTCTCGATACCAAGCTGCTCAAGTTCTTGGTCAAAGACTTGACAAAGATCCATTACGACAGACTCGTGAATCTTTTGCCACAAATGGGCTCGGAAAATCTGAATCAGAGAAATCTTGAGCGTTGGAATTTTGCCATGCAGGAAGATACCAGTGAGATCGAGCTGGACTTGGAAACCGACATAAACGTTCGCCCTAAACCCAATTAGTAAAACTCAAAAATCTGTGAGAAGGAAACTTGCCTATTGATTGTGGGACTCCACCACAGCGTGAATCGACGATTGGGAATTTGGTTAAGACCAGATCGCTGAGCATTAGTGAGCTTCTTAAATTTCATCGATTCTTCGAAACCGCTAGCTCTTTCCCAAAACAGACCCTCCCATGATGGAAAAGCCGTCGCCTTGAACAGGGTGTGTTCGAGAATGGTTTCCACTCCACCTAGAGCTTGAATCACATCGGTTCGATAAGCATTCAGGTTCCACAATTTGCCATCATGACGTTGACTGGTCCACCAGAAGGGGTTGCTCTTCATGAGTTGGTATTGCTTGAATTCTGTTCTGGCTCGGAATCCTTTGTCGAAGCTGAGAGTACTTCTGTCTTTCTGGAACAAGGTGTTGATACGAGGCAAACCACGGTCCCAACTATCTTCAAGGTCCTCGAGAGTCAATCTGCGGTTCTGCTGGTTGGCTTCCAAGCGCTTCTGGGAGTATTCCGTCCAGACCCTCTGTGAGTCAATGAATTCTGCTTCCCAAGGGATGATGTATCGGAAAATATTAGGAATTAGAGTTTCTTCATCGTGGGTCATTCCAGAACGATAATGCGTCACGCCAGTATCTGTCTGCTTCGACCAGCGCTTATCGCTAGTTGGGATCAAGATGTGTGAACCAGAGATCATTCCCAAACCACCAAGCTCTTTGGGGGTGTAGAAGACCGCGGGCGGGAATCGAGAAGGCATCTTTGAGTTCAATCCAATTTTGACTCGAGTTTGGATTTTTGTTTCGCACTTGACAATGGTGTCCAATAAGTGAACTGTTGATACGGCAGCCTCACGATAGTATGTGAAAAGAGCTATCAACGTTGTGTTCCATTTATTGGCAATCTTGGTGAATGTTGTGGAGCCAGAAGACATCAATATTTGTCGGATCCGATTGTTGAATTTTTGTATGTCTTCTTCTGTGACCTGCAAGAATGCAAATGCTGTTCGTTCCTTTGTTTCATTATTCGCAAGAGCCCAAACACTGTCCTTGATTGGGAATTCATCGTTCATCGTTCGATTCTTGGGCAAGATCCGAACCTCGAATCCACACATGGAGAACAATAAGTTGGGGTTGTCGCGCGAGTAAACACTCGCAAAAGTGTCATCCCATTCGATGGTTGTGATTGAACGAGGGAGTCTGTTCTTCAGATCCCAGAATACGGCTCGACCGAGGTTAACATCATGTCTCATCAGCCGCATCCGCGAGTCTCGAGGCCAGCATTTCTTGTTCCGGTAACCAATGACATTTTCGAAGTTCGGGTCTGGTTGTTCGGTTAGGAATCGTTGAATCAGATCCTTTGATTCATCTGCGGTAAATCTGAAAAATACCCAGATTCTATCAATATATCTGGTGTAGAGTCTGATGGGATGTCTTGTCTCCGTCTCACGATCTCGGAATTGCAAGAAATCATTCGGACTTTGCGGGGGTCCTGCAAGATCGCTAGCGCGTTGTAGGCCGAGCAGAAGCAGGTCAATAACCAAGCCATAGTATTGGAAGACAAAGCCTGAGAATTGAAGACCACGAATCATACCGTAGCTGTTTGTATGGTTCATGTCCTTGTAATTCAGCTGAACGTTGTTCTTTGATGTGATGTAATCGGCCAAATTGTGATCCATTATCAGTCGAAGGAGTCGATTTAGAAGTGTCAAATCAATCTTCTCGTAGACCTTTGATAGTTGCGTTTCGATCATGACATTGCATTCGCCATCTGCAGTCTCCCAAACATTCGTCAGATTGTTAATTCCTTGGGCCCATTTGTAGACCAGAAGTGGAGGCACCTCAGAATCAGACGGCTTCACCCAAGAGGGGAAAAGATGTCTAGTATCTGCCTGATACCAAAGATACTGATCGAGATATGCATCTGTAATCTTCTCGATAGGCTCGATGTCATAGACAGGATTGATAGAGCTGTAGTTGTCGTTCATGTCAATGCCGACTTCCTTGAAAGCTCTCTGAGTGAGCAAAAATCGCTTGATGCGTGCCAATGTGGTACCAGGAGAATCATATGCTTGCTCAATTAAAGCCAACTCTTCTCTCTGGCTTTGATTCAACCTTCCTTTGACGGAATATGCTTCTCGCAATCGTTCGAGGGCCAGAATGAGAATCTTGGTGTCATGCTTGTACGAGACACTGGGGAACGGAATTGGCGAGAACTTTCGAGACTCAAGCCAATGAACTGTTGTGGTGTAAATGGCAACAGCCTCCTCAGAAGACACGTAAGGGCCATCTTTCATATAGTTGTGCTGCCTCTCTTGCTCCGACTTCAACCACAATCTTGTCAGACGACCAAGATTCTTTTTCGCTACAGTCTTGTCAACCGTAGCGCCTCTTCTGATGCGTTCTCGATTGTAGTGAGCCACAGAGATCCACCAATCAGCTTTGCTCTTCACATATCGAAGAATGATGTTTTCAATAGGTGCAGGTAGGCCGGGAACTTTCCAAGGAATGTTACTCTTCCAGCATCTCCAAGCTTCCGACAAATGCTGAAGAACAGTATTGACCTTGTTCTGTCGAATGCCCTCAGGCATCATATCCATCAAATCGGCCATGACGGAGGCTCGGAGCTCAAGATCGAAGTGTGACTCGACTCGCTGTTTGGTAACAGTCTTCGCAACACCTTTGCTGTGACGTCCTTCAAATTGTCTTGATAGAAGGTTACCGAGCCATCTTTCAAGTAAAGGAATAATACCTCTCATGAAAAACAACCAGACTCGCCAGGCAGGAGCCCAGAAGCCACAGCCAGGACCCTTGCCAACAGGTCCGGAATTGAATCGATAGTAGATAAGATGCTTGAGATCCTTGCAGGATCGGATCTGATGCATAAGTTTGTACTTGTATCGGTACATTCCAGTCAACTGACCAACATGGTTGAAGGCGTAAAGAATACCATCTGCAAGCTGGAAGGCGTCAATGTTGCCCAGTCTGTATTGTACTTGAGCATCGACAATCAGCTTGGTAAGTCTGAGGATTTCTCGCATCAAGTGGAAAGCATTGCCGAATCTGGACTTCTTCCGCTCTTTCGTCGTCAATGTTTTGACAGGCTTGAGATTGAAATTGTAATCCAAGTGCAGGTATGTCAAGTTCTTCCGGTGGATCAGAAGATTGAGCATGTTGAAACCTTGTCGGCAAACCTGAAGACCAGCCTCAACCCAGTCGATAGTGGTTTGTTGAAAGAATTTGGTCGACTTGAGAGTCTTGAGGAGATCTTGTTTGCTTTGAGCCTTGGGCTTCTTCTTGTGTAGCTCGTTGAGGACGAAACTCTTCAATAGCTTTTGGTATGAGACACGGACTTTTACCGGCTGTCCAGTCGGGCAGTGTTCAAGATACCATTGCTTGACGAGTGGAACATCTTGAGCACGAACCATTTTGCCAGATCTTCGATCGAATGGGAATGGCGCCCACCATAGTGAAATTGCCGATGCCGTTTCACTTGTGTATAACTCCTCATCGGCGAGGAAAGGTTCGACATTTCCAGGCAGCTCAAATTCGTCGTCTTCATCATTTCCAGCTCCGAAGATCTCGTCTTCGTGACTGATTGTAATATTCTTTGGCGCAACAGACCTGGACGAAATAGGATTGATTACAGGGTCGAAGTAGAATGCGGGCAGATTTGGATCTTCTGTCCGGGCATAGACAACTTGTGGGTGGGAATACCAGGAAATTTTGACACTTCTTGGTAGCGAGTTGTACAGATATGGGAAAGCCACTCTGTATTCTGTTCGGATTGGTGCGCGGAAGATGATGCGATCAATAGCATTGAATTCACCGAAATCCTCATCATTTGGATCAATGTCCTTGTAGAGCGGTTCAAATCGAGGGCCACCAGGAATGGCAACGTTCAGAGCCTTGGCGGTAAAGAAACTCTGTCTGTCGAACATGTGGAAGTAGTTCTTGTCAACCACATCACTCAGAAGTCTGTGCGATAAGTTGTACAGGGTAGCCATCTGAGGAAGAGTGAGGTTCCAGGTCCGATAACTTGGACCATTGACATGCGGCGTATCCAATAATGGTCGATGCTCGTAAAACCACTCAAGAACAGGCGCATCTTCACCCTCATCCAGTTCCATCTGAATTGGCTCCAACGGTTCAACATCCTCAATGTTCTCTGACCAGGATAGGGGAGGCTCTTCATCATCGAATGGTGGAAATCTCATACGTTTGAAGTGTCTGCGATCACTCTTTTCCCGTCGCATTGAGACCCACATAGTAGCCCATTGCGCATGAAATACCGGCTCGATAACTCGAGGAGTTTCGTTGACTAGCGTCAGACAACCATTGACGTGGTAGAGGACCTTGACCTCTCTAGCACTCTCCCACGGCATTGGCATATTTTCAAGTAGCTTCAGAACAGCATGGGGCATATATTTCAATGCACCAAGATAACTTCGCTTGTCACTGCTGAACTTCTTTTGACTAACATCACCAATATCCTTGACAATCTTTCGTAAATGCTCCGGTGGCATGTCTGCTTTTTGGGTTTCTACAAACCCTCCTTTCCGCTTTTCACCATAACGATTTCTTTGGGTCCGTAGCCATTCCTTCTTCTTCTGGGCGAACTTAGCGACCTGAGGATCGGAAGGCGGACGGTATCCTGGCGGTGGAGGAGCCATTCCAGGTGGTGGAGGGGGGCCCGCGCCCCATCCTGGAGGCGGTGGTGGAGGAATTGAAGCCATGGCGTTGCTATGGAGTGATGGGTGGCTGTAGTGGTAGAGTGGATGAATTGATGTACTCAATTGAAGTAATTGTTGAGGTAGCTTACCATTTGGGAAGAGGTTGTTGGTCTTCAATAACAACTGAAGAACAAAGACCTCCTAATCACCCTTGGATGTTAGCCTGTCACCCCGATTGACCAGACTTCTCGATAAGTGGACGAAGAATGTGATGGTCGGAGTCGCACTTTTGCCTGCGAAGAACTTCTTGATGTTTAAGATCGAGGTTTGACGGAATTATCTCCACGTGACTTTGGTCCGCATTTCACGTGACTTGAGCACTACACGTAATGCTTGGCAACATCGGATGAATTGATCCGGATGCAGTGACCTATGTTAGGTAGGCGACATCCAATTATCTGCCCCTGCGCCACGGCATGTGCTCGAGCTGGATTAAACCAAGTCCTTCACCATCTCCAGGAATGCACTTCTCACTCCCCTTTGTCGGTTGTACCTGAACCCCTTGCATTGACCTTGTCTCGTTATGGCCCAAGGGCAAGAACCTCTCCTGGCGCGGCCAACATCACCGGGTTCTTCCAATCAAGATATCGAGGAAGAAGATGCTCTATTGACTGGCCAACCTACGAATCGACACAGTGGTTCCAACAAAAACCAGAAATGGAAAGAACTCGGTCTTTTCTTATGGGCCCTACTGGCGACCGTTGCTGTTGTCATTCTTGCGGTGGTATATCAGCATGAATCCTCAATAGCACACTCGAAACCAGCGCGCGGCGGCGGTTGGGGTCCTGATGGAAAACCAACAGGGAAGCGAAACATGATCTTTATGGTGTCAGATGGAATGGGGCCAACCTCACTATCTCTGACCAGAAGTTGGAGACAATATACAAGCGGGTTGCCCATTGATGATGTCTTGGTCCTGGACAAGCACTTTATTGGTACCTCACGGACCAGGAGTTCGAGCAGTTTGATCACCGATTCAGCTGCAGGCGCCACCGCTTTCTCGTGTGCCTTCAAGAGTTATAACGGTGCAATCTCAGTACTGCCAGATCATACACCGTGTGGCACCGTTCTGGAAGCGGCCAAAAGAGCGGGATACATGACAGGGTTAGTGGTGACAACTAGAATTACGGATGCCACACCCGCATGTTTCGCGGCGCATGCGAACCGGAGAGAATACGAGGACTTGATCGCGGAACAAATGGTCGGACATTATCCTTTGGGAAGAGTTGTGGATCTGCTTATTGGTGGAGGTAGATGTCACTTTCTTCCAAACACAACAGAAGGATCTTGTCGTGCAGATTCAAAGGATGTGGTTGCTCTTGCCAAAGACAAATACGGCTTCAACTACGTTGATAACAGAAAAGATTTCGACAGCTTGACCGATGAAGGTGATGTCAAGCTACCGCTGCTTGCCTTATTAGCACCAACAGACATCCCCTACGAGATCGATCGAGTTCATGTGGCGGATATCTACCCGAGTGAGGCGGAGATGGCTCGCTTGGCGTTGAAGGCTCTCAAGGCTGCTACCAAAGACTCTGACAAGGGTTTCTTCATCATGATTGAAGGTTCTCGTATCGATCACGCTGGCCATGGAAATGATCCAGCTGCTCAAGTTCATGAAGTCATGGCTCACGATGAAGCTTTCGCGTCCGTCTTGGACTTCCTTGAGGAGGATGACACTCCTGGCGTTCTTGTTTCCACTTCAGATCATGAGACAGGTGGCCTTGCTACTGCTCGACAGCTACATGAGACATACCCTATCTATCGCTGGTTCCCAGCCGTTCTCGCCAATGCTTCACACTCTGGAGAACACCTGGCAATCCAATGGCGTGCATACCTCTCGGATACAGCTGAAACAACCTCTCGAGAAGACAAATCAGAAAAGGTTGCCGAACTTGTTCGTGCTGGCTTGGGTATCCATGATTACACACAAGCAGAACTCGATGCAGTTATTGATGCCAAGCCGATCTGGCCACCAAGCTATTTATTCGCCGAAATGATCTCTCGCCGCGCTCAAATTGGCTGGTCTACGCATGGCCACAGCGCGGTAGATGTGAACATCTACGCTTCCAACCCTGATCATGCTCCCGGCCTCGTTGGAAATCACGAAAACATCGAGGTCGGCCAGTTTATTGCAGACTACCTCGACCTGGATCTATCACCGATTTCGAAAGAACTCCGAGAAAAGAAAGTCAAGACGAGTTCCGACGATGGCGAGATCGAAGACTGGGGAGAATGGATGGGTCCACCGGGCCTCTCAAACAATGAAAACGGGCAGCTCATCCATCTGGACGACTACCATGGTGACTTCAAGCACCGCAAACGGGAAGAGCAGATGGACTGCAATTGTGGAATGAAACATTAGACTGAACCACCGTCAACATCAGGGCGCGGTATATGCATGAAGGTTTTGCTTTGCCTTCTTCTCCTCCTTTGCGCCTACTGGCAGTGAAATGAGCGATCGAAGAAGTCGGTATGGGAACATGTACACTTAGAGTCATCTCATTATGGGAATCAGGTCGAAAGCCGGATGGATTACCTTCGTATATCATATGGCTACGTATTGCAAGCATGATCACTCCGTTGTTATAAACTCAGCCGAGATAACTCTGGCGTTGCAGGAATTGGAATCCGAACTATTACCTTTTTATTCACTAACTTTCCTGTCTCTCAGCCGGCTATCCAGCCCACTAACATCAGCCAGTCAGTAACACATTACTTATAATTAAACAATTAATGCCCATGAACTTGAAAGCGCACCCGTTCCCAACTTCACAGCAGCCAGAGTCAACCCTCAAGCCCCCAAATCGGCCCCACGTCCAACAACAGTGGCGACACAATGAAATCTCGGCGCACGGCACAATTCTGAGCGAGTGCAGGCCCATGTATGCACCGGCGTGTGCTCCGGGCGAGAGCGTCCACCTCGGCACGACTCCTGGCGAGCCGGAGGGGGATCAGGAAGTCTACTGGGTTTCGCTCATCGTTACCCCGCGCCGTGGGGTTTCCTTGTTCCTTTTCCTTTTCACTGGGAAAATGTACAACCGGATGTACAGGACACTGCGAGTGCGGGCGGGTATTGTGGCAATAGGTGGTGAGTCCAGGTAGCCGCTGGTAGAGGGAGGGGAGGTTCCTCTTGGGGCATCTAGACTGGCGAAAACAGAACCAGATGTAATCCGTGTGGCTGTTGTTATTTGCGTTGCTACATACGACGCCCTTCCGAGAGAAAAATAAAATAATACCGACCAACCGACTTCGGGGTTCTCTACTCCAACTCGATCGTGATAACTTGTCTGCCGTTCGGCTTTCCTTGCATTCCCTCTTCTCCTACTGAACTTGTAATTGCCCATCTACACTTGCGTAAGAAGTACCAGCACATAAACCACATCAGTCTTTGAAATACTTCCATTGAGCCCATCAAGCCCCCCTACCATACTCCTCAGAACCTCCGAACCGGCAAACGACAGAGACGATGGCGAGCGTCATGAAGAACTCCAACGCGCTTCTGAAAGCGCTGAACAATGGGTCAGGCCTATCGTTCGGTGCATGGCAGATGCTGCCGGGAACACATCTCTCACGAGCGATTGCGCGCTCCGGGTTTGATTGGATTTGCATCGACACGGAGCATGGAAACATTGCTGGTGAGTTTTGAAATACATGTGTTGAAAGACATGAACATACATGCCCGTATATGCGAGTGGAATAGAATGCGCTGACCAAGAAAACCCCCGCACCAGATAATGAAATGCACGAGTCGGTCCATGCTATTGCGTCGGTGGGCGTGTCGCCGATCGTGCGCATTCCGGCGAATGAGGGCTGGATGGTGAAACGTGCGCTTGATGCTGGTGCACATGGTATTATTGTTCCACTGTTATACAGCGTTGAGGATGCGAGGAAGTTGGTGCAGAGTGCCAAGTTCCCTCCGGTCGGAAAGAGAGGATTTGGCAGTCCTTTCTCCATGGGCGCCTTTGACATCAAGGGCGACCTTACTGGATTTGATTATATGAAGAATGCCAATGATCATCTTTTGACGATTGTGCAAATTGAGACGAAGGAGGCATTGGACGTGGTAAGTGATTCTTGCAGGTTAAAGTTGCAATTTGTGAGCGAACATCTTGGCTGACTTGGTCTCGTTGCACCACATACAGGTTGAGGAAATTGCCAAAGTCGATGGCATTGATGTTCTCTTTATCGGACCGTGGGATCTGGGCAACAATATCGGACATCCCGTCACGGGTGATTTCTCCGATGAGTTGAAGGCGGCGATAGCTAGAATCTTGAAGGCTGCACGGGACGCAGGCAAGAAGTCGGGAATATACTGCCCCAACGGTGACTTTGCCAGAAGATACGCCGATCAAGGGTTCCAGATGGTGAGTTGACAGATTTGAGAATGGAAGACGAACAAACAGTAGCTAACCATCTACGGGATTAGATCTCCGTCGTCAACGACATGACCGCTATTCCCGTTTTCATGGCCGAGTCGCTATCAAAAGCCAAGGGCTCATATGGCCATGCTGCAGCACAGGCGGTGAAAGGAGCTGCATATGGAGCTGCGAATATCATATCGGGACAGCAAAAGGAGTAGAGCGCTTGATGATATAAGAAAAGATGGACTTTGGTGGCATGGGAGACTCAAGACGTGCTCTTCTCGACTTCAGCAACTGCCGATTCGATCTCTTCCACAGTGAAACGGTGCATGAGTTTCTTCGCAGCCTCTAGAGTCGTCGTATCGGCTTGACCCAAGTTTTTGTCAATGTGTAGAACAGGAACATCAAAATCGTAGACATTCCGCCATTTATCCTGTCCCGGGGCTGAGATGTCGATTTCTGAGTAGTCAATTTTTGGTCTCCTTTTTTGGAACTCCTGAATGCGGGTTTTGGCTGTATCACACAGTCCGCAGTTGACTCGCGTGAATAATGTTAGGCGCGTGATGTTGAGTCGAACGAGAGTTGCCCTCATTATGCAAGACTAGGTGCTGCGCTTAACCACAGCTGTTTCGAGGTTGGTCGTTTATCGAAGTCCAAGCTCTTTGATTGCTGGTTAATCGTGAGTTTTATGTTAGGGACATGTTGCTGCTTTAGACGGAAGCGTATGGCCACTTTACACAGCTAGCCTTCACTAATTACCTACCCTAAGTACCTAGGTAGATTAGTCCTGAGCAACGGGAAGGAGAAACTGGACAAGGGAGAGTCGACAATCACGTATATATTTGTGGCCGGAGCCGCTTTTCATCTGGTCTCCCGTGTAGTAGAACCTACGTCTGACTCCTCCCCACACGAATCTGATATCGCGATTGTCCTACATTTAGTCAAATCGTGTACTGGTCAAGGGTACGAGGTTGATGCGCATACGAACATTGGCAAGGATTCCTAACCAGCAGCGGGGTCAATCGATGCACAGCGACGTCGTCATTCCAGCCTCTGCTGCTTTCTTTACGTCAAGAATTGCTACGGAACCGCCTGGTTCAGAGTCTCTGTTTTTCATCCGTGATCTTAAGGTGGTGCACCTCCCCTTCCTGTCTCGGTCACCTCCCTCGTCGCTTACAGTGTGTCTTTAGCATTGAGTTGGACAATCAGGCTGAGATTTTGAAGTTCCAAATGGGTCGTATAAGGTCTCGCACCCTGAATTGCTGCAGGCGCGTTTCATTGGCCAGGCTGTCATCGTATATGCATGACGAGGCATTTGGCGAGGCGGCCACAAGATTCATTCGCCTGAAGAGCAGACACAAGATATTGAACACGCAGTTCTAGCCCTGAGCAAACTGGAGTCCATCGCACCAAGTTCTAATAGGCCATACTTTGCAGCTCCCACTTTCAGCTACAAGCACCTGGCCCCCAGCATACGGTCGATAAGAGATGTCGACCCCGCTCACCACCTTACTATTGCCTTGTCGCCACGACGATGAAGTGCATCCCTTCGCCGTGTATTCTTCTTTGAGCCTACTCTTCCTTTTTACTACGTGAAGCCTACTACTGACTGCTTTTGCTTCATCAAATCATGGCTCAACACAGAAGCACTCAATTTTTCCGCACGAATACTCAGGGCAATTGCCGTGATTACCCACAGTTCGCAGTTGAGCTTCCTGGCGATGGTGTCCATGTCCCTACCCACTATCCAGAAGCTGTAACATTCGAAAGCTACTCGTCGCTGGCTCGGGAACCGGAGACAGCACCAGCAAAACACCTTCCGCAGTCACAGACAAGAGGCTGCGATGCCAAGACCCCAGCCCAAGTCCAGCGGCATAGATCCCCTCTGCAACCCCCAAAACTGTCAGTAGAATGGTCTAGTGGCAACAATGCCTTCGACCGCGACCCAGGAGAATGCCACAACGAGGTTGCATCAGTAGACATGTCCAGATCAAGAAGTGCGGTAAGCATTACAAATATTGGGCAAGACAGCAATGAGTAACACTTTCAGGATACATTCCTGTGTGCAAATGGTCCATTCTATCAGCCTTCCAGTACTGAACACATCAATCCCCATTGTTCATGGTATGTACGCCCCAAAGTTGGAGACTACTGCTGAATCGACAGGACTCCGTCTGGAGCTGTTACTCCGTCGAATTCTCCTGTTGGTGGCCACACTATCCCTGTGAGAGGTTGTCCATCCATCCCAAGGCGGAGCTCATCAATGGATATGCATGATCAGCGACTTAGTGTGTTGCAGGCCATAGCTCAATCTACACAACGATATAGTACTGCGTCGCATGAACACTCGAGGGTTCGCGGACACTCTAGAGGCGAGTTTCACAGAACTCATTCGTCGAGCACTACTTCTCCAAATCTCATTGACGACCGTCAGCAAGGTGCAGGACATTACCGCGTTCCTTCCGTGACAGTGGACAATCATCCACTTGAAGATGCTCATCATTCTTCTCAGCAATTCGTGGTCTCGGTAGACACCAACCATCAAGACTTTCGAGGTCGAGAAGAAACAGGTAGTCGATCATCGGAAAGCCTCGCCAAGGGCACTGATGCTGGACATCAACCACACGTGCGCCACAACTCGCTGGAGCTTCCGCATGCGCACTCACAGCGGTCAAAAACGCCAAGTCCAGATTCTTCGTATGCTTATTGCCAACGCTGCAAGGCTAACCAGCATTTTGTGTCATTCTGCCCCGCATGCGCGTATAAATACTGCGTTCCGCACTGGGAGGAGCAGCCGCTCCATGACGCAGGCCAAAGGTCCATGCATGGCGTGCCTCATGAGAAGACCGATCCAAACTTGGTCGACAGGATTCTGTCAATCATTGATCCTCCCGACGATGATCACAAGCAAGCGCAGCTGCACTTCGAAGATGAGCAAACCAAATGGTTTGGCGTGTTGCCCGATGAAGCTGGACAGCTGCAGTTTCATGATTGGGGACGATATGAAGAATTTCTCGGACAATCACACCCACCCATGAGAACTCAGCAGCATCCTAGTCTGATCTCCTTCGTTGGTCCAACTGGTGCTGGTAAGAGTACGATTGTCAAAGCACTAATCCGAGACTTCGGGTCGTCTGAAGGAGCTCAGCAACTTCAAACCCCTGTTGTTGGCCTCGCGAAACAACGTGCGATACCAACAAGTGGAGAGGTCCATCTCTACTGGGATCACGCGTCTCTTTACGGTCCACGTCCACTTCTCTTCGCAGATTGTGAGGGCTTAGGAGGCGGCAGTTGTGCGCCCGCTTCAGAACGAGCAGTGTCCGCGAGGCAGCATCGGAAGGACTCCCGGCCTCGAGGATCGCAACGAGGTTCGAGACAGGACCGAGGCTCGAGCCCTGAGTCCCCTTCGACAAGTGGACGGCAGAGCCCTTCTTTGCGACCTCCTTTATCTAGGGTATATTCACATCTGGCACCGGGGCGGGCTCAGACCGGCCCTCGGCCACCGTCAAATCTATCCCTCAATACCACAGAGTTTCACTCCAGTCCCCCTGCATACGGGTACTCGCCATACTCTCCTATCGAGCCATCAGATCAAACAGAGAAAGGCTGGATTAGGGGATGCGACAAGAACACGAGAGGTTTCACTAGACCGATCAAGTGGGCTTCTGGAGAGAATAGTGACCGCCAGTTTATTGTTGAAAACCTATATCCACGCTTGCTGTACACCTTCAGTGACGTGATCGTGCACGTTATGCGTAATGTTAAGTATGGAAGATCTGCGGAAAGTTGATTCAACTACTGATACTAAGGCAGTTCTCTGGAAAATGAAATTGGCCGACTGATCCGTTGGGCTGCAACCGCTGTTGAGAAGTCGTCCAATCAGCCAATGCTACCTTACGCGATCATTGTCATTAATGCCGCTGATAACAGCAAGACGGACGACATAATGCTCAAGGTCGACTACGCGACAGACAGTCTGCTTCGCGATCTGGAAAGCGCTGTCTTCCAAAATCCCCATTTCAATACGTGGCACAGATTCTGGCTAGACAAGCACCGACTAGACATTCACACGACTAAAGAGCTTATTAAAGCTTACTACAGCGATATCCGAATCGTGCTGATTCCAGACAAAGGCTGGCCTGGCCAAGTCCATCGACAGTATAAAGTGCTATTAGGTGAGATCCGGAGAGCAGTGGAAAGCAGCAAGAGAAAACGTCAGAGTGCTCGGCTGCTGCTATCATCATTGCAATTTAACCCGTATCTTCAAATTGCCTATGGGCACTTTTCCGAGACTTTAGACTTACCTTTCGACTTTGTCCAGGCGTTCCATAATTTCAGCGAGCCTGCACAGGGACAAAACCCAATCCTTTCCCTATTCAGATGCTATTTACATTCCCGCCGAGAGTCAAAAGCCAATCAACTGCTGAACAATGTTGGTCCAATCGTCGGATCATGCATCGCTCTCAATGCCGTGCGAAAGGAGCGGCCAGGTAGGTGCTTGTTGCTAATGCTGATAGGCATGTAGACACAGTCAAGATACAATGCTGACGAGCACTCAGGATCACCCGAGACGCTGTTTCCGGACTATGAGCCACAGGTCAAAGCGGCATTGAAGGACCTTTTCGCCGAAGCATGGCCATGTGAAGCGATTCATCCGACACTTAAACAAAGATGTGTCATTGTCCGAACTACCCACAGCACGAAGGGACACCAACTTGCATCTGGCAAGATCTGGAGTGGGAGTTACGAGAGCTCACAGTCTTCAAATGTGGACGAAATATTTCAAACCTATGTGATGAGAATCTTCCAGCAGCTCTTTCGGTACATAGACGACAGCCAACGGGCGGCGAGTGGTAAGCGCGAGTCTGTCGATGAGAAACGCACTGCATTTGCCTTGCATAAAGACATAGTGCTTCGGCGACATGGCCACTTTCTGCGGTCGGAGCCACGGCTAGCAAGCCACTTCATTTGCCTGTGCTGCTTATTCGATATCCCAATGCACTCTCTGCCATGTGGACACACCATATGCGAGGAGTGCTTCGTAGCAGCAGCAGAGCACCATTGGGATACGATCCACGTGCTGCACACTTGCCCGATCTGCCTGCAAAAACTAGGATTATCCTGTGAGATCTCTGTGAAACCTTCCACCGCTGGTGTTCGCATCCTCACTCTGGATGGGTGCGTCATACAATTCCACACATGAGCAACGACTGACTTGACAGCGGCGGTATTCGAGCCATCGTCGAATTAACGATTCTAAGGCTTCTTGAGGACCGTATAGGCTTCGGCATTCCTGTACAGGAATTTTTCGACCTCATTGTTGGCACTAGGGAAGTTTCCACCAGCCCATAGAGCCCTCATCCGTTGCTGACTGGTCACAGTGGTGGTGGCATTGTAGCTTTAGCTCTCGGCGAAAGGAACATGCATGTTTCTGAAGCTACTGCTATGTTCAAGGGCTTCGCCACTGCAGCCTTCACACCGCGTCCGGGCGTAGACATACCCATCATTGGAAAGTGGATCATGATGAAATATCAGTCCCGATATCTCACCGATGGCCTCGAAAACAGCCTTCGTCCAGCTTTTGGCGATGACCTACTCTTTGGAGGCCGTCGGACTGCATCTCTATCCAAGTGCAAGGTCGCGGTAACAACGACAGACACCAATGATGATGCTCGGGTGCTGGCAAATTATAATCGAAAGCAACGCACCGAAAGTCTCCACATGTTTCAGCGCTTTGAGAGACCCGAGCAAGAGCTTGCGGTATGGGAAGCCGCGCGAGCAACTTCGGCAGCACCTGGATTCTTCAAAGCCTTTCATAAGGATTCTAATCGTCACACTTATTGGGATGGAGCACTGAAGCTCAACAACCCGATATTTGCTGCGGATGACGAACGTCGGAACATCTGGCCAGAAGCATCAGAGCTTCTTCATCTGCCGGACATCGCCCTATCAGTGGGGACAGGCATTTTCCCGGAAGCTAAAGCTGCCAGGCAGAAACATGATCCTGGGCCACGATACGGGGCCGGCGTGATAGACGGCGTCAAGACCTTTATCCATATTGGAGTGGACGCCGTCGCGCAATGCCTTGATTGCGAGAGGGTGTGGGAGAACTATGTTCAAGGCGTTCTTCCCAACAATAACAACACATCAATGAGGTTTCACCGGCTCAACGTGCCCTTCAGTGGTGACAAGATTGAGTTGGATCATGTTGACAAGATGGATGATTTGGAGAATAGAACAAATCAATACTTCGCCAGCGATACTCAACAACATTCCCAAAAACTTGACGAAATTGCCATGCAGATGACTGCAACACTTTTCTACTTCGAAGTAACGGGCTCGGAGAAACTTCAAGCTCCTGGTATTGTTATCCACGGTACAATCAAGTGCCGCTTTCCTCGCACGGTTAGCCCGGAGGGCAGTCTTGCCAAGCTGGCGCGCGGTCTAAAGGAAATAGCTCCAAAAAATCGACATTTCAAGATATTCACAAATGCTGCGGAGCCAAAATGGGTATCTGTCCCAATCGGAGATGAATTACTTGACCTCATCGTGTCACCCATCGAGCCAAACCCCGTACCTTTCGAAATCGGCGTCACTTTCTATTTGCAAAGTCAAGACATCACGACTGCCATATCTCTTCATCTTGGTGAGGCACACAGCCACATGCCGAAGCCCCAATTGATCAGCGGATTTCCTCGTGTTGTCCTGCCACGACAAGCCCCGAGGCCATCGGTTTCAAATCCCGAATTGTCAAGGTCCGGTAGCGTGCGAAAGAACCTGACACCTTCATCCACAGTCGAAAGCGTAACTCCACCACGTACGCAGTTCGCAAGGCTGTCGCCCTCGCCCTCTCGGACAGGACGAGATCTTTTTGAGCTCGAAGCGCCTCCCTTTGCGTGATCGGAAACACTGTGCGGCAGCAGTGCTCTCCAAACTTTTAGGTTTAAACTCTCTTGTTGATCAAATTTGATGAAAACGGAGCACGCTTTGATAACGTGCAGCTCCTGGAGATGGAGTGTTGATGCGGAGGACCCCCTTGGAGATAAAAATTGCTTAACAGTGGTCGAATCTGCCAGAGCTCGCGCAAACGTGTGTTTTCGTTATCCTGCGTTAGCCTACTACTCAAGACAACTACACTCCCTTGTCGTTCGCAAGTTTCAATCAATTTTTGTACACCTCCATAACCACAGTGCGTGATTATAAACTCCCAGCACAAGCTGTAAAAGATTTCGGTTTTTCAAATGGCTATGACGAACTTTAGTCGGTGTTTATGGGCCTTAGTAATTCGGGCGGGACACAAGCTCCCTCGGCCGGCACTTTTAACCAACCAGCGCGTTTGAAAACTCATCCAGACCTTAAGTAGAGGCCAGGTTTCTTTCCACTTGGTCCTTCACCGTAGGAGCGACTAGACGAACGGCTTCCATGTGTATCAATAGTAAACTTTGTAAAAAGTTCTTCCCTTGATATCTTCATTGATCGAAATTGCCCCCCTTTCCAACTCATGAACAAGCAGAATGATCATGGCTGATTCGAAGTTTTAGCAGTCTGACCATTCACCTTAGGATGTTCAAAGACCAACCAGGTAAAAAGTCTCGCCAGGAACCAACCGCCAGAAAAGGAAGGACGTACGCAAGACACGCACACGACCGCGAAAGATAGAGATTCAGACAACCCAGCTGTCCACATACAATTGGCCACTCCTGATCAAGCTCAATCATTAAGCATCAAACCATCATGAGTTTAACCGAGGCTTAAGCCAAGTAAGCACCTTGAGTGGAGCTCGTCCGATACGACCGATTTCTCGAATGCTACCCTGGATCTCTCCAGCCAACGGGATCGTTATCTATCGGCTGACCATCATGTGGCAAGCCCCGCACTTCTTGAGAGAGAGCTTTTATCATTTCCCAGCTTGTTTTACATATATATTCAACAACCAATTCCTCTGCCTTTTACTTTTCCGAACCTAATCCTCGCTTGAGTATTAATATTTCGGCTCTCGGGTTCGAAATCCAGGATCACTCAACCAACCATGGCAGCAATCTACGATGAGGAAAAGCAGCCAGGCACACATCGCCACGGCCACACGCAAGCATCGACTGTCAATCCCAGCGATGAAAAGGACCTACACAACATCCCCATCGACGGTGACTCCAGCGGCAAAGCATCCCCAACGCTGCTCTACAACGACACAGCCATCCGACCCAGCAATGGCCCGTTCTCGCAACTCCGCCGCTTCGAAGCCCGCATGGATGCCAAACTCGGCATTGAATCAGAAGCAATCGAGCGGAAACGCCCCGAAGACAAACGGCCTGTGCGCTGGCACGAAGAGCTGACCATGGCTCTGCTCTGGGCATCTGGGACGATGAACACGTCGTGCTTCGCGACGGGGTTCCTGGGCTGGGAATTCGGACTGAGCCTGAAACAGGCGATCCTCATCACCATCTTCGGCTCTTTGCTCGGCGGCTGCGTGACCGGCTACGCCGCAACCTTCGGCGCCGCCACAGGCCTGCGCCAGATCTCCGTCACGCGCTTCAGTTTCGGCTGGTGGCCGAACAAGCTGATCGCGGCGCTCAACGCTGTGCAGCAGGTTGGCTGGGCGGCCGTGTCGTGCATCACGGGCGGACTGGCCCTGACGGCAGTGGCAGACGGCCACATCTCCCTCGTCGTGGGGATCATTGTGATCGCAGTAGTTGCACTTATCATCAGCTTCGTCGGCCTCAACGCAATCCTCGTCTACGAGCGATACGCCTGGCTGATCTACTTCGTCATCTTCATGATCATCTTCGGCGAGACGGGAAAATACGCCGACAACACGACCCCCGCCTCCGTCACCGGCACCACCCTTTCAGGCACCGTCCTCTCCCTCCTCGCCATCATCTACGGCAGTTCTGCCTCGTGGTGCACCATGGCATCCGACTACTACGTGCACTATCCCACCCAGGTCTCGCGTGTGAAAGTCTTCCTGATGACCTCGTTCGGCATCGCGATCCCCACCTCCATCGGCATGCTAGCAGGCTGCGTCGTCGCCTCGGCACTCAACAACCGGCCCGAATGGAAAGACGCCTACGAGAACGAGGGACTCGGTTTCCTCATCCAAGACATGCTGTATCCCCGGGGCTTCGCGAAACTGCTGCTGACCCTGCTCGTCCTCTCCGGCATCAACACCAACATCATCAGCATCTACAGCTCGGCCATCTCGTGCCAGCAGTTCAGCCGGCCCTTCGCCCGCGTCCCCCGCTTCATCTGGACGTTCGTCTGCTTCGCGGCGATCCTGGGCCTCGCCCTCGGCGGCCGCCAGAAACTCAACACCTACCTGCAGAACTTCCTGAGCCTGCTCGGCTACTGGTGTACCAGCTACTTCGTGATCCTATTCAGCGAGCACGTGGTGTTCCGGAAGGGTCGCTTTGAGAACTATGATCTCGAGGGCTGGAACGATCCGAGCAGATTGCCGCATGGGATTGCAGCCGCGTGTGCCTTTGGATTGGCCATTGTTGCCTGGGTCATGGGAATGGTGCAGACCTGGTATGTGGGCCCCTTAGGCAAGTTGATCGGGGATTATGGCGGGGATGTCGCGAATGAGTTTGCTTTTGTCGTGACGGCGCTCGTGTATCTGCCCGCGAGATATCTGGAGTTGAAGGTTTTTGGGAGATGAGGAAGAGGCTGGACAGGGACTTATATTTGTTCACCGGACAAATGATTGGTTCCTGAGGGTTGACTGTGATGTGCTAGTCCATGAATTCCGAGTATAATTTGATCACGGAGACAGGACAGACGCCTCCATTCTGGGAGATGGCTGTGATGCAGTCAATGCCCCATGTAGTACAGAGATCGAAAGCTCGACCTAATGCGATACCACTCTTGATCTGCCAGAAGACAATGTGTGTACGAATCGAATGCTTGTGGTACAAACGACACTCAGGAGGAATCCAATCTGTATGGAATTCCAAATATCACACTATTCGCTGCCAGGCTGTTCAATACACGTACATAGAGCAAAGCTGTAGCCACCTTCCTCCGGGGCTATCAATACTAGTCATTTTATCTCGTGCCACCATCGATTCTCATATCATGCAGTGTTTTGTCATATCATGTCGTACAATTCAGTCATCCCGTAGACCTCATGGAGGATGTCATGACTCGTCCTTTGGTGGATCTTTAGGCAGATCATCATGCAGCTCACGCCCGGTCCCCTGTTTGTGAGCGGTGGCGTAATTATGCACATGGACCGCCAGTTGATTTTCAAAGTAGCGGACATGGTGGACTTCTTTCGCCTTGTCCTTTTTCTTGCCTTTGCTCTGTCCTTCTCCATCTTCACTGCCGGTATCCCAGAATTTTCCACCTTCCGTCCCAGTCACCTCTTGGTTAAATTCCTCTCCAGAACTCCCCAAATGAGCAGCCAGGAAGGACTCAAAGTTCTCGCGATCCATCAACTTTCCTACCGCACGCCACAAACTGACATCAAAGCCAGCATGGTCCAGCGCATATGTGGTGAACTCCAGCGCTTTAATCTGATTATTCCATGTGGCATCTGTCGCAGTCAGACGCAATCCTATGGTTCCTAGCGGGTCCAAGTCGCCGGAGATCAGGCGTTGACGCGCGCGGTTCAGGTCGAATTTATCTATTAGATTGGTGGTTATGGGCTTGTGGGCCGGGTCGGCGCCGCGGACGAGGAGGATGCGGTCTCGCAGGATGTAGGCTTCGGGTTCGAGCTTGCGGTTTTGTGGTGACAAGTGGCTGCAGAGGTAGCATTTGTCGACTTCTGTTGAATCTTGGAATTAGCTTGAGACGGAAGAATTGGATTTGAATGTGGAGGTAAAGTAAGGAATAGTGCTTGCTTGCCTCCTTGGGTTCGGTGATTTTTGAACTCGTGCACCTTGACTCTCTTTGCCCGTCGCGGTGCGTTTCTAGACTCGATGGTTGGAAAGCCTATCGAGATGGTGTTAGTTCACGAACTTCTCGAATTAAAGAACAGAATGAAGACAGGCCAGATCGGAATAAAGAGAACAACTCACTAGGGGAAGGACGAAAGTGTTCCGGACAATCACACTCATAAGCAATGAGTAGATTTGAATGAATCCTAGGCGTCGCGACCTCCTTTCTCAACCGCTGCACGACATAAGCAGGGAGACTGGCGCCACTTTTATACAGGCCGATGAGTTCGATCTTGCCAATCAACACGGGTAAGATCTCTCCAGACGGCATGCCATTCCACTCGGGCCATTTAGGATCATAGCTTTGCAATAATTCCATGAAGAGGAACTTGGCGATGAGACGGATGGTGTAGTCCTCATCAAGCTCCTCCGACACGATGCACACGACTTGACTGCTGGGCGGGGGTTGATCTGATTTGAAGGGGACGGCTTCCTTGCCATCAGGAGTCATACGACGGACCATCAGACCAGGGACGAAGCCTGTATAGATCGGCGGGATCAGGTAGTCGATGAGCTGGTAGTCGAGTTGCCAGATGTAGCCGTGCTTACCGAACTTGCTCTTGACCTTAAAGGCTGCGGTGAAGAGTTGCAAGAATTGTTGGAATAGGATCTTGCGCTTGGGCATGCTTTGGGTGAGATACCGGATGCCATGCATAATCAGATACCGGATGTAGTGCTCGCTCTCGTCGGACTTGGATGGCTCTACTCTGGGCACAAGTGCCTTATTTGTTACTGATGAAGACATAATCTCAGTATGGCCGGGTGGTTGGTTGAGGTGGTAAGGTTGTTTTGATGTAAGACTCTGCAGGAAGCAGGTCGAGTAAAAGTTGAGAAATACATGGCAGATGGTAGTGAAAGATTTTTCGATTCACTATCTACCTGGGTAATGTCCTTCACATTTCGGCCGGACCTAAAAGATCACACCCTGAATGTGAAGACATTCAGAGGCAGCCACCAGGGGTTGATGAGATGACAGCCTTGCCAAGACTGGCACAGCCTCGTGCTGCTCTTGATCCAAGATCTATACAGGCTTCGTCCCTGGTCTGATGGTCCGTCGTATGACTCCTCATGGTTGTACATGAAATTCATCGGCTCTCAGGGACAACCTTTTACATCCTTCAATGCACCGCATTTCCAGCTTAGGATAATCCAGACCTCTAAAGCAAGCACTGCCGATCAGGTATCATAAGCAAAACAACAAGAATGTTGCGCAGACTGCCGGGCAATGGCCTTGGGAATGGATCTCCCCTAGTCATAAACAATCACAGTCATGTTCCTACAGCTGAAACAACCATCGGTAGCTCCAACCCCTGAAAAACTTACGCTATACCGGAGGAACACGAGATACATGAAGGTCATATTAATGATGACTATCACAGGATAAATAGCGCGACTACGGCCAACTTGGTGACGAGGCTATGTTCGGAGATCTTTGTTGGGTTCCAAATGTACTACTGAATAGACGATGCTGGTACCTAGCTGAGTAGTATCCAGCCACGTTTGTCAAAATCATTCTCTCCGTGGTACTAATTCCATCACTCCTGCCAGTTTCTTCGTCTCAGCTCTCGAAGCTTTACTTCCTCTCTCGTTCGGGCGTCGTATCTAACTTTTCGCATCTAGTCCCCAACCTCCAATTTCTTCCCTAGCTTCTCATTTTGACGACAATATAAAGCAAGGACTTTTCTATGAGGTATGCAAAACATTCCAGCGAATTCTCACACCATCTTAGATCCGTCAGCTCCTCAGTGCCTCGATCATATATTTAAATTCTGAATAACGTACCAACCAAGTTACTACCCATCGCATCTATCATCGTCGCAACGAGATATAGGAACGGAGAGCAACCTGGGCATCATTACTCGACTGAGTATCTGGGTGAGCCCGCAACCGCAGGCATGCATGGCGGTCGGAATTAATACGCCTGAGTTAGGGGAATTTGAACGACTCATAGACCTTCTGCCCATGAAGAGGAGTGACACGTTGTCAAACACCTCCATCGATCTGAACGATATCTTCAACTAACCTTATCCCTGGCCAGTCATGAAGCTTCATGGGAAGCGTGTGGTCGGATACCCAAATCACGAATCAGACAGACGATGAAAGAGTTCGACATTGAATAGTGACACGCGCAATCTGGTCTCTACGGCGTGAACGGAGTGACTCAGGCGCCGTTTGACGAAGTAAAGAGAATCTTATGAGAAATCGTGCACTAACTGCTTTGGTCCGTGGTTCTTTGTTCTGTTGAGATGGCGAGGATTGACTATCAATGCGTTGGCTATTCCTGAGCTGTAAGGAGGGATCTTTGTGGGCATTCCAAGCATGGATATATTGCACATGTACCGCGTCTTGAGTAAGAAACCCAGCTCGCTACTTAACGCTCACAACGGTACAAGCTTGTACCATAGGGTATGATCCCCTCCTTCATGGAAAACAAAAATCTTGCCTTGGAAGATTACTGCGCCAGGACCGGTCGATGTCCATAGATGAAAGTATGGGCGATCTCCAGACCATTTGTTTGCCTTCCAATCATATTTGTTGCACCAAATTTTGTGGACTCCGCCAGATGCCTGATGGAATACGCAAAATCTCTCCTTCTCTTTGTCAAACACGACCGAGGGACTTGCTGAGAGGAGTGTTTCCCCAACATTGACGTGCGATTCCCAAGTCACCCCATTGAAGTCACACGACCATAGTCCACCACTATAATTCGCACCTTGGTAAAAGCAACCCAGCCTATCGTGGTGGACAACAACGGATGGTGACTCAGAGATGGTATTATTTTCCACCTTGTGCTCGCCTTCCCAGTTCTGGGCATCACTAGATGAATTGTAGGTGATTATCCCGTTTTCGCCATAGCCCTGATAGAAGATGTAAATTTTGTCTCTATAAACGCAAGCACTCGGAGAGAACGACATTCCACTGTTTTCGATCCTCTTGGGCCCTGAACTGTGAGAAGTCAGTAAGCAATGGTGATGCACTAAGATTCCGTGTGGAAAGTAAAGACCGTCCTTGCATGTGAGTCAAAGGGCTTACCATGTTCCGTCTGATGACAACACGCTATACCAAAGTTGTCCAATCTTTTGTGTGCCTTGATAGAAAACATAGATCTTGCCCTTGAATGATATCGCACTTGGACTGTAGCAAAGCCTAGCATCCCCACAGTTTTTTTCGTTCCGCCAATTCCAATTGCCGGTCCCACTCTGCTCATATACGGAGTACCAGAGGCCGTCATCATTATTCTGTCCGCGATGGAAACAATAGAGCTTGCCGTCATCGTGTGCGACAGCAGAAGGGCTCCCGGATAAATATGCACCTTCAACCTTAATAGGATTTTCAGCGCTCACTGTTAGCGAGACCTCAAAATCGACATCCGTTCCTTGTGGATTGTTGTAATCCATGGTCAGTTCTGTAGCATCTGTAGACGCGCTGAATGTGTTTGTCGATGAATAGTTTGGGTTGTCGAAGCTCATTTTCAGAAATCGACTGCGGTTTTGGTCAATTCCAGATACGATTTGATAATCTAGATTCCCTGTGATCCCTTTCATGGATCCTTCTTTTTTCTGCTCAGCCATGCACAATCCAGTGCTCCTGGGTCCTATAGTTACTGGACCTTCGGACACTGGATACTTTGATCCATTATGCCACTGTCCGTATGAGAATCCGGAGTAGGATCGTTGTAGGGTGTAATCAGTATCGTTGTTGATGATAATCAACACACTTAAGCGGTGGCCATCCCCTAGTCGATGTTGTGGTTTGGTCAGCTCATAGATGAGCTGGCCAAGAGCCATGCCGGAGTCACTTGCGAAGCCCGCTGTTGCACCAGCCATCTCAATTACCACCGAGGTGATCTGTTTGGGAAGAGCTAAGTTGACTCGTTATCTGCCTTGATAGAGTGTTCACAGAACCCGAAGAGGAACGGTTAGAGTAACTGGCAATGATTCCACATATCTTCACTTGATCTTGACCTAACTTCTGGCTCAAATGCTACAAACTCCGCATAATTTGGGCAAGCCTAGGGTCGCAAACCTAGGTTTGGAGTTCCAAGATCATGTGAACTATCGACAAATTTAGGTTTGGATTTTTTACTTAACCTTTGCTTGAGAGTCTAGGCTTTGGGCAAGCTGTGAGTTGATTGTTTGTGATTCGATTATCACTTGGCAAGTGGGCGAGTGTGGACAGAGATGCCGCGAGAAGGCAGAAGTCATCAGCTGTTGTAGCATTCACAAAGTCTAAGCTGTCCAGTAGAATCGTCCACATCTCGAACATGGTTGGGTTGTTGCTTATCGAGCGCTGGATAGTTTGTTGATATAGCTGTGACAAGCAAATTTCATATTTCCTTTGAATGCTTGTTCTCGTCCGAAAGCTTGTCGGCTTCTTGGTTCAATCCCGCCCTCGCCCCCGCCCCCTGCGGAGCATCATGTCTGTATCAGAGATTCCAGGTCGCTGATTACAGCATGGTTCACCGGCCTAAGGTTTCCATCGATGCAGGGTCACCGGGAATAATTCAGGCTGGACATGCATCTGCAGGCCAAAATCGATACTTGGCTTTCAGCTTTGCATCGAAGAATGTGGCTTGCGCGAACCAGCTCTCTGAATTAGCCTGATGAACTTGTCACACATTGAAAAATTAACAAGATGCTCACTAAGACTGGCATCCCCGTACTTAGAGGGGTCTCGACCCCTGCACGAAGAATAGAGGCCTGTCTTGAATCCAGATCGCTCCGCCCATGCCGCAAGACTCGATCACCATTGTGGAGAAGTGGACACTTCACTAGACCCCATAACAGGAACGACCTATTCAGACACATAATTTTACTCATAATTTGTCTGGGGTGCCGTAGAAGGAAGAGTTTCAGGCCACGAGAGTGGACATTTTGACTTATGAATGACTAAAGGCAAGTATGCTCTGCAAGCTCGAATCTAGATCATGCAGCCATTGTGGGTATTTCAATACTCATTTTCGCCCACATATGAGGAATTTGATTTGTAGCCACAGTATTGCGCGCCTTTATCCTGACATCCACGCTCTTCAGCGTCTGTGGCAGCATCAGGATATGGTACCTGGCTAGTTTGATTAATCTGAGAATTTTAGATCAGATGGATGGCAAGCATCGTAAAAAAAGTATCGATCGAACCAGTAGAGTCTAAAGTTTGCTGAAGCAACAGTAAGCTTTGTCAGTATCAGGTAAGCTTTGCCAGCTGGCTGGGTGACTTTTGAAATCAAGACCCTTGTGTGACCGCAGCCAACTTTGCATTGGCTATCAAAACTGCCTACCTAAACCGCGTTGCTCGACACCGTGCGACATGGTTCTTCTGTACCTCGTGATCTCGATACTCATAAAGAGGGTTCTTCACATGACAAGGAGTATCGCAGACTGGCTTAAGGCTTCACGTCTGCATGTCTACCACCTCCTGGCAGTAGTTTCTGCCCATGTCGGGGTCTAGGGCTCGTATCTGGAGCAAGCCTACGATTTTAGCAGGAGCTAGGTCGTCTTGGTTCCTAGATATGCTTTGGGATGAGCGGGTAGATGGCTGGCCTGAATGAAGATCTCGACGATCTCCACCTAGCCACAGTCTAGCTTCTGGCATCTAGGCACAGATATCTTTGTCTCAGTCCAGCCGGATCGGTTCAGCTAGCCTTTGGCTTTACAACAATGTGAAAGTAGGGTAAGTGCCAGGCGATTTGCGCTGTAGAATCGGACTTGGGCAATTGCCTAGCGACGCCTGCATCCTCTTTTCTTTTCTCTGTATTCGCGATATGCACCACGAGATCCGAGCGGAGCTAATAAGAAAATTGCTTAGGTTGGTCAAACAAGCTGCCGAAACGCCTATCAATGTACTTCTTGTCTGATCTAGTTATTATCCCGGAGAGCACGATCAGGATGTTTTCCTTCATTTCAGCGCTCGCAAAGCGGATGAACATCTGCTTATAGTGCGTAGTAGTGAGTCTCAGATTTGGAAGAATCCTTTGGTAACTGGTCTAGGTCCTTAGAGCTGTTTCCTAAGGACTTCTGTGAGCGTTCAATGTACTGGTTGTATAAGGAGTCGGCTTCTCGACCCTAGGGACGCTTTGCCATCACAACTTGAACCAACAAATACGCGCCAACAATCTAAATTCATGGCTATTTGGTCCTGTCGTGCTCGCTTTCTCTGAATCGAGTAGTTTGATGCTCTGCAGAACCCGCCAAAAGGTGAGTGCTAGTACAGCCCTGTCTTAGGTGCAAATAAACACAAGCTCCATTAGGAACTGTACACGGCTGGCTCACGTTACCACCGTGCTTGCTGTCAGGCACTCTGTAGAAAGCGGACCAAGGTAGTCATATAGCTCCCGCACTTCAGCCCTCAGCCTTTCTCGTAGATCAAAATCCGGAGGAATCGTTCCATCAGCTGCTGATATACAGAGGACGTTTCTGACCTAACCCTCTCCAACGACAAATTGCCTCAAAAATACAAAATATGCCATGATTCAACAGCATTGTGATTTAAGCAAGGTTTGTAGATCAGCCAACCATCTAATATATCAGGCCAACTATCCTTGGACCCCGGATTCACTAGGTGTAATTTCCAAGATGTATCGATAATCGTTTTCTCCGGCAGAACAACTGTCCCACCAAAGTGTATCGTCCAAGGTGTAGTTGGACTAGGTCTCTCAAAAGCACTGGCATGGTGCTCGCAGATCCACTCTTTTTGGGTGGTTCTACAATTCCTCCTTTCCACTGCATGTTCGAGTTGGAAACCCAAAATCCCAGCTCGGTGCGACTAATTCTTAATCATCGAGTCCAGTGGTAAGGATACTCTGTAGTGGGTGAAGGTTGCTAAGGCAATTCATGATTACCAGGAGATGGACTTCTACTGTAATTTCGATATCCATAACTGAAATGTCACGGGCATTCATCTCACAGCTTATCAGAAGGCAGATTCCGCGCAATGGGAGGCCGTTAAACGGGGCTCAGCTCTTAACACGCATTTTCCGAATGCATCCCCTAAACTCCATGCCAGCCTTCTTTTTCCAAAACGCGATGTTGAACGACGAAGCCATCACTGCAGGCGACAAGCTGTCCACCAGCGACCGGTTTTCTTGCTTCGCGCATCTTCCACGAGCACGCCTTTTTCCGTTTCCGAACTCTCCAATCTTTGTTTCAACCATGGAATCTCTTCAAGCGAATAGCGATAAGCACGAAACAAAGCATTAGACTCCGATGGCCAAAGTTTAGCCGTTTCGCTGTCGATATATTTTGAGAAATGTGGGTTGAGATACTCCCAGCAGATGTACCCGTCCGCCGTCACTTCGAAGATGCGCCCGTATGCGCTTTCACAAAGAACAGTGTTCCCATTCGGAAGTCTCTGTGCTGAACCCATGTATGCGGTGTAAAAGGCGTCCATCTGAGAACGATCACGATATTCCCAAACAATCCTCTTGGTTGCCACTTCCACCTCCACCGCACGTGTGAATGACATCGACACACCGTTGCGAAAGCTCCCATTATCGAAAATCAAGATATTTCCGTTTTCTAACTCAGTGGCGTTGTGCTGCTGGGCCAGAACATCAGAGCCGAGTTTCCAAACAATGTTTCCACTTGATCGCTCAATGATTATCACAGCCGAGACTGATCTCATCGATGCCAAAATGTGTTTGCCATCACGCATAGGATACACGGCATTGATGAGTGGATAATGCTCCCGAGTATAATGCGGTTGTAGAGGATATTCATCCCGGGGTAGACGCTCGGAAACTTTCCATTGCCACACAAGCTTTCCATCTGCGTCCACTTCATTTATCGTATCCGCGTACGTGATGCCGTCGACTTCAGATCCAGGAACACCACCAACCACTTTCGCAGACTCCTCAGGAGACATTGCTTCAAGACTTGTGTAAAGGATCCTCCCATCACCATAGTGATATTGATCATGATGGCCAAAAGGATCAACGAATCGACGCACAACCTGGCCTTCTGGGTTCAACTCGCTCATCACGCCACCGCCGTATTTGTTAAAAAATGGAAACGGATATATACCGCCATCTTTAGTTGTTTTCTTGAAAGGTTGTCGCGTATTTACTGCGAGATTGCCGTTTGGAAGTATTCTTGCGTGCCGTCCAACTCGGCCCGGTAGTTTCCAAGAATGTAATTCCTTACCGTCGATATCAACAAGGTAGGCCACATCGCTAGTCAAGGGACAGAACAAGGTATAGCCACCGAACGACCGTGTCTTATCAACACCAGTCAACCCAACCCCTCTTCTCTTCAGCGTGTTCTGTTCCATGTCGGGAGATATGGTTTCCGGCAAATTAAAAACTAATAAGACCTTTGGTAAAGGTGAGTCTGGTCGTTGTGGTGTATTAGCATCACTTCTTTTGGTCGGTGGGGAACGAGGTGACTTTTATGCTGTTCACGAAGCTACCAAAATCCAAAAAGTTTCCGAGCATCTCACCCTCCACCTCTCTTCTAGCAGTGTACGAGAATCAGGGCGTGTTCCGGGGGCATGCCGCGGCCGCTGGCATGCCGTTGTTTTACTTTTCGCAGATCCCTACGGTAAGCCGGTGGTTTGCCTACGGTTTGCCTACGGATAGATAACAACCCGCCGGCCCGGACTTCACTTTGCATTCAAAGCAGCCTTACGATAGGTTGATCCAATCAGCACGCCATACTGACTTATCATTGTATCTTCGACTTCTGAACATCACAGCATAATCATTTGCGACGTTGGTGATATGCAATAAAGACATCAGGCATGTATATATTGACCGACATCACCATGAAAGCTAGCATGACGACCCATCAAGCCTTGCGCTCTCGGATCTCCCAAAGATATCGCGATACAACTGGCCAACTTGCCTGCAAAATCCCCACTTGATTACACGAAATTCTACAAGTCAAAATATGACACCTCTCTCATTGAAATCGCCCCAGGTGCATTCGACTGACCCAATCAGGGCAGAGTCAGAAATCGTTGCCAACGAAGATATCCAAGTACCGGGCTACGATGCAGACCTCCAGTTTGATGCTACAGAAGAAAGAAAAGCTAAGTTGAAAGCCGACTTATTCATCTTACCTTTCATCGTTCTCTTATTCTGTTTCCTCCAATTCGACAGAACGAACATCGGAAATGCCTTGACCGATTCCCTACGAAAAGACATCAATGTTGGCAACAAAGAAATCAATCTGGCTCAGACACTCTTCATCGTGGGCTTTGTCATCACCGAGCTGCCTTTCAATATGATCAGTAAAGTCATTGGTCCTGAACGCTTCCTACCCATCACAATGTTCTTCTGGGGAATCGCAACCTGGTCACAGATCTTCCTCAAAAATGGAGCGACACTTGCTGCGGCCCGCTTCTTCATTGGAGCTCTTGAAGGAGGTTATATACCTGGTTTTGCAGTTTACATCGCCAAATTCTATACAAACCAGGAGCTCGGTTTGAGATATGCTATTTTCTGGGCCAGCAATTCTGTGGCTGGCTCCTTGAGTGGGCCATTGTCAATCGGTTTACTTTCCCTTCGAGGAACAGATGGTCTCAAAGGATGGCAGTGGCTATTCCTGATAGAGGGCGTCTTGACATGCTGTCTCGCAGTTGTTGCATACTTCTACCTGCCTCACAATGCAGCAAAGCCAAAGAGCTTCTTCGGCAAATCCTTCAACGTCTTTAGCCAACGCGAGGCATCGATTCTTGTCACGCGGAGCATCCGCAACGATCCTACAAAGGCACTTCGCTATGGTAAACCAGTTTTACCGTCTCATATCCTCGAGACTTTTATGGATTGGCGCCTTTATGGACATCTCATCGGAGCGTTCTTGTCAATGATTATGATCATGGGCATGAACACTTACGCACCTTCAATTATCAAGTCCCTTGGTTTCTCTGGTCTGCAAGCGAATGGCCTCAACTCAGTCGGGAGTATCTGCGCCTTGATCTGGTCGGTTTCCTTGGCATATAGCAGCGACAGATTTCAAGAGCGAGGATTCCATATTGCGCTTGGATACCTGTGGGGCGCAGCAGGCTTGCTCTGGCTGGCCCTGGCTCCAAGTAGCGTTGGAAGATGGGTTCTCTATGGTAAGTCGAATTTTTGCGGATGCACGATGATCAGACGTTAATCAATGGCCTCTTATAGGTGGTGTCGTTTTGACGCAAATGGGAATGGGCTCTGCCCAAGCCATCAACGCAGCATGGTTGACCTCAAAAATGGAAGACTACAAACGCCCAGTCGCTCTCGCGGCTTATGTGATGAGCATCCAGCTCGCTGGCTTCCCAGGACAACAGCTATTCCGCGCCCAAGGTACGTTCGCATTCATTCTATCTCCGACGTATTCACTAACAATCTGAACAGATGCTCCCCGATATCGACGTGGCTTGATCATTGCCGCTTCTTGTGTCATTGCTGGTGCCGTGGTAATTCTTGTTCTAAAACTGCTGTACCGCTTGTTTGATCATGGCGATGCTGGGGTCGAGGTCAAATACGGTGTTCCTCGTCAAAACAGACGTGAGTCAAGGGAATCAGAGACTGAGAAGGTCTGAATTAGTCTGAGATTTAGGGAATGAAATTCCATAGACCAATCTTGAAGCATTGAGTTACCACACAGTAGTATCAATGATCTGGTCCCATTCTCTTAAGTCATCAACCTCAATAAAAGACCGTCATCGTTGAGGATCTTAAGAGCCTTGATGGCCACATCTGGGACAGGATGCTGTGTAGTGTAGTTAGTGGAGAAAGTCGTTGTGTTCAAGAAAGTATCAACGGGTTAACGGTTGGGGCGCTATGGGCATCCATATACATATATTTTGTGTTATATCTTTGTATTAAAGAAGATCTAGCCACATAAAAAAGAGAGGCTAAGCTACTATGGTTATTTTCCACCATACCTACTAGGCAGTCAAGAATTCAGAACGAAGGGCGAGGCGATGGTTATAATCCGAACCGTTCTCATCGCTGCGCGAGCCTGCTTACAGCTCGCATCAGATCTAATCGGCCTTGCGGCATCCTAAGCCAGGGTAGCACCAATAAGTGGCGGTTTCAGCGACCCCAGCTTCGCCACGCTTGTCCTTGTCAAATGCTTCCTCAGCCGCAAAGACGAGTGGGTCGGGAGAGCGCTCCTTCAAGGCGCTGTTCGGCATGGCGTTAGCAACCTATCTCTAGTCATTAGAGGTGGATTTCAGTTAGAACGTGAACGAAAATACCGGTATGGCGGCGGCGACGCCAAGTGTAGAGATGACAGCAATGACAGTGAAGGCCTTCATTCTTTTTCTGTTGTTGGTGTAGTTGGCAGTTTTCTTTGTAATGGCGTTCGTAGATAGTGACACAGCACTCAGTTGTTGCTGAAATTTGGGAGTTCATGGAGACGGAACCGGGTTTTTATATCCAACTCGTCCCTCAAATTTCATCACGAGCACTCAACACGGCGCGGCGCGGATGTAGCTGGAGTTGCATGATCAAACGTTGGTCTAGCAGCTGAATGGTCAACATTAGTCTCGCAAGAGATCTTCCATCTCCAAGTTACTACGATTAGCCAAGTAGAGTGGTAATAATTTCCATCAAGATAAGTTTCATGACCCTGGCTAAGACGCGTGCTTGCCATAGGCGGTGGATCAGGAACGCTGATCCCCCCCTATTCCCGAAAACGCAAGCGCACATTCAGACACCTGCCCTTTTGAGTAGATTGACTCATAGCTGTTGAAGTATAGTTGTGGGTACATTTATAATTGAGCAGGTGTTCTTCGGGCAGCGTTCCGTTTCAATTAGTCACATTGCCTCGTTTGAGATGCCGTCGTGTTACCCCGCAGGTTACTCTGTAGTGGTGTGCATTGTGACGAGCGGGTCTAGCCACACATCCCTTGGTGATTGTCAACCAAGACGGGGAGAGCCCGAGAAGATCTGATAATAACGTAGTGTACTCTGAACACATAGTGTGGCTAGAGCCTGGTAACACTCCTCGTGGACATGTAGAGATTGTTCGTATCATCTAGCCATAATGATGCGGAAGCAGTCTCTACTACGCTGGCAACCAGGGTGAGCAGCAACATCAATGGATTCTGAGGGTAGCAGCTAGGATCCGAAACACGATTTCAGCTGCTGATCATCTGCTTGGATTCGACACATAGGTTATGTGTCTGAATGCGCAGCATTGGCAGAAGTCAACTCCAATTCATGATATCAAAGAATATATCCGAGATTTTGAACTTTGCGCCGTCTTCTCAACGATATCTTCTGAGTAACGCAACAAGTTTATACATTGTCAATATGTTTCCGGTGAATCTTCAAGGCTATAGCGATCTGCGACGCGTCCACTTTGCGAAGCCGGATATTGAGGATTCAGAAGCCTTTGATGGCGTGCAATATGAGCCACACCAGCAAGGTCATCATCGATGGTGGCTTGGCTATGGGCTCTTCATTCTACTGGGGGTATCCATCCTCGTCAATGGCATGCAGTATGTCAAGAAGTTGTTAGACGCCTCCAAACACACACCGCACGATATCGATGACCTTTGCTCTATGTACACTTTTGAGTACCGTATGTTCAGATTATTTGGGTATTTGAGTACTATAGTTTGAAGCTAATAGTGATATATAGCATCGCCGATACAGCAAGACATCAAGGTTAAATACAGGACCACTAAGTTCAATGATACTTTCCTAGAGCAGTCAAGGTACCGGGGGTCACCTGGGCCAGAGACAGATCGGCTCTGGCTGGAACTTGGGACAAGAAGTAAGTTGAACTCCGGCTTAGATACGTATATTCTGATAACGGCGTACAGATCGCCACTATATCGTGCCAGAAGATAAAGGTCACAAGTATGGTCTCAACCCGGGTCACGCAAAGATCGATCCCTAGTACGGAGGTGGCTACCCAGTTCTATTTCAATTCGAACATGACCTTCATTGCCTTAACTTTGTGCGACAAGCTCTCTGGTGGAACTATGAGTACTATTCCGCGAAGGGAGAGGGTCCCTTTAGCAACTCTCCGGAAGTCGTTGAGAAGCATGTTGGTCATTGCATGGACATGCTTCGTCAAGCACTGATGTGCAAGCCTGACTTGCAGGTCTTCGGGCAGTATTGGATCGGAGATACTGAAACTCCATTCGTAGACTTCAACACAAACCATAAATGCTTAAATGTAAGTGGAAAACAATCGTATTGAAAATCACGGCTTACTTTGACAGTTCTGGGGTAAGCAAATCTCAGGATCACTCCAAGGTTGCGGTGGGAGAAAACATGGCGATCTCGTCAAGAGCTTCGTGCCTCTAACGCCTCCGCGAACTGATCCTATTCATGAGGACTGGCTGACTGCTACAGAACTTAAGAATTGGGTGACGGAACATCAGATGACCACCGAGATGTCAGTACTGAAGGCTGTGGTCCGACGGCCAGGTGATACTGTACTGGCGCATATTCCCTAAATCAATTGTGGCAATGGTCCATCTGGCTTTCTGCTTGTTACATCAGTCTGAGCAAAATGACTCTAATCTAGTTAGTAGGGGGAAAATGAATCTTGTTCTGGTGATGGCCTTAGCTGAAAGCGACAAAGCCTTGCCCCGTATGCGTCGTTTTTAAGGCTGTTCGGATGATGAAATATAATCAGCCGGATATGAGGATTATTAGTACTAGAGACTAGCTCCTATTAGCTGGAGATGCTAAGGTTTGAGAGTTTTAGTGGAGGGTTAGACTCATACTGTACTTCGTAAGGTGTGATCGTAAGATGTCGCCATTCTGATAAGCATCCGATAAGAACATCCTTTCTCTTGGGTCCCTACCGTGTGAGAACTCCCGCAATGTTCCAGCATTGTACCAGCAGCTATGTCTTTAATACCAGGACATGCCACCACTGCGTAACGGAAGAGCCTCAAAAGCATGTGAGGGCTGCAGGCGCCAGAAAACTCGTTGCTATGCTTCTGATAACGTGAACGGCACTTGCCTCCGCTGCGAGACACTCGACCAGCCTTGCTCTCTCAAGAACGTGTCTGGTGCTTCGAGCCCATATCTCAATCGACCAAAGCATACTCCCGTGAGTCGCAACGCCGATGGAGACAGACCAGTGTCGGTGAACGAAAGGTACGTCTACTCTCAAGCGAGCTTCCAATACTTTCACCTGTGTCGCCTGGCAAATAAATCGGTTAATTCTTGCCCTTCCTCGCCCTGAATGACGACGGATATCCGCGGCTCAACAAGCGTGCCCAGGACATATAGAGATCTCTCACGTTACCACAAAGTCTCCTGCCAGAATTCATATCCTGTTGTCTCTTAGGGTATTCCGGGATAACTGACAAATAATGTTTCAGACTCGAACGTCTGGAGAATACTGTTTCCAATCTAGTTGAGCGACTTGACTCAAGATTAGATGTTGGCCGAAGGGAATCGCCCTCCCTTCCACCACCAGTGGCTTATACAAGATCGACTGCCTCAGCTGAACCAATACAAGCACCAGTTTTTCTGATTAGAGATGTCGCAAACGATGTCGGTATTCATTCTCCGGACGAAGCAGGAGTATATCAACCTCAGTACTCAGATGTAATCTCTGCAGGCTTGGTATCTTTAAACGAAGCTTATGACCTTGTCTCATTGTTCCACGTCCACTATGGACGATGGGTGAAGTTCGAAGAGACCATCTCTACAGAAGTTCTCCTTCCACAGGTCAGGAAGTCGCCTCTCCTTCTATGCAGCATCTGCTTGATAGCTGTGAGGCACACAACTGAGGTGCTCGTATCAAGACTTGCACCAAATCTGTTCGACGAAGCCAAGCGTCTGGTCACTTCATCTCTACTAGTGATCCCTCAAACGGCCGAGTTCTTCCAAGCAACTCTGATCCTGAGTTTGTGGTCGACAACAATCGGTCAAGTCCCCCTGAGCATTGACAGTTGGCTTCTCACCGGCTATGCACTGCAACAAGGTCTTGCGAGTCCTCATTTCTCTGAAGTCCTACGAGTTGGCCAACGGTCACCAAGCAGCAGACAGCACCTAGATGCATGGTGTTTATGGAATCACATTTGCGTCGCTCATTTGCAGTAAGCAATCTTATTTGTCTGGCATTCTCGCAAAGACTACGCTGATAGTAATTATCCAGATATTGTGTCGGTACCCGAAGGCAAGCACTTCTGAATCAGGGACAGGTCGATCGATGCATGCGCTTTACCGAGTCCGACCAGATCACAAATTTTGAAGCGAGGATGGTCGCCGAGGTCAAGCTTTATTGGATCATCTACGAAAACTGCTGTGGACCTCACATCGATCTTACGGTAACGAAAACCAATCTGCAAGCGTGGAAGCAAGATTGGGCAAACCTGTTCGGTGAGTATTTCTGCTGTGGGCAGAGTGTGGCGAGGCTAGTCCGGGAATCATATACTGACAGTATGCATGGACAGACGAACCTCGGGCACAATTCCTCCAAATGGGATATCACTTCGCTTTTCTCTTAGCCTATTGCCAGTCATTCAAGTCGGCCACTGTGGCTGCAAGAATGCGTGGATCTGTTCTGGCCGAAATGATCCAGAAATGCACTGCAATCATCAACCTCGCGATGGACACAACAGACGAACGTACCCGTCACTTGACTGACCATATCTACCACATCATCACATTCTCTGCCATCACTCTGTGCGGTCTGCTCCACAGCTACGAGCCCAAAATCCGCGGGGCGAACCACGACGTCACTGCCCTGGACACTCTTGTCCTCCGTCTCGTCAAATGGCTTCGGTCCATTGGCCTCCCGTGCCACGCCGCACATCTTCTCGGTGATATCCTCTCGGCACAGCACAAGAAGCTCCGCCCAAACGCCAGGATATTGGAGCCCATTAGTCCCTACACAGGCATGACAGGCTCACCGAGCACCCCACTGAGACAGAGACAGGATCCGGGGTACGACCAGTATATCCAGCCGCAACAACAGCAAACACTGCCTGACAATGTAGCATACTATTTTCCGGATTTCATCGGCTCCGAGCTGTGGGATGTCGCTACAGATGCACCCGTCTGGCCGCAATGGGAACAGATCATGTCTGACACGGATATGTCAGTATAGTCGTCAGAGATCTGGTCTCATCCGATTATTGCGTTTCACTATCGACAGAGAAGCATTTAAAGTACCCCAAGGTCCGCCCGCATCCACAGGTCATTTCCAGTTCCAAGTCTACACTTGCTTCCGTGGTCAAGGGAAATTAAATCGCCCGTCCGGGGTTTTCCGGGGCACGAACGATATCTCAGCCTTGCGGCAAGGCATACCATACCCACCCATCACATCACAGCCAAGAACAACAACAGCAGAAAATTCCTTTCCTCATGTCTAGGTACAAAGACTACAGCCATTCACGGACAATACATCCATCTGTCCGTCCACCCTACGACGACACGGTAGAAGGAAGCAGTTCAACTGACGTCTGCCTGGCGTGTACCATAGCCCCTCAATCCTTGAACCCAAAAACGTTGACTAAACAAGAAAAATAGACAATTCTGCCTATCTAACTAACAACCCATGGAATATCTATTCATCTTGCTTTTGCGAGATGCTTCGTCAAACATAACACCCGACAGGACGGAGGTTATGGTCTGAGCCTCAATCAATGATACATACGCCTCATTAGTTAGTTAAGTTACACGGGAACAAGCACACAAAGACGTGAGTTAATAGTTTGATTGAGAAAAAAGAGCTCGAATTCCAGATTCATTCCACGATGACGTCGTATCGCATCATATAATCTATGCACAAAACGGTGCAGATTCCTGGTATATAAACAAGGAAAAAAATTCCCATTTCGTGATCAAAAGAGCTTCCTCAAGAACGCCATTGTGCCCAAAAAGGAAAGGGGGGAAAAACCAAACAAGAACATATGGATATCGTCCGTCAAGTAATTTGACCCAGAAGACTCATCAGAAGTCTAAAACCTTCCACCAATCATAAATCGCTGTGAGATTTCAAGGCATCCAACAAATGGAAACAAAAGAACAGCACTGCAACATCATTGCATGACCAGATGCATCAAAAGGGTATCAGTCTCTCCAACAGTATTAGTAGACTTTAATTGCCGCCCAAGTACATTTGGTTTTGTCCAGGATTCGAAAAGTCAATACCAGAGGCACTGACATAACCGTCATTGAGCTCGTCATCATAGTATTCGCCACCACTCGAGCCATCAAAACTGGCTCGACCCATTCCAACATCGCTGAGATCTCCTGGGTCGTCACTGGTTGGAACTTGTGACCAATCGATATTTTGCAGCGCAGGGTATTGTGCCAAGAGTGCTGCTGGTAAGGAAAATCCTCCTGCACCAGTACTGGGATCCATGCCGACCATCATAGGCTGGGGAACTGGCTGTAGTCCACCTTGCATGTAGTGGGCCTGCTGTTGTTGCTGTTGTTGTTCCATCATGTGTCTGTTCTGTCTCTCCTGTCTCTCCTCCTCCAGAAGAGGCTTGATACAGACTCGACCTGCTTCAGAGCGGAAATGTCGTCCAAGTGCATCGGCTCTTGCAAATCTGCGCCCGCATCCCCAATGTTGCCCAGGTGATGAATGAAGTTCACCTTTACAGACAAATTTCTTTTCACCACTGTGTAGCCCTTCATGGCGCTTTCGATCGTGCTGTCTTGCAAAAGCCTTTCCACAAACAGTACATACGAAGGGTCGCTCATCAGTGTGTGTGCGTAGATGAGAGCGTAGGTTGTATGCCCGAGTAAATTTCTTCGGGCAGAGAGTGCATTGAAATGTGGCAGGATGTTTCTGAACTCGGGTACTCGTACCGGGTGGAGCATTTGGTCTGTTGGGGTCTGCAAGGTCGAGGATGTAATCTCTACTTTGGCTCACAGAGGATGTTGAAGCACGTCGATTCTTCTCCACACGACCGGAAGCCACGCCAGGTCCTGGCGACGAATCTCGAGATACCGAACCTCTCTCCCTGTCTGGAGATCGCGAATGAACAGAAAGGCTCGAAGTGACATTGGTTGATTGAAGCCCAGGAGAGGCTGATCGAGAAAAGGGCCGCGTAAAGGTTGAATCGGATTTGCTACGATTACGACCTCCTGAGAAAGAAGTTAGTTCAGAAATACTTCTACTGGGGTCATTTATGTATAGACTTACTACCTGTGTTGTTGGGAGGGCTCAAGGCGCCCTCGGTACCCTCAGCCTGTGGTCCAAAGCTCTGCTGTCTTGAGACTGGAGCGGGTTCAATGTTAATGGTCGGTGGTTCAAACAAATCGGCCTGACCGATATCAGAGACCACTGAGGTATTGCGCATATGATTGCTAGGTAGGATGGGCGGCTGTACGAAATTTGTCTGATTAGAGAAGACATCGGAGCCCGGAACACCAAGTGGTTGACTCAAGGTCAAGTCTGGATTCATGCCAATTCCCACTTGCTGATTCTCCGTCATATGCGGCATCAACCTGGGAGACCGATAGGCTTGTTCAGTCAAAGTAAAACTCTCCAAGCCAAAAGCATTGCTGGTGTCAGGTTGAGCTGGGAGATAAGGAGAATGGCTACCGACATCATGGAGTTCCGAATGAGCGAGATAAGGGGAATGCTGGGCCGATGGGATATCAGAATTATCAGATGGAGCTCTGCGATGCTGTTGAAAATTGGCCCCAGCATAGACATCTCCATAGGCGCTGTTAGGGTCTAAAGACACATGTCTCGAGTGCTGAGGGGTGTAGAATTGACCATTTGTCGAAGCGGGGGAAGTAGGTCGCGAGCTATGAGTTGTTTCAGGGGGGAAAAGATTTGGTGATTGATGATCTTGTGGAGAGGAGACTTTACTCAACTCGGCAGGATTGATGTTGGGTTGAGGATTGACATCGTAGGCATTGTTGAGGGAGTAGGGCTGTTGGAAGTTGTTGTTCATGTCGTCGCCTTGATACATGAAGTTGTTTGTATAGTTGGGATCCAGTGTCTGACCTCCGTACTGAGAGTCGGAGAAAAGATTCTGTTGGTAATTGGTCGTATTGTAGAAGTTGGGGTCGGTGGAACCCGGTTGGAGACCTCCCTGATGTTGTTGTTGCTGATGTAGAAAGGGGTTGTTGAACAGCTGTTGGGCCGTATTGAATTTGCCAGTCGTCAGGGCTTGCTGAACGGAGGGATCAACGCCTTGAACACCTGAGGTCTGGTAATGATTGGGAGAAGGCTGAGGACTGATATGCTGGGCGGCATTTCCCCTCGAAGGGGATCGACCTCGATTGTTATCCATGACGCTTGAACAATCTTTCGGCGTCAAGCCTTAGACAGGCCAATGGCCTCAGCAAGGTATGACGAGTGTACCTTGTAGCAGGACAAGGTCGAATCGGATTTCTGATAGCAGCGCAGACAAGGCCTGTAAGTCGATTGGCGGAGAAGAGGTGTGAGTAAAGACTTTCGCTTTCTCGATTAGCCTGGGGCGCAGCAGGTTAGCCATGTGGTTTCTTTGATGGAGTTGGATTGGACATACTCAGCCGCACAGTGAGGCTATGTTGGAGAGGTCTGGGCTTATAAGAATTGGTTGGTGCCGTGGAAGGTGCACTCGAATCAAATGATGACCTTTGAGACAGGCGCAACGACCGAGAAAGGCCCAATGCAGTTTCTGGATGGAGTGGACGAATGCGCGAGGATGGGAAGTGATTTATGGTGAGGTGGTGGTGTATGGTGAGGCTGTAAGATGATTGATGGTGGATGCCGCAGTTCGGGGAATGAGAAGAGTGTGCGGAAGAAAGCTTGCGAGATAAGGTATGTGGAGTATGACGCGAGATGAGATGGGGTGGGATGGTTCAAGTGGTGAGTGTAGGATGATGGGAAATCCAGATACCTCTTGCGACCAACTTGGAATCGAAACGTGTGAGATACTGAGGAGGGCAAGGTCGAGGGCGAGAACGAGAGGGAAGATGAGGGTGAGATCCGAGAATGTGAAAGTGAAGGTGAAGACACTGGCAACGGTACTTGGTTAGTGGCAGCTGGTATCGTGTTGGTCTGTATGACCGAATTACAGGTGCAAATGTCGGCTGTCTACTCGAAAGAAGTGCGAAATAGCGTCCAGGTTGAGCTAAGGTTCAACTTGGCGGCAAAAGGTGATGGTGACGGTGACGGGTGACAGCGGGGAATGGGGACCTGAACTTGAAGAAGGTTGAAAGGGGGAGGGAAGGAAGTTTGGTTATAGTTAAGAAACTTCAGTTGAAGCGTGTCTGGCACCACCCGTACTGACTGTTGCTTAACCAATTCGCTACTTAGGCATAGAGGAGCCCGCCAAATCCTCGGTAAACCTTCATCAACGGCTTGACCTGTTATCTCCTTGGTCCTTTGCTCTTGGTTAGTTGCCTTATGGAGCCCGAGCCTTGGGGATTGATACCTAAGGTACCTATGGAAGAAGCAGGAGACAAGCATCATCGTCGACCTGGCCCACTGGCATCATGCCTAGACCAAGTCCTTCTTGAACTGCTACCTAGGCCTACCTAACCCATGCACACTCGATTGTTTCGAGTCGAACCTCATCCGTCTCATCAAACAAGCGAATACATTCCTCCAAAACACAGTCACCCTGTCACAGTCCCCGACCATGTTTGAGGACCCCACTCCATCACCCAAGACCACGAGTGTCTTTCCCACCTACAATACACACTGGATCGACAAAAGCCTAGGTACTTACCCAGTAGTCATCGTCATATCACGTTCTCGAATTATTAATAGCAACATGAAAGAAAAATGCATACATAATCATCATCATTTATTCCCCATTGATCGTCAACCCAAGTCATCTATGTACCTGGTATGTACACAATTATGTATCCCAAAACCTTTAGAACCTTTAGCCTCGTAATCACCACACCACAAAATGCCCAAATCCACCGTCTTGGGATGTCGCGTTACCCATCCAGAAGGCGACCCCAAGACACAACAACCGACTGACACGCATGCACTGGCATGTGCCACAATCACCCAAGGCGGTCGGTTGCCTGGTGCCTAAATCCTCCCCTTTTCCCCCAAGGTTCGCATGCATCTCTGCACCTCCGCTATGGATGCTGTGGCATAAGTGTCGTATATGGTATATCCGTACCTGGAGATCATGACGTGGCCCTGGGCACTCTGTTCAAACATCAGAACCCCATTATCGTGGCTGTGCTGCCAGCTGGGAATCTTATCCTTCCGTTGCCTCAGATGTCAGGCACCCTCAGCCTTCAGGCACCCTCGGGCAACAGGACGGATATGACGAGCACTACTATCCGTACTGGCTTCTAGTTAGTTTCTTGAATAATGCAACTTCTCCTAACATTTGCATTGCGTAATTCTCGTCTACTCGTAAACTTGTTGACGTGCGGAAAGGGCATCGGATATTCTCATCCAGAATTGTGGCGGTGCGCGCCATATCACTACGTTCTCAGGCACCAGAACGAGCCTCGCGTTCAAGGTTGTCTCTTCAGACAAGATTGTCCCCTCTTGATGCGAGCAGTCGTATGTCTCATATCAATGCATGTTCAGTCAATTCAATAACGCAAGAAGATTTCCTGATATTTTGTTCATTAATGCCGACCCTCAAGTTCTGTTGTTGTGGTTTTTTGGTCTATCTTACAGAAACAACGGTCGTCCAAGACTCAACATCCCTCATCAATGCAAATGCACTTGCACCTCAATTGCTCCCATCCTGGTAACTCGCCCTTGAATTTGGAAACCTCCACCCCCACCTCTTCTAATCGCTCTTTGTTTTTTGGTCTTGTGCAGTGTGAGCACCGAAATTCTTTCGTCTGGCCCTCCATCCCCGTTCTTTGACTCGCCTTTCCTGTAAAAACGCCTTGCTCGCCGGCTGAAAATGCTTCCAAGAACAAAAACACCCGCTGTCCTGGTACATAATGAGATAATATGCACGCTACCCACTCACGTAGCCGCACACAAGTGATCGTGATTCGTCAAGGTATGCCCGCCCTTTCTCGGCCGCCAGCTTCCGTATATGAGTGAGCGATCTCTTGGTCTTGGGTTAAGCAATCAATACCGTGCATAAACGGTATCAAGAGTCTCAAAATTAAAGAGTATTCGTAATGCGCGAGTGGTCGCATCCTCCTTTGTCTGACCTTGTCGTCAGGGCATGCGACATTCTATACCCGGCCTCGTTGATGGCCTCGACAAGAATTGCGACCGTGTGTGAGAAAATCAGTAAGAACATCAACCACAGCAGAAAACCTTCGCCAGCTTCTGGAAGAATCCTGGTTGCTGTTCTTGCTGTGGTGTGGGACGGCCTTGACTGCTTTGTAAAGCTCCAGTAGCAGGACTGGTTCGTTGTTGTCCTCCCACCAGATTGGCATTGCTGTTCTGGAATTGTGCTTGTGTGCTGGCAGGAGGTGTATTCATATCGAGTTGTCCTGCTAGTCCACTACCTCTCTTTGGAATGTTACCCCCGGCGGCGCCGCTTGTGCGATCGCGAGCGTTCTTCCCCAGAGCTGCCACTCCTGGCTTTGCTGGTGATCCTGGGGGCGGGGGCTGCGCTGCGTTTAAACGATCGGTCGGAATGGCTTGCCGATCTCGAGTTTGTCGTGTTCCTTCTTGTCCACGAACAGCCGAATTGCCGTGAAGCGCTCGAGCCGACTCGTTCGCGGGAGGGTTGACATTGTGAAGATGAAGGTTGGATGGATGGTTCTTGACTGCTTCCCATCCACGTCCACCGTTGAGCTTCATCCAGTCATACTCGCCATCCTCAACTTCTCCAGTATTCTTGAGAGCTTGGGTGAACAGATCTCGTAGAAAGTCATAGTCAGGGGTGTCCTCAAATCCTAGATTGCGCACATAGCTTAGGTATTTGTTGAATTCCTCTGTCAATTGATTAGTCGTCACGGCCTTGTCTCCGATGTTGGTGGATGCCGAAACTCACCTGGAAAATTTTCACATAGGTCCTTGATGGCAGTCGTCTGTTTCTTCTCGCCAATCTTTTCGTACTTCTGCTTGTTGGTGGCTGCTTTCAATCCTTGCCATGGTAGCCCACCTCTCAGAAAGTACATGAAGACATGGCCCAGGGCTTCCAGGTCATCACGACGCGACTGTTCTCGTCCCAAATGTGTGTTGATGCTCATGTAACGAGCAGTGCCTGATAGAGATTTGCGCTCACGGTAAGGGATGTGTTGTTTCGTTTTGGGATCGCGGTATTGTTTGGCCATGCCAAAATCAACCACATGGATCACGTTGGCAGCTTTCGAGTTGGGCCGTCCAATGAGGAAGTTGTCGGGCTTGATATCGCGGTAGATTAGGTTTTTCTCGTGAATTGTTTGGACTCTCGACAGCTTCCAAACAAATTAGTGATGAAAGCAAACGGGGATTTCCCAAGCGTACCATTTGTTTTGCAACCATTACCACCGTCTTGATGGAAAACCGTCGGTTGCAATGGTCGAAAAGATCTTCTAGACTGGGCCCCAGCAAATCGATCACGAGGATGTTGTGTAAACCTTCCTGTCCAAAATAGTAGACATTTGGAATCCCAGCTGTAACAGTGTTAGATAAGTGATGTTCGAATTTCGAGGCCAGGTTTCGACTTACGGCATCCGACCAAAATCTTGTATGTTCTGTATTCATCACGAAGCTGTGGAGCATCACTCTTTCTCGGTTCCTTTTGGAGCTTGTCAATCGCAGGTCGTAAGAACGGTGAAAGAGACCAGTAACACTCACGAATTTGATAGCAACTTGTTGATTATTGAGAAGATTCGTCCCCTCGAAGATAACGCCAAAGGATCCCTCTCCTATCTTCTTTCCGACGCGGTAATGAACACCAACAACATTCGACGAAGAGGATGCCATTGTGGAGAGTGGTGTCGACAGACGAGACGACGAGAATATTGTGGTTCAGAAATGGATGAGATCGACAACTAGAGGGAAGGGAGCCGGTCGAGAGGATGACAGTGGCAGTGTGACAATAAGATTCGGGAGTTAGGCGGATGGCCCTCCGCGCTTCTGCAACCCAGGTGTTATTAGCGAAGTGCAGATGGATTAGTGAAGAATATACATACAACGACCAAGAGGTCAAGCAACAACAATTGGCATGCGTTGAAAGAGGCCTTTTGGAGTATTATCTCGAGGATAAGATGTGGTAAGGGTAGGGTGTTACAATACAAATGAATGGATCAAGGTTGTTGTGTCGAAAGGAACCAGAGGTGCAAGCGAGTCGAGCTCCTGCCAAGAGAGACAATGGAGAGGCTTCCTTCTAGTTCAGTTGGGAAGGCACAGGCGCAAACGGAGAACCACTCCCCGTCCCCTTTTTGCGGGCAGCAACGAACACCAACGGTCGGTGCCTAAGGGAGATCTTCTCAATGATAATCAAAAAAGAGAGGAAAAGATGGATTGAGATGGATTGGACGCTCTCAAGATCATCAACGGGACGGTGAGGAAATACGGGAAAAGTTGGACGGTGAGGCTCAGACTTTTAGTGGTCATCGACTCGCGGCCAACCCCCATTATTGAAGCTCGCTGGCATGGCAGGTTGTGGGTGAGGTGTGCCACTGATGGTGGTGTTGGTGAAGGGGGCAGCAGAACTCACATCCCGAGGCGGGTACTCGTAGGGAAGAGACCGGGGACTTGGGGATGAAGGCGCATTGATTTCCAGCACTAAACCGCCCAAGGCATGCACGCTAATCGAAGTCTGGATAAGCCTTGATGTTAGTTCCCCGTTTTCTTTCCAGGCACCACCACCACCCTAAACTCTGAATGAACCCGAGCCCTTCTTTTTCTCATGCCACCAACGATGAACTAATCTGCCACCGCCTATTCGGGCTCAGTCCGGAGAACAAAATAGGCCTCGATAAGGTTAAGAGACCTCTCAAAGTGCACCACAGGCGTACCTAAGTCAGCCAGGCCAGGCCTAACTGCCACTACGAGGTACTATGGCCCGTACTTCGCCACACCGCACAATGACCACAATAATATTTGTATCGGTCATCATCAAATTTGATCTGTCACTACGATGGAGATCGTATGCTGCCACTGATGGTACCGGTACTCTATAATTCGTAGATTGTAGGATAATACACCTACCCTGTCGCTTGTTTCGTTCGTCCACAGTGCCTGCTAATAAGCATCAGCCCCCAGCCAGCAACTGAGAGACTGACAGTGCAACACAGTGCCGCTTCACCGATCGCAAATCATTTCTAAACGACCAAAACATCGAGGACCATTGCTTGTGGAACACGTCGAGATGTCAAAGTGCTAACGCAAATGAACTGCAGGGATCAATAGCCCAATGCAAGTGTCGTCTGGGGCAAACCTTCGGAAACTGATCCACTCGAGGTAGGATCCAGAGCAAAATGGCCGATTCATGTGGAAGCGCCCGGCATTCCTAATCCGTGTCGACTCTCCGTCTGCTTCCCTGCTTCTGTCACGATCACAATTTATTCAATACAAGGGAAACAAAGCAATCAACCAGTAGAAGTTTGACTCATTGCCAGCTCGCATTTCTCCTCAGGAGCCTGTCCGAGAGACCCATACTGCAACGAAAAAACAATATATGCAGGCACCATGCAGCCAAGCCTCGAGTCCTAACTCTACCCACACCGTTCCCCATGCTTGGACAAAATGCGTTCCTCATCATGCTTCCCTACAGTTAGTCGTATATGTAGAGTCCATGCTGCTAATGACTTGCTAGTCACCGAGGACCCCATCTCGGATCTGACCGCCATTGTCCGTCCTGCTCAACCCCCTTTGTTGTTTCGAAAATTTCATGCATCCTGGGCAATCAGTGGAGGACTCTCTTGTGCAGTCGAATGGCTTCGACGAACACGAGTTACATTGCGCAATGGTGAAGGTGTCGTCGGCTGAAAGGCTATGCTTCGATCCCGTGGCGTGCTCGCACCCAAGGTAGAGCTACTTTCACGCTTGAAAAGACCACCGAAATGAAGACTCGGGCTCTTTCTGACTGCCTTTTCCTCATGGCTTCCCATCTTTTGATTCACATCGCGCTGTTGCAGAGCTGTCGGATTGGTTCTTGGAAGCACCGACGCTCTTGAATCATGTTTTGCTCCTTTCCCTGTTGACCTGCCTGATCTTGATTTGCTGAAAAGGCTCAAGGCGCTACTGCTCTTTCTCAGAGAACCTCCGAGTGTTGAGCCTGGTCTCTTTTCCTTCATAAGCACTCGCGTTGGGGTTGTGTCAATCACTACCGCCTTGCGTTGCTCTGGTCTTGTATGCTTGATTGATGGTGGGGTGTCCCGAGCATATTGGCTGAGATCTCCGAGTGAAGGTGAGTAGATTGGTGCATCTTCCAAGCTGATGGATCCACTGCCGTCAACGCTTTCTTGACTTGGTGTTTCTACTCTTGGCTGCTTCATGATGGACATGGGTTTTGTGTCTGGCGGATGCATTCGAAGAGGATGGACCCCTCTTGGATAACCGGCAACTGGATTCGAAGGTATGTACGCGTTTCTCGTTGTCGAGTAAATCATGGGCTCAGGTGCCACCTTGCGCGTGGCTAGTATCTTGGTTGGTGGCAAGTTGGCTCTTCGAGATTTGGTCATGACGGGAGCTTCTAATGTGTTGGAAATTTGAGGTCTCTGCAAGGAAGATGTTCTGGCCGGGGGAGACGTTTTGGAGATACCAATTTCTGGTTTCTTGGACTCTTGATACCCATCGTTATCAGTGGTGCCTTTCTTCATATTGAAGAAGGACGATTTTGATTTGAGAAACGACATCTCTCGCGGAGGAGTCTGAAAATCAAGTTTGTCAACGGCACTAGCGAAAGATCTGGTCAATGATCCAAAGGCCGAGTCGCCATCTTCTTGTACGGAGTTGGTCCTTGCCATATCACCATCATTCAGCCCACTAAGAAGAGGAGGATCGTTTTGTGTGTCACCGAGACCGGAATTATGGTTTACCGACTTGCGTCGAATATGACTGCTCCATCCGAATCCTTTCTCCTTCAATAGGTAATGATTGCATGGTTCTGCTCTAGGTTGGGCGTCTGGTCTATCGGGAAATGTGCTCTGAGTAGCTGATTTACCGACTAGGTTGGGTGGGTGCGGCATCAGCAGAGGAGATTCCTTGCGGCCACCAAGTGGTGAACCTTTGGAACCTTTGAGTCTTGTGCGAAGAGCATTGCCAAGCTTGAACACACGTCCGCTTTTAAACCTTCTGGTGTCGAGTGAGCCATAGTTCTGATGTGGATGCAGTGTTTCCGAACTATGGTCATGGCCAGATGGACAAGATTTTTCTGCAGATGCTTGAGGTAGCCAACCAACTTGGGAATCCCATGTGGATTCTGAGAATGCCGCATCAGATATCTCTCCACAGTCTACGCCCTCAGCTTGAGCAACTTTGACATTGGTGGTACTAGTCAAAGTAGGAGCGGAAATGATACTCCTGCCCACTGTGGAGGTACTGGAAGCTTTTGGTAACTGAGCAGAGACACTGCGAGGGTAGGATGGATCCTGGGCTGATGATCTCTGAAGGGAAAACCACGACAACGGGCGGAGTCTTTGGCTGACCTTGTGACGAGCCGAGCGTGCATGAGAAGCCAATGTAGTCGACACAGAGTCCCTAGCTAGCAGACCATGGTGCCCATGGTGGTCGAGAGATGCTTTTTCGTACGACTGGACAGTGGTAGCCTGCGGACTAGGAGAAGGAGGAGGTTGATTGTAAGGATCACAACGATAGGAGAGACTGGACTCAGTTCGCTCAAGAAGTTCATCTTTCGACGGGACTCGAGCAGCTGAATACTGATGTCAGTCACAGTAAATCGAGCGAGAAAGTGTCTCACCTTGTCGTGAGCCAGCACGACTGAGGGACCGAATTGTGTTGAGTGAAAATAGGGAGAATGAGCCCCTGCTCTGGTTGCGTTTATGTGTTGTCATTATGAGAGTGGTGGCAGATTTCTCCAAGAAAACTCGCGTCTAGTGATGTGGCATCAAAGACTCAGCAGAGCAGAGAAGCAGCGATGATTCCTTCAAGGACAAAGGTGCAATATGAGCATCTTGACATTTATACGGCCAATGATTTTGAGACTGTTGAGGTTGCTGTCTGCCACACTGGCAGCAAAGGAAAGACATTCGGACCAGATCAACAATGAAGGCATCCTTCTTGAGGAAGGTGCATGCCAGGAAGTGTCACTTGGGAAAGCACCCATCTGAGGAAGGAGAGACAACATTCTAACAGCATTCTTTGTGCCTTTCCTCACAAACTTCGATTCACGGAAAGCAACCATCAGTGTCTCGCTTGAAGGCTGGAAGATAATGCCCTTTTCCTCCACGTTGCTCCACGTTATCTTCCATTGTGAAGTGGCTGAGTTAGGGTTCAGAAGAGACCAAAGCTTTACAACAACACGCCATGCACAAACATTGTTGCCTGTCTCCGGATAGAAGATGAAGAGATTCACAATAAATGGGATCTGGCAAGTCATATGCTAATACAATGGTTGCAGCTTTATCGTACTACCACTTACCTCGGTCTCCACCGATCGTTGTGGCGGAAGATATACCACTTGCACTGGGAGATGGCTTCTGCCATTATTGGGCCACACTCTAAGACAACGAAGCTATGTGCTGAATTCCTCATCTTTCACTCGGAGAAACCATGAGGAGTACTCCACCATGAACATCTAGTCTCAGGAGACTCTGTGTACCAGTTCTATCGGAGACGCTATAAGCTGTACTAACCTTATACGGCTAATCAGTAGAAATTAAACCTATGAAAACCCAGATGTCAGCTTGTTAGATCTCACTAGCCAGGCACTAAGGCCACTAAGCTAGCCGAGGCTAGCATCGGCGTAAACTTCCTCGACGTCTCGAACCATTCGATCCAGAAAGCATTATCAACGGGAGTTGTTCCCTATAATCGAATGGAAACGACTTTAGCTCCGCTCGAGCTGCTCTGTTGCTTCTGATAAGAAATCTCGATTTGATCCTTTCAGATATCCACGGGATGTGGAGGTTGCCCTCCTCTCCCCGATGATAAGCGAAGCACTATCACTCTACATATCCCGTGTGTTCGAGACTCGAGGTTGATGGATTATATCATACTTGAGAACCAAAGTCTTTTCTGTCCCCCCGGGAGTGTATCTAGATTGTCGCCATGGATTTCCATCGTTTCCCATTCTGGCACTCGGGTATGCCAAGCAACCGATACGGAGAGCGCTCGCCCGGACTTCGATCAAGATAAATACTCAGCATATAAATATGCCACCCTGAACATGAGAGCCTTGTTCGGGTATTCTCTGTGCCTCAGGACCCTTTCAGGAATCAACGACTGCTTAGAGCGTTAGGCAATTCACTCGTTAACGCAACAGCCATGGGTGAGAAGGACATGCCAATCGCACCATTGCAGGAAGTGCTCAGTGATGGTGGCGAGCAACAGGGAACCGTTGAATCCAATCGTGTGGAAGAAAAGTATGGGCATATGCAACGGAGGTAATGTGATCCTATCACACATGCTGGTAGTGCCCGAAACTCATGATTGTTGTAGGCTCCAGAGCCGCCACATCCAATTCATTGCCTTGGTAAGCACCCTTGCAAGATGCTTCAGCATCAGGAATCCTCGGACGCATCGGCTGACAAGAGACAAGGGTGGTGCTATTGGAACCAGTCTCTTCCTTGGAATTGGCTCATCTCTTGCTAAGGCTGGTCCATTAAGCCTCGTACTAGGATTTGCAACCTCAGGTCTCGCTGTCTATGGCATGGTGAGGTTGATCGCTCGACTATTGTCCCGGATCGCCGTACTGACCTCACAAGATGGTGACTCTGGGTGAGATGACAACCTGGTTGCCTGTGCCTGGCGCCATACCACAGTTCTGCGCACGATTCGTGGACGATGCGCTGGGATTCGCGGTAGGATGGAACGTAATGCCTTCTCCTAATCAAGCCTTCTACCACATGGGGTGTCTCTTAACATCTAACGTTGCTAGAACTGGTATTTTTGCGCAATCGTCGTCTGTTTAGATATCAGCGCAGCAGCCTTGTTGATCGATTATTGGCCTGGATCAAGGTCAATATCAGTAGGCCACTGCCTTCTCATCCTTTTGAAAGAAGAATAACTAACCTTCTTTCAGCCTGCTGTTTGGATTACGCTCATCATCGCACTCATTTTGTTCCTCAACATTTTTGCAGTCTCCATCTACGGCGAGGCTGAGTTCTGCTTTGCATCCATCAAGCTCATCACAATCGTCGGTCTTCTAATCTTATCAGTTGTGATCATTCTCGGCGGAGGACCAAGTGGTGACAGGCTTGGGTTTCGCTATTGGAAGGATCCTGGAGGTTGGGATACCATCTACCAGTAGAAATATTGAGTCCCGAGTGCTAATTCCAAACAGCCATGAATGCCCTCGCGCCCGCCGAAGGAGCTACCGGTCGCTTTCTCGGTTTCTTCTCAGTGCTTATCTACGCGGCCTTCACCTACGCCGGTGTCGAAATGATTGCAGCAGCCGCTGGCGAAGCAGAGAACCCTCGTCGTAATGTTCCGAAAGCAGTCCGTCGTGTTATATGGCGAATATTGCTCTTTTATGTCCTCGGTAGTCTTGCTATTGGGTGCATGGTAGCTTCGGATAACGAAAATCTTCTTGGAGGGAAAGGGGCAGCCCGATCGCCTTGGGTAATTGGAATTTCAACAGCAGGTATCAAAGTCTTGCCACATATCATCAATGCCGCGATCTTGACATCTGCGGCATCATCGGCCAACGCCTTCCTCTATACTGGCAGCCGCTATTTGTATGCGCTAGCATCAGAAGGTCAGGCACCCAGAGTGTTGTTGACCTGCACGAAGAGGTTAGTTTTCGCAGCATATCATCCATAACAGGAATTGACCGATCGCACAGCGGTGTGCCAATATACTGCGTCCTGATCACAGGGTCTGTATCCGTTTTGACGTACATGACTGTGTCCGTTGCTGGCTCAACAGTCTTTCTCTGGGTGAGCAATCCCAGGTATGACGGAGGTCGAAAATATGCTAACAAGAGAGCCAAAGTTCGCCAACTTAGTCACGGTTGCCAGTCTTCTCACCTGGGTTTCCATCTGCATCGCCTTCATCCGCTTTCGCAAAGCCCAGCAAGTACAGGGACTTACAGATAGGAATCCCTGGTACAAGGGCCCATTCCAACCATACACCGCATGGATCACGATGATATTCTTCTCGGTATTGACTCTATTCAATGGCTTTCAGGTTTTTATGACGGGCAAGTGGAACGTCCAGGATTTCATCGTGTCGTATATTGGCATTCCGTGAGTCGCATCACTTATACTTGGGTATTGTCCAAGTACAGAGAGACTTACAGTAGTTGTGAACAGGATCTTTGCTTTCTTCATCATTTTCTGGAAGCTTGTCAAACGGACCAAGATACACTCCTTGGAGAGTATGGATCTGATGAGTGGACGACGTGAAATCGACGCAATGGAAGGCAAATGGGTTGAGCCGGTTCCAAGAAACTTTCTTGAGAAGGTATGTGTCTCGCGATCCTCCGCAATTTGCTGCGCTGACCACTCCCTTCAAGATCTGGTACTGGATTACTTGAAGCTGTTCGATACAAAATGGCGACTCTCCAAGGTCTATGGTCCTATGTTGCGTCCTGTGAAGTCAGGCCAAGATAACCACTCCGCGCCTTATTCCATAGATGATCAAGAGACTATCAAATAATAGGGTTCGAGCAAGAAGGGATGATGATTCCGCTGCGAGTTCTAGGGAACTCGGAGAGCAACGCTGTTTGACCCTCACGCAGAATCCGGAATTTAATTCTTTGCCACTCGTTATCCTTTGGCAGAAACATACCTACAAGCCTATTTGAACGTGATGCAATGGAAATTTCTCCGACGGACATTAATGTATCGGTGAGATTGTAGTTGAGAAGAGATCTCCAATATTGTTTATTAGCTAGTGAACAACCATCTCGTGCTGGTGACGTGGGGGAACACCGATGCGCCGTGTCCATGCCGGGTGTCCCCGTGCGTGAAAACCCCGCGATCTTCCAATGCTTCTGGGGACATGATTTATCAACAAACCCAAGCATGCTCTATTCTCCAAAATCCAGATAACTACCGCGGTGCCTCCACGGGCCCCTCCATATTCTTCCGACCCATAACCGAGCAGACTTGGTTAGTGATCTTGAGGAGATCTGAGACCTTGACAAAACCTTACCCACTTTGCTCAAACTGTTCATTATCGGAATCAAACTTGAAACCTTTAATCAGCATAGCATTCAACAACGCTAACATGCCGTATTCGCTGAAAGGCCGCAATGTGCTCGTGACAGGAGGGTCGAGGTCGGTCGTCCCCTTTTTTTTGAGAAGTACATGGTGTGCGGATGACATGATCAGGCTGACAAATGGGATGTAGAGGACTAGGTGCTTTACTGGCGGAGAAATTCGCAGCTGAAGGTGCCAACGTCGTGGTGAACTATGTGGCCAGCAAAGACCGGGCTGAGGAGGTCGCGGAGAAGATCAAGAAGGAATATGGCATAAAGGCACATGTCATTCAAGCTGTGAGTCCTGCTTGAAGGAGTGACAGGTATGATGGATGACTGGGGAGAGCTAACATAACACGAATGAAGGATATTGGCGTTGTGGCAGATACCCAAAGGCTTGTGAAGGAGACGGTGGAGGTTCTTGGTGGTCTTGATGTTATCATCAATAACGCTGGCTGGACCAGGTTCAGCACGTTTGGCGATATCAATGATCTGAGCCATGATGAGTGGAATAAGGTAATAATTTCAAACCGAAGCAATCTATTGTGTGGTTTGCGAATACTGACTTCAGGTAGTGCTGGTCGACGAACGTCATGTCGCATTTGGTCTTGCTTCAGGAGGCTGCCCCTATCTTCAATGCTAACCCTGATGGTGGCGTGTTTCTGATTTCCTCGAGTATAGCGGTAGGGTATCTCAAATCATTTGCTTTGCAGTTTGTTGAACATCGGTCTAGGGTATTGTCACTGGTGGCAGTAGCATGGCATATTCCGTTACCAAGGCCGCAGGGCTTCATCTGATGAAATGCTTGGCCTTTACACAAGGACCAAAAATTCGGATCAATTCTGTTTTACCAGGTCTCTTGTTGACGGAATGGGTGAGAAGTCAAAGAGCTCTGTGTGTACAGAGCCATATACTAACACACTCTCTTAGGGACAGAAATACGGCGAGGAGAAGATTCAGGCCAATATTCAATCGGCTGCTCTTAAGCATGAGGTTTGTCTAGACCCCTTCAGAGCGAATTGGGTACTGACAAGGACTAGACGTATCTCGATGACTGTGCAGATGCATTCATTGCATCGGCGAAGAACACATCACAGACAGGACAACAGATCGTCGTTGGTGGGTCAAGTCTCTGCAGCATTCTCGAACGGTGCTTTGCTAACCTTTCAAGATGCCGGTCTCGCCATTAGATGAGTCATTTAGCTCTTAGGGGCTACCTCGGAAAGGGGGTGGGAAAATCGATATACGAGATACGGTCCAAACTTGATAGGTTCGTCGAAAAGCTCTGCTTTGGCCGCGGTCTTTGCAGCGGCATCTTGTGATTTTGAGGGAATCGTGATATCCGTGATGACCAGCTGGCTGGGCCCTCCAAGTCGATCCGGTGTGACGTTGATAAAGAGAGGTGCTTGACATTCGCGGATGTTTGTATTTCGATCGATAAACGTATAGGGTACACCCTTTGGAATCAACAGCAATTCGTCTTGCAATTCCAACGGAATGTCGTGGCTAGTAGGCGATCGCAGCCACTCTGAAATTTTGAACCTGACCGGCTTTATACTCCCGTTGGGGGTGGCTTCCGCAATGAGTTTGAATGGCTGTATGGCACGATTTAGCCTGAGAATGGCAGCTCTGGTCATGGTGTGAAAGTCAACCATTCCTGTCTGTGGACTGATTTTAGGAGCCTTGGTGAGCTCACGCTGATCTACACTCGTTGACACAGGCACATACGGTGGCACATACAGCCTGTTCCTGATCGCGCGGACCAGCATTTGTGAGCCCAAGGTAGCCAGTGTCGTAGTCAGATCCTGTGGCTGTATGTTGTCGGGAATCCGGACACCAGGATAAGGCGTCTGATCAAGCACAATTCCGTGATCGAACTTGGTAGGATGCAGGGTTTGAACAGACACGCCTGTGTGTGAAAGACCTCGTAAAATAGCCCACTGGATTGGTGCCGCCCCTCGTAGATCTGGTAACATGGAGGGGTGCACGTTAAGTCCGCCATACTCTGAGCCGTTGATGATTCTCATTGGAATTAACAGTCCAAATGACACGGCAATGACTAAGTTGATCTCGGAATTGAAACTAGTGTTGTATACTGGAGGTTGCCAGTTATCGAAGGTGTTGATTCGATGGAGAGGGAGTCCATGCCTCTCGGCAACCTGCTTTATGTACGGGGTATATTTTTCGCGGTAGTTTCGACCTTTCAACTTGTCCGTCAATGTGACCACATCTATAGAGAGAATATGGCTGTCGGGAGACTTGAACTCTGCATATAAGGCATCGAGAGATGTCGCACTGAATTCATCGGATCCACAAAAGAGAATCCGTAATGGTTTGCTACTCTTGGCCTCGGGATTTGTAGATAGCCAACAACGTGATTGCTTTTGATAGAGACTTGGCTTGAAATTCCTGGGCCGAGGAACAACTCGTCTGATGTGTGACCAAGGAATGATAAGTTTCATCGAGCTTTTGATATCAAATTAAGCTTGGATTAGGATTGACTCATTCGGTTCTGATGGCAGACGAGAAAAATGTAGATGTTTAAGGAGCCACTAAGGCGAAATAATATACTGCTTTAATGGGTTAGTTCTGCTGGCGGTAACTTGATTTGGCAGCCTTGGGTAAATTGACTAAACAGCTTTAATGACATAAATGGTCTATTGACAAATCCTCGCTCTTCAATGCCTCGGTCCGGCACAGTAGTAGCCATTATTACTACTGATACCCGCGACAGCAGTTCGAAACTATCATCCTTTTTTAATCTGGTCAATCACAACGAGAATTCTATATCAGACTAGTGGATTCCACAAGTCCTGCATACTCTTACCATACAGGCGATCACAGCTTTTCCCTCAGGCCCATCAGGTTACCACCAGATACTTTTCCTTAAGACTTTACTACCCCGCAACTCGTCATCAGCCCAGCTTGTCGTTATCCAGACCGTCGAAGTTGCTACTCCCAAGACCAGAATTACTCACTGGGGCTCACGAAAGCCGCTACACTTGTCTGTGAGGACCAAGGGACGGTCTTCTCGATAACTATAAATATGGCTGAACCAACACAGCCAACGGCTTCAAAGCCACCTGACGTTGCCGTAGAGGACGATTCTGACCCCGACTTTGACGACCTAGATGGTACGTAGCATGCATTCCACAGTTCTCAGGATCATTTCGATGCTAAGATCTATCACTTGAACAGATGTACTCGACCAATTCTCCACCGCGACAGCCTCACAGCAACCTGCGACTGTCACCAGCGCAGCGAAATCCCAGCATGACCCTACGCCCTCATCATCTGGCCCAGGCAGACCAGGAGGAGACGGTCTGGAGCCAGGCACGTCTTCAGCAACAGCACTACCCTCTGACATTCCCATCCCATCGGGGCCCAAACCGAATGAATCCGAGGACGAATTCCTCGCAAGATTGACGGCTGAGATGTCAACGGTCATGTCAAAATTCTCCATGGATCCAGCGGTATCGACTGCATCGCCGGAGGACATTGCCAAGATGGGGCAGGAGTTAGAAGAATTTACACAAAGGATGGAGGCCGAGGGCATACAGCCAGAAGACATGTTGAAGGCAATTCTGGGCGAAGATGCGGGCAGCAAAGTCGTCGATGTGGCAGAGAAAGAGCGCGACCGACGGGAATCCGAGTCTCAACCCAAGTCAAGAAGTCCCGAAAAATCAAGGCCAAAAGACCAGACTTCGACCACAGCCGAATCTTCTAGCTCCCAACCCAAATCACCCGGAAAATCCAAATCCAAAGCAAAAGCCAAACCGGCGGATTCATTCGAAGACACGATCCGCAAGACCATGGCGCGAATGGAATCCTCATCCGCGGCGGCATCCAGCGCGACGCAAAAGTCGACGGCGGCGAAATCCGAAGAAGACATGCTCGCGGAAATGCTGCGGGCGCTCGACGCGGAGGGCGGCGGCGGCGGTGGTGCGGGTGGCGAGGACGGCGACCTCTCGAAGATGTTCCTCGGAATGATGGAGCAGCTGACCAACAAAGAGATGCTGTACGAGCCGATGAAAGAGCTGTCGACGAAATATCCGTCGTGGCTGGAGGAGAACACGCCGGCCAAGAACCCGAAGCTGACGCCGTCCGAACACGACCGATTCTCGCGGCAGCGCGTCATCGTCGATGAGATCGTGGCGAAGTTCGAGATGAAGGGCTACAGCGACGACGACCCCAAGTGTCGCGAGTTCATCTGGGAGAAAATGCAGCTGATGCAGGGCGAGGGCGCCCCGCCGGAGGATCTCGTTGCGAATCCGTTTCCCGGCATGGGCATGCCCGGGCTGGGGTTGGGTGATGGCGCGGAGGCACTGGAGGAGGGGTGTCCTACGCAATGAATGATGAAGGCCGTGTGGCATTCGGACGGCTCAGAGGTGTTGACGGCTCATAGAGTGATGGATGTAGGACTTGAAAAACGTTATGCCATGACTTTGGCAACCCTTCGGTACTAGAGCGGCACACGTAGACGCGGTGTTGAAAGGGCAGCAGCGGGCCTAGTCGACGACTTTTAGATATTGAGTTTACGATGGAAAAATTCAAGAGTGCATTCAAACAATTAGAGACATCAGTGATGAAGAGACTGACAGCCAAATATCATTCTGGGTAGTATCAATATCGTAACCAGTGTTCCGTGCAATCCAGCACAACGAGGTCCAGTACGGCTGTAGTCCGACGCTGGCAATCTGCCGTCATGTAACCCGAGTGGGTGGCTCATACAAACAACAACCACACAAACACCATCGCCAAGCTCGGGTACTCCAAAATCGCTCACGACATATCCATACTCGCATCAAACGACGGCTGCTGTTGCTGCGGCGGGGAAACCTGACCAGTCTGAATAATAGTCTGCATTTGATTCGACACCTGAGCAGAGGAAGAACCACTCCCACCCTGGAACAGAGCTTGGTCGAACAGCGCAACATACTCATCTCCATCGAGATCGTCGTCGAACATGAATTCCTGACTATCGTTCTTGGCATGTATCTCTTCGAAGTAAGCCGCCAGTTCTGCTGCATCAACGTCGTGCTCATCAGTTGGCGACAGGTGCCCCGAGTCCGGAGAGTCCTGCATCATGTCGGCGTTCAACTCGAGCTCGATATCAACATCGATTTCTGGGCTCGCGCCCTCCAGGACCGCTCGTCTCCGCATCTCGTCCTCCCACACCTTCCGTTCCGCAACGAAGTCCATACGTAATACTTGGTCGCCGGTATTCTCTGCGCGACTGTCGTCTCGTCGGCGTCGGATCCGGTCCAGGAACTGCGATTTCTTCTTCTCTCTGCCCTCTGCTGCATGCCGGACGATGCTGGCTGCTGGACTGGCGCTGCGGGCTCGGGATTCCCATTGCGAGGTGGTTTGGTTTGCTGATGATGAGGATTGTGGTTGCAGGGAGAAGTTGAATGTTGGTGATATCAGGTTTGATTGCTGGTCAGAAAGCGGTTGATGCTGGGCACTAGTGGTTGAAACAGAGTATGGCGGCGTGATTAGTTGAGAGTCGGTCCAGATTGCGTCTCTGCCTTTGTCGACGGGTGTGTGGAAGTGGTTGAACTCGTTGCCAGATGCTGCCTCATAGTGGTTCTCTTTCGTTTCCACAGCCCCAAACTTGCTAGCCAAAGGCGATGAGTTTAGCAATTGTCCTTGTCGCGGTATATAATTTCTCTGCCTCGAGTTTGACATCGAATTGGCATTCCTCGAGGTGCGCAGTGGCGACGGTGTGTTGGGTGAATAGGAAGAAGAGAAGCGCGGGCGGTTCGCTGCGAAGAACAGGCTAGGTTGAGGTGGCGAAGGAGAGAACATTGCACGATGTCGGAATTGAAGTCAGTTCGTGTAGACCAGAATCTGGAAAGATGGCCTTGTAGACGTATCACGAGAGTGGCTGTCGATATGAAATGGGACGTGCAAGCAACTGGAAGTGGGACGTGGAGTGGTCACTGGAAAACGCGAGTGACGCGAAAAAAGGCTTAGCGCGTCTGGCAAGCGCACTAAACCTTTTTCAGATTAATTACAATCACTGGTAGTCACGTGAGAGTGTCGTACGCGGCCTCAACTACCGAGCACGACTCAGCCACAAATTGGCCAGCTGCTGGTAATCAAGAATAGGTGCAATGTCTCATGTGTTTCGTGGTAGAACCTCTGGGCGTTGTGTCTCTACGATGTTGAGATGTCAATTGAGCATCAGAAGGATATTTTGAGCACGTGGATTGCTGACATCCGAGTTCCACGATTGCCGCCAGACGAAGAACAGGATGCTTTCGGGCCGTTCTCATGCAGGTACAGAAACCGTTGGTTCGAAGAAACTTGATTGGGAAGCACTCAGATTACCAGAACCTAGGACGCCTGAGACAGGGTAGTAATGACTATGAATTATACTACCATAACCGTTTCGGTCTCTATTCGATGCAATAACGCTTCAGAAACATGGCATCTCTGATAGAAGTGATGCCGGCATATGTGGCAAGCTGATGGCTGAAGAGCCCAGATTTGACCAATTTCGCCTGTACACAATCATAGCGTTCGTAATCCTTACAATCCAAATGATGGATCGGAGATGTGTTTTCAACCTCGATCTTTGAGGTCGAAACAAGAGGTTCTCGTTTTTAAAAGTTTGATGCTGTGTTGACTGGTCCAGGTTGATGATATTGATCCAAGGTAGACCGGAAGGGAGTGTTGTCAGAGCCAGTGGTTGCACTGAGTTTGTCTTGATTGGTGTTGGGGTCATACAGATCATCGTCGTGAAGGTTCTTCTTCTTGCCCCAGATACGCCAAGCTGTGTATGCCAATCCAGCGAGCAATAGAGCGCCTCCAATACCTCCAACCACACCTCCAATGGTCTTCTTGGCTGTCTCGCTGAGTCCTCCAGAACCACCACCCTTGCCATCTCCTCCAGTCAAGGAGGCAGGGTCAACACTGGTCGTGACTGCCATCACACTGCTGCTGGTCTTTGTGACTTGGAAGGTGCTCCCATCGCTCACAGTTGTGAATGTAGTAATAACTTCCTGGGTAGCACTGGTGGTGATCAAGGTGAGGTCTGGGGTCGTTGTCTCGGTGGCAACGGTTGAAGTTTCACGCTCGGTGGTGGTGACGCTTCCCTCCGAGTTGGTAGGTGTTCGGGTTGATGTTGTTACAATTGTGGTTACTGATGGGGTGACACTTGGAGTTGTAGTGATGGTTGAAGATTCGGTCACCACTGGGGGAGTTGTTGTAGGTGTGCTTGTGGGTGTGCTCGTAGGAGTAGATGTGGTATCATCTGAGGTGGTGTCGCTACTGGTAACCCCAGTGGACAAAGAGACGCTCTGTCGCCTGAAGAGTGCGATTGCATCGTCGAGAGGATCCGCGGACGCGGCAGATGCGAAGAGCATTCCAGCGAAGAGAAGATGAAGCTTGTGCATGATGAATTATGAAATCGACTCAACCCTTGAGGGGAAGGAAAAGAAAAGAGATAAGACGATGGATGATGGGGATGAGAGGCGAAAAAGGTTGACTTTGGGGAGTTGCAGTTGAGTGTATGTCGGCAGTGGATCAAATGTTGGGAGATGCAAACGAGAGTTGCCGGAACGAAGGTAGGGCCGGATGCACCGATGAAAAAGTGTGTGTCTGGTGACAACGATTGAAATTGTCCAGAAGATGATTTGATGTTGGGTGAAAAGGGTAGAGTGTAGAATGGGGTGAAAGAGAAGATGAAACAAGAGGAGACAAAGAAGCTGGATGGACAGGAATAGAGAGGAAGAATGGATGGGATGTGGGTTGAACTTTGAAGTGGTGAAGAAAACCCAGGAACAGAACCAGAACAAAGAAGTTTTTCTCTGACAGGCACTGGCACCACCCTCGTACCCTCGTGCTGCCGAGGAATAGGTGTTACGTCTAGGCGCACCAACCCCAGAAGACACCTAGAGGTTTAGTGGCTGATCCCCAGGAGTTGGCCTGTGGTCAATGGTTGGGTGGTCTGAGCAACGGGGGCACAGTGGGCATGTGCCAGGAACTGGACGGTTAAGCCGGGCAGAGCCGAAACGAGGGAAATTTTAAAAGGTGACATTGCAATCCAGACTTGGCACGAACCCTTGTTTCAAACTGTGCAGAGAGCCATCCACTCACATGCACTACACTCTCGCTTTGTCGTGATCTCCCTGACCTTAAAATTCGATCTTCATCAGTTAATTCGGTCACTGACGTACCACCCTTGCAGTAGAAGGCCAGTTTTTGCGAATGACGTGCAGTCGACTAAGCGATAACATGCTTCATCGTCTCGTATTCCTGTGTGCACACAGTCTCTTACCACCAAAGAGACATGTGCAATGCCTACCGATGAGTGAAAACCATCATACTGTTGCCCATGGTAAGTAATTTCACGCAATGAGGCTATTATCGCGATTAGTAGTACTGGCTATCCATACTCGGTCAATTGATAAGCATCGTCTCATCTCCATTTATCCCGTTTGCTCAAATGGGATGACTCCGCTTGTGAGACCTTGTCCATCATGAATCTCAACTAATATTGCTGACTATCATCATTATCTGAGTACTTACGGACACAAATCTCGCCCTGTTCCTGTCAAGAAGGCTACCTACATATGTAGCTATTTGGAAGATTTCAACATTCCATGTGTTACATGAATGCGACTACCTCTCCACCACAAGAACAACGCCTGGGTGAGTGCCTGGTCCTAATAGTTCGCTTCTATGTCGGCCAGCAGCCCGATTTGCGTTGGCTTCCAGCCCAACTCCCGCTGTGTTTTATCGCTTGAGGTCGGTTGATCCAGCACAAGAAGATGTGACATCAGACCCAGCTTCTCCTCTGCTTCACCAGAAGTCACACTTTTCACGGGCAACTGAAGACGTTTGCCTATTGCTGAGGTGATCTCCTTGGTCGAAATCCCTTGTTCAGCTACAGCGTTGTACGTCAAGCCAGCAGTGCCTTTCTCCAACGCAAGGCGGAAGAGCACTGCAGCGTCTACTTTGTGGACGGCAGGCCATCGTGATGCACCTTCTTCAATATAAGCAGCATAGCCATTGCTCCGTGCTGTCCCGATGAGCATCGGAATGAATCCCCAATCTTCCGCTCCATGTACAGTGGGGGCGAGTCGAACAACTGAGCCTCGCACTTGCTTCTCCTTTGAAAGTGAGTAAACGATGTCCGCTGAAGAATATCGAACGGCCATTGGATGGCTGCGATCGGGATCAACATCTTCTGTTGCGAGCTGGCCTTCCAATATGCCTAGTGTGCCAGAAGCAACAACAAACGGCTTCCCAGTGCCTGTGAGTGCTTCACCAATGGCTTTAATAGCCTCGTTGTCGATTCTCACACACCGGGCGAAATCGCTAAAGTCGTGGACGAAGGCCAAGTGGATGACACCATCGGCAGCGCGAGCACCCTCCTTCAGACTCTCCACATTTTCCAGATCGCCGCGGTGTACTTCTGCTCCAGCTTTTGTAAGTGACTCAGCATTTGCGCTGCTGCGAGCAAGACCAAGGACTTGATGGCCATGGTCGAGGAGTTCCTTGACCAGAACACGACCGATGAAGCCTGCAGCTCCTGTGACGAAGACACGCATCCTTTCAATTGGCCAGTAAATTTAAGATGTTGGAAAGAACTCGTTGCGAGATTAGAGGTGATCGATCGAGCCGAAGGAAGAAGGACACTTGATATATCCAAGAACTTTCATACGGCTCCTTTTACCTCACAGTCCAACAATGGATGCCCTTAGCCTTCAGGCAACATCAGATGATAATGTGAATTCCACTTCCCCACTGTCCCAGCTGAGTAATACGTTGCCTATTCGTATGTACGAGACTCATTGTCTGACCGATTTGCTCCAGGATCGCGAACTCGCATCCCAAAACGGGTTGTACGAAGCCATTCCACCAATTGGTAGTTTCAGGACTTTTGTTGCACCCCCATTAGTCAGCGGTCGACCGTGCTTCGCGGACGAGCGTGTCAGTTCATCTCTCAAGCTCGGCGTCCACGATCCAAGATAGAAAATATCAAGACCCACGCTCACGGACAAATGTCTTTCTCAACCCCGAGTTCTAAGAGCTCGGTCACCCAAAGTTGATCCGATTGTATGGAGGTCTTGGTTCTCGGAAAGTCCATGGTCCACTTGGTTCTCCATCCGAGCACCAAGCTCAGCCTTGCCCGTGTCGGTTGAACTACGGACGACTCCCATGTGCAAGATGTTACTTGATAGCACTGAGACATATGCTGGAGTACAGCGTAAAGCAGCCAATGAGGAATGGACAGCGCAAGAAGGTACATACCGTTTCCAGATAATTGAAGAACTGCTTGTCGTGGTAGAATCGGGTGGTGGATAAGGATATGGCTCTCTCGGCCTATTTTTGTTCGATGGACCATGTCCCCTGTATAACATTGTCTACATCACCATCTTCTCTGATCACCACCTTAATGATACATGCACCATGTCTCTTCATCGTTCCGTTTATCAATTCTATCGAGGGCGCGTTCATCCCTGTTTCTGATGCCCACATGTGAGCAAGGCTGAGTGGCGTATTTGGACCGTGGCGTATTGACACGGTTCAGGACTAGCTGATTTGAACAAACATCATCTCGTCGAAGCTTTCCCCCTCACCTACCCGCAGGGGCTTGGATAACCATCCAACACAGCCTGATGCTCTACCTTTTGGTGGAGGCGCAGCTTTCACTGATGCATCCTCCCTTAATGCCATACATGATTCTCTTCTCAAAGAAAGCGGCTACAAAGCCTGCTCAGTAACTTCGCTACTATCGGCCATTGCCTGGGTTAAGCTGTTGCCGCGAGTACTGATTACGCTGTGGGACATCTGGGTGGAATCATCACAATATGGCGGAACTCGGACTGGTGGCCAATCTTGCCGGCGTGATTGGGGCAGGCCTCGCTCTATCCAAAGGCCTCTACGATTTCGCGAGTGTGTTAGGGTCCGCTTCAAGAGACATCAAGGATCTCGCGACGGATATCAGCCTGTTCTGCTCTGTGCTGAAACACGTGCAGACAACACTGAATCGCGCGAAAGCGTATCGCCTGTCCATGACCGCTGTGCAAACCGCCGAAGATATCATCGATCGATGCCAACTCATTTTCAGTGACTTACAAGATACAATCGACAAGTTGCGAAAGGGAGACGCCAAGCTGGACTTGCTTACGCGTGTGAAATGGTACTTCAAAGAGAAGCGGGTACTGCTAATTCACGAACAATTGAAGACCTGCTCAGCGACGCTGCATTTGATGTTGACCACACTGATGCTGGCCCAGAAAATTGCCAATAAGAGGTTTGATTTAGCCCTTTTCCTCAGTCACAGCTATGGGACTTCGATGCTGATTGAGCTTTACAGATTGTCGTTAGAGCCCCAGGATGACCAGGACGACCAAGACTCCCAGGATCGCCTAATGACCCACGCCTTATTCATGGCACAGCAGGCGGCCAATGAGCGTCTCGAAGCCATCGAGGACGAGCTCGTTCTCGAAGATGCCGAAACTCAATCGGATCTCACCACCAGCATGAGCTACTTAGCAATCCCTGATGCAGACAGCCCTCCAGGTGGCCAAAATCGCGTGCACCGGAGGAACCGATCGTCTCAAATAATCTATGGCGCTGTTCATAGCCCCATCGCTCCTTCGTTATCCGACTTCAGCAAGCATAAGCGGGTTTCAGTGATTGTCGGTGATCACATCAATCGTCTCAGCCTCATCGCTCAAGATCCGACGCTGACCGAAAATCGACTCTCTATACTACAAACGGACGAGCTCCTTCGCCAATGGACAGACCAGTCAGACCCACTGGCCGTTTCCGAAGAGGACAATAGCACTTGGTTAAAAGATTCGAATGCAAAATCCGAGAACAAACAATTTCCTCTCGCTCCAGGCGTGCCTGTAACTCAACTACCTGGCTACAATATGCCCTATGCCGGATACCTGGCTTCGTTCTGGCCTAAGCCGGTAATGTCAGGGTCTCAAAACAACCCACTCCCACCAAAAGCAATGAGTTCAGGGGAGCCTGCACCGACAGCAAACATATTCAAAACATTTCGGGTCGGCCTGGACGACCCTTGCTATAAAGTCCTCCCTGCGGTACTGAAAAAGTACAATATCCACGCAGACTGGAGGCAATATGCACTTTATATCGTGTACGACGACCAGGAACGATGTGTTGGCCTAGACGAAAAGCCGCTCTTATTATTCAAAGAGTTCGACCGCCATGGGAAGAAGCCCATGTTCATGCTGCGAAAAGTTGCGAACCCCATCCTTGAGCCTCCACTTGCTCTCCAACCTGCTCTTCAACCAACTACGCCACCAGCCATAAAAACAGTTATGCCATCTAATATGCCGCCTGGGTGGATCCCATTGCCGGGTGGAGTACTCTAAATATCGGTCGCGAGCTTCACATTTTCATGCACTACCCTGCCTATCAACACTGTCTAGACGAGCCGTTCAACAGCTACGCAGGTGGCCACTCCAGTCAATTCGATGGTTGTTGTATAAGACTGTACGTGTACGTGCCTACCGACATCTTACCCGATAGACCAGCTACTATGAGTCCCCGATCCTCTCGGACAAATTAATCGGTATCGTATCATTTGCACCGGTGTGCGTTAAAAGTTGATGCAATCGATTGGAATTCTTGGTTTTCAGAAAGTCTAGGGGTTCCGATCACCAAGTCAACCACTGGTACACTTCCCCAAGCTCAGCCTTGTCCTTGCAGGCTCAACTCCGGCTGATTCCCAATCGGGAAGATAATACCCGACACCACACCGAGGCAGACACGGATCCCCACTGGGAAGGAGTTTATTGAGCTCGGTTGGACAGATGATCCATGACATGGAACACTTGCATCACGCTGTCACAAAAACTCTTTCCCGGAGACAGTGGCTATTGTTGTTCTTGCAGAAAGGCTCTTGGTAGGCTCGCTCAATTGGGTTCGTCACGAAGTCATCGACATTTGGGCGCACTCAAGGATGGACAAAGCAATGTTCGAAGCCGCGATGGCAGAAGCCGTCGATGGAGGCGTGATCTCAGGCGCTGCATGTATAGCAGGCCTCAGTGATGGTACTATTGCTCTCCCCTCGTTATTGTCATCTTTCCCGACAGCCAGCAGAAACTCATATATGCGTGAGCTGAACAGGGTCAACCCTCTACGAAGGTGCTTTTGGCAAGAACGGGGCTGAATTGGACGCCACGGCAATGCGAATGGACACAGTAATGTGGATTGCAAGCTGTACCAAGGTAAGTAGTGACGATCACATGAAATGCGGTGAGCGTTTGGAGCTTCCAATCTGATCGAACAATTCCAGCTCCTCACCTCCATCGCAGCACTACAATGTGTTGAGAGAGGCCTACTTGCTCTCGATGCCCCGGTATCGGACATTCTGCCCGAACTTGGCTCCCCTAGCATCTTAACAGGTTTGGATGCCGACAATGGGAAACCCAACCTTTGCAAGGCCTCAAAGGCCATCACCCTTCGACAGCTGCTGACGCATACTTCGGGCTTTGCGTATGTCGGTATGAATCAAGCACTTACGATGTACTCGGCACAAGTATATGGCGAGCCGCCGAGCTTCAAACTCGATTCTCCAAAGTATGGCTTTGAACTACCTCTCGTGTTCGAGCCTGGCGAGAGCTGGGAGTATGGGGTGTCGCTTGAATGGGTAGGGCGAATGGTGGAGCGTGTCAATGGCGACAAGAAGCTGGGAGAGTTCATGCAGGATAACATATTCGACGTTCTAGGCATGAATCTCACCACTTTCCGGCCTTGGGCTCGACCAGAGGTTTTGGAACGCATGGGAGGCCGCACCTGGAGGAATCCGGAGACGGGCAAAATCGCAATTGACGAAAGTGGGTGGTTTCCCTTCATCGAGCCCGAGGCGGACTATGGTGGTGGCGGTGCCTACACCTGCGCTGTAGACTATGTGAAGGTTTTGATGTCGTTACTCCTCAATGATGGGAAATTGCTGACATCGGAGACGGTGGAGATGTTCTTCACCCCACAACTGGATGATTCTACGGCGGTCGCTCTATGCAGAGAACTATCCACTGGACCTATTGCGGTGGGTGCTACTAACGGCCTCCCTCGGGATCGCCTGTTCAACCACGGACTTGGTGGTGCGATGTGTATGGAAAGCATTCCGGAGCATTGTGCTAGGGGCATGATGTTCTGGAGTGGGCTACCAAATTCCTTCTGGGTAAGTTTTGCCCTCTTCTGCATATTTCAGTTCACAACTATGCGAGGGTGTACGCTGACAATGAATTCTGCCGTCTAGTTTATCGACAGAGAAGCGGGCGTTTGTGGCATGTACCTTTCACACATGTTCCCGCCTGGTGACCAGCCCACTCAGAAATTGAATGCCAAATTCCAACAATTTGCTTATGTGGCAGGTTCACGACTTTGATCTGGGTACTGAAGAGAACGGGTCGCGAGATTTGAGCAACATTCCATCGAAGCGCATTCAACTTGAGGCCATAGCTAGCATGCTCATAGATCTCTCTGAAGTTGGGGAATGTTACGTATACTCATATGTTCTTGGGACCAGATTCATGCGCCCGTACGTGGGAATTCAAAGAATTCACCAAACCATTCTTGCACTGGATCATATAGACCAAGCATGTCCTCTGCATCAGGGCCAGATTCCCAACTGGCGGGCAAGTTGTTTCTCACATGGACCACGGCTGATGGACTGTCCAATGAACCTGTCATTCGTCGCTCCGATTCTAGTAAGCCAACTGCAATACCGTTGCCCCTCACAGCGTTGGTGTAGGGTGCTCCAGGTATAGTAGCCTGCCCGTATGTCGAATGTGGGTAAACTTGTGGAGTTGGAAAGTGCCCGGATCTGTCTTCGGGGAAGATGCCTAAGGTCTTACTCCTATGCACAATTCTCAGCAGGCCAATTGCGTGACGGGCAGAATCATAGACCTCTCGAAGCCTGTACAGTGACTGCAGAGTCTGGTCGAGACAATGCTCCGCCGCCGCCCGGACACCAAGTTCGCCGGAGTTGATGTCGCTTATATGTTGTACTCCCGCGAAAAGTAGGGTAGTGATACCAATAGGTGCTAAGTATTTGATTCGACCATCATTTGTAAGTCGCTTGGCAAGGTCTGTACATCCTTGGGCAGAAGCCCTCAGGATCGGCTGGGACTGTGCTTGAAGCGCCTGGGCCTGTGAGCCTTCAGTGTAAACCTGACATAAATGTGGTCGGTGAACCATACTACGGATAGTGTGGTAGAGAAGACCAAGAAGCGTGTGGTGCACGTCCAATATACAATACTTGCTGGTTGAATCGTGGCCTGCAAGTGCTTCAAGCTTCGCGCGGCATTCAGCTGCCCATCGACAGAGTTCTTGATCTAGAGTGATAATGTTCCCAGCTGCAGATGCACTGGTTTTCGGTACAAGAACAATTTTGGTCTCAACGTTATAGCTCCTCTGGTGGCCCCTTGGAATGTACAGTGTGTCAAGCACTTGTCCGAAGAGCATGCAAAGTTGAATCTTTTGGATAAAAAGCTCGGCTAGAACCTTAGCTTGTAGTAATGGCTCATCAATATGATAGCGTTCAAGTCGATCAGCAAGATACTTGGTCTCAAAATCGCACTCCTCAAGGGTGGGAAGCTCGACGACTTCATCACGAATGTTGATGATTTGACGTTCATTCAAGGAGATGATTCGATCTCTTGTGTAACAGCACCACCATAGGCGTTTCCTTGCCTGTTGCTCTTTAGCTGAGAGTCCAGCAAGCTGTGAATAGCGGTTGAGGCCAATCTCGTGAGCATACGAGAGTGCAATCTTTAGCCAGTGCGAACGGCCTTTTATGTCTTCTGGCATCTCGTACCAGAGAGTCATGAGCAAGACTGATTGGATGAGGGTAATTTGGTTGAGTTCCAGATTGAAATCAAAGAGGAGCTATGGTACCTCTTCGTTAGCGATATCTGGGGTATGCACCAAGAACGTACTTACCCTGACCTTCTCGAAACATTTTCTACGAGCTTCTTCTCGGCTCTCGTAGCCTTCGGTCTGAAGCAGGTATAGATCGACGAATGGAACGGCTGTAAATAGAACAGCCTGGAACAGCAGGAGTCCAATTTTTCTTGAATTCTGTTTGCCTCCTATTGCCGCGAAAAATTCCTCGAGGTCCAATAAAGGGAGAAATGGATGGACGTACAAAACATATTTGACCAGAAGCTGGTCTCGTAATTCCTCGTCGGGAATTCTAAAAGCGCCCTTTTTTTGTAAGAATTCTATATCAACCACGTCTATGTCTCCTCTCAGTGGCAAAATATAATCTGCCAAGTGGACCTGTGCATGTCGAGTGTCATCCTGTGCTGCCACATTTGCTGGATGGCTTTGGTCATCAGTCTTGGAAGGTCCGTTCATTGCGAGGCCATTGACGTTATCCGTCGACATGTGTACTTCTTGCGCGTGGGAGTAAATGGATGCGTCTTCCGTCTCTGCCTCTAGTCAGATGCTGAGGTTTCAGTGAATCCAGTGGCACACTACCTGTAGTAGCTAGATGTCCGCCGTATTCAAAGTCTAGCGAGTGAGGAGCGTTTGCCAGAAGATCATCGATTTTTGAGGTTGTATCCTTCGATAGACAACCCTTGTGTGCTACCTGCCTCTCTTCATCTGGTTGATTCATCGGGTCATTCATGCGAATGTCGAAGACATGTAGACCAGTCGGAATGCGGCCACGGGCGCTGATTCTTCCTCTTCGCCTCCTTACACTACTGACGGAACATTGATGTCCAGCACTTGAACAACCTCCACATGGAATCCCAATAATTGACACATTACACCGGACTTTCCTGTCACGGCAAGCAAGACAGGCTTTAGAACTCCTGGTATTCATACTCAAGATCTATCTTTCATGGTAGGTCGGGGTCATTTAAGTCGTAATCAGGTAGAGCCAAATATTGGTAAAACTTAATACCATCAATGGAGTTTTGCTTCTGGTTAGTGTAGATGAAGCCACCTTGGAGGGTTCATTTCCATTCTCCAGAGCAAAAGATGAGGATAAGATGAGAATAAAAGCTTGAGGGGTAGTTCGGGGGCCTGATCTGTGCCAAAATGTACGCCAAAGACCCGTAGAAGCTTACGGCTACTGAGATATATGTTTCTAAGAGGAATATCTTCTGGTAAGAGAGTTGCGCATTGCATCGTTTGATGGTGTCAATATTGGACTGTGAAGGGCACATGAGGAGATGGAAGAATACCGCCAAGCCGCAGAGAAGAGCAAGGACCAGTAGGGAAAAAGGCGTTGGTTTCCCAGAACCCGAATTCTGCCAGTGACTTGTGTTATGCTGCCAACCTCTTTCTATTCAGACCCTGACTTACTATTAATGTCCCGAAGCCACTTCACGGCTCTAGGTGGCTATCGAGGAAATCGCCGAACGTGCAGCCCTCGGGCAAATTGGAAAAGAGGGGCCCCGCGTTTCGCGTACGGCAGTGTATTTCCTCATGGGGCAATCCCCATACCAACCAGAATGCGACCGAGGCTTGCTTTGGGATGGGTGTTTGATTTGATTTAATCGCAGTCAGCCACAAGGTGGTCGAGCAAAGCTGCATCGAGGACATCTGACAAACCGGCACTCTAGCCGCCTTGTTCAGCCCTCAGCCGAAAGCATTGAATTCCACGATAACACGAAACGAATTAAACATGTCGAGGCCGAAGCATAATGTGTCTGGATACCACGAAGAGTATGTGGAACCGGAATCTGGTCAGGCTCGCATTGCCACCACCGCTGGTACAGATTTTCAAAATGAAATATATGCCTACGAGAACCGTGCTGTGGACCTCTGGACGGTGCTGGCATGTGTGGTATGTATGGACATATGCCTACGGCTTGGGTTTGACTGATTTGTTTGAAAGGCTCTTGCTTTTAGCTACGAAGCTTGCCTCTTTTCATTTGTCCTTCCTGCAGCTATTCTTCTGAACATCAACGCAGCCATCGGGCCATCAACCCGCTTCAACTGGATTGCCACAGCGTGGTCCTTGGCCGCTGCGGTTGTAACTACAATAGCGGGACGCTGTAGCGACATCTTTGGTAGAAGGAACTTCTTCATTTGTGGAAACTTGGTTGGTCTCATTGGTAGGTGCTTACCGGATCGATTTGTGCGGAAATCGCCATGAATCCAGCTTTTTCTGACAAGCTCAAGGTTGCGTCATTGCCTCACGCGCATCCAATGTGGATACTATCATCGCAGGATCTACTCTTATGGTTGGTGACTTGGACCACTCGTGAGGCTCAGCTATTGATGTTGTTTCAGGGTGTAGCTGCCGGTATTCAGCAGCTTGCCTTCGCTGCGTCCAGCGAAATTGTTCCTAAGAAGTGGCGAGGCACCGTGATAGCCTTGCTCAACCTTGCAGCTGTGCCGGGCTCTGCATTCGGCTCAGTTATTGGTAGGCTGAAAGGTATGGTGTTTCCTGAACGGCCCGCTAATAGGTCTGTCAGCATACGCTCTCGTCGCACATTTGAGTTGGCGGTGGACATTTTATCTGGGAGTGATTGCCAATGGCTTCGCACTGTCTCTCATCCTGATCTTCTACTGGCCACCTAATTTTCTCGACTTTCACAAAGAAGATGAGAAGACACGATTGGCGCAGATTAAGGAGTTGGACTTTGTAGGTATAATGCTCTCTGGTGGGGGCCTAACGTGTTTTCTGCTGGGAGTGTCTTGGGGAAATAATCCTTATCGGTGGACTAGTGCTCAAGTTCTTGTACCGCTGATCCTGGGTGGTGAGTTCTTGTCTCAATTCCTGATCAGAATCTCCAGTTGATACGTTTTAGCACTCTCTGTCATGGTAGCTTTCCCTTTGTGGGAAGTTTTCAGCCATGACAAGATCGCAAAACTATGTCCTCCAAAATTATTCCGAAACATCAGAGGTTTCACACTTCCACTGATTGTTTGTTTCCTGGGCGGCATGATGGTATGTGATGAAGTAGATCGTAACAACGACTTCTAACAGTATCGCAAGTTCATGGCTTTGCAAGTTTTATGGCCTCAAGGTTCGTGGTACCAAGCTGTCAGACCATTTTCCACTGCTTGTATTCTGACAGCCTGCAGAAATCCAACTTCTATTCACCTCTGTCCCATCCACCATAGGTTGGTACAGTCTCGCGTACAACGCATCTGCACTAGGTGAGCTGTAACTTCTAACCATGACTCTGAGCCTCCTTTTGACCCCAAAATAGTGGGGGGCGTCGTTGCAGGAAGCCTCTTTGCCATATTTAAAAAGACAAACTACCAATGGCTGATGGCCATCATCATTCAGACTATCTTCATCGGGTCAATGTCCACTGTGACAGAGCATAATCCTGGGAGGGCAATTGCTTTTGTTGCTATTGCAGCATTCATGGTCGGAGCGCAACAAGTTATGGGCCTGCTGATCATTCAATTTGGAGCTGAAGATAATCAAATTGGTATTGCGACAGGGTAATCGCCCCTTGCTTATGTGACACTCCTCAGCTGGTCTCAGGCTGACTTTGATCCTCTTAGCTTAGCAGGTTCCCTCCGCTCAACAGGTGGTGCAGTCGCGATTGCAGTTTATGGCAGTGTTATCAATAATCACATTGCAAAAAATCTTGCCTCAAGGCTCGCTGCTGCTGCCTTGTTAGCGGGTCTTGCTCCTGCCGAGGTGCCCGGATTTATTGGTAAGTGATCTTTGTCTTTGTGAGTGGCGATCAGCCGGATTAATGACTGACAAGCTGTATAGTGGCTCTAACTTCAGGTTCCGTCGATGGAATCAGTTCTATTGAAGGGATAACTCCTGGCATTGTTGCTGCAGGCATCGCGGCGCAAAAAAGCGTTTATGCGGGAGCATTTCGAGTTGTTTTTCTCGTCAGTATTGCGTTCGGTGGTAAGATCTTATCCATTCCCATCTTATCAGTAACTCTATGTTTTGTGGATCAACAAGTGGCTGACTTATTGAATCATCAAGTGCTGGCCTGTGCTGCCGCAGCGTTTGTGTCCAGCGTTGATAGTCAATTAACGAGGTAACAACTTCCGATTTGTTGAGATATTTCCTTGTAACCAGTATTGACAATATTCAGGCAAATTGTAAGTGGTGTGAGCAAACCACATATCATAGGGCATGACAAGAGGGAGAAGCTAGAGATGAAGACAATGGAAGATAAGGAAAGAGGGGCGGGATAAAATAGCCCAAAGCTTCCATCTGCGGGACCTTGAATTATGACGAGCTCCATCATATGGTCAGGCTAGAGTTCTGAGTATGCATCCATCGATAACTTCTACACAACCATCGTTTCGGACTATGTCGTGCCCAAAACCCATTGTGTTGGGCCGAGGCTGTCACCAGGCAGGCGACAGTACGAGAAGACAAGGCTGAATATCAATGATTCTAATTCTCCCTCCAGGCCTACTTGCTCCATCTCAAACTCGTGTATTCCACCCTTCACTGTCTGACAGTATGTACTTAATAATATCCTACTGCACAACCTCTGTCATCAAGTCGACTGGCCATCTGGGTGCGTCTTTTCCATTTCCTCTGGTTCCCACATTATATCCCAACAAAACTCCATCATCCTTGAATTGAATGATTGGACGGACAGTTCTGAAGATACAATCAATAGCTTTATTTCTTCGGTCCTCAAAAAATGACGGATTGAAAAGCGTAGGCCCATAATTTTGGACAATCATCGCAAAATACTCGCGAAGAGTATAATTCATGTTATGGTAAGATCTATGAAAACCAAGTTAGTTCATCGCTTGCTACAAATCAAAGGGGCTGGGCTTCGAAGGGCATCAGACTTACCGGAATACGCGTTGGCCGTTCTTCTGCCAAACATCTTGCCAAATCTCCTCCGGATACTCTCCGACTTCATCGGCTAGCCACTGGTTGTAGTAATTGAGAGCCAGATCAATCTTAAAACTCCCACCCTCTTCCGCCCTGCGCATTAGGGCACAGAGAACACTTACTACACCGGCAATACCGACCATGTAGTCGCTATTTGGAAAGACAGGAGTGACAGCCTCGTCATCTTCCAAGCCCATTGCTCGGCCAAAGCCAGTGGAAATGCCCACGCAGGCATCGCTAATTTGTTGCCATCCAGTGCGGTGACTCCATGGACCGTTCCAGCCATAGCAATTCTCGCGTACTGAGATGATGCCTCTCTCGCGATGCTTAACGAGCTCGATGATTGCATCTTGACTGAAGCCGTATTTGTCTAATACCCCGGGTCTGTACCCTTGGACTACGACGTCAGCATGGCTGATGAGATCTTGTAAGTCCTTACGACCTTTCTCGGTCTTCAAATCGATGCTGCATTGCCACTTTCCCCAGCTCAAGTCCACGGCGAGAACAGTAAAATCTACGACGTTTGGAGACGTGACTCGCATAACACTCGCCCCGAGCTCCGCGAGTCCGCGTGTAACTGCAGGTGCAGCTATGACACGACTGATGTCAACCACTTTTAGTCCGGCCAAAGGTCTAGAAGCGGAAGTCTGTGCTGTCGATGGCCACCACGCGGGTTTCTGAGATTGATGACTTGTGACGGGGATGATCTTGAACAACCCAACGTGCGCGTTCGCCTTCCCGTGCTCTGATGCTCGGAACGACTCAACTGATTCTGCAACAACACCAGCTTGCTTGTACACCTCACTGGTGAGACGTTGTATCTCGATTGAGTCAATGGTAGCCATTTTGTCGACGAATGGCTGTATCGCGTCATCCCAAGTTTTGAGTTCAGGTTTGTTTGACGGCAAGGAAAGACTGTCCAGGGTCGGATCTGGATTCATTCCACCATGAAGCTGAAAGAATCGGTTATCTCTTGTGCGATAGATACTCGTAGCACACTGTCGATATAGCGAGGAGCTCATATTGTGGAAGTCATAATTCGGAAATAGGCTATCAAGCTCTTCAATGTTGGTGCCGCTGAGGCTTATTGCTTGCTCCGTGTCAGGATTGATTGTCCAGAGGAAAGCTGACATGAAGAATAACTGTGCATGATCAGTATTGATCTCCGCGCCTTCAAGCTTGACCCCATATTTTCTTTTGATCAAGGCAGAGACTACGCATGCTTCCAAAGCTTTCAAAGCGGCAACCGATTCAGCGAAGCGCCAATTGATCGCAAGCGATGGAAGTGGAGAGCCGCTGAACCTGATGAGATGTGCAAAGTCAAGCGCTTCGGAAGGGATGTCGCTTTTGATCTTCGGATTTTCCAAGACTGATGTCGTCAGGAGCCTCATAGACTCTTCCTGGACTGAATAGGCCTCTAAACCTTTCTCGTCCATGACTTTCATGGTTTCCGATTATTGATATGGCACAAGGTTTGTGGACTCCGTGCTTGATCGTTGTCCAGAATTCTCCGAGATATTATGGGAGCAGCATAATATTTCTAATAACATGCTGCAAAGGAGCATATCTGTCCATACCCTCCACCTCGAACACGTCGTCGCCTTCGGATCTCGGTAACGCATGGACATTGGTGTAGCGCCGTCGTCTCGGGTCAAGCTGGAGCAATGCCCCATGGGGTAATCGTAAGCCTGGTAACCTCCTCGGCTTGGCTCGGGCTTTATCTTCTTGTTTGAGCATCTTGCCCGACTTTTGATTCGCGATGTTCCTGAGCTTGGGTAAAATATCTCTCAGCATAGCCATTCTGCTCGGATCGAGTAAATCACTGAAAACCCTTCGGACTTGACTCATTAGGAGTATTGCATCAGTCGGGAGACCTTCCAGTCAAAATCCTTCGAGCGCCCGGTGATCTGGACTGGTCACACCCCTGCTAGTGCTGCCGAGCCCCCACCTTGGCATTATTCAACGATGCCTAACATTTCAATTTCTGCTCAGCCTTACTATCTTGACCACATCATGCTGTCTTCTGAGAGTCTGGGCAGCATTTTGCTTAGGAAGATTGGTGTTCTCGTCCCGCCTCTGGCTATGATTGACACACCACAGACGGATTGACTGCACGAAGGAGCCCGAATTTTGGTTATTGCGCTTAACAATGGCGCCATCAGGACCAATAATCTGGTCAGAAGGCCAGGACAGGATCCAGGCGGACGTTATATTCCTCCATGGACTTCGGGGCCACGCAGAGAAGACATGGAGCAAGGGGGATACCTGCTGGCCTCGGGATCTCTTACCGAAGGATCTTCCACATGCGCGGATTGTTAGCTGGGGTTATGACTCGAGCGTATTGAAGCCGATCAAGGCATCGAGTCAGGCAAGCATTTTTAGCCATGCTGAGAATCTACTACACGATATCTCTCGGATTCGCGACTCTTGGGAGGCGGAGATCCGTCCCATTATATTCGTTGGTCATAGCCTGGGTGGCTTGGTCATCAAAGAAGCCCTTATTCGAGCCTCGGAATACCGGTCAAACGGTCAACATGATGATCTTGGTGCCATATTCAGCTGCACAAAGGGTGTGGTATTTCTTGGGACACCCCACCGCGGCAGTGGCAAAGCTAGCATTGGAGAGATTGTGTCCAACATCGCTAAACTTGGTCTTCAACGTCCCAACGACAAGCTCATTGAAGTACTTGCGGAGGACTCTCAAGTTCTCGAACGACAGATGAAATCTTTTACATCATTGAGCAGTGCGCTATCAATTGCTTGTGTGGCGGAAGAACTCCCTACCGGAATTGGCATGGTATCAATCAAGTGTTGTCTGCAGAGAACCAAACTACTAATGAAGACGTAGATTGTGCCCGCAGCCTCTGCAACACTACAAGGCCATTCGGTGAGAACTCATCCAAGTACTTGCGGAGGGTACTCTCTATCATCACAAGGTCTGATTAAGTCGTTGACCTGTCGGATGCAGTGCATCTTCTTCGTTGCGCCTTCCCTCCTAAGTAGACACGTACATTGGCCCTCGCGCCTTCCGTATCAAGAAAATGCTCAATAGCTTCCCAACAGTTTTCATAATGTTGGGCTTGCCACTTATTATGCTGGTTTACCTCCGCAACCATCTACAAACCGTCTTGTCTTTCATTGCTTGCCAGATCACCATCATGACTCGTCTTAAGAAATACTATCGTACTCGTTCGATATCCCAGAAGCGTTTCAGGCAAGACACTTTTGATGAGGCCGAAGACGAAATGGATGATGCATCCGCACAAATCTTTCCCACCCCCAGATACAAGACCCGAGGGGCAGTCCAGAAGCATATGAAGCTGATTCCTTCTCACGACTCTGAAAAGGGATCGAATAGACTGAAACCGGCCTCACATTCTGATCCTCATGCAAACACGGTTTCTGTGGCTGGACTCAAACGCTCCAGAGCGCAAAAGAGTATCAATATGAATGCTTCTACCGACTCTGAATAGGAATTGGATCGGCCAGAATCAGACTCAGACTCTACACCTCAGGAGAGGAGGGCTTCACCACCTCATCTCAATCGCCAGACTCGTGCAGAGATACTGAAGAATACACACCTGGCTATATCTACCAAGCCCAAAGAGCAATCAGCAACGCCCACATCGAAGCAGACTGGTGCTCCCGCTGCACAAGAGCCAATGGCCAAACCACACTGGCGTGATACCGGGGTTGTTCAGGATACTGAAGATGAGTCGGATCATTGTGGAAACCATATCACCCTTGAGGGCCAGAGACGTTCGAGACCAGATCTGGAACATCGGCCAATACTCTCCAACCTAGAGCAAGGTTTTAGATCTGATGATCATTCGATCGATCCGCTCACTCTTTCCGGTCAAGTCCAAGTGGCTGGCGAAACCATCCAAGACTACCAGCCGGACATCGCCCAGGGTAGAGATTCACACATCAGCTGTGACAGTGCTAGCGATTTTGATTCGGAGGCAGCTGATGACGACGAAACCGACGATGACGATGACGACGACACAGACGATGACGCCGAGATTGAAAATGTCGACATTGACGATATGCTTGGGAGACCAGAGGATTTCCCAGCCTTCAAAGTCCTACTCAACTCAACGGATGAGAATCCACTTCCCGTTCCTGAAGACCTACAGACCACGCCATCCCAAAAATCCCTCACTGACGCTTCAAAGCTCATAGCTCAACTAATGTTGGAACGATGCTCCGATCCCGCTATTTGCAATGAACCCCTCTCGGATATTCTGAACGAGATTGGGTCAGAAGCTATAGCTAGAGAAGCTAGTAATGTGTTTGACCAGAGGCTCCTTCATAATGACTTCTGGTCGATTGAAGATATGATTCTTATACTCCCTGATGTTCTCATCTCCCAAATCCCGAGCAAGGCGGCTGGTCTCTACATGTTATACAGCATCGGGCCTTCGGAGAAGGTCCACGCCTATGTAGGGAGAAGCCGTGGTCTTCGGAAGCGTCTGCAAGGCCACATCCGCAAAATCAAGGCCCTGAGAATAGCCAAGGAGTCTGATTGTCTACCAAAGACAAATTCATCGACCTTTCAAAGTTGCCATAGACACTTCGCCCGAATTGGTGGCCAAGTGAGGATCAAAATCCTTGGTCTCGTGGATAGAAACAAACCAGTTGCATATGACTGCTGTCTTGAATCTATTGCTATGCTATTTTTCAAAACCCTGCCCACGACTGACACTGCACGTCGTCCTCGCAATCGCGCCCTACAGGATCTATACGACAGCATATGGACTGGGCTAGATCTCCACAAACGTTTCAACAACCATGAACCACTGAACAGAAGTTTCCCCCCACTGGAGTTAGCTTCATCCAAACCTCCGTTTGAGCAACTATTCGGTCCCTGTGTAGGTTGTGGCATGAGCAACTCTTATCCTGGGAATGTGAAGTTTCTCAGAAATCCAAATGACCCCAGCCAGGAAGTGTGTGACGCATGTTACAGACGGGCTCGGAAAAACAAGCCTTTTCGGACCAATGCGGACATGCGGAAAGCCGAAGAGAAAGAAATCGCTTTTCTATCTAGACCCCTTCCGAAAGTTGGTTCACCTTGCGAGAATCCAGCTTGTGGTTTAGACAGAGGTACGAGAACACTTCGCATCAATTCATCGGAGATAGGGGCACTTTACGTCTGCACTCTATGCAGCGCCTACTGGGGTATGTTCAAAGTCTTACGATCAATAGAGACAGTGCGGGGAGGGCATAAACTTGATGGACGTCCTCAGCCAGAAGACAGGGCATGTGAAAACCCAAATTGCGATACTATTGTTGCCAAATCCGGGACCCAGCACTTTGCAACGATGCATTCTCATACCACAGAAGATGAAGTCGGCCTGTGGATCTGTTACCGCTGCTGGTATTACCACAAAAGGACTGGAAAGCTACCTGAGAAACCAAAGAAGCTCGAGAGACCAGACTTCTGCGACCATTGTCAGACAGCTATAAAGGAGTCAAAGAGTGAGAGCAAGTACATTTTCGAGCGGCAACAATGGTTGTGCTACATTTATTGGATGTCGTATGAAGCTACTGGTGAACCAATTGGTCAGCTTTATCCCATATTGACTGGGGATCCTGATCAGGTTCTGAGTTGTGGTGTTTGTGGACAGTCAGAATCAGGATGGAAAGGCCTCACAACCAGCAAGCCGTCAGCGGTCAGGCGTCGACAGCGCTACATCTGGGCACCATCAATTCAACAGTTCGTGTGTAACTACCAGAGAACGAATGTCGGCCGTGGTCGGGGTTTCAGGAACTCTGACGCCCGCGATTGCTCGTTCACTCCAACACCGATGGATGAAGTGAGCAGTTCTTGACCTTTGAGATCAATTCCGCGGTCTACTGGTTTGAGACTGCAAGGCAGGTCTGCTATTGTCGAATTATTCATATTTATTACTAGATAGAAGTCGACTAGAATCGCGAAAACTCTAACTAGTTAACGCTACGTACTACGCGTAAAGAGTATAATAATAGATTAGGTAGTAATCGAGCGGCGGTACTCAAGGATATGGACAATCATGGTGATAAAAGCCTCAAGTTCTCCCACTTGCATTGGACGATGACGGAGCCCAGCGTCAACGACGGCTTTGTGAATGAATCAGAGTGCACCAGTTTTATAACTCTATGCATCGAGTGCAACTTGGTTTGCTATGTCGAGGCCAAGCTCAAACAACGACCGAACGAGATCAAGGACAAAAAGGGCCGGCCCCTTCTCCACTATGCGCTGATGCCTATGACGAACTCATCGCGAGTCCGTCGTGCAGACTCACGGTACAAGTTCATAGCCTCAGGCGATGCCAATCTCAGCCTGGTCAAGACCTTACTACAACATGGTGCGGACCCGAATGAGGAGTTTACAGAGTGGCCTAGTCCCTGGGAGTATGGTCTGGACGCAAGGCCTGGCTTTCCCAGCAGCAGCTGGGACGGGGATATCCCAAAGCTCTTGATCTACTATGGGGCAGACCCCTTTGTAGGCATCATGGCACCCAAGAAGACTCATGCTCGGTCTGCATTATTCCAGGTCAGATGCAAGTTCGAGAATGCCCCCCAACGCAAGGAAGAACTTATCACTGCTCTAAAAGCTAGGGGAGGTAGGTATTTTGAAGGTGAAGAGATAGAGCTCGACTATCAAAGGAATCTGCATGGTCGTGGTCGTGATTCTCGTGCCAATCAGACTATTTCTTTCAACGGGCGTTATCGGTCTTCTCATGCAGATCAAGTTGATTGGACACCACAGCACGACTCCATCCTTCTCCAGCAGTTGATCGATAAGACTATAAAGCTGGGTAACGCTCGAGACGACCCATTTCAGACCCCTAGTTGGTCCCGTACGAAGAATACTCCAAGTCTCATCAAAAGCGACCTGTCGTACGCTCATCATTTAGTCCATGGCACTGAACGGAAAACACTGACCGAGAACGAGCAGCTGGTCGAAATCATACAATTTCACATCAGAAGGCTTGAAGACGTGGAACGATTTGGCGACACCGCGTTACTGCATTACGTGGAAATTCTCGATTCTCTTACATCCAGTCGTTTCACGAGGCGATCGAGGCGATACTTCGAGCCTTTCAAAAGTCGGGGACTTACTCCGATAACTCGAAACAGTGGTTATTACGACTACAATTATTGGTGAGGACTTAAAGCGACTCCTCTGTCGAATTTTATCAATCCTATGAAGCCAGAGAACATCCAAACTGTTTATTCTAAGCCAACAAGAAGTCCAAGAAGATCGCATACACATTACACGATCCAGACATTCAACCACAAGATAGTATCCGGAATCAATAACAATACTCCCACAACACCCAACTTCATGCTTGAAGCAGTACCAATGGTGGTTATTTACAGCGATACTGTTCTGGTCGGCCGCGATTCACATCTAGCGTCACTCGTGCTAAGATAGCCAAAATGCCCGAGAGAAACGAAGCGCTTCGAGTTCTAACGAAACTCAATCTTCTCTCGCGCCGGGAGTTCGATCTTCAACACGTGTTATGGAACTACACCTTTTCAACAGCGTTGAAGTAAAGCAAGTCGCTGATACTACCTGAAAGTCCATCGGCAGATCGACTACTTCGGTGACGTCAACAGTCTCCACATGGGCGGATCGAGAAGCCGCCTAACTTCCAAAGAAGGCAGCTCTCAGCGTGATCGATAACCAGCTTAACCACATATGGGAGTCTTTCGTCGAGTCCTGCTTCATTTGAGAATGTAGCCAAGGTTCCCCACGGTTCTCGTTAAGTATTTGCCAAAACATATTTTTACAACGTTCGCGCATATGCACGTATCTAAGGCGGCTTGGTATTAGAAAATATATATCACTGGCCGCGCACATGGGCACGGTGACCAGCAAGCTTGCCAGCCTCAATCCGTGTCTAAGCACATCAAGATGGACCACACACCTTCTCCCACATCATCCTTTGGGAAGGACCATAACCACGTACCTCTACATAATGAGAAGTCGTCGACGCCTGCAATCGTTGCCAGCGAGGCCGATGCTCTCAAGATCGCCCGAGAGCAGCGCTGGCAAGCCGACCAGTTCATCGAGAAGATGGAACAGGAGCTTGACCATGCCGGCCAAAGCAAGAGGTTCGCGGGCATCAAGTTTAAGAATCCCAAGCACTTTACCTGGGTCATGGTCATTTTCGCTTCCATGGGAGGAATGCTCTTCGGGCTTGACCAATCTCTAATTAGTGGTGCTAATCTATTCTTGCCTAATGACCTTGGCTTCACGGTCCGACAAGTCAGTTTGGTCAACTCAAGCATGCCTCTTGGTGCGGTAGCTGGTGCTTTTCTTCTCTCACCCTCAAACGAGTTCTTCGGTCGCCGCGGTGCGATCATTGTAGCTACCATTCTCTACACTGTTGGAGCAGCCTTGGAGGCTGGTGCAATCGACTATGCCATGATGGTCACAGCGCGGATCATTTTGGGCCTCGGCGTTGGCATTGAAACCGGCACCGTCCCAATCTACGTGGCAGAATCGGTCGAGAGAAGATTAAGAGGCAATCTCGTGTCGCTATACCAGTTCAATATCGCACTCGGCGAGGTGTTGGGGTTCGTTGTGGCGGCAATTTTTCTCAATGTCAAAGGCAACTGGAGATACATTCTTGGCTCATCTGTGGTTTTCTCCACAGCCATGTTCATCGGGTGTGTACGGCTTGATTTTTTCCAGTGGTGACTAACAATATTCAGCATGCTTTTCTTGCCCGAAAGCCCACGCTTCCTGATGCACAAAGGCCGGACTGTCGATGCATTTCGCGTTTGGAAACAAATTCGTGGGGTTGCCACATATGATTCACGAGCAGAGTTCTTTGTCATGAAGGCTACTGTTGACGAAGAGATCAGAAATCTGCAAAACCACGGCGCCGGAGTGCGCTTTGTCTGGATGGACTTCTTCACGTAAGCAGGCCAGACCCATTGCACCCATAAAGCACACTGACTAGGTTGTAGCGAACCTCGGGCTCGACGTGCGCTCGTCTATGCCAATGTCATGATTCTCCTTGGCCAATTCGTCGGGTATGTTCCTTAATGCGACTGACAGACCAATTTCCACGAATTTTGATGCTAATACTCTTCAGAATCAATGGTATTATGTACTACATGAGTGTTCTAATGGTTAGTGACTCCTTGCTCTACACGAAAGCGGTAATACTGATAACCTGCAAGAGTCAGGTTGGTTTTGATGAAGCTCAAAGCACGTACATGTCGATGGTGGGAGGTGGTGCCCTGTTCTTGGGTACTATTCCTGCCATCCTCCTGATGGAGCGTTGCGGCCGTCGCTTCTGGGCCATGACTATGCTGCCTGGATTTTTCATTGGCTTGGTCATCGTCGGCATCAGCTACCTATTCGACGTTAACACCCACCCAGGCACGACTGAAGGTCTCTATCTCACGGGCCTGATCATCTACATGGGCTTCTATGGTCCGTATGCATGTCTAACATGGGTCATTCCATCCGAAGTCTACCCTACATATTTGCGAAGCTACGGCATGACAACATCCGACGCCATGGTTTTCTTGGGCTCATTCATCATCACCTATAATTTCAGTGCAATGCAGGAGGCATTCACTAAGACCGGTCTGACCCTGGGATTTTTTGGCGGCATTGCTGTCTTGGGCTGGTTCTACCAGATTCTTTTCATGCCAGAGACCAAAGATATGACTCTCGAGGAAATTGATGTTGTGTTCTCGAAGCCAACTAAGCAGCTGGTGGCCGAAAACATTGCGAGCACACGCAGAACGGCTTCCAACTTGGTTCGTTTCCGATTCAGGGAGGCTTTCCCCGGATTTTACAACCGCAGGAGTGAATAATAGGTTTCGCTCTAGAGAAGGATGGACTGATTGATCTGGTGGAAGACCTTCTTACGAGTGGGATATATCGAAACTATGTAACTACGAAGATAACAAGTGGGAGGATGGCTCCTCTTGCTCTCTCTCTCGCTGCTGGGAATTGGCGTGGCTTCTTGACGCTGAGCAGCATTCATACATGCGGACATGCAACGTTTTGGCGAATATAAGCCACAGGAACAAACTCAACATCAGTAAATGCAAACAGTGCTGTAAGTCCGAGATAGCTTAGCCAATAGTATTCAACTTCAGTATGACATGTAGTCCTTTCGAATCAGTGACACTACCATGATAAGGATCCACTGGAAAAGTGTGCACCTGATCCATTCGTCTACCGCTTACAGCTTCAGATCTTGGAATGGAAAGTGAATACTATCTCAGTCCATTCACCAAACTCGATGAATAGGTTAATGGACTAAATTATGGTCATTTGTTACATTTGTCAATCAATGCTAAGAACTATTCCACTCGCTGCTAAGCTTCTCATCACACCTCGCTTTCGCCGAAATCATCAAACAGACAGGACTAGAATTGAAACGCTCGTAATGCGTGAAGCTTTTCTTGGCCTCGGGTGTAATGGTCCATTCAAACGACAGGACCATGGCCGCCACGCAGATACTCAGTTCCATGTAGGCTAGGTTTCTCCCGATACAAGCCCTGCCCCCTAGGGTGAAGGGCAGTACATAGTCCTTCAGATTCTGTCTTTCGGCGTCGGAAACATGATGGGTATCCGGAAGCCAGCGCTCGGGTATCCACTCTGAGGGATTGTGGAAAAGGTTGCTATCGCGATGCATGGTGTACACGGACGAGGAGACGGTGACGCCGGCCGGAATTGTGTGGCCTGATATTGTGGCACCGTGGCCAGTCGTGCGGCGTAGCAGCCCAAAGCGCACAGGGGGGAGTAGTCTAAACGACTCATCTAGGACAGCTCGAAGATATGGGATCTGGCACAGCTCGGTATAGGAGGCCACGGGCCGAGATGACTCTGGCAAACCTTGAAGCAAGATATCGTACAACTTTTGCTGCTTTTCGGGATGCGAAGCGAGCTCAAACATGGTGTTTGTGAGGGATATTTGCGTCGTATCATTACCAGCATTGAGATATGTATCGCACTCAGCGACTAGCTGATCAATATTGAGGGTCGTGCGCGACTTCTCCGATGCTTCATCATATGGAAGATTGGTGAAGAAGTCGGGCTCCTCTGGCTTCATTTTGATCCGCTGCACAGTCAGATAACGTGCCATGCCGGCGAAATGATCAGCTGCTTGCTTGTCCGCCGTCGAGCTCGTAAGCCACCGACCTAAGCTATATATAGGAGGTGAAAACTGAGCGCAAATCGTGTTCCAGTGTACCCCTGATTGGAAAGTTTTCATGGCGTTGACGGTTGTTACGGCCCCCTTATGGTCCATGGCGAAGCAAGAGTCGTTACCTCGATCGAGAAAGTTGTAGCATGACGACCACATCATGTTGGAGAAAGCGTCAAAGGAGAACATATTCATCCAGGGCCGGAGATCAAATACGCCGTTGTTGGCGGGATATTCGTCACTCGTTGACACCATGCGACCTTCAGCCTTGGCTTGAATGGCGTACAACAGCTTCTCAACCGAATACTGCACCTTAGGTTCCATGGAGGACACGTGCTTGGCAGCGAAGATGGCCGAGACTGCTTTTCTTCGCTCCGAATGTAATGGTCGGCTGGACGTGTTTGCCATCGCCGGGTTCTTTCCGGCCAAATTGTCGTAGAAAACGTCTTTGATGATGGCGGAGCCATGGCCGTATATCTCCTTATAAGCGCCAGGTGATGCGAAAGATAGGTGTTCAGGGCCGAGGCGAAGGACTGGCCCTCGTCGTCTGTGGGCTTCATCGACAGCAAGGAACCTGCGTCCATGCCAGTTGTGATACGCTGCCCATAGCGGTGTTAAGGCCCAGAATGATGGCGTCGGAAATCGACGGAGTCCCTTTGGGTCTTTGTAATGGTTAACTAATGGTACCAACACCACGAGAAGTAACAATAGAAAGGCTGACTGTTGTTAGCAATGACAAAGTATGTTGCAGCGATACAACTCACCGACAATTATCATCGTCCAGACCAGAAAATAAATTATCTGATAGCTATCAGGGCGAAGCACATTCAAGGCACCCCTCACGCTATTTAATTATCATAGACTACAACCACCATGTCTCGGCTTATTCGAACGAACAAGCCACACCTCTCAAGCATCCATTTGTTGATCGTCAGCCTACAATAGGAAGCCGTTCGCCGTAACAATCCCATTTGGGATATTTTCCAGATCAGACTTTGTACCGCTTCGAATGGGGTGTCACAATGAGGTAATCTGCCCCCTTGCTCCGCACATCCAGACACGCCCTTCATTCGCGGTCCCACTTCCCCAAAGCTCAAGGGCTTTCCAGGGTTTAGGTGGGGTTTGCCACTTGAAGATTTCGGCGAAGACGTCCTAAAAGCATCACTTCTTCGTTTCTCCTTTCTCACGACAACCAGGTTGTAGCATTGCGACCTTGCTATGCTATGCTACGCCATCCTCGGGGCGGCACCAGATCTCGCCTTCCAGGCTGCCGTCGTTGCCGGGAGAATCATCTTCGATGCGACCGCAAGAAGCCAACATGCTCAACCTGTAAGACGGCCAAACAGCCAGCCAAATGCACCTATGACCCGAAACCATTGAAGTTCAGCCATAGCAAATATTCCTCCGCCATCCAACATCTAGACAACAATACTGCCAACCAAGACTTTAGCATATCCGGGCACATTTCCGATCTTGCGTCGCCCTCTCCTTCTGAGGACAATATTGTTCCTGCATTCGTGGATTTAGTCGAAGGCTCCCAAAATGACCAGGGCCGAAGTCCCACCGAACCATGGGTGGGAACGACGATCAGCCCAGTGATAGTTTCCCCTGGAGTTCAACACTTATACAACGGCAGTCCGAGCTCTGTGCGGACTGGTTTCGATGCGGCTACGTTCACACATGTGCAGAGTCCGACGCAAAATAGGCCAACATGGACGTCTCCTCTTGCTGGCCTAATTCCAGGCTCAACACCCGAGCACGTGTCAGGCTACTCTTTGTCGCCCACGGCGAGGATCACTCCCTCAGTACTGAAAAATGAGCTGGAATCCAAGGTATTTGAGTTCTACATTGTATACATGGGACACTGGGTAAGTTCTTGCTCGTGAAAACACCCTTGTGCACATACATTGCTTGGCTATGGCACATTTCAGATGAGAGATGAATTGCATGGCGTCACATGCGGTACTTCCCAAGAACGCTACTGACACATGTTCCACTCGATTTAATCAGCTCGATATTGGCTCTCCCAAGCACTATTTCCAATCCCATATTCCACAATTGGCCGTGCGAGAGCCACTCGTGCTCTATGCATGCCTGGCATGTGCTGCGCAAATCATGTTCCTGATGGGCATACTGGATCGGTCCATTGAGGAACAGTACAACGGCAAAGTGCTAGAGATACTTATTCCTCTGCTATCCTCGAATATGGCCACGTCGGCCAACGAGGTTTTGCTGGCGACCACCGTCATCCTGCGAATGGCCGAACAATTCCTCGAGCTGGGGCAAGATGCTCAGCGACATCTCAATGGCGCTGCGTCACTCTTCATGGACGGGACAGACTGGCCACTGGCCGAGCACAATCTCGGCATCGCTGCCTTTTGGACCCATCTGCGCGAGACCACCCGCATATGCTTTCTGCATGAGCAGCCGCCTCAATTCGACCTTGCGCAGCTCAATATCAACGATTCCCTCCCTGACTCTGCAGCTCCCGAGGAGGTGTGGACCAACAAGATGACCTACTTATTATTGAAAGTTTGCAAGTCATGCTGGGGTACCTGCTCTGGTGATCTAGCAATTGCAGGCCAGCTACATGCATCATTGGATCTGTGGAAGGAGAACGTCCCGCCATCCTATAGACCGTGGTTGGTGCGAGAGACTGAGGAGCATCCGTTTCCAGTGATTAAATATTTTGAACCTTGGCATGGTAAGCGCAGCCTACTAGATGCCCGTGGCCGGTGACACTGATCTGACCAATTTTCAAAGTCGTGGCATGGCAATTTTACTACACGGCCAAAGTCATGCTGGCCGTTTATTACTCGAACAAACAACAAGCCGGCAATGTACACTGGATGAGGAATTATATTGAGGTAAGGGTCTGGCAGATCTAGTCCGAGGCATAGCTGACCCGCTTTCACAAAGTCGGAGATCGTCTCCCCAACACGATTGTTATGCGGACTTTGCATGTCATCGAACAACATTGGTACGAATCTCAATGGCAGCCATCTGATGGCATGGTGTGGACAGTATTTTTCTGGACAAAAGGAGCAGACACAGCTACTGGAATTCTTGACCAAGTTTGGGGAGAAGACGAAATGGCCTAATCAGACCAGCAGCAAGCGGTTGCAGGAGCAGTGGAGGAGTTCTCGTAGATCTTGGGTCGATTGCTAAATAATTGCCGGGGCAAGCACGACCTGATCATGAACCATGGATTCTTCTATGATGCATTGTTTGTGAACTCGGCTTACATTTTACTGGCGTTGAAAGAGAGGGAGAAATCGAAAACTGCTTTTCTGACTATCTGAAATGATACGTCTCACATTAGCAGGAAAGATTTGTGAGAACAAAATACGCCCTCTGCAGGCTCGGGAAGATGTCTATTATCAGGCTTTATGAACAATAGCTGAGCTGAAGATACAGATTCAAGGGTCATCACCATTGTCCTATGTGCTGTACTTCTCCCTGATCATTTGAGCAGCTTTCTCCGCAATCATATAGATTGCAGCAGTCGGATGCTGATCCACGAAGAGTGGCATGATCGAAGCGTCGACAACCCGTAACCCTTGCACTCCGTACACTTCAAGAGTTGGGCTTACGACGCCCTCATCGTCGAGGGGACGCATTGCAGCAGTTCCAGCCTGGTGGGCTGAGGAGACACTGGTCTCGCGAATAAAGTTGGCAATATCTTCATCCGATTGAACAGCTGGTCCCGGGACGATTTCGCCGTTCGCAGGCCCAGACGTGTATTGACTGAAATGCGGTAGTGGGTCAGCTGCATTCCTCACAATGGAAAGTTGCATGCACTTACGAAAATTCGCTCTGAGATATCAGAGTCCTAAGTCGCTTGATGGACAGAATCTGAATATTCAGATCGCTTGCAGCCTCGTAAAACTGCATAGCCAAAGTCAGTGAAACTTACACCATGATTGTCAGATCCGAGTAGCCTTACCGGTAGATTGATCAAAGGAGGAGCTGAGGCGTCCCGTGAATTAACAGTTACATTGCCGCCCGTTCCTGGCACCAGCATGTAAGATGCTAGCGAAACGTAGGATTCTTGGGTGTAGTTGCTGAAGTCGTAGTAGTTATTCAGGGTAGGTGTGTCGGAGGGTAAGGGATACAGAGAAGTCCACAGGATCACTTCGTAATGTGCCTGTTCAGAACGATTCACTGCAAGGTAAGATGCTCCTACTGCATCCAGGTCTGACATGTTGAGTGTAGCAAAAGAAAATGCTGGACCTGAATTTCCATCAATCGTATTGAGTGGGTTAGAGGAGCTATTAGGCTTCCGGGATTTCTCGATCATCGCGGCCTCGACCGAGCTCATGTCTTGCTGGAACTGATTGGTCGATGCTTCATCAGTTGTCCTGATAACCATGGATACAGATGGCGAATCGTAAAGGCTTGAAGAATTAGGTTAGAGGGTCTGAAACAAGGCGGGCAAGATTGCTGAACTCACTGTTTCCCCACCCACTCATTCTCGTATATAAGTGGGATCTGAAGATCTTCTAGTATTTGCCGTGGCCCTATTCCCTATGACCAATTAGAAATTGATAAAAGTGAAGACGAAAGAGCAACATACGGACAACATCAGCATTTTAGGAGTCTGCAGTGCACCTGTCGATAGAATCACTTCTTTGTTGGCATACACTATATTCTTGCGCTTTCGGCCATTCTCCACGACTGTATATTCCGCTCCATAGGCAACGGGTTGTTGGCTGGATTCGGTGTTGTGAAACAGGATTCGATCCACGACAGCGAAGGTAATCGCTTTGAAATTGGAGCTGCCGACAACAGTACTCCAGAAAGCTGAGTAGCTTGATACCCTCGTTTGGGAATGTGGATTCAGAGTGTTAAGTTCGTGCTTGCCACCAGTATTTCTACCAGAGTTGAGGTCTGTGACAATTGGAATTCCGATAGAGGGCGATGATTCAATAAAAGCGTCAATGGAAGGGGGGTTGAAGTTGGTGTAGCCGAGCGTCCCCGGCCCCGCGTCGGGCTCATACAAAGACGGATCGTATGATCTATAATGTGAGTCGGTTTCCGGTGGCTCAAGTTTCCAGGTCTGTAACATGTGAGTTGGTATATTTGGCATTCCGGACATTTATAAGTGTACTCGTTCGAAATATTCTTGTATATCGTCCCATCCCCATCCCGGGTTACCCATAGCTTCCCAGTTATCATAGATCGAACGGCTGCCACGTCCGTAGGTAAGACCATTGATAGAACTTGTTCCCCCAAGACAGTGGCCAGCGTGTTGCGCCAATGAACGTCCGTTCAATCCAGGTACTGCAAGTGAGGTGAAGTTCCAGTCAAGTGGTGTGCCTGGTTTGTGTCTTTAGTTGACTAGGAGTATGGAAGTCCATCATACACACTCACCAACCATCTCTCCGGTCAGGGAAGGAGAGTCGAAAGGCAAGCCATAGGCATCAGGAAAGCCGCCAGCCTCCAGCAATAAGACTGTGAAATTTGCTTCGACTAATCGGGCTGCAACCGTCAACCCAGCAGTTCCGCCTTTGCTATACGTCAGTGGCCGTAAGACAATCAAAGAGCTATCTCACCTCCAATCACGACAAAATCCGCTGACTTCGATATGCTCTTTCTGTTTCCTTCAGAATGAGAAGGGAATGGCGACGCATGGACACACGTCGTCAATACTGACAACACAATAACAACCAACTGCGCTCGCACGGCCAGGAGATACGCCATGGATCTGCTGAATAATCACAGAGCAAAGTAAGTGAATTATCCCACGTAGCAGTACTACCTCGCCAATCTCTATGAATTCTCACAAGAGAATGGACGATATGTTTGTACGAAGCGAATCTAGGTTGATGCAAACTAAACAATGTTATACCAGCAGGAAACGGTCCGCAAGTTTCCTTTAATTATTTTGTTGCACAGAAACACATGCCAAAAACAAAGACATCGAGCTTCGTAGATCTCTAATCGATCAATCATCCAGAATTGGCCACGCTAGTAGCATGCAGTGTGTGGGACCATGCTCGAACAGGAGCCACCATGACGTTCTTGGTATGTCGGGTTTGAGTTTCCGACAAGAGGAGCCTAAAGCGGTTCCGGAAGTCCAAATTAGTACATCACTGGGGATGTCATACTTAGACAAGGCACTGTTGAAATTATGGACCTGTCGGCAATAAGTATCCGCTCGGTACCCTACTGGGGGGAATTGACGTTGATAACAGTGCAGGTACAAGGGCATTTATCGAATCTAACCAGTGACCTTGGCCATCAGTTTTCTCCCGAGTGCTTGGCCTGAGCAACCAGCAACCTAACGTGGATGTCGAAAGCGAATGTTTTTTAAGCTATCCACAAATCGATCATGCAAAGGGTGGACCTACTGGGTGCCATGTAGTAAATGTTGACATAAACTGAGGCACTAGGTAGTTCCATTTAATCAGGGGAGGGGAGTTTTGTGGACTGGGCACCTGAGTGAGGTAATGGCTTTCATGTCATGATCGCTCCTCAGTTGTGAACTACGGTCTACTGCTCAAATCTTGAATATCCGTCCGGCTGCTCCCTAGGCTTGTCACCAAGATCAACTCAGACACCGTAGAACGCCAGAGAGTGAGACTTGAACCCACACAGCATTAACTATTCCATCCTAAGTGAAATCTATCTACCAATTCCAGCATGCCTATGAATTGCTCGACATAAATGTCAAAAGTGTTGGAGGGAGCAGATTTCAACAATTCATGATGGCTAGAGCAGGAGTGCTTGCTCAGATTAGCGTATGCTGGGTAGGGTGCTTACCGGGATCGGCACAGCATAAGCCAGATCTACTCCATATATGGTTAAGCATACGGATACAGCCTATGATACTTGATCATCGCACTCGCTTATCGAGTGTATGATTAACGGGTTCACTTCCATCACCTCAGAGAGCTTCCCATTGGTCATTTGCATACCGCATTTGATCTGATGGTGGTCGTATGAGCCGATCGATCTTCCTGTGGAATATGCGACCTCTTTCGGTCGCGGCGGATATAATATCCATCCGGAGAGCTTGCGAGCGACAACTCTAGTTAGTTCATGTTCTCCATTTGATGTTGGCTTTCCCAATAAGGACAACATTCCTGGTGAACTGGGAACCCTATGGATACGAAGTGCAATTTTCAATCTCAGCCACCACTTGTTGGCCCACTAAAAGGTGCTACACCGGAAATACCAAGAGCAATGATGTGCGAATATTTAGGAGTCAGTACTGCAGTATCGGCATGGGACACACAGCTACCCGGTAATTTCAGCCACCAATGATACGTGGCCATGTGATGATGATCGAAATCCAAATTTCTATCAGGTTCAGAACTACCTGCAGCTAGGAGATATTACACTATCAGCCCTGTTATGGTCTAAAAATGCATTGCTGCACCGGCCTAGTGTTGAAACTTGGCCTTGGCTTTGCTCAGCGACCATGCGATAGGATATAATTGTACTCCCTTGTTTGGTTGTACGTCTATCATCCTGAATTTTCGGTGCCTGCTGGGGAACACGATTGACTCCTGCAATCCTCCTGTGGCCTTGATTCATCACACCGGTGCCATACTCCGAAGTTGTAGAAGTTTTGTAGAAAGTTTCCATTTTGAGTCGGTTCAGCATCTTCCACTGTCTCTCACCTTGATCCCAGATTTCAATTGAGAGGCTCGCATTAACCTCCTCCGTGCCAGCAGTGCTCAGCCTGACCACGTTTCTATGTATTCGACTACATCACAGGCGTCATGGAGGTAACAGCTGTCGCATCGGATAACCAAGCGGGAGTGGTGACTTCAGAGGGGTTGGATCTTTTGGTGTACTTTTCTTGTCAATGCGTCCCCCTAAAGCCCTATTTCTTCGCCTAATGTAGTGCAGCGAAATGAACATTCATTCTCATGTACTGATTATGCAACCAAGATGCAGAAGCCTTGCTGTAGTGGCTACAGCAGTGGCTGGCGAGTTGAACACCAGTCGTGTGGCTCAAGCTTCCCAAAATGGCCAACACAAAATTGCAAATCAGCTGCCCAAGGCAGTCAACAAGAAAAGTCAAGTATGGCATGCCGATTGACTTGAACCTTCTGGCCTCCAGAAACATTCCGGAGTTTCCGTTACGCGGCGTCGAGGAAGCCAAATGTCGCAGCACTTCATCCGAACACAGGCACTGCATATCTATCATGTCCAAAGAAGATTTAGGGTTGATTGTACGTATAACGATCATAATACAAACGGCAAAGATGCCCGTAATTGTGCGTTTCCTGGCTGCACCACCAATACTCCAATATTTCTCATCCTTGGTGGGAAAAATATTTCTCCTAGTTGTCTTCGTCTCCTTCCACCAAGACGCAATCAATGCATTACTTAAATCAGAAAAATAGCACCTGCAATCACCGATAATACTCCTGCGACACCCAACTTCATCCCCGAAGCCCTACCGGCTGCGGCATTTGCAGCAGTAGAGCCTCCTGTGGCGCTGCTTGTAGACGAAGTACGGGTTGCTGACCCAGTAGCTGACGAAGCTGACGATGAATCGCCAGATGAGCTGCCAGATGATTGTGTAGGGGGAGGAGGGCTTGGATCTGTAGGGTCTTCTGGAGCCTTGTAGCTGGCGTCGGAGGTGGGGAAGTCACCAGCCGTTGAGAGGCGTGGACCTCCATCTTTGCCGGCAGTACCGGAGTACTTGACACTCGTGGTTTGCTTCATTCCTAGAGATGGAAATAAGATGTCAGTCCTGTAGGAAGTACGGATCTACGTCTTTGATAGCGACAATAGCGCACTTACCGTCACTGTCGGTGTTAGTATAGAGGATCTCGATCTCGGCAGCGTCAGGCGACACATGACCGGAAAGAGTCCATCCCCATTCAATACCGTCCTCGTATCCAAAGTTGGGCCAGATGTCTCCTCCATCACGACAGCTTGTTCCAGGCCAGTAGAAGTAATTGTTGGAAGGGACTTTGCCGATGAAAGTACCTGTGAGATCAAAGCCGTCACCACTCTTGGTGGCACCAAGCTCCCAGTGCTGTAGCTCTGTGTAGTAGTCGTCGGTGCTGGATTGGACATGGATGGCAATATCGGCGCCACTGGCGCTGGGAAAGAGGATATAATAGGGGTTCTTGTCGTACGATGACCGGTCGAGACTGCTGTTGCCTGGGACAGTTTGACCACCGATGGCGAATGCATTCTTCATTGTCTTGAAGACGGTGGGATCGTTGCAGTTGCCACCTCCATGGGTAATGCTTGTTGTACCGTTGTACCAGGCAAGGTAGGGTTGCATTGATGAGTCAATCCATGGATCGCAATTCCAATAGTTCGCACCGCCATATCCGAAGGCCACAAAAGAACCTGTATATCAATTCGATTAGAGAGAACAATAGACGAGTATGTTGATGTTCTTACTTCCACAATCCTGTGCAAATGCTGTCTTAAGTATTCCTGCCAACGCCAGTATAGAAACACTCTTTGTAAAAGCCATAGTGAATGAAAAAGAATGTTCTATCACGAGAAGTGAAATTCTACCTGAAATCTGTATAAAGAATGTCGGATGGTCCAAGAAGTATTCTCCCTCGACAGGGAACTCACCAGTTCATATACACTTCCCCTGAGTCTATACTCATCACCCTATCTTTCAAATTATATACCCAGGGCATTTTTTTCTTTCGCCAAAGGAGGCGTTTCCTGCTGCGGAAGACTTGGCATTCGTTCGAACCCGCCCGTCCGGAGTACAGGGGCCAGTTGGAGGAAAGCAATACAGCTTAGGTTTAAACAGACATCCATGCTCTCATGTGTTATCACGCGTAGCCATCGAACAGTTTGGGGCTCGAAACATGGCAAAATGGCCCTGAATGGGATTGCCGTCAAATTTTCGGTTGTCGAAAGTCAACTTCGGTCGGTTGTTATACATGGTCGAAAGTCCGCCTCGTATTCCTGGATCTCAATCTCTCTCCGCCGTCCTTGGCATTTGGGATACGAACTTCAGCTCTCGAGTCTTCCGCACCTTATTCGCTTGAGAAAGCTATTTAGCTTTTATAGCTCCCACTCCTCAACAACCCCTTGGTCTCGAACCGATAGTCGGAAGTTGGGACGGCTCAAGGCAGATTTTGTGGTCTTTTAATCATTTGCCAAAAGACCTCAGAAGTTTGCTGTCTAGTTTTCAGCGACATGCTTGGCGATGTCTGTGAAATCGGCACCAATCTTTCTGTCCCGCATAATCGTATAGTTATTTGACGAGATATCATAATACCAGTTCTTGTCTAAGATTTTGTGTGGCTAGGCATAAGGACAAAAAGCCCATTGGCCTGGGTGTATTGTGACGCGGGCATACCACTGATCCCGCAGTGGCTAGGCTGCATGCTTCCGAGTCATCGGTACAACTGTACTCAAGATTACCCTACCGGGACTCTTTCGGCGAGACCAAAAGATCATGACTGGTGTGTCAGCCAGTTCCTTGGCTTCAGGAACGTGATGGGGGTTTAGGTTTTGATAAACAGCGACCCTGCTCAGCCCTACAATGCTTGGCTATCGATCTCCCCCTTTCTGGCGCTGAGTGTGCCTGGGACCACGATGCCAGCGAGCAGAATGGCGTGGACGAGAATACGAGAAAACATCCCGCGTCCATGTGCCTTCTGATCAACCGCAATTTGTTTCCGGTCTGTTTACTGGTGGAAGGGAGTGAAGCAAGATGGCCAGACTCAAAGACGGGTGAAAAGTGTCAGTGCGGAGCTTGAAATATTCTTAGCATCAACCGCCATCTCGAACAATTGGACGTTCGAACAAGGGCTGTTGCATCGGGACCCGAAGCTTCGGCCATTGAATGGATGCTCGTGTATATAGTCGCATGTTAAGAATTAGGACTGCCGTAAATTTCCCGTGCCTTCAATCAGGTCTCCATAGCCATGAACAACCAACTTTGCCCCCAATGGCGCTGGCCTTAGTGTGACCCCTGGGGCACACTGTCTCATCTAAAGGCAGATTTGCATGGCGTCGAGACATCCATGTAGTCAGTAGGAAGCCCATGCTGAGGAAGATAGTGCGAGGCAAGTTGGATGACCTTGAGAGATATTTCCAATGATATTATGATATTATTATGTGCTTCGAGGCATGCACATATCTGGAGTACACTGCCCAAGCAACCCCACCTCTCGTGATTATGTTCAATAGTCGAAAAAGCTCGACTTGATGCTCGCTTTTGAAATCGTCCTGGGTCATTTCGATCATGCCCTTTTCATGAGCACCTGTCGACGAAACCCAACCTCCGGAAGACCAGCGAACCATTGCTTGCAGTCAGCAAGCACGCATCTAGTCGTGCATTTCATACCTAGTGAAATCATATGACAGCCTGTTCTGGTGCGGACTGGTCCCGAACCCTATACATGTGGAATTGAGCAAAAATGGTCACATCCTCGACCATGGTCCCCAGACTACCTATCAGCCAGGGTAAATTCTTCAGCACGTATGCTGATTCTGTTGAATGGCACAGAATTCCGGCGCCATAAGTGAGATTGCCCAAAAGAGATAGTATGAAGAAAAGAAGTGAAAGACCTGGATATCGTGTTAGCTGAAAACTTAGGGCATTCCATGATGCCTTGGTCTTACCTTCGCAACTCCGATCCCTCGCATTCTTAATAATTTGGGGAATTCTCGCTCCAAGATATGCAACAGCACTGAGATATCCTAGGATCTGTGCACCCGTTGCCATTTTCTCCTCGTCGGCATGACTAGCAAGAGGAGTTGGCTTCCAAGCACCAGATTCATATGCGATTGCCCAACCTGCCGCCCCAACCACTCCAATAGCAATGACACTCATTGCATTCTTGAACCAAAGCCTAGCACCATTCTCGTCGCTTTCCTCGAAGATTTGAGCAAGGTGCTCATCTGCAATAGCACTGCTTCTCCTTCGCCTAGCGCTTGCGCTACTTCGTCGCCTGTTGTCTGCCGACCCCGGGATAGTGACACTGTTTGTCCGTGTGCGCTTGAGTAAAGGTTCTTCCTCGTCGTTCTCTTGCGTTGGCCGTTCTGCATCTGCACTTGACGAAGAAGGCTGTGTGCTCAACAAAGCTTTTCCTTGCTTTCTCTTGTTGATAATACCATAGTACAGACATTGGCTGATAAGGACACCATCGGCGATACAAAAATATACACCTATTGCGACCACGACCGGGACCAGTCCCGCCCAAAGTGCGCCTGCAAGATTGGCGATATCACCGATAAACCAGACGAAGATGAATGCGAGGCTGATCGCTTCGGCGGATGAGTTGCGGTAGTTCTCGAGCAACTGAGGGACGAGGAGGAAGATCCAGCACGCGAGCGAGATGGAGCCAAAGATACCCGATAGCGCCTCGCGGGTGGTCAGAGGTATTTCCGCACCAGTGGTGAACAACATGAGGGCACTGGCCATTGCTGGTGAGGTGTTGCGAACACAGGAAGACTTAATGCATATTCATACAGAAATGTCTAAACAGCGAGAACTGCGCTCATGAAACCGCAGCTGAACAAGGTTGAGCTTCGAAGATTTTAGGTGGAGAGTGATCGGCATGGGAGGTCCTGTTTTTGTTGAAGCTCAAATGACGCGATATGACAAATTTTCGAAAAAAGCGCGCGCCCAAAATATACTGTGAACGACCGAATTCCCCGTCAGACGAAAAAGTCTTTATGTGCTGCAAGCATGCCCACGTGAAAAGACAACTCCGTTCAAAAGATAGCTTCAATGGAGTCTGAATCTGCTAGCCTCAACAGGGAGGAGATTTTGATCCTGACCCAGTTTCCCTACGTCCACTTTTCATCGCTGGATGCGTCGAGATTTCCGGAGCATCCCCTCGCCTGTGCCTTTATTCAGGCTGATGTCAAGTTTACCTGGAGTGCAAGAGGGGTGCCAAATGTCTTAATACACATTTGAAGATCGCTCTCTCAAGCGTACTGGACAAGGATATTTCGAACTGACGACGTACATGATATCCAGGAATTTTTGGAATCAATACGTCGAAGCTTGGTAGGCCATCCTCCAAATCCTTCTTCGCGGCCGACGCAAACTTTACGAGTGGCTCGAGGGCGGCTGTCTGCACGACCGCTGGGTGAAGATCAACTCCCCTTTGAGCTCGCGGTTGATGCATATTCATCTGACATTATCACTTCCTCTAACTCAAGCAGTTGACCTTCGAGAGAGAACACGTCAATATAGCGAAGAGATATAATTAGTATGCTATAAAATTCAGCTTGGACTTCGAAGGAGTCTTCTCGGGAGACTATGACTATGGACCAATCCAGGAGTCGGAGACATTTCTTGAGACATAAGCCAGTCTGAATGCGCCGGACTTATATGCTCAATACTCGTTACAGTCTTGAGAGCCAGATGAGCAATGTCTTGGATTTTTATGATTCAGGATCCCTAGGATCTCAAGCTCTGCTTGCAATCGCAACAACCGAACTTCCAGTGAGTGCTCCCGGCTCAGCTGGGTTGACACTACGCAGACCTTTGACGACCTCGACGTGAAGCCTTTGTTTCTCATCCTCATCATACCCCTCCGTGACGTTCTTCATGACAGGCATAAGCAACAGCATTTTCGCAAAGTCCTCGTGTGACTCATATTTAACCTCAGAACCCACCGAGAATGTCTGTACATCTGTAAAGCCCGTCGCCTCCAATTCACCCTTGGCACCTTCTTCCGATTTCCATGGCTCGGAGAGCAGCCTGAAATGTGTCCCTGGTCGAATAACCTCCACTGCATCCTGCAGGATCCCCATATGTTGACCTGACTTGCCACTGGAAACTGCTATTGCGCCGCCTGACTTCAACACTCGATATGCCTCATTCAGAGCTTTTCGAGGGTCGGCGAGCAAAAAGTACACGTGCCCACCAGTGATGTGAGACAATGAACCGTTGGCTATTGCGGACATATCGTGCGCATCGAGGTTCTTGGTCTCTAGCCTTTCCCAAACATTATGGCCGCTGGATATCTTTGCTCGCTTGGTTTCATCCAGCTTCTCCAGCATGGCTGCACTGTAGTCCGCAGCTAGAAGAGTGGCAGACTCCGGTATCTCAGAGCCGTATTCGTCCAGGATGTGCGAAATGATACCACCAGGGCCGCACCCGTTGTCCAGTATGCCGGATGTGTTGGCGAATGGTACTTTCTCGTTCATGGCAGCAATCATCTGCCGCACGGTGGGAGAGGTTTCCATCTTGGGTATCTTTTCGGCTAGCTCTTTCCACGAGTCCCCGGTCGCTAGAAGACTATCAGCTTATCGTGATCTTAGGATGGAGAGGGAAGGACATTCCTCACATGCTAGGATGTTCTTGCTCATGGTCTATCTGATATGATAATAATAAATTTAAGTCTTGTTTATGGGTCAATACTGGACTTGTAGAAGCTCTTGAGAATTCAATGACCGAGATTGAAGCATAGGGCAAGCCCATTCTTATATGTAGCCGTCCAGGCTAGCAAGTACTGCAAGGCTACGAAAACGGAGGGGTAAAGTTTCCGCAAAAGTTTCCGCGAAAAGTCTCCGACTATCAAACCCGAAGCTGCAGCACTTCGGACCTTTATTGGGGAAACACGGATACCAAGTAGTTGCAAGGCATTTTCTACGACAGGCCTGTTCCAAATTGCCTACCGAAATACTTTAATGTGCCAAGTGCTCTGTGTTCGAACTAGAAACAATGTAGCAATTTGTAGGGCTGAATTCCAGTGCTCTTAGAGCCTGATCGATCTTTGTCTACAGTTTTGCCCTCTAGCATAAGATGACGACACAGTCCTCGCTGTAGGTGCAGCCATGCCATTTTCAACGGTAGTTTCCTCCGTCGCTGCTAATGTCAAGGCCAGCTTCACGATTCTTGCAACTTCCGAGCGTCAACACGACCCCTCGCTCGCCGCAACAATGGCGGATATCATCTCATTGACAGTATGCACGACTCTGGTTTCGATTCTAGTGGGGCAGCTGCATTGACATGTCACATTCTGAATTCCGGAGGGAGTCCACGATGCACACGAGGTCCTGGCCTGCACATCGGCTGGCGCAGTCTCGCCGTAATGCCTTTCCAAAACGATATTCAATCTCTAGAGGGTATTCTTACGTGGCTTTATGTGTCCACTTCGATGGAACTTGAGATGTGAGGAACAATGACCAGAATGTGCTGTTGCAACATGCCACTACCTCGTATATTGTAACACGATACCTCGTAAGTCAAGCTGCAGCTGTCCACTAGTCTCAAATATCCTGCATCTAGGCTAAGCAATCACAAGCCACATTTCATGATAATTTAGAGCCACTCGAAGAAAACTAATCTACAACAGGTGAAGTGCGCCTCGCTATCTTCTTGGCTCATACTTCGTATCTGGGTCTCAGAGGGGCCAGCCTTGTGCAGGTCGCACTTGAGGAGTTGCCTCGCAACCTCAGCTTGAAATGAAAACGTATCTTCTTCTTTTCCTGAACTTAGCACCGCCTGATATACTTAATTTGCTCGTTCGGAAGCACACCGCTGCCATCAGAACTACTCCACTCTTACAAACGCCATGAGTTATGCTCAACGACGAACGGTCGATGACGCATTTAGCGTCCAGCCTAACGCACTACTTGCTGCTGAGATGGTGGTCAACGAGAACGATATTGCTCCTAGCGCTCTTCCAAGCGCGTCATACGAGAGTGCCTCCGAAGTTGCCGCTGTTGTCAATACCGTTTGCCGTCCTTCGCCTACAGCCGTTTCCGACAATGATCAGACTTCTCAGCCCGATGCCTCATTGTCAAACCATCCCTTCAGACATGTTGATGAAGGTAGAATCGCCAAGATATCTACACTTGAGTCTCTCCCTAGCTCTGTATCTATTCCTCTATCCCTATTCGTTCGCTCATGGTTCACTGACTAACTTCCCTTATGCACGTCGCGATTTCCATAACGATGATTTGTACTTCGTGGATGCACCTGAATCTGGCGAATTTGAGACTGAGTAGGAGTTTCAACTTTCATTGGGCACTTTTGTACAAAATTTAATGACTTACGCAGTGTCGTCTTCATCGGTTCTGGCAGACCGGAGCGAAGTTGGCTGAATACCTCTGCCCCTGGGGGCTATGACTACTTACCAAGAGACGTCACTGAGTACCTACCCCGTGCCCGCATTTGGGTCTGGGGCTTCGCTTTCGCTTTCGACGACGCGAACCCTGCCTCGTTGACCGCAAAGAACTTCCTCTTTAAATACTCCGATCAACGGCAAAGAGACCGCAGAGTAAGCACATATCCTCCAACGATGAGAATATATACATACGATGCTAATGATGGCGAAAGCACAATCCTGGATCAAGTATCTACGAACCAAAGCTGATTCTCATATCAAGTGGGAACGGCGGGATCATTGCGAAGAAGGTAAATCCTCCTATAGCTTGAAAGTGGTGTTACTGTATTGAACAAAGGCAGATCCTTCTTGAAGGACTGAGTAGTCATGGCACTCGACAGGAGATTGCACTATCTTGTATTGGCATTGTGTTCCTTGAAACATTTCACCTTCCCCTCCCAAACGACCTCAAGTCCGCTGCAAACGTTACAAGGCTCTACCCAAAATCGTTACAACGAACGTTTCTTGACTTCAATCTCATCGCTGTAATCAGAGAATTGGAGAAGGTAAATCTCGAATTTTTGAACAACATCAGATACATGCCTTCGACCTTCTCTGTTGTTAACAGGCAGAAAATTCTAGGGGTGAGGAACCGAGCACAAGACTAATCTAAGTTCTGCAGAGTTGACATTTGCCTTAGGCCCCTGACGTGACAAACGGACTTTTTCCTCCCGAAGTGAGGGGGGAGAATCGCGATCAATATATAAGCATCATACAAACCGAGCGGTTCTGGACACGGAAGCTACACAAGCAGCATCCTGTCTTCATCACCATCATGAATCAACTTCGAGACTGGACTCGAGAAAGTGGGTCATCAATCGCACCTTTGGCGAATACAAACTCAATCTCAATTGCGCAACAAGCCGTCGGGAGCGTGAACTTGCTCAGCATTGGTAAGTGCGACCCGCCAGCCATACAGCAGCCCAAATTTAGACAGTCCTTTAGATGGCGGAGGAGTTCGAGGTCTGGCAAGCCTTTTGGTGTTAGAAAGAATTATGCGTGAGATTGCCAGACTCGAGATTGCTGCAGAACCCGCCACCATCAACAAGATCAGGATACCAGCTGACTATTTCCAACTGGCCGGGGGCACGAGTACTGGGGGGTAAGTATAGAGTCACATTGCTTGAGGCAAACATCACGGCTGATACTGTCGATTTCCAGGCTTATTTGCATAATGCTGTTCCGCCTAGTAAGTTGTGATAGCCAATATGACCCTCGATAGTTCCGTTCAAGAAATTGAACTATCACTGCGACAGTCTACTAACTTTGCAAGCGCATGGACATTCAAAGCGCCATCGCAGAGTACAGAAGACTTTCACCTGAAATATTCCACAGGAGTGCAACACGATATATCGGTTCAGATATCGCGAAAGCCGCTATCGGTATGCCGTGGTTCAGAGCGGAGCCTTTGGAGGCAGGTGTGAAACGCATCATTAGTGAGCGGATATCTTGGCAGGAGCGGGAACAGCTGGGCAGCAACACTGCCGATGCTCTTCTCATCTCGCCTATTGCAACTTCGTTGGAGAACTCCTGCAAGACGTAAGTTTCATTCCAAGCCCAAGTCCCGCTCGTGAATGAAGCTTACCTCTTGGTTTGGCTTAGATTTCTATGTGCATTGAAGAAAGGAGATAACACTGCAGTCCGATTCCGAGCATACCCTACGCAGGGTAGCGGGAGTGATGCATTCCAGCAATGCAGGATATGGGAAGCAGCACGAGCCACGTCGGCAGCGCCGTTTTACTTCCCAACAGCCGAGGTAGCTGGCGTGAAGTTCTGGGATGGAGGCCTCGCCAACAACAACCCTGTACTCGAAGTTCTAGGCGAAAAATCTCGAATGTTTCCTGGCATGTCGATTAATTGTCTTATTAGCCTGGGCACAGGATTCAGCGAACGGAAGCCAACAAAATCTATCCTCCCGGTACTGGGGAAGGGTAAAAGAATCCTTGGGAACGTGACAAATGTCCATATCAACGATGCGAGAGCCGCAGAGCAGACTGCAACTCCTAATGCGGCTGACCGTTATTACTTCCGATTTAATCCGAGTACATCGGAGGATGAAATTGGACTGGCAGATCACAAAATGCTCGATGCATTAACTGCGCATACGGCGCGTTATCTTGATCGCGAAAATGTCCGGTCAGATGTGCAGCGTTGTGCTGAACTATTGTACCATCGAAGAAACATTGATGACACTAGCAGTCCAGCGGTCGATGCTTCTCCGGAAGGTAATCATGACACTGAACAAAGTTCTGCCAGTGAACATGGCGAAGCCTCAGGCACCCGCGCTCGGGCAACAGACGGACAGACTATTACTGCTGACGCCGCCTCGGAAGGACCCCAATCGACAGGCATCAACGCCCGTGCGACTGAGCAGGACGCTGTACGAGATGAGGGAGATCTGTATGGGAGTGACTAAGCAGATAAAGTTGTGGTTGGCATGCTGGTGATCGTAGTACAGTCCGGTGTACATCTGCCAAAATTTCCCATACAGGTGATGTTGTTGGCTGATGGATGCCTCATGGCCTGGATTCGCAGAAGGAATGCCATGGACGCAAATTGGTGCACTCTGGCAAACTTTTCTTTAGCAAAATCTTGTCCTAGTCAAAGGGAACATTGCGACTTCAAACCCCTTCGTCCTCCGTAACAGACGGTCACACTTCGTGTTTCCATCCTTTGCAGTGGGAGTTTCAGCTGCAGAGATAAATGTGGACGGTCCAATTGAGGCCGGCAATAGGCGAATGGAAACATTCTAAGATGATCTTATTTTGGTGCACTGAAGGACACTCACATGGAACCAAAGTCAGGGTTGTTGACATAGCTCTGCAGCAGTGCTTGTGGCTGCCAATAATTAATCGGCTTTATACATATCTTTGGTGTCCATAGAAACTTGATCGTGGTTTTGAAGCATTCGAGGGCTCTTTCTGCCAATAGCGTAAGGATTGTGTTGGCCAAGATGGGCTGAACTCTATGTCTCGTATTTGCACCGCTGAAAGATCAAGCCAACTTCTAAGGTTGCCAAGTCGAAACCCTTGAAAACAACGTTACGGCCTTGGATGTAGGTACCTACTTACTGGAAGGTAGACTCAACCACCCTAAAATTGAGGTCAATTCATGACGAGGTGATGTCGCGACCTAAGATTCTCCTCCTAGGCACCATTGACCAGTAAGTTCTCCACGCACAACTCTCCCGCTGTAGAACAGAGCACTTGTCCCTCAACTGACCCTGACCCAAAGCGCCCAGAAGCAATGGCAATCACTCTCGACACTAGGCGACCTGATAACACCTCAATCCAAGAACCGACAAGACTTCCTGGAAGAATGCCGGTCCGGCAAACTCGACGGCGTGATCGCGGCCTACCGAACGTTCTACTCGGCCGATATCACGGGGCTCCTGGACGAAGAACTAATCCTCGCGCTGCCCAAGACGTGGGAATACCTCGCGCACTGCGGCGCAGGCTACGACCAAATCGATGTCAAAGCATGCTCACGTCGTGATCCACCACTCCTGGTATCCAATGTCCCCGTGGCCGTCGACGACGCGACGGCCGACACGGGACTATTCCTGATGCTTGGCGCGCTGAGGAACTTCAACGCTCCAATGGGAAATCTCCGCCGCGGGGAGTTTCGAGGCTCGACGGCGCCACCTTTAGGTCGTGATCCCGAGGCGAAAGTCCTGGGCATCCTCGGCATGGGCGGCATCGGACGCAACATGGCGCGCAAAGCGCGCGCCGCGTGGGGCATGACAGTCATCTACCACAACAGGCGACAACTTGATGAGTCTCTGGCCGAAGGCGCCGAGTACGTGTCGTTCGATGACCTGCTCCGCCGCAGCGACGTTCTCAGTCTGAACCTGCCGCTGAACGCCAACACGCGGCATTTGCTCTCGACGCGGGAGTTTGCGCTGATGAAGCCCACTGCCGTGCTAGTCAATACGGCGCGTGGGGCGGTGGTCGACGAGGCGGCGCTCGTGCATGCGCTTGATAAGGGGATTATTGCAGGCGCCGGGCTTGATGTCTTCGAGGATGAACCGAAGATCCATCCCGGGTTGTTGAGTAATGAGCGGGTCATGCTACTGCCACACCTGGGGACTTATACTTTTGAGACTCTGGTGCGTATGATTTTTTGATGTGTTACATTTGATATTCCGAGCACAATGGCTAACCTTAATGTTAATCTGCAGGAGAAAATGGAGGAGTGGGCGATCGATAATCTGCGCTCAGCGTTGGAGAATGGAAAGCTCAAGTCTCCTATTCCTGAACAAGAACATCTCACAGCATAGAGGGAATCAATGTGCAATGTAACGCTGATTGACTGCTGCTAGAATGACTATGTGAGATTCAGTGGAACGCATTGTAGACAAATCTTAAGACGCTCAAAGGGATTTAATATGGACTTGTAGCCATGCATTCCACTTGGGGAAGGAAATCCATATGCCTAGCTGATGCAGGTTTATGAGCGCTCTAGAAATGCGAATGCTCTCTTGTCCAAACAACGCTAATGACATGTATCGAAGCTTTCTAACAGGCACTCAAGACTTATCCAACCACTTTAAGATAGGCCATATTAGTTTGTTTGAGCTCAACGCAAAATCATTTGTCTCGTAAGGCACAGAAAAGCATCGATCAATATACACCAAAATCCGCGGGTTCAAAATCATCATCCATGTCGATATCAAATGCGATGTGCTTCTCCTTCGGGTAGTGTTGGACGTTCTCGTCGTTGGCAGGGTCAAGCTCGTTAAACACATCTCTCAAGACTGACTGGGTGTCGAGCAGTTTCTGAACATTCCTCGTCTGGTTTCCTTGGGTTTTGATGTTCGGTTTGCGAAGTATGCCCTTCAATGGCGTCTTGGCGGGTGTTGTCTGTGGGCTTCGGAAGGCATTACCATCAACTGCTTGCAACGGGTTGGATTTTCGAGGCGAGCGCTGGGATCCCTTTGCTTCAGGGACAGGTTTTTCGAGAGTTTTCGCTGTGCTCGCTTGGGTAGCGCTAGTAGTTTGACTTGTCACAATGAATGAATGCGAATCAAGCGCTCCTGCTGGTGGGTCAAGCACCCAACCCTTGTCATGCATAATCGTTGTCAAGCCTTGCAGTATTGGGACACCACTTCCTGCTAGAGTGGATCGACTCCCAATGATGAGAAGCTTGCTTCGAGCTCGCGTCACTGCCACATTAACTCGTCTCCAATCCTTCAGAAGGTCTCCGACATGGTTGTTTTCGTTGCTTCGAACACAACTCAAAATGACGACTTCTTTGTCTCTTCCCTGATATTTGTCTGCTGTATGCATCTCCACTTCGCTTGCGGCGGTACGTCCAGCACTTGCTTTGAGATCATTCCTAAGGAGGGCAAGTTGAGAACGATAGAAGGTGATCACCCCAATGTTTTTCGGCGCAACTCCTGAACTTATCAGTGTCGTGACGAGTTGTACGGCCAATGTTGATTCAGTTGAGTTCGTAATCCGAGGCCCAGCTATAGTCTCCAGCCGACTTCCCAGAGGCGAAAGGTTGTCGGTGTTCAAGAAAAGACATCGAGAACTTGGAGCAAGTGATTTACGAAGCCAGCACGAACTGCTTGAGACGCAGACATTTGCCGAAGAGCTTGCCGTGCTGGGCAGGGATAACGCGGTTACATGGTGCAGGGCAAGACCACCCTCCAGAGCCGGTATGCTTAATGTTCGCTTCGCCACAGCTTCGTTGCCACACTTGATCCGTCCCGAGTAAACGAGCTCTTTAGAGAGCAGCATGATGTCTTCTGCCATGCGATATTGATGCTCCAGATTGACGACAGAGTCCGGTTGGGCATCTGAGAGCAACTTGAATAAGCTGACGTCCAAGCCACCTTGCTGTGCCTCCTTGTTCTGCACAAGTGGTGGAAGTTGATAGTGGTCACCAACCAGAATAAATGTTTTAGCCATGCGAATGGGTCCTAAACAAACGGGTAGAGTGATTTGTGAGGCTTCGTCCACAATGCAATAATCAAAAGTTCGAGCGTTGAAAATACCATGATTAACCCCAAGACACGTGGTCGCAACCACTTGACTTCCCTGCCATGAGGCATGTAGATCTTCGAGGGATCTTTTTGGGATCCCTGATACGTCCGCGAACGATTGGATATCCGGATGGACTTTGTTGATGGCTCCAATTCGGAAAGTCGGGATCTTATCATCTTTGATCTTCAAGAGAATGTTGTCTACCGCTGTGTGCGTGTACGATGCGAGCAAGACCGATTTACCTTGTGATACTAGTGCTCGAATGATATGAGCAATAGTCGTGGTTTTACCTGTACCAGGCATCCCCAGTACCAGAGCATAGTCTTTTGCACTCATGACTTTCTCGATCGCTCTGCGTTGGTCGCCGTTCAAATTCTGCTGGGAAGCAGGACCAGTCAAATTGTAAGCTGTGGGAGAGATTTTGAACTCTGGTGGCTTGTTCTCGACAATTAATTGTCTCAGTTCCTTCGCCTGCCAAAGATCTTTCTCCATTATGCGGAGGATATTATTTCGTGCAGTCGCCATTCCATTGGCAAATTCATCCTTGTCGATGCGGTAAAGAGTGGGATTATCAGAATCAATCGAAGAGGAGGACGAAGTATCATCAGCACCTAAAGTGCCCGAGAAGACTTGATTAGTCGATGGGTGGAAACCTGCCTTCCGTCGACGTCCATATTGCAATCTGCGATCAACAGAGACAACCACTCTCGTCGGACGTACATTAGTAACATAGCCCGCCGCGAAATTGAAATGGCCCTTCTCATCAGATATGACGATGGGTTCCCCAATGGTAATTTGAGACTCTGTGAAAGAAAACCCTGCTACTGGTTTATGCTTCACGAATGTGTACTCGAATCTGTTGATCTTCGAGTTTTCCGTATTTTCAATCACTGAACCAGGCAGAATGACAACTTCCGAAAAGCAACGCCCAACTGCTTGACGTTCTGAGCTTAACATGGTCCATAGTTCGCGACGAAATTTCATGGTATCTCGTTCCTCTTTGGTCAAAAGCTCATCCCACTTCTTGAAAAAGGTTTGATGGATTGGAGAAAGATGGTTGACGCTTTCAGTGAACTTCTCCCCAAGCCCACTAGTTTCGCCATCGCCATCCTCGGAGAGTTTGTGATAAGTAAAACAGGCTGACTTTGAGTAGCAACTTTTACACATATGTTCCTTTTTGATCATGGGTGGCAGGGCCAGCTTGTCATGAACATAGCATGCCAATTCATTGCGTTCGATGACCATATGGCGGATTTCGTTTCGTATTCCTTCCACTCGAAACGTCTTTGAGGTCTCCATGTAGTAAAGAACACCTGAGGCCACATTGATATCATATCGATCTGTGAGAAGGAGTGTGTACAAAGCAGTCTGAACACGATGTTGTTCTACATTGTCTCGCTTCCCAGTTTTCAGTTCCAGGGGAACCACCAGGGTTCTGTTTGTTGTCTCGTTTGGCAGCTTCATTTGGGCTTGAACTGTGGCATCGATGTTTCCCTTGAGGCCATACATTGGAGACCAAATATGCTCTTCAAGTTCCAAGACCTTATTAATTTTGGTGGGAACAAGAACACCATTGCGATCGCGGATGACAGAGTCGTCGGAAAAATTGTCACTAACAAACACACTGGCCCATGCCATCATTTCCGGCGTCTTGCTCAAAAGGTATTCTGTGGCATCTTGCGTTCGTACGCCAATTTCGTACAAAGGTTCGAGAAATGAAGGAAGAATTTTGTCAATGATCTCTCTTAATGAGTCAGGATCCCACTTGTTGAGCAGAAGTGCTTGTCCGAAGACTTCGTGGAGAATGTGTCCATAGACCTGTGGGGCTGTCGCTGCGCTTGTTGCTTTGACACGATCTTGAAGGACAGCACGACGCATACAGGTGAATGCATCACCCACCACAGTCGAAGATATCAGATGATCTGGATGGAGGATGATCATATTGTCTGCATCATTGACAATACATTGACCAAGGCGATCGAATTTGCCAATGACATGCACGTATGACCCTTTGGTACATCGAGTATCATACCATGAATCACGCAGGGAAATTATGTAAAGCATACCAGTCTTTTCGTCTTTGACTGAGAGCATCTGAATATCGTTAGCTCCGCAAAAAAGGAATTGTACAGGTGTTACTGACTTTTTCAGGGCGAGTACGGCCAGCTTTGTACTCGTACTGGTTTTCGAAAACATCAATGATAAGATAACGCTTGATAGCTCGATTATCCATTGAATTCTATATACACTATCAGCATGAGTACCAAGCAAATTGCTATTCAAGACGTACAGTATTTGCGCTACCAGCAGCTATTGTCCCACTAGCAGGTGTAGCTTTTGCAATGTTATCCCATAATTCGTCATCATCATCAAAGGCATCTTCAAACTCGTCAAGACTTTCCAAATGCCCAGTGGTGTTTTGAGGTTGTTCTTGTCGGGGCGGATGAGGATTCAAAGCGATACTTTCATTATCTGTATTGTGTTTTGCTTGAGATTCATATTTTGCTGTTAGATCAAGGAGATCATTCATCAAATCTTCGTCATCATCAAATTCGTCAACGAACTCGTCTTCATTAGGCGCTTTCGTTTCGTGGTCATAAATTTGCGAATTTCTTGGTAGAGCCACTGCCTGAAGCTGCGGACTGTGGCAACCGACTCCTTGAGAGGCTCCTGTAGTCTTTGATTGTGCAGTAAGGTCGTCGACCCTTGTAATACATCCATTAGTCGTGTCGTTTGTTATTGGACTACCGTCCATCACCTGTTGTTGCGATTGCTGAGCAATTTCCAGCTCAACACTTTCGAAAGCTTCAAGATCGAGACCATCCTCACTGAACTCAGAAAAGGAGGTCTGATCAATTTTGGCATCCATTTTCAGTGGTGAAGGTCTTTGCATCGAAATGTCTGGATTGACGACAGCAGCTTCTGCTGGTCGATCTCGACTTTTGGGCCGGGTAGGGGATATCAGATTTTGAGATCGTCGATCGGGTAATGGAGACGAACTCGATGGACCTTCCTCAGCTATTGGTTTGCTGATAAGACTTCGCTGAATTTTGTCCAGGAGCAAGCCCACACGAGTATTGTTGGATAAGTCTCGACTTAGAATGTCTTTTCTTGAACCAGCAAACAGATCTTTCGTCCGTCCGTGAGATTCGGCTATATCTGTCTTCCGGCGTTTGGGCATTGAGGTGGGCCATTCAACTCCACAGCTATGTGTACGACGTAAACCACCATCTTTGCTTGCAGTGCTTGGAGTCTGTGGGGAGGAGGGCAAGAGATGGGCGTAAGGAGGCAATGTTGGTTCAGCCTGGTTTGCTTTTGAAGCATTGGCTGCAGAATAGCGATTCCAGAGATCTTGCGTTGGGTCATTGTTTGGTGTGCGCAGGGATTTGTTTAGTACGTCGAGGTTCAAAGGCTCCTTGGAGGCTGAAAAATGTTCCGAAACTTCTAATTGAGATGAAGTTGGTGATGAGCTATGTGCACGCTTTCGACTTCTTTGTGTACTTCTAGCAGCTGCTGATGCATCAGAGCTGTCCGGACATAATTGCCAGGACACATGGTCTTTGGGAGTTGTAATAGGGATGGCACAATTGAAAGCATCCTCAGTGTTTGCGATCAGGTCTTCAATGGGTATTCGAACTGCTGGAGTACGTGGGAAACTGTCTTCCGGGGCAGCGGGACGCGGAGGTGAGACATCCTCAGGCATGATAGCGAGCACCACCTCTTCTAGACGTTGGTTTTCTTTGTCTTCTTTGTTTGCCAATAACTTCTCATCAAACTGAAAGGATTTCAACTTCTTCCTCGACTGTGACGAGATGGCGAAAGGTACCGAGGGCATGGTGAGAATGGCAAGCGATTTGATGTCCGCATGGCCGAATTGATGATGCTAGGTAATTTGGGGCAGTCCAAGTTATGAAAGGAAGAAGATGCCCTTTTGTTGTTTGTGTCGGCGGCAATGGTTTGCAGGTCCCACCATGCAAAGGCCATTTGCTGGTTGCACTAAACACGACGCGACCAAAGAAGCCGAGACGCGTCAAACTGGAAAGCGTCCCAAACACGATCACATGATCTCAGGCCCGATGACATCATATAACATGGCACACTGCAGGAGCATCCCTGAACAAACACAGCCTCAACTCGAGGTTCAGGGGACGGCTCCGTACACCCATACGAGTCTGGCTTCAGCTCATTGCTTGTTTCTGCCTGAATAGCTTCTTCGCACCTCTTATCCCCACAACATGAGATTATCTCAACTTACACTTTAGCATCTTACTATCTACTTCCGGTTCACGCCTGAACCGTGTCTAGGCCCGTCAAATATGAGTCGGCTTGGCCCTCGTCCTTTCGTGAAGACTGGAATTTTCATTGAGAGCCGTTCTCTACCGAATCGGCATTATCTCAGCCTGACTCGTATGACAGGCTGAGCCGCGAGACCCGTTTGGAACTTCCGGCTGACCTCCAACGACCTTGAAACCATATTCAACTATCGTTTGCATTCCTTTTACCAACGAGCGAGATCGAGCGCTTGAGATTCAAGAGGAGTGCCTTTCTCGATTTGACCTTGTGCGCTGGTCTTTCAACATGACTTCTTCGGCCCCACATTCTCCAGCTCGTTACAGGGACGTCGATACTGACTCAAATGCATCACCATCAAGACCTTCACCAGCGAAACTCCTTCGCATCCAACAAATAGAAGGAGATCCTCGAGCATCCTCATTGCCACCTCGTCGCATAGGATCACCAGCCAAGAAAGTACAAGTTCGTCCAAGATTGAATCAATTTTATACCATTGATCATGCTGTGTCTCTCTTGAAGGCGTCCAAGAACATCGTTGTATTGACCGGAGCTGGTATTTCAACATCACTCGGTGTTCCGGATTTCCGGTCCAAGGATGGCGTCTACGATCTACTGGAAGGGTCACCATACGCCGACCCTCAGGATCTGTTCCATATTGACAACTTCAAAGCAGATCCTAGGACATTCTTCAAACAGGCCCGGAAGATCTTCCCTAAAATGCAAGGTCTTGTGCCTAGTAAGAATACCAGGGACGGCTCAAAGTCGACCGAGCAACATAGCGTTCCCAAATACAGTACCACGCACGCATTTCTTTCATTACTACAAGCCAAAAACAAGTTGTTGACCAACTACACCCAAAACATTGATGGACTAGAGGCCGTTGCTGGAATTTCTTCGTCAAAACTCATACACTGCCATGGTACTCTGTCGACGGCAACGTGTATGAGTTGTGGTAAGCAAGTGTCTGCCAGGAAATACATGCCCGTAGTGCATGCAGGAGGGCTGCCGGTCTGCAAGTGCTCATTGCAAGATGACCCCAAGACGCAACCGAGGCGGAGTATGCTCCCAAGAGGCCGAAGTGGCAAGAAGAAGCGCAAGAGATATGAATATGAAGATACCGACTCGGAAGAGGACCAACAACCTTTCGAGAAAGGTCTATTGAAGCCGGACATGACATTCTTCGGTGAGCAATTGTCCAATACGTACGGCCCACGGCTCCAGACAGATAAACGCCAGATCGACCTTCTAGTCATCATCGGAACGTCGCTCAAAGTGAACCCAGTCAACGAAATTCCCTTCAAGATCCCACCAACGGTGCCTCAAATATGGATCAGCAAGGAACGGTGTCAGCGAGAGGGGGTCAAGGTCGACATAGAACTCCTTGGGGAATGTGATCTCATCGTCGACGAGATTTGCCGGCGCGCGGGTTGGTCCTCGGCTCTCAATGACCGCAAGTGGACGCCTGAAAAAGCCGAGCTCAAGCGATTGAAAGAGAAAGACAGCAACCTCAATCTGAAGAATTCAAGAGATCTGTCCTCCGACTCGAGTATGATGAGAACAAAAATCCGAAAAGCAATGTCGGCCACGTCCAGATCTCCGGCAGTGAAGTCTAAGAAACAGACACTCGAAATGCGACCGAAAGTCGCGGACAGAACACCTACGATCAAGTTGAATGGCAAAGATCTACCCGCAGAAAATAATGGAGATCTCGGGCAAAACCAATCCTTAGTGGCAGTACCAGTACCGCCAGCCATCAAGCTCGAAACCTCAGGGTCAGACCCAGAGCTAGCGGTAAAACGACAGGCATCGGTCCCACCACTGCCAAAAGTCAGCATCGAACTCGAGCTGGGCACGCACTCCAGATGGTTCGTCAAGCGTGCGACCTGAAATCTAAGGTCGGCTAGGTCACAGCACTTCAGCAGTTTACCCGACAGAGAAGACTGCTCAGCCTGTCAGGCGCAAAACCCCATATCATTATTGCAGGCCCATGGCAGATGACGTTTGTACGAACACAATCTCTCCTTTCAACACGGGAGAGCATATTCATCCCTCTATCTTTTTTTCTCAATCTTGGATTTCATCGGGGCTGGACAGCAGGACTAACTTAGGATCAGCATCAGAATTGGAGAAAATGCATTAGGACTCGGCATTGGGCAGCGGGCATTTTGGGATTAGCGACAGGAATAGCATCTCATGTATGTATGTATTAGGACTCGACAAAAACTTTGCAAACAACACCCTCATCTTCGTTCTTCAATTTCTTCTGTCTCCTTCCAACCGTAGTCCTTGCTCACTCAATCGGGAATGTCCAGTGATTCCACTCTCCCAGCCTCCCTCACAACCGCGAAGACAAAACATTGAGTAGACAGTAAGTATTGTATTGTATTTTGGGGGTGTGGTGGATGCGTCTATTTCTTCGAGTAGCAGTAGTAGCTTACTTAGTGGTAGTACAGGTCAAACCCATGGAAAGCAGTATGTATTTCCCGTGCCAAAACCCACCTGTCCTCCCAAAATGAAATCAAGTCGAGTCCATATGGCTTCACTGCGGTCTATTTCGTGTGTTGGGGGGGTATTTACACTGTTGTCTGAATTTCATCGTCTTCTCGCTGCCCTGTTTCACCTCTCCTTGCAAATCTCAATCCTTTCTCCGATTCGTGGAGAGGAAGGTCTCTTTCTCTCACGCACACACACACAGAAGCAATTCCTCGGGAAGTCGCCGTCACCAGTAACACACCAGAAAGCCATCTACTCGACAGGCTTGGCACCCATCTTTCGGAACCAATCCATGACGCCAGTGTAGACGACGAGCAAGACACCGCCACCTGGCCCCAATCTGAGAACCTTGGGGATGAAGCCCTTGTAGAGCGCGCCGAAACCTTCCTCCTTCATGATCGTTCCGAGACCAGGCCATGCCCAGTTGTACTTGGGGACTTGACCAACGACTTTGCTGGTGTTCTGTATCCGACTCTTGACGACGTCCATGGGGGTGTTGAGAATTGTACCGACAGTGCCTCCGATGGCACCCGAGGTGAAATCGATGAGCATGGCCTTGGTGGGCTCTGCCTTTTTGTCTGCTTTGGGCAAGAGTTGCTTGACTTGGAAGATGCAGCCGAAGTAACCAGCGTTCCAGAGGATGTGACGCCACAAAGTGGATTCGAGACCGTTGTAGAGAGCGAGAGGACCTTCATTCTTGACCGTCTTGAGCACACAATCAGCGATACCTGAGTATTTGCTGGCGGAGGCGGGGTCTTGCATGCGGATCTTGACGAGCTCGAAAGGAACGACAACGAAGGCTTCAGTGGCACCAGCGGTAGCACCTGTGAGGATGGCGAGCGGTTGGGTGGGCTTTTCCACGTTGAACAACCGTCGGTAGAAGATGCCCCAGGAGTCGTTGGCTGCGAATTTGGTGGCTCGCTTGGGTGCTTCCATCATGATGGGTGCTGCAATTCCTCGGTAGAGACGAGCTGGTCCTTCATTCTTGACGATCTTTCGGAAGCAATCTGCCATGCCCGTGTAGTAATCTTGACCGGGTACGGGTGCTTTGCCCTGGAGCTGTCTATAAGGAGAAGTGACGTGTGAGCTTGAGTTCCATCATGGTCTGGAGGTGTGGAAGAGGGAGACCCACACTCTTGTCTTGACGACATCTAGTGGGTACATCAAGAGAATCTATAGTAAACATGAGAGTTAGTATAGCACGTGGACCCTTTCACATACAACTCTAATATGAAGGGCGCGGGCGTACCTCTGAGACACCAGCAATGGCGCCAGCACCAAACTGGTAGATGAAAGGTAAAGGTTTCTCTGTCATCTTGTCGGTTGGTGCGCAGACAGAATTGGGACGTGCAATGATCGGCCTGGAAGTGAACTGCGAATGTGGCTGCGCAGGTGAGGAACGACAAAAGGAACGACGAAGGCCTATCTCAGAAAAAGTAAAGCGATGTACGATCGGATTGATCACGAGCAGTCAATCACCGATGAGAGGGAGTGCCAAGCACTCGGAGCTTCGGATAAAAACAAAAAAAATGGTTCCGCCTCACCGGTATCTTATCCGACCCCGGAGCTCAGCGCTCATCACCCACATCTCCCCCCTTGTTCCCCACAGCTTGAACAATCATGATCTCCAACTCAGCAGTCAAGCAAGCAGCAGGGATAGCTCTCTGATGTTCGACTCTTCACAGAGCCTGAGAACGTCCATCATCAGTCTTCAAGAATGCGAAGTCTGTCTCTCCTGTCTAATGGACATGTATATTTGTCTGCACGATGTGTGATCGACCTTGTGTGGCACGAGCGATAAGTTCATTATTGGAAGACCACCCTGATATAATATATCCGTTGTCATCCTTATGATCAACCACCGAAGTTGATGGCCTCAATCGTCAATGCTACGCTGGCCAAAACTAAATGACCTTGGGTCGGGCTTTCATCACCGGGTTTTTATAAGTGGTAATGGATCAGCTTGAAAAACGTAAACCCACCTCACTTATCCTTCTCTGGCCATACTCGCGAATAGAGTTTGGCTTGTCCAGGTACGTCATATGAGTTTTCAAACTACGCGGGCAGCCTCGTTGCATGAACCCTAGCTTTTCGACAACGTCTCGAGTTTCATGGTGGCCTTCCCGTATCCGAGGACTGGACACTATCAAAATACGGATCCTCTGTGACTGGCTGTCTGTCTCTTTTCCACTAGGATCCCAGAGTAGTATTCCATGGTTGATCAGAACGATGTAGAGATCTTCACCGGATTTCTTCCTGGTCCTCCGGGTCGTCGGAAGGAGGAGAGGATATATAATGTACATGTGATCTCCAGGGGTGACGCCGATGGCCGTCCGTTAGAGGCAGGATCGCATTTACTTAATTGGGATGCTCCGAGAGTATAAAAAGCGGCGAGGCTCTCGTTGATGGCATGTCAATGTTTCCGAGCTTTTATCCGTCGACCACTGCATGAGAGAAGGGTGCCCTAGCCATAGCTAGTCCCCAATTGCCAACCAAGTAAGAACGAGTGGGGGCCTCGGTGAATAAAAGAAAAGAGCGCACAGTCGATGTGGACATACACACATATAGATACTTCCTGTCCGTCTCGCCGGACTCAGGCAGCGAGAGAGGTATAAATCACCTTAAACAACTCAACAGACCAGAAGTGTAAATTATTATGACCTCCCATTCCAGGCAGGTCTTCCTATCAAGTAACTAAACTACCTAGGTACCTGCCTAGACAAATCACCAGGGCCAACACTCCGTGTCGTGCGTGTGATGAGTAGTTGGCTAGGTCCTTTGCGACTCTGAGACTCTGCATCATCACATCAAGCACCCTCAATAGCGGTGTAGGAAAAGAAAAAAAACAGAAGAGGAGATATAGAAAAACGAGGGGGTATCAAAGATCAGCACAGGAACCCATTCCATCCTCAAAAGATTATGGACAAGAAACACTCCCCCTAGTTTGGAAATCAAACGAATTCGGAGAACAATAACGTGGTGGGCGATTCATCCGACCCGACCATGAAGAAAATAACCGTCCCTCATATACTTTCGCAGCGCATTCGCCGTGATAAAATGCATTTGATGACAATGAATGAACCATTGTAGTTGCACCCTGTTGGTGTGAAAAAAGAGGAAAGTCTCTCTCAGATCTTTCATAACATCTCGTCAGTCTCGCTGCTTTCGTTCACAGTAATATTGTCGTGTCAATTCATCTCCATCAATTCATCTTCTTCCTTAAAGCTGATGCCACCATGTCCAGCCGAATGCCAGTACTGGGTTTGTCCAGCTCCATTGCTGCCACTGTTGGTGCCACTACCGCCACTATGGAAACCAGGACTCAATTCGAAATTGCTTTGCGGGCTCAGACTTGAATTTGGCGCTATCCGATCACCTGCGAGATTGGTATGTTGAGGCACTCGAAGTCCAGTTCCATCTGCTCGAGAATAGGAAAATGATGACGGATCATTCTTCTCCATCGCTTCCATGAGCTCAGAACGCATACGCTTCTCCTCATCAGTAATTTGGTATGGCCATGAACCTCCAAGCCCGGTGATGTATTGCGCGAGCTCATCCTCTTGTTGGTACTTGTGGTACAGTGCCCACATTAGATCTCTGGTCCAACTCACAGATCCATTGAGGATGTCACCTTTATTTGGACCCTTTTCTTTCTCGTCCAGCGGTAGACCAATCGTGATGTTGCCTGCTGTTCTGCGACCTGGACCCGCGAGAATAGAGGCAGCAGCACTACCCGCCGTTGGTGGACTCATGCTAGCAGCTCCAAGGGTCGGTGACAATGGACCCGTGTTCTGAAGTTGTTTCTTGACCTTGTCATCATCGAGTCGGTGTTGAGGGACCAGGTGTGATAGATCTTGAATTCGTTCGTTGATATTGTCACGTCTCCTCCGCTCCACCGCATTGTGTGAAGCTCTTCTACGACGCTTCTTAGCTTCGGCATTCTCTGCGTTGCTGGTGCCGAGACCATTCTCAACCTTGGCAGGCAATGACGCATGATGGCCTGAACCAAGGGTTTCAGAGATGCCTGCATGATGAAGTGCTCCGCCTGGCGAAGACAATGGCGAGTCCAAGTATGAATGAAGACTGCCTGGCGTGCTATCATACTGGCCTGACAAAGTTTTGGAGTGTCGGTTTTGAATGCTGGGAGCTCTGATTGGTCGTCCATTAACGATATTTGCCGACTCTGGAGTTCCTATCTGCAGAGAGGCCATTTGTGATGTTCGTGGTGTCAAAGGTGATCTTTGATCTGATGACTTTCGCTGAGCGCTTTGCATACTTGGACGTTTGGCAAATTGTGAGCCTGACAGGGGTGACATATGTGTTGGAATGGAGCTCATCTGTCGAAATTGAGAATAGTCAAAGCCAGCCAGATAAGGACTTTGAATGGGAGGTCCATCTGGGGTAGTGGAGTAGATCTGTTGATTCATAGGTATGGATCCTGCCACTCGGTTGGTGTTGTTCTGCTGTGGCATGTTGGAGTAGTCATCAAGCATGCCTTGTGGGTTGGTGAAGTCGAGACTTTCGAGTAGTTCGTTGTCGTCATAGCCGGAGTTACCCATGCTGAAGCTCGAAGACATGTTGGAAGCTCCATAGTTGTAATTCATACCATAGTTGTTCTGCATGGATAGCTCAGATGGATCTATACTAGCACCATCCTGGAGATTGTTGAATTGATTTCCATAATTCTGGGCGTTGCCATAATTCGGCGCCCGCATGAATCGGTTGGGATTATTGCCGAAATCATCAGGCTCGCTCTTGATGTACGGCATCGTGCCGGAGGAGTTAGTCATGGTCCAGGAGTAATAATTGACGAGGAGAAAAGAAATGTTTGATTCCAAAGATGGGACTGAAAATAACGGCGGGATTGCCCAATGTCTTTCACTGAAAAAGGCAACCAGGCAACTCAAGCCATCGGATTTGTGAAACCGAAATTCAACAGAGATATCAAGGTGAACCCAGCGGGGTAGATATCAAAGAGCGGAAGCTTCCCAAGAATGTGGGAGCGGAGGGGGGCCCCAAAGTTGATCCAAAGCCGATGGTCCGTAGAGGCGCAGGAGATAGTAGGCCAATCCACAAACGAATCTGACTGCAGAAAGTGCCGTAAGCAATGGCCCAGGCTGGTGGTAATGTTGCAGTGATAGACAAGCGCAGCCGGTGATATCCCGTCCCGTTAACCCCAGAAAAAAAATAGGCGATATCAAAAGTGACGCAGAGGCGGAACGAGGCGAGGCTCCCACAACGCAGGTGTAAGACAAAATGGCAGATGGTCGTAGGACAGAACCGTGGAGATGGAGTCGCCGAGTCGGTTATGACCTCTTGAGAGTGACTGCCTCTTTGGGGTTGTTGCGCAGGCCTTTGTCCGGAATGCTGCAACGGTCAAGGGCAGCGATGATGAGATGGTACAATATGCACCCCAATAACTTTCAAGTTCAGGCAACCCGTCCGCTTGTCGCAAACAGAGGACTATCACTGGTAGTGGATGAGATTGAGATTTGAAAGGAGGGGTGGATTTGGGTGGTTGCGGATTCGGGAGGTGAGACGATGCTGCGTACGAAGCGGATAAGAAGGATAGAGGTGCAGTAACCGAAGAAACCGGGATCTCGATTACGATTGCGATGTTGTTCTCGAGCTGATGGCAGAAGAGTATATAGATAGAAGTCGAGGATGAAGGTCAAAAAGTGCAAGGCTCTGAAAGTCGAGGGTTAGGTTTTGGGGATCAAGTTTGGATTCGGGAACAGAAGGATGGATCGAGGGGAAAGTTGGGAAGGGTGTGAGCAGGGTGAGTTCTGAGTCTGGAGTAGCTCGAGTTCGAGTCAAAGGCGGTGCGGCGGCGGTGGGCACTGAGCCAGAGAGGCAGTGCGGCAGTCGGAAGAGATCACGATCTGGTTGGTCTGAGGGTGACGCGCAAACTGGACGAGGGTCAGAAAGTGGGAGAAGTGGCGGTGGCCCGTCTCGCGCCGTCGTTGGTTCTCGGTTGGAGGCAGAATCGATTGTAGATGCTTGTTTGGTGGAGTTTTGACAAAGGAGGATGGGGTGGAATACGGACGAGGATGCAGTGGTCGTGGATCGTGATGAGGTGCTGAAAAGAGGACAAAGGACAGAACGAGGAAGAGATAAATTGCTGGTTCGAGTTAGAAGAGGAAGAGAAGAGTCATCGTCATCCTCCAGGCACTGGTACTGGTACTTACGGAGAGGGCAGAGGTGAGAAGTGGCAATGCCCGTAAGGACCCCTCCGGACAGTGACAGCAACAGGGCAACAGGGACTCGTGCACCGTGGCTTCTGGGCGGTGACAGTGGTAAAGGTGCCAATCAGTACCAGCCTCAGAAGGGCAATCGCTGCATCTGTCAGTCAGTACCTGTCAAACGTCGCAGGCTTAGGTGCAAGTTAGGGCCTAAGGGCCTTTTGCTTCGGACTTCTTAGGCATGAGATCAGGCTTACCGGGTACGGATAGTGGGCACTCGGAGCCTAAGTCGTCCGAGCTAAAACTTGAATCGTGAGCGTCTTGGCAGTTCAACCCCGCGTTCAAGTACAATGTTCGAGTTGTTCGCTCGTCTCGCTTCCTCGGACCAGTCTCAGCTTCCGATGCTTATGGGATCAAGCGTCTAAGTACAGTATGAGTTGAATCAAATCGCCACCCCGAGGTATTGATAGTGTTGGCTTGACAAAGGATTAGTCGGATAAGACAGGTGGGCCACTGTGGTATCTTCTCAGGATGTTCACAACAAATTCAGGTGCCTAAGATGGATGGCAGTAGTGAGAAGAACAATTAGTTACAGACGGATATCTCTCGCTACGGTGCAAGGTCATCCGGCGCCTTTTATATGTATGCAAGGCTCTACACCATCCTCAATCGTTCAGGGTCTTCTCTTTCATCCTTGAGCCAACTTGCAACCTACTTTGGATTGGAATATGTTTGCGGCGCAGCCACATGAGGCATCCAAGCCCCAAAGAGGACGGATACCTGCTTGATCAGACCTCGAACACGAAAATACCTTGCTGTACCAGGCAAAGACGACATACGAGTCTTGGTATCTCTGCACATTAGTGCGTGGTGGGTGGACCCTCGCTCAATCACAGGCACTCCAACTCGAAGGATTCCATGTCAACACGACTAAATACTCGCCTCAGATCCACTCCGCATCAAGGCTCAAAAGGCGATACCATTTCCCAGACGTCTTCCTCTCGATGACTCTTGCACTTCCAAAATGCTGGCCGTGTCTCGGGAATCTCATGGTCATTTTGGCCATTCAATCAACAGATGATCATCGCACTGCCACTTCCGACTACACCCATCGGACGCTACGGACACTAATGACTCTTATCATCTTGTGCAGCATGACTTGACCAACGACGGAAGTGATATCCTGCACCGTCTGTCGACAAGGTCAAGTGCCATCGAGTGATCATTCGCCGAACCATCCACAAGCCACAAGCCATGACGGCCTGTCAATGACCCAAGGCTGAAGGGTGCAGAGACACCATCCAACGTGGAGGCATGTTCCAGAAAATCAACGAACGACTTGGTACACCCTGTCATGATGCCCACCATTTGGGCATGTCCTGCCCGTTGGAATGCTATCGGGGGTTGGATTCATTTTCCCTCGATCGACCAGAGGAATGTCGTGTCACCTCCGAGCATAATGTAACATTCCAACGATTCGTAGAGGACGCGTAGAGTGGTCCATGCCGTGTCACTTCAATGAGACAAGCTCCTTGGGGAAGAGACCCGAGTCAACCGAGAAAGCGAAGTCTGCATTCAGCCGTACACACGAACGGATGGTTCGTACCGCTGGCTTCTGGCACCTACCCAAGGGTCGCCTCTTGCCTGTGTCCTAGTCCCGGACGCTTGTGCTTGTTCTTTGAAGCTAGCACTGGCGATTCAGTCCGAAAGGGTGCTCAGCCAGATATCACCCAGTGCCAGGCAAGGGTCACGGTCAGTATGCAAGTGATATACTAGCGACTGACCAGTCCGTGAAGGAGTAATGCCTCGAACAGTGATTGGAGAACAAGTGGGGGAGAGAAGCGAACATGGGTGGTTGGGCTGTTCGAGTTCTCTTTTGGTCCTTGAGCTGTCTCTATCACTTGGCCGCTAAACCCCATCGAACCTTGGAACTCATGCAAAGCCCGTACGCAGTGGCGTGGAAATGAAACTTGGCGTACCCCCGGATTGTCAGATCCATTCAGTTAGTGACGGGCCTGCGACACCCTCCAACCTTCAAGTTCACCATTCATATTAGCAACATCTTCATATGTACCGACACTCAACAGCAAGGAGCCAGCATACACCAAGTAACCCCCCATACTCCGTATTCAGCTTGTCCTTCACCTTGACGCCTCGCTTGATCCCGACGCAAAGTACCTCCTATACCTCCCAGACCACAAGCCAGCATCTAGCCACTTGACGAGATCTTCACCCAATACAGGCCGCAGTGGTGGTCTGTCCATTTCTTTCTCTCATTCTGGCCACCACCCTCACTGCCACTGCACCACCATCTCCGCTCTCTTAGCTGTCGATCGGTGAACCCCGAAGGCCACCATTGCCAAAAACAACCTGCAGGCAACCGCCATTTCCATTCTTCCTACTTCATCCGCCAGTTTCCACAGCGCCTGCCTTCACTTACCCCCAGACACGTCTCGATCCTCTATTCTCGACGCGCCTTGCCACGGGTAACCTGTTCCGCCCATCTACCTGCCTGAACTAGTGCCGCTAGTGCCCGGGCTGCTTAACTCCTCAGCCTTGGAATCAGTCCCATTTACATCCGACCTTGCCTACTTTGACCCCACGGGTTGTCTGCTGCCTCCTCTTTTACATTCGTATCAAAATTCATAAACAAGGTTCAAGGGTCAGTGCTCGAGAAGAAGCCCTCAATTCAGGTTTTCTGAGCCAAAACTGGTTGAACCGGAGTGTTACATTATCCATCACATTCAGCACAAGGGAAAACACATCGGAAACGCCGCGGATCATCAAGGATGGCTTCGAATTCTTTCAGAGACTCGATGAACTCTCTAGGCTGGTCTAGACGAGACCCAGACATACCCGTCAGCACCAATGCCTCAACGCCTTTCTTGTCCAAACTCAATCCCTTTGGTCGCAATGGTTTCGTTCAATTACCAACACATGAGGCTCCTGGGGCACCATTACCAGCGCCAAGTAGAAGAGAAGAAGAGGAAGGCTGGTTTGCTTGTAAGTTCGCATCTCTCGGCGTTCAGTAGCCTTGTCATTTACTGTGGGAGAGCATACACTGATCAACATGACTACAACAGTAAGTCGATGGGATCGCCTTCTAGTATTTGGTGGTTGCAATCTGGCCGCGTTGGCTTGTTTTGTGATATGTTTCGCACTTTTCCCAGTCCTATCCTTGAAGCCTCGGAAATTCGCCATACTGTAAGTTTCATGTTTACTTCACACCACCATCAACGGGCTCAAAGGCCATGTGACGGAGTTTTACCCCATGATGATGATGTCAGCATGTCTATGTCCATGCATTTCAACCAGGACATGACCCTTGGCAGCCCTCCCTTCCAACTATCGAACACCTACAATGCGCATGTGTCTTGGATTAGAGTTGAGTGTGACTGACGCGTCTTGATTAGGTGGTCTGTGGGCTCCGTACTGTTCATCGCGTCCTGGGCCTTTCTTATGGGACCCTATCAATATGCCACGCATCTCATGTCCGGTCCTCGTCTTCCTTTTACTGCCGCTTACTTTGGTTCCATTGTCATGACCATTTACTTTGCGGTCGGTGTAAGTCATGACATCCCACCTCTCTGTAGTACAGAACACATTGCTGACTGCTGCTGCCCTAGCTTCATTCCACTATTTTGACCTTGATCTCATCCATTGTGCAACTCGTCGCGTTGGTTTGGTATCTAGTCAGCTATTTCCCCATGGGCAGCACGGGTTTGCGCTTTGCTGCCAGGGTGGGAGGAGGCCGGGTAGCCGCGTGGATGAACGACTGATCTGTTCTCAAGGGGCGTGCTTGTCATATTCTGCACCACGCCATGCGTGGGGGTCAACCAGTAATCCAATTACAGCCTGACCGGTCACCGTTGTGGCACCTTGACGTCCCCTGCCGCCTCATTTGTTCGGTGTTATGTCCTCTTCCAGTGTGAAACATTGGAGCAGATTTCCACAACTCATCCTAGACGACGACGAACATCTCGCTCTTCATTGCCCACCCCTCTCACTGCATCAGTGATCAAATCCCGCAATTCTCTCTGACCCTCGTCGGTATGGAAGTTCTCTCTCCCTGCAAGCTCCTCTATGCGCCTTCTGAACTCGGGGTCCGGCTCTTGCGCCAGCTCCGGCGTGTCCTCCGTCGACGAATTGACATTTATAGTCACATTCGGCGGTAGTGCGGGCGGATCTTGTGCACCGTTGACTGATGACACATTGCCAGCAGAGGTGGAACTCGTAGACACGCCCGCATGGACTTTGAGGTATGCAGCGACCTCGGGAAAGTCCTGCTCGGACTCTATTTTATCCGCCGCAATTGTGTCCTCATCATTCTTAACATTCACATCCACGCGCAGTTCTTCCACCAAACACCTCGCCACCTCTACACTCTCGGCAACGAACAAGCATGTCTCACCGTCTTCGTCGGTCAAGTTGACATCCACGTGGAACTCATTCACAAGTAATCTGAGCAGGTTGACGTGATTGTAAGAGGCCGCCGCGTGTAAGAGGGAATAGCCATGTGCGTCTTGCGCGGAGGCTAGGGCTGGCTGCGAGCGGAGGAGGGGCAGTAATCGGGGATCGGGATCAGGGACAACGGCTGCCAAAAGGAAGGGATTGAGGGATGCCATCTCTAATAGGAGAGGTCTTGTCGGTGGTCAACTTGGTGGTCCAGAGATCTGTAGTTTCTACGTTGCAGGAAGATTGGTGGATGGATGACCGAAATCAGTCCTCAGTCTACGAAATAAATTCCCTAGTTTGTGGCTGAATGAGGGGGTCTTCCGACCAGCTGGTGGCTAGTGGGGCCAGGAGGGTTCCGATCCGGAAAAATCTCGACCGACAAGGCTGAGCTTCAGTTATTATTGCGGTGAAGCCTATGAGAGCTAGTGGGATGCTTCAATGAGGCTGAGTTCAACTTCACACTAGCAATTCGGTGGATGGGCAAGCAAAAAGCCATCGTGACTCGAAAGTGAATTGACACTCCCAGATTGAACATCGCGTGTGAGTCACACTTAGTAGTAGTCCCTTTCGCCTTGAGCAAACAGGCTGGTGACTCCCTCAGTCCTTCCTTTCAAAGTTCAATTGTCGGCCACAAAGTCTCGGATATGACATAAATATTCCACTTCTCAGCCTTCCCCATCGTCATATTTCAACACAACCATTCTTCGAGCAACACATTCGCTTTTTAATCTCTTGCATCAATTGCAGTTTCAATTTATCCGTCACTCTGTACTGGCCGTTCCTCCTGCTGAAAAGAATCGCTGCGTGTTCTGGGCTTTGCCCTTGAATCAACCACCATGTCTCAAGACCCCCACCAAATCTCTCAACTCGTGCAAACCCTAGAGACCGCCAAGGGTAAAGGCAAAGGCGGCAAGAAAAGCTTCTCTTGCAAAAAGACCACCTTCGATGTCACTGGCTCCAAGATCACTGTTGACTCCTGGCGTTTCAACGACTGGGATTACAAACGTGACGATCTTCCAACCTACGCCCGAGGATTGTTCACCACCAAGAGAGCAGATGGCACCCCCGAGATTGCCGTGAGAGGCTACGACAAGTTCTTCAATGTCAACGAAGTCCCATCCACGGAGTGGGAACACATCGAGAAAGATACCATGGGCCCTTATGAACTCAGTGTCAAGGAGAATGGATGCATCATCTTCATCTCCGGATTGGAAGATGGCACGCTTCTCGTCTGCAGCAAACATTCGACAGGTGCACGCTCAGATGTAGCCCAGAGTCACGCAATGGTTGGCGAGAAATGGGTCAAGCACCATGTCGAAAGTGTTGGCAAGACCACCCATGACCTGGCCAGGACACTGAGAGATATGAACGCAACTGCGGTGGGAGAACTATGTGACGACGACTTTGAAGAACATGTTCTGGAATACCCCCCTGATCTCGCCGGCCTCTATCTACATGGTATCAATTTCAACCGACCAGAATTTGCCACCATGTCTGGGCCAGACGTTCATCAGTTCGCAGATACCTGGGGTTTCAAGAAGGCCCAATATGTGATGATACAGAAAATCAGTCAAGTGAGAAATTTCTTGGAGGAATGTGCCGAGACGGGTTCATGGGATGGAAGAGACACTGAAGGATTTGTAGTTCGATGCAAGTTGAGTGGTCGAAATGCGTCTACAGATTGGTTCTTCAAGTACAAATTTGAGGAGCCCTACTTGATGTACCGACAATGGCGAGAAGCAACCAAAGCTATTATTGCCGGTAAGCCTCCACGGTTCAAGAAGCACAAGAAGATCACCGAGGAATACTTGCTCTACGCTCGGCGACAACTTGTGAAAGACCCACAACTGGGAAAGCTCTACAACCAAAACCATGGTATCATCAAGATGAGAGATGGGTTCCTCGCAGAGATTGGCAAGAAAGGATCCGACATTATCGCGCAAGAGCAGGGAGAGGAAAATGGTGCTGACGACAATTCTGGGCCACGAGATATTGTACTGGTACCAATTGCCACCATCGGATGTGGCAAAACCACGGTTGCAACGGCACTGGTCAAGTTGTTCGACTTTGGTCACGTACAGAACGACAATATCCAAGGACAAAAGGGACGCCCACAGAAGTTTGCCTACGCCATCACCAGTGCGATGGCTGCATATCGAGTGGTGATCGCGGACCGCAACAACCACCAGAAGAGAGAACGAGACCAGATCATCACTGATGTATCCAAGGTGGTTCCCAATGCTCGATTTGTTGCCCTCCACTATGTCCATGAACCTAAGAATCGAATGCTCAATGACATCCGCAAGGTGACACGTCAGCGAGTACTTGATCGAGGGGATAATCACCAAACCATCCGTGCAGGCAGCAAGAGCACGGAAGAAATTGTGGGTATCATGGAAGGGTTTCTCGATCGATTTCAGGGCTGTGATCGCTCATACCCAGACTCGGAGTTTGACCAGGTCATCAACTTGGATGTCACGGCCAGTAGCTTGGAAAACCTGGAGACTGTAATCACACATTTGTACAATGCGTACCCCGGATTGCTTCCTGATGAGATGCCTAGTCATGAAGAGATGCAGCAAGCGATTGATTTCTCCATGGGCAATCAAGTCACGACCAAGCACGACCTCTCATTCAACAAGGCACCCCAAGGGAACAAGAACCAGAAGCAACAGTCACCGGCGCCTCAACCAGCCAAAGAACTAACGCCAGAACAATTGATGGGCAAGCTTGAGTACTTTGGGGTTGTGGTCTCGGTCACCAACATCAACTCGGTTTTGAACTCAGTCTTCGACAAGGAGCAAGACGCGGAAGTAGGTCGCATGTATCATACGCTCAAACAGATGAGACGGGTTCAATCTCAGTTTCACGTTACTTTGATGCACCGAGCATCGGCCGTGCAGAAGCCGGAACTATGGCAACAGTATGTCAGTGCATACCTTGAGGCGATTGCAAAGAAGGAAAAGAAGTACAAGGATCAACTGGAACCTCACATGGGGCCTGCTAGAGTCAAGCTCGAGAGAGTGGTCTGGGATGATCGGGTCATGGCCATTGTTGTACGAATCTTCCCCGGAGAAGGAGGGCCTAGTTGGCAGAGTGCAAACGCGATTCCACACATCACCATTGGTACTGCACGTCCGGATATCAAGCCGGTGGAGAGCAACGCGTTGCTTGCCCGGTGGGAGGAAGGCGACACGACGGGCTCTCGGATCTACGATAAGGAAATTCCAGGAGGAGTGATTTTGGAGGGAAGTGTGAAGCCGGTTTTGCGACGATGAGTGGTGTTTGCGAGGAAGCGGAAGCGGGAACGGTCAAAAGTTAGATTGTGCATGAATGGCTCGGATATGGCAGCATCGCGTCAAAGTACGTGCGTGCGGTTTGTATGACATGGTTTTCTCTTGAATTGTAGATGAATGGCAGATGCTCGTCATGACTACCATACAATAATGATCATCTCCGTCATGCTTTATTGTACTCGTACGAGTAGACTTGTCCATGAGGTTTCGGAGCAAGACAAGGCTAGCTCGAGTGGAAGGTGGGGTTGAGGGTGGCACGAAAAAGATGGTTGCCAGGTGCAACCCCTCCACAAACATTGGGAAGGCGCGACTTTTGGAGCTGGATCCTAACCTAACCCGCCAAAGTGGAAGAGCTTCTTCTTCCGCGTTGCTTCTGGTGGTTCCCCCAGGTACCTGTAACACATACACGTTTCTTTCTTTATTGCTACCTCCAGAACTTGAACGTGTTTCATTTTGGGTGGGAATTGTAAACATCCTCTGCAGCATCCTCTTCTTCGTCTCATTAGAATCATCACATTACCTTTCAATTCCTCCAGCCGAGTTCACTCTTCAGACTTCCCTCAGAGTGGTTAGGTAGCTAGTTAGGCGTTGCGGGGCGCCTACGAAACCTGAACCACTGGCACTGCCGTGGCCGGCCCAGGTGACCACTAACCACCGACCAAAGTCAACTTGGACTTGAGCGCGACGACTCCCGTTGCCAAGGAAAAACAACTCTTTTCGACAGACTCCACTCCAACTCTGTCAACCAACTCTCAGCCTGAGCCTGAGCCTGAGCCTCTTCTTCTACCACTACTACTGTATGTACTCTCTACACGGGTCAACCACCTCCAACTTGCATGCTTCAATCCTCTCTCTGTTTTCCCTACGCGCCCTCCTCTCTGATTTCAAGTGCATTGCTTCTATCACTTGCATCTGTTACTTCTGAATCTCTTTGACAAGCAATCTCCTGATTCTCCAATTCAATAATCACAGAGAAGCCTTCCGCCGCGTTCAACGTGCCACGGCCTTCACTCTCCCATCCTCCAACGCGACGCCCCAGCAACCTCTGCTCTGTTTACCTCGATCCAACCAACACACTTCCTCCCAATCCATTCGAGTTGTTGAGCTCTTCAAGCTTCCCTCAGACATCCTCGTACATCACAACTGCTTGCCAGTTGGTTCACATAGCTCAGGCCCAGACACGTCCAGAAAAGCTCGTGCGTCATTCCCCATTTATATGGAATTCTTTCAATTCATGGTGCTAATTTACCACAAAACACAGGTCCTTGACTGCTTTCTCGACACGTCCTAATCACTGGACTTGCAGCCGAATTCTTTTCTACCTTCACCATCTCTCGCCACGACGGCGTCTTCCGCACACCATGGTTCTGGTAAGTATACACAACCATCCCGTCACTCGACAGGTATACCACGCGTGACTTGACACCACTTACTAAACACTTTCCAGCCACGTACCCGACAGCGAGTCGGTAACAATGAGAACGACGAGAATGTCGCCGCCCAATCTACACGTCTAACACGCGCAAAGGCCGCCGGTCTCTCCAACCCCGAAGAAAATTCCTCCAATGCAAAGAAGGTGGTTCAGACAAAGAAGTCTGCCAATGGCACATTGACTGGCGCACAACGTCAACGTGCATTACGAGATGTAACCAATGCTGCCAAAGGTATCGAGGTCGTTCAAGAAGGAAAGAAAGCTACAAAGGTTGGCCTTCAGTCAAAAGCTGCCCAGTCAACCGGCGGTGTTCAGAAACTCTCCAGAACAAACTCGTCGAGAGCCGCCCTTGGAGTCAAGGACAACAATGTCAAACCCAAGCCGGTTTCCGATTTGAAGAAACCGGGAAGTGGTTCAGGTGCACATCAGAAGAAGCGAACCCAAACATCCGCATCGACTATCCCCTCCTCCAAAGATGCCACCCCAGATGTCGAAGAGCCTCCTCGAAAGAAGTCATGCACTCAGGAAGATATCGAGACTGCCCAAGCAGATGATGGCACAGACATCATTGCTGATCTTGACGCTGAAGACATCGATGATCCTTCCATGTGTGCTGAATATGTGCGTGAAATCTTCGAATACTACATGGCCTTGGAAGAAGTCACTCAACCAAACGCCAACTACATGGACCATCAAGACGACCTGGAATGGAAGATGAGAGGCATTCTCGTTGACTGGCTGATCGAGGTTCACACTCGTTTTAGGTTGTTGCCCGAGACCTTGTTCCTTGCTGTCAACATTGTCGACCGTTTCTTGTCTCAGAAAGTCGTGCCTCTCGACAAGCTGCAACTCGTCGGTATCACCGCCATGTTCATCGCCTCCAAGTACGAAGAAGTTCTTTCTCCTCACGTTGGCAACTTTGTTCACGTCGCCGATGATGGCTTCACAGTCGACGAAGTCTTGAGTGCAGAACGATATACTCTATCCACATTGAAATATGACTTGAGCTATCCCAACCCCATGAACTTCTTGCGAAGAATCTCAAAGGCCGACAACTATGATATCCACACCCGAACTCTTGGAAAGTACTTGATGGAGATCAGTCTCGTGGACCATCGCTTCTTGGAATACAAACAGAGTCACATAGCTGCTGCTTCCATGTACCTCGCTCGAATGATTCTTGATCGTGGTGGCTGGGTATGTTGTTCTGATTCACCCTGTTGCTCATGATTGTTAACAATCTCTAGGATGCTACTCTCACCAAGTTTGCTGGTTATTCCGAAGAAGAAATTCTGCCTGTCTTCGAACTCTTGATCGATTATCTTCAGGCTCCAGTTGCTCACGAGGCACTATTCAAGAAATACGCAAGCAAGAAATTCCTCAAGGGTAAGCATTGACTTTGATTGAACTCGTCTCATGGATGCTAACATTTTACAGCATCGATCCTCTCTCGGAAATGGGCTAAGGACTATTGTTCCAGCTTACGAGGAGGTGGTGTGTCGCTGGTCGATACCAAGCAATAGCATGTCATCACCATCTGGTCAATGAACTCTGTCGTACCTTGCTTGAGGAAATAGAGAATTGTTCTCCACTTCTCAAAAGCTGGTATGGTACAGACTATCAACCGACTGAATCTTATCGAAGGTCATGATGCTTCATGTCTGTATCAGTCTTTATCACGATCAAAGCACGATATCCAAATAGAATTAGCATCAACATTATTATCACGGCACCGAATCGACAAAAAGCAAGCCTTCCGGTCATAACAGAACCTATTACCATTGCGAGCGAGCTGTGCATCTGAGTTTGCTGTACTTGCGCATTTCTCGATAATGTTCTTGCCTCGGGACGAGATTGACCCCCTCAACCAGGTCAACCGCGAGCAATCTCTACTATGGGTGGATATGATTTTCTGTTTCTGGCTTTTCATCGCACCTTTAGCGTTGGACAAACAAAATGGTGGATGGATGGGGATTGCGAAGGAGTCAACTATTACTTACTTTGACAGTGGGTTTTTTGTGCCAATCGGGGTATGCTTTTTTTTGTCATTATGGGGAACTCTGAAACGGCGAAAGACACGGCGTCATATGAATTGAAATGGGAAACTCGAATTGAGCACTGAATCCACCTCGGAGAACATGGGCGCGGAGATGGGATTGAACCGGAAGGGATGAATGGCAAGGGGAGACTGATTGCCTTGTATGTGTCTTCTCAGGCCCCCGAAGCAATATCTCGGAACTTGAAGGATCTGTTTGTGAATGGCCTTGACTTGAAAAGAAGTTCCTATCACTCACTCACCGGCCGGTGTGTTGAGTCTGTACTCTCTAGACTATCCATCCCAATCCCATCAAGCCTCCCTTCCTCCCATACGAATATCAAACCTTGCAAGCAATCCCTTCAGCTCAGTGGACACTGTCACCGAATAAACGAAAAGGATGCACATTGAGATCATTATCATCATCCTCATCATCATCATCATTGCCTACCTAACCCGGTATTCCGACACTCAGTCCCTCAGTCCCTCAGTCCCTCAGTCGTACCCGCTTATCACCATCGCCGCTTTGAAATGCTATATTATGTTATGCTACGTTACGCTATGCGATGCTCTGCTCACACTGACAGCCCTGCTCTCGTCTCGTCTCGTTACATCATGTCATGTCATGTCATGTCATGTCGCCTCGCTAACCAGAGTCCATGGTTGGGAGAAGTGGGAGAAATCACTTACTCCACCCGCGCTCCCTTTTATCTCCTATATATTTCCTTGGGCATTTAGGCAGGTATGAGTCCAATAATGATGAACACAAAGACCGGTGTCTCTTCCTTAGATAGGTCGAACTGGGTTGTGGGATGATATGCTGGAGGAAATTATTTAAACTACCCTAGGTAGGCAGGCAGGTAGGTATGAGTCTAATACTGGACACTGAAGACCAGTGTCTCCTACATACTTCCTAGTATCGACTCGGGTTGATGTTATGTTGGAGGAGATAATTAGGTAAGTGGGTGGATAGGTGGGTGTATAAATGTGTACATATTACTCTAGATTTATCTGTTTATCTTTCTGTTCTCCGGCTAGATGTCTAGATGCTATAATATAGTCCTATAACATGCATTCGTGTGTCATCATACATACATACATGTATACCTGTGAGAATTTCTGTCTGTCTGTCTTTTGGTGAATGAACATGAAGAGTCGTCGATTCGCGGAGAAATCAAACCTGGTCTGGAGTAGATGGAAGGCTGTCTTGATGGAAGGCTGGCTGGTATGGAAGATGTTCGAATGCTGATGACTGCCCATGCAGAGTCGGCGGCTAGGATGCGATGTCAATGGAAATCCATCTCGAGGAGCTGCTTGAAAATGGATCGGTTCGTTTGTGTAGAGTGTGAAACCTGCTTGATATGCTTCATTGGAGGTCGAGTGTTGGAGGCTGGCTGTTCAGACAGATAGTTGGATTGGGCCTTAGTGGCAATCTGATGAACAGCCCTTCTTGCCAGCCCGAAGATCGTGTCGGCTCATGCTTGGGCCCGGATCGATCGCAGAGCATCATCCACATGGAATGACCAAAGACGTCTTTGAGACTTCAGACCTTCCAGCCGCCTTTTCGACTTTTCGGATCCGAAGAAAGATCTAAGTTCTCCAATGAAGATGCTGCCGCTTGGGAGTCAAATTCGTCCTTGATATTCTGTCGAATCTCCTCGATCAGGATCTCCGATTCCTCCTCGTCGAGGTCTTCGCGGGTGCCACGCCCGAAGATGACGGCATTACGTGCCCTTGCTGGAGGAACTTCGTTCGGTGGATACTTTCCATGCTTGGGAGTGGAGGGAGCATTGGCCGATCGAGCCAGAGGTGGATAAGAGTAATTCAACGGCGGGCGAGGAATAACATGGAAATGGACATGAGGGACGACCTGGGCGGCTCCAGGCCCATTATTCTGGACGACATTGTAATCGACCTCGTCGTGCGGAATGTCAGGCAGCACCGACTTGAGCACCGAGCGTACGATGACGGGCAGGACACGGCCAATCTCGGCGCTCTCGTCGCTACTCAGATGCCCGATTTTGACGCGATGTTTGCGTGGCGCGACCAGAACATGGCCTCGTGTCAGAGGCATGATGTCTAGAAATGCTATGACGTGTGCATTTGAGAAGAGCACGAATGATGGAGGGTCGAGTTTGGTCGAGTCTAGATCTGATGAGCCTGCTGCTGACAATGGCGACACTGGTGGGTACGTCTTGGCTATCACACAGAAGGGGCATGATGGTTTGAAATCGTTGGTTTCTTGGTCGCTATCCGTCGAGCCTGGGTGTGCCGGGGAGTGTTCTTGGATCAGTTTGGCGTCTTCGTCCATCTTGCCGAGATTGTCTAGATATCCGCGGAAAATAATCTGGTATAGATTGACTTAACTGGATTGATATGAAGACAGATAAGTACTCAGTATCAGATTCAAGAGAGCAGAAAGAGTTGAGTGTTTCGAATATCAGGAGGGGAATGAATTGAAGGACAAGGCTCACAAGGCTCCCGGCAAGGCGAATTGAAAATCAGCCTCAGGTGCCTTAGCTAAGCAGGGTTTTAACCTCGGCACAAGTCCTGGCCGCCCCCGACGAGTTGCCTAATCACCCTGTCAGTCCTAAATACCTTCCCAAAGTATCTAGATACCTCCCTAATTTCCTAAATGTAACTGTTTTCGACGGTAATCTAGACTCATCACTGCTTAAGCCTGGTTCTGGTGGTGTTGAGTTCTGCCACATGGTGGAGCTGAATTTATCGAACTCCAAACAGGAGTTCAGAACACCAAGAAGAAGCAAACCAAAAACCTGTGCATCTTTGGCCGTCAAGACCTCGCTAGAATGACTCGAATAAGACAGCCTGCTGAATCCGGAGCAGATGAGAATGGGGGCCAGAAGAGTGGGGTAGCAAGGCTCAGCCTCATCCTCAGCCTGATAGAAGAATAACCTCGTGTCAACCTTGACTTCTCAACTCGAGCTGTCTGTCATAGAGGATCAATCATTGAATGGCCGTACAAATGGGAATCCAATATGGACCCACTGTCAATCACCACCGCCTGTATGGCCGCGATAGGCACGATCTCTAAGGCTTCAGTGGAAGTCCCTCGGTTCATCTCCAGCGTGCGTGAGGCGCGGAAAGACATGGAAGCCGTCCTCAGGGAACTAACTTCGTTGGCGTTATGTTTGGGTGTGGTGCGGGATGATGCGGACAAAGTGACTTTCCCCACGACATTACTCGCCGTTGTGAAGAGCTGTGATGAGATTTCTGGCGAGATCATCCGGCTGATGGACAAGTTAAGACTCAAGAAGACAGGCAGAATTCGGTGGAATCTCACTGAACGGGACGAAGTCAACAAGCTTCGATCGTCTTTGGAAAGCCATAAATCGTGCATCGATGTGGCATTGGATATGGCTTCTATGTGAGTATCTGCCATCACCGCACGCATCAAAGCTTTTCCTTGGACCTGGCTGTGATTCCATGTCAACTCTACGAGTTTTAGATTGAGTGATCCATACCATACTGAGAGTTTCATAGTCAACTTCTAGCCGCGGTGAAGGAAGATACGAACGAAATCAAGGTTCAAACAACAGCCATCAAGGCAGATACGGAAAACATCAAGCAAGACACACAGCAAATCAGTGGCTTGGTCGAAGAGATAGCACTGCTCCGGCTTCAAGTGTCGCAACTGAAACAGGAAAGTGGCAGCGCCGGTGTCACGCTTCAGAGATTCTTGGAAGAGACCAGCTCTTATGCGGAATCAGTCATTGATGCCACAGAACTGGATAAACTTGATCCGAGTGGGAAAGACAATCTTTCGGTAATATATAGTGAAGACTGGAGTGATAGCGATAGCGACAGCGACAGTGCCGGAGATGGAGATGGAAGCAAGATCGAAGACACACGCAAGGTATCCACAAAAGAGAGGGCTCCAGAAGCGTCTGTTACTGATCAAACAGGGATCGATGAGGGTTGGGGGACTGACTGGTTGGTGGCAAACGAAATGACTGCCCATACCTCTCAGGATTATGCCCAGTTCTCTCGGTATTATCAGACGATGGCCGAGGATGCCCAGCAATCTTGCTTGTTGAAAACACAACCGAGAAGAAACAAGGCTGCGGGAGTCTATGGGGTTGATCAGACATCGGCCGATAAGCTTCCAGGGTTTGCGAAACTACCACGAAAAAACAAATCTTCAAAAACCCCCTGGGCTAATCAGACAAGGATTGAGGAGGGGAAAGCCGGGAACCAAACATCATTCACCTACCCCAAGCCCGACGATGACAGGGGCAAGTTTTCAAGTTCTCGATCACCAGTCTCCGACCATTCCACGCGCGAGCGACAGTCCACGAGTCCTCGATTAATTAGTTCAGATCGTCCGGGCTCTAATGAAATTGCTACTCGGATTGCCACTCGGAATGCCAAAGCGAAGGAGGCTACTTTGAGAGCCGAGGATGTAAAACGGAGTGAAACGTCCAATAAAACAACACCCACTCCACATAAGACAAGACAAGCAGTACGCGCCGCCTCGTTCGGCCCTCCACAACCTCCAAGGCCACGCCGGACGTTGTATGGCGCCCTGCTCAAGGATCTAACTGCCAAATGGGGTTCGGGAGGATTGTAAACGGGAGCAAGTGTTGAGAGAGAAATGTCGAGACACCCGAAGCATTACCAACATTATAATATTTTGAGCCTCACATTGTGCGAATAGTCGTGGTCGTGGAGCAGAATAGTGTAATCTAAGCTCCCGTTGGACGTACTGTAAGTGGCCAGTGACGAACCTCATGCTGCCAAGACATATAAATTCTTCCCGTTTAGATTTGTTCCATTGTTCGCTCAATCGCATTTACCGTTTCACTCTCAGTCAAAACACAAACCGATCATAGAACGGGCCAATCGTTCTCATCCTCCCCAGAAAGACCGACAGAAAACCCAAGGTTTCATGGCTCGGCCGCCCGCTACAGAATGGAGTACGTGATCCGGTTCGCGCAAGCGCACGAATCCTTCCGCCGCCCCGAAATCGAAGCCTTGTCACGGCTGGCAGGACTCAGCTGTGAAATCGTATCGTACAAGCCGAAGTCACCGTTCTGCGTGGTTCGGTTTCCGGACCTCGACCGTGCCGGTCATTCCGCCGAGCGCGTGGATGAGGTCGTGCGCGCATTCTTCAAGCGCTCCGTGCTCGCCAAGAGTATTTACGAATTGTGGGCGAGAGGGCGGGATTATGACTCCCTGCATGAGACTCTGAGGGGGCGTGGGGACGGGTTCTCGGAGAGGTTTCGGCGCTCGACTTTTAGGTTTTCGGTCGATTGCTATGGGAGTACGCGCAGTTTGGCGGTGCAGAGGGAGTTGATTAATGGGTTCAAGTATCTGGGGTTGGAGGGGAAGATTCGCATGAAGGATCCAGAGGTCGAGTTTACGATCATGGAGTTGTGGCTTGCGCCTGGGACTACGGGTCAGGGGCCGGATGGGGAAGGTGAGGTCGGGGATGGGATGTTTGATGAGATCGCGGGCACGAAATTCAGAGAAGTGTTTCTTGGGCGAAAGCTGGGGGATTCCCGGAGGTATCTGAAGGACAAGCACGATTTGAAGAAGCGGCCGTATATCTCGACCACTTCGATGGATGCCGAGTTGGCCCTGGTCACTGCTACTCTGGCACTGGCTTCTCCGGGGAAATTGTTCATGGATCCTTTTGTCGGGACTGGTGGGTTCATGATTGCGGCTGCCGAGTTGGGAGCGATGTCTTTTGGATCGGACATTGATGGGCGCAGTTTCAAGGGAAAAGGCATTGGAATCGACACAGGAGTTGGTGCGAACTTCAAGAAGTATTCTTTGCAACATCTCTTTGGGGACTGTGTGACTTCGGATTTGACAAATACACCTTTTCGGATTGTAAAAGGACTTAATCATCTGAAAGATGCCAGATGGCTGGATGGAATTATTTGTGACCCTCCTTACGGAGTCAGAGAAGGTTTGAGGGTGCTGGGCACGAGGAAAGGCCTCATGCCACCAGCAGAGTGCGGTGGAGTAAACCCATCGTCAACACAGGGATCGACTCATCAAGTCCACCTGATAGGGGGAGTACCTGGCTACACATTGCCTGGGTATATCCCACCAAAGAAGCCATATTCCTTCATGCGGATGCTGGATGACATCCTGGACTTCGCAGCTAGGACACTCGTTGATGGTGGCCGAATCGCATTCTGGATGCCTAGTGCCAATGAAGATGAGTTCGGCCAGGAAGTTCCCACGGTGATCCCTTCACATACTCACCTCGAACTCAAACATGAATGCATACAGCGCTTCAATAAGTGGAGCCGCCGATTGCTTGTGTATGAGAGGCTCCGTGGACCGATCGAGATTGGGGAGGTGATGGAGAAGCTCTCTCTTGATGGAACTGCCGATGAGCTTAATCCTTTCCGGAAGAGGTATTTCCAACCTGTCGTGGACAGAAATGGTGGTCCTGTAGCATAGACGGTATGCCATAGATGACTTGGCTTACCTTGAAGCACACAACGCTCAAAGAAGCAGCTTTGACGTGCTTCCGAGCGCACACGAAGTGATTGACCCTTGTCCGCCGAGGATGGTCGGTTATTCTTTGATTTGCAGCTTTTCCACTGCTTCAACAGCATCTTCACCCTCAGCGTCGTCTTCGTCACCCTTTCCGACAAGTCCGCGCTCCCAGAGTTGTTTTCCCGTCAGCTTCTTCTCGTCAGACCTGGCACCGGTCTTTTTCTTTTTGTCTTCCGCCTCTTCTTCTTCCTTCTGTCTACGTTCTTTCTCCTGCATCTCCTTCTTAAAGTTTTCTCTCCACTCCAAGAACCGTTCTTTCGTCACCAGACTACCGTGGAATCTGCGATTCTCCTCCTCTTCTTTCTTCCGCAGTACTTGATCCCGAATAGCTTCTGCTTTCTGCAGTCTTTCAGTGATCATGTTCTCCGCACTCTCTTTCAAGGTGGTGACTAGCGTGAAGACCATTGCCATGCCCAGCGAATCTTCAATGGTCGGCGCAAGAGCTTGCAGTAGTTCAGCCTTGTCCTCGGAGACATCTAGCTCAGGATGTTTGTATGCATTGGGCGGAGATGTGATGTCCAGATAAGGGCCAACATCAGGATACGCTTCTGGGTAAACCACATTGAGTAGAATGACTGGTGGTTCGGCATCTTCGTCGGACCCATCATTTGGTACTTCGAGCGTGATGGATATCCGGTATGACGTGTCAGAGACATCTATGTACTGCTGTCAGTAGAGGGACATAGGGACGACACACGGCTACGACATACCTGTAATTTCGTCGGGGAAGATCGAGTCGAGAACTTCTCGCTCTTCCTTTTGTTCTTCAAGCCCCATGGCGGGACTTTGTACCGCGACAACGAATAAGGGCTGTTGCAAGAGAATAGAGCAAGCGTTTTACCCAAAAGTCTCCAGACAATGCGTACATGCAATTTACACAATTCTCTATGGTTCTGTCACTGAGGGGAGTTGTTTCTGTCGAGATTCAATAATGTGCCCGCATCGCTTCTACCCGAAGATAAGCCGACCGGATCATCATTCTTCCTGCTATGCACGAGGCTGAAGCCAGCCTTGTTGCACCTGTGTGCCCCAGGATCTGGAGGATCTCTGGAGTGACTGCATGAGGAGGGCGGTCATAATTTCAAACCGCGACAGGATGGACGTCAAACATTAAACATGAAATTTATGGTGGAGATCAGATTATCTTAAGCTACGAATTCCAGGATTGCACCAACGGCCATGAATTGCACCAGCTAATGACGTTCATTGGTATCATTTCTATGTCATCTCGTTCATTAACAGCAAGTGGTTGTCCTTGCCAGAGAATAATGCTCTTAGCAAAACTTGAGCAGGTAATCAGCTTCTCCAAGTTATGATATCTCTTCCTTGTGTCGGACAGGTGTCTTGTCGTCCTCATACAAGGTGTCTAAGGTTGAGAACCGGCTGCGGTACTGCGGGGGAGGGGTGTCGTAGCCAATGGTTTTGCTTGAAGGTTCAATTTCTAGAGCCTTCATGTCTTTGATCTCTTTTCTCTCACGGCATTGTTGATGGCCTCCTGTACAAGGACAGGGAATACTTCGCTCGAAAAGCAACATTGTCCTTGGTGTTCTGTCTTGCCTGTTCACGGGCACGGTGTGCTGGTTACCATCTTCGATGACACACACGAATTGCCTGGTCACAGATTTAGTGAGGGTAGTCACAGGCAGGTATATCAAATACCCACCATCCTTTCGAACGTTTGATATTGGAATTTTTCTTCAGCTGCGACTCGGCGAACCTGGATAAGGTCGCTAGACACTTGTCTGGTGTTATTCTCTTGTAACACCCTAAGTCTTCTTCAGGACTGAATTCAGCCTCATCAACATAAGAGAAGCTCCATCCATCATTTGTGCTCGACCGTCCATGCCAGCCCCAATCACAGAAGACGATTCTTCGTTGATTGAGCGACTTAGGACATTGAGGGCTGTTTGTCCTGGTCCGGCGCTTCATAAAATTCGACAACATGACTGATAGTGGATTGCGTTGGTCAATTGGGAGTGTGCTGCCGTCTGAGCGAGCAGTGTCCTGCACAGGGTAGAGTCTTCTTCAAATATCAATCTTCTCAGACAACGATTGAATGAACCGTGCTTGGAGTTCATGCACAGTTCTAACAGTGGTACGAAGTTCACAGACGCATCGGGCCCACTTACTGTTAAACTAACCCAAGGATACAGTTTCCGTCAGGTTTGGCAGACGCCAGCAGATGAAAACCAGCAAGTGAACTGACGTCAACAGGGAAACTCTGACCTTGAGGGGCTTTCAGGATCAAACGCCGAGGCGTCTGTGCTGTAAGAATGAGCGGCTAATTAAAGCTCGGACCAAAGCCTTGCCTACTCGAATCAACAATCGTCGATCATTTTTGTTGAGTTCGTGCAGTAGTTCGTGCGAGAAAGATGAGTTCGTGAGTAGATTCATCCGGCAAATTCATTAGCTCTGCAGAAAGACAATGCTTTCATGTCCTTCATCGAGGAGTTCGCCAACAGGAGCCATTGGCGATCGAGTGAAGAAGCTCAAAATTGGACTCTCTTGGGTCATCAACGGGCCTGGTCATCAAGACTTGTTTTGAGATGTGGTTATGTCAGAAGTCTGTCACTCGCTTCACCTTGTCGAATCTTGACGTTCCAATAGGGACTACAGTTGGCAAAAGCAGTGATAACCAAACTATCCCCATCGCTTTGTGGAAACAATCCAATAGTTGCTTGAGGGCACGGGCCCGTCTCAGCTTTGATAACAGGGCTCCAATGTTTTCAACGTCTTATTTATGCAATGTTGCCCTGGGAGAGTCGGCACACCTTCCTCAATGAGAAGAATCATGCACTCCTCCCCCGAATCCCCATGTCGTTTTTGGTGTTTTATCTCTGATTGCTACGAAGGATCTCCATCTGCCATCAACGGCCTGTGCTTCACTAGTGGTGAGAGCCTCAAATCGGTGGAAATTATGTTGATCGCTCTTAACCTATGTATCCTACTCCTCACACTTCTGGATTGAGGCTATTTTGGCCGACATTGAGGACTTCGTAGGGGAAGAAGACCAGCTCTATCGCATCAACTTTCCCACTGTTATCGCTATTGATTGTTACATCTCCCATGACGTCGACCAGGTGTATGAGGGATAAGATCACTGATCCATGCTCAGCTAAGTAGGCCAAACGACCTGATGAGACCTGGCTTTGCTCGTTCCGTCTTTCAACCTTTCAATAGCCAGACATCATAGTTTGTGGAGCACTCTTGTTTGTCGAGCAAGATGCACTGGCACGCAACCGAGTTTCGACTCGGCGTCATCGAATGCATCTGCTGACAACAAGCGGTTCTGCAGATCTGTACCAGCAGCCTCGATCACCTGACTCTTGGATCAAACCAGTCAACATGTCGCCCGATATGGAGGAATGTATCTGCCTTGCCTGTCGTCTGTTCTGGAGACCGGCACCATCCGCATTCGCTCTGCAGAGACTGTGGCTGGAGTCTGGCGCTTATGTACTTGTAGGGATATTCTGTACAGCGTGGTGACATCGCCCAGCGCCACACATCGCTATTCATGCACAACTCAGGGGTAGCGACTATCCAGTCTCGTGATCAACACACCTCCACCTGCCCTGACACTCGTGGTCCCCATGGATGTCAAAAGTACATTTGGCGGAGGACATTGTCTTCACATTCCGCCTTGACTGATCAATGCTTCAACCGGCCTTGCCGTCATGGTTCACGCCTAGCGATATGTCTCCTTCCCGCGGTTATCAACTGCAATCTGCACTTTTCTTCTGCATTATTAACCGAACCTGTCCATGAAAGATAGCTTACAACATTCTTGCTCAGCGCCCAGCCCCTTCTGCAGCATATTTTGATCCAGACCCTGGCTCATCCCGGCGGGGGAAGATGCAATGGTTTGCCTGCCCCTGCCCACATACGGAGTAGCCGATTCACTTTGGACATGACGAGCGCGGCTAAGTCATCCAACAGCCATTCTCCGACACAATCTTAGCGAGATTGACCCTCAGCTGCAGCATTTCGAGTCATGTCGGAAATCTAGGACATAGCTTCAACCTGGCCGTGATTCATGACGACCAATGAATACACTCTCGGTGGATATTGTTCGAGTTTGCCTTGAATGACAACGCCTTGTGCTCGGTGCGAGCTATTGCAAATGGCGCACGAGTGTCCGCATATGAGACAGCTTAGGCAGCTTGTGTCTGATGTGGCTCAAGTGGCTCTAATGACATGGACTGGACAGAGCATGCGGACCCGGTGCTTGCATCGATGAGTCTCTGAGTAGCAAAAGGCAGCGAAATAGCCCCCAATTCCACCGGCCTCCTCATTTTGACCAAGCAGCTTCTGAACCACATAGCCACTGCGAGGAGAGCGCGGTCTCATGTACCATCCATTGTTCCGCATGCTTGGTGGTTCATGATACCTTCAAGGGGCGGTGAGCAATTTACGTCCAAAGACTATTTCCACTTGTGTTGCGTCTTTCTCAATCTTTTCAACGTGATATATTCACAGAAAGTGTTAGGTACGAACACAATGTCAAAGGAGAGTGATTCTACAACGCCTTACTGGCAATATTTAGATAGGAACACACACAACACCGCAAAAGCACTTCTTCAGTACATAGCAAGGCCATTCGAAGGGAAGAAAACTGTGGCAAAAGGATTTGTCTACGTGTTACAAGAGCAGAAAAAAGGATATATCAAGATCGGTTCTTCTGGCGATACAGGTTGGGCACGTCCCGATGCTATCAAAAACTGTCGAATCACACCTATCGAAAGTCTTCGTACACCCCGGTTTCATGGAGCACTAAGATGCGAGAAGATTGTCCAGAAGATTTTGGAACATCGCGCTAAAGATTTGCATGATTGTCGATGTGGAAAGGTGGAATTACACCTCGAATGGTTTCACGTCGAATTCAAGTTTGCACTTGTTATTGTCGAGCTTGTTTATACATGGATGCTTGATCTCCCTTACGACACTTCGAACGAGGGCGCAGGTGAACTCAAAGATACGTGGCAACGCGCACTAGAGTCCTTCCAGAATGACTTGAAAGGCCAATTCCCTAAGGACTTGAAAGACTTCTTCCGCAAGGACGACTGGCAGCGCCACCATAATCATTGCGACTGGGAAGAGAATATGGTACGAGTGGATTGCCCACGAGATTTTGATATACCTACTCGCCCCAACTTTCTCGGGATAGCTGAACTTTTGACCGAAGATACAAACGACCTCACCGTGGCTCACTTGGAGAAGAACGACAGACGACCCATGGCAGTGGGCACAACCCTCAACTCGCGGAAAAATCCTACACCTTCTAAGAACGATACAACGCAGTGCCTTTCAACGCCCCCCAGGCAACCAGCTCATAGGTATCCACTCAGATCCAGGGACAGACCAAAGACTGCACCACCCGGATCTGGAAAAGGAAAGTTTAGAGAAATGGAAGAGACACTGCCTGCCAGTGCCCCTCTAGAATCGAGGTTCTCCGACAAGCATGATTTTTTCGATGAGACTCCTTCTAAGCCTGGCTCCAGGACCAAATATAAAGCTACAGGAAGTTCTCATATTCTATACAGAGCAAAAGTCAATGAGAGCGAGGATGAATCAGTGGACGATGATAACGATGAGAATGAGGACGAAGATTATACGGTTCCCGAGAGTAGCAGCGACGACGATGGCGATGGTTCCGAAAGTCCATGCGAAGAGGAGACCGAAGAAGAAGACAAGGAGCACGATGATGACAATGATGACGACGAGGATGAAGATGAAAGTGAAGAAGAAGTCGGAAGTGGGAGCGAGGAGGCGGAAACCGAAGAGGATGTCGAGACCGGCATAGATTTCAACTCCCATCCAGGATCGCGCTTCAAGGAAACGCTTGATCTATTGAAGCGAAATAGAAAACTTCCAGTTCAGAAAATGCACGTCAAATTGGTCAAAGACAAGCCGAAGGTCAAGGATTCCAAGCAATACATAACGATTTCTTCGGATTCGGAAGAGCAGACTGCAAGTGATAGCGATTCTACTCCACAGCAGGCAAAGGATAGTCGAATTGTTGGGCCCAGTGCACGGATGGCGAACAAGATTCCCCAGAGTCTTCCCAGATTTAATATTGACGAGGTGGGAGACTCAGCAGCCAGTGCCAGGGGTGACCCCAAGAGCGATGCAAGTCGTCTTAAGAAGCCACGAGCCAAGCATGGCCGGGGACGCAGTCTGGTCGAAAGCGACATTCGGTCTCTGGCAGGCAACGAGCTGGTTCGCAGACCACGCCGTGCGTCTGCTGCGACAAGCGCCACCGAAGTGATTGGAACGTTTGCCCAGCTCGGCAAGGAGGCTTTAGTGGCTGGTGCCAATATAACTTTCAACGTCAATATCAACTACGGAACGACATACAAACGGTAAGGGCGATGGTTCTCTTAATTTGATCCCTGGTGTCGAGCATTCTTGCTACGGCGGAATCTTGCTGGTCACAATCGGCAGTCAGGGTGCACATTTCAGCACGAACAACGATGGACGATGCCTGTAAGGGTTCGAGACACGCATACAGCATCGCCGACATGTTTCTCTGTTCACCTCCCTTTTCTCTACCCACACAAACACACACAAATATAAGTAAAAAAAAGATTGGAAAGAAAGCCTACAAACGCACAAGAAACATCTTCGGATCACAGTAGGCCCGAAGTAAACTCACCGAAGAGAAAACTCTACACCCCCGAGGAAGAAGGTTGGTTTCTAGGCTATACTCGCAGAAAGGGGTGGTTCTGCCTCCCTTCCACCGGACACCGCTCTGGATAAGGCCCCGAAAGACCCCTCCTCGCACCAGAGCAGGCAGTTGGTCGACGTAGTATGCTATAGGGATAGTATCATCGGCGAAACTCTGCCATTGACCACCGCGCCATCTGTTCGCCGTGTGACATTGAGCTTATGGCCTAATTGTGAGATGATTTGGTGACTTTGATATTTATTCCTCAGAGGTGCGGGGCGGGGCCGCGCTGGCTAGATATTCACTGCTGAGTAGGAAACCCTGTTTAGGGGACGAGGATTCACTGTCCCCTAAGATCAGGAGTGAATGAATATCGCAGCCTTGCTGGACGTTATTTTTGATTTCTAATTGGCCAGAATCCTCAGCCTTGCTACGCTGGTGGTCTGTAGGGCTCACCGTACCGCTACTACGTTGCACCATAAGACGACGAGACGCTGATATCAAAAGCTTCTTAATGAGATCACCGTTTCAGATCACCCATGTCCATTCCTTTATGCATCCTTGAAACCGATATCCCTCGCATTGTACATATATCTTGATGTTTCAAATAGACCCTACCGTAGAAACCCACCCTATCTGACCACTCCGCGCGCTCTTACACCTCACCTTCCACCAAACCCGACAACCCAGCATTGGACACCCCACACTCTCGGCCAGATCCAATGCCCTCGGCACCATCAAATCTGGCAGCCACCAACCTCAGTCTGAGCATAACGAACCCACTAGTCCTATACCGTGCACTGGTGTCGACGAAAAAAATCAGACCGGACCCGGCTCAACACCGACTAGCGCTTCAACTGCAGAAACTCTATTTCCGCCTGAAGGACTACGCACCCGAGGTCGAGTATCGGTACCGCCTGGAACGGATTGCACGGAGGAATGGCGTCCGGGACCGGCAGGCGAGATCCAAGGCCGCAGAGGATGTCGACGAGCAACAGGGTGAGGAGTCGTCCGGGAGGGGGAGAACGCGAGGCGGGCCCAACAAGGGTTTCAGTCTCGCGGCGCTGATCAAGGCGTACCCGGCCGAGACGCTGGCGTTGACGCGCACGGCGCCGCTGCATAGCTCGGCGTTGTCGATCTCGTCGCCTCAGGGCATGTTGCTCTACGGGGAAGTCGGGCGCGGAAAATCCATGCTGCTCGACCTACTGTACAGTTCGCTGCCGTCGCGCAAGAAGCGCCGCTGGCACTTCAACACGTTCATGCTGGACCTGTACCGGCGTATCGAGGCGACGCGGATCGAGCGCCTTGAAACGCGGGCGAATACTGGGCAGGATGGTGGCGCCGGGTTCTGGCTCTTCGGGTCCGGTACCGGCATCTCCGAGAACGAACATGTCGTGCTCAGCCTCGCCAAGGAGACCATCAGTGACAGTCCGATCCTGTTTCTCGACGAGTTCCAGATGCCAGATCGCACGGCGTCCAAGTTGGTGAATTCGTTCTTGACGGCGTTTTTCCACCTCGGCGGCGTGTTGATCGCGAGTTCGAATCGCATGCCGGACGAGTTGAGCAAGGCTGCGGGGATTGAGTTTGGTGGTGGGAGGGGGATGAATGGTGGTGGTAGTGGTGGTGGGTTTTGGGGTCTGGGTTGGGGTGCAAGGCGGCAAAGCGAGGGTGATCTGCAGGCGAAAAGCGATTTCGGAATGTTTCTGGATGTGCTGAAGGCACGGTGTGAGGTGTGGGAGATGGAGGGGGAAAGGGATTGGAGGCGGGACATGGGAGGGGATGAGGAAGCCGTGGCAGATGTTGATGATGAAGATATCACCGAGGTGGATTTCTCAGCGCCGGATGTGATTGAGAAGACGACTTCGCTTGCGGAAGCAAGTACAAAAGCTCTCACGACAGACACGGAGTTGTCATCAGACTCTCCACAGCACTACCATATCGCGCTACCCGGGACAGAGACTTCGACTACATCACTTCAGCAAGACATCCTCTCCCTTAACCCATCCGACATTTGGACGCCACGAAGCTTGACGATCTACGCACGCCAATTGCACCTACTGCATACCAATTCTGGGGTTCTCAAGGCATCGTTCTCATCCCTATGCGAAAGCTATCTCGGCCCCGCGGACTATGTATCACTATGCTCGACATTCCACACGGTGATCCTCACCGAAGTGCCGGTCCTAACGGTGCTGCAGAAAAACGAGGCACGGAGATTTATCACACTGCTGGACGCACTCTACGAGGCGCGATGTCGTCTGCTGGTCGAGGCTGAAGCACCACCAGACAAACTGTTCTTCCCGGAGAAGAGACGGAAAATAAATTCCGCAAATGGCAGCGCCAATCCCAGTGGACTACTGTCTGAAGGAGACAGCGACAACGACTCCATCATCTCGGAAGCGTTTTCGGAGATGTACCAGGACTCGACGGCGCCGTTCCGCCCCAACATCACGTCCTACACAGACAGCAACAACGCGGCGTCGATCCCATCCCAGCCGTCATTCACACGCTCTCTGCAATCGCCATCTCTGCGGTCTGTGCTGGCGGACGAAGACGCGGATTTCGGCCCCACGTACGGCAACGGCCGCAGCCAGGGGATGTCGTCGGGGAGAATCAATCTCGATGTCGGTCCGGCAGGGATGTCGGAGCACGAGTTACGACAGGGCCCGGACTTCACGCAGACGAGTGCGATGACGGGCGAAGACGAGCGGTTTGCGTACAAGAGGGCGAGAAGTCGGTTGTGGGAGATGTGTGGACGGCGATGGTGGGATGAGCGTGGTGCGGGGAGAGATGTCGACGAGTGGTGGCGGCCTGTTGGGAGGGAGGGCCGGGAGTGGGAGAGCGAGAACGAGAACGACAGGATCTTAGAGCGGTCTGCGGCTGGCGACAGGGAGGGTTCTGAAGACTTTGGCCAGGGTACGAGTCGCGGGAAGGTGGACTCGGATGTGAGAGCCGAGACCAGCGGTGATGATGTGCTGTTTAGACATGGTGCCAGTCCGTTTCGCACGAGTATGGAGCCACCTCCGAAGCTCGGGTGGCAGCACGCTTGGGGGATGATGAAGTGGGGGAAGAAAGCTGGCGAATGGGGAAAGGGTGTGGATGGGGATAGGAGGAAGGGGAGGAGTGATCAGACTTCGTGAGGTGACGTGGAGAAAGACAATGAATGATGACTGTATATACCGACCATATCCATCTGTCTAGATTATATCTACTTTCGGTTGTTCCGAGTCCGATCAATATTCGTTTTCAACCTATGTACACGACTCTAAGACTCGTCGTCGACTGCTTCAGGAGTGCTCAAATATCCCTTGTCTTCGAGATATTTGACGATGATCTTGACGGCATCTTCAACGCTCGTCTTGTCGCTGTGGATATGGATCTCAGGCTTCAGGGGCTCCTCATAGGGAGCACTGATACCGGTGAACTCGGGGATCTTGCCCTCACGAGCCTTCTTGTACAGACCTTTTGGATCACGTTGCTCGGCGACCTCGACGGGGACATCGATCCAGACCTCGACAAAGGGCACGCCGGCATCGCCACCGGGTCTCTCAGCCTCGTGGAGCTGGCGGGCCAAATCGCGATCTCCTCGGTATGGGCTGATGAAGCTGGTGATGGCGATGGTGGCCGAGTCGGCGAAGAGTTTGGCGACCTCGGCGATGCGACGGATATTCTCTTCGCGGTCTTTGGGCGAGAAACCCAGGTCTTTGTTCAGGCCGAAGCGGATGTTGTCGCCATCGAGGCGGTAGGCGGCTTTGTTGTAGGGTTGTCGGAGTAAGGCCTGTTCTAGAGCTACGGCGATGGTGGATTTACCACTGGCGGATAGTCCCGTGAGCCAGATGGTCAGGCCGGATTGTTTGCGTAGTCCGGATCGAATCTTGGGCGTCAGTGGGGTTGGGTGGTAGTGGATGTTACTGTTTTGGGGTGGTAAGTATATATTGTGTTGGTGATGTAGTGATGGTCAGGTTAGAAAGAGTCTTGGAAAACGCTGTGATATGTGAAATGATGTTGTGTAATGAGACTTACGTTGCCATGTTTGTGTGCCAGTTGCCAGTGGTTGAGATTAATAGTGTTGAGTATTGTGTACTAGTGTAGAGAAGGGCTGGTGGTATGAAACTTGAAGTTCTGTACAAAAGGGATTTCTCTTTCGCGTTCAAGTTGTACCTGAACGAATGACGAGATCCTTGGCCGTAAATTTCAATTCTCCAAAGTTCCGATGTCGTTGAGAGGTTGATTCTCTCACCAATGATGAAGCGAGGATGTTGGAGTAGTTGAACTCTGTGTGGATGATGACTTCAAGTTGCCAAGCCTGATCCTGAGTAAATCACCCCACTCATGCCTAGGAGTTAGTTAAGTAACAAGCCTGAAGTACCTATTAAATTAGTGGTTGATCCTCAGTTAGGCTGCTTACCGTGGCGTCGGCCAGGCCTGGGGAACGGGGGTTGCTTAACTACTTGTTAGGCTTGTTAGGGTAGGGCAACCCCACTCCATGCCCGGATCTGTCCTCCATCAAGATTGGCGATTGTCTTCAACTCATGCAGTCGTGTTCCAAACGACCAGATTCTTGACGACACCTGTCATACCTGTCACGGTTCGTTTGCACAAAGGACCGCCGGAATACGACGGGGGGCTCATCATCCGGGAAGCCGTCTGTGCTGGAGATGAAGATCTGGGGATTTCTCCCTCGTCTCCGAGATTCACTTTGATACTTTCGATGAGATCCATGGGTCTGCATCGAGTCCTTGTTCTTGTCGTGTTTGCTGCTTTCCTTTTGTTGTCAACCTCTCTCCATGGTTCACCAGTATGGTACCTGGCTGCCACGGCCTATTCTGTCAAAGGCCCAGCAGATATTCTTGTAACGGAATGACATCGATTCTTACCTTGGTATGCGTTTGATCTTTCCGGTTGCACAAGCTCGTTGAACCTCATCAAGTGAATGCACCTATCCCCTCCCTCCACATGAGTATCTCTTGTACTCGTACATCCGGGTAAACAGGGAGATCCCTCCAATGGAACCTTCTGGTACACATGCACCAAAGAAGTCGGTGTACCATTTGATATATGTGTTGATCCAGAGCATAGCAGGTAGTGTTGCAAACCAAACTGTGCTTGCACAAACCAAGGATTTCTGGTTCCCACTGGCGCACCTTGATTTAAAACAAAGCATGTCGCATTTTGTACCACCTCGACAACCACTCAGGGTTGGAAAGACAACACTCTTGGTGGGATCAGCACCAAGATACATGGCAAATAAGTACCTTTACTTCTTTCTTCTTTGTCCAGATGTCCCTGTCCGTCGCATCAGAATTGCGGTGTTGAAAGTTTGCCACCCTCAAATCTCTACGGTTGAGTTGATTTTATGCTGTTCATTATTGATATTTATTTGACAACCACTGAACATTGTGAATGGGCCAAACAGTGTAATGATGCTGGTTGTGACGGTCTAAAGATCAAAAAGATAACTCGGACGGCGCAAGTCCAAGTCGGTCAGCTTCTCGTCCTGGGGCTGCTGTTGGTGTGGCTCTTGCTGGGTCATATCGTGGAAGAAACAACGACGACATCGACATCGACATCGACATCGACACCAAGGCTGAATAGAGAAGGAACTCTTGAGCAGCTCAATTACCATCAGCCTGAGCCATCAATGGGTGGTGGCAACTGGTATCAGTCCTGCAATCACTGCCTCGCCTGCATCCTTCTCATCATCCTCTCTTTCACTTCCACCTTGACCACCATCTTGTCCGTCGCCTTCACTCTCTCCCTCACCCTCACCTTCACTCCCACATTTGTATTCACTCTCTCCCCCGCATCCACATCCACTTTCGCTCAACTGCCTGTTTGCAGGTTTGGACGCATGAATACGAAAGTCGCTTTTACTGTTTGCATCACTTTCACTTGTCCTTACCGTTTAATGTGCCTTCATCGAACAATCTCCACCTCCATTCGCGCCGTCGACGATAACCAAGTCAGCTCGTGAGGTTTTCCTTCTCCTTTCCCAGCTTCTTCACCTCTTCTTCCTCCCCGCCTTCAACACCCACAACGACATCCCTCATAATTGCCTCCCACTTTGACCAACCGCAATCATGGTCGCGTGGGAAAACTTAGTGAAGATGATCGTAGGTCGAGGTAACCAGTCCTCTTTCCCACTCCAGCGCCTTCTTCTAATCCGCAACCAGGATCGGCCGAAAAGAGCGAACAGCGACAACTGGACCGCCAATATAAACACGTCGAAGAAATGAACAGGAACACCAACGAGGTGACCAGAGAGTCCCCATTCGACATCCCCAGTCGTGAGTCCACCCTCATCAATCTTCCACCAGACTCAAATTGACCAATTCAATCAGCAACACCCTCAATTACCACAAGATACACTTCCCCAAATCCCAGCAAAACAAGCGGCTCCCTTCGATCGGCTCGTCCTACCATCTATATGAGATGTGCCTCCTCCCCCACCATCCCTACCCTTACCACTTTCAAATCACTCGATGGTCCACCAGACATAACTGCTCGCGACCTCACACACGAAGAGCTCAAAAGAAATTACAGTCAGGGCAATGTCTGGAACGTTCATGAACAGCCTCTCCCTCCAATGCCTCAGTTGAGTGGGTTTGGTCGATTCCGAAGATCAATTGATGCCACAACAGAGTGGCAAATGGAACATCTCGATCGTCATTTTGCCGATTGCAAAGGCCTGTTTGCCAATCAGTTTGGGGATCTTCCACCTGCCGGCCTTGACCTTCCATCTTGGAGGATGTACAGAGCTCAGCACTCTCGGACTGCCAGTGCCGCTAGCACACGCAGCTCTGAGGCTGGGCGTTACGTTACCAGACCTGAAGAATATCTGGACATCAAGACTGGTACCAGGATCAGTCGGGGTTTCTGTCCTTCCACCACTTCCAGTGCCAACAGCTCATTCAAAGAAGGCTACGGCTATCATCGCAGGGACTCCAACCTGTCTTCTCTGAGCATGACCAGCCCAACAAGTGACGTAGACCAAAAGTTTGTCCGAAGAACAAGTCGACCAGCATCTTCCCGCCGTGTCAGTCAACAAGGCAGCACAGCGTCAATGAGTGGTCTGGGTTCTATCATGGAATCACAGGAGGCTCTCCCTCAAGTACTTCGCAAACTTGAAAAACCTTGCGAGTTCGATGAGATGGGCAATAACGAAAACGCCGTCGCCTCTGACGACGATGACGACGAGGAGGACGAGGGGAGTAGTAACGACTGGAGTGATGTGCTAGAGTTCAATGGTGCCAATCGACAAAGCAACCTCACCAAAGGGCTCCAACAATTATCAATGTCTAAAGCCGGCCCAAATGCCAAACCAGTGTTGACCAGGCAACGCACAATTTCCGATGACAAGAACGGTTCACGTGGACTCAAGAGAACAATCTTTGAAAGGACCAAGTCACGCAAGCCTGTCAGTAGGATATCTACACACCCCCAACTCCACAAGAAACCTACGGCCGTCGTATCAAAACTGGTCAAAGACAAAGTCGAGCAGACCTTGAGTTATCAAGCAACAAGTCCAACTGCCAGTGGAATATCTCAACACATTGAGATACCTAAGAAGCGAACTGGTACCACTTTTTCACAAAGTTCAGGAAAGAGTTCCTGCACCTCCCCGACCCCTGGCACTGATGGTTTCGTTACCGCCACTCCATCCCCTGAACATGTAGCTTCTCATATCTTGGCATCAACACGATCAGACACTTCGCACGAAACCTTGTTCATTGGTGGTCTACCCAAAGAAGGTATTCATACTCCGTGTCGAGGGAGATATCGTTCTGGGACTGCCACAACAATTCGTCCAGGTCACTCCGTTGAGGGTGACTTGTGACCTCGGCGATCAACGATTGTATCAACCTGAAGTTGATGACATCCAGCACAATCACACGACTCAATTACGAATGATGAATGATGACGGCGCAAAATACATGAAACTGACTGATACACTAATTCCCGGTAATACTATACGGCTTCTCTTGGGTTTATACTTTTACAGTAAGAGGCAATAGTGGTTGCCACATTAATTATCCTATCGCCACAAACTATCCGAAGTGGTGGATCGATCAAGAACGTCTTGGCAGCCTCTCTGCAGTGGTCAACCCCTCTGGGCTCTACTCTAACAAGAAGGATGAAAGCGGATTGTGAAGGCAGCATTCAAGGATTTTGGGAAGGAGCATGAAACTCCTCACCTACTTCTGGTGGATTTGCCCCCAGGCAAGGCTTCAAGGACCGAGGCCTACAGAGAAGGTACACAGTGAAGCTTTGGGAGTGGCGGGTGCTTGCAAGGAGGAGTTGCTAATTTCGGGCTGAGCTTCAAAGGATGATGATCATGATGGAGAGGAATGCACAGAGATTACTTTCGGCTTTTCAAGTCCGGGATTGAACAGAGTGAGGCTATCAGTGCCTCCAAATTCAGACCACAGCAATGCAACGAACAATCCCACAGAAAACATGACAATCTGCGATGTACCAAACACTCAAAAGGCAAGGGTTCACAGCACTTGTTCGTTTGGAGAGTCGGTACACTTCAGACTACTGGTCTGTAAATGTAGCGGTAGCCACCAGATGTACTTAGGCTTATGTACATCAAGATTCGTTGTCACAGATCAAGCCGTTGATAGTTTCACGAATAAAGTAAGATCAACGATTCGAGATGTCCCCAAATTATGAAGTGGGAGTCCAGGATCCAAAAGCAGGTCCAATACGGAGGTTTCGCAACCTTTTGCCTCGCAGCGGGCTTCTCCAACTCGACGTTTTGACGTCAATCCTCAAGGCTGGTAGATGGTAGACAACTTTCACTTGTTCAATTGAAACCCACACCTTGTACCAGAAGCCCGTTAAAGGCGGAGGGAGGTATCAATCCAGTCCAGTGCTATATGGATTCTTCGAGATGAGAAAATACTGGAAAACGTATCTGTAGATCAATTCACACCACTCACCGTCCAGTAACTCACCTCTTCCATCGAACGGACCGGGACTTGGACTTGTAACTGGCGTTCCACTTCATCCCATCTCAGCCACGACGATGAGCGCCACCACGAACACGAACACGAACAACAAACGGCGACTCAAGGACATTGACACCGGCGAGGACGTCGCCCGTACACAAGACCGGACTGCAACCCAGAAAGTCTTCAAATCATCCCCGATCACAGACCGCTCATCGACATTCATCGCACACTTCCACCCGCACGACAACGACGGTCATCAATCCGGCAATGCCAGTAAATCGACGACGCAGACGATCAAAACACTGCAGAACGACCCGGCCTTCGCGTCCGCCGACCACCGCATGGCCGCGTGGCGCCGCGCATCGACGCAGCGCACGCTGCTGGGCGCCATGTCTGGGAGCGGATCTGGACCTGGACCTGGACTTGGATTTGGATCTGCGACTGTGCGCACCAGTGGTGGAGTGACATACACGACGAACTCGGACGACGACGGCGAGAAATACGCGGGCAAGCGGCTCGAAAAGGTACTCAACGAGCTCGACGTCCAAGGCACCGTGGTCGTCGCCCGCTGGTACGGTGGTGTTCTTCTGGGCCCGGTGCGCTTTGCCCATATTGAGAATGTGGCGCGCGAGGCCATTGGGAACTGGAGGCGGAGTGTTGGCGATGGAATTGGAATTGGAATCGGGGGTAAGAGGGTGAAGGTGGGTGGTGTAGTGGGGTTGCTGTCGTCGTCGTCGTCGCCTGCTGGTGTGGGCGTTAGTTCCAGCCCGGGTCCGGGTTCGGTGTCGAAGGAAATGACGGACGCGCAGAGAAAGGTCGATGAGGAGACCCGCGTGCGCCTTGCGGAACAGCTGGTGCGTCGTGATGAGAGTATCGTTGTACTCAGGGCGTTGTTGGCGGAAAAGAAGGAGGAGCAGCAGCAGCGCAAAGATGAGGAGGACAAGCGGATGATAGAGGCCGCGAGTTCTGCCATTCCAGCATCGAATCCCGCGCCAGATTCAATCCATCAAAATGGAGAGGGAGATGTGACAGCTCCTCAGCCTTCATCTCTACCGGACACAACACCTTTCTCGTCATCTGCACCGAGAGAACCTGCTCCTGATTCAGCTTCGAAAGACACTTCCACGTCCACGTCTGCGTCCGTGACCACCACCGCCAACATGGCCAGCTCGCCTCCTCTCCAAGCCACTCCAACGGCGACACCAACGACGCCCACAACAAAACCCCAACCCCAACCTATGGACTACGCACAAATGCCGCTTTCGCGCCTCCGGCAGCTGGAGAAAGCGCGCGACGCCACCATCGCGTTCATCCTGAAGCAGATCGACAAAGCGGAGGCTGAAGCGAAAGCCAAGCGAGAAGGAGAGGGAAGCTGAAAAGATTGGAAATCGAAGCGAAGGCCTTACACGATGCAGAGGTTATGCGAGCGGAACGGATAATGGAATGTGTGGGAAGATTGCGAAATGGCCAGCCAGCCAGTCTTGCGCTCGCAAACATCTTTGATCTTCGGGTCTTGCTCACTCACGGCAGAGCCGGATGGCGATGCTCTCCCCCAGCATGTCGGACGTCTTTCTTGCAGCGTAACTGCCACGGAGGCACGGGCGATCCATGATGCCCCACTGAGTATCAGGTAAAAGCCTAGTTCTCTTTTCACCATTGCTGGCGGCAAAGGGACAGAATCCTAGTGTTAGTGTTTTCATATTAACCTCGCAGCAGCCAGCTGTCTGATGCAGCGAGCGCGGGTGGGACCGAAAGTTGCGAGGACCCAGGCGCAGCGAGAGTTCAGTCAGAAAGCTCCGCTCCTTGAAGTGGTTACAAAGACACGGGTAAGCGACCCTACATAATGAGGGATATCGCGGAAGGGTACATTGCTCGACGTCAATCACATGAATCTACAAGGCGCGGACATTGGGGCTTCAGACGAGGTGCCTGTTCATGGCAGAGCCGAAAATGCTTTCTGAAGGGCACCGTTTGTCTCTCAACTATCCAGCCGTCTCTCTTACGGTGTGATATGCTACAAGGTCGAAATAAGTGCACCTTCTGCAAAAATTAAGGACCAACTTTCACACAAGACTGAAGCAGCATGTTCGAAATGGGCAACACTACTTGATGATATCAAACTCAAGCCGAGATAGAGACATCCTCCTGCGCGGCAACACTATATCCCAAGCTGGCAGTGCTATGTCTGCTGCTCACGGACGCAAGAGCATTTCGCTCTGCTTCCTCCTGCTTGAATTTCTCCACCACCATTTTCCGAGTCATTTGTTGGTAGTCTGTTGGAAGAGCACAAGTCAGTCGGTCAGTTTCAGAAGATAAAGAGAGAGCGCAAAACAACCGGGAGTAAGAAAGAAAAGAAGTCCCAAGAAAGAAAACTTACGCAATACACCACTCTCCTTGACCTGGTTCAGCACGCCCTGGGAATAAACGCCCCTCTCGAGGTTCTCCTGTGCGACCTCACACAACTCAAAGTCCTCGAGGGCGACCTTCCTCACGAACTTGAAATAATCCTCAAACCCTTCGACGCCACCGTTCCCATCGTCGAAGTAATAGTCAAACTCCATCCTCGTCTCGCCGACCTTTTCGCCAGGGCACACGCGGAAACTGCTCATGCCCCCGCCGTACAGGTTCAACGTGCACACGGGGAAGAAGTACAGGAACAGGCCGTCGTCGGGCTTGGCCGGGTCGGCGATGTGGCGGCTGTAGGTCGCGTGGTTGTGCACTTCGTAGAATGTCGGTGGGTATTTGACGCTGAACGACCGGTGCGTGTACTGGCAGTGCAGGCACTCTTGGTAGCCGTCGACCATGGTCTTCCAGTTGAACCGCCCGGGGTATTTAATTGACCGCCGGTGTGGCAGGCGCCGGAAATTATATCGTGATAGAAGCTCCAAGAATGATGCTGGGAACCATTGCTCAAATGGTGGCGCTGATGGATCTATGGTTGCGAATAGCAGGCCGGTGGGCGTTAGGTAGTTGGAGAGTTGCTGACCCTGAGGGGATAGGAATCATCAATGGACAGTGTCATAAATGAAATTGAGAGTATCTAGCATGAAGGACGAACGACGTTGGAACGAGATCATATCACATACATCAGACTTCCTCGTCACCGTAAAGTTCTCCTCGCCATCATGATGGACGGTGATGGTCACCCCAGCGAACTCGTAGTCGACATCGCGATCGACCGAGAATCTGGGTACCGCACCTACAAAATACCAGGCTTTGTAGAAGACTGCCCGTTGCTCAAGTCGATAGAGGTTTTGTGAGCAGTACCATGAAGCAGGAAGAGTCTTGGTGGCATCCATATCTTGTGATCTCTTTGTCAACACGACGAAATGGTCTCAATCTCAATCGTAGGGAAAGGGTAAGTTCCGTTCACAACAAGGAGGGCTAGGAAGCAATATTAACACATTCGGATTGAGAGATCGGCCCGTCATGAACATCCAATGACGCGGCAGGACTCGTGATAGTCATAGCCGCGAATTTCCAATAAAGAGCCATCCCGAGAAAGGTATCCAAATACCGTTTGTGCTGTCAGCGGAAGTGACGGCATAATCGGTATCAATTCCCATTCGCTCGAGTCGAATGTAAAGTCCGTAACAAAGAACAAATGATCAAGTGTGGCCGGTTCCCATGTGATAATCATTGACTTTCTGGAGGCGCGGGTTGAGGCTGATGGAGATCTGAAGGATGATGAGAGGGGTTGATCATCCTAGTCATCTATCATAACATATAACCAACGGGATCGCATTTCCACATTGGGACATCGCTCAACTCCATCTCAACCTTGAAAACACGTCAGGAAGGATATACTCGCCGATAGCAACTCCTATCTGGCCAAGTGTTGCTTGTGGTAGGATTAGCACTTCCACCACCGTCCAATGGAGTTTGTATCATGAAGTAGAGTTTCCCACCGGCTGCCCAAAGCCGGAAGGGCTGCACTTTAACGGGATGTGACATTGATAAGCTTAGGTCTGAGCGAATTTCCTTAAACTTGACGCGCACTCCCCTTTTCTCGGTCCTTGAGTAATTGTAGACAAAATTCCAACAAGAATGGCGATCTTGATATTGAAGGCCTTGGTTGATATACCTCTTCCAGCATATTTGTTCATCTCCTCATGTTTTATATATCTCTTTGGGAATATCGTTGTAAATCACCTGCATGCTGTATTTTCATCACGCGCTGATCAGAAAGCCACTGGTCCCATAAGCTCTAAGCTTGATTTAGCGGAGAGAGGAAACCTCCAAAGAGATGAGTCCCTGTCGTATGAAGAGGTCTTCCAACTCGAGAAGCGGGCATTTTTCAGTAGGGTAGGTTCTGGAATTCCAGACAGCATTTCCATCTGTAGAATTGATCTTACTGACAAAACAAAGACCTGGCTTTTTGTGTGTCACCAGAGTAGATTCTTGAAGATTGGCGACTATCACACTTTCGACATTGCTGGAATATCTTTTTTTGCTGTACTAGGCAAGGATTCTAGAATCCGAGCGTTCCACAATGTCTGCCGCCATCGAGCTTATACTGTGGTACGAAAGTCATGTGGTAATTCGACTCGATTCTCGTGCAAATATCATGGCTGGCAATATGATGATGAAGGATCATTGGTCAAAGCTCCAAAATTCGACGAATCTCCAGGGTTCAATGATGAAGAGAATGGCCTTTTCGAAGTCAAGCTGATATTGACAAGAGAGGGGCTAATATTTGTCAACTTTGACGCCAGCACAATGAAGTTACCGTTCAATGATGTCAAATCTCATATCAACCTTGGCAATTCAGTCTGGATTGAGAGTTTCGAGACGACGTCTGCTGCCAACTGGAAGGATATTGGTAAGCTCCTCATGACTGACGAAATCATAAGCTGATATAACCAGCGAACGAATTCTCAAAGCAGGCGCATTCTTCTCAAAGTAAGTTTCCATGGTTGAGAGGACTTCGTAAAATAAAGCAACATGAACTTCTTGGTCCGCTCAGTACAATCAAAGAGCTGAGCGATGGTCTCTGGTGCACAATAACGCTACTGCCACGTTCATTCTCGGAAGTCATGATCAGATGTGACTTGTACGGGAAGGAAGGGCACAAGATTCCAGAATACGCGGTAGAGAAGTGCAAAAACGGCCTGAGAACAGAAATGTCGACTTTTGCAAGCCGTGAAGTCTCAAATGATATGCCCAGGTCTTACTTCTCATACAAATGTGGAGGTAAGCGGGAATGCCTTGAACAGCAGCGCTGGTACTAACTTCTCAGGGCGGACAATTGACCTTTTCGCCATATTGTCGCAACACCAACGGAGCGAGAGGCTATCGAAGAAGCGGCTACAGCCAGCGATTCGAGTAACTGGGGCTGGTTTCATTGATACTGAGGCGGCCGATTTATGTGATGTGCTGGATGGTGCTGTAGCGCCTCCCACGTTGGAGCAGTGTTCAAAAGTGTCTAGCTGGAGAAGGACCGTCGATTGGTGAGCTACGAACAAGCTGAGCCGAAGTATTCTCCGTCAAGTAAGGTCGGCAAGGGATACGCATGAAAACGATTCCGTGTGCTGTCGAATAGACTTTCAAGGCGTTCGTAGCATTGGAAACGCCGAGAGAGGCGTCTTGCGAAACAGTGTCGTGCGTTGGCCGCCATTCCCATCTTCTAATTTGAACCGGGAAAGTGGAAGAGCAAGCAACAGGCCAAAAACACATTCAGTGCCACGACTTGGGGCAGAAACTGATAGCGAGGAGCGCATCTGAAGCCGCTTAAGTCGGTTTCCCATGGTAGTACAAGAGATAAGCTAAACACTCCGCCTATTGGGTATGCTGTGAGTGCCTCCTGAACCAATTGTATTGGTTCTTGTACTGGCCTGACTGAAGGGTTGGATGCCATGCAAGATAACGAGGAACGGTTGGCTTCCTCAATTAAGCATCACTGCCGGTGCCACTCGAAACCTCACAGCATGTATTGGCATGAGGCATCTAGTGCTATCGACGAGTATGATTCATCAAGGTCGACACGCTGAACATCGGCATGCTTGGAGAAAGCCAGCAGAGACTCCGTGGCTCATCTGCTTTAGCCGGCTTTATGATCATCCTCATAAGCGCTGGGAACATGTTGCCGTTTCAGGTATGTGCACACGGGTTGGGAGCTCTTGATCACCGTTGCATCCTTTTGTTATCGTCCTAGAACTTTGGGAGTCTGCTTTCCAAGATGGTAGCGATGTATTGGAGGATCAAGCTGTATGGCATTTTTCTGCCGACAGTATGCCTCCCTCCGTATTTGAGGAAGGGCCAGCGTAAACATGTGTTTCCGATGGCCAGTTCAAGACCGGAGCTCGGAAGCTCAGCTTCAGCATTCACCGGATTGTCCCCTTTCGACTTTGCTCTTACCTCATGTTTACCTTTGGGTGGAGGTTGATATGATTGATGCTCATCCCAGAGTGATGGAAGAAACAAGTCAAAATCATTGCCGCTTGAGCTATTCTTGGCATATGTAGGGTCATTCCCCTCATTTTCGAAAAATGTTTTTAAAGCGGCATGTTTCCCCTCTATCAAATGTCAAAGTATGGCTCGTTTGAACATCGCAGGCTCTTCCCGAGTAAACATTTGACAAACCGTCTCTCGCCCACGAATTTGGACTCTCGATCATGTTCAAGAAAGAGTAAGTAATGACCAGCGATCAAAATCCCATCACCCAAAGACCTCAAAAACACCCCAGCTGACCACATTCTCTCTGTCGTCCACCAGCCTCACCGCGGGCGCCAAATCAAAGGTGAAGTCGAGCGTGCAGCGGGGGATCCGGAGCAAAGTGCTGGAAACATACCCTCTACTCGAGCCACACATCGACGAGATCATCCCGAAGAAGTCACAGCTGGACGTGGTGAAAGTGCCCGACCGGGTGTCACTCTACGTTCTGGACAATGCACCGCTGTTCTACCAGCACATGGACGACCCGATCATCCCGCACCTGAAGGTGGTGCACCAGTACCCGCACGCGTTCAAGACGATCAAGATCGACCGCGGCGCGATCCGCTTCGTCCTCTCCGGCGCCACGCTCATGGTGCCCGGCCTGACGAGCAAAGGCGGGTGGTTGCCGGATCAAGACGAGGAGGCCAAGAAGGGCGACATTGTGGCGATTGCCGCCGAGGGTAAGGATGAGATTTGTCTGATTGGGCAGTTGGAGATCGGGACCGAGGAGATGAAGGCCAAGAAAAAGGGTGTCGCCATGAGTGCCGGCCATTATCTGGGCGACGGTTTGTGGAAGCTGGAGCTTAGTTGATGGGGTTGCGTATATTATGCAGAATCTTGCGGTCCGGATGGCTGAGAGATCCAGTCGGATATGAGAATGCTCGAGCGACAGCTACGGTGTCCCTAGATGGCGACTCCCACTGCACAAGTCGGTCAGCGAATGTCATTTTCCTGGGGAATGATTCTCAGGACCCTCGTACATGAAGAGACACCAGTACGGGGATGCTCAGATTTTGCTTGTCATGTTGAACGCTCATGGCACTGGCTTTGGAGATCGAGGCCGTATTTTGTGGTTGACTGATACCGGAATGTTAGAGCTCTATGGTACGATGTTTACAAAGATCTCTACTGGGTATTGGCAAGTCACATGAAATGAGATGAAGAGGTTGAACTATGTCGCAAGAGGCATTGGAACTCTACGGTCAAGCCAAGCTGAGTTTTTGAAGATCGATTCAATCGTCATTCCGATTGTTCTCATGGATACTGTGTACAAACTTTTATCTTCTTTCTCAACTTTGCTGATAATTGATGAACGGGGTAATTGAGGTAACTCCATGCATAACCCGGCGCTTCATGCTTTTTGGCCGATGAAAGTGCAATGAATTTCGACAGGGCGGTTCGCATGGTCACGCTGCTTGAAATGAGTCTCAGACTCTTTCGTTCGGGATGGGAATTGCACATTGAAATGAGCTCGCTTTTGTGAATAATCGTTCCAGCTCGATCAGGGGAAGTCTTTGATGGTTTCAACTCGTCCTCTTTCTTCCATTCCTTCACCACCTTCCTTCCCCTAGCACTTTGATTATGCAAGAACACAAGGAAATTAAAGAACCGTGCATGTCACATCCGACAGAAAACAGTAAATCCGGGTATGATGGTATCTCAATCATGATCGGTCGTATTTTCAAGCCAACAAGATGCGCCGCTTCGTGCAATGGTCACTGTCTTGACCTAAAGTTGGTTTGAGAGCGCCCCCAGTGCATGGTGAAAAGTGAGAAAATAACGGGAATGATTGATATCGGCTTTGTCCAGCAATAGACGCCTCAAGAGTGTCGAAGTTGGCTTATTTCGGAAGTCTTTTGGCTAGATGAGCTTTCAATGTACTGGTTTTTTTGATGAAATCATGATTTGACCCATGCCCCAGTCTGAAAAGTGATCGAGCACGAGAACTTTCGATAGTTTGCATATGATATTCACACAATCTAGTAAGGTAAGACATCTTGACCTTGACAAGAAGATTTCGAGAGAATGGGTGAGATTGAGCCATTGAGAAAACTCAGCCACTCTTGTCGAGCGGCTTCTTTTCATCGAGTTGCTTCTTCTCTTCGACCGTGAACTCACTGGTCAATCGTTTGATAGTTTTCAGGTGGGTTGCTCCATTGCGACAAGCGCCACGGAGAATTTGAAAAAGTGGACGGTCAGAGCCGTGGTCCTCGCGAGCAAGAGCAACCATGTCTTTGGCCAAGCGTTCGCTCACAGGGAGGGGGCCGCTCAATATCTTGGTATAATAGCGATTCAGGTGACCAAGACCAGCCCCATTGCCTTCTTGTGCTTCAAGCTGAGCCATCTTTGTGAATTCTTCATACATCCCAGAGTTGAACTTATCAGCTAAAAAGTCCGTCCAGAACGAATAAAGCGGTTCAAGTGCTCCATCAACACCAAGCTGCTTCTGTTGAAAAGCAGTATCATGCAGAGAAATGTATGTTTGATCATATTGGCCAGGTCGTGGAGGCGGCAGGTGTGTCTCCTGCCCATCTTTGGTGAAGTAGATGATAGAGCTCTCATCCAAATTTGAAACGCCGTTGGAGAATCCGAATGAGATCTTTCGTAGCTGTTCAAGTCTGTAATTTTGGTGAGTGATGGTAAGAAAATTTTGAAATCGCCGACTTACTGCTGTGGGCTTCCTGCACCGCCTCGCAAACTAGGCGCACGAGTCTGTTCAGGACTGGATGGTTCTAGTTGAAACCCTTTGGGCTCGGAAGCTTCCACTCGAGCAATGTTTTGATGAGACTCAGCCTCACCAGGAGACAGGGTGGCACGTGGCTGCATACGAATGTTGATGTTAGGAATGTTCTCATCTGGGAAGATGTTGGCCTCGATGTCGGATCGAGAAGAATGTCGGTGATGGCCATTTGTGTAACCAGTCGGTGGAGCGGCATTCTGAGTTGGGGATCTTATTGTAGTAGATGTGTTGGAATGCGTAGAGTGAAGAGGTGGGCGAGCGACAGTCTCTGCAGCTGGCTCTTCGAACGGTTGAGGAACAAATGTTCCATTGAAAACTTGAGGTTGCGTCGAACCACCAGGTACATAGGTCATGGGCGAGTTTGTATGAAACATCCCGTTGGGAGGGGCTCCAACAGTGCCCGGACTGCGAAGATGGCTTGGCACAAAATTTCCGTCGGCCGAAAAGTTCTGTTCTGCTGCCGAGGCGCGATTGTATTGCTCCGGATTGTGAATGGGACCTTCATGCCGTGCAGACTCGAATCGCTCCTCATAGGGCAGAACGAAATCCCTCCAGTTATCGCGGCGTCGCAGACGATCTTCACCATCAGGCCCTGGTAAGAACTCAACGCTCTTCACTGTCTGACAAACATAGCGGACGGTCTCAAGAGTCATGTTATCCTCGGTGAGCGTCTTGATTCTCTTGAAGTTTGCAATAACACTCAAGGGGACCCAACCTTGACTATCCATATGCTTTCTCAAAAACACATCCTTGCAGAGATTGTCGATGGAGAAGTAGTACTCACTGTGCAAAGAGGTTAGCAGTTGACATTGAGAGATGCAATCTTATCGCGAATCTCGACTTACATCTGAGTAATGACCATCGACATCAGGGCGAACGAATTGAGAGGGTCATTGTAGGGGACTGCGGTCATGATGCCAGGCTGCATGGGTAATTGTTGATAGCCAACGTCGGTCTGTAAAAAGGGAAGACCATGTCCAAGGTTCGGTGCATTGTTGAAATAACCTGGATAGTTCATCATCTGCACGGGAATCGATTGGGACCTCGGATTGCTTCGATTGCTGGATGTGGACTGAGCTGGTGGGAATGGTTGTGATGCCTGTCTCGCTCGACTTTCGGTATGCGAACTCGATCTAGTTGGCTCGAAGCCATTTTGCGGTAAGGGAGAGGTGTATGCGTGGTTGGGTGTGTGTGTGGAAGTATAGCTGTGGTTGCCCCGGGCTCCACGATAACCGCCACGACCACGTTCGCCTCGGACTTCACGACGAACACTTTGATCGATGGGAGTGTCCCTATCGCGCCATGACTCGACCTTCTCACGTGCCGAATCTGGCTTCTCCCGATTCCAGTCGCGATTCTTCGCTGCTGCACCGCCTCTACCAAACTCGGCGTTTCCGCGAGAGGTGGCATTTCCAGATCCCTTGAATTTATCGAAAGATTGGTTCAGGCGACTACTCTGCTCACTGTTGGCAACGCTAGCAATGGGATGTTCTACATGGCCGTTGAGATCTCCGTTCGTGGCATGAGCTGGAGGATGACCAGTATGCCGTGAGGACGATCTAGAAGTTCTGTCAACCTTGTCTAGCTCGTCTGCCTGCTGATGGGCGGATGCGGTGGATGGTATAGCATTGGGTGTGCCAGTTGGCTTTCCGGAAGACTGGGTTGATTTGTTGAAGGTTCCTCTGCTGCCCTCGACACTCGCTGGTCGCGTTGAGCTACTAGGATCAGACGCACCACGTGGCCCGCGTTGACCTTCGAACTTTCGACCACGATCCTGCTCACCAGCAGGTTTAGGAACCGGGGGCGGACCCATTAGTCCCGAAGCATCTGATTTCTCTGTTGCAGCCCCGGAATAAGCTCCTCGACCACCCGATTCTCGACCTCGGTTACCGCCACGGCCACCTCTTCGTGCAGCAAGTGTTGGTAATTGTGTTTCGAATTTGGCCGATGGAACGAAAGGAACTTGCACCCAGCTTTTCCCATGTGACTTTTGCACGGTGAATTTGCTATCGGGTTTGTCAACTCTTTCATAACTGGAAGACTTTCGTCGTTCATCTGCAAGCGAATTTTCTGGAGTTGGCCAGGATTGCGCGTCGCCTACTGTGGGTGGTGTCTCAGCCTCGCGTTTCTCACCCTGTTGGGAACCCGGTCGAGTAGCCCGCACAGGAGTTTCTTTGCGGTTACCACCGCGAGTATTGTCGACATTCTTTCCCTCCTTATCATGGATGGCACGATCTCGACCGGAAAAATTCTGTTTGAATTCCTCGGCCGCGACCTTGGTCTTTGGTGCTTGAGTGGGTGAGGCAGAAGAGGAGACCTTTTGTTGGTCTTGAACTTCTTTGACTTTTGCGGCTTGGGCTTCTTGTCGTTGCTTCCAGAAATTGACCAGAGGAATCGGGGCGGCTTTGAGCTCTTTTTCTGCAGCCACCGACGGAACAGAGACCTTCTCCCAGTCATCTTCAGATTCTTTCGATTTTTTGTCACCAGCGCTTTTGTCACGAGGCGCGGCTTCCTGGGATTGGTCGGCGGACGTTGTTCTTCTGCTCCGCATGGATGGCCTAGCGTCATCAAGTTGACTACCTTGACTCGGCGATGATACAACATCAGTGCTCATCACTTTTCCCTCACGCTCATTTTCTGATGAATTTCGTGGTGGTTGAACATCGTCTCTTTCGCCCATGTCATTTAATGACGAGACAGGAAGTGACCTAGTGGGAGTGGTATCCGCATTTTGTGGTTTATCAGCCTCAGGCTTGGACTTGGTAGTCTTGTTGGGATTGGTAGCATCCGACCCGAGCCTATCTTTTGTGCTCTTCTCCGAGGCGGCAGGACTTTCGTTCCTCGAGGTATTTTGAGTCGAAGTTGCCGGAGTAAGGCCTTTTGCTGCCTGGGCGTATGAGAAGACAGGCGCGGGGGCACCTGTCGAGGTTGACATGATCTCAGTAGAGATTGAGAAGAGGACGTGCCTAGCAGTGCACTACCACGAGTCGAGACTCCAACCAGCAACAAGCTGGTGACTGGATAGAGCGACCAGTATCAGCTCGGGCTATGTGCGAGCAATGAAACAAAGAACGAGGTCGTGGTTTCACAGTGACCAAACCACTCAGTGCTGTAAAATGCGATCTCGGAGGTCGGTAAAAGCGAATCCTGCTCTGTTTTGTCCAGACTCTTTCAGTCGGAATTCCAACACTATTGCCTGGCGGAGAAGAGTTTGCTCCAAGCTTTCCTCGGGAAGTGTAGTCGAACGCAGGCGAAAGGCCTCGAGTGAAGAGAAAAGCGAGCGTTGGCGTTTCAACGCAGGCGGCTCGTAGGTGAGAATCCCTGTTGTGAAATAGAGGTCTAGGGAGGAGTAAAAGATATCGAGTGGTCTCGGGAAGAAAACAATGAAAGGATTGGGTCCACGGTGCTGGGAAAGGATCGACCAGGGTGTGAAGCGCAGGCAGCGACCCGGGTTCTGATGAGAAAGAATCTGACAAACAGATTCAATCAAGAGAGCAGAACCATTGGCAGTTGGGAAAAGACTGTCTGAAGAAATATCGCGAGCGCAGAGAGGCACTGGCAGTCGGAGTACAGCAGAAGGATGGTGAACTGTGTAGGGTGGTTCGTGGTGGTTTGTGGCGAAGGCAAAGTGAGGTGCAATGAGCCCAAAACTTTTTAGGACGCCAGTGATGTCTAAGACTGAACCGACTCACAGTCACAGTACTGTAACTAGTGCCGAGAAAACGCAGGGACCCGCGAAAACTGGACTGCCTCCACTGCCACAAGACTCTCAAAAATCAGAGCCTGAGACTGGCAATGGACAATGGACCGAGGGAAAGAGAGGAAGAAGGAGTTCAACTAGGATACTAGGAGGATAGTATGTGTAAGCAAGAAGTTATGGAGGAATGTAGGCAGGTAGGTAGGTGGGTAGGTAAGTAGAAAGGAATGGGATGGAATAATGAGTCTAGTGGTGGTGTTTGCAGGTCTCGTGCAGTGCCAGTCCAGTAGTCCGTAAGGTGGTGACGGTGCAGGTGGTGTTGGAATTGTTCATACCAGTACAGATACAGACAAGGTTACTCACTTAATTTAGGTACCTAACCTATTCGTAGAGCCTACAGGTAGTGGGAGTTGAGTATTCTTTCGGTTGACTTGGAGTGCACACTTCTTTTTTTCTTTCAAGTTGGTTGTGGTGGTGGTGGTGGTGGTGGTGCCTCAATGCATCAGGGAGAGCTTGCTGGACTTAGTGGTGGTTAGTGCCTACCATTGCTCCTTAGGGAATGCTCAACTACGAATAGGCGTGTGGCTGCCCTGCAATGGGGGAGCCCACGGCCAATTTTTCTCCAAGAAATTTTTATTATGGGACTCTGTCTCCTACTATGAGTGACTATCCGCGAGTGAGACCGGAATAAATTATGACAAGCCTAGGTAGTTGTGACTTGTGAGTAGTGAACAAGATCAGGTCCCTGCTTGTTCCGTCCGTCCTGTCAACTGCCCGAGCCTCTTTCATCTACCGAGCACAATACATACCAACAGAGTATGGAGAGTCTCGTTATTATCATTATCACTGGACTATGAATTCACCTTCCCCCGAGTCCTCCAAACAAGAGACCCCTCCCCCTCAGTCTCACTTCTCGTAATACGTCTCCGTCGGATGAAGCCCTGGCTATGCCATTCGTACCGTGCCTTGGAACCTTGGAACTCACCTCTCCTATCCGACCGTCTGCCTGTTACGAGTATACTAACGTGCTGCAAGCATTCACTCTGCATCCTGCACGTCACTTCCTACCTATCATTCTCTTTCGCACCCTGCTCGAACCCCTCAGCTGTGACTCTTCATCGTTCCCAGCTTACCAAAGTCAGACTGTTACCCTGCTCTTTCGAGAGCTTGAGGTTGACTCATTTACACAAAAATTGTCAGCCGACAAATACTGTCTTCGTCCCTCCTCATGCCTTGATCGCTCTTGCCTCGGCGTTTGTGGAATTAAGCTTGATTCCACAATTGGTCTTGGCGTGTTTTTCAATGCCAGCCCGAGGTGGATCGCGATCATCGGCCGTCAACTTCCTGCTCCCCGTACGACTACCTACCAGTGCAAAGGTCCTCAAATGGTACAACTCGTACAACCCGACTAGCAATACCGAGATCCTCCGTAATCAACAAAGGTCGTCTGGACCTACCCAAGCGACTGCGGATAATCCCTAGACAAATGAAAATGGAGCATCTGTGAAAGACATATTTATCGGCACATCTTCAAGCAGCCACCCGTAGCCAGCACTCCATGTCGACCACCACCAGTTCGGGACTTCCTTCTCTCCTCACCATCCTCCTCGTTACTCAGGGTCGAACTGGCTCAGGCGCTCAGCTCATCTTCCACTATCCACCAGATCCACTCGACGCTGCCCGTGCTGCAAGTATATCTCAGGATGCTCAGGATGACGAGGCTGAGAGCTCCAGCAGTGACTCGGGTTCTTCTTCAGAGGAGGAAGATTTCGAGCTCTTCACCAAAAGGATCAACGGTGGTCTCGCTGCCAGCCAAGAAGTTCGTTCACTGCATTCCGATGAGGAGGAGGATACCTACAACCCCAAAAAGCCCCTGAAGGACAAGGCAGAGTGGAAACCCTCGTGGGAGCCATTACTAGGTCTTGGAGAGGATGGACTTGTCAGTCTGTTGGCCCCAGGTCGTGCTTGGCACAAACGAAAGTTTGAATTGGGCATCAACGACATGGTCTTCTTGGGACGACCCGTATATGCTCGTGAGGACGGCTTCTGGCGGAGGCCCAGGCCTAAAAAGCCCAGGGGCTCTGACGATGGTGAAGATCCCCAGGCTCCAGAAACCGCCGTAAGCGATAGTGGTGATGAGGACACTGTCGACGATCTACAAGACATCTCAGTACAAAAGAAATCAATGAAAGACCGTTCTCGAGAACCTTCCAAAAGCCAATTGACCATGTTTCATCTCGTTTTCGTCATGGATCCTCCTGCATTGGAGCGCGCTTCTCGGGTCAGAGAGATGTACGATCATGTCGTGCGCAAACTGTCCAAAGTCCTCAAACATGAGCAATCTCATTTTGACTACGTATGGAAGCAATCCGAGTTGTTGCAGTCGATCAAATCTGCCCACATCCACCAAAAGTCACCCACGGCAACCATGTACACAGAGATGGCCAAGCGCTCTTCCTTGGCTACTGCAATCGCAAAGATCTTCGACAATATATCTGCTTCCAAAATAGCTGCCGTGAGCTTGGGTCCCAGTACTTCCGTATCCCTTCAAATTCCACCAGTGACTTCGACTTCCTATCTCCCTTCCCTGTCTGAACCACCACTCGAACCAGGTCTATGGTTGACAACTGCTACAGATCCAATCTCTACAGCTTCTGATTTGGAAGCGGCTGCCTTTACAGGGGCTTTACAACTATCCAAGAACTTCAGTCTTCTTCTGAAGTCAAGCCCACATAAAATCCTCAAGGATATTCAGGCCGCTGGTGGGCCACTGGCCATTCCCCTGACCAATTTTGTTGCTCAGAGCAGACCGACCAAGTCATTCTATAAAATGTCCGTTGCCTCTCAGATTCCATTGATTGATATTCAACACCTAGCCCGACATCTTGTTTATTGGCGGAGGGCAGTTGCGATCCCCCCACTCCATCAGCGGGACATCTACATCGTTTCACCTAATGCGGATATGACTAGGTTGGCATCTGCTTGCAAAACATATGAGTCGACCTTCTCGATGATGCCCTCACTGCCCAAGATGCTGAACTCCCTGAGCGGTACTCCAATCCCCTTCGGCACCCTCATTCCAAGTAGTGACCACAAGGAAGAATATTACCGAGTTTTGGCATGGTTGATGCGCGATGGCTGGGTCACACAACTGCGAACGTTCGCCTATGTCCGTGTCGACCCAGAGGTCAAGAGAGCTGTACGGGAAAAAGATCGTGAAGAATCCCGAGGTGTCAAAACTCCGATCGAGAAAAAATCCCCTTACCTAAGTGGCAACGAGAAAGAACTATCAAGGAGTTTCAGCAGCAGCGCAGCACAGGGTCATAACCCAGGACAAGCCGCCAATTCAGCATCCTCTCCATTCAAGCGTCCAAGTATGATGAGCCGCCCATCAAGCGATGGTCGACAATCAATATCGACCGACCACACCAGCATTCGTGGGAGACAACCCACACACAACCCTAAAGCTGCGAGCCTCATTCTCTCCCCACCACGAGCCTCACTAGAGGAATCCCGCTGGTTGGACTGCATCGCTTCCAGATTTGCCACATCGACGGATAGCTCACGCACGGACCTCTCGTCCACGCCGTCTTCCGAAGTAATGTCTGAAGAGATTCGACGGCACTGGCCACAATTCGTCAAGTATTTCAACGGCACGGAAGCTTTGCAGCGCATTCCTGTGCGGGAGGGCTTGAAGAGGAAATTCGTCTGGAACATGCTCATCAAAATGGGGCTCACTTATGACGAGGCTGTTGAGGATGAGAAAGGTGAAAATCATAAGACATTGGTCACTTTTCGACATTGGTAACTACATTACGTCAACCTGTATGTAATGCGTGACTTGAGACGACCCAATGAGGACGTCCGGTACGTGGGATGTACTGAGATGGTTATGGATGACTTGGAATTGTTGACTCAATCATTGAAATTCGCCTTGGATTTCGCTTCCAACAGAATCGTTCCATATACGCTAAGGGACTTTGCTCCTGTATATCAAGTCTATAAATCTACTCACGATCTAGTGGGATATCAATGATTGAACTTGAGGGCAATTGGGATCCAAGACGCCATTCGAAGACACCCACCCACCTAACAAATCAACAAACGCCTCGCGGGCACAAACGGCGCCGCATGCAAGAAGGTCCCACTGCGAATGTGTCTCCCAAAAAACTCAAGGTCTCCAAATCCAGTGAACGCCGGAAATGACGATCAATTAATGACCAGATAGGCTCACAACTTAGCCCACTGCTCACGGTTCTGCTCCTTCAGTGGACGGGCTTCATGTGAGATCTGGTTCGGGGCTTGATCAACCTTCGGTGCCGCAGGGAAATCACTCTTCTTGGGCGCACTCTGATACCCAGCCTGTTGATTCTCCTCATTGACAACCTCTCCCGTGTGCTCGTCCCTCTGAATGCCCAACTCAAGCAACTTGGCAAACACGGCGGCGAAGTGATCAAAGAACAACTCCTTGTCCGCGGCATAGCGATCGACCCAGACGCGAAAGGCCGGGTCCTCCAGCAACGCCATGTCCGAGGGAAGCATCATGAGTCCCTCATCTTCCGGTTCTCCGTTCTCCCGTGCCTCGGCCGCTTCCTCCTCGTCGACATACACGTACTGTTCGAGCCCGTTGGCGAGTTTCTTTCGCGTCCACTCATTAGCCTTGAGTAGTTTGAAATACTGATTACTAAATCGTGTGGGATTGTTGACCCATTTCCCCTCGAAACCACTACGATCAGAATGGCAGCGCCCGAGATTATGGGCACCACTCAGCGCCACAATCTCCTGATCCGAGAATCCCATGCGATAGAAGATCCAGCGAAGATGGTCCGGCCCCTTGGACCCATCAGGCAAACGCCCACGAGGCGGAATCTTTGTATCGTCCGTGAAATCGGTGCGACCGCCGCGCCACGAGATATGTGGTCCGCCCATTTCCTCGAATGCCACGACCGCTGCGAGCGTCCACAGGTCGGCATAGGTGATCCAGGGAAATTGGCGCTTGATGGGTTCGAGGAACGCCCGTGCGTGTTGGAGACCGGCGTTGGCAGGGTCGCCGCCTTCTTTTTCATATCGCATTCCCGCGCCATTACTGCCGCCGGTATTTGTCGCCGCATCGTACGTCCCTGCGCTGTGCCAGGCTAAGCGCACCAGTACAGGTCCGGCGGATCCATCATCGTATGCAGGTTGGTGCAGGAGTGCTCGCACCGCGTCGCGGACTGCATCGAGTTGTGTGGTGGATGGTGAAGGTAGGGGTGGAGATGGGGGTAAATTCGAATTACTGTCATTGATATTGTGGTCTGAAGGATACGTCGACATGTCTGTGGTGCTCGCAAGAGTCGATTGGGGAGTGCAATTGATAATCCAAGTCCAAGGAAAAGCGAATTCAAGACACAATACTGTCGGACCGATCAAATAGTCAAAGAGGCAAGTCTGAAGTACGAGCAGACTGGGGAAAAATCGTGCTCAGTCGAAGTGGCAAAGGCAAAGGTAACAACACTCAAGGGAGAAAACACTAGGGTGCATACAGATACAGATCGCAGAACAGAAAGCAACAAGTAGCAGAAGAAGAAGAAGAAGAAGAAGAAGGCATCTTAGCCATTATCCGGAACAACAGACCCTACGGAACAGAACACCATGGAACCATCAATCGAAGAAAGTCGTGGATTAAATTAAGTAGCCTCGGCATCCATCATCTCTCACGACAGGAAGGAACAGCTCTCCTGTGCCTCCTAGTGGTAGGAAGTACCTAGGTAGTAAGCAAGCGAGCGAGCGTAATCCGAGCATGCCATGTCATGACATACTGTGCTAATGTATGCTATCTACCTCAACTAGCTAGTCAACATAGTACGCCGTGATAAGCACCGAGCAAGTACGAGTCCAGTGGAGTGGAGTGTAGTGTATTCGTAGTGTAGTGGAGTAGAGTAACTCAAGGGTTCCAGTAGTGAAAAGCACTCACTCGTGCAAAAACCCACTCAAAGGAAAGCCTCGAAGCACATGGCGCCGAGCGTAGAATTCGGACTTGGGAATGGGGAATGGAAGGCTGTGCGTGTCGGGGTCGATACGGGCACTCACTCACTGCAAGGCTGGGATCCATGATGATGATGATGAAACCACCACTCTAACTAAATTTTTCGCAGGGGTTGGCCGGATATCGGAGGGGATTGCCGCGTTGGGTGATTTGGGAGCGAGGCGAATGATTAGGTATTCGTGTAGTGTGGTCATTGGCCAGACATTGCCGAGGCAATGAAAATTGATGATAAGAAATTTATCGGATTATCAGGGTTCCTGGAGATTTGTTCCTGGGCCCTGGACTCCGGACTCCTGAGATGCATGTGCAGTGAAGTGGATGGCGGATCGGAGTTCACTGCGAGTCTACAAATCGTGGCATGATCGTCTCGTGGGCGTGTGTCTTGGCTGGCTGGCGGAGCCTGGCCATGTCGTGATTGGTGTTGAGCCGCTAAATGGATCTATCTACTCCGTATCTACGAAGAGTCTGCCTCCTCGTCAGTCCTGCATTCTATCACTCGAGAAATGGGTTTTGGATAAACAAAAGTTGCACATTGTGAATTGAGGAATGTGGGTCGAGGAAGGAACAAATTAATTCTATATGCGATCTCTCTCTGAGATCAAACCGTTCCCAAGTATGTAGAGCCGTACTGTGCTCCTCTGTCTATCACAGATCAGGCTTGATCCAAGGACCTTAACACCACGCTTGGCTGAAAACAGAAAACAAAAACAGAAACCAATCTTAGACATCTATAATTGAATAGCCTGTACCAAAGTGTCCAAATGAGCAATGTCAAAGACGTGAAGACATGGTCGTAAGTCTCGTCGCTTCACGCTCTAGTTCCATCTTCTCATCCGCCGTCAAATCGCTTTTCGCACGGGGGACACCACCCCAGATGGTGACGACGACCAAGCCCGCCACGGCAGAGCCAACACCGAGCCAGAAAGTGTACTTGTAGCTGGTTTTCAACCCGACTCGATCCACGGTGTTGGCTTGCAGTATATCGGAGAATCCCAGCATCAAGGCGACACCCAATTGAAGGACCGAGTTCAGCAGCCCGCCGGCCAGGCCCTGTTTTGCTTTAGGCAACTGTGTGGTGACAAAGACGGAGGCCAGGGTGATGGAGAGATCGATGCCGATGGTGCCGAGCAGCATCGCGGGGAACAGCCAGGCCCAGTAGTTCGGGTTGTCGGGTAGATTTGCGAATAGGAGTTGACAGCCCAGAGCGCCAAAGGCCGAGATGATTAACAGAATACGTCCGGGAACGAGATGCAGGATGAATCCTTCAATCAAAGCCAGAGCGAGGCCGCCTAGTACCATAGGGATGTACCATGCAACGACAAGAAGAGGGGTTGCATGAAGGATGTTCTGGAAGTACTGGGTGCCGTAGAGCAGGATGATTCCTATTGTGCCGTAGAAGAAGAGTAATGAGAACAGGAGGGGCGTCACAAATCGTATTGTGAAGAGATCTGCAGGGAGAAGAGGATGTTTGGCGACCCAGCCTTCGATGTAGAAGGCAGCCATCAAAGACAGACATCCAACCACGAACAGAGTGGGTATATAAGGTGTTCGCCAACCATGCTCGGCGTGGGCAGATTCCGTGATGGAGAAAACGACCAAGACAAGACCAGAGACGATTGTAGCAGCCCCGAGCCAATCCATAGAGATACCATTCTCACGCCTCTCCCGTGCGTCATTGGGAATGGAATATATCGAGGTGATGATGGCGACGACTGCGAGGATTGCTCCAATCCAGAAATACCACGACCATCGAATAAATTGGCCAACGGCACCGGCACAGAAGATGCCGGTGAAGAAACCAATGACGGCGAAGGTTCCATAGAGAGCGAAGACGACGTTTTTCCTTGGCCCGGGCCGATAGGCGCTGGCCAGAATCATGACTCCGGCTGGTACGAAAGCTGCGGAGCCCAGTCCTTGTAGAGCACGACAGAAGTCTAGCATAAGCGGGCTCGTGCTGAAGCCACAGATGATACTCCAAATGGTCAACCATGCTAAACCGGCCAGATAGACCGGATATCCACCATACATGTCGCCGAGTCGACCGAAGACCAGGAGCGTACTTGCAATCACTAATGAGAATGCAGTCGCGGGCCAGACGCTCGAGGCCTGGGGAATGTCGAGCTCAGTGATAAGAGTCGGCAGGATGACCGTAAAGCCCGACACAAAGTACTCGGTCAAGACTTGTGACATGTAGATGGAGAAGGCGAAGGCGATTTCGTGCCATATGGACTTGAATGCTGGTGGTCGTTCTCGCCCCAGTCGCTCGATTCGGGCTTCCATTGACTCCTCGACATCAGGCTGTGTGGCGACCTTCTCAGCCAGGGGTAGAGTGTTTTCCGATGTGTTTGAATCGATTGCTTCGGATGATTTATGCCTTGTGGCATTCTCTCCTTGGTTGGCCATCTTCGACTGGCCTATCGGTGTCCGATCCTAGACTTCGTTGCTCTACCAGAGGAGAAATGAACTGCTTTCTTGCGTCGAATGAATCACGTCGGTGAGAAAGATGTGTTAGCACGTGAATATATCAAAGGCCATATGGGACAATGGGATGTAGATATAAGTAGATGTATCAAATCAAATGGTAATCACCTGCAGTCCATGGGTGTAGGAGGGCCAGTCCAACCCGATAAATGGTCCATTGAGCATGGTCCATGGTCGCCACGCTAAGGCTGGAAAACCCCATGTGGTCGGCAACACAAACACGGGGCAGATCTTTCGTCGAATCATGATTGGAGCTGTTACTTCATCCTGCTCGGATGGCGTCAGGATCGCAAGGACATGATTCCAAAAATGTGAAGAGTTTCCTAATGAAAACGCGGGTGAAGAGGGCACTAAGGGTAAGCAACCTTGGCGGTGCCTCGGATCCGGTTGATCCTCCGGTTTCTCCGGGAAATCCGATGTTTCCGGAGATGTTCTCGGATATGCGAGCATTCAGGAGGGGCTTGGATCTCGAATAGTCATTATTGAATACATTTTATTGTCGGATGAGATCCATTATCCTATCTGCTCTACAATTCTATTGCCCTTGTTGTTCCGGTCTTCCCACCTTCTTTGACACCCGGCCTATCATGATCCTTTCCTCAAACCATCCTCCAGAGACAGTTGTACTTGAGCACAGTACTTTGTTCAGACAGTCTCGGCTGCAATTACCGGTTTCTGCTCAACCACCTCAGCCTCCGGTTCGGCTGCGGGCTCTACTGGTCTGGCAGTTCTATCGGCAGTAGTAGCAGCTCTAAGCTCAGTTCGCTGTTTGTGAAGGGCCAATCCAAACACCAGTAGTGTCACAGAGTAGAGGAAGCTGTGCGGGGATTAGTTTAAGTCACACGCTCAGTATCAAAAGGATGTGACTCACAACTCGAGGCCTCCGAGGCCTGTAGCGGTCCCTGCCAAAGCTACACCGACATGCCTGTTGCTGTGCCCTCCTTTCTTAGGCCTAAATCTAGGTGCTCTTTTGCTAAACCCAACATCCTCAGGAGAGTAAGGAGCATTCCAGAAGCCATAGCTGTCTCCATTACCGTACCATCGGTTGAATCCGTTGAAACGACTGGTCCAATTGGCAAGAAGCGCGAAGCTAACCAGCCAGAAGAAGACACCAAAGACTTCAAGACCAAGGACGACCCAGCGGTTATACAACGCGGGTTTGTGAGACAGGGCAATGATATAGTAGCCGAAGATCAAGAGTGTGGCACATGACTGTTTGATGTTAGTGTGCGTTCCCTGTGCATGCTGGTCGCTCGTATGCTTACTGTAAAGAGTGCAATGCCAAAAGCTGGGAAGACACCCCAGATCGAACAAGCAGCAGCGGTGAAACCAAGGACTAGAATCGCAAGAGCAACTCGAGCAAAACCAACCCATCTGGACCATTTTGGCATTGGGACGACATCGGTATGATGCCCTTGAGCTGTTGCCATCCTGAGCGAGGTGGAAGTGGAAAAGCGGGAAATAGGACGAATCTCTGGATCTCGGTTGGCTTGATCAATCATCAATCTGGTAAGTAGAAATATATCGAAGGTTGAGAAGCTCGGCTCCTAAAGCGTTGCGACTCGTCTCTCTGTTTTTATTCGAGGCTGTACATGTGATGGATAAAATCGTCTGCAAACGGTAATAAAGAATGGCCGTGCAACGACCCGGCAACGGACAAAGAATTTGGCAGTCTGGAGCACAGGAATCTGAAGATTCGACTGGCTCGATTGAATCTGGGTCGACAATCTATTTCGGCAATCCTCGGTCTTTGTTCTAAAAACAATGAAGCTCATTGCACGTGAACTGCGCGCCGGTTGTGAGGTACCTGGGGAGTGGTCTCAATCATCCTTTCACATTCCACAGTGTCAGAAAAACAGTGTTAACCCACGCAGGACCCACCTCAGTATATCAGGCGAAGCTTTCATCTCCAGTCTCAGTCAAGGCAATATGAGGATCTCTCACAAGAGATGTATATAGTAGCAAATTGTCCCTGGAAACAACAAGGAAGCAATGCGAGTGAAGCATATCGCCGTGTTAGAATGTAGATAGGCCGAAACTCCATCTGCATTTGTGCAGCATACGCGCATGAAAGGTCCTATTGAGATGTTACATGACATCCTCACGCATCTACATTCGTCTGATATGCAACCTCATGAATAGATAATTGTCTAGCAGATAAATTAAGATCCAAGAGAGAAAGTGTTGAGGGCTGAGGATGGAGGTGGTTGTTCGGGCAACAGGAGGTGTTCCAGCGGAGTCCTTCTCCGAAATCTCCTCAATTGTCTAGCTGATGTCACAGCCGAGCAAACGTCCCTACAGCAAAGAACGTGTATCACACTGCTGCTCGAGCCTCAAATCGGCGTTCGATTGCAATTGCGACTGCGTGTAGTGTCAAGTTATTTCTCGTCCCTTGTCAGGCTGTGCGATTTTCTTACTCTTTAATTTGAAGAGAAAAACACGTTCTTATCCCAATATGACCAAAGTCAAGATGTTATCGCGATTCGGCACTCAGACATGCTCGCGGCTGGCTCAAGTGTCGAGACACTTCCCTGGTCAAACTAGAACCATGGCAGGCTATTCGAAATCAAAAGCACAACTGAACACAGGCGCGGAGATACCGCTGATAGGATTTGGTACATGGCAGGTAAGATTGACCATGCATGGTTTTCATCCAAGCGTCTGTCTAAACTCGCCGTTCTAGGACAAGGACCAACAGGCCGATGCTGTCTTTGAGTGTCTAAAGAGTGGCTATCGACATATCGACACCGCTAGGGTATATGGTACCGAGAAGGGAGTTGCAGAGGCTATCGAGAGGAGTAATGTACCGCGAGGAGACATCTTCCTCACGACCAAGCTGTGGAACAATTCCCATCATCCCGACGATGTGGAGAAAGCGTGCGATGAATCATTGGGATTCCTCCGGACCGACTACCTGGACCTCTATCTGATGCACTGGCCGAGTCCTTTCAAGAGAGGCGACAAGCTGCGACCTACAAAGGACGACAAAATCTTGACTGGCGATTCCGATTTCGTCGACACCTACAAAGCGATGGAGAAACTTGTTGACAGTGGCAAGGTCAAGGCGATCGGAATCAGCAATTTCTCAAGGGCGGAATTGGAACGTCTGCTGAAAGAGACCTCTGTCGTGCCGGCAGTTCATCAGATGGAGTTACACCCTTACCTGGCTCAACACGACTTTGTTGATTTCCACAAGACGAAAGGCATTCATATCACGCAGTATTCACCCTTCGGCAACTCCAACCAGGTCTATACCAAGGGCCAGGATATCAGTAAGTTGATCGACGACCCAGTTCTAGTTGACATTGGGAAGAAATACGGAAAGAACGGGGCCCAGGTTGCACTGGCCTGGGGTATCGCACATGGTCGTAGCGTCATTCCCAAGTCCAAAACCCCGTCTCGCATCAAGGCCAACTTTGAGGGAGATTTCAAGCTCGAGGCAGAGGATGTGAAGAAGATCGATTCTCTCGATAAGAAGCTGAGGTTCAACGACCCATCATCATCGTTTGGTTGGAACTTTTATTCAGATCTGGACGGCAAAGCCAGCTAGAGGTTATGGTGATTGGCGATTGATGCATGACGCACTGCTGGGGTCTCTCATGCAAGCTACCCGACTGGAAGGAAGGTACAGAGATCAGGCATCAGCAGTCTGTATATTTAAAAAAACCAACATTTATTGACCGATGATCAGAATTCAACCAAGCATCACTTGAACTATTGTCCTCGAACTTCTCCTTCATCGAGCAGGCAGTCGTATATTCATTCATGATGATTGGTGGCTGAAGCATCTTGGAAGTTTCTGAAACAATGGCTAACAATGCAATAGCCTCACCGAAGCTGATCAAGACAATCGTAGATATTTCTGTAACGCGTACACAGTAAGCCGCAGACACGCAACTCGCAATTCATTGACCGCATGGGGCATGTTGCATTGCGTGGACACGTCAATGGTGGAAGCAAACGAATATTGGCTTTGCACAGCCTCAACCCCTAAGAAAAATCTTGACGGAGGATCATCGCAAAATCCCAAAGCTTATGGGTGGGCAAAGGGTCGATCAATCCCAGGCATCGTTGCCCATCATGCCAAGATGTGACGGGGTCCCTCTTTAAAACTGTTTGCTGATTCACTGGGCAGTGAGCATACAAGCAACACCCGGAAGGGGTGGGTGGACGAGCTGCCGCGGCACCTGCAGTGCCCCTAAGGATGCCGCCAAAGAATCGAGCTGGCCCCTTCCAGCGCCGTAGATCATAGATGACGTTCTCGGCGCCCGAGCACCACCCAGCCAATTCGAGATTGTCCTTAGCCCTGAGCCTGTGTCACCAAACACTCGCTTCCGTAACAAGTTATATGCAGGGCTGCTTTCCCGAGTCGCCAACACCACCGCCATTTCTACCTAATTCTCGTTCACAGTGAGCGTGTCGTGTGCTCACCTACCAAAAATGGTCGCCCCCGCCAAAACCGTCAACAGTCTCGCTGCTGGTGCTCGACATGTCTCCAAACGACTCGTGGCTTCTTATGTGTTGGATTGGATTCTCATCCTGTACGAATAGGCTTCCTAAACCTCCCTGTTTCGTCATTATCTTTTGTGCTGACTTGTTTGCGTTCTTCAGAGCCACTGCAGCCCTGGGAGGTGGATTGAGTTACGTTGACGGCGCACGACACAACTTCTCGTTACAAGACCCTAATATTTCCTTTCCTTATCACGAAGATACCGTCACCGTGGGAGTCTTGTTGATTGTCGTCATTGTCGCACCCGGTGTCATCACCGCGATCATCTCATTACTTCTTGTTCCCGGCCCGACTGCACATCCCTCGACTCCGAAGGCGCTGATCTGGCGACGAAAGATCTGGGAATGGAACACAGCATGGATGGGTTTGGGGCTCTCCCTCGCAAGCGCTTTCATGATCACTGAAGGCTTGAAAAACGTCTCGGGCAAACCAAGGCCGTTCATGTTGGCCGTCTGTGACCCGGATCTGAGCGAGGAATCCCTCAGCAGATGGCAGGTCGGTGGACTTGGATCCTCCATCGGTTCGGCAGTCCCCATCATTGTCGACTGGCATATTTGTCGAAGCACCGATAAGAAGAAGATGCGCAATGCCTTTGCCAGTTGGCCTTCGGGCCATTCGAGCTTCGCTTGGGCCGGTCTACTATATCTGACCTTCTTCATCTGTGCAAAGTTTGCTGTTCAGATCCCTTATTTGTCCAATGCAGCATCTAGCCGGCAATATATCTCGACCTTTGATGAGGAGGAAGACGATGACACCAAAAATCCAACGCAGTCCTCAAGAGCCTCTTCACCAGTCGCCGCATCTGCCCATCATCAACTCCCTCCTCGAAACGAGTCCGCAGCTCCTCCGATCTATCTTTTGATCCTCGCATTCATCCCGGTCGGCGCAGCCTTCTACATCTCCACGTCCCGCTGGTCTGATTATCGACATCATGGATTCGACATCATTTCCGGGTCTTTGATCGGCATCTTCTCTGCATGGTTTGGTTTCCGATGGTATCATCTGCCAATCCGTTCAGGAGCTGGATGGGCATGGGGTGCAAGAAGCAGAGACCGAGCTTTCTGGTTGGGTGTTGGTCGGGCGAACTATGTCGGGGACGAAGGATGGGAGAGTGCCAAGTTCGCGCGTCGTAGAGATGTCGAGGCAGGTCCACAGGTCAGCGGGCCTGGCCTACCTGATCAACATGAAGCGACCGAGCAGAATATTGCGGACCAAGCAGCCGGCCCGAGTGATCTGAATAGGTGAATCTCGTTGTTCTTTCCAGGGAAACGAAAAAAAGTCTTCTCGAGCTCGGCGTTGGATTATTATACTCTGAGACTGGTTTCTCGAACATTTGGTTTCCAAGAATCAGACTTATTCTCTTGTCCTCGAATTATCCATACATAGATATTCAATGGACCATTAATACATACCGTAGTCGATGTTTTCTGACGTCGTGAAACCTATATGAGGGCGTTTGCACGACGAGACCTCAGGCTTTCAATGCGCTCCCAACGGCTGTCTTTTCGACTTCCACATAGCATGCATGCTGTTGCCCGTCGCAAAGTCTGCTAGAGGTTAGTCAAACACTTCAGCTCGTACACTAACACAAGCACAACAAACTTTTATCGTACAGCTGAGCTAACAGGGCCAAGCTTGAGAGCATCAACGATTCAAGTTTCCGATGTCGCTTCCTGCCCCAGCACCTGTCTGAAAGTAGATTTCGGAACGCTGGCGACCTCCATCCCGAGCAGATTGGCCACGATCAAGCGCTTGTCGGCTTGATTGCTTGTGCGGCGGTCTTTCAGGGCTTGACGAAGCATTGCGAGATGGTCGGCACTCCCCGCGGCAGATGCGGCATCGTTTGTGCCGCAATGGTACTGCCTGAGGTGTATGTATGCCAGAAGTGGTTTGACGGGTACGTTGGAACAGTCCTCGCCTGTGGCGGATCTCTTGACGACATCCTCCAGCTCCACATACCCGTCACGCAGTTGGAAGAAGACTCTCGGCGTGAGGACGGCTTCTTGGAGCGTCCACATCCGTGAAGACCAGCTGCAATAGTTGATGCGGAGGAAGGCTTCCCGATATGTGAAGTCCTGAGGCAGTTGTTGGATGTCTGCGTCCAAGACTAGCGTCCCCACTGCTTTCTCGGTACTTTGCTTGAACGACGCACGCATCTCTTCCGTGTATGCTGTGCTGATGGATAGATGGGACGGTATGCACAGCGTGTCCATCCAGAACCACCTCGAAGTCGTGTTTGGACTGGCCGCCGTATGGATCAGGTGTACATCATTGTCTATTTGCTGGAGTTGACAGAGTGGTAGTGCCGAGTCAGTGGTGTTCCCCCTCCCATCTGAAATGCTGCCTGGGTATCAGATCGCTTTGTCATGAACCATGTGGTTGCCACTTACGCATGAGAGATCGCAATGTACAGTAAGCCAGGCTGATAAGCCTGGACTTCGAGGGACAACCCACCGTCCCTTGTAATCAGGGACACCACTGGGAATGACCCAGCTTCATATATCGAGAGTAAAGTTTTGGGGTCCGTGTGCAAAAATTTACATGTACATCCGTCTTTGGTATGCTTCGTGGCATATGTACTTGGATGAAGGTCGTTAGCCCGGCATTCCTCTTTATCACACATGCTGTGATCTTTGGTCGTTTGAGAATAGCCTAGTTCGGCCCATGCAAGCAAAAGGCTCTGATCCTGTAAGTCGCAAACTCTTTGGGAAATGTTCGGACATGGCCCCACAGCCGACTCATCCTCTGTCATTATTGCAAGAGGGCACCTTCGATATCGGTAAGGACGGCGGCAGGTTGTGTTGGGCGCAAAGGCGTATGCAGAAATTGCCTTGATTGAGGCCCCTTCAATAAAAGTTTGTCATTCGCGTCCTTCCAAGCAGTTCATGGCATTCGACAATAGAGAATAGTGACCTGAGGACATCATTGGTAGTCCTCATACGCTATCGTATGCATGTCGACCGCAACTTCTTACACGTCATTGTCGTGAGGTGTATCGAGAAATGATTGTTGGTTGTGTGTGCACAGCCTTACCCAGGCTAAATGACGAGGCTAAGAGGGAAGATCTCTGGAACTCGGCACCTAGAACTTGGGGGCTTCGGGGGCACGTGGTCAGCCCAGAGTGGCCCGTGTGCAAGGGTGTCCGCACCCGCATCAGCCTAAAATACTTCGGCAATATCGCAGATTGCCTCCTTTATTACCTAGGTAGATATATACCTACCTTCTCGGTCAATTACTCATGAATCTCTAGTACGTTGGCTACGAAGTAAGTAAAGATATGTCACTTTTCACATTTACATAGTTCGAGGAGAGAGCCATGTTGTGCCATAATATCATCCAAGTACTATTCTTTTCCCGTGCAAATTGCTTTGACAATCCCAAATATCCGCTGATATCACTTCATTGCGTTTTTGAAGCTGCTTGTTGAATAATTGCGGCTGGATGAGCTGGCTTTTTTTTCTCGTATGCCGTGTAAAATGTATTTGTTGCACTCACCCCCCTCAGGGGGAGAAGGAACCAGGCTTCCAGAGCTCTCTCCTCATCAGGTGTTGGGTCTAGTTCCGCGAAACAGTCTCGTCGCTGTTGCTCCGGTGGCGATGAGGTAGATGTGGCCTTGAGGAGCCCCCCAAACTCACTTTCGTCGCATCCCATTCGAAAGATAGCTCCGACAGTACCGGCAATGAGGAGCCCGACGGACATTAGTTGTGCAATCAGGCTTGATTGGCCTATGCAAATGACATGGATCGAAAATGCGAGCCAGCCTACAAGTCGCGCGAACCTGTAGCTTTGCTGGTGGGAGCTTGCTAATGGGAAAATGAAGCAGAAAAGGAGGGCCTTGGGAAACTTGTTCACAATGAGTTTCGTGCTGCTAGGCGGCTCGACAAGAAGTATCTTCTCTTGGAGATCCTCTGGGTTTGGATTTTGCGCGTTAAATTTCTCGCGCGCTTTCTCTGCATACTCCTTGAGCTTCAGTCGGTTCTGACGTAGTAGAAACCATCTGACCACCACGGACAAAATCATACCCACTGTGTTGGCAATGCCGTACCAATCTGCTAATAAGATACAGATGACCAATAATATGGAGTTGAGTAAGATGCTGATCATCAATGGTGGGCACCGTCGGCGCCATGACGTGGCGAGGTCTTGTTCAGGTGCCAATGTCCAAGTAATAGTCGTAATGCTGGAGTCACGTCGAGAGCTTGAATATATGTGATTATCAAGCCAGCGGGTAAAGGCTCCGTTCAATGCTGGAGGAATAATACCATCGGTGATGTTGTATGCCTTGTACCCAGGGAGAGGATCCGTAAATCGATTGGCCGCGATCAGATAAGCACCCATCAGAGGTAGGTACTCTGTGATGGTGCTGTGCTGGAGACCTCCGATGGCGCGACTTACTTCTTCCGCTCCCAGAAGAGTGACCAGACCCAAGGCATCAAGACGAAAGGGCTGCCATGGGAAAGCCCGATGGAGGGGCAAATGATCTGCTGGCGCCATAGCCTTGCCTTTGGAAAACAGGATCAATAGGAGCGTCTCCCGCGACGGAACAGAAAATGAAATCCGGAGGTGCTGCTCTGGCAATCTTCAGGGGGTAAGAGGCAGTGCAAATCGCGGGTTATGTTCACCTGCAATATTTGCTTGTGGTTTCATAGAGTAGAAAATGAGACGGAATGCGAATAATTTCTGTAGGGCGATAGCTCCCACAAGGCTAGCAAAGTAAGGTTGACTTCGTCGTACGAGGTGCCCATCTGCGTTGGCAGGCGTGGCTTGCGCCTCGTGCCTTATGCCGCCGGGCGTTCACCTACCAGGCCAGCAGGGTGGGGGACACGGGATGAAGATCGAATAAGCTTAAGAAGCAGAACAGACGTGAAGGAACTATTGTAAGGCCTAAAGTTGTCTAATAGCATAGAGCCGCCTAAACCTAATTAGGTAGGTAGATATGAGGTGCAGACGGGGTACCTAAGTACCTTAATTCTGCCGTCATGAGCTTAGTAGCGGTCCGCGCCATGTCAATCCCACCTTCCGGAAAATCGTTCTTGAATCTACCCCCTCTCAAGTTCGAGGTCTGCTTGGTACGCCTTCAACGACTTTATCCTTACCTTGTTAAGCGTCGTAAACGAACAACCTATTCCACCCCTTTGGCGCTTGTATGATCTTGTCTTGAAGTCTCTTGTCGATGGGTCGCTGCCTTTTTCAAGACACTACTTCGCCTGTGTCTCTCCTGGGTATGTGGAAAAAAAGGCCAAGCCCCACCTGAGGGGTAATATCGAACACACCTACGTACCTAGGTAGACAATCTTGCTCATTGGTTTATTTAGCCTGCGCAGACTGCTCTCACCTTCTTTCTCGACACTAGAGCTACAGGCTTCGAGTTTCCCCCGAGACTAGCAATCTGGCTAATTGAATGCCGATGACTCGAAAGTCCACTTTCCAGCCTTGGCTTCCAGGTTGGGACTGAATCATTGGATCACGATATCGAGCAGTGTCAATCTTTTTCTCTTCTTATGCCAACGCCAAACTGCAGAGTTACTTCGTCTGGAGACAATCTCCATTGCCGTGCTCTTCGACTATGATTAACCTCCTCAACTTGCCACATGAACAGCAATCCTTATGAAACAGGCTTCTTTACTCCCATGCCAGTTTAGCACAGATAACTTGCAGTAGTCTTCCGATTGCTAGAGACGATCACCTCGCCCAGATGTAGTTCACGATCGCGCATTTTGGTGTCCTCTTCTTTATCTTGACACCTTTCGTTTGATTTCCCATCTCTCATTTCTCTTCGTTGTCGTTTTTCCCACATCACATCCAGTATGGGGAATCTCAAAGAGACAAACAGCATGGAGATGCGTGAAGCCGGCAATGTTTTAATTGTCCACTCCGATCCAATATCCGATGAGTCCAAATCTTCCAGGCTGCCTCAGACGAGTGTCGCCCACGCATATCCTTCGGATTCGAGGGAGGGCGCTTCCCTCCGGGTAAGATCTTGCCCAAACAAGAACTGCATATCAGTATACTGATACTGTATCAATTCCAGAGATTGTTCAGTTTTGCCCAGTTGTTGGCATTCTCCTTGACTTTCATGGAAAGTTGGGAAGTTGTGGCTATGTAGGTTGCTGCTAGCTTTTGTTTTCGACTAACGTAGAGCGATATTGACAGGTCGACACAGGAACATATCCGCGACCTTCTGGAACGGAGGCCCTCGAGCACTGGTTTGGGGGTCTATCTGCGTGATCCTTGGAACCCTGACCCAAGCATACTCGATGGCTGAGCTTGGCTCCATCCTTCCCATCGCTGGTGCTCAATATCATTGGACCCATATCCTCGCTCCCGATAACTCAAGGAAGTTCATCACTTGGATGCAAGGATGGGTCACTTGGTTCGCCTGGGTATCAGCGCTCGCCGGAAGTACGAGTGGTGAGGCTGCTATCCTCCAGGGCCTAATCGCAGCAAACTTCCCCGGGTATACTCCCGAGAGATGGCACCTCACTCTTATCATGTGGGCCCTTCTCGTCAGTGTCGGCTTGATAAATACGTATACTTTTTGGATCATCCCTTGGCTCGAGTTGACCGCTGGTATCTTACATGTCATTCTGTTTATTATCTTCGTCGTCGTTCTGGTCACACTTTCTCCGAGACACGACGCCGATTTCGTCTTCTTCCGAGAATCTATACTATCAGGATGGGAGCGTAGTAGTTTCGTGGCATTTAATCTAGGAATGCTTGTTCCAGCTTGGGGTTTCATTGGTCAGTATTCCAGAATATTCTCGAGGCTCAATACTAATCTGATCATCTTACAGGATTCGACGGCGTCGTACACATGTCTGAGGAAGTCCGCAAAGCGAAACACGCAGTGCCACGATCCATGATCCTGACCATCATCATCAATGGGGCTATGGCCTTCGCCATCATTCTAGCTATCCTCTACACCATGGGTGATCCCGATGGAGTTTTGGACGCTTACTACCCAATCATTCCGATCTGCCTCAACGCCACTGGCTCCATGGCTGCCGCAAATGCCATGGTTTCTGGACTAATTATCGTCACCTATTGCGTGGTGGCCGCTTCGGTAGCTTCAGTCTCCCGAATCACCTGGGCGTGGGCTCGTGATGGTGCACTGCCTAAACAGCTTGCAATCGTGAGTATCGTCCGATGAAAACCCAACCACCTGTCGATATCCTAACTAGAATACTCAGATCTCCCCAAGACACCACGTCCCCATCAATGCTCTCTGGGTTCCCATCATCATCGTGATGCTCCTCTCCCTCCTGAACATCGGCTCCACCGCCGCGACAGCCTTCTCGGCATTCCAGTCTCTCTCCTCCCTCGGCCTGTACTCCTCCTACATCATTGCCATCTCCTGCATTCTGCACGCACGCTGGAGCGGCCGACTGAGCGATAAACCCGGCGCGGCGGTCCCCTTCGGTGGATGGCGTATGTGGAAAGGATTCGGTGCGCCGATGAACATTATCGCGCTTTGCTGGACGATTTATATCACGATTTGGTTGCCCTTCCCCACGACTCTTCCGGTTGTGGGCACGAATATGAACTACGCCTTGCCGATCTACTCGTTTGTGGTACTTGCTGCGTTTGGGTATTGGTTTGCTTGGGGTAAGAAGCATTGGCCTGGATTGAATATGGCCGCCATCGGCATGGTTGAGGCTCACGACTAGACCATTTTTATTACCGGCGACCACCATTTTCCAGAGGGTGTTGGAGGAAGTAGATTCAAACTTGAGGGATAATCTTGTGAAGATCAAAGTAGTCTATTCACATACACTAAGCTGATATTGGAAGGATACATCCTAGGTCCTCTTGGGATGATTTGTGCAAAAATAGCCGGACCAGCCCCACATTTCCCCTGTGTTAAGCGACGACCCTGTATCAACCCCCTGTCTCACCAGAGCCCTAGAGGCTACCACGAACGAGCCAACTCCTGAATACGACTCTCCCGAAATTGTCCAGTATTAATGCATCTAAGCATAGATATGTTGCATGTCACCCGTATCATATCGTTTGCTATGAACTTGAGGTGAGTCGTCTTGTAACGGCTCAAGTAGACCGTGCAAATCGGCCATTTTCATGTCCACTTCGGTATCTAGAGGTCGCCTGAATATACCCCATACCCAGCTAGCCGATACCGTGGTGATGCAACGTGGGTACTATAGCAGACAGCCGAACAGGAGATTACTCGTAGGAGTGAACTGTACTCCACGATACTCCACGAGGTACGTAGTACAATTAGCAATATTCTAGATTTTGCCCGCCTGCCACGTGAGTCCATCCTGGTTTCATGTCTTGATGCGACAACTCAGGTGTCGGCGTCGTCAACCCGGCTCAAGTTGACTCTAGCTTTGTGGGGAAGCCGTTGGACTACTGGAAGGAACATGCGAGAGTTCACTCTCCCCGGGCGTTATATAAATCTCATCTCGCTCCCTCATCTTGTTGATCTGGTTCTTCAGCAGTGCTCACCAGTCTTTCCTCGCTATCCATCTTTCAAAACAGCCACTTCCTTTCGTTTCGCTGGTCGAACTTCTTGCTACTTGTACATCACATACACATCTCAACATATAACATACCCAACTGAACATTTAAGATGCATATCCCACTCACCGCAACACTCTTCACCGCCCTCTTCGGGCTTGCGACCATCTCACCTGTCTCGGCTGGAGCTGTCCTTGCTCGAGTGCCTCAGAACGGAAACCGACCCGTCCCCAGCGGAGCATGCTGCGTTGCCAACACTTCGTTAAAGCAAGACGCATGCACCGCTACCAACGGCGCGGCTGGCAGATGTGTGCCTGGAGGAAACAACTGTAAGGACCTTCAACAACCAGATATACCCCTTTCCCTTCAGACATGGAACAGTGACTAACGTGGGATCTGGCCCATTAGGCGGTGGAAGACTAAGCTGTGTGGCGACAGCAAACCTCGAATGTGATGCCAATGTTATTGAGCGAGGAAACACTCTTTGCCGAGCGAAAGCTCCAGGAGGTGGCTTGTTTGATGGAGCGAACATTATTCAAAGTCTGGCACAGGCGACGGTGAACTGATCTTTTGGGCGGAGGAAATCAAACAAACAAACAGAAGACAGTCGTCGGGACTTATTTCTACTCTATTCCCCAATCAGATTCACTTGTCACTAAATCATATTTCCACGTGCAATTTGTTTTGATACCAAGCTGCCGTCTTGGATATTCTTTTTAAAGTCTGGCGTCAAAGGAGCGCCAAAAATGCAAATTGATCCAAGTTGACAGCGAACCCGAATGGGATTTCTAGAAGCTATAGGTACCACAGGGATCAGTCATTGCGTGGCTCCGAAGCTCCTAGCAGCACGTAGACTGGAGAATGGGATGTGGAGCAGCAAAAAATGCCTTGATTGATTTTTCCGCCAGCAAAGACTTTCACCGAGCGGGAGTGGTTATGATGGCCCCGAAACCAAGGCACGCGGTCTGTATGGCATACTCGGAGCCGGAACATTTCCTGCCCGATGTTTATCTCTCGTCAAGACAGAGCACGATGAAGCAATGTTCTTGTCTGAGCATGAACAAACCGAGTTTGTCTCTGTGGAAGGCTTTGGCTCCTTGCTGCATGCATGTTTGGCTGTCAGAGACATGTGCTATAGGGGCGCAATCCTTCCACACCCGACCTCGTGGAACGATATACACTGTACTGTCCGTACCGTGTTGTTGAGAAGTGCGCAAAATCATCAAGCCTCCTTCCTGTTATCAAGCCGCAAAGCCATGTACGATAGTATTCAAAATATTCATAGTACTCGTTCATTCAGGCGTAGATCGGGGATCAGTTTTCTGGCAGATAAGTGATGAATTCATCCAACGCCTTGCCAGCCGGCACAATAGGCCAAACACTGCTATTTTGTTCCGTCATGACCTCCAGCACGGCGGGTCCCTTTGACGTTATTAGCCAGTCTAGCATGCGGTCGATGTCTTCTCGTTTGTCACACCGCTCGGCCTGAACGCCCAGGGCGCGCGAGGCACGCACAAAGTCCGGGTTCTTCTGACGGTTCTGGTTAAGGCGGCCGCCGAAATAGACTCGCTGTAGATCTGACACCATGCCCATCTGCTCGTTGTTAAACAGGAGGACTTTAACGTCGATACCGTCGCGCGCCGCCGTCGACAGCTCTGTCATAGTCATATTGAAGGACGCATCTCCGTCAATATCAATCACCAGGCACTCGGGACGAGCGAGCTTTGCGCCTATCGCCGCAGGGAGGCCGTAGCCCATAGTTCCTAGGCCGCCCGAGGTGATCATGGTACGAGGATGTCGCCATCGGAAATACTGGGCCGCCCACATCTGGTGCTGGCCCACTCCTGTCGAGATAAGTGTGCGGTCCTTGTACGAGTCCGTCATGTCGCTAAGTCGCTCAATCACCTCCTGTGTGCGGATAAGGTCGGGTTCAGGCGTTGTGGGCACCTTTTTGTATGCTGACAGCGGGTATCGCTGTTTCCACTCGGAAATCTGCTGCGACCAGGCCGGTCGACTGACTACTGGAGTAACCAGCGGACATAATTGAGCGAGACGAGTAGCGCAGTCCCCATAAATACTCTCTGTCACTTGGACAATCTTATTCACATTCTTGGGCGCGATGTCGAACTGCACAATGCCTCCTCTACCCTGGCTCGCTGCGAGGGTAGCTTGAGGGGCGAACTTGGTAACGTTTCCTGTAACGCGGTCGTCAAAGCGGGCCCCAAGGGCGAGAATCAAGTCGGCCTTTTGGATCGCATGGTTGGCGTATCCTGTCCCGTGAAGTCCAAACATGTGTAATGCTTTTGGGTCGTGCTCGTCAAATGCCCCGAGTCCTTGTAGAGATGTCGTTACCGGTATTGAGGTCCGGTCAGTGAAATCCTTGAGAATCGATGGGCCTTCGGGCAGCGCGAGCATCCCTTGGCCGACGTACAGTACGGGTCTTTGCGCCATGTTGACCAGGCGTGCCACTCTAGCAAGAGCTTCGCTGACATCTTCCTCCTTAGGTACTCCTGCTGCACTCCTTCCGAGTGGGGGATTCATGGGTAGCTTCCTTGTCGGGAGTGAGTCTTGAGAAGGTTGTTTCATGGTTCGTGGTAAGTAGATCAACACGGGACCTGGACGGCCGTGAGTGGCGATCTGAAACGCCTGGGTGATTCTTGTTGGAAGGTCTTCGACCGCTGACACTTCCACGTTCCATTTGGTACAGCTCTGCGTCAAGAAGAGCACATCGGTGTGTTCCTGGGCACTCGAGTCTGCCTGGCTCATCCACAAACCAGTGCATAGAACCACCATTGGCGTCCCATCACATAGTGCGTCCTGCATGGGAGTGACCATGTTGGTGATACTACTGCCAGTTCCTACGATGACCACACCCGGCTGGCCAGTCGCTCTAGCATAACCTTCGGCCATATGTCCCGTGGATTGTTCGTGCCGAGCAATAAACATCTTTGGGCATTTATGCTCAAATTGTGCAGGGTACTTGAGCACGGGTCCTGGAGCGGCACCAACTGCGAAACATCTTAGCATTTCGCCTCCTGCCATGCTTTGGCATGTTATACATACACACTTGTTTCACCCCATGGTACGGTAGTATGTCTTGGAATACGTATTGCATGGCATGTGGGCCGCTAGTCGTATTAACGGGTATTTCTTTGGTCGGCGATAGGTGTCGGGAATCGACCTTGAAACTTTGTGATAACTCATACTGTGCTTGCCCTCGGAGAGGCTGGAAACCCTTTGGATTCAGTATGGGGGGAGACTGTGAGATGGAGGTATCGGCATCGCTGGGTCGAAACTTTTGTTAATTTTTCAATTTCGAGTCATGTCGAGCGCATTCAATCATGCAAAAAGGAGAACCATACATACACTTGTAGTGCCGTGCCCAAGCTGTAGCTTCGGCGACCTGTGCAGGAGCCGTTGAACTGAATTTCTGGCGAGAGGCTACAATCTCGTGACGATCGCGATCTATGGTTGCAGTTTCTTTCTACCTGCACGGATTTGAGGCAACTGCGAAAGCTCGCCGCTATTCTCATGGTGAAGGCCGAATGTTTGAAATTATGTGCATTCAAGTTGTGGAGAGAACAATCGAAGTATTCAGATAAAGTTAGGTCGATATTGAGATGTCCCTGGCTCCCGATAACGGGCCGTCTCCTGCAATCACCAATATGTATCGAGAGATGATGACTGTTCAACGGTCAAGTGTATCGACGGTCAGGGCATGCTCAGGTCTCTACGTTGGCGTTGTTCATGACTCATATCCCCTTTCGTTCGGCATCTTCTTGAGCTGTGGGGGCCAGTGCTCCGAGGATAACCGTCTGCGCAAGATTAGAGTACCCAATAGTGCTGCAGAAACAGATTTCCTCTCCGCTGCTCGTCCCATGAGGATATCCTTGGTCGCCATGGAGCATGGTTCCCGACCTATCGGAGCGTCAGCTCTGCCGAGTCCGGAGTTGCGTCCGGGGAGACTTGAAGCCCTCCGAGGTGAGAGGAGAGTTGCTGAGGTTGGAGTCTGCATCATCTTGACCAAGAGCATAGAATTGAAACTCTTGATAGCTTATCTGGGCCTTAGCAATGCCGATAGGACAGCAGGAGTAACTTGCTGTATATTTTTAAAAAAGACAGCAAGGACAGACCTGTGAGAGAGAAATGATGTTCTTCGGGGAAATGTCTCCGTGATGATGTGGCATGTGTGGTCGCTTTAAGGAGAGCAAGGGCGGCATCACTCCGTATCCCGATTGGGGGAAGCCTCGCCACCACCTGAGGGCGGTAGGCTGGTGACAGACTCTCAATCGTTTTATACCTAGGTGTTCATATGTCGACATGTTCCATGAAACCGCCAAGGAAGAGCGAATTAGCGGACGATTTCTGCTTATCGCTACACTATAATATGGGCCGAGTGATAATCTGCAGGTTGTTGCCTGGAATGGAGGCAATACTTCGATTAGTTACCTTGGTAAATGCACGGGAAGCCCCTCCTGCTATGGTAACAATTTAAAAATGTATACACTATCGCGGTTTGGTGAGCGCCAGGCTGCCACGACTAAAGGACAAATTTCTAGCCAGTAGAAATTACATTTAATGGCGGCTGTCCCATTCTTACAGCGTGCGTGCGCCGATAATTCCCAGTTCTAATTAAGAATGCCACCCAATATGCATACAAATTTAACAATCATATGTGCATAAATCGCATTTGGAGCCAGCAAAATTGCACTGAAAAAATAGCCAGGCATGTTCGAGCATCAATTTTTCCCCCATAATTTCACTCCTCGTAACTATCCCGATTGCATCCCCTCACAGGGGCGTGAAGGAGCACGTTTCTTCGTTCTTTCCGGGCGTGATGTAACTGCAAGAGCCATCGGTGCATTAGTGCTCTTTGTAAACGACAACACCCGGGAGCTGCGTGACATGTTCGTCATATCCGGGTATTTCGTTGAATTCGCAAGAAGTGAAGACATCCCCCTCGAGTCCACCAGGCGTGGAGGGGGAATAGCTTTCGACGAAAGTGATTTCAGTCATCTCGTAGGACATGCGCTTATAGCCCGTATGCTCAGCGGAGTTGTCAGCCTGTCTTGGAGGGCTGACATTTGCGTTGGCTCTATTATCGTTGACGCTCCCTGGACACCCAGGCAGATCTTGTGAAATGTCCGTAAAAGGGATACTGATAAACGACGGACTCTGCCCGAGATGAGATTGTTCTGTACCTGGGGGAGAATATATAGATGTTGCCGGTAGCGATACGGCAACAGATTCATCCACCGCGACTTCTTTAGTGCGACTAGCCATTGATCTGCCTTTGGCGACGATGACGGAATCCCTAATGTGGCCTTTAGCCTTGGATCGGGTAGTGACTGGAAATGAGCTCCGCAACACAGGTTCTCCTTGGTTCAATTGGGTATTCTGTTCCGAGTTAGGGCCCGAGTAATGCCGATGAAAACGCTCAAGACTCGGAACAGAATGCCCAATTGAACCAAGGAGAACTGTTTGATTTTCGTTGGTTATCGTTTCTCGGGCTCGATATTCGTCGGTCTCGGGGCTGGTGGCGAAGGGGCTTGGCTGTAAACTACTTGCATGCATTTGGGTTGAGGGAGGTATGCCGGGATCCAATGATATTACGCTTGGTGAACTGCCCAGGACAGTCGTGGCTGGTGGAAGATGGGGTTGCATGCTCAATGGTGAAAGCGGGTTCCCAGTTGTGCCGATGCGATAAGCATAAGCTGCAAGCGCGTCCTCCAAGTTCAGGTAGGCATAAGACTCGTGGCATCGAACATCTGTCGCCAGCGTCTGACGTTCAAGCGTGAAGGCGAGGGCCTCGAAAATCTTGTCGTCCAGCTTTTGCCAGTCGCATAAATTCCAGTTGTACCGTGACATTGCGCGCCACAACTGCATCGATGCCATGGACAACGAACTCACCAGCTGTCCCCGTCCCCATCCCTTGACTGGGATATAGGAGTCTCGCTGCTTTACCACTTTGAGGTCTTGGTAGTGTACCGTCTCGTGTTCCTGCCACTCCCCACGGGTGTGGAAACAGCTCGAGCACACAGGACATCCCCATGCCTTTTTGCTTGGATACTCGTGTAATGCAGCCTTGGCAGCGGACTTGGGCAGATGGGTTTGGCATGGTGCAGTATCACTCCAGTTGCAATTTTCACCGCAGATCTCCGGATGCTTGTCTCGCAGGTGGTTGCGCAATGTTTCCCAGCGTGGAAACTGAAGTGGTTTGCGTTTTGGGCAGCTAGGACAGACATAGATGCCCCGACTTTCGCATGCCTCGGAACGATGTCTTGATAGGCTGCCCTTCGTGTCATACCACTTTTGACATCTGATACAGACATGTATTGTGTTCTCGGCTCCTATGCCACCAGCAGCAGTCGTTCCCGAGCGAGGAGAGTTATGGTTGAGTTGAAGTGGATGTGGCGAGGGCGCAGTGATCGGAAATGGAGAGGACGAATCATAGTGGAATTGGCTGGCGGTGTTCGAACCCAGAGGGAGCTGATCAGGGAGCATTTCATATGTTGTGCTGCTTCGCGAGTCAAACGAAATAGTTGAACCACGGGAGAATTGTGAGTATCCGGAGGTATGCTTCGAGCTTGACGAAGGCGGGTGGGTTTGCCCATATTTCAAATCTCTGCGACATTGCGAGACGAACGCCATGATCTCATCTTTTGAGCTCGAAGGACTGGTGAAATAGTCGTAGAGTTGTTCAATTTCCGTGTAGCCACAAGTCGGACTGATTTTGCGGAGCACATCAAGCGCCGGCTGACCAGAAGCACCAGGCTGCTGCCAGAATGAGGGCGGCATATTGTCTTTCTACCCCGCGGGGTGCGCGACGAGAGTAGCGTTATGCGTCGGACATATATGAGGAAAAGACCACACGGTAATCCGGGCGGAAAGGATTGACCATGAAGAATATGAAGAAGCGAAAAAACGACGTTTGCCAGACAAGCTGGAATTGTTCTCGAGCAAACAGATGACTGCCAACCAGCCAGGAGAAACGGTCAGAGAGACTTACCAGGACGACGCCCGATAAACGGGAAGCTTCTACGCACAACCATGTGAGGCTGAGGGGCACTCAGTGGTGGCATTCCACGGCTTGCGCAGCCAGCACATCGAACTTAGAAAAGAGGATTAGCCTTCACACCGGCGGGAGATTGCGATCTTCCCCCGCGGCATAGCGGGCCCTACAAGGCAGGCTGACGGCATCTCTCTCACGTGCGAAGCAGTCGCGAAGGTACCATTTCATTCCACCATTGCAAAATGATCAGACGAAAGCATTTGGTTGTTCATATTTAGCCAACATAATCTGCATCACGATTGCTATCCTGAGTGCAGGGTCGTGTCCACAAGGGCTGATCCTGTACCATGGTAAGTGGGGGTTGGCTGACTACGGCTTCGGCTGGTGGGCTTGTGGGATAGAGCCTACTGGGATGCCGTGGGCGAATTAGCGCCGCTCTTGGGTTCACCCCTGCTCCAGATCGGTTTTGGTGCCAAAGGATGATGTCTGGTGAGCAAGCATGTTTCGAAACTCAGAGGGACTACAGCTGTTCATCTGCCCTTGGATGTTGCCTTCGCCAGGAGCTTTGCCATGGGCATCAGGAGGCCATCATCATGTAGCCCATCGATGGCCTATATATCTCTGCCCACTATTGTGAGAAGGGATGTATATTATTCCAGCTCGTCTCTTCTCGAACCAACCACGCATACACAAACTATACAGAGACGGCGCAGTGAAGAAACCTTGAACAAATCCCAAGGCCTAAACGACGTGAGTTAAAACTATCATCTCCGCACTACGCCCTGAGTGACTTGCAATTGTCGGCCACAAGGCTACCATGCCAGGAGAGCAGTATGATCGACAACCCAAAACCGATTGCAATGCAGCCATTTCCGGCACGACCCGCAGCGTGAATCCCACTAAAACCTACACGTTGGACCGATGGTTGCAGCAAGCCGCATGGGAGGAAGCTTGGAGGCCCGGGAACGCGGGTGGTAGTGGACACCACGTGAACGAGCAACCCAAGTCGAGATTGTAACTGGCCATTGAACAGAAAATTATGCATGATGTGGACTTGGATATATGGGTCTCTGTAACCTTTTGATGTGCGACTATGAGGAGAGGTAGAACTTACAGGGAACGGAAGGAGGAAGCGGTTTGGGAGAACAGCTTGATCCTTGGAAGCGAGATGTTGGGGACACCTGGACTTATGTCGCAATGCTGCGTCCCTATAGCTGCTCTAACTAGAGCGGCTGGAACAGTTTATGAATTGAAGGAGAAACCTTTTCCTTTGCGTGGCCTGTTAATCGGACTTTCCCAAGAAGTGATACCTGGGACTGTTTGTCACGCTAGGACAGGATTCCTGGAAGCAAGGAGGCCTTGGAGTCGGTCTTGCGCTGGGCACACCGCTCCAAGCTCAGTGCTGTCCTGGGCCTTTTGTCCTGGGACGGTAGGCCATCAAGGCCGAAATTTTGCCCAGGTTCAGAGGGGTCATAGGGCGTCCGGTCCTGTGCCCAAACTCTGCCTATGACTAAAGTTGCCCTCGCCCAGTAGGTGTCCTCAAACCTGTGGCCTACCACCAAATCTAGCTCTGGGACTGCCCTCCTAGTCATCGGCGGAAGTTGGGACCCCCATTGATTGATTGATTGATCGTTTCATAATCTGTGCCAGCCGACCTATCCCACGGGTTGGTCTTGGCAATCACCCCGACTCGTTCGCACCCAGGGTGAGTGCAGGGCGGCATCACCTCCAACCCGATCTGGGGTGACATGCGAGCTGTTTTCCCAAACCTTGGCATTTGCAACACCTTAAAAAAATCTTGACTCCAATTTGTTCCTTGAGAACTCCAACCCTCTTCGCATCGCTCTCGCGTGGACAACTTGATATGGATTCAAGACAGTGCGGAAAGATGTCATCTATTCCGCGAATGGCGTGTCTTTAAGCCTTCATATGGTGAGTTCACGCAAAGCAGTCCATCTCCATTGCATGATGAACATTATACAATCCAACTCCGAGACATTTCTCTGAGGACATAATTTACTCTAGAATTACACTGACAAGCACTTCCCCTTACACTACGGTCATCGCTGTGAAATGATAACGCTGACCTCAAACAAGATTTCTGTAGATGTCGTCAAATTCTCCCTGCTGTGGCGCTTGCACCTTTGGCCCCCAAAATTTCATGAAAAGGTATGGATCACCGATCACCATCTCTTCATTCTCCTCTTCTGTGATGACTCTACGACACGAAAGGCATTCCTCAGACTTAATTCTCCATGTGGAAACTGTCAACTATAAGTTTCAGCCTTGTCTGATCCAGTACAATACCAGCATTCTCTTCCGAGCAGCAATTGTTGAATCTCCCACTAACATTGTCCTCGATTAGGTACTTCTTCCAACATTTTCCCTCGATTTCTTTCCCTTCCATGACGAATACTTGACGAACGGGCGGACAGACTGCGTGCATATCGCCCTGTATCTTAAAAAGCAGGACGTACAAATCCTGTGGATGCATGGGAGATATGACACTTGTTGAGAACTCGTCAGCTGATTGATTGGAATTCTGGGAATTATCTGAACAATTTGCGCTGATAATCTTGGACGAATGTGCTAACGACGTCTCGTGCAGGTAACTGCATACTCCCCCACAATTCTTCCTGTTGCAGCATCTTATGATGAACACTATTCACACTGTTTGAACCGAGTCCACGACTTGGGTATGAACGTATACACTGAAAATTCTGATTTAATGAGGTTTGTTTTCTCGTCCCATCTCGATATCACCGCTGACCGTCTGCTAATAGCCTGATTAGATGCTTCCTTCTCCTACCACGAGCATTGAGAAACAATCGAGAATGTGACTGACTCTTTTGTTCACAGGTACTGTTCTGCTACATTCGTGAACTCTCGCCTTTGAAGACATGGTAAGTCCGCTCTCTGACCCTTTCCTGCTTTGTTATGATGAACTCTTGTATTCGCTGTGTTCTTGCTGAATTTCTATGTCGAATATACATCACCTTGGAGAACTGACAACGACTGCTCCTTACTTCTTTTATGTTCTGCAAACGAGTATCCGTTCATTGCTGACTATTGTCAGTGTCTAGTGATACCCAACTGTAGCATGTGCACTTGACGCTCAGTTCAAGCAGAGATGATGGCTTGATAGATTAGATAGACAATGTTCAAGTCAATTTTCATAACACCTGTTGCAAATAAGTCCGACAACTATAAGGAAGCGCACGCGCCTAAATCCCTAGGGCCGACTGTTGCTCGCATTTGAGTTGTACTTGTAAAGCGCGAACCATTGCTCACGTGAGAGAAATGAGGTGGAACCACTTTGTAACTCCAATTCAAATCGAACCTGCGGAGTCAAAGAACTTTGCCGAACCCTTCGCGTCAGCAACCTTCTGTCGTCTGCTCATCACCCTTGAAAGATCAAGTATAACTACCAAGACCAGGTTTCCATACAAGCCGAGGCTCAGAGCCGCTCGAAAAGTGATCTCGCAGATCCCCGGCCTTCGACAGCAGGAATGTCCGGATTTGGAGCTCCTGGTGGCCGCGCCGCCAACATCAAGCCATCACCACCAGAGCGAGGCTCCTTCCCACTCGACCATGACGCCGAATGCAAATACATCATCTCCTCTTACCTGCGCTGTCTTCGTCGGCAGAATCCACCCGGCAGAAACACAGACGAGTGCAGATTGTTTGCGAAGGAATACCTGAATTGTCGAATGGAGAAGGGATTGATGGCCAAAGATGAATGGGGGAACTTGGGTCTGGAAGGACTACACCAGGACCAAGCGGCGGGTGAAGTGGACAAGAAGAAGAGCTGAATGAGCTGTGCGATGCAGTTTACCTATTACTGAGACATTCTGGCAGCTGAACGCCACCTGCTCAGGGCTTTCCTGGCGACAGACGCAATGCCCGTGTGTCGTGGAGCCGCTATAAGACCAGACCTCATATGCTACTTCCTGGTGGGGCATGACCTGGCGTCGCATGGACAACGTGTCCACCAGCATGGCCTTCTTCCAGGGGAGAGTTCGGAGACCAAAACTATTTGGCTGCTAAGCCATTCCTTACTTTGATACTCGATGTGGGATGATTGTCCTCCCTCTGGCAAGCACGGAGCTGCTGCGATTGACCCGGGAGAGATTCTGAAGGCCACCAGAGTGGCTATAACAACGACCGCGGCATCTGAGCGTGCCGAGTGACCAGCACTTCGTAACGAGTCTCCTGTTCAGGGAAGGGTGTGCTATCCTGTGGGAAAGAAGGAAGGCATTCTTGGACCAAGATTGGCTCTTACACTAGCAGGAACACGGTCATAGGGAGTGGTCACCTCGATGAATCTCTACTATTGTCGTCTTCCAACATATGCCTTGGACATCTGCTTGGAGCCAGGCTCTAATTTGTACCAATATCAAGCAAAATGTATAATACCATGTTCTGTATTTCACCATGCAGTAAACCATGACCCCCGGCCGTTACCTTTTTATCATTAGCCTTTCATTTGCGTAGCACACTCCTGCCTGACTCGTACCTGCGATTCTCTATAGCAGTATTGCATACGAGATACGTTTGGGAAGGTCAGGAGTCAAGAACGAAAGCGTCAAGGGCCAAGGCATCCAGCGGAACGGCCCATGGCTGGGATATGCGTGTTTCGGCCCTTGATCCGTACTCCGTAGGCCAACGCCTGCAAGACATATCCAAGCCCAACGGGTTTTTCACGCTGCTGAGAACTGCCCGTCTTAAGGCTTAGCTAGACATCTCGCCCATGATTCATCCCCGACTTTCATCAAACATACTACAATCATTAAGAATTCCCCGTAAGACGTGATTACAAAGGTATTTCAGTGTGGCAATTCGCGGCGAATATCTTACCAATTGCCACTAACCGCCCCCAGAGTTACATGCCATCCCCTCGGCAGGTCTGCGGTTCTGTATCGCGATGGACGCCCGCTAAAGCAGGCGAACGACCACTCAACAACGCCGAGGAGATCGAGCGACTCCGGTTAGCCTTTTCAGGAAATGACTTCGACAATTGTAAAGCCCCTGTTGGGGGGTGCGTGTCGCTAATTTTAATGACACTTGGGTTTCTGGTTCACGCTAATGGCCATCAGAGTTTGGGCTTCCAGGGAAGAGCTTCTGGGCTTCCTGGGGCTGCGACAGCGGCACGGGGTCGAAGGAGTTTTTGAGGGCAATGTTGGGTACAGCTTTGCCTCGCTGTGTCACCATTCGCAGGTGCGACGACAAATTGAGGCTTTTAGAATGCACATTATCGATGTGCATCGTCGTGCAATATCGATTCAAGCACTGTGGCAGATGGGGGCCGCAGCTAGAGGCTGGCGGTATTGATCCCGCGTACACGCCTTGCGCCACGGACAGAGCCTCCTGGTAAGGCCTCCTGCATGATTACTACTCTTTCTGAAACCCACCACGACGACCAATTTAGGTATCGTGCAACATTGGTGTTTAACACAGTTTACATGGTATATCGGCACATGCACGGGTCAGGAAGCCAGACCATGGCTGCCTTCATATATGAGCCGCCTGGTATCCACCCAGTTCAATTTCTGTTCTGTCGCCCTAGCTGTATGCTGGATCAGCACCGTTTGTGCTGTAAGCACTTGCAGTTTTAGTTTAATCCTCAGGCTTCTGGATAACCTCAGTTGTGGTAATGGCGAACGACCAGCCTCAGTCCTACCTGCCACTATCGGCTGCAGATGACTCTCCTCATGATCAAGTAACAAATGGCGTCATTCATTCAACGCCCATTGACGAACCCATCTCTCCTTTGGAGCCAACGAATAATGCTGAAACAATACCGCGTCGAACGACTCAACGTTTGTCTTTCTCCGCGCTTGGGCAATAGTTCAGGTATCTAACTATGATGACCAGGTACAAACACCCAACTCACCGATGTCTCTGAAACATTTGAAGCGGCGAGGAGGCATTCGTCACTCAGTGTGTTTGCTCAGCGATTTCATGGATCCGTGGACCCGTCATTACACAGTCTGATAGAGAAGGACGGATCCACTCACAAGACGTCGCGAGAGTATCGCTATAACAAGCAGCGCAAACGATTACTACGATTGACTATAGGGGAGTGGTTCAACTCACTCCTTCTGTGCATTACATATTTCGGAATTCTCTGGGCTTATTCCAAAATGGAATTAATCGACAAACCGCAGCGAAGAATTTTCAACTCTTTGACAACCGGAAATTCTCTTCTCCTCGGTGTCAATTTGGCCGCATCACTGAGAAGCTATGCGAAGTTGCTGAGATGGAGGATGCTGGCCATGTCTTATCGGCCCCTCGAAACATTTGATCTTGTCATGGGCTGTGATAGCTTGATCAATGTCATATCACTCTTGCGCAAGGCGAAGAACAGCAGGAATAAGTGGCTACCATCAAGAACACAACTGTTGTGTCTGTTGTGGCTGCTAATTCATCTTGCGATTACGATTCTGGTTGGCATTATTGGCCTGAACTACAATCTCGAAACATCGACGGATTATGTGGTTCTGACCAAAGGGACAGTATCCATTCTCGATTTGGATGCATTAGCTACTGACAACTATCTTATGGATCTCGCCACGGTTCAAAGCTGGGGTGTTCGCGGGACGGTGACGACTCCGTTGGACTGGGACGCAGAATTGGAGTACACGCAATCATACTTTTCCACGTATGATGGACACACATTTTATTACTTTCAAGATCTAAACGCGAATGACGGCACCACGGGCCATGTTACGAGTCGCTACATTGAATCCTATGCATATTGTCATGGCTATCGTGTGACGGAAGGTCAATATGGTAACATGTCCTATGTTGTTTATCACGATGGTGACAAGGACGTCAATCAGACAATCCCAGCACAGCCTGGCCCTGGAGGTCTGCTCGCCATATCAATGTTCAATTCCACCTGTGGAGCGCGCTGCACGGACATCAATGCGTTTCAGGCAGAATCCCTGCCAACCACACAACTCGACGATTCCGACGGTTTCGATCTCTACGAAGCCAGGTTTTTTGTCTGTAACAACACGGTTCCAGAGATTGGAGATGATACCGAGAGTGTACAGCCGGATTACGCTGTATCCGATTTGACTGCAAGGATGCTCGCTGGGATGCTTGGCTGGAGCTCTGCTGTTCCGTCTGCAGACGGCAAGTCTCTTTACATGACCTATACCAACAATTCAGAAACCGGCTTTCTGCGGACACCCAATTCCACGCATGTGGCAAATCTGATCTCGAGTTTCACAATGGGGGGAGTGGCATTCATGGACGACTCGTTCGCGATGAGCCGCAAATACGTGACAAGTACCGATCGACCCATTGCCGCTCAATATCTGCATGTCACTTGGAGATTTGCAGGTTCGATTCTAGCCGTCATTCCTTTTATCCATTTCTGGACACTGATAGCCGTCATCTACTGGGCAAACCGCGCAATCATCAAAGACGACAGCCATCTTGCCATTGCCAAGGTGTATCATACTCTTCTGAGGGGACTTGGCGATAGTGGCTGCCTTTTGCAGGGCGATGATATTGTACGCGTACTGGCGAACCCAATGGTCAAGTATGGTGCGACGAACAGTCGAGTAGATGGTGGATACCTCCATGTTGACGTCTTACAACGAGGAGCCGAGGACATCCATCCGATGGATGGTCCATTTCGGGAAGGGTGGTATGATGGAAATGGAAAGGGTCAGGAACGCAATCATAGAACAGACCCGGCGGGATCACTGCACCGCCGCTATAGGGATGTCGACGCCAGAGACTATTTTTAAATGTTCGAATGAATTTATCGCTCAACCTTACATCTCATCGATTTGAAACAAACGCACAGAGTGGTAAATCAGGATTCTTCAAGCCCAGTCCAGCTCAGCAAGTATGAATTGAGACAAGTTGGCCCCCGAGGAAGGACTCCAATGCTACCACTTCTGTCTACAAATCCCCCCTCCTATCATCTTGCACCAGTGACTCCTTTAGGGTAAGAAAGTGTGCTTGTCTTCTGCTGCGAACCGTTGCCAGCAGGCACCGATTGCGAAGATGAGTGCGCATTCTTGACAGGGCGCAGCATATCTTGAGGATCCCCGGCCGTTTCAAGGTATCTGCCCAAATAGAGCCAATACTGTGGTATCAGTGTTAACATCAATCACAGCACAGAGAACACGAAGACAGACCTCATTTAAGACTTCCTGGGTACTGGGAGGAGCTTCGTGGTTATTATGAAAGGATGCCATCACTGAATCGCTTTGTTCCATTCTGGATTCAGATGAGCCAGAACCTGAATGCTGTGCAGAATTGCGGAGGGCGCCTTTGGCTTGGCCGTGATTAGATGGGTCCATCGAGGCAATAGGCTCCTGAGATGTGGGAGAGATTACGCGAGAAGGTGTGACCGGGGTATCTGGGGATTGATCGAAGATGTGGTGTGCTGCTCCTGTCTCCTCTTTGACAGAAATGTAGTCTTGGAACAGCAGATGGTCGGGTCCCGTCTTCATGTGATGAGCTTCATAGGAGGGTAGCATACTTTAAGTACCTCTTTTTGAGGGAATCAAGACCAGGTCTTGCAACAAGTCCGGCATCACTCCCCGAAGCGCGAACGGAAATGAAATGCACCCTTGGGAGACAAAGACACCTAGAGCCACTCATCGTCTTTCACATTTTGGTTGCAGACGATCTCGATGCTCGAGGTCTCGCCGGGCTCTGTGCAGAACCACCAGAGAAAGTGGAAGGTACAACCTACCTCTTTGGGTATATGATTGTGGTCTTGGTTGCTGTGGTTTTGACATCAAATCAAATAAGGCAGGGGCTTCACAGCTCGCCGTTGGTGCAAACTCCATAAGTGGACAGGGCTCTGCGTCATCATGGGTATCTTTTTGCCAATGTCTCGATCTCGTTTCGTGGCATCAGCCCCGGTCAGCTTCATTACCGATCATCACACAAACTTGAAGCCAGAAATGATTGGGCTTCATCCGGGCTTTCAACTGTCGGTCAAGGGACAAGACATAAAATGCCATGGCACGCGACTCAAGTCCTTGGCCAGTCTCCAGCCGAGGCCAGGTAAGTATCGAGAGCAAGGACGAGCCTCAAACTATGGAGGCTCTGCACAATGCGAATCGTTCGACGTGAAATTGTCATAAAACTCTAATTGCTGGCCCGTCATCGATCTGGCAATAATGAGACTTACTTAAGTCTCTACGAAATAAGTATTCACGGCCGTTATGGTGGTTGACACTCAGCAGTTATGTAATGCACCTGACGTGGCTCTTTCCTAAGTTGGCATCTGCATCGTTCTTTTCTCGGCATCGTGGGTACCGGTGGCCAATCCTGTCCTTGATGATCCTGGTAGAGAACCCAGCCAGGTAGGCACTTCGTAAGAGATAACCTAGGAAGGAAAGAGTCCCTATTCAAAGACTTGGTGACTACGAGGTACTTTAGTGCTAGGTACCTCTTGCCATTGGAGATATCCTGAGTACGTCAATGTTCATGAAACGTTTTTTTGTTAAGGCTGATTTAAACTTAAGCTTAAGGCCCAGGCCCGGAGATTGTCCGCCCGAGGAGCTCGCCTTAGTACACCTACCAATTTCGACCTAACCTCATCTTCAGATCTTTCCTTCTCGCCACTGGCACGCGCTTCGAGCTTCACCCAAAGCTCGGCCGTAGGTAACTTCCTTTCATCTGCATATCAGTGTTCGTACCTCGGCGGTCGACATCTACCGGAAACTTAGATCCTGTCTGTGACGAGAATCGTTGAATGGGCGTGAAACGTCTCCGGCTATATCACGCCAATCATCAAGATCTTGAACTCCCTCGCAACCTTGCACATGTCACGACATCCCGGCTGTCATGCGGTTAGCACATATACATTTCAATGGGTCGATATCATATACCCGCTCGCTAGCTTTGCAAAACGCCCTTCTAGAAAGACATTTCGCGCACAAGGACTTCCTCCGTAGGAACCCGAAGAGGCTCGAGGACGAGAACACTGGTGGAGTTGCTCAGAAATCGCCGGCGACATCCCACGATACGGGAACATCAGGCAATGGCGCTCGAGCAGAAGCCCAGGAGACGACACCTCCAGATCCCACGCTGATCACTTTCTCCACCACACCCACCTACACCGTAGGGCGACGACACCTCCAGACGAATCCCATCTCCGACACACAGCAATCATTTCTATCCGCGTCCGGGGCAGCAACGTTCCATGCATCCCCACGCGGCGGACTTCTCACCTACCACGCACCAGGTCAATTGACCGGGTACGTGGTAGGAGATCTTCGACGATTCGGGATCACGCCGCGGTGCTGGGTGCGACTACTTGAGAACAGCGTAATGCGGACGTGTGCAGCGTTTGGCGTGGAGAACACCACGCGCACCGATGACCCCGGTGTTTGGATCAGGGACAGTGATCGTAAGATATGTGCTATCGGGGTCCAAGTGTCGAGGGGTGTTACGAGCCATGGGGTCGGGTTGAACGTGTTTGATCATGTTATTCCTGTTGATGTTACAGAAAGATATGCTTTTACCAAGGCCCAGGTGGCTTCGCCGTCATACGACCCTGCCACTCGAGGCTATCTCTCCTGGGGATTCAGTCGCATTGTGGCTTGTGGACTGGAGGGGAAAAGTGTCACTTGGATGGACCGGGAGCGCTCAACCAAACCGGGACCTCTCGCGGAAGTTGTAGAGGAGGTTGTTCACAGGTCGAAGCTGATGTCTCTGGTTGGAGATGTTTTCGCCAAGGAGATCTCGCAGAGCATCAATAAGATGAAGGGAGCTGGGAAGGAGGAAATTGAAAGCGTGTACCGGCTCGAAGACCCGGAATCCTGATGGACGAATTCATCCACGAGCAATCTGGACAGGTCATGTCTCTCAGCTATAGAACAGTGCATCAACCAAAGACCAATAAGGCCCACGGCCAGCATGGACCACGGACGAAGCAGATGTGGATTACGGTAAGGCTATCACCCAATCCTCGACCGAAGCACGCATGCAAGACAGATGCATGATCCTGAACACGTGGCCTGATGGGCTCCAAGGTCCCTCTCGAAAAAGTCTCGACCAATGGACCATACTGAATCAAATATCGATAAAGGCTGCATTCGTGCAAGGCCCCTACATCCGCATCCATGCACGACCGCAGCACAATGGTTCCTGTGACAAGGGAAACCATCCAACAGAGAGGAATAAACAAGTCAACCTTGTTCCAACCCACACTCATGCAGAACAGTCATACGGTACCGAACTTTTTGCCTATTCGGACGCAGCGGCCCTTGAATGGAAACGAACAAGCAGAACGCGACCACTCGTATGTTGCGTGGTCTAGCCCGGAAGTATTTTCTGGGCCGGATTCAAGTTCCAGGCTTTCCCCCACTACGTATCATATCCAACTACCGCACCTCAATACTAACCAGATTACCGAGGATCAGGATCATCTACGCATCACGGATAATTTGGAACAAACACACTTGACATTATATTCGCCGTCGATATTGCCGAGACACGAACGGGTACAGGTCGAGCCGATGCCAGCAAGCCACGATAATCTAGCAGGTCACGATTGTCTGAAGGATGAGCAGCGCGATCCTGCCTCATATACCACAGAATCGATCTGATATTCGTCGTGTGCACTTTCCGGAGAAAAAAGGAAAGATACGGGCAAATCTCATCAGAGAGGGAGTCTTGAGACAAAAGGCTTGTACAGAAAACGAAAAGAAAACTCGATCTCCATGGCCCGCTACATCTCAATCTCCAATGCACACATGCAATGCAATGCAGACTGGCCGTACTACTGATCACGGAGAGGTGATAGACATGACCGCCGCCACTCTTGGCAACAGTAATATCATCTTGAAACCCCGTCCGGTGGAGCGCAAAGGGAGTGTAGGGTCGGGTCAGTGGAGCAGCAGACTGGGAAATTGAAGCCGTGGAGTTTTGTCAGAGGTCAAAAGGCAGGAAGACGTGTTCAATCTCCTGTCTTCCATTGGCAATTCAACATAGCACCAGCAATCGCAAACCCATGACAACACCTCCATGGACGAGGAGTAGAAGATCGTTGCGGTTGCACTAGGTAGGGCAAAGAGGTGGGCTTGAATCTCGTCGCTGTCCATGGCGTCTACTTGTCTAGATAGAGGGGGGAGCGAGCAGCAAACCTCCAGGCCGGATCTCGAGATTTACAGGGAAGATGAAGATGTCGGCGTTGATTGTGGAAGCCCTCTTGGTATTGGTATTGAAAAAACAGGACAATGAATAGTCCAAAGCCCCCATCCAGGTGCAATCCCACGCCACGCACACTGTAAAGGACGGAGGATAAGGGCCGCGGGGATGTGTGGGATGGCGTATGTACTTGACTAGAAGCGAGGTTGGTTATGGATACTGCATATCATACGGGGACCAACTATCCGTACGGAACAAATGCCTAAGTTGTAGTGAGGAGTCGTGGATCAGAAATGAGGGTGGTTTAGTTGATAGTCCCCGTGAAGATCCAGGAGGGGGAGTGGAAGCTTGGAAGCTTGGAAGTCTGGAACCCTTGAAGCCTGGAAGCCTCGATAGGAAGATCGAAGATCGTCGGCATAGCTTCTGTCGGAGGTGGACGACTCGACACGCAAGACGTCATCCGTCGCGGGCCAGGTCGGTTCTAGGGCTAGAGTACGACGGTTCGAGAGAGGACGATCAAGGCCCCGGCCAGAGAAGCCATGGAATGCTACCAAGGCAAGAAAACACCGTATTCAGGGTTTAAATACCACCGAGTACGAATCATGTCACAATCGGAGAGATCTACCTCGTACTCAACTTGATGGTAGTGGTATTTTACGAGCGATCTACAGCGGCGCGACGATCCCCCGAAGGTCAAAAATTCGAGAGTCAGATGGTCTGTGGGCTGGCCGGTGTGGAACCTGGAAATCGACGATCTGAAAGAGGGTTTCAGGCGTTGGAAAAGTCAATTTGGACATCTCGACCAAATTATGGGTTCGTTTCTCCACTTATGGTGGAAGCGATGTCTGGGGAGGGTCTCCCGAACTGCATTTACATGGGCTCATTGTTACCTCCGTAGGTAGCTGGCTAGTGTTGCGGGGGTTGATCTTCTAGATATTTACGTCTTACGTCGGAGAAGGAATCCGGCTATAGTGTGTCGTCTACCGGTAACTGGTTAGAATCCAGTCGGTTATCAAACATGGGTACCGTAGGAACTGAGTAGGGCTAGGTCTGCTGTTATTGGCGGTCCAAAAACATTGATCCTGCCTAAATTGATCAAGTCAATACCTCTAGGGTATAGACATCCGTACCCGCAGATTCCCATCAGCTGCCAGGTACCCCTATCATCACAATACCTAACTAGAGGGCCCTGGAACCTACCAATACGTCTACAAAGAACCTGAGGAAACATGTACAGTCTCGGACGGCGGTCCATGCACCCGTGCATCGAGTATCAAAGGGTCGAGTCTTCAAGTGCAGAAGTGGTAAGAACATGATCGACTTAACATAGTGAGAAGAGGCTTTTTAAACCCCCTCCATGAATTGAATTGAATGGTATTGGTTCTTGCGGATTTTAGACGTTCGATTCCATGCGCGGTCGGATGGAATACGTCCACCATGAAACTCTAAGAACGCCAGCCTCAAGTTTGCAGTATTGACTGTGCATCCGCGCCGTAATTCGAGCCCAATACTTCCTTCCACCTCAGTGACCTGAAGTGGCGCAATAAACTGTGTTTGACGGTAACGACAGACTAAGCAGACATAAATCAACGCCTTGTGGTAAAGACAGGCACAACCTTCACTGTGATCCGCAAAAATGCATCGCTTTCCAAGACATAAAAAGGAAATCGTCCATGTCGCCGGTAAATGCTTCTTCGCAAGATGATAAACACAACTGGGGGTTTGAGATCACAAGTATCAAAAACAACTCGAACTCCTTGCCTTCTATGTGAGGTGTGTTGGCCTCAATTGCCTTTCCACCACTATTAACTTGCTCGAGGCATAGCGACCAGGTCAAGGTCCTTGATGATCGTCATAATGAAAAATGAAACCATCCCCTTGAGAGAATACCATGCATCAAATCGTCATCATCAAATATGCCCATTTTCATCGTACTCATTCAAGTGGTCTGATTCAAGAATCATGCCGTCCATATTCTTGTTCTGCATTCCACATCTGTGGCTGGAAATCAGAATTGGTGAAATGAGCCTGACTCAAGGCCGAAGTGCCAAACGATCCAGGGTCCAGCGGAATTGTCTCATGCCTCCGAACTTCGTACTTGAAACAGTTCTCATTCATCCGAATCTGCGGTTCTCTGCCTTTACTCGATTTGGGAGCGGCGAAATTCCCATTCGGAGTGATAGGTGATGGTGACTGCGGACTCTGGGGTGAGGACGGGTATTGTGTTTGAGCCTGAGACACAGGACCAGAGTAATAGTAGGATGGTAAAGATTGCGATCTTATCGGCTGCTGTCGGTGGCAAGTGGGCTGTAAGGCGGGCGAGAAGTAGGATGGTTGTGCCATGGTTGTGGTTGGAAAAGGTATGTGACTAGGTTGTTTGTGGTTGATGCTTAGTGTCATGTTGTTGGAGGGATATGTGGTAGCTGGCACGCCATGGAAGGTCAAATCATTGGATCCGGGAAACAAGTACGAGGTCATGTTTAAGGATTCTTCGTCTCCTTGAAACTCTTCTGTGGCGTATGTTGACACATACGGGGGATTGTGGGTTTGCAAGAATACTTGTATTGGCTTATCGTCCTTGTAGATGAGGTCGTAATGACCACTGAGATACACTGCTGGTTAGCGTACCCACACGAAGAATGGTCCCTTGATGAGGAACTCACGGGCGGTAGATCAGACGAATGGCTGGCCAGTCCTGAGATTCGAGTACAAACGAGTGTGGAGTAACTTCATCCCCGGTGCTTCTGTCAAGATACGAAACTTCAACTGCAATACAAGCTGGAGCGACCACGGCATCGGTCAACGCTTGTAAGCCAATGTGATCGATTTCTTGATTCGCCGGATCGATTCGAGTCAGGCGATATTCAGCAATCGGTGTTTCGAGAAAAGGCTCGTAGCGATCAGGTTGGAGTTGCATGAATGAGCTGGTCATCATCTGTATGGGAATGAATTAGTCAGATGGAAAAATTGACTAGAAATGAAAACCCCACCTTGATGTGATAGACGATGGAATTGGACTTGTTCTCATCATTCATGGTCTCGAGGAGCACCGCTTCGGAGCGGTCGCCACGTCCAATGGCATTGTGAATGTCGTCGAACAGCTCCCAGGTGTATTCAAACATATCAACAATGATGTCGTAGTCAATCCCGACAGCTCGCATGGTCTGCTCAAAGCTCTGTAAGCGAACCTTTTCTTGTACAATCAAGTCAAGGTCGCCCGATTTGAGGAGGATTTCAAAGTAAGCGAAGACAACACCTGCATACTACTGGTCAGATGAGCGCGACCGGTGGTTATTCATACATGTTCTTACCACGCCAACCACACTGACCATCGCCTTTGATTGGACGATATGCGGAATGAGTTGCTGCAAGCGCCTGAAGATGGTCAGCGAGCGGGTGAGCATGGAGGAAGAAGACCTACAGTGGTTTTGAGAACATAAGTGGGATCCGCCTGGGCGTATTCCGTCACAAGTTCAGATAGGCTTCTTTTGTCACCTATCAAAGGACCCTTGAGGATGAATCAGTGAGAGCACATTTGAGGCGATGGAGATAATTACCGGCAGGTTCGCTTGATATTGGTCGGACAGGCGTTGGAATTGCTCCATTTCGTCGGCATCTGGAGTGGCCATGGTTGAGCCTGAATAATTGGAGGGTGGAGGGGTAAAGTAGTCGAAATTCTGGTTCCAGGCGGCATTAGTCCTGCGAATGGGGAGGCTTTGACGTGGAGAAAGGTAGGGCCATTGAGCGGGAATGTGCTGATAGTGGTGATGAGGTGGATGGGGATGGTATTGAGGAAGACGTTCTCGGTAAAGACTGTGGTGTTGTGGATGATAGAGACGAGATGGCATTTCCTCGGGCGATCGAGAGTAAGGCAGGTTGACAAGTCGCAACAATGATGGGAATGTAGGACTCGATGCAGAATGATCAACGAGGAACGGGGCAAGAGAGAACGGGAGAGTCTGGATCAGAGAAATTCAACCATGGTCATGGTCAAGCGACCAGGTTGGATGGAGTAGAGGGCAAGAGGAGAGGAGAGCGAAGGTGAATTGGTTAATTGTAAGATAACAAAGCAGTGGATCAACGATGAGTGAACTGACCTGGTAGGAAGGCAATACTCAGAGTCGTGGAAGGGAGTCACTATATGCAGCGGTGCAGGCGAAGAAGGACTAGTCGATACGATGGTGAGAGAAAGATGAGCAGTACGGTGGTCAGGAAACACTGGCAGAGGGGAGGTTGAGCAAAGGGTTCAGGTTTAGGCCAATGCGGGTAGGCGGGCGTGGATTAAGCCCTGGTTCGGGTGTGGAGAATGACAGTGACTCGGAGCGAGTGTTGGCAATAATGACAGGTGTGTGTCGGGACCAATCGGCGGTAGCTTCTCAAGGCCTTGTCGCAAAGTCGTCGACAGGGATTGTCAATGGCGTGGAAGTTGGAAGTTGAAAGTGCAGTCAATGTGGCAAGTGGATAGAGATAGAGACAACGCAACGACTTGGACAATTGAAAGTTGGAAGTTGCGGTGGGCGTGGCGCGTACAAATTACGGAGTCGAGGGGTAAATTGTGCAAGTGGACGTGGACGTGGAAGTGGACTTGGATGCCGAAGATCAAAGGACCTGGGGCTACCATAGGATGACGAATGTGTCGTTGATCAACATGAGACTTAAGCGAGAAGCAAGACGATCAAAGTTATAGTCAAGGAGCGATAACACAGCCACCGGGAACAAAGAATCAGGTACCAGATAATGAAGATACCTGGAAATGGTAGCAGGGCAGTCGATATACGAGGTACCACTTTCAGAAATCTGCTGCGTACTTACCACGGATTGATGTATGTACTTGCCTGCCTTCAACATCCGTTCTTTCCTCAAAGTCGCGGATCACTGCATTGCAGACGGGCAAGCTCCTCTGGTAGTTGGTCACAGCCTTGGTCTTTGGGCTCGACACGTTACACATGGCGACTGCCATGGTCGCTGCCACTGCCACTGCCTCTACAACGACGTGGCAGCTGCACCCGCAGCAGGCACAATCACTTTCCCATCCTTTTCCTCTTTCCCATCTCTTATGATACCCGTCTCCATCCACGTCCTGACACACGGGAGCCCTGTCAAACCTCAGGATAGCGCATCCGTCCCAGTCCCGCATCCTCACTCAGTTAGACCCTCTTCCTCATGCGCCGGGGAACAGAGGAACCCATTCCCTGCCGCCCAATCTCTGAACTCCAGACCCGACCTTCTTGATGTCTTTTTCCCACTCCCGCTATCATCCTTATCCATCAGCCAATTTAGTTCCCGCTTTCTTCCTCAATCAGCCTAACTCTGCACTCCTCCGGGTCATACTTCGTATCATCAATCCTGGATTCCGGATCTCTTGGACACAGTCCCTATTCTATTCCGTATCTCACCATGTCTCCATCGAGTTACATCCGGCATGTTCTGGCTGCAGCCCCCCATCCACAAAGGGCATGGCACTGCGGCTTCTGCCAGGCGCCGTCATCCCTGCGGAGCCTCCAAGGTCTATTAGAACCTCATGCTCACCAGTACGAGGTATGATTAACTAATCACTTGCCTGTGGCGAGGACGAGGCCCTCACGCTCTTCAAATTGTGGACTTGACACCCAAACAAGCCACCGGCTTGACCTTCCACCTTTGAATGACGTTCTTTCCTGGTTCACATCTCCAAATGGATTTCTTCCTGTTACTGGTTCAGTCACAGTCTAACCTCTTTCGACCTTGGGCGTTTTCAAAGCAAGACCCCTGGTGAGGAACTAGTCTTTCACCAGTCCTAGGCTTGAGTAGTCATCTCCCAAGCTTTTCGATCTCACTCAAGCCTCAGATCTGACCCTGCCTTGCCCCCTTGCTAGCCCTAAAGGCCCCCTGGTCGCTTTCGTTATTAGGGCAGGCCATCCGGACGGAGGCCGCGCAGCCAAATTCAGTCCCAGAATCCAGAATCCTTGCAAAACTTGCCTAGTGCTCAGAAACTCAACTGCGGCGATATATTTCCACCTACTTCGTATGCCAGATTGTCCTCTGCTTGGTCTCCAGAAGACCCCACATCCTACCCACCTGGGACTCGGCAGTGAGGCACACATGACCTCGTACAACAACACCGAGTACGGATACCGCTTCCTCTGTCCAGTTTGTCAAAGTGAAATTCTATCTGGCAGATTCCTGGCAAGCCCCGTGCACTGTCGGCATGGCTCGCTAGACTATCAGAAATTAAATACGGCCATGCCGGGCTCTCATCCCTCATTCCGAACACTACATACCTGGCGTCTCCATCCTCGCTTGAGGCCTCGATTTGTCTGTCCAGGCGCATTGAAAGATCCCATTCTGCACCAGCGTCCATCTGCGCGAACAGGAGCCCTCGCCGTTCGATCTGATCATCACCTGAGACTCGCATGCCATGTCTCGGTACAACAGGCGTCAGAATCAATCATTCAGATCTACCTAGTAGTATCCTTACCTAGCTACTCGCTTCCTAATGTGGAATGCGTATATCTCCATGATCATTTTAAGGTCCTTGAGCAATGAAAGTTTGACCACGTCCATAAGCGTGCAAGCCACCACGGAGACAGCTTGCAGCCAATGGGATCACTTCGAAGGGCTGTATAAACACCACGGATCTTCCATCCTGGAACTCCAGCTTCCAAGTCGTGCAACAACAGATCCACTCTGGCAGCACCTAATAAAGCAGCATTGTTTACTGTCAATACTGTCAGGGTTGGACACGGGTGGGGAGTTTGACGGGTTTGACATTGCATGAATCCCACCACGAACCCCAGAACACGTTCTGTGACGTTAGCAGAATAAGGTAATAATCTGTGGATCACCTCGCTAGGCCTTGCTTGTACGAGTGATCTGTGAGTCAAATCCGACTCCCAACGGTGAGAACACGGGCCGCGAGGGCCTTGTCGCTAGCTGGGAAAGAAATTGAAAGTACGCAAATGTGATATCATATTCTCCGGCAGCTGCAACACTCGCCTGTATACCTATCAGAACCCGCGTCCTCGCCACCAGCATCGCTACCCGCATGCAATCAGCATTCCAGCTCCACAAGGGTTTGGCGAAACTCGAAGTCGCAGCTGTTGAGTAGTGGATCCCACATGATGTCTACCACCAACCATTACTCGGTACTGTGTCAGGGTTCACGTTCACCTCTGCTGCGAATTAACCGAGGCTTGTTTATTCTAATGAGGGTGTCGTCCAATAAACAAGCCGAAGATACATTGGCGAGCACAACGATCACGATCAGTTGAAGCTCTGCAAGACTGCGACCAATCAGATTGAATACGGAGTGGGGTCCGTCAAGGGGGCACTTGCTTCCACGGCTCTAGCCCTCGCCACCATTACCGCAGTCGCGGTCTCCTGTACAAAGTAGTGCAATGCATTCACCATGAGGATAGCACATTGCACATTTGCCCATGGTCGCTTGCTCGCTTGCTCACTGCTTCCACGCAGCACGCTTTCCAGAGATGGAAATGCTCTGCACAGGCTGAGCAAGCGAGGTGGGTATGCTCGTTGAGACAAGTGCGCAAGATTACAATCCATCCATCCACCCATCCATCCATCAATTCGTTTGCTTGGTCTTGCGAGTCGCTCGTGTCAATGGCGAACCTCGTACGGCATTGAGAAAAAGCCATCCATCGCAACCAATCTCCCACCCCATTCTCTCTTCCTAGCAGTCACTTCCCGTGACGAAAAAGACATGTACCACAAAGTCAGTAGCGCTGCCCTGGGGAACAATGCTGGTCTTCCAATCTGCATATTATACTCGAAATGTCTTAGCGTCAAATGATAGGATAGCGTGTTCCTCTTCCAGGAACAGAGATCGGCGATGCGATCTGAACCCTGAAACTCGTTACCGGCATTTCGTTTCGCTCTCAAGGGTAAGCAAATGCAATAATGACTGCCGAGTGTGAGTGTTGCAGTCGGCAAAGCAAAAGCGGGAGTGGGAGAGGGAGAGAAAGAGAAAAAAAGGTTCGGTCCAGTCTGCAGCCCGCCAGATTGCAAGTGCACCCATCACCATAGTCACGGAAAGTACGGTTGGGTGGAATTCTCCCTTCTGTGTTCCCCTGGAAGTGCTGGATTCGCAGGGATGCGTCGTGTCAGGCGCATTTCAAACCGGAGTAAAGCCTTTGCCACCACCACGACCACGATGTCCACCGCCGAGACGACGGGCAGAGGCGCGATTGGGGATGCTGTTGGTGGAATCCAGGCCCATTGAGAAGTTCATCATGGACCCGAAGCTCCCCCCGCCGCCGCCTCCGCCCTGTAGTGTATCATCGAGCTTGAAGCCTTCGCCGTCGTGCAGTACCGAAGACCACAATGATTCGACGGCTGTGGTCCACTCGCGTAGACGATGCAGGTGGTCCGTGGCGTTGCTCGTGCTGATGCTGTCGACGATCACTGTGCCGTTTTCCTGGTTGATTTTGGCATTGAGCTTCTTGTCGACTATCAGTACGCCGAGAATGTCTTGTACTTCGCTCACGGGGATTTTGATGTGCTTGGAAATGAATTGCAGAGAGAATCGTGTGTAAGGCGCTATCAGCTTGAGCACTGCTTTCGTGCGCATGTTGCGGCTGACTTCGTCGATATTCTCGGCGATGAATGGGTCGGCCAGTAGATCCTGGTTGTCCTTCAATATCGATTCATACCGATGAATGTCATCTCGTTGGTAGGCGTCCACGAGATCAGTCATGGCAGAAATGCGAGGGTCGTTCTTGTATGGCTTGGTCTCTTGTGAATCGAATGGATTAATGGTGGATTTCATGAGCATTGTGGTTAGAACCAGATACTTGAGCACTTGAATCCGTTGCATGGAGCCGGCTTCATCGTAGTTCTTGAAGGACTCGAAAAAGTCGCTCTGTGCTTCCTTCCAATTTTCTTCGCTCATGTGCATCTTTCCTCCGCACTCACGGATAATGCCTTGAACCTTAGGATGAGGAACCGCTGAGCGCACGGTCAATGCCTTCTGGTACAGGGACTTGAGGCGTTTGTTGTTTTTCATTTCAGCATACATCTGGATTTCCAGAGCATATGCTTCCAGCGAATATGTGCCCTTTCCTGGGTCATCTGTTCCATCTTCTTTCTGACATGCGGTGTGAATCTCCCTCACTTTGCTAGTCAGCTGATTGTAATCCTTCTTGTCAAGGTACAGCTTAGCCAGCTTGACATTTGTCTTGAGGGCCAACCGCTCATTGTTGGTGCTTTGAAAGGTCTCGAGGGTCAGAGAGTAGAACTCTTCCATGCATTTGTACGCGGTCTGTTCGGTGGCCACCTTCTCGATGTAGTCCAACATATTGTTAATACTCTTTTCGCTGTAATTTCTCGTGACGGCGGACTTGACGTAAGTGAGGAGTTCCTTGTAGTGGGAGACGGCATCGTCGAAGCGACCGAGTGCGAACTCCAACTTGATTGCTTGCTTGAGGCCCTTAAAGCCCCAATCGCCCTTCTCAGGTTCGAGAGTCGGTACGCCGAGAAATTCATCGACAGCGGCGGATGGATCGTCACCCTTCAGTTGCTTCGCATTGTAGTATTTGTTCTCAATGTCGACGTCACCAGTGGACCCGTCCTCGTCGTCTTCGTACTCAAAATCGTACCTGCGATTTAAGTTGTCAGTTCACTGGGAGATCAGTCGATAAGCGAGGGTTGTATTACTGCTCCGGGTCAGACTCCTGCATGAAATCATCGTCGTCTGACATGATGACGAAGAATGTGGTGTTGGTTTATTTGGTGCGCGCAGACCGGAGGGAGGATTGTGGTATGTGTGGGTGTATTGACATAAGGCGGTGTTGTGAACTGGAGAGTGCAAAGGTCAATGACGAGAACGCTAAAATGCCGGTTCACACGAAACAATGAATGAGGATATGAGGAAGAAAACAAAAAGAGAACCAGTCTATGTCGCGCAAGCCTGAGTAGGAGATGAGGCCGTACTGAGTAGAATGAAAATGCACCTAAGATAGAAACACTGCCTTCGTAACCAGCCTGAGCCTGAGCCTCGCCGGTAATTGCGGGGTAATCTGGGTCGCTCCTGCCTGCCAAACCACCTAGCGTTACTTCGCGCCTAAGTTTCTTATTTAGGCATTGAGTTCACTAACAGAATTCCCAACCTTAGGTAATCGTTCTTAACGGTTCAAGGCCTTCTTTGTTCGGTCTTCAACTCTGATTAGGAAATTTATGCGAATTCCAGGCTGGCAGTACATCACACTCCCCGGCAATCATATTCGAGAGCATTACACCCAATCGTTCACCTCTCAAAGTAACTAAACCGACCAAACACCCTCGACCTATCTTCCTTAACCAGCAACCAAGTCCGCAATTGCGGCATCCACGCCAACATGGGTGGCGACCTCAATCTCAAGAAATCATGGCATCCGGTGCTCATGAGCAACCAGAAAAAGGTGTGGGAAGAGGAACAAAAGGCTCTCGAAGAACGCAAAAAAATCGACCAGATCATGAAAGAGCGTGCAGAGGAACGTCAAATCCAAGAACTTGAAGACTTGCAGGCAGCGGCAGGTGGTGCGAAAAGACAGTCTCGTGTCGATTGGATGTATTCTGGTCCATCTACTGGAGAGGCCGGTACGACCGAGGAAATGGAAGGTTATCTATTGGGGAAGAGAAGGATTGATGGTCTCTTGAAAGGCACAGAAAATCAGAAGTTGGAGAAATCGGCTAAGGAAGATTCATTTTTGGCAGCGCAAAATGCAAACACTTTGAGGGACACTGCTATGAAAATACGTGAGGATCCCATGTTGGCTATCAAGAAGCAAGAGCAAGCGGCTTACGATGCCATGATGAACGACCCTGTCAAGCGCCGTTTGTTACTGAAAGCTGCTGGAAAGGTTGACGAACCAGAACGCGATCACAAACGAAGAAAACATCATCACTCTCGCCACCACCACCGCCACTCCAGAGACGATGGGGAACGAGATGAAGCCAGAGACAGACGCAGCCGCAGCCACCGCGATCGGGATGGAGGCAGGGACAGGCATAGGGACAAGGACAGGGAGAGGCGCAAGGATCGGGAGGAATTTTCAAGACACTACACTCGTCGCGACAAGGACGGCGATGGCTACGATCGCAGCGACCACAGAAGACGGAGGTCCAATACTTCTTCAGCCTCCAGATCACGCTCTCCGCCACGTCGCGAGGAGCGATCGCAGCGGTCCAGGTCTCCCTACAGAAGACGCGGATCCCTCTCAAGAGACGAGGACCGGAAACCGCGATCTCGTTCGCGATCATATTCTCCACCTCGAAACAATGGCCACAGCAATGGTGTCCGCAAGACGAAGAGTTGGCATACTTCAAGACCCGAACGACGAAGGTCACCCAGTCCAAGCGGGCAGCAAAACGGAGATGATCGGGCCGCTAAACTCGCAGCCATGCAGCAAGATGCCTCGGAGCTCGATCTCCAACGAGAACGGAGACTTGCAGATATCGCTGAACGAGATAGACAGCAGCATGAGCGCGATGAAGCCTCAAGAGCGAAGAATGCCAGATATGGCGGACGAGCAGACTTCGTCAACAGTTTCCACAAGAAAGCTGGCGATATGACTCTCAGTCAACGAATGGGAAGGGCTGGCGTGTCAAATCGAGAGGACGGTGATTGAGTGAAGCAGTACCGAGCATATACACTTTAATCCCAAATGATTCTCCATTTCATCTCAATGAGCGGTACAATCTCGGCGAGAATGTATGCTTGCATACCGAGTATGTCACTCGGATTGAGAGGGTGGCCCCTCGACCGTACTTCGGCTACTCCTTCCTCGGTCCCAATGTCCCGTGCCAAGAGATCTCTTATCAAGATTGACCAACGTACCCTGGCCTTATGACTCTGACTTTTGCATCCAGATCCATTCCAATTTATCTGTAAAAGCCCTGGCATTCCAATCTCTGTGTCACAGATTCTAGCCGCCAGCGGTGAAAACTCCTTCCATGGAACGGCCCGCGCGTGGATAAAGCAGAGTTATGTTGTTTTTACGTAGCCTTTTTGCCTTGACATCCTGTACTACAACGGGTGTTTGCCTCGAAATTTCATCCGTGGCGAGACACAAACACAAACACTGTTGGCCAACGATAGCCAGGTAAATAAGTCTTGATCATATGACATGCGCACTATCGTGACAGCGCCGACGTTGAATCACTGACCTTCTTCTTCTTCTTTTCACGAATTTCATTCTTCTGCTTCTCCTCTTCGCCACATATCTGTCTTGCTCGCGTAGTCGGGATATGGCCCCGGCTTTGGCCTCACTGATAACAATAGGCGAACACAAATACTACTTTTCCACCACATCCAGACCCGTTATCCTTCCACAGAATTTGATAACCAGACTCGCCTTCTTTGATCAAGAATATATTCCAACGACTTTGTTGCATTGGGACCAATCCGACTTTACTCCAAATGACCTCGAGTCGATCTGTCAGGGCTTTGAGAAGCAGGACGATGTGTGGACTCGCAGCTTCTTATCGGGTAAGTTTCTCGTCGACGTTAGCGAGGCCTTACATTGATTCGTCCCCTTTCCAGTCATTGTTCTCTTGCAACCACCCGAGATAGGAACTGGTGTTAGAACCAAACGCATTTTCTCCGTCGATTCATCAAAGTTGAACCTACCGCATGGTCCATATGTGGTAGAGAAGTCTACCGGCCATGTCTTGCCGGTCTTCAAATGTATGGCAGATAGCCACGAAGCCTTTGTGAGTGGACTGCTGCCGATATCGAAATCGAGGTCAACCTTCAGTGAGCTACCCGTAAGTCAAGTCGTGACATTCTCTAAAAGCCAGTCCAGCTGATAGGAGAGCAGACCAGGAATGGTATTCCTGTGCCTTCTAAGTTATACAGTCGTCAAAGTGATAGACCACTCACCGGATTGAGATTCGCCGTAAAGGACACGCTCGCCATACAAGGTCTGAGAACAGGGTTTGGCAATCAAGCCTGGCTCGAAACTTACCCACCAGAGAAGACAACGGCTCCCGCAATACAGATGCTCCTGGACGCTGGTGCGACATTGATCGGCAAACTGAAGCCCACCGAGTTTGCGGAAGGTGTCGACCCAACTGAATGGATTGACACCATCTGTCCATACAATCCGCGCGGAGATGGTTGTCAAAAGCCCTCCTCCTCGAGTACCGGAAGTGCCGTCGCTGCTGCGGCATATGACTGGGTGGATTTCACAATTGGCACCGACACAGGTGGTTCCATCAGACATCCTGCTGGCGTAAACGGCATTTTCGGTCAGAGACCTTCACACGGCCTCATAAGTCTGGAAGGTGTACTTGGCGCCACTGACCTTTTCAACACCGTTGGGATTTTCGCTAGAAATGTACAGACATTCTCTGATGTGGGTTCACACCTCGTCAGTCCTCGGAAACTTCCACAGCTGAAGCAACACGGTCGGAGATACAATCTGCTTTACCCGACTCGTGCTCCACAAACCCAGACACCTGACCAACATCACGGCGGTCAGCATCGTTGGTTTCCTCACCCGTCGGTGGACTCGGCATCTTGGACAGAGGCCGAGAAGCAGATTGAGGGAATGCTACTCCAGCTTGAATCCAAGCTCAACTGTAAGCGGATCCCATTCAACATCAATGAATTGTGGCGAGCCACACCTCCCTTGGGTCAACCCAGATCGCTCGATGAAGCAGTGGGCCACATTTATTCTGCAATCACCACAGCGTCTGCCATTCACGGAGGATTGGACAAATTTATATCCGACTTCCAGACCGCCAATAACGGCACATCCCCTAAGATATCTGAATTGGTCAGCAAGCGCCTCGATCATGGACGTTCTCTCAAACCTGCAAAGCTCGCCGAAGCCCTGGAGGCCATGCAAGCCTTCAGGACATGGACTGAGACAACGCTTTTCAGTTCCTACGACCAAGAAGCCACCACACTACTGGTCTTTCCACAATCATGCGGCCGGCCGGACTATCGCGACGATATCCCCGATCGTACCGTTCTCTTCAACGACACCTTTAGCATCTATTCGTTTGGTTATCTGGTGGGCTGTCCTGATTATACCGTGCCTGTAGCCGAGGTTCCATATTTTTCTACAGTCACAGGGCAGACCGAGTTTCTCCCTGTGTCCATCAGCCTGGTTGGAAGACCCGGTACCGACGTGGAGTTGTTCAGTCTCTTGCGACATTTGCATCAGGAAGGCGTTATTTCCGATGTATTGGCTGGTCCTAGACTTTTTGCGAGCGAGCACGGCGTTGCTAATGCGGCTTCTAAATAGATAGACTCTTTTTCTGACGCCCGGAGTGGATGATTATCTATTCCCACGACCAGTAGATTGGCTTGGAGTTGCGTTGTAGCCACTCGCCAGGCTTTCAATTTATTGTGTCTCTTTCTCCTGGCGGTTAACAATTTTACGAGCAATGGTTCCATCGAAGCCAGTAGTTTAGCTTTATCTACTTTGAATCTGAGCGAGAAGCTCTTTATTGATTGGTCGGCAATTTCATCGGTCATGATCCATTTTTCAATCACCGAAAGGGGCAAGGTGTGAGATAGACTTTGATGTCACGACGTCACAATCAATGCCCGGTATCCCACAATCTCCTGCTATCTACCAATCCCCCACAAAGCCTGGACCAAGGTTCAACGATGCTCTCCCGTTCAAGTTGCCGCCTGCTGCGACTTGGAGGCACTGCTGACATGATGGTGAACAGGGCTTGCTTGGGCCCGTTCGCTCATGCGAATGATGGCCCTGGTCTCCTCACTTTACTGGCCGGACATTCCTGTCTCGTGCCACAGCACACGTGGTGCTTTTTTGATATTTGATACATCTAGGCTCCTGTCCATCTTCAATACAACCCATCGTTATTGTGCCCATACATTCGAACAGTCACCCTGCATCTCCGTGATGGCGGTAGAAAAATAAGCCAGCGTGGGTGTACTCAAAGGTACTCGAACTGTGTACGATAAAGGATATTTAAACACACTGTAGTGTGTCTCGAGTTGTCGTGATTATGGATTCGACAGCCCGAGACACGGAGGTCTTATTGTCTCGTGCCGAGTCCATCCATGCTGACATCGATCTCTATTCCGACGGCAGCGACGCAGCAAAAGACTCCCTGGACGACCATGACAACATCAACGATGATGTGTCCGACGGCAATGCCAAGCCTCCATGTCTCTCTATCCACTCGCAGAAAGCACTGCTCGTAAACCGTGAGCTGGATGAGCAAGGCATGGGCCGATACCAATGGATGGTATTCTTCCTCTGCGGCTTTGGATACCTGCTTGACCTGCTCTGGGCGCAAGCGTTTGGCCTGGTGGTTAGCCCCATGCAGAGAGAATTCGGATTTGACGATACTCAGCTGGGGAATATCTTCACGGCATTTTCAATTGGACTGACGGCTGGTGCCTTGATATGGGGAGTGTTCGTGGATTTACCTACCGTGGGTCGCAAGGCTGCGTTCAACTATACCGTCTTGATGTCAACGGCATTTGGGATCTGTCTTGGGATTCCGGACAGCTATGGTGTGGTCATTGTGTTGACCGCCTTCACAGGTATTTCTTCCTTTCATCCTTTAGGTATACGGGAGTTCATCCTACTAACTTGCAGTACTCAGGTTTCGGCATCGGCGGAAACATCCCCATCGACACGACAATATGTCTCGAATGTCTCCCTCAGGATCGTCACTGGCTCCTTCCAGCCTTATCGATATTTCAGCCAGTGGGAGTAATCCTCTGCAGTGGTTTAGCATATGTTTTTATCCCAGCGTACTCCTGCGCGGAGAACTTGGTCTCATGCAATCGAGTGCGAGATGCGGACGCTGTCGGGGCCTGCTGTGGCAGGGCAGACAATCAAGGCTGGCGGTATCTCATGTTCACGATCGGCGCCATGACGTTTTCTGTTTTTGCGCTTCGCTTCCTAGTCTTTCGATTTCAAGAGTCCCCCAAGTTCCTCATCTCGAGTGGCCAAGACGAAAAGGCCATAGAAGTCTTGCAGTACATCGCCCGTTACAATCATCGAGAATGCCGGCTCACTTTGGAAAAGCTCATGGCCCTTGGTCATGAGCAAGATATAGCTTCTTTGCCCCCAAACGCCGCCGATGATATTGAATCACACGCCCTGCTCGACTCCCCAAACACCAGCAAGCGCCAATCCACCAAAATCAAACAAAAACTATACTCCGAGTTATCACGACTCCAACACCTCTTCTCGACGCCATCCATGACACGCCTCATCATCCTCGTCTGGATAATCTACGGCTTCGACTTCTGGGGCTTCACGATCGCAGGGTCCTTCCTGCCAACAATCCTCGCACGCAAGGGCCAATCCCTCGGCCTCTCCCTCACCGACACCTACCGCTCATACATCTACATCTACAGCTTAGGCATCCCCGGCGTCCTCGCCGGAACACTGATGTACACACGACGCCAGTACCGACGTCTGGCACTCGTCCTCTCCTCCGCCCTGTTCGCCACCTGCCTCTTCGCCTTCACCGCCGTGCACGACCACGCATCCTACATCGCCGTCAACGCCCTCGTGTACTTCTTCCAGAGCATGTTCAATGCCCTGCTGTATGCCTGGACGCCCGAGGCGTTTCCGCCCGAGGTGAGGGGCACCGCGTCCGGACTCGCGAGTTTCTGGGGCAGAATGTTCAGTATTGTTGCGCCCGTGGTCGCGACCAGGGTGTTGGCGAGAAGTCTTGATGGCGTGCTGTATCTCGCCGGCGCCAGTGTTTGGGTCTGCACGTTGGCCGTGCTGGCTGTCCCGGGGAGGTTCTTTAGCGGTCGCGATTATTAGGTCAGGTGGTTTGCTCTAAAATAGAATCTTGTAGATATCTGGGTTTCTGGTTGCTACTACCACTACTACTTCTCCTGCATAGTTTGCTTGTTTCCGAGACGGTTTCTGATTGAGAGGCTGAGGGTCACAATTAGGCAGCATTCATCCCTCTGGATGTACACATGTACGCTCGACGGAAATCGCTTATTGATACGAAGAGATGTTTTTGTTTATCTATATCCATTTCTCTCTGTTTTGGAGATAATCGTACATAGGTATGGTTAGAAAGCTTTCTTGTTCGCGAAGTGACTCGTGCGAACGCCATTTAACGAACAACCATTCCTTTTTCGGGAGGGCCGTTCAGTACTGCCTTGTATTCGGAAGATTAGCAATCATGGCCAAATTAGGCATTTGCAAGGCTGCACGTTAGTTGCATATGGTCGACGCGGCTAGAAGTATGCAAGAAGCCATGCAAGGCTCTCGGTTGCGGGTGTACGGCTGAGTACCTAGTGGCTACTGCAACAGGTTACAGCTATCCTCATCTTGGTCATCCCACTTCCCAAAATCGACCAGAAACTGCATTCAACGGCTAATCGGCACGATTAATATGTAGACTGTTCCACCGTTTTCGCAATCCTTGTCGTGGACCTTGGAATGTAAATTGCCAGGGGTCGGCATGAACTCGTCTGGATGAACTGCATCAATGGGTGGACGATATGGGTGTGAGTATGAATAGTGCAGCATTGCATTTTTACCGAAGTGCTCGTGTCGCCGGCTGCTCCATCGAATTGGGTATGGAATCACAACTCCTCAATTGAGAAAATGGTTGTTCATCTGAGAGTGGAGATTGCATGACTCGTTATCCGGTGACTTGCCGGCAGTTCCAGGGCATTTAAGAACGCGAGATTCAATGATCGTGTAATGGGTGTCACTGACGAATGTCGGGCTCTCAAGTCATGAGGTCGTCCTTTTCAGGTTCGATCCTCCGATTATCAAGCGGTGAATGGGGATGCCCGCAAGGTCCTCCGCTAACCAGGTCCTTGGTCTCTAGATGTTGTTTTTGGCCTTGAGAATGGCGACAGAGCGACGCGCACCATGTCAAGGTATATCGGAGCCCTGGAAGTACACGACAATGAAGGTGGGCCGGCCTGAAATCGGCTGTGTCTGAATCACATTGCTTCCGGTGTAAGCTTCTTCCTCCTCCTCCTCTTCTTCTTCTTCTTCTTCTTCTTCATATGGCCAGGCAAGTGCCGAGGCTTTCATTCAGCATAGTCAAAGTGGCTGAGAATTGCAATCGAGTCTGTAGGCGGATATCGCGAGTGTAATCATTGTTTGCAGTTGTAAGCCTTTGGCTGGTCAGTGGGAACATCAGCCATAGCAGGAAACTCTCTTGAACTTACATGGTCTTGTCTCTGTTCATTTTCTGCCAATATTTGACCATGGTCAGGTTTTTGACGATTTTATGTTCAAATCCATTCTGTTGTTTGGCAGTTTCGAGAAACTCGATCGTATTCTTGATTCGGAATGCACTGAAGGCCGTGGCAGGTTGTTCTCTGAAAGCCTCATTGATGATGTCTCGGACAGCGAATCGTGCTGGCTTTGAATATTGAACTGCTTGAAGGCTCGTTCGCATCAGCTTGCGATAAGCGTGGAGGACCTCCTCTTTACTCATCGAGGCATTGAGCCCAAGATAGTATTTGTCTTTCACGGAAAAGATGAACAGGCAGTTTCCAGAGCGCAGCTTCCGTCTTGCCCAAGCTCCGCTATGTGTATTTATGGTCGACCCTATCCTTATCATGATCCACCCTAACGCTAAGCGCAATTTATGCCAAGACCCAATCCAGATCGGTCTAGTCTCAAATCTCGTGTCTGGCCACTGGAAATCAAGTCAACAGCGCAGCCGCTTCGCTCCATCTGCTTTCCTTCTTCATCACAACCTCTTCTCGTTACTCCCATTGCACCGGCGCTTAGGCACTATTAGTACACAGGAACTCGAAGGTGCCAATATCTCGTGTTACTGTCGCTGAACTTGTTGCTCTTTGCTCCAGATTTATCTGCTGCATTTGAGCAAGAAGCTGACCCTTACTCGAGAGATTTCTGCTGCAGTCAGAGCTCAAAGTCACGTCCCGACTGCCTTATTCAAGTTGTGCCTGCAACCTGCTTTTTCCTTTCTGCAGTAGCCTGCTACCACTGCCACTGCCATCTATCCGGACACCGCTTTTCTTGCCCTTGTACGACCTTGTTGTTGAACTAATTTCTAGTTTACTTCGTCAGAACCATCTCGTTTTCCTTGCTTCATGTTACCACCCTGTCCCATTCTTGTCTAGGCGTAGGTCAGAGTGTCGTTGTCATGGCGCGTACGAAACCACCTGCCAGGAAGGCAGGCAATCGTGGTGCACAGGCGGCCAAAAATCGCAACAAACACAAGATGGTGCTCGATATAACCTCCAAGGACAAGGGAAAGCACTTACAAAGTGGCGTAAGAAAGACTGTCGCTGCTGCCAGTGGTACTGCTCACCCGCGTCACCAGATCGCCTTCAAGGCAGAGCCCCCTCCCGGTTACACTTTTATTCCCGCAGGAAATCCAGAGCTTACAGCGGCTCTCAAGGAGTTTTCTCGACAAGGAGATCATAAGATCTTTGCTGTCACGGTAAGCTTGATCTTATCAATCCCTCCCTATACTCCCACTAATCAAGTAGACCACCCCACATGCTGCTCGACATGAGCTTTCTAGAGAGGTACATCGAATCGGTTTTCATTTCCCTACTCAAGTCGTTTCCCAAGTGTGTAATTACTATGGTATTCGCCTCACAAGTGGAGGAAAGGTGATTGATGAATCCAAAGAGGACAAAATGTTCTCTCATGTATATTCCAAAGGGGGCCGACCCAAAGCAAATGATGAACCCAAGGACCAGATTACCATCAACACTGAGGCAAAACAAACCATCAAAGATTTATTTCCCAATATCCCGGACAAGGATCTATTCCAGATCATCAAGACTGCATTCCAATTAGGAGACAATAAAGTTGGCACTGCACAGGAAATCCCCCAAGTTCGACGAGCTCAGTTATCCGTTGTGGCACATATTCGACATGTCTACACTGACTATGATAGGCTGTTGAGGCAAGTGGCATATAATGATGCTCGACATACTGTGGAGCAGGCCACACTTGCCAAACTTGTCGAGTGGCGTGGTGATGATGATCAAGCGGACGAAGCCGCCAAGCATGCAGCCGCTGATGCTCTTCGCGAAGTTATTGTTATCTCTGACGAGGATGATAGCGACAGTGAAGGTTCTTATGAGCCAATTGCTCAGGCAGACCTACGAGTCGAAGAACTTCCTTCATCAGCCTATACCTCTGCTCCTGGCCGTCATATGACCCCTGATTCTGGAATTCGCTATCCGACATGGCATAATCGCAACCTTCCACAAGCCGTTCCCCATCACCGACCCACTCAGGACGAGGTTGCTCAACGCGACCTGAGTAGGTATGCTGTCTGGGACCAAGCTAAACAAGATTATCGTTCTAGTGTTGTTCAAAAGCCCCCAACGGTTCTGGAGAGAATCTATGAACCGGAAATACTCCCACGATCTCGTGTTCTTGTACCCCTTGACCCTCCAGTCACCCATTCTTCGCCACATGTCCTGCGAACTCCTATTTCATCCACTACAGCCACTCGAATTGAATATGAGGTAAGTCTGACGTTTTTTCATGCTCAAGCATTCGCTACCTTTGCAGAATCTTGTCCCAATGGTAGAGACTAACGACTTGCAGCACCGCCCAGTACGAACATCCAATGCCCCTTCATTCATCCAGGACCATAATGGTGTTCTGTATGAACGAGTTGTACGAGAACATGTACCAGAGAAAAGCTCTCAACGTTTTGCCAACTCGTCGCCTCTTCACCCATCTGCTGTTACCTTGGTAAGGACACGACCTTCATCTCCTGAAGATGTCTATTATCGTGGAAATCGGCACAACGCCAACCTTCATGACGATGGTCATAATATTCTACCTTCAATTGAAGGAAGTGATGGGCTTCCCTTGTCTCCACGAGAACGTCGTGTTGCCTTTGACAGGAGTTCCCAACCCCGTGACACGCATGACCAGATTCATGAACGTCGGAATCTCCGAGATCCGATGGTCGTTGAGTACCCACAGGGGAACGACTTTGCACCCAGACGTCGGCTCGTGGAACAAGATGATCATCGTCGCCCCATTCAGCAGCATCACACACTCAGAGAAGCCTCTCCTGTGAGATATGCCGAGCCTATTTATCGTTCGCGAGACGAACCAGATCCTCCTCGGTTCGAGACTCTTCCCGCAAAACATCTTGGCGCTCCAGCAAGCCCTCGACTGTTGGCTGAGAGATACACTGAGCGCAATCTAGTACATGATTTCCGTAACTTACCTTACAGCAGCACGAATGTTGATAGAGCCACATTTGTTGCGGATGACTCACATGTGAATGGGCCTTATCCACGAAGTCTTGCCCCGAAACACGAGTATGGTATTGGCCGTACCGCACTTCCCTCTGCAAGATTGCCCCAGGATGTACCTGAGCAGCGACCGTTGCAGTACGGGACCCGCACCTATGAGGTAGCGTTTGAATCACGGCCTTACGACAACCATGTTGCGAGGGAACGAAACATGGCTGTTGGTAGAGAGTATGTGCAACCCTTTCCCCAAGAAACGGGTGTGTGTTATTCCTATCCGGCCGGAACCATTGTGCGTGAGGCCCTCGAACCACTTCCACGCCAGCAAGCGGTACACTATGAGTATGCGCCAGGTCCAGCTCGGTCCCATGCTCTTCCCAGTTTTCAGTGATTGTGAGTTGATCTGAACAAAGTGTCCTGTCACGGTAAGAGCTCAGGACATGCCATGAATCCATGCTACCTCTTTCCTTTTAGAAAGTCCATTACTAACATTATTTTAGGATGGAGTTCAAACTTGAGAAATTGCTTTTTATCTTTGATCGATAAATGTTGGAGTTCCATCTCCTGGCATTCGCATAGCGAGGAGGTCGCATTTTTACCACGGGAATAGCGATGGTGTTGGACGTTGGTGTTTACTGGCTTGTTTGGAGGACGCTGTCATAGAAGATACCCAACTTTACGTTTAGCGAGTGACGAATGATGATGGATCTCAGGCTGAGGCTCATAATCTGTGGGAGTGTCCTCATTGTGAACGTCAGAATTGCACAGATTGATCAATTCCAGCGCAGGTCTGGTTTCTCCTGGAGAGATCTCGGATACCTCGAGTGTCTACACAATCAATACAGATACTCGTTGTTGTTCAAATGAATAGTTATCTATTGACTCCCTAGTGATTTATGCTATCATGTCCCACGCCACATCCGCAGGTCGTTTATCCTTGTTGCTTTTATCTGATGCATGCCACAGCGCTCCTGATCTAGATGGGCTGAGGGACACCGTCGGCCTCGCCAGAATTGACCGTCTTGCCAGTCTTCTTGATCTTCTCCAGCACAGTCTCGTAGGACAATGAGTCTTCGGCCGTGATATCGGCGGTCTGTGTTTCGAGGGAGACATTGTACTCCTTGACGCCTGTATGTATGAGATCGTCAGCCAATGGGGACATCATTCATGAAAATTGGCAAGGGAAAGAGCGATAGGCGTCGGATGGCTGCGCTGCTGCTGCTGCGTCGTGCTGAGACCGAGCTGGGGTGCAGCGCAGTGCCAGTGCGAAGAATGTGGTTGCGGCGAACTTACCATCCAGTTTCTTGAGCACGCGCTCCACGGCCCCGGAACAGCCGCCGCAGCTCATGCTGACGTTGAACTTGTAGTGGTGTCCAGACATGTTTTGGTGGATGAGGTGGTGGTGTTGGTGGTGGAGGAGGATTGGTAATGGAGAGGGAGACTACTGAGTCGGAAGATCAGGGTGTGGGCGCGGTGCGGGCACGCCTATTATTATTGTATTGCGAACGCGAGTGGAACAAAGAAGCTGTTATAGTTTCGGAGTCCGATGGGACAAAATAAGACAATATGGTTATGGGAGGAGAGAAATGTTGTTGAGACGAGGAGAGTGAGTGAGTGAGACGTAGTAATATAATATCAGCACGATTGGGTGGTAGTAAGGCGAGGCTGTTGCGGCGGAACGAAGACAAACAAGTGCGGTGTGCAAAGCGCGGGGCTGATATATATGGACGGGGAGTGATGAATTTGTAAGAATATGAATACTAAACAGAGCGTACGTATATAGGTACTTATGGCACGCGGCTGGCTACCTAACCTACCTAACCTACTCTGTAAGATGAGTGCTTCCATCGAAATTGGCATTTGAAGCATGGGCATGAGAAATGTGCTCAATCAGCCCTTGAAAGTTCGAAACTCGGTCTGAAGAATGTGCTCATTGTTCAGTTGGCGTCTCAAAATAAGTCGGTGTGGCTGTCCCTCAAGTTGCGCATTGGTAAGCCACAGACGGTTTATTTGATAGGGGGTGAGATGACACCGTTTGGGGTCCCAAATTGCGTGATTCCAGAATATCTGGCTGAGGATCCAGGCTGCCCAGAGTTCAGGCCATGGCGCTGTCACTTAAAGCAAAGACGAACCGCCGCCTCTTGGGGCTTCCTCGTTCCAGGTCCTGGTCTCAGGCTCTCTAGGCCCAAACGCCCCTGGAACGGATGTGGCAATTTGAGAGAGGCTCAAACCGTCCACCAAGGTCTCCCACATCTCACCTCACTGGCTGGGCTGGGCAAGACTGACTTCAGGGCGACCTTCTTGTCGAGCTTGAATATCGATACATGATTTCTACAAGGCTGACTCTGGATCTGGCTAACAGTACATCGCTCTCAAACCCCCAGTTAATTCTGTTTGTACTTCAACGACATGTTATGTGATGACTGCCGACATTTAATTCAACAAGCTGATCACGAGTTTCATCTTGCACATCCTCCTTCACCAGTCAAACAAGAAGTCTCCACTAAAGACTTTTTGAGTTCTGTTGCTGTCAATTGCTATCTCTGCACAAGGCTACATACAGACCTCGGGGAGCAAAAATGGAAATACCTTCGTTCCGCGGACTTTTCCAAGGCGCACCTCATCGCGTTTGACAAGTCTGCTCATTGTCATGTCTCCAACAATCACATCCTAGTAAGGTTGGGTTGTAAATTGACGCCATTCTCTGGAATCGATCATGCCGGAGAACTTATCTTGGGAAAGAGCAATTCGTATGGCTATCTGCAGGTAGCCCTTCTACCACGCAACATTCAAAGGTTGGAATTACTTTCTTCTTGTGCACTGTTGTTGCCTTGTTACTACTTCTCATGACCATATCCGAGTTCACGTATCACGAGTATCTGACGGATCCCAAGTTTGGCCATTCCTGCTCCTGCTGTCGCTGCCAAAAATGCACTATCAACTTCAGATGCCACCGTGTTTTCCTTGATTGGCCGTTGGCTCAGCGTGTGCTTGGGTTCATCCGACCACGAATTGTGTCGCCAGCACTCCGAGCAAGGGAAGGTATATCCCACGCGGCTGATCGATGTTGAACCTCCAGGATTGCCACCTAATTTCTGGAGGCTGGTTGAGGTGCAACACGAATCCATCACTGGCCATTTTATGACACTGTCCCATAGATGGGGCTCAGGTAACATCAAACTTGAGCGCAGGACCCAGCACAAATTGCTAGATGGGATGCCTTTGTCAATTCTACCTGGCACTTATCAAGACGCTATCAAGGTGGTCAAGACTTTGCACGTGCGATATCTTTGGATTGATTCGATATGTTTGTATCCACCTAACAAATCTGTTGTACTATATCTCTGACCATATGAGAAGGTATCTTCCAAGATGAACGCACAGACATTCAGAAAGAGGCCACTCGAATGGCAGAAGTCTACGGTAACGCCATTTGCAACATTTCTGCTCTCTCAGGCAAAGATGACGGGCTTTTCTGTGACAGAATCCCCGCGACAATGAACTGCGACTCCGTCATCCTAGATCAAACCGCCTTTCAGCTCAATACGTCGTATCTCATCAATGACTTCCAGCTTTGGAGAGGTGAGCTTATTCACATGCCCTTGACCACGCGAGGTTGGGTCTTGCAAGAAGAAGTACTTGCTCTTCGTACTATCTATTTTGGCACTCGACAAGTTCTATGGAACTGTGTATCCGCCCGGGCATGCGAGACTTATCCGGCAATGCATAAAAAACCCTCGGCAGAAGCTGAAGTCCCACATCATGACAAGGAAATATTTCTTCGTGACGACGAGCTCCAACCGATCACGTCTTGGCTGTCCCTTGTCAAGACACAATCGGAGAGCATGCGCATCGGAGGCCTTGACCGCAATGAAGTGGATCAAGAAAAATTATATCGTATTTGGACTGATTTTGTGTCTCATTACTCCCTTCGTCAATTGACGTTTCCCATAGACAAATTGCTCGCCATTGCTGGTGTTTCCAAATTGTTTGGGACTGTCATGAGAGACGATTTTGTCGCGGGACTTTGGCGCCAGCATCTTATAGAGGGTTTGCTATGGTCTATTCGTGCAAATACGAGAACCGCCGATCCATCAGAATATAGGGCCCCAACCTGGTCATGGGCGTCAAAGGAAGGTTATGTCATGTATGCCGAGCCCTTCAAAGTATCCTGGATTGTCGCAAGGCATCTGGATGTGCGGTGCAATGTGGCAGCTAACGACCCATACGGACCAGCAGAAGAATTTGGCATTGTTTCCTCAGGCAGTATGACCCTCCAAGCGCCTCTCATACTTCTGAAACTTGACGAGAATCGATCCTGGACTGTACCCACGGGAAAGAGTCAGTTACCTCGACTAATGATCCGGCTTGATTCTACCAAAAACATGCCTGCCGAAGGAAAATACGTAGGTGCAATCATCCGGACGACAGCTTACCACCTCACGGATGCACCATCTGACAATCGTCGGAAGGCCCTCCTTGCTGCTCAAGGCATCATCCTCAAATCTACCGGCGAGCTGGCTAAGAACCACGATCAGGATCTTTCCAGTGAACCAACATATTCATGGAATAGGATCGGCTACTTCGCGCTCGAAGATAAGAAGTCCGGAAAACTAAAACCAAAATGGCTTCCTGCGGCGGAGGGAGCGAGGATTTTCCCATCGCCAGTCAAGAATGTTGGTGATGTCGACGTTTTCGATTTCGAGAGTTCGGCGTCCGCCATGAGTGTCGTGGAAATCTACTAGCATCGCGTGGACATGATTCAGGTCCTGAGGTCACTTGGTCCAAGTCATGATAGGGCAGATCCATGTATCCGAGCACTATGATGGGCGATTTAGACGCAGTCATCTTCGACCAACACAGCGCTTTATTCTTCGTATTGACTATCATGCTAGAATCATCAATCATGTTTCTCTTGACAATGGGACGGAGTTTCACCCCCTGTATACTCTCAGTCGATTATCGAGAAACCCTTTGTACAGCCACCTGTATTGGACTGATCTACACATCCAACTCCGTATCCCTCTCCACACCTCCTTTCTGTGCCTCCCAAACTGCATCCCAAACCTGGATCCCACGCTCCCACAACTCGTCGACACGATCGTCATGTATCCTCCCTTGGGCATCCAACCACCTCAAACGCTCCTCGCTCGCACCCTCATCCGCCCCGCCCCAGTTAACCTCTCTGCCATACAAGAAGTCTCCAAACGGCGCGAGAAACGCCTTCACTACTTCTTTATCCTCGGGCGTGAAATCCGCCCGCCACCCCGACACCCACCAGATCGGCATGTCTCCAGCATGACACACCTTGACCTCCGGCTTCAGCCACGCATCGAGCGCCGCAGCGCGCCACGAGATACGGTACCGAAGCACTCGATTCGACGGCAAGGCTTTGACCCTGGGATTCTCTTGCGGTGGATTCAGCAGAATGCGCGTCATGCCGCGCAGCGACGCGTGCACCTGCCCGTCGGAGACGATCTGGCTGAACACCTCTGCGTAGGCGGCGGGCGTGGCGGCGGGGGAGTCCGGCGCGGGGATGTCGTAGAGCTTGACCAGCGCGTCGCACACGGCCTGCGGGTAGTAGTTTGCCAGCTGGACGTGCAGGCCCGCGCGTGTGGACGGCGGGTTGACGAGCTTGTACAGCTCCTTTTCGTCGCTGACTTCGCCGAGCAGGACCGAGACGCCGGCGTCGAAGAGCCGCGTCGTGAAGGCGCCCGAGTGCAGCGCGGAGAGGAACGTGGACGGGATGAATGCGTTGTCGGTGCTGGAGCGGAAGGTGTGGATTTTCAGCTTGGAAATGGCGGCGACCAAGTCCTCGGATGGGATTTTGCGCAGCCCGGCCAGCTTTTCTCGCGCGCTGCCGGTCGTCGGGATGGAGAAGATGGTGCACAGGTCGTTGAATTGCGTGGTCAGCACGGGCGCCGTCGTGCTGTTGGGCTGGATTGCTACCGCGTTGGACCAGAGGTAGACGCGGCGGATCAGGCGCTGTGATGGTGGGAGGAGCGTGTCGTAATTGAGCTGGAAGAAGGTCGAGTTGGCGCCTGCTGAGAGTCCGCCGACCGTGATGTTCTTCGGGTCGCCTCCGAAACATGAAATGTATTTCGCCGTCCACTCCAGTGCGGCGCGCTGATCCCACAGGCCGTAGTTCGACGCTGAAGCATCTTCCTGCAGCGATGCCAGGTCTTCACCCGCGAGGAACCCAAACAGGTTCAGTCGGTAAGTCGGCGCCACGATGATCCGGGCCGTCGTGTCGGCGAGCAGGTCGTATGGGTTATGGTCGTCCTGCTGCAGCGCATCTCCAATCTGGAGCCAGCCTCCATGGATGTGGAATTGGACGGGCCAGCCGCCCTCCGGCGCCGCTGAGGCTGGAACCCAGATGTTGACGTACAGGCAGTCCTCGTCTTGGACGTTCGGGATCGGTGGCGCGGCATTGGGGTTGTCGACTTTCGCGTGCGTGTGGTCGTACTCGGGCTGTGGACAGATGGGTCCGAAGTCCGTGTAGTCACCTGGATGGTCTGGGTTTTTGGCATCGTTGAATGTGAAGTCCTTGGGAAGTGGTTGCGGGCGGCGCCACCGTAAATCGTCTACTGGTGGGAGAGCATAAGGGACCTTGGTGAAGCGGTAGAGGATCGGCTTGCCGCTGAGATCTCGTTCTTCAATGCCTTCGAGATTGCCGTGTGGTGTCTTGAGAGTGTAAGGGTGACCTGTTGATAGTGCTGGTCGCATTATGGATTATTTATTTAGATACCTGCTGGGTTCGAACTTGGGTAGAGACCTTTTATTTCTATATGTACAGGGCAATTGCAAGATTGCTCGACTTCTTCGTCAACACTCTATATACAGAAAACGGAAAGAATCTTAATGTAAATTGAACCTACCCGATCATTTCACCTCGAGTAGTCGGAGATGTCCTATGTTCAAGAGAAATGGCGGAATTGCTAGAACATGAGGAGTGAACTCTATTGCGCACCCCGGGGATTCAATTATACCCGGGCCAATGAACAATGATATCGTCTGACGTTGATTCAAGCCAGAAGGTATGAGTAATTTGTGGAGATATCATTTTTATAATCGGGTCATTCCAGATGCGTTTCTGAGCCGCCTTATCCGGGGTCAGCCTCATGTCCGGGATCTGGGCGGAAACAACCGCGGCATGGAGCATAGCCGAGACATAAATGTCCCATAGAGGAATTTGAGTTCAGACGACCTCTAGATGGTGAACGCTGTCTTCAACTCACATATCCTCATCGGAGTCTTCTCTCTCCAAATCGACTGATGCTGCATCATTGGCCATGCCATAAAGCCTTTCTTCTTCGGCTGCCAACAAGGGGGCCCTTTCTTTTGGATGTCTTGAGAAATGCCCAACAAGACTCATAACGAATGGCGAAAAGCCATGGACCATGATGGAGCATAGAACGATGAAACATACCACTGGGTAAACGGTCTCCACGGCCACATTGTTTGGAGAGTCTTTTGGTGGACGTGGAAGAGGCAAAGAAGTTCCGGTTTCGAGTCTGGCCCGGGCCTCGATGGCAAGAAATAGAGCTCCTACTCCCATGGGACCAAAGTGGCCAGTAAACAAGGATTCATGGTAGGTGTGTAGATCCGGAACAAGTCTGGTAATGGCAAGCATTACCGGCAATCGTCTCAGTGCAAGGATCAGGAAAGCACAAAGTAGCATCTTGCCGACGCCTAGATTGTTGTGAAAGAGTTCCCACGGTATGATCGAACCAAAATAAACGAAGAATGCCGAGTTGAGCATAAGATCCAGTATACTGGGTAGCTTCATCCTTGCGGTGCGTTTGGAGAACCAACCATCCCAGCAAAAGGATGAACCTGCGGTAAAACAGACCAGAAAGTCATCCAGTCCCAACGTACTGCCTACTGCAACACAGAAGATGGCAAGGAGAAAGTAAAACACGAAAAGAGTGGATTCCTGGACGAAGCCATTAGCCTCGCTATAGCGAAGCAGCTTGTTTGCAGTCAAGCCGATGACGATGCCAATAGCAATGCCGAAGAGACACTGCCATATGAGGAGGTTAGTAAACCAGTCTTTAACTCCTTCGCCAGCTGAGGTTGCCAGTGATGCATATAATGCGGCATATAAGAACGGAAAGGCTGTGCCGTCGTTACAGCCTGACTCTGCAGTCAATAGATGGCGGACTCGTTTGGGAATTCTTTGTGAAAATCTCGTTTCCGCAATGACACTTGCCGACAAGACAGGATCTGTCGGAGTGAGGCAGGCTGCCACGATCAATGCGTTAAGCCAAGTGGTATTGAGCACGAGGTATATGATGAGGGCTGATATCATCCACCCAGCAATCATATTAGGCCCAAGGAGAAGGGCAATACTCTTCCAGTGGCATTTGACATATTTTGCCGGCAGCTCAATGCCAACTGCGAAACATTGTACGCCAGTGATGACTCGAGCGAGTTCCTGGGTGATGTTGTCTTCCCAACCCCATTGAGTGATTGGGTCGAGGATCGTCGCACCTTTGGGACCAAATGCAATTCCTGCCAAGGTTGCCAAAGGTGGCTCTGATAGATGTGCTCTGTTTCGAATCAGATCGGAAAATAGTGCATAAAGAATGAGGAAAAATGAGAGCAGTAAATATGTGAGATGAGGTGATGTGGGTTCGATCTCTGGCCAGCTCATATTGATAGCATAAATAATCGACGGCTAGCAACAGATATTGATGTATATCCGTGAGCAGTATATTTCAGGTTAATACCTTGTCTAGACCTCGTAAAGAGGTATGCGGTGATGAGGTAGTTGAGTTTTCAGTTAAATCGTCATTGGTCCACTTGATAATGCGTCACCACTTCTGTATTGATACGTGCGTCCAGCCTTTTATCGAACCGTCCAGTGCCTGTGCTCATCGAGGATCAGCCGCGCCAAGCCCGAGGGGGTTGCCTAAACGCTTTCGCTTGGAGCCTCGACGTCACGGGGCTCTATTTTAAGCCTGTAAACTGTACGGATCGCCTGAGGCTTCTGCACTTGTTGCATACCCTTTGCGTTGGGGACTGCAGCAAGCCGTCCCTCGTTACGGGCACGACAGGGATCACTAATATCCCTTTCGCTACCATAGTGCCCAGGTGTGGACAAAGCGTATGCAAATCAGTCACCTTAACTTGAGAAACAATGATTCTTCTGAGCTGGTGTAGTACATCTGTATTGGACATGTGTGGTGGGAAGAATCCACTTGTCAGGTTCGTCGTCGAAACGGTCTGGAATGGTCCTGGACGTTGATTGACATGTACTCGATACTAAGATCGCCAATCGATTTCTGGATTTCCGCGTCAAGCTGTCTGAAAGAACGTTGAGCACTTTGATGTGAACGTAAAGATAGTGATCATTGGTCCTTTTGCCGACCGATCACAGTGCATGTTGGAATCAGGCATATGATCGGCATATTGCTGAGAAATCTGGTTCAGCATCTTTGACATCTCACGAGGCAAATCTAAGGTACAAGTGTATCAGTTGCTTCAGGGAAATTTTACCATTCATGTTTTTGTGATCAAAGGACCCGTCATTGTATGGAATGAGAGAACAGCATAAAGCACATCTCGAGCCCAATGACCGACGAGACTGGAATTGCTTCGGAGGGCTGCTGCCCAACCGACGAGGCAGTCCACTTGGCCGGGTTTTCTGATTGATACATGACTGGCGAGTGGATCACAATTTGAGACGACAAACACCACTGTAGCAAATTGACGATGATAAAGATCCGTTTGTTTTAGAACCCCATACAGTGCTGGCAAGGAGTTTTTGTGAGAAATGGATGAATCGTAGGTGTTCATTCAATTCAGAACACATTGAATGGAAAGGCGGAACCTTGAATGTTAACATACTTGGCCAGAACCTGGAGTTTGGTGGCGCTATCTCCTGGTTGCAAGTGCCTAATCAGAGGGTCGAGGGAGCCGAGGGGGGCCCGGAGAGAAGGGGATGACCTAAAACGCCGGTGTCCATACTGCCTATCCACAAGGCAAACACTTTGCTTGATTGCAAACCAGAATTGTGCAGATGGGAGGGGCGCGTAGGGGAGAAAGGAGCCAAGCCCCGGCGTCGGAAATGGTGAAGTTGCAGTTCTTTGCTGGCAGTCCCAAGTGCCAGTGGGCCAACAACACGGAAGCGACGGTGCCCACCTACTACCTAAGTCCACCACCGAGGCGACCTACATTGGACCTAACCGCTACTGCCCACGGCCCCAGCTCCCAGAGGCAGTAGTTCACTGAGTGCCACTGCCACTGCCACCGCTACTGCTACTGCTACCGCTCTCGCCCTTTTGCTGGCACCTCCCCTTCCCTGCGCCTGCGCCTTTCCAGTAGTACTGTGGTAGTTAATCCACCTGACTCTGACCTCTACTTCCTCTCTTGTTCTTATCCCTCAACCCCCCTCCTCTTGACAACCTCAACCATCCCATCCCAACCGGGTCTGTGTCGACAAACAACCTCAAGACCGGTGGGCGTCGACTCACTTGTCACTTCAGGCCTTTGATCCCTCTCGTTTCCATCTTTCAAATCAAGGTTAGTCATCTTCTTACAGCTTTCCGTGTTACCGCTCCGGAATTGCCTATGCCCAGCCCACACCGTCCATTGTCAACCTCACTTGCACCTCGGCCAACGGCCTTCTACTTCTCTCTTCCATCATCCTCTTCCTCTCTGCACTTCCACAACTCAAGTGCTTGGGAGGGACCATCACGGCTAGAGCCTGCCTGTGCAGCCGTTTACTCACAATTCTCCGTGACATTGCTGATCCTTTTGAAACCAGGCTGAGATCAACCTCACCCTCTCTTCCTTTCACCACCCTTCGAAAAACACCTCAAATCACCTCAAATCAACATCCGTATCACCCAAAAATCATTTGCAGCTACATTGCTGCCCACCTCGAGTCAGCATGACGACAATGGTACGTAACAATCCGCCTTGGATGGAGTTTTCACAAGTCTTGAGGGGTTAGCGAGACACGCTGGGACATGACAAGCGTCGAATCCTTCCAGTCTACACGGGGTACACATTACGGATAGAGGCTAACTGTGCTCTTCAGGATCTGCGTGTTGGTAACAAGTACCGTATTGGACGAAAGATCGGCAGTGGCTCCTTTGGTGACATCTACTTGGGTACTAATATCATCTCGGGCGAGGAGATTGCCATCAAACTCGAATCAGTCAAAGCCAAACACCCCCAGCTTGAGTATGAAGCCCGTGTCTACAAGTCTCTTGCTGGAGGTGTTGGTATTCCATTCGTCCGTTGGTTCGGTACTGAATGTGACTACAACGCCATGGTTCTCGATCTTCTCGGCCCCAGCTTGGAAGATCTCTTCAACTTCTGCAATCGAAAATTCTCCCTCAAGACTGTTCTCCTTCTGGCCGATCAACTCATTTCCCGAATCGAGTACATTCACGCCAAGTCTTTCATCCACCGTGATATCAAGCCCGACAATTTCCTCATGGGAATCGGAAAGCGAGGAAATCAGGTCAACGTTATTGACTTTGGTCTCGCCAAGAAGTACCGTGACCCCAAGACTCATTTCCACATCCCATACCGTGAGAACAAGAACTTGACCGGGACGGCTCGTTATGCCTCTATCAACACCCATCTCGGCGTTGAACAATCTCGACGTGACGACATGGAGTCTCTTGGATATGTCATGCTCTATTTCTGTCGTGGCTCACTTCCATGGCAAGGGCTCAAAGCTGCTACCAAGAAGCAGAAGTATGATCGAATCATGGAGAAGAAGATGACCACTCCAACCGAGGTGCTCTGCCGTGGTTTCCCCAACGAGTTCGCCATCTACCTCAACTACACTCGCTCTCTCCGTTTCGATGACAAGCCAGACTATTCCTATCTCAGAAAGATTTTCCGCGATTTGTTTGTCCGAGAATCATTCCAGTATGATTACGTCTTTGACTGGACTGTCTACAAATACCAAAAGAACGCCCAAGCCATTGCCCAGGCTGCTGGAAATCAACCTGCTCAAGAAGAAGAGGAGAAACAACCCCGACGTGGTGGTACTGCCGCTGCGACCGGGGCCCCTACTCCGCAAAACACTTCTCAAGCCGGCAAGCCAGCAGCCATTTCCAGCTCTCGCCGCAAGTTGATCGACCGCGGCAATGGCAACGACCAAGGAGGAAGTGACAGGATGTGAGTACTGAAACCTTCGGTTCCGTGTAAGGGATCTCCTCTGCGTTCTGCTTCGGTTTGCGTAGAGGGTTGAAATAGCATCTGACTAATACTCTAGTCTTCGACGTTAGGCTTCGTTCCGGCACGAGGATAACGACCGGCAACGGCGATTATCGTTGAAAAGGAATGACGGCTACGTGTTCTCGACGTTGAACTCGTTTCTTCAAATCTTCGAAGACTCTTGTCTTCACACAACAAACCATGGGAATGTCGGATCCCGCGCGGGGTTTGCTCTAGCACATGGCAAATCCGGAATGGGATATGTGGAACGCAGACTTGATCTGAATGGCTCTCAACTCAAGACCTCATGCAACAATTGACGACCACCAATGACTTATGGGGATCGATCCAACCACGCTTCAAATGCGTGATGCTAGCATGCAACATCAGATAACAACGAAAGTTTAGCGACATAACGACAACATGGCTTAGACAATGCTGTCCACCACTACAGATCTGATACCAAGGATATTATATCCAATTTTCGGACTGTACATCATCAAAGTCGATCATCGACTACAACAACACCACTCAGAATCACCACCGACCAGCCCCAAACACTCTACTACACGTTTTCATTTTTGTTTCTGGCTTCCATCGATCGAAACACGCTTATCACCAAAGTAGAAGTACTGGGCACGGGGAGAGAAGCACACGCTTGAAGTATGTCGACTTGTGGGGGAGAGGTTGGCAAGACGAATACAGACCATGGAAAGCTATGACTTCCTGTCACTATCTCGCAGGGACAATACACATGGGTTTGGTACCTGGCGAAGGAACTGTTAAGGGCAGCTTCCGGGGAGGTTTGTGACCAGTTACTTCTGTTGCTTGGGATGGCAACGTAATTTAATGACTTCCAGGCGAGAGAGTCTTGAACTCAGCTAGCTTAGTCAATCATGATATCAATGTGCTCAAAACTCTGTGTCTCGTACTGTTCTTATGGGCAGTCGGTACCTCGTAGTGCCTATTACTGACTGTGAGATAGAGTCGAGCACAAAATCACCCATGGCCTGACCACATCGGTGGCGTTCAGAGAACCCCACAAATCTTGAAAGGATTAGTCGACCTCGTGTCACAGCCTGAGGTTGTCCCACGCTTCCAACTTGATGATTACCAGCCACTTCAACACGAGCAGCACAGGTGGGGATGGAAGCTTGACGCAACCACAGGTTGGACGAAGAGGGGATGGCAAGGGTGCGATTGTTCCGTACTTCCAGACCCGTGGAACCTCACCGTTCTCGCACGAGTTGTTTAATATACTACGAAGCAGTAATCCAGTACCCGCCCGGGTCGAATTCCTGAGGTTGGACAACAACCAAACCATTTGAAGCGTCTGGCCGTGTTTCAGTGCTGACAACCGAAATCGTTGGCAGCTCCCATGAGCAAGCCAATGAGCAAGCCAATGAGCATCCCAGTCTCAGACTTAAGCGGCAAGCTTACTTGTACTTTACCATCGCAGCTTGCCCTGCCCTCCAAAGGATAATCACGAAGAAGACTGGCAGATGTCGTTTGAGAAAGTCAGGAAATGATCCGCAACTTTAGTTACGGCCTGGCCTGGCTTTGCTGGCTGGCTGATGGTCCGGCTGAAGCTCCCCTTCCCTTTCCCGAGGACCGGACACAAGCACAGTCGCTTACCAATTTCCAAACTGCCTTCGTTAGTGTTAGTTCTTGTAGTTCAAGTTTACTTAGCAGTCGTAGCTTGTAGTCTGGCATGTCCTGTGCCAGCCAGTTCAGTGGGTGGTGTCGGTGACGTGAGAGCGACGTATGCCATTCCACATCCACACCGACCCTTCCCCCAACTCACTCCCGACTCCATCTGATCTGAACCTGAGCTATCTACCTTCGCTGTCGTAAATTCATCCCATTGCGGTATTGACTCGATTCTTATCGGTATACCTTCACCTACCGTTGTTGTATGTCCCTGTCTGCTCTTTAGGTGTCTAACTCCTCTCTACCAATTTATGGCGCTCAGTTCCCACCCACACAGTGTTTCTGACCAAAATTGGCATACAGGTCGAGCTGCCAGTCAGCAGTGTATATTCCATCCGGCATAGGCATCGACAACTGTCGGTGATATCAAGTGAGTCTATACCTTTTATTTAAATCCCCCTTATGATTTCCCAATCCTTGCCTTTCACGGGGCGAGCCGGGCTGGGTTGCTTTCTGCGGATGTTACGCCCATTCATCCCCTGGAGCATGGAGAAGACTTCCGGGCTGCTATATATGATGGATAGCCCGGCCTTGACCTTGCTTTCTACGTGTGGCTGGCTCTGGTTGCCATGTACCGAGTCCGGCCCCAGACATGCATAACTACGTCCTTGATCGTCGCCGGCTTGCTCTGGTCTTAGTCAACTGACTCCTACGAATCTCGATATGATTTGAGCTTTCTGGTGAACGTGATATGGGACACACTTTCCCGTGTAGTGTCATCATGCATTAAGACATGATACATGGCCCTTAAAAGGCCCCAAAAACCAAGCAGATCGACTGACTGACAACTCCTCTTGAGAAGGTCAATTAGTGCTGGCGAAGACTCTCAAACAATAAAGTCCCCAGCCGACAACCACCGCCGCGACTAGCTTTTTTTCGAGGGAGGCAGCAAAAGATCAAATCCACCTGCCTAACTCGACAGGAAGGAAGCTGACCCCGACGGTGTGATTGTCAAGACAAAGACACCATCAACACACCGCCAACATGCCAGTCGAACTCCGGAAACGCCCACCGCCAAAGGAAACCGCGACTCCACCACCGACCGCCAAACGTAGCAGCAATCCGGTCAAGAAACTCGCCGAGAAGGCCAAAGAAGCCGTCTCGGGAGGTCCCAAAAACGGCGGCAAGAAGAGCACCAATGGAACTGCCACCGCCGCTGCCCCTGCTGCCGTTGCTGCTGAAGATCCAACCCCAGCTCCAGCTGTGACGAAGAACGGCGGTGCAGGTTCCAAGATCGCCGTTGGCGAGACGGTCGACCTCGAGGGGTTTGGAGGCACAGTGCAGACCCACGATGGGAAGGACACGACTTTGAAGAAGCTGGTGGAAGAGAGTTTGGCAGGTGTGGTTATTTTCACGTATCCAAGGGCCAGTACGCCTGGTTGTATGTCTTCTTTTTCTTTCTTCCCTCTTCTGTCTTTTTGGACTCCCACAGCAAAGAGGACTGACTTTTGGAATGCTTTTCTGGAAATCTAGGCACCACGCAAGCCTGTCTGTTTCGAGACAGCTATGCCCCCATCACCGGTGCTTCGCTCGCGGTCTACGGTCTAAGTACCGATAGTCCCAAAGCCAACACGACCTTTGCGACGAAGCAGAAGCTGCCGTATCCGCTGTTGGTAAGTTTGACGGTCCTGTTTTCTCCTGTTTCCTTCCCTTGCCCTTTCTTTCCACTATGGAATCCCTAAAGCCCATACACTAACAACTCCACTTCCGTGAATCTACAGTGCGACCCAAACGCGACATTAACATCCGCGATCGGGCTCAAGAAGCCCGGGCCGGGCAAATCGACCGCGCGAGGCGTGATTGTCATCGACAAGCAGGGCAAGATCCGCGTGCACGAGCAAGCCGGTCCGCAGAAGACATTGGACGTCGTGCTCGAATACATCAAGACCGAGGGCTTCACTGAGACCGGTGCTCCATCTGCCGTGGCAGCTCCACCGGCTGATGATCCCGCCGCGACGGAGGAAGCGGCGAAGCTGGCTGACCCAAAGTTGTTGGCCGATCCGGATGTCAAAATGGATGAGGCGCCCTTGATTTCGACTCCGTCCAGAGAGGAGGCGGAGGCGGCGGAGACGGCCGCGCAGGTGGGCGAGACGGCCGCTAAGATTGATTCGGCTGATGGTGCTGTCAAGGCATAAAATGGGTGCTTGAACAAAAGGGAAGGAAAAATTGCTAGTTCTGTATCGAGCTTCATGTAGCAGTTCGAGCAGCCTCGTAGGTGGTGGTCTGGGAATGTGCGTATTTCGATCCTCTTAGACTGTGGAAGCAAACCATATCCCTCACACACTTGCGATCCCAGGCGTCCAGACTTTCCCTATCCTCTGCAATTCATTGATGAACTTCTTACTTGTGATCTCCGGGCTCTTGGCCCCGTAGTTGGCGATCTGTAGAGGAGTGCGATCATCCGGAGTGTAGAAAGGATTGAGCATCAACTGGATATATGCGGTCTGGACGGCACGAAAGGCGGGTCTCAAATCGGCATCTCGTAGCCCCATAACGGCGGGCAGCTTGTTACGCTTGCTGTCTTTTTCCTCGGTTGGAGAGAGCGGTGAGAGTGAAGAAGATGGATCGGAACTGTTGGGAGGACGTCCCATCATGTCAACGACAATCACGAATTTGATGCTCGTGTTGGTCTGCCATCCGTAGCAGGAGAGGCGCTCGTCGACGGCTTGCAACAGGCCCAGGTCCTGGCTTAGTGAAGTGTTGGTGGTGTTGTTGGATGCGCGCAGGGCGAAGATGTCGAGACATGAGTTGATCAGGAACAGCATCTGCAGAGGGTCGATTTGGTGGGGTGGGAAGTGTGAGATGTGTAGTGGGTTGTCCTGGAGGAGGGTGTATTAGTGAGGGCAGTGAGGTAGGAAAGGGCATTTCACGCACATGTTTGCCTATGATTCCTATGGCTGCTATAGCTGGACCAGCATTGAGATTGAGAGCCATGATGGGTGTTGAATTGTGAGTTCTAATGTGCTCTGTATTCTCTTGAATCCATGCTGTTCGTAGAAGTTGATATGCGTTACGAGTCAGTCATTGTCAAGCTGCTCCGAAAGTCGTGATTGTGCATGACTCGCGAGGCCCATCAACCAATCACAAAGCTCTTATTCCCGTGGGGACGACTGGGCCGAAGATGAACATCCTCTCCATCATAGATATTTCAATCGCCTTTGGTCGTGGTCTTTGCCCCCCCTCTACCGACTCTCCTCTCTTTCCCTCTTCCATAACCCAGAAGCATCACCTTTGCCGGCAAGATGATGTCTCTATCCAGAACGGTCGCTCCCAGAGCCCTGAGAGGTACGCATTCAAGCTCCTGTGCACCACGATTCCATTCCGTCGAGATATTGACTCGTCGCCCGTCTACAGCTTCGACCACCATGCCTTTCTCCCTGATCCGCGCCACACCCGCCGCATTCATCTCTTCCTCATCACAGAAATCCGCCACTTCAGCAGCAGTTGCTACAGCCGGTGCCTCGGGCGATTCTTCACGACTTCCAGTAACGGGTGGCATCCGTCGCGAAGTGCCTCTTCCCAGTCAAGAACCCAAACAAGGTGCTATGCAATATGCCCTGACAACACTCGATCAGATCGCCAATTGGGCACGTCAAGGTTCACTGTGGCCGCTGACGTTCGGTCTGGCCTGTTGCGCCGTGGAAATGATGCACTTGTCTACACCCCGCTACGATCAGGATCGTCTTGGTATAATTTTCCGTGCCTCGCCTAGACAGTCGGATGTAATGATCGTGGCTGGCACTCTTACAAATAAAATGGCCCCGGCTCTGCGACAAGTTTACGATCAGATGCCTGAACCGAGATGGGTGATTTCCATGGGCAGCTGTGCCAATGGTGGAGGTTATTATCACTACAGTTATTCCGTCACCAGAGGTTGTGACAGGATTGTCCCTGTGGACATCTATGTGCCTGGATGTCCTCCAACGAGTGAAGCGTTGATGTATGGCATTTTCCAGCTGCAAAAGAAGAGTAAGTCGGTTCCCCTGGTGGCTTGGCCGGTGTTACTAACATGCACCTTCAGTGAGACACACTCGGATTACAAGGCTGTGGTACAGGAAGTAGTTCTGGGGAGAAAAGCAGAAAGCATCGGCAAGGCAAGGCAAGGCAAGGAACAGCACCTTCCATTCCTCTTCTTCCCTTTTTTGGTATGGTGGCAATGGGCGACTTTCGCATGGCAGTGGGTTTTTAGATACTTTATCCTGCCGTGCCCTTTAGTTTACAGTGTGAACTATGTACAGAATGAAATGAAGCACCGTTTATATACATTTGTGTTCGACCCTGCAAGTAAAGGGCATCACTCATCCAGAAAGAGTGGCCGCTGGTTGGTGAGTCATGTGACATTACCAAATTGCATCTCGGAGTTACCTTAGTTCGCCGTAGTCTTTCTCCATCTCCAAAGAGTCATCGAGCATCTCCATCTGAATTGCTCATCGAAGTCGTCTTGCGCCGCTCCAATCCTCTGTCCGTTCACCCTTTCCTCCCTCTCTCAGTGCGACCCTCCCACGACAATCTCTTAATGATGGAGGTCTCAAGGATAGCGGTCCGTTCTGTGCCTCGACGAACAACCTCGCACATCGTTCGAACCTCTAATGGCCTTCGCAGTGGAGCCATTCTGTCGCCTGCCACTCTTGCCTGCTCACCCATGGCCATATGGAGTCGTCGCCAGATATCGTCAAGTTCCAACTTCGGACTTCCAGGCCCTCCCGGTCTAGGTTTTGGTGGTTCTTCAGGTTCTTCATCTCCAACATACTTCCAACGCCAGACCAGTTTGCCCGCCAATACCATTATCCGCTTTGTTCCTCAACAGACAGCCTGGATTGTGGAGCGCATGGGAAAGTTCAATCGGATATTGGACCCGGGTTTGGCTATTTTGATGCCGGTCATCGACGTGAGAACATCTTTGCATGAGACTAAAGGCGGGAAGATTATACTGACAAAACTCCCATATAGCGTATTGCATATGTTCAATCATTGAAGGAATCGGCCATTGAAATCCCGAGCCAAAGTGCGATCACGGCAGACAATGTAACGTTGGAGTTGGACGGTGTATTATATACAAGAGTCTTTGATGCCTACAAAGCAAGGTTGGTTCTAGATCTTGGACTTTGCTGATGTGAAAATTGTCGCTGATGCATATTGTAGCTACGGAGTAGAAGATGCAGAATACGCTATCGGCCAGTTAGCACAGACTACGATGCGATCGGAAATCGGTCAATTGACATTGGACCACGTGCTCAAGGAACGAGCAAATCTCAACTCGAACATTACACAAGCCATCAACGAGGCAGCACAGGAATGGGGTGTGGTGTGTCTAAGATACGAGATTCGAGACATCCATGCTCCGGAAGGAGTTGTAGCAGCCATGCATCGACAAGTCACCGCAGAAAGATCCAAGCGAGCGGAAATCCTGGAGTCCGAAGGTCAACGACAGAGCGCCATCAATATCGCTGAAGGTCGGAAACAATCAGTAATCCTAGCGTCCGAGGCTTTGAAAGCAGAACAGATCAACACTGCTTCTGGTGAGGCCGAAGCAATTCTGCTCAAGGCAACGGCGACCGCCCGGGGAATTGATGCCGTTGCGGAATCCATCCAAAAGGGTGCTTCGGATGCTCAAAGTGCCATCAGCCTGAGTGTGGCCGAGAAATATGTGGAGGCTTTTGGCAAGTTGGCCAAAGAGGGTACGGCTGTGGTGGTACCTGGAAATGTGGGAGATATGGGTGGAATGATCGCCAGCGCTATGGCGGTCTATGGAAAGGTGAGTGAAGGACAGAAGAAAGTTTTACAAACGAGGACGATCGAGGCAGGATCTTCGACAACTGAAAACTCTGGGACGACAGGAAGTGCCGATGCCAGAGATGCAGTGCTCGAGTCCTTTGAAAAGACTGCTCGGTCGCGGAAGTGAGGAATGTCAACCTTGGGGATTAAATTGTACCAGCGGACTTTCAGCTCATTCACAGCCCAAGGGAAGCGATCAAAAGAATGTTTCGGATGGGCATGCAAACACTTAGCAGATGTACTATTAACAATCACCGGATCAAAAAGTGAAAAGGGTATACTGTCTTCATAGATACCTCAGCATTCAGACTCCAGGGTGAGTTGTATAATCAATTACAAAAAGCTTGGGTGGTTGGGTTCGAACTATTAGTGCAGTACGATGTAGTGGCATGTGAAGCTGAATTGTAATTGTAGAAAGTATGCGGAGAAAGTTGGTCCACTTCAAAGTTCCACCTCAACTCCGACTTGACATTTGCTTGACTTCACACCCTTTTACCACGACACCTTTCCACACCTCTGTCGCTGTAACTTCTCAAAGCTATCCTCTACTTCATTTCTGATTCCTCCCCCTTCCGCATATCAACTATGAAACTCCAGAAACCGCGCAGATAGGCCCGCCATGCACATCATTAAACCCGTCTGGCTCACTCACGGAGGTACCACTTCCCTGCAACGAAGAAGGAGACCATTCCACATCTCCCGACGCGTCGCAAAGCGCGCCATTCCTGTCGCATATCTTTGATGAGGCCCTTCAAATGCTAATACATCGGGTCCGCAGGCGAAAAGAAGGATTTTGAGGTCTACAGCTGCCACGTCTCCCCCGATGGCTCACGCCTGGTCACTGCCGCTGGTGGTGTGTTGAACCCCTCCCTTTGGTCCTCCGAGTGCTTTGCTGATTCTAATCTTCTACACAAGATGGCTACGTCCGTATTTGGTCTACTGAAGCCATCTACAATGCTGGCAACCCCAAGTACGATAAACCCCGCCAGTTGGCATCCATGAGTTACCACTCAGGTACCATTCACACCGTCCGTTTCTCCCCTGGCGGCAAGTTTCTCGCGTCTGGCGCCGACGACAAGATTGTCTGTATCTATTCCCTCGATTCGGGTCCTCCTCAACATGCGACTTTTGGTAGGTGAAGAGATGAAATATCGTCAAGTGATGACTAGCACTAAATAAGCCCCTTCCAGGCTCCAACGAAGCCCCTCCCGTCGAGAACTGGCGTATCTTTCGAAGACTGATCGGTCATGACAATGATGTTCAAGATTTGGGATGGTCTTACGATGGCACTATATTGGTCTCGGTTGGTTTAGACTCCAAAGTCGTTGTCTGGTCCGGCTTCACCTTCGAGAAACTCAAGACTCTCCCCAATCATTCCAGTCATGTCAAGGGCATCACGTTTGATCCCGCCAACAAATACTTCGCTACCGCCAGCGATGATCGTAGCATTCGGATCTTTCGATTCACCTCCCCGACTCAAAACTATTCTACTCACGATGCGGTTAACAACTTCATCCTCGAACAGACCATTCTACAACCATTTGTCAATTCCCCTCTCACCACTTACTTTCGGAGATGTTCCTGGGCCCCGGATGGTCTACACATTGCGGCAGCAAATGCCGTCAATGGTCCTGTGAGCGCCATCGCTATTATCAATCGAGGTTCATGGGACGCCGATACTACTCTCATTGGCCATGAAGGTCCGGTCGAAGTCTGCGCATTTTCTCCTAGGCTCTACGGTCAAGACCCAGATGATCGTCCAATGGGAGATGGTCCTGCACCACCACATACCACAGCCATCGCCTGTGGAGGAGCAGATAAAACCCTGAGTATTTGGACAACAAGTAGCCCTCGGCCTCTAATCGTCACTCAAGATGTTTCCAGCAAGCCCATATCCGACCTGGCATGGAGCCCAGATGGGCAGAATCTATATCTTACTGCATTAGACGGCACTATCTTTGTTGTCATGTTTGAACCAGGTGACCTGGGCTACGCCAGACCTGTCGAGGAGAACGATCGATCACTTAGTAAGTTCGGTACTTCGAGGAAAGGTCTAGGCTTTCCAGAAACGACGGATGCTTTACTGTTGGAAGAGATGAGTAAAGCAGGAGAGTTGAAGGGCTTGGAGGGTCGCATGGGTGCATTGATGGGTGACTCGAATTCATCACAACCTGCTGCAACCTCAACAACCACAACCACCAACACCGCACCGGCAACGAATGGTACTACAACCACAGAAACTCCCACAAATGGCACAGCAGTCACAACGAATGGTGTTGCTGCAGCTGCCAAATCGCAAGATGACCAAAACCAAGCCAAGCTTGAGCGACTGAAAAATAGAGTGGAAATCACAAAGGATGGTAAGAAAAGAATCCGTCCGCTACTGGTCTCGGGCGCCGGTGGAGCAGAATCCTCCCTACCTCAGACAAAACTGGTCAGTGCAAGCGCGAATGTTCAGACCTTGGATACGCCACAATCAATCCTTGATCTTTCGAAACCGTTCGATGGTCTCCCTAAAGGCGGCCTAGCCGCCCTTCTACTTGGGAACAAGAGAAAATACTCTCAAATCGATGGTGAAGAGGACGGGACAACCGAGAAGAGAGTGATTGCCGCAAGCCAAAAAGGAGCAACACCAATCCTTGTCAATGGCACAGAAGGTCTTTTGCCTGCTCAACCTCAGCCGGCCATCAGTGGTCAGCAAGTGACACCCGAATTCATTCGTCCTGCTGTCATGAATCCAGCTTTAAGTGTCAGTCAATTGAGATTGGCAGTGCCTCGAATACGAACACATATTGTTCAAGGTATTGACTCGTCAGGAAAACCAGGCGATGTCTCAGCTGATGCTCTGAGCAAATCACGAGCAGAATTTGTGTTTGAAGCGAAGAACCCATCAGGTCCATCCTTGACCCAAAGAGCTCAAGATCGAGAGCCTTGTCGAATTACTTTGACAAGAAAAGACCAACCTCTGTGGCAAGACTTTCTTCCTCGAGCGGTCCTTCTCGTCACCGGCAATCAGTCCTTCTGGGCAGCTGCTGATGAGACCGGGTCGATCTATATGTGGACTCCATATGGTCGACGACTCAACAGTGCTATCGTCATGGAAGCGCAGCCTGTCATCTTAGCGTCATATGAATCATGGCTGCTATGTATCACGGCAGTGGGAATGTGCTATGTTTGGAATGTCAAAACCATGTCATCACCACATCCTTCCGTGTCATTGGCTCCCGTGCTGGACGCTGCTATTCATTCATTGGCGGCTCATCCCACTGGTGCTCCGGCTGTCACGCAAGCTCGTCTCAACTCAGAAGGTCGGATTATCATCAGCTTGTCCAACGGAGAAGGATATTCATATTCACCTCAGATGTACTGCTGGCAGAGGCTGTCCGAAGTCTGGTGGGCAGTTGGTAGCCAGTATTGGAATACCACTGATACTTCTGTCGGCAATATTAAGTCTTCCAAGGCGCAGTCCAGTGATGAGAAGGCCGTAGATCTGTCCTCCGGAGTGATTCCGTGGTTGGAGAGAAACACCACGTCAGAAACACTGCTACGCGGTCGAGCATACTTCTTACAACGACTCATCAAGGTCCTGCTGTCACGAGAAGGGTTTGAGAGTTTTGAGTCGGGTGTATCTATTGCGCATCTCGAAAACCGAATTGCCGCTGCATTGATGCTTGGAGCCAAGGATGAATTCAGGATCTACGTTTTGATGTATGCGAAAAGACTCGGTGCAGAAGGATTGAGGCTGAAAGTCGAAGAACTTTTACGAACGCTGGTTGGAGGAATCGTGGAGCAACCTTCGCCCGAGCAGGGGATCGCTGCCAATATCAATGTTGTAGAAGGTCGTAATTGGCAGGAAGATTCGAAGACTATCTGTGGATGGCCTCGGGAAGATCTTCTAAAGGATGTGGTCCTCATTCTTGGTAAGTTTTCTTCTCTGGCGGTACCAACAATGTCACTGTCCATATATGAAGCAAAGAATACTGACTCTCCTCTTTACAGGAAAACATCGCGACTTGCAACGAATAACGGTTCCTTTTGCCAAAATGCTTGGCCTCGTTAACGACACCGCCTCGGCGTCGATGGCGAAAGCGACAGATGGGGGTGGAGAGGCTATGGATTTGTAGAACAATTACTATTCACTGATAACTCAGCGTCGGCGCAATGGCGTCAACAAGGTCATGGTGAACTTGAATTTGAACTGGGTCAAAAAGGTCGATTTGGTTGCAGTCTCGAACTTGGAGCATCTAGCACCAAGCACGATCATATTTGGTGACAGCTTCAGGTTTTCTATCTGATGCTGTTGTCTAAGCGCGGAGGAATGCAGTTTCTGTTCGCCGAGCATCAAGGAATTCTTGAGATTCCATGACAGCATGAATTACTATGGCTTTTATCTGGTTCCAGTCTCAGGTGCGGTAAGAAACCTGTAACCCATTCCAGCGTCTGTCATTCCATGAGGCGGCATGCGATGATGTCCAAGGTCGAGGTGTCTCATGAAGAATTGATTTTGAACACTTTACTCTTTTCTGTTGTCCATCACATATCTCCCTGAGGTCTTCCATCCTCCACTTTTCACTTCCACTAATCAATGCAATCCACCGAGTGACTGGTATTCACCTATCTCCATATCTCGCACACTTACCTTTCCAGCGGTGCCAGCACATGTCCAACTTTCCCACGGCCCACATTCTCAAAAATGGGCTTCACAAGGAGCAAACAGCCTCTCACTCTACGACAACGCGCTCAATCTGAGAGTCTTCCGTCACCACGTTCCTCCACATCCTTCTTACCGCCACCGACAGCTAGATTCCATAACGCGTTCTTTGCGCATGTTGCTGAACAGGCTGCTTCTTCACCAGAAAGACCGTCTTTGATCATAACTGCGAACGAAAACAGCGACTCTCCTCGACCAGTCTACACACGATTCTTACACCGCACCCGACTCCTCTCCCGGTCCATCAAACCCGGCATCTGGCGATGGCTGATCCTGGTGTTGATCGTGTCATTGTCGCTCTGCACGCTCCGCCAGCTCTATCAAAATCGCCATGGCCAAGGAGAGACCGGTCGTCATCTCCTTTCCCACCAGGACCAAGCCACCAATGCAGTCTTCCTCTTAAGACCGCACGATTTCCAGGGAGCTACAGGAGAAGGGAAGGCCGGCCAAAACACCCACCCCTACAAACACCACAGTCCTGAGCATTGGCTGCGCGAGAATTCATTCCACAACTTCGACGATGGATTTACCGACCACGACGAGGGAGAGAAAGAACACCAGGCCAAAGTGTTCCGCCAGATCTCCCGTCGTCCGCGCGCCGCACTCATTAGTCTCGTACGCAACGAGGAGCTCGAGGGCATCCTGCAGAGCATGCAGCAGCTCGAATTACATTGGAATCATCGGTTTGGATATCCGTGGATCTTCTTCAATGAGAGGCCGTTTAGTGAGGAGTTCAAGGTGAGTGGTATTGTCGTGATTGAGGACTTCTTTCACTCGTCCTTGCACACATTAATGGCCATCTCCATCACTTCGTCTGTCAACTAACAACATCCCCTTCCCGCCCACCTAGGCAGCGACCCGCAACGCGACATCCTCCAAGACCGAATACCACCTCGTCCCGCGCGCCCATTGGTCCACCCCATCATGGATATCACCCACCCGCTACATGGACAGCCTAGACTACCTGGGCACGATCGGGGTTGGCAAGGGCCACATGCTGAGCTACCACGCGATGATACGATGGCAATCGGGCTTCTTCTACCAACACCCGGCCCTGGCCTCCTACTCGTGGTACTGGCGGGTCGAGCCCGACGTGCATTTCTTCTGCGACATCAACTACGACCCGTTCCGATTCCTCGCGGAGAACGACCTCGTCTACGGCTTCAACATGGCCATTCTCGACGATGCCCGCAGCTTCGCGTCCCTCTGGTCCGTGACCCGCGACTTCATCGCCAAGAACCCTGAGCTAATCCACCCGGACGCAGACGTCGACTGGCTCCTCGACCCGCACGCCGCCATGGAATACAACAACTGCCAATTCTTTAGCAATTTCGAGATCGCCAGCCTCGACTTCTTCCGCGGAGATTCCAATGTCGCCTTCTTCGACCACCTCGACCGCAGCGGTGGGTTTTTCTACGAGCGCTACGGCGACGCACCGGTACATACGCTCGCGCTTGCGCTCTTTGCCCGGAAAGACCAGGTCTGGTTCTTCAGGGATATTGGCTACCAGCATGATACGGCGCGACATTGTCCTCCGCCTCCACCGCGGATCTATGGCGGTGGGGGTGGCGGTCGCCTACAGCAGTATCGCTGCACGTGTGAGCCGACATCCCTGGACGAGAACTTCTACAAGCTCGTCCCGATGGAGAGTCCCCAGGTCAAGCCCCGTGATACGTGCATCCGGTTGTGGTTGGGCGGGGAGTGGTTGGATAAGAAGCCCAATTGGAGTCAGGAGGTTGAGAGGGCTTTTGGTGGCGATGGGTATGGTGGGTATGTCTTGGATGGCTTTGGATGAGTTTGAGCTTCGGGAAGAGGTTGCTTGTGGTGGCGGTGGCGGTGGCGGTGGCGGTGGCGGTGGTGGTGAGGAAGAACGGTGGAATGAAATTAATCATTATGATTGTGAGACGGTCTGGTCAAAGCTTCTTGAGGAAATGTGCTAAGTGAGGGTCATGGGAAGTGCAAGCATGCTGGATACAAACTGAGGGAGAAGAGTCTCAAGGCTGATATCCAAAGCAACTAGAAAAGAAAAGCTTAGAACAGGAGACCTCACTGAGTGGCCTGTGATAGCTGAGAAGGCTGAGCTACGCGAAGATACACCGACTGGACAGTCCAATCCAACAGGCCAATAGCTACATCTTACCAGCGTCGTGTCTCTGATCTCATCGCGAGTCTTCCTGTCCTGCCAGAAGTGAGGAAGGTTTACAACCGCGCCGTGATCTTGACCTTCATACATGCCGTACTCCTGTGAAGGTCTCAAATCACATGAGGTGATTCACTGACATGCATCCTATGCTTGCACCGAGGGCAGGAGTAGAGTCTGTTCACTTTCAACCGCACCCTCGGTATGAGGCTGATAGAATGCTTTCCCTTGTGCGCGGAAAGACCCCAGATAGACAGGGTACTAGATGAATACACAGGAGACTGCAGCGGATTTGGAAATTCTTGTCTTTTCATTCGTACGGCATCAAGGGCACGATGGATGTGCCATGACTCCCGGTGGCATCCAAGCCGTGTTTGCCTGTCGTGACTAGTTAGATGTCCCTCGGACTGCTACATGTCTGATTGAGTTTCGTAGATAATTGCCTGGCGAGATCACTCGGTGGTAGGTAAAGGAGGGGTTTGAAACGTTCACTGGACGTTGCACGCGTCCATGCAAGATTAGCTAGCTAAGGGTATAAAGAGCATGCCTTGCATGGCACGTAGCCATACAGTCATACAGAATACGTAGATATCTTTCGTGAAGGTATGCATCAAGGAATTGCCTTGATCGGAATGGTGGATGAACCAAAATTCCATCTGGCTCTCAATCGAGAGTCGGCTTGAGCCTTTCGCGAAAGGGCTGTCTCTTATTGCTCGGCTCTATGCCTTTGCGGCACCGGCCTTGATGAGCAGGATGTCTCCGTCTTCGACGACTGTTTCGCAGACACAAAATGTTAGTCGAGATTCCCCGAATTTAGTTCAAGTTGAGTGGTGACGGAAGATGTCGAGGTTGGCGGGAGCAGGAGTAGTCATGCATGATGAAATGGAGGAAGAGACTTACCATATTCCTTTCCCTTGGTCAAGACTTTACCAGCTGCCTGAACGGATTTCTCATCACCGTATTCCTTCAGCACGTCGTAGTTATACACAATACATTGGATGAAAGTCTTTTCGAAATCGGTGTGGATCACACCTGCCGCAGCTGGGGCCTTGGTATTCTTCCGTATCGTCCATTGTCTCACTTCATCGGTACCTGTGGTGAAGAAACTGGCGAGGTTGAGTGCTTGACGCATGGTGACAATGGCCTTGGGTAGTGCGGACTTTGTGTTCAAAGTCTTGCATTCTTCGGCAGCTTCTGCGTCTGTCATGCTTGCCAGGCGTTCTTCGAAACTGACTGAGATGGGGAGGATTGGGTCGCCAGGTGAGTTGGTCTTGATCCATTCCATCACTTTGGGAAGATACTTGTTCTTTTGTCGGAGGTAGTCTTTTTCTGATAGATTGATCATGTAGACTACTGGTTTGGCTGTGAGGAGTAATAAAGGGTTGATGACTTCGACCTATATTTCAAGATAGTCAGGCAATTGTCTCGCACAAGAAACATGTTGAGAACGATTCAATAGTGATTGCTTTTCTTTCTTTCAGGGTTGGACTTCCTCTCATTGCAACCTCGAACGTGATATATAGTGAGGCTGCTGTCGACGAGCTGGGATTATAGAGCTGAGAGCTCTTGTTCATCATAGTAGAAATGCAAAGGGGGAGTGGTATGGTATGCTCTTTACGCAGCACGGGCTTACCTCTTTGGGACTCCAATCGTTCTTTCGAACTTCTTTTCCATCTTTCAAGTGAGCCAAGATCTTATCGATGCATGCTTCTTCTTCTTTCAATTTCTTCATTTCCAAACTCTGACCTCCTCTTCTCGTTAGTTTGGAAATGTTTTCTTTGGCCTTCTCGACAAATTCGATGTCTTTTAATCTCAACTCATCGGAGATGATTTCAAGATCTCGAACGGGATTGACATCTCCCTCGACGTGAATGATTTCTGCATCATCAAAACATCGTACCACTTGGAAAATGGCGTCGACAGCTCTAATATGTGACAAGAAAGCATTACCTAGACCAGCACCCGTTGATGAGCCTCGAGTGAGACCAGCAATATCGTAGATGGTCAAATTCGCCGGTACTTGTGACTTGGGTTTGTAATGGTCGACAAGCCAATCATATCGGGCATCTGGCACGATGACTCGAGCCTCTTCAGGGTCGATTGTGGCGTAGGGAAAGTTTGCTGGGTTGCCCAAAGAACATTTGGTGATAGATTGGAAGAGCGTGGATTTGCCAACATTAGCCAATCCGACCTAGAAACCATCATATTGTTAGCGCATCATCCTGATATGGTCTAATGTGGGGCATGAGTTGTCCCTACATACGATGCCACTCTTCAGACTGTTACCTGGTCGACCCAGAAGGACCTTCTTTTCTTCGACGACTTTCTTGGGAGGCATCCTTTTCTTTGCGTAAGAGCGACGTTGTGAGGTGAAAGTGAATAGAAGGGGTTTCGGTTGAAGAGCTTTGATGGAGCAGGGCTCAAAAGCAGGACCGGCTGCGCAAAATGAAATACGGAGGGAAGAAGTGAAGAATTTGGGGGTGAAGATTTGGGAGGTCGTGATGACAAACTTTTAGCGCAATCTCGAGGCACCAAGCACTCGAGAATAATGCGAAGGATTGGCCTGTTGCCAGGAGGTACACAGCGTTTTGAATTGTGAGCTTGAAGGATGAGGCTTTGGTCAAAGTAACGACCAGACTTTTTCGCGAGAGCCATCAAAATGTGCCAAGGCCAAACATACGGCGGATCTAGCACACATAAAGCGTACCTATGCTTGGCATTAACATCGAACGTTTACTGTGCAAGATACCTACTTAGGTACATACCTAACCCAGGTAGGTATCTCCCTGGTAAGCTAGGTATGTTTTCGAGATCACGGTGATGTTCTAATTCACACTTAATCTATGGAACGCTCTTGATTCATGTAAAGTTAAAATGGGGCTCGGCCTGGAGATGGTTCAATGAAGACCTTTGCATATGTCGTGGTGGTTATTGCCACAGATACTTCCCACATTCGCAGAATGGAAATGTTCTAGATTTTAGATCTTCGATTCATCCCTTGTGGTCATCATGTCTCGCCCAAACCCTCAGCATGAGATATTGGTGCGATCGGGACCGTGTTTGATCTTGGGTATGCCCGCTGAGGGTTCTCAACCCAAACATGAAGCAATTGAGACTTGGCGCAAGTTACGTTGAGAGCAATGATGAGTGTTGCATGTGAGTGCTAAAGCTCGAATCGCACCACTTTGGACCACATAGTTGTGCTCAATCTTTAAGAGGCCGCTTGCTCATCTTGTCGTTCGGTCAAGCATGCTGTCTACGTAGCGGACATTCTTTACCGCACCTCTGCCTTAGCGCCTTAATCCCTCAAGCCATGAGGATAAGTAGTCAATTTCGATCCGCAGTTGACCCAGCTTAGCGCCCAGTTGATCCAGTTCATCATGATGGGCCTCCTGTTCAAGCCTCAATTGATTGAGCTTAATCCTCAGTTGATCCAATTCATCACGCTAGTCAAGCCTCAATTGATAAGATTCGGCTTTGAGCTGTACCCTCATTTCTTTCATTGCTCGAGTCAACCATTCAGCCCATACCTCCATGATGGGATTTGTGCATTTGTTTGCCTCTGAGATTTCGTTGGGTGAACATGTCATTGCTGAATTCATGTAATGGTGTTGATTTGTCGTTGTTTGCTTTCCGGGCGTGATGCCACTAGAGCAAAGCTTGGTGCAATAAGAGTGTAGATACTGTTGTGAAATCCAAACCAGGATTACTTCTCACGTTCGATCCAAGTGCAGATTAACGGGCAATTGCTGCCAAGAGTCAGTCGGTAATCATACGGTCGCCGCCGTCTCCATTGTCACTTTCGTCATCAAGGGCTGCTTCTTTTGCTTCCCACCTTTTCATTGCCAACTCGCCATCTTTCCCTTTTTTCTTCGCCTCAAAGTATGCTTCGCGTTTCTTCCTTCCCAGTTCCTCCCGCTTGTCGATCTTCTCAATTCTTCTCGTCTTCCGTTTCTCCTCGAGTTCGTTAAGGGATGCAAGTTGTTGCTTTAGGAAAACAACTTCATCGGCAAGTTTCTCTGCCTTGAATTCAGCGGTTGCATCTGCTGGTAGTGCATTAGTTGTTGCAGAGCCAGTGACAAGGGCACGAAGAGCATCGTCAATCATAGACTGTGGAAAACCCGGCCCCGTTAGTGCCTGGTAAACATCACTCTGGCTGGCTCGCGCTTGAGCAGGTGCTATCATTGCGTGGAAATTATATTTTGAAGGGATCCCTATTGTACCATTCTCCTGAAGGGATGCAAACTCGAGGTTTGGTTTGACCACGTTGGTGAATTTAAAGCCTGGTGTCTTCCTCGATTGAAGACCATCGAGCTTCAACATTTCGATGAAAGTTACCGGTTGCCCAAGATTAATCAATTCATTCTGAATTCTGTGCTTGGCAACATCCCAGCGCACTAGGTTGCCACTCAAATGGCCCGATAGCAGTGCTGTGCCATCATACGATAGTGTCAAGCAATTGGTAGTGCCAAGCTCGGATGACGGCGCTGTCCACCGATCCTTGCTCGTGATTTGAATTGTCGACGAGCCGGTAGACTTGGTTATGCTATTAACAGAGTGTTGAAGCATGTCCCAAGAGTAAATATGCCCGTCCTGTCCACCGAAATAAAGTGCACGATCAGCAGGATCCATGGCGATGGAGATGGCATTGGTAGGTAATAAGATTGTCCTTAGAGTTTGACATGTATCAATATGCCAAAGAAAACAGGTTCCATCATCCGAGGCAGATACAGCAAAGTTTGTATTACTCCTGGAATGACCGCAAGCAATGGTACTGATGGCTGTTCGATGTGCAGTAAATGTGCGGACGGGGACATTCGATGGCTCACCATCTTCATACGCATCTGAGTTCTGAGAAAATGAGACGAGCTTTGGCAATGACCAAATATGAATACTGGTATCAGCAGAGCCAGAGATGATATAATCATTATTGGGCGTAATGCAGACTGAAGACACAGATTGAAGATGAGACGCCGAAGAAGTCGTCAAACGTCCCGTAGCAACTTCCCACAGTATCAACTTCCCCTCTTCCGTTCCGAGGACAAGTATGGTAGCTCCTTGAGCGTACGCTATACAGTGTATTCGCTCTGGGAACGGGACTGTCACTTCTTGATCCCCTCGCTCCCTGCTGTAGACATTGATGACTGCCTTGTCTGCTTGCGCCGCAAAAATGTGCGAGTCACTGATAGCGACACAGCCTGGTCGAGCCGAGCTCTTTTTATATCCATGACTGAAGACATTCTGTGGCTGATACTGGTAGAGAAAAATGCCTACATCCTTGAGAGCGGCACTTGTATTTCCTGGAGCTTTGTTTGTTGTCAGCGTTGCTGCAAGGAAGCTTTCCGTGGGCATCCTTATAAACAAGAATCAGGATCATTCATGTTCCATTAGTTGTGTTGATGGAACAGCCTGTGCAAGTGGAAGGTAGACAGATCTATCTAGTCCAAACAAACTTTTTCTAGACAACCGAAAGAAGTCGACAATCTGTGAAACTGCTGAGTCAGCCACGTGATTTGCGCATTGCCAAGACTTTGGTGACCATCGCTCTTGGCACACCGCACTTGCTGGCATTTTGCAAAGGCATCGTTTCGGCAACTTCAAGTTGCGAATTTCAACCACGACGACCATCATATTCCACAACCTCGCGTACTTGCGAATTTTCTATCTTTGATTATTTGCAGGAGACTCGGGGTAAGATGTCGACATTCGAGCCTGTCGTAAGTTGCTCCTCCTCGCATTGAGCGCAAACCCGAACTTGTCAACCGCACCACCATTGAGAGATGACACAAAACTGACATGGAGGTGATAATTCCAGGTTGTTATTGACGGCAAAGGACACTTGCTCGGTCGTCTCGCCAGTACCGTCGCCAAACAACTTCTCAATGGCCAGAAGATTGTCGTTGTCCGAACCGAAGCCCTCAACATCTCTGGCGAATTCTTCCGTGCTAAGCGTATGTCGACTCCCACACAAATACCAAAAGATGTTCATGCCATCGGCCATATCAGAACTACAAACTAATACAACTGTCTCACAGTGAAGTACCATGCATACCTCCGAAAGATCACTCGTTACAACCCCACTCGAGGTGGTCCCTTCCATTTCCGTGCCCCTAGTCGCATCTTCTACAAGACCGTCCGAGGCATGATCCCACACAAGACCGCCCGCGGAGCTGCTGCCTTAGAAAGACTGAAGGTTTTCGAGGGTGTTCCTCCCCCATATGACAAGAAGCAAAGAGTGGTCGTTCCCCAGGCTCTCCGTGTTCTCAGATTAAAGCCTGGCCGAAAATACTGCACAGTTGGCAGATTGGCTCACGAGGTCGGCTGGAAATACCAAGACGTTGTTGCCAAGTACGTAACGGATGCTCACTTGGAGGCTTTTAGGTGTGTTACTGACGATGTTCTCTCTACAGGCTCGAAGAGCGAAGAAAGGTCAAGGGTTCGGCATATTACGAGCGAAAGAAGGCTGCACGAAGACAGCTCGCCGAAGCACAAAAGGGCTCCTCAGACAGCAAGGCGAAGCAGGAACTCGCCAAGCTGGGCTACTAGACACACCACCCCGACAAATTCTTATCGATCACCGACAGTTCATCTTCCAAACTCTTTTCCAAATCGACATTTGTTCCCTGATAGTCCGACTTTGCAACCAACTTGGCAGTTTCATCCGAGGAAAATCTTTCAACAGTCGTTTTGGGAAGGGGTGCGGAGTGCCTGGACGGTCGGTGTGCTGGTACGGAGATTGTTATTGGTTATGGTGCGGCTTTAATTTCTCTTGAATTCGAATCAATCAACGGAACAAAACTTCAACGTCGAAGAACCTCGCACACCTGATCACACGAGATGGAGAGCTCAAGGGTATGTGAAGCCTTTTTCGACCTGGTTGTGGTGGGGGTGGGCCATGACTCAATGTGCATGAAGAAAGGAACAAAAAGTGTGTTGTTCTCTGCAGAGTGGCATTGAGATGATGCATGATGATGGCATTTGCAGGTCAATTTCTTGAACTCGAATGAAATTACCGGAGTACAATGCTGCTGCTTAGACTTGCGTGGCTTCGAAAGTGCTTCAGCTACGGCTAGGAATAACTCAAACGAGTCACCGAAAACATACAAAACGATGAAATCTGCCAAAAAAGAAAAGAACAATAAGCTTCATGATTCTATGCTATTGGCCCTGCCTGCTGGTGACTGACTGTACGTGCTATTAGCAATCGTGCATATCGGTAGGTGTGGTACATATTAAGCTGCCGATCGTTCACTGCCCCATACGACTATTGACTCGTACAATTATCGTGAGCCCATTTCAGCTTCCCCTCCCTTTATCGGTCGATTACCATTCAGAAAGTCTAACAGGTGTGTCCATTGCCTCTGAATGCAGAGCAGCGCCTGAGAGCAAGGTGGTAGCAAAAGTCACACATTGTACCGTTGTTACATTGGTACGACTGCATGTTGATCATTAGTTGCTTGTCGCACTCCATACACTTCGGCTTGGACTCCTCAATAGCTGGCACTGTTGGCTCTGGAGGAGCCTCCTCAATGACGGATCTCGGTGGTGCTGAGACTTGAGGAGGCGCAGCTGAGGGGGAATGGGTATTGAAGTTGTTGCCCCTTCCGAGGTTGATGAATGCAGCTTGTTGCTCTGGGGCCATGCTCAGATACGTCTCTGGTCTGAGTGATACGGAAAATCCATGATAGCCTTGAAATGAGCCAACGGCAAATGAGGTAACGGCTTCCTCTTGCTGGCCCCAGTTCACAGGACCAGGGAAGCCTGAGCCAGTGACCTGAGTAGCTGATGGCGGACCACGTTGAGGATTGTTTGTCCATGTCATTTGTTGTGCAACATTCCCAGGATAGTTGTTGTAGTACTGGGTAGCCCCAAACTGAACCAACTGTCGCTCAGACGAACGAGCTCCTGGGTTTGATACCTCAGCAGCCGGTGTAGGGGTCCCAGCGTCAGATGCTGGATCGCGAGTCAGTGATTTCCAAAAAAGTGGTTTCCAGGCGCAGATTTTCTTGACAAACATACCGGCAGCTGAGCCTCCGGCTTGAGAAGCGTTGTCCGGCATGGGAATTGAATGTTTGACGAAGTAAGGACCTGGTTGATGCCGACAAAACGAAAAGTGAAAGGGTAATGTCCACAGATTGACTGTTGCTGGAAAAGGAGAAGATGCAAGGTCCGGATAGAATGGAGGAATATATAGCTGAAGAAGCAGGTAACCAAGTGAATCGAAATGTGGTGAGTCAGTTTTGGATGATTCAAGGGGCGACTCTGGAGGATGAAGCGGTGAAGGGCAACAAGTTGTCTCTGGTCGTCTCCAATTCGAAGGCTGCATTACTTTGACTTCTTAACTTCGCCATCCTGTTTGCCTTCCACGTAGGGGTGCTTTATGGTGAGACACCAAATGTCTAGGTAGTCACAGATAGTTGTGATGACATCGTGAACGAAGCTGCCGTAGACTCCGAGAGCAAGACCCAAGCAAAGAAATATGAATGCAACTTGGTAAATGTCGTCACCAAGCGCACTCGGCCACAATCCAAGTCTTGGTCCCAGGCTGTCTCCCACTGCGAATGCCAGGGGAACAACCAAGACATTCTGATAGGGAAATCTAGCTTTGACCAGATGAGCGACAATCATTTGGCCGACCGAGTAAGCATTCACCATACCCGCAAAGAGGACGAACGGGATGAGATGGTGGTGGAGAATGACCGGATTCAGAGCGAGATAGGCAGGGATCAAGGTCCAGGTTATGACAAGCGGAAGCAAGCCCAAGAGTGGCTTATAAGGATCCTGACCTCTTTCTCGGCGGACTTTCATGACGCCAAGCGCGCTCGAGACGACGTTGAAAACCAAGACGAGCCCACCGTAGAGCATCAACCATTCGTTCCATGCCTTCTGGTAGATCGCATTCGGGATAAGGTCACTCTTGGGAACTCCTAGAGTGGGAAGCATGGGCTGTTGCCAATAGCTACCACCTCCCTTGAGGAAAGTGACGAAGTAGACAATGACCAGTGATATGATTCCTTCCACAGGTCCGGAGACGACGCCAAGAGTCAATGTATGAGTGTGATACTCGTCCCATGTTTGGATGTAGAAGGTAATGACCGCACCAAAGAGCGTCAGGACGGTGTTCCAGGACTGTCCAAGATTCATCGCAGCTGCAAAGATGAGAACTTCCAAGCTGGTGTTGCATGCGTCAACGCCTAGATTTGTTAGAAACATCCGGTGTGCTGCGTAACAGTAGACGTACCATGGTCGAAGAGTTCACCCAAAGGACCACTTTGGTGAGTTCGGCGGGCTTGTGAGCCGTCCACTGCATCGAACGTTTGGTAGAGAAATAGCCCAATGGACCAACTCAGATAGACCCATGGAGGACAATCAGTATCGAGGGTTGGGTTATACCACAACATGGTCAATATGTTGATAATCACGAACCCGAACCCTGTCAAAGTAATCTTACAAGCCCAGTTAACTATATTATCAACGTCTTGCTCGACTCAAAACATACCATATTAGGTCTACAAAATTGGTTAGCACTGTTTCACTGTTGGTTGAGAGAAGCACTCACGCCATTGACATGGGGAAGCATTTGATCACAACATTTGTGTAGAATGGCTTCAGCACATACTTGGACAAGAGCGATTTGTCCACGCCCGCATATTTATACTCGTGGAGCTTTTCGAGATTTCGCTGCCTGATGTAGACCATCTTTGAAAAGGGGCAACCTGTTGAACCCTTGTTCAACAAGATTTGAAGCAATTGGGAGGTCCCGAAAGCCTGTAGAGAGGTCTCGTTGTGCAATGTTTGTGTGGTGTGTTGCTCAAGGGAAAAGAAGTCAATCAAGGGGAACAGGGAAAAAGAAACAGGGACTTGAAAGTGTTGTAAACATCAACGTCATAACGTGTCCAATATTTTGCAGGCGCCACAGCACGTGCAAATTGATCTTTGGTCTGCACGTGACCGTATATCTTGGCAATGTCGGATGATGTCATAAGGCTAGCCTGATGGAACCGGGCCAGGTGCATCAAAAGGCAACCGAGTCACCTTCTAACTTCAGGCTTCTACCCTTGAAGTGTCTGGGTAATCAACGAGCCTGGCCTGGAGCTGCCCTACTTCGATTACATTGGACCAGCGAAATTTCGAGGCTCCGGTGGTGCAGAATGCATGTAGGCCTACGGTTGCAAGACGCGCAAATGCCAAAACAATGAAAGACCTCATACTCCTGATTCTTGAATTGCCATGTCAAGGCATCAGCGGGTGAAGACAAGAGAGTGAATGGCTTACTGCACCATCAATACCATGGAGATGTGCTTCTCTTTTTTTGCAGCTTCTTTCCAGCTTGTGACTACTTAACTAAGCCAAAAGTGGAATTCGTCTTCACCATCGACCTATTCAAGGTTTTCACAATAGCTCCAACCGCCAACAAGATTCACATTTTCAGTACCGTCAATGGCTATTCACCTAGTCATGCTATTATCTTGTCTCGTCAAATGTTGGACTTTTGGAACAAGTCTGCCCACCAACCATTCTGGATTCCGTGAAGGGTGAGGACTTCACTTGAGGACCTCATTCTAAGGCATGTGTGAATACTTTCCGGTCTACTGGTACCTTTGTCCGCTTTTCAAAATCTAGGATCTTTTCCTTCTCGTTTGGCATACATTGATTGCACAGAATTCTCTTGCTTGTCTTCCGCCTTCATCTCCCACTCGATCTTCTCTTCATTATACTACTCTTTCCTTATAAATATTCATACAACTATCGGCCATAAATATGAATGTTCCGCCCGCATCAGAGCTTCTGGGGAAGCCAGAAGAGCTCAGTTCAGCAGAATTACAGTATCTTCAGCGGCCAGCAAGCTACAACGAAGTCCTCCTGGACATAGCAGAGCTGAAACGACGTTTGAAGTTTCACCCTTCGTCTCCATCAACAACATTCGCCGCCAAGTCGAGCATCATTGACGCCGGAACCATCAGCAAACTGCCTGCAGAAGGCCTCATCGCTATCTTACGCCACACTACAATCTCCAATCTTTTCACACTACGCAGTATCAATTCTACTATCAAATCGGTCATTGATCACTGGGAGCCATTCAAATTGATCACAACTTATGGAGATACTACAGTCAAAGCTCTTCTGGTTACAGGTGCAGGTCACTTGTGGACAGCACCACAGCTTGTCAGTGTTCTGTTCACCACGAAATGTGAGTTTTGTAGCGAACATGGTGAGATCATTCAACTGTTGAAGCTGAAAAGATGCTGCTTCCACTGTCTGTCTGAAGAACGCGGGCTTCTGGCTGTCGACATTGAGTATGCGAAAAAGTCTTTGGGCCTCTCTGAGGAAGAAGTACAGACACTGCCGATGCTCACGACCTTCCCTCAGAAGAATCTTTGGGGCTTCTCCAGTGTCCCTTTTACTGTTCTCGATTATGAAGCAGCATTGAGGCTATCAGGCGATCGCGCCTTGAAGTGTCCTCCGAATACCGCAAGACTCGGAATGTTTCCTTTCAAAATCAAGAAAACTGGAATTTATCTTGATGAAGTGTTCCGAAGCACCCATACGAGAGTTGAGAAAAGACTCCACGAACGCCGAGGAAAGTCCTCCATGAAGCTCGCATCAGCAATTATCAAATGTCCTGAAACGAACTATTGGCAGCATGCCTGCGCTGTTCGACAACGAGCAATGACCAGAAAGCGGGCCAGGCTCGCAGACGACACTCTCAAAGACAATGTCACCATCGTCGGTGCCATACACTGTGAAAGGTGTGCCCGTTACTGGAACTATCACTCCCCTCTGCCGTTTTACTATCACAAAATGTACCCTCATCGCCCTACAGGCGGTCCTACAGAGTTCACTAATCACGTGAAGCACTGCATCTACGCTCATGCCCACTGGATAATGCTCGAGTGTCCTTGGGACCCATTGTCACCGAGCAACAGGCTCATTTTACTCGAACGTCATAGGCATATTACCTTTTCTCGGATTCCAGGTGAAACCTTGGAGCAGTCATGTGCGAACTTCGAGCGCATACCCACTGGACTTAGACAGCTGGGAGTGCTATATTCGAGCGACTTTAGGAATTTCCAGCAACCCTACGATTGGCCACAAGCTGGAGAAGGAGAAGTCGTGGAGGGTGAAAAAGCGGTGACGCTGAGACGGGTGATGGAACGAGGAAAGCAAGCTGCATGGATGCATCACCAAGATGACGATAGAGATCGATATTGGGACATGCTTGTTGCTCCAGAAGCCGCCAGCCAGAAAAATTGGGCCTGTGCGAACCTGTACAACGGGAGTTCTACCCTCTTCAGGGGGCCAACAGCGTTGCATGAGAGCAAACGCCTCCGCCTCAATAGGAAGGGTGGAAATTCACCTGCAGATGACTGGACGAAAGCGCAGTGGGGCTTGGACAAGTTGTGATGATAGGAAGGTTGTCAATTTGGGCAGTATCTGAGGACACAAGATTGAACGTGAGACTCGGAACGGAATTTGGTTTAAAATGGTTCAATGTTAATGCAATCCACTACAAAAAGTACAAAACTTGGTTTGAACTATACAATGCTCCTCAACACTGCCGTGACATAACCTTTCCCTCGTCATCACTTACAAGCAGAAGTCGGTATCGTCTAATACCACCGCGGAGTGTAGGTCGGCCAACGGCTCAAATCAGCCTGATATTTCTGCAGAACCGCACTGCCAGAACCAAAATCGACACCCTCGCTCTTCAACTTTTTATGATCGACCTCACCATCGACATACTCAGCCGCGTATGCCAGGTCTCCCCAGCCTTCCACCATCTCCTGGACATCCCTGGGCAACAGTATCTTGCTACGGCCCTGCCACCAAGCCGGACTCGCGACAAACGCCAACATGACCCTGGGCTGATCCGTCAGGTTCGGCATGCCGGCATGCCACAGGCGCAGGTCGCGGATGATCAAGCTCCCGCGCTTCGTGCGGGCCTGGATCGGGGGCGAATGCTTCCGCCGCTCCTCGAGCAGCTCGGGCCGGATGGTCAGGAGCTCCTCGCACTCGTCGGCGGGATTGTGGGCCTCCTGGACGCTGACGTGGTGCGAGCCGACCCACACCTCCGTGCCGCCGTTCTCGGGCGTCACGTCGACGAGATTGATGTTGATCACGTACGCGAAGGGGAAGTATGCCGGGTGCGCGAACTCGCAGTCCGAATGGACCGGTTGGCGCCCGTGAGGCGGTGCCTTCAGCGCCGTGTTTCCATTCGCGTAGTGGATGACGGGCTTGGGGCCGAGGACCGCCGCGAGGATGGCTGCGGCGAAAGGGTTGCACCACAGGTCTTTGAACATGAGGTTCTTGGTCGGTGGCGGCGCTTGGTCCATGTTCCTCGTGTGTTTGCCGAAGTTGAAGTGGTGGTCTGGGTCGTTGGCGATCTCCAGCGCCTCCGGAGAGAGCTTCGCGTTCAGTGTGTCGATGTGCGATACGTCGATGGCATTGTCGAGCACGATGATGCCGTCTTTGTGCAGGAAGGCTGCGCCTTCGGCGATTAGGTCCAGCGTTGGGGTTCCTGACTTGCGTACATCCTCTGGTATGTAGATTGTATGGATCTCCTGATCACTCGGGGGAGTGTAGGAGCCCATTGTTGAAGGTCAGAGCCGACTGTTGCTGTCAGTAGGTCCCCGGCGAATGCTGTCGTGACGCTTTTGCTGGCGCCTACGCCCTACCTACCTGACAGACCACGGACTGGCGGTTATCAGGTTCAGATTCAACCCTTGTCACTTCTTCAAGATATCTCGACGTCGTCCGATAAAGAACAAGCTTTTCAAGAAGCGAAGTCAAGCAGTTGTGGCCACGCGACAGGCCAGGATGCCCAATGCCATGAGCGCCGTCAATGGCCAGGTATGGTTGTTATCATGCATGTCCCTCAATGTTGCACTGCTAGCCATGCGGGGTAGACGCAACCCTTCCATCTTGACGAGGCAAATGCTATCTGGATTCTGGAGAGATACGAGAAGGTAGCGGAATTGACCGCCGCAAGAGACTTGAAACATTACAGGAAACACGTGAGATATGTATCGATCACATCGTCATGGTTACGGAGGAGGATTGGTTAGGATGATGCAGCTGTAAAGTTGCTGCCTCCGGAAATGGAGGAAGAAAGTTTTCAAGAGCGGAGAGATCATATGAGCCAGATGATAGTCGGAGAACATTTGCGCCGCGTACTGGCTATCGTGCCAAATATGACCGAGGTCACGGACGGATTCTGCCGAGTCAAAATCATGTCTTTCGCTCTCCTTTAGCTGCTCCTTGACGCAAAGATAAGTACTCCTTTGCAGGCAGTGAGGCTGATAGTAGCTGTAGCAGGATTCGACACGTCGATGAGGCCCCCCTGCCGAGGTAATTGTGAAGGCTCACAGTCTATCTAAATAATGCTGAAAGTTTCGACCAAAGCCAACCCGTCTACCTAGGTACTTGGCCCAATCCAGCGAACATCTCCTGTTTAGGATACGCCACTTTAACGGATGTCTCGCTTCCGTGTGTCTTTGGGTCACTTATCTCAAAAAAATGAGCAAATATACAGCCTAAACTGGATATCAGACTGCTGAACGAGCTCTTTGACTTTGCAAGGCTCTCCATCCTCCATCTTTCTTCTGCTCCAAGCCGGTTCCTCGGCAGAGTGGGGCATAAACACCTCGAGGCCGTTTAAAAGGCGAGAGAAATGAAGGCCCATCAGGTTGGAATAATTCCTCATCTGGCCATGAATTTCCCTTTTCGAGCAGATTGATTTGGTTGCTGGTCCGAATTCCTCAACTTCCATCAGTTGGTCCCTGGAGTACCCTCTCCTCGTTACTGGGCTTCTTCATGGGCATTCGACTTTCACGAGTGTATAAAAGCCTGAATGAAATCACATCTGGGATGATCTCCGCATCCGTGCAAAGCGAGTACCTCCCCTGGAAGTGAGGTTAAATTTCAAAAGATCGCTTCCTCTTTGATATTTTCAGAGGCTTAGATTTCGCAATGTCAGCACAAACAGCTGTTACTCAGTATATCACCGCTGCCAATGGCGTCAAGTATGCGTATCGACGTATTGGCGATAATCTTGGAGTCCCCCTAGTCATGCATATTCACTACCGGGCCAACATGGATCTCTGGGACCCTCTATTCGTCAATGGTCTTGCCAAAGCAAGACAAGTTATCATTTTCGACAACGCCGGAGTTGGTCGAAGCACTGGAGAGGTTGCAGTCACGTATCAGGGTTGGGCTGATACAGCAATAGCATTCATCGAAGCTCTCAACCTCAAACGAATCGATCTTTTGGGATTTTCGATGGGCGGATTCGCTGTTCAGATGATAGCACTGACAGCTCCACAATTGATCCGACGACTGATTTTGAGCGGGACGAGTGCCTCTCTTCCATCCGCTGATCACGTTCCAGGAGTTGTCTGGCCTCGAGAGAACGCTGCTGGACCGGCAATTCAGGCTCTGATGAGCTCGGTGACTACCGAGGAAGGGAGGCGATCCTTGGAGTTTTCTTTCTTTTATGATGATGAACGTGGCCGAGAAGCCTTTGACCGATACTGGCGAAGGGTCCAAGAACGAACCGCAGAGCCCCTAATTCTCGATCTCCTGACCAGTGACGCTGGAGCCCAGCGACAAATGGAAGCAGCAATGCACGCGAGCCAAAAGAACCCCAATAATTCTTTCGACCGCCTCGGTGAGCTGAAAATGCCAGTTCTGGTTGCCAACGGAGATGACGATCTTCTAATCCCATCAAGCCGCAGCTGGGAATTAGCCAAGCAGATACAAAATGCCCAGTTGATAATCTACCCCAAGGCTGGACACGGCTTCATATGGCAATACGCAACCTTGTATGCGGCACATATCAACCAGTTTCTTGATGGAGCCGAATATAACGATCTTTCGCCGCGACTGTAGATCAGTATCCCTAGAACGCCATAGGTGGAAGTAGGTCAACCCAGAGGGCTTCGCCGAGATTGTCATGGATTCGTTCAACCCATAAGACTGCCATGAGCTGCGACTTCATACTCTCCCATATGACTACGTCTGTCTGAGAACCTTGACAGACCCGTAGGCGTTGCCTGAACCAGTCTTTTTCAGAAGTTTCAGATGAGACTAAACCTCCCATGATGAACAACCAAAATCTCAGTGGGGAGCTGACCTCGGCTGTATCAAGATTCAGTAAGGAGAGCTTTAGTTCTTTTGACAAAGCTTCTGATGATGACTTCATAAAAGGTGCGGATCGTGTTAGGGTTTGCAGGTAGATCAGGGCCCCCAAAGTATATGCTTTCTCGAGACCTGGGCTAGTAGAGAGAGCGTGAATAAGAAGGTTATACTGTAAACACAGCAACTCTTCCTCGAACATAAGGGGATCAATTCTGGCCTGAGAATCCATTGCATGCTCGATGGCAAATGATAATTGGGAAAGTTCCAAGAGGAGATCCGAAAGTGTTGCTGAAACTCTACTAGTTTTGAGGAGCAATTCGAGTTGTGAATTATGCGTTCCTTCTAGCTTCAGCATTTCACTGAGAGATTGTGCAGTTCTCACTGGCTGCGGAAGGCGTGGATTCGAGAATGAATCAACCGCGCCAGATATATCGGCCCTTGTGTCTCATCAGAACGAGTCCGGCACTAGCCTGCATCGAGCCATGTCATTCTTATATCAGTGCAAGGGACAAGCGTACCGGTAAATCTTCATCTGCAATTCGTGCCGAATAGCTGACATCCCTCCCCTGACTTTGATCATTTCAGCCATGCCGGACATATGCATTGCAGTGCTTTCATGCTTGCCAAGCGTGTTCTACCAATCGTCAGTTCCCGAGAAAGATATTTCTCATGCTAGCATCTTACCTCGCACATTGCTAAGCAAGACACCGCTCCAATAGTAGCATCAGAAAGCGTCTTGTTCCGAAGTCTTCGATTTAGCCTGTCTAATATCACCTTCATCAACAAACTCGCGTCTTTGAAATCATGGCTATCTGAGACGTTGTGGAGATGCGAAGCAGATGCAAATAAGATAGTGTGGAGAAGAACCTCATCAGTAGCTGCGACTGGCAGCCAGATCTTCTGTAACGTGTTGTACTCGAAATTCAGATACTGTGACATGGGGAATATTGCATCCGCGAGGCGGGTGGGGTCTGTTAACAGGTCAGCGCCCACGGAAATATCCTAGTATGGGAAGAACGAACAGTAGACGATGAATTTCTCAAATGAGCTCACTTCTGGATCAATGACGGTGTAACATGGCGAGGTTGATCTCGAAATTGAAGTGATGGACAGGGTTGAACGGTCCGATGCTTCGTCTGCCGATTGTGAACCGGCAGGAACGAGAGCCGAGTTTTGCGCGCTTTCCGACAGTGATCGGGAATCACGCTTGTTGTTCTTGACTGATTTCGTTGCTTTGGTTCGTTTGTCTTTCCTACTAAGGGTGTGAGGCTCATAGCTCAAGAACTGTATGTTGTTGACTTTGGATGGCTTCGATGGGGCGCGCTCAGGGGCCGTTGCAGTGCCTGAGCTCCTCTTCTGCGAGGTCTTGTTCCCATTAAGCACTGTTATTGTGATCTCTGGGACTCGTGACGAATTCTCAAATTCCCTGGATGACGGAGAAACCTTTCTGCCACGCCTTTGCCAACTTCTGTCCACCATGAAGAGAGGCTGCGGCGGGAATAGGACAGCTTCTGCAGCCATCTTGGGCGTTCGTGATCCTTTGCAGCGGTCGACGCAAATCTGCAGATGGATTCATGCGAGGATTTCTCTCCTTGGCTAGGAAGCGCTCAAACAATATCGCAGTTGTGGCTGAGTGTCAGCAAGGTGATGACTGAACATCTCCGGCGGGGTCAAAAGATGGACAAATGCGGGCTTACCAATACCAAGAAATCAAAGGCCAAGGGGGGTCATCATGCCTAGGCTCTAGCCTAAATCCTTCGTAGCAGATCGCCTCCCGATGCCCGACTGGAGTTTAGTGCGCGATCTTTGATGGGTCAGGGGTCTTCAGCCTTGTATGGGAGACGCCATGCCCCCTCTATCCGATGGGAAATGTGAATACTGATCATTAAGTCCACTAATTTCACAGCTTGTACAACGGCGCCTTGTGCCCTTTGTCAATATGTTTTTTGGACACATCTCGGTACTCTCTTAGAACTCTTCCAGCATCTGGAATAGTTATCTTATATGGCTATGGCTCTTCCCCCAGACATAAAAGCACAACCGACAAGTTTTAGGCCATCGCGGTGCAGCAGTCAAAATCACATATAAGGGCCGACCTCTTCTTCACTCCACCTCCAGAAAGCCTCAGCATTTCCCGTTCCTCCCTCTTCCTTGCTCCTACCGTCCAAGATGTCTTGTCGCAACCTACCAATTCTACCCCATGGTCTGATCCAAGCCCCGTTCTCTTCCAAGGTAATGTCTGGAGAAAACCCAGCATACAATTCCGTATAAGCTCCAAAAATGGCTTCATAAGAGATGAGGGCCATCAACCATCGATTGAACCAGTTGAACTCACGCTGGAGCTCTGAAACAAGATTCCCGGGATTACCGCTCTGGAAACAAACGCTCATGTCAGTCTAAGACCTTTTATTCTCCACAGATATGGAATGCTGATTAGCTTACCGTACTGATCACGCCTTCTTTCCCATAAAGCTTTGCGAAGTGAAGAGCATAGAGTGCATCGCCAGCTTTTGACACGGCATACATTTCAAATGGAGAATAATGGTGACGTGCAACTAGTCTCGCCACATCCACACCCCCTGTGGGTGCCCCCAGGTATGTGGCGGATGAGGATACAAACATGACTCGAACCGATCCTGGGGTACTTATCTTCGCGGTTTTAAGCAGCATGGGAGTCAGCAATTTTGTAAACAAGAACGGTCCAAGTGTGTTAACACTGAGTTGTTGATCGTAGCCTTGTTCCGATCTAGACCCTGCTGGTGGTGCCAGAATTGCAGCATTGTTCCAAAGGATATCAAGTCGGTTCTCTTTCGATAGGAACTCCGTCACAGACTTTTTGACGGTTGTCAGGTCGTTTAGATCAAGGTGGAGGAAGACAAGGTCACCAGTCGAAGTGGAATATCTGTTCTTGAGCGCATAGATTACACCTTCTGCCTTTTCTGTCGATCGAGCTGCCACATAAACTCGGGCATTCCTTGAATACAAGATCCCCGCGAGCTCTTTGCCAACACCGGCGGTTGAGCCTGTAACTATGAATACCTAGATTGTTTTAGACCTTTTACCCAAGAGGTAGATGAGATAGGAAGCGGTCATGAATATACCTTTCCACTCTGGTCGTCCAACTCCTGCTCAGTGATCAACGGTTTGGGAGGGTATGTTTCATTCACGAAGGTTAAGATGTTACCCATTTCCCTTGGTGATAGATCAATAGACCAGGTGACAAGTTAGAACTGTTCTACTTTCTCCCGTCCAAACACCTAGCATTAGGTATCATGGTGATTGAGATACTGAGCATCTTTATTGTCGTTCATTTAAACAAATGCCTTTGTTCAGCAGAATATCGTGGCTTAGGCCCTCCACTTGTATCATTGGCTCGCTCGCACAAGAATCAGCAGGTTGCATGACCTTGACTTAGGCTTCTTGCAACTTGTTCGAGATCCGGTCGAAACTTTCCGAGAATCAGTGCGACAGTTACTGGAGGTACATCTAGGGAAATTTTCGACCGCCTGGGTGCATCTCACGGCTAGATTTATTGCCCACTAGTCAGCTCGCGCACTCTTCGTCCGAGTTCCTCCATGAGAACATGAGCCGCCAAAATAAGATGTCGGATCAAGAAGATATGAATGGATGATTGAAGTTGGAATTCTGATCCGATTTATCCTAGGGTAAACCTTCCATGGATCATTGCCTTGGAGCTCACGATGAGTTGATGATATGACTTGCGGATTGAACTTTCGTTTTGAGGTCGAAATGCTTGACCGGGTTCATTCCCGAGGTCCATCATGGTTGAGGTGGCATTTGTTTCGCTTGGTACCGTATCCTGATTCCTGAGCTGCTGTCACCCAACCTGAAGCTACCACGGTAAAGCTTATCTCCAACTTCTCCTCCTTTCAATGCAACGTTGCTAGCAGCAATCCTCCAAGCTTAACATAATCAAGGAGTAGGCCTACGCAGATCCCCGCTTGGAGGATAAGCTTGACAGTGTTGTGGCTTATCGAAGTGAAGCTTGGCTGGCCGGTGGCTTTTGACCCGGAAATGTTATCGAATGACTTCTGACCACCGGCAAGTGTATCGAGATGGACGACATTACGAGGGGGAGTGAAGAGGAAAGTCGACCTTTATTGGGCGCCAGCTCTGGCGCCCCTCATCCGTGGTATTCTAGTAAGTCTGTTTCTTGGGCGTTCGATTGGAGTCCTCTCTGTTTATCACTTTGCCCGATTTGAGGAATGAGGATGCTACCATGCCTAACCTTGGGCCTGGGTGTGGATTTACGACCTCGAGCGGTCTGTATCTCGCTACCACCAAGAGGGGTCGAACGCTAACCAGGGATGCAACTTGTTTCCCTTATCACTGACATGCAGATAAGTTTGTTGGTGCTCGGTCCGATAAATAAACCAGTTGCCCACACTCTTTAAGTTGATCTTGTGCTCGAAGCCTGTCTTTCATCTGCCCACCACTAGGCGCTCGAGCCTCGCTGACATGGCCCAATCAGATATGGACAAAGACATCGAACAACGCAAAGATGCTGCGGCGATGATAGCCACAGCGTCAATTGATGATATCAATGCTGAAGCACGTGTTGCTGCCGACAAAGAGCATTCGCATACCTTTTTCGAAGCAGTGAAGCTATATCCTTCTGCAGTGGGATGGTCGCTTTACTTCTCGCTGGGAGTGATCATGTAGGAAGCCATGTCATGTGTAGACTACCGCTATTTCTAACACTCTCAATCTCCTAGGTGCGCTTTCGATCCGCAGCTCCTTGGACAATTATATGCGACGCCAGCATTCCAGAAAGATTTCGGATACTTTTACAAGGATAGCTATATTGTCTCAGCTCCATGGCAAACAGGCCTATCCATGGGCAGCCCGATTGGTCAAGTAGTCGGTGCATTCTTTTGCGCCTATCCCATGGAGCATTTTGGTCGCAAAAAGACTTTTGGGGCCTGCGTCATCCTCACCACTGGATTTATTTTCATCCAATTCTTCGCCAGATCACTTCCTGTTCTCCTTGCTGGGGAACTTCTCGGAGGTCTTGTACTTGGATGCTATGCAGTCATCGCACCAGCTTATGCCTCTGAGGTTTGCCCGTTGGCTCTTCGAGGAGTTCTCACTAGCTGTGTCAACATCGCATTCGTCACTGGCCAGTTACTGGCGAACGGAGTGATTGCGGGGACTCACGTACTGACAAGTCACTGGGCATACAGCTTACCATTCGCTGTGCAATGGGTTTGGCCACTGGTGATTCTGATCGGTTTGCCATTCGCCCCAGAGAGGTAAGGTATAATTGAGCTGGCATCTGATACCGGCTAACATGAGGTAGTCCATGGTGGCTTCAAAGACAAGGCCGATATGAAGATGCCGAGAAATCACTAAGACGACTCGCATCTTCCAAGGTCGATATTAAGCCCACGCTCGCGATGATTATCGAGACTGATCGTGTGGAAAGAGAGATGGAGGCTGGATCAACTTATGCAGACTGCTTCAAGCCAATCAATCGGAGGCGAACAGAAGTCGCGATCGGTGTTTACACCATCCAGGTCCTGAGCGGAATTTACCTGGTCGGCTACGCAACATATTTCTTTCAACTTGCAGGACTTCCTACTGACCAAGCGTTCAATATGGGTGTTGGATTTCTTGCCATTGGATTTGTTGGAACTTGTTTCTCCTGGGTCCTTTTGATTCATTTTGGTCGCCGACGAATTTACAATGTTGGTCTGGCGACCTTGGCAGTACTCCAACTGATCATCGGTATTCTCGACTGTGCACCTAATTATGACAACAGACCTGCTATCACGTGGGCTCAGAGCGTGCTGATGCTTATCTGGAATTTTGTATACGACTGGTCGATTGGCCCAGTGTGCTTTGTACTGATCAGCGAAGTGTCCGCCACTCGCGTTCGATCGAAGACCATAGCATTGGCGACTGCAGTCCAAGCAACGGCAGGCATCGTCATGACGGTCGCAATTCCCTACATGTAAGTGGCGGAGAATGGGTCCTGTGGGAACTACACTAACATCTCTCTAGGATCAATCCAGATCAAGCGAACTTGCGTGGTAAGTTAGGATTCTTTTTCGGCGGCCTTGCATTGGCATGTCTAGTCTGGTCATGGTTCAGAGTCCCAGAATTGTAAGTTCCACGCCCCTGCCTTATTGTTGTGGAAGGATGTTAATCCATGTCTTCACAGGAAAGGGAGAACGTACAAGGAGGTGGATCTGATGTTTGAGCGTGGGGTGAAAACGCGCGATTTCAAGAAATATAATATCACCCAGCCAGCACAATAAAGATGACGGATGTGGAGCGACTTGAACTAGAATGAACCAGCAGCAGCATCAAAATGGTCGTTGGGAGTATCTCATAGTCCAGATTGACCCCATATATCACTGTCAGATGTAATCAATCAAAGTATTCTAGTTGGAACAAAGACCCGTGGCACCTTGATTACTCACGTGTCCGATCCGGATATGCATAGTCGTACTCGTCTGAGGAAGCAAGAATGACTTGCATGTGCAATGTTCAAGTGACGCGACTAGTACACGCTAGGTGCCACCCCAGGCGCAGTTTGGACCATTTAGAGACCTTTGGACACCCAGACTCAACTGTGATGCGGGGGTCCTTCACCTGAGCTTGCCCGTTGCTGCCAGTTTCTTGATATTTCACAACGGGCCGCACTGCACCTTCCGTCATTCATTCACGGCAGGCTGTTGCCTCGAACTGCACATCACCTCCTCCTCCTCCTCGTCTAGCCTCATGTCTTGTCCAGCTCCCTAATATCTACCACCGTCACCTTCAATGGCGAGATTGTCAAATCCCTTGGGGTTTACAAGAGGTCCCGTTACCGTCATCACTACTTTGGTCTATCTTGCAGTCATCATTACACTCATCGTTATTCAGACTGGTGTCCCTTCCCCACCAAAGTCACCCACTCCCATCCATGGCATCAACTTGACAGAAGCATGGCAGGATCTACAACTGCTTTCCTCCTCCTACCATCCCTATAACAGCCGACAAAACGACCATGTTCATGACTGGCTGCTGGACAGAGTCCAATCCATTATCAACGAGAACAATGCGTCCTCCAACTCCTCCACCACAGCGCATGTTTTCGAAGATAATGCCTCCAATTTGACCTTCTCGTCGGGTGGCTTTGCCACTGCTTCAGGAGTAAGTGTCTATTTTGAAGGCACCAACATCATCATCTATGTTCCCGGCACTGAAGATGATCAAAAAACATGGTGGAAAGAGCCGAATGGAAAACCATCCACGCGCAACGCAGTATTAGTCAATGCCCACTACGACAGTGTTTCAACTGGTTTCGGGTCAACAGATGATGGTGTTGGGGTCGTGACTGTCTTGCAGCTTCTCAAATACTTCACTACCCCCAAGAATACGCCGAAGAATGGTGTGGTACTTCTTTTGAACAATGGTGAGGAGGACTTCTTAAACGGGGCCAATGTTTTCAGCCAGCATCCCATGTCAAAGGTCGTCAGCACATTCCTCAACCTTGAGGGTGCTGGAGCTGGTGGAAGAGCGACGCTCTTCAGAAGCACAGATGAGGCGGTGACCAGAGCATATGCCAAAAGCCCATATCCCTTCGGCACAGCCACATCCAACGATGGCTTCAACCGAGGTCTGGTGCGTAGTCAGACTGACTATGTTGTATTCAACGGTATACTAGGGCTGCGAGGTCTTGACGTTGCTTTTATGGGCCCCCGTGCACGATACCACACTAATCAAGACGACAGTCGCCACACTGGGCGAAAATCATTGTGGCATATGATTTCTGCCGCTGTACCCACAACCAAGGCTTTGACTGAGGCATCTCTCAAGACAAACCTCGAACCCGGCCATACTCCTGGCCACTCTGCCGTTTGGTTCGATGTCCTCGGTCGTCGCTTTGCTGTCTTGCGAACGCACTCGTTCTTCGCACTCTCTGTTACTCTTTTGGTGGCTGGTCCAGTTTTCTTGATACTGACATTGGCCCTATTGTACCGTGCTGACAAGCTGTATTTGTTCTCTGGATCCAGGTCCTACCACATGCCCAATGGTGATGATTCGGTTCAGCTCAATGGCTGGCGTGGCTTTTTCCGATTCCCACTCATCCTCCTTGTGTCTTGTGCTGCACCAGTTGCACTCGCTTATCTCATACTCAAGGAAAACCAATTCATCGCCCACAGTAGTGAATGGGCGGTATGGAGCACAATGGTCTCGTCCTTCATCTTCGTTGCCTGGTTCCTTTGCAGAACAGCCGACTTTGGGAGACCATCGTCTTTAACTCGTGCGTACGGCCTTTCTTGGCTCTGGGTCGGATGGTGGGCTCTGTTGGTCGCCTCTACCGTTTTCGAGGAACACTACCACCTTCTTGGGACGTATTTCATTCTCATCTACACTGCCTCGGTCTTTGTTGCAACTTGGCTATCGTATCTTGAACTATTCTCTCTGCCTAAGAAGTCGACGTACTGTCGTGGCAAAGTCGGCGACGACTACTCTTCGTCTCGTTCGGACAGTTCCATCCATGGAGCTCAGGGCCCTTCGGCAACTACGCAGGACGATGATGCTGGCAACAACGAAGACGATGGGGAAGACGAGCCAACTGAAACATCAAGTTTGCTCAAAAATCGGGGCAGGTCTTCGTTCAAAGGCTACACCCGACCAGCTGATGAACAGAGTCCTGATTCGACACGCAAAGATGAAAAGGGCGATAGTTACGAAGAACAAGAATGGAGTAAATCTCAGTGGTCCTCATGGTGGTTGCTGCAGCTTCTGGTCCTGGTACCTGTCAATGTCATCATCGTCGGGCAAATCGCCCTCTACACGACCGAGGCGTTGCATCAGACAGGCCAAGATGGTAGTTCCATGTTCTTGGTCTATCTCATGATGGCAGTGTCGACAATTATTCTTTTCTCTCCGATTGTACCCATCCTGCACCGCTTCAGCTGGCACATTCCTATCTTCTTACTGCTCGTGCTGATCGGCACACTTGTCTACAACTTGGTTGCATTCCCTTTCTCTGCCGACAATAGAGTCAAGCTCTTCTTCATTCAACAAGTTGACCTGGATATTGGCAACAACACGGTGTCCCTGCAGGGCGTGACTCCGTTCTTGCGAGATGCGATTGAGCAGTTGCCTAGTGCAGCTGGGCAAGAGTTGAATTGTGTTCAGGCGGGATTCGCTAACAACCTCGAAAAATGTTCGTGGGAGGGGCTGCCACCTAACGTAGCCAATCAAGCTGCAACTGTCTCTTCGAAGCTCAAGTACAAAGGCTGGGTGACCTTCAACTCTACCCGTGTCAATGGTAGTGACAGTGACAACAAAGCGCGTTTCGTCGTAGCCGGGAGGAATACACGGGCATGCAAATTGACCTTTGACACTCCAATCACCGCATTCAGTGTTCAAGGACAGGCAGCGCGGGACAAGAGGTTTTCACCTGTCCCAGAAGCCGGCAGTGGTGAAATTCGCTTGTGGTCACGAACATGGGACCGCAGTTGGACGGTAGACGTTTCTTGGGACAACTCTGAGGAAAAGAATTCAAGCATGAGCGGCAAAGTGGTCTGCTTATGGAGCGACGCCAACCAGAATGGTGTGATACCTGCTTTTGACGAGGCACTGCATTATGTGCCTGACTGGGTAGCCGTGACCAAAGCTGGGGACGGTCTGGTGGAAGGATATAAACGCTTCACCATTAAGTGATGGGACAAGCTACTGTTGCTGTAATTGTAATACTGTGGCGGGCGTGCTGGTCTACAGAAATTGTGTTGCCAAACAAAGGATTTCCGCCTTTGCTTTGTCTGATGATCATGAGCGAGCATTCCTAAACGGTCTTTTAGAACGATGTGAACATTGAGAATGGGCGTCCATGCCATGAGCCATGGGATAGTGTAGAAAGGGTCAGCGGGAAAGGCTTGCTTCGGCCAGCTTTCTAGCTGTTCAGTGTCCAGCGCTCATCTATCTGTGAGCGATGGTTCTTGCCTCAAACCCATTCAAGATTCGGAATACAAACACGACCGACTTCACACGATTCCACTTCATGAATGTGTCGGATTCTTTACAAGAGCATCATAACAGTCTCATCCATCGGGCTGTGCAAGAGTGCTCCCAACCTCCCACAGAGTGACGAACTCACGATATCACTAGGCCGATAGCTTCAGACGATTACATCTCAAATCATGTCGAAACCTTGTTGGTGGCAGATCCGATCTTTGTGACTAAACTTAGACCACCCTCGCAGCCTATTGTGGTTTGTGTCCGAGTGTTTTCTCCTAGGGTAAACTTTTTCGAGACAATGACGCTGGCGGCCCTCGGCATAGAAATCATCGTAAAGATCATGATTCGTCGAGTTTGAGCCGGCGAAGAGAGTCATTGTTGGCCTCTATCCGTACGAAGCACTCTACACGGCCCACGGGTGGACAAGGTTCGTAAGGGGGAAGTCGTGTTTGACTTTGGTCCCAAAGCGAGGAATGATGCTGGATGCCAAAGCCTTAAGCGAAACCTCACTCAAGCAGAATCGGAGTCGCGATGGAGACTTCGAAACACAACCGCAATTGCCCGATTGGCGGCTTGCTCCCGACACTCCAAGTTCTTCTTCCAACGACCACAGTCTACTCTTTCCAAACTCTCTGCTTGTCTCATGTGGTGGGGTGGAAGGCTGCTCGTCGAAGAGCCGCTGCCTACGGATAGAGGAAGTTCCGTTCGTTTGCAGCAATTGGTGTGGCTATGCTTTACATTCTAGGTCTAGTCTAGCAGCCTTCCAGCTTGGACACACAGTTTCGAGCCTCATCGCTTCGAATTCGGTCAGCTTTTCGACGCGAGCGAGGTGCCCAAGCCGGCTTTTGTGCTTATCGATACAGCTCAAACTCTCACGCAACAGTCGTAACTCGAACCTGTGGCTTCAATGGACTTTTACGAGGTCGACCATCGCACGATCCACAATGCAGGCTAACCTCTTCCAAATGTCTCGAAGCCTCCCATATGTTTCCAATTAGAGTTCGACTCAATGGCATTTGGTCTCATGAACATTATTTTTTCTCATGTATCAGTCCCCACAGCACATGAGGAACAACTGACCAGATTCGTCTTTGGCGGTGTCAGACTGCTCTTATCGTGGCCCAGACCACCACTGTTGGCCTCGGCGGCGCGCAGTTGTTCTCTTGACAGCTCCGGGTTGAACCCTCGTATGTGAAGAAGGTGAAACCTCGAGCAGAGCTCCACAGATCTTGTGATATCTTTTGGCGCCATTGAATGCAGGCTGCTGATCCCACGGAGAGATATCCGTACCTGGTACTGGAGTGAGACCTTGCAGTGAAGCAACCCCTGTCTTCCCCAGAGGAACAAATACGAGGCAGGCCACTAGACGTCTAGCTGTAGATGGCGGCTGCCCGAGACGGGCAGTTGCTTGTCAGAAACATCAACCAAGGACGACTAGTGGTTGTTCTCTCGGGCACGAAACTGTATCCGTACTCCAGAAGCTGGATAATCGCATAATCCCACACGATTGATCTCTCTCTACTTACTGTTTGGTAATTGGCAACACCAGTGTACAACGCAGGTGTCTTCTTACTGTTGAAGTCGAACATGGGTGGGGAGTGAAAGCACTTACTACTCCAATCAACATTGCTGTGAGAACAACCTGTTGTATGTGTGTGACGAGGCTCGCACATCTCATCCTCACTCTGCGCCATGTCTCGCTAAGAAAGTTTTGCGGCTTACCAAGAACATTACTAGTCTAAGAGAGCTTTGGCCCCGTACTCCATTTCTGTACTACTATACAAAAAAGGAACTAATGCACTTCCGGAAGTTTGGCTGACAATCCTCTACACTCGCTCTTGAAAAGTGCGAGGTATGAAGAGGGTCCATCCACGGTGGTCAGTGCACTCGCCCAAGCCTACTACCTTCGGACGGTCTAAACCAAGATGGTAGCATCCAGCCTCGCCTCTGAACCACTAGAGTTGGGAACACGGAGGCATTCGAAACTGGTTCCAAAAGAGAATAAAACATTCCTTAGTGTCTGTCGTCTTCAATCCACCAATGGGAAGCACGCCATGCTCCAATTGGCGTCTAGTATACTGCGTGGCACATGCAGACGGTAGAGACCTCAGCTGCATGAGCAACGGTTTCAACCACATCTCCGTGACTGACGATGAGAATAGACATTCCAAATCGTAGCCATCGTGGAGACGGATCACTGGCCGCAGTGTTTTGTTGAGATACAGTTCATGCAAAAAGCAGATCCAACATGACAAGATCGAGGCAACAACAGAAACATAAATAGCGACCTTGTTCCCTCATCAAGTTGTGGTTGTTCATCAGCATTCAATCAGCATTCCTCTCAAGTCAACTATCTTCATCACCATCTTTAGTCTTTCATTCCAATTAAAAGGCAGGTCCTTTGTTACATTATTTTCAAAACCTCATCAGAATGGTTGCCTACTCATCTTTGTTGACCTTCGGGCTTCTTGCGGTCGCAGACCTCGTTGCAGGACACGGCGCAATCATTGCCGCGACCGGTGATGCTGGTGGCAGTGGTTCAGCTCTTGGCATTGACTCTTCTACCCCCCGTGATGGAACGAGAAGACGTCCATTCCAACAAGATACCACTCGATTCCAGGGAGACGCTGCCGAGACATTTGGCGAGACCCTTCAAGGTGGCGACAATGATCCAGAAGCCGGCACGGCCGCGATCATGGCTGAGTCCGGGGACGATCTTCCTCAGATCACTCCAGGTGGAGAAGTCCAGATGACTTTGCACCAAGTCAACGGCGATGGTGCTGGCCCTTACACATGCATGATCAACGCTGACGGCACAGGTGCCACTTGGACTCAGGTAAGCTTACCAATCAAGATCCAGAGATGTCCTTCATGCTAACCATGACCTAGATGACCGTTACGCAGCAGGTTCCTGGTCAGCGAGGCCGAGACCGAGATGGAGCTGAGACTGATTTCGTGAGTACTGGTAGCATTATTCACCTGACACACTTACTGACCACTACTCTAGCCTCTCACTGCCGCAGTTCCTGCCAACCAACAGTGCACTGGAACCGTCGCTGGACAAGACAACGTCTGTATGGTTCGGTGCGAGAACCCTGCAAGAGCCGGTCCATTTGGTGGTGTTGTTCCCGTACAAATGGCCGCCGCTGCCGCGAACAATGCTGTCGCCACAGGAGCTGCCACGAATGGAACAGCTGCCGCCACCAACGCAAACACCGGAACAGCCGCACAGATTGCCAATGACAATGCGACTCCTGACACAGCTAGTGCTAAGCAGGCTGCTGCTGAACTGAAAGAAGATGCCCTCAAGAAGCGAAGACTCCCGCGCCGATCTTCTCGCGTCGTTCGCGGCACTGCTTCAGAAATTGCTTACCGCGCCAGACGTGGTCTTGATTGGTAGATCCTTGAATCACATACCAGCTAGCAGCCAGCCGCTGCCGCAACATGGTCCAGCCTCATCAGTGGAGCCACCTCGAGCGACAGCAAGGACACAGAAAAGCGAGCAACAAAAATGTACCAACTATTGACGAATTTCCTTTTTTTTTTACGACTTGGGCCAAAACCCATGCCTGAACACTCCTTTTGGAATCTAGTTGACTTGAAAGAATGCAACAATCACAACGTTCCTTACAAGGATGTCATGGCAAAACATCTAATCAGCGACACAGTCGAGACGTAACAAACGCACGCACGCATATTTGGGGAAGAATATTTGCATTGGAGGGACGGAAACAATTGGAATAGACTGGACAATCTGCGATTGAAAAGCATTGCATTGGAGGATGACCTGGTACGAACCTTACGACGACTGTAACAAGACTAGCTTTGCCATGATAGCCACACTCTCCTTAATATGATGATGAGTTTTGAAAACAATGCTTGAGTCAGTGAGTTTCTTACTAAGTGAAGAGGAGCCAGGAGACTTTGTATTCCGGAATATTCTGTGGAAGGCATGTTCCGTGAGCCTCACTCTACCCTTAGAGGATTCCTCATAGGTACTTCACCCCGTCACCAGCACAGTAAAATTCACCTTGATAATTTTGAATCTGCCAAATTCTGTCACCAAATCAGCACCGCCTGGTTAAGCAGCTTTGTCTCATCCTCTCTGGCATGGAAGAAGGTTGATGGTTCAAACCTGGCTGACGGTAAAAAAATTGCGTGGAGATTTTAATCAAAATCTCGGTCTCCAATCCACTACTCGTCCAAGTCAATTGGCAGCTTTCGGATCAGGGCTAGGGTTTTCTAATCACAGGATCTAAGTTACTTCACCTCAGGCAGGTCTTAGGCGGGGTTAGTTTTTTGCTTTTTGATAGAATTATGCTTTAGATATTTTTGACTGGTTTGAGAATGTGTATGTGCAACTCGGATAGGGGCAAGGCTGAATCCTTCAGTACCATGAGTCACCCAAGATTATCACGTGCAAGATCGTGACTCGCGCAGGCAGCAAGCCCGCACGTTTAGGCTTCACTGCTAACTACTGCCTCATTTCTTTGCGGAGTATGGACCTGGAGCCATAAATAATTCCTACGCGCCAGGATCACCGCACTTCTTGGTTTCTATATCCCATGAATATCGGCCGTTGCACGCCTCCCTCACGCTCGACTGTTCTTTCATTCAGACACGCGTCATTAACAACACAGCACCGCGAAAGCGTCAACAATGTCTGGGCTATTTGGGAGTGCCTCTTCTACCCCGGCTGCCACCAGCACAACAGGTGACACGTCCAAAGATGTTGCGCTCGTCTCACCCCCGGAGGATAGCGTGTCGGATCTTCAGTTCTCTCCAACACATGACTTCTTAGCCGTTGCATCATGGGACAAGAAGGTCAGGATATACCAAGTCAGCGAATCAGGCCAGAGCGAAGGGAAATTCTCCATGGACTTCGATGGCCCTGTTCTGAGCTGCTCGTGGTCTCTTGTAAGTCTTCCGGAATCTTGCAGGGTGACTCTCCACTAACTTGTCTTAGGATGGCTCGAAAATTGCAGGCGCGGGTACAGACAAAAGTTTTCGAATCATTGACCCTGGATCAGGCAACATGACCCCCCAAACCCTTGTTGCACATGAACAGCCCATCTCAGCATGTAAATTTGCGGAGATCAACGGCCAGCAGATCCTCGTCACCGGGTCCTGGGACAAGACGGTTAAATACTGGGATTTAAGACAGCAGAATCCAGTCGCAACTCTCCAGTGTCAAGAGCGGGTTTACACAATGGACGTCAAGAACAAGCTTCTAGTCATTGGAACTGCTGATCGCTACATCAATATCGTCGACCTGAACTCACCTGAGAAGTTCTACAAGTCCCTGCAATCGCCTTTGAAATATCAAACCAGAGTCGTATCCTCCTTCACGGATGCATCAGGTTTCGCCGTCGGTAGTGTCGAGGGTCGATGCGCGATTCAGTACGTGGAGGAAAAGGACTCGACGAACAACTTCAGTTTCAAATGCCACCGCGATACGCCGCCCACCACTGGCCCGAACTCGAATGTCGCCAACGTCTACAGTGTCAACGCCATCTCGTTCCACCCCATTCACGGGACCTTCTCCACTGCCGGTAGTGACGGCACGTTCCACTTCTGGGATGGCAACGCGAAGCACAGATTGAAGGGATACCCAGCTGTTGGAGGACCAATAACGGCCACTGCGTTCAACAGACAAGGAACGGTGTTCGCATATGCAGTTTGCTACGATTGGAGTCAAGGTTATCAAAAGAATACTCAGCAAATGGTTAACAAAGTTATGTTGCACGGTGTACAACCCGAGGAGGTCAAGCCGAGACCTGGCGGCAAGAAGAGATGATGATTGCAGTACTTGACGAATCGCAATCAATCAGTACCATTGTTGAACCACGACAAAGAAGGCTCTACACGACCGACGAGACCATGACACAAATATTATCCCGCTTCGGTGATAGCTGTAAGGATGATGGAGGACAGTCTGAGGCAGCTCAGAGGCCTTGTCACACTAGGAGGAAACCTTCCACTACTCTTGTCACGGTGGCTCCCTATTGATTCCTGAACATGGCAACCATCTCATGATGAGGCAAATGTGGTCTTGATCGGTAAGGGTGTCTTGATGCAGGGCCTAAGGACGGTAAGGCGAGAGCCCGATATTTGTTTGGATCCATCCCTCAGCAAGTACTGGGTTCCTTCACAACCACATGTTCATCCCCAAGCTTGCCAAAAGAGGGTTCTGGGCCTGAGTCCGTCCAGTCGAGCGAGTCTGCCAGGTATTGAAATGAACCTCCGCCAGCCAGAAGGGTGGAGATCTAGGTAGTTACTCGGTAGATAGCCATATCACATCCACCCTGCATCAGCCCGGCATTTGGATGGTTCAATGACATTAAATAACAACACAATCTCACTGCACTCCTGAGCCTGCCCCGGCATGAGTTGACTTTAGTCTTTCAGGCGTTACTAATTTTCACTGAGCAGATATCATGGTATTGACGGCGGTCTGACCTAGGTTGGCTGCATCACAATGCGGCTTGTACTTGGGGTTATGCGGCTCTCCAAGACCTCACAATCGCTCGCACGGTGGCGGGCGACACTGTCTTCGTTGCTCATACCATAGCACGCTGTTCCACTCGATCCCAAAAGACTCTCAAAATGTACCCAAGCTGGAATTTCAGTCTGACCCTGCCCTGCCAGGACAAGGTCATAGACCATACACACAAGAAGCTAACTACTCGGGGCCACAGACGCTCGCCCACGCAAAGCTAGTGGCTCGCCTGAACAGAAATTCAATAGCGTTGGTGGCTTTGAGCCCTTTCAAAAAGATCGCGTGTTGTCCAGAGAGAGCACGAGGCCTCGCCCCCACCCTTTCTGGCCACGCCTATCGAGCCGATGAATCCTCGTGCCATGGCTCGGCTAGGACGATCGTCTGCTAAGCCTGGGAATGGTGGGGACAGGATTAGATCGAGAGATTCGAACGAGTCATTCTTTCTCGTGAGTGGGGTGGGGTTCTGGAGCAACTGTTCCTGGATTCGATAACCCCTGGCTGGTGTTACGTTTTTCAGCTTGCCTTTGTTCGGCAAGCGTTGGCGATTCAACCACCCCATGTCCAAATTATGCATGCTATTTGCGCTAGGATGAGGCTTCGTTTCTACACGGGACATGATCCGCACCACCATCTAGTTTGAGTTTATACAGGTACAGCAGCCACGTGCCATAGGGTTGACTCTTTGCAGACAACGAGATTGACTCCAAGCCTAGGACTGTGGCCCTTGGAAGAAAGCTCATATCCCAATATCTCGTATACGAGATGACTAGCTTCGAGGAGCTTGAGTAACGACTAGCCGCAGCATGCCATGGGTAGAGGGCTCGGGAATGCGGCTCGAAAGGGACTCACGCCCCATATTGGACAGCCAGTCGTCCCAGGGAAAGATGGTTGATTGTCAAGGCTTCCATTGCCATTGAGGTAGTTAACTAGGTCCTCAACTGGTATATAAGACAAGGATAGTGCGATTCCTGCCTCAAAGGATTCGATCCTTCACACCTCCTACTACACTACTTGGAGAAGCAATCAAACCCTCGAAATAAACATGGCCTGGTCAACACCCACACTCAGACTTCTCATGATCTATCTCCCGTTCTTGCTGCACCTCGCACACAGCCAAACAACCTCAGCCGACTACTGCCAAGCGCTGGTCGACGTCCTCTCGATCTGTCAACTCGAAACCTCGGGTTTCACCGCCCTGCCCTTCACGCAGCAACAGTCGTGTTACTGTGCCGATACGTTGGGCACGCTGGCGTGGGGTCCTTCCACCTTCGACAATATTGCTTCGCTCTGCGCTTCGCAATACGCTACTATCGATGTCACCATCGCCAGCGACGCTAGGGTGCTCGAGGGTTTCTGCACTGACTATGTCCCCGCGTCGCAGACCTCGGTGGCGCCACAGTCGTCAGTCGCTTCACTGACGGGAGCTGGTGTTGTGGCGACAGCGACGCCGCAAAACACGGTGAGTTTCGATTTCCCCTTCTCAAGTTATAGTGCAAATATTCCTGTGAGCTGCGGTTAACTAAACATTGGACACTCAGATCCCCAGCACGTTCGCAAGCGTGACGAGTGTCGCGGGTGGGGCAGGCAGCGGTGCGCTCACTTCGGCAGGCCCAACGCCTAACTCTCCAGGGACGGAGATCAGTGTGCTTACCGTGACGCAGACTTCTGTGCCGATTTCGAGCAAGAATGCGGCGGTGGGGGGGATGTGTTGTCCGGGGATGCAGGTTGTGGGCTATGATGTGGCTTTTGGTGCGGTGGTTCTCGGTGGATATCTGGTTGCATGATCTTGCGTGAAATTGACTAGACCAGTTACGAGGGCTGTGCAAAGCCTTCTTCGAGGGCTCTTGATCAATGATGGTGTGTAGATACTCAGTAGCGTACTAGCGAGGCTTTCCAGACCTTCGAGGCGTATTTTGCAGGCCAATGGATTGTGGAAATTCTTTGCAGCCATACTTAGCATCACATGAAATCAATGTGATTATCCTTAAAAATCTGACTATAGCCGCCAGGCACCCCCTTCGCTTCGATCATAAGTCCAGAAATGAGCAGGCGCAACACAGATGGTTCAGATTGGATCATGGGCAGTGTCGACAGGTTTCCCAGCTTTGCTTCTGTCTCAATCCAGGGACGATGGTGGCGAAGCATCAAAAAGCTAGCGGCTCGTATTCGAGGAATTGACAAAGTGTACGAGGCAGCCTTGAAGAAACGCTCCGAAGTAGGTGCTCAGTACCGAGCGGTCGATCCATTTCGAGAGAGAGAGGACCAGTTCTAGACTTGGAAATGGAGGGGCGATGTTACGAGCTGAGGCTGAAAAACTAGTTAAGCCTCCGAGTCAAGCTTATTCAAGATTTCGCCGGAAAAGCTTAGCTTGAGGCTGCATTGTACGAAGAGGGGTGCCTGGAGCCAGGGGAGCGATGTTTGGGTTCAATTTGTACACACATACACTCCGTATTTTGCAGATTACCCCCTCCTGTTCCCCCTCCCAGACTGAAGCTGCAACTCGTTATGGTTAGAGGTAGATCTCAAGAAATCAAGGTGTCTGGCCTATCAAAGTTTCATGTACACCACCTTGAGATCTTTTTGTCTTAATTCTCGTGTCCAAGTTCTTTCGTTCATGGGCGCATCCACTACCTGAGCTCTCTTTTGTCTTGCACCTCGTGATGAGGGAATTCCTTTCATGGTCACGCAGATCGTTTCTGACCGGTTATGGTGACAAGAGACTCGTTTTCGCTTGGGTGGCGTGGCTCTGGCACCATTCGCTCTCTAGGTCGGTCTCGTTTGTGCTGCTGAGATCCAATGCTCTCCCTTCTGCCATGGGCCAGGTGAGGAGAGGCTAAGCGAAGTGCCAATCTCGCTCATCGCCTTTGGTAGCTGGGCTGGACCGAGGGAACTCAGATTTGAGTCTTGGGCTTTTGTTGAACTTTGATCTCTCAATTGGCTTCTCACGGGCTGGTATTCTGGTTCTGTGTCCGTCTGCATAAGTTGGAGGCACTGATAGTTGTATGACGGTGTAAGGCTCCAGTTTTTGAGGCCTGGGTGTGTGATGGTGGGTGCGACCTCTCCAGTCGTGATCACTGCCTGTCGAATCCAATCCAACAAACCATTCGGCGTGTTATCAACGACGAGTTCGTATCGAACGGCCTCACGCTGTCGTAATGTCCTTAGACAAATCAATAATACCGCCAGATATAGCGTCAGGCCGATGGTGAAGACCGTGGCAAGGATGAATATCAAGATGGCCGCAGCCGGAATTCTTGTCTTCGTTGCAAGACATCCTTGAGTCAAGTCGGGGATCTCTGGAGGTGGGTTGTTGTTCCCTGCCTGATATGCAACTGACATCATCACGATGATGTCAAGAATCGAAGCAATTTCCACTCCTGGATCGAGTGGCATAGGTACATTATCAGTGAAATATTGATAGATACTTGCTCTGAAGTTGTTGCAATATGTGGTCAATGTTGTGATGGCCTGAATTTTGCCAAGTTGATACTCCAATGAGGGTGCATCAAGCGTGCAAAGAAATGTTCGCATCAGCTTTTCATCTGTGGCATTGGGCGACATGTCTACAGCCGCTCGAACATCCCAAGGATGAGATATCGGGCTGTTGATAATCTCGTCGGGAGTGAGACCGCTAAGCTCTTGCGACCAGTCACCTACTGAACTCGATGTTGCCATGACCTGAGTATACCAGTTTTTGCCAATGTAACTGGTTTCGCAGCCCGAATAATTTCCAAAGAGCTGGTTTCGGGAGACAAGGTCATCAAAGATGGCATTCGGATCCACTCGAACGTTATATTGCACATCCTTTCCGTCTTGTGTACAATTCCATCGTCCAATAATATCATCAGCATCTGCGCGAAAGTTCAGCTCGCCGTTGGCCTTCTTGAAGATGCCGGTCAGTCCACCATTGGATTGACTCGTGAATGTGGCCCTGGTAATTGTGTCCCATAGCGCACCTAAATTTGAAGGTGCCATGGGGCCGAAGCCACTTTGTTTAATGTATGGGACCATATAATTGTTGGTGGTGTTGAAAGGGCATCTGTCGACGACCATGACCGGCATCACCAACGTGCTCACCACAAGATCGGCTGCAAACCAGAGAAGACTTGCCAAAATCATGATAACACCCAAAAAGCCGGCGGGACTGCGTCTCATTGAATAGATGACATATGCCGCACTTGTTCCCCGAAGCCATCCAGTGGTCTGTGTTGCATCCACGGTATTCTTTTTCATCATTTGGAGTTGGGATCTTCTTCGACAACATTGGTCTCCAATGGCTGCTGCCAAAGGTAAGGTTATGTTGAAGTACACACGAAGAGCGAGTCGTACGTATGAACTTGACTCATTGAGTAGAATTTGAGCCATTGTAGCAGTTTAGCATCGAGATCATAAGAGACACTTCAGAACACAGAAAATTGGGGTATTTGAGTAAATCCTGTGTGGAATCTGAGAATCGCTGGTCGCCGGTGACTTTGAACATAGCCCGTCCGAGGTATAGTCAAAATTGTCAAGTACAGGTCACTGAGGTGGTTGCAGCTAGTGCGAAAAGCAATTGTTCAGCTCGTTTTCAGTAAGACTAGGTTCAGGGCTTGCCAGGCTGGTGAGGCACACTTCGACCACAAGATCATCCGATAGACCGGATCCACCCACATTGAGGCACATCCAGTCGCCCTGGTGCTCTTGCTCATAGTACGGCTTCAAGTGTGAAGGTGTGATCGATTGTTCGGCGCCACAAAACAAGATCAAAATGAGCCTCACGGACGAGAGTGTTCGGGATTCCGAAGATCCTCTGAGTATTTGGGCCCAGTCTCTCGAATGTGACCCTCATCATAGGTGCATGATCTAGATGGGGTCGCAGAACAGCATTCGGCAGCCTAAAGTCAGACATCCTACCCAGGGTTCAAGTCCACAAATTCAAGCAAGACAGTGGTAGATCGTAGTATGGTCAGTCATGCTTTCTGTCTGGACTGGGCTTTGAGCTTCTGGCTGTAGCTAGATTAAGATGTAGTAGGTTGGTAATTTGCTGCCTGTGTGGAATTTACCCTTGTGAAAGACCAGGACATCCACCGACTAGGAAACACAGCTCCTCCAAGCTGCTCCTTTCTCAAGAGATCAGAGCATTGAAATCGGTGCGTTTCAACCACGAATGAGCACTTGCAGAAATACTTGACGGGTTCCTGCTGTATGCCCTGTGACTTTCATCTTTGTATACTTGGTTCGGTAAATTCATCCGCCAGCCAAGGACGGCTGACGGAATCCATCGACACATACAATCGATAGATGTAGGGACTAATCTTCGGCTGCTTTTAATGATGATTCAGGAATTAAAACAAGCAATTCAAGTTGACAAGATAAGTAATTGTGAACTCCCGAATTTGGCTAGCTTGGGGAAGTCAGGGATACCTCGACGCTCTATGTTTGACCATATGCTTTCGTTTTCGACATGTGTCAGCTTCCACGAGATGTATTCTGGGTCACGGAGACTTTCAACGAGTGGGATGTCACCGGCCCTGAGTCGGCCCGCTTTGCGGTGTGCTTTCAGAATCGTATTGATGGAGCAGGAAGAATAGATACGAGATATTCAGGTACCAATTGCGTAAGACCGAATTATGGTGTGGATGGTCTTCGGTCGACGATATGGGGAGCTGCTTTAAGAGTCAAGGTAAAACAGCGACGCATCAAGTTTGGGTGAATGTTTAGTTAGTCAGGAAGTGACGTCACTTTCAGGGCCGTCTGGATTATCCCTTCGCGGGAGGGAGTCAGCTCCAACGACTTTTCTAGGCGTCAACACATCAACCCCGCGGAGGTCAAAGATAATGTGCCGCCAAATCGCCAAATCGTTCAACCGTTGATGCAGGTATTACCTTGGCATACGAGGTGCTGGATATTCTATCTCCGGTCCTTTCAATTATGCTCACGGGTAGGCGCCGTATTCGGGGGGGCTACTGCTCGAAGCCATTAGTTTCTGCTCCCCCGTTGGCTGATGGCGTGCATTATTCATCTGCTGATGACTCTTTGGACTCGCTTCATTCCCACAACTGTTCACCTGCTTTGAACGTGCGGAGAGGTTACTTCTTTCGTCAAATTCACGTTGCGTGGTAATGCATGCCGTTGTATGCTTTGCACTCGGGCTCGTGTTGGATTAATCAGAGCATGGCTGCATGGCATCAACACCAAGACCTTTGCCTAATGACATGGAAGGAAGAGGTATAAAGGTCGACTATGTCGTGCCCGAGATAGAGCTGGGAGCAATTCAAATCCAAGCAACTTGATAACAACAACCAAAACTCCAAGCACAACAGCATCGACCAATTCAACGAGCATAGTACCAGAAGTAACTACTGACAACCATCCATCCTCAGATCAAGACAAACCCCAAGAACTAAACACCATGTCCAAGCTTCTTACTGTTGTCGGCGCTACAGGCACCCAAGGTCTTTCACTCATCAATGCCGCTCTCAAAGATGGCTCCTACAAGATTAGGGGTTTAACGCGGAATCCCAACAGTGAAAAGGCCGCTGCACTTAGCAAACGTGGTGTGGAAGTTGTCAGGGCAGATATTAACGATGGAGCATCTCTGATCGAAGCATTCAAGGTTCGTGATCCTGTATCCGGTGCACTAGACCCCATGGCAAGCTAACGTGGAATCCTCCAACTCCAGGGCTCCAATGCCATCTTTGCCACGACGGATTTCTTTGAGCCATTCAATAACCATGGACCGGAAAAAGCCATCGAGATCGAAACTGCCCAGGGCATCAACATGGCTCGAGCAGCCGCGCAAACATCTACCCTCGAGCACTATATCTGGAGTACGCTCCCCAACGGCGGAAAGTTGACGGGTGGAAAATATCTGATCCCTCATTTTGTCGCCAAGAACCGTATCGATGACTATATCAAGGCCGACGAGGTCTTGTACCCCAAGACGTCGTTTCTGTGGATAGCCTGGTATGGTAACAACTTTCAATATCCAGTCTTCACACCGAGTCTGATGGTAAGTTGAATTGAGCCTCCGCCTCCTCCAGGGGCACCCCAATAGAAAGAACAGGTCCTAACCTCAGCTCTCTTTACAGAAACTCCCTGGAAAGTACGTGCAACTGTCGCCTGTGCCCGCGGACGTCCCCATCCGGGCAATTGGCAACCCGATCATCAACATCGGCATCTTTGCACTCGCAGTATTGAAGAAACCGGAAGTGACTCTGCCAGGACGCTACGTGCTGGCCGCCAATGAAGAGAGCACCACCGGCAAGCTTCTAGAGGATTGGTCTGATGTGACCGGTCACGCGTCACAATACGTGCAGACCTCGACGCTCAAGGCTTATGCAGACATCTTCCCTGCAGGCTGGGGCTATGAGATGGGTGAGATGATGGTGATGTGGGAGGAGCTCAGGGAGAAGAGTTGGTCCGGAGAAGAACCGTTGGTGACGATTGATGAACTTGGTCTGCGTGATAATGCTGAGTTGACTACGGTCAAGGACGCTTATAAAGCGATGGAATGGAGTACGCTCTTGTGATCTGAGAACGATCAGAGACGTAATCTCGCACGGTTCTGTGAATGAAAAGCCTTGAAATCAGTGAAGAATTGGTGGTATATTTTAAGTTTCTGGAATAGTCATAATGCCATGAGGATAGATTTGCTTAAAGCTCAGTCGACAGATTAGTCAAGTGGGTCAGTGGTTTCGTCGTACCTCCCTCACCGTTGATCAATTTGCATTTGATATCGCATCCGCGAGACAGTCGTTCCTAATGAAGTGAGATGGAGATGGGGTAAGGAATGGGCATGGAGGCACCAGTGGCAAGGAAGAGCCGTGCGAACAGAGTTCAGCAAGAGTTTGTTGGGGTTAGTCAATCATTGGGTTCTATTTGTTCCGTTGAGGCGACTGCCAAATACATAGCTGATTGCGTCCTACCGAATGAGTAGGTACCTAGGCATATACAAGTCTTGAAAGATCAGCATACGAATACGCCTCAGTCATGTACGAACACGTCAGCTCGCAGTCTAAGCCATTTTTTTTAAGAGAAGCGCATACTGGAGGGCCGGAATTGATTAGCTGCATGGTGATGCTCGATGATGACAGGATCAAGGACGATTGGAGATGCAGGTACCAGAATCTCTGGTGAATGACGTGGGGTATTCGCTCAAGGAGGGAGGCAGTGAGGGAGCCGGGTGCGCCCACATCTTTGTGGGTGTGAGAAATAGAGACCTCTAGTTCTCGGCAGCCCTGGAGGTACCTCGGATTAGGCGTGTCCAGCTCCCCAACCAAAGTACTTTAATAATAATGGCCCTGCATGATTTTTCCCTGTTCTCCCCATCGTTTATTCTCCAGTTGAGTCTAGCTTCATTTCCAACCGGCTGGAAATTTTATTTGTGATCCACTTCTGCTTCTGCTTCTGCGTCTCCTTCTCCTGCTCGTACGATACTGAGGCCACTAGATTAAGTACCTAGCTCACTTGAATCATGAATTAATCAATCCCATATCCGTACAGTCAACATGAGAGCATCCTCTTTATCGATACTATCCTTCTGTCATTCTTTCTTTGTCTAAAGTTGTTCCTTCTCATCCCACCCGCTCCCCATATTTCATCTGTCGGTATGTAACGGCCATCCCAACACGCATCGATCCTTGCATTCCCCAGACCGCCACTTGCCTGCTTCAACTCTTCTCAACTTTGCATCGAGTCCCGCCCCTGCCAAAAATTCCCTGCCGCCCGCTCTTCTTTAAAGTTGTTACTGACATTTGCAAGCCTTCGACGCAGGACACTGTACTACCCTCTACCAGTACCTCGAGCATGGCAGTCTAAGCTGTTTTTCTTTCGTCAATCCTAGTGCTACCTAATACCCTTCCACCCCCTCGACTCACGCCGGCCAATATGCGTGGCTCACATCTGCTCCCGAGGCAACTTCGGGCTTTGGGAAAAAGTGATGGGTGGCTGAATCGCACTGTCACTTCCAATCTTCTCGCCCTGTCGCATACGGCTTGCCAGCACCCTATTCACACGATCGTCATCATTGCATTGCTTGCCAGTACTTCGTACGTTGGACTATTGCAAGAGAGCCTATTCGACAGTGGCGTCAAGTCGCTCCAGCACAATGGCCGTGTCGATGTTGACTCTCTCTTACAAGGAAGCCGAACATTGGAACTATCGAAACGTACTCTATGGAAATGGCAGGTTTCTGATGATTCCAGTGTACCAGAATCGTCCTTGGTATGTGGTCACACCTTCATCCCTTCAATATGAACAAAAACTGACAACCTGCTATCCCACAGGGCGCTCACCATTATGCTCTGAGCACATTTATTTTTCCAGACTCATCCACCTCTCAATCCACCCCAGATGCTCATTCTGTTCCTGTTCCGGCCAATGTCACCGCCACTAATGTTCCAGCTACTTCAAATCTCCTCTCGCCGATATCGCACGACACTTCTTTAGCCTTCTACACTTCTTTCTCCGAGATCGCTGACTTTCTACGAGCGGTTCAGACTTTACCAGCACACCAGACCTCCCTGGACAACGACCAGACACTGTGGATAATGAAAGCCGCTCGTCTGAATGGAAACGGTTCTCGTGGGGCCTATCGAACATGGCTCAGTGAAGGCTGGTCCTCATTTGTCGACTTGGTGAAGCATGCAGAGACCCTGGACATTGTCATCATGGCGCTAGGCTACTTGTCCATGCACCTGACCTTCATTTCCCTTTTCCTTTCCATGAAGCGTCTTGGCTCAAATGCTTGGTTGGCCATTTCCGTTTTGCTTTCTAGCCTGTTTGCTTTCTTATTTGGACTGGTCACGACCACTAAGCTGGGAGTTCCAATCAACATGGTCCTCCTGTCCGAAGGACTACCATTTCTGGTGGTGACAATTGGTTTCGAAAAATCCATCATTTTGACCAAAGCGGTCTTGTCTGCCTCCTACGACACCAAAAGACGCCCCCAAGAAAATGGGGGTACAAATGGTCACGCCATCGGACCCACCTCCAATCTACCACACTCGATCCAAGATGCCATTCAGATTGCCGTCAAAGACACGGGGTTTGAGATCGTTCGGGACTACGCCATAGAGATCACTCTCCTCATTCTGGGTGCGGCTTCCGGAATTCAGGGAGGCCTCAGGCAATTCTGCTTTTTGGCTGCCTGGATTTTGGTGTTTGACTGTGCACTTCTGTTCACCTTTTATACCACAATCCTGTGCATCAAACTCGAGATCAACCGAATCAAGCGACACGTGGCACTCCGCAAGGCCCTCGAAGAAGATGGAATCAGCAACCGAGTAGCAGAGAACGTGGCCACCAACAATGATTGGCCCAATGGTCAAAGCGATGCGTCTGGAGGCTTTAATATCTTCGGCCAGAAGATCAAGGCCAGCAGCGTGCCCAAGTTCAAGATATGGATGGTCACTTGCTTTGTCATCATCAACGTGATTAACCTCTGCACCATTCCATTTCGCACTACACAAAACAGCAAATCCTCTGGAGCTACGATCCCCAGTGTTCTTACTCCATCGCCCATCGACCCTTTCAAGGTTGCAGAAAATGGTATTGATGCGATATACGTCACGGCGAAAAGCAAGAAAATAGAGACCTATGTGACTGTGTTACCACCCATCAAATATGAGCTCGAGCATCCTGCATTAGATGCTAGCGGTTTAGGAGATGAACTTGGATTTTTTGACTACCAATATACCGATCAGCTCTTCAACGTTGTTGGTGGCCGGGTGATTGAGGGTGTCCTTAAAAGCCTTGAGGATCCCGTCCTCAGCAAATGGGTATTGATTGCGTTGACACTCAGTTTGATTCTCAACGGCTATCTCTTCAATGCAGCAAGATGGAGTCTGAAAGAACCGCAATCCACGACACCCTCGCCAGGTGGAGCTGCTAGGGTGCCTCAACTCGAACTACCGACAACACCCCGACCGAGACCTGCTAAGCCTGACCTCCCAGCCGGCTCCACCAGATCACGGGCGGAGTGCGAGCAAATGCTCAAGGAGAGACAAGCTGCTTACCTTACTGATGAGGAGCTGATCGATCTGTCGCTGCGAGGCAAAATTCCAGGATATGCAATCGAAAAGACATTGGAGAACCCAGACGTAATGACACGCCTGGAGTCTTTTGTCCGTGCTGTCAAAGTCCGGAGAGCGGTTGTGTCACGAACACCAGCTACGAAGAATCTTGCATCGGGCTTGGAGAGCTCGAAAACTCCATATAAAAACTACAACTACGAGCTTGTCCAGGGTGCTTGCTGTGAAAATGTTATTGGATACCTTCCCCTGCCTCTAGGTGTTGCTGGACCCCTTGTCATTGACGGACAGCAATATTTCCTCCCAATGGCCACCACGGAAGGTGTGCTGGTTGCAGGTGTCAGCCGTGGATGTAAAGCGATCAATGCCGGAGGCGGTGCTGTCACGGTTCTCACCGGTGACGGTATGACTCGTGGTCCTTGTGTTGCATTCCCCACACTTGCACGAGCAGGCGAGGCTAAAGTCTGGCTCGACTCGGAAGATGGACAGCGTCAAATGAAAGATGCATTTAATTCTACAAGTCGTTTTGCACGTCTCCAGTCAATGAAGACTGCCATGGCCGGAACTTACCTCTATATTCGATTCAAAACCACTACCGGAGATGCTATGGGAATGAACATGATCTCCAAAGGCGTCGAAAAAGCACTGTCCGTCATGTCAATGGACTGTGGTTTTGAAGACATGATCACTGTTACCCTATCGGGTAATTTCTGTACCGACAAGAAACCAGCCGCGGTGAACTGGATTGATGGCCGTGGCAAGGCAGTTGTGGCCGAAGCCATCATACCAGGCGATGTGGTCCGCAGTGTGCTCAAGACTGATGTTGACACGCTTGTCGAACTGAATATTGCTAAGAATCTGATTGGCAGTGCAATGGCTGGTAGCATTGGTGGCTTCAATGCCCACGCATCCAACATTGTGACGGCCATGTACCTTGCTACAGGTCAGGATCCTGCTCAGAACGTGGAGAGTTCTAACTGTATCACCATCATGAAAAAGTAAGTTGATCACATATGCATCGCAAGAACCAGCGACTAACAATTTCTTTTTAGTAACCGTGGCAGCCTACAGATCAGTGTGTCGATGCCCTCAGTTGAGGTTGGCACGATTGGTGGCGGCACAATCCTCGAAGCACAGTCAGCTATGCTCGATCTGCTTGGTGTGCGCGGCTCACACCCTACCACACCGGGTAACAATGCCCGGCAGTTGGCAAGAATCGTTGCAGCAGGCGTCCTGGCTGGTGAATTAAGTCTCTGCGGAGCTCTTGCTGCAGGGCATCTGGTAAGAGCTCACATGGCACTCAACCGAAGTGCAGTCCCCACTCGGAGTACCACACCTGTGTCTTCGGCAGTCGAGCCTTTTGTACGCGCACAAGCAGGGTCAAACCTCCCTGCGTCATTGAAGATGACCAATGGTCGATGAGCTGGAATCGGGGAACACATTATACAATGATGTTGTTGTACCTATAACATGGGACTGTAAAAATGGGATCTTAGAGCACGGCGTTTTTCAAGGGGCAGACTACTTATTGAGCTATTGGTTGCTCAATCGGATGGTTATCAAGCTCTTGAGTGCCAGAGCAGGCGCCAACTTAGTTCGCCATTGCATTGGAGTTGGTGGTACAAGCAGTGATTCAGCTGCTCAGACATAATTCTACGTATAAATCCAAAATCCAAATCCAAAGAGATCAATATAAAATCATTGGAAGAGGATTACCCATATGCGATGTCCTGACGCGATGCAGACAATTCAGCCTTGAATGGCAAATAGACTGTTCATACTGACGACTACCAGGGAATGCCATTTAGACGTCTGGCTCAGGTGCTCTATGGACACACTGTGAAGGCCTCAAAAAATAATTAATCCAGCAGATAAGAAAGATGGAGATAAGAAGGATGCAAAAAAGTTTGAACAGCAGTGGAGCTTAGCGGCGGCAAGCCGAAAGCCACTGAAAGAAGATTATCGAATGAAAAGGAGAGATTTGGGGATGATGGGTGGGCACTCTCGGGCCACCAGTGACAAAGGAGGGGTTGACGCCCTGGCCAAACCCAAAACCAATGGCTTTCACCGCCTAACGCGATGGGATAAGGGGTAATGCCAAAAAGTCTTGAGGGCAATGATGGAAGGTTCTGATGGGATGTTCGGTGGAGGCTCCAAGATCTCGTGGCGGGAGGTGATCATGTCTTGCATGCGGGAGCAATAAGCCCAGATACGGAGTGCCGGTATAGGCAGATCATGGGACTGGGACTGGGACCTGAATTCTGCGAGTCTGTGCTCGTCTCTCCCAGGCACCCTGACCATGGAATCCAACGCAGACATAGGAGTGGGGGAAACTGGAAAGGCATTATTGTTGTGAGAAATTGGCCATCCTGGACAAAACAAAGGACGGGTTTCGTAGATACCTAATGCAGGCACTTTAGCTAAGGGACTTAGGTCCCCAGTGGTACTATGTAAATTGCATTAGGTACCTACCTAGGTACCAAGGTAATTAATGACGACGAGTACTCTCTAGGCATGGGGAGCAGGTGCAAGCCTACCTAATCATAAATAATAATGTACTGCACCATAAGTAAAAGAATGGTGCAGGAGCCTTTGATGGTGAGGTAACTCACTGCGTACCTACCTAGGTATGTAAGGATGCACCTAACCTTAATGAACAGAAGTCGCGTTTCCAGGTCCTCAGATGATGCCTTAGGCATGTTTACACACCCAAGTGTACATAATTCATTAATAACTTGATAACTAGTGATGCTAGGTGTTGACCGCCATGGTTCGACATCTGAGAGCCCGTCTCGTTGTCAAATGTCATTCGCCCTGCGAAGGTGCGCCAGGCCCTAACTTACTCCGTACTCCGAGTCCGTGCTCGTACCTGACTTTCATCCGCTTCTTCACACCCCTTGCTAGTCGCAACTTCAAGTTAGTTGCAGGTTCGCTACATCCCAACCCTACCACCACCGTCTTCACGCATTTCCTTTCCCACTTTCTTCAACTCGTGTCGTGCTCTTCTTCGACACTTTGAGTCTTCTACACCTAGACCAAAATTACACTCGTTTAATCAGCTCAACACGCCGTCTGCTGGACAGTTCTGCATCTGTGACGTTTGGTCCTCGAACCCCCTCCCTCTTTCGTTACCCTGGTCAAAGGCTTGATTCACCATCGCGCTTGCACATTGGTCTCTCTCCCTCCCTGTCGCAGGACCATCCGACACCTCCTGCTTCAGATTATTTTCTTTCATACCCTAGCCAGATCTACGAGCCCGACTCCGTTATCTCAATCGGGCTGTATCCCGGCTCACCTCTCTTTCGCCCATCACACTTTACCTTCAACCTCTTTCTCGACCTGCACACTTTCTACCAGGCCGCAGGTATGCAGGCCGTAACCCTCCCACCTTTAAGTCGAGGCGAATTGTCACCCGTCTCGACTGCCGGCAGTGAATGGTCCGGAGTCAATGCATACAATCAAATCCCCAGGAATGAAGCTCCTCTGAATACCTACTCATTACCGAAAGACGACTTTGGTCCGAACAAAGCACTCCCAGCCCTTCGCTCACCGCCCTTCAATGGACCTCCCAGTTTTGGTGGGCAGGGCCAACTCGAGCCTTTGGGCCAGCGACGGCCCTCTGACTCGGGATCGAGAGGTTCATCTCGCGCGGCGTCCATAGCGAACTCGCGCTCGAGCGATGGCACGATATCCGATCAACAAAGTAGAAAGTATAAAAAGATGGAGATTGAATTGTTCCAACATTACACCGTTCTCAAAGGCTATCTGCGAGGTGGTTCGCAAGCACCTCCACGTCCGAACAAAGCCAGAGACAAACTACTCCGACTCTCACCCGTTCAATTCCATGAGCTCAGCACCGATGTCTTCGATGAATTGCAGCGGAGACAAGCCGGTGCCACTATTCCAGGAAGACCTCCCCGCCAGATGAACATTCCCAACTTTCTCCAACCCCGATCAGATTTCCACGAAAAACGAAACCAAGCCCGTCAAAAGTTATCATCCTTGCAGGTACCGCGCTTCAAAGATCTCTCCACAGATGTCTTTTGCGAGCTCGAAAGGAGATTCCCTCAATTTGCATCTCGACCCGACACGGGGAACCGGCCTGGTAGCCGTTCACGTTCTCGAGGTCCTGGAAGTGTTTCATCTAACAATGGTCTTCCTGCTTTTCCTGCACCCCAAAGAGCCCAAACTTTTGGTCCTTCGGGGTCGCAAGGGTTTCAGAGACAAGACTCTAGTTCGAGCCTTCCACAATTTGAGAATCCTCTTCCTCCTATGGATTTTGGTCGACCGATGGCTAAGCAGTTCCAAAGCAACACCATCACTCCTAACAAGAGCACCATGGTTGAGGACGAGGATGATACACAAGCAAGTGACTCTCGATACGACCGCTCCAGTGACGCGTTTGGATTGGAAAGCTCTCTCACAAGTCCAAGAAGTGACCGGGACACATCAGCGACTTCTCAAAGCGGAGCGAGTATACCTTACAACTCCAAAGTGAACCAAGCGAACATGATCGAGTTGCAAGAGAAGATGTCCCAACTCGAATCTACCATGGACATGAAGGATCAGCAAATCCGCGAGATGACCTCAGAAAAAGCCGAATGGGAAGCTGCCAAAGAAAATGTGGAGAAGAAGTTGGAGGAAGCCCAAAACCTCAACAAGTCTCTACAACAAGAGATAGATAAACTCAAGGCCGAAACACCCCATTACAGCGGAGAGAATGTTCTTTGGAAAACAAAATATCTCAAACTAGATCACGACCATAGTATTATGCAAGAACAACTTGATAAGCAGAGAAATTTGACCGATGAAGTGAGTCGACAAGGACAACTATACCTACAAGAAATGAGAGATATGGCGGAGTCGGGGACCGGGAGTTCGGAGCGTGAGGAAAGGCTCCAAGAACAGGTACACAAACTCGAGGAGGAAGTCAAAGAATGGAAAGGGCGATACGTCAAGACCAAGACACAACTCCGGAGCGTTCGTGCAAGTTCGATAGGGCTCACGATCTCCCGGGCTGACGCTGCTCGACATGGGGCAGGTCTGCAAGATCAAGAGGGCTTGGTCAAGGATGTCCACGTCACCAAGTTCCAGATTGCGATTGACGAGCTACTTCGGATCGCTCGATCGGAGACACCTGCTGCTGTACTGGACCATATGAAGGTAGTGGTCTTGGCCGTACGGGGTATCACATCTGACATAGATGCTGCACCTCCGTCGGATAAGGATGACGAGGTGTCAAAACGAAGGGCGAAGATGAAGAGCAAAGTGTCAGCTACAGCCAACAACCTCATCACGGCGTCGAAGAATTTTGCCTCAGCCCAGGGCCTCTCCCCTATCAGTCTTGTGGATGCAGCTGCCTCTCATCTGACAGCTGCTGTGGTGGATCTTCTCCATACTGTCAAGATTCGACCAACGCCTGCAGGAGAACTTGAAGATGATGACGAGCCTAGTCTGGAGCCTTTGCAGAGCAATGGATATTTCAATGTCGTCGAGTCCCTTCGACGAAGAAGTGCGGTGGAGAGCGTTTACAGCGCGTTGAGCACTCCTTCGGAAGCAAGGACGGGCAGCAACCTGGCAAGTTCAGGTCTTTACCAGCGTGGAGGTTCGGCATATATCAATGGTGCCGGACTAGGGATCAAACCTGGAGCTGGATATGGTACAAGCCAAGAGGAGGCTGATCTTGAAGACCTCAAGGTAAGCATATGACTATGTTTCATTGACATTGCCACTAACCATGGAATCAGATGTACCTCGAGGATCAGACAGATGGGCTAGTACAATCCATTACTTCTATGGTCGATGCGATACGTGGCGACCAAGGGACAGGGACCATCCAAAATCATATCACGACAATTGCAGGTACAATTGAGAATATTGTGCGTTCGGTGGAACGAACAGGAGGAGAACCGACATCATATAAAGCATCGTTGGCTGACAAGACCGGGTCCATCATTCAATTGCTTCAAGACTGTCGTAGCAACATCCTGGGAATCAACTTGTCGGATGGCCGAGAGGCAACGCAGAAACTACCACCGTTGGCATTCCAGGTTGCACGCGAGACTAAGGAACTCGTGTCACGGGTAATGGCCATTGAGGCCCGACGGGAGGAAGATTTTAGCTGAAGTACAGGTCGGCACCAAGTCAGGCACTGCGTGTTCAAAAGGCGAAGTGGGAGATCTATCCGGTATTCACGTGTGCATATGTATTGTAATGTATCATCATAACCACCAGTAGAAGATAGTTAATGCCATATCAGTCGGCTGACGATAGATCAACTTGAAATGGTTCGGGGAGTTCAAGTTGTTGCGTGCGAGTCATGCTGAAAAAGAGAAATGGACAGACTCGATTCGAGGACCCGCCATGGGAATGGGACTTGGCAGGAGGTGTGCTATATTTTCTTGATGTGTTTATTACGGGCTGCAGCTCCCAGTTCCATCTCCAACCCGAGCCTCCCTAGTACCGAACCATTGAAGTCGAAGCATTCTTGTACCATACCAATTAGCTGCTTTCGTGTTGTATCATCGACCTATACTTGCATCCCTTGAGACTCCCGTACCGGCTCAGCGGTGTCCATTTTATCAATCATATTGTGCATTGTCTCGGCCACCTATCAAGAATTCAGCGATTATTATTGCCTTGGATCCTCCATTTCTATTGACACTCGAGCGAAGCATTTACCGTAAGTTGACTCATCTCTCTCCTGGATGTATATATGTATACATTAATGAATGATTGCGATGGAATGAGCTGACTGGAATCAATTACAGAGTATCTAGGTATTGAAGCTTTGAAAGGGGGATTCTTGGACTATCACGTCACGTGCAGCTCGTCAACTTGAAGGTGTGATTGAACTCCAACTTGAAGTCGTACAGTACTCGGTACCTACCATATCCGTACAGGTATGCCCACTATTAGCACCCGTCGTTTGCCCCCCCCAGCGGCCACCCAGCTTACAAGTGACAGCATTGCATTTCAGGCTCTCTCTGTCTGTCTCTCTGCCCCGACCTCAACTTGAAAAAGTGAATCCCACTTGCCAAGACCGTTTCACCCTGCGCAGCTGCCCCTCACTCGGTCTCCTTCACTGAAGCCACTGCCGCTTCCCTGCCTTTGGCCCTTGCTTCAAAAATGACCTCTCTGCCCCTCCGTGTCAACTCTTTCAAATCATTCCACACTCTCACCCCGCTACGAGCAACATCTTCTCTTCCTCGTCAATTTCTTGTCAACAGCCATTTCAATTCTTCCGCTAGATCCTTCTCTTCATCACCCCCAAATATGACTATCACCGCATACTTCGATGTCAACTACGCCGCTAAGAACGCGCAGCGTAAGTAACTTCTCGCAGCTCTTCATTCCTGTCACACCCTCCTCTATTTCTTTCTCCTCTGTCCCAACAACCACGAAACACCTTCCCTCTCTTGACTTTAACCTGTTGCTGACATCTCTCCGTCCTCCAGCCAAGACCGGACGTATCAACTTCAAGCTCTATGATGATGTAGTCCCCAAGACCGCCGAAAACTTCCGTGCTCTCTGCACCGGTGAGAAGGGCTTCGGCTACAAGGGTAGCTCTTTCCATCGTGTCATCCCATCTTTCATGTTGCAAGGAGGTGACTTCACCCGTGGAAATGTCAGTATAAACACCCAGAAAAACACAATCGTTGAAACCATACTGATTCGGCTTGTTTGCAGGGCACTGGTGGCAAATCCATCTACGGTGAAAAGTTCGCCGATGAGAACTTCAAGAAGCTACACAGCCGACCTGGTCTCCTCTCCATGGCCAACGCTGGTCCCAACACGTTAGTGACCCTTTTCATTTACAAATCCCATTCCACATCCGTGTCCAATGGCTTTGGCTCTGTACTAACTTTATCATTGCAGCAATGGTTCCCAATTCTTCATCACCACCGTCGTCACCTCCTGGCTCGATGGAAAGCATGTCGTCTTCGGCGAGGTTGCTGATGCTGAGAGCATGAAGGTCGTCGCAGAGATCGAAGCCCTAGGCTCTGGCAGTGGAACCGTCAACGCAAGCGTCAAGCCCACCATTGTTGACTGTGGTGCTTCCTCCTCTTAGAGGACTTGCATTCTTCACCGGTCAGACTCGAAAAGGGAAACATACTACGAGCTGGTACGGATGGGTTTCTAGCATCAGTGGTTCAGATCAATCTGCAGCTGATTGTTGGTGGCCCTTGCAAAGAAACTCCCCAAAAGTGTGTGATACAAGAGAGCATTGTTTCCCCACGCCCTCGACAAGTAAACTTAAGACTACTTGGCGAGGACGTCAAGGTTTACCGACATACCTTTTAATAGTCGGTAAATGAAAAGTTGATTCTACCCTGATGTACATGGTGACTTTCCCGTTCGTGGATTGTGAGCAGTCTTCCCAAGCTCCCGTGTTTTTCTCCGCCGCTTGCATGCAGAGATGAGCAATGCCACCCCACCTTGAAAAGCTCAATAAACAAGTTCCCACTGCCAGTGGCAGCACTTTGCGTGTTCTTCCGATTGCCCCGCACTTCACATGTCTCGGCCCTTTTCCCAACCTGCCTGCCAGTATTTGTAGTGATCCAAAACCCACCTAGCAGACTGGCAGTGCAAGTGATAGTGAATCATCAGGCCAGCCAGCCAGCCAGCCACTCCCGTGAGCGCACGGATGGTGCCACAAAAATGACCGGCTCGGCGGACACTTCCGCCGGGGGGGGGGTCCAGTCTGGTAGTAGTAAGTAGGTAGGTAACAATTCCCCTTTTTTGATAGTAGAGGAGGTATGGGATTCTCGACGTGGGGAATTTGTGTAAACACTGACTGAATGCGACTTGACTTGACTTGACTTGACTGGACTTGACTGGACTTGACTTGATCGGACATCCGAGTCTTGATTTAACATGCTTGTCGCCAAACCTCTGTCACCAGAAACAGTCAGGAGAAGGGATCGAGAGATGGATATGTATTGGTGATTATTGGTGCGAAGTAGGTAGATATGTATCCCCGCCATGCTTGACTTGGCCTGCTTCTGGTGGATATCAGACCGTACGCCCATCGCTGATCACTATGACTTGTCTGCGAACGAGTGTTCGATGAGTAGGTCGACAAAGTGCGCAAGTTGGAAATTAATCTGTATTAGGTAGGTAGTGTCTCTGTGGTATGGTTATGTATGGTGGATATATCTTCCCATCTCCTTGCATCATGTCAAGTGTTTTTCCCCTCCCTTCTCTGTCATCAAAAGGTGAAACCTGGAAACCTTTCATCTCCTTCCTCTCCTTCCTCTTCTTCTTCTTCTTGTCTCTCCGGTCGTATGTCTGTCCACACGGATGTGTGGGGGAAAATTATGTAGTACTGCAGAAAAAGACAAGAGGTTGTGCGAAATTGGATATCCGCTTTCGCTCTTTTTGGAGTCTCCGTGTACGCCTCGCTAATAACAAAACATGAAATGAATGGAATGGTCGATATCTGAATCATGAGATTTCAAAACCTAGGAATGGCAAAGCTTGGGTTGAGAGCTTCAAGAACAAAAGATGATGTTGAGCTTTTGGTGGCAAACTGTCAACCATGGTCAACCCGTAACAACTTCCCACTGGAGGGAAAACTGTGTTCTCCTAAGATAAGACAAAATTCGTATGACTCGTCAATAATCAATGTGTTGCCTGTCAGAAAAGCTTTTACCACGCAGGCCGCCCGTAAATTTCGGCCGCGCTTCCCTCGAATTCAGGTGAATCAGGACTGTAATGTATATGATCGCTCGCTCGATGTTGTTGAACAAATCCCATGTTAGAGGGCCTATCATTGCGAATATCGGCTCCATGGACACCCAGCGCCGATGAGGAATGTTGGAACTGTGTCGTCAGGGATGGATTTGTTGGAAGATTCTCATCTGTGTCCCTTAGCACACTTGAATTGGTCGACTCTGCTCCAGCTGAATAGCGCTTGTTTCGTCCAGGTGATTGAGTGTTGGAAAATGGAATTCGACTCGCACTCAGGGTTTGTTGACCTTTGTATGGACTTTGATGGGTATATGCTGAAGGCCCCATTGCGGGAACTCTCGGTCGGGAAACATTTGACCTTTCGCCGGAATCGCCTCCAGATTGTCTCCGTGAACTCTTCCGCGGAACGGCTGGTACTGCTGGTACATCGGGAATTTCTCCAGGTGGAGGTCTTCTCCGAGATTTGCGAGAAGCTTCGGAACCAATCCGGCTGGGTAGTTCTATTGCGCCAACCGAGTCAATCAGAGGTAATGATGGTGGTTGCTTTGGAACGCTCGACACAGGCCGTTCATCGTCATCGGAGTCATCTACTGATATATCATCATAGACGCTATGTCTTTGTTGAGCGGGTGATGCAACCCGCATACTCGTCCGATCTGGTCGGCTACTCTCACCTTGTGGTGGTAGCTCTTCGTCGTGATAGGGTTCTGGTTCTTGATTTTCTGGTATGGGCGTTGGTGGGAACAAGCCGGGAGGGGGTGCTCTTGCACTTCGAACCACCTCAAAGCCTTTGTTTTTCTCCTTGGTCTTTCCTCCAACAATTCCCTTAAACCAGCCTCTTGCTGTGGAAACAGGACCTGTGGGATCAGCCGGGCCAGTTTTCAGTTTTCTTGTTCCACTTGAAAGTGCCGCACCTCGAACACCATAATAAAAGTCCACCTCTCTGACAGCATAATCGGTCTTGGGGCCAGGACGTTCACTGATGGCGTCTTCGAAATCATCATTCTCTGCTCGTATGGGTGTCGAAGTACCCTCTCCATTATCATCCTCTACGGCCACTTCATTGTTGTTGCCCCTGGCTCCTCCACTTAGGGGGATTTTGGGTCTGGCGTCCCCTGCTCCGAGCGCATCCATTGTATTCCTCCGCGGAGGTCGATAGTAAGGATCTTTCGATTCTGTTTGTTTGTGATGAAGACCAACAATAGCACCGATGGAGCCAGTACCACTCAATCTCTGTGTGAGACGTTTCCCAATAGTGCTTCCACCATCAGGGGTGACATTTCCCATGGTGCGGCTATCAAGATTTGAGCTGATTCTGTTCGAATTTCTGTTCCCATCCAGTAATACGCCTGAAGTTGCAGACACACTTCGAGATCGTGTTTTTGCCATTTGCAACTGTTTCTGTTCATTGTCCATAGCGGAAAGCATTGCTGCATTGGATGACATGCTGTGGCGTGTCTGCTCTCTTCGTGGCATACGCCGTGACAGTTGTCGCATACCAAAGACCTTGTTCAGTCCACCTCTTGTAGCACCACCGGTATCTTCATCACGTCCTCCTGCGCCAGCCAGCCGAGCAATGACCTCAACAAGAGTCTGAATGGCATTTAAAAAAAAGCCAAAAACCAGAGTACAGGCATGGATTATCAGGATTGCATATCCGAGCCAGCCTCGGGAAGAATCAGCGACTCCGAGTGAAGGTACGAATGCGATTGACAAAAGAATGGTAATGAGCCTGATGACCGAAAAGCATGTATGATAGATGTTCATGGATGTGGCCGATGGGAATGGTCTAAAGGCATTGATGGTAAGAATGAGAACAATCTCACAGATGGCGAGTAATACCACTTGTGCAATTCCCGATTGTTGAACAGCACCAATTGCAATACCGCGCATGAGGTTGACCATTAAAGGAACGAGTGCAAAAGTGGCAGCATCGTCGCAGTAAGTGTTGTACAAAGGCCCATAGGCCAAGAGAGTGAGCAAATCGTCGAAGAGAACAGATCGTGGTCTTGTCCGCATGAACAAAAGGACAAGTCGACCCGTGAAAGTAAGTACGATGACCAGTGCCACTACAGATAGTGCCACCGAGTAATTGGGCCCACGCCCAGCAATGACTAGTTGATAAAAGGACAATGATGTTAGGGGGAGAAGGAAGAAGTTGAATACCACGCGAATGATGCTTCCCATGGTGAAAGGAATGTTCTTTGATCGGAGATCTTCTGGTTCGACGTTCGCAACTCGGCGATAGAGATAGCGTCCGGCGAAGCCAAGTTGGGACAAGACGACAACTGCAGCAACAATGACGACGAGCCAGATCATCATATCAGCCCAGAGATCTCGATCGGAGGTCATGCCGACAAATTGACTCATATTGTCGAGGCCGTATTTTGAATTGTTGCGAAGCTCATATATGCCATCGACGATTGGCTGGGTACCGTTGCCGCCTGTGACGAAGCTTTCATTGAACATGAGAGATGACCAGCTCACACGACTGACTGCAGGCTGGTAGAATCCGGGATAGTTCAGGCTCAGACTACCCGTCAGGACGACGAATTGAATGTATTGAAGGCAGTCTCCGAAGCCAGGAGTAACGAGACGCAAAAGATCTTCGTCGCGACCGAAATTGCTGGACCAGTTAAAAATATCACTGGAGCCCCAAGGACTGAAAACGGCGGCGGAAATGGTTGCAACGCCCACCACGATCAGGATTGCCAAGGGTAGATATCTTAAGAGGCCTTTGAGGGTTGTACCAATATCTGGAGTGATAGTGGCAGAAATACAACCCAGATATGCACCGTCCGCATCTCCAGATTGTATTTGAACGGTGGCTTGAAGAGAAGCGAATGCGTAGCTTGAGAATAAATCGTGGGCAATAGAGAAGGCGGGAAGCCGACTGAGATCTGTTGAATTGACAAAAAAAGCCGGACCAAGCGGACACTCATCGTTGAGGACCGAGTTGCAAAAACGGGTTGGCTGGGCGGTCCAGGGCGTATAACTCAGAAAGTTATATCGAGCGAAGAGAGTGGTGTATTTGTTGTTGGCTTCACTCAAGTCGGGGATTTTTCCAAAGGTGATGTTGGGATTGTCCCATGAAGGATCATCGGGAGCAGGGTAAGGTGCGTCGGTAGTTCGTCCTGTAACATTGCCATAAAAAGTGACGTTCAGGTTGTTATCGCCTGAGGTGTTAAAGACAGCCCTAGCTTGTAGAGGGTCGAATTGGAGGAGTTTGGGCTCCGCCGAGACGTAGGAGCTTGATAGACAATTCCGGAATTGAACGCGGGCACCTTTTACCGTTGAGGTACAGAAAGCAAGTAGACAGAGGAGAGTTGGTAGCGAGAAACTGAAAGGCGACGACCGGAGAAGTCGAGAACGTCGAGACCCAGGTGGATGAGAGATTTCCAATGAATTGGTATCCATGGCCACCTCTTTCTTTTGAGTCGAATCCATCTTAACAGTATGACATGGTTCTTAGTTGTGGCTCGAGATTCGCAGCGAGGAAAATAGCGTCGAGCAAGAGTGAAGAGAGTGCAAGACAAAGGCCCGGGCTGCCAAAGTTGAATCGAATCGAATGCGCACGAGAGAATGCAGATGGCAAAGTGCACAGTGCAGAGCGATCGACAACAACGGAAGAAGCGGAAGAACTTGAAGGACGCAGAGGGTGAAGAAGTCGAAGAATGTTTCAGATGGGAGAGTCGGTGGTGGATATGCAGCGAATGACGGGGAAGATTTAAATGTGGTGGTGATGGAATGGAGTATGGAGTAAGAAAAATGGTTGAATCAATGAAAGTGAAGCATGAGTGAGTTGAGGTCACCAGGCGGAAAGACTCGAACGAGGCGAAGGCGCAGGCGCAGGGAAGAGGAGAAGCAAAATGACCGCGACCGAGACACTGCAGAGTCACACACAGTGCAGTTCCAGTTCTGCGACTCCAACTTGAAGTCAAGAGCTGGCAACTGCAGGCACTCGCATGGGCAACTCTAACTACTCCATAGGGGCCCTGCCGAACTCGTTAGGGCCTCTCAGGCCACATCGAAGCCTAAAACCTGGCCTGGGATTGAACTTGAAAAGGTGTGGTACGACTTTCCTCGACATGGTCTAACCCTAATCGTTCCAGATCAGCCAGCCGGCGTCAGGAAGAACCACTTAATTCCTACACTATCCGAATCCATCAAGGCCCGCTTTGCTATTTCTGGCTCAATTCCCTTGCTTCTTCGAAAAACACGCCAAGTCCTATCCAGGACTTTGAGTATTGCATCTTTAAAACACACGTCCTTCTCAGACTCGGAGTGCTGGAACAAGGGCCTGCCACATATCACGCCTCAGCTTGTCCTCTTCCTGTGAACTTCTCGTGCACCGAATCTTGCACTTCGTATTAATTCCAATGCAAGTTCTACTTGTACGAGGTCCCGAGTACCATTAAAATGCCATGACAAACTCCCCGGAAAGCCGTTCCCGGCCTTCTCTATATGTACTGATCCAGAGGTGCCCACCAAGGCCACCACCAACAACGCAACCTTAACCAGCCATGCCGCTGATAGTTGAGTTTTGAATTTCTCTTGTCCGTATCCGGATCGGTGACGATCACTATGATTACTGTGGATCATTGCGTCATTTTATTCAAGACTTACTTTTGCCTGTGAACTAGCTCGATACGGTTAGCTTTACGGTGAATCATAGAAGCGTGACATACGTCGGGTTCCACTCCCGTCAATCCGTGACCCTGAGGCTCCACCGCCCAAGACTATCGTATCAGACTGAATGTGAGTTGAACGACAGATCAAGAACAATAACAACCATCTACTACAAAGCCACTTGGAATATCATCACTCTCTTTCCATGTCCTCTGCCAACATGCGTACCTAGTGACTGGCCAACGATATTTTTCTAACCATGTAGATGCTTACCATTGCAATACTTCTTGTTCCTTCTCTTCTCGTCCACAGCCTATCGTCAACTCGGACGCTGACGTGCTTCTCCCACGTGCTCATGTTATATCTTTGATATCGTTCTTTTCATCATCAATTTGGATATTCTCTCATTCCTCTAGACATGTCATCATCCGACAGTCTTAGCTCCCAGAGCAGCTTCGAGCCTTCGTCCACTTCCGCCGCCACCCGCCATCCTTATCCTTCACAGCGGATCCTTCCCAGAGCCTCGTCCAATGCATCCGCAAATCGTCCCTTACCAGACCTCCCTCGTCACTCAACTTCAGGCCCTAGCGAACAAATCCTCTCAAGCATACTTCGAGATCGACCATTACCCAATCCCGAGGAGCAGACTGTCGAGGAGCGAAGGCGCAGTCTGATCGCTCTCGACCGCAAAAGGAGGCTGACAAACCCAGACAATGGTGACTCGCGAAGAAGATCAAACCACTCTACTCTTCATGGGAGAAGGTTGGCTGAAGATCATCATCAGACCGAGGTTTCCTCCACCTCATCTACCCCCAGTCGAGCCTCTTCCAACACCCCTGGACCACCAGAGGTCATTGATCTGACGTCCTCTTCTCCTCCACCGCACCAAGATACTGGCCCGGAAGATAGATTGGCAAGGACACCCTCCGATAGATCACGACAGTACCTGGTTCCCCGCTGGCAGCCGGATTCGGAAGTGAACGAGTGTCCCATATGTCATCGACCATTTACTTGGATGTTCCGAAGGCACCATTGTCGAAAATGCGGTAGAGTCGTCTGTAACGAATGTTCACCCCATCGTATCACCATACCCCGTCAGTATATTGTGAATCCACCAGGTCCAGAATTTCCCACATCACCTACTAGGGGACGTGAGGACTCTACAGACCTTACACAAGCAGATGACGGCAATGCCCGTTCCCGCTCAATCTCCACTCCCGGTTCATACGGGGCTTCTGGAATAACGCTGGAGGGTGGTGAGAAAGTCCGCTTATGCAATCCTTGCGTTCCAGATCCTCAACCAGAACCGCCTTTGTACTATCCGAGCGTCAACGATGGCACTTCCCGTGATTCAAGGTGGAACAATAATCTCGTCCAGGGATTCAACTCGAACTATATCGGGAGGTCCGGTCACAGGCAGTCTGCTTCACATTCAGGAGCATTTGAAGGGCCCATAACAATAGCAGTAAGTGTTCACCCCAGTGTGACCAGAGTCATGCACTGATGGCAAGTGAGAAGAGCCCGCGAGATGATCTTATCCGTCATCAAGGTCAACGTCCAATCACCAACCGTCATGCTCCTTATGGCAATGTCGACAACAGTCAGACTGGTGCTGGTTGGTTTGGGTCTGTCATGGGGCCAACAAGATCTCGTTCTGCAACCTCAAGTAGCTCTCAAGTGCTGCACCACCAGAGTGAACATTCACGAGTAAGTCAGCCGCTCAATTTCTGTCTTCTGTCTAATGATTTTCCAGCATCCTCAGTCCCAAGGCCCATCATTGCCAATGATACGGCCGAACCCCCATGCCAATCGACAACCTCGGGATGAATACACCACCATTGCAGCCTCCATGCCCAATCGAAGCCGAGGCATGTCCCTTCTCGACGATAATAATATAACTGGTCACCGACCGCGACCATCGCAAAATCCATTTATCATGTCTTCTCGCCCACGTTTAGCCGAGAGTGATATTTGCCCAGTCTGTCGCCGAGCATTACCTCCCCGCGGACCCGGTGGAGACGAGTCCGCACGAGAAGCTCACATAGTCGAATGTCTTCAAGCTCGAGATCCTACATACCATGGCGAAGGCAGTCCCGGTGGGCCTTCTCAGATGCGCATTCACATGTTACCATTCATTGCAACCGAGAAGGACTGTGTAGGGCACGACGGCAGCGGTCAGGAGTGCTCGATATGTATGGTCGAGTACGATGTTGGGGATGAACTGGCAAGACTAGAGTGTCTTTGTAAGTTTCACAAAGAATGTATCGTGGAATGGCTGAGCAGGAAGCCTGAGTGCCCCCTCCACAAGCTACTCAACTGAGCGGGATTTATGAGTTTACGATTTACTTTGGATGATTACATGAATCTGGTAGCGTTTGCATGCAAGTCTTTTGACGACAATGGCTGACTAGCTGGATATGGGTATTGGGATAGACCATACCCTTGGTTTCAGGAGAACTCAACTGATATTCTTCAGTCCCAAAGAGCTGTTGATAACTACTCAACTTTGACAAAAAAGAACCTCCAGCTCACAATATTTTGTGGTTGATAACCCACCCCTCGTTGTGCAATATAGCAGGCCTCGCGAGGCCAGTGTGATCAGAATTTAGTAGCAGCTAGTTCCGAACTGGATAGTCATATATCGCTACACCTTCCGCAAATGAGGATGCTGAAGATTCTCTATCCACCGTGATTGAAGTTCGTCTCCAACTCAAGTTGGAGCTCAAAGTGCAATTACACTATCGCGAATACTCTCCGGAAACCTGGCTACGAAGTGTACCTTCAATAGCACACTCTTCATATCAACACAGAGTACTTTTCCCTGCCAATAAGGAATGATTTACTAATCAGTTCCCCGCGATTTTATCCCTCCTCTTTCGGCGGATCACGAATGCTTCTCTAAGTGGGCTTTGGCCGCATTTCCCATCAAAGCGCTGTGCGCCTGTTCTCAACTATGTGGCCTTTCAACACCTCTTCACAGCCCGTAGCCCTCGAAACGGCGATCAAGCAAACAGAGATTGCCATTGAGCCACAAGTTGTGAACCCACTTCCTCCCACGTCGGTTCCCGAACCAACATCGAGCACAAGCATAACATCTGATACCTGGGAATCGCGATCACTCGAGCGACTCTCTCTACCTTTCACCGCTCGAGCTCCTGTCATGATGGGCACTTCCTTCCTGTCGGGCTTCATCTTGGGAACCACCAAAGGAGCCACAACAGGAGGAGATCTCTTCAGGGCCGAGAATGCCCATCGTTTGCCAACCGAGAAGAATGGATGGTATCAATACCACAAAACCAAAAACTACCGGGCCATGATGAGCGGACTCAAGGAAGGTGGTCGATACGGAGCTGTCTGTACTGCATGGTGGTCCTTGTTCATGGTTACCGAAGAAGTGATTGATCGATCAAGAGCTCGGCTCTTCGAAGACCGCGATGACGATCATGTTTCGGGACAGCGAGACGCAGCAAGCACAGTCTTCGCTGCCATGACCGTGTCTGGCGTCTACAGCTGGACCAACGGATTGGACCATTTTGCCGCCGCCAAGATCGCCCGAACAGCACTTCGATTCTCTCTCGCGTACGGACTGATTCAGGATCTGGTTGCATCGGCCCGAGGAAGACCTCCTGCGTATATTGCCTGGCTACGAAGCTGAGATTTACCGCGCACTGAGGTTATATAAAGCTGGTCCTGTGGCAGATCTTCTCTGAAGAACTATCCATTATTGAAGCAGGATTGGCAGTGCTCAACAGCAATAATTCTGCTATTATGGCTTGCTTATACCACCGACCTGGTTGGTGTTCCATACACCTTCTACCCAGCGTTGACAATTACACTTTTGAGTGGTTGGCGCCCCAGTAGGTTTGATCAGGATTGCAGTCACGTGCGATACTATCAAACTGACCAACCAGGGAATCATTCATCCTGGGTGAGCCAGGATGTCCGAAAGGATATGAACTACTGATTGTCATCTTGATCTGCCACCGTCCGTCCTGGCATGGAAGGCAGTAACCGTCCGGAGTGTGCTGACTGTTGCCCTTGAGATTTGGAAAACCACCAATAAGATCTAGGCGGCAAAGTGGGTATCTAGAAAGATTCTAGGCGGCTTCTAGGTAAAGCACAGAACCCCGGTCGATCAGCCGCAAACCCGAGTGGTCGGAGCCTATGGCCCGCTTGTGTCTTGGAAATGGGGCAGCGAGCAATGATTTCAAGATGAGAGGTGGTTGGATCGCTTGACCATTGCTTTAAATATTTCCAAGGCAAGGCATAGAAGATTGAAATTTGAATGGTTGTTCGGACGGGTTCAACATCTCACTGACGCAGACGCACACACTCCTAGACGAGCAATGGGCAACGCTTGGTCCACCACCTTGATGTTAAATTGGACCCTGCCGACGTGAGACCCTGAGGTGACGGATAGATACCTTTGTAGTTGGCTAGACAGTCTTTCTCGTATACGCACACGTGGGGTCTGGTGAGGGTTTTGGAACTGTCTATGAAATCCGACATGTTCGAACAGAAATCTCGGATTCTGTTGACTTCCTGTAACCGCATCTAGTACGGATACCAATCCTTCCTTTACTCCTTGATGTTGAAGCCAGTTACCCCTTGGGCTCCAACGCGTCGATCCAGGGGGTGGGCTCCAACTTGCGGATAACAAACTTCTGGGGAAGGATTCCTTAAGGCTCCGAGTGTCATGCAAGCCTCAGAGTCAGCAGGGCCAGAATCGACCTTCCCCGCTACTAGTTGGGAACTTGGGATAAAGCCCAAGACCAGGCCGTAGTCTTGTACGAATGAGAATGAAACCAGCTGGGACTCTGCAAGCCTGAGGGAGTCAGGCTGGTCAAGCTGGAGATCCACAGCCCTCGGCCCCTCTCCCAGTAGTCGTATCCCAACCCAGCTCGCCAGATAGCCATCCTTTCTACCCGTAAATCAGCATCTCTTGTTTCGTGCTCGTCCTCGCTTCCTGAAATATACTAACCAACTAACCAAGCCAGACGAATTTCTTCCCAAGCCCCTCTATCCTGCACCCGCGGCCAATTTTCTTATCGACGACGTTCTTCCATTCTTCCACTTCGTTTCTGTTTCCATCTCCAATACCCTGAAAACACCCAAACATCACAATAGCCATTCCCCTGTCCCGCATCCCTCTCCCCCGGCTGCGCGCTTGCTGCGGTTTGCTCCTCAATTGCGCAATCTCCATCCATTTGTAGCTTGCGCCTGCACCTGCGCCTGCGCCAACAACTACGAAACCCCAGTGACTAAGCCAATTGACTCCTCACCCAACCTGAAGCACAAACACATTACAGCTTTTAAGTCTACAGGTTCTTCAGACGCTTCCACCATCACCTCTCGCCTTTTCCACCCTTGGAACCTTGCGGGCGAGCATCTATTATTGATAGCATCTTTCCCGCCTTCAAAAGTCGCACCATGACTGCGACTGGAGGATGAGGGGCACTCCACACCGAGCAGCAGTTCATTCCTGGTGAACAAGCGCTCGACAAGAGTTCAATTTCCAAAATGCGGCGACATCATGGGAGGGCACTGTCCCCATACCACGGTCGGACCGCCTCCCCACCATCCGCTGAGGTATCCTTAGTCCGCAGCTTTGACTCCCAAGTCAATCCATCACAACCCGTCAGACAATCTCCTTTGGCAATGTCTCAAATACAGGGCATGCCTCTAGATTTGATCGAACGAATTCGCTCCTTCCCTCTGTTCCAGACCACTTCCCAGAGCTTTCTCGCCGACATTGGTCTCCTTCTCAAACCTCAATTACACAACACCAATGAATATATCATTACTGAAGGCGATGACGCAAAGGCTATGTATTGGCTGGTTCGAGGTGCCGTAGCCGTCACGTCGCGTGATGGTGAAAGCACATTTGCAGAATTGAAACCCGGTGCTTTTTTCGGAGAGATCGGTATTCTTATGGAACGTCCACGCACGGCAACCGTGGTGGCTCGCTCCAGGTGTATGGTTTTGGTCCTGAAGAAGGAGGACCTACAAACAATCCTACCAAAGTATCCAGATGTTGAGCGATCGATCCGTGAGGAGGCTCTGGAGCGTTTGACCCAGCTGGAAAAGAAAAAGAGACAGGTCCTTCTGGGAACCGAAGATCTTTCCCCACCTGAGCGGCGAGGCTCTAAGCGCGCCCGAAATGCCTTCGGTGAGGATGTTGACATGGAAGACGGCTCCAACGCTACAGTTTCATCAAAGAGACGAAAATCCCCCAGCCCGGGGACGGCGGAAGTCTCAACCGCAAGTGCATTAGGTCATGGACTGGTCAATATCAGAGCAACGTTGAAAGAGCTGCCTTTATTCGCCTCTCTTCCTTCCGAAATGCTTCATTTTCTCGGACTTAGCGCCCAGCCAAGAAGCTTCACTCCATTTTCAGATATTGTCAAACAGGACACTCGGGGTAGAGAAATCTACTTCATCGTCCGTGGCGAGGTCGAAGTCATTGATGAGAAACACGTTTCCAGCCCGAGAGGGCGACAGGGTGGTGTTCCAAATGGCTTACCGAAAACACCACACGTGAAAGCACGACTTAGACCAGGGCAATATTTCGGAGAGGTGGTCAGTCTTTCACTTGCTGATCGGAGAACGGCCACTGTTCGCTCCGTAACTCAGGTCGAATGCCTTATGATTTCAGAGAATGTCCTTGCGGATTTTTGGCGTCGCTGCCCACCTGATATTTCACGGCAGATTGAGGCGACGGCGAAAGAGAGGTTAAAAACAGCTTCCGACAACGACGTGATCATGAATGGGCCTGATACAGCTCCTACCATTGAAACTTTAGCAATTGGTGATCAGGATACTATTCCGAGAAAAGGCGCTCATGGACCCAGGGTCACATTCACTGAAGCTGTTGCCCCCGAGTCGATCTTGCCTAGCCAGCCCGATGAGCCAAGCACCCTGGAACCTTCTGATCCCGATCCATTTCTGAGTCAAGGCTTAGAGAAAGTCAAATCTCGCTCAAGGAGAGGATCTTTGGCTCCCCCACCGCCAGATGAACCCTTAAAGGATATGAAGCGGCGATCCCCCAGATCGTCACCTATAACGACAGCAAGTCCAAGCCCTCGGAGTTCAGCTTCCGGCACCCCTTCACCTATTGCCGAACATAAAGGATTGGGCTTTCCGTTTGTAGACCCGTTCTCCCCTGGAGGAAGACCGAGGCCCATATCAAGATCAAGTCGTGGACTAAATCGAGGCACGATACCGGAGAAATTGCTACCCTTGATACTTGAACATCTTGAGCTTCATGAACTCATGCGACTACAGGCAGTTTCTCTACATTGGCAAAATGTTCTCACTAATGCTCCGAATCTCCTTCACAAGCTGGACCTATCCAAATATAATCGCAAGGTCACTGACGATTTGCTGGTCAATCGCATATGCCCTTTTGTGGGTCAGCGCCCTCTGTATGTTGACATCAGCAACTGTTTTCATGTAACCGACGAAGGTTTCGCTGCACTTGTGAGTACATGTGGCAGCAACGTCGAAACATGGCGAATGAAAAGTGTTTGGGATGTTACCGCTCCAGCCATACTGGAAATGTCCAATCGGGCAAAAAATCTGAAAGAGGTGGACCTCAGTAATTGCCGCAAAGTCAGTGATACACTTCTGGCGAGAATAGTGGGCTGGGTGGCGACTGGACATCAACAGCCACAGACTACGAGATATAAAGCCTTCGGACAGCGTCCGGTACTCAATACCAAGATTACCAACACCGCTCCACCAGCTGCTGGTACTGTCTTTGGCTGCCCGTCGTTGAAGACTATCACACTAAGCTACTGCAAGCATATCACGGATCGAACAATGGCTCACATCGCCACTCATGCCAAGGAACGTGTTGAAACCATTGATTTAACTCGATGTACAACAATTACCGATGCAGGATTTCAATATTGGGGCAACGTCAAGTTCCCACGCCTCAAGAAGCTCTGTCTGGCTGACTGCACTTATCTGAGTGATCAGAGTATTGTGTGGTTGGTCAATGGAGCTGGCAGTGGGTTGAGGCATCTGGACTTGGTAAGTGCTTACTCAATCAATCTATCTGGATCATGGCTAATTTTCATCTAGTCTTTTTGTTGTGCTCTTTCAGATACTGCAACGGAGGTTCTTGCACTAGGCTGTCCAAATCTGACCCACCTCAACATGTCCTTCTGTGGAAGTGCAGTGTCCGATCCGAGTTTACGATCTATCGGTCTACATCTGACCAAACTTAAAGAGCTCGCCGTACGAGGATGTGTCCGTGTCACCGGCCTTGGTGTCCAAAGCATTGTCGAGGGGTGTCAGAAACTCAAACTGCTCGACGTAAGTCAGTGCAAAAATTTGCAGCCTTGGCTTGTGTCCGGTGGTGTCGAACGATATCGCTCAGTGGGCCGTGACATTAATTTCATTGTCGTGAGCGTTGGTACCAAATTGGTGAGATGATCCATTCATATTTGACATTTAGCATCGGTTTGCGGGCTACATGATGAGACGAAATTCGATTTACTGAATTTGCATTGCTTCCGGTTTGGAAAGATTTGATGGATGGTATTGATGGTAGATCGACCACACAGCTGTTATGAACAATTACAAATCAAGCTCTTTTTTGGTGAGGGTCATCTCTGTTATGTATGAGGAAAACATGGAAATGCAGAAAAGGCCCAGGACAACCACAAACAGGGGATGGAGTTGCGATTATGAAAACCAGATTCGATACATTTTTGGAGCGGTGCAGCTGAAAACAGACAACACAAAGTTGATGACGATGGTTATATACTTTACCTGGGAGCATGGATGGATGGCGGATGATTTTCAGATGGTGTCTGGCTGCAATATCGGAGCCCCTTTCTTGATCTCTTGATGTTTGACACCAGGATGATGGCTTTTCTCCTGTACAGATACCCCCAAACACTCTACAACATCTAGTTTATCTAGTGGAGTTTGATTATTGATGACAGACATGGCCCAGAACATCATGTTCCATAATTACATTTGATCGAACGTACCTCTATACCCGCCCATTTCCATCTCCCCAAGATTACAACACTCTGCCTCCCGTTCTACCTACAATCCATCCCTCCCTTACAAGTTCTCCACGGGCTTATGAACAAACAAGCCCTCTCCCCTCGCCAACACCACCCCATTCTCATCCACGAACTCGCCATCAACGAAATACTTCCTCTCCCCTTTCACCTCCCTAACCTTGGCGGAACACAGCACGACCGAGGGCGTAAGCACGGGCCTCAAATACCTCACCCTCAAATCGGCCGTGACGTTATCGGGCCGCAAACCCGTGGACTCGCGACACACGGCGACCAGCAGACTCATGACCTCGTCGAAGATGGTCGCCGTCACGCCGCCGTGGCAGATCCCGCCGTAGCCGTCGAGGCCGGCGCGCAGGGCCAGCAGCGTGCGCACTTCGTCTTTGGCGTTGCGTGCCGACGTCGAGGGTTTGCGGTACAGACTGCACCATGCAGAGATGGTGGATGTCGTGTTGAGCGTCAGTGACAGGAGGTGGTTCTCCGTCGTGTGCGGTTGCAGGTGTCGCGTTACCGTGGGCTGGATCGCGAAGTCCGGGTCCGTCAGGATCGGGATGCACCATGGGATGCTGCGGAAGTGCTGTGCTTCGGTGTTGGTGCCGGGCGGCATGTTTGTTGTTGTCATTGTTGGTATTGGTGTTGATGCTGTGGTTTGAAGTAGATTTCGATGTTTATGTTGTGGAGCGATTGGAGGTAGATAGATACCCTCACCTCCTCGAGTCTGACGAGTAAAGCCTGCCTTCTTGTCCTTCTCAATAACTCCTCAAGTTGTTCTGGGTTTTTAGTACGCTGCCGCTCCTGTTCGTTGAATGGGTGAAGCAATCTGTACTAAAACAGGCATGTTCCACTTTATGAATACTGAAGATCGACGAGTATCTACATCGTACATCAGAGCACTGATGTCGCGAGAAGTACCTCGGTACATTTCCCGCTAGGGTAGAATATATTCATCCGCTGAAGATCAAATTAAAGTAAACTTATCTTTACTTCCTCCACCCTTAGCCACGACCCATGGTGAGTAGCGAATACGATGAAGCTCTTGGACCGAATCTAGACTGGATCGGTTCTGAAGCCTTCTGCATCTCTCGACTTCTCCTCTTGAAGCTCAAATGGCTCTCAGCTACTCGTAAGCGCGGCTCCGCGCTTTCCAAATTGGCTTGGCCCCCAAACCTCTGAGATATCTACCTAGTTGCCTGGGTAGGTAATTGGAATTTTAAATCGATCCTTCCTTCTTTCGGCGGGATGTTCAACCAGGACCATGGACCACTGCATCTGGTGTCTTGTCACTTGCAACTCGCAAGGAGATCCTGACCCCAATTTGAAGATGTTTGCTATGTTAGCAAGCGCGATTTCTGAAACACGGCGCCACCGTCTGAAGTTTCTCCCGGTTGCTTAAGCATTGGAGGTTCCCAGTTCCTCACCACCAATATATCTTCACGAAGGGCCACGGGAACGAAGCTGAAATTCTGATCATCATTCCCCACGATTGATTGCTATTTGGTCACGACGCCTGTGTCTACATTCGTCTGCAATCATTTTCTGTGAATGATCGTCAAAACCTGTGGCTCTGCCAATTGCCTTCCTAAAGGATGCAGACCACCAGCTGGTCTAGCCAATTTACATGCCGAAATGTCGACGGGATTTCTCTCAAGATGCTTTCAGCCTGTCATCATGTTTATCATGTGCCTCTTCACCCCAACATCTGGTTAACCCTTCAGCCACGCTAAGTTGGATTTCTGAAATGCCCAATGGCTGCCTTCTTGAAACTGGAACCTGTCGGACACCGGCAATGACACTTCACGTTACCAACTTTGCTGCCATATAACATGCTTCAGATGCCGTCCGGGAGGGCGCAGAATCTCCATCAACCAGGTATGATGGTAATCATAGAGAACAGATCAAATTTGACATGCTCCAGTCTAAACATCCACTCGAGCGCCGTGGTTGACGGAGTTGCGTTGCCAACATGATCATGTGGGAGAAGTGCTATTAAGTGTTTCGAGTCGCTTGAAGCTTATACCGTGTCTCTTCCCCAGAGCATTTGTTGTTTCAATGTCAAGAAACGAGAATATCAAAACTATCCAAGAAGATTATCGTACTATTCAACTGTCTTCCCCTGATTTGTATCAGTCATGCCATCTCACGCATGACTTCTCAGATTCTCTGGCAGCCATCATGGAAACACAAGGGAGCTCTAGACGACGGAATGTATGTTTTCATTTTCAATGCGACCGCTGTCGCTTCGGCATCAATTGTCGATTTAGCCATAGTCTTTCAACGACGGCTGTAGGCCAATCAGGCACAGCAGTTTCGACAGTTGGAGAGGAGAGTCGAACAGAAACATTGTGTCGAGAATGCACATACATGATTCCCAGATTTGATACGAAGCAGAGTCGTTTCAATGCTATTCCGGACCTGAAATAGTTCTGACAAAAAGGTTGGGAGCTTGTTGCAAGCGAGGATCCTGGGGCACGCCAGCTTGTTGTCTCTAAACTGGGAACAGAAAGTGGACTTGAAATCATCAACAAGTTAAATCGAGACGATGCGTGATGACTAAAAGAGCCACACTATTGTCTCATTCTTTCAGGAGAGTGTTGTGTCCCTGTTCAGGATTACTTCACACCCCGATGTACTGTCCTCCCTGTTACTGGAGACTAGACGTTGATGCCATAACTAGCATTCATGTTCAATAAAGCGGCAGGACTTCGGGGCATTATTAGAGCTCGGAGTGCTTTTGACAATGCCAAGCCATTAATCTCAATTCAGCGATGCGGTCATGCTCAACCGGTTTTCTCAAGTGAACGTGACATGTGAAAATCCCGAACTTTGAACGTCTATTCCGTTGTTACTCATCATCTTTGAACCATCTCACTCCACTTTCATACACACCGAGACCGCTGCTAATGCCAGTCCACTGCAGCAGACTATCTATCACTACTTCTTTCTGTCAACCTTCGCCTCTTATACCATTCGTCACTTGTCGACCCATCAAAAGCATTAAAACCCAACCTACCTCCCACTAACCTTGCCTAGATACAGTCTACACTACTACCAGGATCCCACAAAGTCACTCTGCCTCCCACCACTCGTACTCCCTTCTCCACGCCTCGGGCGCCCAGTGCATGCCCAAGTATCATCATTTCTCCAAATTTCTCAAATATAACCATCTCGCCCTGATGATTTGAGTACCGGTCCTTCGCCTAACGACTCCTCTCGAGGTTACCATCTGAATTGCAACACATGACCTGATATCCAAGGATACACATCGCATAGGCTATGTCCCGCTATTTAAAGCGCTCTCTTTCCCACGTCTGAACATCCTGCGCTTTCCCTTGATACTTTTGTGTGGTACTTAGTGGTACTTTTAAAGGCGCCTTGGTCGCCGTAAGAAAAAGAGATGGAGAAGTTCTCGCAATACCGTGACAAGGGTGAATATCCCTCCAGCCATCAGGTTGACCAATTTGATGTCACATGCAACTAACAGGTAACCTTAGGTTCTGGTATTGCTCCATTCCTTCCGATTCCTCCTGAACCAAAAGGGTTGCAACTTCCCTTTCACATCTTCCTCTTCGTCTGTCGTGTGCCTTTACTGTTGATCTTCGCCTTTTCGTATTTTGCATTCCTTCAATGGATGCCGATCGGAGTCTTTGGTAGAAAGGCGTCTTTGTGGTGCATTCTTGGGATACCGGGCATATGGTGGATAGATCTACAGATTGATGGCGTGAAGAAAGGGTAAGAGATGAATGGAAAGGAATCGAGAGCCCACACATTGACATTGCTTGTCTACAGATCTTTGGCGCAGAATAATGCTCGCCTGCCTCAAGATGGTTCCATCATTGCCTCCTCGAGAGCATCTCCCATCGATGCTTTATATCTTGCCGCCATCTTCGACCCAGTCTTCGCAGCCACGTATCCATACACTCGTCAGGTGGAGCCCATATCTCTTTTCCAAGCCCTTGTTCGATCATTCACTCATCCAAAACTCCATCCCTCGAGGGGAGCCAACTTGGTCGATTTGGATGTCTTTTTGAGGCGCAACTCGAATCGCATTGTGGTCGTCTTCCCCGAATGTACTACAACTAATGGACGAGGTATCCTCCCGATGAGCCCAAGTCTTTTGACAATTTCAGCTCGCACGAAGGTATTCCCCGTCAGTCTGAGGTATACACCTGCAGATGTCACCACGCCAGTGCCTCATAGCTATTACACTTTTCTCTGGAATCTTTGCAGCAAACCTTCCCACTGCATTCGAATTCGAATTGCAGAAGCAGTGTACAATATATCGAAGAGACAAATTGACCCAGCAATTGCAAAGAGTTCATCACTCAATGCCAATTATCTTGATCCATTAGTATCTGATGGTGCAGCCAGTGATGCGGACACATTGGTTGGCAGCGAAGAAGGTGAGGGTCCTACGACCAAAGAAGAAAGAGCATTCTTAGACAGAATTGCCGAAGCATTAGCTCGACTGGGACGTGTCAAGAGAGTGGGCTTGGGAGTCAAGGACAAGGTCGACTTCGTGGCCATGTGGACGAAATCACAGAAGAGACGATAGGACGAGAAGAAGTCCTTGATGCGATACGAGGTTAAAACCATGAAGCAAAGCCGTGCCGAAGCTGATGACGATGACGGCATTATGACCACAAGAACGAAAGAACTTGATGAAAGAAAAGTTGCAGCCAAAGTTTGGAAATCACGAGAATGAAGTCATGTGATGAGATGAGATTGGTTTTCTTAGGTGGCAGCCTTGTGGTGACAGTTGACGTGCCGTGGCACGGGAGTGCAATTTGCAAACCACTGGCCATGTAACCACTGCCCGCCATCTTGGTATCGAACATACTACTGAACTGACAGGTGAACACCACTCTCCTGTCCTCCTCAAAAGTCAAGAACATCCAAAATGCCTGTGCTCGATGTCGTTGGTTTAATCGACCTCCCGAACTCCCATTTGTCAGAAGTGGCCCCTGAATCCCAATGGCACATTGACCTTCTTATATCCATCCCTCTACCCCAGGGCCAGTGGCTAAACATGAACGAAACGGTCCACTGATAGTCATTCGACGACGAGCATATCCCATCGCAACTATCTTGTCCATATGAATTGAGAATCTCATCACACATCAGCGACTCACCAAGACCACGAATATCATACTCGGTATCTCTTGAACCTCAATATGCCCGCCACAATGCGACGAAGAGGGCCCCCTTCACTTTCAAAACTCCGTCTCCTGGTCATTCCCACCGCACTCCTGTTTTCTTCAACCTTCATCTCCCTCACCACCGCATCTACCGAATTCTCCTTTTTCGAACACAGCTCCTGCAACGCCGGCACGGCATTCTACCAACTCACCGACCCCAACCCCCTTATCACCGACCTCAACTGCCACCAAATGCCCGCCGGGTCTATCGCGCTGTATATCTCCGACATCGACGATGGCTGCTTGCGTAGGTAATCCCGGTCCCATCCCACGTGTTCTCATCCCCAAGGCTGGAATCACTTGACTCACTTCCCGCGCAATTCTAGTCCGCACATACAACACGCCGAATTGCAACCCCTCGAGCCTCTCAGGTCTCCTCGTCAACAGCGGCACATGTTTCTACGCCGACGCGCACGAGGCGGTGATGCTGTCGTGGCGCGCCGACTGCGCGGGCGTCGACTACGGAGACTCGAACGGCGAGGACCACGGGAATTCCTATACGTCATCGTCGGTTTCTGATGACGGTAGCGGTGCCTCAGAAGGTGAAGATACCGCAGAATCCGCGCTCGTCGCGAGCATCCTTGCGACGGCGACGGGGCCCGTCACCGTCAGCGTGGACGCCCAGAATGCCATTACGAAAACCGTCGTGCCGGTCAAGGAGACTACGACCGCGGCTTCGTCTGTCTCGGGTGCAGTAGGTGATTCATCCATGATGGGGTCGGCGACGGCTACTGCGGCGAGCACGATGTTTAGCTCTGTTGCGAATGATGCTGATCGTTTGTTTCCGCGGAGCGGCTTGGGATGGGGATTGGGCGTGGAATTGGGCATGGGATTGGCCTCTTCGCTGGGTCTGGTGTTTGCGGCTGCGGCGTTTTTGGTTTGAAATGCCAACTAGGTACTACTTGATTGATTTGATAGGGTATGCTTTTTGCTTTCCCACTATTTATGATATTGACGTTCGTCTCTGCTCTGCCTTCTCTTTCCACATGGTTTCTCTGAGGCTGGGCGAGTTCGTGGCTCCTCTGGTAGCGATCTGCCGTGTGGAATCGTCTCCGTCCGTCCCAGGTGATGCACGTGTATTGTACTTAAAATTATCTATCCTCTTCTCTGTAATCTAGCACGACATGTCTATTCGAGCGTAGCACACTGCACTATCGAGTGAGAAGAGCAGAGGCGCAATAACAAGGAGAAGGAAAGACCGAGTTCAGGTCAAGAAATGATATTTGGTATTACTAGGTAGTATTTTATCACTTTTTGCGCTCGGATTGGTGGGTATGCGTTTGGTTGAATGATTGTTGCACGGCCCCGAAAATGTGTATAGAAGTACAAGTGCACCTTCTGCACAGCCTGAGATCCAGAACTTGGCATTCCAGACCACTGGTCAACAGGCAGCTTCTGGGCTAAGCAGAAGAATTGCGTGTTTCATGTTGGTGATGTAGGGTAATGAGCACGAGGCTCCGGCTCCCACCGAACTTTCGCCCAAGGACTACCATCACCTCCATCTAGCGCTTGACCGCTCGTTCTCGGCGAGACTGCGCTCGATGTCGTCTTCGTATTTGTATGTGACCCGTCGACTTCCTCGAGAGGAGTGATGTTCTCCAGTACCGCCGCCGCCGCCACTACCACCACCGGGACCAGTTTTGGCCGCAGCTTTCTCCCTCCGCTGTTGCTCCTTGACCATGCGCTCTCGATTCCTTGCCTCTCGTTCCAGCGTATGTGGATCCTTATCCGTGGAGTTGCTGACAGCAGAGGCAATCGGTGCTGGTGTTCCTGCAGCGCTGGATCGATGTGAGCGATTCGTGCTCGTTGCCCCTGTGCTAGGATAATCGTCATTCTCGTGTCGATGATGATGGTCGCGTTTGTGCCGTCTTGAGCGGTGACGGGAGTCGTGGTCGTCGCCATCATTCTGGTAGTCGTAGTCCTTGTCATAGTCCTTGTCGTCTTCTCGATGTCGATCATGTCGGGATCGTTTGCGGTCGCGCTCCTTCTCCCGATGTCGGTCATCCCTGTCTCTCTCTCGGTCTTTGTCTCTTTCGCGATCACGGTCACGATCTCTTAGCCTGTCTTTCTCACGATCATGTTCTCGATCTCGATCTCGATCTCGGTTCCGGTCGTCATATTTTGATGTCCGGCTGCTGCGATGTCTACTTCTGCTGTCACCACCATCAGGACCATCCCTATATGATCGGCTAGATCCCTCGTAATCTTCCATTTCATGATCGCCATTAGCGCCTTCTTCATGATACGCTTTGGATCGAGAGCTTTGGTGTTTTGATGTTGACGGCGGCTCCTTATCAGCACGACTTCTTCTTGATGATTTCCTATCCGCCGAGTCCGAGGCCCCAACTGAGGTCTGTCGTTCGTCTCGGTCATAATCATCGTATGTTGATCGTTTAGACGATCGCCGATACCGTCTGTCCTTGTCTTTGCTTCGATCATCACTATCGTGCTCATCCTGACCATATTTGGAGCCTGAATAGTTTTCGTGTCGTGAATTCTTCTCCGAATCATCTCTTTCCCTATAGTCATCATGCTCACTTGGAGCTGATGGCTTGACAGTTATAGTTGTTTCAAAGCCGCGGGATTCTGGTCTCTTGGGAGAATCCATAGAAGCTCGACCCATGATCTGAAAGCCATTACCCACGCTGGTTGGTCGAGAAGCTGGCCTTGCAGGTACAGGCGGCTCACGCATAGCTCTGGGACCCGTGGGAGCACCTACAACCCCAGGTGTTGGTTGAGATATTTGTTGGCTAGACTTCACTGCCGAGGTAGAATGCCCATTCTGCATAGACAGCAGACCACGACCACGTTGAGCAAATCTACCATGTCCGCGAGCGCGGTACCCATAGTCATACTGAGCTGCAGGGCCTAACGGCGCGGAGGGTGGTGGCATAGGACCTTGCAAGTCTTCCTCATATGCTGCAGGGATGGGCCTCTGTTGGTCAGAACTAGAGATGGGGCCATCTGTAGCTATCGATGGTATTGGGATTGGGGCAGTGCTATCTTGCATAGAATTATCGCCATCAAGATCTTCCTTTGCACCAGTTCCGTTTGCGGAGCCTGTCTCTGGGTGAGTATCATCAGTTGTGCTGGGAATGGGATCAAGGGCCTTCCGATCATTGTTAGTAGTGGACTTTTGATAATCTTCGCCCAAGGCTTCTTGGATTTCGTCCTGGCCTCCAGGTGCAAATTCGTCATCCTCGTGGGCGTTGCTGGTATTGTTTGTATCCGTCGTCTCGTTAGCAGAGGTGTCGTTTTTGTAATCATTTGTGTTTTGAGAGCGCATTCCTTGATTTTCGTATTGATTAGGTCCGTTGGAATATTGGTGCTGCTGCTGCTGCTGCGGAAATTGCGAGTACTGGTTGAAATTACCACGACCTCTGCCATAACCACCACGACCACGGCCACGACCACGGCCGTAACCACGGCCGGAGTAGCCATTTTGGAAATCACCATTGGGGTATTGCTGCTGGAAATTCCCAGACTGGGCCATATTGAAAGCATAGTTGGAACCGAAGTCACCACCCATACCATTCGAGAATGCATTTGCATTATTATTCTGCCACATATTGTTGTTTTGGCCATTATTCCAGCCAGAATACATCCCTTGGTTGGGATTAAAGTTCATTGACATATCCATGCTATTCATTCCATTCATGCCACTATTGGGGCCGCCAAAACCACCAAACATGCCTGATGACATCGTGTTCATTCCCATGGGTAATCCTGAGACAAGTCAGTTGCAAGGCTACAAGAACAGTGATGTAGTGTATTGACTTACCCATCATTGGATTGAAGTTGGCCATGCCATTCGCCGCCATCATCTGCATCATCTGGTTATAGTCCATGTTGTTGAAACCATTCATCATATTTGCGAAATCGTTTCCGTCCATACCATTGGTGGCAGCTTGATCTTGGCCATTGGAGAAGCTAGATTTGTTATTGTTGTGCCTTTCGACCTCAGTGTCGTATTGATCCTCATTGGGGTCTTCTATGACAATCTTGTTCTGTGATGGAATGTCATCTGGGTCCTCCTCAGCCTCGACTTGGATTTCAACATGGTCATCGTCTGGTTCGTACGCGTCTTGATCCGGATCCTGCATAAATTGGTCAATAGACTGTGTGAGAGTAGGCTGAAGGCAGACAGATGCCGACTCACTTCTATGGAAGGCTGAACGTCAAGCGCGGGAGTTGTCTCACGCTCGTCCTCCTTCATGGTTTTTGACTCTTTCACTGAGAGTGTGGATCCGTTCACATCCTCCTGCTCATTTGAGATAACATTTGTTTGCTCAGGCTCGGTCGCATTGTCTGCTGCTGGTGGAGGTGCAATCTTTGCCTCAGATTTGGCCTTCTCTATAGTTTTGAGGTAGGACTTGACCGTCGTGCGCATGGCTTTGTTGGGCTTGCATACGTCGCTGTTGAAGGGCTTGTGATCGCATATTGGGCAGCTGATGTCGCAACGGGAAGTGAAGCCTAATGATTGTCAGAGGATACTCTTTAAGAGACGAGCTTGGACTGACATGGTTCACAAATCACAGTATCACAACACGTTGTCTTATATGCATTGAGGTTGAATTTATGGCAGGCGTTGCAATGAAGTTTATCAGGGATTTTCTCCAAACCCAACGCACTGTCGAGATCAGTTCTTGTTCGCAGATCACAGAGATCGGTAGTTTATACACACCTGACCGTTTCGGCCAGAGAAGCGACCAGATCGGCATCAGCCATGATTCTGTATGGATCAGAGGAGTGAAGGAATGAAAGGCAGGCTGCAGGTATTCGATGTGAAATCGTGGGTGCGATGTGATTTTCGTAGAGGCAAAGATGCAGGTGGCGCCATTATGTGACCATGGAGAATTGCATTGTCATGTCAAGAATTCAGATCAGTTTTCCAAGATAGATGAGTAGAAAGAATAGTATGATTGTGGTTCTGTTGATGCGAGTTGCCAGTGTGACATGGGCAATGACATTTTTCTGGCCATAGGAATCAGGTGCAAACTTGTCCAACCAGGAACTAACGTGCAGACGACGACAGGCGCAAGACCACCTCTGCAGTGTGCCTAGTGGGAAGGGCACCTACGGAGGAACTTCTTACCCCGAAGACAAACGCACACCTGGAAGCAGGGCCTGCCGGTTGATGGAGATCGCCAACAACCGAGATCGACCAGTTCCAAGGTTGTTACGAGGATTTAAGTTAGGCGTCCCTGGCCTGCTTAGGCACGAGGGCACTAGCTGGTTTAGGGACCTACCCAAGCTCAATTAGTGGGGAAGTCAGCCTAAATATTGTCAATTCCGCTAATAACGCTACCTATCCGTATCTCCATTCGCGGATTTTTCCACGTAAGTGAGGTATCCAAGGATCATCATTATTGTCAGCCCGCATTGCATCTCAAAAGTCGATGAAGTCACGATCCATATTCTGAAGACGTTCCCTGAGTGATAGGACCGTAGATTCAATAAAATTCGGGCTCTATACGTCTCTTTTATTTCCTTGAGAACGTTGTTGCTTAAGCTGTGATTTATCTGTTGTTCTTATTTCCTTGCATTTCTTTGACCCTCGCTTATCACGAAGTTCGATTACCATATTGTCCGGGGCAGTCGTCTGAGCGATTCGAAGTAGACCAACTCCAAATCAAAGTATAACAATGATATTAGGACCGATCAGTCTCCTCGACTGTCTGGCATTTGTGATCGTGCTAATCCCACAGCTTCTTTATCAAGCCGAGTTTTTCTCCCTTTTACTTGTCATAGTCAAGGTTATCCCATTTCTGAGTCAGCGGGCATGACATCTTCCTTCAAGATGCATCAACGCTAACGATCAACCTAGTATTCCAACTCCCCTATCAATTGCTACACGAGCGGTATTATACCAAGAGAGGGACACGATCCCCTTTTACGAGAAACGCCACTCTTTTTCAGGCTCTGGTTATCCGATGTGTCCGTTATGCCTTTGCAAATATTCCCGCTAGTATCGGACGGGTCTTCTTCTCGAAATGGGTGGCTTATCCTTTCTTTCGCTTTCGGCTCCTTCGACATGGCTACCTTCATTGCCCAATGTACTATCGAGAGATCATCAGGCATGGCGCAAAGGGTCTTTGGATCATTGATGATCCCAGCTCCGACCCAGACATTGTCATATACTATGCACATGGTGAGTTCCGTGAGTTTGTAAAGATGCCTTGTTGATTATTCGGTGTAGGGGGCGGGTTCTCCATGGGTTCGGCATATTTCTACATGGAATTTTTGATGGCCTGGGCAACTCGATTGAAGGAGAATGGGTTCGAAAATCCTGCTGTATTTGCACTTGAGTACACTCTGGTTCCTGACGCTCAATGGCCAACCCAATTCAATGAGACACGAGCTGGCTATACGTTCCTACGGGAAACCTTTGGTGATGGATCGGCCGCCAAAATCTGTGTTAGTGGAGACTCTGCCGGTGCGACATTGATTCTGAGTATGTTGTTACAACCAGGTCATCTTGAACAAGATCCTCAATTTCAAGCTCTGCATAAGCCTGGTTTGGCCATTCTGATGTCTCCATGGACTCACCTAGTCTCACCTGTCAATCAAAACACCCCAAGTGATTACCTGGACCGCGAAAGTTTGCATCTATACGCCAAGCAATATGCTGGAAAGTCATCCACCAAAGACGAGGTGATATCTCCAGGGTTGAGCACGGGACGATGGAAGCAAGCATCGCCGATCAACGGGTACCGTGTTGTGTTTGGCAGTGAAGAAGTGTTCGCGCCCGGTATCCATGAGATGTTGAAGAATATGAGGGCCAACGGGGCTGTGGTAAAAGAACAGGAACATAAGGCTGGGATTCATGCATGGCCGGTAGTCAACTTGTTCCTGGGAAGAGATCGCAAGGAGCGATTGATAGGTCTCGACATGATGACTGAATATATACTGGCTTCGAGTATGGCGTCAAAAGTGGCCAAAGCATCGTAAGATGGTTGATGATGATGCCAAATATAGACATGCCATCAGATTAGATCAAGTTTTGAAAGTCTTTCATGGGAATCTCTCGTTGTGTGAGAAGTAACGACCACAGCTTCCACTGGGTTGTTGCATGCCACTTCAACAGGAGATGGCCCTCAGCTTGCTCTGTCATCATTTGGCTAATTGAGTGATCAATTCGTTTTTGTATTGATCAATAACTTGAGCTACTACGATGGGGTTAGTTAGGCCAGGCAGATAGCCAGGCGCGTCCGAGAACGAGCAGGACGTGCAGGACGTCTGAAAGGGACAGATTGACAAGCGCGACACTGTTCGCTATTCGCTCTTCGTGTCAAGTGTGAGTCGAGCATCATCAAGTGCAATCAGTCATTACCTAGTGACACGTTGTTTTCAGGAATCGTGAAGAATGAAATTGTTTGTGGCAAGGCTGAGGGTGTTTTGAAGGGAAAAAACTGATAGGCGGCATACTATAATTTACGCGTCATGAACATGCAGCGAACGAGATTTACCACTCCGTAGTACCTCGTACCAAGTGTCCGGACAGGAATTGGAGCAGGGAATCGGGATGTTTGAAGTGGGCTAGCACAGGGCAAACGGCACATTGTGGTAGGCTGATGCGTCGGGCAGGGTTGGTTTAAAGTTAGCCTGGGGCTCTTTGGGATGATCCAGCTCGCCATCTGCAGGCCCCAAAGATTTTATAAGGTCCATCGCGCCCCTCGCCTGATCCGAAAGCCCCTCACCTCAGGCTGTGTGTTGTTTTTTTGCATTTTGCCTTGGAAACCAATCCCCGTCTAACCACGCCAACCCAACTGACACGAAAGACATTCGGATCTATATTGGTCCGACCGTATTGATCTGATCTCTCTCCGAGTCACCCACGTGATATCTAGATCTATTTCACTAGTACATCGCTCCTGCCCTGCCCGCCGGTGACAATGCATCCTGCCACGTGAAGACCGTGCGAGACATTGTTTCCCTACAAAATTGTTTGCATTCCAAAATGTCGTTGACACATACTTGCAACCGCATCAGCCACAGTATTCCCACAAGTACACCACAACCAGCATCTATTTGTCAAACCCCGAGGGAAATCACCAAGAAATGAACGAAGAACACCAAAACTACAGGCCGAAAAGTCCAGACCTTAGTGCGTTGCAACCACCTCCACCGCCTAAGCTGAGCCGGATTCCATCCTATCCGGACTCTTCTTTTCCTCCTGGTTATTCTTTTTCTGCTCGAGGTTCCTACGACGCTTCACCTTTCTTTTCCCCACAAACCGCCACTCCTACAGCTTCTTATTTTGGTCCAAGAACTCACTCATCCGCCACTCCCCAGCAATATTCACCACCGCCATTCACTCCCATAACACAATCGACTCATCAACATTCACCACCTCAAGCACAATTATATACCAACCCTCCACCTCCCCCGCCTCCGCCAAATTTCTATCACAATCAACCAACATATCAACCAAATTACGAATACGACCACATCAACACACAATCGATCAATCAACATTATCCTCTACAAGCGCCAAGCTTGCACCAATCATACGATCAGCCATACGGAGACATGCCTCGAACTCGTCAGCAGCGAGCTGAAGAGCAGCAACTCAACATGGGATACGACCCTCACGTGCCGCCAAGACAAGAAATACCTGTCAAGCCAGAGCAATTTGCACCCACCATGCCTGCTGCCCCAATAGATCCAGCTCACGGCATCGATGTGAGAACGAAATTCCCTGTTGCTCGGATCAAACGAATCATGCAAGCGGACGAAGATGTTGGTAAAGTTGCTCAAGCAACCCCCACTGCAGTTGGTAAGTCCGTCTATTTCCCTGAGAGACCGACTGAGTACTAACGGTGTCCCAGCCAAAGCCTTGGAACTGTTTATGATTGCTTTGGTGAGCAAGGGTGCAGCAGAAGCCAAGGCCAATCGATCAAAACGAGTCACGGCTCAGCACCTCAAGGCTGGATTGATGAAAGACGGGACATATGATTTCCTGACTGACATCTGTGAAAGCATCCCAGATGAAGGGTCCAAAAAGGGACGAGCCAAATCCGAGGCCAAAAGTGAAGACAGTGAAGACGACATTGCACCCAAGAAGAAAGCCAAGGGAGGAAAGAAACGCAAGGCCGACACTAGTGATGACAGCGACTGAAAAGAGACTGTCTATCGACTCGGTTCCCTCCTGTATGAGATACGAATTACATGTGAACAATTCTCAATTTGCAGAAGACGACCTGCATACCATTGAAGGCATATCAGTCCCATCGAGACGTTGACTCGGCGATGCAAAGAGCCAACGATCTTATTTGGCTCCAGCCTTCTTGCTCTATCTAACTAATGCATACACCAGTTAAGATAATCGCTGATGCCACAAGCAACTTGATGGCGATTACGAACACACCATGGCCACTCCCTTAGAATTATTACATTGCATTATGCACTTCTGGGACATACTCAGCTTCGCTGACTGGTGTCCTCCATACTCGCTTCTCGAACCCGTGGATCGATTCAGACTGTTCGATGCCTGTGAGTGTGGCTGGGGGTGTTGTCTCGCCAAGGCCATGGAGCCTGATTGATGATGGCAAGAAGGATAAACAGACCAAAGGCGGCAGTGAAACCGACTGCAATCCAACCGACAATTGGAGAATAGGCGACCACGACCAAACCCAAGACGATAAACGCGCCAATGATCAAACTGCCCATCACACCGCTGGCCAGAACGGCATACATCTGAACCTGCCATTGACTGTTCTTTCCATTCAAACCATCCCAATCTGCTATCCAGTGACTCTTGAAGAAAGTCAACAAGGTAGAGCCCAAGGACGCAAATGCCAATCCAAGTAAGAACAGAAGCCAGCTGATGGCGAGGAACTGCTGGACTTGTTCTTTTGAAAATCTTGGACTTTGGGCAGGCACATCTTGCGTGTTGTTTGAAAGGACATAGGAGAATGTAACGCTTGCACCCAGAGATGAGATGCCAATTATGGTGGTGTGTAAGCCGGTGAAGAAGGCAGCAACTGAAGAGCCCGAATGTTTAGCCATGGGACGAATTTGCGTGAGAGAATGGCCATGCTCAGAGAAGAGTCCAGTCGGTGTTTTGGCCGATTGAATCTCATTGGCGGAATGATTGTGTCCCGAATGTTGATCTTCATAGTATGAATCTCCCATTTTTCCTTGGTCGTTTCTCTTACTTGCAAGTTCAGCTGTCTCTGAGTTGACTGCAATGGTTCGAAGATTATCGTTTGAATCGGCCATGATGAAGGATAAGAGTATTATGGCCGAGCCTTGACTTGTGTAGAGTGGAGTGGCTCAGCCGAATAGTCTTTGGATACGAGGTACTGTTTGACACTGCCACCACAACTCGATGAGGCTGGTGCCTTGAGTCTTGAGGAGTGAGATTGAAGGAGACTTGGATCGACACGAGGTACGAAATACGCGTAGGTCTAGCAGTGAGCCTTCCGCGTAGACAAGCAAGTGCTTGACACTTATACCTAGGTAGGTGGTCATAATATCATTCTGATATATGATGGCAAGGGCTATGCTGCCAGCCTAAGCCTTGTGACTCGCCTTGGAGAAGCCGCCATCCACATCCACATCCACCTGCACACCACACTTGGTCCCTCCCTCAACAGTCATACCCACGGCTGGCCATCAAAGACTCCAGTTCCACACGAAGTCTGTGTCAGGAGGCCCAAAGCACCTGCATCTGCAGGCTGCACCTGATCAAGATCCCAATCCCGCGATTCAAGCAGCCGTCTCTTCCCCCTTTACTCCTCATCCTTGCTGTGGCGCAGTTCAACAGCACATAGCACCAATATGAGTCAACACCGACAAATACTGTTACACATACACACATCATGGATCTCGTATGTTCCTCTGCTTCATGTTGTGCGAGTCTACATAACTCTAACGCGGGGGATTCCTTGTAGTTGACGCGTTTGATCGCCGGCTCTGGCAACTCTCCCACCAAACGCCAGAGCAACACTCCCGCCGAACGTCTGTCGACCTGCAAAAGTATTTGCAATGCCTTGACGGTAGGCTTATACTCTATGCCGTTGTATAGTGTCCCTGACGGTCGCTGACCTCCCCAGCACACATGGCGAAGCGGTAATGTTGAACGAGAAGACGAGTCTGCCTTGGCCTACACAGCCAAACTCCTCCATCGCCTCGAAACCCTCCTTCATGACGAATCCCGCAGGGCTGCTCCTCACTCTTGCCTACGTTATGTCGCCTCGAGCCAGACATATATCATAATTACAAAGTTGGCTGTCTCATCGAGGGACACGGAGATCATTGGCCTTTCTGCCCAGCTCTTCCATGTCCTCATCAATGGCGAGACCGAAGGCCTCTTGGATAGTAAGCTGTTTACAAGATCGTTACTAGATCTGGTCTGCTTTGCAACAATAGGTGGCCAAGTCATTGTCGAGGAACGCCTGCAAACGGACCTGGTCGAATTGCTATTCGAAATTGCTACAAAGATAAGGTCTGATCCGGACATTCTGCCAGCCTGGTTCTTTCCAGAACGTGAGAAAACGCGTGGTCACAATGGTGCAGATGAGTCGAGGAGAAGTCAATTTCCCTTGTTTTACGTCTTGGTGCAATATGTTCACCATGATGGTCCTGTCGGCGATTTTGCCCGTACTGCCTTACTGTATCTGACTGAAACTGCTTCCAAGTTCAAGCCTTTGGAGATCTGGATGATAGAAAGTGATCTAGCACCACAAATGGCTAGTGGCCTAGGTGCTCTTTATAGTCGACTCAGCAGGCAATCCAATGCTCTTACCACGGGAGCGACAACGCTCCCCATTGTTTCACTATCCGATAAGCCACAGCCTGCACAAGCCAGCTCACATCCGGATCCAGATGCTCAGCATGAGACCAAAGCATTTTTCTCTTATCTGGCCTTCTGGCAGGATACATTGAATCATTGCAAGTCGGCCGAGGTCAGAGATACATTACTCGATCATTTCCAGGTTCTTTTTGTGCAACAACTGCTATATCCTTCTTTGCTGGAATCATCCGACGTGGAAGGCGGGTCGACAGCTGCAGTGATCTCCCATCTCTATCGGCTCTTACAAGGTCTTGATCATTACCAGTTAGTTGATCGAATCCTGGGCTATCTCCTGGCTTCAATGAACATGCCTCTTGAACCACGAGTCAAAGGTAATCGAAGGTCAAGGATGTCTGTTAGTCGCAGAAAGTCAATAGACCATCTGAAGGCGTTGGCCGAAGTTGCCGACACTCCTTCTCCGGATTTGTTCAATCTCCTGGACTTGATGGTGATGAGTTTGAAATCAAGCCATGCAGAAACTGTGAACGCTTGTTTGAAGCTCCTCTCCATCATCGTTTCAAAACACCACTCTCATGTCTTGCAGAGCCTGTTTCGCCTTCAATCTGCGCCGAACGTTCAACTCCGACGTGGAATGAGCCAATTCAACAATAATCTACTCGAGTTGTTTGGCTTTGCATCTACGATTTCCGAGTACGATGGGATGGACGACTCGTACCAGGGTGCTCTTCTTGACAGCCAAGTCCTACTTGAACAACACAGCTGTCTCTCAAGCAATGTCGATGAGCTTGATCGAGACCATCGGGACTTGTCAATCAGTCGCGATTGCAAATTGTTCGAGGCAATGATCTGCTTATTGAGAAACTTCTTTGCCAATGACACCATTACCAATCTCTATCTGACCGAGGCCATCATAGCCGTTACAGCATGCGAGCATTTGGCTTTAGTGGGATGGTTGTTGCCTACGGACGGACCAGGCCATGTGGAGGATAATTCATCGTTGAATATTACTTTTATCATTGGCGAACTGGTAGAACAAGTTCGGCAGTGGAAATCGCAATTTGCGGGATGGGATCAATTGATGTTGCAAAGGAGGTTCGATCTGGGAGATGAGGATGCCCGAGATCGAGATCCGAGTGAGAAACCACCTTCAGACCAAACCAGGCGTACACGTATGGCTAGTGAGGGATATGAATCACGATCGAACAGTCCATCACAATCACAGCCTCGGCCGATTACTCCGAAAGGCAATAAAATCACAACCACAGAGTTCGGATCTATCGATGACACAATCAGCAAGTCGGGGGGTCATAGAGCGTCTCTAGCAGAGCGAACTCTCGGTCGTTCTCCTCTACGAGGGCCAATAGCTTCCGAGGACAATGAGGCAATCGCGAAGCAAATTGAGGCGTCACTTCGCATGCAGACCAGCTTAGCCGCAATTCTGAAGACGAAAGTACAACTTTTGAACACTTCGACACCTGAAGAGGCATCGTCATCATTCCCTGTGTTGGCAGGCCGGAAACAGACGTCTAGTCCCGGTCCAGGATCGGGTCCAGGCCCCAGCAATCTTCGCCTCGCTCTTCGGGGAAGTGATAATTCTGGGACAGTCACGCCGAGCGTCCAAGACGAGGCGCCTCCTCGCAATCAAGCCAGCGTCAGCCATATTCTGACCAATGCCATTATCTTACAAGAGTTTATCCTCGAGCTTGCAGCCATGATACAGCTCCGGGCAACCTTTTTCGACGAAGTCGACTTGACATTGAAGGACAAAGAATGAAGGGGCCCATGGTCTATTTGTTTTTCCATAGCATAGCATTGATACCCATGAATAACAGAAAACCCATGTTTGTCAACAACCGTCTCTAAATACCATTGGGAAGCTCCGGAGTCGACGTTGACCGTTCATACTCATCCAAGAGCGCGAGAAAGTGATTCCGCCGCCACGTAGAAATCCACGAGATGGCAAACGCATTCCTCTGCAACTGCACCAACTCCTTCCTCGTCAAGTCCGTCTCCACGGCCATCTTCTCCATATTCTCATTGGCATACGCCCTGAAATAAGCCGGATCATCCGAGTTCACGGTGACCTTGACGCCCCTCCGCAGCAGAGCGACGATCTCCCTCCCTTTGAAGTCGGCGGTGACGACGCTGTTGGACACGGGACAGCAGGTCAATCCGATGCCTTTCTGCAGCGCGATGCACACCAGCTCGTCGTCGGCGACGATGTTGGTCCCGTGGTCGATGCGGTCGACCTGCAGCTCCGTCAGGGCCTGACGGATGTGTGCGAGCGAGTTGGGCTGATCGATGTCGCAATGGGTCGTGAGCAGGAAGCCTTCCTTGCTCGCGCGTTGAAACACGGCGGCGAATTTGCTCGGCGGGTTGTCGCGCTCGTCCGAGTCCAGGCCCACCCCGATGATGGCGTCCTTGAAGGGCAGTGCTTCCATGAGCGTCGCCATGGCGTATTCGGCCGAGTGGTCGCGCAGGAAACACATGATTAGCGATGCGGAGATGCCCAGTGTTCGCTGTGCGGTCGTCAGGCCCAGGCGATAGCCGCGTAGGACCGTCGGGAAGGGGATTCCTCGCCCCGTGTGTGCTTGCGGGTCGAAGAAGAGCTCGGCATGTTTGATGTTCTGGCCGTGTGCGTGCGTGAGGTAGGTCAGTGCCAGGTCCCGGAAGTCGTGCTCTGTCTGGAGGACCGAGAGGTTCGGGTAGTAGACCGCCAGGAAGGACGTGAGGTCGTGGAAGGCATAGCCTGATTCATGCTGGGAGGACTCCGAGAGCGATGTCAGTGACGGTGGGAGGGGGAGGTTGTTCCGCTCCGCTAGCGTTCGTGCCAGTTGGGGGGTTAGGCAGCCTGGTTGAGAGAGAAATTGGTAAGGTTGCTATTATTTCATTTACTCGTACTTGGTCTCTTTGAGGCCATGACATTCACTCCAGAATTCCATGCATTTGTTTCTGTTGTTTGCGTGGCATTCACCTTTTCCGGGCAGTGGGGGTGCATGGTATGGGATCAAATACATTTGCGAGTGAAGGATAAATATATTTTTATGAAACAATCGACCCGGGTTGTATCTTTCCCGATGGCTTACCTTCTAAATGAACATGTAGTTCGGCTTTGGGCATGCCGGCGATCCATGCCTTGAGATCCGACGAGGCCATGACGATATGAGTGAACTGGCAGATGATTTGATATCTTGGATGGTGCCGGAGTGATTGTTTGCGGGTAGCCTCGACGCACGAGTAGTCGGAGGTGGATAGTACGAGTACTTCAGCTGAGGATGACGAAAGGTAATTGGGTCGGTGAACCTTGGTCTGAAAGTATGACACGAACTTCAGATCCTCAGACAAAAGATGTTTTGGTGTGTGTCGTGCCAGTTGACGTTGGATAACGGGCGATGAAAACACTTCCTCACCTTATCATTTGCTCGTCTTCCTTGTTTCATGGCGGAGTTGCTCGTTAGTGCCTTACCTCATTTTGGTGTACGAACTCTCCAATGGATCAGAAGATCCGATGATGACGACCAAGAACGTACCAATGGAACTGACGATCCGTCAATTCCAGTCACGTGGGATGGTTCTTGGGTTGCTTCGCCCGGTTCAAGTTTGGGGCAAAAAAAGTCAAAATAGGATCCAACCTGCAGTTTGTGCATCACCTGCACCGCATCTTGGAATAACTTTTTCTACACTAGTTAGGTACAAGGTACCAGGAAGTGAGAGATCGGGGAGATGTGACAGCTGACAGGCTGCAGCCGGCAAGACACAGTGTTGTAGAGTTGCCTCTGTCCGGAATACGGATACAGCTGGGGTGTTGGCATTGTGATTTTCTGATAGGGATAGGGGGTACGGAGTTAGTAAAGGGTTTCCCCAATTGTTTCTCAGGCGCCTCAGGCCCAAGGAGGAGGAGCCTTTAGGGAGGAAGCGATTGAAGAGAGGAGGTCCCTCGGTCGGCTCTTGGGGTGCCTCTTTCGCAGGCGCAAACCCTGGAAAGAGTGGAAAGAGGGGCGCTTAAGTGGGAGTGCAGTGGCAGTCTAGCTGAACTGGGCCAGCTGAAACACCAAAAGTTGGAGCGAAGGTCTGCACTAAATTGTTAGTCAACCTCTTAGGAACTGCACTGCAGTGGAAGCGTGAACCTGAGATTGAATGAACCTCAGCCTGAGCAGATTCGCAGAAGCCACCAGCAGAGAGGCACTCCCTAAATCCAAGACTGCGGCTTGTTCCTGCGCCTATTCTGCACTTTGTAGGCGGTCCCTGGCTCACCCCGGACCTTTTTCAGGTACTCGGTTTCTAACTGACCGTAGCGGTCAACTCTTACTTCGAGTAGTGGAGGTCACTGGAGCGGTCATATGCAAGCACCATGATTACCTGCCTGCAGCAACAATAATTTCTCCTGATCTTCAACCTGCACCCGATTGTCTTCTCCGTTCACCAGTGACCACCGTTGCGAACTTGCGACTGGCCCAACTTTCTCCTCCTCGACTTCTAATTCCATCTCTCCTGTCGTCGCGTTGTCGAATCTCGGGCCACTTACCGCACAGACTCCTACACAGACATCACCACCAAAGTCGCGTTCTACCTCGACTACTACGACCACGGAACGTACTCCAGACTAGCCTCCTCCTTCCTACCACTCTATTCAACTTCTGGTTCCTGCATACGGCGGCCCTTGGCGATTGGGAAATCAAGCTGCGCCTCGACCAACTTTACAACCTCGTCCTTTTTTGGCCTTTCGTGCACTCCAGGTGGAATATCCTTTCGACGGTGTCCAGTCGGTCTCGTCAATCTCCTCCTGCCTTCCGTTTCCCTGTCTTGAGTATTCATTCTGTGCGACTGGCGTCAAAGCATGGATTGTTCCTGAACCAGATGTTCATGGTCGGCTCTTGCGATAATACTCGATACAACCTGTCTCACCTAGCCTCACTTTTATTCACCACCAGCGTGGTTCGAATGGTCCTGGCCGCGTCATAACTTCATCCATCCTCACCGCTGTGCCAAAGACACAGTCACGGCCATGGCCTTCCTTTTCAAGTCAAAAAAGAACGCGCCACCGCCTGTTGCCAACTCCTCTCTTCCCCCCGCTACTCGTAATATTCACACTTCAGATGGAAGTGCCCCTTCTACCCAGAATGGTTCAATAGACAAGTCTACAGATGGTCGCTCAACCACCTCCCCACCGCCTCTTGCCAACGCCAATAATCCAAATGGCTCAATCTCATCAATGGGCTCTCAGTTGGCAAATGCGCCAGGTGCTGGCTTTGCTCGCCGTGAGCGCTCAGAATCCGAGGCTGGAGTACGTCTTGTCTATTTCCATCTCTTCAGAACAATTCGGAAAGACTAACTTGCAATGCAGAATCGTCCCTCCAACCTGACCGCTCCTGCTGGTCAAGTCCCCAATGCAGCATTATATCCTTGGTCGCAACGGCGGCTCAATTTCCCTACTCCGCAATCAAACCCTTTCCCTCGCTATGGAGCTGCAGTCAATGCTGTGGCCTCGAAAGATGGTGACATCTACATAATGGGCGGTTTGATAAACGGGTCGATGGTACGAGGGGACCTCTGGATGGTCGAATCCGGTGGTGGAAATCTCTCCTGCTATCCCATCGCCACCGTTTCTGAAGGTCCAGGTCCACGAGTTGGTCATGCGAGTTTACTGGTAGGCAACGCATATATTGTCTATGGTGGTGACACCAAAATGGATGACTCTGATGTCCTCGATGATACACTGTACCTCCTGAATACTTGTAAGTTGAATGATCGCCTCTTCTGGGACTCGTTGCTGATATGCACAGCTTCCCGCCAATGGTCACGGGCTTCTCCTCCTGGGCCAAAGCCCGCCGGGAGATATGGTCACACTCTGAATATCCTGGGTTCAAAAATTTATATATTTGGTGGCCAAGTCGAAGGATTCTTCTTCAACGACCTGGTTGCTTTTGATTTAAATGCCCTTCAAAATCCCGCAAACCAATGGGAGTTTCTGATTCCGAACTCCAGTGAGACCGACAACATGACCTCATCTGGCAAGGCGCCTCCTGCCCGAACAAATCACACGGTCATTAGCTACAATGATCAACTATTTCTGTAAGTACTTGTCGCTTGACATTGAATTTGCATGACTGACAAATTACAGCTTTGGCGGCACAAATGGTACACAATGGTTCAACGACGTCTGGACATATAGCCCTGCCACCAACTCCTGGACACAACAAGATTGTATTGGGTACATTCCAGCCCCGCGAGAGGGCCACTCTGCCGCCTTGGTCAACGATGTCATGTATATCTTTGGTGGTAGAACTGAAGAGGGTACCGACTTGGGTGATCTTGCCGCATTCCGAATTCCTTCTAAGAGATGGTATACTTTTCAAAACATGGGCCCATCTCCATCCTCCAGGTCCGGACACAGCATGACGGCTTATCGCGACAAGATCATCGTTCTTGCTGGCGAACCCAGTTCAGCACCCCGTGATCCCAGCGAATTGAGCATGGTCTATGTTCTTGACACGGCGAAGATCCGATATCCCAATGATGCGCCAGGAGATGGCAAAGCGCCCACCAGTCCAACAAGACGGCCGAGTACTGATGTTAAAAACAACGGACCTCCCATCAGATCGACTTCTAGAGAAGGACAGATGGGTCAAGCCTCATCCCGTGATCAATTCTCCGGTGGCCCAGTCCAGCGGCCCGATCCATCTCAAAACAATACAGGTTCACGACTACCCCGTGCTTCCATGGCACAAGCCCCCGCCGGGCCTCCTCCTCAAGGTCAACCGCCCAATCCCCGTGCTAATGGTGTACAATCTCCTGCAAATGGCATCAAAAGTCGACAGAATGGAGGTCCAACTGAAGCTAGAGGCCCGTCAGCTGGGCCAGACTCAATTCGAACCGTGCCTGCAGATCAGCCACCAGCGCAAGCTGCTGGTGTGAGGGATATCCAGAAAGAAAATTCACGCCCCAGCAGGGAAGCTAGCCCCAGTACACAAGGTCGAAGAACGCCCATCCAACGTACTGACAGCAGGGCAAAAGCTATGGCTATGGATGCCGGTGAGGCTGCTCCTTTGGTGAGCAGCGGTGTCGCCAGACAGCGTTCCCTTCGATCGCAGCGAGCTCAGAGCTCCATTGACAGCACAGAAGATGGTGCACTCGGACGCTCCTCATCTGCCAAACACCATGGTGATTTCCAATCCGACAATCGAAGTCTGCGAAGCGTTCCAGATGAGCCAAAGTCACCCAAAATGAACGCACACCAAGAAGCGCTTCTGAAAGAATTGGATACGATGAAAAAGACCAACGCTTGGTACGCTTCAGAACTCGCACTGGCTCGGAAGCAAGGATATCAAAGTGGCACTTCATCTAGCCCAGCGTTTGATGAACGTGTTGTTGGCCAAGTCGCTGACGACGACCGTCCCTTGGTGGAAGCATTTATGACCATGCGTGGTGAAATAATGAAGATGCAAGAAGCTATGGAACAGCAAGCCTCAACCATGGCCCGGAAAGTGGCTGAAGTCGAGCATCAACGCGATGCTGCCGTCACAGAAGCTGCATACGCAAGGGCCAAACTGGCTGCACATGGTGGTAGTACACGAAGTACCCCTCAGCCTGATGCTTCCCGCGATCCTGACGAGCAAGAACGATTCACCGACCTCACAAGAAGGCTTGCATTAGCTCTGGCGGCGCAGTCAGAGCACAAAGCGAAAATAGACTCTTTGTACAATGAACTTACTGCAGAGAAAAGAGCCAGAGAACTTGCCGAGCAATCGAGCGATGCACTTCAGCAACGGTATGATGAGCTGAACAACGGTCGAAACCCCGCAGAACTCGAAGGCCTCCGTGCAGAGTTACACGAAGCGCAGAGCGAAGCTCGAGCAGAAGCTTCACGACGAATGGAAATCGAGGAAGAACTCCGGACGCTACGAGTTGAACATGGCGGGCTGAATAGAAATCATCAAGAGGCCAGTTCTCGACTAGCGAGCCACACGGCTACAATGGCTGCTTTGGAAGCTGCAGTAGCAGCCTCGTCAGGCAAAGTTTCATTGTATGAGCGCCAAATCGAAGAAGAGCGTCAGTCAAGGGAAGCCTCTGAGAGAAAGCTGGCTGCACTCAAAGGCGAGCACGAGGAGCGCACCAACGAATTGGAGAATATGACAAAGCGCCTTCGAGATGCAGAAGAGCTTGCAGAAACGAACGCAAAGGAGGCATCAACTCATCGAAACGCTCTGCTTGCAGGTCTCGCTAAGATTTCAAGTCAGGATTCGTTATCCCGGAGTGATTCTATGGCGGACGAGAAGATGGCTGCTCTACGAGAATCTGCTGAACAAGCATCGCAATTGGCAAAGAGAAATAAGGATGCCGCCGATGCCGCTTCTCAAAAACTTCGCAGTGCAGAGGAGCGCATTGCTGGTCTTGAGGCTTACCAAGAACAGTCCAGTCGTGAAGGTCTTCAGATTCGCCGTCAATTGCAAGCAGCTCTGAGAGATGCCCAAACCCATCAACAAGAGATCCGAGAAGTGCGTGCAAATCTGGAGATCAACCAGAGAGATGCTAGTGCTCTAGCTGTTCAACACAGTGCGCTCAAGGATCTCCTTGGCGAGAGAGGCATCAATGCATCAGACGTTAGACGGTCCCCCATCTTTGACCATTCGCCAAGCTCGCGTTTCGGTACGCCCGAGCAAAGCCGCCTTCGCGAGCTTGATCAACAACTTCAAAGTAGTATCAAGTCCCATGAAGAGACCAAGTCACAATTCGAGGCTCGGATGCAAGAGGCAGACAGTACCTACAAAGAAAAACTCGAGCAACTTGAGAATGATTACCAATCTGCAGTGCATTACGTCAAGGGCACCGAGAAGATGTTGAAGAAGATGAAAGAAGAGCTCACCAAATACAAACAGCAGAACTCGCAACTGACCACTGAGCTGGAAGCCACCAAGAGTGCCAGCACAACTGCAACTGAAGGAGATAATACAGTATGGGCAGCTGAGCGAAAACAATTACAAACCTCAATTGATGAGATGAAGACGCAAACCACTCAGCATATTACATTACTGGAGACAAATATCGCCAAGCTACGAAGCGAGCTAAGCACTATCCAAAGTCAGAGGGAACAACAAGCGGTCAGTCACGCAGAGCTCACTCGCAATTCCCAACGTATTGCGAAGGAATTGGAAGACCTGAAATCCGAAAATTCGATGCTTGAGCAACGTGCAGAAGAGGCTGAACATCGAGTCACGATGCTGTTGGATCAAGTTGGTCAATCTGTGGGCAACTATCGTCGACAATCGCAACTGCAGCCCTTGCCTCATGGTCTCAACAGCATCAGCCATAATCGAGATGAGAGCACTTCGACTCTAACTGATGCATCGGTGAACGATGAGACCATATCACGAGATGAGCGTGGATCTGTTGCGTTGGACAACTTGGCCTCTGAATTGGAGACCCTGAGGTCACAATGGGAGAACACCAGTCGCAGTAATTATCGACTCAGTACACAATTCGATTCGGAAAGGACTCCGACCACCGAGACTCATGGAGCTGAGATGAGTGACAGTTTGGCGGATTGGAGGAGGCGTTTGGAGGAGGAAGAAAAGACTGCCAGGAGAACACCAGTGTCGTGATTGTATTACTCTTGGACCGGCGAACGCCATGAAACGTGAAGATGGCTTTTTATGACACAGTGTTTTCTCTGATGGCTGGATGGATGTTTTGAACAAAATTTCACTTCGTTACACCCCGATCTCAACCTTGTTCTCTTTCCTTGTCCCCTTTGTCCCACTTTGTACACACATATCAGCCATCAACCTTGGAGTTTGGGAATTGAGGAATAGGTGTTTTCTCGAACAAATGAGACAACCTGGGATGACGGAGGTATGTAAGGGATGGCCTTGATAATGAAAAGAAATACCCTTTCTCCTTGTATGATAGTTCCTCGCATCAGCCGCTTGATTCTTTTCAGCCTTCCTATGGAGTTACTGTGCAGAATATCCGCTTTTGGAAATACGAAATACCACGTGACCAGAATTTTATCCCCGCATTTTTTTGTAGGGGAACCAGGTAGTGACTGCTCGCCTCGTGCACCCTCTGTCGCTCGAGTCCTGCCAGCTCATCTTCACCAGTTCACTTCACAATCTTTATTACACAAGTCTTCTTGTAAATTATGTCAAAATAGTTTCATATCCGTCTCATCAGTCTTTTGTTATCCCTCGATTTGCGCATCCCGCACCTGTCCAACCGCTCGATCTCTGCTTCCTCCACAACACCCGAACCTGCTTGCTCGTCTGCGCGAGTGATGCGCGAGCCTGACGACGTGGCCTGCGCACGCACGTCTCTCCTCCTCAATTAGCTGTGTCAAATGTCTGCCTGGGTATTCCCGAGTCCTCTCTAGGCGCGAACGACTCAAGAAGTCCAGGAGGCATACAGGATGACGACACTCAATGGACATTCAGACACTAGGCTTGTCGAAAGACGTCGGCCTGCCACACAAGGAGACGATCAGACCGCACAATCTAGAGAATTGACGGTCGATGCCACAAGAGCTCAGTCAAGCTCTGGACCCAAGCAGTCTCCACATGTTAATGGCGTACACCCGGCTCAGAATGACTTGTCATCGCGCCGGATTATTCCTCAGGAAGCTCAAGACTATCTAACTGCAAAGCCTGCTTTACTATCGCGTACCAAGAGTGACTTTGGACCACGAAGCAAAGATGGCCTCGCAACCCCTCCTTCAGACGACAAATTGGCACTTATCAGACACGGTTGGGATGATGAATACACTTCTAATGAATATCTCTCATTACTCCATGCAACATTCTACATGTATTACACCGAAAAGCGGCACGAGAGCAATGGATCGCAATCGGAAGAGTCAAAGAAATTCCCCAGTGTGGACTGGCGAATGAAAGATCGAATGAAGACTGTTTCTGCTGCCCTCGCCATCTGTCTCAACATCGGTGTTGATCCTCCGGATGTGATCAAGACGAATCCTACCGCGAAGCTCGAAGCCTGGGTTGACCCAACGGGGAATAGTGGTGGGACGACAAAGACCATGGAACAGATTGGTAAACGATTGCAAGAACAATATGAATCACTTAGTCTGCGAACTAGGTATAAGCAGTATCTGGATCCTTCTATTGACGAGACTAAGCGATTTTGCGTTTCGCTCCGACGTAATGCGAAGGACGAACGAGTTCTCTTCCACTACAATGGGCACGGTGTTCCCCTTCCGACAGCATCTGGTGAGATCTGGGTATTCAACAAGAACTATACTCAATACATACCAGTCGGCATTTATGATCTGCAGTCCTGGTTAGGTGGTCCAAGCCTGTTCGTGTATGATGTTTCCCATGCCGGAAATATTGTCCACAATTTCGACACTTTTCTCGCTAAGCACGATAAGGAGAATGAAGAGCTCAAGAAACGCGACCCAAATGCTCCAATCCAGAACTACGGAGATTGTATTCAACTGGCAGCCTGTGGTAGAACCGAGATGTTACCGACCAACCCCGATCTTCCTGCTGATCTGTTCACATGTTGTCTTACGACCCCTATCGATATTGCACTGCGATATTTTGTTTTACAGAATCCGCTTCCTGGTAATCCGGCCTTGGAAGATGGGAAGATCCCGGTTCCTGGCCGCCTCCAAGACCGCAGAAGCCCTCTGGGCGAGCTGAATTGGATCTTTACCGCAATTACCGACACGATTGCATGGAACATTCTGCCTCGACCTCTGTTCAAGAAACTCTTCCGTCAAGATTTGATGGTGGCGGCCCTATTTCGAAATTTTCTCCTGAGTGAACGAATCATGCGAGCAAACCATTGCCATCCAATCTCATCCCCACCACTTCCCGAAACACATCGACATCCTCTATGGCAGAGTTGGGATCTTGCTATTGAGATGGTCATGTCACAACTTCCAATGCTACGAGAAGCAGAAGAAGGAAAGCGCGTTTATGAATACCAGCATTCGACCTTTTTTGCTGAGCAACTCACAGCTTTTGAGGTTTACCTAAGCTCTGGACCAACAAAAGATCATGCTCCAGACCAATTGCCCATCGTCCTCCAAGTTCTCCTTAGTCAGGTACATCGATTGAGGGCCCTGATACTGCTGAGTAAGTTTTTGGACCTAGGACCTTGGGCAGTACACTTGGCTTTGAGCATTGGAATCTTTCCTTATGTGGTTAAGCTTCTCCAAGCTGCTTCTTTGGAGCTGAAACCTGTCATGGTATTCATCTGGGCTCGCATAATGGCCGTGGATTACACAGTACAGAGTGATCTCTTGAAAGACAATGGCATTCATTACTTCATTTCCATCATGAGCCCTCGCTCTGATATCCCTGTTGGGAACGCCAGTGAGCATCGAGCAATGTGTGCATTCATTGTAGCCACATTTTGCAAGAAATATCCTCCAGGGCAGACTGTTTGTCTACTGCCAGAACTTTTCAACGCATGCCTACTTAACATGTTGGAACCTGAGAATCCTTTGCTTAGGCAATGGTCTTGCTTGTGTCTGAGCATGCTCTGGTGTGATTACGCAGATGCGAAATGGATGGGGATCAGATGCTCAGCACATGCTCGGTTGTGCGAGTTATCTCTCGACCCGGTGCCGGAAGTCCGAGCTGCCATGCTTCATGCACTGACGAATTTCCTCGGTATTCCCGACCTCACCGATCAAGTCTCCCAGATTGAAGAGGGTATTGCATCTTCAGTTCTCTTCATGACATCAGATGGCAGCACCCTGGTGAGAAAGGAACTGGTTGTTTTCCTCTCTACCTTTGTCAAGCGATATGAAAATAAATTTATTGTAGTAGCATACGAGCAGCTCGTGGAGGAAAGAGAAAAGCACCCTTACAAGGAGTCGGAGCCAAGTGTGTTTGATCCTCGGGACAACTCCACTCCAGTTCCCATATCATCGAACTCAATCTACGGATCGATCTGGGTCCAGATCCTTGTACTCTCTGTTGATCCACACCCAGAGATTGCCAGAAATGCTCAGATCATTGTAGACCAGGTTCACGAAATCCTGATCAACTCGCCTTTAAGTCATATGGCACTGGCAGTGATTGATGACCTTTTGAAATTCTCTAAGAAAGAGGAGGCACATCTTAAGAGAGTGCCATCAAGAGATTCACTTCGAGCAATCGATCGACAAAGCAGTAATGTGACGCCTCCACAGCTCCAGAAACAGCAGAGTTATCTATCACTCAGTCTTAAGCGGGCTGGGAGCTCATTGCGAAATCTCGCCTTTGGTTCTCCAGCAGACAGTCCTACACAAGAAACAACACCACAAACATCCCCTACAAAGACCAGAGAACATGTCCAGCCTCTCAATACCCCCCGAAATCGATTACCACCTGAGTGGAGTAGGCCTCCTGACTCACCAAACGCCAGTAACACGCCAGGTGCTTACCATGCAGCATATTTACCAACATCGGCTGGCTTCACGCCTTTAGATCCCAAGAAGCCACCGACGCTGCCTCTTCAGAGTTCTTTATTGGAATGGTCAACAGAGTACTTCCGTGAGCCACAAATGCGACCCAATGATCCAGACGAGCCTGGTTCGGCAGACTACAACTCTCGTCTATGGCGACGTACACGTAACGAGCGTATCATCGCCGATAATCAGCCACTGAAAGGCAAAGCCGGAAGCTCAAAATGGACTCGTTTGGAGGGTCTTATCAACAACCATAGCCAACCAACGAAGATGACTTTCCATCAATTCGACGATCATCTAGCCGTCGCGGACGACAAAGACACGATCACAATTTGGGACTTTCAGAAGAATGAACTGCTCAATCGATTCAGCAATGGAAATCCTACAGGAAGCCGAATCAATGATGCCAAGTTCATGAACGAAGATGACCAGCCACTACTTATGGTTGGCAGTTCAGATGGTGTCCTCAAAGTATACCGTGGCTACCAGAGCGGAGCTGACGTAAAGGTGATCACCGCATTCCGCGCCTTGACAGAACTGATTCCCAGCAATAAAAACGCAGGTCTGGTTTTCGATTGGCAGCAGGGTCAGGGAAAGGCACTCGTTGCAGGAGATGTGAAGGTCATCAAAGTATGGAACGCGGCTACAGAGCTCTGCGTTGGTGATATCCCTGCTAGGAGCAGCAGCTGCGTCACTAGTCTCACATCTGATCAAGTCGCTGGGCAGATCTTCATTGCGGGCTTTGGAGATGGCGTGGTGCGTGTATTCGATCAACGTCTAAATCCTCGAACGGCAATGGTTAAAATTTGGCGTGAGCACCGACAGTGGGTCACCAACCTACACATGCAGCGAGGTGGGGTGAGAGAGCTGATCTCTGCCAGCCGTAACGGCGAGGTCAAGCTTTGGGATTTGAGAAACGATAAAGCCGTATTGACTCTCAATGCAACTTCTTCATCGGGCACCGGATCCTCATCACAAGCTCCACCATCAACACAAGATGGCGCAATGACACCGACCTCAGCCTCCTCGTCCAAGACTCTCCTGCGCACCCTTTCCGTCCACGAGCACGCGCCCGTAATTGCCGTTGGCACCGACCGCCACGAGGTACGCAGCTTTAACACGAATGGTGAACTCCTAGGCTCTTTCGAACCACTCGCAAGTCGTATTGCGCAGGTTGTGGGTGGAAGTCTCAGTGGGAGGGGGTACCAAAGCCCAATCGTCGCAACTGCTTACCATCCTCATCGCATGATGCTTGCTTGTGCCGCGCAGGGAGATGGACATGTCAGTCTTTTGGGATATTAGCGTATCTGGATGAGATTTATGGATTTGGCACCGAAGAACTCCAAGGGCGTCTTCTGTCCAGCTCAACGTCGCACACAGCACATACGTCACCGGGCTCAGTAGTTAGTGGATAGTTTTGATGGGACCGTACTAATCGAGTAGAATTTTAAGCGACTTGCTAGATCGGCATGGATCGATCCGCCCGGCATGGGCCGGCTTCTGGAGCGTCTTGGTTAGTTAGCATTAGTTTCTAAGTTAGTCCTTTTGCACTACACTTGACGATATCCTTAGTTATTGAATGCAAAATACATGTCCTAGCTGGTGTGAATCCCGTCCGAGCATGACCGCATACTATGATGGTTCTGCCTAGGAACTCCCTTGAGATCCCATTCCGTGGAATTCTTCAGCTCCCCCTAGGAATGGAACGTCCGGTGACTTGATATGAATAGATCGTTGTACGAAATGTGCTCGCTCCCCGCCCGAAACCGTCGCTCCAAATTAGATTCATCCAACAAAACATGCTCACGCTCATGCTCGCTGTGCGTGGTCGGAAGGAAGAGGGGTTGTGTCTTTCTGACCATCATCTTCCTGCTCTCGGTCATCAAGTCGCTTTGACAATTCTGTCTGTCGCTGGACTTCTTGATCTGGTTCGTGATCATCATCATCGTAGTCGTCGTTGTCGCCATCCTCGTTGTTGAATTCTTCATCCAAGTCGCTTTCGTCGTCATCGTCTGACGCTTCATCATCGCTATAAGCATAGTGATATATCCAACCATCCTCATCCTCTTCTCCAGAGACGGACATAGATTCCTCTGAGTCTTCGTCGTCCCACTGTCCTGGCACAATGAAATCCTTCTTTTTCGTGGCAAACTCAATACGGAAGTCCAGGACTTCTTCCCCATCGCTGTTGGTGACGACTCCGATGCAGATTCGAGACATGATCCGTAGGTTTTTGAGGTACTGGTGAAAGCTATCTCCCGCTTCTTCGTTCCTGCACTCAGACCACTCCTCAATGCCGTCCTGCTTTTCAATTCTCAGATAGTCATACAGATCCTCTTGACTCTGTTTTAAGAAATTGGCCCAGATTTTCAAGCGTCGGTTGCACGATGTCGCAACAGCCCGAAAGAACCGCCCATGCCGATCAAGACTGTTTAATTCTTCGTGTCTCCAGATATAACCATCAACGGAATGAAATGAGCACTCTCCAAGTGGGCTGCGCTTATGAGTCCTACCGTGGATGTCCACACCTGCGTCCAAAAGGATTTGAAGGCTGCGATAAACGTCAGCGACCTGCCTAGAGTCCAATGCGTCCCACATAAGTATTAGGACTAGACCAAATAGTATATCAGTTCCAGCTACAGGGTCCGTAGTGAAGCTCGTGGTGTCCTGCACTTTGTTCATCGCCGCTGAGACTAACTCAATCGAGCCCCAACTGAGACTGGCCCATGACCTTGCAAGTTGTACATAGAAGTTTTGCAGATCATTCCCAACGAGAGCTATCCTTTCCTCCGCGATAAGCCAGAGAAGGGTGTCAAGCGAACCTTGATAGTTACTCACGGCTATGAGGGGTTGTGGAAATGAGCTCGACTGCAGCGTTTGTTCGATTACCACTTTGCCACTTTCCACCAGCAGGCGTAAAGTGTCTAGCTTACGGTCACCCCTCTGGTAGTAAGAGGCTTTCCACTCAGGCCAAACATCGCTGATGGTTGGCATCCAGGTCTCAGGACTCCATCGGCCACAGGCATACGCGAAGGGGGTTCTAGGCGCTTGTTAGCGATGGTGCGAAGATTTTGGCTAGCAGGGTGAGCATCTACATACCATGCACAGATGGGAAGCGCTATGCCATAATGGCTCATGACACGGCTAGACACAGTGAGGGATAACGGTTTGGACTTACAACTCCATACCTTCTCCGGTATAGGGATTGCGGTATTTCATAATAGCCGATGCATCAGCTCCGAGGTCGATCAAGTGCTTGCAGATCTCAGGGCGGAGCCATGCTGCTGCCACCTTGTCACTTATCAGCATTGGAGGCGGTCGCCTTCAAAATCAGATAAATACGAGGAAGGTACCAATGAGTACTTACTGCCAAAGGTGTCATGCCATTGAAAGTGGTATCGAATGGTGAAGCCTTTCCAGTGGCGATCAGATCAGCAACGGCTTTATGGTCTCCAATGGCACAGGCTAGAAAGATAGGGGCATCGGCTTTGACTAAGCACTGAGGCTGGAGAGAGATGTTGAGAATACCATTGTACTTCCTCGATGTGATAGTAATGGCCCAGTCTAGAAACCATGATGCAAATGTGAATCGTGCGGCTGCAGTATCCCCTTCCTCAGCCGAACGAGAATAGAGGCGTCCGAGAGTGAGTGTCCCCAAACCGAGATAATGTGACGAGCTTGTGACGATTGATCGGCCTCTAGTAGCTTTGTTGGTGTAAGATGAAGGTGGCTTTTCCGAGGGTGCAGGGACTATCTCTGTCTGGACAGAAATCTGTTGAGACGCTAGATTGTTTGGTGAAGCAAGCCTAAGAAAGGTGAGCTACAGTCCAGGAATAGGATGTGAGCATACATTTGAGCAAGCATTAAATTAGCCTTGGCTCGTTCGAGCTTCACTAGAAGCTGATCGATCTTCTTCCTCTCCAATATAGATTTCACTGATATCCATGATACGACCCTCTTTCGGCCAGCCAAGGAGCTGGACAGCCTTGCGAGAATCGGGCCCAATTCGTCGTGAAGACTCTGGCATTGTCGAATGACTTGGTCTTGGACCGAAGTAGCCTTATTCAAGGGCTCTCGCCGAGGATGATTCTCGGCGATCAAGGACAAGAGCGCACCAAAAAGCTGAATCTCGTCTGAGAGTGATTTGAACTCGGTGGGTGCATCGCGGATTGCAGCGCACAGTTCTCTGATTCTCTGTGAATCATCAAGAATTTGGATTGCGAGGGACGCAAGACCTGCACCTCCTGCCACAATGCCAAAGACCTCCGCCATCCTTCCGATCCAGTGAACGATTCAAGTGCCGCGGAGTGGCATACTATATCAGTCAAAGCATTGTACAAGAATCACGAATGGCAATGGCAATCGTATGGATGAAAGGACAATCATTTCGAATTTGCATTGGAATCCATTTCTCGAAAACTAGAAGCAAAATGTGGTGAAAGTTGAATCAGGCTGGAGAAAGATAAAGCCTTGAAGAAAGAGGGTTGTTGGGGCTTAGAGCGGGGCTGAGCTGCCGACATACAGGCCAGGTTGTCTGCCAGTGGTCGCTATTCTATTGCGATTGGTGTCCAGGAAATGTATCCTTTCGCTTCACATCAAGTAGACTATTTCACCCTCAAGCTTGACTTGTCAACAGCTGCAGGGACGCCAACCTAGAAGTGATTCACGAGCAGGGTGCTAGGTGATTTGATCAATTCGGTAGGTATTTCGACTCCTCATCCGTGCCTGCTCGTATTCGCTACCTTGGCTCAATTCCTGACCGAAATCCATTCGCACCCGCGTTCTGGAAGGACCAAACGTGCAGTGTTTGATGTCCTGACACATATGCCCGGAGATCGATTCATACCGGAATGGTAAGCATGAAACCCATACCTGTACCACTTATTTGACATTTGCGACAGGTATTTGTGGGTGAAGTTGGGATAGAGCAAGGCTGAAACTAAGCGAGCTTACTCAAGCGAGGAAACTCAAGCCTCAGATGCTTGGTTCAAGCCTATGTCGTTGCTGCCAAACCGAATACCAAAGTCGGAGCATACTGAAGAGGTAAAGTATGACGGTTGAGAGAAATGCAACGAAGCAAAACGCTGCGACCTGAAGGATGAAGGTCAGAGTTTTAGGGCGTCAAGCATATTCATAAAGCCCAACCTACCAACCGATCGGACACACTTTGATCTTTCTGAAAAGTTCGTGTCGAAGCACAGACAAACACCACGAACCCACCCAGCCAGGAGTAGATGCTAACTTCCAAAAGGCCAACCGCCAGCTGCCAGAGGATAATCTGATGGTCGTGAGGAAGATAGTTTTGAGACTCGTCCCGTGCGCCGAGTATGTCTCGCAGAATGACGTGGTATTTTGGAACACAATGTAGGCGCATGAGAAACACGCTCTGCTGGACACCGACAGCCACGGACCCGATGGACAGAATTAGGCTGCTAAACCAGGCCACCCTGATCATTGTATATGCAACGGCAGGTAATTCGGTAAGACCTGGCCACGTAAAGCCACCAACGACCGCGGCAGTCAACACGGAACCCTACGAGAAGTCATCTTAGCCAGGTCCTCTAAGAAAAGATGGGTTGGGAAGCGAAGCATGGTTATTGGTGACCATGAGGCGTACAATGATTCCAGAGTTCGCGAGTTGGGCCTGCATTGATTTCTGCCACCGCTCTAACCGGGCAATCAACAATGCGTCGTCCGACGCATTCAGAATCTCGTACAGAGACGCGTAGGCGGTCCTCCATGCCGCTGCATGGAAAGGAAAGACACTGCGAAGGATACGAAGTGCAATCGGCTTGGAATTGCTTATTACTATGGGCAATATCCCGGGGTGATTTGCCATGTGATAGGGGTTAGACGAGCGAGAAAGATTGAGATAGCTGGAGAGTAAATGCGAGATGTTGGGAGCAACATATGTCAGAGGGCACCGAGCTAAGGCGGAGGCGAGTACTTCCGTAGAGAGACACTCAAACCATTCATAACGTAATGTTTTTTACGCGTCTATGATGAGGCACGCCAGGAGGCACTTACGGAGTAGTACTAGGCACAATATCCTCTTAGGTCTAGGTTGGCGGCGGGCTGGTATTGCTCCTTGCAATCGAGACCGATTCATCAAGCGATGCTAGGACCGATGGATAGATTACGAGTATTCAATACTCACGTCATTGGTTTTGGGGGCCTCATGAGTGTGCAATTGGGAGGCCTTTTTGGGTGTTGGTGTTCGCTCGGTGGTCTACGAGTATTCGTTTAGTGGTCTTGGCTCAGCTTTGACACGATGATGAGACGACGGTCCGTCCCGGTTGGCACAACCCTTTATCACACATCGCGCAACTCTATTCCATGTTCATAGGATGGTGGGCATGTCAATTCATCATCAACCCAGGGCCAAGCCGTCGTATTCAGCTTTCTCGATTTTGGCAAAGTAACATGGGGGCCGAGCACTTGCATCGAGCTCTCTACTCGGTACCAACTTGAATGAATGCCAGATATCTTTAGCTCCTTAGCTAGATCTTCAACGGCTAAGCACCTAATTCTGAAAGAATACTAGTGGGTACAACGAAGGTTTCGTGGGTACCTATTTTCGTTATTTAGGCGCTAAAGGGGCCTCTGTAGCGTCTTCTAGCACCGATGACGCACTAAAGGTATCGATTCCCGTCTAAAGTGTAATGATACTTCTTCGATGCTTCCGTTGGGCGGCGAAGGTGCCTGGAACGACCCTGGGGAGAAGGCCAGGCTGAGAAAGAGGGTGAAATTACTGTTCTTGATTCTAACTCTCCCTAGGTATCTAGAGGCTAGCCCATACGAAGTAATATTGGCTTAATGGAGTAGATCAAGCGATGTCTACCTAGATACATAGCGCCTAACTATCGAAAAATACCCCGTACGCCTTCGTATCATACTGTATGGCCTAGGAGATGGGATGCTTGTCCAACGGGTCATCTCGTGAGGACTTAACTCACCCTACCCTACCTCTTTCGTGCTATTCAAAATTACTTCTAGCTGTGGAATTTGATGGCGCAAGCTGTAGACTTGCGCACGTTCCTGTTGACAACTGTGCCTCAAAACGCAAAACTTTCGCCGAGCATGCTAGAAACGGCTTCAGCCCGCGCTTTGAAAAAGGCTACTGACTTTGGAGAGAGCCTGTTGGCCCACCCAGGGAGAGAAGCTGTAGATGCAGAAGCCGAATACAAATATGTCGCGAGAGCTAACTTTGTGAACGTGCCTGGTTATGAGCAAGTCAGTATTTACAAGCGAGAGCCGGACCGGACATGGGCAAATATCCCTGTGAACACTCAATTTGATCGGAGCCTTCACGTCGTTGGTGTTGCCATCAACCCTTTTGTATTTCAGGACAGCTCGGGCTCGGTCTTCGCACGCTCCATAAAAAAGCTTGGGTTGCAAAAGAAACTTGCCCATTGGGCCCTATACCTTCGCGAGGCGGACAGTGTGAGTTTCTCGAATCCAAGAGCACAGCAGGATCTTGAATTGACCAATGTCAACAAGGATCAATACCGTATGTACGGTCTGAACTTCTCCCAGGAGACAGGGCAATTGATTGTCGAAAGTGTATGGGGAACAAAGGAAGGGTGGGAGAAAGTTGTTCAAGAAGGGCAGTTCCAGAAGGATGAGAACATCAAGGAGTTGCAGATATACTGCAGTCTCGCCGAATTCATCCTAACTAGTAAGATTGACTTGCTTGATAACCGTCGGCGACAAACTGCGATGCTGATACCTGCAACACTAATTAGCACAATTTTTCGTGAGGTACGATATGAAACGACCACAGAAGATTTGGAAGTTCAATGCGGAATTTTTGACCCACGAGAATCCTGGGCGAAGCTATGACTTGCTCAGGAGCAACTGTCAGCACTTTGCTCGTGGCTTTCTTGATTTCCTTGTCATACAGGGATGGACCGATCCACGACGCAACCGAGAGCCGTTTTCACTCCAAAAAATGGCTTCAAAGCTGCAAGAACTTGAGCTTAATCAGCACGATGCTGGCTTCAAAATGCTAGAAGATTCAATGAGCTGGGATGATCTCGGTGGGAGGTAGACATGGATTTCGTGGTCTTGTTGAAAGAGCTTTCACGCTGAAGATCACGTCATGAGAAATTTCAAATAGCGCTGTGCAGGAGGGTTTCTTCTTCCTTGGTGTGAGAAGACGAGCTGGCAACCCGCAACTCAACGTGGCAGAAGTGGTAGAGGGAGTTGAGGGGGAAGCAAAGCGCAACATATTTCTGCAGGCTTTACTTGCGCGCCATAAGCCTTCACGGCTTAGCCTAGATGAGATTTATGATCTCTAGTAGATCTAGTTGTCTCTGTTACGCGCAATGCTGTAAGCGTGGTCTGATGATTTAGTAGTGTCTTGATTGATTGTATAGTCGATGAATGAGTTGTAGGAATGTGGTGGAAGGATAGACACTTTAGATCTATGACGTAGCTCTTGCCCTCAACAGTTTCCTCGTACATGACTATATAAGACGACGATTAGCCTAATAAGTCGCTGCCTTCTATGGTAAATGAGGAGAGAAATGAGAAACCTCTCTTACAATTAGAAATTAGGAGGCCAGCGCCTGGTCGGACCTTAGAAGTGCTGATATAGAAGGAGAATCCAGCCATTTCGACAGCATTGTCTAATCTTACCACACTCTCTTGGACTTGTTCCGCTCCTATTTACAAGGTAGGCAAGGACATGACGTGATGGATTGATATAGCACCGGGTCAAGCCTCCATAAGAGCAGACCTTATACATAAAGTTCCTACTGGTAATGTCGACATACCGTGAAAGCAACCTGAGTGCTATCTGACTGTGAAGCAGCTATTTTGACCACCCCAGAGTTGAGTCAAGGCTCCAAACCAGACTATAGGAGCCCCTTGACAAGCCACGGCAAGCCACGGGCGAGCCAAGGCCAGTCGAAGTCTTGATATAATGCTGATTTATCCAAGGCTCGGCCACCAACATGGCCGTATTCGCCGCATACCGAGGCGACAAGTATCTTGCCATATTTAGACCATGTAAAAGGGGGACGGCACAGGTGCACCATTACCCCAGATACTCGTCAACAATTCATCAAGTTGAGATACTAGCCCATAGTTCCATTCTTGTTTCGCTGGGTTCATTGGTCGTGATCGGCCAACGATTTCAGACGCTAAAAGATACTGTTCCTCCAAAGTCCATCTGCCTGGGTGGCTGCAATCTGTTCAGTTGCCCGCACTCAGGGTGAAGCAGTTGGCGCCAGCTGCAAGATTATTGGCATCAATCTGCTTGGTCAGGGTCAGTCGTGTAATTCCTTCAATCCACAGGTAAGAGTTTCACATAGGGAGTCGAGCGTCCTAGTTGGCCTGTATCACTATCTGAGAACCAGCTTTCCAGAAATGCTTTTGCGCATGCTCCCGCTGTAGCTGCAGCGTAGTTCTGCCATCGCTTGGTCTTATGACCGTCGGCGTAGCCCGCAATGCCCTTGATTATTAGACAGGGTAGGGGGCCTCATACACCGGCTCCCTCCATGTCGAAAGCTATTACATGATCTCTCTTGGAGACCTGGTCGCGAACCTCTTCTAATTTCATCTCAGTGTCCCCGGACGCGAACAGTCCGAAATGTCCTATCGGATTGCATGAGGACGGCTTGCAAGCGATATTCTCGGTCTCAGAAACCTTCCAACGATCTATCAGGACTGCCTTCTCGTCTTCACATTCGAGTTCCGCGCATGATGACTCAAGGCTTCTTCGCAGACGCGATCATCTTTCTTTAAGCATGCGTCACATGTCACACATCGTGATGGGGCTTGGTGTTTGCGGCGATAACTGGGACGAAACAACTTATCATAAGTAGCGCCAGGGTTCACAGATAATTCGCCGAGCTCCTGATGAGTAAAGGCAGAAACCGGAGCATTCCTGTTTCAACTCTTTGGTTGCCCATGCGACTCTTCAATTTCGCCAGATGTGCCCTGATTCCTATGTTAGGTCTGCTAAGGGTATTGAGCGTAATATCCTTCCTCGTAAAAGAGCCAGGGTAAAGTCTGAAGGGATCAAACGAGATGATTCCATCGCTGATGATGGTATCACCAAGATAGATTTCTTTCTCACCGGAAGGGGTTGGGACTGCGCCACAGATTCCGACCACAAGAGTAAGCTGGACGTTTGGGAAGCTGGACCGTAGATTAGCTGTAACCATGCCGCGTTCGTTTTCGCCATTGATAACATATGCACTAGCACAACATCATGGTGACCAATCTTGCCTGTTGTGTATGCATCACTATCTCCTCGTGCTTTCCCATAAGACGTGCCATTGTTTTCCCAGACTTTATCAAGCAAGGCATAAACAGTGGTAGCCTCGAGCGGAAGGGAGCACGTTAGCGCAACTTTGAAATCCTGGGCCAGCCATCTGCCCTAACGTATATGTGTTGTCCTCGGCTTCGGGATTATCCAACACAGGATGCTCGCAATCTAGCATACCCCGTGCTGCAGCCAGTTCCAGTGGAAGGGCACAGATCCATCCAACCGTGTAGTCATCGTGGGTATACTGCATCGTTAGCTCTTCACAGGTATAGTGCTTGTCGAGCACCCCCCGCTTAGGCGCGCAAACATCATGCTGGTCGTCGAGCCATCTGGTCGTCAGTGCCATCGTCTCGTCCATGGCTTGTTGAGTCAACAAATGTTGAGTAACTCTGAGAGGTTCAGGCCAGGGCCGCCCTTTCGATCAGAAAGCCACAGCTGCGCCAGATGAATATTTTGAAGGACGGGTGCTTATGATACGTCGTTCTGTTCAGCGGGGTATTTGTTAAAGGCCAATATGGGAGGCTGAGCCTAGGCTGCAAGCTAGGTGAACATGAGGCTGATTCCTGTGTCTCTGCAAGATGGTGGCATACTAGTTCAAAGGGTCCAAGCCTCTTGCCACGTGACTGCGCATTGCACGTTGATACGTAGGACCAGGACCAGGCTGATCTCAACGGTGAGTAATAAAACGCTGTCGGCCATTGATCCCATCTCAATGGCTGTGGCTTATTGCCAATCGAAGATCTTGCTGCGCTAGCGGCAGCTCGGTGGTTGGCCATACATAGGTCAATTAGCACGGAGAGGGCGTTTCCGAATTTAGTGGTACAGACACGATATGCCATTTAACATGTAATGTTATTATACAATCATTTCACTCATCAAGCTGCCAATGTTGGGCAGGCTGGACATGAATACCGATGCAATCTGAAGTTTGCCGTCGAATGATATCCACAGTAAGGAGGGATTACCTCCTCTTTCTCCTTCTCAGCTCAAATGACGAATCATCGTCAAATTCATTGTCATCGCCTGACTCGAGCACTGTCGCCGTGGTTTTCTTCTTTTTTGCAAGAATGGGATCGAGATCCACGCCCCAAACAGACTCTCTGTCACCAATACTTTCAATTCCATGGTTTCCCAACAACCATCGACCCAAGCCTACGACAGCTTCGTAGGTTTCTTCTCCAGTAGGGACAATTTGTGAACGCGGTAATAAAAAGCCGTAAGTGCCAGTATCTCGAAGCTTGATTTGATAGGCGAACTTGACGTTCAGGTCGTGATAGAAAAAGTCCAAAGCAGAACCACCTTGCGAATCAGCTTGTACTCTTGTGGACTTGGTCTGATCCTTGAAAGTAATGCTTCCTTCGCATGCGCTTTCCACCCCGTAGTAGTGGCCATTGGTCAGGCGGAACGACTTGGCGAGTCCCATAGCAACTTCTTCCAGATCTTCCAGGTTCGGAGGCTCCGCATCACAAGAATATGTGTAGGGGTAAAGGACTTCCTGTGAGTACGAATGAAGATCGAGATAAGCGTCAAAGGTTACATTGTTGTTCTCCGTTTCATTTCGGGCCCATTCTGTAAGGACTTTGGCCTCCAGAGCAACGAGCGGTTCGGTACCTGCATAATCATCACTGCAAGCATTATCTCGACTATTGTGCCCACTCCAACCGAATGAGAATGAGCGGTCGATGTCAATGCCTGGGCAGAAAGCGATGTCTGTCGATTGCCGGTTCTTGCGCCAAAGCCTGTCCGTTGTCCAGGTATATTCGTAGCCATCGGGGTTGACGACAGGAATGACCACCACGTCGAAATGGTCGAGCAGCTTTGTAACATGTGGGAATTGTGAATGGCCGTATCTGGTGACCAAGCTATGGGCGATATATGCAGCTGTGGAGACTGAAATCCATTCACGGGCGTGGGTACCTCCAGCTATGATTAAAGTATGTCGAGTAGTGTGGTCATCACCTCGAGCGTAGTCCTTCTGAGTACCAAGTCTGAGAGCAGAAATATCACGACCCTCGGCCGACTTTCCGATACTGATCAAGCTTGCGTGGGTTGGAAATAGAGAAGCGATAAGTCTCAACCAGGGATAGAGCACCGACAAAGGCTGGAAGTCGTGGAAGAAGAGATTCTGAGATGGCTGAACGGTTGATCTCCAGTTGTGGGAAGGGGTTGGACCATCGCGAGGAGTGTCATCGTCTGAGGAAGCCGAGCCAGGATAGGTGTCGTACACAGCACGAGCAAGATCATGCATTAGCGGAGTATATGATTTGTGAAGAGAGGCAGGGAGTAGTCCAATGAAGGAAGGTACAATGTCTTTTGCAACTCTGATATCGACCCATTCATTGGTGCCTTCCCAGATATCGAGGAATAGGATATCGGCCGCTTGAAGAAGAGCCTTTGCATCTTCTTCAGTTCTCAATTGGAATCGTAGGACCACATCGTTGCCATAACGAGCGCGAAAGAGTTCGGGAGTTTGTGGGGATGAGGTAGTAGAAGAATGGTGAGTAGACTTGTGTGGGATAGACCAGAGTTTCTCGATGATAGCATCGCGTAGTTTCCGGAAAGGACCAAATGTCTGCTCTCTCACAGAATAGGGATCATGGAGTGGCAGGGAAGACTGAGCATTGGACTCGGTGGTCGGCACAGAGAGAGCAACGGATAGGACAGTCAGAAAAAACAACAGAGTACGAAGAACCACGGCCATGATAGGCAGGAATGAGAGATGGAATTATGGGGACATGGAGATGTCAACTGCGCAGAGAGCGTCAGCTATCTCGTGAAGAGAAGAGAATATGGTGGAGGAGAAGGAGAAGTGCAGATAGAGGTGAATTGAGTTGGCAGAATACAGGTTGGAGGGAATTGAGCACACGAGCAGCAGGAACGACGCAGTTGCAGGTGAATTAGGTTCTGGAGTCGGACCTGCCACACCTTCCCCCTCGGCACCTGGAGGGAAAATAAGTGGGTGCCTGCATCTTCACCAGAACTTATGTGGCTTGTGCTGTGCCTGTGCCTCACTAATAAGCCAACAGAGGCCAAACTATTAGCCAGAGTGATTGCTAACTCGAAATGAGCTAGCGCACGAGAACCACGCCACAATCACTAGCCACAGCTCTTTCTCTCTCAACAGCAGTCGAGTCGATAAACGGGAATTTGAAGATGAGTATGCATATTGATATCCATTCTACTTGCAACGTCTATCAATTGGCTCTCATGCTGGCCCAGTGTCAGTGGATCTGTTTTGAGATCGCACCTGCAGTGGATATCGTGAAATCGTGCCCATTATTGTGTTATGCATGTCAAAGACTGGTCTGTCGCTTACACCTTGTACTCCTTGAGGCCTGCCTTCCAGACGGTAGCATATGGGGTCATGCCGTCCTCGCGGAAGTCGACCAGTACGTACATGCCGTTCTCCGCCATGGATTCTCCCTGGTAGATGTCGTAGTTCTCCCAGTTTCCTAGAATCTTCTTGGCTGCTCCTGCTGCGTCGGTTTGGAACTGCTTGATCTCTTCGGCGGGCTTTCCTTCCTCCTTGAATTTCTCGACCAATGCCTTCATGTACTCTGAAACACAAGATTAGCTCTCTCGGATTTCTCACCAAAAGGAGCAGAGAAGCCTACTCTTGAGTTCAGCCTGATAGGCCTTCTTCGACATGCCGCCCTCAATCTTCTGGAGTCGAAATTGGTCGGCAATATCAAGAACGGGTTGATTGTCGCCGTCCTCACCACCTTCCTCGGCGTCTTCGCCTTCAGCGGAGGGGTTGGCTCCAGCGAGAACTAGAGTAGAGAGTCAGAGGGGCGGTTGCCGTGCGGTGGGATGTAGATGGTTGGCTGACCGAAGTTATCCGCGCCCTTCTTCACCATCTTGCCATCAACTTCCCAGAGACCATTACCGGCGTCGATGATCTTGAGAGTATCCGAGAGGATCTCGTCATCGGAGAGGATATCCTGGGCGGCAAAGATTAGAAACAGTGGCTTGAGGTGGGGTATGCGACTGAAAAGCCGAGGGATGGGGGGGCTCCGATATAATCCTTACCTTGTAGATGAGCATCTTGGACCAGGCGGTAGAATAATTTAAGAGTGGGAGAGAAAGGTGGATAGGGAAGTTCGCGACTGAGAGGGAGGAGAATGGAACGAAGAAAAGAGACGAGCGCAGGCCTGCTGGAGGGGTGAAACCAAAAATGTGGAGGAGCAAAGATTCGAGAACTTTTGCTAGTGGGAAATGACGCTAGTATTGATATGGACTGATGGATCTTGGCGTCTCACGTGACTAGTATGATTCGCTTGAGTTGCTTGAAACGGCTTGTGGCATGTGGGCATCCACGTCAAGCTTTGTCAGGAGATGATGATGACGATTCGTATTTCGTACTACGACCCAACGGGAGATTGGTGCTCTGGAGACTCGCAAAAAGCCGTGATCGGTGGCCTTACACCTCTTCAAATCATCAAATGCTCGCTCTGCCCTGCACTAGCTCCTGAGTCCTGAGCCCTAGGCCCTGAGTCTGGGTGGCAAATTCACTCATACTACAAACCACTGCTGGAAATCACCATCATCACTTCTTCATATGTACAACGACCTCAATATTCTTCTTTCTTCCTTGCATTCGTTCAGATTATACTCCTTTTCTAATCCCAGGTCTCCCCACCTTCTTCCTCTCCTTTCAGAACTATCCAATATTTAGAGTGTCTCTTGCCTCTTGTCCACTCCCACCTTCTCATCTGCCGTCCAAGGTTCTGTCACTCCTTGACCACCCACCACTTCCGAGCCTCCCGCGCGCGACTTTAATACAGTTGACTAGTTCCACGACTTCTGGAACCACCACACTCCTTCTACACCTCTCTGTCCTTTCTTGCATGGTCGTCCACCATGGCGAACAACACCATTACTTTGCCGTCATACACCTTGACCCCACGACCGACTTTGATTCCTGGCGTCTCAGATCCCCTCCTCCAGCTCCTCGCTCCAGTTGTCGCCTACTGGGTCTTCTCTCTTTTCTTCCATGTCCTCGATACATATGACTGGTGTACTGAGTATCGACTACATACTCCAGCCGAATTACTGAAACGGAACCATGTAACACGTTACGAAGTGGTACGAGATGTTGTTGTCCAACAGATTATTCAAACTGCTTTCGGATTGTTTCTCGCCCATTTCGATCCGGTTGAGACAGTAGGTAGGGAGGACTATGATGTTGCAGTCTGGGCCCAAAGGCTACGCCTTGCCCAATCCTACATTCCCTCCGCCCTCGCCCTTCTTGGAGTTGACGCATTGGCTCTATCAAACAAGGTCGCGGAATATCCACAGTTTGCTAGCGTATTGGCTGGAGGTATTTATCCAACACCTACGGCTGCTGCTCCATGGGAATCCTTTGTGGCCAAGGCAATCTATTGGGTTGCCATTCCTTTTGTCCAATTCTTTGTAGCCATCCTTCTCGTTGACACATGGCAATACTTTCTTCATCGTGCAATGCACATGAACAAATTCCTGTACACAACCCTCCACTCGCGCCACCACCGGCTTTACGTCCCATATGCCTTTGGAGCCCTCTACAATCATCCTGTGGAAGGATTCATGCTGGACACCTTTGGCACCGGTCTTGCATATCTTCTGACGGGAATGACAGTCAGGCAAGGAATGTGGTTCTTTACATGTTCTACCATCAAGACTGTTGATGATCATTGTGGCTATGCTTTCCCATGGGATCCAGTTCAGCACATTACCTCGAACAATGCTGCTTACCACGATATTCATCACCAGAGCTGGGGTATCAAGACCAATTTCTCACAGCCTTTCTTTACATTCTGGGACAAATTCCTGAACACAGCATGGACGGGGGGTGATGTTTCTTCTCGCTACCAACGCGACAGGATATCCGCACAAAAGAAGGTCGATGCGGGAACTACTCCCCAGCAACCCTCGGTAGTCAACTCTCCAGAGATCGATGTCGACAAAGCAAAACAGCAGGCCTTGTCAAGTCAGAGGCAGGTCCTTGATGATAGCGTTAATGGAGGTGTCAGAATCTTGGAAGAAGAAGCTCGAGAGGAACAAAGCGTCAAGACCAGCACGAGACGCAGCACGAGAAGGAGAACTAGTGGCTTTGATCCGAAAGCACTATCTGACCGCGTTGCAGGAAGCCTGCATGGCAGAAGTCATGCAATTTTGCATGCTGATGGAGCACACTAAACCAGAATAAGCTGATTGCTGTGTATTACGAAACCTTTTTTCCTGGACATGATTTTGCACTTGACAGTCGGAAAACAAGAACAAATTGTGAATTGGGCCAATATCAACATGAGGGAGTTTGGGAAAGACTTTGCATCTTCTACTTATTACAAAACTTTTAATGTGTATAACATACTGGGCAGGGACCATGAGAAAGGGAATGAATGCTCTTCGTTTCGAATCTTCGATCACTCTCTTTTCACCATTTTCTCTACCCATTCACTTGATATACGGCTTGTCTTCAGATAGGGTATACCGTCCAAGATCCACGTTATTGTCCTCGTGCTTTATTCAACTTTGTCGCTTTCTGTTATAAAGCGACTAAGGTGATGCTTAAACAAACAAAGGCTTGTGCAGCTTTTCGTTGGGAGTTTCTTTGATCGACCACCTCATTGTCTATATTCATAGAAAAGCTCAACCGTGCTCCCGATTGCAGTTGAAGACGTTCCTCAACCTTTACCAAAATCTTGAAGGAAATTTTGACTTGGAAACAAAGCTGCTCAGGGACAGAAATTCCTTCATTGCTTATCGACATATCCTTTGCTCGCTCAACACCACCGCCGTATTTCATAGTGAGTTCTTCAATACCTGCCGAGACATCATGCATTTAAGCTCCTGTCTTGGGGATATTCCCAGCAGACGTATTCCGAAACTGGCTAATATCCTTCAGTTCCGACCGAAAGAAAACCATCACGATCAAGAAGAGCGCATCAAATCCACCATCAAGACACTACCAACTAGATTGAGGGGGCCAGGGCGTTTGATTCGCTTGTTGCTCCATCCTCGCATCGACGCTTGTGAATGGCACAAGGGTCTGAATCGCTGTGTCACCGATGTCATCCTCCACTCCATCCAAATCGAGATTGGCATCCGCCTCAACAGCCTAATCGCCCATTCAGAAATGTTACCTAAGGAGCATTTCGACCGAGTCTCGAGGTTGAGAGAGTTGCACGCGTTATGGCTTGGTCCTGAGACGTTCGAGAAGACATTCCTCATCCCTACACAGAATGTGCCATGGAAGTATCAAGCTAACAAGTGCGACGCCTGCATCCTCTCATGTCTCGCCGGCAATATGCAAACATTGTTGGACTTGCGATGTGTGATTAGCTCACGTGCCACTAGCAAATTTGTTGCGAAGCATGGAAATCCACGACTTCTGACCTGGGTTGACGCCTGGATCAAGAGTCTTGTGACACATGTGCGAGATGTGACTGGCCTTGACGTGCCTCTGGATGCTCAAATTGAGAAGAATGATCATCAGGCTGTGGAACTGAAGAATCTCCGTGGCAAAATTAGGCGTCTACAAAAGAAGAGATACCATAGCGCGGGCCCTCATCGTGCAATGGTTGACAACAGCGTTGATGCAGCCATTCCGGTACAAGCAATTGAAGCCGATGATCGAATTTTTGTAGATAATGGCGAAGAGATTGTTTCGTCGAAGCAAGCAAGACGACAGTCAATGGGTGACAACGATGAAGACAGCGGCGACGCTGATTTGGCATCGGTAGATGCTTTCACGGCGTTGAAGAGCTCAAGTCATGTACCCTTGGTCTTGGATCCATGCCTGCAGTATGGAAACCCATATTGCCCTGATGAGGCTGAGTTAAGGCATTCGGTCCACTCTGACATCGGCAACAACGGAAAGAAGTCATCAATTCTCCAACCGGACATCTACGTACCTCCTAGACAAGGCTGGAAGAAGCAAGAAGCTATCCGTCACTCTACTGCAGCCCGATCGCATCAACCAACAGTTGCATCGCGACGAGAATCATGGGAAAGTGTCGTTTTCGACAGCAATTTTGTCGAGTCGGGAATCATGCATCAATCACGCTACGAATCTCGACAAACGATGCATCAACCACATCATAGATCAGCTCGACCACCAAGTTCTCGATATCCTTCTGTGCAAACCGAGTTTGCAAGTCGTCGCCCTACAGTCGTGGAAGGAGGAGCATATCCAGATCCAGCAGCCTCGTATGTCAATGTTCTCCCGGTTTTTGGAGAGTATGATGTTGAGGCTGGTCACGATCGCAACGGGAATAAAACCCACTACCAGTCCACAACAGCCTCAGGATCCCAACACGATGCCACAATTAAAAGTTCGTCCGTTCTCCCTGCGGCTAAAGCCCATGCTCCACCACGCCATACCCGTCCCGATGCAATTGAGCATGTTAAAGGTGTCGACAAGAAGCATAACACAGCTCAAGACTTGCTACACGCCTACGACGATCTAGCACAGGGCCTCGGCAAACACAACGCTAAAATCCGAAGCAAACCCAGCACGCACAACCATCTGGCCAGCGATCTCAACATCTCTTCCGCAAGCCGAAATGCAATGGTCCCAGAAAGTCTGAAGGCACCTAGACGTCATGATGATCACAAAAGTACCAAACAGCGCACGGAGCACCGAGTAGACGGACATTCGAAACCTGATACCGCGCATCGAGGTGAGAAGAAGGAGAAACATGGTGAAGACCATTGTAAACACGGTCAACGAACAATACCAGTGGCCCACGATGCTGCGAAAGCCAAGAGCCCTCACGGCGGTGATGATGACAAGCACAAGCATACGCGTGACGCCGACCCAGCCGAAAAGAAAGATAAGACGAAAGTCAAGAACGACCGCACACCCGTCAAGCACAATTACGAAGATCGATCGAATCCCCACACTAAACCTACAGCACCAGCAAAGCCCGCAAAGAATCAGGAGTCAAATGCCACGACTTGGTCTGCGCAATACGGCGCGGGGCTGAGGGGGAAAGACGACTTGACTTGGTTCTACAATGGCGGTCGAAAGTGAGATTCGGGTCGAGATCTATATGCTTTGCTGTATCATGCATGTCACGCCTCTTTGAATATTACCTATGTACAAGGCTTGATACTGTACTTTCATGGTAATGTTATTTGTTCTTAGCATATTCAAGCATTGCGCTCTCGAGATTATGAGAGCTAGATGCTTACATCCTGATTTTGGTCAAATTTAACTGTTTATTGTTCAAGTCCAGTTCTTATTTATTTTTTGTTTCATTAAAAAAATTCTCGTGATATTTATCTACTCGTCGTGAAGATGCGAACATCAGTTAAATCATGCTTTTGCCGCTGTCGCCGCCGCCCCCAGCGCCGCCTGCATCCCACGGACCCACACTCCATCGGGCAAGAAAGTCTGCTCAATGAGGAACTCCTGACTCTCGTCCGCATAGGGGACGGGATGGCGGTAGAAGAGTTTTTCCACAACGCACTCGACGCTCTGGCCCGCCTTGACCACTCCATTAGGGCCGTCGCTCTTGCCGTCCTGGGCGACGGCGCCGTCTTCGGATATCAGTTCTTCGTAGGCACGCACCATAGTGCTGATCGGCGTGATGTAATGCTTCGGCCAGAGGGCGGTTACTTGGTTGGGTATCAGGCCTGTGTCGACGTAGCCGGGCATGATGCAATTGACGGCGATGTTGTCACTGGCGAGCAGTGGCTTGCCGACGCTTCGCGTGAGTGCCACGACGCCGTGCTTCGATGAGTTGTATGCCGGTGCGAGAGGGAACGGGTAGATCCCTGCACAGGATGCCGTGATGACTACCTTAGGATTGAATGGTGCTGGAGAGGAGCCCGACGCGGCTTTGAGTGCCACATTCGTCTTGCGGGCGTAGTGCACAAATAATCTCAGACCGTAGAACACGGCAATCTCATTGACTTCGATCGTGGTGAGGTTTGGCTTCGGCGGCTCGCCGTCTAGGTCCCAGCCCTGAGAGAAGTTGCCCTGCGTGATGTGGTCGCTTTCGGCCATGCCGGCGTTGGCGGCAAAGAAGTCCAGGCGACCCCCAGACCACTCGAATGCTTTCTTGAATAGCGCGGCCTGCTCGTCCCATGATGCCACGTTCGTGGCGACGAATAGATGTCGCTCAGGATCTAGTGTTGACGAGATGGCGTTGTATGCTTCTGGTCTGATGTCGGCGATGACGACCCTCCAGTTGGACTTCGAGAGTAAACTCTGAACCAGACCGTATCCAATTCCTGAAACTCCGCCTGATAGAGGTGTCAATTCCTGGGTCCGGCAGCTGCCATGGTGTGCATTGTTTGGTCATGGGAGTGGGATATCGACATACCTGTAACCACAGCGGTCTTTGTCTGTTTCACTGCCATGATCAGTATTTTTCAATCGAGTTAGGACTTAGGATGTATCGATGTCTTTGTCTTTCGAGAGCGTTGAACAACACAGCAGAGCTTCCACTCGGTCAAAGAGATCTTGAACCCAGCTCAGGATACAGCAACGCAATAATAAAGGAGCCACCATGTCCAATCTCCTTTCATGCACACACATCGGGCCTCCCCTGCGACTATGCCGCGGAGGGACGCCTGGGGCACCTAAGCTGATTCTCTATCACGATTTCTTACCGAGGTCTCTGATTTCCATCTTCATTAGGGTGCAGGTAGAACTCGTATGCAAGGACCACGGGCTGATTCGGATACATAGAGTCAGCGAGGCCACTCGGTTAGGCTTGAAGCCCTGCCCAAGAGGAGCCTAAGAGTGCTGTTTCCCCGCAAAATGCAGTGAAAAGGGACACCAAGGACGCCTAAAGTAGCGGGGCAGCTTGGAATCAACGAGTACGAAATACGGTGGGATCGTATAGGTCTGAGAGTTTGGGTACCTCATACAGAGCTTAGGCAGCTGTTGCATAATAATCTCGGGAAGTTCAGGTCGTAATGGAAAAAGCATGGTAGCTGCGACTTTGAAAGGAATACGGATGGTTATTACAATCAATCTCTACCAAATGAATTTCATGAGTAGCAGATCCTTGCACGAGGCTGCGCATCCCAATCTGCAATTCTCCCATGTGTCTCCTAAGCATCTCCAGGGTGCAGAGTATTATTTCAGGATTCTAGCTACCTGTCAATCGTATGATGGTCGATATAGGGGAGAAGTTGTGACATGCATCAGAATTTCCGATCTCGTCTGCAGTGATTATCAGCACAGAATCGTCTGATATTGACAACCACGAGATGCAGCCCCTGAAAAGAAGACATATCATGCCGAGACTGTCTCCCTGGTGTTCCACATGGGAGCCACGGTTTCGACTGCTCTCTCAACAACAGCCTTGATTCGATCTCGCAGGACAGCATTGGTGCATTCGACCTCGAGATCCTCCAACCATAACTTCGCCACAAATTTGTCAAATTTGATCTCCAATCCAGGTACCGGAATGCCCAGTGCGGCGAGTCTGGCACGTTCAGCTATCTCTGCGCTCTCAATATCATCATCACTTTCATCTTCGGATTCCTCTTCTTCTTTTTTGGGCTCACTTCCTTTGGAGTCTCGGTTTTGTGGAAGTTTCGGCTTCTCAATCGGCGTAACACCATCCCCAAACTGTTCTTCAAGGAACAGGCATAGTCGTGCAAATCGATCCTGGGGAGAGATATTGGCGTGTTGGTTGCGCAGCGGTTTCGTGCCATTCTCTTGACTGTGGCCGTGATGTGAATGTAAGGACTTGCTCGAGGAGTATTTGACAGCCGCGGGACTGCTCTCGACTGTCATCAAGACAGCCATGACAGCATCCGCAATGCCATCATTCATAGTGTTTCCCTCCCATTCCAGCTCTATTTGTTTTTCACGACCAGACCACTTGAGCGTGACACATCCCATGACAAGGAATGTTCGTTGCGGCTCAATAATGATTTCCTCATCTGCTTCCTCCTCAGTTTTGTGGCCATTGGTCTCTTGGGATACATCTGAGTTGTGGTTGCCCTTCGTGCTGTTGCTGTCTGATTTCACCTTGCCAACCTCTTCAATACTTCCGAACGTCCCTTCAAGTGCCCAACGTATCAAATCAATTCCTGCGGCTGCAAGAGTTATGTGCTGGCGACAAATGATTGTCGTTGTTGTAAGGCCTGCATATTCTCGTAGGTCTTCTGGCGCCATGAGACTCAGCTTAAACCCGTTCTGAACCAAAACACCACTGACGACTCTCGAGTCATCCGCCTCAGAGGCCGGAGGATTGATTTGAGCGAGTTTGCCAACGACTTTAGCAATTTTGTCTTTTCTAAATGGGATTTTGACTTCGGCACCGTTTTCGGGGCTGTAAACTTTGGTCTGATGGGCGTTGGGATTGTTGGCCAGTCGTCGCGTGTTAAGATCCAAGAGTCTGGATCTTAGTCGTGCGGCTTGTGATCGTTCTCCGTGTACTAAGATCACGTGTGGTGAGGCAACTTGTTCGATGAATTCGACATTTTCAACTCCAGTAACATGTGCGGCGAATTGGAATTCCTCAACAGTGCATCTTCTGGGTATCATTACTGCCGTGTCGTCGTCCTTCCGCCGACCCATGGCCTGAGGTGGTCCACTACCACCTCCACTCATGATTGCTGGAATCATTTCGGGTTCGGATAGGATAGTTCGAGCCATAGTTCCCTCCACATTGTAACCAGTCATAACTACACCGTTGCGTTGATCTGGCGCCCATCTCTCCAGCAGGACTCGGGACATTCCTGACTGCAGCATACCTGGAGAGGCTAACATGACACATCCACCAACATCATCAAAGCGATCAAGATTACGGAGACTTCGAACAAAACGGAAATCCCATGGCCCAGCACTTACGCCTTTGGCATTGCCAGCCGCCTCTGCTTCAGCCATTCGCTCACGGAAGATACGTTTGATATTGTCATTCATGGCGTTGATATATGTCTGGTAGACAACCATACACTTTCGAGCCGTGTTACCCGTGTAGTAGATAGGGAATTTTTGTAACTCAGAATGGCGTTGCCAATAATCCTCAAGAATGAGTAAAAGTTCTTGAGCTCGACCTAGGGCAAAGACAGGCATAAGAACTTTACCACCACGGTTGATAATATTGGAAACGGCTTTCAACAAGGCGGTTTCCCTCTCTGCTCTTGGTGGAGCATTAGAGATGCCAAAGGTTGACTCCGTGATAAGGACATCAATCTTGCCAACCGTAGCGACGTCTGGGACCTCTGCAGCTACAAGATGACGATCTTGTTCTCTTGAATAGTCAGCCGTGAAGAAGATATTCAGACCAGCAATGTTGATGAGAAACATGGCAGCCCCAAGGACGTGACCCGCTGGATATGGGGTTATACGAACGCCTGAGACTGTATGTGTCGTATAGAAATCTATGGTTTCGATTTGAGGCAAAGTAGATATGTGATCGGCTTCTGTGTACAAGCTCGTTCTTTGGTCGGACGTTGAAGAAGTGTTGCTGACTCGGACGGAATCTTGTATGAGCCATTTGTAGATTGCTTTAGTTGGATGCGTCATGAAGACGCGGCCTTTAAAATCTGTTTTTGCAAGGACATAGGGAAGGGCGGCGGCATGATCGAGATGAAAACTATGCGACACATCTCATCAGCCATCGGGTCAAACATCGAAGAGGGCTCGCATTTGCAAGGAGTTGGGGTATGGGAACGGGGTCGACGTGGCATGAATATTCAAACTCGACGAGGTAGAAGAAGAAGCGAATGGATTTCGGCCAACAATTGTATTGATTTCTGGTCTAAATACAAGTTGATCTCCAAGAAGATGCGGTCACATCAATCAGAGATGCTTGAAAGCAGCGGCCTTGTCTTTCCTCGTGCTTTGAGTGCACCCCAAGCTCTTTCTCTCAATAACTGACCATGAATTCAAAGTAAACACTGGGGGCGGAGAGAACGGTAATAAAAGAGAAGCACCTACTGGCTGATCAGAAGAATATCAACGGTGGAAAGGTCGAAATCGTCAAAATAGGGCATGGCAGACATTCCTTCACGGCCTGTGTGCATACCAGCATCGAGCTACACCATAGTCAGCCTCTGGGCGGTCTTGTGAATGAGATTTCGGCTCCTGTACCATGACCGTCTTGCCCTTGTATTGAAGGATATGACATGACCGACCAACCTCTTGACATCCGCCAAGACCGATGAAGACCAGTTCATCAGATGGGTCGACAGGGTCTTCATCCTCTAACTTGGACATAGCTGCGGCTTTTCTCTTGTTCGCCATGGTAGTGGTGTGGATGTGGCTATGTTATGAAGGGTCAAAGCAAGGGTTAATGATGAGGTTCCGATCGCGATCTGAGAATGGGAGATTAAGTCGAGTCGACGAGGACTTAAGCAGTATATGACCGAGATTTCGTCATATGTGAAGAGGTTCCTTAGTGAGCATCATGAAGGCGTGGTGGGTGACTACGAGCATTTCGCAGTGACAAGAACTGTCGATGAACCTCAGTGTCGCAGAAGCAGTAGTCCGAGTAGAACAAATTACAGGGTCACCCCGGAGTAACAATGTTTCCGAAATGACACGTGACTCCATTTCGCTTCATTCCGCCTACGATGCGCTTCAACTTGAAGTTCTGCCCACTCCATCCCCATCATTCATCACTTCAGTCAATCCTCATCCCAGTCTTCCACCTCAGATCGATCTATTACCAATATCTCCCAGTCGCCCAAATGACGGACAAATCTAATTAGGCATGGTACAAGCAATCCAAGCGCCGAGCGTTCACCTGCGCTCCTCGGGAAAGACGAGACCAACAATCACAAACCCATCCTCTCTTTGCTTCAGTTGACGGAATCATCGATATCCATATCCCTCACCAGAATGGCCCAGCCACAGCCTGCTCCTTCGCGCCCGCCTCTCCCTCCCACTCAGACCTCTTTCCATCGCGATTTTCCCGCTGCAAATGGAAGACCAAGTCCCCTTGGCCCTCAGTCGCCGACCATGAGTTTAGGCTTCTCATCACCATCGCCTCAGCAGTTTTCACCTCAATTTTCGCAACCACCAGCAAAAAGATTACGACTCTCACCTGAAGCTCAATCTCCCTTTCCCTCACCCAGTCAAGTCGCCACTCCAACGGCGCAGCCGTCCACGCCGGTTGGTGGAGCCTTGCTCAATGGATCTACACCTGTCGTTCCACGACCTGGCTTGATGGCTCCTCCACAACGCCCGCCAGATAAAGCAGACAACAACTACGAGGATATTCTTTCGGGAACAGGAATTAACATTGAAGAGGAGGCCCGGATGCTTGTCCGACCCGATTACTACAATATCCCAACGCCTCAGGACCCCTTTCAGTCTCGTCCCGGTGGCTTTAATAGTCGTCAGAATTCGTTTACTGCGGCCAGCCCTGGTGGTGATGGCGCGATTGGAACTCAACAGCAACAAGATGATGGGCAACCGCAAACCCAAGGTTATCAGCCGACGGCAGAGGAAGTCAAGAAACGTGAGGAACAACGCCAGGATTGGGAAGCCGCTCGACACAGCCAACATCCGTTATGGGACATGTTTCTTCAAGGCGGAGCATTGAACGAACGAATCAGAAACATCAGTATTTCGGAGCATTTGGTTGATCCTCAGTCCGGGGTGTTGGTCAATACTCAGAAATCCGGTCCTCCACCAACCGTACGTGTCAACGGGCTAGAAGGAGCATCGCGTGTCATTGACAAGGGACAAGCCATTCTCGATACGGGACAGAAGGGCGAACGTTTGTCTGAAATCATGAAGGTTATCAGCCTGGCTGCTAAAGCCCGGCTGAGTGGCCTCGTGAGTGCATCATCACGAATGTCACACGAACGGCAAGAACACTCCAAGGGGAAGATTCCGGATGACTGGCAAGACATTGCTGTTCCCGCGAAGCCAACCATTGATTTACCAGAAAGCGCTCTGAGCCCTACTAGCAGCTCGGCGCTCAAACGTGAGTACTCCTCCATTTCATCACCTCATGGTATTCTAACAATCTGCTAGGGACGTTCTCGCATGCAAACAGTGAGCCCTCCAGTGCTGGCAATCAGGTCTTCAGTGTCCCACGAATCATTGAGGCCTTGGAGAAGTCGACCACATCAGAAAAGACCGCCGAGGATGCTCGTCGGCTGAAACGGTTGAAACGCCGCGCAGCCAACAATGGTGATGGATCCGCAGGGGCGGCTACTGCAGCTGCCGAGGCAGAAGCGGCTTTGGCGGCAGCTCTCGAGGCCGAGAAGAAGACGACCAAGAAAGAGCGGAAGCTGGCTGTGTCCAAGTTCTCCGAACAGCAGCAACACAAGTCGGCGAACGAGGCAGCACGCCTGGCGGTGTCTGGAATTCTGGGGCGAGGTAAGAAGAGCCGGACGTACGACTGGATGAATGCGGGCAAGGGGGCAGGAGCCAGTCCAGCTGCAACTCCTGGAAAACCTCAGGCATCCGGCCCATCATCAACAGTTGGTACACCAGCACCGGAACGAGCGCGACCTCTTCGGGAGAAGCAATTTGGACAGTGGGACGAAGAGAAAGAGGGCAAGATTCAAGCACGAGATGTGTTTGTCGTGCTCGAGAGTGACGGACGAGCATTTAGGTCTTATCTGCGAGGACTGAGCCTTCCAGAAAATTGATTCTTGATATGAATTGCTAGATATTTCTCACCGGCATTAGAACGGGACACGCATCGGTGGTTACAGAGAGAGCACGGATTGTCAAACGGGTGATGCGGGACAAAGGCGTGCCAGGGGGATGTAAGATAATTCAATACCGAAACCAACATGGTCCGAGATGGACTTCAATAACTATCCAAGTCATAAGTCATTGCTTATTGAGGTTTGCTCAGAGATTTCCACCTTCTCAGTACGGAAGATGCATTAGGCAAGCAGTCGAAGCGAGTAGTAATATCACAAATGCATTGAAGTGATATTAGTAGTACCACTCCGGAGCATGGCTTAAGTAGTGCCACTATTGTACGAGTAAAGATGAGTTTTGGCGGGTGGATCACCTCTCGTGGCACTTCACCATTCGGGTTACGTCGTTTGCATCTAGCAGAAAAACTCGGGGAGAGGAGCATGCCGGCGTTGTTGTGGAGGGCATCATTGCATCCAGTTGGGTGGCACCGCGATGCTTCCGGTGGTTAGTCGTGGGTGGCGGATCAGATGCAGTGCATTTGCGCACTGGCAAGCGCTCCCAAGTCCTAAGAGATATGCGGGCGGGAGATGGGACGATGGGGGGGCAAAACGCATTGACGACGGAAAACACAGCACAGACATTTGACAGCGCCAGCCCGAGGATTCAGCACGTTTTTTTGGATGGTGATTACATCTGGTATGTAAATTGGGCTTCGAATGTGGAAAATGACAAACACGGATGCAGAGCAGTGCAAGAAAATGGATTCCCTTTTGAGGTTGAAAGCATGCCATGTTGGTATCTATCTTCGTGGGCTACATTTATGCCTCCGTCAGTAGAATGAGGATCAACGTCACACACACACGAGCAGAGTGGCGGTTGGATGACTCGGATGGAGTGTGAGAGCCCGAGACTCGGACGCTGAGAGGATGACTGGAGACTGAGGAAGAGGGTTCAAGGACCATCAATCAGTCAATCGGGTTAGCAAAGTCTGAGAAGTCGCGGAGAAAGTCACGTCAGTTCTGCTGCTTGCTGGCTTTGGCGGCTTTGTGGACGGAGCACGAATGCAACTCGCGCATCATTTAGCGTGGTTCGTGATTCGTGATTCGTGACTCTGGGTTCATCTTTCTCTCTTTTCCCGGCGAGTTAAAAGATGTGAAGAGATAGCCCTAGGTGGGGATGTGGTTATGGACTGGATGAGTGACGGACCACGGTAGAAATTGGAGTGAGTAACAGATTTTGATAGTCAAGACTCCGTCGACAGCACTTGGTGGAATTGGACTGGCCAGGATGAAGGATCCAGGACGAAGGAGTCGGTTGGGATTAATATCTGGTTCATGGGTGGCTGCGAGACCCCTAGAATAGATCATCATGGGGCAGCTTAGGCGTTGAAGTCACTGATACGGGGGGGCGGGTAGTCGTTGATTGTTAAGGATGAGGAGAGAATTCCTGGGCAGGGACGCCACCCGCACACGCATCTTCACGAGCACCCGTAAGCCCCTATGGAGTATCTGGTGGTGAGTTGCACGCCTAAGCTCGCCCTGAACGGTGCCCTGAGTTCCAAAGTTGCCAGTAGTTGTCTTGCCCTGGGCCCGAGGGGCCCTGGCTTGGTTCCATCGTCTCCAACTTGATCGCTACGCTGCGTCTGCGTTCTGCGTCTCCTCAAACCTGCCAGTCTGCTCACCATCGTCCTCGCCAGCAGTCTTGCACCTTCAATCTTCAACTTCATCACCTCTTGTAACTCTTCTCATCCTCGACCTAGGATTCCTCTACCTATGTCCTCTTCTCCCTCATACTCGTCATATCATTGTCAAATATGAGTGTGGATCTGTGCTAGTAAGAGAGAGGGTTTGCTCCTCTCTGGTCCGGCGTTCCACATTTCTTCCCACTGTCGACGACTTGTCTTTCGTCTGGAGTCTTGACCATACTTCCTCCTTCGCTTCTTCTGCCTCTGTTGTAATCACTCACCATTACTTCTCGACTGACCACCGACCTCCTCCTCCGTCCAAAACCCTGGAAGCCGCGTCCATTTGTGCGAGCAACCCGTCCAAAGTCTTCGCATGTTGCCAACTGCGGCCGCAGCCGATCCACTGGAGTCTGGCAAGTTGGACTGACGACTCCACAACCGTCACCACAACCGCAACTGCAACTGCAACCGCGAGCACATCCTCAACTTTCACCACGACCACTTCTGCCCTCTAGACAAAATGTCCACACCTTCAATAGCAACCACAATAATTCCTGCACACCACTCTCAATATGGCTATCCCCATCAGAACCTTTACTCTCCGTCAACACGCACATACCCCGCAACCAACACTCTTCCTGCGCCTCAGAGACTGACGACCTCCTACGTTTCCTCTTACCCGACTGCTCCTCAGTACCAACGACCACAGCCCTCTCCTGCCGTTTCATATCGACAACCATCCAATCTCTCAATGGCTCCCTCCCAGCAGAACTCTTCTACAGCCGAGTCTGCCTCCAAACGTCAGCCAGATTGGAATGAATTTTACAAAAATGGCGTCCCCAAAGAAATCATCGTTATCGATGATGATTCACCCGATCCCCAATATCCAGCAGCCACGTCCAACATGACAAACAGGCAACCCAGAGCAGATGGTTCCACTTATATATCTAATCCCGGCCGAAAAAGAAAAGTCGACCAGGGTTACGAAATCGAGTATTCCGACAGTCCAACATTTTCTACACATCCTGCAAAATTCGGTGGCTCTTCATCGGCCTCATACCAGTCTGGCGATCGGACAACTTCTTTGCAGACTGTCACTGCCCCTACATCTCTGGAGTCTTACGCCGGAAACAATGCTAGCAGCAGTTTCGAAGATGTCAGAGCCGGTCAGAAAAGGAAACGAGTTCAACCTCAAAAGGAAACCAGGGCCCAAACAAAACGAAAGCAACAGGAATCAACCACCGATGCATTTGCCGACTATATTCCACCCCCCAAGCCACTAAAGAAGGCTGGCGATGTTCATGTTCCTGTGATTCGTGATGTACGTTCCACCGCCAAAAAACGATCATGGATATTGGCTGATAAATCACAGAATTTACACAAACACCAGAAAGCCGACGATGATGATGGTCACTACATTGTTAGTCCCAATGTACCTTTGACAGATCGATGTAGGTCTCACTTTTTCACCCACAACCCATAATTCACTAACAGTTCCCAGATGATATCATCAAACTCCTTGGCCAGGGTACTTTTGGAAAAGTTGTGGAGGCATTCGACAAGAAAAAGAGGACGAAATGTGCTGTCAAGATAATAAGATCGGTTCAGAAATATCGCGATGCTAGTCGCATCGAACTGCGGGTTCTCTCCACGCTTGCCCTCAACGACAAAACCAACAGGAACAAGTGTATCCACCTACGAGACTCCTTCGACTTTCGGAACCACATCTGCATTGTCACCGATCTTCTCGGCCAAAGTGTCTTCGATTTCCTCAAAGGCAACGGCTTCGTACCCTTTCCCAGTTCTCAGATCCAGAGTTTTGCACGTCAACTCTTTACCAGTGTGGCTTGTAGGTTTCATTCTTATTCGTTCTATGTGCTCCACTGACAAAAACTAGTTCTGCATGATCTCAATCTCATTCATACCGATCTCAAGCCGGAGAACATTCTGCTCGTCCATAATGCGTATCAAACATTCACATACAACCGGACGATACCTTCATCATCTCACACCAACTCTCGCACTGCCAAGCAGCGACGTGTTCTGTTGGACAGTGAAATCCGTTTGATCGACTTTGGATCTGCCACCTTTGATGACGAATACCACTCTTCTGTGGTTTCTACACGACATTATCGTGCACCAGAAATCATATTACAACTTGGTTGGAGCTTCCCATGCGACATCTGGAGCATAGGATGCATAATAGTCGAATTCTTCACGGGTGATGCTCTGTTTCAGACTCACGATAACTTGGAACATCTCGCCATGATGGAAGCAGTCTGCAGTGGCAAGATCGACAACAAACTTGTAAAACAGGTTTGCCAGGGAAGCCGCGGTGCCAATGGAAACCCTGCCTCCAAATTCTTCAACCGAGGAAAATTGGAATATCCGAATAATGAAACGTCAAAGGCATCGCGCAAATACGTCAAGGCTATGAAGCATCTCAATGTGAGTTGATAATGGACTTGATCTTGCTTCGAATTTGCTAACCATTTTCTAGGAATTTATTCCAGCCAATACAAATTTCAACAAGCAGCTTCTGGACTTGTTGAAGAAAATCTTTGTTTACGATCCAAAGAATCGGATATCGGCAAAAGAAGCCCTCAAGCATCCTTGGTTCAAGGAAACACTTGTCGATGATGGCACAGAAGCCATTCGTATACGAGAAGAACGTGCCAATGTGGGGCCTGATCCCAAAAGAGCACGAGTGTGAGCTTCACATTGTGCTACCCACACATTACTATCACTGCGGAGTCTTCATTACTTAAATCTGGGGACCAGTGATATGTTATGATACTATTAAGCATTGAACGACATTAATGATTGCCTTGGACTCTTCGTCCAAGGTCGGAGGTGTTGGGTAGACCAGGGCAGGTGCCTCTGCTGGTCACTTAGACATAAGGTCTTATCGCAGGAAACTTACTCACCCACCCTGTTTGTTCATGAATGACTGTCTGTCAGAGTTGAAGGTGAGGGGTTGCGGTACTTCGAGCTGCTGTTCATCGCAGCAAAGTCTGCTATTGCACGGGAAACTATTGATGGCATATATCACTTAGCGAAGCTTGATCAACACTGGCTGAAAATTGAGCCGCAAGGGAGGCTTCATTGGAGCTCAAAAGCAACATTGTCGCCCAAGAAGGTATTCCTTTCACAACTTCAGAGCTCTTCCTACAGGGATTGATCTTTTATGTGCGAATCCGGCCCGGACAGACGAATTGTGAGGTGCAATCAGTGCATTGCATTGCGGTCATGACGAATTTTTAGACGTGCCAGTGGAAATCACTCGTGCCCATTATCCAACGACTACTTACTACTACTACTACTACCACCCCGCCAGTCGCTGTACTGGCAAAAAGCACCGGGAGTATGGACATTTCATCTCATTCAATTGAACATGCTTCTAGACCTATTCATTGATTCCGCTCTTGTCGTGATATCGATTAATCCGTGGTGTCGTTCGTTCTCGAGGATTGATTGTCGTATATGTCCAGCGATATGAACAGCAATTGCGTGAGTAGACCCGGATGTCTAACTGTGCTGGTGCCAGTACCAACGCGGATAGCTAAAAGAAGAAACCCATCTACCCAGCCAGCCCCAACCACCCTTCCACACAAAGTACCTACATCTAAGATAGCCACCATATGCCGCCCTCCATTTTATAGTGCATGGCAGCACATCTCATCGGCATGGGTAAGGCCACGCAGCGCAGCGGGAAACGAAACTCTCACGATATGTTGATACTCTCACATGTGGTCGACATCAATGGGCTGAGATGTCATGGGGCACTGGCATGTGAGATTCGGGTGTGGGTGCTGTGCTGGTGCTTTCCAGTAGACGATATTCGTATACTGATGGATTGGGCGTGGTGCTGGTATTGAAGGAACATATTGGATGTATACGTATGAGTGTGGGTGTGGGTATGGGTATGAGTATTGGTATTGCCAGAGGTTCATTTGTGACATCTCAATTGGGGGAGTGTGAGGTCTGGGACGAAGGCTCCCAGCAGGGTACGGCTGGCCACAATGATACCGAGCGCAGTAGTCTTGTTCCTGCTCTTGCTCAACGAGGGAGCGTCCTCGGCATCGATGGACCTCCACGATCTGCTGAAGATGCTGCGGAACATGCCCACCGGAAGATTGGAGCCCGTCTTGCTGCAAGGCTGGCGTGTACGACGGAAGATGTCAATCTCGATCTCGGTCTGGCACATAAGAGGACTCTCGCGCTTGAGACTCGGAAGGTAATAATGGCGTTTCAACAACAGTGGTTGCTCTGCTGAAACGAATCAGTTGAGTTTCAGTTTTCGTTGGAGATAACCTTGATCGAGGTCTCTGCGCTTGCCATCCGCCTCCTCGGATGCCTCCTGTGACCATGGGGCGAGGCTGTGCTTCTCCTGAAGCCGTGTCAGGAGAGCGAGTGTTGCTTGCTTTGTCGTCTGCAACCGGGGAGCCGCCTTGCTGGTTGTTGTTGTTGTTGTCGTCGTGATCGGGCGCTAGAGTCTCGATAGCATCTCCACTCGACTCGTTGGTGTTGTCTGCTGGCACGTCCGTGGGCGTGTCCTCACCGTCTGGCAGACCAGTATCATCTCCCTCCTCGGGGTTTTCAGGGCCGTTCTGAGGTTCCTGCTCTTCTGAGTCAAGGGCCGCTTCGCCGACCCCATTGTCGCCCTCGGTGTCGCCCGCCGCCACTGTTCCACTCGCAGCGTCTTCTTGAGTCTTCTGTGCACGTGTCCGTGCTCGTCGACTCCTGCGAATCACTTCTGCACGCTCAAATTCGGCTGGCAAGAGCAGTCTCCCCAGCCCTAACCAAACGCTAGAACCGCTTGGCCCACCATACCAGTTGAGGCCTGTGGCTTTCTTCTGCGTCATTCTCGTCCCGATACGAAAATAGACAGAGCAGAGTCCGTACTATGGACCCGTGTCTTTTGGGGTTCAAGTCGGTTGCCGACCATATTCAGATCTGGATCAACGCAGTTTTTATAAGAGGGTTGAGCCATCTCGCTCTATTGAACGGCTCAATGCGTAGTCATGATTGCGGCACCTATGCGGGATTCATGCTCGTGATTCATCGAGATCTTCAATCAGGCCGTGGGGTCACTCAAATCTTACCTTCTTTCTGTGATCCAAGGTAAGACCTGATTGCAAAGAATGTGCCTGCTCCGAGACAGTTCAGCATGACTCGCAATGCCAAACGGCAGTCACTGTCATCCTGGAGAAGGGAAGTCACTGGACATCACGTTGAATTGTCGCGCCGTAAGACATGTAATATGTAGTCATGATACAGTACGATGAGTTAAAGCTGAATATGAAGACTGAAGACTGAAGAACGGTTGAGGGTTCGGGCACTCTTATCAACAAGGTGAGCTTGTGCTGGAGTGGGCAGGTCACCATCCCCACGTTCTCGCTCACTCTCCACAAGCCACTCTGGGTTTAGGTAATCGCAGGGACCCGCCAGGCGTGATTTTAGTGCTCGCTTCCCCACAACCGGATATCTTCGGGTGCCAGGACACTTAAGAGGAAATGACATAATAGGCATGATATAATATGCAGTCGTGATAAAGGCAATCGTTCCGGTCATCACCCTCCCTTTCCTTTCTGCTCCTCAACAAGAGATAATTATCTGTCAATCCTTTCCTCGGACTTGCGTATCCGACCCTCACACTCTTCAACCCTGGCTTGTAATCGTTGGTTCTCTATTTCCACTCGTTTGCGTAGCTGTCGCTCTTCCGCGAGTTCGCTGGACAAATCCTCAATGTCGCATTGACCTCGCACGATTTCACTTTCTCGCTTGCGCTTCTTGGATTGCATTGTGGTCTCGGCAACAAAGACTCGGTCGTGGACCTCGGAATCACCAGCTGACACTTCTCGCGCTTTGGGTGCTAATTTGCGCTTATGTGGTCCATCAAGATGCTGGTCCAGATGATCTTTGCGCTTGAAGCCTGACCCTGGCTTCGAACGCTTGCAGTCCTCATATGGACAATAGTACTTTTCGATCTGACCGTGCTTGGAGTTGCGAGGAGGAATATTCTCCTCTTCGAGTGACAGACCAGCCGCGTTAGATGCATCGGGACGTGATAGGACAGCGGTCTCTGCTGTTGCACGACTGCCAAACTCTGTGAGTTTGATTTTGTCTTCAAAGGGACTTCTCACTGGAGCTTCAATGGCCAAGGGGTCGACTTCACGACCCATAATCGGCAGGATCAATGCATTTTTTGCAACCACTGATGATACGGGCAAAAATATTTGGGTTGTCGGCACAGTAACGTCAATACTACTATCGGAGGCATCGAAATTTTGCCGCTGGGCGTGGTCTAAGATAGCTCTCATGTCGAGATCATCCCCCATCCACGCCCATGGTGCGAAGTTGGAACTACCAGGCTGGAAACTGTTGTCTAAGAGAAGGTTTAGCGCAGGACCAAATTGAGAGGAGGAGTAAGCATACCCTGGGAAGAAACAACGAAGTCGTGACCGTCGGATAGAATAGCGGTCACATAATCGGCGGAAATTGCGTTCGAGAATGTCCACTCGCTGTTGAACCCGTCATAGAACATCCAGCAGACACCCCATAGGACAACTAGAGCGGGCCAAATTGTCCATGGCATGGTGGTGCATGGTGGCCGGATCCTGTGAGGAAACTCTGAGAGCGCCAAACACAAAAGCAAGATCCAGTAGAGCTTCTCCTGTAAGAGGATCTTTCTAGAGATGGCGATGAGTGCTTGTATTCTGAGGAGGAATTCCCAAAACTGGTGCCAGAGAGCCGACAGATCCTGGAGATCCAAATCAAACTGGCATGACAAAGCACACAGTCCTTTGGGGCCAAGGCTGAGATTGGTTTTCACGTCAAGTTTCCTGTACTAAACTTCTTTTTTGAGCTCGTCCAAAGCTTCCTCGCCCAGGGTAGGAAGCCACAAACCCCCGCGCGTTGCACGCCTGAATTCATCGAAAACTTGTAGCACCCTCTCCACCTCAAAGAGCAAACTTATAATTCCTATCGCTTCCATAGGGTATTGAGGCTGTTATAGCTTTCGAAGTTGTCATCACGCCTCAGAATGTAAGAAATTGCAGGAAGCACAATCGACATTCTGAAAAGGCTGACGAACCCGGGGAACTAATGCAATAAGTAGCCGCCAGTGAAATCCGCGACTCGCCCTAAGGCGGTTACTGACCAAGAGTAGGGAATTTATCAGGCGGTCCAGGGCGCAAGGGAATGATCCCCGCACTTGTGCTTGTATCTCATTCCCGATTGATCAGAGCCGTACGGTCTGCAAGCACCATTAGCTGGGGCGGCTTTTACCAGAACATATAAGTAATTGGCATATCCCCAAAATCAAACCGATCATCAGAGACCACGCGGAAGTTGACACAATGCCACTGAGGTTATGTATCGAGTGCGAGCTGGAGACAAGCATCAGAATGCTGAGCAGTGAGTGGTGGTAATATCTTCCTACCAATATTGGGAGAGTAGAGGTTCAATTAACCTTCTAACACGCAGAAATATGATCCTGTGGACGACGTGATGTACATGATAATCTGTTGTTGACGTTTCCCAGAGCAGAAACGGACTGTGGCAGTGCAGATCGGAACGCGGTGCCGCATTGATCCGCGCCTGCCGGAGACCGATAGTGAAGTGGTGCACATGGTCACTGCCATTATTATTGTCAGGACCAGGACCTCGATCTCCATCATCTCTCCGTTATCGTCACCAAATGGGGCATGTTGTCCAACGTCCTAGCAGATTCTATCTGATTTCATTGTTATGATCCTAGTTGACCTTCCTGTAACCCAAGCTTTTCTAAGCTAGCTTGTATCCGAGCAACTCCGCCGACTGGTCGAAGCCTTCATCCACCACGATCAGCATCCCCAAAATCGTTGTTTTACCCGAGAAGCATAAGCACCTAGTCTCAGCCTGTACTGTTTCCATAATCCCACCCTGCAGTCTATAACAGCCTCTACATCCTGTGGGCCAAATTCCTCCTGTCGACACACAATGTCCAGATAGTCATCCGCCGATCCATGTATCAAATCCATCACCATGCACTCAACCAGTGGCCCTGGGCTACGACAGCACTCTTCCACCCCAGATCAATTCCAGGACTGGGACCAAATCTTCGATGCACATGGCGACAATGATATTGAAGACAGCCCGTCGGATTCTGACCATCCCTCAAATCCCCGGATCCAAACCAATGGTTTAACCAACTACGATTTGATCGGAGTAAGTATCAGCCGACAACAGACTCATCTACGTTCCCCCGACACTCCAGTGGCCGAGAAGGCACGAGCTCTGAATGTGCCCATTACCTACTTTCCAGAAACACAGCAGCTGGATCAAGGGCTCGAGGATCTAGGGGATGTTCCCTCTATCACCGTCAAGCCACCAGCGAGGACGACCATTCGCCGTAAGACGGTGGCTTCACATGGAAGACCAGCTGAATTGGCATCCTCGCGGCAGTCACTCATTTCAGACCAAAATGGTAGATACTATGAACAACTCGACTCCCCCGACCTGTCTTTCGAGCGGTCATACCCCTCACAAATCCGGCGACCAGATGATCCAACTGTCAAACCAACATCCCCTTGGGAATATCGTTTCCCCCCTCAAAAGTGGCGATCAGAAAATGTGCTCAAGCAGGAGGAGCCATCCCAAGGCCAACCTGATGCTCCACCGACAATCCGACAATCGTTGACAAAATCCTTACTCAGTGTTACTGGTGGTGAAGGGCGGCGACGATCCTCGTCCGGCCCAACTGCTATTCTATCTAACTTGCGCAAACTTTTACCCGAGCTACCATCTGCATCTTTCAACATGAGCTCCATGTCTTTGGCCCTTTCTGCTAACAGATCCACTCACTCAGATCCGAACACATCTCAAAACAGTCCCACAGAACGATCCCGGTTTAGATGGTCATTTCGTGAGCCACCAGAAGATGGGGGCGATCAACAAACCCAAAGATTCCGGAAAATTCATGAAGACGCAAGAATCAACCAATTTGATGGAAATATCGAGTCCATCCTTGAGCCTACCAGTCCGGCTTCAATTCGAAGCCGTCCTCGTTCAAACTCAGAGAGTTCGATATACATTGGTCGACGGATATCCGGGGTCTCAGCTTACGATGATATCAGCGCTTTTGCAAATGTTGCAGAAATGACAAATGCCCGATTAAAAGCTTTCACTGACAGCTTTCAAAATTCGACCCTGAGATTGCCCAAATTGCCAACCATACGGCCATCACCAAAACGTCAGCTTAGTCCCGAGAAGGCCCAGGCCCAAGATGGCAACCAAGAGCCAGCCAATCGTGGGATTCACCATCAATACACCACATTAAAAAATTTGCGGGGTGGAAAGAAAGCTGTTGATCTCGAGTCTCCTCAGCAAAGAGCCCATCCTGTGCTCTCCCAAGCTCTCTCCAAACTCACCGGCGATGTCGTTGTACTAGGAGGGTATCGGGGTTCGATTTTAAGATCAGCTGAACCACCGCATCGACAACTATGGGTACCGATAAAAGTGGGACTAAATCTTCGGAAGGTTGATCTCGAGGTTGGTCTTACCAGAGAGGATGAAGAGAAAATGGAGCAGACAATCATTCCATCAGGTGTTCTGTCACACATCGGCCCCATAGATATCTGTCGTCGACTACTCAAACATTTGAGAAAGTGCCCAAATACTCGCGAAAATAAACTTCGTGTCCATGAATGGGGCTACGATTGGCGTCTGAGCCCGGATCTCCTCAGTGAGAAGCTCATAGCATTTCTGGAGTCGCTGGACTGCAACCAGCCCGACACGCCGCTCGAGAAACGTGGAGCAACCATCATAGCCCACAGCTTGGGTGGTATGATTACACGGCATGCTGTCAACTTGAGACCAGAGCTCTTTGCAGGAGTCGTTTATGCAGGAACACCACAGAACTGTGTGAATATCTTGGGTCCATTCCGCAATGGCGATGACGTACTGCTCAGTTCTCGAGTCTTGACGGCACAAGTAACTTTCACCATTCGCACAAGCTTTGCGCTTCTCCCTGATGATGGTCGATGTTTTATACACAAGCACACGAATGAGAGATTTGATCTCGACTTCTTCGACCCTCACACGTGGGACGAGTATCGACTATCTCCATGCATCAACCCACCTTTGCATAGTTCAACCAAGGACAACGAGCGCCGAAAATCACTCATGGGAACCATTTCAGACTCTATCAATTCTTCAAACAAAAAGGGATCATGGCTCGGAGGTCAGTCTACTGAAAAATCAGACGCCAGGGATACTATGGATTCCATCGCCCAAGAAACCGAGGATGGCGTCCGCGACGCTCGCAACAATATAGAAGAGAACACAGGGGAACTTGTTGAACCATCGATTAAACACTCTCAGCATCGACCCAGTGTCGCAACTGCCGTCACCATCCCAAGAGAACTCGCCTGGGAATATTTAGATCGAACCCTTGCAGAAGTACAAGTTTTCCGGCAGCAATTAAAGTTCATTCCTAGTCATCAGGAGAACAATGCTTACCCCCCTCATGCATACATGTTTGGTAAGACGGTACCAACCGTGTATGGAGCGAAAGTGGCCAATCGTGAGGCGATCAAGTATAGCGACGTCTTTGACGATCTCGCATTTGCAGCTGGCGATGGTGTTGTACTCGCAAGCGCAGCACAGCTGCCTGAGGGTTATCGATGTGTGAAAGGAGGCAGAGTGGAAACTGATCGTGGTCATGTTGGGCTATTAGGGGATCTTGAAGGAGTGGGAAGATGTATATCAGCAATTGTGGATGCCAGAGCAAAGGGTGTCGGGCTAGGAAAGCAATATGCTCGCAATGGGAATGATGATTAGCTCGAGGGGACGGATGTCAGGAAGAAGTATACGTATGTGGGCCAATGGCTGTCGAAATGAAGCGTGAGTGGGAGCTGTACAGTATCCATTACCTCTTAATACCTACTTAGGCACAGGAAAAGTCTGGTCAGTATCATTAGTAGCATCGGTACCCTAGAGTAGAAATCGACCCGTTTGCATGATATATGCCACAGAGTACCAGTCATCTGAAACATCACGAGCTCCCCCTCTCATCGTTCATCTAAGCTCCTCCAAGTTCAGGATGAAGTCCCAGTAGCATCTCAGATATGGCTTCAGAACAGCTTGCTGAGTCAGCCAACTAGGAGTCATCGGATGGCTGTTGAGTGGGTTGCGGGTAGCGGCCGCCTCCGGACTATCCTATCTATGCTACGTAAGATATGAAAAGTCTAAATAGATCGTCCGAACTAGAGGAGATGGAATTCGTCTGGGAAGACTTTTGTCCTTTGATCACTTACCGTCGAACTGCATTAGAATTATTCACTCGAGGTAATATTGTTTCGTTCATTGCCGATTGCATCGCCGTTATTCGTCACGTTGAAAGACGAAGGGACGGAGGAACGAACTTGAAGTGAAATTTGGACCTGGACAATTTGTCGAAGATGTGTCAAGGGTCGACTCATGAGTTCCTCAAGGCGCTGCCGAAGTGCGAGCATCATATGCATCTCGAAGGTGAGTCAGAAGATTCCTTCCATGGCTATGGGCAAGGAAGGGGTGGAGAGAGCTCCACGGGCTCAGATATGCAGAAGACCAAGGCAGGAAATTTTGAGCCCATGAGAGGGAAACCGAGTTCATCGCGATCTACAATCTCAGGGCTTTGGCCCATGGAATGCACTTGGAAATCGTGATCCCGTCCTAGGCCGAAGCACCTGCAACCATGCTAATGCCGTGTTTCAAACAGGCTCGCTCTCCCCAGAACTGCTGTTCACGCTATCAAAACGCAACAATATTACACTTCCAGCTTCCGACGATGCGGCCTTTTCATCACCAGACGCCCTTCTCGCACGATATCGCAAATTCACCTCCCTCGACGACTTCCTGCACTACTACTTCGTCGGGATGTCGGTGTTAATCACAGCCGCTGACTTCGAGGCTCTCGGATACGAGTATTTCTCACACGCACACTCCGACGGCGTCCTGCACGCCGAAGTCTTCTTCGATCCGCAAGTGCACACGGAGCGGGGCGTCAAGTATGCCACGGTCGTGGAAGGGATCCAGAAGGCGCAGAAACGCGCCGAAGTCGATTTCGGGATCTCGTCCGAGCTCATCGTGTGCATCCTGCGGCATCTTCCCGTCATGGACGGCGACCGGATGTACCGCGAGGCAATCCCAGATCTGGAATCTGGCGCGGTCAAGGGGTTGGGTCTGTCGAGTACGGAGAAGGGGAATATGCCGTTCCTGTACAAGGACACCTACGCCGATGCCGAGAAGCGCGGCTTTCGCCTCACCGCGCACGCCGGCGAGGAAGGCGGTGTCGAGTACATGGCCTCCGCTCTGAACGATCTGCACGTCACGAGGGTGGATCATGGAATCAAATTGCCCGACGACCCGAAAGTCATGGCCGAATTTGCGCGGCGGAATATCATGGTCACGATGTGTCCGATCTCGAACGTCGAGTTGCGCTGCGTGAAGAGTGTCTCAGAGCTGCCGATTCGGACATACCTGGAGAATGGCGTCAAGTTTAGCATCAACAGTGATGATCCGGCGTATTTTGGGGGTTATATCTTGGACAATTACTGTGCCGTGCAGGATGCTTTTTCGTTGAGTAATGAGGAGTGGGGGACGGTGTGTGGGAATGCAATTGATGGGAGTTGGTGTGGTGATGACCGAAAGGCGGTGTTGAGAAACAAGCTGGCTGAGGTGCTTGAGAAGTTCAAGTGAAGCAGAAATGGACCCATATATTTGCGATCCGGGAGACCGTCGGGTGCTTGCTGGACTTGATGGTGGCTGATGAGGGTGATTTGCATTACGTGCTCAGAAGTCTGTCATGAGGTTCAAGGCATCAACAATTCTGCTCATTCATATCAAAATCAATATTCCAATGATGAATGTTTGGCCGCACCCCATGTGCTGAAACCTCAGCAGCCTTCAATCTAGGGGCGCGATGCCCCTTCCTGGAGGGGGAGTCCAACCAGGCTGGCTGATAAGGGGTAAATCACGTGACATAGTATCTCTGCATGCCGACAAGCATAGTTTGACCTCGAAGGAATTCGATTACGAGTGCCTAAATTACTCGCATCAGACTAGACGAGCTCAAATGAGAAGAAGGTGAAGAATCGTGTTCTTGAAAGCACTTTTGATCGAAATGAATCATGTCCACTAAGTGGCTCCATAGCCTCCCTTCCCGAGCCTCGACTCTTTACTACGTAGGTAGACACTGGATAGACCCAATACCAAGTAGCTCTGGACATAAGACCAGTAGAAAGCGAAAGACGTATCATAGTTGTACTGGCCATCACTGAGATAGCGCCCTGATTATTCCTGAACATGATCAAGACCTTTGGCTATCTCCCAAATACTTCTCAGTGACATAGGACCAGCCACGCACACGATCGAAGAATTCCATTTCCCTTGGCTTAATCCACATTGGCTCCGTGACTTTAGTATATGGCTCGTAGTAGCTCTTCGTCAACTGGTGTTCGTTGAACCATTTTTCGTCCTTTGCCCAGACTTCGACGAAGCGAAACTTGCCGGGCTCGCTCGGAGAGTGGAAGACGTCGAAGTAGAGTAATTCTGGCTCTTTGGCACAAAGCTCCCAGACGGGTCGCAGAGCGTCTAAGAAGGCTGGCACGTCGTTTGGTGAAACGCGGATTGTCACGATCAATGTCGTTTGGTTTGTATGGGGGGTGGAGAGAGACATGGCTGAGATTGGTTTTGGGTCAAGGGTTATTTGCGTGCAAGACAAAGACTTGGAGAGAGTGCAATGGGTCAGGGATAGCATCATTCTCCTTTGACTGACATATGGGAAGCTCTGGGCTTTTATTCCATCGTAATACCTGTATCTCAGGGGAAGCTTATTGAATCATCGTCGGTTGCATCTCCGTAAACAGACTATCGGCTTGTACCAATCGTATCATTCCCGATGCAATGACTAAGATCGCAGGACTAATTTCCTGTCGACACTGTATCGGGTGCTCACTTCTCTGCTATGTGTTTGGGCGTTTGTCAGCGTTGTTGCTTTCAAATTCGCCGAGGCGATTTTGAGAGCCTCATCCTTGGTGTCCAGCCTAGAAACGTGAGCTTGTCACTGCAAAGAACACCATGCTTGGATTTCTGCTCCCAATTTTCGCTATACCGAGATAATAGTTCTGAGCATCATGAGAATCAGACCATCGGTTGTGGACTATATAGCACCATTCTACCTCCAAGGCAATACCTAACTTAGAGCAATGCAATCGATCGCTCAACTCGAATTAAGGTTGGCCGATGCGGCTGTTGGTTGGCGTTTCTGGCCAGTCAATTCCGGTATGCTGGGTTCACACCAAGCACAACAAGACCCATGGAGTCAAAGTTGCACGATAGATACAGGGCTTTGGTTATATTCAATTTAACCGAATGTCCGCTGGAGCTGGTAGGCGCCACCTGTTGCTTGCAAGCTTTATGATGTCAAGACTGGAGTAATAGCCGAAGACATCATAAGTTCTCCAAACAATGCCACTCCATTATTCAATCAGACGTGAACCCCACGGACTTGTCCACTCTCGATATGGAAGAGGCATGAAAGGCGCACAGCGATCGTTCAAGGCATCGTGGCATCTTTCCCGACCATTCAGTCTTCAACGGGTTATATACCTTCGTTCATAGTCACCGGTCAAGTATATCTTGGGGAGATTTGCTCAAATCCAGTATCGATAGTGCTGCCATAACATCACGGCATCACTCGTCGATTCAGAATGACGCCTACATCATTCGATGAGAATGCCATTCGCGCCCAGTTCCCCGCGCTGGATCAAAAGCAAGTGTTTATGGACAATGCTGGCGGTGCTCAAGTCCTGCAGTCAGTAATCACGGCAATCACCGATTATTTGACCAAAACAAATGTCCAGCTTGGAGCTTCTTACCCAGTTTCTCAAACCTCAACCAGCAAGTTTGATGATGGTTACAAGGCAGCGGCAAAATATGTCAATGCTAGCCCCAAGGACATTGTATTCGGAGCTTCCACGACACAACTGTTTAGAAATGTGGCGACCGCCCTGAAGATCGAACCCGATTCGGAATTTGTTTTGTCAAAGCTCGACCATGAAGCGAACATCGCTGCATGGGTCCAACTGGCGAAATGGAAGGGCATCACGGTCAAGTGGTGGGTGCCATCCAATAACACGAACTCCAACCCAAAGCTAGAGCCCGAAGACTTGAAGAAATCGCTCAGTCCAAAGACGAGACTGGTCGCCTGCACACACACATCGAACATTCTTGGTACAGTCACCGACGTTGCAGCACTGTCAAAAGTGATTCGGGAAAATAATCCGGATACATTGTTCGCAGTGGATGCTGTTGCATATGCACCTCACGCACCTGTTGACGTGAAGGCCTTTGGGGTGGACTTCTATTCGTTCTCTTGGTACAAAGTGTACGGACCTCACGTGGCACTGCTATACGTCAGTGAGAGAGGACAGAATGCCATTGAGAGCCTGGGGCATTATTTCAAACATGGGGACACATTGGAAGAGCTTCTCGGACTGGCTGCTGGAAATTATGAATCAGTTCAATCCATCCCATACATTACCTCATATCTCGAGCAAGTTGGGTGGGAGGCGATCCATGCTCAAGAAGAGAAGATTCAGGAGGTTCTATTATCTTATCTGCGCTCAAAGCCAGATCAAATCAAGATATACGGAGAGCCTTCGGCCGACAGGAATCTTCGTGTACCTGTGATCAGCTTCAGAGTCAAAGGACAGAGCTCTTTTGGGATTACTGATGCTGTTGAGGCGCGGTCGCCCTATGGCTGTCGTGCTGGACACTTTTACAGCAAACGACTGATACAAGAAGTTCTTGAGATATCAGATCCTGACGATGGCATCGTAAGGTGTTCCTTGGTTCATTACAACACTGTCGAGGAAGTCAAGGGTCTGGTCAAGGTGTTGGATGAGGTTATCAAAGAAGGGGAAGGCAAGCAACAGGTGGACCCAAGCAAGAAAGATGTTTCGAATTGGTAAGATAGGAGTCTCACACGTCAATCAGGTCATGAGTGGTGCATACGTAGATAGCGTCTCATGGGTAGTAAGACATGGAGTGGTTGAGGAGAGTCAGGTGATCTATATCCCAGGTACCCACCAGGGTCTTTGTTCGGTGGAGTGATGCCTCAGTCCATGACAATGATTCATGCCGAGTTTTTGCCAGGAACATGGTTTCGCGCATCGATGAAAGTATGCATTCATTGACCTCTTCTGCGTCAGTTGTGTTTCAAGCACAAAGGTGAAGAATGGATATGCGATGGAAGCAGAGGGCCCAGGTTGCACAGAGATAGGGGCGCGACCAGAATATCAATGGCAGCTGTCCGCATGGTCTTTGCGCAAAGCCACAACAACAGAGGTTTGATTGCGCGGGTAAAATTGCAAAGCTCTGAAATCAAATGGCTATCTTCAACAGAGATCGCAACCGACGTTACAGAAGTCTAAGATATCATTCTAGCATCATTGGCAGGTTTGATGATGGTGGTCTACAGCTTCTGGAAAACCCCTTGTCTTTTACCGCGTCCTCCTTGATACCAGGCACGTGATCACGCCCTGTTGCCAAGCCCCATGCCGCCGTGGTAACTCGGCTAATCCTCCACATAGGGACGATGTCAACAAACTTTTGGCCAATGGCTTATGCCTCTCATCATCGCCTCACGAACCACTTCACTTTTCTTTGTCAGTCCAGCCTCTACCAGATATGGCCCTCGAGTCTCAACAGGGTCGCAAGTTTATGTAACAGGAGACATCCCCATCTTATTGAAATGGCTGATACAGAGAATGTATGATCATCAATCTCCCCAAAGCACCTGCCAACCATCTTTGTAACTGATTCGGGTAAACAGTTCATCTCGCAACTACCTCAGCCGGCTCGACATGGCATCCCATCTCCACAGAAGCCTCTTGTCGAGATGACTCCGGCGGCTGCCAATTCTCGGATTGCTATGCCTGCGCCTACCATGACCGGGCACAAGCGCCAGGGATCCAACTGTTAGTATCCAACTGCGTTGATGGGCACTCATTCTGATGGAGAGCAGTACCAGAACCAGCGCCGAAGAGGAAGACCTTAATAGAACGTGCCGGTGAACCCGTTAAATCTATTCTCCCAACTCCGAAATCCTATACCACCGTCAACACTACGACGACATCCGCTGCCCATTCCCGAAACCCCTCGTCACAATCATACCGAACCAACATAAATTTCTCCAAAAGCACATCCGCTGCTATCACGCCCAATCCTTTCTCAGCCAGCGTCAACAGTGGTATGCGACCACCCACATCATCAAGCCTATCACGACCGAAATCGTCATTTGCAAGAGACAGAGGGAAGCAGGTTGCCACGAGGCCTGCAACATCCCTAGGAACCCGTGGAGGATTATTACAGGAAGGACCCAAACGTATGAGACCCATTGCCCCAGTTCGTGCTGTTTCCCTCGCCCCCAAGAGGACTGGATCCGTGTATATTCCCAAAAAGGACAACCGAATATCCCAAACAATGGCTGAGCAGTCCCCTTTGCTCAATCAGCAGCAGCGGGATAGTAGTACTTCCTCCATCACCGCTCGGCTGGCTGAGATAAATTTGTCTTCGGACGCTTGTCAGCCCAATCCAATGCGACCCGGAAGTCCTAGCAAGATTCCTCTACCTTCTCCTCGTGCCAGCACCCCTCTTGTTACCAACTTTATACCCCCAAAATTTCCTCCTAGAACTCCATCTCCTCAAAAGAACAAAGCAAGAACCTTTCTGACCAAAAACTCCAATTTAGAATCGTGGGATCCCGAGGAACAGTATGGCAACATGGAAAGAATGTACGAGGATGTCTGCAAACACTACAAGCAGGCAATGGACGACAACCAAGAAGCTAAACAGGTAAACTCAACGTACAAGGACACCATCATTGGCCTCGAAGAACAACGCAAAGCCACCACTGAATCTATAATCGAATTAAGATGCGAGCTTGAAACCACGAAATTTCGGCTCGAAGCCACAGAAAGATCTGCCCAGGAAGATAAGCGTGACCTGGAAATCGAAATCGAGGAAATCAAGAGTCGCCATCGTGTCGAGATAGAAAGCCATCGACAGTCGCATCGTGCGGAACTCGAACGCCTGAAAGCAGACCATCGCGAGGAATTGCGAGATTTGAGGCGGCGTCTCGAGGAAGATATTGACAAAGAGCGCAGTCAGCGCATGGAAGCTGTTGCAAAAGTATCAACACAAGGTCTTGTTGAACAACAGCAGCATCGGATGGATCTTGAGATCAAAGCTCAAGAAATCAAGGCAATAAAGTCCGAGATTGACAGGCTCCAGGCCGATCTTGATAGAGAGAAATCTCTTAACGACGACCTCCGCTCGAATCTATCAAATGCAGGCTCAAATGCAGCCAACATGGAAAATGCTCGACAGGCACTTCAAGCAAAAGTGGACTATCTGGAGTCTGACAGCAAGTCCCAATCAGAAGCATATGCGACAATGGAAAGGAGGATGAATGAAGCAATCGAGAAGGCACAAGAATGCGAAGACAAACTTAGGAAGGAAGAGATGCTTCGACGGAAATTGCACAACCAAGTCCAAGAGCTCAAAGGCAACATCAGAGTTTTCTGCCGAGTCCGACCCGTTAACAGCGTGGAATCGGAAGAGGCAGCGAGGATTACCGTTCCGGAATCTGAAGACGAACCGACTGACATTGAGGTCAAGGGTCCAGAAGAAACCAACAGTCTTGGAAAAGTCACGACCAAGATCCATCAATTTTCCTTCGATCGCGTGTTTGACACGTCTTCAAACAATGCTGAGATATTTGAAGAGATCAGTCAGCTAATTCAATCCGCTTTGGACGGTTACAACGTTTGCATTTTCGCATACGGCCAGACCGGTTCTGGAAAGACTTTCACGATGTCATCAGATGATGGAATGATTCCACAAGCACTGCGACAGATTTATACTACTAGCAAGGAGTTGGAAAGCCGAGGGTGGAGATACACCATGGAGGGTAGCTTTGTCGAAGTCTACAATGAAGAGCTACGCGACCTTCTCGGGAAGGATGGAGACAATGACAAGGGCAACAAGAAGCACGAGATTCGACACGACATGGCTACTTGTGAAACTACAATTACCGATGTCACTACGCTCACTCTGGACAGCCAGGATCAAGTTGAGGGAATTTTGGCTCAGGCAATGTCGAGAAGATCGGTTGCTGCAACAAAGGCAAACGAACGCAGTAGTCGAAGTCACTCGGTCTTCATCCTCAAACTTGCAGGATATAACTCTATCACAGGTCAAAAGAGTAAGGGTACCTTGAACCTGGTAGATCTGGCAGGCTCAGAACGTCTATCCCACTCCAAAGTTGAGGGTGCGCGGCTGAAAGAAACACAAAACATCAACAAATCACTCTCTTGTCTCGGCGATGTCATTGGAGCCCTCGGACAGCAACAAGCTGCTGGAGGATTCAATCCACGAGAGAGTGTCAACGGTGCCGCATTTACAGGATCCTCTTCCGCAGGATCTCATATACCCTATCGCAACAGCAAACTGACATATCTTCTCCAATTCAGTCTAGGAGGCAACAGCAAAACTCTCATGTTTGTCATGGTTGCCCCGGAGAAGAAGTGTCTCAGTGAGACGATCACAAGTCTGAAGTTCGCCGACAAAGTGTCGAGGACAAAAATTGGTGTTGCAAAGAAGACCGGAGGTGGGAGATGATGACTGATGGTGGCTTCCGTGTGAGGTGCCTCATGGATCCGCCTGAAAGATCCGTTGTTTGGAATTCCTGTGAGCGGCTTTATGATAACGAATTCTCTTCTTGAAATACCTAGCGGGCCTGACTTTTTTTCGGCTCATTTGGAGCTGCTCGGACGGATTGATGGGCCAAAGGCTATGTCTGTGGGCTGATGTCTGGCTTTGAAAAAAACAAACTGAAGGTGCTTGAGTGTTTTGGGATATCATCCGACTCAGACTTGGGTGGCACCCCAGTTGAGCTATGGTTGGAGTTGGTTGGTGGCTCACATAGTGAAAGAAAGAACAAACCAGGGACTCAATCCTGAAGAAGGATTCACTCGAGTGTATAAAAGACTAGAAAGTCATGATGATCATTGAACGAGATTGAGACTCCTGTTCCTCTTACCATTCGATAGCTCTTTGCTTTCTTTCAAGCTCGGAGTTTGCCTCTTTCTACATGTCTATCTATCATTGCTTGCTCTCGAACTGCTATAACCTACAGCCTGCTTGTCCTGCTAACATTCCCCAACTCTGCCACAATCCCCCTACTAACCCACTCGGCGATGCCCATCGTCGTAATCATAGGATTAACACCACTCGCGGTCGGGAAACAACTGGCATCAGCAACATACAAGCCCTTGGTACCCCAGACCCGGCCTTTCGAATCAACCACGCCGGTTTTGGCACTACTGCTCATGCGACACGTGCCCATCTGATGGGCGGACCCGAGGGTGACGGGATCCGGACTCGACAGACCCGCGGCCTTTATCTCGGCCAGCCAGGTGTTGAACGCGGCGTCGTCGTCCTTCTGCGTCTTGGAGGAATCGAGCCCGCTCGGCCGCACGAACCGTCTCGTCCCTGTATGTCCCGTGTCGATCTCCTGCGCGCCCATGATGAACTGCAGCCGAGCGTTGGCCAGGATTCCCTCGAGGATCTTGGCGCGGTCGCGCGCCGACGTCGTGTATGCGACGCGCAGCCGTTGGCGCGTCGGATCTTTCGGGTCGATGTATGCGCGTCCCGTGTCCTGGTCGCGTGTGATGGCGATGAAGCCCACGGCGTGCCCGTGCTTCGCGGCGTCGATCTTCCAGCGCAGCGCGGAGTGCAGGGCGCCCGCCTTGTCGTTGGCGGAGAGGGCATTGAGGGATTCGGTCGCTCGCCATGGGTACGTCAGTAGGCCGAGGCCTGGATGTGCGCAGGTGACTTCGAGCTTGACGCCGTGGTGAAGGCCGTCTTGGTCTTCCAGGCTCGTCACTGCCGAAGTGAGCATTGTGCCATCCCATGGGTCGGTCCGATGCTTCCACACGGCCCAAGTTGTGTTAGTCGGGTGGAGGTAGAGGTTTGCGCCAATTTGCGGGTTCGTGAGACCACTGCGCAGTAGGACTAAGGGCGAGCTTAGAGTTCCGGCTGCGATGATGACTCTTTTTGCATTGATGGTCAGTGTCCGTGTGGTCTTTCGATCGCGAGATGTCCAGATGGCTTTTACGCCCGTCGCGGTCTGGTTGGCCGAGAAGATCACTTCATCCACGAGACAGCCTTCGATAAATTCGGCTCCGTGTGCTGCGGCATCTGGGAACCAGTTGTTCAAGGGTCCTTGCTTCGTGGTGCTTGGGCAGCCATATATACAGGAGCCGCAGAGATGTGGCTTTGATCCCGAGTTCTGTGGGACGACATGGCCCGCCATGCCCAAGCGGCGAGCACCTTCTAAGAGGGTGGTGTTGCCGAAATTGTGCTCGATTTTGCTTAGAGCTTTTTCGTCATTGGCTTTGGCGACACCCATGCGACTGCACACGGTGTCGAGACAATCTTGGAATTCGTCGCCGAGGAAATGCGGGAGTCCACCGTCTGCCCATTCTTTCCGCACGGCATATTGAGGCTGTAATGAGGCCGACCAGTTGACCGTGCCCCCACCGCCGAGTGTACTACCCGCGAGGATACCTACTGAGCCATCGTCGGAGGACACAACACCACCGTTGAGGTATAGATGCTCTCCAGCTTCTTGTGGGCGCATGGGAAAGTGCGTGGAGGGGAAATGATAAGCCCGTTCCAGCACTAAGACCTTGAGACCGGCCCGAGAGAGGTGGGAAGCTGTGACGCCTGCACCACAGCCCGAGCCAACGATGATGACATCAGTGGATAACGTTGTGGGAGTGGATGTAGACGTGAAGTCGTGGAATTTGTATTCGAAGCTTGTATTTCGCTCGATGTGTTTGGGAATATGAGGATAGTCGATCATGCGCATAAGTTCGGTGGAAGTATTGATCCAAGCAAATCTCGCCAGGCTGCCGAGAGAGCAGTGGAGTGTGCGCAGTAATGGAAGACGTGCAGTCGACCACTTGCACACGATCTCGGTACGCGTAGGGAGTGGTTGTAGGTGGATCGGAGTGGTATATCCGGTCAACAGGTACGAGCCAGCCCGAGTGTTCATGGTGGAAAATATAAAGGCCAGCCCTTGTGCATCCGACGGAGGAACATAGAGATTGAACTTGCGCTTGATAGCTGCGATGAAAATTGGATCGGAGACGGTCTTCTGAGCCAGATAGGTTTTCGCAAGCTCTTCTGATGCTCCTTCTGGGAGATACAATTTCAGCTCTGCTAAGGCATCCTTCATCTGAGCTGTGGAGATTGATGATTTGGCATCACTGGAGCTCGTGGAGATCTCTGGAACGAAGACCTCCATTATGGAGAATAATATTTCCCATTGTTTTTCGGTGAAGGCCTGACCTGGTGGTGGCTCAGGAATGGGTGAAGGTAGAGAGGCCAAGTTGGGCAAACCCTGAAGTGCAGACATCGTGGTGTGGAATGCAGAGAGAGCAGGCGTGAAGCAATGTCCACACTCCGGCTGGTAGATCTCACGAAGAGCAAGCAAGAATGGAGCGAGATTTCTTGAGTTCCACCCAGTGTTGACGAGACTCTTTGTATGTCAGACGAGGCGTGCATTGAGAAGCGTCCAAGGATCTTTAAGCGCAAGAAATCTCACTACTCGTGGAGTTGGCCAGTGGATCATCACTAATAGCGGGACCACGCCCCGGGTTGTGTCCGGTCCTTTCGAGGGCTGACACGCCAGGTCAGTGACGGACAGAACTTGTGGATGAATTCGACAACCTGGTGGAGACGAGATCTCATCCAATATATAGCTCGCTTCCTTAGCTAATTTCTAGCTAAGCTGATGGCCATCCGCTGCCCACCAAGTTCGCAAAAACGAGGTAAACGAGGTACGAACCCTAGCCTAGAACCGCCAACTGTGGCGGCAGACAAAGTCAGTCCCGGACTCCCCAAGTACGACTAGGGCCTCGGTAGAAAAACCTGTGGGGATACGAAGTACGAGAGAAGGGCAATCCAATATTTTGCGGGATGGCAATTAGCCGGGAGTTTAGACAGCCTCGGTGGGTTGCTGAAAGGAGCAAGAATGGCTGTGAGTATTTTTGATCGAAAGCAAGATCAGGTCCCAGGCACCCCAGGCAGCCACAGCTTCTGCTGACGAGATGCCTATGGAAACGAAGAATGGAGTCTGTGGATATGGTTGTTTCAGGCGGAAGATGCTTCACCAGTGGTCTACTACGGGCTGACTACTGGTATATGGGTGGGTAATGGATCAGTGTTCCTGATCTTGATGCTCCGTTGACCACTTGTACGGGATGGCTGTTGTGTAAACACTTAGACTACCCCAGATGCTGACGCTGACCTAAGACGTACCTACCTACCTCGTACTCCAAGAAGCTAAATCCGTATGTAAGAAGCACCCACGCAGTTAGCTCCTTGCCGGATCTACCTAACAAATCGGCCTAGTCTTCTTCGGCTACATGTAGTTTGACTCGGACGACGGGCCAAGTCGTGACATGTGCATTTCTATCTCATGATTTTCATCCTTCAGCTTCGATCTCATAGCTGTTGGACTTGTGCTTGGGCTGAAATCGGAAGTTTTGGTGTGCTTTGCCGAGGAACATTTCACTATTTCATTCAAAAGTCAGTCATAAATCCATCCCACAGCTGACGACGAGAGTGTTCAAATCATGCTTACCTGATCTTGATCCAGTCCAGGTAGTTGTCGCTCGCCATGAGTGTTTCCAACTCATCACGACCGCGGAAACGTGGTGGTCGATCCTGGATGTTTGGCGGAAGATACTCCAAAAGTCCAATCGGTACATAACGACATGCGAAACTGAGCCATTCAAGTAAAAATCGTCGAGTCTGCCCCACACCAATCTCATCACTACCCCATGCCTCCAAGCCATATCTGCAGAAGCGCTCAATAATGGAAAGTCGCTCTGACGATGATTTGTCGAGATACTGGCCAGCTTGAATCTCCTCGAAAAGCCATGGCTTGATCAGCGCACCTCGGCCAGCCATAACCCCATCAACACCTGCATGTTCGAAGTGATCATAGTAGTGTTCGTGGGAGAAAACATCGCCATTACCGAGAAAGAAAACTTTGCCGTTCTTGGACTTCTCATGGCCATTGGGCAAGTCACGCTCATCGACCTCGCCTACAGTATCGACAAGTAAGTCGGTCTTCTCGTTCAGACTCTTGATCAAAGCTGCAGTTTGAGCGATATACTCCCAGTCTGCGGATCGAGTGTAGCGTTGCTGTCTTGAACGTCCATGGAGAGTGATAGCCGCAACGCCACAGTTATCACCTCGACTACTTGGCGAACCTAAAACCAATCGATCGACCAATTTCTGGGCTGTGGGTTGCTTGTCTCTCGTGCCCATTCGAATCTTCACCGTCACAGGCGTTTCGCCTGACACCACATTCATGCCACGAAGCATTTTCTCCAGCTTGTAAGGCGTGTCCATCAATGCTGAGCCTGCGCCTTCCCTATAGACTAGGTCAATTGGACAGCCAACGTTGAGATCAACCACTCTCAGTCCTTTGGGGAGAAGTGTTGTCAGAACCTCAGTGGTTTTGACTGCGATCCAAGGTTTGTTGGCCGCAATTTGTGCACCGAATTTGAGATCTCGACTTTGATCATAGTCGTAGACAATATTCCCCTTGGCGGTGAAAGTTGGTGGCTGTACGTCTGATTCGTGTGCCTTCATCAGTGCCCATTCGGACTTCTGTCCCTGCAGAATTGGCAGAGACATAGCCATCTCCGAGTAAGTGAACGTGGCTCCCAAGGACGTACACAGCCGGCGATAGGGAAGGTTGCCCTGTGTTGTGAGAGGTGCAAGAATAGATGTCTCAGCACCAAAGTATAGCCGTCTCTTCTCCGATGGCCGCAATGGTGGGTCTTGGAACGACGCTATCGAGTCATGCTTCTCAGCACTTCCATTTGTTGGCTCAGGTGATGATGAGTTGCGAAGAGAAGTGATTTTCGCCTCTTGGTATCGGCCTTGGTCTGATGGATTTTGACTCTGGCGCTCTAACCATTGCAGAAACTTGTGAGACAAAGGAGTATCGATCTGTCTTTTCGTCAAGGTCATACGTTGCTGATAACTGATTGTGTTCGTGACGCCGACTTCGCCATCTTCCTCCGACGTCTGGGCATAGGTAGCCATCTTTGCAGCATCCTCAACGAGTACCAGTTCCTTGCGGCCATCCTCGCGTTCAACTTCTTTCGAGTGAGAGCCTACAAATCGGCATTTCCAACCCACAGGACACCGCCCTTTCGTCTCCCACACTGGACATATGCCATTGAACGTTGTGATGTCCTCGCGTTTCTGCTTCAAATAGTCTCTGAGGTCGTGAGCGAACTTGCACTTGTCTCCAAAACCACAGGCCCCTGGTGAAAATTCAGGTGCGTGTTTCCTGGACGAGCACAACCCTACTGCATCCCTCGAACTCCCATAGTCACGTGCTTTGTTTTGACCTGTCTGTTTCTGCCGGCGTTTGCCCTTTGAGTTTTGACCGTCGGGCTGCCGATCATTGTGGTGAAAAGCTTCCGCAGCGTCATCATCAACTTGATCCTGTTGTGGCTTCGCTTGCGCGGTATCATCATCCAAGATCAAAAATTCCTCCTTGATTGGCGCAGCCCCTCTGCGTCGCTTGTCATTTCTTGGATCCTGTGACTGGCCATCACGGTCGTCTTGTTCTGCTTTGCGCTTAACAGCAGTTGAGGTGGATTGCGAAGTCAACTTGTTCGATTCCGTGTTTTCTTCCATCGTCACCTCAGGGACGGATGTAGAAATTTCGGCCATTTTTCACAAGTTTGTGGCAGTGACAGCTCTTGGCCACACAACTTTTTCAGAACGATTGACAATTCTTCAATTCGAAACTAGAACCAGTAAGCACTCGAGATGCTTAGTATTGAAAACTAGAAACGGAAAATGAAGATGTCTGTTGAAACTCGACTGTCAATGAAGAACTGAAATCGAACTGACTTTTCGCCAAGACATATTGAAATGCGCTATGGGTATTTTACTTCACCCAAATTCATGGTACTTCGCCCGAGTCCTCGGGTACGGCGAGTTTCGTATTCGGATTGGCTTCTCCACGACTTCACTCATCAACATCGCCTTTAAATTTGTGAGAAATGTCGTTTTGCCAGAGGAATAAAATCTGGGATGCTCCAGATACTTCATGTCGGAAGTAACCATCTCATTATCAACAAGCTGTCCCAACAATGCTACTATCTCATTCTCCCCCATGGGCTCTCCCTACCCTGACAGCCCTTATCGGCAGCGGAGGCTTCATCATTGGAATCTACAGCTTTATATCCCCAGTGAAGGCAGCACAAGTCTACGGAGTCGATCTTCCACTCCTGGCCAAAGGAAATCAAGCTTCCAAGGAGAAGACTGGATCAGCCGATCCTGCGCTATTTCGACCTGACGACATATCTCGGCATGTTGCATACATCTACGCCCATGGTGTGCGGAACTTTGTCACAGGTTTCACAATCCTAAGCCTTACTGGATTCTGGCAGTTCTCAGCGCAATGCAAAAAGTCGGTGATCGCAAGTTCTACCGCTCAGCGATCTTTGGGCATCGTCATTCTGGCTGGAGCTTTGACGCCTGTAGTGGATGCTGTGGTCACATGGCAAGCCGCAGAAGAAAGAACAGCAACTGATGTGGGAAAGAAAGCAGCTCGTGCGCATGCCTCGAGGTCATTGATCTGGATCGCTGGCGGGCTCTGGTGCTTGTTCGGTTGACGCGAGCACCATAGAAGACCATATTCTTCCGCTCTGCATCATTGCCTAGCATCGTGTTGGAGCTTCCTTCGTAGGCTATAGCATCAAGTGAATCTACTGTTGCTCAAGTATGGCATATGTGATGCTTTGAGCAAATCGGATCACCAAGGCCTCGTGACGTCGTGCGACGATCAGGCCATCGACCCAAGTATCGTGATTTCAAATTGCTATGCGGCACAATGTCTTCCATAGCGGTAAAGATGTTACATAAGTTTCATTCTCCACCAGTCATCAAGGTCAAAACACAGAGAAGGCTCGCCAGTATTCCTCTTTCATATCAGAGATACTGCCAGATCGGTCATTTCATGTCATCCTCTGTCGGATCATGAGCAACCCACAGCAAGACAGAGCCTTTGTGTCTTTCTCTAAGTTGTCTCTTGCTCGCCATCAATTTCCTTCTCTTCCTCACCTTCCGACCATTGCATCTCATCTCTCATTAGTTTGAGCCAATCTTGGGAATTCACCAAGTCTGGATGGTTTTCATTCAGCACACTTTGCCTTACCATAACAACATGCTCCATCAATTGACGCCCTTCGTGAGTATGCCCTGATCTCCACAAATGAGTAGCGATATTATGCTCTGATTTCAGTCGATCAGGGTGATCCTTCGACAGTGTTTGGGCTTGAATTTGGACCACCTTCCTCTCGAGAGACAATGCTTCTTGCGTCCGTCCATTTTGATAATAAGCACGAGCCAGTTCATGCTGTGATGATAATCGATTTGGGTGGTCCTCGCTTAGTGTTCGCCCTCCTATTGACACTATATGCTCCAACAGCGATATTGCTTCTTCGACTTGTCCGTGAGCTAGATAAACCCTGGCTAATTCATGCTGTGATGCCAATCGATGTGGGTGTTCCTCGACTAGTGTTCGCTGGTTTATTGACCCTATATGCTCCAACAGCGATATTGTTTCTTCGACTTGTCCATGAGCTACATAAGCACTAGCTAATTCATGCTGTGATACCAATCGATCTGAGTGTTCCTCGACTAGTGTTCGCTCTTGTATTGACACTATATGCTCCAATAGCGATATTGCTTCTTCAACTTGTCCTTGAGCTAGATAAGCACTAGCTAATTCATGTTGTGATTCTAATAGATGTGGGTGGTCCTCCCTCAGTGTTCGCTCTCTTATTGACACTATATGCTCCAACAGCGATATTGCTTCTCGAAACTGTCCATTATCTAGGTTGGTACTGGCCAATCGATGCTGCGTGCTCAATCGATGAGGGTGCCCGTCTGGTAGATTTAGACTCTGGACTTTCAGTACTTCCTCGCATAAGGTAATTGCCTCTCGAAAATCACCACGGTCATCACAGTTCTCAGCCTGGAGGGAGTACAGTCCCAACCATGGCTGATCTATTGTCGAATCGTTCAACCCCAGATGTGCCAATAACCTCTTCAAAAGAACAGAGAGATGTGCGTCACTTCTCATGCGCCTCAATTGCCACCCGCATTGATGAAGGATGCATGTGACGTGCATTGGTGGGTCAGAAGCAAACATACAGTGCATGTCCCAAGATGTCAACGCTTCGACGTGTGCTCGTAGCCTTTCATGTCGTGTCCAAGCTTCCTTTTCCTCGCTAGAGAAAGCCACGATACAGCCCATCTTTATCCATGAATCATGTTGACTATGTTTTTCCTGGCGATCTCGAGCCCAGGCATGGACAAGAGGATGCATTGATACACTGGACCGTCCAGAATCCGTGTCCATATTTGTCGACAAAAGCGCGAATGTTTCGAGGATGCGTACAGCCTCCATCAAGCGAAATGGATCCCACTGGTCGGAATCAACCTGGATCATCGGCATCAGCTGATCAACATGCCATTGGCCAAGAGACAAGGGCTCCTCCTTGTCGGCATTGTCGGCATTGTCAGATTGGGCACCTCTCCACGCCATCTCGAATAATTGCATAGGGAGAACATTTGGGGCGCAAACAGCCAGAACGGGCAATAATTCGAGAGCGTCTCTGGCAGATTCTGTTTCAGCTTTCTGAAGTGTTTCTATGGACGCCTCAAAAGTTGCGTAGACATCTGCATAACGTGACTTGGCTTGCCGTGCCTTGTACTGAAGCAGCCGCTTTCGTTGTCGCACAAATTCAGCAGGATATCGAGCCAGAGTGCAGTGGCCAGCTCGAATATATGCCCCAGCAAGCGTAAGGGCCAAGGGGTGTGACTGCAGGAGTTCAGCCACTTTGAGTGAGTCCTCTTGCACGGCAGCCCTTTGATGCTCCTTGATATCAGCTGCCTTCAGGAGCAGCTCTTGTGCTTCATTGACAGGTAAGCCTTCTAGAGCGATGGTTTTGTCGGTCACATAGTGCTGGTTTTCTTTATTGCGGGAGGTCATTAGCACAGCACCTCGTGGGCTCGACGGGAAGTAGTCCTGATAGTCAATATCTGGGTCATCAGCATTGTCCAAAATCAGGATCCAAGGCTTTGAAGCATTAGCGAGGGCTTCACGACCATCCTGCCAAGTTGACCCTGAACTATTCAATCGTTTGCCGATATCCAGAAAGGCCGATTCAGCAGCAGATGTGGTGCTAACATCGACCCAGAAGATGCCCCAGAATCTGCTTACCAGTTAGAAAGCTCTGAAGGTCAATGAAGAAATAGGTGTACTAACAAATTGTGGACGTGTTGTACAAGTTGCAAGCAGATTTCACTCTTTCCCTGACCACCGATACCAAAGATCAGGCTACGGGATTGTTGGGAGGGATGAGGTCCATTGAGAGCACTCTGTACACATGCTTCCAACTCCTCTAGGATATCGTCTCTGCCTGTGAAGAGCGCATTAGGGGAACGGGATACCCTCCAGTGGACAGGCCACCTTGGTTCAATTGGTTCTGTGTGGATCAGCCACGAAATTTCAACATTGAGTCCGATGAAGTGTAGGCTAACCATTGCTTGTGTGGTTGGCCAGGTTCTTCTCAAGCTGATCAAATCTTTGGAGGAATTCTTGGTGTCTCTTATTCGCATCTGCCATCGTCAGCGGTGAATATTGGTTCGAGAGTCATTCACAAGCAGGATGGCGGACCTGAAGAATTGAATACGTGAATGATTCTGCTGCAAGCCGCATCCTCACGACGTACTTCAGTCATGATGCCCGATACATCGTCCATCTTCGGAATGGCACGGAGAAAACGAGCTGAGGATCGATATCAAATGTTAGTTTCCATTGGCAATATTGTTGACGCGCTGGCAATGCTTAAACCCACTCATAGTGCTACGCTGGTAGTAATTTATTGCTGAGATTTGATAGCGAATGACATGCTAATAAAGGCTGATAAGATGTTGCTCGAACTGGTGGGTCAGATCTTCATTGGGTCGCGCGAGATACAAGGCCTCGATATGTTGATAGGTTGTTAAAATCACAACGATGTCTGCCACGCCTTCGAGCATGGCAGCGTATTGCTCAGAATCTGAGATTGCCAGCTAGCTACAAGTCAGCTTCCGGAAGCGATGAGCAATGTGCTATATGGAGTCCGTACCTGCATCAGCACACATAGGCCGGCTAGAGGCAGGCCGATATGAACTGGATCGGCATTGTATGCAGGTTGGCACAGTTCTTTGAACACCTGCAAGGCCTTGATTGTTCGGTCGAACTGTTGACGAACACGGATGTTCCACGATCCTGTGGTGATCGTCCATCTTTTGGCCTCAAGGTCCCGCTGACTCTGCTGTGTCGCTTGAAGCAGCAGGGACGCAAAATCGGAATTGCCCGAACCAGCTGCCTCTTGCTGTATCACAGTGATCCGTTGCTTGACTGATTCTTTATGGTCTTCGGCTTGGAGTGCATCGATGGCTAATTGCCAATAGTCTCTTTTCGTGACAACTGCACTGAGAGCCGTCGACTCGTTGGCTTCATTGCTCTGGGGAGGGATTGAGGAGTTCACGACACCTGTAGATGGAGTGTCAATAGGTGCAACTGGGGACGTGCTCTGGCTTGCGGCACTTGGTGGGGAGATGCCAGAGTGTGGACGTTGGACGTGTGGGTCAGCGGCATGACCCGTTTTGCCTCTTGAGCGGCGTGCTAATTTGATGGACAATCGTTTCATTCTGGTTCTGACGTCTTACAGGGACTTATTATATCCAAATGTCACAACTGTTGACTAAGTAGCACAGCATGGAAATCATCTCTATCTTTTAGCAGAATCAGGCTGCGTTCATCACGCTCTCCGCACAACTGCGCCCGGTTTCCATGCAGTCCATCCTGGCTCTTGCGCCACATCTACACGTGATGACGCCCCGAGTGCTGGCCACTATCCAGGATGCGTGATCATACACAACAACGGAATATCCTCAAAGCACTCTCTCCATATGCTTGTGTAATCAAGTATCCTCCTGAGCTCGGACTTTTCATGGCTTTAGGTCGAGAGTAGAGCAATATTCCAGCTGGAATAGGTAATAACACGCTTCTCAAGTAGATCCCACCTCCTCCCCAGCCATTCAACTGGTCGATAAAGTACAGACGATCTTTGACATCTGTGAGAACGGAGACTTCCCCGGATTCCTCTCTGGCCGCGGAGAACCCCAGGCTTGGAAGGCTGTTTTGACCCCGGAATTGACTGCCCGGAGCCCGTCACACGACCCAAACACGAACGCCATGTGCGGAGATTCAGTCTATCACAACATCAGGAAGGGCGGGGTCGACCATTCAAACGACAAATCAATTATCAACAGCATGAGGGAATTCAAGCTTCACGAGCAAGCCAAGTATCAGAGCATCGCCATGAAAAGGGCAAGCGATGACTTGGTTGTCCCCAACCCAGAGAGTGGCCGATTTCTTGATCATTGAGCTGCCATGGGATTTCAAGTCGAGATAATATTCACAAACGGACTGGCCCTCTCATCTACGAGCGAACCGCTTTTCCTCGGTGATACTGGCATTGATGGCTACGTCGCGCTGACTGATCATGGTGACGTCAGTATTGATATACTCCAGATCTCCCTCCATGGTGGGTACCAGTCGAACCCCTTGCAACTCAAAAACATGAGCCGTTCTCAGGGCTTTCAGGTACCCTCGTGAATACCGTCAGACGCTCGGACTGGTACTCGTTTGCATACTACCACCAAGTCCAAGAGGTACGTCTGTCGTGACTTTGTCTCCTCAAATCTGCATTACGTGCTGAAGTAGCATCAGCTCCTACACTTGACCGACATCAAACGGCCCACAGATTTCGTCGGGGATCAAGAACATGCAGAGACGCCCTTGAAATGCTTCTTCCATTTCGAGATCCCTCAATACTTGAAATGCGAACTCCTCGGTCAAAACACCGGATTACTGTGTGACCTGCCCGCTTCCTTCCCGTGCGCCGTTCGTCCTCCAAAAGCCACGGTGCTCCAAGAGCGGTGCGAAGGGGATTGCCACATTTCTTACAAGATCCAGGTTCACGCGATATGTCGACGGAAGGCAATAGCCTGTGCATCGCAGCAGATCAAGATCGTTCCGACGTTCGAGTCTCGGCCACCCGTTTGCGTGGCTGATTTTCCAAATGAGTACACGTTGGCAAAGTCGACTCACCTCAGAACCGGATTCTTGGGTTTGCACCACACTGGCGAGTGGCGGCTTGAGGCTGCTGGGCCGGTTCAGTTGGTGTTGAATCAACTGACCGATCCTATACTGCTATCGACGACTCTCACTCTCACTCAATTAATATATTCAAGTGAGAGTTGCCCGAAATGGAAGCCGTGGGATATGGCTAGTGGCCATTGTACTTGCACCCTGGTATCCTCGACATTTATCTCGTGCGTTCCGCGGAGTAGTGTCCCAACACTACAAGAACTTGCTACTTCTACTTGCCTAAGTCGCCAAAATCAGGTGTGTGCTGAGACGAGGACGGTGGTACAGTTCTCAAAGTGGAATGAATCGACCCTGACATTGCATGGCGAGAATTTCTCATCCGAAGTCACGAGACAGTGGAGATCGGATGCTTCTGTATCGATTGACATCCCCAACGACAAGTATTTGGTCCCCACGTTCGAGTCTTCATTAGTCTCGAGACGCTACAAACTTGTTCTCCACGTCCACGTCACCAAGCCTCATCGATCTGCTTTTCGCTTAACTATACCTGTACAGATATCCTACCAGAAAAGCAATGCTCACAGGTCTTGGAGTGATCAAGAACTAGCGTCACCTCCATACATCTGATGTCTGAAGAACAATGACGCAAAGCTATGTGGTTGAAGAATAACGCAATCTGCTCACTTCCAGGATTCCAATGTCGGAGCCACACAGCCTCGTATAAGGCCACTGAATAAAGCGGCATCCACATTTTGCAAAGACCATTCGTCGGTGGTGGTGCCAGAATTGGTATCGAGGAAGTCTTCAACGTAAGCCACACCTACCTCTTCGAGTGGTGCACCACTTGCGGTCCCAAACGAGGGGTTATTGTGCTTCAGAGCATCTGGAGTAAATTAGTCAGACTGATTTGTTGAGTGGAAGTGGGATGGGGAATCTACCTTCCCAGTTGAATGATCGAGACGAAGCTTCTCCAGCATTTGCGTTTCCCGAATCAAATGGTGGGAAGGCATGTCCACAGACGATCACGCCCCCAGCAGCACTATCGTCGAAGTGAGAGCCTGGGGCGAGCTCCTCTCCCGAAAGTGAGGCCTCCCTGTCATCGCCCTGTCGCACCCGTTCGGGCTCGAATCTGATGCTTCCATACTGAGGGATATCAATAAGCAGTCCATCCCGAACTTCTTGATCATTGTCGACCTCAGAGTCTGGTTTGCGGGATGAGCCGTGCCTTGTTGCATGAATCAAATAGCGTTTGCCTTTGAAGGACTCAAGCTCTATATCTAGTAGAGGCTCGAGGATCTTTTTGATTTTTGAGGCGATCGCATCGTTGTTCTCCAAAGCGATGGTTTGGATCATTTGCAGGGCGCTCTCTAGTAGCCCACGATCGCTCTGTCGTTGGTGCATGATAGTCCCCAATGGAAGGAAGAAATCAGCAGCCTCGAATTTCTGTTGTCGACGAGCTTCAATGTGTGCGACACACAACGTCGTGCTTGCAATGAAAACAATGAAGTCGATGCCACGGCAGTAGGTAACAGTAGCAACAGTATTGCGAAAATGCAAGTATTGAGTCAGAATTGTCCGACTTGCATGTGCAGCTGTGAGCTTGCTATATGTGTAGTCTTGACCCCCCGAAGGGGAGCGCAGCAGGTATGGCAGATGTAACTGAAGTAATAAGTGGTAATGGGTAAAGTGGCAGGTCAGTCGGACGCTCTCTTCGAGTGCATCTTCATCGTTGCCCATAAGAACGCTAATATCAGGACCCATCAACCACCACTTTGCGGGCATCATCTCCGAAGCCTGCCGGAGGCTTCTATCATGGTCGCTGGTCATCATAAAGTCGAGCCATGAAAATTGATTGAACCACATGATAAATCCTCCAATAGCCGTCTCCACTCGCTCGAATTGCTCTAAGGGTGTGCGCTTCCGCAAAATGGTAGAATCGTAGGTGCTGTGGTCTGAGTACGCAGACCGAGTCATACCCAGTATCAACGAGAGGTACCCGTCTGAGCAGACCAGGCGAAACCACATAACATCCAGATCAACGCGGGCTCTGGTACTCTCTTCAACGATCATACTCGAAACTGTTGCAGTGCCTGGTTTGTCGAGTCCCATCAACTGCGCAATACTAATCGCTCTGCGGTTTGTCAACCATGCGCGACGGAGGCTGCCTGCATTGTTCCTGAACATACTCTCAATCATGAGACATTCGATTCCCTCCAACGAATTGACCAACTCATCGTTGCTCGTTACCATACCATGGACGATATCAACGATGCGAGACATGAGGGACTGGGGATCGCATGTCATTTTCGCAAGCTCGCTTGAGTAACGGGGTGGAACGCTCAGGAAGAAGGTGGCTAGCATCAGGAGTCTTCTTGCGATGATGATCGGATGTGAGCCCTGCGGGGGCAACTGAAGTACATTATGCGGCGATGAAAGCTTCTCGGCAATGAATTTGGCATAGGGGACACATATGATGCCGTGAGAGAACATCGAGATATCAACGGGGATGCTTAGTGCAATTTCGAGGTCGTTCTGGCTAGGCCATAGCTTTAGAAGTACTCTCGATATCTCGTCGAAATGTCCCAAAGCCTGAGTCTCCATGTCCAGATCATGGATTGTGCTGCGAATGGAAGCTGGTAACTCGGCGTCAGTAGCATGGTCGGACGAACGAGGATTTCCCATACCTTGGGCAGATAGATTCGCGGCAATCAAATCAGACTGATCACAGGTGCGCTCAGCCATTCGTTGAACCTGCGCTTTCACCCGATCCAGGCGATCGGATAATCCAGCAGGCCCAGGTGGTTGATCACAGAATTCCTGGCTGATGCAATTGGTATGCCGGCTCCGGCAGCCGTCACATGTTGCTTCAGAGGAAATTGTGAAAGTGCATCGTGTCTTACGACGCTTACATTCCCAACAACTGAATGTACCTTTCCGGAGTTTCCTCTTCTTGGATGCGGTCGTGCTTTCCATTGGTCAAAGTACTTTGTCGCGCCTGCCGGCCTCAGAAAGTTACCATGTCGTAGTGGTTGCACAAATTGGAAGGAGCGTTTCACGACACTAATGGAAGTCGCTTACTCGAGAGTGGAAAGCAGCATCATGGCTCTCGGCTTCAAGTTCAACAACAAACATGACTTGGTCACGGAAAGATGAACAAGAGGTGTTTTCGGCAGGAGTCGTGATCTCCAAAAATGGACCTCCGCCGCGGCGGAGGAGCGGCAGAGCAATGAACCAGTTGCGGAGTCTTGAGAGTTGAACTGCCCGCTATCATATCAATACGATTCCCAAAATGACCCTTGAAAGAAACCGGTCAGGCGATGTCCGTGGGTGAATTTTAGAGATTATCTGGAATTCTTGATGAAAACCTGCGCTTTCGAAAGATTTTGTGATACTCGCCCTCCGGCCATACCTCCGGGCTTTGCCCCTATACTGTGTACAAGCGTCTGGATTATAAGTACTTGTGCTGGAGAGCAATCCATCATTCGAAAATGAATACTCTATGTGATTCCTTCACAGTCATTGGCTTCGATAGTGGTGAACACTGCACAGTACAAGGATGGTCAAGGTTGCTATTGCAGGTGGCTCCGGCCGTACGTCAGATCTTTGGAAGCCGTTACCATTAAAAGCAGTCGCTAACTATCTCACAGAGGTTGCACGAGAAGTCATCGACGCACTTATTGCAACTAAGAAGCATGAGATCACTATTCTAAGTCGGACGGTGAGTACACACTCTACCTCAACTCCAAGCATATAGAGATGGCAAGTTGACGTTTCATCAGGAGGCTACTAGCAAGACCTTTCCACCGGCTGGAACGAAGTGGCAAGCAGTTGATTACAGCGACATACCCTCACTCACTGCAGCACTTCAAGGCACCCATACAGTCTTATCCTTCATCCAGCTTCTCTCAGACCCGGAGCAGACAGCACAGAAGAATCTCGTTGACGCTGCCGTCGGTGCCGGCGTCAAGCGGTTTGCACCAAGTGAATATGGAAGGTACCGCTTCGAGACAGCCCTGGGGTGTCATAACCACTGACCAAATGTGAAGTAAGGGTACGGTTGACATGCCATGGTGGCATGGGAAAGAAATAGTCAGAGGCTACCTACGGGCCATTAACGAAGAAGAGGATGTGAGTTGTCTAATACTTCCCGAGTCATATTCCATTTTTCTTTCAAAGACTGATGCAGTTTTTAAATCAGGTTCTCGAATATACTTTGTTTCAGCCAGGCCTTTTTCTTGACTACACTGCTTTCCCCCACAAGACATCCAAATATTTGGACCCCCTACAAACTGTCTGGGATTTCAAGAACAGGCGTGCGATCATTGTGGAAGGATACGAAGAGGCTGTTATGACCTTGACCACTGTCGCAGACTTGGCTGCCATTGTTGCTCTGGCGGTAGGATATGAAGGTCGATGGCCGACAAACGGTGGCATAAGAGGCAATCGAGTCACTGTCTCACAAATTGTTGAGATTGGTGGCAGGGTCAGAGGTATGTGTCTATCAGGATTCACCTACCCATTCAAACCCACACAAACCGACACTGCTTGTACTAGGCGCCCCCTTCGCGGTTGAAAAAGTCCGATTGGACGATCTCGAAGCTGGAGAGCTCAAGACCTCATGGAATCTCGAAGCAGTACATCATGCTGTTGCTCAGGAGGATGCAGCTGCCCTTCTCAAGATGGTATCCATTGGTGTCCTCACAAGTTGTACAAAAGGAGCTTGGGATGTGTCTGACGAACTCAGCAGTCTCTTTCCAGACTATCAATCCACTTCAATCGAGGACTTTCATAGAGGATTGTGGGAGGGTAAAAGATCTTAGGTTCTGGTCAAATTGATGGATACTGCTATTGGCTCAGGAGCCTGTTGACTATGGCATTGTCTCCCCTGAGGAGAGATGTCTGGGATTGAGAGTTAGCAAGATGAAATTTGTAGGCGAAGTAGTCTCAAAGTTTCTCTAGATTCCAGGCCTGAGAGAAAAATCCACGCAGTTCAAACCTCTCGTCATTGCCATCATGTTTGAAGTCACTCCTGCCGAAATTTGAAATGCAATCCAAGCCAGTGTTCTCATCCTCTGTATGCCCGCAGCTCACAAAACACTTTTCTCTCTATTCGTGTTTTCGTGTGTTCAGCGAGCCTCGAGCGGACGCATAGGATTGGAAGAGTAACATCTAATCGGTAAATGCAGCTGAGGTGATGATTTTTGGGTCGTTGTTGGGAGGCACGGTGTTCAGGTCTGCGGGAGGCTTCAAAAATCGGAGAGAAATAAGGAGCGAGTCCGAGCGACAGCGATATCGGGAAATGGTTTTGTTGTGACCATGCAGAGGAGATTTCTCTGAGAGCCAGTTTTTGTTTCATTTGGTCAGTGTGATAAAACAACGGCCAGAAAGAAGACTGGAAGACTACAGTGACGATGTGGGCAGCCACAGCGAGATCACAGCAACAACTACAGCAGCAAAGACTTCTACATCTTAGCTGGAAAACACTAGTACTATGATGAGGGAGAGACTGTTCTCCGAAGACAAGCATAGAGCTCAATCAATGATGAAAAGGATTCTCCAGTGTTTTCTGTCCTGTCCACGGTCAGCAGTAAAAAACCACAAAAGGCAGAAGAGGGGAAAGGAGCAGTCGACAACAATAGAGGGCCCGGCCATATGAACAGAGTTGTAAAGGTGTCTGTGCAGACAAAGACGCACAAAAAATGAGGAAGGGATGGCACTCCGCGTTCAACCCGCCTTGCAAGTGTTGCAGTCATTTGAAAGCGGGCGCTGCTCAAGAGGACTTTGATAATCTTGCAAGGCCCCTCAGTTGTCTTACCTTGCAACTTTTACTTGGAGAAGAGGAAGAAGAAAGGAAGGGAGGAGGGCGAGGGAGGAGAGGTCTTATATAGACTTGGGAAGTGGGCTGACTAGGGCGGATCGATTTGAGGTGTGCTGCTGCTGGATCAGAGCGTAGTGAACGATCGGGGCAATTGAGCGTCGTGACTGGCTGGGCCGTCGGCGATTGAGTCTGATCTGCGAGTGAAGTGATCCCACTGGCTGTGATCTGAATTGATCTGATCAGTGAATGAAAGCGAGCGGAACATCGGTGGCTAGTTCGGGGAGTGAATAGAGGATCTGGAAAGTGAATACTGCAGGCACCTGCGAATTCGAGCAATCAGCATGTGTTGAGTCTTAAACTATGGAACTGGTATGGGGCCTGGCAAGAAAAACTTGAAGGACATCTGATATTGAATACTCCGCAAGGCTGAAACACATATCGCGTTGACTGGCTGACCAAAACCAGTTCGGCCCACCCCGCAAAAAGCTAATCTGGAATGCAGGCCATGGATCAGCCACCATCTCGATCGACCAACGCGACTACTCCACCCCCCATTGAATCCCTCAGGTTGTCAATGCATCGAGTTGTAGTTGCAGAGAGCTCGCCGGCCCATCTCTGTAATGAGCCAATCCCATACCCTTGAAGTTCGAGTATCATCAGTCATCTCATTCATCCGAAGACAAAGATGCAAGAAGTCAGTTCGCCAGATGCGAAACAGCCATGAAACATTCCGTAGATTGAGTAGAGCATGCTATGAGTCTCGGAGGTCATGAGGGCGATTGGCGAAACAAACCGTTTGTGGGTTGGCTATCGTCTTGGTGGAGTAAGCAGGCAACTGGAAGGCAGTCATTCATCATAGCGACATCGGAAATCGGTAACTCAGGAGACACAAGCTTCAAAAGCTTTCTGAATTGTAGTAGCCTAGATTGTGAGTTGTTCGAGGATGCATGTGAGTCCGCTTTGTACAGTCCGAGGCCACCAAACAGTAAGGTCATCACCGCCATCTCACCACAGTCATCACAAAGAAGGAGTAATACTGCAATCTCTGGCGTGAATACAAGAGGCAGCGAGCACTTGAAATATTGCGAGATAAGGAGATAATGTTTGTCCGATTCCAAATCATGGATTAAAAAGTACGGCTGGTCCACAGAAACTCCTATCGTCATCAGTTTTGGTCATTCAGCAGCATTCCACTCGACTCAAAGTAGCCCAAGGACATCATAATAAGATAACACATTTTGTACAAACCAGGAAGCCACCGATGGTTGGTTCTCTCTCACACCCAAATGCTCTGCCCTCCACTCGTAACGTTAAACTCGCAGCCTAGACCTGCCTCTTCTGACAGGACGCGGCATTGTCCGACAATGACATCGCCAGGATCAGGCCCATCCATTAATGTGTCCTTGACATGTATAATGTGTATCGTCAGGCCTTTTAGAGGCTCATTGAGCTTCTCTTTTGGTACGATTGCAAGGGTCGACACTACAGTTCCCACTGCAGTATTGAGACTGGGACCCCCTGGCAGTGCCGGTGGCTGAAATTGTACAGACCGGCCTCGGCCACCAACTGGTGTAGCTGGTATTGGCGGCGGAGCAGCGATGGTGTCAGAGCCATTCCGAGGGTGCGATGTCTTCCTCCTCGAAGATGAAACAGCCCGGTTGCCGACATAGCCACTCGGTAGAGGCTGTGAGGGTGACGGTGCTGTGTCAAAGTGCGTAGGTGCAAGCTCTGGCGTAGTCTGCAAATCCCCGTTGACGGCAGCTCTTTTACGTTTGCGTTTCAACTCGCTGGGCGTAGGTGGTTGACGCATAGTCATAGAGGGAGACGTCGACGCGTCAAGCAGCTTGGTATGACTCTGTCCGTCTGTCCAAGGGTCATTTGGAGAGGATGCTTGCTCGATATTGAGTTGTTTGCGCCTGTGCACAACGCAATGGGCGAGGAAACTCAACTCGGCAATTAGATGCCTTGGACAGAGATGGCCATACAGGTCTTCGTTGCGTACACTGTCATCATATGAACATTCAATAAAGATCGCTTTGAGGCTGCCACTTGCGATTTTGCCAGCTGCGTCGTCCCAAACGATATGATTTCGTGGCGACAGGCTCACGCTGTCAGGTTCGATATCGCCAAAAATCAGTAATTCGTTCCCGGTCGCATCGTTTCGGATAAAGAATGCAGAGCTAGAAACGGGTTCGAACATCGGGTCGAAATGGGCCTGTGGTGCCCCTGAGATACCAGGAGTCATTGGTGCAGGTTGGTTCTGCGAGGGTCCTTGTTGTTGCGCAACAGCTGCAAAATACCCGTGGTCATCCGATATCCGCGAAAGTCTCCTAGAGGGGAAGTTGTAGTCTGACTGGTTCCAGCCAAATGAATCGGAATGCTGATGAGATACACTATGGGCTCGCCTGTGGCACCGGCCATGACTCACACTCCAGCATTTTGTTGCAAGACCATCACAAACATTGACATAACCTCGTGAATCGCCAGACCCTAGTCTCGGGTTTCCGCCTTCGATCAATCTTCGGTATGTGACGAATCCAACGCCGTGGCCCTCGTCAGACAAGTTTGGCCAGAGCCAGTCATTGAAGATATGGTTCTTGATGGCCTCGATAGTGGATGGTAGAGCTACAATGGCTTTTGCTTCCCGACCGTATTCCAAGGCGGGCGTATTGATTGCCATTGCAGAGAGATGATCTAGATGAGGATGAGTGATGAGAAAGGCGTGCAGGATGTCCCGGAAGATGTACAAGGCGTTTGCTTTTGCAGAGATGCATGGGAAATTTATGCCGGCGAAGGGACCATGCTCCAGGAGCTGAGAGTAGCCCTTAGGTGGTATCTTTTCAGAGGTAGGCGGCATTTCTCGCTCGAGGATGTGTATGATTGTTGCCAGATGAGCGCCAGCATCAACCGCGATCATTGAACTTTTGCGCCATTCTGTCTGGGAAGCTCTCACGAGCATGCCAGTGACGGTGTCTTCGCGTGGGCCGCCAGAAGATCCCTAGGGAACAAGATATCAGCCCGCGACTCGATAATGGCCAAGCGATTCAATACTACATCGAAAATGAGACGATTGCATACCGAGAAGCGACAAGCCAGAAACGACACCGCAGCCACACGCAGATGGACCAACATGGAGCGACAAATTCAACGTACCAGGACTATGACTTGGAAAGAGGCACCCTCCTTCTCTCCATGAACACGAAGCTCTGGGGGAGCACCGCGGCGAGCATGATGCTCTCTCATGGATGAGGATGCACGTTGCACTCTTGCACGTGCTCGAGATCTGTCGGATTGTGATTGTGTCTGTTCGACTAGTTTTCAATGCTCTTTGTCTTCCTGCGGAACGTTGCACAATCGAGATGTTTGTATCCTTAAACCACTGTTTCACTTGTTTACAATCGACAATGGACTCGGATGCTTAGCACGGGTAGCTGCTGAGAGGGGATGAAGGGGCCGGTGTCGTTCTAGAATGCACCAAGTATGGTTTAAGCGTTTGGCTATGCGTGGTCTGTACGGACAGGAGGGAACAATTGGTCAAGGCTTGAGGTCAGGGAGGAAGGTTTGGTGGTTGCGTAGGGATGTTGGTGCTCGGAGTAACAATATTGGGGTTTACGGAGAGGGGGACGACGACGACGATGTCATTGCAAATGAGAGGTCCAAGAGGGAGAAGGACGTGTCAATAACAATGAACGGAGGAGGCGTAAGTCGGCTTGGGGTCATAATATGCAAGGTAATGCAAGCTTTGGAACTGAGTTCGTGGATTGCGGGTGACATGGAAGTCGCTACCAAATGGTACAAGGTCAATCAATGTACATACCCCATATGGCGAATGGCACTGCATTCTTCACGTTCAACTACGAATTACATGGCTCAGCTTATATGGAGATCATATAGATATTTAATATGGGCCGTCATTAATATTGGCTCTTATGGCTAGTTCTTGTCACAAGCAAATCTCACTGCTTTAAGTTGTTTGGAACCATTCACTATACAAGTCTGTCGATCAAGGTCGCTTAAGAGACGTGGGCTGATGATATTTGTCGGGCCTGCAGGATGGCTGGCAGCCTGGCAGGTAGAGCCGAGGGCTGTTTCTTCCGAAACTTGAACTTGAATCACAGGCGTTGAGCTCCACCATGCTGATGTAAGTTGGATTATCACTTAACGTCCAATCCTGCGCTTCAATATTCTCCTGGTTCATAGCGATAATGATGATTTTGAGCTCTGGGTGCTAAGTTTTCTGTTCTACTCCGATCTGAGAGATGCAAGGAGCTTAGGCTCGTCCAAATTGGTGCTGTTTTGATGGATCTGTGGAAATTCAATGGTCGTGAGGGAAGCCCTGACGCATTCTGTGAATATAAATGTCGAAACTCAAGACAGGCAGACCGGGGCCTCCCAAACGTTCAACCATTCAAACATTCAACCCGCAACCACAAGAAAGTCTAGCAAACGGCGAGGAAACGACATGCACGTCTCGGTAGCATTCAATCATTTTGCCTCTTGCACGGTAATACTTAGTACCAAGTACTAGGGCGTGGAGATTCACTGGATCGAACCTTCGAAACAGACAAGTCAAACCATAAAATCCCCATCGGTGATCGTAAAGTGCTGTACTGTACTGTGCATTTCATTTCAAACTAATGGGTATCTCATGAGGTATGGCTAGGTCCCGCCGCCTCGCTAACAGCAGCATCATACGTAGGAATAGGAGGCTGGCCTGCTCGATCGTCCAGCAGCCCTCTCCGCTCTTCATCATCACCTCCACCACTACTTCGTCGACTGCTTGGAGGACTGCTATATTCTGGTGGGGGTATAATCTGTTGACCTTGTGGTGTATTCTCCACTGGTTGATGTTGGATATCCCCCGCTTCCATGTTGCCCTGGCTTGGTAGATCCTGTGTGGATATATGGGCCAATTGCGCCAACGATATGTCGGTAGGTGATCGAATAGGCCCTGGACTACTGCCAGGGAATCCTGTGATCCGAGCGAGACCACTTCGTGTTCTTGAATGGCCTGGCTCATATGCCGACTGCCTGGCGCCTTCCCTCCCCGTCTCAAGAAGTATGCTACCTTGCTCACTGCCATACGGAGGAGGCGGCGCAAGACTTCCAGTCATAGGGGCCAGACCCCATTTCTTGACATTGGCTTCGATGAAAACAAATCCCATCTGACCAAAGTTGACATGCACCGTGCAGGGGCCATTGGCGCCAATCGTGGGGAAGAAGTTCTGACTCTTCAGATTGTGTGCGATCTCATCCAATTTCTTCCCATTTCTGGTGAAGAAGATGCTCCCAGTTCTCGGACGGTAGCCTACTCCAATCACGTCGCCTTGCACATAGGCCGGCCCGTAAAGTGTCGGAGTGAATGGCTGGTTATACCTGCGATGTCCTGAAGAAACATATGCGACAGAGGTCTTATGGTAGCCTAGGGATGTCAGTCAGAAGGTTACATTTGGTGAATTGACAACTTACCAGGTAGTCGGAACAGAGGATATGGTTTTGTAGTCATCCCAATGCTGATCAGACTGGACTCGGGTTTATCATATATCTTAGCCTCCCAATAATACACCTCATTTTGTTTTGGAACTGGCAGATTGCTTTGAACGCTACACTCGGAATCAAAAAACTCAATTTCGGTCCTGGCCTCAACAAAGCAATTGGCGATTTCGAGCTCGGGTTCAAATTCCCAAGCTGAGACACCTTTCTCTTGGATGGCAAGAAACTGCGATAGGGATATATCGGTCTGTACAGATTCGGGAGGATTCGCCTGAGTGAATGCTGAAATACTTGTTAGCCTTACCGCGCAACGCAGATGGAGATTGAACAACTCAAACCTTTGGCTCTGAGATACTCAGTCCTTTGCAACTCATCCATCGACTCCAACGCTTCCGCTTCTTCGTGCGCAAAAGCTTGTTCATCGTCAAATTCGCCAGGACGGCCTATCCGATCCAGCAGAATGCGACCTCGACTCGTATATTTAAAGAAAAAGAAGATGGCAAGGACCAGAACTGCAACGCCAGCTGAACCAAAAGCAGACAATATACCGATAAGAAACCCGCGACTCGTCGACCCGCCATCGTTGATGTTTATAACGATTGACGTCTGTGTCCCATCTGGAAGAGGCCGGTATCGACCTCCCTGCCAGCCAGGATGGTTGCCATGGAAGGAAGGCATTGATGTTGAATAGGAGGAATGTGGTGTGTATCCTCTTGGAGGTCGGATGGAGGTATCGAAAGTCATCGCATGTCGCTCATGTTGGATTTGGTCAGCACCGGGCTGCATCGCTCACAGTATGTGGACTTTGGACAAAGGCGGAAGCGTGGATGAATCGGATGGTGGCGAAGTGGTGATGCACTCGCAGGTAGTATCGAGAAATGGCGCAGGCGGGGTTGGGCCAACCAAGAACGGTGTACGCAGGAGTGGTAGGAATGTCCAGCAATCAAAAAGGATGTTTAAAATCAAAGACAATCAAGTTGTATGCCTCCTTGGAAACGACAATAGGCACAATGCCACCATTTTTGACCTGGGAAGGCGGATTGCAGTGGTGGTAAAGATGGATTGATAGCTAGGTGAGGAATTGATGGGATTGCCCTCTCCAGGTTAAGGGTTTGGGAGATTCAGCACGGCAATGCTGTAGGCGAGACAGTGTGAGAGGAAGCCGGATTGAGGGTGCTGAAACAGTTTGATGGGTGTCAAGCCACAGCCTGTAGGCACTTGACGAGACTTGGTGAGGGCCTAGAAGCCTTCCATCCAGGGACGAAATTAGGTGAGAAACGATACTAATGGGGGCGAGGTTGACTGCTCGAACTCTGGGGGAACCAGCCGCAGCAGTGCAGCAGCAACTTGAACCTGAATGACCAGTCATTTCTCCGTGGCGACAAGCGGCACGACGGCTTGACACGCCGTCATCACCCTGAACGACATCAGCCACTGACGACTCACGCCAAGACTCGCGTTGGCCCTTGATTCCGTCCAGCTGGCGACGCTGCAGGCAGGCTTGTCAAAGTAAGTTTGTATCACGAGTACGAGGAGATCATGTCAGGAGCATAAAGGGAGTAAGTAACCTCGTACTCGTATGATGGCTGCGCAACGTCAATCGTGAATTTTCTGGAGTCGAGAGGTTGAACCAGTCACCACATTTAATGTATCATGGTGCTACCTCTTGACTGACCCGCCCGCTTCTCATGTCGGATCCAGTGCGAACCGAGAGTACGGAGCTTGAAGTGGGAATTCCAATCAACATATCTTTACACGTTTCCCATATGAGAAGACTGTCCCTTATAGCTTGCTGCCTTTCTTAGATACTCTCCATCCGCTCAGGTTACTGCCTCCATCAATCTCAAGCACATTGCCAGTCATGTGAGCACCCCCGGAGCTGCTGAGGAAGAGAATCAATCCAGCGAAATCTGAAGGTTTACCAACTCGTCCGGTGGGTTGTCTCTCCAATATCGTGTCTATGAATTTGTCAATCCCGAAAGCAGTCATTCGGGAGGGGAAGACACCACTGGATACCATTAGCATTAGGTTCTTTTTACTTGCGTCCGCCGATTGGATACTCACGGGCAAACACAATTCACCATGATATTCAAGGGGGCGAGCTTGGATGCCTGGATCTTGCTCAAATGAATGCAGGCTGCCTTAGAAGGCCCATCTACAGTCGACACTGTTAGCGTCCACACTCTTGTTGTTCATTGATGCAAACATACAGCTGAACGTTCCATGTCCTGGGGCTGCAAGCCCGCCATCGTCACCCGTCGTGACATCTGCTGTTGAGATACCAGCCATCGATGCAATGTTGATGACCCGAGAGGGTTTATCAGCATTGGTGCCATTCAACAGCAATGGCTGTAATCCCTGAGTCGTGTAGAAGATGGACTTGACGTTCAATGCCATGAGCTTGTCCCAACCACTTTCGGGGAAATCATCGTATGGGGCGCCCCACGTCACGCCAGTATTGTTGATCAGGACTGTCAACCGGTCTGTTCGCTTTTTCACCTCTTTGACCAGATGATCAGTACCGGCTTTGTCCTTGAGGTCAGCAACGATGTACTCGGCCTTGCCTGGGCCAATTTTGTTCAAACGATCCGAAGTCTTTTTCAATTCGGATTCCTTTCGGCTCGCAATGATGACTCTAGCTCCGTTTTGAACAAATCCTTGGGCGGCCATCTCGCCCAGGCCAGTTGCTCCGCCGGTGACCAGGACAACATAGTCACGGAAGTCGAAAAGTGACGATACGCGGAGATCGGATTCTGAAGTCATGATGGCTTTTCCGAATAACAGCTCTGATTTTCAAATTCGTCTGGAAATTCTAGTGGTCAAACTGTTCAAGTGTTCTTTAAGAAGCTATCTTAATGAGACGCATCTAAAACAAATCATAACCGCGGGTAATTGCTGACTAGGGTCAGCAGTAATCATTCCTCTGGAGATTCGGACGGTGATTGAATTTGGGAACCTCGGCTGGATCGAATCTGGTAGCCGGTCCACTTCTCCACTGTTCATCCCCAACTCGAGTACATACTCCATAGTACGAATCGTTGGTGATTGTTTCCGGGGCTTTCCCTTTCTAAGGACTCCCCAATAATGAACGACTACTTTGTGATTGCTCTTCCCTGTTATTGTGAATCTGATGGTCAGATAGGCTTGAGACACCCAGATACAAAAGAACGTGTTGGTTGTACTTTCAAATCTCTCAATCTAAGTACGTAAGTAGCACTGAGGGCCTTGGTGTGGCAGTGAACTTGAGGTTGAAATGGCATTCAGAGGTTATCAGGTAGATGCAAGAGATGAGCAATACCTGCTTCGTACTGTTTCTTTGATCAATGTTCAGTTAGGTACCTACCTAGGTAGGTATCCATGATATGTTCACAGTCGAAAGTGAGTGAAGAGTAGTGGGGAGCACTCACACCGATGCCACAGTCCACAAGTGAGCGGAGACATGGTACACCGTACAACGCCAAGACTGCACCCGGGCTCTGCCTGATCTCATGTTGAACTTGACAACACGCAACCTTGGAACCATTTCACGATGCACCACATGCCATGGCAGATGAAAGATTCCCATGCACTGCTCACGGCAATGTCTCTCAAACGCAAGATTGATCAGGCCAACAATCTTTCATCCTGATTCAATTGATGTTTTAGGTTTGACCATATTCGACAATTGGCGAGTCACGCAATACGTTCGAGTGGTACGGCTCATACCACACCAAGCGAAAAGTGTTGTGACTCATCCACCTGGTCCGGTGTTCACGGCGACTACCTCCACGCCACCCAGTCGATGACTCTCACACCACGTAGCCTTGTTGTGCCTGCTCCTATCTCCCGACGCAGTCATACCCAACTCTTGTCATACTACCTACTCATACGGCGATCAATTATCGCCCAGGGTCCTCACGCCTTGTCTCATGTGACTCAACGTTGCCTATTCCTCTGCCCTTTGTTCAAGACTCATTCCTAGCCAGTATAAGATTTATACCTCACTCCCCTCGTAGCATTCCCGTTTTCTCCCCCCTTCCATGGTACTTCCATCCTAAGCTGGCACTCACTTGACTTTCCAACAGCGCATACACTGCATCTCACCCTCACCCTACACAAAGCACAAAGACATCTTTTCCTTCAGTCATGGCGCATAAACACAATCGAAGAAGGGTTCGCCCAAGAGGCCGCAACCACACAACACTTGTTTTAAATTACGACATATCAGGCAGTCCGTCGCCGACCTTCAATTCTGTCGCTCCTTATCCCTCCTCCAACGGTTCAACTTCAAGTCGAAAACAAACTCCTTCACCTTCATTTCGCGGTCCTTCCAACACAGGCCTTGCCTTTAAGCAGTGGCATACACGCAATACAGCCTGGCAAACCCGCGACTTGGCACAAAGAAAGGAAGCTGTCAAAATCGAGGCCGAGCAAATCAAACTCTTCGGTGGTGAACCAGGCGATGACATAGCGCTCTGCTATAAGATGATGGAAGTCTTTGAAGGAATGAATTGGATTGACTCACTTGAGTGAACGAGTCGGCGGTATAACTTTCACGACCTAAAGCCCGAGGGCTGGCGTTATTTTGAGAATCTGATCAACGATCACCAAGAAGGAAAGAACATGAACTTTTCGACTCAACGGGAGCGGAATTAGCTCAAGCTTCGACTCGTAGCAATGAAGGCATCCTCTCCATGGATGACCGGATTGGTCCAACAATGCTTGACCCGTCACTGCTGAGGAAGATGGAACGATTTGGCAAGCGGTGATTGGTGCTCGCGCATTCTTACTGAGAAGAAGTGTCTTTCTGGGCACGGCGCTTTGAGCTCATTATTGTGAGACAAGACATTCGCGAAAAGGGATATTGAAATCTCCTCGACCTGTTATGTAGCTAGGAATACATCACTACTCCATTTTTACATTCTTCCTGCTGGTAGAACCATGTCTGGTTGGATTTGCCATGGCTCTTGATGATTGAGGCAGCCTTGCCTGTCAAAGTGTTGACCCAGACCAGGAAAAGAATAGCGCTTCACGCGGAAGTCTTGTGGCGTCGACGCCACAGACACTCCAAGGCTGTCCTCCTGCATCTGCCAAGTTTTGAAGACGAAATGCTTGACTCGATGCTTGTTTCTTCGATTCTTCAAACAGAACATCCTCCCATGTTCGCACCCACCCAACAATCTGACATCAGCCAAAGCATTCCATTAGATATGACCTCAATACCCCTCCAATCTATCTGATCTCATGGAATATATTGTGATATGACTTCCCATCCACAGATCAAAGTTGACCATCACAACAGGACACGAGAGGTGACGCGGAAGCGGGGTGCCAAGAGCACTCACTAGCCACAATAACGTCACTCCACTTCGTTAGTCCCAAGCTAGGATTTCCAGGTTTGATTTCGTGGAGTCGCAAAACGGTGATCTTCGACTCAACCGTCCAATCCAGGAGATTTCTGATACCGTTTCCAGCCAAAAGAGGAGGACGAAACGGCTAAGAAACCCGTGTAACATGCAGAAAACAAGGCATGGGATTCCTCTGGTCCCCACACTAATATCATGCACTTCCATAAACTTTGCGTCATGGCAAACTGCCAGCCGCCCGTCGAAAATGGAAGATTAAAGGGACGGATATGTACGAGGAGAGTCGCGTTTGTTTTCTTTTCCTGTCGCTGTGTTCTTCTCCCCATCCACTATCCTTACCCAAGTACTAGGTAGGACGTGGTTGCAGGTACTCGAGATTCGTACCTTGCCTTCCGTATTCTTTCTCCATCTCTACCATCTCGCCTACCTCAACTACCCTCATTATGGGTCTCTTTACTAGGAGAAGTCGTGCTCCCGCGACAAACGGCCACAGTCATCGAGTTGAAAAGCGTCAAGCTCGTCAAGATAGAGGTACTAGACGACCACTTTTTGACATGGACTCCGGCCACTTCAATCGACGACCGAGTTTCGGTCAATGGTAAGCCATTCTACCACCCAAACTCCACTCCATGTCCCTACTAATTGCCTCTCAAGGCTGAAGTTCACGTGGCTTGACTTGGTCACCATGGCTGTTATGGGTGCAATTGGACTGGGTGTCTACATGGCAGACCCGGCCCCAAGCCGCTCCTTTCCCGTCACCTTCATCGACGGAGAGATTGTCTACCCTCAATTCGCCTATCCACTCCGGAAGGAAATCATTCCCATCTGGGCAGCCGCTCTTTTGGCAGCACTCGTCCCTATCTTCGTTTTCTTGGTTATGCAGATCCGCATTCGCTCCTTCTGGGATGTCAATAACGCCGTCATTGGCCTTCTGTACTCTTTGATCGGCGCAGCTGTCTTTCAAGTCTTTGTCAAATGGCTCATTGGTGGCTTACGCCCACATTTCCTGTCCGTTTGTGACCCCGATCCAGCAATGATCCAAGCACAAGGCGGTAAAGGCTTCCAAGGATTGATGTTCCAGCGCGATATCTGCCGTGGAGATAAGAATCAAATCAACGACTCACTTGAGTCTATGCCCTCAGGACACAGTACAGCCGCGTGGGCGGGTTTTCTGTACCTGTACTTCTACCTCAATGCCAAGATGAAGGTCTTCAGCAACCACCACCCAGCCTTCTGGAAGTTGATCGCCCTGTACGCTCCACTTCTCGGAGCAACTCTGATTACTGGTGCCCTGACCATCGATGAGTTTCACAATTGGTACGACTGTGTTGCCGGTGCACTGATCGGTTCCGTATTCGCCATCTCCAGCTACAGAATGGTCTACGCCTCTGTCTGGGATTTTCGATTCAACCACATTCCGCTCACTCGGCATACACCATTCTCCTACGGCGCTGGCGCTGCAGGTGCAGGCGGTTTCGAGAGTTCGGTTTTCACACGCAAGGCAGGGTGGGGTTATGAAGAGGCATATGGTGGTGCACCCTTCGATGCAGCACATGGCCTTCGAGGAACTGCCAGTGGTTTCAACACTGGTGCTGCTGGTGTCGCACCGCACTCAGATGGTACTCATCACAGCCACCTGGGACATCGAAATAATGATGTCGAACACAACGCTGCATTGCCACAAACAAATGGTCACCATCACCACACTGGTAGCAATGGATATAATCAACCTCCACTGCCGCCTCATAACGATGGTTATGTCAGCAACCCGGCACCAGTCGCTGGAACAGATCCTCGATATTCGCATCACCGCAAGAGTATGGAACGCAAGGCCATTCCAACCTGATTGACGTCTCTGATGATAGGTCTGAAATTATTCGTTGTTCAGCCTGTTCTTCACCTCAAATTGTGTAATACTAAGCATCGATTTCACGTGATTAATCAAGATATCCAATACAATGTATTCTTCAGAGACGGCGCAAGCATGGGCATGACAGATTGACAATCGGGATTTGCGTTGGTGGAAGACTGAGACCTAAATAGGAATGACGATGATATGTTCACAAATAAATTCAACTAATGCTTGAGAACTGAGATGCTACCTTGCCTTGATCCTTCTTTCGCTATTGTTCCTTCTCCGTAAACCTACGGGCTCCTTTAAGTTTGGAGCGATTCATACACGCTTGCTACACGCATGATACGCACTCTCCTCGCCCTAATGGTGAAATGGACTGAGACAAAGCCCAAAGTGAATGAACACACTTGACTACAAGTCTGCTAACAATGCCCAGCACCAAACTCACCACCTGGCTATCGTCTCCCCGTCCCCCTTTCCCTCCCATGGCCAAAGCCCATCCTAAACTCCCGAAACCCCCTCAACGACTGAATGCGCCTCAACCTCCTGGCACCATAGATCGAAAACAAGGTGCTGAGAACAACACAACCCGCCGTAATGACAGGGAACCCCCAAGGCGCCTCCTCGAGGTAATTGACGAGATTCATACCAAAGAGGCCCGCGACAAGCGTCCCCGCCGCCAGGCCCAGGGTATGGATGGCGATCCGCGCCTCGAGAAACATGATCTGATTGCGCTGCACGGCCAGGCTGGAGCGGAAAGTATTCTCCTTGCGACGCACGACGTCGATGACACTACCGGCCGACTCGGCTAGCGCGTCCGCCGCCTTATGGTACGCCTCGAGCATGTACTCGGCCTCCTGGTGGTCGGCGATGTCGTGGGGCTTCCCCGCGAGACTGTCGGTCAAATACATGGCGGCGAGGTCTTCATCGGTGTCGAGGACCTCGCGGATCGTTTCGCGCACCAGGCGCGCCTTGGACTCGATCTTGGCGAGGCGCCGCGAGTGTTCGAAGATGCGGTCGAGCTCGGCGGCGGCGAGGCCGGACTCGAGGTTCAGCCGGTCCGCGCTGGCGACGGCATCGTCGCGCGCCGCGAGCAGCTCTTCGCGCAGGATCGACAGCACCGCCACCAGCGCGGCTTCCACGGCGCGCAGCTCGTACGGCAGCGGCGGCACGTCGGCGGCTTCGTCCAACCCCGACAGCCGCTTCTCGAAGTCGTGGTCCAGTGCGGCTGTCCCGGACGTGTTGCGCACGGGATTCACCAGCAGCGCTTCGTCCGCTTGGATGATCATGCACAGGTCGAAGAACTGCAGGAGTAGAGTTTTCGGTCGCACTAGGATCCGCGTGATGCCCTCGGAGCGTAGATCGATGTCTCGTAAGTCCCGATAGCGCAGGTCGAATTGCTCGGCGATCTGCGTTTTCGTGAGTTCCTTGTGTCCAGAGGTCAGTGTGCCATTTTGGTCGAACAGTGCGCATGCGATCTTGTTGTTGTTCGCGTGCCGTTTGGGGTCCGCCGCTGCGTCGAGCGCGGGGTCTTCCAGGAGCTGTTCATGGTCTTGGTGGGAGAATCGGAGATTGAGGTGTCTTGCTGTGGAGAAGAGTGATTTCTGATGTTCACATTTTGTAATGGAAGTGCAAACGATTGAAGTCTGTATTCTGGTGCTGCTCTGGTATGCCAAACTGAAGGGTGAGGAAGTTGGAACTCGGCGACAGACGCTTGCCGCACCAAACAGGGACGGCGTGCTCAACGTCCTTCCTTTGCCGAAGCTGAAGAGCTGCACAATTGCAGCGCTCTTAGTCATGGTCACTGCTTCATTTTGCTCTCTCACAATTAGCGGGTTACTGGTTATGGTGGATCAGTATATCAAAATGTCAGTCGAAGAAGCCTCGGAGCTGGAGCGTGCTTAGCTTCTAGTTTGGTTGGGTGGGTTTGGTGAGACGTCATTGGTCTTGAGGCTGAGGCTGAGGCTGCACTGCGAAGCCATCAGGGTTGGATGACCCCCTGGAAATCAAGCTCGACATTTCTCGTTCACATGAGATCAAACCTATTTTAAAAAACATCATTATGCCCAAGAACATTTTGAGTTGACATCCAATCATTAAGGGGTATCTAAGCTATGAATATGTATGTGACCCATGGTGAATTCGTTACTCTCCGTTCCTAGCCCTGTATTTTATATGCATATTCCGAATGAAAACCGGGTGTTGCTCCATGCCAGTAGCTTGATACAGCATTCTTCATATCGGTCTTCAACCAGAAGATCTGTCTATCCTGGCCGGTCTAATCGAAATAGTCCCACGCCATGTCGAACGAGTATGACGAAAACGCAAGTTTGGCTCCCACAAGAATAAGTTTGTGGAAAACTCAGCGTGAACTTCTTCGTTGACTGGCAAACTTTGCAATGTTATCCTTCATTTTGGGAACCAGCTCAGGTATGCGGAATGGCTTGCTGACGACATCATCTATCCCACTCTTCAATGTCATCTCTATCTGCTCCGCCCGCGCATTGGCAGTGACGGCGATGACGGGGATATGGGCAATCAGTTCTCCATTGTTCTGCATTTCTCGAAGTGTTCTCGCACATGTCTGTCCATCCATGACTGGCATTTCCAAATCCATGAGAACAACATCAATGTCCATACCATCGTTGACTCGGTCGCGACTAAACTTCGAAAGTCGAATTTGATCTATTGCTTCACCTCCATGGTTAGCCACGTAAACAACGCAACCAATCTTGCGAAGTTGAGCAGCGAGGACTTTTTGATTGATGAGATTGTCCTCTACTACAAGGACATGAAGTGGCTCGGGTTGATCGATCATGGCTTTGACGGATTTGGTAGATCCTGTTGGTGATAGAAACCTTGAAGCAGCATTGTTCACTTTGGAATTGGTCCTGACAAGCTCAGACGTCTTTGAAGACTTCCGGCTCACAGGGGTCAGAGAAGTTGAATCTTCGTTAGCTTCTCCGCGAGGATCTGTAGATCTTCGAGCTTTCACATAAAATGCAAAGATGCTACCCTTTTCACTTTCGGATGCAACACCGATCTCACCACCTTGTAGTTCAACCAGTTCCCTTGAGATGAAGAGTCCGAGACCAGAGCCACCATATGTGACGTGAGTGCGAGGACTGGCTTGAGAGAAGCGTTGGAATAGCTGCTTCTTTTCAAGATCATCCAAACCCCTTCCAGTATCCTGAACCGCGAAATGGAGGTAGACGTGTTCACCGGGACCCCATTCAGCGCCGGCGGTGATGTCATTGTTCTTGGATGATGATCGCGACGGGATGTAAGTTAACCTCCACTTGTCTTCTTTTGACGGCTTGTCCTCGGAAGCTGCGATGTGCATCCGTATTATTCGCGTTTCTTGGGTAGTTGTGAATTTTATTGCGTTTGTCATCAAATTAATGAGGACTTGTGACAACCGGTGAGGGTCCAATCGGACCCAGCCGATATTTAAAGCAGACAGTGATGTATCGTACTCCAATTCAAAAGTGATATCAGCAGTCTTTAGCTCAGCGTCAAACATCTTGAGTACCTTGTGAACAACAGCGATAGGGTCGGTGTCAACGGGGGTGACAGCCATCATTGCTGAGTCGAGTTTCGAAAGTGTAAGAACATCATCCACGATTCTCTTCTGATGTTGGCCGCAGAGGGTGATCGTTTGTGCTGAGTCTATTGTAAGGTCAATGATGTCCTTTTGGCTGTCGGTAAGACCAGCTAGCATCCGGAGCTCTGCCAATGAAGCTGTGATTGAGTCTGCGCTTTGTAGTATAGCCGATAAAGGATTTCGCATTTCGTGCGAGGTGGTATCAATATAGCGTTCCTGCTGTCGTTTAAGTTCGACAGCTTCTTCCATTCTCTTCGTTTGCAGATTTTCGGCGAACTTCTGGACACTAATGTCCGTCATTGAGCCAAAGATTCGCTCGAGAATACCATCATCATTGCGTTCTGGAGAGATGCTCGTAAGGACCCATGTGGGGCCCCTGTTACCAAGTTTGTCGCTCCACGGAGTCTTAAAACGGAATTCCATAGACACTGGCCGTCTTTTCAGTAACATCGTATTCCACATATCCTTCACTTTTGGTTGGTCTTCTTCTACGATGTAGTTAATCCACTCATCACGAACTTGAACATCTCGAGGATAGGAAGAAATATCGTACCAAGCGTCGTTGACGAATGTGATCTTGCCGTCAATATTGGCGATGAACATACCGACTGGTGCTAGTTCTGCCATCCTTGTGAATTTGTTTTCTGCTTCGACTGCCTGTTGAGTCCTAGCGACTAATTGATTGTTGAGTTCAATGCGATCTTGAGCGGCCAACTGAGCAGCTCGCTCGCCCTTCCGGATCTCCTCCTCGAATAGAACGACGGAAGCAACTGAGGTAGCCAACTGTCGACCCAACAATTGAATGAAGAGATCGTAGTCTTCATCATAAGGTCGACGGGGATTGGTGCCCATAACAAGAAAGCCTAAGGTCGATTCGCCAGTTGTGGGATGTATTGGTGCTATGACAACCACCCGAGAAGGATCTCCAAAGCCGCGCCATTCGATGCCTTCTAGAAGTCTAGCATCAAGTGTGCCATCGTCAACCCTCAGAACAATAGGTCGATCTGTTGTGAGCGCTTGTCTGAACGAAGAGGCAAACCCCTTAGTACTTGTTTTCATGTCTATGATAGAAGGGGCCGCCACGTGGTCTGCCGGAATGCCCAAAGAGCCTTCCAAGTAACAAACTTTGTTCGAGGCAGCACCACTTGAAGCCGATGAACCAGCCTCATTATCTGAAAGATCTTCACTCAAGGAGTAAACCAAAACCATGGGGGCATCGAGCTCGTTGTACTCAAGACCTTCAATGAGTAAACCCCAAAATTGGCTGACCTGGCGAGCGGCGGCTGTTCTTTGGCCGATTTCGCGTAGCGTCAACATGCGGCGTTCTGCAATCTTACGACGGGTCTTCTCAAAAGCAGGATTGTAAAGACCAACTACTGCTCCATTGTCACCAATCAAGGGTATAATAGACCAAGAAAAGTATGTCTCCTCAAGAAAGCCATTGCGAGTCAGGAAAAGGCAATCGTCGTCCTTCATTGTGGCTTGAGCATTTTCGAATGCACCATCAAAGACTTCTTCCAAAGCATGCCAGATTTCGGACCAAGCGTCTCGATACCGACTGCCCATCAACTCAGGGTGCTTCTGTCCTGCTAGCAGTACATAAGCCTCATTGTAGATGGCGATGTGGTCCCTTCCCCAGTACATCGCAGATGGATGTGGACTGGCCATGATCAAATTACACATCCCACGGAGTTCCACGGGCCAATTTTCAATTGGACCCAGACTGGTCATGCCCCAATTTATACTTCTGGCGAATTGCACATGAGGTGGCAAGGACGACGATAGAGGTAGTCTTGTCCAGTCGAAAAATCCTTGCTGATCGAGCCCTTTGACTATGGCCACTTCTCCGTTCAGACTGATGTGCGATGGTAAATTCAACTCTTCTGGCGTAGGGGAAACGCGGCCTGAGATCAAATCCTCGTATTTGACAAACTCATCTGGAGGAGGTGAAGGTTCGGATTCAGGTTGTGGGGACGTACTCGACGTTACTAAACTCTGCATAGTCCGGGGTATCTCTTGAGTCGGTCGAGTAGGAAGATCAAAATAGCTAGGGGAGGCAAAGTCGCCACGGGCAGGAACAACAGAGGAAGAGATTGAGCTTAGACCTTGATACTGTTGCATGCCAGGTCGAATATGTGTCTCGTTGGAAGACAAAGAGGAACTAAGAGGTTGGCGGCCATGGATGACTCGTAGTCGTTTTCGTAATAGCGATGTATGCCAAAGATAGCCACCGAATGGAAATGTAGTAACGATATCTGGATCAGCGAGTGGACTAAGCACCCAATCCTTGAAATCGGCGAATGGGGTTCCAATGTCGAGCAATAGAGTAGAATCCTCAGATCTGCCTTGAACATGGTTCAGTACTGACGATCGAGCCTTGAGCGCATTATTCTCAAAGACCAAGTGTAATCCTGGAGCAGTTGCATTGGCCGGATCGAGAATGTCAACGACAAATGTCGGCCGGTCATCGAACTGTAGATACTCTGCAAGTCCAATCGAGTGCAGCAACTGCAGACCGTGAGGTTTGTGGGGATCTGTGTGTGCCGTCGGCCGTGCTAACACATTTTGCTCCACCCCTTGATGATCTACTTGTGTAGAACTGCGGATTGGTATTGAATCTCGACCAGGAATGGGTATTCTTGAGTTTGCCATGCCGCCCGAACTTGCAACCACTGTCGCTGCAGCCTCAAGCAATGATACGCCGCCCACACCCTTGCCCGCACCTGAGATGTTGTACTGTGATTCTTCAAAATTCCCAGTATTGGCGGCTTGTTCTTGCCGATCTTGTCGACTTTGTTTTTTAGTGTCTAAGCCATGAGGGACTGCGCTCTGACCGGAACCAAACAGACTATGTTTGAGTTGCTTAGGAGCAGGGGGTTGTGAGGAAGGAGAGCCGCAACTTGAAGTCGGAGGACGCTTCAATTGACTGGTAGATTGCTCGGAGGGCGCCACGTCCGGAGGAAGTTCATTCAACGATGTGGTAATCTGGGGTGTCGTACTGTCGATATTCATCAAGAGGGCGCATTCACCAGGATAAGCGCGTGGGATTGATGGTTATGCGACAGATGTCAGTCCCGTGGGAAGAACTTGAAGGAGAATGACGGTGCAGAGGGTGAAAAGCCTGAATCGGACAAGAACTCCGTGCGATAACAAGAGAAAGGGATCTCGAGTCTCTAACTAGCGAGGAATTCACGAGTCTTGGAGAAACACCACTTGGGCGGGGCATCAAGGAGAGTTTGAGCGAGGGTGGTGGAAGCGAACCCAATGCGTGGCTCGTTCCACGAGTGTAGCGTGTATATATGTGTGCGCGTCGTCTTTGTCGTAATTATACTCGATTAGGTACGTCTATCAATGTGTTCTGTACTTGGGTCATGGAGGAATCTGAGGTTTGCGGCTCCAGACTTGTGAGGTAGAAAGTGCCGCAGGGTGGTTTGGCAATACGGACCTTGCGTTGCGCCTTGCCGGGCTCTGCTTGAAATGGCGGCATCCGCCACTGATGTCAAGCCCAGCGACTCCAGGCACGGTTGAGTGGTTCGGAACAACACAAACTAATAAGTACTGGGTAGTTTAGTGGGTTTCCTGAGGACTCTGGCGGCCCAAACGCCTGGGGCTTGGGGTCCACCGCCCAGGGGCCACACCATTTGGATCAGACACCCCAGTGATGGCATTTTTCAATTTCCCCATGCACAGATTGCCGAGCCCGTCCTGTGCAGGCTTAGGTAAGAGATAAGATGGGGGAACGAAGAAGCGATCGCCAGTGTAGAATGCATCACTGCATACTAGATCCTGGGGTAATGATTGTTACTTCGAATATCTCGATAGGACCATATGACCGAGTTCCAGCAGCATGGATTGTGTGTCCAACTTGAAGTTTGCCAGAGCGAAAAAGAGAGTTTGTGCCATCACTGGTACCGAGCACTCTAGTTACCCAGTTAGCCACATGAAGCCCGCCCGCCAATAGTTAGGTAGTAAGTAGATTGGAACCCTTCCGTCCTTTTTGTCCTGGTCCGCGTACCTACCACACAGTAGCAAAGCTGGTGCACATAAATGCTGTGACTACCGACGACAACCTCTCGGGTCTCAATCTAACGAGTCAGTAGGCACCATACTAGCTAGTAATAATAATAATAATGGATTGTAGTATTTGAATAGCATCGCCAAATTGTTCCGGTGTTGCGGGACGATTCTCCAAATTTCAACTCATGCCGACATTACAAAACTATACTCGCTTTTGCAAAAGTCTAGTCTTTTGCGAGGCTCACTCGGTATCGTTATGTAACAGTTACTGAGGCTGTCTCGCCTGACTCGCGAGTCGACTGTGTCATATCGCCCCTAAGACTCAAGAGGGTAGAACAACTTCTGCAAAGTCCACATGATTGAACTCTCCATTATCGCCATTTTCCCTGCTTGTCAATATACCATTCAGGTTCCAGGCTGGCCAAGAACCAACAAATCACCCTGTGCTGATGGAGTTTCCACCAAGTTTACCACGAATCAGAAGTGGTCCTGGGTACCTCCATGGATGTGTCGCGAGACGTGTGTCGAAGGCCAAATCTGATGCCAGGAGATCAGCCTCAACCTCAATTCAAACTTCACCTCAAAAGGCTTATAACAGTCATGCGATTGTTAAGTAGCATCACTAACATCAGATGAATGCTAGATCAAGTCCATGGCTAATGTCTCATGTTCCATTTCTGCACCACCACTTTCGCCGTCAGTGATTGCCGAGATGAGAAAGCACCCAAAAAACAGCCTCCTTGGCAAGGCTAACTGATCCCCTTGCCATTCATCACCACCGCCTGCTAACTGAATCCACATTTGCACACCTCTCGCTTTCTCCACCAGTAACGAGAAATGGTCGACATGACATTCTGAGTCTTGACTCTGACCGTTCATGATAACGTTGCTGTTCCCAATACAGAACGGAGCACGATGCCCTCTGCTTTGTGCATATATCCTCATACCTGCCCCCATCGACTTGAATCCTACAACCAAATCAAAAGATAACGCTCTTGACACTCACTACCTCCATTTAATATGTCTACTTCACTAAGCCATCGTACCTTCGCTCGCTTGGTCTGCAATGAGGGTATCAAAGCAGATCCTCCCCAGATCTATGGTAGATATTTGGCCCGGATTATGCTGGCTGTGCGTTCCCCCTCATCCATGGCTGTGCGACCTAGCAATAATTGACTTATCAACGACAGGTGAGCTTGGGAGCGATCTCAGTTGGTATTCAGTATGCCGTGAAGCGTCTCCAATCCTAATGTACTGTCACTGACCATTCGCAGTGGTCCTATACTGGGCAGCGCAATGGGTACACGCGCTTTTATGAGGTTTGGCTATTCTCATGGCATTCTAAACGCTTTTAGTCTTCTAACACGATACAGCCGCTTCGATAATATGTCTGATAGCATCGGTACGACTGCAGCTCGATTCGCAGACATCACAACTACCTTTCAAATGGCAGTATTTGCGGGTGCACTAATCTCAATACCTATGGCCAACCGCCTTGGTCGTCGACTCGCTTTGCTTTTCGCTGTTGGGATTGTTCTCGTCGGCGATATCATGCAGTGTGCTGCTTGGGGACAGATTGCAGTGATCTATGTTGGAAGGTAAGTTTCAGCACAAACTAAGTGCCAGCTTCGGCAGGGCATGCCTCCCAAAAATCACCAGACTTATTGGCTCTTTCTAAAGGTTCATTACTGGCGTTTCCATGGGAATTTTCTCTTGTGTCATTCCTATATACACAGCAGAGACCTCTCCCCGCACAATAAGAGGCATCCTCATAGGCATTTTCTGTCTCTTCCAACTGGTTGGCGATTGGTTGGGATTCTGGATCGGTTACGGAACACAACTCCATGTGAGCCGCACCTCGGATGCCCAATGGATCATGCCACTCGCGATTCAGATACTTCCTGTCATTCTCTTCGCTCTCAGCATGTACTTCTTACCTGACACACCCCGCTCATTGGCATACCGAGGAAACGAAGATGATGCACGAACGGTCTTAGGAGATATTAGGGGCCTTGAACCAGGACACTCGTATACCAAGAGTGAGCTTCAAGATATCCATCTGCAACTTGGTGTTGACACTGAGCGCACATCATCCTTTGCACTTGCCTTCAAAAACTCCTCCCACCGCCGCCGCTTGATTGTTGGGATTGGCCTAATGATCGCACAAAGCATGTCTGGTTTTTATTCCATCTTCTCTCCCATACAACGATTCTTCTTCAGGAATTATCGTAGCACATACGAAACGGTAATGTACACTACTGTCCTCACTGGTGCTCTCCAGATCGTATTCAGCTTGGGTTTCATGCTCTTCATGATCGACCGTCTTGGAAGACGTCGATCCTTGTTATGGACGATCCCACTGCAAACTTTCTGTCTATTTCTAGTTGGAATCTTGGGGGCCGCCACAAGAAATGTGGAATGGCCCGCGATCGAAGGTGTCTCTTATGGGGCACTGGCATTTGCTTACTGCTGCATCTGCATTTTCCAACTCGGCCTGGGTCCTGTACCAATCATCTACATTTCAGAGATCCCAACCACGCAGTTGAGGGCTTTGACGGTGGGCATCGCTGTCGCTGTGCAATGGTTGTTTTCAATGGCGTTGAGTCGAGCTCTCCCATACATGCTGTTCTATGTCGGAAGAGACGGGAATGGTAAGTTTCAGGAAATCTGGAACCCTCAAGAAGTAGACTGACAGAGAGACACAGGCTTTGGAACCCATTTCATCTTTGGAGGTTGCTGCATAGTTGTCTTTATCTTTGTGTGGTATTTTGTACCCGAAACCAAAGGTGAGTGTCATTGCACCTCTTTCTCGTGATGACCAAAGGTGCTGTACTGACCACGGTGTCTTCAGGTGTTACTCTTGAAAAAATGGATGACCTGTTCAACAGCACTACCGCTAATCATGCAGAGGTTGTTGACGACGCAGATGAGTCCACTAGTATCAGCACAGTATGCAATGTGGAGCTCTCAGGCAAAAATACAAGTGAATGACCAGAACCCCCAAAGTTGGAAAATCGGAGTGAGGCAGCAGGTTGGTTCATAGTGACAATAGTATGGAATTCCATAGCCAGTCAGGTCCGAAATAGCGACGTTATTGTCATGTTTCCTTCCTCGACACCCGTTCTTCCAAGCTGGGGTTCCTGCTGGATGACCAGGCGAATCTGGTCTACTATTGGTAGGGCTTCTTGTGAGTAATGTTTGATTGGTTCTGGACCTTAGTGGGCCGAGGGAGTCTGCATAACCCGCATAGCGACTAAACCCAGGAAGGAAATAGGGACTTGGAAATGTGGCGGTGATGTTCTTCGAGGCTGTGGGCTCCAGGGATTTATCTTGAACATCTTTCCTTTCGTTTCACTTCAACATTCCACAAGTATTCAACTTCGACATCAAGACACTTTTCGGCCTTTTTTTCCTGCTCGCAAACCTCAGCTCTCCAGAATTCGGTGCAATTTACCAGACGTGCATCAACTTGTGTGACAATCATCCCAGCCTTGCTGTTATCCTTACAAGCTTCAGTCCACTGCTGAAGCAATTGAAATGGACAATGTACGACAATATGACCCTCAAAAGCCACGCAGGGCGAAGAACTTGTCAGATGATGAATGGCAACAATACGTGCCACTTGTTGAGGTCTACCGTCAGTACGGTGTTTCTTTGAAGGATATTGTCAAAGTGCTGCAGACAGAGGCCGGATTAACAATCTCGTATGTGCATCACTTAGAAATGCATACAAGCTAATGGAAATTTGTTAGGTACAAACGACTCGCTGAACGGATTGCTCGGCAAAATGCTCGTCGTCAGCCACCCAGTGGGGCCGCGCCCTACGAGGCAAGTGACGATGAGGTGCAAAGTGATGAGACCCTTATCGCGCCAGCTACTCTAGACACCAGTCCATCATTGAATGGGAGAGCTAGCTCGTTAGAAGTAGATGTTCCCGCCGCAGCTCAATCCACAACATTCTCGCTTCGCCCGAGAATCGAGAGTAAGACGACTGAACCTCAATTCCCCACTCCGGTCATACATCCGTATAACGAGCCACTGGTACATACTAGCACTACAACCGGATCTACAGTGCCAGGAGATCTGAAAGATACGATCTTGGGCGAACTGTGGGCTCAATTGGTGGCGATAGTTAGCAGCGAATATGATCTATTCGACATATTCGCGGACTACGATGTGCACACTAGCCCATCCATGGCCCGTGTGGGTGAAGTCGAGATCTTCTCGGTGGGGATGCTTAGCAGTCATACGAATAACCAGGTTGACTGGACCGATGGGGATGCAGAACCATATGACATTTACGGGCTTTTTCAGATGGCCGATTGTCACGCCACACTCGGTCTCCGTTCACACGCATTTGCATTATATCTTCGGGGGTTTCGTCTAATCTCCCAACTAGGGATTCGGCAGTATATGGCAGCTTCACGATGCAAAATTCTCGTGCAGTATCTGCTTTGGGGAATAATCGGCTATGTCACGACTTGCAGTGGGCCAGCAAGCGTGAAATACACCATAACCTGCTTGGACTCTATCGAAGAAGTGTTGCGCCAACACGATCGTGTTGATGCAGGTACAAAAATTATACTGAGCACATACCGAGCACTTCTGGAAGGGCAAACATTTGAAACAGTTCAATGCCCATCACTTGAGGACCTCAGAGGTTATCATAATCTCTTCGATTCATTGCATCCTGCCATTAGATTGAGAGAAGCCCATTTCTTGATCTCGATTGCTTTACATCCAGACAGAAGTATCTCGATTGCTTTACATCCAGACAGAAATTATCCATCATCAACTCTGGCTATTTTGCTACTGGACTCAATTTGTGTAGATCTCCAGAAGCAGATTTCGGCATATTCAAGCGCTGAGTGGACAGGATACATCGCCACCATAGGGTTTGTCAAGGCCTTTACAAAAGCCGTCGCCCTTAGTGACCCAGATCAGGTTTCATGGAGTCACCCATGCCCCATTGTTGCCTGGTACTGCACTCAACGTACAATGGATGAAGCTGGAAGCCATTTTCAATGGAGACCCTATCATTACCATGGGGCTCTCATGTGGCACAAGGAACACGCAAATGAAGCCGTCAACCCGCGAGAATTCTTGGCCCGTTATCTAGAAGGCTTGCGAGATAGGATCACCCTTAACCGTCCTCTCAATAATGATAGCTCCGATGGTCTAATGCAAGTCATCAATGCATCGTCCTTGGCAATCATTGCTGAACGAAAGGTCTATGGTTTATCGCACGTGAAGCCTGAACATCTACGCGACCACCGAGGACATAGCAATCAGCCTGTGGAGCCTTCCATAGACACTTCGTCACTCAGCGCCGACACTCGGGATTTTCGACAAACCGCTCGCCGAGCCAATAGGGATCCGATAAACAGAAAACTGGCTATCACAGACGCTATGCAAGGGATAGAAGAGCGCTTCTCGAGTGCAATGTCCATAAGCACCCACGAAAGCTGGCCAGTTCACCGACTCACCAATTTTCCAGAGGAGCAGAAGCATGCAGACGAGATCGGCGACCACAACACCGATCATCTTGCAGGCGATCTACCCCCGAAACTTGATAGACGAAGGTCCGAGAGAGTGAGGGACCCTTATGTGAGCGCCAATAAAGGTCAGCCTGAGAGCAATGAAGTTCCAGAATCTTACACGTCGTGGGGTGGAGAATGGGCGTCTTATCCTGACCACCACGGTGGCTTTCACCTCGACTCAGTAATGGAGGAGCTCAAAAGTCTGTAGATAGATGCTCTAATGGGAAGGGCATTGATAAAAGCCTTCGTATTCATATTTAACGTTCAATGCTTGGCACTAACTACCATACAAATGACTCCCTCGAGCACAGATCTAGTAATCGTAATGCGGTTTGGAGCCTTCTCTCCCCATCGAAGCTCCTTGGGGAATCAATATCAAAGGAAGGGAGAGGCGATTTGTCGACCTACTAATAAGCGGGATCTCAATAGGGTCCAAGGCATCTCGAGTTGTTCGACGTCGCCAGTGGACCTTCTCGCTCTGCGTGATGGCCGGGTTCTGCAAGAGGAAGAGAAAGTAAGGTGATGGACGGTGTACTCAGAATGGCCTAGAGGGACAGTATTTAATGTTTGAATTCCTTTCTTTTCCGCCGTAACGTCATTATTGTTGATAGTAGCTAGCTACATTACCTAGTTAACTACCTAGGTTGGTCAGTAGGTAGGTCATCCCTCCATACCTAGATACCCTCTTCGGGGCCCGATGTAAGAAAAAAAACTTGCCAATCCGCCAGCTGCAATGGATATCACAACGCCCAAGCATCCACGGCGCCTGGCAGACAGAGAGACACATAACAGCCTCATTTCATTTCAACGCTTATCCCATCCCATCCCATCCCACCCGATATCCCAACCAGATCCGTTCATGGGGTTCTCGCCTCATCCATTTCGTTATATCCTGATCCAGAGTCTCCGATGACTTTGGTCGTGAAAACGTTTAAAAACAAACATTGTGATTATCGCTCAATTCTTCCTTCTCAGTGTCCTCCGGCGTTCTCGTCTTTCTGTTCTCAGTCTTGCTTTTCTGCGGCGTCGTTTGGATCTCTAGATTTCAGATCTTCGTGTTCTTTTGCTATGTCATGCTTATTGATCGGCGATGTTGGGTGCGGAGCTCTCGATGCGTGCTTTCCCTGCTTGCCATCGTGGTAAATGTGTTTGATCATGGAGTGTTTCGTTTTTGGTTGGCTGCTCGGTCGCTCGTCGTTGCTCGACGGAGCTGTGGAATGATAAAGGGGCCAGGTGGCATGCGTTGGGGTAAGGACCGTCGGGTACCGTGATTAGGAATAACATGGTAGGAAATACCGGGTATGGCTCGTATGCTGGGATTTATGGTCATGAGAGTATTCTCGGTGGGTATCCTCGGTGGCGGGCGGCAAATATCCTATATAGGTGGTGGTGGCTATGATGTAATACACCAGCGCTTCGCTGTCCTGGGTTGAAGAAGCGGCAAGTCGTGCCCTATATAGATGAAGATGAAAACCGACGATCTCAGTAAGTACTGGTCCATGGTCTGAAGAGAGTGGCTTCTGAAGCGAGGTCTTCACCCTTCAAATGGCATGTGAAGCACGCCTAGCTGTGGACCCGGGGACGGAAATGAATCCAATAGATTCCACCGACCATGGTCAGCTGATGGTGGTAATAAGGCCGTGGCGCGTTCTTTCCGCACAAGGTAATGATGTGTTCTTGTTCAGGCGCAGCAGCAATTGCATGAGAAAGCGTAAACAAGTAACGCAGAATGAGAGGGAGGGGGTTAGACATGAATATCAACATCTCCCTCATCACCTTTCCCAGTTTACTGACTCACAGTGCGTCTTCCTTTACCACTGCCATTCCCGCCAGCAGAAACAATATTACTGGCACCTCCTGGAGTCGTACTGCCATTGACATTTCCCATGACGGCGGCGGCGAGACTTGCTGCAGGTCCAGAAGGTCTTCCGCCATGTCTGGCACTCTGGCTTGCATCTCCTGCTTTGAGTGCCTCTTCGACATAGTATCCGAACACATATCGATACAGATCCCGTAACCAGCCGAACCCGTATACGCAACTCGTCATCCCTCTGACGGCACGAGCGACCTCAACGGCATTGATCCTTCCGCGCTCGCCGATCGTGCCCGCCACGCCAAGATTACGGAAGCCGGAATCATTTGCGATGGCTTTGCGGTAGTTCTCCAGCACGGCGACCTGCCAGCTCTGGTTGCCAAAGGCAGTGTCCGGGAGGTTCTTGACAAAGTTGGGCAGCGAGTTCAAGTTGGGATCGGAGGAGGCCCGTGTGTAGCCCCTGCCCGTCATGATGGCGGCTTTCACGAACAGGGTTTTCAGCAGGATCAATGTGGGGTCGTCGGAGGGTGTACGCACTGTGGAGACGGTTGTTGCAGACATTGGGTTTGGTCCACCTTCTGAGATGGCTGATGGTGGGCCAGACATCACTGACGCTGAGGAGGCCCAGCGGTGGCCTGGGTTGGCGGACGTTGGAGCAGGAGGGACGGGGTGGGGAGAGAATGGATTGTTCATGCGCATGGCAGAGGGTGTGAGATTAGCTCTTTGTGATGCCATGGGCGCCGAGGCAGCTGACGTGTTGGACGAGTTAGACATGCGTGAGGCTTCTTCAGCGCCGAGGATGAGAATATTGGGAATAGGGGCTTCGTCAGGGGATATTGTGGTGATGGTGTCTTCAAAGATGGTTGTTGGGGTTTCAGGAAGGGTTCGTGGATTGCCGTGCTCATCTAGAGGGACAAATCCTGATCGTTTCGCTTGGTTGAAGGCTTGTGTGAAAGATGTCTGACTCGGGCGAGGCGTCCCTCTTTCGGGACGGATCTGAGTCCATCCCTCTCTGAAGAGGTCGCACAACTCCCAACAGGCTTGGATGGCTGATCCCAAGAGTTCTTCGTCGGCTTTTTTGCCCTCTCGACGATTCTGGCGTAGGCTGAACAGCATTTCGGCTAAAGACCAGCATGCTTTGAGCAGAGAATCCGTTTCTTCGGCTGATTTTGTTTTTTGTTTCATCAATCTGTGACATAATGTGATGTAAAAGTCGAGCGTCCTTTCACGGAATGCCTCGGGGAGACTTCTATCATGGGTATTGAACAAATGATTGTTCAACTCGAAGCTGACCCTTAGCACCGAGTCGGCGGCTTCATTGTCGCGAACTCTAACTTCAAAGAGCGCGGCGCAAAATTCTCGACAGAGGTCCAGTGTAGGTCTTGACGAATGATGTGAAAATGAGGCACTCAAGTGGTCGTCTCTCGTGTTGTAAAGATTTTGGCACAGCTTCCAGCAAGATTTCCAGGCCTGTTCTTGCATATCTCCTCGACCCGAAAAACTAAACATTCGTGTTCGGTGGATGTGGCTCAGGCTGGCCAGAGTATTGCATAAGGTCCAACACTCCGAGAGAGCATTTCGGAGAGCGGAGATTTCAGCCTCGGCGTTGCGTAGGAACTTCTGTCTGACATTGTCCTCTTCTTTGGCTTCTTCGGTGCTGGGGTGGTCGGTATCTTCGTTCTCATCGATACCTGTTTGACGTCAGTGACTGTGGAAGTGATGGTGGAGTTTTACTTACTGGCAAGACTAGAGCTAGGACGACTGGGAGGAGCAAAGTCTTGCCTTGTCTGTGCTCTAGGGGTGGTGGACCAATCGTGAAGTGTGAGAGGAGGAAGCGAAGTCTGTAAAGGCGAAGGAGGCATCGGTACTTCATGAGGCTGAGGCAGCATGTTAGCTTTATCTCTTGAGCTTTGATTGGATGCGCACCTTGATATTCTTCTTGTCCCCGAGGTTGGCTTCTTTGGACCTTTCAGGAGGATCTCTCTTGGCAGTGGTAGCTGTGCTCGCAGTTGCTTCGGAGATTTTCGATTCTACCGAACCGGCTCGTGCTCTCTCAATCTCCACGGACTCTTCTGGTGCCACGTCCTCGGGGCTTTCTGGGGTCGAATCGAGCTGCTTGTGGTCTATGCCGGCGTTTTTGGGCTGTTTGAAGATGAGTTAGTTGGGCCCCCAATATCGAATTTTGATGGACTTACAAATTTTCCAAAACCCGTCGGAATATGTATCACCGACTGTGGTTCATTATCTCCTTCCACTTTATCTCGAAGTTTTTGTTCCAGGGCGGGGCCAATATCGACCTGTTGTTGTTAGCATCAAAGACATTCGCGCAGCCACGAAACGTGAGATTACCCTTAACGAATTTGACTGGCGTTGAGAATCGACCTTGTTTGGTGGGTTCATCAATGGGTTCCTTTCATCTTCAGGTTGTACGACATCGCCAGCCAAAGAGCCCTTTTCAGTGCCCTCCTCTTCCTCTTCGACGGCTTCGTCAACGTCTTCGAATTGAGTCACGTCTGACGAGATAGGAGAAGGAGCAACCGGGTCTTGAGGCGAGGTTATGTAGTTCGCAGGGGGGGCTCGAAGATGGCTATTGCTCGTGATGCTGCTCCTCTCGAGGATTGACCTGAGTATATTAGCAGCGATCTCTTGCATGGATATTGATGACAGATCCGTACATAGATGACCGCGAGCCGATAGCACTCACGTAGCGAGGCGAATCTGGCGAAAAAGCGGAAATGAGGGGCGTTGTAGATGGGCTGAGTCCCATGGGAGCGCGCACAGCCATCATGGTGTTTCGCAAACGTTATCTATTCCTGCGGCACAATCGACCAGCAGATGAACAGGTCGATTGATGCCAACAGGAAAGATTGCGCTTGCCCTCTTACTGCGTATGCACCCACAGCCGCGAAGAAGAGTACGATTGGGAAATGAAGCTGTTGGCAAGGCAGACTGCCTACCAAGCGATCAATGAAAGGGTCGGATCACCTGGAGGAGGAGTTGATGGCACCGAGAGCTGCGTAAAGTCTCAGAGAGAGTTGTTGCGGCCAGAGAAACGGTCGCGTGCGGCAATGCAGGTTGGCACAGGGACTTTCCTAGGACAATGGTCGATAGGGTGGGTTGAGGAGGTCGGTGTATGGGACACAACAAACTCACGCGCCCGGTCTACGGGTGAGTGGACACGGAATTGCACATGCCCCCGGTCAGTGACAGATGGACTGAATAAGGGACGTGGTGCACAGTAATTGGAAGAAGGACAAGGCGAGTTGAATGAACTCGGTCAATAAAGAGAGGCTCGAAATTGCGAGGAGGGGAAAAGTAGAGGGAGGCAGAAAGATAGCAAACTAACAAAGACAGAGAACCTGGTTCGAAGAGCGAGCTGCTGGTGGAGGCCTGAAGGTCTGTTCTTTGACTAGCAGCCAACAGAGGCATGGCATTGGCACAAAGCGAAGCGAACTAGGATCGAAGATGGCTGACACTCCATGGGTTGAGAGAAAGGTGCGTCGTTAGGCTACTTGCCAGCCTGAGTGCAGTGCATATGGCTCTGGGCTGGGTATTTTTCTCTTCTGGGGTTAGTATCCGGAAGTATTGAGTACGAGGGACTCGAGAGACGAGCAGCGGCAAGCGTGAAGACTGACGATGGATATGTCGGTGGGCAGAAAGTTTTCAGGACTTGGTCTCGCGCCGCGCCTAGCTCGTGAGCCGAAAGTTGAGAATGTGATACTAAGCATCGAGATAGATGGACCGGCGGTTTCAGAACTCAGAGCGCGTCGAGGAAGCACGCTCAGTGGTAGGGTCCTTGGATGCAGAGCCACAGACGGTTAGTGGGGCTGCGAGTTGGGCTGAAAATGGAGGGGGAGATACGGATACTGTGCCTCGGAGTGGGAATCCAGGGCTTGGGGTTGCTAGCTACAATACGTGACGGGACGACTTGAAAGTTACTAGGTGGCCGGAGAATTTTGGAACCAAACAAAAAGAGAGAAATAGTTGGAAGAGACCAGCAGAGAAGGAGCCAGCAAAGGATCCCTGGCCTGCCACGAGCTCCTGAGTCCGTTAGGTGTGGTTTGGGAAGGATTAATTGTGATGGACAGTGTTGAAGGTGCATGGCAAGCGTCGAGGCGTGCTTAAGCGTGCAGAAGATCACGGGTCGAATCGACGGGGATGGGGTTTGATAGGCGGATGAGAAGACTCTAAGCGCCGACAATAGGGAAGAGAGGGTGCGGAAGAGAGATGGGGTCAACGATGGTGGAATTGTCAGCTGGGGAACGGCATTGGGCATCCCACCATTCAGAGTCCAACGGGACACTTGGACTGCTGCACGTAAGCGCCCGGGGCAAGAGATGAACCTTGGAGAGAGCCTCCCGGCCCCTCAATCTGCCTGGGTGAGTGGATCATCTTCATCTTCTGGGAGACCGAGTTTGGAAGAGTGAAGGCATGGATTATGTAAGAGACGGCTCGACCAACCTGGTGGTGAACGGTGAAGCTAGGGCAAGGTTGACTCCATCTTGAAATCCAATGTGCTACAGGCGAGTGTCAGAGACACACCATCACCGTAAAGGAGTAAAGGACAAGGAAGACAAGAACAAGCAAGTCGATCAGAACAATGAAACATCTCACACCCAGGCGGGCGCTGCAATTTGTCCATGCTCGAATTAAATACTCAAAAACAAAAACACATCTGTCATCAACACATCTGCCCTCCCAGTGTGTATCAGCGTCATCATCGAATCTCATACATTCAGTAATGCAAAGTCCCAGAATGCAAGGAATGCTTCAAGTTCTCCACCAACACCATGCAAAAAGAAGTCGTAAGTCCCGGTCGTGGCCTGCCCCAAACATCTGTGACCCGCATCATCGGATTGTCATCTGTTTGGCCATCTGCCCGCCCTTGCCCACGCCGCCTTCCCTTGACGCAGCCGCGCTCATTCCAGCCTTTCGCTCAAATACTTTCCAGAACTTCAAGCTCTCGTCCGCAGCTATTGACCTGTTAGTATATCATTTCAAACTCAATTCAGATCTATCCACTTACCAGCAGTTGCAAGCATCTGTCCATCGGGGCTCAGACAGCTGTGAAGGACACGCGACTCGTGTGCTGGAATTTCCACATTGCGTACCAATGTAGGATAGCTCCAGATGCTCAAAGAGTTATCCGGGAAGCCGCTTGAGCTCACCAATTCGCGGTAGTGGTTGCTCCATTTGAGACTCGTCACTTGTGATCCAGTGTCAATGCTGTTGACCCGAGCCCCCGTGGTCGTATTCCAGAAGTGGATATGTCGGTCGTGCGAGCCTCCGCCAGTGGCCAGGAGGTTCAATTGCCACGGGCACCAGCTAAGAGCCTTGACAGCGGCGCGGTGGTTCTTCTTGGCAAACTTGGGTGCGCTCAAAGAACGGGCATCCCAGATGGTCACCAAATTGTCATTGCCGCCAGTAGCGAGCTGCGCTCCATCGGATCGCCACTCGAGTCCACAAACTTCGGCTGTGTGTGACACGAGCTCCGCAATCTTGTGGTCCGCAACACGGACGTCATGGTTGAACACCAGGCCGCTTCTTGCACCAGTCGACAATGTATGCTTGTTCCAGCCCATGACACCCACGCGAGTATCATGTCCGAACATGCTGCGCAACTTGGTGCCCTCCTCGACGTCCCAGATCTGGACCTCGCCGGAACCAAGGCCGACTCCAACGTACGCTCCGTCTCCAGACCACTTCACACTGCTGATGTACGTGTCGGGAGATGTCTCTAGCAGACAGCTGACGGTGCCACTCTCAGCAGACCAGACATAGACATTACGCTCGAGTCCAATGGCAACCTGGTTGCCTGAGCTCCAGTCAAGAAGGTTGAGGTAGTAGTCATCGACGAGCCCGGGTGCATCAAGTACACGCTCGGGTGCTGATTGGATACGTCGGCGGAATTGGGCAGATTGAGTGCTAGCTTGCTTCAATGGACGATTGTATTGAGAGCGGAGGTCAATGGGCTTTGATGACTCGGGTGGTGCAGGCTTGAATTCGAGAATGCGTTGGCTGGTTGAGATGCCACATGCTGAGGCCAATGATGACTCGTATGCCGAAGAATCACGGTCTGCTTTTGTGTATGATGTGGTGCTGTCATCGTCGAGACCAAGGCTTTCCAAAGCTGTGGTGATGTCTGCATCGGCTCCGCGTGCAGAGATATCGAAAGCACTGGCAGCATTGGCAAGGACAGTTGAGCCCTCAGCTGCAGTGCGGGGTCTTGTGTTCTCATCGCCCTTGCCTGCACCAGTGGTATTCAGACCAGTGCTGGCAGTTCGGTTGGGAATGAAGCGGTCTGCAGTGTTGTGAGGATGTCGGATCGTGGTCTTGCCAACCCTCGACCTCAAAGCAGTCTCTTTTCTTGACTTCTCTCTTGAAGGTGTACTGGTCGCGGCAGGGCCGGTTCCGGTCAACGCCCACTCCGAAACACCTAGGTCGAGTCCCTTGGGGGATGTTCGTCCTTTGGCGATGTTTGACTTGGGAGAGTTGGCATATGCAAACTTGGAGACCGATCGTGACAGTGATCGAGAGAATATGGTTGAGGCTTCGGTCTTGTGGATGGATTGATCTTTCCGAGGTGGGGTGAATGGTGATGTGGAAGAACCGTTGGTGGCTACGCTCGTTGTTCTCGCACGAGGAGAAGGGGTGAGAGGCATACGGCCACCAGCGGTCTTGGTTGAGAATAGTCCATGATGGCTCTTGAGAGGAGTTGATACGGAAGTAGTAGCCATGATAGATATGTGATATGATCGAATGGTCAAATTAATGTATCGATCGGGTTCCTGTGATCCGAGAATCAATCAAGATCTCGGGGGTTAGTATGGTGTCGATTAGAGCAATCAGAACTTGTCGAGGAAGTCTGTGCTTGGAGTCCAGCAATTCAGTGATATCTCAAGAGTCTCAACTGAATGGATCCTGAGAAAAGCTATTGGTTGTTGTATTTGGTTAGTATCTTGTTCTCTGTCGCTGCAATTGTTGGATGATTGAATAACCGATCAGGGTGAGGCAGGGCAAGCGATGCAATCGGAGGGTCGATCTTAAGCAAGTAGGATCTAATGGATTGTATGCTATGCACAAGCAGTAAAGATGAAGGAGAAGGATGTTTGAAGGTGGTGGAAGGAGCGGTATGTGGTGGAAGGAAAAGAATCAGAACGGTGGTTGAGTCGAGGACTGCTGAAATACTCTTTGTTTGGCTCCTGCTGTTGCTGGGCGACCAATTGTCTCGGCTGAGTTTCCTGTTCCTGGATGAGCCGCCTGGTGCCAAGCCGGCGGCCGGGAAAACTGGGATTTGTCCGACATTGATCAAATCAGGTTAGATCCATTTATCTTCTTGATCGTCCTAGCTGACTTCAAATTCTTGGATTCATGCCCCTTCGAACATCAAGATTGATATCTTGAATAACGAATGCATTAAAAGTCATCATTCATTGATCAAACTCGGAACCCTCTCCTCTTACGCCTTCGGGCTCTCATCCCAATTTCCACCAAATCTTGGTAAATGGACATCTTTACCCTCAGACGAAGTCACTGGTCTCAGTCGCTCAAGTGGTAGAGTTTCTTACCTGGCTCGACGCCTATGATGGCTCACCCGTCAACACCTCAACCTCAACCACCCTTTAGCACTTTATTTCCTCCAAGCGCAGCTGCTACATTTGCAGGCATATCTTCCAACAGATCCGCTGTCTCTGGTACTAGCACGCCTACTGGTTCGACCTACCTGATGCCTACCAGTCCTGCTAAGAACAGCCTTGGCCCCAAAGATGGCCTGACACCCAAAATCTCCAAGACCACCGGTCAGAAGCCGGCATGTCTCGTCAATGCTTCAGTGACCTACTGTGGTAATGACCAGATATATGCCTTTGGTGGTTTTGATCAATTTACTGACGAAGTCTACAATCACGTGCTGAGGCTGAACCTGAAGACGCTAAATTGGGCGCTAGTCGACAATTATGGGGACATTCCTGGCGTACGCATGGGTCATTCAGCCTCGCTTTACGAAGGAGATAAACTACTTGTGTATGGAGGGGAGAATGAACACCGTGAATATTTGTCCGACGTTGTCATTCTCAATCTCAAAGATCACCATTGGACTCAACCTGATGTTCAGGGACCTATTCCCAAAGGCCGAGCCCGGCATGCTGCCGTCGTCTATGAAGACAAACTCTTTGTCATAGGAGGTCTTACTGGAGAAGCAAATTACATTCTTGATGATATCTGCTATCTGGACTTAAAAACCTGGACCTGGTCAAAGACATGGAGCTTCGTACAGAGATTTGATCACAGTGCATGGATTTGGGGAGGTCGGTTGTGGGTCCTAGGAGGTCTCGGGGCTGATATGGAGCGGCCGTCGGAGATCTGGTGGCTCGACCTCAAGGGAAGCCCTGCCCTTTCGGATTCAGGACGACAATACTCCACCATGGGCCGTATACCTTCAAGTCGACACGATCCATGGCTGCATCCAAGCAGAGCGGATCGTATCGACACCTACGCCGCAAATTCAGGAAGCGTCCACATTCGGTCATCGAGAAGAGAGAGGCCCACGGCACCAGGTGCTATCTCTTCCCTCAAATTTGTCTCCGGCCCACACGTTCCTCTTCAATCAGCTGGAACCCATTTTCATGTATGTTCGTCCGGAGCACTTCTAGACTTCGTCACCCCTTCCTCCACAATTCGTCACAACGAATGCAATTTATCATCTCTCGAGCTGGACTCCTTGAGATGGCAACGTTTGGTCGAAGGGCCAGAGCTTTTTCAACCAGGCTACAAATGGCATTACTGTACCATCAATGAAGATGGAACCAAAGTCTGGCTTCTAGGTTCCTCCGCTGAAGAATCCGCAGCAGCGAATCAGGAACTCCAACTCAGCGAAATTCTGGCCGTTGACCTGAAGAGGTACGGTCTACTGGGAAGCGAAGACATGTCATCATCCTCAGAACAGTCCCGAATTCTTGCCACTGAACGTCCGACCCAGTATAGTGGCCCCGGCAGTGCCGGGACGGCTCTTGGCTCAGATCTTGCTTTGATGTTCGACCAACCGCCAGAGTCTAACAGTATGACGGACTTCATCATCACCGCAAACACCGAGCCATTGGACTATGAATCCGCTATCTCGGACACAGACTCTCAAGCCCGCTATTCGCTGAACACCACTGGAAGTCAGATCTTCGCCACCGAGACTCCCAGCGTAAGTCAGCCGATCCACGTGCACAAGATGATCCTCCATGCGAGATGGCCACACTTTAAGCGCCTCTACGCCTCCAAGATGATTGAATACCAGACCTCACGCCTCCACATCCCTGAACCATACTCGGTAGTCCGTGCATTCCTATACTACCTCTACGCAGATACCATCGCCCCACACCCAGTTTTCTGCCGTGACCTCACCGACGTGGCCGGCATGCTCGTGATGGCAAACCTGTACGACATGCCGAAACTGCGACTCCTGTGCGTCAACCGCCTCTCTCGCGAAATCGACATCGACCACGCCGCCGTGATCTGGGAGCGCGCCGGCCGCACCGAAGAAGAATGGCTGAAAGCCCGCGCCGCACGCTTCTGCCTCATGAACTGGGGCCGTATCGTCCGCACAGAGGGCTTTCGCAGCTTAAGTCGGCACAGCCTGATGGAGCTGTGTGAAGTGGTCGATATGGAGGGGAGAGTCGTCGGCGGCGAAGAGTTGGACGACGTCGCCGTTGATTCGTTCGGCGTCGGGGGCAGTCGATACCGGCGGAGGAGTCATCGGCCGAGTGAGGCTGCGGAGGAAACCGAAGGCGATGAAGAAGACGGCATGGATATCAATTGATGATCTCCTAGAAACACCGTCGTCATTCCCATTCCGACGAACAACAGAAACAATAAAAGGAAACGCGACACGAGACAGAGAAGAACTTGCATGGCATGGGATGAAAGGCAGGGCGCTGTGGTAACACAAACAAAATGTCATCGGCACGGTTTCGTGAAATGCGAAAGCAGTGGAGTAACAAATGGACACGGATCAGTCGGGCGGCTGTAGCATGTTTTCGTCTTGACCAAAATATCGAATTTTCTGTACTGCAGTCTTCAGCTATGTCGGTGCCAGGTGGGCATGGCGCACTGAGTACCTGGGTAAACACAGTACCTTGACACGAAGAAGTCACCTCACCCAGTAGTTAACTGTGTTATGAAATTAACGCAGAGCAACGGCTTTTTTCGCGCGACTCTCGCTACGCTTAGCTGCAACGTTTAATGGCTGAGCGTTACTACCACCGTGTCAGTGCTCTTTTCTTGACTTTGTGCTGCGTTGAACGCGGCTCTACCAACTCCATAGTATAAGACACTGGCGGCCCACAAGCAAGCTGGCCTAGTTGTCGAATTGGACGTGATACGAGATGGTCATTGCTATGGAATCACAGTTGGAAAAATCAGCAGATCAAGGTTGGGGTGGTAAACATGTCTGCATTTTCTCGTATGCATCGTTGTAGTAGTAATAGGGGAGATGATCTGCTGCTGATGAAAACACGAAAACGATAAAACTTGGCAGTAGGATAGGGGGATTTTTAACAGCTGGGACATCACAATCTGTCCGCATTTCAGGTGCCCGAATAGCACCTCTCTCCAAAGCCTGAGACAGACTTCCACAACGACTGCACACCATCGCATTGCACCTACCCCTGCTGCTGATTGGAACTTGCTGCTCTCCTTAATCACTCCCTTCGATTCTCTCAGGTCTCTCTTCACACGTATTCAATGGGAGTCCACTTCTCTCTTCTTGCTCTGCTCCACCACATTGGTTCTTTTGCTGATGCTGCTCCTTCTCCAGGTCTCAATATTTGATTGACGCTCGTTACTTGTCGTCACCAGCAGTCACGGTGCATGGGTCCAAACTTGAAGCTTTGGGGTTTGTTCCAAAATACAAGTAACAAGTGGTTTGCTCATCTCCTGTCTCGAACGGATCTTCGTAAAGCCTGATTCTTTGTGGGTGAAAGCACATGTAAAACAAAAAAGTAAGATTTTGTGTATGAAAATGCAAGGGGTTTCGTATCGTTTCATGTCGTGGAGGACGTCAGATGTAGCGAAAATTCATGAGGATGGGGACTCAAGATATCGGAAAATTGCAGAGTAGTCGTGAACGACTGGAAAGGCTGCTGTCGTCCGAACCTCCTTTCAGTGACGGGCTTCCTGGCCAATCGTCAATTTTTAGGTGGATGGTGATGTAGTTCGTGAAAAGCGTGAAGGCGTCGATCGCATGCTCAGAAGAATGTTTTGAAGGGCATGACCTCCGATATTCTCGATGAAAGGTTCCAAGGGCAAGACAGGGTATGACTATCGATGATACCGGAACGGCCTATGTATGACGGATGATTCGTTGGTCGCGGGGGGAAAAACAAAGGGGGGGGGAGTGCAATATCATGAGACAAGGAAATGGAGAGGAAAATTGGTCGTCACTAGTGCTGGTGACGTGGTTGTCAATAATGATTGGGATTGTTTATGCCACGGAGGCGGTAGGGGCAGCCGCGACGGCAACGTCCTGTGTGTCAGCTGCAGGAGCAGGAGCAGGTACATCAGCAGTAGTCCCGTTAGGAATGACTGGCGCTGTTCCGTTGACTTCTGTGTTAGGGCAGTCCTTGCTGATATGGCCGGGTTCTCTGCACTTGTAGCAGGTTTTGCCAGCCGCATTGAGTGGGCCTCCATTGGGAGCAGTGCAGTCGCGAGAGATGTGACCCTGAAAACATTAGAAAGCTGGGTGCGAAGTGGGAGTGGCGCAAGACTGACAAGTTTTCCACAAGCGTAGCATTTCATCGCTTGCGCTTGGCAATCGCGAGCATAATGATTGGGACCGCCGCACTTATAGCAAGTGGCGGCACGGTTGGTGGTCACATTGTAGCCCGTTCTGTAACCTCCAGCGAAGCCACCACGACCACCAGGACCACGTGGATGAGGGGGTCCCGCATTAGGAGTTGGGCAATTGCGAGCCAGATGGCCGATCAGACCACAAGAATAGCAGCGACCACCAGCTGGACCACCACTGATGCGCAAGGTTGGGCAATCAGCCTGGACATGGCCTAGACCTTGGCAATGATAGCATTGCTTCGCTGGAAAGAAACATGTTAGTGAATGGGAAGAGTGGAAAGGAGGATTTGAACATACTCTCAGTTGTGCGAGGTCGGGGGCACATATTGGACTCATGACCAGGCTGCTTGCAGTTGTAACACAACCTCTCGGAAGAGGTGCAGACCTCTGCATAATGGCCAACATTGCCGCACTTGTAACATGCGCGACGCGACAGAGATGACATCTTGAATGATCTGTCGCTGCTCTTCTCTTGGGGAGTGCCTAGTGCCAAACAGTCAGATTTTATTGTTCAGACCATCCGCAATGGGTTGGGACCGGACAATGAGGAAGTGATAGAACGGAGATCGGTTTGTCGAGCTCGATTTGATCGAGGGTGGTTAAAAGGTGGAAGACGACATAGAGCTTGGGGAGAAATGTACCTGTTCGATTGGACCCACGTTCAGATATCCTAAATAGCCCGCACCTGTGGCTGAGAGGTTAGCGGGTGAAGGTGTGAAGCTGCGGATAGGTGCAGTGGGAGGGGGGTTTGATTTTGCTCAAAGCCGAGGGGTCAAAAAGTACCGGTGAATGTGTGAAGGTAGACTCACGATTGTCGCAACTTCCCACGCAACCTTTCCAACGACTCTCAGCCTCCGTGAAACCGTGCGACTTGCTCAACACCCAGCGGATAGAAAAGAAAGATGGTTGTTGAGACGGGCGCGAGCAAAAAGCGGACAGTCCTGAGGGACGCAAGGAAAAGCCAAGAGCCAGACTTCTGCCGGAACGGGTCTAGTGCAGTCACGTGCAACACTTTCTGAAGCAGACTATTCTATGCCTGGCCAGGGGGAGGGGGAAAAGAAGAGGTGCAGGGGCCGAGGGGCCAGAATCATTATGTAGACGATGATGAGAGTGACGCTGAGCTGAGACTGAGACAATCCACTTCCAATTGCACTTGCGTCCGAGGCAAAACAGGAGGTCTCTCACCCCACTAACGATCGGAACAGACATGTGGATGCAGTAGTAGTGAGGCAGAAGCTTATTCCATGCTATCATCCTAACGCCTTCATAACGTAGTCTACCAGTGCCATGGTAAGACTGACATCTATCATAATTTTTCGTGGCCTTGGCCGTTGAGAGTTGCCTGACGGAGCCCGCTACCCGGTGTGTGTCCGCCGTCCCGCTGCCATTCTATCATCTACCGGTCGTGAACCAACTCAGTAGTACGCATGATCATAAAATATAGAGACTATTCTCCTTTACTCTTCTCAATCACCGCTGGTGCCTGAATCTCTCGTCCGTGTAGATATGAAAGGCCTTCTCCGGCCTAGAAATTGTTAGCAAAATTTGCCCGCAATGGGGGATATGAAACAAGACTTACATAACTGATGAGTGGTGACACCTCCACACCCGTCTTGCTTGACTCAGAAACCACCACTGCCCCAGCAGCACGTAGCCAGCGGGCACCTTGCTCGAGAATATCTTGTTTGCTGGTATCAGGGTCATCTTCACCAGTACCACGTGCATTCTTCAATGGAGAGAACTCTTCTTTGCGATCAACTTCCAAGCAGGCGAATTTGTCCATGCCAATGAGGGGAAACACGTCGAAGACGAATTGTTCAAGCTTGATGCCATTCGGCTTGTCTGGTTTGACCGTCTCACCCTTTTCGGTATCGATGAAAGGGATTTTCTTTCGAGCGACGTGATGAGGTAGCTTATGAGCCCAATCCTGAATGCTTTCGAAGAATCTGAATGAGTAGTAATGATTGACAATGTTGGCAGCACGGAACTTGAGTAAGTCTGAGCTGTCCTTCGCTTCTGCCGTCTCCTTGTCGATCTCTGAATATTCTACAACATCTGGTTTCCCGTTCTTTTGGACTATCAAGCCCACTGGCTCATTGGCAGCTCGCTTGCGCACAACCTTCGTGGCAATGTCAACATCCTTCGAGGCTGCGAACCCAATGAAGACCGGATCTGCAACTTTAACCAAACAGTTGTCAACGCAATAGGCCTGAACATGCTCAATTCCACGTTTTCGCATGTCACTCCGGGCTTCTGAAGTTAAGAGTGCTTGGTAGATGCCTCCATTGCCATCAGGAGCAACAGCTACTCTAGACTTGCTTTCCAGCAAGATCTTTCCCTCGTTGGATATGCATGGGAGCACCCCTTGCTCGAAGATGATGACATTCTCCTGCTGCAGTCCGAAGAATTCATTGTCTTTGAAGAATTTCTCCGTGGGCTTTCTCGTAGGGCCGCTGGTCATAACATACCAAGGGATGATAGGCTCGGCATCGAGAGAATTCTGTGTCTTGGCCAATTCCTGCAGCTTCTTGATTCGCTCTGCCTGAACCTGAAATAATGACTTCTTGCTGGGAAGGCCAATATCGTAGCATCCTTTAGGGTCGGAGCTGCCCAGTCTCGTTCCTTGACCCCCAGCCATAAGAACTACCGCAACTTTGTTCTTGGATATATGGTCCAGGCCTGCCTTGTACCACTCATCCTTTTGTTCTTGCTTGGCGTCCAACAATGATGCAGATGCGGACGCAGGGAGAGGTTCAAGGGTGGGTGTCTCATCGGATTCTTTGGGAGGATTAATTGCTTTGTCGGCAAGAATATTGATACGGTCAGGGTCGAAAGTGGAAAGTTGGTCAAAGAGTGCTGCTTTGCCTGCAATGTCTAACTCGTCGTAAAATGCAAAGACATGCTCTTGGTTTGCCTTCTCATACTTTTCCCGTAGAGCCTTTAATTGATCGGCATCTGGTTCTTGAGGAGGGGCACCTTGCTCTGGTGAGCTCAGGTGTAGCGTCTCCAATGCTTTCTGGATCAACCCCGACATCGTGGTCCCGGGTTCTGAGCCTTGAGGATGGACGGTGTTGTTGGAGGAGCTTGATTGGGATTTGGAGTTGGTGCAGGTGAAAGGAGGATTGGTATGAAAGAGATGAACCCGGTGACCGTCCGGCTCTCTTTAGGAAAGGGTAGCTATCCTCAATCAACTCAAACAAGCAATCAAGTGATTTCAGCTGGGGTACGGAAGTGGCTTTAGCGTGGTGAGACGCGAGGGGCGAATTGGAACCCCTTCAGCCTCGTCATGACGTATTCCGCGTGGCAATTGGGCAGTTGTGTGCTTGGGGCGGCTTGGTCGATGCTCAATAACACACAGGTCACATTTATTTGGCTTCCGACTGCTGTTCGACCAGGGAGCAGCTACAATCATGGAAGGACAAAAACACCAGCACATTGGATCTGCATTCCCCTTAGAATATTTCATGGAAATCTATACAACGCACGTTAGAAGCACGAGACAACGCGCTACTTCGATTATCTCCCTCCAAGTATGAATAGTAACAGCATGTGGTTGGCCTTCTAAGGTCGTGCTGATGGCACCAAGAGAGATCCAGAAGCCCTGTGAAACCCGAGACCCTCATCTGCGATCCCTTTCACGCCTTCGGGAATCGTCATAGCCACCCCTGTGCCTTTCGTACCTGTAGTCATGTCGATCAACGTCACGTCGATCTCGGTCTGATTCTCTGTGCCTATCTTTATTGGAGCCGTATGTGCGATCTCGTTCACCCTCTCTTCCTCGGCGTGCAGAACGATCGTGACGAGGGCTTTGACTTCGACTGCGAGAACGGCGAGGTTCCTTTGAACGGGGTGGGCTATTTCTGTCCTTTCGAATGTCGTCTTTGTCGAACACCATGCGATAGCCTCGTCCACCTAACACACGTCCGTCTTGCTCGCGGTAGTGCCGTTTTTTCTCCAGACTTTCGATACCACCGAAACCACCAGAGTGTTTGGCTCTCTTTGAGTTTGTGGCATCCCTCCAGGTGTCGGACAATTTCGAAACACTTTGAGAAAAGTCCACATGGATGCGGTGGTCATCAATGAGGACTCCTTGCATCTTGAAATATGCTAGCTCACAATCCTTTTGGTTTTCGAATTCAATAAAGGCATACTGAAGGCTGTCGCCAGTTCGCTTGTCCCTGATAACCTCGCATGACAGAATTTTACCGAATCGACTGAATATCAATTCTAGGTCTTCATCGTGTGTGACCGGATTGAGTTTGCACACAAACAGTACGTTCTCGGGAGGTTTGACCTCTGCAAAGGGGAGATCACCCACCATTTCCAGTGTCAAAGCCTGAGCGCGAGCCTCTCTTTCTCTGCGCAGCTTTTCCAGGGCGGCTTCGTCCACTTCCTGATCCAGGTCCTCATCATCAGCAATCATCACGGTAGCAAGTTGCGCCTTTGATGGAACTGGACTTGACTCCGGGGTGATAAGGCCAAGGGGGTCATCATAAGGATCTTCGAGAACCACTGTATGTTTGATCCGTATGTCTTTTAATGGCCGCCCGTTCGATGTAGTGAATGCATCATTAATCTTTTCGAGGGTATCAAAGCCTTCCACAACAGTACCGAAAGGGGCAGCTTTGCCATCAAGATAATCGATATTCTCGCCAAGCGTGATGATAAATTGGCTCCCAGCAAGTCTTTCATCCGCATCTTTGGCGGCAGGCACCGTGGCCATACTCACCGTGCCACGTTCCGTATGCTTGACCTTGGGATTCATTTCGGCGACAAAATTCCTCTTCCCTGGCCCGGATAGCAAGCCCCATATTGAACTGCCCCCATCACTTTCGGGTGAATCTGGACCTAGCGGATCTCCTGTTTGAAATGAAAAATCCTTCTGCACACTGTGTACCGGAGAATAATTATAATATTTGACTTTGCATAATTTTAAAAAGCTGTTTGTGACGGTGGTTAGAAACTGATTTGCATGGCCTCGGATTGACTACTTACTTTTCGCAACACTTGGGTGCGCTGTCGACTTGAAGGTCAATGACAATCTCGCCTAGGGATGTCTCGAGCAAGACGCTCATGGTGAGGGTTTACTGACACGTCCTGCACGCTCTAAGGCATACGTTGGATTGAAAGTCCACTTTTCAATCAAATTTTGCACTGTGAACGATGCAAGGCGGGCAAATAACGTTCAGGTATTGGGCTTCAAGTTACGTTCTCCACAACTTGACTATCCCTTGATATGCGGTGAGATCTGTGGATGAGAGCAGAGGTTGTGCAAAACGTTGTCTGAGTGTCGTTCTCTGACAGATACAAATCTGCACTAAAGACGCTTTTAGAGCCATTCAGGGAAGCTAATAGCGGGACTAGTCCTTTAGTGCAGCACCTAGTGCTATTTGCGTCCTCAGCCTGATCTTCCTCGGTTTGAGTGCTTCTTCAACTCCTCACGTTTTGGGTTGAGAATCTGCTTCGATCACTGTTCTCAAGCTGCTACAACTCGAAGTGACTGCCTTTATTACTTCATGAATCGCACTTTGGTCTGTATGTTCGTTCGCCCACAAAGATATCTGGCATTATTCCACCTTGGCGTACCTACCGATTCTGGTCTTGTTCTAAACTTGACGTCTTGGTTCGCTCTCTTTTGACCGCCATCACTCTCAACCGTTTAGCCATACCCTGGCAGAGCCTCTCCCTGAAGCCTGAGAACACAAATTTTGCTCATTCTCTACCAATTCATGCCTACTATTGATGGACTGGGCAAGCCTCGTGTCCTGAGGGCGAATCTGTTGTACGGTGTAAGCAACATCAGCCATGATGCAAACCACTGCTTTTGATAAAAACCCCCAATAGGCATCAGACTTTGTTCTCTCTTCCATGCACATACCCTCAAGTCTGTTCTCCCTCAAGTGGTCATACAAAAATCCCCCGATTCTGTCACGAACCGTCTTCCTCACCACCTTCCACCCGCTTCGATGACAGGTCTAGCCGACCATCCTTGGTTGCGATCACGACCTCCTTTTCTGTCTCCACAAGTAGACTGATTTTCTACATAACCTACATTGCAGGGCTCCCTTTACGGAAATGCTAAGATGAGGGCACGTGGCCATGCAGCCAACCCTTTGAGCTCTTCTGTTTCGTGTTGGGAACTTGATCATTACGAAGATAGATAAATGCCTTAGCTAATGTCTTGACCAGCACACTCACAAATGAAGTTAAACCATCTCCAAAACCCAGGGACCTTGGACTCTTGGGCCAAGTTCAAGCTTCCAGCACGGGCATCGGAGTGGATCTCATATTCAACCACTAGATTTGCAGTCCTCAGTGGCGACTTCATCGGCTTCATCAGGGCCTCATCTTGGCGACATTACGCCTTTGTACCACTCTACCTCAAGGTGGATTCTCATTCTGATTTGTCAATGTGTCGGAGCGTGAGAGCTTTGATGGATGGAGTTTCGCTGTTGGAATTTTTGTGAGACGATGACACCCTTGCAATGTTCCGCAGTTTCTTTGCGGCTGGCCGATCAGGGGTTGACCTTGTCCTGCTAAACCAGACCAACTGGAACTATCAAAGGCCACTGGCAACTGAGGCAATGCCGACTGTCATGTGGATGTGGTTTCTGGCCAGATTGCGGTGCGAAATATTCCGTCACTTCTGTCAGCACCACCCACAATCGTATGTCTCATCCATTCTACGTCCAGCATTCACTGGAAGATGACCAGACCACGTGCATGATGAAAGAAGCAATGGAAACTATTTACGAGCTTTCCCTACCAGCCAATAGTACTAGCTTGCAACCCTTCCAACCATAGGGAGAGAATCCACCCAGACTGATTAATGAAACCACGATACACGACTTCCGGCACCAAGCAACTGGAGGCGCCGAAGGGGCTTCCTGATGACCTCCCACTTTACGAGTTTGCTTGAAGTGGATTGCATATCGTCAGGTTGGATTCCAAAATCTACAACCAATCACGGGTGAGACAGAGAAGTAGCAAACATCCTTAGCCTGGGCCCTTGACTGGTATCAGCGACAGCCAACAGCTCTCGGGGTTGCACCTCAGCAGAATGTTGGCTCCTGAGACCTGACGCCTTTTCTTCTATCAAGGGGGGGGGGTGCGAGACCTGTTTCGTTTCCCCACACGGAACTTGTCGATGCTGCATCGAGATGCAATGCAACCTACTCACTTGCTTAACATGGTTGCTAGTGTTGGTTATCATAGGAGGTCACAGTTCGACTGGATCAGCTTGGTTGATATCGTTCCACACCTAATATGCCAGGCGTCCACGGATCACCTGTGACTGACCAGACGATTCTTTGCATGTCGCATCTGGTTGTTGTTCTTGTCGACCAAGCATCATCGTAACACCAACGGAAACCTGCAGAAAGCCCGTTACAAAGAAATCTTACCCTGCGGTTTCAAGGGCAACAATTCGACCATGAAAACCTTCACTGGACCTGATTCCAAGCAGCCCCAAGAACCTCGAACCATGAGAAGTTCTGACATGACATATCCGGTCTATGGTGGCGTAAACACTTCAACGACATTTTCTCCTTTCGGGTGCATCCTTGAAGACACCAGTCCACAAGTGACCCTTGCTGTCGCTCAATTCTTCATCTACCCTCATTGCTCGGATTCGTTCGTCTAATCCATCACCGGCTTTCTTATTGTCAATCCCATTTGCTACTGCATGAGTTTGAAACCTTACATTGAGCCTCTAAACACGGCGAGCTTGGTTTGGCAACTTGTATTGAGTGGCTTCGGATTGCTTTTTGGGTTTTACGCAGGCCACTACCTGTCAAGATGGTCAGCAACAAATTGGTCGAATCCTAACATTACTGATTGCCTGCATTAGATCTCGACACGCCAGCTATACGGCTCAGAGTTTGAGTTTTTCAGACGGAGTGATCGGGGGGTTCATATGCCCCTAGGTCAAAATACTCATCTCCAAGAACATTATGGAAGCTCCAATCATCTCAGCAACCGAACAACTCCATCATCTGAACCAGAGCATCGAACGCCCGGAGGTACAAGGAAGCGAGTCCCTGTTGCTGTATGTTTCCATTTCTCTCTAGTCATCATGAATTCTAACCATGGGTATAGTGTGAGAGATGTCGGAAGCGAAAGATAAAGTGCAGTGGCAATGAAGGCGAGAATTCGAGTTGCATCAATTGCAAAAATGCCGGCTACGCCGACCAATGTCGCTTCTTACGTGTAAGTCTCAATTCCATATGGAAAGCACCTGGATCACTGACAACCATAGGTTTCATCGGTCGAGACAGCACCCTTGACCATGCGTGCATGGCAAGCAAGTCAACGCTATTCACCCTACCCACATATGAACCAGCGCCTAAACTATGTTCAAGTGGCCCCGAGATATAGTCCATCGTCAGCAATGCATTGTCCCACGGTCCCAAGCAATGTTGAATACGGTTCATATGGAGGTTCAGCTCAAAATGTTGACTGGACCAGAGGATCTTACGCTGCACAATATCCCACGTATGGCGAGGAAGAGGTGACCAGTCCTTATTCAAACCTGCCGCCGCCATACATCCTCCCTCACACTGATCCGATGAATGCACGCAATGGATATTATGGAATTCCAAATGGAGTGCGCCCACAGCCAGGTGCGATATGGCCAGAACAACAACAGGCATTGATACCACAATCCTCTAACCTACCTGCCACTTCTTACACACAATCAACGGATGCTCCGCAGCATTTCCAATCCCTAGGCATCGCAACAAATCTTCCACCAGATAGAATCTTACCTGATCCGATCAGAGCTCCAAATGATATGGCAGCGACAGCGCAGCCCACGGTAGACAGTCTGAATGTTACGGATCAAGATCAGAGAACTTCTGCTTGTTGGAGCAATGGCGTCTCAACATCATCCGCACATGTTGTGTCTCATGTTGAATCCGATTCAGGGCGCTGTCAGAGTAGCGACCAAAGAGCCACTTCATACAGGATGCAAGAACTTGCCTACGATCACCTAACCATGAGCGACGCACTCTCAAGCACACCTATCTCGAGCGGCTTGACGACAGGTGTCATTGAGCCTCAGCCACTTGCACCGAGCATCACAACCCAAGGCCACCACTCTCAGCTATCCAGTCAGAGAACCATTTCACATGAAAGCTTGAGATCGACACCAGAAATTCCGTCCGTGACATATGGTTACACAAGTGCGATGGCTGGGCGTACCTCGCAGCTTAGTAGTACCTCAGATCGAGTCTCTTCCGCACTGCTATACTGCCACCCCCTTACGGTGGTGCCACGACGTGAATCAGGCTCGGAAGACTGCAGCACCGACTGCAGCAGTTGCCCTACAGATTCGACCAGATGTTCCATTACGTCGATGAGTAATGCTTCCTCCGGGTATTAAACCCTCGGAGTCATGAAAACCATCTCTAGGATCGTGAGGTTCTTGTCTTTTGTACCATTCGACACGTGTGTTTTTACACCTACCACTCTCGTTCAACCTATGGAGCTCCCAACCATGGTACGCATCACTCATGTTTCAAATGCTGTTGGAAGAAGCCATCCGCGCCGAGTTGAGGAACACAGAACTTGTCACTCAGCAACACTTCCACCAACAATTTCTTCTTTGGGCTTCGTCGGGATGACGAAAATAATCAAAAAGTCTTTCAATTGTTTTTGTTGTTGTCCTGTATCAAAACTTTGGGCATTGGGCGGGGTGATTCTCCCCTTCTACCATCCTCAATACCCTGGACGGCCAGTTGCTTTCTGTACCTTGTACAATTAGGCATGGCGGCGCACATTCAAAACACTCTGTTCGAGAATGCATAGTATTCTCGGCTATATGGGCGGAGATGAGTTCAATGAGGGTGATGAATGGTAAAGGAACTGCATGAAAAAACATGTAACGTGGAGGGACTTATTAGGAAATGGATAGTAACACCTTTCAAGGTTTAGCATGTATCAAAAACCAGATTCAGATATATGAATCCAGTATTAGGTAGTCATTGATCAGAACGTATGCAGAGGAACGGTGCATGTGTCAATTAAGCAATCAAAGGAGCATCTCAGGGTCCGGGTTCAGATGTTATCAAATTCCAACCGATCCGGATTTCAGTTGAGTGCAAAGCAGCCGGTCATGATGAAATGATCAATCAGAGTGTCGGGCTTATTTGAGTGAAGAGTGGCCCTAGAAACACGGTAAGAGGAAGCGCTATTTGAAATGGCTTTGGAACTTTCAGGTTGATCTCAATTCAATGCATTTGTATCTCATGCGCCGGTAGTTGCCATTCCTCCATCCGAGAGAAACATTGGAGAAATAAAGGCCCTCCACACACAATCGATGGTTTTGGTTTATCGAAGGGTTCTTTTTTTCGGTGTCTGCCTCTGGCATGCTCGAGACCATCAAAGCTCAAAAGCAATGGGAAGAGGGGTTTCGTGGAAATTTGGTACTGTCCGTCTCTCTAACACATGCACCATGTTCAACCACGAAAAGACCCAGCAGAACCACAGCCTCAAGAGGCCCACCTCCACCAACTGCACCGTTCTCGTCCCATCCCACACAGGGCCACACACAATCAACATTCCTCCAGCACCGGTACCACCATCATGATCGTAACATTTACTTCTTCTTGTCCTTGTTGGCACCCTTCGTCTTGGCGGTACCTCTGAACTCCTTGGAACGATTCTTCCGCTGTTTGCGCTGCTGTCTGGATGCCTTTTCGATCTTGGTGGCCTGGCCGACACGGACCAGTCTGTAGTGGGGTTCGAATTTCTTGAGGGCCTCGACTGAGTCGTAGATCAGGGCGAATCCCGTCGATTTGCCGCCACCGTATTGTGTCCGCAGGCCGAAGACGTTGATCTGGTCCTTGTTCGACTTGTATACCTCGGCCAGCTTTGCGCGTAGGTCGTCCTTGCTGACATTGGCTCGGTTGGGGTGGAGGACGTCACTATGAGGAGAAATCAAATTAATACATTGTTCTTTTGGCAAGTCTTGGTTCTTGTGAGGGCATAGTGGTTTTCGCTGCAACATCGATGATGTCCAATAGATGAATTTGCGTGCGAGACCGTGTTGTTTGTTTGTGGGATTGAGGGAGAAAGCCTTACACGACGAATTGCTTGCGGGAGAGAAGACGGTTGGTGATGAACTTGCGAGTTCGCACGGTGACCGCTGAGTCGGCCATGATTGCGCTGAAGGGCTTGTCTGATCAAGGACACGCAATCAAGAGAGATGGAGAAGTTTGAGGGTTGACCTTGTAGTAAAGGAAGTACTCAACTCCAAGTTGGTTTGACTGCGCCTTGGAAATTCGAGACTGCCCAGTGTGGAGGAACGCTGTTTCGCCGAATTTTGGCTGTGGGCTTGGCAGGTCGAAGTCTTGGCATCACGTGTCGATTTGGTCCTGATCCGGTTAGTGCGAAACTCTGTGTCATCCTCCATTTAGATTTCGAACTCTTTCCGATTCTCGAGTGCATGCATGGTGTGAAGAACGAAGCAGTATTGTTCCAAATCGATGTTCGCGCGAATGGACATTGCGAGAGCGGAACTAGGACCCCTGGTGGTTAAATTCTACCGGCAGTATATGCAACAGATAAATGATGTGACTTATCCATCAGGTGCACTTCTGGTAAATCCAGATGTCCAGGAATGTCTCTATCGCTATTTCTTTGATGCCTCAAGAAATAAATATCTTCCTCCACCAAAGTATCAAGCAAGGATTCTCAAGCATATCATTTCGGAAATCGAAAAGGCATGCAAAGATCCTGAAGAAGACGTAGGCACACTCCAGCTCGCTCATCTTTGAGTTTTTGTTTTTGTCTCGAAGCCGTCCGGACCATGCTTTTGATCCACTAACACCTAACCTTTCTACAGCAAGTATCTGATCTGCTGATGGAGCATATGGGGTTTCTGGCAGCTATTCCCCAGCAGGATCAGTTCGAAGAGGCACAGCAACCACATGTCCACAGCTATTTCCCACCACTCCCATTAGATCAATTCGGAGTTCAACCGATCCTGATCAAGGAAGCGCAAAATCTCCTGTCAAGAGGCAACAACGTTGGACTCCGCACGTGGGAAGCAGCACAACATCTCGCGTGGTATCTCATGACCGTGCGACCAGACTTAGTCAAGGGCAAGAACGTGCTTGAACTTGGGGCGGGCACTGGATTTCTCTCTCTTCTCTGCGCTGGCGAACTGGATGCGAGACATGTTTTAGCAACCGATGGTCTGGCACATGTATGCGAAAGTCTCCAAGTCAATGTTGATCTCAACAAGGAAAATAACACCTTACACGGCCATGATGCTCCGTTGGTACAGCAACTGGATTGGACGGACCACCAAGAACTCGAGCAGATTCTCGAGGACGCCAGGGAAAAGTCGATCCAATATGACCTGGTAATCGGCGCAGATATCACGTACCACCCGGAAATCCTCAGACCTCTGGCCGAGCTTCTCAAGACCCTCAGTGAGCTCTACCCGGGACTCACCATCCTCATCTCATCCACGATCCGAAACTTGCACACATTCTCCCAATTCACCGACATCTGTGAGAAGGACCTGGGCTTTCGTATAACGAATTTGGTGTGCACCATTCCAGACGGTCTCCGCTACTCAGGTTTCTTCCATTCCGTGGCAACGGAGATCAAGATCGTGTCGCTCAGTCGATGACTTGGAGAACCCGCATACGTCGTGCTTAGCAGAACTAAAGAAACACCGTCACAAATCGTGTCCTAATACTTACGACCACTATCATTTCTACATCTCTCAGCATGAGCGAACAGAGGTACGAGAACCATCTGTTCCCTGGAGCGGAACGTCGCCCCATGAACCTACCAGGCGCTTGCAATGTGACCAAAACAGCTTGCTGTCCGAGATTTCAAGTCCGCACTCAGGAAATAGCCTATTTTCCGTGCTTCCGAAGTGTCAAACTTTCCTAACCGAAGAGTGATGGCTTCGATGTCTGTTGATTCAGACCATCCATCGTCTTGTTGCTGGGGCGTCGCTGGGTCTGGGCTGAGTGAAGCGCCGTATTTGATGGGAGCTAGTTCACTAGTTCGTCCACAAACGAGAGACGTAGGAGAAGAAGGAAAGTGGTCGAAAACATGAAGAACCTTGATTAAGGTCACAGTAAAAGTTATGGACATTCATTATCTGCAGTCTACTTGCTAGAGACTATATTTGCTGAGAAAAGGAACTATTCGTGATAGAAGCGCCGTGAAACCGCCTTTTCATGATGGAGTGCCAGGTAGCTGAGATCAGCTGTCCAACTCAATCTGGCCATGTTCTGCGAAATAGAAAACCATAAATGCAAACTCAGTCACGCCCAAGTGCAGTGTATTCAATCGCTCCAACGTGCGCTCGTAGCAACAAAAAAAAAACAATAACATTAACAGTATATGTGCAATGGGAAAAACGAGGGCGGGTGGGGGTATCTTGAACAAATGAGAGAGCAATTATTCCACAAATATGTCTCGAAGACCCTGCTCATCTACCATCTTCACCTGTACCTCGGTGGTAGGCGCATTGCGTGTAGTTCTGAAGCCTGGTATGGCGCCGGGTTGATTGATGCCCGCAGATCTGCCAGTAAAGAATGGTAAAGGCTCAACTGGCACTTGTGGTTTCACCTGGGCCTGTGATCTCAGGTCCCCACTCGACTTCACAGGGGCGACACCCCATTTGCTTCTTACCCACCCACCCACCAAACGGCCGATCCCACCCGAGGACGGTGATTCTGATTGTATAGGGCTGGACAAGCCTGCGATGCCACTCAAGGCTTCGATGCTTAAGCTCGTAGCTTTCGTAGGGGTCTGGGCTGTTCCCATCGCCATTTCGACAGGTGATCGATGATCAGAACTGAGCGACCTGATTGAGCTCAGGGCGGTAAATTCGGTCACAGTGGCCAAGGGCTGAGCGCTGGCATATGTTCTTGTTGCGGAAGGAGGTCTTGTAAAGTATGCCCTATTTCCTTTCAGGAGATTCGATGAATGGGAAGTCGCCGTGGTAGGTCGTTTAGCGATATGTATATCCATGCCAGAGATGGATACAAGAGAATCATGGGACCCCTTGCGTCGAAGCACGGGCTGCGCTGCAACATCGAGAACGGTGCGGAAGTCATAAGCATGGGATGCTTCATCTGACTCTGTTGCGGGGACTGGCTCTGGTAGAGTGAGGATTTGTGAAGGCACATTTAGTTCAAATTTAGGGCTGGCAGTTGGAGATATAGCTTGGGCCAATGCGTCTGGTAAATTTGCGATATCTGGTGGTTTTAAAGGTTCTGGTGGTTTGGGTTCGACGAAACTAGTGTTCCGTGATCCGGTATCTAGAACCTGAGAAGGTTTCGGTGTGAGATCTCGGGACAAGTTATCAGGTGCGTCTAGTTCTTCTGCGATAAGGTCCAGTCCTTCCGGAGTTGGTGGTGTGGGAAGGGCCACTCCGTCAGAAAAGTCCTCCGTGACAGCTTCTTCATCGAGGGGCGTACTTTCATCATCGATGGCTGACTTATAGTTGATTTGGTGGAACATGGAATCAGAGTAACCAGCAGCAGATTCTGGACTCGTTGGTCTTGAAGATTCTTCGCCTCCTTCCAAACGATCGAAGATGGTACTACTCCTGTCATAATATGACCTCGGCGAGCCTGGGAAGCTCGAGAGTTGAGATGTACCTGTTGCCGCTGACTGTACCGACCACCGGTTGCGTTTTGCCTGGGGTTGATGTAGTGTGATAGGAAGTATCGGACTTGAAACGAAGCGATGAGGGCCAATGGTCGGGGTCGATGGAGCAGAAGAATCCGGGGGTGATGGTAGTACACCAAGACCCATGACTGCTCGCTTTCGGGAAGCTCTGCGCACGGTCGGAGTTCGATCTTTCTTGCCCGCGATCTTGGCGTGATAATGATGGTGGACATGAACCTCTTGTTGTACTTGTTTCGGAGTGGAAACCCAATGGAGCTGTTCACTGAGAGGACGTGGACTGGCTCCAGCCGAGTTAGGAAGATCATTGCTGACAGGTTGGTGAAGAACGATTTGCTCGCGTAAATTCTGCACTTCGTCGTTTGATGTTTGAAGCAACTCGCGCAGCTCAGCGATACCGGCCTGCAGATTGGCGTTGTCTTGTAGAATATCGCGAACAAAGTGGCTGACAACATTGGAACCCGATGCTTGACCTTTGAGACCCTGAAGAGCGGCAGCACCCTTGAGCCTGCCCTCAGCACCGCCCAGTTCTCTTTCCAAGATCCTTTCTCTTTCTAGTCTGGCTATTACTTCTTCATGGCGTTCCTTGTCCTGTTTTGCTTCCCATTCGATCTTCTGCACCTCATTCTCAAGTTGACGGACTTTGAGCTCACTTTCTTTCCACCGCATGATAGTACTTTTTGCTTCCTCAGCAGAGTCGTCAACTTTGCGAGAGAGTGTGACGCGATCTCTCTCCATTTCCAGCAGCTTCAATTCGAGTTCCTCTGTTTGATGAGTGAGGAAGTTCAATCTCCGTACCTCCATCTCGCAATCACGGAGCAGTAACTCAAGATCTTTGACGTGGTCATCGCTCTCTTTTAGAGAAGTATTTGCCGCTTCGAGTTGGGTGAGGAGTTCGCGGTTTTCTTCGACGATCTTCTCGTTCTTAGTCTGAAGATTGCTACGTTCTTCTTCCAGCTCATTGATATATTCAGTGAGTCGTTCATGTTCGCGCTGAGAGTCACCAACATAGGTTTCGTGTCGCGTGAGTAGGGCCTGGAGAGCAAAGGTCAGTCCACCGCCGAATTCTTTGTTGTCGCACACTGCAGCGCAAGGTGTTGTTTGCACGAGAACCTCCATCTTAGGTGGATGCGTTGTGGGTAGAGGTGTGGTCCGGGGTGCAAAGAGGACGAGGATAGCCGTGTTCACGGCCAAGGGAAGGAGGTGTTTGTGATATTACAGCTGGCAGTCGTTCGCCATCACGGATTGAGGAGCAACAACCACCTGCTCGAGATTGCCAAACACTCTAGTGTAGGAAAGCACGTACCTGACCAAGTCGGGCTGCGGTTTCTAGATCTCGCTCGATACCGCCCAGAACGGTGTTGTTGTTCTCGAGATAGATGCATTCTGGGCGGCCACAGCAACAAAGCAATTTAGGATTCGGGTCTGACAGGTGATGGCCATTGGTTCGAGTCATGATGGCGTCGAGGTCATCGGGAATGTGGTCCAGGCGCGTGTCCATGCTTGGAGAGGTGGGGATATCATGATTTGTGTGGCAGAAGGATTTGAAGCGATGGGAGGTGGTATTATACGGCGCCGACATGACGAGGACATTCTGGTGCAAGGCGTGAAATACCTGCTCGCAGGTGATAATGAATGGCTATGAGGTGTCGAGACACAGTGAAAGGAGGGGGACAGAGTGGTTGAGGTTGAGATGGTGCCATTGGGTGAGAGATGAAGTTGGTCTCGCTAGTGAAGTTGAGGCGCGGTCGGACCCGGATAATTCATGATCCCGACAATGCCAAGACCTCATGAGATACAAACAAAATCCTCCGAGTCGGTGGTTGAAGGCAGTTCCAGGGGTGGGCCTGGTATGCGTTGGCCACTGGGGTTCCCAGTTCATCAACAGGTGGACGAGCCTTGATGCGATCAGCCGACTATTGGCCCAACCTCATGCCGTGTGTTGGTCCCTTTAACGGTCAGTGTGGCTGGACCCGTTAATGACATCTTCACTATTGATGTCGGCAATGAAGTGTTGGTAAACAATCGACACCGACGTTTGCCTTGCTTCCATGCCATCTCCATATGCAGATACGTTTCGCTTCTCTTTGTTTTGACATACGTCACAACATGTACCAAATCATCTTGACCATGCAGCGCAGGTCGACCACTCAAGCCGAACGCCTCGGAATCAATGAATCCTGTTCGAATTCAGAAGGAATGCTTTCTCATGGTCTCCTTTACACTTTTGACAGGAGTATTCATTTAGACCGGTTTGCGTAGCTAACATTGGACAAATCTATAATCACAAGCCCAATCATGTCAGTTGCTGCACCGTCGCGCCACCCGTTCGTCGAGCCAACGCTCGCCGCACTGCCTCTCTGACTTCAGGGTTCTTCCGCAACGCCCCCGTGAGCAATGAGTCCTTCATTCCTGATCTCAAAATCTCACTCTTCTCCTGGTTATCCTTGAAGGGGTTTAGGCCCAACTGTAAAAGACTAGCAGACTCGTTGTCTAGTCTACCTGCCACATGGGCAAGGTGTGCCACCTGCTGCTGCGTTTGTAACTCTTTGGCTGCAGGGTCCCGTGCCGAGGGGGGAGCAAGTTGTGAGATAAAAATGTTCAGGGACATTGACATCCGCCTTGCCAAACCGAGAATTTGAAATGGCAAAAGGTGCGGTGGGAACAATTGTGGAAACGTTTTCCTTGCCAGCGATGCCCACAATAGGACCAAGTTCGGAGGCTCCCAAGCATGAGTAAGGAAGTACAACTCCAGAAATGCCATGCAGGCCACAGCGAAGTACCTCCAGAATTGGCCCCAATTAGGGAGCCAAAAGTAGTTCAGTACAATCAAGGATACCGCGCTCATGACATATTCCGGGATTTTCGATCGAAGGCCAACATAGACATAATCTCGAATCGTCCTCAACCCGGGATGTTGAAGTTGCACAATGCTCGGTCCAAATCTTTCGTATGCAAAGCGTTTGATGGGATCGAGGATGGTGTCATGTGCAAGTTTATAGTGCACAAAGACGTCTCCTGCACCAGGAAATGACTGGCCATTCTCATGCAACTTATCCGGATGATATTTTGCTGCCAATCGCCGGAAGCGACTGCGCACCTCCCTTTCACTGGTCCATGGTGTCACTCCGAGTATCGTGTAGAAATCAGCCGACAACTTGATATCATATAATGCTTGTGTGAGGGTGTAAACCAAGTAGAGGCTCAGGACGAGCTTGCGGATGCGTCGATTGTGCTGGGCATAGAGGGGTTCACCAGGCTGAGGGTGTCGCTGACCAGCTCGAATGGTGAGCCGATAATAGAATCCCTGTAGGATGGCACTTGCATACTAGTCACCGAGTCAGTCGAAAGTCGGGTGTGCATTTGGACAGCATACATACATTTGGTAGAAATGCCCATCCCACCAAGGAGAAGGCTTGGGTGACAACTCCGTCTGCCATTTTAGAGAGAGAAGATGAAAGCAGGGGGAGCCTATGTTGCCTGCATGACACTTAGGTCATTGCGAAAATCAGACTGAAGCCATCTAGTGTGCGCCTGCGCACTTTAAACAGACAATAAAGCCATCTGGCCTGAATTCGGTGCGTGTCAAACAAGCAAGCAAATGGGTCGAACTGCTCTGCGGTGTCTGACAAATTGGCGGGCGAGTGAACCAGGCGGCCAAAACAGCCCCTTCACGCCCCCAATGGATAGGAATTCTCGTCAGACGGAAATTGCTTTTTTCTCAATACTTAGACGACCTCACATCATCCGTGATCGATTGTTTACAATGTGACTGTACTGACTTACTGCGTAGCAATTCTATAGATATGTCCCTTATTACTCCCAAGATACGTACTACTCCCCGGAAGTCCACGATGGTCGGGTCATTGAAGACTGGTCGTCATGCTAGCGAAGTGGTATCCTGACTTGCTCACTTCCTGCCTTTTCCTTTCTTGTCTTTCTCGATTTACAGTGCCTGATGTCGTTCATCTTCATCAGTTGCAGCTCCAAAAGCGAAAACTTGCCAACGCTTCCAGCATTGGTCTTGAAGTCGAACGCAGCTTCGTGCTGCATCTGTTCTCTCTGCTGCATGGATGAGGTTACACCTAGAGACAACTTGAGCGCCTTGAAGCTAGACGCAGATTCAATGATTGCTCTCAATCTCGAGGAAAGTTTGCACGCGGCTTTAGCTTCACAGTCATCCTCCAGGAGCACCTTCGATAACGTCCTTCATTCTGCAGCAACGAGCAGCAGCGCGTATTCTGGTTAGCCGACATGGACACCGTTAACCGAGGGCTAAGGATATGAGGAGTTGCCGGCCAGAGAGACCCTCGGCTGATTAAGCTCTTACATAGGCGGTTCGCAGCACTTTCCTCTCTGCCAACCGTGCTACCTTACCTTGTCCTGACTATTTAGTCATTCAGGAGTATACATCATGACAATCAAGCTTGTCTATGTGATCGATCGCCGTCCTGACGTTCCGGAGGCGGCATTTTATGACTACTGGTTGAACCAACACGGTCCGCTAGTACGCAGCCATGCGAAGGCTCTTCGAGCAAAGAAATATGTCCAGAGCCATCTGATCGACACACCTGCAAACGAGGCATTGCGCAGCCCTCGTGGTATGCTACCGCCGCTCGTAGGGATCACGGAAGTGTGGTGGGATAGCCTGGACGATTTCCAAGCAGCGTATGCGACACCTGAAGGCCAGGCAGCGGGCGCCGTGCTTTCGGCCGATGAGGAGACGTTCATCAATATCAAGACATCGCAAGTCTTTCTAACCCAGGAGCATGTGATTTTCGACTACACTGACAAGAAGCCGCTAGGCGATCAGTCGATCAAGTGCACCTATCTGCTGACGAAACGCGACGACCTCACCCAGGAAGCGTGCCACGAGACCTGGCTGAAGGACCATGGACCGTTCGTGCGGGGCTTCGCGGATGTTTCGAACATGGCCAAGTACGTTCAGAGCCACACGATTGCGCCGGAGATCAATGCTGGCATTGTGGCGACGCGCGGGTTTTCGGCGCCGCTTGATGGGATCACCGAAGTATGGGTCGCCAACCCAGCTGCGAGCCAGGACAACGATGAGGTGCGCAAGGCCGCCGGGGCGATGGTCGAGGATGAAAGGCGGTTCGTAGAAATGGGCAACTCGCGCTGCTTCATGACGAAGGAACATGTGATTTTTGATTTCACAGAAGTGAAGCAAGGCAAAGGGCAACTTTGACTTGTTCATGAGCAGCATGGCTTTCTGGGCGGAGTCGACTCAGAGACTACAAACTGTGCGATGCCACTGCCGTCTTGAGTGTGCGATTCCTCACACAGTCACCTCCACTACACTCAAGGCGTACTGGTGCGTAAGTGGATAGTCTGATCATTAAGTTTGGGTATTTGCCTGGCAAAGGGCCGGAGCAGTTCGGAAGTTCGGAAATTGCGGCCTCCTGGCAAACGGACCTGATGGCATCGTCTTACTGCTGGAGTGCCGTGTCCATGACCACGACTGTAGCGTGCTCTGATAGAGTTCGAATCAAATCCCGAGACTGGCTGGACGAGATCGACCATGGAGCTCTTGGGGCACGCAGAATAGGTCTTTGAGAGCAAGGAAGTCCACGCTTTCATCGAACTTATTCGAAGAGATGTCGAAGTCATTGAGAACGGACAAGGGGGAAACTCTAGGTTATCGTCGCTCTGCGCTGGAACCCAATCGAACCAATGAGGCATTTGATGGTATATACTCTGAGCGGCTTTGGAATCGAGTGGCTCTTCCGTTAGATTGAATCGGTTGCCCAGTGCACAATCTTAGCAAGATCGTGCCACACACTCTCTCTCCCATGTCTTATTGTATAGATCGAAGAAATTGTGTCCACGTATATTTACGCAGCCCTATCTACCCAGCACCCGCTGATAATTCGGAAGGAGCGAATCTATCCAAGTTGTCACGCACTTGTGACTAGAAGCTCTAGCATGTGCATGAAGAGGGTTCTATTCCTTTCCTCAGTCATCAAATTGACAATCCCTCTGTAATGGTCGCCGACTAGCACAAAGTTAGTGAGGAAACAGATCTCGAGAAGAATCGAAACTCGAGCAGGGACCACGGATTGGCGAACTCCGGGCTTATGTCGTTTGCTCATCTGATATTCAGAAAGGAATAAGCCAGCTTCACCACACAATCGGCCGAGTGACTTAGAGTGTCACTTGTCAACATAGACAGTATAAGGATGATAAGTACTAACGGTCCAAAGCGTTGAAGAATATGATATAATCACAAAACTTCAGAGGCGAACCTATGTATCATCGCTCGATCGCGCCGCATTCAAGGCTCTGGGGAAAAGAAAAGCTCGAAAAGTCTCCTCTGACGCGGTGTTCATCATCTGAACAACTCGAGTGAGGGACTTCTGAAGAAAGATATGCCTCGCGGCGCGACTCACGTTTTGATCTGGCTATGGTCATACCGAAGTGAAATTTTATCACGATCGCGGGTACCATCAGCCTGGGTATGTCAAACCTATAGTTTACGTGACATCGCCAGCTCTGTGCAGCGTGTGTGCTGTGGAAGAAGCCCGTCGCAGACGAAAACAGCGGTATTACGAAGACAAGTGAACTATCTAGTATCGAGACAGGCTGTGAAACAGGCTGTGTGCACATTAATACACATCGACAGTGCGCACACGCCCAATCTTGACCTGTGAATCTAGGAAGCCAGCTGAAATGGGTGGGGGAACTGTCTTTCTCATCATGCGAAATTCCTACAATTGTCGTGAGATTGATGGGCCAGAGTCGACTCTCCCTTACATTATTTGGATGTCCTTGGAGGACGAGAGCACTGCTGACCCTGTTAATCGGGATGGCGTATTGTAAGGCAGTCAAGGGAAATTTTCGGCGTCCTCCCCTTTGCTTACATTGACACTATAACAACCTCCAAAAAAATAATCAGAAAACGGGGTGTTTGGACTTGACCGAGGTGAGAAGCAGTCGAAGGCCTTTCGATCCTGCTTTGTTAGGTATGTACTTTTTTTGTTACCTCTACAACGCCATCCCCCCAAGATCATGCTTCCCAAACACGTTGCGATCCCAGTACCCCTTCTCCATAATGGATAGACGCTGCAGGCGGATCTCTAAGCTCAATGACACGATAAGTTGCACCATCGAGCAAGGTCGTTGAAGTCTCATGCAGAAGCTGCATCAATGGTTTCTCCGATTGTAAAGAATGGACCATGCCCACAGATCATGTATAGAGCTCCGGGGAACCATAGCATACGGTTTGTACCTGATGATATTTGAGCCAGGATAGGCAGAAGCTATTCAAGCTGCAAACGAGGTGGCGCAAGCAGACAAGGTTATCAAGTACCACAGCTGCAGGGTCGACTTGCCCAGAAAGCCGCAAAATATTTCCGCTCTTTCTTCCCGTATCTCAATTTCTCGGGTGGGATTGATCATAGGAGAACTTCGAATCAAGGAATAAAAGGGTTATTCAGTCGGCGAACCACATGTAAAAGTATTCATCAATTCTGCGACCACTGCCAAATCCGGATCTGAAGCTCAGATTACCATGCCGGGTTTGTCGTATTCGTGCCGAGAATATCAAGAAAGCAACAAGGGCCGAACAGCATCGCCCCTGGATTCGTCAGCAACTGCCTTCGAGTTCAAAGGCGCACGCGCCTACAGAGCGCTGTGACTGATGGTTATGACTCTACAAGTAGGTTTGTGAACGCGGGTTAACAGGAGCACGACGAGTCCCTGGTTGTAATCTGCCGTTATCAGAAGGGTCCACAAACGCGTGACCCTTGCCAGAAAGTATGCCACTCTCGTCATTCGTAAGCACGAAGCGGGGCTTGGATTGTTCCTGCATGAGTGGCAGAACTCGTGCCCAATATCCATCTTTGCTACCACCCTTCAAGTAGTGCTATGAGGCAGAGTTCATCTCTCTTCTTGCATACTGAGGTATCCGATGGTCTTTCATACGACACTACGGCATGACCCAAGGTTCAAACAGTAGGAATCGAGAGCTGAGGGGTGTTGAGCCCACAGGTCTGGAGACTTGTGAACGCAATCAAGATATAAGCAAATTCTTCCGAGGATGGCTTTGGACGCCCTGATTGGTCGCCCCGGTTCATCTGTGAATGTTTGTTTCGTTTTGACTAGCGAGTTCTCGGTACAGCGTCTCCCGCAATCGCAATGATCTGCACGTCGATGTACACTTCGCGTACGAGACTTCAATCCACAACGTGCGCCAATTGACTACGGTGTAAGTACGTGATGTCAAAGGTTGCACGTGAAGAGATCGTCACACGTTGACACGTTCACAGGGTTGATGTCTGGGATTAATCCTAACATCCTTGGCAGCAATCCATGTATTTTGGGGCGGCCTGCCTCGCCGAAATCAAGAGATCGGCGACAGTTCGCTTATCTTGCGGGCTCTAAGGGGACCGAAAGCGTGCCATTCGTTCGGATGGTAGGCCCTGTGCTTCCTTTTGGAAGCTGCTAGGGTCTCTGGGTCGCCAAGGTCACAACCCGGAAGCCAAAGTGCAACGTCTTTCCCGTGAACCATGATCGCCATCCGAAATTTCCTAGTGGAAGTATTCTCCCCGACACCTCAGGTGAAGCCACATAGCATTGTCCTTTCCCCCCCCATCACCATCGCCCTGGGTTGCAAAATGCCGTCTCTCGCTAATGCATGCCATGGGCAATGCTCACCAATGGCACAATCTCACCACCCAACGTTCATTGACGCCCAACCATCATCTATTCAGACTCAAGAAACGTCCACCTTCGGAAATCGTAGATATTCTCTGCTGATCCTCTACGTGTAGTTACACGGCTCATAATGTCACATAGGGACAGACCATGGCTTCCCTTACGACACTTATAACTCTTGCTCAAAGTCTGAAGCAGAGTTTCAGCCACGACAGCCTCCCCATGCTAACAGGTCTGCGATTCGAGCTTCAAAGGAGTTTCTTCTGATGTCGGTTGGCAATATAACTATTCTGCCTGGACAATCGTTTGGATTTGACATCTTTTCAGGACTTTTGTCTTTGCAAACCTGAATCTGTCAAAATGCCTCTCTTTAGCAATTATCCGGGCCTGGACGATATCTCCTTACAGCTATCGCTCCCGGCTTTGGTTTTCAGCATTACTACGCCTCTTATTGTTCTTGCCCGATTCGTTGCCCGATTGACTCACGGTAATCATTTGGGACCGGACGATTGGGTCATTTTAGTGTCCCTGCTCTTTGCCGAAACAGTGTCTATTCAAATGATACTATGTTGCGAATGGGGATTTGGCAAACACACCAAAGCTCTACCCGTCGAGTTAGTGAAGCGGACCTTGGAAATGTACTACTTTGCCCAGATCTTCTACAAGGTCGCCATTGGATTGACCAAGATCTCGATATTACTTCTATATGTCCGAGTCTTTGGTGTATGGAAGTCCTTCAAGTGGCTCTGTTGGTTGATGATGGGCCTAGTACTTGCGTTCACCATTGCTTCGGTCACGGTCTCTGTCTTCCAGTGCTCACCAATCAACTTCGCCTTCGATAAGAGTGCCAATGGAGGTCATGGTACTTGTGTCGACATGACCAAGTTTTGGTACGCCAACGCTGGGTTCAATATCGGCAGTGATGTTATCATCATTCTCCTACCAATTCTCCCCGTGAAAAGCTTGCAATTGCCAATAAGGAGCAAGGTTGCTCTCTGCGGTGTATTTGCCATAGGTGGCTTGTGAGTTTCCGCATCCCCTCTCTCTACCTTTTAGCTGCAGTATGCTGATCGAATCTCATAGTGTCTGTGTCACATCCATACTCCGCTTCACTACCTTGAATGTCTCGACATCACATAAAGACATCATGTGGCAATCAATAGGTAGCAGCATGTGGACTGTGATCGAGTACAACTTAGGAATCACAACAGCTTGTCTACCCGCACTACGTCGCCCTCTTGCTTCAATCTTCCCGGCCCTCCTAGGACGGGGTTCTCGAAACTGGGACTCCGGTCCAACTATGCAACGGGGCACCACAATCAACAGCATTAGTACTGAAGACTCTACAAGGAGAATATACAGGTCTTCACTCCACGCCGTGGGTTGTCCTGAACACTTGAATGATAAGATGACGCACGCCTCCCGAGATGACCGCTACAGAAGTGGTCTGCGTACGGAGACTTACGATTTTACGACAGACGGTCGACGCTCGAGTGAGTTCCAAGAGGACATTCTAAAAGAGTTCCCTTTATGGGAGAATGGTATAATGAAGACGATCGAGACGGAAGTACGTGTTGAGGGAGACAGTGTTGTTGGCAGCAGCGATGCTGGGCATGTGGATGAGGAGAAGCCAGCTTTTCCCCGATATGTCTTTGATCCTGTTTCATGGAGACCGCTTCCTAGGAAAAGTCTCGATCAACCGGATCCGCCCCAATTCGTACCCGGGGGTTAGCTCTACTTTTCTACATCTTTTCCAAGCTAATATATGCCGAAGAGAGCACTTTTTTGTACAAACACAAGCAGCACCAGGTATCATGAATGATGGAGTAGATAGAATCAATGAATAAAAGTATTATATGCAAACTAGCACACGTGGTATCTCCGAAGCATCCATTTGTCGACTTCCAATCCTAATGATTTCCCAGCCACTGCAGCACCGCATCATGAAACCTATCTGGCTCTTGAATCTGCGGTGCATGTCCCAGATCCGCAAATGGCACATATGTACAGTTCTCCCCGATCGCATCCGCTGTCGCTCTACCCAATGCCGTGTAATTTCCCAGCTTGGCCGCTACCGCAGGGGGACTCCATTGCTTGCCAATAGCCGTATTATCCTTCTCCCCGATCATCAAGAGCGTCGGTGTATTTGCAAGACCTCCAAACTCATACGCTATGGGCTGCGTCATCACCATGTCCGTGACCAACGCCTGATCAAAAGCATAGATCTCCGCACGGCTGCCGTTGTACACTGCAAGTAGCATGTTCACCCAGACATCATAAGCTGGCTTCCATGAATTGACATAGTAGGTGGCCTGCTCGTAGCCACGGATCGAGGAATAATTCGATGCACGCTCCGTCGTGTAGATATTGTCGATGGACAAGTAGGGGACGCCTTTGGCCTTCCAATCCTCGAGTCCAATGGGATTGACGAGCATGAGTCCTGCCACCAAATCTGGGTACATGAGCGAGAAACGTGTCGCAAGCATCCCGCCCATAGAATGGCCCAGAACGTAGACAGACGTCAAATTCAAGCTGTTAAGGATGGTTTTCGTATTCAGCGCGAACTGCTGCAGCGAAAATTGGTATGCGTCTGGCTTGTCGGATTTGCAGAATCCGATTTGGTCTGGTAGGACGACGCGATAGCCTTGAGATAGCAGCACTTCGGCGGTTGCGTTCCATGTTGCGCCGCAGAAGTTCTTGCCGTGCAGGAGCACCACGGTGCGTTGTGGGCCACTGTACGATGTATTTGCTGTCGAGGGAGGAGAGACGTCCATGTACGCCTGACAGAGGCTTTGATGCTGGGTTTGCAGTTGTGCATAGCGGATCGGATACGGGTATGTGTATACCATGCCACCAGATGTGGTGTTGGTCGAGGGTGGACCCGATGGGCATTGTGTTGCGGATGCTATTGTGCAGCACAAAGCTGCAATCAGTAGCTGGATCATGTTACAAGAATGCATTGTGAACTATGAGTGTATATTCTACCACAATGTCACAACACAGCTATGGCATGTGTCTGAAACCCGTCGACGACGAGATCAAGCTTATGAGAAAATAACATCCAGTACGACACCATGCCATCTCCGTCGAGTACAGCAAGCTCAGGTACCCACCTGCCAATACTGGACCTTGCAGATCACTTTACGGAGCACGAACTCCCTTTGGCACGACCCTGAACGTTGTTGCGGGGGATGGCCGGCATTGACTAAAGGTTGAACGCCTCTGGGGCGCCTCTTACGCCATCTTGGGGGAGCAGAATGGCGGATGGAGGGTAGCAATCAACCAGGGTTGCAACCTGCAATATTCCATGTTCCTGGCCAAGGGAGTAATGGGACAAGAATGTTGGTCAATTCTCGTCTAACTGCAGCACGTGGACTTCGTCTCTGAAATGGCTCCTCGTTTCGCCTGGCTCCTCTCATCTTCTGCACAAACCTGCTAATTTTGCTGGCTTGTCATGACCTTTTTCACTCAATGCAACAGCGTCATTTTAAGTGGTCGAAATTGTTAATGTGCAAGCCTGCGTATGTATTATTTAGAGGCATCCATGTCCTACAGATATCGCATCGTATTAATTCTTACTTTCTCTGCTCGACATCCTGCACTTTCAAGCAGGACAGAGAGTGGCAGGACTCGGCCGGCAGTGACGTCACAGCATGTCATTTCCGTTTCCGAGGCCTGATAAGAAGCTTGGCGAGTTTGCTTTGTTGACCTTCAGAATCCCTTTTCTTTAGAGCCTTGTCGAAAATTTCGAACAATTTCTCGAAATCCCTTGACTTTTCGGCAAGACTAATGACAAAAATTACGATCGTTCGTTCACGTAAGTGATAGTATCCTTCTGAGCTGCCCTCAGGCGTTCAAAATGGAGTCGTACAAGGTTGACTGGAATTTGTCTCCTTGTTCCAGCACAGCTTGAACCTCCACATCCATGCTCCCGAGAAATCTTTCCGCAGTCCATTTCGGCTGCCAACCAATTTTGAAGGCATTCACGGGAATGATGTCTCCACTAAGATGAGGTTAGACCAGCTTAAGTGCTCAGCCACCTGAAATTCACGCACCTTGACGTGCCCATGGCGCGTACGAATTGTCGTGGCCATCCAAGATGCTGTGCCGCCATTTCGTCGCTTGGCCAGATCTCCACCTTCGCTTCGTTCACAAGCCCACGCCTATACAGGGCATCGGCAAGCTTCTGCATCACATCCCACCAGGAAACTTTATGGGCCATAGCGAAATAATACCCCTTTTCCCCCATGGGAAGCGGCGCCTTGTTCAGTATCTTCTCAAGGAGAAGAATGTACAGTGCTGCCATATCTGACACGTGTGTCATAGCAGGGTGCTATTGGAGCATCAGATGAGTGGTATGAGACTTGCTGAGAAACGATGAACTAATCACTCACAGCATCCTTATCGAATCTGTGGACGACCTGGTCGGCTATCGAAGTGCGAAGAAACGATGGAATACTTGAGGAGGTCCTCCTGAATTCTCCACTTCCCATCCCGTCTGTTGATCATCCAATTGTTAGTTATCCTCACGATATCTTGCAAGATAGAAACAGCCTTTGTGTAACTTACAGACGACAGGCACAACAACGATGAGACTGATGACACCTTCTGCCCTGGCCACGTCGGTCACAAGGATATCTGCCTGGTAAAGAGTTAAGACATGCTTTCCAACCGAGGAACCATGCTCTCACATCTCGAACTGGGTGACCAGCTGGAAGTTGTTTCTCCATATCGTACAGAGTATCTGTGTCTTTCACCTCTCCAAATGGCCAACCATTCTCCTTAGAGAAGGCAGCTGTAACCGAGGACTAGCAACAAATCATCAATGGTCTTGATCTACTGACCGGATTTAGAGTCCTCACATGAATGAAATAAGCCTCTCCATTGCTGACTTTGCGCCGTTCACCCAGAGCTTTGATCAAGTGAGATGCAATTGCTGGTTCCAAGGCGCTCGCGATGTGCACGATTATATCGACTGTCAAGCATGAGCTCTTCCCCTCTAGCGTTCTATTTGATCAACAAACCGTTGTTGCTCAGCACGGCTTCCTTCACAGCTTCCTCATCATTCAGGTCGAGTGCAATGGCGTGAACACTCATGTCGGACAGAGCTTTAATTTGTTGCTCTGAGCGAAGAGTGACCGTGAGATTCTTGGGTTTGATTGGACTGTTCGTGAGTGATAAGATCTGGTCCAGGATCGTGCCTCCACTAAACGCAGTCAGCGAAGCCAGGGTGTTTATATTCCAAGCCTACATATAGCCACCACCGCCAGTGAGAAGGATATGTTGAGCCATTATTAGATCTTGAGTAGCCTACTTCTGCCACAGGTGCGACCACTGAATTCTTTATACCTCAATCGCAATATATCTACACTGTGGCATAGCCTTGTCTAGGTTGGGTTCCCATTAATCTCATGCACACAACAAGACCAGACTGTGATAAATGGGTACAAATTCCTGTCAATCCAAAGGTCCTAGCCTCTGGCCGTGTTGTGGGCCCATCCACAAAGTAGCCGGAAACGCGCGCAGACCCGATTTGTCATCCCTGACAGACCCCCCTCGAAGCGCCTCAGAATCGTGACTACCGCAACCTACAATGGAATCCGAACATAAAACTCCTCTAATATGGATACCCGCGGGAACAAAGGGCAAGGACGAGGAACTGGTCGTGTCGCGATTCGCCATCGTTCTGTGAGCTACATGGGATGTTGCGTTGCTTGATCGAGTAACTAACATGGAGGAAAGTGCGACCAGTGTCGGTCCAGGAAAGTATGCATCTCTCGGTCCTCTCCGCAGCCTGGATAGAGCAGAGCTTAGAAAGAAGATCTCACTGATCGTTCGAATTTACTACAGATTGGCTGTGATAGGGCATCACCCTGTTCAAACTGCGCGTCAGCCAGGCTTGATTGCACACATTCCACCCCAACTCCGAAGATCATTGCTCCAAAGCAACGTGTACTAATCTCAGCTCAATAGTAAGTGGATGATTGGCGTTGTTATTATACGTGGTCATCGTTAATGCTCATATCGTACTCCGCTCAGCGAACAGAAGATTGACAATATCGTGGGCGGCATCGAGGATATCAAGCGACTACTCCATCGCAAAGATGTTGTTGCGGTCAATACTCTATCGAGCGATATCCCGGAAAGTTATCCCAGGCCACCTAAACCACCAGCACGAGTTCCTGAAACCCAGCCTTCTTCGAGGCCAAAGGAGATAAACACTGACTGGGATACTTCTCATCATATCGTCGAGTTCGTCAAAGCTGTGGTCCAGAACTGCGACTTGCAATTACCTAACCTCGAACTTGGTCAAGCTGTATCATCATTGAGTGCAATAATTACAGTCACGGACGACAAAGTACTCGACCAGCATTCAGATTGCGGCCTGCTCGCCAGGTACATCCCGCATGTTCCGCCTTCACTACCTCCGTTGAAAGCGGCAGTCGATTTATTGCGCTGGGCCAAAGGTCAGTGTCCCTCAGATGATTTTCTCTCTGGAACTAACTAGAACTATAGAGCATAAGCATTATATCCTCATTACTCATATATCCCGAATCCTTCCCCTGGAAAAGTTCACTGAAATTTGCCAAAAGGTGTACTTTGCGGTGGATGGCTATAATGAACTCGAGTTCATTCTGGCGAATGGCTACCTATCCTATGTCTCTTTCGAGTATTTCGTTGCGTCCGGAAATGAAGAATATAACGAATATTGCAATCTATGTTGGAGAAACCTCGTCAAAGCCTTTACACGACTTCCACTGGTTCTTCCACATTCCATCGAGTCCATTGCGGTACTGGCACTAGGCGTAAGCATTCCTGGTAACAATTGCAAGGTCAACACCTCTGACAGATACTTGTCACAGACTTTCAATGCTATCGAAAACTCAAAGTCGTCTTTGGCTTGGACCTTCATTTCCTATGCAGCGAATCTGTGCCTCACACTTGGCTACCATCGGAATGACACTACTACTAACAACAAGTCAGACCTTCGAATCAATCAAGAGAGCCTCTTCTGGCTAGTCTACAATCTCGAGAAAGGACTCTCATTGCGACTTAGTCGATCTTCCAACATCCGCGACCGTGACATAACGCTACCAGTCAATTCGAATGCGCTTCGACGCACTCGCCAAGCCATGATTCAAGGTCAGGTGTACGACCAGCTGTACAGTCCCAGTGGCCTGGCCAAGCCTGAAGGTGAGCGACGAACCATCGCCAGTGCTTTGGCTCAAGGACTCCGAGAAATCATCCAAGACACACATGTTGATATCATGGTGCGCTTCCCTTCAGTCGCTACTAATGGGCAGTAATAATTATTAGCTAACACCTGCCAGAACGCTGAACAACTCGATCCAAATGTCGATCCCATGGGAATTGTATATCTGCGCTGCGACCTGGTCTGCACTTCATCGACTCTGGCTCTGATCCTCCGCGCTGCTCCTACAGAGGGCAAAGCCGAAAGCCGTGCCTCGGACGATTGTATTGCTGTTGCTCGTGAGGTCATGGAGATTCACCAGCAATGCATGAACAGCGTCAGAAACTGCAAGGGCAACACAGCCATGTTGCAGAAATATATCAATTGGTGAGCTACTTACACTCTTAAACACAATCCCATAAGCTCCACACGAAGTCCCATTATCAATAGTAAGTATTATCATGAAAATAACGTATCATACCTTCCTTCAAGGGCCGTCCTCCACACGCCATTCATCCCCTTCAGCATCCTCTTCACCCAAGCCGTGCAGCATCTTGACGAGTCTGATCTGAGCCGGATAGAACGCTTCGCCTCGTCTCTGAAACCCGAACCGCCCGTGTCTGCATCGCCATCCCATCCATATAGGATTTACGAACTCCTCAGCCGGACCGCGAGGCTGTGCGTCGACTCTCAGATCCAGCGCCACGCGCAATCACAGCCGGTGCTCTCGTCAACAGAAGGCCGATTCTCCGCTGCGGAGGACGCGGGTTTTGGATCACAACAGGATCGCTGCAATCCCGGCGTCGATGCACTAGCAGGAGTGGACGACCTGGATCTCGCAGACATAGACTTCCATGTGGATGGGTTGAGTGAATGGTACTACGGGAACCAGCAGATCATGAACTTGATGGATGACGACGCCATGACGTGGACTTATTAGTGAAGTGTTGGAATATCGCCCCGGGCCAAGGGTAAACCCCATCCAGAAGTGAATTGGTCTGGTCATTTTGCCAGGCACGAGACAATGTGTATGTCATCCGTATGCTTCGAGGGCAATGTGGAAACTTGTACAATCGAGATTTGACATGGAAACAGATCTTTCTACACAGTGGAGCGAGATGTGGTTATATTTGAATGCTACTTTGCGAACCTACCTGCCTGACTCGTCCTGATGACTCTGCAACTCGCAAAAGCTCCGCCCCCTCAAGCTGCGCTAGCTCCAATTCTTGTTCTCGAATGCTCCTCGTCCTTCCAAAACCGAATTGAGCGTCATACCACTAAAGTCCATGGAACGAAAAACGCCATCCATTGCCTGTGCAAAATCGGTCGATATCACATGATGTGTGACCCTTCTATCCTCCGTAATACTCCCAAAGCATCGAGTGTGGATTGCGTAAAGGTTGATGAAAAGCAAAAGCCAGTTCTAGAATGGCAACAGTCAAACTCATTCAGATATTGTACCAGACGATCCAATTCTCGAATGGTAGGTATGTTGTGAGTCGATTATCACTCATGTTAGTGGCAATCGAGCTGACTTTAGAGGCGGTGTTCCAAGGTGGGTGGGTAAAAAGAAGGCATTTTTTCGGTGGTTAGGTCTAGAGGAATGGGTAGACGAATAAGGGGACGAAAAAGTGTTGTCGAAATAAAACCTCAAATGGTAATTCGTCTAACTATGACGCAAAGGTTGATTGGAGGTTGACGAAGGCGGCTGGTCCACCGTCCTGGCTCAGCACGTCGATCAGTGCTTCAGTCTGCTTCCAGGTGTTCTCCAAAGCAGCAGAAGGTGATCGACCGAGGGAGACTGTGAGAGTTAGCACCACGGTAGATTACGACACTGGCGCACAAAATACCTAAAATTGCGGAATTCAATTCCTCCGCAACCGTCACCCTGCCAGATGAGTCTAACAAGTGACCATGAACACTATCCTTAGGGTGATCATACGCAACAAGACTGAAGATATCCTGCAAGGTCTTGGCGTATTCTCCATCTTCATCGCGATATTCCCTTTGTAGTTCTTGACCATAAAGCATCGCTTCGTTGATTAACTGGTCGTATTGGACGACACTATCTGTTGCAGAAGTTTTGTCAGATGCGTTATGGTCATCAAGTTCCATGTCTCGAGCAAAATCGTCGTCATCAGCAGGATTCTTCCCATGAGTATTTGTCCTCCCTCCCGGTTGACCGTCTCTATTTTTGCTCAGTTCTGTTGTTTTGCTGATCAATTCGACCCATTTCCGACACTTTAAACGGAAGAGAATATCTGGATTCTCTGCAAGCACGGTTGGGAAGTGTGAGTTGGTGACCTCCAGGGCCTGGTCGATATTTCCTGAAAGAATGGCTCGACGCATTTCTAATTGGTTAGTGACGTGAACGACAGGATGGGAGATATGCTTACGTTGGCGATGAACTGCATCCGCATCGTCCCGATCTGGGCGAGTGGGTGTAACTGTAGGTAGGGCACTGTTCAATGATTGCTTCTCCGCACGAATTTCGTCTGCGAATGCTTTGGCAGTCTCAACATATCCATCATGCGCCAGGAATTGGGCGACCAGCTCCTGGATCAGGCTGCTTTCCTCTCGGGGTGGTCGTAGAGTGGTTGTTCTTGCGCGGGTTATCTCGCGCGATACGCGAGTCGTTTCTTTGTGCATTTTATCGTTAATGTCAAAAACGAAGGGACGCTGACCAAAGTTTGCGGTAAGAAGTGCCCCTGAGTGCTTTTTCATGCCGATGGTTGGAAAAGGTCTCAAGTCCTTTTTAAGTTCTCGAAAACATATACCCAAGTCCTGACCATTCTTGGTGAAAAAAGCGTTACCAGCGTTGAAGTTGACACCACAGCCAATGATATCACCGGTTCCAAAAGTCGGGCCATATGATTTGCCTGACTGTTCTCCAAAGAACATCTTGCCATCGTCACCATGATAGCCCCAAGAATGTGTTTCCCATCCTGCAAGTCTTTCGAGAGATGCTTCTGCGGTAGAGAAGCCGATGGCGATAGCCGTGTCCCTACTCTTCTGCTTGATTTCCACTTCAAAATAGTAGATACCACATGCCGGAGACATTGGATAATCGGCCCGCACAGAAGCCGCCTCTATATCAGCTTTACTGGCAGAGCCGCTATACTTCAAGTCTTGTCCATCATTCATGACATCCAACCCAGGATACTTGTCCTGTTCACTCCACCCGGTTGGTAAGGGCATAAGCTCTTCATCCTCCTTCGGTGGATTGCTTTCAATGATGTCGTAGGTCATGCCTCGATGAGAGGGGGCCATACGATGAACATTAGTGCTCCCGGCACTTGTGGATAGTGGATTCAGAGCTGAAGAACTCGAGGATGGCTGTTCTCTTTCTCTCCTGACCTTGGCTTTGTGGGCCAATTCCAATTTCGCAGCATAGCGAGACTGACGAAGATAAGACGGAATGAAGAAGGGATTTGACGCCATTGTTCCTGTACCCGAGAACATTAGATTGTTGAACTTTCTAGAATAGGCAGGTAACGGGACTGGTTCACGCCAGTTCGTTCGTAAAGTGGGATCGTGATCCTGGACCGAAGGTCTCCTGTTGTATTGCTCGATAGTATGGTAAATAGGGAGGGAAGAAGTACTAGGATTTGCTCCGACTAGGTGTGCAAATGTTCCAGACCGAGTAGGAGTCAGTTGAGGTTGATATGTGGGAGCGCCAGAAGCGACTGAGGCATATGACAATCTTCGAGGTACGTTGCCACCATACTGATTTGATCGACCGCTATTGCCAGATGCTGCACCGTCGGTCATTGCTTTCGGATGCAGAGGGTCTTTGGATAGCAGGGAATGAGAGCGTTTCTGTTGCTTGCCAGATGGGCGAACCCAGAACAGTGATGGAAGTGGGCAATGGTCGAGATCGGTAGGACAATCGAGAGGGATTTCTTTACCCCAGAGCGAATGTATGAATAGTCATGTTGTTCGACTTATGGGGAAATGGACACGGAAGCTATATGATTCAATTCTTCATCGCAGCGGTTTGCGGCAGGTGTGATGGGTTATCGGACTGATATGGTGCTATTGATGTAATGGATGGTGTTGTCACTGCTATCGGGAATGATAGGCGTGCTTGTAGTTAAGCCGCAGGTGGTGCAGGTGACATGGGGAAGTGCATTTAGTTAGGCAGGTGCAAGTGGCAAGCAGGTGGCTTCCCACAGCCTAGTGTCATTGGGCGGCGGTAGGGTTCCGGCAGACAGAACAATTGATTGATCACGTGCTATAATTTGGCTGCTGGACATGGACCCTCGTCTCTGTGGCCTTTAAAGAATGGCGACAACATCAAGAGGCATACTGAGCACAGTATCCGATATGATGCCATAGTATTGCTCATTGAGTCTCCATGACCCAAGAATATGCATATCCTATATCTGATTGTACATGATCCCTATTGAGATCTTTTAGCTGCTTGCTGAGCAACAAGCAACCTGCCTCGAAACCCTATCGAGTCTCCCCAAATACATGTGGCATGCCCAGAAAAACACAACAAACTCCTCAATCATTGCTGGGTTTTCTCGGGCTTACTATACCCGTTCGAATCTCTCAGATAGTCCGTCATAAAGCCAGCCATGTGATGCCTTTTGGCCCTCCATAACTCCACGCTGAATAATAATAATTCCAAAAATGCCCCTTCCCCGAAAAGTGTTTGGGAAGTAATGGTGTCGTCTGGCGTGTCTTTCTCGACCAACCAATCGCCCGAGATCATGATATTGCAGATACAGTGTGATGAATTGTGATAAGAACGCGCCCTCAAGTATAGCAACAACAGTCCTCGTCCCAGTCCAGGAAGTGGATCACCCAAGAGCAGCGACGATCGGGGTCTGTTCTGGCATTGGAACTGGGGAGCTTGCTGCTGGTGTAGACATCAGCATGGTCTCAGGGTGGTCTCCGGCAGTGCTGTCCATGGCAGCATCACTCTCGTTAGGTTTGACATCACTGCTGCTTTGTTGTGATATCTCGCGAGCACCATTCAGCTCTTCGCCATTGACTTTCAGATTTTCAATTCCTCTCCATGATGGTACATCCCAAACGATACCGGTAAAGCTCTTCAAATGAAATGGTTTCTTGTTCCACTTGCGACAAGGTTTGCCCGATCGATCGAGTGCTCTGAGACCAGCATTGATAGCCCCTTGGTTGGCCTTGGGTCCCAGCTTGTGGCCAGTGAAGCCAATGACTGGACCAGCGGGAGCTCGGGTGGCATTGTGATCGATGGTACCGTCTTCTCTGCTAGAGGGTCAGCTTGTTAGATCAGATTGGTAAAAAGAAGAGGTTCATCACGTACAATCTAGGTTTCTTTTTGGGACCTGGTTTACCACGTGCTTTAGGTGTTCCACTAGACTCCAACATTTGTCCAAGGTTCCTCTTGTATCCTGGGGCAGGGCCCTTGCGTTTTTTGGAGGGGTCTGATGAATTTGCATCGCCATTGGAAGGTGCAGGCGTGGAGTTGGACTCGGATGTATTGTCATTGATCTCCGGAACCTTCAAAGCCGGGACATCGTCAACCACACGAGCCGGTGAGGAGGCTGATGACGGTGTAGACTCTTGTTCTTCTTCCTTGGCAGAGGGTGGCTCGAAACGCTGCAGTAGTTTTGGTGAGATCTTAAGTATGACCACTTTGCCTTGCTTCTTGTTCTTGTCTCCTCGGACTGCCATTGCAGAAGGTGATCCTGTTGTAGTTGAGGATGAAACTGCCATGGCTGGTTGTAGTATTACACGGACGCGGTGGTCACAGGAGGAGAGTAGAGAGCAAGAGCAGGTTTATTGGCAATGGATAGAAGCGAGGAGGAGTTGGAATGGTGATCGGGTTGACGATGAGGTCAAGGGCGATGTTGGTGACGATGTTGTGTGGTGGACAACAGAACCACAGAGGTAGTGGTTGAAAAGTCTGCTGGTTGCAAGGTAGGCGTGGCTCACATTGATGGTCAAGGCTCTTTGTACCTCAGCTTTGGGTTAGGTCTGGGTGAGTGGTGGCTAAATTATAAATTATTTGTCGGCAAGGGGTGGAACTGAGTCCGAATTGCTGGTGATGGCCGTCAGGGTATTGATTTTGGTGGGAGGGTGAGTTGGCAGGAAGGTTTCATGGTGAGTAGGGAGGAGGAGTGATGGAGGAGGTGGTGACAAGTAATTAGAAGTGGATGACTTTGGCCGGATCATGATGGATGGCTTTGGAGGATTGCCAGTGGGATGGGACAATGGAATTTTTGGGTAGGGTGTGCGGGTGCAGAGCCCTTCAGGTTTGCAAGACAGCGAGGCGTCAGGTCAGGTAGTCAGAGTCTCAGAGGCAGACAAGAGGCAGAGACGAGGAAACGGAGGAGAGAGGGAACTGGGAAGGGGCGTTGTGTACGGCGAGCACCAACTAGTACATGCTAACGACCTTGCAACTTGCCAGAAACAGGGCCGCCAAGCCGGTTTGATGGAGCTCTCCGTCGGAACTAGCTAAAAACAGTCAGGTCAAGCCTCTAATGGCAATGCAGACTCATCATGCCTGAGGTCTTTCCCCCTGGTTGCGTCAAATCTGCCCAGCCCGCTGCAGAACCAACCACTTTTCTTTAATGGCCGGATGGGTGCTCTCAGGCTTTGCCGAGATCATCAACAGGGTGAGCATCAGCCATGCATCCTGCAAAGAGGAGACGCCTGGATCACGTCCAAGTCAAGCTGAACAAACCATTCCGTTCACCGCTCCGCACCACCAAGAATACCGTCGATAATCACAATTCTGTGATTACGAGTAACAGTGGCAATACTCCAACAGACTCCATCACAAATGCATCTAATGTCCTCCAATCATCGCCCACGAAGGCTTCTAATCCCATAGTGACAAACACTACTGAGAAGGGCCTTACACAGAAGCTGAAGCAAACAACACAGGCGCTTGATACAGCCGAACAGGCTTTACAGATCATCACTTCTGGTCAAGATATTCAGCTTGAGGCATTAATCACAAAATGGACACATATTGCACGTGATGCTGCAGATGAGCTGTTTATTGATGCCAAAGCTCGGATTGAGGATATGGGTGGAATAGAGGTATGGCAGCGAAAAGCCCAAACCGAGGGCCAACTTTGGGCTGAAGCCAACCAATATGAATATCGTACTGTGGAAGATGTTTCATCCACGCAAAATGGTCTATCGACCACAGAACAGCTTTCCATGGCTGAGGAATGTGCAGTCGACCAAGTAAGATCCTCGAATCAACAGTTGGTGCACACTAATATACCCATGCCAGGCCTTTACCATGCAAGTGATGTTGAAGCAGATGAATATCGACCCTGCTCTGATCGGGTTTGACCAGACGACAGAGCGATGGGTTCACTAAATCATCGTGCATGCCGACCGCGGGCCTCCAATCTGCAATTCTGCTTGTTCCCCCGGCCATTTCCACTTGAGGACCTAGTTTGTTGAACCAGCCAGGGCATGTCGTTGTGAGCAGGGCTTTCCCACGATTGAGGATGGGTGTTCGAGTTCACGAGCTCGAACAACCCCACATTTGCCCACAGTATCTGAATAGTTCCTCATATATCCCTTTGATCATAATTCATCATGGCCATGGCCAGTAGGATCACCTCATGACTGGAGGACGGCCCTCTTTATTCCACACCACTCGGCTCTTGACCCAGTCAACCGCCTCTTTCACGCCTGTGCCTTGAAGTGCACTGACTGGTAGCACTCGACTGTCTCGAATCATGTTTCCTTTCTCTCCCTCGAAAACCTTCCGCACGAAACCCTCTTTTATCCTCACCACCTCCAATGAATCCTCCCGGTCCTGTTTGTTTGCTAGAACCAGAATCGGTATACCCGCAGTGTCTTCATTCTCTAGCACACTTTCGAGAACGGCCCGGCACTCATCCAACCTACCCTGAAAGAACCCGGATTGCAACGTGTGAGGTGTCATGGGTGTCCATGGAGTCTCAGGCTCCTCGTCGTCCGATTTCCCGACGTAGCTCTTCTTTCGTCCGTGCCACCCAGGTGTTTTGGGCGCCTCCTCAATCTCTCCATTCCCGATGTCTGTACTATCCACCACGAAGACCACTGCGTGCGCACTCTTGTAGTAACTCGTCCATAGTCTCCTCAAGCTCATCTGTCCACCTACATCCCATATCTTCAGGTACATGTCGGGAAGATCAAGCGTGGCCACATTCTGCCCCACTGTAGGGACTGTATTGCCTGCGGTCTCCGAAGGGGCGGCATCGCCAGTCGGACCAGCGGCAGGATCGGCTGCGGTGTTGAAAAGGGCCTTGATCTGGGTCAAAAGTGTAGTCTTTCCCGCATTGTCAAGGCCAAGGAGGATGATCGAGTACTCTAGTGATTTGATTAGCCCTTGTCTTCCACACGATCGGCCCCAGATGGAGATGTGACACACCTGGTTTGCTCGTGGCATATAGATACAGCGAGCGAGCAAGATGATACATTTTTCGCGCGCGAAGTACGGGCTTGCAAAGGAGAACAATCACGGAAAATGGCTTAAGGGAAGAGCGCTGTCAACGGCCACGTATGTCATTTTGTGGCGTTGCGTCTGAAGTCACCACAGTCGCGCTTGCCTTTTGAGTTGGGGAAGACAAACACGACTCATGTACATGTGTATATCATTTGTCTGTTGTATGAATACTGGGCATGCTCGCCCAACTCGACATTGAAGGAGGGGAGTATTCCAAGTTTCTCGTAGCCTTGGCCAGAATTCAAGGCTGGGGACGGCCCGGACGAAACAAATCCCGACTATTTAACTGGATTCCCGCAGCTGCCCTTCCTCTTCCTGGTATTTTGCCGACATGCGAGTATCTTGTGTACCTAAGGTATCTGCACAGGTGATGATCCTCATATGAAGTCACGCCTCTGATGAGCATTGGCATGATTACTTGAGGCAACACATCGACGTGCTTTGCTGGTATTGCTAAGGTGCAAGTCGATGAGCACACCGGTCGACCATCATCGAGCTACCATTTCAGGACACTGGGTTCGTTGGACTCACATTGCCTTCGTTAGCCGCCAATGAAAGCAATGACGTTAGGGCTATGATTGACGGCTTCATATCATATGCAGGCCGAATCAAAGTGAGAATTCGATGAGCCATCAGTATTTTTAAAGCCAATGGGGTTGAGATGTCCCTGCACTCTGCGCTGCACCTGCAGTCGGTTTGCACAGCTGTGTTTTCGCCCACGACATGCTACTGGTTGCAGGTGCGAGTGGCTTGCGGTGTCAATCCAGTGGGAAAAGCGCTGATTTTATCAGCGAATGCAATAACCTCTGGGCCTAGCTTCGTAGGCCAGTTCATTCAACATGTGGTCTCCTCATCATCTTCGACCATTTGGTACACATACAGTTGTCGATCAACGCAATATCTCCAGATTCCACGCTCTTATGAGAGCAAAGTCGTACTGCGAAATGCTGCTGCACACCTCTGCAGTCTAGAAGAGCTGACACAACGGAGAAGACGCACCGGACTTGGGCAATTGAACAGTTTCATGTTCAACCCAACTTGACCGCAGTAAATTGACAGAATTTGACAGTCACGCCTTCCAATACTTCGCCTGTACGCAAGCCGCAATTCAGTGGATAATTGACAACTTTTTTCATGTCAGCAGAGTCAAAGATGCTGAGACAACCCATTTCAGGCATGCCAAAGCCCATGGTCGATGATCCTGTGATTCAAAGATCAAGCAGAGTCACTTCAGTAGAAGCAGAAAGTCATCCCAATACCCCGACACTGTCGACAGGTGCCTCTGATGAGGAGAAAAAGGAATGGGTGATGATCATCGATCACAGCGACATAGTGAATTTGAATGCCAATTTGACAGTCGATAGATACTGGCACTTCACACGAACCAAGGACCTGCCTCAACATACAGAAAGTTTCTTTTACAGTGTGCTCCACGGTGCTTATGACCCCTTTAAACTCTTCGGCATGGGTTCAGACATTGATGAAATCTGCAAAGAGATGACCTTAACATATGAGTGCCGAAGTGACTTTGTTCGGGGCAAATCCTGCGAAGAGACCTCTCTATATTCCTCCGATGCATATTCGTCAAACTGTTCAAGTTATTCGACACCTTCAGAAAGCCTTTCACCGACCTCAGATACGTGGGTACATCCTTCACGTCCTTCTGACAAGTCGACCATGATCCAGTTTGATGCATCATTGAAGACTTCAGCCAGAGAAGATGACTTCCCTATGGTAGATCCTCCGAATGACGTTCCTCCACTCTCTGCATTGACTAGCCTCGGGGATAGCAGTCATGGCCTTAACTCAATCTTGGGGATCAGCAAAGGATTTTGTGAGTTTCAGCTAAATAATCCCTTCAGACCGTCAATAGAGAAGCATGGACGCTTGCTTGGAGGCATACCCACGACTTCCACGGGTGCAAAACAAGCCTGGGAGTACGAAGCAGCGGCCACGCTGGCTCCCCACCACTACCGCAGGTCAGCGACTGTTCAATCCTGGCTAGAAACGGTCATTGGGCCAACTAATTTGTTGCCTAAAACACAATGGCCAAAGAGTAGACCATCAAACGAATTGCAACCGCCAGCCTCAAGTACCACACCGAAAACACCATTAGACTCACCAAAGTTAAGCTGTGAAACTCCGAGTACGCCATGGTTCGCCTCAGATACCGAAATCTCGTTTGTACTTGGTGAGATAAAGTCTCCTTATAGCTACAACAGCGATTTGCCAGAGTGGAGAGATTATATGGGTGAAGCAGCCCGAATAATTGTGGACGCGTATGTCGCACAAGTCGCCCCTTGTGCTTCCTTGCCTTTGGTGCAAGGTGTCTCAAAGGTCCAACCTTCCACTGTGGGGGGGAACTACCTGGCTTTCAGACAGCCATGGCGAACCTCAGACAACTGCGTTCAAACACAGATAGGTAGAGGCGATGGGGGTTCACAGGTCAGCTCTATTACAGACGAATCATTGATCATGGGAACAAATGCGACATCGTCTTCCAATAGCACAAGGATGACATCCCTGCCTTCCGTCGGGCGAAAGCGAGGTGTGCCTCCAGAGGGCGATGATGAAAGCGAAGATGACGACGCTAAAATGTTTAAGAGGCCGAGAATTCGCAAATCGTGGGCGCTGAGTGATCAACGCAAAATCCTAGCCTGTCCGTATACCAAATTCGATCGGCAACGGTATTCGAGAGATAACACCACCGAGAGGAACTACCACAATTGCCCCACTTGCTGGCTCAGAGATATTAATCGCTTGAAGCAACATCTGCATCGAACTCATCAACGTCCTAATAATTATTGTCCATGTTGCTTTGTGGTATTTGAGACTGCTGAACCACTCCAGGAGCATATTCGGACAAGGATTTGTGACAGAGTGGACTCGCCTTTCGAAGAGAAGATGTCTCCTAGTCAGATGACAGCCATCAAGCGGAGAACACCAGGTCGCGACCCCGTGGACCTTTGGTATGACATCTTCAAGATTCTCTTCCCGGGAGCGCCACTGCCACTCAGCCCCTATGTGGACAGTCCTTATCAATCTACAGTCAACGACTTTTTAGTCTTTTTTGAAGTTGAGGTCCAAGGCGTACTCAGTAGAGAGGTCAACAATCGCATGTTCGGCGATGCGCTAGCAACGGTTGACCCTCAGTTTCTCGAAGGGGTGTGGTCAGAATCCGTCGCGGTGTTGATCCGGTATCTCGACGAGAGAGCACGGGGAGAACCGCCTTCTTTGTATCTTGAGAACATCTCGCAGAGCTTTTAGACTCATTACAAGAACTGAAAATATCCATTACAATCAAGAATATATACAGCACACATCACACACCACATCTTGTATGCGAGCTCTAAACCCAATAGTCATTCAAGCAAGAACAATATCCATATTCAGATCTTTCAGAACATCCTGCCACTGAATGTCCACAACACCAGCGAGACCCTGCTCTGCCAGTTCCTTCCTCCTGCGCCACAACTCCTTTGCGATATCCTTGCTCATCTCCAGATTCATGAACCCATGTCTCCTCTTAAGTCTATACCAAGCCAGCATCCTGCCCTGCAACTCCTCACTGAGGCATTCACTTGCGACCACAAGCGGCGGCCAAACAAGCGTACACCCCACACCGTCTCCGCCAAGCATCTCAATCTCCTCGAGCCGCGCCACCGCACACTCGACGAGGGACTGGATCTGCAGCGACTCGGGCGGTAGACGGCGGACCGCTCGTGCGAAGAACACCAGGCTGGCGTAGTAGAACACGTACGCGTGGTGTCGCGCCAACGTCGCTTCCGTCGGCGTCAGATCCGACAGATCGAGTGTGTCGGGCGTCTGCTCGTAGAGCTGGGCTTCTAGCCTGTCGAGCTTCAATGCGACAGCGGCGGCGGACGCCGTGGTCTGGTCACCCGTTGCGGCGGCGGAGGAGATCTGGCGCACGAGAGAATTCATGACGACGATGTGTCGCAGAATTGGGCGCGTGAGCCCGAAGAATCGGTCGAGCATGTAGTGCGGGCTATCTAGGAAGAGATCTTCGTTGTCGGCGTCGAGGTTTGACGGGAGGTTGATGTTGGATAATGCTGCGATCGCCAGGTAGCCTTGGTATACCATGCTGCTTGATCGATCGTGTTGCCAGACCGCGCTGTTGACTGTTGCGAGCCAGCTGGCCCCGCCCTGGAGATGGGTTCGCCATTCGCTGAAGCGGCCGGTGATCATGTCCATTGCGGAGAACATGGTGATGGTGGCGAGAATGGAAGTCCGCTGTAGGACTGAGACTTCTGCATTGGAGTTCGTAGTATCATTCGTGCCAGTGAGGAGCAGCTGAGACGTTGTCAGATCACTCAAGCTGTGACGGAGATGTACGATGGCCAGCTGGTAGTGCTTTGCGGCTAGCGTGAGGATCTTCGAGTCATTTTGCAATAGCTGTGATCGACTGAAGGCAGATGCCGCGCATAGGGCATGGAAGAGTGCAATGCTGCCATTTGAGGTCGAAGACGGTGTATGTAGACCCTCCAATGCCATGGGAGTGAAAACAGACCTGAAAGGATTTGATGGCAAGTCGACTGGTAATAGATGCCAGCAGACAAAATTTGTCCAGTGATGGATCAACTCTCGCTGATCCTGTCGTCGAGGTAGTAGGTCCAAGTGACGCGAGATTTGTATCCTATTGTGAGTTGAATTCCTCACCATGTTACGAACCATGTTGGACATATTTGAGCCTCTTGAAACTGTAGTGGTCTTGAGGGGTGGTGCTGATATTCGTGATTCAACAAGCGTGCTGGAGATGACTTCCTCCATATCATCCTCGAGTTCTTCTTCGATGAGTTCGGTGCTTTCGTCTGAAATTTCAAACGTCATGAAATCCAATGAAACAGGCTTTTCCACACATTTGGGGTCAATTGAATTGTCGCATTCTGTCGCTGACGTACAAGAATCGCGGGGATTAATATTGAAAACGGAAAATGGTCCCAAGGACAATGCGATAAAGGCATCATCTGCCTCGGCGATCGAGACTCGATCCAACGAATCCAAGGTTTCTTCCACATCAATACTCATGAAAGTCGAGCCACTATCATAGATAGATGGCATCCCAATGGCACGTCTGATATTTTGCTCTCGCTCCTTGGTGTTTGGATCGCTCCATACCAACTTTATGCCATACCCTTGGCATTCAACGCCGGCCTTCTGACATCGATTGCATGTCGGCTTACCTTCGTCACACTTGACGTGCCTCTCACGACAAGTCCAACAACCCGAGAATGTTTTCGTGTGTTTGATGGGCTGCCGTACCTTTTTCTTGGTCTGGTTGTCCTTACGTTGGGGGTCGGTGGTATCGAGAATGAGAGTGGGCATGAGGTGCTGTGAGGGCGGAGCTCCGCATCATGGCCCAGTTCTGCAACGTGTTTATTGTTTCGTGCTCATTTCGAAGCCATGTCCGTTCAAAATCATGTAAGTATTTCTCTTTGTCGAGTATGAGAGGATTGTTCCCACAACTCGGAGGGAGACCTCGGGTAAAGCACTAGTAGATCGGAGTTGGCGAGGAAAAGTGGGAGATTAAGAAGGAACAATGATTATCCGTGAACTGCCCCTCACTTGACGCGTCTCCAATTCTTTATCTCAACCACCAAGCCCCACAATCCTGATTCCTCAATGATAATGATCCTGACTCCTCAGGCTGCCATTTTTAACCCTGGTCTGACTCCGCCAGTCCACCCACCCTCCTTCGAGAAACCCAATGTCACTACCCAATTGAGATCTGACACCATTGCTATCTCCAGACAAATAGTCTCAACGTCTCCCCTGCGCCCTCGTTTCCGTCCATCCCGGCGGTTAGTCGCTTCAGCCTTGCAAGGCGTTCTGCGTTTTGTCGACAACATTGAACACATACACATCATTACCTCTTATAGACTCAAACGAACCCTCTCTCCAAATCTCCTCTCTATCCAAGAACTCTGTCGTTGTTCTGATGCCTGATCTATTCGAGGTCCATGTCGGTCCGTATCGTTCTTGATGAGCCGGAAAACAGGTGCTACACCAACCTCGACTTCATAACCGGCTCCATTCATCTTGTGCTGCCTAGCGACTCGGCAATCGCCGCCATCAATGTCAAACTCGAGGGCGAAAGTCGTACTCGACTTACCGCACCCAAGTTCCCTGGCAATGAACGCTCGGATAAAAAGAGAGTGGAGCTAGAATTACACAAGGTTAGAAGGAATTGAATTGCATGACTTGCGCTTTGCACTCACAACTATTGATTACAGTTATTGTACAAAGTCCTGACAGTCTTTCCCACCCCCGAATTCCAAGAAAGGACCACTAGCACACATGGATACACACTTTTGGCCGGCCAATACGTGTATCCCTTCAAGTTCAAAGTAATATACTCTCACGGCTCCTGCGAAGCGCGAAGGCTGACTGGAAAATTCAGGTTCCGTTTAATAATGATTGCACAAATACCCCAAATGCTTTGAAAGATATCAAACTCGGTCAAGTCAATGTTCAATTTGCCCCTGTTATCACGAAACATATCAAGAAGACTCTACCTCCATCTCTGAGTGGCTTTCCCGGAGAGGCGGAGATCAAATACTACATCAAGGCCACAGTTGTGAAACCCAAATTCTTCCAGGAGAATATTCGATCGGTATGGCCAAGTATTCTCGGACGACCAAACAATAAGTTAATAATGAATAGATCAACGATATTAAATTCCTGCCCATCGAACCACCCCGAGGCCCCAATACGCACGAAGAGACTTTTGCCCGCCGAAAACGTCAATTTCAACGATATGGCGCTCAGGCTCAGAAAAAGGGCCTTTTCAAAAAGTCCTCGACACCTGACTCGGCCGAAGAAGAGCCCCCCGCTTTTCAGGTAGACGCACGACTGCCCAGTCCTGCTATCGTCACTTGCAATGAACCACTTCCACTCCGAATACTAGTCGAAAAATTGAACGATAGCTCCGCCAGCGTCTTTCTTAGCATGTTTCAAATTGAGCTTTTTGGATACACACGGATTCGCGCCCACGATCTTGAGCGGGTTGAGAGTAGTAGCTGGCTACTCACATCGCAAGCTAACATGAACATGCCTCTCGGAAATCCCGTGGACAAGTCTCGCAAGGAGTGGAAACTACCCTCACGTCTCTGGGAAGACCTACCAATCCCAAATACTGTTTGTCCCAGCTTCGAAACCTGTAATCTCGCTCGGGATTATGAAGTTGAGGTACGAGTCGGGTTGGCTCACGGTATGGCAGGTGGTGTTCGACCTGAGCTTATGGTTCTACCTCTCAGACTACCTGTCCAAATCTATTCGGGTATTGCCCCTCCAGCCAAACTACTTGAGTTGATGGCCAACAATCCGGTACGCCAACCAATCCCACCTCCCCTTATCCCGAGGCCATCAGATAGCAAAGCCACCCATAGCGCAGCAGAATCATCGGCGCCGACTACACCTCTTTATGAGCCCAGTACACCACTGCATGACATAAATTCCCACCCTGCTCCAGTCGGCAACTATGCTGCCCAGCAACCCTCAGACTATCCTGATGATGCCCCTCCATCATATGAGGACGCCATTGCAGACGAAGTGGCTCCGGTTGATGGTCCTCGACGAGACTACAACCTTCCCCCCTCAGCCAACGCAGAAGGCCCAGCATTTAATCCAGACTCGAAAAGCGGCCTTAGTCGCCGAGTCAGTGAGAGATTGTTCGCTTCCAATGCACCATCAGGCCCATTTAGAAGTGCCTCAACACCTTCTGCTCTTAACTCTAACTCAAATACGATTCCTGAAGATGGCCTTGATGAAGCATCCCCAAGCTCCCCTCATACGACTGAAAGCCTTTCACGGCCGGCGAACTGGAAACGTAGTCTCAGTGGCAAGTTTGGTGGAGAGAAGGGCTAGACAGGTCAATCCGAAGCAGTCTATCTAGGGATATAGGGCTGAGCCACAGATAAATGATCATGTCATCAGGTAAGCATAGTTACCAGCGTTGAGTTGACTCCACATCAATTTCATTTACTATCCGTACTGTGTGGTGCCTTACTTCTTCCATCCCCAACTCGAAAACGGCATTCCGTCATCTCTTGGCGCTCGGAAACCTTGGGGTCCCGATTGGCTCGGTAAACGACCCCCACAAACTAAAACACCATTACGAGTAGGCTTCCAGAATAGGAAGCATTCGAGCGCGAAGCAATTTTGTGAATGGCACAGTCATCAGAACCGTTCCACAAGAAAATCCACCCTGGACCACCACTGTGGTATCGAAGTCTCATTACTCTTCATCATCCATTTCTCCATTCCGAGGCACGTGGACTCCCAGCTTCCAACAAGTAACCAGAAATGGGCTGTGCGCCCTGAATCTTAGGCTGGGGCTCCGCCTCGGGATGTAGCTACAGCTAACGCTCGGAAAACGAGGGCTTGTTATTGGGCGATTCTTCGTCCAGATGCTACCATTTTGAGAATATCACGTTGACAGGTAGAAAGTTCTCACGCTAAGTCTTTCCACTGATTCTGGAGGCCCATACACAGCGTCATCTTGGATACCAAGCTTCTTGATGGTGCGAGGTTGCCAAAGGCCGTGGGCTCTAAGCCTCAACCAAGTTGGCGACGGATTCATTCCCGCATGGCACTTTGCGTACTTTCAAATGTATAAAGGGCGCCCACTTTGACGTTTGGAATTGAGCGCGGTTTGTTCAATCAGTCTTGAAACCATACCTCTACAATGCACGCCATACGTATCGCTTCATATGCAGCCTTCTCCTTGGTTGGCTACGCAGCCTGCCAGGACTTGGAACTCAGCGACTGCTCTCTTCTCGGACCAATTTACCCCATGCCAGTAAGCCTGACTAAATCCCCGATAATTCAAGATACTCGGACATCTTTCAAGACCCTCCTTCAGGATGTATTCGATAATGGCACTACCCCGTGGGGAGATTTCGATGTGGCAAACACCTCTATATCACTAGGAGTATTGTCGACGCAAACAGGAGACTTTTTGAGCGAGTACCACCATACCGGGTCGACGCCATTAATCAAAGCTGGTTTAGTGGGTGGAAAACTGGATGCAGACACTCTGTATCGCACAGGGAGCATTGGAAAGCTCTTGACGGTGTACACTATTCTTGTCAAATTGGGAATGGAGTATTGGTCCGAACCAGTGACAAAATTTGTGGCCGACCTTCAGGATGCGCGTGACGATGGACCTGTTCGGAGTATCAACTGGTCCGAGGTCACATTGGAGTCTTTGGCGCGTCAGATTAGTGGCTTACCACGAGATTGTAGGTTTACACCGCAGCGAACATGAGCACATGCTGACGCAATGTAGCCTCAAGTACTGACATATCTCAATTTGGTGCTGCTGCTGTCGAGTTGGGACTCCCTAAACTTGATTCGGGAGAGCTTTTAAGTTGTGGGGGAGCAGGGGCACAGCCTTGTACGCCTGCAGGTGAGTTGTAATTGATTTACTCTCAATGCCAATCGGACTTATTGAACTAGAGTTCCTACGATATATCGAGGCACAAAACCCCGCAGCACCATCGTGGCAAACCCCGATTTACTCGAATGAAGCATTCCAACTTCTCGGCTTGGCATTCGAGAACATCACCGGCGAATCACTCTCGGATGCTTTCAAATCTGGCATTGCTAAGCCGCTGGGACTCAAAAGGACGTTCTGGAGTCCACCGGCCAACGACTCTAATGCCATGGTAGCCAATCCCCCAGGCGCTCAGACCTTCGACGAAGACCTGGGAGGGTTTACCTCGTAAGATGAGAACGTCATGCGAATCAAGTTATGCTTATACTGATTGGGGCTGCAGTGCCGGAGGACAATGGTCATCACTTGGCGATCTATCGGCTATTGGACGTTCAATCCTTCGGTCATCGCTTCTGCCTCCAGCCGTGACTCGACAATGGCTCAAGACGACCTCATTGACCGGTGACTCAACTTCAGTGGTGGGAATGCCGTTCGAGATCTTCCGCGTTGACGTTCCTATCTCACCCGAATCGAACAAAACCCGCACGGTGGACGTTTTTTCCAAGAACGGCGGGCTTGGTGGATACAGCACCTGGATCTTCCTGTCTCCCGACCATGAAATTGGCGTCACTATTCTCGCTGCATCGCCAAATCTCGGGGGAAGCGCGGTGTTGCAGCTTTCGGAACTCGCCCTCGCGACCTGGTTACCTGCAGCCGAAGCTGCTGCTCGTGAAGCTGCCGCAACCAACATCGCCGGCAAATTCACCTCAAACGACGGGTTGAACTCTTCTTTGTCATTGGAAATGATCCCCGACTACAAGGGTCTCAGACTGACCGAACTCGTCTACAATGGTACGGATATATTGGCCTTGCTCGCTCAGGACGGCGCTACGCTTCAATATATGAGCCTTCGAGACGACAAGCAGCTTTCATTCCGTGCGATCTTTCAGTCGCTGCAGCAACCGCAATCGACATCTCCAAAGAGGGCTATTGCTTCTCAGTGCAATCTTGCCTGGGGCTCCATTGATCTGTACAAGTATGGAGGATTTGGATTGGAGGAATTCATCGTTCAAGTCGATGGAGATGGCAAGGCTACGGCAGTGGAGGCGCCGGCTCTGCGAACGACCTTCCTACGAAAGGGCTAACTGAAAATTCTCTCAAAGCATGTTTCTCGAGTTGAACAGTGGATGTTGAAGTGGGCCTATACCATACATAATTCCTTCTCACATAGGCTAATTACCGTACACCACGGTATTTTTTCCCATCGGTTCCTGAATACCTCTTCGGACCAAAATCCAAGGCGACGGAGGCCTTTCTGGGTCAGCATGGATTTCGCAGACAACGCAATTTATTTGAACGTGATACTTGGTCCACACGGAAAGGCAAACTGGGTATCATACAATAAGACCTGGATTGGGAATTGAGGGGAAGTCCATCTGAAGAGTAGGTACCCACATTAAAGCCCTTGCCCCATGTACTGGGCGTGAGGCTTTAAGCATAATCTCGCCATATGCTGTAGTACCCCCAGAAGTCAGTTTCAGCCTTTGCCGACTACTATTGCACCGAGTGATCTCCATCGCCGTGCCATCTTGAGCAGTCACGAGCATGAAGACTTACCTTTACAGCATCCCCATTCGAATCATCTATCTGCCTCTTCCATACCTGGTCATGGCGGTGAGAGATTGTTACCCCTGTTAAGCATCAGGCTGGCTCGTAACCGTGGAGAGATGGAAGCCTAGCAAATGGGGATAGGCCTAAGTAAGTCTTGGTGGTGGGCCTCGGGCCTAGCCGCGCGAACAAGGCTACGGCAGTCTGGGCGAGAACCTGAAGGAGACATTTCGCAGATATCAGCTCTAGGGCAAACCCCTTGTATCATAGGAATGAGAGTCGGAGACACTCCAACGGCACCCAATACAATTGGGCTGCTAGACAGCAGGATGTAGTCGCCTAGGTTGTCGGTTTCCAAGAAGATCTAACCAAGAGCCAACGGGGCAACAGGCCAGATAGGGCACACTTCAGGGGCTTTGCAGTGAAAGTCTCTGAGGCCAACGCGCGAGACGTAGGCCAAATCAAGTGGATGGGTAGCGATTCGAGGCATAGTATGATAGCCTAGCACGAAATGACAGGGTGGGCATGAAATAAAGATCCTGGTCCCGGTCCCTGTCATTGTTGTCGCTGTTACTCGACGAAGTAACAACCAGAAGATAAACGACCCAAATAGTAACTCAATGGACGACTCAATGAACAACCCGATTGGTCGGACGACCCAATAAGAGCTCCAATGGGCGTACCGCCAAATGGACCAAAAATTGGACCAAAAATTGGACCAAAAATTGGACCAAAAAATGGACAACCAAATGGACAACCAAATGGACAAATAAATGGACAACCACTTGAATCGCGCGGTGAATCAAAGCTAACGGATCTGAAGTACGAAGGACCGTCTCTGCCCCTCCGCACTTGTCATTAGACGCCACAGATGAAAGCCTCGTGTTCGACACCAGACACCGCTCTTATGTGAGTTCTGGAAGGAAAGAATTGCTGCAGTGTCTGGCAGACATCTTTCTGCGACTCTCCAGGCGCTGGCGGATAAAGACCCACCACTCTGTGTCAGTTCACACCCTGGTCATAGCAGTGATGTCTGCGGAAAATGATGAGAAGCTAGAAGACAAGCTGCGACAAAGATGCAATTTTGCCATGGAGGTCGAATCTTTTGATCGCTCAATGGCGATATGCCTCAATGGCGATATGCATATAAATTCACTCTAGGATATGCTTCTGTGAAAGGGTCCTCTCCTCTCACTTGATAGAAGGCTTACCTAAATACCAAATCATCTGCTCCAATAAACGTTTACCATATTCGGCAGTAGTTAGCCACAGGATTGATACATGTCTCGCAAGACTAATGCTACGGGTGAATCATAATATCCGGTAAAACGATTCAATCAATCGCGCGATTACCCTCAGTTGCTTGTGGATATTCGTCGATATTTTACCTCGGTGCCATGGGTCCACCAATGCATCCATCAGCCCAGGCAGGTTGCGAACATACCTTGGGAGTTTCTCCAGGATCCGCTCTCCACCGAAGTAATCATCGCCACGACAGTGGTCAGCCAGTGTCAGAAGGTGCGGAAGACCTCGTGCAGAGGAGCAATGACTGCAAAACCCGGTTTAGGCTGACAGTTCCCAGTTCAACAACGCAATGTTGGTACAACTGCTCTTCGCCCAAGGAGACAACCTCGGCAGAGCAATGTTGACAGAGATCGGTGCGAACGATGTGTCGAATCAAGGAAATATTGCGACGGCGAGAAGCCTGTATGCGGGAGATGTCAAAGATGCCCAGAGTTTTGTAAATGGTCGGAAGATAGGCCTTCTCGGAGTGAATTAATCTACCGTCGGACATCAGGGACGCCCGGGGGACATTCGCGAAATCCAGAAGTCGATGGTCATTGTCGTGATACAGAAGTGGCCGAAGAAGGCCAGGTGAAAGACTGCATGTCTGCTCTAGACATTGCTTCCACAAATGTGCGGACCCCAAGCTACTCTAGGCCAGGAAGGCAGAGTTTGGCCCAGCATAACCTGCCTGTGACAACTGTCGATCCTCAACAGCTAGTTTTGGCGGACCAGCAATCATTAACAGGCTTGCCGTATGAATTGCGGCGTCCAGAACGAGTCAGAATCAGTGTCCTTGAGAGCACCAGAGCCTACCTAGGTACCAACGATTGGTTGAAGATCATGACAACTGGACCGCGATTTGGTATTGAAGAAAGATGAGGTCTGGAGATCCGGCAGAAAATGGGACTTATCTTAGACTGATACAAAGGGCGATCCAAAACATCGGGGCCTATGTCGGTCGGTAAGGCACATGCAGAATTTCCGTGGTGCTTCGTCGACTTTCAGAATTGCGATGACGAAAAGGTACCAAGTGCCAAGAAGTGCTGCAAATTGTACCGGTACATTTTGCAGCACTTCTTGGCACTTGGCAGACAGAAGGGAAACCGGTCAAGGCGATCGTACTGCCTGCGAAGTAAATAAATACGAGACTTGCATCCGAAGTAGGTATCTAGCTTAGGTGGGTTGTCATCATCAGCCTAATAGCCAGCGAGTCGCAGGATGTGAGTACTCTGGGGTAACCTCTTATTTATGATCCCTGCGTCCCCGTCCCACAGCCACAGCCTTTAGCTTGGGCATCAAAGGGGCATCTCGGTAAACGTGGCTGAGCAATTTGAAGCAAGTTCTTCAACGACGGGTCCTTGGTGCTCACCAAACTTTTTCGTCCTTCCAGGTCGAGGAAATCGGGTTGACACATACTTGAATATGCTACAACTTTCGCTAATCCAACTCAAGTACGCCTTGTCGTGAAAATTGATTTGCTGCAGAGAAAGTCACTGCGAGAAGAGTCTTCATTTAGAGGTTACTGTCGTCAGCAGGCTGTTCTAGGTAGTAACAACATGTTGAATTCTCGAAAGACTTATCGGAAAGGTTTGTGGCCTTGAGCATAAATATCTACGTGAAAGAATGGAATAGCTAATGACAAAATCAGTACGAAGTGGTTGCCAGACCTGCAAGGCTCGCAAGGTCAAGTGCGACGAAACAAAGCCTGCGTGTCTTCGATGTACGACTGCCAAATATGTCTGTAGAGGATACAAGATCGAGCTTCTTGCCAACCAACACCATATCCCAGACACATCCCTCGCTGCCCATGCGGCTAGGTGGAACATTAGACCATCTGATAATGTCCAATTCTACCGGACGTTACAGTCATTTGTGAACTTGCCGCCGTTGGACTACAGGGCATATGACTTTTGTCGGAGGCACACAGTTCACGATATGGCAAGTCATCATCTCAATCAATTCTGGAGCCGAACTGTCATGTCGGCCTGCCACAGTGAGCCAGCGATTCTCCATGCAGCCCTCGCAGTTGCTGGTGCCCACAAAGCTTATTGTGATAGGCAGTCTGGGGAGTCTAACGTCGTTGGTGTCCGCTCGCTGTTAACTACCAGTACATATTCCCATTACGATCAAGCTCTACGGTACTTAAAAAGGCTCATAGTTGTTCAAAGCCCTCAACAATATGAGACTGTACTGATTGTCTGCCTTGTCCTGCTCACATTTGATATGATAGAAGGCCGATATGGTGAGGCGCATCTACACCTGGTTCATGGCCGACGTCTTATCAAAGATATCAACAACCGAAAATCCGATGATGTCCATGTCCCTCTGAGTCTACCACCTGTACTAAGCACAACCATGGACGAGATAAACTATTCTTTTGCATTGATGGACCTTCAGTCGGTTAATTTTGGCAGCATGAAACAACACTTCGCACTTGTGGCTGATCCGGCACTTGACGATGCTTCCTGCCTCGAGATACCGATGTCATTCGCCAATTTTGACGACGCCTGGCGATATATGCTTCTTCTTTCCAGCAGATGCTATGGCTTGTTTGATCGCATCAATACTCTTGGCTCCTCAAAGTACGAACTCCTGACCAATGATCTAGGCTTTGGAAATCAGCAAAGTTCTTACCTGGCGGAGCTTGCGAAATGGAAGGAGGCATTTGACAAGAGTTCTTTCCGCACTTTGTCCACGTCACAAACCTCACTCGAGGACAAAGCAGGAACCAAGGCAACCCTGTTGAGACTCCAACATCTCACACTTCATGTCTGCTTGATTGCAGCTTTGCATGTCGGCAATGAGATGTTCTACGACACGTTGACACCCGAATTCTCAAGGCTTGTAGGATTCTGCGAAGAATTACTTCCGAGTTTGCCTGCAATAACTATCGAGACTGGGATCATTCAGCCACTATTTCTTACTGGATGTATCTGTCGACATCCCGATGTTCGCCGGAGGATTCTTCGTCTCCTTTCTCCTGCTAGAAAAGAGGGCTACTGGGATAGTAAACTGATTGGAATGATAACACGTGAGCGGATGGTCTTCGAGGAAGATCTTGCAGGTTATATTCATGATGATTGGAAAGCGCCACAGTACGACATCGAACTCGCTCAGCTTATTCCGAGAGAGGCTCGTTGGTCGGAAAGCTGGATGTTTTTCGTTGCGGAGGACTACTCAGTGGCCGAGGTGACCTTCAGGAGGAGAAAGCTTTACCCGAACCTCTTCATCGATGGTGAAGATGAGCACGAAACACGAACGAAATTGGTCAGGTTCAAGTAAGTGTATTTGAGAAGCTACATAATGCTTGCAACCTTTGATGACTGCTGGTGTCGAGTCAGCCGTTCAAGCACACCCAACCGGTGGCGTATTCAGAGGTTATCTCGTTGGATCTGGAGCTCAATGAATGGCATTGGTCTCACCAGCTCGTGCCATCTTAACAGCAACTTTCGTGGCCGCATCAAAATCTTCCTTCGGGAGCCCAAGTATGTCGTTTGCGAGTAATTTGTTCGTTTCGCCTGCTCCATCCTTGAAGAACAACCGAGCATACAAAAGGATCCCGAAACCGACCATTTGGCCCTGCTTCAGAAGTTCTTGACCACGCTTGAATCGTTCCACAACATCTTCATGGGTAATCTTCCAGTCTTTCTCATCATCACCTGTCACGCGCAAGACAGATTCAAACATGTCTCGTTGACTGACAAAGAAAGACGAAACATACACCGGCTTGTTTTTGAATTGGGCCAAGCTGGGGGTTGTGTCTCCCTCGCCTTCAGGGTGGACCTTCAGCGCGAGAAGGTTCGCAACGGCTCTTCCAACCTGTGGCCAAGTCGATGTGTTGATCTTGGTCGTCCCGTCATCGTACAAAGTAAGCTCCTTCTTGTCGAAATCGAAACCATATCTAGCCTCGGTCCCGGCCAAGCTGAATTCGTACCAGAAACTGGTGCAGAGACCCATCCATGACGTCTTGTCACCACCGACTTGCTCAATATACTCCCTGATAGAGATAATGCCGTCACGCACGAGGACATCGGTACCCATTTCGACCTTTGCCACGTCAACACCCCATTCATTTGGCATGATCCAGCTGACACCCGCCTCGACGGCGGCATCGATGAGCTTCTTGTGCGTTTCCTTCGGTGACATGACAGGCATGGTCATGATCAGGACATCTTGTCCTTTGAACCCCTCAACGAGCGATGTATGGCTGTTATAATCAACCTTTTTTACGTCGTGTAGTCCAGTTGGCATGGTGTTGATACTATCCGGTCGAGTAATCGCCGTCACCTTATGTTTTCCGGCTTGGATCAAGGCTTTGGCAATGGCACCGCCTGATCTTCCACCCACACCCACGATTGCGACATGTTCCACATGGTTCTTGGAACCTGCCGGCTGGTTGCTTGCAAGAGAGCTAGACATGTTCGGGCTTTGAAACGGGTTTCTTAAGACTGTGCTTCGAGAAGGAGTAAACCAAAAGGTGAAGACGGCCAAGACAGGTCATATATACCTCCGTAGTCATTGGCATCACATCGCAACTCGCATTGGTCGGCCCGTATTCTAGTGGTAGAACATAGAGCCCCATGTCCTACTGGCAAGCATTACGAGTTCAAGGGAACGAGCGTAACTCCGTATTAACTCCGCCAAGGACTATGGAATTACTCGTAAGCAGCCGATTCGTGGAGACCGCCAATTGGGTTCAGTGCCCGAGAATCATTTGATGGCCTTATGGAGCCAAGATCATCGTTAGCCGGATTGGGTTCTCAGGACCAGAGATACCACCAATTGGTTGGAAATCATATGTGAAACGCTCCCAGCCTTGAGGCTCCAGCTGTGGATTTGCTTGGTAATGACAGAATCTGATACCTAATGGAGGCTGGGGTATCGCAGAACTTCTCCATGTTGGATTTATGAGAGGTCTATGAACTCCAAAGCTTTCGAAACCTTTAAATGCTGCAACGCCATGGTCTAAAGCGACACATGTGGATATGGTCTCTGCACCCTTCCAGCCGCAAGATCGTTGACAAAGTCCGAGAACTTCTGGAACACATAATCTGGGAACAACTTTCGCCCATCTATATAACCTAGGTATTCTGCAATCTCCGGGGTGTTGTCGATCCTGACGTACTTGGACAAATTGTACTGAGCATTTGATAACCTGTACTTGTGGGCCAAGTTGCTTGGGTCGTCTTGGACTGCACGGTTCATCTGGTCGAGGTCTTTGCGGACGTCTGCTGTTGTCTCCTATGCGTTGTTAGAGGACGTTGAGGGGGAGTCAAGCTTCGAAACTCACATTGGTCAGCTCCAATTTCTCGCCGGTTTTCTCCTCAACAATAGAGTTGATCTCATTCTGAGTGAGAATATCACCACAGACATATACCCTCTTATTCAAGGTGCGGTCGTCCTTGATGATCCGGGCAGTGATGGCCCCGACGTCCTTCTTCGCAATGAGCATATTCGGCGCCGTGCCACCCTCGATAACCTTGTTTCGAGGAACCATGATTGCATAGTCGAATTTGCCGCTCGGTACTCGAGGAGAGCTAATCTCATACCAATATCCGACGTCGATGATGGTGTAGCCGAGATGCAGAGTGAAGATCTGATCATGAACTACCTCCTTGAGATCACGCAGAGCCATGACTCCTCCACGCGGGCACGGTGTTCCAAAGCCACAAGGGACGAAACGCTTGACTCGTGCCATGCTCGCGGCTTGGATGAGGGATGCCTCAACGCCGACGTCGAAAGCGAAGATGGAGAGGATCACAGTGTCGATGCCAACGAGCAGGTTCGCGAGATTCTCGGTCGAGTCTGATAGTTCTCCGAACACGACTTTCAATCCCTTGTCTTTGAGCCGCTGAACAGATGGCTTGTGTGCCGAGGCTGTGCGGATGAAACATGTCACTTCCTGGAGGAATGGATGTCAGGTCTGTGGATGTGACTCGCCCGACGTGGGCTTTGGATATGAGTGATTGTACACTTACAAATGAGCCATCGTCCAGCAGAGCCCGTAGAATACTCTCTCCTGTCTCTCCAGTCGCACCAACCAGGAAGACGGTCTGTTTTGACATCATGCAGTAAGACGATCAAGCTTTCAGACCGTGAGACGATTAAATTCTTCCATTCTATTTTCCGTCCAACCTCTAGGGCTGCCACAGGTCCCTTTGTAACTGTGGTGCTTAAATAATGACTGACCAGTTTATGCATCACGTGACTGCATTATTGGTGTCTTCCGAACAGTGCTGACAAATGGCATTGCTCGTATACTCCTAGCTATGGCTGGGCAGGCACGTAAATAGTGGGGAAAGAGAACAAGCTTTGCATAGATAGAAGAAGCATGGTGTGGAGGTGGATGTGAACATGCTTTGTAGCTGTGAAATCGACTTGGGTCAGCAAATCAAGGCGGAATAGACAGCCGGCTACCGCGGAACGATGGAGATTGTCGTGCGTCGCGGAATGCATTCAGACCGGAGCTTGTCTTCTATCGGGATTGTACTGAAGTGGGTGGTTCATATGGTATATGAAAATTATAGTAGACTGGCAAGAGTTGGGAGATTTTCAGTAATATCGTCCCATAACTTGACTTCGGACGACGCATGGAGGACGAAATGGGGAGGCCGCCCTGCGGACATGAGTTTGAAGCACAAAAATGGACACCCAGGGTCAAATCGTGGAATGGATCTGATTCTGCTCCCTAACGCAGCACACCTCGATGTTAATGCCAGAAGCGGTATCAACATACTGCCTGCTCACACCATGATCGGAAAACTGTCCACGGCGCAAGAGTAGGGGCAATGGGACACCCGGGATGGTTGCATCAACATGGCTCTTTCATTCCTTCACCGAGGACAGACATCATTGAGTCGAGCACCTCGACGGCAAATATGGAAACAATACTTGCGCCCACGAAGATGACTCGGGTTCCACAGTTGAGGACTCTTACCACCTGAACATACATGGTGAACACCAGAACTGCCATGCTCTAGCTGTGGCTCTAAATGATGGAAGAACCAAAGAGGCATAGGAGTCAGATGTAGCCGTTCGATGAAGAAACCGGCACGAAGTGAATATCCTCCATATTTACCAAGGTACGTGGCGGTCCACCGAGAGCCGGCATCACAACTTTGATTTGATTCCCACGATGGCTGACGACGCAGTGACAGATGAGGCCACGGTGAATGAGCTGCCAATATTGGGAGAAATTCCAGGACCCAGAGCTCTGGGGAGTTGGAAGCTTGATGTATCACTTACCAACGAGTACGAACACGCCTCCACCAGCACCAGCAACAGCGATGGGTGACGTACCAGCGGTGGAGAATTGATGGAGGGAGGCTTAGCACTGTTAGCTGGCCAAGTTGTGGAAGTGGTTGCACAAGCTCGAGATGCCGGTGTTTTGATTGACGCGGCAGCCACAGCTCGCCTTCGCCAAGAGATTTGGATGCGTATCACAAGACGCCCGGGACGCGCCAGCAGATCGACTTCGACTTCTGGTCGGCCTCCAGGCAAACATAAATCCCCCCTTGCACTGCATATTTCATGCTCATAGTCAGATCCGATCCGAGTCATCCAGTACCACTACTACCTCCAACTCGGGATTGTGATTCTCTTCAAAATCTATTATTCTCCGACCTGGAATTTCCCTTTCCCTGCATCTGCCTCTCGGAGCCCTGATACTGAATCCTCCCCACTTATTCAACCTCTCTACCCACTGGCCACTCCCCGTACCCCCATCCGACCACCGACCGTCGTTCTGTCTTAGTTTATTGGCTGTCTTCGCAGTTGCTCCAAGTACACAACCTTATAGCAAAGATGAAGAAGTTATTGAAAACCATCAACAAGAAGTCCAGTAGTAGTACGCCCGCCCAACCTCTCCCCTCAGGGCCTGGACCATGTTAACAAGCTATGTTAGGCCCCGAGCGCGCTGGCGGCGCACCCACTGTCTTGCCCCAGGGTGATGCGCCGGAAGCTGTCGTCGTCCGTGAAGTGGTACGTGCTGTTCACCACCTCTGATTATCTGGAAGCTCACGACTTCATAGACTGCCTTTTGCGAATCCGGCGCACCCAATGCGCCCAATTCCGGGGAGGAGTACCTCCATTTGCCTGCAATTGTCGATGCCGCCGAGTCCAGTCCTACGGCTGCAAAGCAGGCCGCAGGGACCATCCGAAGATATCTGTCTAAAGAACACTATCAGAGAGGATTCGCGCAATACAATGCCATCATGCTCACTCGTATCTTGACCGACAATCCTGCCCATGCGTTCACCCAGTTCTTTGATGTCAAGTTCGTCTCCACGGTCAAAGAGCTCTTGCGCGATGGGAAAGACACAAGCGTGCAGCAAATCCTACGAGAAACCCTCGACTACTTCGAAGTCGAGAAACTGCCTGGGAACGACACATTGAGTCCTCTGATCGAGATGTGGCGGAAGGAGAAGGGAAAACGAAACACCCTGCGCTATTCGGTAGGTTGGAGTTCTTTGGAAGCTGTTGGCACTGATCATCGCACTGAACACCACCAACAGCAATACCGTGTTCCGCCCGCTTTCGCTGGTGCACGACAACAATCTACGCGCAGACGCGACGCCCTTCCGCCTCCAGATGAGCTTGTCTCACGTATTGAAGAAGCCAAGACCACAGCCCGACTTTTGGTCCAAACGGTACAGTCTACGCCCCAATCGGAATTACAGGCAAATGATCTGGTCAGGGAGTTTGGAGAGAGGGCAAAGACTGCACAGAGAAGTATTCAAGGGTTTTTGAATGCGCAGAATCCGGCTCCAGATCCAGACACTATGCTCACATTGATCGAAACCAACGATCAATTGAACATCGCCATGTCTAAACACCAAAGATCAATATTACAAGCGAGGAAAGCGAACGGTCTTTCCACACCAAGTCCTCAGAATGAGACAACGACCAACCCACTGTCAGTACCTCAACACAATCTGGGTCAAAATGTCTACAATGCCCCAGTGGTGTCCAACCCAGGGCCGTATACAGCCTCTCCTCCAGCCCAGCAACAGCACCAGCAGGCTCCAAGTCCCGTCAGTCCTATAAGAAGAGATGATCACTTCTCCCCCCCACCCGGGCCACCACCAGGTGCTCGAGGTGCCGTGAGGACTCAACCTGTACATTCCCCAACAAGTAGTTTCGACTACGCCAGTGCGTATGCAGCCCCCTCTGGACCACCCCCCACAAGTGGATATACTGCACCTCCTGGACCACCCCCTTCAGGAGAATACAATGCCCCACCCGGACCACCACACTTACCAGATCGATCACGACCATTATCACAAGGATTCTCTGAACCTCCAGTGGTTTCGACGACGGCATATGGAGTCTCAGAAAATCCATTTGCAGATGATGCTTATGGAGAGGATAGTCAACCGGCACGGAGATCACATGCGCTCTTTGACAGGAGTCAGAACACACCGCCCCCGCAGGCTGACCAGTCAAGACCCGGTGGTTATCAAACAACTCAGAGCTACATTCAGCGACAAGATTCCTCAGCGGCGAACATTACGGTTCATGGAGCTAGTCCTCCCGTTGAAACAGCCGCCCAAGATCAAAGAAACAGTGGCTATGGCGGTAGCGTTGTAAGCCCGGTTGATGACACGCAAGGTGTTGGTAAGAAGATGAATGATTTGAGAATTTGAATTGTTATTGCGATTGATGGCATGCATTTTTCAGCGTTGAGCGGCAGATTTCTTCCAACTTTCATCAACTACGTATAGATAGTCTAAACGCCGGGCATTGCATTTAGTGACTAGAAACATATACTCAATTGAGGTTTGAGGATAATTCAACAATGGCCAGGTGTAGCCATCTTGAAATGCCGGTCTACAGGTTTTGCTCCGCATTCCGAGCTCCTACTATCCTGATAGTGTCCGGCGGAAGGACGCCCAACCTAACACAGAAACCCACGCTTTGATCGGATCAGGCATTGCATCCGAGACACTAATGGTGGCCTAGTGCTGAAGCCGACCCCAATATGGCAATGCGCGCGGCTGCTACCCCGAATTCCCTGACTCACATCCCACCTGCATGCTCAGTGTTCGGGTACTGCAATCCGTCAATGACGAACTCAAGATGGCATATTGGAGTGCAGTAATTGCGACAAAGTCAGTCTAACTTGACTGGATTCAAAATCTTCCTTTTTACTGCCTACCACCCTACGGCAACTTCCTGATTCCTTCCTCCCACGACCTCTCCACGTTGACAAAATGACCACTCTCGTTCCCCGCCCACCTTACTCCAAAGATGAGGTGAACAAGCTCTACCCTCAGGGTCTCGAGTTACGCTTGGTTCAAGTACTCCTCCGCCATGGAGAGAGAGCACCAGTCTCGGCTCGGTTTGGCAACGTATGTACTTACACACTACTAGTGGGAGAGCTGGGTACCTAACACTCCAATAGGCAGGACTTGCTCCGTACTGGCCCTATTGCAACGCCGCTCAACGACTCCGCTCTGTCGCTATGACCCCTCAAGACGTATCACAATGGAACTCTCTACAGTGGAGGAGGAGACTGGAGAGATTTGGAAGTGACGATGGTCCCGTCATTGCTGCTGGACCTGAAGGCGAAGTGGATGGTATCTGGTACGGTGTTCATTGAAGAAGCAGGAATGTCCACAGCTGACAAGCTTTCTCCTACAGTCAGCTGGGCGAATTGACCGACAAAGGAAGAGAAACCACCTACGAACTTGGCCGTCGCCTACGTAATCTTTACGTGGACCAGCTCAAGTTCATGCCACAGCTCATTGCAAATGCCGATCTGATCTACCTACGAGCAACTCCACTGCCGCGTGCCCTGGAATCCGTCCAACAAGCGTTTTGGGGCATGTATCCATTGGCTGCGCGGACTGCTGCATTCCCGCCTCCGACCATTGTTACACGGACCGTGGCAGATGAAACATTGTTCCCGAATGATGGCAATTGCCGACGCTTCGCCCAATTATCTCGTGCCTTTGCTCAGCGAACAGCCGACCGTTGGAATGAAACAGATGATCTGGCATACGTAACAAAGTTGATTGGAAAATGGATGCCCGAAAACTCTGACAAGAAGGTTGCGGTAGACTCCCACCCTAGACTTTCCGGAGTCATGGATACTGTCAATGCCACACTTGCACATGGTCCGGAGACTCGCCTTCCGAGAGAATTTTATGATGAGAAATCTCGAGCGATCATTGATCGTATTGCTGTTGAGGAGTGGTTCTCTGGATACAACGAAAATCGCGAGTATCGCATGCTGGGTATAGGATCCCTAGTTGGCGACGTCGTCGAACGCATGACTTCCAAGATTGAAGGTGCCGGACTCTCAATCAATGAAATTGGTGGTGAGAATGGTCGATTAGGTCAAGGTCGTGGTGGTGAGAAAGGTATTCGGTTCGCCATGTCTGGTTGCCACGACACAACATTGGCTGGAGTATTGAGCGGTCTTGGTGCTTTCAGTGAGGAGAAATGGCCACCATATACAAGCCATATTGCATTCGAGCTATTCCGTCGTCCTGATCCAGCCTCGGCCTCTGCAAATTCCGAGCCAGATGCCGATTTCCTCACCAATACACACCCTTCCTCAACAGAGCCCAAAAACGAAAAGGCATCAACAAGACCTGGCGCGATAGCGTCGTTGCTAGGTTCTCGTTCCCCATCTCCCAAAAGCTCAGATGCTTCCCCAAGCAGACTGTTTGGCCTAGGTGCATCAAAGCCGCACAAAGATCTTATTGCTCGTGCTCCACACCACAGCTTGAGTGACTCCCAGAAGTCTCGGTTGGAACCATACTACGTCCGGATTCGATACAACGACAAGGTCATGAAGATTCCAGCATGTGCAAAGCCAGGCAACAACTACGAGGGCGACGAGACAATCTGTACATTTGAAGCCTTCAAGCGTGTTGCCGACAGTTTTACTCCCAAAAATTGGAAAGCTCAGTGTGGTGAAAACCTTGACAAACCCATAGCTGGTTTAGAAGGCCCTGCGCAATTCGCCGGGCAGGTTGATGATGGTTTCTGATCATTTCTATAACCGATCTCGACATCAAAGCGTCCCCACGACCCGCGAGCGAGTTCTGTACGAAGTCTTGATCTGTGCCATTCAATGGACAAGTGCAAAAAGTTCACAACCAGAAAATAAAGGGCCGCGGGGAGATTACATAGGCCTCTTCTCCTGACAGACCGCCATCAACGAGACTCCAGTCCTCCAACATCGTTTCGAAATGAAAAGTCAACCAAAGTCTTACGCCATTGACGCGAAAGCCATTGAAAGCCTAACATCGGCGACATGTACAGCTCAAGAAGCGGTGAAAAGGAAAAAGTTGAATCGTACAAGGTGAAAAGTATACTTGAATTCCAAACTATCTGACGCGCCTGTGGTTTTTGATATCACATAGGTTAACAGTGACGTTGATGGGCTGATCAGTAATTAACGAAAGCCGTAGCACGAGCGGCCGAGACTTGATTGTACAGTCATAGCATGCAATTTTGGTAGATAGTGCGTACTTGATTGCTTAGATCCACTACAAAAGGAAGTCATTCTCTGCGCTGCAGCTCGGCTCAAAGAAATGCATGCCAGCTCAAGGCGTGTCTTCTCAAGTCCTAACCTTGACGTTCTCCCAAGTGCCGCGAAACAACTGCTTCTTCGAGCCTGTATACCCGACCTTGCGGAACCACTCCTCAGCACTGCGGACGCGATCCGGAAGGATCTCATCGAGAAACGCAAAGTCCCTGCGAATGAGGCCTTTGTTGTCCGGCGTGGACGCACGGTACAGGTTCCACCAGTTGCCGAAGTTGCGTCCGAGGCTGAGCGTCAGTGTGGCCTGGTCAGACGTGCTGTGCGCGGCGACCTTGGTGTGCACGCCGTCCGGGAGCGACGAGAAGTGCGCGTCGAGCCAGTCATCGATCGGGCTGTCCGTGTGCACGGCTGGATGCCCTGTCGCGGCCGTGTAGGCGGCGGCGAGCTCGGGCCCGGAGATGTGTGCGATAGCGATCCCGAACGTGAGGCCGTTCGAGCGTGATGGGTGTGTCAGCGTCCAGTGCAGGTAGCGTCCGAAGTCGTCGAGGTGGATGAATGGGACAGAGCCACTCCCCAGTGGCAGTGTGAATTGCAGGGCTGGGTTGGTTTCTGTCGGAGCGGACGGCAGTAGGAAATCACCCAGCATTTCAATGTATGGGCCTGAGTTGATGATTGTCCATTTCATTGGGGAGTTTGGTTGTGCGTTCATGTATTCTGGAAGAAAATAGTGTCAACTGTTTTTGCTTGAATTTTAGCGGATAGGCGAAGGGAGGAGGGAGGCTCGTACCTTGCACCCGAGCCTTGCCCATGTAATGACCGACATAGTGTTTGTCGTCCTCGTACGATAGTTCATTTGCGAGATAGTCAAGTCCACTGTAAACGAAATGCTTCACGCCAGCTTGCTTGGCCACCTCGAATAGACGAACGCCCCAATACGTCTCAGCAATTTCCCCGACCGCAAAGCCATCAGTGTTGATGAAAGCGCAGTCGGACCGTTTGGCGGCCGTGCGGAATGCGTCAAGGTCATATCCAGATGTCGCTTGACTCTCGACTAATTCCACGTTTACAAGCTGAGAGAGCTCTTTCGCTGCAGGACTTGTCACGGAGCGGGTTAGAGCCAGGACTTGATATTCTTTGAGCGATGAGAGGTGTCGGATTACGGCTAGGCCTTGTGCGCCCGTGCCTCCTATGACAACGATAGTCTTCAAGGTGGAGTTGGGAGCCATTTCAATATCGTGGCCGTTGAAATGGAGATGCTGAAAGACAAAACTAGAAGTGGAGCTTGCTAGGCTTCATCGTTCAAGGGCTTACATAGCCATCAATATATACCTCTGGAATATCTATTCTTGATAGAATTGCTTGAATAGCACCAGCATGTTCGAAGGCGTTGGTACGGTTCGTACAAACGTTCAACGGGAACTGAATCCCATCACCAAACCGTTCCGTACGAGAGTCAAACTCGGTAGGCTGTCAACCAGCAAACTAATCTGTTTGGAAGATTAAAGGAAGGATAGTTCATCATTACTAAGATCGCAACAAGGACTGAAGATATTCAGCAGCAAATCATTCCGTAAAATAGTCTCTGTTGTTCGTGTCCTTACCAATCGACTAATCATGGCAAAATGAGTGGTTTTGTCATAAACGGTCGTACTTCACCGAACCTTTGCACCGCCCATGGCGGATCCTTACCTTCATGCATCACATGCACATGGGGAAGGTTGTATTCACTGTACCACAAGGTTCGTTGGGTGGTGTGTTTGTTCACATATTGTTACTCGTCCCGGAGGTGAATAGAAATCATGAATAGAAGTGAAAAGCGTCACTGACTCTTGTGGTTTTGCGAACATGGCCATCCTAAACGAGTTAGTTCAAGCAGCCAAATCTCTCTATTTAAGTTGGACTCGGGTGACGGAAAAAACTCCTCTTTTCTAATCGTTCTCAGGCATCACGTGTTGACGTGTTGCCTTTCTCCACCACGACGCGTCCTTGGCTCTGAAGCCAGGACAGTCAATACGGGCTTACAGTGTGCATGCAATACGGAACTTTCTCGTATATATATACAAAGAACAGTTTCTACGAGCCGTGGCTTGTTTTAGAGCCCCATTTGTCTGATCCGAACCCAGCCATCATGGTGAAAATAACCGCCTCAGACATTGGCAGATGTATGAGAGCCACCCGCGTCTCTGACCAAGATCCAAGTACTGATGATTCTCTAGCCTTACAAAGACCAGCAATCTCGCCGAATGGCAGAATCTTAGCAATTGTCACCCCGGACCCAAAGATCCACTTACTGGATCTGACAGACACTGTCCATGGAGACACTGTCATCACGAGGCTGAGACTCCCTGTCCATGCTAAAGGCTTTCTTCAGGATTGTCATATCATCCGCTGGTCTCCAGAGTTTATGCTGGACGATGATGCTGACTCCACAACCACATCAGAGGCAGATCTGGGCAGGACCTGGCTTCTATTGTCCAATGGACGACGTGTTGTTGCTGTGAGCACAGACATTTGGCTCCCCGGGATGATGCGTGGAGTCGACGGAGACAGTGGATCTAAGTCAAACATCCTCGCAGATTATGATCTTGGAGCGCAGTTCGGAAAATTGACATTACTCGAGTTTGTCTTTGACCATCGCCACGCATTACTGATGCACGAACATGGCGGCAGTGCCACATTGCTGAGCTTGACGAGACCACAACGACAAGAGATCCCCCATATCAAAAACAATGGGCCCGCAGCCTTCGCACAAGCACCGAATGCCGACAAATTTGCCTTACTACGAAGAGACAAAGGCCAAGACAAGATCTCAGTGTTTGAACTATCTTCAAACCGTCTGCCAATCGAACACACGTTTGAACCACGAAGTCTAGACGCCCAGAGCATCGTGTGGTGTCCGGCAGGTCAGCCTATTTTAGGGGTGGTTGAATCTCCAAGTTACGGTTTGAGTGTCACTTTTTACACAGCTCAGGGTCACTCCTTGAAGCATCTAGATATCACCTCGACCAATATGAACTTGGCCAGACAGCCATCGAACTTCGAGGGCGTTGGAGCGACTTGTCTGAAGTGGACCAACGCAACCGATGCTCACACCGTTCAAGCAATACTAGATGGGCAGCAACAAGTGTTTGTTCGATACCTGACCAACGGAAGTGTGTCTACGCAAGAAATAGCATCATTCGTTCATCCTGATATCGTGGATGGTTCAAACACCTTGATCTGGCAAGAGGAGTCGGAAAACCCCTTACCTTCAAACAAGGTCTCCAGCTTTATAAGGCAGAAAGCAGCCTTCTCCACAAAGTCAAGTCCCGAAGATTTAAGTCCACACGCGATAGATACCGTTGAACTCAATTCGGACAACACGATGATTGCTACTTGCCTGAAAGGCTGTGGTAAGCTGCTCTGGATATGGAAGCCGGAACAATCTCAACCTTTCACTCTCATCATCTTTCGACACCACGTCAAATATGTCCTTTGGCATCCATTTCTCCCCCACGTTCTTATTGCCATTACCCATCAGAAGCGGCCTATCATTTATGCATGGTATGTACCAAATTTTGGACCAATCAGTGGAGAGATCGTCCTGAACCATGAGATGCACTCCAATCCTCTAACGACAACATTGTCGACGAAGTTCTCTGCTTCATGGCTACCTGCAGCACGGCACACTGATGGACGCGTTCCCTTCTTCTTCACATCAGCAACCAGGTTCGAGATTAGTTTCCTGCGCAGCCTGGATGGAAGAGTTTTGTTTGAGAGTGCTTTGCGACAAGACAGGAATGTCTTTGACAACAAGGACACTGGTGGAGCAGATGAGTTAATCGGGATCGGGATTGACACACCAAGTAAAACTGCAAAGCCATCTAAGAAGGCTCGGTTTTCAGTCGAAGAGCATGTTGATCCGGAACAAGGCGAGTGGCTTCAGGAAGAAGCAAAGCACCGGGCATGGTGAATTGTTACACTGTCCGTCTGCTCCAAACGTTGAGCAAACGATATAAAAAAAATCATAACACGCCTGAGCGGAAATGCGTTTTGAGACCAAGTTGTGCTCAGCCTCAGGGGCTCCAAGGCTTAAAGCCTGTGGTTGACAGCCATCTTTGAGGCAGTTCAGTTGAATACATTCGCGTTTGCAGCACTGGAAGTCACGCAGCACTAGCGTGAAGATGAGAGTGCATTGCAATTACATTGCCAATTGACAAAACTGGACATCGAGGCAGTGAAAAATGTGACAATTTGTCTGCGCACCTTGGAATTATTTATTTGTTGATCTTTTCAACACTCACATTTCAACAACGCTCCAGAGACAAATCACATCCAAGACAATCTGGTCAACCATGGACTCCCGCAAACAAGTCAACAATACTACTAGCAGTCTTACGGCTACTGAGCTTGAGGCAATCGCAGGATTGATACAGCTCGCTCAACCTCGTCAGGCAGAGGCAAGCTTTGAAGCTGGCACCGAGAGCAAGCCTCCAGTAAGGACTGCTAACACAACGGCTATCTCTGCCGGTACTAATTCGCGACAGATAGTTACAAGCTTAGAAGAACATACTGGTCAGATTCAGACGGCAATGCAGAGTCAAGTAGCAGACAATGCCCAACCGGGACCCCAAACATGGTTCCACGATCTCCTTTCCCGAGCAGCCTTGAAGAACTTCATGCGTTACGGGGTGAGGCCAATGCAACTTGATGCAGAGGGAGAAGGACGCTTGGAGGCAGTCCTGGTGGTGATGCAGCAACGATCTTCCGTTCAGGAGGCGGCTTGGTACCTCGATGACAATAACTGGGATGTTCAGGACGCGATAACGCAGTACCTGTACGATGAGGCAGGCCGTGCAAACGACCAGACCGGGGCTTACCAGAGGGCTCTCCAAGCAACAAATTCTGTAACTAGACACAGTTTCAACCAAGGACTTCTCCAGTATCGCATTCGAGAGGGCGGAGGTCTGCGCCGACGCTACGACTTTCCAAACACTGATGCATTCGACGTCGACAACGTAGACCACCTACGTGCCCTGAACCACTGGCGAGCCGATATGGACAGACTACGCGGCCCTCTTCCAGATGTCCCGAGAGCAACAAGGAGTGACAGAGGATGGACAGACAGCGAATGCCGGTACTTGCAGAATCTTTACGCAAGTAAGAAGGACGACTTCACCGTGGGCAAGCGGCCTGACATGGCCAAGATAATGGAGGAGTTCAACAAGGTCTTCGTCGGCCGCTACCTCCCTGGAAGATTAAACCCTTGCTCGGCACGCACTATCAGTAGTGCCAATGCCTGGCTCGATCGCAGCTGGAAGAGGGATGAGCCAGGGAAACGCTTGAACCTTCAACAGCGATATGAAACAGCGATGAACATCCTTCAACATCGCAAAGACGAAGATGACGAATATCATCAGTTCACACAGTAAGGAAGCCACCATCAAGTCTTGCCCAGTCGATCCGCACACCTATCGACCCGTGACCATGGACACCGAGTTTGCACCGAGCGAAAGAGAACTAAAGAGGCTTCAGAATAGGCATTCGGGTCGAAAGTCCTTGAGTGATAACAGAATAACAAAAAGGTTGACAAGGCACCGCCAATGTCCCGCCATTCCCAAGACTCCTGGCCTAGCGGTCTGATATGGAGCCCACGCAAGTTGAGGACAAGAGCACTCTCATCTCCCAATATATGAATGTGAGGTTTGAAGGGATCAAGTCTAGGCGACGTTCCTCCTAACCATAAGCTCTCGATGCGGTGCTTTCCTCATCATTCACAGCATTTTGTACATCCTACCCATGCTCCTAAGTTCAACCCTAAGGCGCCAGAATCCGCGATCCATTGTCAAGTGGGTGTGTGAAAAGCTGTACGCTGCGTGTGAGCAGTTGAGGATCTGGACACGGCAGTTGGCCAACCGTAAGGGGGCATTGAGGCAGTGTTTCTTGCTACTTAAAGCAGTTTATGATTGCCTCTTCTAAAGGGCAAGTTAGTTCTTTTATACTGAGGTGGAGTCCTACCGATCTTTCTCCTGATTCAAACCTGGACGATCCCCTAATCTCAAAGAAGCACTACATACCCCAGACTATCCCTCAACAAATGCAAACGATGACTCCTTCAATTCCCAATACCGCCGTTAGCGACAGATTTTCCAATGAGTCCTGCTCTACTCCTGAAAGCAGAGCCCATTTTGCGAAACTTCCAGATCCGAAATCTGGCTACCAGCCATACGACAACAAACTCCCAATTTCAAGCCATTCTCCACAAGGACGACTTTCTATCCAGTTCGAATTGTCGGGTACAAAGTGCTCCATATCAGGCCAGAATGCCTTCCGCCTAGCTCTTAGTGTCGAGAACGGCACCAATCTCCCCTTGGCCTTCGCGGTGGGTAGACAACCCATGTTGATATCTGAAGCATACTCTCGTGGGCCAGAGCTCATCATCAGCCAAGCGGACGACAGGGAAATCGTCGCAACATATCGATTTGAAGTCTGCTCTGTTCCCGAAGTCCCCCGCATCATCAAACAATCCGGTCTTTACGACGGGGAAGACTTTGACCATCTGCGCCCTGGGGTCACAGAGCCAATCACCGTCGATCTCAATAGCCAAAGTGTCCTCAAGGAAGAGTTTTGCGACGATTTGATGGAGAAACTTGCAGTGGGTAGGAAATATAGGATTTCTATTCGGGGTTCTAGATGGGAAAGTGGAAAGACCGCACCAGTGCGTTGTCAAGCTTGCAGAAGAGGACCAGACGTGTTTGAAGTGGTCTATTGAGACAGAAATGTAGTCGTTCAGGTTAAGGATTGGATCAATGGATCAAAGCAGACTATCGTGGCAGCAATCTGACACTACCTAGGTAGTGTCAAAAGTCCACGCAGAATCAGCGACACAGCTTTCCAACACCGACCATCAAGCCTTGCAGGAGATAACAGACTGCTGGCATTGGATACCACAATTGATTCAGTTCACACAATGCAAGGCAACCCCAGGTCTTTGTTCACATAGCACTTACAAAGAAAATTGATTCTAGCTCACATGACAATGAAACACATTCATCATGGAACAGCCCACGATGCCTCGGATCACTGACTGTTTCTTTCATCGTGTCGCTCCAACACGCAGGTTGGGCTGAGGCAGCCACTATTCCCGCGTTATAGATAACGGCTGTCTCGGCCCGACCAAGGCTCACTCAGAGATCCAATATAATTTATCTTGATCTTTGACTGCTCTTCCACTGCACACGTATATCTCTCTTCAACGCATGCAATTCTAGGGTACAGTACTAAACCGCCATGTCCGCCAACACGTTTCGTACAGCGTTGCTTGACTGCTTTGCCAGAGTCTCGAGATTAGGATTGATTTATCATGCGGCTCTCACCACAGAAAAGCCTCATCTAGCAGGAAACAATGATTTGGAGTCTGATCCTGAAGGAGTTGATGCAGATGACAACGGCGATCTTCATCCAGTTGAGAACAGCAAGAGCGAGTTGGTAACCGCATTCGATGACCCAGCCTCGCTGTACCAATATATCTCACCCGTCAGCCATACTCGTCATCCAAGAGTTGCGTTGGGCATAATCGTTTCTTCCAACAAATACTCCAAATCCGGAGTCGAACCATTCACGATCAATTTTCAAGTGGGAAATCTAACGCCACACATACTCACGCTTTCCAATATTGAACCAGTAAGACCGATGGGCTCCTCAGTCACAAATGGGCCGATAGTACGTCTTGTTGAGCAGTCAATCCGAGGTGTGATTGCTCAATATCGACTGGAAATCTTCGGACCTGATACAACCACGCAATTGCTCCCAAGGCCTGCCACCCTTGGAAACAACTCAGAGCGCTTCAAAACTTTGCAACCTCTTCACTGTAGCGAACATGCTGCATGGATCAATAGTCCAAACTATGCGGACTTGTGGTGTAAAGACCTCAAGCTGAAGCTTATGGTTGGCATGCACTACACAATCGATATCATGCCTGCTGGCTCACTCTGGGGTCGGAGAATTATGGATGAGATGATCGAATGTGAATTTCTGAATCGGCGTCTTCCCTCATTTGAAGTTGTAGAATAAGGCATGAACTATGAACAACCACCAATGCCCAATTTTGAAAGGTGGTTTTGGTGCCCCCATTTCTGACCCCCAAACCGGCGTGTCTCCTCGCAATTCTTCCCGGCTGCACGAGGCTGGCTCTCCCAGGGGCAGCGGGGGCCAGACAGTCCCCTCATCGGCTTACAGGGCCGACAATCGAGCGTGTTGCTAAGCTTTTCCAGTAGCCGACATCCCGCGGGGTTTTGTGGCAGACTGGGTTCGGCGGAGTCGCCGTCAATTACTTGTTCTGGTGATCGGGGTCTGCTCACTGTCACAGGAATGTCTGTTGTTTAAACGCAATCAAGTCACTGTCCAGAAATCTGTCAAACAGAAACCTCAGTGAGAGACAGGGAAACAAAATCACTTCATTACTTAATCCAGTTATTCTACCACCAGAAAAACCAACTATTGTGCTACTCCCCGCGACCATCGAATCAAATTTTAAGATGGAGGCTTTGGTTAGTCTATTCTCTCTGGCAGGGAGAACTGCAGTGATTACTGGAGGTACGAGAGGTATCGGAGCAGCGATGGCAATTGCACTAGCAGAAGCAGGAGCAGACATTATCCTCGTCCAGGTTAGTAACGCTGAAGAGCAACTACGCAGAAGGCTTAGATTGAAGAACGAAGAGCACTGATGAAAGATCACCAGCGAGATGAGAGCAACAAGAAAACTTACGACCAAATCAAGTCACTTGGGCGAAAAGTCAGCATCGTCACAGCAAATCTCTCCGACCAGTCATCGGTAGAGAAGCTCATACCAGATCTCGTCAAGGCAGGTCACGACATGCATATCTTGCTCACTTGCGCGGGAATTCAGAAGCGACACCCAGCCCACCAATTCCCTATCGATGACTGGAACACGGTATTGCAAGTGAACCTTACGACGATCTTTACACTGTGCCGGGATTTCGGGGCATATCTCTTGTCTAAGCCGGCACCCGCCACGGGCACACGGGGCAACATCATCAATGTAGCGTCTCTTCTCACATTTCAAGGCGGTATTACTGTTCCAGCATACGCAGCATCAAAGGGTGGAGTGGCACAGCTGACGAAAGCACTGAGCAATGAGTGGGCAGGCAAAGGGATCCAGGTCAACGCAATCGCGCCAGGGTACATCGATACGGACATGAACGAGGCACTCATCGCGAATGAGACGAGGGCGAGGCAGATTCTGGAGAGGATACCGGCTGGTCGGTGGGGGAAGCCTGAGGATTTCAAAGGCGCGGTCGTGTACTTGGCGGGGAACGCATCGCAGTATGTCAGTGGAGAGGTATTAACGGTCGATGGGGGTTGGATGGGCCGGTAGAGAGGGGAGGGAGGTGTGAAGACAGCTGCAGGACCCTCAATCGTAGAAATCATCTGGTTGCAAGGACAAAGCACGTACCTAAGCCAACAAAGCCGCTTGGTCACCTCGGAGGTGAGATCTTCCGCAGTCACGGAATTGGAATAATTCTTTTCAAAAGACACGCCAAGGAAGCCCAGGTCATTGTCATTCTAAATCGTCAGAGAACAAGCGTGAGGAACTCAAGGACAACTCTCCTTCAGCAGGACGGCACGTTTGCGTTCTTCATTTTACAACTACGATCACACACTGCAGGGAACAAGAGCGTGACCAGCGTTGATACATTCATCTCCGGTGTCTGATCAACGCCACGAGGGAGAGTTAACTACGATCCTCAAGCTCCAGCATAGAGTTCATACCTGCATATTTTGGCTCACTTCCACTGCTCGTCTTCTCACCAGGAACGGGATGGATTTCACAAACTCACAGCTTGCACATCGATTGGGTCACAGTGACAAAGAGAAGTTGATCAGCAGCGCTTGGGAGATGGTACTCCAGACGTGATGTCGAACCAATTTTTGCTCAAACGCATCACCGCTCAATAATTTTCAATAACAGTGAATTAACTGGGACACAAATACTCCGCGCTTCTCAATAAGCTCTTAATAATCCTCAATGACCATGGCCTATCGTCCAACGGTAAGCATCTCTAGGCCACCAGAAGGCTGAATACGGCTCGGCGAGGCTGAATAACACCTCTCCTCAATTGACATGCACCGTGATGAGGTCTAGGCACACCATTTCATTCAACAGCTTATTCACCAATGCAACGGTACTTTGTGCATGACTCTTGTTGTTCTCATCCCTATGAAGACTGTCATTTCCCACCTTTGTCGCCCTTGTCCGCTTGCTTCCCGATGTTCTCGTGATAATCAACCATTTATCCCCTGCTGACTGCATTATTTGCCCCCTTGTTTCTAATCACAGAAAGAACGGCTTTGATCTTCCAAACCTGCTAGATATGTACTTAACCGAAAAATCAAGCTTCAACTACGCGTAACAGAAGATTTGGCCAACACACCCGTCCCTTTGAACACTACATCAGATTTAGACAAAACCCTGGATATCAAACCGCAAACACATCGAACAACCACAAAATGGCTACCGTATCAGTCATGCCGAGCCGAACCACCCCTATTCCAAGCATCACCACAGTGGCTACCACATTTACTCGATATCTCCAATATACTCCTCGGGATCTGGCAGATGGCAACCTCGTCTTCAAAAACGCAAAGGTTCCCGAGGCAAACCTCACAGCATCTGCGCTGAATGGAACAGCAACACCCCCACCATATTTTACTGGTCTACATGGTGTTAACATCGAATTGGATGCCAAACTCGTCAAATTGATGTGGCTGACCATCTTTGTCGCGGTTGGAATCACTTTCGTGTTGCGTTTGCTCGAGTTGGGTAATGCCTATATTCGAAATGCTGTCTGCATGACCCGAACACGTCGAGAACAAACCTATTACACTCTCGACCACTTTCCGTTATGGTCGTGGTTGAAAAAAAACCTCATCTACGCACCACTTGGGAAGAAGAGACATAATCGAGAACTTCAACTTTCCTCTGTCATAAATTACGGCACAATCCCCGGGCGAATCCATTTCTTGCTTCTCTTTGTGTACGCTTTAAGTCAACTCGTCTACTGCGTCATGTTGGACTGGAAAACCAGCGACAAGGGAAAGCTCATGGCCGAGTTGCGGGGTCGAAGCGGGATTCTAGCAACCGTCAATATGCTTCCACTTGTTGTGCTCGCAGGTCGAAACAACCCTTGCATCGCCCTTTTGCGTGTCAGTTTTGACACCTACAATTTGTTCCATAGGTGGATTGGAAGGATCTGTGTTCTCCAATCGATGGTCCATGTCTCCGCATGGATGGCTGCCTATATTATGGCAAAAGGAGAGGATGCAACAATCGCTGTCTTCGTCAACAACACTTTCCTCCAGTTTGGGTTGATTGCAGCCATCGCGATATTTATTCTGGCCCTACATTCCCTCTCACCGATCCGCCATGCCTTTTATGAGACATTCCTGCATCTGCATCAATTTCTCGCCCTTGCCGCATTCTTGGGCGTTTACGTGCACTTGTGCTCCAAGATGCTTCCAGCTTTCCCGTTCATTCTTACGGTCGTTGTCTTCTGGCTCATCGAAAGACTATGGCGACTTGGACGAATCCTCCGTCTCAACTATCCTCGACTGGGTGGTAAAACTTCAATGACGGTTGAAGCTCTCCCGGCGAACGCCTGTCGAGTGACCTATCAATTGCCACGTCATATCACCATCAGGCCTGGGAGCCACGTCTATGCCTACATTCCATTGATCTCTCTTTGGCAATCCCATCCGTTTTCAGTTGCATGGACCAATATCGAGTCTGGCCCTCCAATCGCTGCCGACATGGGTTCATGTTCTGACTCGACGGATCTCGAGGGACAAACAAGCAATAAATTGGTTGCAGCCACGGCACCAACCACCGTGTCGTTGATTGTCTGTGCTCGATCCGGAATGACGAAAAAACTGTACGAGAAAGCCTGCGAGTCAAACAACAACAAGCTTTTCCTCAACGGCTTCATCGAAGGTCCGTACGCCGGCCACGACTCCATGGTATCCTACGGTACCGTCATCATGTTCGCCGGCGGCGGTGGCATCACACATCATCTCATCCAGATCCGACACTTGCTGCTCGGAGCAAAGGCTCAGACTGTAGCAACTCGCAAGATCGTGTTAGTCTGGTCCATCCGCGACGTCGATGCTATGGAGTGGGTGAAGCCCTGGATGACCGAGATTCTCGCCATGGAAGGCCGCCGCGATGTCTTATCTATTCGCGTCTACGCAAGCAAGCCTTCGGTTCCAATCAACACGAGCAAGGCCAAACCCACCATGCAAATCATCGAAGGCAGGTGTGATCCCGGCGCTGTCCTCGATGAGATTATCCCACAGCGTGTCGGTGCCACCATGGTCAGTGTTTGTGGACCCGGCGCTTTGGCTGATTCTGTCAGACATCACACCCGTCGGTTCATTGGCTCCGCAGCTATTACTCTAAACGAGGAGTCGTTCACTTGGTGACGTGCCTTCTGTAGACACAAATCGAATTAGCCAGAGTGCTATTCGAGAAGCGATCATGCTTGCTTTCAACAGAGAAAATAACATTGCTTTAGCCAAAATGTCAACCCGAAAATTGATTCTTTCAACTCAAATATTGCCCTCATATCAGGCAAGGTCCTTCCCCTAAGCAAAGCCACTTCAGACGCAAGTAAAGATAAACAGCGTATTCGAAATCGAAATTTAATCAACAATCCACCGAAAACTCGACTGCATGCGTAATATCCCTTGCACAATGATACGTGACTAGCTAAGGCTACAGCGGACATTCCCTTCTCCAAGTTTTTTTGGACCCACACATCATCGATGCCATCGACACCTAGCATGTTGAGCCCTCTGCTATCGATGATACACTCGGCTCGCACTTCGGCGACGTCCTCCAGCGTTGATGCACTGCGGCCTCCCTCTTGACGCCTTACTTCTACTCAAGCGCGGTTGACTCATGGCCGACCCTGTTGATTCTCAGTGCAGCGGCAAGATTCTCGAGCTCCGCTGCTGATGAATCCTGCACATCGCCGGCCTTGTAGCTTCTCGTAGAGGCGTTCGCAACAGCAAGTGCGTCTTCGAAGTCCACGGAATACTTGCGCAAGAGCTCCATGATTCTCGAGACCTCGTGGCGGATTGCATCGTACGGCGTCTCGGCAAAGTACTCTCGCCAGCCCATTTCGTGGATCTGTCTCTTTGACCCCCACCATTTCTGGAATTTCCCGCTCCCGAATACAAGTGGTTCGACATGAGGATGGTTTTGTGCTCGCCACTTTGTAAGACTTGTCCATGTGTTCTCGTCGTGGTGCAGAAACTCTTCTATCTTGGCTCCTTGCATGAGAAGCTCCCGGAGCTCCTCTGATTCTTGCTTCAGATACCATTTGAGGTAAGACACGATCTTCCGATCGGCTTCGCGGCGAATCCAGAAACCGAACACAGGGCCAAGTTGTGTTTGGGCATGTGCTAATCCTCGCACCTCCTGAACCTTCTCGGTGAACAGCTCAAGAGACATGGATGTGTGGTTGCTAAGCGCGTCTAGAGAAAGTTTGAAGAGCATGATATCTGTATGGCGGTAGTTGATCAAGTTGCCCAAACGGTTGTGGTCACTAAGGTGCTGGTCTATGACATCGCTCAAGCGGGTTTTATGGTCCGACCAAATGTCTTGACCCCAGCCCTTTTCGAGCTCGTTGCCAGCTTGGTACATGGCAAATTGCGCTTGAGCCAATTCTTCACTCAAAGAGCCCAAGTCCATTGAATGTTGCCGAAGTGGATGGAAAGCCTGCGTCAAGTTCAACGCGACCTGGAGAGGATCCAGAGGAGGTAAACTTGGCTCGCGTAGAGCTGGCTCGAACAGGTCGAGAATTGAATTCACCAAAGGGGGCACTTCGAAAAAGAAGATAATACTAATCACCAACCATGTCAAGAATGTGCAGAAAGGCGATAATCTAGATGAACGCCGCACCGGTCGTTTTGGTGCACTGTTGGTCACCAATGGACCTCTTCGTCGTATCGTGAAATTTGCTTCCCTTGGTTGAGTGTCTGGTTGGTATCAGAGAGCCAGTCAATGTTAGGAAAAGGGACAAGACCTACAGCCAAAATTCTTGGTAAGGCTGTGGCGCGGGGATTCAGCCATAGTGGTATCGCTGTCACTGTCGCAAGTTGAGCAATCAGTGATATCGTCCAGTTGTTGAGCCATATCGAAAGACCTAAAGATACTCTAGGGAAGTACTGGAGGAAAGTCTTTGGTGATAAGGATGGAAATAGCTTGAGCAAATAAGAAGCGATGGGTTCGAGCTTGAAGAAGAGCAAATCCTCAAGTCTCCATAGTCACCATCTACTATATGCGTTCTTTGTCCAGTAGAATTAGGCCTCTCAACCGTGATAGAAGTGCTTGCAGAACCTCTTATTAAGTTGGCGAAAGTTGACAAAGGCGAAGAGGCCCGTGCATCTTTGTGTCAGCATACATATATGGGAACTTGCATAGAAATAGAAAAAGTGATTTGGACGCACGCAGCTAGAATTGTGCTTTGTTCCTTCCTCTTGGTGAAGACTCACAGTGACTGCAATAACACCAAGCTGCTTGATTGAGTCGGGTTGCTGTTTCCAGTGCAGCGTCAGGCTTGATAGACTCCTTTGGCGATAGTCTACCCTTGAAACATACCGGACAATCTGTCAACGGTGAAACCAGGATCGTCCAATACATTCTAGAGCTCTCATCTTGGGTCCCAGTGTCGTCAGCCACCACGTTGGGGCGTCCATCAAGGAATGTTCGAAAACACAGTCCGCCAGAACGTAAATAGGATGGAGTTTCAAGGGGAGGAGGTGAGACAACGCGAGAGTATTGAGCAGATATAGGAAGGAAGGTGATTCAACCAGCCCCTCAGAACAAGGCAGCAGTGTTTTATGATAAATGAGTGGTTCATCACGTTTTTCGCTCACAGTGGTGGCTTCCCCATGCTGAGTCGAGGATCGAGAGGATCTCGCTCTTCCACTACCAGCGACAAACTGTAGAGCCGATGGCTTGTCTTGGCCCCAGTATGATGTATCTCACACGTAAATTTCGGACAGGTAGATACTGTCGTGTATCTAGATATTGAAGGCACCAGAAAGCTAGCAGTGACAGCATCCCTAGCTAGCCTTCCTCCTTTAGTCGATTTCTCACTTCACACACATATGATTCCAAGTTCCGAAAATCCCTCCCACATTACACGACTTCTAACCTCAGCAACCCAACTGAAGATCCCGGTGCGTCTTGCCGTCAACAGACCATCTCATGATTCATCTAACGAACATATCTGAAATTCCTATTCTCCTTGTCGGTAAGATCGAGGAACTCAAAGTTCGGAGGAAGTTCCTGATGTCCTTCTCTGTCCCTCTTCCTGTTTTCCCGAATGTAAGCCAAGTCCAGAAGGACCGTGAAAAGGACCGCAAACGACAGGATTATGACGATGGTCATTTTGGCGGGAATGTACTGCGGTGCATCCTTGTCTTGGAACGTTTCCGGACCGATGATGTTACCGAGACAGAACGACATCAAAACTATGGCATTCATAGTGATCTTCTTAGAATGTCCACCGTCTACATCGAGTCAGTGACCATGTATGGAGGATGTTCTGGGTGAGATACTCACGATTCGCGGTAATCCAACTGTAGAGCATAGGGAGAGCTTTGAATGTTAGCTGTGCGTCGTCCTCGGATTAAACTCGATACTTACTGGAGCCAACTGTGTTCGTCATAAAATTACCCGCGAGTAACCCCGGTTTGTTATCTGGAGGAAGCCATGCCATCAAAGCTCCGCCGAGGAGTGTGGGAATAATCAGGGCGATAATGAGGGGGCCCCTAGCATTGAACCTGCCTGCAAGCCATGTTCCTAGGCCAACGGAGACGAAAGCAACTGCGCTGCCAGGTAGATTGAGGAGTAGCGTGGTGTAATCGTCATAACCAAAGCTTCATAGAATTAGTGATGTGCAGGACAAGTTATCGAAATGAACCATACTTTGAAATGATAATGTTCGCGAATGAGCTGACAGCCCCGTTTGGCACGTTGGTCGTGATGACGATGAGACTCAAGAGCCACGTTTTGAAATCCAGCAGCACCTCCTTGACTTGCTTGCCTTTGAGCTTCTTGTTCTCTATCCCGGTCTGGTTGCCACGGACGCGCTCGATGATGAAGAGCTTTTCGTCGGTGGAGAGTCGACTTTTCATAGGATTGTCTGGAAGGAAAAGAAAGACAAGGATTCCGACCGAGATCGTGATCAATCCCCACATGAGGAAGAGAATCTGCCAGGACTTGAAGCGCACGTCAGGGTGAGAATTGGTGTAATGAAGGAAGCCATATGACACAAGGCTGGACACGGCTGGTGCGATCGAGGTTCCCTGGTACCAGATGCCCATTCGCACGACTTGCTCCTCTCGCTTGTACCACATAGACGTGAGGATGATAAGGCTAGAGAACTCAGTCAGATGATACTCCGAGAAGTAGATTCCAACCTACCTAGGTGCTGCGGACGCCTCGAGGACACCAAGCAGAACACGAAGTACTACTATAGGTGCAAAACTGTGGCATGCCGCATTGAGCGTAACCACAACGCCCCAAAGAATGACTATTTCGGCAACAGTGAGCTTGAGCCCTGATTAAAGAATGCAAATCGTACCATTGCAAGCCAAGTATTTTGCGGTTGGGAAATGTTGGATCAAATATGACTGTGGGATTTCGCAGAACAAGAAGCTGATATAAAAAGCCATGGCTAGATGACTGAAGCCGTTATCGGGCATATGAGTATCTTCAATGACACCCATTATGGCGGCCGAAGAAACTGTGCAACGATTCAGTATGGTTCTGTCTGCGAACTTGAAAGAATAGTGAAATACGCAAGGTCTTATCGGTGTATTGCAGATAATAGACCGAGAACATCAATGGCATGATCATCCAGTCGACCTTCCGCATAAGCTTCTTCTCGTTGATTTCAGTGAGCTGAGCCGTGGCAGCATGGGCGTGCAGAAATTGGAGTGCTTCGTCGACATCTTTGGCGCCAACGAATTTCTCATCGACGCTCTCGGCACGGGCGACCGTGGCGGTTTGGACTTCGATATCGTTTGCCATGTTTGAGGTGATTGAGGTTGTCGAGCTCGAGCAACTGGCTCAAAATCCTTTCGCGGAGGATGGGTAGACACATTTGAGAATGAGTGTTTATGCTCCATCTTAATCACACCTTTCCAATCTTGTCGATCATCTGCGATCGGCATGCTGGCGTTATCATAACCAGGGGCGGATGAAATGCCGGCGAGGTCTCTCGATGGTTTAGGAAGGTCGTGGCTCATGAAGCAGCGCTAAAGAAGCTTACTGGTCACTGGAAGCTTGTAAACTTTGTATTTTATCACCAGGCCTCGTAACTTGAGGTGCGCTCGTTAGGAAATCTGCCGTGGAGAAACTTATCGGGAAACAATGACTGGTAACTTCCTAGATAACCAACTCCAACTTTTAGAGACGCGCTTGATATGATGCGGGGAAATAAACTTTGTTAGCCAACTTGGTCTCCTTGAAATACGTTTATGCGGGCGAAAAGAGGAGTCGTCAGCGAGCCCTCCAACCTTATCATAGAAGCAGTTTACAACGATTGCCGTTGCTGCTCTCAATGCGCTGATCTCCTATCGGTATATTCTCCAACTGACTCGTGGATCTCCGAATAAGTAGGTATGATCCTAGTTCACTCTCCACCGTTTTTTTGGTCTTACGCAGACTATGCGTCCCTCGACGGTAGATTAAAGCAATTCCACCACAATCAGTCCACCCGGATTCGACTGGTCGTCCATGTCATGAGCCAATGGGTATACATACCAGGATGATGTTATGTGGTCGAGCTGAGGTTCACGTGATTTATGCTTTTGTGTGTAGTTGACAAGTCTCTGAACGAGCACTCACCTCGCTCTGAGTGTACAAGCCAGCAGGCATATATGCTGTGTTGACGATCAATACAGATGGTATCCACATGACATATATATCAAAACATGGTGCCCAAACCAATTGTGACCAACGCGACCAGGCCCAATAACCCCCAAACACCCGTCGAGTGGCTTTTCAAACTCAGCGCAGCATCTTTATCTCCGCCGCCACTGCGGCTTTGATTGTCAGTCGAAGAATTCGATGGCGCTGATCCCGTCAAAACGATACTCTCGTCCTTCCCATCAAGATCCAAGTCTAGCCGCACATCGGTCTGTCCCAAAACGGTCGCCACAACCCAACGAGATGCAACGTTTGTATATTCATCGTAATAGCTCCAGTGAGCTGTGATATTAATAGGTTCACTCCCCACGGCGCAGACAGGATCACCCGCATTGCACCACATTGCTAGGATGTCATCGTATTTGTTGAGGTCCGCAAGTTGCTGTCCTTGACGACCCAGAACTCCGTTGAAGGTCGATCCACGTCCGATGTTGTAGGATTGGTTGGTGGTGAAACGAGGTGCGCCAAATGTCACAGCGGCGGCAACTGCGATATGTTAGAATTGCTTGATCACGCCAAAAGAGTGTCGTGTGACTTACTGTTCGATCCTGGCGTGGTATCCCTGGATAACGGAGGATTCGGGGGCTGGTCGCATCCAAAAAGAAAGCCTCCTCCACCGCCCAGAATATCCCCAACCACACCTCCTCCCTGTGAGTATCCAGTCAAGACTAGTCGTGAGTCGGGACATCTTTGAACATATTCAGTCATCTGAGCCTGGCCAGCGGTAGCACCAGTGTGTGCTGATTGACAAAAGATCCCCGAGAATGATATGTTTGCAGGATAGACGACATCCTCATAGTCACACGAGACGCCGGTTTCCTCAAACAATGAGCAGAGAACACCCAGCATTCCTCCGCCACGGCCTGGGTAGGGTTCATCTGAGCCGCGAGCACTAAAGATTCTGATATCGTTGCAATCTTGAGGAACGTGTGGGATCACATTGTAGACTTCACCCTCTGCCGTGTGGTCATACTCGCTTCCATCCTCAGGGAGAGGCTCCCCAGTCACCGGCGGCGGAGGTTCCACGGCTGGGTCAGCTTCAGGCGGTGGTGTTTCCGTAGGCACTTCAGGTGGTATTTCAGATGTTATCGTGAATGTTACATCTGGTGTGGTTTCGGGTGTGACTTCTGGCGGAGGACTTTCCTCTTGTGAGAGTACTGGTGTTGATCCAAGGATAAGGGTGGTGGTGATGGCTGCTAACCAGATGAACTTCATCTTTCCTCTTCGATCCTTTAGCTGAGAACCTCTTGTCTGCCCCTGCCTATCAACACAACAGCCTTTCCCCAAACCGATAACGCCGTGGTCCGATGAACAGTAATGGATAGCCCGTGATGGTGAGAACCCTGATTACACCGGCGGCTTCACAAGCTATTTTCTTCCTTTCCAAGTAAAATTAAGGGAACGCTGGTAATTTGATATTTCGTAAATCGTGGACGTCGGTCAATACTGCGGGTAGTTTTTCATGGATTAAAATGAGTGTAAACGTGCTGAATGTCTATAAAGCAACTGAACGAGCCTGAATGGGGACTGAAAACGAAGGAGTTGACTGAAAGTGATTGGAAGGTTAGCTAATGATGAAAGACAGTAAGAATAACAAACAAGAATGATTCAGTTCATGCACCCCAGACAGACATAACAAAATAGAAAAGGGCGATCGATGGTGTTTTTTCATTTATGCACGTCTCATGTAGGTTCGGCCTTGTAACAGGGTCCCAGATATGGATAGGTCGAATCAAAGTTCTCAGAGGGATTATAATTGGAGACAGTACCACTAAGTAGGCGGGAGAACGTCATCTGGGCTTGGAGTGTCTCTAGGCACTGACTTGGTCCAGCTTGCTGATTCGGTTGACCGGCAGCTTGTGGGGACGGTGGGCTTGGGAGTGCGCGTCCAGGGGAGAAGCCAAGGCTGGGAGCCGCCTGAGCACCGGTTCGACAAACAAGCATCCGGGAGGAGCAGCAAACAAAACAAAATTTACTCGTACGGATACATCTCTCAAGATAACAAAGAAAGAGTACCAGAAGTGCAGTGAAGTTTTGAAGTCGACATGCTAGTTGGAAGAGGCCAGGAGAAGCAGCCTTCCCGACGTCTGTATTTGGGGGCTATCGAAGACCCAAGGCAAGGAAGAGCACCGCTCAGTGGCCTGGGAAACACCCTCAGCTCATGGCACGTTCTTGGCCGCTGCTGCGAACAAGCATGGTACCTAGGTAGCTTCCGTCCCCTATTCGAATCCTCACAGCTATGGATGGTACTGGAGCACCCTAGGCCCCTTACCTAGTAGGCACTGTGGTAGGTACACAGTATTGAATTTGATGATATTGTGGCGTTTGTGGATGACTCCAGTGTCGCGTGCCCAGATGTATGGGTGGACTCGTTGGCAGATCAGCCCTAGCTTCGGTGGCTTGGTGCCCAGCTTTGACTGCCAAATCAATCTGCCTCATGATCGGAATTATCCATCCGGGGCTACCAAACACTACTTGAACCTTCAAATGATCTCCTTTTGTTCTTAATCCAAGCCTCGCCTTTCATACCTCCTCAGGTAAGTACTATTATACTCACCTTGCCTCATTTACCTCATACAACTTTTGCACTGCCCAGGACGAGAAGTCGGTCTCTTGGCATTACGACTCCCTACCTAAGTACCTAGGTACTTCGTCCTGGATACTACTCCACTCACTATTCTCCATGCGATTCGTAGCTTGAGACCCCCTTTATTTCAGCATAAAACACTTGCAGCTGGGCTCCGATGTATGCGGAGCTGAGTATCGGTAGTAAGGTGCTGTTCACAATATTTCATCTTACCCATGTATGGAATAAAACACTTTACGGTCGTGGCAGATCTGATTTATTGGCTCCTTTGCCATCGTTTTCAGCAAGGGAAATGCAGTATTCTTGAAGTTGTAAATATATGAATTCGCTGCTGAAGCCTTTCGAGGATACCAGCATGAACATGTGGCTGCCGTGTCAAGATCTCAATCGCCGCATAGTTGGGCCTCCATGCTTTGGTCGGGTTGAACACACTTCAGCCTCAGTGTTATTGCTATCCACAACATCTCGGAGTTCATTCCCATCTGCTAGTTAGCCACTTTCCGCTCTCTGCGCAGCACTGTGGACATTCATTTCTCTCCTTACCAGTGTGGCTTTGGTATTTCAGACATGGCTCTTTGTCCACAATGTTCTAGCCCGCTCCCCAAACAGCGTGTCAACTCGTGTTCTTGTCTACTAATAATACTCCCGCCCACAGAATCACAATCATTATTGTGCGACGTCGAGATCATGTTGCTGTGCAGTGAGAAAGACAAACAAGACAACTGTTGCTGACCCGTTTGCCCTTGACAGGACATCCAACACGCGACCTCATCCGCGAACGAGGCACACTGGGAGTTGGCGTCCTTCAAGAGACTTCTGACTTCTGAATTTTTCTGCGAGCCATTGTCCGTGGACACAATTCTTCAGCAAATTTCAGTGCTTCAACCGTGTATGGTTAGATTCTTCGTAGGAGATAACAGCTGCCAAGAAGTTGATGCTCTAAGCAGCCACAGAGGGCTCAAGACTACAAATAGTCTTGACAGTATCAAAGAGCACCCATTGAGACTGGCCAACACTGCGGCAGCCTCCACGAAAATGATTGCATTGGCCGCGAGAGTTTCTCATACTAGATAGGCTGATTCAGCACAGTGTTGTGACGCTTCACGACTTGGCTGTATGTACGGCTCGCAAGGCTCTCGCGTACTTTCCTTGTGCCCACCAGTGCTGGTAGTCGGCAATGCATGTCACGGTATATGTACTTTAATATTTTCCCTGCGTCCTCCTGGCTTTACTCATCCCTGCCGTTCTCAACTCTCGAGAGTGGGAAGTGTGGCTCCCAACAATTGTTATGTTGCCTCTATTCATCGATCGACACCACAAATACAGTAGTCTTGCGGATTGGGCACGCAGCAGAAAATGTCTCGACACGAGACTGGAAGATTTGAGCTCGATGAGCCAGAGATAACTGATTTCTTTGATGTCGATGGGCCACTCTCATGCGCCAAATATCTCGGATTTCCCACCATCAACGATTTCTGCAACTTCCTGGACAGTTCTTCCTTTCGGCCTTTCTATGAACAGTACGACCAGTGGGACACCCAACAAAACCTGCACCAGGTATCCGTCGAACCGTTCTTCACAATCCTAGATCTGATCGTGAGTCGGGATAAGAAGTGAGTGACCATGATACGCAGCCTTGCAAAGTCTAACGATAGCGCAGGAGCCGGACCCAGTACGACCATGGCCTTGTCACCGGACAGCCCTCACCCTGGTGGCGTAGAGTTGAATACATCTTATCAACCATCCTTCAGGTTTTCTACAAGAATTACAATGCATCGCGACTACACTGTATTGGTCAAGAATTTCCTGCAGAACCCACTCCTGCACGTTGGAACAACATCTGGAACATCTTTCGCTTCTGCGTAAAGTACGACTACTTCTCCGCAAAGTCACAAATGTGGGTCCGAAGCTGCAGTCTCCTGGAACATACCATTGTGGCGCCATCATACATGGCACTAAGCGCGGAGTCTGAAGATAAGGCGAAGGATAGAGGCTACCGCATCACCTGGGAAAATATGCCTGTCAACACTCCACACGCACTTCTAGAAATTCCAATGACGGTGCTACTCCCCGCCCGGTGCTTCGACTCATACCGCATTCTCCAGCACTGGATCACTGACCAGTATGGGCTCCTATGGCGAAAACTCAAGATTGACCATATCGAGTTTCGGGTACTTGATGGCTCAGAGACCTTCGAAGAGGCAGAGCGTCGTGGATCACCGTGGAGAACACTCCTACGATACGTGCAAGAGGGTCGGGCCATGAGTTTCAGCTTCTACACAACCAGGTCACCAATGGGGAGCAGTAACGACGAATATTTTGGTTACAAAGCTCCCAATGCCTCTGCTTTCAGGAGAACCTATGTGATTGAGGCGAATGAACTAACTGATGAAGAGTGGGAGCGTCCCAACAATTCCGAGCCATCAACATTACCGAAGAAACGGGGCCAGCCAAGTGAGGACCTGCAGCCAGTAGAACGACAGCGAGCCGAGCCACCAAAGAAACTCCGCAAGCCCAGTACCATGGTCAAGAAGCTTCGACGCATTCGTCAAAAGAGAGAACCCGGTGAGACGCAAGAAGAGGCTCGTGTCGCAAATGAAGTGGATCAGAGATCGGAATGGGATGCTTCCTTGAGGAGGGGAAGTCTGAAGGTGAAGAATTGGGCGACATTGGCATCTGCTACACGCATCCCCTGTGCTACCCCTGAATTGATCAGCGAGGACAAGCCAGCTAAAGAACCCGATCAGCAGGTCACAAATCCTGCACAGTGAGGCATGTTTCTGACCTTGAGGCCAGCAACATAATGCTGGTGATGAGTCAATGATAACATTGGAATGATTGGAAAGGCTCTGGCGGGATGCTATCGACGTCGAGTCTGTTGGAGTGAAGCGATATCAGCTAGGAAGCTCCCAGCATGAACATTCAGTTCTCATAGCCCTTCACTCGATCTCAAGATCGTTGAATCGTTGGGTGAATGGATAGTCTGCATGGAGCACTGCGATTCAGCCTAGTTAAAGGCACATGCATTATGAACAGATAGCTTCGAATGTCTAAGACGTGGTACGGAGCACATCACGCTTCTACAATGAGATGATACACAAAATCGTTCTACGGTCTAAGTTTAATCTACCCAGGAGATAGCTTTAGCCTTAGCTGCGAAGCATTTTCTCTGCCGTTGTTCTTCTGTCAACCGATTGTATGTCAATGTTTCAGTTCATAGTTGCCTTCAGCCATTCGAATTACCACACGGTAGGAGGATCATCATGATGAGTCCATACTTTGATCTGATGTTTAGTAGAACGCCTGTCTTGCTTACACTGGGACGATCAATGCAGAAACTTTGATTCACAGCCGGAAACACCCCTCTGACGTGGTATCAACCTCTCCCGTTGGGAGCTCTTGCCACCCTGCCACTACCATCGTACCTACCGTAGAATGGAAGCAGCACATCATCTACTCCTACCTTTCAGTTTCGTTCACCATTCCTCCATCACGCTCTCCAAGCTCATGTCTCCTCCTTACTTCTACCGACATTTCCGGATATTGGTTTTGAACGGATGGGGAATTTGAGCTAGAAGAGAGACCTCAAGTATGAATTGACCCTACTCAAACGGCATAATGACTGACTGGTTTTAGTTTCCCACCCCAAACATGCCAAAGCACAAGCATCTTCGATCTGAAGATGAACCTTCAGCCATTGTTCCCACCTCACGCTCAACTTCACTGTTAGTTACCCACAACGATTCGGGAGAGAAGCTCAACTCTATTGCAGAGTGGCTCAAAGATGTGCCACATCCCACTACTCTTGATCTGTCGCACGAATCTACAGGAGATGAGCTCGACTTGACTGCGGAGTCGTCCATAGATGACTCGGATATTGCATCAACAGGGGAAATGGCAGACTTGCTCGATGCACATGATCTTTGTTAAGATCGAACCAACAATGCACGCCAGCCACTCAAGAATATTGCCAGACCTCTATCATCAGGAGAGCAACCATTGCGTGAACTCACTGATGGCAGGGACTCCACGAGTTTAAATCCTGTTGATGACTTCATCGAACCACTGTCACAAATGAAGAATGGCACAACCACCTGCCCTTTCAGACCTGCATGTGGGATGACCGGCCACTTCAAGAGCAGCAAAGCATGCGAGATCCACCTCAACAAGATGCATGACAACAAGTGTAAATTCTGTCCGAGAAGATTCAACTTTTGGACGGGTTGGTTGATCACTACCAATCGCAACATGGCGAAGAAAACCTTGTGGAACTTTTCTACCCTTGCCCTGCACTGATCACACGCATGGGAGTTGTTGAGGCGTGTGGAAAGTTGTTTGAGAGCAAAGAAGAGCTGAAGAAACAAAAGGAGAACACTCATCACGCTGCCTGTCCTCGTTGTGGCGATTTGTTTCATTCGCGTGTTTTTTATACTCATCTGAGCGTACGCAGGGGCAGACGCCGCGAAGCTCACGAGACCGCACATCTTCCGATCTACAAGAACCATTACCAGGCGCATCTTCACCTTGGACCAGCAGCAATCAGAGCCCAGATCAATATTTTCATCACTTTTGCATCACATCTCACGCTCGACGAAAACCTCCATATGACCGAAATTTAGGGCGGAATGCCAACGTCCGAGCCTTCAACCTTACTCACAAGAAATGACATGGGGGCCGTCTAAAAACTCAAAGACAACCTTGACCTTTACAGTTCAGACATATTCACCTTATTTGAGCTGCTTGTCTCCGAATCGACTTCCCTCGATGTGATTCACAACGTTGTTTCAAAAATCAACTCCTGTTCGGCTTTCGCGGCAAAGGTACCTCACTTCCCGTTATCTCCAGATATACGTCCAGAGAAACGCTGCCCGGGCCCTCCAGGCTTGAGTGGTTGTCCGTGGGCGTCAAAAGAGTCACAGCACTCCTACGAGTTTCTAGTGGCCTCAAGGGGCAATACCCGACTCCCAGTGTGGTCAAGGAACTGCTTCCGCTGCGAGTTACGCAATTTGTTGCATTTGAAAATTCGCCAGAGTGATGGCAAATGCTGTCAAGTCATCAAATCATCGTCTGTGATTATGGTTTTTGTCGAAAAATTCAAATCAAAGTTGGAGAAGGTGATTACTGTGAAGAGCATACACGTAATACGTGCAACAATCGAACAGCCTCGGCCGATATTAAGGTATAGAGCTTCTAATAATGGCTGGCAGCATGCATAGTCAGAGTGCCTCCGGTGGGGTTCTGGAAGGAGTTCCTATTCAGCAGGAGACCTGCCATGCATTGTTATCAATACCAGAAGGCAGCGTCGGCACTGTGAATGAAGTCACGGCTTTGGGTGCAAGTGCTGGAGACGAGTTGAGGCAACAGGAACCTACAAAAGTATGAATTGATGATGTTGTGGTCTCGTGAGCCTGAAATGTAACGGAACAGAACTTATGCCTCTATTCATGTTGCATGTCTTATCATTCGATCTCATAGAAATGCATTCGCCTTTCTCGACCATGACACGTGGACGAAGCTGACTGAAGCAGTTCCGAGACCCTTGTGCGCGTATACCTTCGAGGGACAACCCAGATCATCCCGCTCATTGCCTTCCTACCAAGATCGTCTGTTGCCAGTTCCGTAGACCAAGGACTGAACAGAGCTCGGCTAGAACAGTCGACATGGCATGAAAGTGCTGGCCTAAATCAGTGATCAGTGTAATTCTGTTCCGCACATCCGGCTCGTATTTTGACAGACCGCGCGACTCGCCCCGTCCTCGCTCTCATACAGTAGTGCTGCAGAGGTCTACGTAGGCGATGCAACGTGGAAGCAAGCGCAGCTCTTGGCCCCCTCCGCCGGAGGGATTGCCGTCTTTGTCTGGGGCCAGGGAGTCCGGCTGCGTTGTCCGGCGATTTTGTTACTTTTCGCTCTATTATTGCGGGGAGGTTCCAATCATGATCAATTCGCACGGTACGTCTGGTACTCTGTTCGCTTCCTGGATTGGAATCTTTTCTTCAAGATTTATTCAAGTCATTATCACTACACTATGAATTTAGGATTTCCGGGTAAAGGAGTGTTCAGCCTATTTTTGCATTATATTCCATGATTTTCTCAGACATAGCTGGAGAAGTCTTTTCCTAAATCTTCGACCTGTGCAAATTCCATTCATTCTCATGTGCCAATTCGTCGTTCTTTCGTTCGAGGTGGGAGCTCAGATCTAACTAACACCTTTCTGCGCGCGGTCCGAAAATCTTGCAACAAAGCTGCACGAAGTGGATGGCCGAGGCCAGACCATGACTTGCAGTAGTAGTTAGGTGATCGAGTGCTACCTGGCGGTTGTCGCATTCGCTGCCCGTGCTTCACAGAAAGCGTAGTATCTCTGCAGATCTGGGAAGTCTGTAGTTGAGTCGGAAGTGGTAGAGTACGTCGCAGCGCACGCTTGACAAGACCGAATTGCGACCATGAACTCCCCTTCATATGGACACAGTATGTCAGGAACATAGCCCACGTGCGTGCCGATGAGGTTGGCGGAATTGTATGTCCGATAACACTCCTTGGGGGCTATGCCGACTTGCTGGCGTCGAGCAATCTGGGCCAGTGGGTTCCAGCTCCTCACACCTCTTCTGGCCATTCTTGGGGTATAAGTGTGAGTCGGAAGGGGGCTATTCCAGTCTGCCCACCCGGTTGTGGTGGTGGTGGTGGTGGGAGGAGGAGGTGGTGGAGCGACGCAAACTTCTTGGCCATAGATGTTGAAGATGTCAAAGCTCAAGCCAAAGTGCTCCGGGTTGAGATTGAAGTCCCCGGGATTGGGCGTGTACCACGCGCAATCTGCGTCAGTGGGATTGGGCCAAGATGCATTGACAAAGTCTTCGGGTACAACGATTTCAGGAATATCCTGGCACTCTTCAGGAGCACAAACGTAAGAATCTGCTGGAGGGTTCTGTTCGAAATTGCACCCGATCTGCGGTGGAGTGCATAGTTTTCCGGGTGGACATCCCCAAAGGTAGTCGCTGGGCAATGGATGCTTGGCCGTATATGTTGGATTCACTATCCTCGAAGTACAGGTTACCAGCCCATCCAGTGGAGTTGTCGGGCAAGCTGAGACAGTGGTTGTAGGACCAGGAACGTTGGAAATGACTGTGGTGGTAAGCTGATTGACGATGGTGCTTAGATCAACTTGAGTCACGGTCTGTTGATTGACCACTGTGCTCAAATCTACTTGAGTGATTGTTTGCTGATTAACGATTGTGGTGGGAACGGGGATAGTTGTTGATTCGACCTGTACTTTCGTCACAGTATCTGTGAGATAGACTAGATTGGTTGACCAGACGGTTTTCTCGTAGTACAAAGTTGATACAGAGTAGACTGTGGTGGTCACTGGCTGGCAAGTGCTTTTGCTCTCCCACCCGCCATCATCCCCTGCAAGAGCGAGAGCAAAGTAAACAATTGACACAAGGCTGGACCAGCCCAAGTGACTAACAGCCATAATGTTCTGTATTATCGAACGAGTGACTGCCTTCTAGCAACAATGACAGTGCGGTAGCAAATCCAAGGTTAGGCAGAGACGACTCAAGTGAACGAGGATCGTGGCCGGCTTATAAGACGGTTGAACACTCTTCAATTTCTTGTTATGGCTTGAGAGAAGTCGCCTTGCCTAACTTAGGACGTAGCAAACACCCAGCGGTGGAGCGGTACCACCATTAGAAGCCACCATGAAAAGTAATGAACTAGCGAGTAGGCCACCTCAGCATCATGTATTCATCTTACGCATCGGGGCGACACAAACCTTGCCCGGGCCACCTTCGTCAACAAAGCTCTCCGCGTGCTTTATCGAGCAAGTTCTCAGCCTTGAAAGCCAAGAGATGATGCTAGGTCGCAGAAACACTCCGGTTGGAAAATCTGATAGAGGCGAAGTCAATGGAGCCTCAGAAGAACAGGATTGGTACGCCTCCTCGTATGCGGACGCCTCTTGCATTGTTGAACTCCGTAGCTAGTCAGTCCTTGCATCAGACCCGAGGAGGTATCAACTAAGTCCCCACTTCCTCAGACAAGCACACTCGAGTAGAGGTACTCGGTAGTGAGAGAGGGAGGTTTCCATTGATAGACTCATGGAATCGGGACGAGGAGAGATGGGCTGGGTCTGGAGACAAAAGCATTCAGCCTCAGAAAGTCCGGCTTGTGTTGTATGATGTATCACATCAAAATCCCCCGCATGCCCAGCAGCCGGCCCGATCGGGAATGTCCTTTGTTGAAAGAAGCATGGCAAGATAAGGGACTTGGAAGACTATTGGATGGTGGCACGGGATGTGATGCGCGGGGATTAACCACGGACGGCTGGGGACGAGGCGGAGGGCTCTATTTTTCTCCATTTGCGGCTCAAGTGGAGCCAACAGCACAGACTTGAAGTGCAGTGAGCCTGAGCCGCGAAGACGCTCGGGCAGGTATGCTGCTTCAAGACGTGGTGACTTTGAGAAAGGCACCGTAGTGTCTTCCATCACATCAGTCAATACTACTTGTTAATTGCACTTCACGTCTGTGGATCTGCGTGGCGTGCATCACGCGGGGTGCTCAGACAGCACACCAGTCTTACCCGTTCTGGCCCGTGCGTGTCGCTCTGACCCTCCAAAAGGAAAGTCAGAAACTCAGCCTGATCTTTCTTGCACACGTTCAAGCGTGTCGTTGAGCCTTCTTCCGTTTGGAGTGTCGACAAATGTAATCAAAACCTCCTCAAGTTGTGTTCAGCATCAGCAGCAGAATCGAAACCTGAAGCGACAGGGATGAAAAGGGTGGAAATTGTGTATAAGGCTGTGTTCATGTGCCATAGGATACAAGTAACAACAACCTTGTTATCGTACCTACATATTTATCCGTTTCGAAGGAACTTTTGTTTATTGATCGGCCTGCATTAGTTAGCCTACCCATCGCTTTGTCCACCAAACCCCATGCACATGGCGGCGGTCTGGCTGCATGGCGGACAACTATCCCGAAAAGTAGATCAAGACAAACCTCAAGCCGAGAGATGTGCACAGTCCTTGCATTAGTATCAATCGAGTATCATACGAGGTAATGGAGGCGCCCAGAAGGTAACCTAACAATCTCGCGGCTGAGTGAGGCTTCCACTCCTACGATTCAGACGCCCGAAGAGACATCTCCCAATCTTTCACGATTCCATGGGCGATGCCAAATACAATGCAGTTCTCCCTGAAGTTAGCAGATCGAGGAATCATACATCTTCGATGTTGTAAACTAACATAGGATCGTTCTCCTGCAGAGAATCGGCGGGTGCAACACAACAGACAGTTCAGCCTGACCGCTCATAGTCCACAATTCCGCGACAACTTTGCCGTTGCCCACTTGAAGGTGGGTCCATACCGATGAATGAGATGGATTTGGTGCCCACGGTGCAAAATATGAGAGCGCAACACGGTATGTGCCCGATTCCAGAACGTCAAATACGAGAGGTCTTCAGATCCTCCAGGCAGTGCACCCTCTCTGCATGCAGCCATCGGTATTCTTGGCTCGAGTCAAGCAGGGTTGAAGCAGGGTAGCTCGTGAGCAGCGGGAAAAGAGGCATTTCTGCCGTATCATAGAGACTTTGACACCTTCCCTGCTCTTTCTCCTCTGCTAGGTGGCAAATGGCCCCGAAGCAGCCACTTCTGTTCTGTTGCCGGGTTATGAGATCGTCCACCCCTCCAGCCCACTTCTCCCGCCGACTGGTGGCTAGATCATGCACTTATCTGCTACAAGATGATGCACTATACTCTGGTTTGAATTAATATCTAGCTATCTACACTTCATCAAGCATCATATACCCAGTATGAAGACCACAGTACGCGTATCTCTGCAAGCGCTTCTGCTAGTGATTTCTTTAGTCGCTGCCGACTATAACTCTGCAGAGATATGTTCTTGGGACAGACCAAGAGTTGGTTTGATCAGGACTGATATCTATCTAGAAGGGGGTACATTAGCACTACCCAAAGATGGAAATTGCAAGAGTCCTTCAACTGCAGAACCACTCACTGGGTTGCTGTTCAAACTCGATCTGTCCGCTCCATTTGACATCTCGAATGGTAACACCCCAGCTATATTCCATTCCATTGCTGAGGGAACGATGAGCAATTTCTTCTTCGACGGTGCATTATTCTATGACTATGATGAACTTTACGCATGGGGGTAAGACAGTCACCAATTCGTTGCAAAAGATGAACACACTAACATCTCGGCTTCATAGTGGCACGCCACACACTATCGGGGATACGACTTGGCCATTCACTCTGAGCTACCCTTTGTATGAGGCCACTGACGGTTCAAACAATTCGCTTACCCCAATCACGAATTATGCTCCCGAAGATCGAAATTTTCGTCCTCGTACGAATGGTGCGGGAATAAGCGTCCCCTCTGAAGACCTCGGATTCTACTTCGGTGGCATGTACAACGACAATGGTGCAGTATTTACCCAGACGAACCCACCAACGAATCGATCCACGCAGCTCATTGTTGTTTCAACGGTCAACCAAGGCCGCGCATCTTGGCAGGAGCATATCCCAGATCCAAACGGCATAATCCCGCCATGGAGAGCAGATGCTGGTCTTGTTTGGCTGCCAACGTCAGCCCAAGGTATACTTGTCGTCATTGGTGGTACAACAACGCCAACAGATATAGGTGGTGATGCGAGTAAGGGAAACGCCACGACTTCGCACGATTTTCTCAAACAGTTCTCCATATATGATATATTTACTCAAAAATGGGCAATTCAATCTCTGGACTCCAACTCTGGATTCCCGAATACTGCGCTGGCACAGTTCTGCACCGCGGTAGCATCTAATGAGAACGGGACTGAGCACGATATATTTGTATATGGAGGTTGGGATGGGAACTCAAGCTTGCCAAACAGTGATGTTTGGGTTTTGAGTGTTCCCTCATTTACTTGGAGCAAAGCGGACAGCGGTAAGCGAGCCGGTGTTGCAAGACAGGGCCATACCTGCACCTCTCCCTACCCCGACTCCATGCTTGTTGTTGGCGGCACGGCGGAGTATGGACTTCCATTCGACATCAACCAAGCTGTTGATGTCTACGACTTGAACGAGCTCCAATGGACCGGTACTTATGATCCATACCCCGAGAAACATCAACAGTACCAACGTAACTCACTCATTCAAGATGTTGTCTCTAAAAGGCCAGTTGCAGATTCTATTGACCCACTTGTGGCTGGGTGGTTCAACCAGACTTATCAGATGGACAAGATTAAAACCTACCCTTACAATGTCTCGCGACCTACAACAGCTGGCAATCCTCCACCTCCAGCGAACTCCACCCTTCCAGTCCTTCCGACGGAGGGCCATCATAAAAACAGAGACTGGGTTGTGCCCGTCGCGGCAGCAGTCCCCAGCGCGTCTGTTGTGCTCATCATCGGACTTGCGATCCTACTCTGGCGCCGCAAGAGGAGACTCGAGTCTGAAGATGTCAATTCAAACGCGCAAAACAGGCCAAAGAGCCGGATTGTGCCCTGGATATGGGCGACACACCAGTCACATAAAGAAGTAGGATCAGACACAATGACAGAGGTTGAACAGGCCCCACCAAAGTCCCCGGAGCCTTTGTCCCCAGGACTTCAGGAGCTCGCTGATACACAGAAGAGGGGCTACTTCGCATCCGTCCTGTCGAACGACAGCAGTCATCACCGTTGGTCTTCAACAACTCCAGCGAGATCCCCCCTGAACTACGACATTCATCAAGAAGTGGAGGTCCCAGACAACCCTGTACACGAGATCGAAGGTGAACAACGACCGCTTCCAACTGATCAAGTGAACTATGATATCAGAAATCAACCCATGTATCCACCGACCATCGTGAGTGGTGGAAATCATGCTTTCTCAACCACTGGGTCGCAGTCATCTCCCGAAGACTGGCAACATTCGGGGCCACTAGGAGGCAGTCTTGCTCCTGCTCCAACATCACCACGAGGCATTGCGATTTACCCAGAAGGTGAATATGCTCATCCCGACGGCTTGGGTCCACTCGACGTATCGCCTCTAGTGGATAGGCCGAATCAAAGGCCAAGACACCGACGACACAATTCCAGCGTGAGTAGCGGCATGTCGTTGCCATCCCCTGGCGAACAATCACCCCAGTCGATGCCAAGAACTACCAGAAGCCTCTCAGGCGACCATAACGTTACCACCACACCTAGCGTTCAAGATGACGACATCCAACGAGCAAATCAAACGTACTAATTGCATACTCATTCATTCACATACTAATTAGCTAGCTAGCTGCAGCACATCGGTTCTTCATTTCTTGGAGATTATGTTAAATATGGAAGATGATCCATTCTTCGGTCATTATTGAGCCAGTAAATGGCCTCAAACGCTAGGAGAAAACTTACCTAGGTAGCTATCGATTCAAATAATACAGAGTAGCAAAATAATAGCAAAAGATGATCTTTGAGCTTCTAGAATTATTTCGATACAGAATTAAGTAAAAAAGAATGCACAAGGGTGTGTAAGAGGTTAGGAGTTTGAAGTCAGCTATATAACCCAAAGTCAAAGAGGGTGGCTGTGAACTCCTCTCTTCAATAAAAGTGGTCAAACGACGCGAAACCCGAGCATGTTGTGTCAAGTGATTCGTCTAGTGTTGTCGTCTCTATCAGCGGTAGACAACCACATATACATTAGAACCCAGGGGGACGATCATCAGGTGGTTGACTATTCTCATCTTCGAATGACATTCTGTTCCTGATCTTTCCAATGCCAGAGATCTCGATCTCTACCACATCACCATCCTTCAACCATGGAGATGGTTTCATAAATGCTGCCACACCGTCCGGCGTCCCTGTCATGATGATCGTGCCGGGCCTCAAAGTGATACCCCGACTCAGGTGCCTTATTAGTGCTGGGACATCAAATATCATACTCGCCGTCGTAGAATCTTGTCTAACTGCTCCATTCACATGCGTCAATATCTTAAGGGATGAAGAGTCCGTCATTACATGTCTCGAGACGATCACAGGCCCGATCGGCGCAAATTTGTCCATGGATTTTCCATAGCCGTGCTGGCCGCTCGAGCGCGTCTTGTCCTGCCAGTATCTCGACGAGATATCGTTACCGATTGAATAACCGAGGACGTAGTCTAGTGGGTCTTTCGATGCAGGGATGTCTTTGCACTCTTTGCCAATGATTACACATAATTCGGCCTGGGAGTGTGTCAATCGTCGCTTTTCCTGCCACAACGATAAGTCTGGTGCTCACCTCATAGTCCAGTTGCCATGCCTCCTTGTGAACCGGAATGTCATCGTACGGATTTGCGAGGGCATCTAGTTCAGATTAGCACGGGGCTGCTCCTCAATAACAATTTTCATCGGTAATCAGCTTTGCGTACCTGGATACTTGACGAAGAGGATCGGAAAAGGTGGTAATTTTAGCTGAGAAACACCTGATCAGGGAGGGCTGCCATGAGAGACAGCTTCGCAACCTACATTGCCTTCCTCGGCATGCGCCTTGTAATTTAGACCTACGCCGTGGATTATGGGCGTGGTGGCCAAGGGGCTCAATATCTGGCTATCTTAGAGATGTTTTAATGACATTAGTCTTTGATCGGAGTATACCTTCGCAATAGTGGCCGTCTTGTCGGAGAGTTGGAAATCCGGATCCCAAGGGGTTTTCCCTGAGTATGTTTTGAGCTTTTGTTGTAAGAAATCACCTTCTGAGCCTGGGCCACCTGCTTCACCATAGTGAATGTTGCCGTTCTCGTCTTCAAACCTTAAGAGATACTTGAATGCGTTCATGTTGCTAAGATGCTTCTAATCAATGACTTCCATTTGGCAAGATGCGATTTTGATCGCAAGACGACAAATGTCTACAACTACTCCTTATATTTGACACTTACCGTATGTATCACATCACCCGTTGCTCTTCCTCAATGAGCCACGAAAGTACTTTGTCGAGCCTCGGAGCGGACTTAACAGCTGCAATGGATCGTTTCTGTCCAATCGGTGGTCGGGAGCTTCTTCCGTGGGCCACAACTATGCACCCGATTGGCTAAGTACACTCTCTCAAGCACTACATGCCTGCGTGGATAGAGATTACGAGTCTGAGACCCGTGCTCCTCAATGGGCGTATTTGCTTGCATGCATGAAATGCAGGATCATTGCAATACCATGTCGAGTTAGGCGACGGAGGGGCCGTGGAAGCAATCATGTCTTTCGGGGTGCGCGCGCTCTTGATTCCGAAAGCCCATAGTTTCTCTCGGTCGGCGGCCGCTCGAAGCCTTTGGGATGATTATGTTCAGCTACTGTAATTCACATATATCGGGTCCATCGGACTGGCAATTTCGTCTCAGAATGACTTAATTAGGAGTGAAACTCACAAGACCTTCCAACTTGTACAAGAAAACCCCCCGACAAGTCTAATCCTACAATCATGACAGAGACAATTAGTCCTCAAAAGCTCGCCCACGTTGTCCTTCGAACCGCTCAATTCGACAAGATGCTTGATTTCTACAAAATTTTCCTTGGGGCGAGAGTCGCCTTCAGCAATGGTGAGCTAGGACTACTCCGCTACGACGATGAGCACCACCGCATCGCAATTGCCGGAATTCCAGGCACTACCAAGAAGGAACCGACTTCTGCGGGTCTGTGGCATGTGGCATTCACCTTCAATTCTTTGCAAGAACTATTGACTGCCTATACACAAAGAAAGGCACATGGTATACTGCCAGCCTGGTGTATCAACCATGGACCAACCACAAGCATGTACTATTTCGATCCTGATGGCAACCAAATCGAGACGCAGATAGATAACCTAGAGCCAGAGGAAGCAGATATATATATGCAGTCTCATAGCTATCAAGAGAACCCTATCGGGGTCAAGTTCGATCCTGAAGAGGTGATAGGTATGCTCGAACAGGGAGTGGACGCTGAGGTGATCAAGAAACGTATTGATATTGGTCCAAAAGACTTCCGTGATATACCTAAGGAGATTATCCCATACTCTTAAGCTTACTGGAAGTCATCTGAGAGCCCATTTGCGAAGGCTAGCTTGCGTCTGGCTCCCACTGAAGAAGATCAAAGAGATACTGGATTAGTTATCATCAATAGCAAACAAATTGTGCCAAAGCTTGTCAGTCCCTTTCACTCGAGAGTGTAGAGAGAGCCCTACCATTCCATGAAGCGTGTATCAAGATTATATACAACAACGATATGAACAGTACTCTAGGATTGATATAAAGGAGATGTTGTGAACGAAATGTATACCATTCCTCGACTGGCGTTGATAGACATAGATCTCATCTTCCACCCCTACGACACTCATTCCTGAGACTCTAATTCCAGAAGACCAGTTGCACATTTGCTGACAGAGAACAACCTAACTAGGTTTCGGAATCTGCACAGCTTGGGTTCCGGCTTTTGCGGTCGGGTGAGTAGCATTAGAGCCGAAATACTTCGGAGTTCGGGGGACAATCAGCATCATGGTGTTCTGCAGATATATTAATATTGGTGTTGGTACACACCGAAATCATGTTGATATCAGCACAGGTGCTTCAGGACCAGCGGTCCTTTTATTATCATGGCCGTTTCTAGTGGGTCTACAGTACTATGGCCGACTCGAATCGAGGGCACAAGTACGCAGATGGTGATCGAAAAATTCTTCGAAGCAGCGGACAACCCTACAGAAGCAGGGAGCTTGTCTTTCAGTGAATGTTTCTTGCCAGCAGGAGAACTAGTCGCCAGAGGACATGTTTGCCGAGGTCACAGCGGTAAACTCTTTTGATATGTACCAGGTACATGGAAGTCTCGCTAACGATTTCATGTGCTATAAAGAGCTCATAGCGTTTAGACAAGGCGCGTGGGATCCGATCACCGTTCGCAAACACGAATTGATGAAGGTGTACCTGGCGGATTCTGATACAAAGGATGTTGCTGTGTTAGGAAGAGTAACTTTTGGGCACAAATCGGGTTCCAGTGTGACCCAGGATTTTGCAGGGAACTTTGTCATGGGGCGTACCGAGAGTGGTATACTCATCAAGGAATACCGAGCTTGGCTGGTAGGTTTTTATATGGAGGCTATGCTCGCGCTCACAGCTGACCTGCGTGTTCGGCTCAGGATTCCAGGCCACTCTCTGATTTGATTGCAAATTCAAAATAGTCTCGATCCATGGGTGGGGGACGAGACCGGAGCACCATGATTCATTCTGTATCATGCCTCCAGGAAGCGTGATGCTTGAATGAAGGGTAAGAAACACCATGTCCTCCCGGGTCTGTAGCTTAGTCTATCAACAAACATGGTATTGTCATAGTCGTCCATGGATCTATCAAGCCATACTATCATATGATGGCAAGGTCGGCAGCAGTGCATTACAGCTTTGGAGGCGTAAATGATTGGGGCTTCCGAAGATATATTGAACCTCTATGCTGACATCCTTGGATAAATATCTTTCTGAATGCCTCGCTTTCGTTAGTGAACAGAAACCGCCGAGGGGCACCTCGCGAAGCGTGTCCTGGGGCATCTCCTTGGCCGAGGGCGTACTCCTCCCTCCATGGCCGGACCCCTGGATTCTGACTTCCCCTCGTTCCCCGCATGTCCGAGGGCGCCTAATAAATCGGCTTTGCTTCCAGTTGATTTATCCATGATTCAGACACCTACTTTTGAAACACCCACATCTCGACTCTCAAAATTTCAATACAAGTCTCCAATGCACGAACCCAAAACATCCGTCGCTTGCATCTCTTGCCGAGAGAAGAAGATAAAATGTGATTGAATCCTGTCGATCGAAATGTCTAAGCACTAACACGTCAAGGTCGAGGAGGTTGCCCATGCGAGAGATGTGTCGTATGTAACCACAGGCTCAAATTGCAGGCACGAACTATGATAGCGCGTGTTGACCCTATACTTAGTCAACCGGAAGGGAATGCATCTTTACCTCGACCCGAATCTCGCGTCGGCGAGCTCAAGGCGACCGAACTTCAGTGCTGGAAGATCGGTTGGAGAGAATGGAAGCTCTCCTAAATTCTAGCTCACGCGGTCAAATGAGTGGAAGTCGCTCACCACCAGTCACTGAAAGCTTTGCTATATTAGCTCCAGAGCTGAACAAAAGTCCAGTGTTTGAGATCAAAAGGACCTCAAACCCAGCAAACCCAACACTAGGATGCGCGCAGCCTCAATCAACGACGGTGCCAAGTCAGGTTCCTGTTCGCGGTATTAATACATTTGTGTGACCTGCTCTTGTACTGAACTTCTGTCAGAATCTCAATTTGCATACCATACCTCGACGACGCAGGAGATCTCGCAGCCCTCCAATGTCACCCGTCACATACATGGCTCTTGGACTGCTGTTCCGATGAGTGATTCTACATCTGTGTTGAACGACGAAGAACAGATCTCCATATCCCCACAGATTGTGAGCACGGCGAGATGGCTATTTCAGGGGAAGAGCTGACTTGTTAACAGTCAAATTGGGAACATTTCGGTTTGTGGGATTACTGTGGGTTTCAACTTCGATCGTCTGATATTGAACACAGGACCCACTTCTTGGATAACCATTTGTTCACAACCTGGATTAAGGTGGGTAGCAGAGCGGACAGGGACTGATGATCTTGCGCACAGCGCCAAGGGGCTTCTGTTAAGTTGGTCTCAGCGCTTGAAGTTCAACTGGACCAAAGACCGCACCATAGCTCCGGAGCCCGATTATCATACGGCCCTGGCATATACAAATGGTAGGATAAACTTAGGACTACAGGATACAAAATCTAATACCTTGCAGCTTACTTTGAGGATTCTTTTGAAGCATACTACGGAGCAGTCTACCGTCCTGAATTTGAAACACGCCTTACTCAGCATTTTCGAGAGGCCACCTTGGACGATGATCCGTCCTGGTATGCGCTGAGGAACATTGTCTATGCAACTGGATGTCGAACCTTATTGTCGAAGCAGGGAATCATATCATGGCAAGAGATTCAACATCGTTCCTGGCCTTTCTTTGAGAACGCCCTTTCTGTCTATGTCGAGTTGCTTTTCACGCCTACCGGACTTATGGCTATTAGGGCATTAGTGGCTATGGTACCTGGAATTCCCTTCATCTTCTGATATTATTTCTCTCTGATAATCCGCAGAATCTGCATCTTGAAGGCGCCGGAAATCCAGCTCTCGAATCAATGATGTGCGCAAGTGCTGTGAGATTGGCACAATCAAAAGGCTTACACCGCCAGCCAGCCAGTAACTGGAATCTACCTCGGAACGAGATTTTACATCGAAATTGGTTGTTTTGGGCCATCTATGCTTTGGAAAATCAATTCAGTCATCGTTCAGGACGTCCGTCCGTGGGTTTTCCGCTTTCCCGGCAGGAACTCGATTCATATGCTGACGAACAACTTTCCCAGATCATCGATGATGCTAACATTAGTTGTCAAATTCCTTCGAGTATTCCCCCAGGTAGTACGATTGATCTCGAGTTCTTGACCGCAATGATAGCGCATGCACAAATCTCAGCTCGAATCTGCAAAAAGTTATTAACAGTTTCCGCCTTTCGACAGCCACCAGCGGATATCATCGAAGTAATGGACCAGCTGATCTACCAACTGGAGCATTGGAAGGATTCCCTGCCGACTGCCCTCAGCGATGATCTCCCGGGCACGGTTGTACAACTCTCAAATACACGGAGATTAAACAAGATTCTATACCTCAAGTTTGCTTATTATGGCAGTCTTACGGCTATCCATACAATCTTCTTCTTCCCATGGATATCGGCTATATGCGATATTGATCCTCACAACAAAACTCATAGCGAGCAAATTGCAAATTCCACACGGATCGTGGCAGACACTGCGCGAAGCATTATCCGTGCCACGAGATCGATGCAGGTCAATGCAACGTCCCCACAATGGTAAGTTAGCCTGTCGATGGTCTCGAGTACCCCAATAACTCTGATTATCCCAGGCTCGTATTTTACTACCCCATGGTTGGTTTGATCAATCTTTTTTTACACATCCTGAAACAGCCTTCTCTAGCATCTGCATCTTCCGATGTTGCCATTCTGGACATCGCTGTGGGTCATTTTGGCCACCTTGAAATTCTCTCCTCCTCAGAACTCAGTTACCCGTTTGCAAGGGAGGTTGCAGGCTTGGCTCACATGACAGTCAAGCGCCACAAGAAAGCCAATGCAGACCCTGCCATATTGAGCACTCCGACCCCTGAAAGTCCACAAGCGCCACAATTCGATGCCGGAAATGTCGACTTTGAGGTCAGTCTCAGGCAGAAACTGGTTCTCCAGTGTAACAAATTTGCTAATGCTGGATGTAGACGTGCAACTTTGGGTTTGACGCTCTAGTGTCGGACAGTTTCAGTATCTTCGGTACGGACGATATACCAGTCGAGGGTGACATGATATACTTTCCACCTTAATCCAGAACTCAGCACAGTGCCAAGAGCTCACGAATGGAATTAGCTACAATGGCCAACCCCTTTGACCATGGAGATAACGACCGGCTTCCCAAATACTGAGACTCAGCGATTGTCTAATCGTAAGCCGAATTTCATGATCACGAACCGTGACAGATTCAAGGCCCAGACGTCTCTCCAATCGGGTGTTGCAAGGCTCCGGCCGAGCGTCCAGTCGTCCAATAACACGGCTGGCACGCGGACATTCGGCCCGCTCGATGAGTTAGCGAGAGCCAATTCCCCAGACTTCCATCCTCCCCGGATCTTATTGATCGGCTCGCACGCCATCTATGTTACACTTAGACAGCCAAGGCTGATACCGGGCGAGTTGTGAGTTCTGTGATTCACCTATTGCACGAGACCTCGGAGCTGGGTCTAATGCTCCACGAGTCTGAGTATACTGGACGGGACGGGTCGGGCTTCGCTCAAAAAGATGCCAGACCTGTGCCTTGGCATAGCCTGGCAAACGGTTACCTAGTTAGCTATCTATTTCCAGGAATATCATAAATATGAACACTTATTGGAACCATGCTCCTTCAAGATCTTGAGAAAAGCACGAGAGACATGGCAAGAACCACCATGCCGAACGGAAACAAGCAGAGCGTGCAAAATACATCTGATTATATCTTCTCCCCTCAACATGCAAGTATTGTATGCATTGGCGCTGGTGTATCTGGGATTGCACTAGCCATTGAATTGCAGCAGAAGTTGGAAGACTTTGAGTTGTGCATTTACGAGAAAAACTCGGACATCGGTATCGTTCGCGCCTGTATCATCTCGGTACGAGTCTACTAAGTCGTACACAGGTGGCACGTGGCTAGAGAATCGTTATCCTGGATGTGCTTGTATTTTCACTGGTCAATGGACTCCCGTTTACACGACGAGCTGACGATTGGCAGGTGACGTTCCCGCCCATGCTTACACCTACACTTTTGAGCCCAATCCAGAATACTCTCAGTAGTATGTACAATATTCTCCTTCGTTCAGGAATTTTGATTGACGTCATTAGTTATGTTGGCTCTAGTGAGATTCATGACTATCTCACAAAAGTAGTTCAAAAGTACGACATTCGCAAATACATCCACTTCAACCACAAGCTTGTGTCTGCTATTTGGTCCAAGACTCTAGGTGTGTGGGATCTTGACGTAGAGGTGTCTTCGCAAGAAGATGTTCCAAGCACGACGATCATCAAAAGATCATGCAACATCCTCATCAATGCTGGGGGGGTTTTGAACAATTGGAAGTGGCCTGAAATTCCTGGCTTGCATGACTTCAGAGGACCCTTGATACATTCCGCGCAATGGCAGCATGACCAAGACTTGCACAACAAGACGGTGGCTGTGATTGGTGCTGGCTCCTCGGGTGTTCAGATTATTCCTGCTCTGCAACCAATCGCTGCGAAGTTGTATGCTTTCATCAGATCCCCAACCTGGATTGCCCCATCTCGAGGGTTTATCGACCCCCCTGGAGAGGCTAATGGGAAAATCGATATGGTTTATACTGACGAGGATAAAAAAAAGTTCCGTGATGATCCCGATTATTTCCTCCAATACCGTAAAAGTATTGAGAGTAACTTGAATCGCATCATCGATGTGTTCCTGAAAGACAGCCAGAGACAAGCCGGCGCAAGACAGGTTTTTGCTGATACTATGAAAGCCAGACTTGGAGCCGATAGCGTTCTTGTTGAGAAGCTTATCCCAAGTCATTCTGTCGGATGCAGGCGTTTGACACCTGGACAAGGATTTCTAGAGGCCCTACGTGCACCTAATGTCGAGGTTGTTACCAGCGAGACTGAGCGCGCTGTGGCCGATGGGCTGATCACCACAGATGGTCTTCTCCTCAAAGTCGACGCTATTGTGTGCGCTACCGGGTTTGATACCAGCTGTCGCCCTCGTTTTCGTCTTGTAGGGGAGGATGCGGTAGATTTGGCGGAGCTGTGGAAGAACTCAGATGATGTTGAAGCATATCTTGCCCTTGGTATTCCACGCTTTCCCAATTATTTCAGTGAGTTTTCATCGAGGTCTGATCGGGATGGAGATCCACATCATTGACAACGTGTAAAGTGTTTATTGGGCCGAATGCACCGATCTCCAATGGGACCTTGATTCCGGTTATTGAGAGGCAAGCTTCATATATGTCGTCAATGATCCGGCGGAAATACCAGCGGCAGCGCACCAAATCCTTTTCGCCATCAGTGCGTGCAACCGCGCTGTTGAACCAGCACCACCAGAAAGCATTACAGCGCTATGTCTGGACAGACAGCTGTAAGAGTTGGTACAAGTCTGGCAAGAAGGAAGGCAAGGTCATTGGTCCCTGGCCTGGAAGCAGTTTGCACTATTTTGAAGCAATTGCGGATCCGAAATATGAAGACTGGGAATATACCTACTGGAACAATGAGGCTGACTCGGTTGGCAAGCTGGGTGTTGATGGAATGTGGCAATATTTGGGCAACGGATCCACCCTGGCTGAATTAGAGGACGAAAGGACAGGGGGAAAGGAAGATTTGGCATGGTATCTTGGATAGGTAGTGCTGTGAACTATCCAGATTCAAAAAGTAGATTGAGAAATTGAGAAAATTGAATGTGCCAGCACTCAGCCTGGGGCATGAAACTCTAGGCATCATACACTGCTTGTTTCCTGACGAGATTTTAATTGATGACCCTTCAATATCTGTGAGCAGTATTTGGTCTGTCGTCAGTTGATCAATTTCGAAGCATCCGAGTTGGCATGGTGAATGTCAATAGCTTTACAGGATCGGCTATTTGCGGGGCTTATGCTGCTCCTTTGCATTACCACAGCTCTGTTCAGCTTTATTCTGGGTTTTCCACGCGAGATGGTCTCATATTCTCTTTGGGCTGGGTCGATATTACACTTACGTCGTATTCTTGGGCGAGGGGGCGTTCTTGACAAAGTTCTCCGCAGGCTGGATTTCAAGTTAGTTGCATCGTTCATCGACCGAAAATCAACCATGGCAGTGGACTCCACTATGCTTTGTCGTTGCTGCTGGGAACACCAAGAGCATAGTTCTCTTACTGAGGCAGGAGCTGGCATGAAGGTAGTGGGCTCCGCACCTGGAACAGGGTTAAAGGTGACATGTACTGCTGGGAGACTGGCAGCTCTGAAGCTGTTTGTATGAGGAGGTGCGAGCGAAGCTAGCACGTCGCGGTGACGAAAACGCGTGACTACGGTGGACTGCGCGAGCCAACACGCAGAAGTTTGACACTGGCTTCTCGTTGGAAGATTCATGAATGGTCCACGATTGATCGGTCAGAGTCCGGGCTGGTTACGCCTTGTGAATTGCATCAGAACGTTTTTCATGTGGTTTCCATCAAGAACAACAAAGCAAGGGTGCAGAAAACCCATTACCAGTCCTGACCACTCGAAGCAGGTCTAATGGCCAACCTAATGCCGTGAAGCACAAGAGACCTTGCAAAGCTCACGCCTATCTTCGACTTGCCTCGTGAAGTTTTTTTTCCTGAGAGGAGGAGTACCAAGAATTGCAAATGCTAGCCCAGGCGATGAACTAACACAAGATTGTCAGAATTGGACCATGGTGTGGCTCTTGGCGGAGCCCTTGCAGCGCTTCAGACCGATGTCGGCAGGGCCCTTAACTAACTAGTTAACTAACGAGCCTGGGGGTGCTGTGTTGGTCGCCAACTCCCAAGGTGCTTAACTATGGATACCTAAGTCGGTACATAGTTAGCGCCTTCTTGGCCACCACGAATTGGACCACCCTGAGTCCATTGATACCATACCATGATGTAACATGACAGAACATTACCTAGGTATCTAGGTAGTCAAAACTGTTTTCAGGTCTTGAACGTTCGTCACACTAGCTCTTTTCTCGGGCTCATGCAATTGCATGTTTTTCTGCATGTATGGAGGAGTCGGGACCCGCAATGGCGACCATCCCTGCTTTGATGATGGGCGGTCCCAACTCCTAGCACCGGAGTGAGGAGGCAATGGAGTTGCAAAAAGATGCGAGTCTTTTCGATGGCACTGTGGCCCCAACGATCGGCTATGCGCCCCTTTCAGTCCAATGGACAAGCTTGAGGCCATGTACGAAGACGTGGTGCCCTTTCCCGTACTGTCGACTACATCAGATATGTCCAACATTCACGACAGCCGAAAAGAGCATCCTGTCGACATTGATCCAGAATGAAACTACTTCAGAACCTTGGGCGATATCCTCGCCTTCTTCTGGCCGGCGATCCATCCAAAGCTGAAATTGGTACTCTGCTGTTGGGAATAACATGCGCCATAGCATCGGGGGTACCGTTTCCATTAATTGGAATTATATTCGGTCAGCTTCTCGACGATTTCAATTCCGCAACATGCAACTCACCTGAAACTTCGGAGAGCGCGTCTCAATATCAAAACAGTGTGAATGACAAGATATTGTTGATATTATACTTGGCAATCGCTCAATTTATCACCATCTACATCCACCTTACATGTTGGAGTCTGAATGGTGCTCGACTGGCTCAACGACTCCGGGAGCAATATATTCGAAACCTGCTCAGACAGGAGCCATCTTACTTCGACAGTCTTCCTCCAGGAGAGGTATCATCTCGTCTTAATGGAGACATTCAAGCGATCCGTTCCGGCACCGCAGAGAAAGTCGGGATATGCCTCTCAAGTGTATCATTCTTTATCACAGCATACATCGTTGCCTTCATCAAGAACCACGATCTGGCAGCGATGCTCATCTCCCTTATTCCGGCCTACTTTTTGATGTCAATTGTGGGAAGTCACTACATTGAGAAGTATTCCGCTCTCATGTCCGACTATGCAGCCACTGCTGCCTCAATCGCTTCGGAGGCACTATCAAACATTGTGGTCGTCCAGGCTTTTGGTGCAAATGTTCGGCTCGAGTCCAAATTTTCAAAGGCACTGCAGTCGAGTGAACACGAGGGTCTGAAGAAGGCCACGGCCGTCGGAGTGCAATCTGGGCTCTTGTACTTCATTGCTTACTCCGCAAATGGTCTAGCATTTTGGCAAGGGAGCAAACAAATCGCAGACTCTGTGCGGAATGATTCCACTGGAACCACTGTGGGTGCCACGTTCACTGTAATCTTCATCCTGATCGAAGCTACGTTGACTCTGAGTATGGTGGCCCCATTTCTACATTTGTTTGGGGGTGCCGTTGCTTCATACGAGAAATTACAAGAGGACCTTTACCGTGAACCGAGCATCAACGGTACTGGTGACTCGGGAACACGGCTCGACCAAGCTGACGGGGCACTGGAACTTAAAGAAGTTTCCTTTGTGTACCCGTCCAGAGCAGATGTTACTGTCCTAGATCGTATCAACATCCGAATTCCGGCGAACAAACACACTGCCATTGTCGGACAGTCTGGAAGCGGTAAATCGACTATAACAGGCCTTTTCATGAGATTATATGACCCTACGGAGGGCCAAATTCTTTTTGATGGTATAGATCTTCGTGCTATCAATGTTCATGATTTGAGAAGTTTTATTGGCCTTGTACAACAGGAGGCCTCTCTGCTGGACCGATCGATACTGGAGAACATTGCTCATGGACTGATCAACACAAGTAACCCCCAGCACTCTCATCTCAAATCCACTCTGCTGAGCGATAGGATTGGATCACTAGCAAACCAGTTGCGAGGTGGCGAGGACATCCTGGCGGCGGCAGGAAAGATGGGTTCTGAGATGGTTGAGATTGTCAATATTGTGCAGAAAGCAGCCGTCCTGGCAGATGCCAATGACTTCATTCAGAAGCTTCAGCATGGTTACGGCACAGTCGTCGGCTCAACTGGACGCCTCGTGAGTGGTGGTCAAAAACAACGCGTTGCACTAGCGAGAGCCTTGGTAAAGGATCCCAAGGTCCTAATCTTGGACGAGGCTACGGCCGCATTGGACTCCAGCAGCGAACGCCGCATCCAGGAAGCCATTTCCAAGATTGCAGTCGACAGGACTGTAGTCACAATTGCACACCGCCTTGCAACTGTCACCTCAGCGGATAATATCATCGTAATGCACAAAGGCCGTGTCATCGAAGAAGGCGATCACCCGACTCTGATGGCAACATCCGGAGCATACGCTGAAATGGTCCGACTCCAAGGCTTGGGGGTCAAGGGAAAAGAGCCATACTCTGAAGAAAGCGATAAGCAGATATCTTCGACTGTGCTGACCGAACAGAATTCTGAGAAGAGCAGCTTCTCAAATGACGAGACTGGAGACCCTGAGAAATCCGAATTCCTCACGCATCAAGTCATCGTGCCGGCTTTAGCTGAAGAACAAGACGAACCGTTCACTCCCAAGAGGTCTGTTTGGTCTGTCCTAAGAGGATATGCACCAGCCCTCAAACCACATATTTTGACTATCACTGCTGCTCTTATTGGTTCTACCGTTGTAGGAGGCTCATTTTCGGGAGAAGCTGTGATATTTGGAAATACTGTTGGGAGCCTGAGCCCCTGCAATTCTGAGGAAAGCATCAGATCGAGAGGAAATTTTTTCGGATTGATGTTTTTCGTCCTTGCAATTATCGAGTTCTTCGCTAACATAGTGAGTTGGTCTGGTTTCGGTTGGGTTTCCGAAAAGATCGTTTACACTGTGCGGGTTCTTTCATTCCGATCGCTCTTCGAACAGGACATCCATTGGCATCAATCCGAGGGACGTACACCAGCTTTGCTCCTATCTTATATCACTAGAGATGGAAGTGCTTTGAGCGGGTTGAGCGGATCCGTCATTGGTACGCTTTTCTCTATCACTATCAATCTGATCGCGGCGATTGTCTTAACCCATATTGTCGCTTGGAAGATAGCGTTGGTATGTTTATCCCTAGTGCCACTCCTCCTTGGGGCTGGCCTGATGGAATTGAGGGTGCTCGGACAATTTGAGGAGAGGCATGAGAATGCGTATACCAAGTCAGTCGACATCGGAGTTGAAGCAATCACATCCATCAAAACTGTGGCGTCACTCTCCCTGGAAGAAGAGATACTTGGAACCTACCGGCGGTCTTTGAAGGGTCCTCGCAAGGAGACATTCAAGGTCAGCCTTCAAGCAAGTCTGTGGCAGGCAATGACGTATCTACTGGGAAATCTTGTCAATGCTCTGGCATATTGGTGGGGTGCCAGACAGATTATTGCAGGGACGTATACTCAGGTGCAATTCTTGATAGTGGTGTTTTCGCTTCTAGTCAGCGCCTTACTTTGGAGTCAAATGTTTGCCCTCGCACCAGAGCTTTCTAGTGCAAAGGCAGCTATGGTCAGGATATTGAGTTTGATAGACCTGGGATCCGATAAGATGCAAGGCCGACTGCCTAGATCTTCCCCTACGCAAACCACCAAAGAAGAAGATTTGGAGGTCGCAGCCAAGTCAAACGTCTCACGTGAAGGTTCCACTACGGCCTCCAGTGTTCGACTTCAAGACGTCCACTTCGCCTATCCAGCTCGCCCAGACGTCAAAGTGCTGAACGGATTGAGCATTGACATCAAATCAGGAACTTTCTGTGCCTTCGTTGGTCCAAGTGGTGCAGGCAAGTCCACAATTGTTTCTCTTATCGAACGGTTGTACTCTGCAAGCGCAGGAAACATTTTGATCGACGGGTTTGACATCACTGGAAGTCGAGATGTCACTTTTCGAGATACGATTGCATTGGTACCACAAGACAGTGTGCTTTTCGAGGGGGATATTGCCTTCAATATAGGTCTTGGTGCTAAGCCGGGACAAGACGTGTCATTGGACGAAATCAAAGAAGCCTGCAAGCTCGCAAACATCCATGACACTATTGAGGAGCTACCAGACGGCTATGACACACTCTGTGGACCCAATGGAAATCAATTTTCAGGAGGTCAGAAGCAAAGGTTGTCGATTGCTCGCGCACTTGTCAGAAAGCCAAGGCTCCTCATACTCGATGAACCGACTAGTGCTTTGGACGCCGAGTCTGAGAAGCTACTGCAGGCCGGATTAGACAAGGCTGCAAACGGTATCACTGTTATTGCCATTGCTCATCGACTTCACACAATTCGCAGGGCTGATACCATCTTCTTGATTGAAGAAGGGAAGTGTCTGGATCAAGGTACCCATGAGGAATTACTGGAGAGGTCTGATAGCTATCGACTAAATGTCATGCATCAGACATTGGCTGAGTGATTGATAGTATTATTTAGCAGCTACATAGTTCTTTGAAATTCTAACCATTGTTTTGGTCTCAAGACATACTTAGTATCGATTAGCGCTCGAGAAGTCAATCAACTAAGTTAGGTGGTCCGACACTTAGAGGAGCTGCGGACATGGACATATCTTAACTAGCAAGCATGTTACTGTAGTAAATTACTGAATACAGATAACTGAGAGATTTTCCATCTGCGTTTGAGACACACCGAAATGTGTTCGACCTGAGAGCACTTGCATTCAATTAACATTGATATATTCAACGTGGTTCGGGATCTGGGGAGAACAGCTCGTGTCGGGGGTCTCTGCGCCTTACGAAAATAAGAGCAAAGCACCTTGAGGGAAACAAAAGGATATTCAGTGGGAGGTTTCATTCTACATCGAACATAAAAGCGACATTCAAGCGAAAACACTGTTTCAATTACGGCTCCTGAAATACAGTAATTTTAAAACCCGTTTGAAATAAATTTCTTGGTCAACCCTTGAAATACGCTGTACAGCATGTGGGGCGGCTCTGGAGGGTCGTCGGGTCGAAAATTCGAGGGCTTCGCGTTCTTTTCACACAACTGGGATCTTCAGGTACCCACCTCGTTCATTTAGCTCGATCCAGGTTGTGTCAAGGGTCTTCAATACGCTACTGCAGAGCGTGAGTATGTTCTTGGCTCTGATGTCTCTTTGCTTTTTTTTCAACGATTCCACAGGATCAGATTTGCGACATACGTCCTGGTAATGTCGTATTGATGGAAGCTGGATCATGGTAAATCTTTACCCGATCCACGTAGCATACTAGACCGGAGCCGAAGATGTCATCATGCAGCTCGGAGCTCTAGATCGGAGCGACGATTCTACACCCACATGATTGCGTTTTGAGAGACGCCGGTTTGCGCCTCGGATGTTTGGAGACGCTCGTGAAGAAAGCATGTCCAGTGCTAGAGACGGACGAAGTGCCCGTTGGATAGGGCCGAGTTCGGCTGTGACAAGATTAGTATGTGTTTCATGTGTCTGTTAGCAGGGAGAGCCTCGTGTATGATCGACTCATAGGGAGAATTCTGAAAAGTTCTGCTATGGTCAGTGAAGAAGTCTTTAGATACTGTTGCGTTTCAATGTTTTTACTGGGTTCGGACTGAATCATCGGCACGATTAACTCCTCGAGATGTCTTTAGAGATCGATTCCGGTGGCTTGATAGCCCCAGGTAGAACGCCTGCAGTCGTCCATGGAAGTTCGAGCGTTCCACTCCTTGACCTGACTTTGAGTGAACTGCTCGACTTCCAATGCATTCGCTACGGCTCCAGAGAATGCGTGGTAATTCCCTGGACTGGTGCAAGATGGACCTACGATTTCTTGAAGCAAGAAAGCATCCACATCGCGAAGGCATTACTAGAGAGGGGAATTCGACCTGGTGATAGGATAGCAATCATGGCTGGGAACTGCGAACAATATGTGTCAGTCTTCTTCGCTTGCATGCGAATCGGTGCCATATTGGTAATTCTTAACAACACTTACACGGCTTCGGAAGCATCCTACGCTCTGGGTTTTACTGGTATGAATGATAACGTTACTAGGGTTAGGAGGAATTACTGACAAAAGGTAGAATGCAAACTACTCTTTACAACACCAAGAATAGGTCTCCATGATAACAGACCTCTCTTAGCACAACTTTCTAGAAAGCCAGGATTTGTGAAGGAAGTCGTGATTCTCAGAAATTCGTCCGGACGTTTCACGGCTTATAGAAAACTCGTCGACCTTGGAGCGACACTCTCGGACGAGAAGTTACTATCGGTTGCGGCACAGTTCACAGCCAACGATACTTGCAATCTCCAGTTCACGAGTGGCACAACCGGTCACCCCAAAGCCGCAATGTTGACGCATCAGTAAGGATATCATCCTGCAGATTGCATCTCCAGCTAATGAATTATAGCTCTCTTGTTAACAATAGTCGATTTATTGGCGACAGACTAGCATTTACTGAGGTCGATGTACTATGTTGTCCACCGCCGCTTTTCCACTGTTTTGGCTTGGTGATAGGTCTTTTGGCATGTATCACCCATGGTGCGAAAGTCATCTATCCAACAGAGACTTTCGATGCTGCTGCTTGTCTTCGTGCTATCTCGGAAGAGAGGTGTACAGCTCTTCATGGTGTACCCGCTATGTTTGACTCCATATTTAGCCTGCCTTGGCCAGAAGACTTCGACTGTAGTAGATTGCGGACGGGTATGATCGCTGGTGCCCCTATCCCAAGACATTTGATGGAGCTGATGGTCAATGACCTCGGAATGACCGAGTTCGTCAGCAGTTATGGTAAGTCTTGCGTCACATCGAAGGTGAAGCTTATCTCGCTGATTCTTTTCAAGGACTTACTGAAGCTTCGCCTACTTGTTTCAACACTTTCCACGACGATTCGATAGACACAAAAATGAACACCGTCGGCCACGTAATGCCTTTCGCACATGCCAAAGTCGTGGATCGGGAGGGCAGAACACTTTCTGTTGGTCAGCGCGGTGAGCTATGCATGGCCGGCTACCAACTACAGCGTGGATACTGGAAGAATCAAGAGAAGACTGACGAGGTCATGGTACGGGATGAGGCGGGGGTGCTATGGCTGAAGACTGGAGACGAAGCCATCATCAATAAAGACATGACGTGTACCATCACGGGAAGATTCAAGGACATCATCATTCGTGGTACGTGAAGAGGTTATACTGACTACTCGAGCTTTTCATCTAATGGAGTTTCCAAATACCAGGCGGTGAAAACATCTACCCATTAGAAATCGAGGAACGACTGTTGCAACACGATCAAATCAGTAAAGCGATTGTCGTCGGTGTCAAGCACAGCCGATATGGAGAAGTCGTCGCCTCTTTTCTGCAACGTGCCGAAGGTGCCACCGGTAAGGATAAGTCGTCATTGAGTGACGATGATATAAGGGAGTGGGTAAGGATGACTCTTGGAAGGCACAAAGCTCCGGCACATGTGTTCTGGCTCGGAGAAGATGGAATTCCAAGCTCGATACCTCTAACAGGAAGTGGGAAAGTCCGGAAATTTGAGTTCGTCAAGTTGGCAGAACAGATCCTGCTAACCCAGAAAGCAAAACTTTGAGATCGTGGTAGATTTTAGAGCATTCAAAGCATGAGTGTGGAATTCAGAATTGCTAAGTGCATGCGCAAGCTGTACCTTAAGAGCTTAGATCATTTGCATATAGTCGCGTGTACTTTTAGTATTGGAGACCTCAAAGATTATCATTATGATAAGGTTCGGCTAAAGATAGGAACTATGTACATCCAAACTGAGTCACAACAGTGGCTTGAACATAAAGCAACGCAAATCCCATATCCTATAGCCGAGCAGATCTATCTTCCGATGTGGTCTCTTCGGCAGGGAGTTTTCGTTGTTCTATCAACGCTTGGGCAACGCGGGCACTACGCTGTGCAAGAATCTGATACAAGGCGTCATCAATCTGAGTAGATGTCAGTGTCAGGCTTGTGAAATTATCGATGTTCTTACCTCATCAGAATCAATGGGTGAGTGTAAGAGCCAAACCCCAGTGTTGCTCTTCTTCACTCCGGAGCGGAAGTTGACCTGGTAGTCTGCAGCCACGGTGATGTTGTGGCCATCGACAAGTTGGCTCAAGGGGCTTAGGATCCTTCGATGCTCACTAGTATCGTAGCCCGTTGCTGATATCACAAGGTCATATATGTCACTTTTCGACCCAAGGTTGAGGGTTGCGCCACTCTGGAAACCAAGCTCAACCTTGTTATCCGGGGTTACCTGACAATTGGTTATGCTGGTGCTGTGCCTGACTTGGAAGCGGCACTTCGACGAGTCTGGTTGCTTGACGCTCTGATCATACATGAAGTCATAGATTTCTGTCATCAATTGGCGAGGCAGAGCATTTGCTGATCGCGACCGTTCCCCGCCTTGCCTGCTGAACTCTGGAGGAACTTGATGCGATTGATGTAGACTTTCCAGAGCGCTGTTGATGTTTTGGTTAAGACAAGTCAACGCACACATATCGGCCAAACTTACAACGGTGTTTCTTCTTTCCCTTTCACTTCCGACCTTTGCGTGAGCCAGTGCACATTGTGGTTGCCATGAATGCCATGCAGATGCACGAATATCTCGGCTGCATGACTAGTCTCGCCAACAATAGCGATTTTGGGTGTCTGTCGCTTGTCTTTCAATACTTCAGATATTGCTTCAAGTGCTTCAGAAGAGTGAGCAACTCGTGGTCGAATGGATTGAGCAGAGAGCACGTTTGGAATTTTCTGCTGCAGTCCAGCAGCGCACACAACCTGCCGTGATGTGATAGATCCTCTTTGCCCAGTTGAGATGTCTTCATAGAGCACATTCCAGCCCTCCAGCAAGCCATTGTTACCATTACGGGGCATCACTCCCACAACCCGGTTTCCAAAGCAAACGTGAGATTCGAATTGCTTTGCGCACCATCTCAGATAGTCTGCAAACATAGGCCGTGATGGGGCGATCCTTCCAGAGTTGGTGTAAGTGACGAGTTGATTTGTGGAATGAAGGTAGCTGACAAATGTGAACTTCGAGCGTGGATTTTCCGATGTTACCAAGTCGCTCAAAAATGACGTCTTCATTCGTGGAGATATGAGGCTGTGACATGGCTTCCATCTTGCCTGCGGTTGTTGTTCGAGAAATACTGTACTGGCTAGGCTCTGCCTTTCTTTGAGGGCAATGGCCAGAGACAGTGCAGAAGCTCCAAACCCGATACAAACTAGATCATAGGTCGATCCCGGAGTGACAACTCCTATTGTTGAAGGAGAAGGCATTGTGCTAATATGTCAACCGCAGTGAAAAAGGGTGTGCCAAAGCTCTCAGGTACTATTGCTCAAGGGATAGCTGTTGTTGTAAATCAAGCGGACCTGGACAAAGAAGGACGACACAGCAAGTCGGTGGCGATCACCTGCTCAGCAACACTCGGCACAGCCCTATCGTGTGCGACAGTGTCCTAGTCTCAACGAGATCAAAATACCGACAATCGCCATAGGACATCCGAAGTCTGAGAGGCCCGACATCTTGGGATCCCACCGTTCTTCCACTTGGATCTCGCATTCGTCATAGGCAATTGTAGTCTGACGAATGCCACGGGTACTGGACCAATACATGACAATACCAAGCATCGAGTTTGAAAGATACAGATACAGAACTGCATACATTACCTCTCTGAGGATCTGCAAGCATGCATTCTTAGCGTCCATGCAATGTTTCCATGGAGGAAGACTACTCCGTAGACACGACATCTTGAGCGATCCGAATGTGCAGGGTTGTCCCTGTCTCGGTTCTAGCATCGAGGCTCATAATTCGAAGATTTCCAAAAGCTATGGAATAGCCACTATCAGTGTCGACCGACCACATGTGAAATATGCTCGTGGCTCACTAAACGTGTAGGGATGCAGGTGGGAGCAAGGCAAGCACCCAATGTCATGAGTGGAACATTGAGGGGGTACGAATTAGGTTTCGCTTACCGCCAACTCCCATAGCAAGGAGTGGTAATGATTTCGAAGCTCGTTCAAGAGTTATGGTCAAGTGGATAGTTTGTTCAGTCGTCTTGGCTCAGTATGGACGGGAGGCGAAAGTCAGATGAAAAAATTTTCATCGGATAAGATAAGATATCCACTCATCAGATTAGTTGGTGGTGAACCCTCGTCCCTGGCTAGCTCAAGATAATCTTTCGGAGAGCTATCACAACTTCAAACTCGGCTGGGCAATCGGCATGACTGAAACGGAAAATGGGGGTGGGGGCCGCCAATTTCCTAAGCTTCGCAGCAACTGTGCTTCATTTGCGGATCCCCCGAAGGGCAGGGGGATGGAGGATGATCGATAATCAGATTAGATTTGTCAAAACAATTATAATGCATCAGGAGTCGCCACCCAAAGACTTGATCTCCGATAACGGCCGATCATGGACTGCCCACCAGACCTCTGGAAGCCTCACCCTCGCAAGTGTTTGGAGCAGCATCTCGCGAGACGGGATCTTGGTTTTCCATGCAGGATTGAGCAGGCGACTGGACAAGTGGTGACGGTTTTCTATCATGATATTTTCCAACCCGCTCAATCCATCTAGCTATAAACTGGAGATCGAGAACATGAAGAAGAGATGACTTTCACACGTGACTTTCAGCCTTGCTAGCCAGTTCCCAGGGGTTCAGAGCCTCGGCGGTAAATCCCTAAGCACATGAATATGCCAGCCCAGGGATGGAGAACACTGGACAAGGACATTGCACAATAGCTAACCAACTTCTCCTATACAAGTTGGAGGAGAGGAGCTTTTCTCCCATAACACTGTTGTCGCCGACTGTCATTTATTTTTCAACCCTGTCAGCATTATTCTAGCATACTCATAACTGCTAAATATGAATCTACCCTAAGAAAACGATGAGCTAGAATCCTGTGAAACTCACGATCTTCAATCAATTGAATGATCGATCGCTGAACAGTCGTTGCTCCCCATGCCCGGTAGCCAGCTCCTGGACGATTGCAACCAACTGATCTAGAGCCGCCTGAATAAAATCTCGCTGCTTGTCACTACCGACAATCCCAACATGCGTCTCGCCGTCTCGGACAAAGGAGGCAATTTTCAGAGGATGACTGGCATCTCCGTGGGGATTCAGTATATCAACCTTGCACGTTGCCCCAGCAAAAGGCATGGTATCAAAATCCTCAAAATCTTGGTAATGTACGAGCGAGTCGTAGAAATCGTGCTTTGATGACCACTCTGTACATTCCTTGAATATTTTTTCGAACCCTATGTAATCATAAGCCGTAGATCCAGCTACTTGGCTCTGGACGTATTGCAGGAGATCCAATGCTGTCCATTCGAGGTCAAAAGCCACCCTCACAGGAGTAAATTGGTAACATGGACCCATGATGTTCTCCATATTGGCAAGGGTGAGATTGCGTCCCGTGGTAATAGTACCGAATGTCACATCTCGGGTCTGGAGACGACGAGCAAGAGTCAGTGCCCATGCTGCGGTCAGGATGCTTGCTGTGGTGATACTCTTTGGTCGCTGAGAGACATCCACTGGCGTTTCGAGGAAGATAGACTTATCGGAACCTCCAGAACCTCTTTCTTTGCTGCTGTCAAGAACCGATAACTGTGATCTTTTTAATAGTCCTTGCCAGTATTTCAGCCCCTCTGACTGCAAAAAATTTTCGCCAGTGCTCACAACGTATTGTTTGAACGGGAACACGTCAACTACTTTTTTTCCTTCGTAAAGAGCCTCCAAGTCTTGTAGCAGTCTGGGGAGGGAGGTGCCGTCGTACTGGGCATGAGATAGTCCTAGGATGAGGCATTTTTCTCCCTCCTTTCCTTCCACATACCAGAGCTTGCAAAAAGGAGAGCCAAGCAGATATTGTGATTCGATGTCTGATGTACAGAGAGCTTTCACTTGTTCCTCAATGACCACGTCGCTCTGGCTTTGGAGGATTGGGACGGCGATTTCCAAATCTCTGAGAATAACTTGGTAGAATCTTGATTGGTGCTCCACGAAAACCGTACGCAATATTTCATGCCTTCTGACCAGGTTCTGACAAGCTGAAATCAAACGATTTTGGTCAATCTCGCAATCAAAGAATAGTGTAGTGTATTGAATCGAAGTTCGTGGGGCGTGTACAGTGGCTCTAATATCCACAGATTGAGAGCTAGTGGCGGGAAGGATATCTTGAATGTTCCCACCGACATCGGATAACTGAGGTCGGATGTCCTCGATGAGTGCGTCTAAGTCTTCCTCAGGGATGGTGGAGAATGGTGTATAGGGCTGAGCGGACTTGCTCGACGTCTCTTGCCTTATTACTGTAGCGACGTCGCGAAGACGCATGTTTTGGAAGATGTCTGCTACCGACAGGATATAACCCTGAGCGCGGAGATTTGACACCAGTCGCATCGCCAGCACAGAGTCACCACCAAGGCGAAAGAAATTATCATCGAGATCGATTTCATCCGGCGTCATGTCCAAAACTCTTGCCCATGAGTCCCTAATGGTTTTTTGTGGTTTGGTTAGAGGCGCTGATGCTGATTCCTTTTTCCAGGCTTGCTGCAAATTGTCCTGAATCTCAGCAAGCGCTTGGCAAGCAACGCTTGAAGCACTCAATTCCAGTATGATAGTTTCCGACATGTCTTCCCTGTGGGGAAGACTCTCGACTGGAATGTACGTGTAAGGCACCATTGATGGAGGAAGTTCGTTTCGAAGAGATTTGTCGAGCTCTTTGAGTGCTGATACAAGACTGGGGTCCATAGCACACTGGACTAAGACCTCAGGACTTTCTATATCTTGTGATTCAACATGAAGATTGATCTTTAAGTCCGTAGAAATTATCCCGATGGCGTTCTCATGGGACTGATGCTCAATCATGATGATCAGCTTCCGCTGTGCCGTCGTCTTGACACCATTCGCAGATAGTAGCACGAATGATATAGCAGTGCGAATTGGTGCGGGAAGATACTTGGTGATATAAACCTGTAATTTTGTGAGATCAATCGCGTGCCCTTGATCAGGGGTCAGATCTCCTTTCCGGCCAATAAAGATCATGTTTCCACTGTGCGTAACTTTTACTATGTCGCCGGTTGGGTGCAACCTACCCTCCCGGCCGCTGTAGGCATTGCTGCCGTCAACAAGCCAACGTGGAGACTCTGTATATGCTCCTGGAAGATAGGCGCCTTCGAGCCACAATTCACCGATCCCACCGATAGGTGTAAGCTGATTCACATTCCGTGGATTGCAGACCCAAGACACCACTGCAGGAGGATATTCACTTCCTTCTTTAGTATCTGTAGAGGACCTAAGACGCTTCAATTGTTGGTCTAGAGCCAATGGAGGAGTTTGATTTCTGGACCATATTCGATCCAACTCTGCCGCTGAAAGACAGGAAATTACACTGATCTCCTTTGATACATCTCCACTTAGTTGAATATATGTTTCGCGGAATTGGTCCAAGATCCGGGTCATTTGTGTGTCGTCGATAAGGCTACTATCAAAGCTTGCGGCGACTCTGATTCTTTTGTTTCCAGTTCCAATAGCGAGCATGAGTGGATATGGGTTGAAATGAAGGGCTTCGCGGACAGGGTCACCTTCGTCAAAACCAAGTTCGCTAGCCGCGTATTCCAGCTCGGGTTGAATGACCAGACCAGTGTGGGCCTCGCAGGCATACAGGGCGTCCGAGCTAACCTTCCTTATATTTTGCATACCGAAATGTTGATATTGAACGCGAGTCATCATGGACTGCTGTATATTTTGTAGGAAGGAATCAACTGTGCTGGTCCGATCAATTCGAGTCCGGATGGGAATAGTTGCTATTAGCGGCCCTTGAATGCTTTCGACACCTGGAAGCGGAATGTCGCGCCCAGTTAGAGTCTCGCCAAAGACAACATCATCATTATTCATATACTGTGAAGCAACGAGTACCCAAGCGCCACGAATTAAAGTTGCCATAGTGAAAGGGGATGCTTTGTTTTCCGCTGTGTTGAGATTGAATGACATTTCCAACATGGAGTCTGGATTGGATAGATAGTCTCTGAAGGGCAGCTCTGGAAATTGGCCACCAATCGCGCCATCAAGTTCGCGTCGCCAGAAGTCCTGAGTCAGAGATTCGTCCATATCACGCACATGACTAACAAATTCCTTCATGTGTGCCTGAGGCTGTGGACTACGCCCTTCCAGGATATCACGAATAAAGTTCAGAGTCAAGGATTCCGACCAGCCGTCGTAGAGGACATGGTGCACAGTCCAGACCATATATCGTTCCCCTTTTGTTGATCCCTCGATAATAGCGTACCGAGCGAGGTTTTGGCCAAGCTCCATCCTTTTTCCATGGTCATCAGATAGATATTGCTTTAAATCGGTTGTACTTCTCCACGTAATGGGCTCGCGAACAACCACCTGGAACAATCCGGGTTCGCGAAGTTGGACTAGGCGACTCCGCAGCATTGGGGTTGCAGCAACTACAGACTCCCAGGCTTCTCTCCAGGCAGAGGTACTGATGTGGTCTGGAATTCGGGCAACCCGTTGGGCAACATAAGCTTCTGTTGATTTGATGGAGAATGTAAAAAGTGACTCTTGTGTTGGGGTACTTGGGTAAATGTCTTCGATGGAAGATATTTCCACTTCACATATTTGTGATGCTTCAGCACAAGCCTGGTCGACAGGAGATGATAATAGCGAAAATGGTGGAACCTCATGCTGGGTCACTTTTGAGGACATGCGAACAACGCTTGCCATCTCCGAAAGCGTAGGATGGAGGAAAACATCCGCGACCGTTAGAGAGAAGGATAAGGTTGCACAAAATGCAACGAGTCGCATTGCGACAACGGAATCCCCTCCAAGGATGAAGAAATTATCATCAACCCGAATTACCTCAACGTCTATATTTAGAATATGACTCCATGCCTCTGCAAGAGTTTGCTCAGCATCATTGAGGCGTGGGAGAGGGCGAGAAGTAACTGCTGTAGTCTCATCACCCTGACGAATGTTGATAGTGGCGCCAAATTCCCGAAGTTTTTTGCGGTCAGTCTTTCCGGATATCAGCACAGGAATGAAGTTGACATGTATGAAAGCGTTAGGTATCATATATCTGGGCAGGACCTGGGCTAATTTTGCGTCAATGCCTAATAGTGATGTGCTGATCGCTTCTTCGGGCGTAACTGTCTTTAGAGGCGCTCCTACCACTCTGTCTTTGGACCTTGATGCGATGAATGCCAGCAGCGTCGGCTGACCTGCAAATCCCTGCGGACTTGTGACCTCGGCGATAACGTCTGCCTCTTGGGGAAGACTGCCCTTGATTTGATATTCGACTTCACCAAGTTCGACACGCTGACCGCGTAACTTGACTTGGGTGTCCTTTCTTCCGACGAATACGATCCCTGCCGACCCATCCGGGTCATACCTTCCAAGATCTCCTGTTTTGTAGAGCCTGCCTTTACGGCCCTCGTATTGCTGATGACCTGATATGAGCCATGGCGGATCATCAATGAATACAAGTGCAGTTTTCTCAGGATCATTTAGGTAGCCTTGGCCAACGATTGGACCATCCACGACAAGCTCACCCACCGCGCCTATGGGCATCAGCTTGTTGTGGTCATTAGGGTCCACAATCCAGATGTTAGCACCATTTCCGTGACCTATCGAAACATAATCTCGTCCAGTTGCCGCACTGCTGTTTATTGTGCAGCCAATCGTACATTCACACGGGCCATAGCCAATGATAATCCTGGTATCTCGGCCCCATCGTGTGATGTCTCTCGCTGTTGCCGCTTCACCGCCCAAGCCGAGACCTTCGAGGGATGTGATGACGTCCGGGTCTAGTATACGCGCAACTGAGGGAGTAATGCCTGCGTAATTGACCTTCATCTTCCGTATCACTCCGTTTATGTCATTCATCCGATCCTCATCGGACGGTATACAAAGGCAACCGCCACGCGATAGAGTGAGGAGCATACTGTCAATGCTGACATCGAAAGCGTATGAAGCGAAATCAAGAACCCTCGAATTCTCCTTGTAGCCAACTGCTTCGGCTCGAGGAATAGCACTGCTAGTGTAAGTTCGGTGATTTATCATGACCCCCTTGGGATTTCCAGTAGATCCGGATGTGAAAATGATGTACATGATCGTTGATGGTGGTACGATGGGTAGCTCTTGACGTGATCCAGGGTTCAATTGCGTGAAGCCTTCGGCTTCAACGACCATGGCGCGTCCACGCGGCAATATCGATACCGCTAGATCGCGCTGCATCTTTGAATGCACAATAGTTGTGGCCCCAACTTGCTCAACCATATTTTGGAGCCGGGCAAGAGGAAGGCTTGGATCCAGCAAAACAAATGTCGCTCCAACCTTCATGACTGCAAGAACGCCAACAATTGTCCAACAGGATTTTTCGAAACACAGAGGAATAAAATCCGACAATTGAACCCCTGTATTCCTGAGTTTATACGCAAGAAGTGTCGAATATCCATCGACTTGTGCGTAGGTCAACTCGCCATCCCATGAAGAGATTGCTACACTGTCTGGGGTCTTGTCGCACTGCTGAGAAATAATGTCCTGCATACAGGCCTCGTAACTTGCGGGTGCAGCATGATTGAATTTCCAGATTTGGTCGATATCGCTCTCTGTTGGGTGCATACATTCTTCAAGGGTGGTGTCAGGATTTGCGACGCAAAGCCTGACGGTGTCAACGAATGTCTCGATGTGACGCGCGATTGTGTATTGTAACATGCCCTCGCTGTGGTACAGCGGACGGACATTTAGGCAAGTACTAGAATTCTGTACTTCTATATGCAGCGTACCCTTTTTGGACATCATTAGCAAACTGCCAAGCCTGTAGGAATCATGGAATGATAGGACTCACAAATTCATCAACATAGTCTGATCCCCTGGAGCTAGTGCTCAGTATCAGAGACGAATCGGCAGACTTGATCGTTTGTGCTGTGTTTCCACAGGCTTGAAGAAGTGATGAAATCTTTCTCTTGATTGTTCCAACCGTAGCATTCATATTGGTCACAAGATCTCCCAATCTGAAGCACTCAGCCCCTTGGTCCTGTATGTAACCATTGCGGGGAATATAATGCACCCAGTCGAAGGAAAGACTCGGGTTATCTCTTGTCCGCAATAATGTCAGGAACCACGAAAGCAGCACAATCTCATCGCTCAAGGTGGTGACTGTGGCTTCTTGGTCGTCGGTCAGATCAATGATTTGAAATGACCTGAAGCCCTCTTCATCAGCTCTTCCAGTCAACAATTGATAGGCATGGCCGTCGACCAAATGCCCATCCTGGACCTCGACGGACCCCATGCTGCACAAGAGCCGTACACCTGGGATTGTGCTATCGTGTCAGGAGATCAATGTTCAGATAATACACGGACTGATGCAACGCTGTATGGACGTTATACGTGGTCCCAATCGATGCCTGTTGGCAGCCAGTAAAGGCGACTGGAATACAAAACTCCAACGAAATGCCTTTTGTTGAGTTGAGACTGGTTGCTCGTACAGGAGGCAGCTCCAAAGAGTATGTGACTGACAAGTGACATGCCACAGCTGGACTTCCCAGCTGGCCGACACTATACACGGCATGCATCGGTGCATGCTGCAACAGTGCTCAACAGCATTCTACGCAACTAACCAAACAGGGCCACATGGTACCAGCACTCTCGACTGGATCCTGGCTGATGGAGCGTTTCTCATGGAGGCATATTCAGAGCGCTTTTCGGAGAGACGCCCGAGAACAGTTTAGTCAATCACAGCAGGCAATCTACCAAACACGTATCGTCTCGTTCGAGCTGCATCCTGTAACTTGTAATGATGCACGAGTAATGCGTTGTATGGTTTTCTGTATTCAAACCGTTACCCGCAAACTTTGGAAATCGAAAAATGAGGGCCAGGGTAAGATTCAGCCGATCATACATACATACCTACCTAGATACCCACCTAGGCAATGTTCATAATTTCATGTCAGTACGATCCATTTGATGATTGGGTACGTGGTGTCTACTAGCAGCGGAGTACTTAGCCCAAGCCCCCAGACATTGAAGCTTCACTCGGCCAGGCTTCTTTGTTATTCCTGCTTAGGCTTTGGGCCCCGAGATCGACAATTTGAGCTCGGTGGATTCCAGAGTGGCGAGAGGATGCCCTGCAGTTGTGCCAAGGAGAAGGAAATTTTGTGACACTTTTTGAACCACAGCATCAGGGCTGTCGGCTAATGGCACTTAGTGTATCACGAGAATGTGAACGACGTACGAAGTATGATCTGTTTGATCGGTACTGGTCGACTTCTCCTGACCTGTGAGAAAGACCCCTGACGATCGAGATCATCTGATAAGATAGATTTTTTTTCTCACGACAAAAGCTGCAGAGTGCTTGAAATGTGGCGTGCTGAATCTCCATCCCCATGCGTTAGTGGGGTGTAATTACGAGCACTACTAACTGCCTCAATTGGATAGTGGGGGATCTGATTAGATTTGAATCTTCCCCTTGCCCCTCCGATCAAGCACGAACAACATCATAGCTTAGAATTCCTGTAGACAGGGGGCCGCTTTTCCACGAATGCCAAAATACCCTCAGCGAAATTATGGCTTCGCACCAGTTGAGGGTAGGATTCATCGGCTAACTTTGACACAGCGTCCTCCACGCTGCCAGCTTCCCAGCTCAAGCGAATGCCACGCCGAGCAACGATCAACGCGTCGGGGCTGTTGCTACACATCAATTCCGCAGTCTGGATCGCAACCCTGGCGACATCGGCAGCCGACTCTGCCAATTGTGTAATAAGGCCCCATTCGTGTAATGTTTTTGCACTCACGTTTCTTCCTGTCAGGACGAGATCTGTCGTCCGTTGCAATCCGATGATCCGTGTGAGTCGTGGCAGACACCCAGCGACCGGAACGATCCCCCGTTTCACTTCTGGTAAAGAGAACACTGCTGATGCGCAGGCTATCACAAGATCGCAATTCACAATCATCTCAAAGCCTCCTCCCATGCATATGCCGTTCACAGCAGCTATGATAGGCTTTTTACCATCTCGTCGAGGTAAGCCCGCAAGCCCAGGTGCGCTCATGTCGTTGACAACACCAGCTTTATTCATGTCGTTCCATTCTGCGAACATCACCGTGGTTAGTAGCGTGATGGATATCTGCTTCTCAGCAGGATCCCTGGACTTACCCTGTAGATCTGCGCCCGTACAGAACGCTCTCCCAGAGCCAGTGATGATACCGACCCAGAGATCTTCATCTTCATCAAATTCCTCCCAAATACTTTGGATATGCCTGCTTGTAGCTTTATCGATGCAGTTCAATTTTTGAGGTCTGTTGATTGTCACCAGAACAATATGATCTGATGGGAATGAAACATCCACATTTTGGAATTGTCGGCTCCTTGAACGCAAAGCCATGTTGGAATCCCCAGGAATTTATTTGCATCGACACCTGCTGGCCATTCGCATCTAGTAAAAATCCAGCGATTGACTTTTATAATGGCTGGCAGTCTTAGCTCTCCAGTATATTTGCACTCTACTAGTTAGCCAGTTAGAGCATCACTGACCAGTACAAGACATTCTTGGCGCGCAGAAAGCTTTTCGGTTGAGATCCGTTTAGGATGAGTTCAGGTACCATCCGGAGTCTGGTCTGCGTCGTATGCCGACCAGAGGATATTACACACCTCGGTATTCATTTTGCTGACTAGAAAGATTATTTTGGCTGGGCTCCCCGGGCTTGCATCTATGGGGAATCGCAAGACACCATCCTGATATAATTGGATTTCCTTGATCAATCTTCAGCAACCCTAGCATACTTTGAAAAATACATCTTCATCCTCGATATCTCAGTGGCATACTGAGTGTTTCGTACTCAGCCAGTAACTATAAATCCGGTTTGCTCTCATCACTTCATTCTACTGGCGGTTTATATGATTAAATATGGCATCGACGCTCACTTCAACAAGCAGCCTCACCCTGGTGAAACTGCCTCACCCATTTTTGACGACCTATCGAGTTGAAGCGATGTCTGCTACCAGTCCCTCACAGTTACGGTTGGTTATTGTCGAGCACGAAACCTCTGGAAGGCCACTTCCTGAGCCACTTCATTCACATACACTTTCTTGGATTGATCTGACAAAACAAAAGCCGTCGAATGGCCTTCCTCCCCAAGCCGACAACAGTGCTTGGGCGCGAGCTCGTCGCAGTCCAGAAACAGTTTTCGAGTGGACAGGAGACAGGGCACCCTCACTGGGACAGATTTGGAATGTGATACATGCAATTTATCTCACACATCCGATCTTCGAGTACTTCCGACTTGCTGTTGCTGGTAGCCAGAGTGAAATCATCATAAACGAGCTTCTAGCGACTGGGTTGGCAATTGAACATCCAAAACCATGGCATCTGAAGCAGCAACCACCTAGTGGTGCTCAGGAATTACTCGTGCTTCGAAGCGCTTTCTGGCAAGGTGCTGCTTCTCCACTAGGGCCTCGCCCAATCTGGGTCGTTGGGGACGGCACAGACCATGGCATACGAAAACCGCTGGCCCAATATCCGATCATGGCGGAGAATCATCACTTCACGATGAAGTTTCCAGAAGAACGAGTCTATGCTCGCCATCCAGTTCGTCGACCAAAACCATTTCCAGGGTCGATTGCGTACAGTCGGTACATTCCAGAACTTGATGAGCATTTCTCGCTCGAGGTTGTCGACTATAACAACCAGGAACATCTCCAGTTGTTCAACACTTGGCAGAATGACCCTCGCGTTGCCCAGGGATGGAACGAAACTGGAACTCTTGAACAACACCGTGAGTATCTACGGAAACTACATATTGATCCCCACGTACTGTGCTTGTTCGGCCGATTCAACGATGCCAGATTTGCCTACTTCGAGTTATATTGGTCAAAGGTATTTCCCTTATCAACCTCGTTCAGAATCGAATACTGATAGCCCTTCTACAGGAAGATCATTATGGTGCACATTACGATGCAGGAGATTATGATCGAGGGCGCCATTCACTTGTAGGCGACGAGACGTTCCGAGGATCGAAACGGGTGAATGCATGGTATAGTTCCTGCATCCACTATGTCTTCTTGGATGATCCCAGGACGGCAAATGCTGTTGGGGAACCGAAAGCCACAGGATCGACGATCCTCTCTTACGAAAACTCTCAAGGTCTTGTCATTGGCAAATACATTGACCTCGGTCACAAGAGATCCGTACACTCAATCGCGAGCCGAGAAAAATGGTTCCAGCTTTGTCCGCTATTTTGGGACGGTCGAGAGCGGCCTCTTGAATCAGCTGATCGTGCGGCTTGGAATGCAAAGTTGTGAAACTGGGATGTTTCCGAATACTTCCTACGCCTGGCAAACTTGATCGCTAAGATCGAAGATGGGTACCTGACATGGGAAAATTTCCATAAAATTGATCGTGTAAAATCTACAATACGCAAATGCCAGTGCTCTCCGCCGTCAACAACACTTTGCCGAATACGGACAACTCGTACCTCTTGTTCGCCTTGCTTTTCAATTTTCATCGACCAACAAGAACTAGTGCATCAGATGGTGGGTAGTGTGGGGGAGCGTGAGACCAGACGTAAAAACCTGACTAACCACTTCGTACTGAGACTTGGCCACAGAGAGAGATGTGAAAGAAGGCTCAGATATTCCGTTCGAGTGCAAGAATCTTCTTGCATTCTACCAGGATGTGCATCATAATCACGAGATGAGCCAAGGACGAAATCAATTCTTGTAGCTGCATGGACACTCCCGTACAACTAACTAACTAAGTTAGCCGGTTAAAGTTTGGCATTGTATCGAAGAACTAACTGAAGCCTTTACCCGCCGCGGCCCACCCAGGCCCATCACACTAACAGGGATCCACGCACTACCACCCACCACGCTCTGCTCTCGCCAGAGGGAGACCTTGGCATGACAGTCCGATGACCGGACTGCATCCAGAGCTCGAACGCCACCAATTAAGGACTTGTGGGCACATAGGTACCCTTGTTGACATGTGGGAAGGAAATGGAAAACCTATCCCAGGAATGTCGCTAGATACAAAAGCCTGGCCCCGCCAAATTTGTCCGGGCAAGGTCCAAATCTGAAATTTTTGGCCGTACCTCATCATTGCAATTGCTCATCATGTCGATTCTCTCACGATTTCGGCCTGGATTTGCGCGAAAATCGACGGATCTCAATGATCAGTCGACGGCGACAACCACGAGCGATGTCAACTCTGCAGAGAAAGTACCCGGGACGAACGCGGAAGCTGCTACTGCTGATGAGAGCGTAGAGAAAGACAATGACCGCCCGAACGAGGACGCGCAAAGAGGTGTTCGTCAGGTAGAGGCTGTCACATTGACATGGTCAAAGTGGTCATTGATTGCCATCTTCATCAAGTGAGTTCGATTCATGGACAGCTGGTGGGATTGTAGCTGACAAAATCTTAGTATGTGGTTGCTATACTTTGTCAATGCATTCCAGTCGTCCATCTTGAACAACCTTACACCATACGTTACCAGTGATTTTGAGAGCCACTCTCTCCTTACGGTCATCTACATTGTAGCAAATTCCATGTCAGCGGCTTGCTACATTCCGATTTCCAAGATCTTGGATTTATGGGGTCGAGCTGAAGGATTTTTGGTTATGATCGCGTTTGCGACTCTCGGTTTGATTCTCATGGCATCATGCAGCAGCTTAGAAACCTTCTGTGCGGCACAGGTATGTTGGTGACGACCTCTAACGATTCCAGAATACTGACGTTTCAGGTGTTTTATTCCATTGGCTTTGGTGGTATGATTTACAGCGTCGACGTTATCACCGCCGACGCCACAAAGCTCAAAAATCGTGCTCTAGCGTTCGCTTTTACCTCATCCCCATACATGATCACTGCCTTTGGTGGTCCCAAAGCATCTGAAGGATTCTACGACCATGTCAGCTGGCGATGGGGCTTTGGGGCTTTCTCAATCATCTTGCCTTTTGTTGCAGCGCCCCTTTTCATCAATCTCAAGCTTAATCTCCGCAAGGCTGAGAAGCAAGGAATTATTGTCCGACGACAGACTGACAGAACACTCTTACAAAGTATCCTGCACTATACAATGGAATTTGATCGTATGCATAATCATCCACCTGATTTTCATATACTAACTTGTGTAGTTCCTGGAGTGTTCCTCTTCGCCGCTGGCCTTGTGGTCTTCCTTCTTCCATTCTCATTGGCCGACTCCGCGCCCAACGGATGGAGCACAGGCTATATCATTGCAATGATCGTTGTAGGGATTATTGTGTTGGTCATTTTCGGCCTTTATGAAGCATATGTGGCGACCCAGCCAATGCTCACGGCCAAGATTCTCACCAACCGCACTATTATCGGTGCATGTTTATTATGTTTCACGTACCAAGTGGCATACTATTGCTGGGCGAGCTATTTCACTTCTTTCTTACAGGTGGTTAACGGTCTTTCCATCTCGACAGCCGGATATGTCAGTAGCACATTTGATGTTGTGTCGGGGATATGCCTCTTGTCAGTTGGTTTCATCATTCGCAAGTCCGGGTATTTCAAGTGGCTCCTCTACATTGCGGTGCCACTGTATATCTTTGCTCAAGGCTTGCTGATCTACTTCCGCCAGCCCAACCGCAACATTGGCTACCTGGTCATGTGCCAGATCTTCCTCTCCATCGGCGGGAGCATCATCATTCTCTGCGAACAGCTTGCTATCCTCGCAGCAGCAGACCATCAACACATTGCAGCGCTTCTGGCGTTGCTCTACGTCGTTGGCACCGTTGGAGGCGCTGTCGGCAACTCTATTTCAGGGGCTATCTGGACCAACACTTTCGAACAAGCCCTGGAGAGATACCTGCCGGAAGTTGCCTTGGAGAGCATTGCAGACATTTACAGCAGCCTCGACGTCCAACTTTCGTACGAGTGGGGCTCGCCAGAGAGAATTGGCATTCAGGATGCGTATGCGTATGCCCAGCGAAGGATGCTCATCGCTGGAACCGCAATCATGGCTCTGAGTCTGGTCTGGGTCTTCCTTATCAGAAACATCAACCTGACCAAGATCCACCAGACCAAAGGCAACGTCTTTTAAGACTTGTGAAATCCTACTAGCTACGTACAGAATGGGAGAATTATCTCTTTCCATGCGAATCATGTACCTATTCTATCTAATCAATACACTGGCAAATAGTGCCCTTCATCAAGGAGCCAACCCGCAAAAAGTACAATTCAAGTAAAAACTGAGAGCTAACGATTAGAAAGGGCCTCTTTAATGTTCACAATCGCCATTTGAACCAGACTTGAACCTCGCATACCACGTAGAAGTTCGGTACACTCGTCCCATTTCTTAAGCAGGTTCTTCATGGAAGACATATCTGTGAGAGCATGTCGTTTGTCATACATCAGACAATATTTGGCTTCCCACTTCAGCGAATCAATCGCTCCCTCCCGGTGACTTTCATAGAGACAATTCACCGGAAAATTATTACCCGGCATGACCAGCAAACTTGAATCAAATCAGGAGAGAATTAGCACCGAATGAGTCGGTATCAAGTTCGAGCATTAGGGATATGATCAAGGGTTTCACGATTGAAGATCTGCCATGTCATTTGACTTGATGCCCTTGCATGCTTTGATGCAATTTGCGAGGCTTTATCTCCTGCAGCTATCCTCTCCGAGCCCAACTCCACTCTTGCGGAATTCCTTGGTCAACAAGTTTGAATACTGCCATGGTGTGGGTATTGATTTGCACACAATCTGCGAATTCGACTCACTTTAGATACTCAAACTCCCATTAACAAGGAATATGCTGAGAAACTAGGTTAAGAATCCAAGTGGCTCTTGATTAGCCATTCAACATCTCTTTCAGCTTCTTTTGAACCAAATGTCTCATAAACGAATTAAGTGGTTGGCTGGAGATATCGAATTTGAACGTACTTCTCTCTCTGGCCAGAGATGGTAGGTGACATTGAACTTCGAGTGATAAGCAGGCAAAAAGCACAACAATTGCAGGGCATTCACGTGGGTTGCCATCACTTCAGCACAAGTCCGAGTGGCTCGCAACTGCATTGAAGCGTCCTAACCCTCCCTCTGTATTTAATCTAGGTGGCGGTGAAAACGGGTCCACAAATACCCCAGGCAAAATAAACTCCCTTTCCGTAGTCGCCTATAATTCCTAAACACGATGGTCTTGAAAAAGAGATCAGTCACTTCGATACCGGGGGTTAGCGAGCGGATCCTGTGCATTGTAATCTATCCCGATATTCTGACACGTAAACGGGCGAAATTGGTGAGATAACGCGGCTTCATATTCCTATGGCTTTTGTTAGGGGATAAGCTATCTAATGAGCTGGAAGTGAACATACAGCAATGCGATCTTGAAAATGTTGTAAGAATGCGTCACCAAGCCAAGTCCATCCTAGTCTGTGGGCCTTCCAGAGCTCAAGAATGGCTCGTATCTTCCCAAGGAATTCTGCGGTTCCTCGTTGGTGATGTCGGGGTACTCTAGCTCGAAGATCGAGCGATTGATAATGCGGAGTGGGTCTCTAGTGTCGAATTGCATTGTGCCACTCATCACAACATTTGCCATCGACAGCGGTGCACGCACCCTTCCAGAAGGCATGATGAACGTGTCACGGCTTCGAGGACGATCGCCATTGGGCGAAAGTTGGGCGAATAATTGCCTGACTCGTTCCGTAACCTTATAGTATTCCCGTAATAGCAGCTTCTTCCCCAAGCGATACTGTATATCCTCCTGTTCCTAATAGGCTTATAATGGTGCGGCTTGGTCGTTGGGAGTTGATTTTCCTTTTGCTTCCGCGATCAGGGGGTTCGGGCGCCGTTGGTGTGTATCTCGCAGCGATTGTACGCTGGTCGGCTGCTGTAGAAGGCTTCGTGCTGTCGTAGATGCACAATTCTTGTTTGCTTGAGCCGCCGCTCACATTTATGACCGGGTACTCCAGTCCGAATTTTGTGCCCAGCGAACGACTGATAGAGTGTACCACTCTAGCCTCGAGGTTGGGGCCTATATTTGAGGCTTTATTTCAGGCCAGAGTGGCACGATGGTCTCGTCCGGGCCGATAGGTCGAGGCCATTGTGGCTTGAACATCTCTAGGTCCATGATTTCGATCCGGAAACCGCAAAAATTCCCAATACCAAACCGCTCCCTGATGTCCTTAAGTGCTAAATACCATGTAAACCTCGAGTGGTCCCGAGCGGATCCGACGCGATGGGATTCATGGAATCAGTTGGTGTTGGACGAGTCGGATAGAAGTAATACCCAAGCTCACAATCGGCTCCGATCCCTGTGAGCTATTGTGCCTCTTGGGCGTTATGATTCTTGAGTTGGAGGAGGAAGCCGTATATTCGGAGATCAAACTTTGCAAAACACAGCAGTCGATGTACCACCCTGTGTCGATCTCCCTCCTTGTCTGGCCCAAAGTGGACATCATTGGTCTATCAACCGGCAGCTTTCAGGCCCAGTATACCAATCCACTGTATCCAGATATCTTCGTGGACATTGCTGTTGTTGATTGCATGGATCTGAGACTGCAAGAATAGAGGTGTATCGTAGGATTGTGAGTGGTGTGTACTGGTTCAGGAGATTTGTGAGTGTCAGACCAATTTATCTGCATATTAGCCATTGCTGAATGGGCGCCTCTCCACCAATTCTCACTCTTCTAACTTACACGGCGTTCGGTCCAAACCCAACAGGCGGCGGTTTGCGAGGGACTGGATTCATCGGGGCCTCCTCATCTACCACGTAGTGAATACTACAATTGGGATTCAAGGTCCACCACCGTCCGATATATGGTTGCGTAAGAGGCTGTACCTGGGTACTTCGGGGCCGCCGAGGCTCCTCCCCACACTCAGTCCATCCAATGGGGTGGTTCTCCTACACACCTAGCTAGATACCGAACTGGATGCCCTGTCGCGAAGGTGCAGCATTGTATTCAGTTACCACCAACATCTGGATAAATCCAATACATGGGGACATCGCGATGAAGCTAAGTTGGGATAACATGTTCGTAATATTCGTATGTATCAGATTTCACATGGACAAGAGTCGAACCGTGAGTCAATGTCCTCGACTATGATTGGCATTAGTGATTGAGAGCTCTGATGTTGGGACTGAAAAGCATTTACCCACCATGCTCTGATTCTCGATGCCATGGTGTATCTTAGGACGTATTGTGGCCATCAAGAATGGCAGATAATACTCAAGACTCGAATTCGTCTATAAAACGAGCGTGCCACACATTTCAAGACGGTGTGTCACCAAAGGGGTTGTCGAGTCGAGCAAAATGCTGCTTAGTTCCCGGTATCTAGGAGGACGAAATCAGTCGCTTGTGCACCGCCACCAGTAGGGCGTGAGACGTCTTCAAAGGACCCAGAGTGAGGAAATATAGCGGGTAATTGGAGGACGTTGGGGACGATAAAGGCAACACCATCTCATTCGAGGACGTTTAATAGGCTACACTTGTTTTAAATCCGATCAACAAGTGTCCCTTGCTCAAATCTAGACACACCTCGTTGCTGTCACGTTGGCATGATTTAGTACGACTGATCTCTTGCCGCGAGGTAGGGTATATCGACGTTGGAAATTAGAGGAATCGGACCTCGAGTGTCGGCAGAAACGGCCGACATGCTTTGTTTCCGATACTGAGGAGCCAACACCAGAAGCTGATATTTGATTGTTCCTCGAATGATCTTCATGACCCTGAAGTTGTGAGCTTCCTGATGATCTTGGGGGGTGAAGTATGTCTGCTTGTTGCAGAACCTGAACACATCCATAGCTTGGTCCAGTGAGCTGACGCAGGCTCTTGAGCACATGGCTGTCCAATTGCGGGCAGTGGGATACATTGTGAATTGCAGAGTGGATTTGAAGCATCATCGCCTGTGCATAATTCTGCTTTTCCGTGGTGATGTTCCGGTGCATGAGATCAATTGGTCCGAAGGTCTCTTCTTGGAAATCATTTTGTTTCTATATATATTGTGTTGGGCAGCACAAGTGTCAAGCTGGGTTTTGAAATGAACGTGGGGAGACGTGTTCACGATGCTGGCAGATGAAGTCCCATCCAACGAGCCGGTGCGGCCATGATGAAGCAGAGGCCTCAATAATGCCCAGAGAGATGATGGGACATGGGAAGAGAGTGTGGGGCAGGGATATGGCTTGAAAGCATGGGCAAGGAGAAGACAGGGGGAGGATGATAGGGAGGGAAAGAGAAATTTGGAAGGTGGAAGAAAGCAATATATATAGTCAGGAAGGAGACTTGATCCGTCACAGCTCTGTGTCTCAACAAAACGTCTGCTGTATCGTGAACCTTGCCCGTTCAGCAATGCATGACTTCGCTGGCAATGGTGGTGATGCAGATGAAACCAGCGGTGCATCCGATTGAGGCCCTGACCAGCTGACCGTGAATTGGCCGCACAGGCAAGCTGGACAGCGTTGTGAGGGGCTGTTTCGATGCGAAATGAAACCCAAAATGGGAAGTCACACGGCGTTGTGCATTGAATCATTACTTCCCGCTTCTGGCCCGTACCCTGATTTTCTGCGCTGACTCGTTGTTTCAAGGTCGGACTGTCTTCACGATTAAAAGTTATTAAGGATAATGAATGTTGGTGAAAATCTGAATTCATGTTGAAGGAACAACTCCGGCACTTGGATTCACACCCTGGAGCACTCTGCATCGGGATTCAGCAAGCCCGCACTGACTCCCCGTTGCAGGTGAGGGAAGGAAATCTAAATGAGGGTGATTGTGTTGGTGGAATCATATTCATAAATGTCTGTCTGTCCAACAAACAGGGGGCTTGAGAGGGAGGGTTAGGTGAATTCGCTGTTAGGATGATGTTGACAGTCTGGATGATGAAGCTTCTATGGGGCAACTCAAGCCTCGCCGTTGTACGCACATGCAGTGCACTTCGGTCAATTCATTGGCGGGCTGAGCATGCTGGTGATCTCAGCAAGCAAAGTAGCAGTGTCGGAATAGATCCTCAAAAACTCTGCTTTGAGCGCTCCATCCACTTCAACCAAGATCATTCTGGTAGCGAAATCTGTCGTCACACTCTTGCCATTCAACAAGTGATTTGTCAACAGTCCAGTAAAGACAGCCTCGGTTTTCCCATCGACACCTCCCGGCATGATGTATACTCGGTCAAGATAGTGTTGGAGGTTAACAATCGGGCCCCTTTCGGGGTGGATCATGTCATCATGAAGTTTTCTCAGTTGTTCCTCTCCTTGACTTGGTTGCGGCGCAACATGGAGAATACCAGTCGAAGTGAAGGCGGATATGTAGTTGTAGTCCGTGACTGGTTGATCCCAAGATTTCAAGATTGTATGTATAACATGAATGATGGGCGCTGGAATAGCATCATGGTTTGCAAAAGTGTAGAAGTCGCGATCATACATTCTTGTCAGCTTAGAAGGGTGGTTGACAATACGATGTGAAGTTGAATGAATTTGCTGAGACCATATTATTAAACCTGATCTTCGTCCAAACACCTACTTTTTTATCATAAGCGAACGCCGTGGCGATACGAGGTGTCGCATATCGGGGCGCGATACCAGCGCAGCATCATGCCATTTGAGGTCTGAGGCCGCCAACGGCAGCTGACGTGCAAGGATCTGTTTGCATTGGTGCATGGACAAGATTTGGTGCAGGTGTGACAACGACCAAGACATCCTTCAAGCCTCAATAGCGATTCACCAATTATGAGAGATGCGAGGTAGGGACAAGAGCATATCTTGAACTACATGCCAGATATGTAATTCGTTGTCGAGCCGGACTTCTTCCTACCACCAATCGATTTGACGGTAACATTGTGCAGCACCTGTCTAGCTTACGCAATGTGCATGTCCAGATCAGAAGAGGGGATTGTGCTTAATGTAAGCGTAAGCGAAGAGCAAGGCCCAGGAAGCAAAGAGCACAAATGGAAGAAGGTCGGCTGAAGTACCATCCCGATGCCAAAACGCGGGGAAGGAATTCTGGGAGAGGATTTCTCGGCCACCGGCTTCGTCGGAAGCGTTCTTTTCGGAATGACATTCCATGGCGATGCGCAAACCTCGCCTAAGAGATATTAATGTCTAGTACCATCCTTTAACTGGAAAGTCAAAGCTTACAGGCATCTCGGGCAGCGATGCCGAACAAGTGACGCCCATTCCTCAGAGCCGCAAGAACATTACCCGATCAAGGCTTCGACGCCACCGTTATGCACTCGTAGCCGACTTGAAGCTTTTCCCACGGATGTTATATTTCTACTAAATATTGTTCTCTGATTCATGGCTAGTACGATTGTTTAATTTCCAGCAAAATTGAACAGCTATCAAGAGAGTTACTCGCAGACCAAAGGTGAAAATCTATCCTGGAAACACCATTGCAAAGCCAAGGATAACAACCAGGCACACATCACACTTTGAGATATCCACATATCACCTTGGATAGAGATAACAGTCAATACTCCCGGTAAGAACAATGGCGGCAGAAGAACCGCAATCCCACGATTTCTTCGTGGGCACATTCAACACGCCACATCTCTACACACTGCGGTTCACACCACCAACGTCGAAATCCACATCAACATCAACATTACCACCATCATCGCGCAACGAGGGCTCACTGAAGATCCTACATAAATCCAAAGTTATCGGCTCGCACAGTTGGCTGCATCTCCACCGAGCACGCCCGGACGGCACCCGGAATCTCTACGCCACCGCGTGGACCGAGCCGCCCTCTGTGGTCGCCTACGCCGTCGATTCACCGACATCAGTCCGTCTGCTTAACACGGCTCCGACGAGATCACGCAGCGGCTATGTCGCTGCCAGTGACATCGCTCTGTATTCGGCAGGAGGTGCGACCGGAGAAGTCTACAGCCTCGACCCGAAGACAGGCGCGATCGTGTCTCCGGCTGGCGAACCCAATGGAGCAGACGCCTCCAACGGGACTTCGACAACGACGACGACAACGATAAAGCCACTCCAGGACCTATCATTCGTGGATACATCCACCTCACAGCGCGACGACGGCTCCGTGATGGATTTCGGAGGTCTGCGACACGGCGCACACAGCGCGGACCTGTCGCCCGGAGAGGACACGATGTACGTGGCAGACATCGGACGGAACTGCATCTGGACGTACTCGGTGTCCGCATCAGACGGCTCACTCAAGCTGGATGAGAAGTACATCTCGCCGCGCGCTAACGACGGGCCCCGCCACGTGTGGCCGCATCCGGCCGGACGGATCGTGTATTGCCTGCAGGAGCATACGAGCATGGTGGATGTCTTCTCGACGACGAAAGGCGACGCCGGCACCACGAGCCTGCAGCATGTCCAGGGCGTGCGGATCATTCCGTCCGAAGAGCACGAGCGCGAGTTCTGGGCTGATGAGGTGCGCACGAGTTTGTCGAATGGAGAGAAGCCGCAATATCTGTATGCGAGCACTAGGGGCTTGGAGAAGGGGAAGAAGGGCTATGTCGCCGTGTATGCGCTCGGAGAGGATGGATATGTCGATCAGTCCGCAGGCTCTGGAGGTGACGAGCGCTATGCCGGTCTCCTCGACATGTACACGACGCCTACGAGCGGTGGGTGGGCGAATGCCGTCCAGCCGGGTCCGACGGTTGACGGGGTCGAGTATCTGGCGTTGACGGATAGTGACGAGGGGTTCGTGTTTGTGCTGTCCTGGGATGGAAAGAGAATCTCCGAGGTTGCCAGGGTCAATCTGGGTGACGGCGAGGGTGCTGCGACTGCGGTTTGGCTGTGATTCCAAATGTACGCATACTGGGGAAACCCATCGACTACAAATTTGGACGTGCGGGCTGAGAAGAGAACAAGTTAAACCGCAGGTGCGAGTCAAGTATTCAGATACATGAAGTACATAGGTCGCTATCATATGAAGATGAACACCGACTGGGAGAAGTAAATGAACTCCATTAACACTTTTGATAATTTAAGGAGTCCACTCGTGGATATCAATTTCGCTCATGGAATGATAACTTTTCCAAAGCTACAGTCAAACACGCGGCAACCTATTGAATTACCTAATTGGGTAGAAGTGCTCATACTAATTAACCTCACGCACAGCGTTCATACACCTGCAGTCTTCTCCGCGTCCGTACTCCCATTCGTCGGAGCTGGTTGAGCCGCCTGACCAGAGCCAGTAGTCCCTGTTCTCGTCCTCGTCCTTCCCGTCTCAAGTTCATGGTGAGCACGACTTCTTGTGGCGTGTAATGCCGCCATGTGCATCTCGTCATCATCACTACTACTGTTGTCCTCCTCATCGGCGGGCTTTTTGATCGACATCGTCGGTGCGAATTTGGACTTGGCGCGGAGTTTGGAGCCGTAGAGGTAGAACAGGACAGGGATGGGAACTAAGGCGAATGCGAAGCAGCCTAGAAGTGTGGATGCCCATTCTATGCCCATGCCATTGAACATCTGGCGTGCGAAGAGGGGAAAGCCGGCAGCAGTGATCGAACGGAGAAAAGTATTCGCCGCGACTGCTGATGCAGCACTAGATTTGAGGTTAGTGATTAATGGTCATACCAAGTGGTAGACGGAGGTGTGACTTACAACATGAGATAGGAATCAATAAGGTAGTTGAAGCACTGAATAAAGATAGCCAAAAGTCCAAATCCAGTGAATAATCCAGACAGAGTCGGGACTATCCAATGGACAGATTTCTTGTAACCACCCCATCCAAACCAGAAAAGGCCAAGTGCGAACAATACACCACCGATCATGACAGGTGGAAGTCGCCATTCAGGAATGGGAATACCACCATTAGCCGCGAGTTTCTTGTTGTACTGCTTGGATGTAAAAATAATGTAGCCCGCCACGATGAAGATACCAGCCACCATACCAAAGAATGGAAGTCCTGAGACACCGGGCTTGAACCCATGGACACCCGCGAAAACGAGGGGATATGCTGTCAAAAAGAGATAAAGCAATCCATAGATGAATGACATGTAGATGGTGATGGCCAGAATGATGGGTTCTGAAACCAACAGTCGCAGGGGACGGGAAAAATTCTTAGTAACGAGCTCTCGAAAGTCGACTTCGACTTCTTCTTGCTTCGCGTGAATGCCCCAATTCTTAGTTCGACGGCGCAATTCGGCGGCTTTGCTGACTAGAACCACTGGAGCATAACTTTCCTTGAGGAAAAGCACATTCAAGATCAAGGAGCCGGCGCCCATGATGCCAGGAAGGTAGACGTTCCATCGCCAACCCAAGTATGATACATTGATGAACCCGCCGATGAAAGGCCCCAGCATCGGGCCCATGAAAACCATGGAGGAGAATATGACAATGGCTGTACCACGCTGGGTGTTGTCAAACATGTCGGCAAAAACAGCAGCAACCACTGCCAAAGGACAAGAACCAAAGAGACCAGTGAAGAAACGACTGATCATGACGGTCTGAATGTCTTTGGCCGTCGCGCATGCAAAATTGAAGAGAGTGAACCCCAACATTCCAACCAAGATGGGCAGTTTTCGGCCTTGCAGTTCACTGAAAGGTCCCCAAATTAGAGGACCAAAAGCATAGCCGAGCACGTAGAGAGAGGTGCTGAGAGTAGCAACTTCGAGGCTGATGCCGAAAACATGGGTAATCGTCTGAGTGGAGGCAGAGAAAACCGACGAAGTAAAGGTACTACACAAGCAGGTATATGCAAGCATGGCACCGATGTACAGCTTCCTCTTGAACGGCCAGTTCTGTGGATGTAATGGATCATCTTTTCCATCAAACTCAACCACATACTCTTCCCGCTCGGGCAACGCAGGAGGATAAGGCTTGCCACCGCCAAACTCAGGTAAAGGCCTGCTCTCAGCGCGACTCTTAGTCTTCTCACTCGCCCCGACGGTCTGGACATGTTGCAACCTATGCGTTGCTGTTCGGTGCATCTCAACCGGATGGGTTCGAATGCGACCCAGGGTCGCGGCAGACGCTGTTGCGATTCTACCCATCGCATCTGCATCGGTGGATGTGGAGGAACCGGAAGAGCTGGAGGAAACCGACTGGTTAGATCTCTGGCTTCGCAACGAGCGGCGTGCTTTGCTTTCTTGTGAATAGGTCCGTGTGGCCATGACCTCCGCCCGCTCCATATCCCGATCAACGATATCCATGGTTTTCAGGCTCTACTTTCTTCTTTCGTGTTGTATTCGTAAAGCTCAATTCGAGCGCAAAGCCTGGATCGTCAAGCAGAGCAAGAGAAGTCGTGCGCAACGGGCAGAGTGAGGAATATATCGCTAATGATGACCAGTTGCAAAGAAGAGTGTTGCCGTCAGCGAACGTCGTAGACTGAAGCTCCAAACGTCGAATAGGATAGAAATGTGGCGGTTGATATAACAGATGTGATGTGATGTCGTTGGGGTTATTGTGTGTGGCGCCAGTCTGGCGAGGAGTGATGTCAACTGGACCTGAAGGTGGAGGATCTGGGGGGTAGTTACTTCCAGAAGGAGTAGTACCTAGAAATAAGTTGATAGGGTTATGGGGAAGAGAGGTCAACAGCTGCGTCCGAGAAACGAGACCTTGAACGACGAGAAGCAACGATCGTGGGAAAAGGATGCTTAATAGTTTATGATTGAGGAAGGTCAACGCATGCTAGGAACTGATTAGCACCACCAGAGTTATCGCTGACACTGGCAGATACGCTTCTTTGCGAATGATCTGCGAACCCACGTTGTACGAGTAGCTAGACAGAGACGCGGATATGAATTTTGCAGAACGATGACACCAGGATGACATCGCTGCCCGGAGTTTGTGTCTCGTTAGCCGGGCTGGTTAGGGCCGAATCCCCTGCACTATTGCATTCGGCCTGGTTCTTATTGGAGGCTTACGGTTGAAAAGTGTGCGGGAGAATGCCTGCTAACCACCACTTGATGCCTAAACTTTTGCACCCAACAAACCTTGTTTAGGCTCTCCTTCAAAGGCAAAGTTGCCGCTCCTGGTTAAAGGCATAGCAAATTCTGTAACTCCAAGAGCTTAGCTACAACCTAAAGGTACCTTAGTCATCAACTAATCGAGATCCACCTTTCGGGGTGCATCGCCTCCGTACTCGTGATTGGGATAGTCTGTGTTTCACGAGATCATGCATCTGCGAGGCTCTTAATTCGGCAGGCGGGACATCCTCAAGTAATCCTGAATTTGAGATGGATTTCACTGCAGCACGTTGAGATATTGGGGATTGCATCCAGTGTGATGATTTTTGAATTGTGCTCGAGGATCTAGGGAGATCGGTGTCCGTGTGCGAGCACATATGTTTTGGAAGGCCTAATCTCACTGAATGACTCTCTTCAAATGTTGCCCACTACCAGCAATGGGTAACCCGGGGCACCCGAGATGCAGTGGCAGGCGTAGGCGGCTTGAAGTTACCTAGGTAGGTTTTGGGCGCCGCAAAAGCGGGTATACGTAACTGCTGACAAAGGTGTTCTCAAGTTTGAGCTTTATTACCCGTGCTACCGAAGACCCAGAAAACATACGATCAACTTGAACAACTTCGCGTCCAATTGACTTTGTCTGTCAACAGCCCAGCTTTATCTCGGCTCGCAATCCATCAACCAGTTAAGTCCGTCGCCTCGACCCTGCCCTCCGATCCAACACCAAACAGCATGATCGGTGGCCTTATGTACTTGAGATGAATCTTGATTTGTATCTCTCACAATCCAGACAGCTCTTGACCTAAATGATTCAGACGTCGAATCTCTGACCATCGGCTTTGCTTTCCCATTTCAAGAAGACTGAGTTTTCGTGTCAATCCGCTAGGATTCCCGAGAATGACAGGCTCCCAGCTTGGTTCGCTGCGTGATCGTCGGCCATGTCGAGCGGGAATCATTTGGACAGTTTTACACCGTGCTACTGCTAATGCAAACAGGAAAGTTAATGCCAGCAGTATCGATGCTACTATGGCTGCCGCCATCATAGCACCATATTTTCTTTGCACGCGACCACAAATTGCCGTCGATAATGCACCGAAGATGAACTCCAGGCATTGAGTGACAGCAACGCCAGAACTGACTCGAGGGTAGCACGAAAAACTGTTCTGCTGTTCATCCAATTGCTTCAAGGTTGATCCTTTGCTTAACGGTTCCATTAGCCTGGGTTGCAAATCCGAGGTGTCGAATGTTGACATGGTCAGACTATAGCACTCTGCGATGGCCAAGTTAGAAGACATTGCTACCAGTCCGGCCAAGAAGCATGGCACAGCCACCGGAATTCCTGGACCTTTCGAGGATACAGAATATCCAATGGCAGCCACAGGCAACAGAACTGTGAAGGTTGTTCTCCGAGCTGTGTGGGACTTCCAAACTGCTGCCTTTTTAAATGTCATGCTGTCTGTACGTGGCGGATAGTAGCGGGCTCGGCTAAACCAAGATGCTTTCTGGAATGGCAAGATGAGGATGGCGCCCAGTGCGAGCGACAGAGCACACAATCCTACCTCAACAGGAGGAAATCTATATTGTGTCGAAACCAACGCCCCTAGCAACTTTGACGAGTTAGCAGCGAACGCTATACTTAACGTCAAACTCACCATCAGAACCAGTGTAAATTGCGCATACACCCATGCCGAGTATAATGCCAACACGAAGAATCCCGGTTGTTTGATCATCTTCAAGCTCAGCTGTAATCCGGCTTTGATCTCTTCTCCCCACCAGTATGGACCACTTCCTGTCAGGTGCATCTTGACTTCTCCACGACCAATTCGACTGAACCCACCACCATCATCTCCCATGATCTCATGGATTGTTCTTCGAAATGCCGACCTGCGGACTTCTGGTGCAATGATATTGAGCATCAGGACGATCATCATGATAATCAGCGTCACCCAGAATCCCTAGTCGACAGTGCTGTTGCTGATAATGAAAGCCCCTATCACGAACCCCAGCGCAATCGAGCCAACACTGCACCATCCCCAGAAGGCCAACCAAACACCCATTCCTCCCCCGTGGCGTCGAACATCGTACGGGTTCACGATTCCACTTTGCACGTGAATACTCTGAAGCGAGGCTCCAAAGACGTCCAACAGTGTGGCAAAGGTGTTGATATTGATGAAACCCAAAACAAACCCCGACAGAGCGCGAGACAGGAGCAGAAACATGCGATATCGTTTGACGTCAGGGTCTCTAAATGAAATAACCGTCAAGCCCTGCGGGATCTGAAGACACAGGCCCAATGCCAAGGCGGATATTGTATACGGTTTGCGTCCATGCAACAGTGGTAATGGCCAGAATAACAGAGTCGAGATGGCAAGACCACAGTATAGGCCGACATTGCCTAAAATCATCACTCGGTCAATATCAACAATGACATATTGAATTGCCGGTACTTCTCCGGAGTATATGCCCAGCACAAGACCCAAACATGCTGTATTGATGCAGGCAATCATTGCTGCGAATCGTTTGCGGCTCTTTGACCAATCTCTTGCGACCGGGGAGGGGTGGTAGGTCTCATGCACGTTAAGTTCCTTCGGGTGTTCAGGTACGTCGACGTGCCGGGCCCCACGAAGACTAACAATAAATGTAGGTCTTCGCTTGTAACTTTTCTGCTGTGCACTCCACATTGTCGAGTTGCTGCTCAAGTCCCCCCGAAAGCGTCGTTCGTTCACCGAACAAGACTGTCGGCATCTCATTTCTTCATCCAACAAATCATCAGATTCTGGACAAGGTTGTTCTTGCAAATCAGCACCCTCGATTCTGATTTCTGGTATGTCTTTTCTTTCTGCTGTTCTGCGGCAACTCTCCGTTCTTGAGCTGTATGGGTCTGTTCGTGGCGTGGATTCCGTGCTTTGAAGCGTCTTACTGTCACTTCGTGTTGGATCTTGATGCTGCAGAGGACGGACCCCGACATTTGCGGCATCCTCAGGCTCAATCATAGGCTCTGGCGAAAGCAATTGAAGACTACCAACTCCGCAAGCTCCTCGACATGTCTTGGAAATACTAGGAGCGTGGTCGATGCTACTCTTCGCCCTCGCCAAAGTGATATCCTCCGAGAACCGGACACTTCGCTTCGAATGGCCATCTTTCAAGTTCCTTGTTTCTGGTGCATTTGACAATACGCCTTCTGGGTGTTTGTTACATGCTCCCGTCGACGTGTGTTTAGCTGACCGTGGTCGATGGCTATAAGACTGTCCTGGTTCTCCATGTGCTAGCCAATGGTTGTGAGGCACCTCCACCAATTCCGCAATTTGGAATGCTTCGTCGAGAAGATGTTCTAACTTATGAATGGTGTCGGTGATCGTGGTAGCTGCCACAGATGGGGGCAGAGACTCGGTAGATTGCTCGACGGATTCATGGGACCGATTGTGATAGGTGTTGGCTGGTTGCCGTCGTATTCTCGTGGTCAATGAGCATGATGGTTGAGCTTCGGCTCGTAGTTGCGCCCGTGCATTACTAGAAGACTGATGATCATTCTCTTTTGTTGGAGGATTGCTTGCCATTGCAAGCCTTTGCTGAGTTGGCCTCTTGATTCATAATCGAGACTAGAGACCAATCTCGGTGGTCTTTCTGGGAATCTTCGGTGGTCCCAACTGACAAGGAGGCAAAGAGGTGAGAAATGAGGAAACTTCGAAAGAAAAGATGAGAGCGAATGAGGTTTGGTTTAGGGTCATACATGAGGTGGGTCGAGGGAAGGAATACAAATAGCTATATAGGTATCTGGAGACCGAACGGTGTAAATGTATTGGGGTTCCACAGATGTCTGTTTGAAGTCTCTTGCAGACGTAACAGCCGACTGTTACCTAGGTAGTGGGTGGCTCCTGCCCAATATCGTCTCGATTTTTGGTGTACCTGCCACTGGCATCCCAAGTTATTCGAGCTCTGCCAAGCAATCACAAGCTTCGAGATCCGAAACCTTATCGAGCGTGCTTGCCCAAAAGCAGTATCGCTGGCAGCTCGGAAACCATGGAACATTCGGAATGGGCCGGCTGATGACGCATGCTCTTTCTCAAGAAACGACACTTTCTGACTGCATGGGCAATAAATGAATTCCTGCATGACTTGAAAGGTGTGAAGGGGGAATTTCAACGTTTAGACAGCATCTGAAGAGTGATGATTCGATCCGACCGGCTGGAGCCGAACCTTCAACGGCTGTTCGAGAACATGCAGCTGGTATGTACCCAGGTGGCATTATTGGGTGTCAAACAGTTGAGTCTAGACATTTTTCAGCTGCTATTGCCCCTCTCCTAGTCTGAATGCATGTCACTCGTTTGCTCTGCGACTACACTTGGAAACTATGTGAAACACAAGGTGCCACGCGTCCCCATGTGACATGATTTCTGCTTCTTTCGTCCTCAGCTTGTGAATCCTTTTTAGCATTCAACTCCCTTATCAAACAACCTCGTCCTCTTTTCTGTGTCTCGCGGTTTGTCCCCTCATTTCACAACCCCCTCGTCTCTCCCTCTCCCGGTCAATACATCCTCCCAGCTTTCATTCGGCGTTCGATCTCTCCGAAATCGCAATTCTCAACATGTCTTTTCTCAAAGATTTGATCAAGGACTTCACAGGCAACCAGAAACCCCAAAATGAAGGCCCTCCAGGATATTACCCTCCACAACAACAGTACGGTTCATCACAGTCTTATAACGGACCCCCACAACAACAATATGGTTCATCTCAGTCTTACAACGGACCCCCACCAATATCTCCTCCATGGATTGCAGAGTGGGACTCACGAGACAGCCGTTGGTTATACGTGAACCGCGAAACTGGGGAGCGTACCTTCGACCACCCCCAGAACCGCAGCTATGGTCCTCCAACTAATCAAGACTACCGTGGAGAGAGACAAGGCGAATATTACCAACAGCAGCCACCAAAGCAATCTCATACCGGTCGAAACGTCGCTCTCGGTGCAGTTGCCGGCTTAGCTGGGGGGGCTCTACTTATGCATGAAGGGGAGAAAGTTGGTATGTACTTGGAGGATGATTTCTTTTTACAACCATTGTCGTTCTTTACAATCTTCGTATAGCAATTGACTTTGTTTTTCTGCAGAAGAGAAATGGGACGAGGATAAATACCGCATCGATAATGACATCTCGAATGGCGTTCAGGACGTTGAAGACTTTCCAGAAGACGCTGCCCGTTGGACTGGAAGAAAGGTTGGAGAAGTCGAGGACATACCTCAAGACATCGAAAACAAATGGGATGATGGTGTTCAGGATGTCGAGGATATTCCCGAGGACGTTGCAGGATGGGCCGGAAGACGTGTTGGTGATGTTGAGAGGCTTGGGGATGAGGTCGATGACTCCTATGACCAAGGCCGGGATGATGCCAGATATGGGGACAACTATTAGAAAGGTCAAGCTTGTGTACTCCTTCAGACAGGAAGGCATCTTTCCTATTCATCTGGCAGGATGATTCTGTCAATTGGTGGTGGACTTACGAACAGTTTACGACTTTTGGAGCTGAAACGGGCGATAGTGTCGAGGTGACTACAATTGCAACCACTGGTGAATTCACATGCAGCAGGAAACATCGAGGACATTCGAGTTTAGTGATCAAACAAGACTTCAAATCGCAAAACTTGTATTATGACAGTGGAATGCTATCGAGTACAATCTGCACTCCTTGTTCTCAACAATCATCTGGAATCGCTCGCGCCAGCGTGGGTATCTAAGAAGTTGGAAAAATCAAGCTGGGTATGACATTCCTTCTGGCTTGGCATAGCCTGCACCGTTGGCCTTGTCAGCCAATTCCTTCTCGCGAAGTTCGGCTTCCTTGTCCTGCTGGATGAGAGAGCAGCAGCCACAGCAGCATGTTGTGAACAGATCAGTGACGAAGTTGCCCTGGAGATTGTACTTTCGGCGGATATCGGCACGCTGGAAGAGCATGGGGATCCAGTGCAGCGCAAAGCAAGATGAACCGGCGAACATCAGGCACTATTTTTTTGATGAACTCTGATCAGCAAATACTCTCGGTCAAAGACATGTGGAAGGGAGGGCTCACAGATGTGTTGACGCAGTTATACCCTTCCATGTTGGCGTTCTTCCGAGTCCGGTGGTGGGTTTTTCCGAAGGTGATGCATGGCACGCAGCAGGTGATGGCACATGTATCGATGGGCATGAAGCAGCCAAAGAGGGACTCATGCCATGGGCGAGCATCAGGTGCAGCAGCACCGGTGATGACTGTGGAGTCGGCGAGAGCCTCGTTGAAGCGTTTGACCCAGTCGTTCACATCGTCCTGGTCGATGACGGGCTTCTGAGCCGCAGCCGGAGCGGGTTGTGCCATTGTGTATGAGTTTGAAGTTGATGAGATGTTCTCAAAGGAGTGACTGGGGTGAGGAAATGAAGAGAAGGGAAGACAGACTGTTACTAGAACGATGGCAACAAACACACTGAGAGAGGACGCTGGGACCAAGTCGGCACATTCTTGCGGAAATCATTTTCGAGATATATAGGTGCACTACAATGCTTGCAGCTAACGTACCCCTCTCCTTGGAGACGTCAAGTGCCCGTGTGCCTCGTGTCAATTGCAACTGGTGTACGGATAGCGTTCATGGCTTCATTGGAAACCCCGTCTTCTGGAGATTTGATAACCCAAGCAGCCTTGTCAAAAGCTGCTGGAGCCCCTTTTCCACCACCTAGTGGGGGACAGTCTCGACATGCACTGAACCCAAGGTCTCATGCAGAGGTGGAATGATCTGACTGGGCCAGCGGACTGTACTTGGTTGGACCAGACTTGCATGCTTTGAGACCGATACGAATGGTGCATGTCTAAACAACAAATGACGAGCGCTTGGGTGCGCCTTATCCGTTGAGAGCAATCATACTCCCTGGTGGCTTTGGTTTCCAGCGGACCCTTGGGCCCCTGGGGCATTTCACAGCCTTGTCCTGTTAACAGCTTCGCCCTATGAAATTTCGAGTTAAGTCCCCCTGGAGGCTGGAGCCCGTTTCTCCTGCCGAGACGGCTGTTAAGCGAGGCTAGCGCCTGTGATGGGATAAGTTTGTGGGGGCGAGGAACTGTGTTTGAGCCCTGGAGCGGAGAATGTTAGGTAAGTGGTTTAACGGGAACTGTCCGCTTTGATGGGGGCTGGATCTCGAGCTCTTTGAACCACCGAGTGTCTTCCATACCAACCGTTGGCAGTTACCTCAACCGCCACCAGTTCTTGTTAGGTACACCTACTCTAAATTCCAGGTAGTACACTGCAAATGCCAGACAGACACAGGTGATTCGAAAATCCTAGTCGAACGATAGAGAGAGCTTGGCGTAATCTATCTCGTTTGATTGTGGGCCGTGTCTGGCTCAAACCTTCGCACACGAAGTAGTACATCGTAGGCTCGAGCCACGTTCCCCGTCAAATGTTTTCCCCAAATCCGAGAACACGAAAGCCATGCATCTCCCCTTTTTATTTAGCTTGTTTTGCACTGTCGATCTTGAGACTTGCTAGAAGTTTATTCTTCTTGTGGTTGGTTTAATTTTGTCTCGCCCCCTGCTGTTAACCTCGAAGACTGTTATTGGCCTGTCTGGCGTCAGTTATGTTGGATATTCCGAGATGAGGTGTTCTCGACAGGCGAGATGCCGTACGAGGACGAGAGAGACAGAGCCCGGGTGCTGCTGCTGTTAGCCCTCTCTGCGCAGGTCTTGGACTTCTCTCCCGTTAAGACACCGCTGTGCAGTCTCAGCTCATGCATGTTCCGGCGTATTGAAATTTATCGAGCCATTTTGGATACGAATCCATGGGATAGGTTCTTTACATTGGTGAGGATGAGTGCTTCACAACACGATGCATTCAATGATATTGCAGAATCAAGTCTTTCTGCATGGTGGCAGGTCCTTACGAACGATAGTAGTACTATCCTGAGATTCTCACCCAAGAACGAATAGCCATGCGAAACATCTCCCCTGCCTAGAACCACCATCAGACCTGATAACCCTCAGTATGATCAACTGCAGCAAACCCCCAAGGGTAGTCCATGAACAGTGCAACCTTTTTTGCCGACTCCAAATCCACTACTTTTGAGACATACCAGAGAACACAGTCGATTCCACAACTAATGCCTCCAGAAGTTGCAATCTGGATCCCAGAAGTAGTGGCTCCGGCATGAATGAACCTCTTTCTCTGAACGTCAATGGCGGCCGCCGGAGTATGTGTCGCCACATAGTCTTCACTGAGAGCCTTTAGCTGTGGGATGGCTGCCCAGTGTGTCGTGGCCGGCTTCCCGGCGAGATACCCAGTGATGCCTAGGAATTCGGAACCCGTACAAATCGAGATGAGCCAGCGTGGTTTTGATTCCGTCTCAAGCTTTCCGAAATGGGTGATAAGACTTAGCAGTCCGTCGCCGCCATTAGGACTCTTGAGTATCGCATCGATCCCCCATCGACGCGCCCCTGGAATGATCAACGCATCGAAGTCTTGCAGTGACACGTTCACTGGCCTTCTATAGCTTGGGTCGAGGATGTCCGCGATTGCGATGTCTCGTTGAATCTGCACTCCCTCACATGCTTTGGTCAGCTCGGTGGCAGATGCAACATAGACCTCAAAGGTTTCATCGGGGAGGGCAGAATTCTTCAGAACTTCTAGTGGCCCGTTCAAATCAAGAGTGTTGAAGCCAGGGAATATTGGAAGCAGAACTTTCAATGTTTTCGTCATCGTGGATTGTGATAAGTTGCCTTCCAAGTGTTGGCTTGGTGAGTGTTGTCGTCGTTTATGTGAAGCGCCTCGTCGACCCTTCCTTGATCAATTTTATAACCGATGTGTGGTCCGATGAAATATTGACGGACACTTTACCGAAAGTTGATTTGTAAGGTACCACGATGATCTAGTAGCGATCTCTCTAGCCATATTTTATACCTGCTTGTTGGGCTTCCTTTCCCGTCTTGGCCATACTTGCGAAGAACGAGCGTAACTGGCGCTGAGACTCATGAGTGGCTGGGGCAACGCAGTTATTTTCCCCACGAATGTCTAGAATGAACCCCCAAGATATTTGGTTGCCAGTGACTGAAGAAAGCCACAAAGCTCTCAAACTGGTCTGTGGCCATGGTTTGATTTGTCCCCGAGTATACAAGTACTCTGGATGGTATAGGATAGGTAGCCCGGAATTCAATAGCCTCCTGGGCCCTCTGTGAGATATTAGCTTCCTTGCCGATTGCATAAGCTGGTGCTCTTAATCAACGAAAAACCAGAATGTCCCAAATTTCGACCGCGGTCATAGAACTCTAAGTGTCAGAAACATTGGCCATGTTTCGTCAATCATAGCACACACCCACGAGCGCCAATACCAAAGTTGGGGAAATCCATGTCAACATTGGGAACCAGCGAAGCGATTCTAACATGCCAACCAGCAGCCGCCCAACGGCGCCAACCCGCCCGATTTCAAAAGTGCAAGTCGGAATAATCGGTATCAGGCCATGGTTTCCGGGCATTGAGCCATTGATCTTCTCTCCCACACTCGGTGCCTCTCAGTCCTTCTGCTCCTTTTGAGGCTCCGCGTGGGTTCTTGTTGCCTTGCGCCCCTCTTTGAATGCTGGACAGGCTGAAAATGCGGGCGAAATGACCTCAATAGGCCCCAATGACCTGATTAGCGCCTTGCAAACGATCTCACGTCGCAGCTGCTGACCAAGGTCCCGGCAGGTGCGAGTCGCACACTTCCCGCTTCAGTTAAGCGCAGCCTCGAAGGGGAATAGGGGCTCGCTACAGAGGAAGGTAGTGCCAACTCACTGCGGACAAACCCGACATCGAGAGTCTGGACTCACAACATACATTGCCAAGCAGTCACCAAGCTATGTGCTTTCTTTTCTCTTATTAGAGTTCGGAATATCTTTCTCACAAACCTGATTAATAACTTGACTGACAAAATGGTCGTGAGCAAATCACAGAAAACCATGTGCACAATTATACAAATGTCTCATACACCACCACCAGCTGACTACGAAATATACCCAACATCTCAAAGCTGAGGGGATTTGATGCCAAAGCTCCCCCAGAGGTAGGGTCGTCATGGACTCTTCCCAGTCAAGCTCATCTTCATCTGGGACGTGGGCGAGCGGACGCAGGCTTTCCAGATCCCAACGTGAGAGAAAGAGGTCCAGCGATCGAAAACGTGTGAGAAAAAGGCGAGCACAAGATGCCACCCTCCAATCCCAACTCGCAGAGGTCACTGCAGAGCGTGACTTGCTGAGGCACAATATGGCATTGATGTCTCATGCTTTGAACAACAATCCAGATGCCCATGGTATCCCTCATGGCCAAACTGCTACCGAAATGCTTTACAACGACCCTTGGCAAGAGATGGCTCTCGGTTATGCTTACAACTTTCCCGATATTCCTTTGCCTGCTAGGTCTATGAACCCAATGACTTCATTCGTCCCATTTCCCGAGCCAAACAGCGGAGTGACTCCCGCTTCTGTAGCTCACCCATTGCTTCCTATCGAGACTTCGACACCAGGGCTTGCGGCCGAGCACCCTTCGCTCGACAGATACATTCAAGACTCTGCTCTCTCAAGCGCTTCCAACAGAGAGCAAGCCTCAGACTGCCAGCGAATACTGGGACAGCCTGTGCGAATGGCACGCACGCTCACTGCAAAAGACGTTTGTACCGATGCATCCTTGAACGATGACGCTCTTATCAGTGGTGTTAAAGACGGTTGGGCCGGTGTCGAGGCACGCTATGGCAGCTCATTTTGTCCTTTGTGGACTGCGGTCAAAGCCCTTGACATGCGAATATTCGGCCAGGCGGGAATACTGACGAGGCTGCCATGCTTGAAGATGATCCACTCAATGCTACTTGTAAGTCTCTTCTTACCTCGACCCCACACCAGGTCGCCATGATTAATCTGTCCGAAACATAGTGTATGGTGAAGGCTATTTCCGTGCGGGATCTGCCAGTATGGTATCGCCCCGTGTAAATTCTCCTGAACCCCTGTGTGGCTCAGTTATTCTGACAGTATGACAGAAAAGCACAATACGATTATGAACATCCATTTGCTGCAGACCTGCTGCCATGGTAAGCCAAAGATCTCTTGTATCCAAATTGGCCACGGCCATCCACAATCACAGCATATTCTTCACATCATGCCAAAAATGTCTAACAAACTCCTTCTTGAACACCACTAGGCCCGGCCTCCGAGAACGCGCCGTATTCGATAAGAAACTCACGCAGACCAACCAGTTCTGGACACAGTTAGTCTACCAATTCCGCCTTGGATTCCCAGCAGAAAACGACGAAGACGACGCCGTGTCGTTCGACGAGACCACCAAACGCTGGAGCTTCACCGGGCTATTTCTCCACCACATGTACGAGATCCGCGAGTGGCAGATGGACCCCAAGTTCTTCGACAACTGGCCCGGTACGTACTATGACATCGTTCCTCTGCCAGAGATCGGACGCTCGCTTCCGCTTCCTGTGATGGCCGGATCTGCTTCATCGCCGAGTGACTATCAATGGCAGCCGGCGGTTGTGGTGGGGCCAAGGACCGGAACAAGAGGAAGAAGCAGCAGGGCCCAGGGTCGCCAGCACCACCACATCTTGCCTCTGCCTGTGCGACGTGGAGCGGGCAAGCTGTTAGAGTCAGATGACGAGGATGAACTGGAGGAGGGCTGCCACGCTTTGCCATGGTGGTCTTAGAAAGTCGGTCACCACACCTCTTCCAGTGCCTTGCTCCGGATTCATCCCAGTCAAATTCGCACACAAGGATCGAACTTGGGGCTTTTCTCATTGGCATCGTGGTTTGCACGTACCATTGCCCAAGGGACTATCCCTTTTCTACATCTATAATACTACATACCTCTTACCAAATCCGCCTGGACTGATATTGCACCTCTTTCAGACACCTCCAATATCAGGGCCGACAAGCTGACTCCCAGTAGTCTTCTTGAACACGAACGCAACACCACCCCCTCCAATAGTTTTCTGATCGACACTCAGCACCTTCTCAAGACACTGGTCGTCGACCTTAGACAAAAGACTCTGTGCAGCTTCGGGATTCGCATCTTTCCCCCACAGCACAGATGTATCCAGATGCGCATATTTCATCAATTCGTGCCGTTCAGCCTCCAGCCCCGCCTTGACAAGTTTCTTCGCTTCTTTGGACTTGCTGCCGCGGCGTTTCTTCATCGACGGAAGGTCGGAAAGTTCGGGGAGGTCGTCATCGTCGAATGATTCCATCATCTCCTGTATTTCTTTCTCGTGTTCATCCTCTGCGTTGCAGCTGGCTCCTGTGCCTTCACATTCGCAGGCGATCAGGTCGTGAGTGCGCAGTCCATCCGTTTCATCCAGGCGAAACAAATCTCTCAGTTCTTCTTGACTGAAAGTCGACGTACCACTACTCTTCCCCTTCCCACTAACTTCATTAACACCAGACGAAGCGGCCGTACCTGCTTGCATTATGCTGTCCGCCAATGCTCTTTTCACCGCCTGTCTTTGCCAGATTTTCTCCTCCAGACCGCCCTTGATAAGAAATCTGTAGATCTTACAATGTTTCTGCTGGCCCTGGCGATGGATACGAGCGATTGCCTGGTCATCGGTGGCAGGATTCCAGTCAACGTCGAACAGCACCAATCGACTAGCTCCGATCAAATTAAGCCCTACTCCACCAGCCTTTGCACTTAGCAGAAATGCAAAGGATTGTGAAGATTTGTTACGGTTAAATTGGTCCACGAGACCCTGTCGTTTCTTGGCTGCAACTGAGCCATCGAGACGAAGATAAGTAAGGCCGGTACTGCTCAGTAGCTGTTCAATCAGGTTCAGGGTCGATGTGTAGTTGGACACAACCACCACTTTCTCATCGGTCTCACGATGGATTTCCTGCAGGAGGTTGTCCAACAGTCGAATCTTGGAGGAGACAGAATTATGGTAGTACTTTGAGATGCCTGCAGGAAGCATTTCGTTCAGGTTCGTCAGTGATGCCGATGGTGTCGCATCATCATTGCCGTATTTTGGGTCCATGAGTGCGGGACTATTACACAACTTTTTCAAGATTGTGATTAGCTGGAAGGCGGTTTCGTTGCTGCGAAGGGCAGTTTCGAACATGCCTGACCGGAGCACACTTTTGTAAATCTTTGCCTGTGCAGGTGTGGGCTTACAGAAAAGGACGAACTCTGTCTTGGGAGGTAGGAAATCCGCGAGAATGTCAGCTGTTCGTCGCAGGATAAATTGAGATGTGGTCCGTGCTAATTCGTTGCTAGCTTCCTGACCTTGTTCCTTATCATCCTCTGTCGCATTTGGTTGTCGACTTCTCATGATCGGATTCTCAAAGTCTTTGATGAAACCTTTCTGGGACCCCAGACATCCGTCATTCACGAAGTTCACCATTGCATAGAATTCACCTAAATCGTTCTGTATAGGGGTTCCTGACAGGATGATGCGTCTTGGAGTATTAAGTGATTCGATTGCCTGAGAACTTTTATTCTTCATCGTTTTAAGTCGATGTCCTTCATCGCAGATGACGATATCGATGGGAGGGCCCGAAGCGAGCTCATCTGCCACGGTCCGCAATCTCTCGTAGCCTATAATCATCACCTGATAGACTTTGCCGTCAAAATAGTCGAGACTGGTATTCTGGTCCTCAAACTCCAGGACTCCCAATCTATCAAGTCCAAGCCATTTCTTGAATTCTCGCTTCCAATTTCGTATCAGCGATACTGGACAGACAATCAAAGCTTTCTTAACAACGGGTGACTTTTTATGGATCGGATTTTGTCGAAGTAAGGTCCAGAGCAAGGCAATTGTAGTCAGTGTTTTACCCAATCCCATGTCATCTGCGAGGATGCAACCTTGACCATTGAAATCACGGAGACCCATGACGCATTCGTACAGAAATTTGACACCCTCTCTCTGGTGAGGTCGCAGGAGTTTCCCAATGGCTGGATCTAGGACGACATCGACCAATTGCCGACCATTCGGTACACTTCTGGGACGCTTGAAAACCAGTGCCCCTGTAGCCTTGGGATCGTGACGAGGAACTGGTGACTCCTTCGAGCCTTGAACCTGAACAGTGCTTTGCTTCAGCGGCTGCTTAAATGCTGAAGCACGAGGAACGGCAGGTTGGAGAGTTGACTTCTTGGGTCCTTCAGCCTTCTCCTTCGCAATCGAAGCCTTGATTTGGTCCTTCAAACTCAATTTGGCCGGCTCTGTAGCTGCCGGACCACTGGGGCTTGGTTCTGACGTGGGCATGGCTTTCTGGATTAACTTCCCAACTGAGGTGCTGGGCATGACGACGGCGAGATAGTCATTCCTGGATATGCATGCGTCCACCTCTATCTCCTTACCACTCATAGAGAGGGTGGAACCGGGAAGCAGAGGGTTGGTAAATGCTGAGCGCCCAATGTTTCTTCCAGAGTTATTGTACAGGGTAGCGTAGCCATCGCCGACCGTAAGTACTCCATCGTCTGTCCATGTTTTGTTTTTCTTGTTGGTCGGAATGCGCCACAGAACTGAGTAGTGGTTTTCAAAGCCCTTGCTGCCTTTTACCTTGGAAGTTTCCTCAGGACTCGGAGGGTTGCGGATGGGTTTTAAGGGATGTCTGCTGTCGCCATCGTTATGCCTTGTTGACTTCAGCAGTGGTCTCGATTGCGTCGAAACAGTCGGCACGTTAGGAGGGCTCAGTTTCCTTCGCTTTGCGGGCTGATTGGGGTCGACGTCGTTGGTTTCATCCGTCTTTCGAATCGTCAGTGGCTTGAAAGGCTTGGAAAACATCGCCGGGTAGTTACGATCTCACTTGTGGGCAACTTCATTTGTTGAGTTCAGACGATGGGCCGGGACTGTTGAAAATATAGTCGACGCGTCGCGTGGAGGAGCGCGTCAAAGTGGAACACGCAGTCACGCCCCCTCAGTGCAGCTGCCCCACCAACCTGTTACCTTTAAGTTGTTCGAGTTTGGTATCCCCTCATTGACTACAAGGTACTCCTTAATGCATACGACCAATTATCACTATTACATAGGTAGATATTTACTCTCGCCTTTCCCGATTTCCCTCCTAACCAGGGAATGTGCACTGCACTTTTAGTGAATCCTCCACTTTTTGTAAGTCGTCCCAGGAATATAAAACAACCTCTCAGTCAAAGTGTCCACCCAGGCTGACGAAAACAAACTCCGGTATACCTTCAAGAATAACCACATCAGCCTTGCTATCTTCCCGCAATGAATAGTTATCTTCATTTCTCAGTTCCATGGAGATCTAGAGATTGAATGTGTGGAGCCCCGATCATCTTTCACACTCGCCGTGAGGTGGATTGAATCCCTGGAAGTTTCACATTCGGAGGCCAAGGGACGTTGAGATCCCATATGCGCATTATTGTTTCTGGCTGGTATTCTGCTCTAGGAGCTCCGTGGCTGGGTCGCGGGGCTCCTCTGCCTCGTCTTCCACGTCACTGGTCTCATCCACTAGGTTGCGAGTCATGATGTAGTTCCAAAGAACTCGGAAGATCAAGAACAACCAGAAGATGTTGAGGGCTTGCAAGATCGCAAGTAGGGAGAATGTGATAACCTGGCTGATCCAGCATTTATACTGTTGGGTTTCCCAGTTAAGCTCGTATGGGCCAACGGTGGCAAACTCTGTGAGAACAGCCCACATGATTCGAAGACTGAGGTAGTGACGAGTATAAACCCAGATCCCGATAAACATGACATAGTATCCGTCAGTCAATGGTGAATTCAGGTAATTGAGGACTCTTGACGTCTAGAGTGGAATCAGTATAAGTGCATACCAAGATTCTGGCATATTGACGTACCGCAAGCCCGAAGTCAGAAACATCGTGCGCGACATAAACAGCCAGGCCGATGTAGGTGAAATGAAAGCGATAGCTCAACCAGATCAATGCGAGCGTGAGAACATGGTGAGCACCAAATTCGTAAACGTCAGTCCTTGGTCTCTCCAGCTGAAGGACCAGGACCAGAGCTTGCTGCAACCAATAACTCGCCTGGATGAGATAGTACGCCTTGAACAGTCCTTCATGTGCCATATGTGGAAACCCCTCGAACATCGCAGTAGTGTTGAAGTACCAGACCGGCGACCGCGACATCACGTAAAGCCCGAATGGAATCATCACGCTGAAATACATCACTGTGTACATTTGTTCCATAAATCTTGCCGTCTTCCGACGACTCCGGATCCCGAGATAGAATGCCAGTGGACTCAAGATGCACTGCATGCAGAATTCCCTCATGAAGGAGAGAACAATGGTGTAGAAGGCGACGAATGCAAAGTCCTTTGCGCCTTTTCCATACATCATGGCACCGCTGGGACCGGTTCTGGAGATCGGATAGGATAGATAGATGGCGGCGTGGAGAGGATTGGATGTATTTGGTTTCATCAGATATCCGAGAACGAGACTGAGAACGAGTGTCAATGGTGTCAACCACGTATGCTGAGCGGCGTATTCGTAACACTTTTGCCAGCTAGATTGACCTTTCAGTCGCTTAGCCTGCGCGTAAAAAGTCAACTTTTGTTCAAACACAAGGAGGAGTACTCACTACAGCCTTGAAGGATGTTTGCTGGGCTCGAGGCCTCAGGGCTGCTGTTGCAAATGCTGGACCACCAGTTGCACCTCGTGGATCACCACCCAATCTGGAGGATCGCCTTGGTCGCGCCATGGAGAGATGTCGCTCGTGTCTGGGCCAAGTATGCGCAGAGGAAACTTTTCTGTAAACCAAAAGTACAGAAGCCGCTGAATGTCCGGTAGAAACAATGAGTGTCTGAAATTGCAGCAAAAGGATCACACTTAAGGAGTGGAATGCGTGGGCAGCGCAGAAGGGAGAATGGAATGAATGGAGTGCCCTCCATATGCTCATAACAATATAAACAGTATATATCTGCGTGTCCCGGATATAATGGTGATTACAGGACTATCTCATCCGAAGCAGTCCGTACGCCAGTGAACCAGTCAATTGTAATGGTAGCGACGCTCAAGGCTGCGAGATGAGGAGGAAGTGGAGCTGCGAGATTGCGGTAAGCCCAAATAGGGTGTATCGATAGGCGGAACGTGGTTAGCCGGTCATCAGCACGGCTCCAACACGAGATACGATCGTATCCACGCAATGACAAAGAATCCGGCGTATTCTCCTGTCAAAATGAACCAATTCAATGTATCTGGCAGTATGGGTGGTCTCACGTTGAGTAAATTTGTTCCCCAGTAAACGCTATGAAGGATCTCAGTTAGTTTACTAACCCCCGGACGACCGCGATTGCCAAGACGAGGAAGCGGTACCCCCACTACCCTCCACGAAGATTATGAGCATGGCTATGAATAACGATCAGCCTTCCACAAAGTGTTCAAGGATTCGGTTGCTGTGGAGATACCAAGACTCATGTGTACTTTTTGGACTGGATTTCCATTCGATAGACGGTGCCTGGTTCTAAATGACCGTGGCCCTGGAGAATAATATACAAGGAAAGGGTTGCCTAGGTATGTTCTGAACCTCAACCCAAAACCTAGCGCCACGCCCCCCAATAGAGCTAGAACAAGAGGTCCGCTTGTTCATACATAAATCCGGCCATTGACCAAGTCAGGAAAGTTAACATCACATTCATTAATGGCTGGCGCAGACCATGTCCCGTCAACCATGATAAAAAGAAAAATAAGGCGTACACGCCTGGGAGGACAAGATTCTGCTGGTATTGCGACTCTGGCTTGTTTGATTTTTCATAGGCCTGGACGGCAAAGGCGCGATCCAAAGACTCTTCCCACCCGATGGGGCTAGTGAGAGTCGGTGCAGTCGGAGTCATGATCGAGTCCGAATCGTAATGATGCAGTTGACGCGCTTGTTTGCGTGCGGGCTCGGGCTGGCCGCTTGGAATCACATTCTTCGTGGCGAGTTCTTTCTGCAGTGTCTGGACCAAAGTCCTAAGTTCTTGTATTTCGTCCATGGCGAGATCCATTCGCCGTTGAAGAACGAGCATTGGAGACTTGGCGGTCCATGGCGCCTCTGGAGGCGGTGTGCACGGAGAAAGCGTTAAACGGCGGACTGGCGACTCCGGAAAGTCGTGCTTTAGTTTCAATGGGGAAAGGGGATGATGTTTCCGTGACATGGGTGATCGAGGACCGATATCAGCTTTCATTCTCCACCCCGAGAAAGGTCCATGTCGGCCAGCAGATATTGCACTCGCCATCTCGATAGACTCTGTCGGTGATAATGCCATCGTTCTTATCTTTCGAGCGCCAAAGGGTGTCCCACAGTGTGCAATACTGCTGTTCAGCGGTGTTTCATACTCGCCTTCACATTTCCATTTAATAGACCCAAATGTTGAGCGGAGGATTTTCATAATAATTTCTTCACCACCTGCCGCGGTGTCAATCGATAGCGTCAGGGAAGGCATCGGAGATATAGGAGGTGTGAAGTTCCCTCTGAGGTGTTGTTGTAGAGCGACCTTGATGACCGGAAGAAGATATGTAGATCCCCATTCTTCAATGGCTTCAATCCATCCTTGGAACTCATTGAAACTATCGGAATCCTCTAGATTGAATCGAGAAATCTCTGACATGTAATATCTTCCGTCATTATCAGTGGAGTGATAGTTTATCAGGGCGGTAGAGCTGTCGATGGCACAGGAGAAGGCGATAGGCTTGTCAAGAGCAGGCCGGGGACCACAGCAACGCTTAAAAAGAATCTGTAATGCACGGACGCAGTGAGCTCCTGCGATGGCGCATTGATTTCTGGTAGATTGAATGTTGTCATCTGACACTATTCTCATACGTTCAAACACTAAAAAGGGACAATATGCCGTAGCACCTGGAATCACAGTGCCAGCAGAGAAGTCCACGATTGTGCCGGTTGCTGATGAGGAACTAGGGAGGCTTGCAAGCTCGCGGTCATTGAAGGCAGAGGTAGAGAATCCTGTGAGAAGTCCGGGACGAGGTGCGGGTAGTTCGAACAAGCTGTCTCTCGCCCTGACCGCGCGAGGTGGGAGTGCCTCTCGACTTAATTTGGGGATCAAGCATCTGTGCAGGGCAGGATGAATACCAATGGGAGGTAGAACATTGGGAGGGAACAACATGGTGGGTCCGAAAGCATTGCCATTTTCGACCTGGCTACGCCATTGCCTTTGTTGATGTGAGAAGCGATCCAGGCCTTGCAAGGCTACCTTCAGCCTGTCGGTAAATGGTCTTGATAGCTCTGACAGTTGAATTGTTTCGTTAAGGGTAATGCGGAAGGCGCTGAGAACGACTGTCCGGAAGTCGGACCACTTAAGGTGACTACCGTCAATCGCTCGCATAAGAGAAATGGTGGAGTCGATGGAAGGACTTGGGGTTGCCATGATTCGATCGCGAGCAGTACTGGTTGCACGAGGCAGGAGTCTGCAGCCAAAATTTTGGACTGGTCGTGACCACAATCTGTGACACTCTTGTTGAAACTTGAGGCACAGTCGACCAAATAAGAGGATGTCCAGAATTCCAGAGGGAAAGAGATCAAGGAAACACAGGGTTCCATCGTAGATAATATGTGCGAGACACGTGCGAGGTCTCTGCTGTGACTTTGCATTTTGGGCGGTTATGCAATGTGAACTCTTCGGCGTCTGTCTCAAATGCCAAACACTGCAAAATGCCAAGTTACGAGATAGAGGATGTGTCCCTAGTGATGAACTCGGCGAATAGCCACAGCTTTGGGTATGCGAGATTTGTGATATCCCAGTCAAAACACGGGGCACCGTCAGGGGAGCGAAGACAACATGGAGGGTTAAAAAGCAAGCCACGAAGTGTTCCTCAGCGCGTAGAGAAGCCGATCATGCACGAGGGGCCATCTTTAGGATCCCAAATGGCCAAACTCTGGCAAGTTGATCACGATTGGCAGTCTCACAGCTCCTGGCAAAAGGACATTGGTGAAACATGCATAATCTCCTGGCGGCAAGAGAATCTGGCGCTTAGGAGATTGACCGACATTTTGGAAGCGAGCCTTTCATACCAAACATCTCGATGCAGAGCACCATAATCGACTTGTGATCTAGAGCAAGGCTGATCATTTCCATATTGTTTTATTTAGAACGCACTGAACATGTCGAAGGATTCTTCGAGTTGTTGTTGAGAATAGAAACACCTGGCTGGGTGGCATAACCTCAATCTGCGAAAAGCGGCGAGCTGCCACGTGACCATCTGCCACACTCACGTGCCGAGCTCTTGGCACCCACGCGTCAAAGAAGGAAGTTTGCCGAACGTTGGGAAATCCAGTTCGAACTTGGATTTCATCTCATTCCAATGACTGCTGGTCATTCCTCGCCGCATCACGAACCCTCGCAGCTGTATCGTTGGCTGTGGGCCAATAGAAAATTTCAGCGAAACCACTGTTACTCAAAGAAGGCGAAACGACAGTGACATGACCCATAATCTGAAGGGGTCATTTGAATGCTTATGATCGAAAATGGCAAAATATATACAGCTGCCGGTATTAACTGATGATGATCAATAGCACAAGCACAAGCACAGCCTTGACATACGAATGTCTTCAACGCAAATCCCGTCTGAATTTGTTGGCTTCACTCAGTGTCACTTTTTCCCTTGACCCAAGTTCTCCTGTATGGTTCCGCCAACCGCACCTTGCGCTGCACACAAATTAGTGGCGTCCATGATTGTCGATTCTGCAAATTCACATACATGTAAAGTTCTTCCCAATAGCACCGTCGCTGGCTAGTGGACCTCCAATTTTCTGCATTGCATTCATCAATCGTCTGGCCTCCTATCAACCACGGAAACATTCTGAACTCACCTCTCCGACTTGTCCTATGGCACCGTCGGCTTGGAATGCTCTGCCAACTGCGCCATCTTTGTCAAAAATGGGCTTCTTGTCTCCTTGAGCTTGCTCGGCAACTAGGAATCGATGATATTCAGCTTTTGCAACCACGGCGTGTGTCACATTCATCTTGTGGTCTTACTGTTTTGAGCTGTGCCACCAACACTCCCATCTGGTTTGAATTCTTTGCCAACAGCACCCTCCTTGTCGAATGGACCACCTGGGAGAATGTTGTGTAAGTAAAGCTGAGCTTTTCCAACCTAGCAATAGTGCCAACCTATTTTCTGGCCTTGCTTGCCAATCTCCCCATCGGGCCTGAAAGCGCTACCAACGGAGCCCTTATTCGCGTCGAGTGATGATTTGTCGTCGGCCATTCCTTGCAGAAAAGTCAGCTATTGTCAGGTCCCTTTCTACTCTAAAGGCCCACTTACTTGCTGCGTGAACAGATAGTGGTCGGTAGGTCTGCAGTGAGATTAGTGAGTTGATCGATCTCGGAGTACGTCTGAGAGGAAGCATGTTGAAGATGAAAATGAGTGGTATGGGAACAATGAATGTCTTGCAGCAGAACAAGCGACTTTATGACTTGGTACTGTCGAATGTCGGAAGAGACAAATGCTTTTTGTGGTCGGGCTTCATGATGCCATCCCGTCATTGTCCTGACGTCAACGTCAAATGCAAGGAGACGCTTGCATGTGGCTTACCTCAAACGTCTGAAATTGATGCAAGTTCAGCTATGGGTAACTTGCGCCTGCTGATACTGTCAAATTAATGACCTCAAATCTGTGAGAGATTGAATCGAACGGAGGTATGTGCCATTCCAACGTTTCTTTATGCTATGGTGGAACCTGCCTCTCATTGCTACGTCATATTCGAGAGCAACTGATGTTCGTCGGTCCGCCAATGATAACTTCTTGCTTGTTGGAAGGACTCGAGTTTAGAACAATCGTCATCGATTGCAGCGCAACAAGATCTCCAACGAATTGTTGTCTAAAACAGGCTGACAGGGATATGGTGTTCGGTTGACTTTGAGCGACGATGATGCCCTGTCGTTAGAGTGAATGCGGGGAACCATCAGCACGTGATCACGGCATATCAAGGCTCTTGGTCGGCCCGCCAGTCGATATTCACAATTCTTGAATTTGCTATGCGTCTTGTCCTGTCGTGCTTTCCTCCTCGGATCCAACAATCACATTGTCTTCAGCAACCAAAGTCTTCACGGCATTTGGTCTGCTAAGAATCCGGAGCAGAACTTGGGTGATACCGAATTGTCAGTTACATAAAGAGGTCATGGTTTGTCCTTCTAAACTTCGCGGAACTCCAGCATTGTCTGGGGTATGAAAACATCCACAACGGTTATCCTCCGAAGTTCTTTCCTTCTCCGTGTCAGATCTGAACTCTCCAAGCTCTTGTCTTCCGATGGGCGAGGGAAGTTGCGACGGGTACCTGCATCAAGACCTGCAGTCCATTTCGGCACGGAGTCTTTGAACTCTCGTGTCACATCTCTTCTCTTCAGGCTCAACCTCAAAGGTGTCTCGGAATATTCACAAGAGTTCTGGTTCTCTCCGTTGGTTTTTTGGATCTCAATTTTGAGCCTCAAAGTCTTCCATTACTATTATTAACCATTCGCACTCGGCTGTTTTTCCTCACTTGAGACTCGCTATTCCCCTCAACATTCCATAAAGAATGAGATTGTAACATTTTTCAACAAAAGACGCATGGCACAAGTCCTGTTTGCTCATTTCCTCCCACAAACAACCCGGCTACAATGGTGCGGCCAATGATCCCCACTGATACGCCATCGTCCGGCAGTCACATCAACGCAATGGCAGTCGAAAGCGCTTTCTCAACTCCACCAAATGGGGAAGATGCGAAAGCTACAAAATCCCGCCGATATGGAACACTATCCCCTGCTGAGGAGAGGCTGAGACATGTCCAACGCGCCCAATCCACACCTCCCGAGATCACCCACGCCCACCAATATGGTACCTTGACCAAAAGTATCGATGCCCAGCTGTCGGATGTCGCGCGCCTAGAGCATACATGGCAGCGAATGCACCTCTCCAAGAAGAAAAGTCAATATTACACCGATGCTTTTGCACATCGCGAATCGAACAATTCCGCCAAAGAACGTGTCGCGAAAGATTCGATTGTTGTGGCGGAACTCAAAATGAACTATTGCGTAAGCACGTTCTTCATTCTGTTTGAGCCCTGGTATTGATCAATTTCCAGGTTGACTCGGAAAAAGACTTTCTGATTGACTTCTCATTTCGACTATCCGAGATCTACCAGCGTCCAGCCTCCTGCGTCATGATCATGCTCAGCACAGACGTCACCATGCTTCTGGCTGGAACTTCCGAACCAGCCTATCATCTGACTATCGTGGCCTTGCAATCTGAAATAGCCGCGACCAAGAACAAGCGAAGCACGCATTTGATACAAGATTTCATGCAGGACATTTTGGATATTCCACCAACAAGAGGAGTATTACGATTCGAGGCTGTGGCAGAGGAGAATCTGGCAACCAACGGGATGACTGCGTTGCAAGAAATCGAGCAATTGGAGCGGCAGCCAATCGATGAGGATGGAATATTCAGAGCTTTGAGCCGCCAGAGGAGTAGGAGAAGTAAAAAGGCCAGCGGACCGATTCTCACCGACAAAGTACGAACAGCTTTCCCATCCCTGAGAGCCAGTACGCCGTCACAACAGCAGTATAACATACTAGCCACAACTAATGACTTCTCTGGATCCACTGATATAAGTGGCCCATCAAGAAAGCGCGTCAAGTCAAGGAAAAGCATTTTATCATTCTTCAGGAAATAACTTAGGCAACGAAGCACGGCATCTCCAATAGCTTCAAGCGCCTGGACTGATGTTGAACTTCTTGGGCTACAGATTGAACACAAATACGATGTAAAGTCCACAGAGGCAGTCAATATGATGATAACAGTGATAACTTGTATGAGGCAGTGTTTGTTGTTCTGCATTCACAAAAATTCACTTCCATAGCACTTGCTCATTCACTGCCTCAGCTCGCGACTACCTTGTCCACATGTTACGCTTCACATGACACCGAGATTGAAACGAGTATTCTACCTATGTTCTTGCTCTGCGCCTTCTCTTTGCTCAACCTTTGATTGCTCCTTTCCAACCACCTGCCGCATTGCATCTTTTTCCCGCTTCAGGCAGATTGCCTTTCTTGATATCTTTCGAATATCATTCACAATTATTTGTTCCACTCAGTATGCCTTCGCCTCCTTATCATCAATCGCCTCATAGTCAACGAGAAGATCATGCAGAGGACGAAGTTTATGCCCAATGTCTCTATGTACTCGGCTTAAAAGGCGGCGAATCTCTGACTGAGGTCGATGCCAGATATTTCGAGCTTATATCTATGTGGAGTGGTCCAAGACTTCCAACTGATGATGGTCTCACAGAGGCGCAAGACCAGATCCGAGTGATCGATGCGGCGTACGAAGGCATCCTCCCACGACTTATGCAGATGGACCCGAACAAGGATAAGGTGGACGAATGTTCAATGAAGAATGTCGAGACAGCACAAGACCGCATCGTGCCCTCCAGTCAGGACCAGAATACCTTTTGGATTCATGCTGATGTTCCTCCAAGGTAGTTATATCTTACACATAGCCTCGAGGCGGATCTGACATTTACATTTAGGCCACTGAAGCCTTCTGAAAAAGAAGGACTCAAACGTGTCCCGGTCTTCCACATCAATGAGATCCGTGGCAACCTTCTTGACGCACCTGATGGCGCCGTTATTGTTCGTACGTGTGACACTTTATTCACCACATTATTGACCCACTGACAGTACTACAGATGCCGTAAATTGTATGGGTGTCTGGGGTTACGGAGTTGCAAGACAACTGAAAAGTGAAGTACATAAAACTCACTTCTGTCTTTCGTCAACATCTTATTCTGACCTGTTCCAGTTTCCCACTGCTTTCAACATCTATCGATCTCATTGCAGGATGGAGGACAGACCAGATCACCTGGTAGGAGAATGTCTTCTCATCCCGCCTCAGAAGGAAGACTATGAGAAAGGCAACAAACCACGACGATGGATTGCGTGTTTGTTCACTAGTGTGGGGTATGGGAAGAGAAACGCGCGCCTGAATAACCCGGGCAAATGTGAACCACAGTTCATCATCTACCACACACAAGCAGCACTCGAAGATTTCCGAGTTCAGTACGATGAATATGTGCGTGCAGCGTCCATCTCTCCTGAAGAATCTGAACCTCCGGGTGATATATGGTCTTGCAAGTTCAACAGTGGTGCTTTCGGACTCGATTGGGAAGCCACTAAGGCAATAGTCGAAGACGAATTCTACGGATTTGGAGGATCATTCTCAGTTGTGGAGAGAAATTCATGAATTCGATGGGGTCTGGTCGTTCCTTGGTGTCGGATACTCTTATCGAGCAAGTGATGAGCCATTGCACAAGCGAGAGTGAACCGTGAAGCGGGCTTCTTGGGGGTTAGATATCTAAATCCAGAAGGTGACTTAGCTTAGAAAAGGCACGGACAGAGTGATCTGGTGTTTTGTCGATAACGATACAGTCATAGACCGCGCACGATAGACATCGTGTTCTTCGACTATCACAGCTCAGTGTACCTTCGTATTTTCCTCTAACATGCTAACAACCCTGGGAACCAAAGTGACCTGTGATCGCAAGGCTGCCAAGAATGCAGAAGAAAAGGAGATGCGTTAGTCCTTTCTAGGCCTAGCCTCATCTTGCTTGGCATATTTTGATTTTTGCGTTTGTCAAACAGTGAAAGAAGTGAAGGAACAGGACCTTCACAGTAACCTCTTATTTTGCGTTTTAACTTCCCTAGTATGGATACAAGTAATGAAGATTCCCGGCCGCATAAGCGAGTAAAGATTGAAGAGGACAACACTGTCTCCCAACACAACTCCAAACCGCCTACCACTTCCGATGACAACATGAAGGAAATAGAGGTTGGGATCAATACCTGGATGGACAGTTCACGTCCTGTGTTCCATGGAATATTGAAGAAGCGGTATACTGATTTCCTCGTCAATGAAGTTCTGTTGGACGGGACTGTGGCACATCTTCACAGTCTAAGTGCCAAGCCTAGCAGTGATTCCAAGATCGCTGCTTCCACAACGATCTCAAGGGCGCCTGATCGTGATGATGGCCACAAGGGCTCGGGGAAAGATCAATCAGCCGAAAACACAGTGAACTCAGGCATCGGTGGACTTGTTAGACAGGATGAAGGGCACGTCAAATCTGGAGGAGCACAGGTACCGAACTTACTGATCCACTGCCCCAACCTGTTGCTAATGTTACCAGATTTCTGAAGAAGATCAAGCGAAGCTGGTAGAACACTTTAGCGAAGAGACCGTCCAGGAACTCATCTCCTTGTACCAATCGATCCTCGAATCACCAGAGAAAAAGTCACGGGAGCATCCTATCGTGCGGACGTCTTTCACTTCAGACCGGAGTGTTCGGCCACTAATCCATGGAGACATCCGACGCATATTCCAATCAAAAATTGACTCGGCGACTGATAATGATGGTGTATTGGTCCTCACTGCTGCATCCAGAGGCCCCCGTGGACGAGGCGGAGATCAACAGCCCAAAGGACGGGGTCTCAGTTGGAAAGAACGCGGTGGCGACCATGTCCATTTTAATCTCTACAAAGAAAACAAGGACACCATGGAGGTGGTCAGCTTTCTCGCCCGCTCGCTGAAGGTTGCGCCCAAGGCTTTCAACTTTGCTGGCACCAAGGATCGACGTGGAGTTACGGTTCAGAGAGTCAGCGCCTATCGCGTGGAAGTAAACCGTTTGGCTGGGATGAATAGAAGCTTGAGATATGCAGCGATTGGAGATTTTACCTATGAGAAGCATGGGCTTGAACTCGGAGAACTCAACGGGAATGAATTCGTCATTACTCTGCGCGAGTGCAGATTAGGCGCTGATTGGGACCAACTGCCAGAGGACCAGAAGCTTGAAACTGCTAAAGAATACCTCTCTCAATCTCTCGATCAGCTTCGGAATCAGGGCTTTCTCAATCACTACGGCTTACAGCGTTTTGGGTCATTCATGAGCCGCACAGACACCGTGGGACTCAAGATTCTACAGGGCGACTTCAAAGGGGCGGTTGATGCCATTCTCCAATTCTCCGACGTGGCGCTGGAGGCTGCAAAATCTGGAGACACGTCCACCCTAGTCGGACAAGACGATCGGGCTCGAGCAGAGGGGATCAACCACTTCAATACGACAGGCAATCTCAACGAAGCACTCGACAAGCTGCCAAGAAAGTTCTCCGCAGAGTCATCGCTAATCAGATACCTGGGTAGACAACGCACCGACTATCTCGGCGCACTCCTCAGCATCCCACGCAATCTTCGTCTGATGTACGTGCACGCCTACCAGTCTCTGATCTTCAACCTGGCGATCGGCGAGCGATGGAAGCTCTTCGGCAACCGCGTGGTAGAAGGCGACCTGATCCTCATGCATGAACACAAAGACAAAGAAGCCCAAGCTCAAGCAGACCAAGACGTCGACGCCGACGGTGAGGTAATCATCCAACCGGGCGAGGAAGACCGCGCAAATGATCCTGATACCATGTTCGACCGGGCCCGGGCCCTTACCGCCTCTGAAGCCGAGAGCGGCGCATACTCCATCTTCGACATCGTGCTCCCCTTGCCCGGTTTCGACGTCGAATACCCCGCCAATGCGCTCGGCCAGTGGTACAAGACGTTCATGGCCAGCGAAGAAGGAGGTGGCCTCGATCCCCATAACATGCGGCGCAAGCAGAAGGACTTCTCGCTCAGCGGTAGCTATCGGAAGGTCATGGCCCGTATTGGAGAGACCTACAGCGTGGAGGTCCATAGCTATGCGGACGATGACAAGCAGTTCGTCAAGACTGATATGGATCTGATCAAAGAGAGTAAGGCTCAGAACGGGGGGACAAGTGCACGTGCAAGTCGAGACGCGACGACGACAGCGAAGGATGAGAATGCGACTGAAAATGGCAAGACCAACGGTGCAGGCGAAGAAGAGGCGGAAGCAGAGGACAAACCATACAAAATTGCTGCGGTGCTCAGATTCCAGCTCGGATCAAGCCAGTATGCGACTATGGCCCTGAGAGATCTTTCGAGGGGTGGTGTTCAGGCTTACAAGGCTGATTTTACAGGTGGGAGGTAGAAAGGAAAGCCGCAGCTGCGACATTGTGTGATGATTACCGTTTAGCTGATCTAAGGGGCGAGAACAGCCCGATCAGAATGCCAGAAAAACGTGTCTTTACAGGCGTCGGGGAGTTTAGATCGCAGTTCAATGTGCTCCTGGATGGTGCAAATATTGCCGGGAATGGTCACGGGTCAAAGCGATCACCGTACTGCATGTAAAGAGAAAAGGGCATACGATGTGTAAAATACTGGTCCGTATTTTCAATGCTCATCCTGGCATTTCCATGCTCCCTTGCCGTATGGGGATGCGCCTATCAAGAAGTAGTCTAGGGACTCGAAACTTCAATGTGGGAAGCTCAAGTCATCTCGATATCATTGTCCTCATCTTCAATCTCGGCCTTCTTCCTGCGCTCCTGTTCTTTGCGGCCCTGCTCGAGGACCTCCTTCCGCTCCTCGCGCTGCTTCCTCTGCGCCACGACGAAAGCCCCCAACGGGGTGTCCTGCCATTGCACGTCCTTCAAGAAACTCTCCACCTCGCCGCGGTCCTTGGGCGAGAAATTGATCTTGTTCCTCCGCTCCTCGATCCATCGCGCATTCGCCTCTGACTTTTGCACCAGTAGTAACAGTGCTTGGTTGAGCTTTCCATTCCGGTTGCCGTCGCTCTTGGAGGCTGTTTTAATCCAGCGCTTGAGCATGACGACCGTGGGTAATTGGAGCTCGGGATATGCGATGCTCTTGGTCCAGAGGACGAAAAACTCCGAAAATAGCTCGGCTACCTGCTCGCCCACGCCTTCTTGGTAGACTTTGGTTTTTAGGTATGAGGTCGGTGCCCTTATATTTGAGGCGAAATCAAGCGGTTTGAGGGTCCCCGCTTTTGCGGGCTTCTTCATTTCTGCTGAATTGAGGACCTCGAGTAATGCTGCCGAGAGTGGAATGTATGTTTCTGTTGCCTGAGAAATGCGCAACAAGGCACGCATTAATAGGAACCGAAGAGGGAAATATGTAGATGTTGGGATCAGTCTCATCACACCCAGAGTAACTTGAACGACGGGATAAATCAATGGTCGAAGTTGTGATTGCTTGCCATTTTCTGCTTCTAGAAGCGAATTACAATGGGTTGACAACACCCGTGACCAGAAATCAAGTGAATGCACGAATTGCCAGTTGTAGATCGTTTTGTAGGAGTCTTTGGTAGGTTTGGTGATGTTCCCACGAAGATGAATCGCGAGCTGGCGGATGAAGGTAAATCCGGTCGTATAGCTGACCTTTTGGTCGATACCCCATAGCTCGGCAGCAGAGTTCTTCATCAGGTTAATCCCAGCAAGACTGTGAATGGTTGTATTTCGACTACCTTTTACGACGCCTTCGTAGGTTGATCTGAGTACTGTCTCTTTGATGCCTGCATCGCCAATAACCATGAGGCGCCGGATCACGAGGAAGGCAGTAATTCGGGTTGCTTCATCGGATGAGTTGTCCGACCATACAGATGCAACAGCTTTGGTAATGACTTTGAGGAATTTGCGAAATTGTAGAAGGTAGGGCAATAAGGGTTCGAAAGATTGAAGTGTCAATCTCAATGTGTTGGTGTCCGACAAACTGCGCAGAAGTTGATATAGGGAGGAGGCGTGTGACTTGATGAGTGGCGCCAGCGTCTTGAATTTGGGTGAATCGGTGGGAATGCGCAGCTTTCCACTTGCAGATTCTTTGACCGGTAGATGATGAGCCAGGACGATGGGAACTTGCTTCAATGCAGTAATCAAGATCTCGTGATAGACCTCTGGACTCGGAATCGAGTATCGAAATGCTTTGTCTTCTTCATCGTCTGCATGAGCAGCTGCGCGGAAGGCTAGGACAACTTGTCGCAATGATCGTATGGAGTTGGCATCAGCCATGGAGGACTTCCATTTACCAATCATAGCCAACGTTACGTCTATTGATGCACTAGGATCTTCTGCGCCCGTAGTCTTCTGCTTTTTGCTTGGTGGTTCTTCCTCACTAAGGTCGTCTACCTCGGCCAGGTCATCATCTTCGTCAAAGTCCAGTAACTCCGCATCATTCTCCTGTAGGTATTTGTAGAACTCGGGATCTTTTTCAGCCAAGGCCGCTAGCTGGTCTTTGTGGTCGTCCTCGTCGTTTGATGCAGCACTTTCAGGGTCGCTGGGTATATCTGGCTGCTCCTGCTGCTCGTCTCTCTTGCGCTTTGAGGGTTTACTCTTCCCATTCGTCTTTGGCTCCAGCTCCGGGATATCAATCGCTTCTTGGAAGTATTCGTCCTCATTCATGTCAGGGCCAACATCTTGATCTGAGTCTCCTTCGGAACCTGAGTCTTCCGCGGCTTTACCTGCTCTTTTGGCGGATCTCTCCTTTCTCTTTGCATTTTGCTGATGTCTCTGCTTGATTTTGGCAAATTCCTTTCTGCGGTCGATCGTTCCTTTGAGCTGGTTCTTTTCGAACTTCTTGGTCGACTTGGCCTGCTTGCCCATTTTTATGAGTACAGAAGCAGTGTCAGTGAAGGTGCGTCCAGAGAGTCTGTGCCAAGGGGCAATAGCAATTGCCAACATGCGTCGAACTGCAGCCCGCAAAGTCGTTCCAAATCGAAAAAAATCATGCCAAGCCCTAGACATCCGCCGAAGATTATCCAGTTTACCCCGCACCAAGCTGACAGATTCTCCTCCCACGTGATATTCGATAGCACGTGCCACTGCATCCCAGCCTTGTCATCGCAGGCACATACTCCTTTGCTCATTCTTCAAGTCTGGATGATACCCAGTCTCGACGTATACTATTTTAGCCAATTTAGAGCATCATGTATACTGCGCAGCCTCCTCGTCCCTCGGCGTACGCTCCAACTCCCTACAGTTATACTCCGAATACTTCATTCTCTGCTCAAATTAACCTCGACGAAGAAGTGAAACTCTTCGATTCATCCACGGAGCGCGATCTCATAGATTCTCAAGCAGAAATCTACAGCATTATCCGGACACTCGATGGTCTTGAGAAAGCCTACATCAAGGATGCCCTCCCAGAAAATGAATACTCAGATATGTGCTCCAAAATGCTCAAACAATATCGTTCAATCCTCAGTGACGAAACTGTGCTGCGGGAATTTGTCGATCTGGACACATTTACACGCAAATGGGATATTGAATGCCCGCGAGCTAAAGAGAGACTTAAGGTGGGCATAACATCAGATGAAGTCTTGACTCGTCACACCAATGCTCCAATCCCAGTCCAGCCTCAAGGCACATCTGGCAGTCTCATTCTTCTGGCTACCGAGAATTTCATCACTTTCCTCGATGCACTTCGTCTCAATATGGTGTCCAAGTCTGCCTTACACCCACTTCTGTCTGACGTCATTCAATCGGTGAACAAAGTCACTGATCAGGACTTCGAAAACCGCGGCAAGATCATTCAATGGCTGATCACCCTCAATCAGATGAAGACATCAGAAGAATTGAATGACGATCAGGCCCATGACTTAGCTTTTGACATGGAACAGGCTTACAACGGGTTCAAATCGATCATACGATGACCAGATTTATCGTCGCAAAAAGCTTGGTTGGTCTCTCCAAGTGAGAATAAAATACACAGTACTTCGTGTTAAACCCTTATCATGAAACGCGCTTGCCTTCACCACCTGAGCCAGTCGGTATGGCATAATCTCCTGGGGCCGAAAGCGGATTGATCCCAAGTCATCCATCATCTACGATGTACGATTGGACACTTGCCGAAGCCAAAACACAAGCAATCTGAATACCTTGGCAGACATGCTGTGGGAATTCCTGCGGTTACCACGTCAATCACGGGCAATGCTGAATGGAGGCATTGAACTATGACGAACTTCTGCAAAGCAGGTAGAGGAAGGGGCTAGTTCTTATGTCACGGGACTCGGTCGGCCAATTGTGAAAGACGCCGGGCTGCACGACGAGGAAGATTAACACTGAACTCAATTCGACAACAGACAGGCCTCCGGCTCCTTCACTCGTAAGATAAGACACTCGAAAATGATAGGAACTGTTCAAGCCACGTCGATACATTTAGACCCGAAACACCGAGATCTCGGTCTGTTCACGATCGCAAAGCTGCCAGCACGTGCCATACAAATCGCCAGATTGATGATACTCAGTGCGCTGACCCAGCAGATCTCACTTCTCGATTGATATCAGAAAGGCATAAACAGTTGGTGTTCAAGCTTTAATGTGCTTTGCTTGCTCATGTTGACAGTGCATGGGCCATGAGACCACCCAATATATCATGTGTCACAGACGTCCGTGCACTGCTCCAGTGAGATGGGAAACAGATGCAGCGCGCCCGCATTGAACGGTAGATCGCAGCTTTCGAGAGCCACAGCACAGATGCATTGTGCGGGCTTATGTCGAACACCGCTATTTCGATGAATACAATAATCGACTTCGTTGGCGTTCGACTCGGAAAGGATTAGATCGATTCTGTAACACAGAGTGTACAGCTCGAGCACAACTTTCTTCCCCAAGGCTCCATGTCTATCATCGTGAGGTTGCACTACTGCCTGACTGCCTGACAACCACCTGTCAGCATGTCACAGTGCAACCAGATGCCGGCTGGGGCCGTGCCGATCTTCTCACTGCGTCTGTGTCATGCTACTATGTATGTATTGATCGAGCACAACATTTTCGTGCGATAACATGTGAAATTCATTTCGATACCGAGAGCGACAGGACTTGAACACTTTCCTGATCAACAAACACAAAGTGGGTATGCACCAGGCAATATCGAATCCAACTACCTGGAAGAATTTATGGCCCAAGCTCCCGTAGCGACCACGGCATCCTATTCACAACCTAAGTCTATGGATTACGGAGTGCGACATCCCACTACACTGACCATGTACTTGGCGGTGAGATCCAGAACTTCGGGGCGCCTGATGATCAAATTCGTTGACCGGAACGAGGCCAACACGAAATCAAAAACACACACAGCTAGGTCCATACCTGCACATACTTAGAGAAATTCCATGTCTTTGGTGGAAAACCAGATAACCACACTTCCCAACTAATCTTGAAGCCCATAGCCCACACTCAGCCAATCAGCCCTCAATCCTGCACGCACCTAAGCCACCATAAGACCAGGCGTCCGTAGACAAAGCCGCAAGCCAGACGGACAAAATCCACCAAGCAAGCAGGCAAGCATCTGGTCTTTCCCCGTCCGTAGTCGAATCCTTCCCTATAGTTTCCCGACTCTGTGTCATTGCACTGTCATTCTCTCAGCCTTGGACAACCTGTCAGACTGTTGCATGCACACAGCCCCATGCATGAGTAAAAATATCGCAAGCGTACAAAGCGTTGTACAAGTCGCAGTCGCACTCGCATCCGTGGCGGGTGTACAGGGCTGGGTGTCAAATCGTGCGACGTTCTCTTCTCTTCGCAAGCTTGTTTGTTGACTCTGTGGCCCTCGTGCACAGCGGCGACACAATACATGTGACAGCCGAATAGGGGCGGCCGCAAGGCTGGCTGCATTGGGCCGGCTCTGTGTGCTGGGTCTTGTGACGTAGATCACACATTGAACAATTGGCGCGAAAACTACCTACGAAGTAGAGGAGAAGCAGGGAGGGCAGGATCCAGGGAAATGCGAACGTCAGCCTTGTGATATCGTCATAGTCGCCCTGGAGTTTTCGGGACATCTCCAGACGTGCTGCTGGTACATTGGTTCCACGAAGCTAGAAACAGGCTACGCAGTAAAGAACAAGCGGGAGGATGATGTTTCCGAGAATATTTTCGACCTTATATTGAATGAGGTGTCCCCGAGCAATAAGATATATAGCACATGACAAATATTGCACAGGTTTGGTTCAGAGCACACACGCCTCGTGCAGCCAGCTAGACCCGACCAAAAGGCCTGTTTCCTATACTCCTCTCCTGCCCAGATCTTGTGAATCGCGCCCTGTTGCTTTGCCTTCAGCTATATATGACAAGATTTCTGTGTGTTTTCCTTGTTGGCTGAAGGCTGTATTGCCCCTTGGCTGCATTCCCCTACTCTTCTCTTTTGGCCATGTCGCTGCTGCTGATGTACGATGTGTCGGAGGTTGTTCAAGTGTTGATGCTTGGTTCCGCATCCACCAGCCCTTTACCATCCATTCTGTTAGTCGACGGTTTTAATCATTTCCTCTTGTTCTGCTTGCCAACACCTCGTGTGCCTTTTTCGCTCTCATCATCTGTTCCCATTTTCCCCACCCCTGAATGCTCTCATGTACACAAAAAGGTATATATTCCGACATCGCAAGCATATCCGGCATTTCGGCTATCTTTTTAGTGGTAGGTGAATACCCAAGTGGGCAGGTTTGCGACATCTGTGTTTCAATCTCAGCGGACCCATCCCATTGTATTTTCTCCACTGGTGCGATTATGCCTCCCATACCCCCAAGCCCAAAGTTTCTGAAAGGAGAGACGTATCTGGACATTCTTAATCCGAGACATAAAATGACATCAAAAAGAAACAAATGGCAATCAAACTCCACGCCATGATTAAACATAAGGAAATATATTGATCGTGTTGCTAGCACGAGAATCAGGCCAATATTATCGGCTGCTGTTGCTTCCATCAACACCAACTTGTCTGACTGAAACACTCCTACCGACCTGGGCCTGCCCAATACTCGCAACATCTGAAGCGTCATCAGCGTTTACGCTCTGGTATAATGACGAACCACGGCTGAGGGTGGGTCGAACTGCACCAGCGGCTTCTTCACCATCTGGGGGATCATTGAAAGGTGATCCATCGATAGGACTGACGGGTGTCGAGTCTGCGAAAGGGTTTCTGATCGAAGTTGGAGTTGTTGGATGATCTGCATCTCTACCAGCTGGTTGATATGGAGGTGGTGCTGTGGCAGATGACACTGAGCGTGGGATCGGATCTGGTGCGCCGGCGATGGCTGGGTTCACGTGCCGAAGAGGGCTGGGATTAACTGGCTGAGAGCCCGCGATGGCATCTCTGTAGGGCGGAGCAACCTCGTCGATGCTGTGTAGACTGGGCTCTGTACTGTGAGCACCATTGCGGGAATTATTATTTGCACTCCGAACACTTGGATCTCGGCTTCGAATACTGTTGCTGCTGGAGAAACGACCACCCATGAGGAGTTCGGCGTCAAAAGAGAAAGCTCGCAAATGTCGAGACCACTTTTTTCCGGCCTTTTTAGGTTTCTTCTCCGAGAGAGATGCCCCAGCACCTTTGTTCTTCCTCCTCTTTCTAGCACAAAATAGGAACAAGAGTACCGCTGCGATGGCTGCCACGACGATAGGAACCGCGATGGCGGCCTTGAGGGCGGAGGAGCATGATATGCTATTGCAGGAATTTTCTGAGACGGTGACAGCGCCGTCACTGGTGTTGCTGGCTGCGTTGCCCGCAGTGCTGGATGCGTTGCCGCTTATACTGGTAGTGGCAGAATTGCCAGCACCAGTGGTCACGGTACTGAGTGTTGTTCCTGGAGCGGAAGTAGAGGCACCGTTGATGTCGGTGGTCGTAGCGCTCGCATCAGTAGTTGACGAGCCTCGATTGGTACGTGTTGTTTGAGTGAATTCACTTTGAAGGGAGGAGATAAAACTGTTCATGGCTGAAGTTCCAGGACCGTCAGTCGCAGTGGCTCCGATGCCAGTGAAGCCTTCTTCAGTATCTGGGTTTTCGTTGTTGGCCGGCATTGTGGATGGGGTTGGGAGGGTATTTGTGAAAGAAAAGGTATTGGGAAAGGACGGTGAGGGCTGTGTAAAGGGATTGGATGACTGGTCACTTCGTCGGGCTACACGAGGCCTCGAGAAGAGAGAAAATAGGCCCTGCGAATCCAGAGTGGTGAAGACTCCGGGCGATGCCCAGAGTCCGACATGTAAAGATAGAGACAATTGGGAGAAGGGAGTGGCAGGACAGGCGTCCCAGGTGCTTGTCAGTCAGCGGACACTGAGTGTGGTTGCTGGTTGGTGGGAGGAAGGAGTGGTGGATTTGGGGCCTGGGAGGTGAGACGAGATTCGTGGTGTTAGAGAACGAGAAGGGCGAGATCTGATCTGATCAGCAAGGCGCAGCACCGCACGAGCTGACGAGGCGTCGGATTGGTGAATTATTCTCGTATTTATGATGGAAGGGATGGCAAGATGGATTGTGTTATTGATGGACGCGGGTTTGAATAACACCTCGTACTTGGTCGTTGGTTGAAATATTTGCCAGCTCCAGGTCTACCAGAGCACTATTAGTTATTGAATTAATTAGCTGTGACTGTGAGGGAGAAGTGAGGGAAAGTCAAGGGAGGAACGACAGTGATAGGGTAGACATGGATGACACTGGGCTGGTTGACGAAAGCCTGAGCCTGAGGAAGGGGTCGAGGGAGAGTCGCAGGAGGCAGTTCTTGACTCGGCCCTGCTAGGTGCCTGCGGAGAAGAAGCATATCCCTGTTCCAGCCACTTTTTTCAAGTTTGGGTGCCAAGGACAAGCCATGCGCGCCGCCTGCCAGGTGGGCAATGGGTAAAGTATGCAGGTGTTAATAGGCCAACAGCTGCCAGTGGTTAACGGACTTCCGAAGCCCATATTTTGGCTTCGTCCTTCAGCCCCCCCCGTCGCCCATTGACTGCGTGCCCATTGCCCACCATCAACTCTTGTCTGACGCCCAGACATTGGGCGGGCTTTAGGTCAGGACGCCCCCAGCCGCCCAGGGAATTGCCTTCTGCAGGTTTGATTTCATGCACATGACAGGAGGACGTCCTTGGGAGAGACTTACCTAATATCAATACTCCAAAGTCCCGACTACCTCCCGCTTGTATCTCGAGAGCGATTGAATGATCTGAGGATGTCTTCTGTGACGGTCATACGTCTTCTGCGTTTTGTCGATATGTCATGAGCATGCCTAGTCATGGCGGGGTTACTGCATCATCGTCTTCTGCTCCTTGACAACACCACCTTGACTCCATGGTTAACCGGACTCACCTGTTTCATCACCACTCTTTCAAGTCGAGTTACTGTCTTCGTACAACTTGGGCCATGCGGGTCACCCAGGTACTACTGCCTAGTGGTTGCTAGTCGGTGCATGGTCTCATCCACTGCATCTGCAACATTTTTAGAACAATGGCATGGTCATGTCCGTGGACTAGTCGCCGCTAGTTTGTCACATGGGACTCCCATTGGTTGTATATCACATGACACGGAAGTTATAAGCTGCGATCTTCCGACCACCGACCTCAGTCATCCACTGGACTTCCACCCACTAGATGATTTCCTGAGACAAGCTCTTCGCTTGCTTCAGCTTTTTCACGTTTTGACTCAATCCAACGGTCGCATTCCTTGAATCCGCCAACGACATGACGTTTTTTCCCTTGTTCGCTTCAGCTTTGCTTCAGCCTCCAAGTACGACCTTGAGTCGGCTGGGCACCAACCTGAGACGATCAGTTTCTGCTCTGACTTTCTATTCGGTACAGGGGCGATCTCGAATACATATTTCAGAGGTTAAATGGGTATTTGAGCCTCTTCTAGGTTTGAATATGTCTCGGATGCTTTCTCCTTGGACAGACAGAATCCGCGTCAGATAACATGTACCTGGTGAGTCGTCAGGTGTGTACTAGATAGCTGCAGAATGCTCCGTAGCCTGCCTGCACTGCACCTCTTTACTATCGGCAGCGGACTTCGGTTGTCTTTGCCAGGCAGTTCATCCTATTTTATCCAATCGCGCACCTCTCAAGACACCACTGGACCCGGCGCCGAAGGTATACGAACACGGGTACGAGTGAGGCTCCCGAGGACTCCGTAAGTAACATGACGAGTTTTCATACACTTTGTCCGTCGGCCTCTGACTTGAGGCCTAGTGTGATGATTATTTTATTTTTTGACAACACGCCTCGTGCATCTCACACTTCATTGGCTCTGGTGTACCTCGTAGTCAACATCGGTCTATTGGCGTCGTCTGCAACGTCAACTTCCACATACAAGCCACGAGCTGGCGCAGGCTAATGCTGAGCTGAAAACCCCAATGTCCAAACGTTGCTTATTGTCTCACTATGTGTTCGAGGTGGAGTTATTATCAAATCTTCTCTACTCGAGTAATCACAAGCTCCAGCCATCTTTCTCCATTGTATCCTGCTGGCCATGACTCGAAGGTCCTAGCCGACCGATCGTCAAGCTTGCCCTTTCCATATTTCAATGTCGGCTGCTGGATAGAGAGGTTCATGAGTAAATAGCCTTCAAGTAATTTACACTAAGACCAAGGTGAGCAATGCGCAGTGGCAATGATTGCTCGATGCCAACGCCGCCACGTCAAAATTCGTACCGATAGCAGGCGGGCTCTTATACCTTAATCTACACAATTGACACTGGCGGAGTCTTTTGTAACGACTTGATGCTCTTGGACCAGCCTGGAGTTCATTTCTTCTGCGAGATTTCTTTCACAGTCATCAATCGATCTCAATTCCAATCTGCCGCGACCGCTCGACAATTCTCCTTTCATTCGCATTTGACCCAGTTCGTTGCTACATGTATCAAGATATCCCGCCAGATCATGCATCTCAATCCAAAACGATCTACGACTCAGCAGAGAATGCGTAAGTTCTCACACCAGTTTCCCGTGATTCTGGATCTAGCGATCTGGACAAATGCAGAGGTCTTCAATCGAAGCTACCTTGTTATGCCACTAGAAACCGTGTGTCTTCGTAGTGCAAATATTGTATGGAGGACGAGCCGAATTCTGGCATACTGAAGGACTTACCAGATCTTAAATCATGCACGATGGCCATAAGCAAATTGGCTGATCAAGGCGATTTATTCATCCATGAACTGAGATTCCTCGAAATCTAGCCTAAAGCCCTCGTAATCACTCCCCCACGAGAGGTCAAAGGACAAAATACTTGGAGGCATGGTTTTCGTGCTCACGAGGCTGCACTATAACAAATGGGAACCGGATGTGCCATGCAAGGCTGCAATCACGTGGCGGGAACAATCACTTTTCGGTCTAGCCTGCCTTGGCGCGTACTCAGCGGGGCGACGTCAGCGGCAGCCGCTGTGCTGCGGCGACTAGTCAATTTTCACTCCACTCATCCTCCCTCCATCGCCCGTTCTCGCCATCGTGTGCACACTTCAGTGTGCCTCCACCACCATCTACCACCGTCAACAACACCGCATACTCGTTGTCATTCTCTCCTCGTCCACCTCGTGCGCACTCATCACTGTCGTTGCCGCAACCCCTCCTCACGAAGGCTCTATCTCCTTCACAACTATTGGCCTAGGCCTTCACGTTGTCCATCCGACCTTTCCTAGCCCCGGAACAGACGAATAGCTACCAGACACTCCGGACGTGGGGCCGTCTGCCGAGGAGACCAGATCAAAGATGAGCGGCCTTCGAGGTGTTATGAAGGATGGCTGGCACCCGAAAGGTCGAGATGGGGGAAAAGAGTCCTGGAGGGGTGACTTCAAGGGTATTAATCAAGTGGTCAGTCCTTGAACTTTCTCTCTCCTGCCGACATTTACCTCTACTCGTCTGTTGAAGCTCCCATGCATCGGTACTGATTATTTCCATGCTGTCACAAAGGCCGGTTGGATGGGCAAAAGTAGAGATCCTAAGGCAGGTGACGCTTCGCAAAGTCATGTATCTCGACCACTGGCTACCCTCAAAGACCCCGCTTCGTTTGGCCCTCCTCCGAAAAACGTCAACTATCACGGCGGTGCGGCCTTACCGAACGAGATAACACCACACCGGGGAGGAATTGGGGCTCCCTTAACACGAGAGCAAGTCGAATCTGCCCGCCGTGCTGCCCAAGGCGAGGTGGAAGAGGAGCCAGAGGAGGCAAGACCCAGTGGCCCTCCTTTGCCCTACCGTGCAGACACTACTGGTCTTAGGACTGATCACTTGCCTCCGCCCCCGACCGCAAATCGAAACTTCAATGGAAGCCCAGCTCCTGTAAACGGGACGCAGCAAATACCAAAACCAAAACCTGGCCTGCCACCTAGGTTACCTTCCCGCCAAAACACCGCCAGTAGTGCCACTGCACCGACGGCCTCTCCACCTCCTCCTGCCTATGAAACTGTTCCGCCAAAACAAGCCAGCCCCCAACCAAGTACGCATTTCGGGATCAATCAAGCTGCTGTCAATCGACTCGGGCAGGCGGGCGTCTCAGTCCCTGGGCTGGGTATTGGATCGCAATCTTCAGCCACCAACCCATGGCAAGACGAAAAAAGCCAGTCCTCTACTGCACAAAGCGCATCACCCAACCCAACTCACTCGTCGACCGCTCCAGCTACCAATCAACTCTCCGAACTTCAGTCCCGCTTTTCCCGTATGAGTTCAACAGGGAGCAACCCCAATACCCAGCTAGACATCCAAACGCCTCCATCTACAACTGCCCAACCTCAATCTCAACCACAACCACAACCCACAACTTGGGCTGAGAAGCAAGCAGCGCTCCGTACCGCCTCCAATTTTCACAAGGATCCATCAACTGTAAGCATGGCTGATGCCCGATCTGCCGCCACCACTGCCAACTCTTTCCGTGAGCAACATAAAGAACAAATTTCGGCGGCCGGTCTACGCGCCAATCAGTTCAACAAGAAGTACAACGTGACAGGGAAGCTCAACAGCTTTCTTGAAAAGCACAGCTCTCCTTCATCTGAAACACCACCCCAGCTACCCCAACAGCAACAACAGCAGGTGGTCAATCCAGGCACAGTACATGATCCCTACAACTCTGGAGCGGTCGCGTCACCAAGTCTCCAGCAGCATCAACCAGTGCAACAACAGAGTCCCGAGCTCACAGCATCAATAGCGAGAAAGCCACCTCCCCCACCACCGCCAAAGAAGCCCGCCAATATGCATGGAAATCTCAATGGTGTTAATGGAAGCGCGAATGCAGGTCCAGCATCTCCCCCTCCTGTCCCACTGGGGACGAAACCAGGTTATGCTTAGGAGATGGGAGCGTCTTAAACGGGACACAAGGTGTGGTGTGAAGGAGTATAGATGTAGAAATGGGACGGGATGGGATAAGACATATGGGCTGGCTCACGTTATCAGGCATCGTTATATTCATTTTTTGTTTCCCGCTTGCTTACGCATATCGTTTGGATAGCCTTTGTGCATGACAACCAGTCTAGTCTGACAGAATGAAGCCTTATGTTTCCCTGCAATTCGAAGAAATTTGTATCGTCCCAATCACGAATCCCTTTCAAGTCTACACGACCCCCGGCTCATACCGCTCATTTCGCAACCGTTCAGATATCCATATGCTTTCAATCCCACACCCTGGGTGCAGTAGGGGAACGAACGAAACGGGGTAGCGACAAGCCAAGAGAGACAATGCGAGATCGAGCATTGTAGCCTCCTGTTCATTCATGGCTGTGCCCAATGTGCAGGAGTGTACGTGCAGCACAGTGGGACGAGCATGACCGCGTACAGATTGATAGTGGCAGTCGGTGGAGTATAAGAAGTATAAACAATACGAATCAGGTCGAATGTACTGTCTCAACCCTCTTAACCGACGACAACGACGACGTGGAGCACCCCACACAAATACACTGATGTTCAAGGCACCTGCCTCCCTACCGGCCTCCCTACGTACCGTATCACCTAGGTACCTAGCCAGATCCATATCCCGTCGAGAATGTCGAGATGTATACATATACTGTGAGTGAGTGACAAGGCTGCGATTCAACAATATGCCGCCATGTCTGACGATGACTTGTTCTCGCTGGCTGTTCCTTTCTCGGTTGGAAAGCGATGGCTGAGTGACTTCTATGAGTACCCTGAGTTAGGCAGGTAGGCATGGGATCCAGGGGGTGGAGAGCATGGTTCAACACGGCCGATGGATGATGATCTTGCTTGTTTTTTTCTTTCTGCTGACGCGCCACACATCCCACCTACGACGGCTGACGGATGTAGAGCCTTAAAAACTGCAGACCTCAGTGGCGAAGACGTTGGATAAACAGTCTCAGTGCACCAAAAGGGATATGGTACTCCGAGATGCCCTGGTTACATGTATCATGTTCCCCATCTGCAGCAACACGAGGAATGCTGAATGCGCCTCAGAGGGAGCACAGAAACACGATCACCACAAAAGTGCGTTCACTTGGGTGTGTAATAATGAATGTGTGGTAACCAATTCAATTCCCGTCTCAACATCAATTAGGTTTCCCCCATTCAAGAAAAGTCCAGCTCTACCATCTTAATCTTGTTCTTGTTCTTGTTCTTGTCCTCTCTGCTGTTTGTGAAAAAAACCCCATCCTTGATCCAGAAACAGAAACAATGAGGTCCTTCTATTTCTGTTGCGAAATAGATCGAAGTGCATCCAACCCGGCCCACTATTTCACAAATCGTTGGGCCCACCCAATCAACCTGGAAGAACGCCGCTGAAGGTGAGGAATCACATGCTGAGGTGCTATCAAAATCCTCTTTGTGTCCCCATGGGCCTTGATTACAGACCAGTCCGAAGACCAGATCTTTCGAATCCTTTCATGACCATCCCCTGAGGTGAAAATAAAAGACAGTGCTATGCCACCAGTGACCATATACCAATAGGTCATCCTTACCAAGGCGCCGAACACCTTACATTAGAACCAGTCATAATTGAAAATGCAACATAGGAGGGCTTTTATAAATGTACACCGGGTCGTGATTTCGGTCACGCCCAGAAAAGTCTTCGTGCCACCATCTAGCAGCGAAAAGAATGCTCGAATGCACATGTGCTATCAAAGTCGTAGAATCGTGAGTGTGTCGATGATGGCCTGAATGCTCACTTTCCGCGCTCGAAGCGCTTGAAATCAATGTTCACAACCCAAATCTCTCTTGTATCCAATGGAAAAAGTGTTGGATCTAGAAGAAATGTGTGTAGACTTTAGAAGTCTCATGCACCTCCATTTCCTGGTATTCTAGTTAGTACGGAAAATCTGGGAGTGTAAGCATGATGTAACGAACCATTTTGAAGGTGTTGAGCTCTTCTTTGATCTGCTGAGCTAGCATTGGTGTCAGACGATTGCATGTTGCAATGTCTCCACGGCGATCGTACTCGCCACTGGGCCATGTGTCGTGAAACTGGATTCGTGGGCTGAATGAGATGTTCCTCATCAGGCTTGCTGGTGTCATTGCCGGATTTTTAGAGTCAAGGCTTCCCATTCTCGCCATGGAAGTGAAATAGTCGTCATTATCGGTATTTTCAATGGTGATGGAATCAGTTCGGCGATGGGCTGACCGTGGAGGGTCATCAGCAGGTGTGCTTGGAGCGCTGGACTTGGGGGAGTCATTGACGTGGGGAATCTGGGGTAGATTGAAATCCGGTGCCTTGTGGTCGTATGCTCGGATCTTGGGTGATGGTTGATTTGAATCATTACGCTTGAGAATACCCTTCTTCACAGCGGCCAAAACCTCAGCACGCTCCTTCTCACCTCCAACAATGCTGCGGCGGGATCTTGTATCACTCGAAACTGTACCGCTATCAAAAGATAGCTTCGTATCCACAGAGTTACGCTCCAATTTGGGAAAGCCGGTGCCACCCCCAGCCTGATCATGTGGGTTCACATTGACATTGACCTTCTCGCGTTCGGCTTCGACCGTGACCATAGAAACTTGAGCGACAGGAGCCTGATCGATGGGCCCATCAGCAGCAGGTACACCAATGACGGATTTTGGCCTGAACAAACCAACCAGCGATCGTGTACCTTTCTTGACGCCTTTGCCCATTTTACGGAGCATGATAGACGCAGACGAGGCGGTAGATGAGATCGACAGGTTGTCCGTTGAGCCAGTAAAGAATTGCCCTTGGCCAGAATAAATACTTTCGCCTAGACCCGCAGCCTCTTGCTTTTCGGCAATACGGGCCTGCTCCGGTTCCAGCTCATCCTCATACTTTGAGGTTCGTTTTGCTGCGGTGGATGTCTTGTTGGCCAAGCTCTTTTCATGGTTGTTCTGCGCGGTGGCTTTCCGCAGCTCTGCGGCACTGCCAAACGAAAAGGCTCTTCGCAGTTTCGACTTTGATTTCTTTGCATCTTTTTGGCTCAATGCAGCAAGCTGTTCAGCAGCAGGGCTCGAGGAAGGTTGAGGTTGGTTGGATGATGATACTGTCGGCGCTTGGGGTTTCTTATCCATGTGTTCTGAATTGAGGTTGACAGGACGGGATAAGGGAGAAGGCTGTCGGATGCTAGAATCTCGGGCGTGAGAATGGGCGGTGAGGCGAGTTTCCTGCCTTAAACCTGTTGCAGGGGTTTGGGTTGTGCTCAAGGGGCTAGTGGCGGGTTGATCCGCTCGGGCCTGAAGATTGTCAGTAAAGCAGGTTCGCAAAGACTCGGACAAACAAGATCCTTGACTTACCGAACCTGGACGTGATGAACGACCCGATCTTGATGAGGTTCTACTCTCCGAACTTGCTGAATGAGAATGAGCGGGCCTTTGCCCATGTCCATAAGCAGGTTGTGTTGGGTGCGGCTGTTGTACGGGTTGTGGTTGCTGAGAGCCTAGGAAGGCGTTAGGGTGGGGAGAGGATGTTTCCTGGGGATCTGCCGAATGTATCAAGCCAGCTGTCTCGATATTACCCAAACTTCGTCGACGATATCTCGCGGCCAAATCTGGGGTCTGGTTTCTTCCCAACTGCAGATCATCCGCACTTGAGTTTTTGCTCCCAGATGGTCCATATGTGGATCCTCGATACGAAGTCTGAGAACTCAAAGACGGTGTACTACTCGATTGTGATGGATGGCTGTACAGTGATCCTACCGCAGCCATACCGGAACCTGAAGGTAGAGCAGAATTCATGGCAACGCGGTTTGGGCCACTCTCACCCTCAGTGCGTTTTCCAACCCTTCGATATCGATCCGGGGATGGCTTCGCGGTGACAGGGGACTGTGAGGGTCCCATGAAAGAACCTGTGGATGGTATTATGGGTAGACCTATGGACAATCGACTTCCAGCATCGATCTGTGGTAGGTCCGTTGGCGAAGATGGTTGGGATGAGGATTGAGACACTTGTGGGACTTTTGGGGCAGACATTGATCTCCCAGTAGTAGGTACGTTGCCACGATACTTGCCGTTGGCAAGTTGTGGAGTTGAAGTAAATGCATATGGTGCCACTGGTCCGGTCGGTGGTAAACCTCGATAGCCTGTTGCAGAGATATTGTTGTAACGGTTGGCCTGGAAATTTCGGGATTGTGGCTGCGAGGATTGAGAAGGATATGCCCCTGTGTTTTGAGAGGCATAGCCTCCAGCAGAGGAGGGTCGACCGAGCATGGTGATGGTGGCAGTTTGGACGGGCAGTGTTTGAACCAAAGCAGCCATGTTTTTCTTTCACTCGAGATGAAATCTTCTGTTCCAGTCAAACAGGATCAAGACCAGTTCGTGTCTTGACAGGCCTTGTCTGGGTTGGTGTTGGGGCTGGTTCAGGAGACACGGCAAATAACGACGTGCTTACTGTGATCTTGTCAGTCAAGTGTCCGGGGACGTGATTCAAATCAACATGCTGACCATACCGGATGTCTGGATATAGTTGATGGGTTTGGCTATTGAGGTATATAGAATTCAATTACTCGGTATGGAGGATTGACCTGATAGCCAGTTGAAAGACAGGTAGAGGAGAATTTTCGGGTGGGAGTCGGTATCAAGGTTGACAGGAACGAACGAAAGTTGATTAAGAAATCGTAATGGACGAAGAGAGGGATTTCAGAAGTGAACAAGGGCTAGAAAGAAGCCCGGTGGAATTTGACCCAAGATTCGAGCTTGAGGAAGTTGACCCTGAGCTCACGAAACGAATGTGGCACCCGCGTCCAGGTACGTTGCTGAGATGGAGGGGGCAAAGAGGTAATGGAGAGAGAGGAAGGGAGCAGAGAAACAAAAACGTATAAAGAACAAAGTCGGAAGAGAAGAGGGAAGGATGGATGATGGGATGATGGGATGATGGTGGTTGAGAGTTTGTGGTGTGGAGGAAAGAAGAGATTCCCAAATAATTGATAGGAAAGGCCAGGCAAAGGAGCAGGAGTGCAGCGCAGGTGGTGATGCCAGCCTGAGTGCCAGAGTCCGGTGTCAACGATGGTGAAATCGTACCGTAATGGTTCCGTGGTGGTGGAATGCCTTGTTCCTTGGGCAAGTTACTCGGCACCTAGGCAGGTGGTACGGTACCTAAAGCCTACTCGTCCTGTTAAAGGCCAGCGCAGGCAAGGCGTGGGGACTCACGGTCAAGAAAATGCCAGTTCGGCGGCGGTGGTACCAAGTGGGTTAGGTGCCAGACTACCAGTATGGAGTACCCAGAAATTCAACTGCTAAGCAGCACCAGTGGCAGCTAATATTGCCTTGCAGGCAGTTTTGGCGGCCAAGGGTCACAGGGTCATGAGAGCGAGATGGGAGGGGCACTCCAGGCTAAGCGTACTGTACCGGGATTGGTTTAGGCACGCTTCAGGGACGAATTTTAGCACGCGAAAGATCTGAACGGGACTTGGACAACAAGGCACACAGAGACAGGGATGGAGGGAGTTCCCCCCTTTGCAAGTGCAGCGGTGCGGCTACGTAAAAGTGGGCGATGGCATGACTGGACTTGGTCCAAGCTTCGATTTTCCTGGAATGTTTGGTGGTTTATACAACATCTTGAACGCGCTTCCTGGTCTTTGTTATTAGTTTCCACAGATGGAGATGCGTACTGTTCCAAAGCCGAAATGCCAGGCCATGGCCCTGGGGCCGGGCGTGCAACTCTCTCCTGTCCTCGGTGCGTGTGCTTTGTGTTCTACCCTCATTGCGTGAGACTCTCGTACGGACTCGATGAATTGCAAGGTCGCAGGTTCGGTCTCGCCTGGACGAGTCGTCATCAAGATTTCTCTAAGGAGAGTGCAGGGTATAATGCAGATGACGACCAGGGCTACGCGCGAAGGAAGGTCCGCCAAAGACGATCCGTGGAGCCAAGTGAGCAAATGGTTTCTCCAACAGGAGAGGCGCAGTCATGGACCATCAAGCCATGACCAACTAATTGGACGCGTGAAATCTGAAGTTCGTGACTTTTGGAGGTCAGCAGTGGATCTTGCCGTCCGGGCGCTTTAAGCTGCATTTAGGCACCCCCACCCACCCCTGGAAACTGCAGTATTGCAATACCCTACCTAGGTACGAGGTAAGTAATGAACCACCAGGGCAATCTCGAAACTTGGAATGTTCACGTCTTCAATAACACATCACTCTTCTTCCTCTTCCACCTGCTGTGAAACATCGAAATTCGATCTTCAATAGACGTACCTACCCAAGATAGAAAATCTTGGTAGCGTCATGTCGATCAACGCGAATAACAGTGATCATGTCCCACGCAGTACACCCAAATTATGCCTGATGTCTCTCCTTTGACGGACACTGCTGCAGTTTATCCGTAAGCTATGCCCGGGAGGTAATGGCGCCCGTAATTCGCTGCCTCAGACTGGCAAATTTGACTTGTTGCCATTTCTGACTTGTTCAATACCATCTCTTCTTCTTGTTGCAACGATGCTTGCAAGGGCCCGTCCTGACCTGCACAACTTGAACCTTTGCAGCTGTAGTTCGGACTTGTGCTGCCTCTCAGTAACCTTGCCGAGTTTTTCTCCACGGAAACCCGTACAGATACTGTGTCTATTAGATGAGAGTGCTGCAAGGACTGGTCAACTATGCATCTTGCCACTACACCGGCATAAGTACCTAGTACCTGGGCAGTAGGTATGTTTGCCCTGGTACCACAAGCGACCTTCTCCAACCCCGAAGCTTGCGTCACAATGCCCCCTCTGATGTCCCGTGCTTTTTTTTCATAATTTGACCACGATGATCACTGGAATTATTTCCCACCGATGCTTGTGAACATTCCTGCCCGTCGCCATTCCTTTCGAGGCCCAGAGGTTGCTTCGTCCGTTTGAGTTTAGCAAGTGCAACATTTACGAGGTGCTCCGGACGACTGCTCGGTAAGCTACTACAGGGTTTGATATCCACTTCCTTCCAGTCATGCCGAATAGAAGGACCAAGCACCGAAGGACTTGAGTGTGGAACAGAAGTCCCCTCACCATCTTGCCTGGCTAGATCGATCCTGAAAGCCACATGCCGCCTCGATTCTTTCCTTTGGCCTCCCACATGCAATCAAGTTGAGGACAACAAGCATAACACATGCACTGGCATTATTATGATTGACTAGCTGCAGCCTCATGCAGATATGTTTCATGTGCATTGTCCCATCTCGTGTGATAAGCGAAGGGCGAATGATTCTGACACCTTCCATCCACTTGACCCCGAGGTGAATGCCCACACCTTGTGGTGCACCCAGTCCTTTAACCATGCTCTTCTCATGACATCCACGCAGACTGAATGAATCAAATGTCCGATTCAAAGTCCGGGAAAAAAGGCCAACTCGGGGAATTATATTGATGCCTCCTCGTGAATTACCACGCTCGGCATGATCCTGATCACCTTATATGAGCAGATGAAATTGAAGCTCCCTGCTTACAGATGAGGGTTCGAAAATTGACATTATCTGCAAGATTCAGGCACAGATCATCCACGACCAACCGTCCATCCCGTGTTGCATCGCTCCACCATGAAGGGGCAAAATTTCTTCTCCGCCATCACTGCCCAAATGCCTCACCGGGACAAACCACAAGAAAGTGGTCTGATTGTTTCTCTGTCCCATTGCAAAAAGTGAGCCTGATGAATTTGCTTTCAATCTACATACTTAGGTACATACTCTGGCACCGTCATGCCTCCGTACTCGGCTCTCCGGAATATGTACTCCGTATCTGCTGTCCCACATTTAGCTTTTGAAAAGTGCGGGGGAATATTTTTGTTGGGACCAAACCACCGTTCCCTCTGGGTGGCTTTCATGCCTTTTTTCTTTATCCATGACTCGTATGACTTCGCTCCCCTCGCTACACAGCTCGGTACCTAGGGCAGACATCCACTGCAGGACATTGATCTCGTACTGTCGCTCCGATACGTTAGCAAAATGTTCTTGTACGAAGATACCCTGGAGGATATTTCAAACTTACACTGATAGTGTGCGGTTCGTGGACAGCACCAGGATCCGTTGTCCGGTTTCTCCCCAGATTCTATTCCTGACCTTGACAGTGCAGATATATTTTGCTCTACTCGTCGCTAGCTTGCTGTACGAGCCGAACGCCCCATCGTCGAGGAGGGAACCCCATGTCTCACTTGTCTGTGGCCCGCGCTAGTGGAGATCGTTGATCGAGAGAATATCCAGAGCTGTATTGATATTCCCACCACTCAGACTCAAGTATCTACTCCGTACAGCAAGGGAGTCAATTTGAAAGTATGAGTAGTTGTAGCGATCTCAGCTCTGGAGACCGACTCCCCTCCTCCTTCAAGATCTATGGACTGTAGTCTCCCAAGTTCTTCCATTCGTGCGAGAGAGAAAAAACCCCCCGCGATTGACTGACTAGGTACGAAGTAGCTTTAAGGTACCTAGGTCATCATGCCTTGTCCATATCTCTAGTGACAGCTTACTGTGTGGTGGTGGAATGAATCTGAGTTTGGATCTTGATACCAAGAGATGATGTGCATCAGAAATCTGGCTTTCCGGTTCTAGATCTCCCCTCCTTCAAGATCTACTCAACTCTGCCGCCGCATCTGATTTGGACGATTCGCCTTTATGGTAACGTCATGATACTTTGTAGTATATTCGCAGACTTTCACTCTACTGTCACACTTTTATAGGTACGCAGTCGATGCAGTGAGATCCAAACCAGATGTTGCTCCCACTGGCAGTCATCGAAAAGCCACCATCTACGCCATTGCACGCCCGCTCCCAAGATGTGATCTGGCGGCGCCTTAGCTTCCCCACTTTCACGTAGGACTAGCTTCCTCGATAGCAGGTAATGAGCGATTTGTGAATGTTCATTCTATGAACCACAATAATCCGGCTAACCGTGCAATGCATCCTGGCAGAAGATGGGGCCGCTGACATTCCAATTTGAAAAATAGCCTTGTCAAGCTGAGTCAGTTACACCCTTCCAAACCCCCCTCTGCCGAAGTGCTCAGACACCGGTAAACCGCTTTCCAAGCATCGAGGCATTCTGAAACGCCTAGATTGTAGAGAGTTTGGTCGTATTGTAAGGACGAGCAGGTGGGTCGTTCGACAAGGATGAAGATGTACATACCGCACTCAACCTAACTACGAGTAGTTGCCGGCCAACAATTGCAATGCCACTCTTTTCATCTCGGGTTCCCATCCTTGATGAGGCTGCGAGCCACTTACCAGTTGACCAGCACTCCGACCTGCTTGGTCGTGCAGTCGACATCTTCTTGCCACTTTCACGACGGTCAAAACCAACTCGATGATTCCGTGTCAACACTCGAGCAAAGACTCCCACGTCAGTCCTGCTGTACTATCTGCAAGCTCCGGGAACATGTCTGTCTCTTCGGGTCATGTGTTCTCAATGCTCTTATGAGATATTTGCGGGCAACTTCGTAGAACATGACACAACAGGACGCAGAGCATGGATCATTCTACGTTGATATCGGTCCAGTAACTTGACATCGGAAGTCGGTGCTTGACACTTGGACGCAGTGACGTTGGCTTTTCTGACCGACTCTTCGAAACGGCCACGTTTACAATCCGACTGTTCGGTATCGTTGTCGCACAGCAGGACGCCTGCGACAACTGATCGCCGACCTCTGAGATCATGAGCCCCCGCGCAGCAGCGACAGTGCGTTAATGCGCTCCATGATCTTGATTCTCGCTTTTCGGATTCGACTAAGGCCCTGGGCCGTTCTTACAGAGAGCGGTTGTACCACTCTCACAGTTGCGAGACTTCACGCTCTCCCATTCAGCATAGCATGGGTAGACAAGTTGAGCTTTTAGTTCTCGAGATGATAGACATTGTTTCGATGAAGTGAGTTGAGTGGAAGTCACATTGCGTCTTACCTGATTTAGCGTTCACTGCCCACTGATGATTCAACAAATAACAAACGTCGCGCTGTTAACTAGTCTTGGGTACTCCTCCCCATCAGAAATCTGGTTTGTGCAGGACTCAGCCATTCCCGTGGGCTTAACAGCAGCACCAGCAGTCGATGGGCGACGTCATGTGGGTTTCCTAACCTCTTAGTCAGGCACGCCCCCGGCGGCTGTCAGTGGTCACCCAATTGTCAAGCCTTCCCAAGTCCTGCCTCAGGCGTCCCATAGGGTAAACCTTAACCTTCCCGAAGCTTACCTCAATCAGAATAACCCGCGAGCAAGTGCAAGCAAGTCCAGAGTCCAGGTTGAACGGCGCTCGCGATGGCCTCGCGAAATGCCAACTTCGTGTTGATCACCACAAGAGGGGTTTCTCACGAGCTCCAGTATGAGGGGGCCTATTGTGTGTGGGATAGAGCCCGTATTGCACAGGGAGCCATGCTCTATAAAGATAGAGAACACTACTGTTCGTCTTCATGCTGGCCACTTCTCAACCAACTTCTGTTTCCAACATTCACTGTTCTATCTATCAACCCCGCGCGAATTCATTCTTCGTGACACCTAACTTACACCATTTATACATTTGATATTTGAGCCTTCCTCATTATTCGCAACCATGCCTATCATCAGTAAAGTTATCAAGGGCGTCGGAGCAGGTATTGGCATGGCTTCTGAAGCCGTTGCCGATCGCAAGGAGAAGAAAGCGGCTAAAGAGCGCGGTGTCTCCCCACGTCCCGCAGAAGCCTCGAAATCACGGGATGCATTAAACGACAACAAGAATACACGCAATGACGACTCTGATTCAAGTAGCAGTGACGACTCTGACCTTGAAACTGACCGCGCTGTTTGGGCTCTTGACGAGGCTGCTCAAGATCTCGAAGAACAGCCACCAGCATACGATGAATCAGAAGCGACGACAACATTGGAGCCCAACGAGATTGCAAATTCCTTTCTTCAAACTCATCAGATCCACAATAATCCCCAGCAGGATTTGAAACCCCTCCCAAATCCGGTCATCCTCCCACAAAGGCGGCCAAAAAACAAGATCCGTGGATTTGTGCGTGCCTATGCCCCACTCCTTGGTGAGTGCGCCGGCATCGACCAGAAGACATTCATCGACTTTGTGAACGACCTGGACCGCGCCTCCAAGGCGAGCCCAGTGTTTGATGTGATCAATGTGGCATGTTTCGCCGTTGGGATGATTCCCAACCCGATTGCCATGGCTGTGACCACAGCCGTTCAGGTCGCCAGTCGGACCGCTCAAGAGGTTCAATCACGTTACCGTCGAAATACGTATCTCGATCAAATCAACGAAACACTCTTCAAGCCTCGCGGCCTTTACTGCATGATCATGACTTTCAAGCCAGATGATCCACACCACCCAGTCCTTAGTGTCAATGTCAGGTCCCAGGATTCTACAGATCAGGCTCTTCTCAAAGCGACGTCCAACCCAGACTCTGATATGCGCAGCAAAATGAAACAACTTCGACTCACCTCAGGCAAGACTAAGGGAGAGCTTTCCCTGCCAGAGGCTGCTCCACTGATTTACCCGGCTGTCGACGCGGCGGCCCAATCGGCTCTCGAGGCCGAAGATGGAGGTACAGGAGTGGCACCCCCGGAGAAACAGCAGAACGCGTTCAAGGCCGCCGGGTCGTTCATGGCCACCTACCTTGACCGGCGAGCCCAAGCGAATTATGCGGGGATGACGCCCAATTCGAAGCTGGTAGTGCCGCAGGAGAAGAAGTTCGCATCTCGCTATTCCGACCCCAACCACCCTGCCAACTCCGGCACAATCATGGGTCTTCTGACAGGTGGCAGATTCGACCCCAAGGCGCGACGCAGAGGAGAGCGCGCGCAACGTCGTGCAAACAGGAGAGGCTACCAGCTCAGTGAGGCGGACGTCCAGAATGCTGAGATGGGGCGGCTTCCCAGACGGAGAAAGGGGCTCATTCGCCGTGCTCTGCAAAAGGATGTCCTATATCTGACGGTGGTGAATTTACCAAGCGAAAGCGTGATGAAGGAGTTGGCGCAGGAATGGGCAAGGTTGAATGCAGAGAAGTAACGTTGACTTGGGCAAATGGAATGGTTCCTTGCGTTCATTCTCACATTGTGGTTTACCGCAGCTATGTCTTCGTTTTTAATGGGTCACCGAGTAGATCTTCACGTGTTTCATAGCTAAATGATTCCCGAGAACTATTTCCTAGCGAGGAGTAATGAAGGAGGTATAATGAATTTTTACACCTAGGCACTTAACTATTAATCTTCGTGCTACTGTATTTATCCAGGCTTGGCCACATTTATTCGCCCCTGTAGTGTCAGTACGAGTGACAACACTTACTGGACGACAGCGAGATGTCAAGTAATTATCCAGCGTGTCACAGACGCATTAAAGGTGATCAGGGCGCTCCCGCTCTGGTCCCATGTTCATGGCAACGTTGGTCTGTGCTTTCGATAAACTTCGAAGATTTAATTCCGTTTCCAGCTCTCCATTGAACCCAAATCCAGAAGGGATGCATCCATAACGGGCGAAGCAAACTCACCGACATCCCGCTGGATGCCCGTGACCATCATTTCTCGACTCTTGTCTTCTTCGCAATTGCACAGCTTCCAACATTGCATGTGCGACCTTGAACATGAATTGACAAGTCTTTTATGCCACCCTCGAGAATTACCCCAGCCACTATGCGATGTCGGAACATCCTTTAGAGCTCTCGCTAGCAGAGAAGCTTGATCTCATCCCGGCATTTGCTTCGATCAGTGAGTCGCACCAACCTCATTCTGTCAGCAACTACGTCCTTATTGACCATGGACAGCCTTGGCGGCCTCGATAGCAGCTGTGGAATGGCCGTTCCGTCGAACCAATAGGTCGGACACATTTTACCATCACGTCGTGCATGCAATAGTACGCCAGGTATGGATTTCAGATCCCACGTTCATAGTCTTCTCCGCTAAATATTCCAAGTTCTCAGGGCGCCTAAGTGTTCCTCAAGCACGGTATCTGTCCCACTGCCTGCCTTCTTTGATAGTTGGCAGAGACTGACTCTCCCCTTGCCAGCTGGGTAGAGCCTTCCTTTAACAGTGCATACCAGAAATGGTGTGCTTCACGTGCCATCAAGCCTGATATCATCAATATCTCCTCGCAGACGTATGGCTATTGGCTTGGCAGTTCGTCCTCCAAAGCGGTCCTGGTTTTTTTCCATGGTATGCTTCCCGAACACATCGAGCCAGCTAGATTGCAACTTACATCTACAGGCGGTGGATTCGCGTTTCCGGCCAATAGTGGCCATCTCAGCTTTCTGAGTTCAATCAAAGACTCTATGGAGGCGCAAGGCTTGTCATTGTCTGTTCTGATCGTTGATTACCCATTGACGCCTCTGACCACTTTTCCTACTCAATTCCAAGAAGCGGTCAATGCGGTCAGATATGTTCTGGAGACCTGTGGCTTTGAGCCATCCCAAATCATTATTGGAGGGGACTCTGCGGGAGGTAATCTTGCTGCAGCGGTAGTTCTTCATTGTGTTCAGCCTTCAGATCTCGTTGCTCCCCTTGCTGCTGTGTCATCGGCAAGCAGATTCAGGGGCCTTGTGCTACTTTCTCCCTGGGTTTCCTTCGATGTCACCTTGCAGAGCTTCACAAAACCCCCGGGTAAGGACTACATTCAGGCTGCATCAGAGAAAGCCTGGAGCGACAGCTATCTCAACGAGAGTGGGCCTTGTATTTATAGCGAGCCTGGTCTCGCATCTGCCACGCAATGGAAAGATATTCCTGTGCAAGACATTCTGGTCACAGCCGGCGCTGACGAACTTCTCCTCGACGGCATCACGAAGTGGGTGGATGATATTAAGGTGCTCAGCTCTCATTCATCGCTTAACATTGTTGCCTAAACTGACGTGGAGGATCTAGGTCCACAACACAAATATTACTTACAGCATCGCGCCTGACGAGCCCCACGAGGCTCCGATCATTTGGTCAGCATTTGGAGGTCGACGAGTAACCGAAACGGAACGGAGGGTTGACGCGTGGCTCAAACGGTGTATATGATGCACTAAACTGATTGGTCTCCTAATCAATTGGTTGTCTGATCCGTGAATCCTGAATGTTTGATCCATCATCCTGACTATGCTGTAGGGAGATAAGTATTTTGCTCCAAAAACGCCAGTAGGATTCAACGGTTCCAAGGATGCCTGGGAACATCCAGGCTGTGTTTGGAAATAATGGCGCGCACTCCTGACTAAACTCTAACATCGTATGTACTACCTTTAAGGCACCCATGCTTTCCAGTTCGACTTCTTTGGAACTCGTAATCAAGTGGCTACATGCGGTATTTGCGTTCAAGTTGAGTTGCGTGATTAACCTGAAGTCGTTAAACGGTAGGTACGAGTGACATTCCGACCACACAATAAAAGGACACGAAGGTGCGAAAGGTAACATGAATTAGGTTAGCCTTCACGCGTGCACGGCCACTGATCTCTCGTATATTGAGGAGTTTAAATGGAGGAGGAGGGGGAGGGAATCAATACAAGTGGCCCCCGAAATAGCCTTGAGCCTTTACCGCGCCTAACCAGCTCTAGAGCACGTCAGTGCCCCAAGAGCCCTGGTTCCGTAGCCCTAGGCGTCCGTGCGCTCAGCTGGACTGACCCCCAAACGGGATACACAACCGAGCAGTTTCGATGGTCCTCGACTGGGATTAGTGTTCATGGCGGAGTACATCGTACATTAAGGATTTTGTATGGGAAGGCTCAGCTGCCTTTGTGGAACTGGTGACCTTATTCGTCGACCTGAAGTTGACTTCAATCAACCGCAATGGTGTGCGACGTGGTAGGAGGAATGGACCGAAGTTTCGTAAATCCACTACCTTAATGAACGAGGGTATCATCTGGCATGGGCCTTGGTGATCCAATATATGTAGAGCCCCTCCTTCTCTCGAAGCTAGAAGCCCACAGAGTTGAGCCATCTTCGTCCCATTTTCCTTCTTGTATTTGTAACAATAATGGATGCTGGAGAGACAACCGCCCCGGCCCCAGAGCCGCAAGCCTTTGAGATTACGCAAAAATCACATACCACCACAATCACTTTATCGGGTCCTTCAGAGCCGACTATCCAGGTCGTCGACGAAGAGTCGGTGACCATCGTCAAGGATACAGCAACAGCGGCACCAGCCAAGGAAAAGAAGCAGAAGAACAAGCAGAATAAACAAAAAGCTTTGCCGGCACCCAAGGCCCCGGATGTTCCCTTCTATCAAAAGCTGGGAGAGTCCCTCCTCCGCCAAAGCCAAGAAGAGACAGTTTTGCTGTCACCCAGGGCCAGTCTCGTAAACCTGCGCGATTCGACGGATAGGACAAGGACCGCATCCTCAGACCTTCTCAGCCCTCAAGCCCATGCCTCACGCTTTCGATCAAAGAGCCGCGATCGTAGTCACAGCCGCAGCCGAAGCCGCAGCCGGGCTGGTAGAGAGGCGGAGAGCGATGATAGTGTCAGCACTGGATCGCTATCGGAAATGGAAGCCAAGGATCCCTCCGTCAACGCAAACTTGAAAGGCAGCTTATATACGCTGGACGATTTCAAGCGTCTCGAAGCCATCAACAACCTCATCGCCAGATATGGCTCCGTCTCTCACATGAGCGTACGTGACCCCACTTACTCATTTTGGCTCAACAAGACACGTACGGCGGCCGTACACTTCAAGCTCCTAAACAAGGTGGCTGTCCTGGCAGGAGACCCTTTGTGTGCCCTGTCAGCCATGCCTTCGACGCTGGAAGAGTTTGAGAGATATTGTCGCAAGGCCGGTTGGAAGACATCCATCATTGGAGCAAGCTCTGCACTGATGGAGATTGCCAAGCTCAAGAAGTGGCCTGTCATGCGCTTTGGTACCGAGATGGTCATCAACCCCATGACAAACGAGGTCTTGCTGGGCAAGAGTGGAAAACGTACCGTCACACAATGTCGCCAATTGCTCGATCCTGCCAAAGGGGGACTGTCGCTGCACATCTATGTGCCACAGAGAGGGCGCGATCTTGTGCTTGAGGGTGCTCTCACCAAGATCTACGACGACTGGCGAAACGATCGAAACACGAATCGAGACTGCCAGGCGTTCATCACCGTCTTCGAAATGTTCTCACTGCCAAACTTGATGACGTTTATTTACACCAAGGAGGCGGGTGGAAAGATCAATGGGTTCGCCGCGCTGCGTTCAATGGCCGACAATGGATATCATATTGACCCATTCATCCAAACCGCCGACGCGCCACGAGGCACTTCAGACCTTCTCATTTTCGCGTCTCTCGCTTACCTCCGCGCCATCGGAGTTCCTTACTTGGGCATTGGACATGAGCCGGTCTCCGAACCAGACGTGCTATACAACATGCCGTCTCTTGTCATCAGCGCAACACGACGCATATACCGCCATATCTTTGGCCGACTCCCCGTCGGCGGCAAAGAGGCCTTCAATTCACGGTGGAAACCAGACGAGGAACAATGCGTCGGCTTATACCTGATATTCGTCGGAAAGTCGACCCCCAGTCCCAAACACTTACTGGCAATGACGCACTTTGCCAACATCAGTCTGAGGAGCGTGGCCAAGGCGGACTGGAAAGACCTCAAGGCGGAGCTGGCCAAGAACATCAAGGTGCCCACGCCGGATCCTGGGTTGGCGATGATTGGGTCAACGAGGCCTTTCATTGATGTTCAGAGGCCTCTCATGACCAAGTCTGTCAGCTCGCCCTCGGCGTTGTAGATGTCAGTGTGCGAATTTAGCCTGTATGCTATAATGAAGGATTGGGAGGGCGCGGAAATACACGATTGTACTTTAGCTTCTGCAACAGACTTACTGATTTGTTTAAAGGCGACGTTTCAGCTCAATACGGATATGGTGATCATTTTGCGAAGCATTGCATATATGTCAATCTAATGAAAAGGAAAACGTTCCTGGTAGCTCAAAATATCGTTCTGTTGCATTAACTTTTATGGTATCGTCGAAGTCCTGACCTCTCGTCGGCCCCCAATGTCAAGTAATTTCCAATGACACGGCTTCTCCTCGGCTATCAGCCCTTCCTTGGCAGAGCGCGTTCAATGTCAGGGAAACAGAGGTAAAAGAAAGCCCTATTTTCCCTCTGACGTTCTATCTGAGTTAGACCTGCTCGCTGTATTATTGCCATTTTCTGCTTGTATACGGAGTACTATTTATTCGTTGAAGCGATCATGTCACCGATCTCCTGATATCTACAGCTCTGGCCAAACGTAAACGCGGCCAATCAGCGGATTAGGGAAAGCTGCTTACGCAGCGCTGCAATGAATAAGCGGCACTTCAGCTGGTTTAAAAGCCTGGTGGGTAAAGTCGTCTTAGATGTAGGTGAAAAGCAATGGTACTTACAAAACCCTATGATTGCGAAGAAGCTGTCCTGTTCTTCACACGGTACCCTCCGAGTCACGTATTCCCAGATTCGATTGATCAGGACTGTCACACCTCAGTTGAGACCATCCATATTGAGGTACCCTTCCACGTGGCGCAGCGCTCCAACCCGGCAATTTTCGCGTTGTTCATCAAAGTCCCAGAACTGGGCTGCTTCCCAGGAAACGAGAAGAACAATGAGTCGACGAGCTCCGATCGAAGCACAGAGTGTTGATGCACCGCTAACATCATCTGCCACCTTCCTGGTGCTTTCTGTCACCGATGCTCCGAATGCGGTTTCAAAGGTCCGTTCGGCTCTAGCGAGCATTGCGGATTTGACCAAGAATGTTGCAATTCGAGATCTGAACGCTCAGTTCGCTGCGACTGTTGGAATTGGGAGTGATGCCTGGGATCGGGTGACTGGTCTTCCTAGACCCGCTGAACTGCATCCATTTCGCGAATTCAAGGGCTCCAAGCACACGGCTGTCGCAACTCCTGGGGACTTGCTCTTTCACATTCGAGCGAACCGTCGAGACTTGTGCTTTGAGTTCGAACGGCAGCTGATGGACCTACTTGGAGATTCTGTCAAAGTGATCGATGAGACCGTGGGCTTCAGATACTTTGATGCACGTGATCTGCTCGGCTTCGTGGATGGCACGGCGAATCCGGTCGGAAACGCGGTGAATGATGCAGTTGTCATCGCCGAAGAAGACTCATCGGGCGTCGGGGGAAGCTACGTTGTGATTCAGAAATACCTGCACAATCTGCAAGGCTGGAAAGGTCTGAAGACCGAGCAACAGGAAGCAATAATCGGACGGACAAAGAGCGATAATATCGAGCTCGATGACGCGGACGGCGACAAACAAAAGGCGCACAAGCAGCTCGCAACTATCGAGGACGAAAACGGCGATGAGCAGGACATCTTGCGCGATAACATGCCCTTTGGTTCACCAGGGGCGGGAGAGTACGGCACCTATTTTATCGGGTATTCTAGAAAGCTGTGGGTAATTGAAAAAATGCTGGAGAAGATGTTTGTCGGTGACCCTCCAGGTCTTCACGATCGCATTCTGGATTACTCGACTCCTCTGACCGGGACGACTTTTTTTGTGCCGTCTGCGAGTGTGCTAGATAGTTTTGGTGATTGATCATCTGCAATCCTACAAAGGGATTTTGTGGGCAAGTTCAAGGAGATCCGTCGTAGTTTTGCATATATAAGTTTCTGGCCAGCTCTAATAACTTCGTCCTCTTCAATACTGCTTAAGAAAAGTTGGCGCTGGATAGACCTTCGGACTCAGTGATCACCACCCTGACAAGATGACAGCGTGATTGGTCAAATTCGCATGGTCCCGCTAAACCTCTCTTGGTCACACAGGAAGTCAACACCGATCTCGAGTTGGAGTGTGTCAGAGTTGGGGATCGAGTTATCGAAGGTGTTCCTATTTTTGACTCTTTGCCATTGTCCAAGGCGATGACTATCACCTAGGTACTCAGGTGGGCCCAACCTGATCCCGATATGAATTCCGTATCTTCGCACAAAACACTATGGGCTGGTGGCTACTTTTTCCAATACGAAACAATCTGATTCACGGTTTTTCCCCCAAGAAAAACATTGGACATGATTGCAAGATCATTCAACCATTGCAGCTTGCTAAAATCGGTCGCTGTTGATTCACACGAGCGCGGACCGCTGTCTTGATCCGACTGCGCTGTTAGCCATTGTTTCCACTTCTATCTCATGGCCGGGACACGATCTCGTGACCGAACGTTTACAGGATGTTGGACATGTCGGTCCCGCAAGGTGAAATGTGACGAGAACAAACCTACCTGTCTCTCTTGTTTGCGAATGGGATTGAAATGCACTGGGTATGCATCCAAACTGATCTGGGTTTACGACGATAATGTGCCATCTCGATCGACTGGTCGACGCTATATGAAGTGCGAATCTGTGTGGGAGAATTTCCCCGTGCTACACTCTGACGTCGTGGACTATCTAATCTCGGAGTGCGACAGCGAGACCGACGATTCTAGCAGGACCTCAGGTATCATGTCAACAACCGCTCTCCGTTCGAGTCACAATCCCTTCAGATTTTTTCGTCTTCAGAAGCTGAGCACCACACCTGAAATATCTGCTAGCTTGTCGTCGCCAGGGTCGATTGAGTTGATCAGCGACGACCTTGACGAGAAGCGACTATTCCATCATTACATCAATCACGTCGCAATCATTATGATGCCATTTGAACACATGCGTAATCCGTGGAAATCATCGTACCCTGCAGTTGCAATGATCGACGACACAACTAATCGCAACGCGCTCTACAATGCCCTACTAGCACATTCAGCTTCCAATTTGGCTCAATTGGGGGTACACAAGGATAAAATGGAGCGTCTTGCAACCAAGTACTACACTCTGGCTCTTGGACAACTAAGAGCGTGTATTGCCGACGATGAAAGCAACTATGCATTCATAGTCGCTGTAATAATGACAGTAATGATGGTTGAAGTTTGTACGCCCGACCTTGCTTTATCTGTCCCACTTTCTAACTCTTTATAAATAGATATATAGCGGAGCCACTCAAACCTGGAGGCATCATCTCAAAGGGGCGTGGTCGTTCTTGTGCCAAATGCAAAAGTCAGCGCCATGGTTGGAATCCGACTTCGCTTGCGTCTCGACCCAAAGTCTTCATATTATCAACATCATTACCGGCACCACGGCCTTTGGTGAGAAGTCAATATCTGATGGACTCAGCACTTTCCTCGATGAAAGAGATACTTCGGTCCATGACGGAGTGCTGACAACGTCAATCATGTCAACCGCAGATTTTGGATTCACAATTGGGGGCTCCAAAACAATACTGGATTGCATTTCTAGGATTTCAAAGCTTGCAGAACAACGAGAAATTGGCATAGCATTCCCATCATACGACCTGGAACTCACCAACATTTTATCGTGTCTCCAAGAATCTGAGCCCATATTGGACTGTTCGGCAACTCATGATGAGATCTCATACAGCTCGGTTGGCTCATCACACCCGTTCACTGTACCCGATGTGGCCTATCACCAACATAAGGCTTTTGTCCTTGCTACTTACATTTACTTGTTTAGGGTGATTTTTGACTTGCCTCCCCAAGACTTGACCATTTATGTCAACGAAACTTTCAAGCACATCTCTGCATTTTCAAAGGTCAACAGTGGCAATTTTTCTCTGTGGCCAGCTTTCATTGCCGCAGCAGAAGCGTGCACTGCTGAAGATAAAGATCTTGCAAACGACTGGATGAACAACGCAGGATCCTTTGGCCTAGGAAACAGAATATTGGTCAAAAGAGTAATCGAGGAGATATGGACTAGGAGGAAACTCCTCTCTGAGAAGTCCGGCCTGGACCAGAGTTGTATCAGAATTGACTGGAGAGAGGTGATGCATGACCTCGATTTGGATGTTCTTTTGATCTAGGTGGAAACCGCAAACAATTTGAGGAATGGCCAGGCAAGTCGCAACCGTTCTTCTAATCCAAAGACATCTGCAAGCTCAGTCCTCTAGTGGCTGTCACACCAATTGCTCCATTCCTGCAACCCATTTGGGCTGTATGAAAAGAGCGTGACAATCAACAAGGACCTGTCCATCGTTCGGGCCAACAGCCTCGACAGTGCCTTTGACCCACGCTTTCCGACCCTCGACTCGTTCCGTTTCTGCACGGATGACGATGACGGTGTTTGCTTTGACCGGATTCTTGTAATCCAGCTCAATGTGTGCAGTCACAGCGAGCTTCTCTGGCAGAAGAGGAAAACAGGCGCGTCCCATGCATTCGTCTAAGAGTACAGCAAGAAACCCTCCATGAACCAGTCCTGTATGGCCAGATAGGTCAGTTCCGAGGTGGTAGAATGCCAACAAACTTCCTGATGCATCGTCAATCAGTGCATAAGGCGCAACGGAGATTCTGCCAGCCCCAGCCAAGGTATGAGCGGTCAAGTGATTTGGAAGAGCTTGCTCCGAGACTTTGAGAACCGCCCTAGTTTCCAGTGAATGGGCGTGAGCCGTCAAAAATTGGTGCTTTGCTGGGGATGTCTTGAAAGCGTTTTCAAGCAGAGTGGCAGCATCTAATTCGTACAGACCGTTGCTGGCCTCCTTCGTATGCGCTCTTCCTTCCTTCTCTTCACAACTTGTTATGGCGAAGGACGCTTCTTGTTGGCTCTCAGAAAGCATTGCTTGGTCTTAGGGCCAGAGAGCCCTTAGTGAATTGGCGTGACTGGTTAATGGAGACAACCTTCGATTGTTGGTGCTATCAGGACCTTGAAAGAGAAGGTTCCTCTCTTTCAAGGGAGCCCGTTCTATATGAAAGTCTGTGGGGCTTCTATGCCAGCGATCTAAGTGCTGAAACCCCCATCAACTGGGTGGGAAACTGCAATATGTGGGCTCCGGATATTCACGGGCTCTCGCCATTGGTAACCATATGGCACGAAACCAGAGATGTATAATTTAATCTTCGAATGCGCTCACTCATTCCAAAGCCATTGATGGACGCAAATTTTGAGACGAATAGCCGATGGTGGACACGAGGTACTTCCCTCGCTCAGACTTTCCGAATCATCCCAATATCGTTAGTCTAACATCTAGTCCTCCAATGACAAAGCACAGGCAGCATTTCTCCAGGCTCACCATTGTGAGACTTTCCTTTTTAGGTGGGTATGAGTATCGGTCCTAGCATACCGCTAAACATGGAAAAGGCACAGTATCTATCGCTATTAGTTGCCTATGCTGAGGTCTTATACCTTGGACTACTCATGGCCGCCCCTCACCTTGCCATCTTATCATTTACGAAGGCCACATGCTCGATGTACATAAGACAGGCGTTGGTGAACCAAACTTTGAAGATCCCTTGACCTGTCTAGATCACAAAGTGCCACTCAAGTCTCAGCAACACAACCCACCGGGAATAGTACTCGACATGGGATCTTATTCACCAGAACCAGTCGTGCTCGTCACCTACCATTCTACGTCAATTGCTAGAATAACACTGAACAGACCTCGGTCACTAAATGCATTGAACGTCGATCTCCTAAAGCAGCTTGTTGAAGCTCTGCGCGCTGCACATGAAGCAAAGAAACGTGTGATCATTCTCGAAGGAGCCGGAGATCGCTCCTTCTGTGCGGGAGAGGACCTGAAGGAGACCCTTGCCCCGGAGACTGGATCAGGCGAGGAGCTAAGGGCTGCCTTTGCCAAACTTCAGGATATAACACGATTGACTTCTTTATCTGAAGCCCTTGTAATAACTGCCGTTCAAGGATTCGCAATTGGTGGCGGAGCTGAGATAGCATTGGCGGCAGATTTTGTCATCGGTGGCCCAGGAGCAAAGTTCAGGTTTCCTGAGGTGCCAATTGGCCATGCTGCAACTGGGGGCATCACGTTGCGGTTGACTCATATGGTAGGGCTGCTGAAGGCGAAAGAGCTTCTGCTCCGTGGCCAATTCACGCCCGCCCAAGAAGCGTTACGTATAGGTCTGTTGTCCGAGTTGGTAGACGATCCCAGGGCAAGGGCGATGGAGCTGGCTCATGAGCTAGAGAAGCTGCCAAGTATCTCGGCAGCGAATTCGAAAGCCGGCATGGAAAGATTGGTGTTTCCGAACATGGAAGCGGCACTGGCTGACGAAGTCAACATCGCTAGCTACTGCTTTGCTCAAAGTGATGCTGCCAGCGCATTTTCAAACTTTGCCCGGAGAAGAAAACAAAAAGCTATACCTGCGAGAGCAGCAGTGGTGAACAATAACGATGACACGATGACACGGACGGAAACTACCACTATGAGCTCCTTCTCTGGCCCAACTCCAGCACCGGAGAGCGTGATCAATTACCTAAGATCTTTCAAAGACATCAATTCTGCTTTCAACCATGCTGTCCAGGAGTTTGGGCCACGTACTTTTCTCCGGATGGGAGGCAAGGACTTCACGTTTCAAGAGATACACCACTCCATCAGTAAACTTGCAGGAGGACTGCAAGCACTCGGTGTGATACCAGGAAAAAGAGTTCTGGTCATGATGCGTAACAGCGTTGACATGGTCAATGCTTGGCTTGCAACAAACCGGTTGGGTGCAGTGTGGGTTCCGATCAACTTTGAATTGAAATCTGTTACTTTGACGAACGTGATAAATGCTGCGGATGCAACTGTTGCTCTTGTGGATCCAGAGTTTTTGAGCACCTTCAGGGAAGCACAAGATGGTCGTATACAGCATGTCTTCGACACGAAAGAAGAGGGCCCTACCGGCCTTCCTGCCTTATACCATCTTGGGTCACCTGTCACATCGTCAGCATCCGTACAGCCATCGACTACCGCAGCTTTCTTGTACACGAGTGGGACCACGGGCAAATCAAAACCGTGCATACTGTCTCATCAGTATTTCATTCTCCAAGCAAGCGCATTAATCGAGACATATGGGCTGCACAGTGGAGATGTCCTTTACTGTCCGTTCCCCCTTTTCCATGCAGATGCGACTGCTCTGACCACCATTCCTGCTATTCTCATTGGTGCCGTCGCTGCTATTTCCAGTCGATTCAGCGTGAGCAGGTTTTGGGAAGAGATTAGGCAATCAAGTGCTACCGTGTATGACTTCATGGGTGCCACGCTGGCACTGATATACAAGCAAGCACCCAGCGACCGGGACCGGGACCACAAAGTTAGACTGGCCTGGGGGGTGCCAATTCCAAGCTTTGCAGCGGATTACGAAGCAAGATTTGGACATCCATTGTATACTCTATATGGGAGTGTTGAGGCAAGCTTGCCTATCATGCAACAAGGCCCCAGAGTAGAGGGCTCATGTGGGACGATACGTCATGGACATCACCTCCGAATCGCAAATGAGCTCGATGAACCAGTGCCCGTCAACACGACAGGACATCTCCTAGTCAGGAGTGATAGGCCCAACGCCTTCTTCCAGGGCTACTTTAACAACCCGTCGGCGACGGTGGAATCATTCTCGAACCTCTGGCTCCATACTGGGGACCTGGCCAAGGTTGATCAACAAGGGAACGTCTATTTTGTTGGTCGAGCAAAGGACGTTATCCGCAGGAGAGGCGAGAATATCAACGCATCGGAGATCGAAGAGGAACTTCTGCGGCACCCAGATGTAATAATGGCTGCAGCATTCGCCATTCCGTCCGATCTAGGCTCAGGAACCGAGGATGACGTCAAGGTCGCGGTGATGCTACGAGAAGGAAGTGTTACTGACGAGAAAACGTTATTCGACTGGACGATCGGAAACATGGCTAGGTTTCAGGTGCCTAAAGTCATCGAGCTTGTCACAGACATGAAGAAGACGCCAACTGGAAAGATTGAGAAACGATGGCTCAACGCTGAGGGCGGCAAAAGTTTCGATCTCCGGAAATAGAATGTGAGATCATGGCATTGGTGCATGGTGGAAGTTGAATAAACAATAGAACAGGAAACTATTGAAGGAGGTCTTGTTGGAGCAGGATGCCTAGCTGACCTCTATCATCGTCTAGCTAACTAGATCAGGGGTCGATAGGTCATCATCAGCTGAAGAACCGAGTACGTACGAGTAGGCAGCAAGACGGGGACCGCAATAATTCCACGAATGAATCGTTCGGCCCATCCCCGCAAGTCAGCATGGCGAGATCCGTTAGCGAGAATCCATGAAATAGGATTATCAAACAAGAGCTCACTCTTTTTCTCACCCAGCATATTCACAAACATGACCAACTCAGATTATGCCACATTGCGTAAATTAGGAGACAGCCCTATTACGGAAATACGTCGACCTTTGACAATCCTTCTAAAGCTTGTGGTGGACAATCCACTCTGAAAGATACGATTTGACCTATTTACCCAGTCCCCATTTTGCTCAGCATGGTCTCCGAATGACCCTGGATACCAACCTCAGAGACTAATTGGTACGGTTTCGTGAGGTATTAGCTCGAAGTATGATATGCCCAGCGCTGTCAGAGGAGATGCTTTGATATTTCCACTCCTTTTCCTTGGTCTCACATGCGATGATTTGAGTTATTGGGCCCCTCAAGTATGCCTAGGATCCCCACACTGGTTGTCCCGATAAGCCTTATCGCATCCTGTACTCCATTAGGATCCTCGCAACCAACGTTTTATGAGGGTTTATTGAGTGCCTCATCAGAAAGCTCTAGCATTCGAGAGTTAACGCATTCTCGACGCAACTCCAAACGCGTCAAAGTACACGTCGGGATCACGTACTGCTTCGCTGTGAGACGTTTTACGAATAGTCAAGAAGATGCGTGGTCTATTAATGGAAAACTTGGCGGATACGTGTTAGAAACTCAACTCATACAAAGTTTGTATGAGTCGAGTCTCGATCCGAATCTTGGGGCTCGGACTTTGAGCACGAGAGTACTCTCCTGACAGTGCTGGACATCTCTATGCCGAGCAGAACGGCCTTGCAAGAAAGCACCAGTTCAGCACTTCACACTTGTTTGCCCAGGCTTCTGACATTTTGACGATTTCCAGGTTGGACCAAACTTTCCTCGAAGGACGCTCGATTCGCCTGTCGAATCTCATTGTGCTTGACAAGGTTGGCTCGCATTCGACGCTGTTGGGTATGCCAAGATAGTATTAAAAGCAATTGAACGAGGACGGTGCGAGTAAATCATATACTTCGTAACTCGAGTTGGCGGCCTAATGAGTTTGATGACTTGGCATGTCAGCACTCAACTCACTTGGGATATTTGCTCGCCGGGACTCTAAGTAATTACCTAGGTCGGTAGGCACTTAGTACTGGACCCTGTCACATTGCTGTCTAGTTATAAAGTATTGGGTTCATAAGCATCTGGACAAGAATGGACTACTCGTGTTAAGCACAAGGCACTAGCCTCCATTTCCACCACGTTGTCTGACAGGACCTGACACACCTAGTGCGGGCCTTCCAGAGGACATAGTGACAGGCGTTGGCTCTCTATCTCTTGACTTGGCTATTTCTCTACCTCGTGTATCAAAATAGTGCCCAGATCTAGATTGTCCCATGTTTGCCAAGGGAAGCATAGACCCGTGAACTTGTCTAAGCATAGTTACTGTCAGATAGCTACCAGAAGCCACGTAGGAGAGTATTTCTGTCTCGATATACATGGTGCCAGGCCTCCCTTTCCCGGTGATAGACTCCGCGGATATTGCCGTAATATTCTCGGGGAATAGGAAGTCCAATCGATGAATAGACTTTGCTTGTCCAAGCGCCACGTATGAGAGCCCTGCCATGTGGCGTTCTGTCAGGATTTTCGACCCACGGCTAGATTTACTCTTGACATCCTTATTCTACCCGGGGTCGATAAGGGAGTGCTCGTTCACACGCACAATGCTAAGCACACATTCAGTCAAGACCAAAACTCATTCCGGCTAGCCCGAGGTCGGTTCGAGGTTCATGTGTCGTGCCCGGATGTAAGCGAGGTCGTCTTTCATGGAGAGCTGTCTCACTCGAGGAGGGTGAGATCCATCCCTGAGTGGTGGTAGCTGAGCCCGGTGTCATGATCGTGTAAGAGTCTTGCAATCTTCTGAACACGAGCTGCGTACTGAAGGCTATATAAGCCCGTTGTATCCTATACAAAGGTACCCCTTTCCGACAATATCGACTGCTTCAGCGACGGGACCTCGTTCACAAAAGACAATCCTCAAGACGGTAACTTTATCCTCAGTCATTATGGCTTTCGTTTCTCCACTCGGCAACTATGAGACGCTGGCGGCCACATGCCTCATCGATGCAGGCGTGTTGAGTGCTCGCATCAAAGCAGTAGAAGCTGCGAAGACAGCATCGATTGAAAGCAGCGGACCGCAGACAACTCAGGAAGTCAAAAAGCTACAGCTTCAGCTTTTTGAGTCAGCACAAGCATTGCTGCAAGCAGTGACTCCACCAGAGTATACGTTGACACAAGGACTCTCCGCAAGCGTAAGTCAAGATTGAGCCTAGTCGGATTGACGAAGTCTGACGTTCCCAGATCATGGATCTGACCGCGTTTCGATACATCAGTCGATGGGAGGTCGCCAAAGGGGTTCCTGCTGAAGGTTCGGTGACATACAAGGACCTCGCGACCAGGCTCAAGGTCGACGAGTCACAAATGAAGAGAATCCTTCGTTATGCCATGACGAGGCAAGTGTTCATCGAGACACCAACAGGCGAGGTTGCACACACCCAAGCCTCTCTTCTCTTGCTGCAAGGCGGCATCAGCACACTGAACAGGTACTCGACAAATCGAGGATTTCCCATTGCAAGTTCGTTCAACGAGGCCCTCGAGAAATGGGGCCACGGTTCACAGGAACCCAATGAAACAGCATTCAACATCTTCAAAGGCACCGATCTGGCAATGTTCGACTACTATGAGAAGAACCCCAGCTATGCCACGGACTTTCACCAGGTCATGAGCTTCTTTACCAAGACCGCGCCATTGTCGCATGACCATATCAAAAAAGCATTCGACTGGTCATCACTCTCATTCTCGACCGTCGTCGATGTGGGTGGCAGTCTCGGCCACTGTAGCTTGGCCATACTGGAGACGAACCCAACAGTCACATGTATCGTCCAGGATCTACCACAGATCATCACCAAAGCAACCGACCCATCGACATCCATCGTCCCAGAACACCTCAGCAAACGCATCTCATTCCAGACACACAGCTTCTGGGACCCGCAGCCCGTATCTGCCGATGTGTATTTCATGCGCATGATCTTCCACGACTGGCCGTTGAAATACTCGAAAAAGATCCTCCACGCTCTCCTGCAGGGTATGAAACCTGGCGCTCGTCTCCTCATCATGGACTATGTCACTCTCCCCTACGGAAAGCTCAGTCTCGCAGATGAGCGTCGCATGCGCATCAGAGACTTGCAGATGGCCGTGATGCACAATGCATTGGAGCGGGATGAGGGCGAGTGGAGACAGCTCTTTGCAGAGACCGATTCCCGCCTTCGATTGGTTGAAATTCGCACACCGCCTGGCAGCGCTTTGTCCTTGATTGAGGTTGTTCTTGATGCTGCAATTGAAACGAAGACGGAGGTTGAGAGTGTTGTGCCTGAAAGCGTTCAGGAGAAACCTCAGCCAATTGGAATTGTGTCCCAATACATGGTGCCACAAGCAGCATAGCGCGCAAGATCGCTGAGTGGCGTCTTCGCAAGTATTGATTGATGTTGGAATATATCGGCCTAAGGCCAACCTCTAACCGTTTTGAGGATGATGGGCATAAGGCAGAATAAACAGTTCGATGGGATTTAGGGGCTGGCGTCCAGGCTTTCAGGTGTAAATTGTAGCGGTTACTAGGTTGCTCAAAATTCTCTTAAATAGAGTCGTTTGCCGCAAACTCTCTGTCAAAGTTAGCACGCTTTTATGGTTAGTGTAGTTAGGTTCTTTTGATTCCTTACAGAACAGCTCGAATCTGATATAGATTCGTGTACGAAGTACAGGGATTCATTTTACATTTGTGGACCTAGGATAATTGACAACGCATAGGCATGCTGCCCTTGCTTGAGAGGCTGGAATATAATCCGCTACCAATGCCACAGCGAATCGCTAAAAGGGTGATTGAACCAGGATGAGAGTGAATCATAGTATTCTTAGACCACAACACTCCACTGATGCTGCTCGAACATCAGCTTTTCTGCCCCACCACAGGGAGATCATATTCTCGACGAATATCTTATCGGACGCACTCCAGCTGTCCAACCCCATGTTCGTCATGTCGTCCTGGGTAATTTCAACGTGCTGGAGGTTGCCTGATTCTGAGAGAAGAGGCTGGGTATCGTCGTCCTCGTCGCCACCAAGCGAGGAAGTGCGCTCCGCAGAGTTCTCCCCAACTGTAGTGTCTTCTCCGGACTCCTCGTGTTCCGATTCATCAATGTCAGAGTTTCGTCCATCTGCTCGAGCGATGGCTTCGGCAAGAACTGTGAAGATAAGATTGGTTAATCGGTGAAAATATGCAACTAATGCAACCTCTCTGATCTGCTCTTCATCACTATCATTCTGCAAGAGTGATAAATCTCGCTCCATTTCGATTTCTTCCATCTCTGAAAATCCACCTCGGCGATCACCAGCCGAAGCCCACCAGACCAAAGAAGTGTAGGCAACTCGCGACCAAGACGGCGGTTCTACGACGTGCTTGTTTTCTATGTATGCTGAAGAGTGAGCGTCCAATGAGGAGCTTTCATCACTTTCACCACCTCCGTCCGAGGAGGCACGGCCGGAGGGGAATTGTTCGAGCCCTTGCTGTAGATGCACATAACGATGGAAATCTCGCTGAGTCGACTTTTGTCCAAATTGAGGGAAGTTCCTGGTCAATAACGGCGTAGATTCAATCAGCCGAGGAAAAACCTTCCTCCGAGCATAGTTATTTTCTGTGGAGGGCATTAGAACGAGGAGATCATACAGGTCTGGCTTCGTGCTCAGAACATCATCTGTTGTACAGGCAATCCAGCCTTGTTGTGTTTCGGAAATGTCTTTGGGGTTAGGGTTTGCGGCCTTCATCAGGTCGATATCTGAAACGCCAATAGTAAATAAAGGACGAAGCCTTGTCAGGTCAATGCTTGAATCTGGTAGCAGAGATAACAGGGATCTCGACAATGATGATAGAATGGAAATGTTATACACTGCTCGAATGATCAGCGAAGGAAGGTTATGAGGTGTGACCTCGCGTACCTAGGTCGCAGCTGAACTCGACAGGGGCCTCAGCAAGTATCAGTATCCTTTTACGGAGCAAGGCAGCTCTGAAGAGTGGAAAAACCAACGGCCCGAACAATTGGACAGAAGCCAACAAATTCGATGCAGGATGATGGGGTGTCAAATGATGTGCTGAGTGGAGATAGTTGGTCGCAGTACTCATAGACCTCGATTTCCGGTAACCACCAATCTTGCCAAAGGAATCTGTTGACTCGTTGGGAGCCTCGGATATTAGTTCCGCACTATCCAGCCTTGTTGTATCCCAATAGTGTTCTAATTGAGATGTATCAGCAACATCCTGGATTTGAGACCTGGACATATCAGTCTCCAGAATATCTGCATGAGCTATCGGCGAAGAAATACCTTGCTAGGCTTTTTAAGGTTTCAGCATGGCGCCAGATACGGCCCATCCTGCCATGTTCAAGAGGGACAAGGACGCCGATGGCCAGCATACGTGCCTTGCGCTCCGCATGTTCATCAGGCACATTCAAGAACGCACTGAGCCCGGCATAGTCCTTGTGAATGAAGTATCTGTTGTCTTCTCAACCCTGGACTCGCCGCGCAGTAAGGGGTCTTATCACTCACACCAAGTCCTCTTCGACGTTGTGGAGTCCAGAAGGTAGGGATTTAAATTCGACTGTGCCTTCGATTTGGACTGGGTAGCGGCATCAGTAAGTGCATTTCGAACGTCAGCTTGTCGACTGACCGCCCTCGATGGATTTGTACCACGTCAACGTGTAACTGTGCCTGATCAGTACCAAAGCTCCACGCTCACAGAGTAGGACGAAGTTCTATACCCTTTCCGATGGTCGAAATTTACCAGAAACGCTGCGGCGATGGGCGGCGCAGGCACGTCGGTGCTCGTGTCAAGCTGGGGAGTGTGCGACTCCGCCATATTGTTCTGCTAGCTGCGAAATTCAGGTAGAGTCATGGGTTCCATGAGGAGATTTAGGACGTCGAAAGAAATTAGGAATGCTGACCATTGATCCAGAGCCAGCATCTCAGGCTGCTATCTCGCAGTCTACGCTAATGTCGTCGTCCGAATGTCATTAGTGCGGAGCATTAAGACATATATCTGCTGCCTCTTTGGCTCATACCCCTCGCCGGAATGTGCTGCAACCGCAGCCTCGAAGCAGCCTCCAGGTTTCGTGAAGGTCAAAGACGTGGAACCACCTGGAATTCCTACAGAGACGTTCTGACAACTCCATGCACATATTACTTAACTTTACACCCGTTTCCTTGTGGCTGATTATCTAACGAGCCTTAGCGGACGTGGTGACTCAGCATTTCTTCTCGGTGTGTCATAGCTAAATAAGTCGGTAAATATCTACTCTGGGACTCGCGGCTGTCATTGGTCCGAGCAGCTACTGATCGAAGTCGAGCTGGATAGCCTCTTTCCCAATTTGGTGATTTTGCTTCAGGCATGAATTCGGGGTATATTTTATTTGAGCTTATCAAGACCCAACAACGCTGTTGGCACTGGACTACAATGCAAGCCCACTGCGGAGCAATTCAAGACCCAAGTCAAGATAATGCGTCCCTCGCCTGGGGCTCCTAGTGGTCATGGAGATGGAATGAGCACCAAATAGAGGAGATGAAGATCCTTCACAAGTATAAAATGGGACGCGTGGAAACGCATTTGGCCTTCTTTCATTGTCAGCAAGCCTAGTAAGTCATCCTGCCTTTACTCTCAACCACTTTACATCAAGAAAAAAATCCCGAAATATGGCTGAGAGCTTTGACATGCGCGGTGTCGACGGAGTAGTAGTCCAAAAGCCAGCGGAAGTGGTTGCGTTGAAGCCTAATGAAGTTCGTGTCAAGATAACACATACCGGAGTTTGTGGTACAGACCTTTTCTACGTACAGTATGGTTGTGCGCTAGGACATGAAGGTGTCGGCATTATCGAGGAAGTTGGCAGTGCTGTGAAGCTACACAAGGTTGGCGATCGAGTTGGTGGCGGCTATTTGAGATCCGTATGTCTCAACTCCTGTCCCATAGAGTGGTCGCATCATGGGCGCTTGGTTACTGACAGCAACTCTCCAGAGTTGTGGCAGCTGCACGTACTGTCTTACAGGTCGAGATATCTTATGCTATTCACGCGATTGCTATGGCATGGCAAGCTTTTCCAATGGTACATTTGGGACTTATTACATTGGTACTGAGTCATATGTCTATCCAATCCCCGAGTCGTTACCTTCAGAGTTCGCTGCACCGTTACAGTGTGCGGGAGCAACGGTATATGCAGCACTGAAGGCATACTCTCGACCGGGGTTACGCGTAGGCGTCCTCGGAATTGGTGGACTTGGTCACCTTGCAATCCAGTTTGCCGCAAAGTCGGGAGCCGAGACTGTCGTTTTCAGTACCAGTGCATCCAAGGAGGAGGAAGCAAGAGGCTTTGGTGCTTCTGAATTCGTGATTTTAGGTCATGAGGACCAATTGACGAAGCCGGTGGATGTGCTTCTGATAACCGCAGCTAAATCTCCAGAGTGGACTACGTGAGTGTCCAAAATCTTGACCAAATATGCCTAACTGACACTGAGCGCCTAGCTTCATGAGTGAAAAGGTTGTTGCCAGAGGCGCGCAGATCGTTGTTTTAGGAGCCATTGCGGAGACTTTGGAACTTCCGTAAGTACTCATCAAGTTTTATCAATGTCCTAGCTCGGAAGTTGCTGACTACCAATGGCATCAAGTTTCTCGTCTTTATTCTTCAACTGCTATAACGTCGTGACGAACCTGGTTGCCTCCCGAGCAACACACGGTGAAATGCTGAATTTCGCAGCAGCTCACAATATAAAACCAGTCATCGAAGAGTTCGAGCTCAATGAGGCGGGAGTGGCTGATGCAATCAGCAAATTGAAATCTGGCAAGCTAAGATATCGTGCTGTGCTTCATGTTTAGAGTCATCATCTGGGTTTAGGCTAGTTACTGCCAAAAGCTTTCGTCAAGAAAATCGAATGGGGTTGACAACGACATGAACGATGCATCATCCATGGCTGTTGTAATGAAATCATCACCGTAAGGCACCGAATTCTGATCGGAACTGTTCATCTGGGCGGCATATTTGGCCTCCTGGGCAGCTTTGATGTGCTGTAACCTAGAGGAAACCACCAAAAATATCTGAGGAAGCTCCATTGGTTGTGATACGACCTTGCCTATTGTACCCTGTTTGTTTGCAGTCGTGTTTCGATCCAGCTCAAATTTCTGTGCTAGGGCATCTATCAAAGCCGAAAAATCGATGATGCTGCAGTTAGATTCTCTGTCCCAGCCAATCGCCTTACAAAGAGTTAACCGAGATAGGACCACGATAGCATGTCCAACCAGTGCCCAAGTGATGTAGGGTATATCGTACCATTCTGAGGCTGAGATCGTATGTACTTGGTCGAAAAGTAGTTTGACGGATTTCAAACAAGCATGAAGCATGCCTAGACGTGGTAGAGAGTGGGCTCCATATCTCTCGGCCTCAATGCCGTCACTGAGTGCTATCTCATACAGAAACACTTCAACAGTGTGGTAATGGATAGACAGGACTGTTCTCAATTAGCTTCACTGGTGTTCCACAGGCCAAACTCACCATGTGCTTCTAATCCTCTCGCTGGTGACACTTTCAAGGTTTCCAATTCGGACTCTATCGCCTTGACACATGAACCGATAGGAATTGAGTTGAAAAAGTGTGGATGATCCCATTCCTCGGAGTCGAATGTTTGAGAGATTTTGCCAGCTACTCCATGCAAGCGCACCAGATGAACGGCATTGGCGTCAGTGAGGTACTGAGTATTATCCAGCAGCACCTGGCAGCATTCCACCACATGCTTGGAATATCTCATAGGCTCTATTTCACGAGCACACATTGAGACTCTGAATAACTCATGTCAGCCAGAGATGATCATACAATAGTTGGGAATGGCCTTCATACACGGATGTCAGAAGGAAGCACCCGAGGAACGTCCTACGCCCTTCGAGGGTTTTCGTGACCGGTGATGATCCAGCCTTGTTCGTCGCAAATGATGTAACTGGCACAGGGCCACGATTACTGAAGTATCCTACAGATCCATATGTCGGCTTTAGGCTTTTGCGCGTACCTGAATTATTGAGACCGAGATCTGTCATCAAAGCTAGCATGACGTGAACAAGATTGCAGACTTGCGAACCAAGATGCAAATGTAGATGATACCTGTTCTGATTAGAGGGGCATTTTCCAAGGCAAGATAGACTTGTCATTGACATCAATATCACTCACCACGCGAGGAACAACATGATTCCTTGTAGTAGATCCAGGCTCTGTTCGCCCTTGACGAATGTGCTATAGCTTATGAGCTCACGTATCTTCTTTGCAATTGTGGTTTGAAGGGCATTGTCGTGCCTACACCCAATCATCAACACCACAAGCGCAACAAAGGGTTTCTTGTCCTTGAGATCGAGGAAGTTGTGTTCCGGCGGAATGACCACGAATGGGAAGAACCGAGAAAACTCAAGCCTGAACTTCTCTAGCAATGACTCCGCCTCATCGTTGTCTTTGACAAGGCTTGTGATCCACAGCGAAGGCGAAAAGTAAGCTGTGTTCAGTGACGGAATGGAGTTTGTATTGAGTGTACTTGAGTATAGACCCTCGAGTACAAAAGCGTCCGGATCTGTGTCTTTGCTGGAAGAAGGAGGATCAACGGTCATTGGCCTTTTCCGTCGGTGTGCTCCTGGAATCTGATCTCCGCATCGCCTTTGTGAGCGCTTGCAACTTCAAGCACCAGTTAGTGTGCATCTGCATCATATAGCTGGATCTAGGTACCGATTGCATGTCTGCTCTCCAGTAGCATATTCACATCTGACTTTGGATTGGGCACAAGGCTGACACGCCTTCGGCACACGCCCGCTTTCCCCGTCGCTCTGTGGAGTCAATTGAGTCATTCTGGAACGATAGGGCCCAGGTGCTCGACCGAAACACGAACCTGCCACAATTATAAACGACGATCGTCCTGACAAAAATCCCCTTGGGTAGACACCTCACACGGGTAAGTGAGATATGCTGGTTGAAGTGGTTGTGAATATTGGAGTAGATACGGAATTCCGAGATGACTAGAAGGAGCAGCTCTAGGCTTTCTTAGGCATAGTGCATCTCTCCCGTTCACTTAAGCACAGGTGAGCAGACCAATAGGAAGCGTCATTTTCTCGCCAGCCTTGCCAGGGGGCAGGACGTCTGCTCCGATCGGAGCAGCAGTATGAATGCATTACTTTCTCAATTCCCCACGAACTTGACATTACTGGACTCAAACAAAAGTTCTTTGCTTTTACGCTCCATTCAAGTACAATGGCCCAACACACAGTCCTAAACCGGCAGGTACGAGATCCTGAGAATGATATACTTACACGCACACGGATTACTACTTTACCTGGACAAACCCCTCTAAGCATAAATGACAATAGCGTGCAGACTGAGCCCGCTACGGCGGCTGCAACCAGTGATGGAATGGCCACGGATAAGCCTACTGGGGCTGCCATGTACCTTCTTTTTGCGGCAGTCTTTTCCTCGGGCTTCTTGATGGCTCTAAATGGCTCTATGGTCGCTACTGTAGGTTTCTGAGAGATACTTGGGAGCAATATTTACTGACTTTACCTTGTTCTCAGGCAGTTCCCCGAATTACCACGCATTTCCATTCCTTGGAAGATATTGGGTGGTATGGAAGTGCATATCTTATCTCTACGTATGTCTGAGGGACAACCCATACATTCGATTTCTTACTGATCAAATAACTAGCTGTGTTTTACAACCCCTTGTCGGCAAGCTATACACTTACTTTCCTATCAAGGTGCCTAAAAAACATTGCCATGAGGCTGCTCGAGCTATCTGATCAAAGATTGTACCAGGGCACATACATGACATTCTTCTCCATCTTCTTCCTCGGATCGATTCTTGCTGGCTCGGCCACCACTTCCAATATGATTATTGGAGGACGCGCAGTGCAAGGAGTTGGGGGGGCTGGAGTAGTAAATGGAGCTTTCATCACAATAACTTCGGCAGGGCCTGAGGGGAGCAGACCAAGTAAGTTGAGCTTTCAATGCAAAGGTCTTTCGTAGGTGATAATTTTGGGTCACTTTGTGGCTAGTACTTGTGGGAATTGCCGTTACACTTGGAACGATCGGCAGTGTTCTCGGACCAATGATTGGCGGTGCATTGACCGAAATATCGTGGCGTTGGTGTATGTGTCTTTTTTGCTCAAGCAAGTGAACGTTCGAATACTTAACTAAATTTTTATAGGTTTCTACGTAAATCTACCCGCTGGGGGCTTTGTGTTGTTGATATTTTGGCTTATCAACATTCCGGAGCAAATGCGTAAGGAGCCAGTACGACCAAATCTGAGGAGAATCATCAGTCAGGAATTGGATCTCGGAGGATTCACCTTATTCGCTCCTGCCTGCGCTATGCTCCTCCTTGCAATAAGCTGGGGCGGAAACGAGTACCGCTGGAGTTCGTCAACCATCATCGGACTTTTTTGTGGAGCAATCGTCAATTTTCTCATCTTTGTGCTCTGGGAGTTTCACAAAGGAGAGCAGGCCATGGTCCCACCCAGATTCTTGAGAAACAATCTGGTCGTGTTCGGGTGTTGCACTTCAGCATTCCAAAATGGTGCTATGATGCTTTTGTCCTACTACCTACCGTTGTGGTTTCAGGTCATCAAAAATGATTCACCAACCATGAGTGGAGTTAGCGTCTTGCCCACTGCAATCTCGCAAGCTTTGTCTGGAGTGATGGTAGGCAAACTGGGTAGGTGACATAAACACCCTTGGAATCGCTGACTCTGTATGCTGATTGATTTAGTTCAAGTTATTGGCTACTGCACCCCATGGGCGCTTTTTGGATCTGTTGTTGGTTCCGTCGGCGGAGGACTTCTTACCACGTTGAGACTTTCGATCCCAGCGGCAACCTGGATCGGATACCAGGTCCTCATTGGCTTTGGCCGCGCGCCCGGGATACAAATGGTATGGTATCGTCAATATCTGGCACAGTGAACGTTGTTACTGACGACAGTGTCGAAGCCTATCACCGCAGTGCAAGCTTTGCTTCCACCACGCGACGTAGCACTAGCCACTTCTCAAATCTTCTTCTTCCAATACCTTGGAGCGGCAATATTCATATGCCTAGGAGAAACCATATTCTCAAATACTCTACGCACTGCTTTACACAGCGGCACGCTGCATATTGATGTGGATGCAATTATCGCGGGTGGGCCGACTAATGTCAGGTCGCTTGTATCGAGTTCGGATCTGCCAAGTGTGCTACAAGCATACAACCACGCTATAACCACAACCTATGTAAGTTGTTACCTGCAGAGAAGTGTTAGATTGCTGCTGAAAAAAATGCACGGCAGTATCTCGGGGTTGGAGGGACATGTGCTGCCTTTTTCGCTTGCTTTGGAATGGGATGGCAGAAGCTTCCACGGAAAGGCAAGCCAGCGCAGGAAGCCGACGAGCTTCAAGGTTCGAAAGGATAAATGTCTAGCTTACTGATAGAAAGCCTGCTGTGTTATCATCCTTTGTCTTTGCAACACCTCGCTCGTTGTACTGCAGGCTCGGCATGACATGACTCGGAAGCCATTCAAGGACGCTCGAAGGAATTCTTTGTGCCTTTGAGACCATGGACAAAGGTGTTCGTTGTGGGACAAGGCAGAGATATCACAACACAACCGGTGTTTGATGAACTCTTTCATTCCTGTTGATAAAGATTCATGCTTTGTTCTGAAATCGACTGTGATTCAGGATGAATGTTAATATCTCGCATTATGTCACCCAATAAGTGTGAAACACCATCTACCTTCGGACTCATAGAAAGGCTTGAGAACATCTCGAGCATCGAAAAAATTGCTTCACCTCACTCCCAATTCTGACACAGGCCTCATCAGGTCAGACTAACTTCAGGATTGCAATATTACACAGTCAGAGTCTATCCAAGTTTCAAAGAAATATACCAGTATGGCTAACGGCTGTGCAACCGGGGTTGAGAAGAATGATGTGAGTCAGGAGTCAGGACTAAGCCAAGGTGAGTACAATTGTTCGGCTTGGAAATTGAATTCGGGTCTCGAAGCTTTTGAAGATGACATTGACGATGACCAGTATATACCTGGAATGTCAGATGGACAGTTTCTTCCCGAGTCGGGACGCGAGGCTACAGTACAAATGATGATGGAGCTCCTTCGAGACAACGTGAAGAGTCTGAATCTCCAAATGGAAGATCAACACGGCGAAGAAGTGGAATCTGCTGAAGGCGAAGATTGCGAGGAAGAAGTTCCAATCAGGCTTCCTGAGCGAATCGAAGTTTGTGATTTGGACCTCGATCCTGGCTTTTGCGGACTCTTCTTGCGGGATCAACTCTGCAGATACTCTCCGGATTTCTTGCATGCATATTGGCGGCCCCGAGCCACGGCGGAGCAGTGCGAAGCGCTAGAGGAATGCGAAGCATGGAACCTCGAAGAATTGGGGGAGTTGCAAGAGGAAGACTTCCAGGCCATTGAGGAGGAGATGCGCAAAGAAGAGTTTGAGGTTGGCATGCTCGTGGCTGAATAGTCTGTATTCCTCGTGTCTACGCCCGAGAACTGCTTTTAATGTGCTCCTTCTAAAGAGATGATCAGGGTCTATGTCTATTCGCAGTTTTGCGATTGGAATACGCCTTGATGAAATTAGGAGTTGAAAAGTAATGAAATCTTGAAGCAAGGGAAATATTTCTTATAATATCCGCGCGTAAGGTAGGTGAAAAATTGATTTTACTCATCTGTACCATTCACAACCTAGATTTAGTAACAGGCCGAGTAACAAACCCAAGCCTAGGAAAGTGAATACGAATCTCCCCCACCGAAGGCACATTGCCACCAATATCCTGTGGGGAAATCACCACCTCTTCAGCTGTGATGGCAATTAAGTCCCCAACCGTAGGACTTCCTCGGCCGGTGTCATCTGGGGCTATGGAGACTTGACTACCCAACAAGAGACCATTGCGGTGATGAAGACTCTCGAGCGAGGTAGCCGGGGTAGGAATCAAGGGTGTTGTAGCTTGTAAGGCCTTTGACCTTATCATGTCGAGCATTTGCTGAATACTCGCATCGTCGTCCCTTTCAACCCGTTGTTCCGTGGACGGTAGGGCATTGACATAATCTTTGAACCTCTGAAACCATGCAGACAGCGCCGGGTATCTGTCAGAATTGAAGACCAATTGCATCCCCTCTCCATCCCCGTCCGGTGCTCCTCCACCCGTGAGATCATTAACACCCTCACCTCGAGAGATCTTCTCTCCCCAGTCCAGCTGGTAAAACAACCCAATATCAGCGGCGCTGGGCTTCTGCGTGCCGAAGAGCCAGTATTTACCATCCTGAAGCAAGGGTTCCAGGATACTGAGATGAAGATCAAGGTCACTAAGGTTAAGGGGAATCTTTTGCGCGAGCTTCTCAGCATCTAGTGTATGTCCGATCAGGTTGCTTCGGTCCTGACCAAAGTGCGTCCGCCACACACTTCCAGGGATCAATCCTGTTGTCACCCGGAAGAATGGTCTGTCTGTCCAGTATGAACCAAAACCTCGTATGAGAGGTCGGAGTGAGTTGTTTGGATATAGTGTGCCATATCCTTCAGTGCCGGGAAACTGTGCTTCGAGAGCTTCCAGAATGAGCGAAGTGTCGATGTAAATCTATAAGATAATTGAAACTCAGTAAATGAAGCATTGCCTGGGCCAGAACAGTTCACAACGGCCCCTTACCTCTTTATTAATTGCCAAAACTGGAATCTTGCGATACGTGACATTGAAGTTGTCCTTCAACAATGGGCGTGGCATCATTGAAGGGACAACAATGAAAGCTGACCATGCCCGAACTTAATATCGAACAGCACCAATGAACCTGGTCTATTGACTTACAATAAGGTATCTGTTTGATTCTCAGGGCATGCCTGACTTTTTGGGTGAATGGAGAAGCTTTCAGCATCCAAGTTAGTGTCTGCATTCGCTTTTGAACATGGTTCTTTGACAGAAGGAATGCCTACAATCATAGCCAAAGAGCACCACGCTGGGCGTTGACTGCTGCTTATTCGACATCATGGGTTGAATGTCAACGGTGGTGAGCGCTTCTCCAGAATTTTATCGCCTATCGACCTCCGCTTCAACAGTTTCAATCGATCCAGCTGTTCAACGGCAGACCTTGTCTATGTAAGTAGATCACTGACAGTATTTGAGCCTTTGAAAAGCTTCGCAATGTCCACCGAAGCCGAACTATCGCCTCTCTGACGACCCACGTATTCCGATTGAAGCCTGATGGACAGGAGGAAGATGTAGCTTGGCCAGTGGAAGCAAAAGGTTTCGGAGAAATGGCTCTACTCCGCACTGCCATTCAGAAATTGCCTCGGATGTTTGGCCTCGTCCGAGACTTTTGGCTGCAAGAACACCGTTGAGTAATTCTGCAAAACTCAGCAATTGAGTAATGATATTGAAGGGCGTTGTTCTATCAAAACCCCAAATACATGCGCTGAAGTACTACCAACGCCCTATGTAGTTAGATCACGAAGCGTGGACAAGTACCCAGATGATACCATGACTCATCCCAAGAGCAAGAAGCGGGCAGCAGTCCGGACTTCCAGGTTTGAAAAGTCGCCCAGTTGTTCTGAAGTCAACTTGTATACAAGGAATCATCTTTAGTTCAGTGCAGTTTGCAGTAGCACTTGTTTTAAGTATTTGTGAGCCCCTACCGGCCATCGGTCCGGCAGCCAAGGCTGAGTACCCCTTTCTCACACACTAGAAGATACTCCACGGACACCGCAGTATGTATAAGCGGGCGAAGTCCCAATGCTAACATCCTTTGAAGCCTAAGCCAATCTGCATACATCAAGTCATGAGTCTTCATGTGGTAATATTCTTCCTAACATTATGCTCAGCGATTTTGAATGCGGAGCAGAAATCGAAGATTATCAGCAAGACGTCCAAGTATTGCTAGCGTACTTCTAGTTTTATTGCTTTGTACTCGGGCTCAAACCCTAGAGACCCCCTCGTTCCCTATGAGTTCGACTTGGCTAGATGTACTTCATGCCCCCCAAGCACTCGTGGTTGAAGAAGACATCGTAGCTGGGAGACTGTCATTAAGATACCGAATCGATCTCGTAACATATCTCGTTCTGACACCAATTTAACACCAATTTTCGGTTGAGACTTCCTGATTACCTGCAGTCGTTTAGGTGCGTTCGGTAAAGCAGTAATCTTCCCATATTTATTCGTCTGGTTACTTTCTTAGTGGATTGGTTCCAACCATTCTCATACATAGGTACTAAGCATCCACTAGGGCTAAATATATATGTGTCATATAAAGATGTACATACATCCATCAAAGCCAGAATGACAGAATGAAAACAACGGTCATGTACAAAGTGATGAAGCTGTTCTGCGCCTCGTACGCCCACGAAGCCCAGGTTATTTTGGTCTTTTTGGACTCCTCCTTCGGGTAGGCAACACCAGTAGACGGATCTCGATCCAGAAGATCTTGTCTATCCGGGCAGTCGGGTGGGAACAGTGCATAGTTGATTGGCACCCAACAAGACAGGATGCAAGTAAGCCAAATGACAGGAGGCCAACCTGCGTGTGTAAGGAGCGATATCAACATTTTCTTCGTGGTGTTGTTTCGCTCATCTGTAACATTCCAATAAACGCTCACTGAGACAGCAGCGACCACAAACATGATATAAACGAGATGAAGATAACACTGGCAGTCCCAGATGGTGACCCAAAGACGACGCCACACTGGAGCGCGAAGTTTTGGATCACGCTCATTGAGATCGGCCTTCTGTGATCCGGAAGAAGTGAAGACTGCGACCTTCCCTCCTAGCCATTTGGGCAGAAGGAAAGTCCGGATGACAGATAAGGCATGGACTAGAAGATGTTGCGGTTAGCTCATTCTTCTTGATAGTCACATCGGTTACTACTTACATGGGGCCATCCACATCATCGCTCTTGCATCTCTCTGGCCGGTCCGGTAGCCAGAAGGCAGGTAAGAAATAAATTCATTGATGCGGTTCAAGATTGTGGTCAGAAAATTCGATCGTATCAACCATACGAGCTGACTCATCGAGGTGAATGGCACAAGATTACCACCAGCAACGAGGACGATGGGTGCAGTGAACATTGATAAGACCAGGAATACCGTAAATAGAGATGATATCGTGTAGACGAAGCCGCAGAGGCGTTGAGGAAACGTCATGTGCTTGACTAGCGGTCCAAAGACGCTGAAACGTAGCTTAAACGACGTCTGAACAGTACCAATGGTCTGGAGATTGTCAGTCACATCGCAGAAAGGGAAAATCTTGTCATAAATTACCCATCGTGTGCGTTGTTTCAGGTGACTAGTGAGAGAGTCCGGCACAGTTCCAAATTGAAGAGGCTCATGAACAAAAGCAGTATTCCAACCCGAGCCAAGAAGCATGCTTGAGCAGCACACATCCTCTGCCAGGGAACCAATTGGGAAGCCTCCGATTGACTGCAGAGCGGCTCTCCTTAGCACATACCCAGATCCAGTACACCAAGCGACACCCATAGAGTCTTTGATTGGCTCAGAAATGTGGACAAAAGTGTCCAAACTTTGACAAAGTGGATCATCGGGTGGGACATTGTAGAAAAGCTGCGACATAGTCAGGATACGGGTATCCAATTCGAACAATGGGACTTACTTGTGGAGGACAAGCCATTGAGCACTTCGGGTCTTGGAGCATATGGGGTAAGAGTGCTCTCAGCCAATCTTTCATAGGAATCATGTCGGCGTCAAGTGCCGCAAGGAAATTTGCAGCACCACCTGGCAATCTTGCCGTTTCCTCCATGGCGTCGTTTAAATTGCCGGCTTTGAAGTGGTGGGGAACTCCCGGATATTTTGGTCTTGATCGGTAATAAAGATTGTCGAATTGTGTAAGAGCAGTTCTCTCTGTCATCTCCTGCAAAGTCTTGGACTTGCCATCATCGCAAATGATGACCCGGAATCTTTCCAGTGGATAGTCGATATTACAAGCGGCCTTTGCAGTGTCCAAGACCAGGTCATCGTCCTCTCCACAGCAAGTTATGATAACGTCGACAGATGGTACATCGTCACCAACCAAACGAAGCTTTGGGCGTTTCCTCATACCGACAACATGCCAACCCCAAAGACGGTGTAGCAACATGGGAATGGATACAAACAGCTCGACAAGAATGAAAGCCCATGCCATCCAGTATATCTCATGTGCTGACCTTTCAGCAGCGATAGTGAACTTCACGCGAAGAACGAAATAAATCCAATAGGCGGCTATTGTGACAAGTACAAGAATAGGACAAAGCCTGTAAAGAAGGCGTTTGAATGTTGACAGCTGTTCGATGTCGTCATGAGCGGCAAGGCGCTGGATCGAGTACTCCTCCACCTTCTCACTCATCCCTTGTCGAACGTACTCTTCTGAGATAGAAGATGAATTGGTCAAAGCCTTTTCTGGAGATTCGATTGTGTCAAAGCTGTGGGCAGCTCTTGAGTACCGACGTGCATTAAACTGCCCAGGGGCAGCATAACCTGCCGAGGAGACCCTTCGGATTTCGTTGATGCCCAGCCCGAGCGGATTTCCCTGAGTGGCGGTCAGAGGGTCTAGCTTCTCGACAGCATCCACGATAGCGGTTGAAGCTCTTCTCACAGAGTGAGAGACCCTTCGACGAACTTCATGCGCGGTGGAGGCTGTCCGAGTCCTAGCTGGCAAAATGCTCTCAGTATACGACTGCCGATTGAAGGGATGGTTCCATTTGAAATGTACGCCTTGATGATGATGAGTGCCGTAACTGTGAGAAGTTTCATATGTCTGATAATATTAGTAGTGCTTCCCAAAAGGACAATTTACTCGTACGCCTTGTTTCTCCATGGGCTCTGCCTCATCCTCATTTCCAGAAGAATTCTCCACGTCAGCGACGGGTGACAGCCTGCCATCATGGGCTTCTGGGGCCTGTATCGAGACCCTATGAGAAGAACCCCAAGAATGTCGTGAAGGACCAGGAGTCGCCGCTGGAGGATGTGTCGGAGACCTGGGAGACGAACCCCAAGAATGTCGGGAGGTGTTTGGATCCATGGTTGAGGAACCGAAGACTGCTACACGTGTATCTCTGAGCTTTCACGTATCTTGAGAGCTCGGTAAGACACTGATATATGATCATTTTTTCAGCAGGCAAGAACGTCCCACACAGAGTAGCTAATCAGCAATAGTCCGTTACAATAGTCAAACAATAAGCTCGGATCATGTCTCCACAGAACGAACCATGCCACCGACATTGTGAACAGGCCATGGTCGGGATCAGCGCCGAAAAGCTTGGGTCGTCCATGAGAAAGTCCCGACGTCAGGATTCGCACATTGAGACGAAGTAAGATCGATAGCTACGAGTAGTACCGAAATCACGGCAATCTGAGATCCGATCTCGATCCATGCATCAGATACGATGAGAATGATTGCTTTCCAAAACTGGGTTTTCGTAACGAAGCTATCCGGTTGTTGTCAATCAGACATTGCTCAGACTAGAAATCGACGCAGTGAATCGTGCAACATCTTGGACGAAGAGACAGCGAGAAAGGGTAAAGACTGATGGTCCGAAATCTCTCTAACAATATGGCTGACTTTTGCCAAACATCGACAATCCACACCCTCACAGAGAGGCCCGAGGTGAGCCTTCCGGCATCAAGGAGAGAAGAAGATCCCCGTTCAAAACGCACTAGCACCTCCATGCTGGAATGTAATCGGCATCTCGAAGTAAATGGAGCCATGTCAATCAGGCAAAAGTGATCACTACAAATCAATGGTTAGAAGCACAGACATCACGGTTGTCCTAGCATAGCCCTTGCGTAGTTCGCATCAAAATGTCCGTGAGCCTGATCTATAGAGAACATAATCCACTTCGGTGATCAGTAGGGTCCAAGCTTGCCCGTGCTCCAAGTTTGAAGTGTGAGATTCAATCTGATGCTGTTCTGATCTGAGCAAGAACAAATCGAGGCGGTGAATGGCTAGGCCTCTTGGACAATGGCTAGATCGATCCGCGAATTCTGTAAATTCTGTAATCGATTGAGTTGAGTGCCAAACCGCATAAGCTAAGGAGGAATAGATTTCAGTGTAGTTTGGCACCCAATGAGCTTCTTGGTACGCTCGGCGACTTGCAGGATTGCTGCAAGCATGAGGTTTGGTCCTGAGTGAGTGGATGATTGGTATAAACTTTGATTGGTGTTACAGTCTGGGTGACAGTGTTGTTGTCCTTGTAAAACTTCCTTGGCGGTCTCCTGGGTGCCGTGGTTCGACCCTAACAATGCCAAGGATAGATAACATGTGACCGGCGAAGGCTGAAGGATCCGTCTCAAGGTAGACCTCGCCAGCAACCTTGACATATACCTTACCCGAATCGGCAGCCAGTTTCTTAACAAACACTCTCAAAAAGTCAACGAGCTACTGGCATATCAAGGTTGACAAAGCGTTGAGAATAATGGACAGAGCAGCCAGGACTCTATGCCATGATCAAGTCGAGCTTTAGCATGACATTGACCCTCCGGCCAAGAATAATGCGAACATTTCATGTTTTTAGAGGGAGTCCAGCCTCGCCGGCCAAGAGCGACCTCGAAGGCTGACCAAATCACGTCAGCCTACGCCGCTCGACTTTGGTCATGGAGGCGCTGTGCCTTGGAACCGCAGCTGGGCTGTTGCTACATGAGCTACCATTATCGAAGCACACAGTAATCCCAGACTTGCCCCAATTCTATGTACGAGAATCATTGGTTCGAGACCAGACATATATCATTTCAGAATCTGCGCTAAGCATCCACTAGAATACCATCCACCTTCTTCTCATCGGGACCGAGCTGGCCAAGTGCTTCTCGCCGTGTAGGTGCACTAGGATCGAAGAAAGGTACCTCTCCCAAAGTGGTGACACGGTTTCCATGACGGGGATAGTTGCCTCCATAGTCCCACGATGCGTTGTGGATCGTGATGCGATTGTCCCACAGAGCGCTGGTCCCAGGAGTCCATCGAAATCTTACTTGGATATCGACGTTGTGCTCATAAACATCATAGAGATATCCCAGAATTACATCACTTTCAGCCTTGTCAAGTCCAACGATTCGATCAGTCATCGCTCTGTTGACCCAGAGTGCTTTCCAGCCCGTCGCAGGGTGAACACGAACCAAAGGATGGGTTCTCTCAATGTGCTTTGGACCTGAGGTGGGATTTTCACGATCGAGATACGTGTGTGCAGATCTGTACACTGCGCGTTTCCCATCAATCAACTTCCGGAAATCAGGGGATAGCTTCTCGTATGCTGCATATCCACTAGCCCATAATGTGTCACCTCCAACTGGCGGCACTGTGTCATTATGCAAGTGGGTATATCCAGCGGGTTGGGCCAAGTGGACAAGGTCGGTATGCCAGCGAGAGGCTCCTCCTGGCTTTCTAAAGCTAGCAGGGTATTCTGTGGCTTGTAAAGCGGGCCAGATCACGGTAACACCCTCAACACCTGGAACTTGTGGCACTTGTGGCTAGGAGCTGTCAGTCGAATTGTGAAAATAACGTTGTTCTTCATCCACTTACGTGTACTTCAACTTCTCCCCAATATTCACCTAGAGCTTTCTGTTGTTGGGGTGTCAGTTCCTGGTTCCGGAAGAACACCACACTACGCTCAGCAATCAGAAGAGCAAGCTCATCCTTTTGTTGGTCAGTCAAATCCTTAAGCTGGAGACCCTCAATCTCAGTGCCGATATACGCAGTGAGGTTGGTGACCTTGGTGGCTGCGGAGAACAAAGCCTTCTTCTCTTTGTCTGCCCTGGCTCCAGCGTCGTCATACTTTCGCTCATCGCCTTGAATTTTGTATGCATCCTGGAGGTACAGCGGCTTGTTCGGTCGATATGGATAGCCATTCGAAAGATCTATACCTGCCTTCTCGAGGCGGTTTTTGGTGGCCTCTGGAAGTCCTAATGTGTCCTTCTTCTGGACGACATAATCAGACGCTGGTAGGTCGACTAATCCTGGTGCCATGATTCGGACTTGATTTTACTTGTTCTTGAGTGTTTTCTGGCCGCTGAATACAAAGTACATTCACAAAGTGGTCAAGTTATTCCCTTTTAAAGGCGAGGAATTTCTACAATCACCCGAGGTTTGCTCCGTGAAACCGTTAAACACGGACTGCTTACTGATATGCCAATATCAACTGAATTGTTAAACAGCAGTGATAGATGATGGAATATTTGGGCATAATTGCGTGCCTTTCTGCTTGTGTTTTATTGGACCTGTCCTATTCTGCCGACAATCAAGGCTCAATGGCGACAACCCAAGTACTTCTGATTCCTACACAACTGGATCAACCGAGAACCAGTGGGGAGGGTCACACACCACAGGAAATCTAATCCCAGGAATTGCAACAACCCCGCGGTTCATGCGATCCTATCAATCCAATCAATTGTTGACTATACGAAGTGCTCGTCACCCTGGTATGCACGTTCTGTCACGTGACACTATTGCGTGCTTCGGCATGACAATGTGCTGCTCAATGAGGTTGCGAGGTATAAGCCAGGCAGCTGCATCTGCAATCTTTCCTGGAGAGATAATCGATTGTCTTTTGGGCGTCGGATTAGGCGCATGCTGATTTGTCCATCAGACCACCCTCTGGTAAGATTGTCAGAAGAACCCACCCTACCGTTAGGCGATGCTTGCCAGTTGCTTGACCCACTGGGGGATCTCTGTCTCAGGATAAGCAGCAATTGAAACGCCAGCACGCAAGAGCAGGAGATAAGATGCCATCGTCCGCTAACCTCCGAGTCAGTCCTTGGAAAGCTTGGTATGCTACAAGGAATGTTTACTCGCGACTTCTAGGAGAAACGCGGCCCAGTAATTTGAGCCTAGACCGCAGTGAAGAAACTGCTCTGATAGCAGTTCACGACCAACACTTTAGCGATGCTGATAGTCTCAAGTCTGACCAGCTCGATGGGTTGCGGTCGTCTGTTGATGATTTCTCTGGCTTCAAGCGAGGACCTTCTAACGCGATCAAAGCATCTTCAAAACGGAGTTGGAGATCCTACTTGTGGGACAGTCTCGATAAGTCTCCTGAAGAACGAAGGTTTCTGTTCAAGCTCGATGCCGCGGTCCTCACGTTTGCTAGTCTTGGGTATTTCATCAAGAACCTTGACCAGATTAACATCAACAATGCCTTCGTTTCAGGAATGAAAGAAGACCTGGGTTTGTACAAAAATGAGCTCAATTACATGCAGACATGCTGGACAGTGGGCTATGTCTTGGGCGAAATTCCTTGTAAGTCTTTGAGTCAAACCCAACCGCTTAGCAACTTAATTTTTAACGGTATGCCAGCCAACATAATTCTCACTCGTGTTAGGCCGAGTATATGGATTCCGTGTATGGAAGTCACTTGGGCGCTGCTTACATTTATGCTGGCTCAATGCAATACTGCTCAGTCGGTCTACGTACTCAGATTCTTCATTGGTCTTGCAGAGTCGACCTTTTATCCTGGAATGCAGTAAGACCCCGGTCCAGGTCACAAAATCGTCTTAATAGTCACCGTACTGATGCACAGGCAGATATATTATCGGTTCTTGGTATCGGAAAGATGAGCTTGCAAAGCGATCTTGTATATTTCACACCAGCGGTGCTGTCGGTAGCATGTTTTCGGGGTACCTGATGGCTTCGGTGCATCATCTTGGGGGTCGAGCAGGATTAAAGGGGTAAGTGCATTCCGATCCCCAATCGTACCAGTGGGTTCATAATCTCGTCTAGATGGCAATGGTTATTCGTTGTTGATGGCATGATCTCTCTCCCTATTGCAATTGCAGGCTTCTTCATGTTGCCAGATGTCCCGGAGATCACCAACGTCTGGTATTTTTCTCCCGAAGAACGAGAGTTCGCGAAGAAACGGATGCAACTTGAAGGTCGTGCCCAACGCGCTCCTTACACGAAAGCAAAGGTCAAGAGAATTTTCCAATCGTGGCATATTTACTTCTTGTCCGCGCTCTACGTCTGCTTCAACAACGCTGGAGGTTCACAGCCTGCTTTTGCACAATATCTCAAAGCTTCCAAACATCCTAAGTATACAATAACCCAAATCAACGCATATCCGACCGCAACTTCGGCGGTAGCAGTTATCACGACACTGATATATGCATGGACGTCTGACAGTATTTTCCATGGTGCTCGATGGCCCCCTATCGTGTTCGGAGGTACCGTTTGCATTGTGGCCTATTCTAGTCTTGCAATATGGGATATACCAGTAGGTTGGCACTGGGCTTGCTATATCCTTACCGGCATGGGCACTGGCATCTCTGGTTTGTGCATGGCATGGGCTCATGAAATCTGCTCAGGAGACAACGAAGAGAGGGCAATTGTTGTTGGGACCATGAACGAGGCGGCATACTTCTTCCAGGCATGGTTGCCTCTTATTTTCTGGCAGCAAGTTGAGGCACCGAAGTATCACAAAGGCTTCGTTCTGTCCGCTTTTCTTGAGGCCTCAATGATACTGCTGGCTGTCGCCGTCAGGTATCTTTGGGTGTGGGAACAGGCTGGCAGGGTGAGAAAGGGAGCAAATCTCAACGCTGCTTGAGTACAACAAGCGACCGAACACTTGATAGCACATCTGCATTGGAGTTTAGATTTACATCCAGATCCGCATCAGAGGCATGTGAATTACTCAAGCTTGTAGCGACAGTACTTGGTGCGATGGAAGGCTACCACTGGGAGTTTAGCGCATGACTACTCCTCAATAAGCGATACAATGATGTTTTCCGGTCTCTAATTTCTGACCTGAGCCCGATAGTGTGATTGATAACACTGCAGAAATCGGACTGAGCCGTCCCACGTCGTTAAAGTTTTGTATACCTCGCTTATATTGAATCTTCTCTCAGTGGGTCACTCCACGTTCGGCGGCACATTCGAGACCAACATTTCCTACCTTATTGTTATTCACACACAATCAGCCTACTCGCATTTGTAATCTTCAAGTGGTTTCAGTGCTTTATACACCTGCCGACACGGTTATTCGGCTTTTCGGAAAGTCTCGCCATGCACTTGCAGATGGCGACATGGGTGGGACGAGATTGCGTGCTCGTTTAACGCCAGTCGCGTTCTCCTGGACATCTTGTACACATCCACCATGATTGGCCCACGGTGCGATTGGTATCTCTTTCGGGAACACGAAAGAATGGCATCAGGGTTGAACAAGGTGTCTTGAAAGAGCATCTCGACATTCTGTTCAATTCCTGGCATCTGAGTTTAGCTGTTGGCCTCAATCGTTCAGCAATCATGGGCATCAAAGCGAGAAAGGTCGCCGTGATAGGTGCAGGTATCAGTGGAGTAAGTGCTGCTGCGCATCTACTGAAACAGGGACTTGAAACTGTCGTCTTCGAAAGATCCAACATTCCTGGCGGCGTGTGGCATTACGATGAGCGATCTGCTCTCGAGTCTGCATTTCCAAACACGAGGCCCTCAGTGGGCGACTACAAGACAAGACCAGCGGTGCATTATAGTACCCCTCCGCCTGAGTATCAGGACGATAAAGACCTAGAGATCGCCCATGCACCACCTGGACCGAGTTATGCCGGTCTCAGAAATAATGTGTCAACGAGACTGATGAAGACAAGTCTCCAGAATTGGCCTGAAGGAACCGAGGACTACGTTACTCAGAAGGTGCTTGAGGAGTACATTCAGGCCTTTTCCAAAGACCATGGAGTCACTGCCATCACGCAGTATCATACCCGAGTCGAAGAGGTCCGTAAACAAGGAGATGAATGGATATTACGGACTACCACTCTCCAAAAGTCTTCCGCTGGCGCCCACTTGGTCGAAAAGCATTGGATCTTTGATGCAGTCGTCGTGGCGTCTGGCCACTACAATACGCCAAATGTCCCTGACTGGCCAGGGATAGCTGAGTGGAAAGCTGCCCGGCCATCACAAGTATGGCATTCAAAGGGTTACAGAAAGCCACATCAGTTTCAGGATAAAAACATATTAATTATCGGAGCGAGTGTCTCGGCGAACGATATAGCGAAAGAAGCCGGACCGTACGCAAATAAGATTTGGCAAAGTACTCGAAATGGCGAGTTGGACCTACCAGCACTTCTCCTTCCTCCGAATGCCACCAGGGTAGTTGAGGTCAAATCTTTCGATCTAGACAAAGAGCACGCCATCAGCTCGACAGATCCAAGGACTCCAATCCCAGGCACGGTCACGCTCGTGGATGGTCAGAAGTTGGAAAACCTCGACGCCATCGTCGTAGCCACCGGATATATCACGTCCTACCCATTTTTACCTAATCTCCATAATGATGACTTGCCAGCATCGGAGGCGGATGATAATGTCTTGGTCACAGCCAAGGGAGACATGGCTCATAACCTGCACAAAGACATCTTTTACATCCCCGATCCAACACTAAGCTTCATTGGCGCTCCTTACCATATTGCCACCTTTTCATTGTTCGAGTTCCAAGCACAGGCAGTGGCACGAGTGCTCGCAGGGAAAACGACTCTCCCAACGGAACAGGAGATGCGAGCAGAATATAAAGAAAAGGTTGCGAAGAAGGGGTTGGGACGCGATTTCCACAGTCTTCGCGGCGAGAAACAGGAGGAGAACTATGTCTCTGAACTGGTCAACTGGGTGAACCAGGACGCTGAGAGGCGTGGCTCGGATGACAAGATGATTGGCCATACCGATGCGTGGCGCCAGGCAAAGGCTGACCAGCTGGAGCAGTTCAAATGGTTGCGCAGTCGAACTGCACCCAATAACGGTGAACCACAGCCAGAGAGTGTACGGAAGCTAATAAGCGTGTTCACAGACGTGGCGGCCATTAAACTCGTGACTGAGACTCGAGCTTAGACTTTGACATGATTTGGATTATTATGTATCCTTATTAGTAGTAGCGTGCCAGAACAAGATCAATCCCCCTTGTTGGTCTTTTGCCTGGGTATTAGAGAACGAAGTTCATCCATCTTTCGGGTCTGGAAGTGGTAATTAGAAGTGGCATACTTTAAGTGTTTCCTAACAGCAGCCAATAATGTGACCTAGTACAGGCGCAGTGTTTTGTTGAGAGAAACCAAGAAAGCACACTCTCAAAGCGACCCAGCCTTTTCACTTGGTGTATCATTCCTTCTTGACTTTGTATAATCTCTTTGTGTCCGAACGATCTTCAAGTCGTCGTTTTGAATTCGGGATAGTAAAGATGTAAACTGCCTTGCCACCTTCTCTGACTGCCATGATGAGATCCAGAGAGTTCGTGGACCAAGGTAGACTGAAGAGCTTAGAAGGTGGGACTGTATTCCATTTGCAACAGTCGACTCAAGCAATGAGGTTGTATCATCCTTTGGGGTCGTCTCGAGGCTTTCGCGGTAGTATAGAAGGACAACAGGCGATGTGTCATCTAAGGATGTCTCCCTAGATGTAGCGTTGTCCAATTCGGGGCCGACACGGACGCGGTAGTCATCGTAGACGTCCTGATTTGCTTTCTGCTGGATGCGCAAGTGCGTCGCTTGGTTTCTCCAGCGGCTGATCGCATCTACGTCCTCCCATATCGATATCAAGACGCCTAAATGATTGATATGAGGAGATGCGAACCCAGTCTCACTGATGAAACCCTTGATTTCGCGGAGTATTGGCGAGAGTGCTTTGTAGTATTGCTCACTCACTTCGGCTTTTCCTTCAACTTCCGTGCCTTCAAAATGGCATAGTACATTTTGAGGATATTGGAAGATAACTTTCAGAAATTACCAAGCAGACTCGGACACAGGAATGTATTGCAAGAATTCCGATGGACAAGATTAGTAGAGGAGAAGAATTGTAAAGATGATGCCAACTTTTGTTAGTATTGCCATATTGTCTTTCAGTCGCGCGCAGCGAGCTGAATACATACACTGTTGCAATCAGCCATACTTCACTCCTAGGGTTTGATACCTGGATTGGAATTTGTTTCGAAGACACATATTTGGATCACGGAATATTGACAGCCCATGTACTTCAGCTCTGGAAACCAAGACGCCATTCCACTTCCAAGCCATAAACGACAGCCTGGCAAACAGTTTGATACGTAAAACCTCACAGTCTTGTTACACGAATGCAAGGCTTTACACCCAATACTCCAAAACAATTTCAGATTCTGGAGTATCAGGCGCCCATGATGTAATTGAGCTTCAAGTTTGGACAAACGATTAGGACAGCCGCTGAACCTAAAGATGAAGGGATTGAAATTAGCGACACGGTAAGTGATTCCATACTCCCTCGGGCACTGTCACAAATATGGTACTCGGTAGAACAACTTTGAACCAAACGTCAACATGAGGAAGGATCAATTGGCGTTATTGTAATTAAACTCCGTCAGCACGCATGGCAACCATAAACTTCAAGCTATCGACTGAGAGGAGCACGGTGTACAAAAGCTGGTCGAAGCTTACCTGGTACTTGCACGATTTCGAAGGCCTAGATTGAAGCATTGTGGTATATTTGTCAGCTCTCTCGGAATCGATGATGCTCTGCATTGACGGATGAAGGTGCCTAACTGATTGAGTCTTCGAAATATTGCATTCGCAGAGTTAAGAAGGATGGTGAGATCAAAGAGAGTTCTTCCATAACCAAAAATAACACCAGGGCCTGGCTCTTATGATCCACCCTAGTCGCTTCATGCCTTCTCAATGATGCACCGTAGAATTTGTCGCAGCTAAACTCAATACAGTCAACGGCGCTTTCCAAAATTCCCAGCTCGACTTTCTCAAGCAACATCAAACTGTTGTCCATTGCGCTTCAAGAACCCTCATCGAACAACTCTGAACTCCCGACCGACGCATCTCACTCTCTGAAACACTCTTACAGAGATCTACGAATCAGCCACATCGATATCAGAAAGATGCCTCCCAAACGAATCCAAGTGCAACCTTCCACCCGCCGTGGACAGCCCAAGGGTTATTTCGGCTCGATATACCACACTCTGACGTCGGAGGAGAACGCAAGCGTTGTCTTGAGCGTTGCCATGTTTGGTGTATGTATTCCACCAACTCCTTTCCCCATCTCCCCTGTGGGAGAGTACGCTACCACGCCGCAAGACCCAAGACACCCTTCCGGGAGTTAAATGGGATACCTTGTGATATGTCGGTGCTCTCGAGGATCATCGGTCTATGAGAGAGGAGATTTTTGAAGTCCTAAAATAGTCCGTGATGAACGCAGCCTACTTTTACCAGTATCCTTACGCAAGGTGGTGCCGAAGAAACCGATATACTGACCTTATCCTCAACCTAGGCTGCCGTGGCATTCTTCAACTCGGAGTGGAGCGAACTCCTCCTCCCAGGCTTTTAAGCTCAATTCTCACACAAGCCCGCGATCTAATAAACATCCCACCATCCAGTTCGACCATGGACATTAAACAACGCTAAATCTTGACAAGATCATGTTTGAATTAATATTGGGGATCGGGATTCGGAGATTTTCGACCACATTGTATAACTAGGCCGGGGTTTGGCATTGTACATTGGATCACCACGTTTTTATTCAGGATTGGTGGGTGATTTTGGATCGGAGTCCTGCATGATTGTCCCTATCGCCGATATTGCGTTGAGTCTGAGGATGCAGGCGGAAAAGGACACTCAGGGTGGACATGGCAAGAATAACAAAACGGCATGAGATGACGTTACTCGCCTTCAATATGTCGTGCTGGAACTGTCGGGGTATGGGGAAGGATGGATACCATGAGTCCAGGACCAGTGTGCCGCAATCACGAACATACATACTCTCCACGCTTGTAACAATATCAATAAAAGAGAAATCGTCGAAAGCGAAGATCTACCTACTTCTTATTTCGATGCGCAGAGTCATCTTGTCATCAGTATTCCCCTCGTCATCTCCCGCTGCTATTTCACACTACCGATGGGTGTCCGAAGAGACTCAGCTGCCACAACCAAGCCTAGATATATCGATTGGACGGTACACTGGGATTGGTATCATTGGCCGTTTCAACACAGCTCATCTGTCCTCGATTCGGGTCGCGGAAACTACAACACCAGCTAATGACTACCGCGTAAAAAGGACGAACAGTAGAAGGCGTGTATAAGGATTTTTAATCAGGTATCTGGAAGGTGATAATATTTTCAATTTATTTTGGACCACGTGGGATATGTCCCTAAAAACGCTGTGCATATACAGGAATGCCGCTTGAGATGTGTTCATTTCCACCAAGTAATATTCCGAAGACGTCGACCATACAGCCACCAGTGGTGCTCGACAAAGCAAAACCTTGACGCTGTCGTCGATGGACACCTTAAGTCCAAATGAATCCGAATCGCTAGCCACCCGCCCAGTTTCTTTACCGGCATTAATGTGAGACGAAGGTCAGGTATATCACTCACATGGTGATCTCGGGTCGCTTTGTATTTTAAAGGCTTCAAATCGTGAATAGCAGACAAGAGGTGCGCCGATGCACTTGTCCATTCGTGGACCTCCAGTCACTTTTGACGAAAGCGGTAAACAGTGGGAATCAGACCTTCACCAATGCCCATCAGCTTTGGTCGAGCACCGGATTCTTGAATGTCGAGGCACTGCCTTATATACAGACAACGAACAAACGCCCAAAGCGTATAAAGCCAAAAGCCCAGACGGAAACAATGACTTTATGTTCCGTAACCATTGCCGTTGACATCAGGCATCAGATTCTCGCTGGCGCCTTCAGCCTCATCTTCAAGTTGATCACGCTTCATATTGCGACTCTTGACGAAGGTGTAGATGACCAGGCATGCACCCACCACCACTGCAATGCTCGTGAGCATGGCATTGACAGGCACAGGATTGAGGTCGAACTTCACATGGGTCAGAGCATCGAGTGGGCTTTGTAAGAAATTAAACAAGCCAGCGAGACAGATAGTCAGCCCGTACACTTTGCCGAATGTCTGAAAGCCGAAAACTTTTGCAGCATAGTCGGAAACTGTGGTATAGTAGAATGGTCGATAGACGACAAAGAGACACACGTTTGCAATTGCGGCCCACATGTAGGGTAAGCAGCCTAGAACACCAATAATGGTTGCTGTCACCACTAGAAAGCCGAGAGCGAATGGTGTCGAAGTTTTGTCGAGGAGGGTGCCAATGAATGGTATGCTTAGAACTCCTCCTAAAGGTAGGGCAACATCGAAGAAATCGTTCACTGTCTTGGCTCTTGCGGGTGAACCAAGTAGATATTGCTCTTGTGGTCGAATGGTTGCAACGAAGTAATTGATTCTCGTCATCTGAATGACCGTAAACAGAGTGATCAGTATGAACCAGGGTGATTTGATCTGTTCAAGCGCAGTATAGCCGTGCATTGCTCCCCAAACACCGGATTTGGCATTTTTGTTCTCTTCGCGCTTTTGACGTTTTGCGTTCGTGCTCTTATCAAGTAAAAGCGACACCTCCTGGCTGATAGATTGTCGTCGCTCATTAATCGACCGAACTTCATCGCTTGTTGCATTTGGAGGTGTGGGCGCATTGATCTCTTCTTCTGCCTCGTGTACAACCTCGCTCACAGTCTTGTAGGACTCTTTGGGCATAACGAAGATCTGAACAATCAAGATAAACAGTGGCACGACCAGGTATGCAAGAAATAGATTGCGGGTGTTCAACCGCTTGCCGGTGCTCTCGTAAAGGATGCGGAAAAGCAGGAACAACGCGGATGAGGAATCAAATGCTCCGGTCAACAAGGCGAGAATCAACCCGGAATTCTTGGGGAAGGTATTCGACAGCTGGAAGGAAGAGATAAAAACGAAGGGTCCTCCAAGTGCAAGGAAGAAGTAGCCAGGCGTGAACAGATCCCCTTCAACCCTGGAGGCAGACGAAAAGAGTGCAGCTCCGATAGCAAGACACAGACTGCCAATAATACCACAAACTCGTGGACCATAGCGATCGAGAATCGTACCGATTGGCAAAGCGGCCACATTAGTCGAGACAGCGGCTATCGTGAACATTAGATTGAGTCTGATCTCTTGTTGCAAGCATGGTGAGGTGCCTTTCTCATGCTCCTCTACGGTGCATAGGTTTTTGAAGACCCCCTCATCTATCAGTACTGGCTTGATTGCAGCATAGCCAAAGACCACACCTGCAGCGAATAGACAATATATGATTGCAATGACAACCTGGACTAGATGCATTTGTCAGTTCAGACGTCTGACCTTGGCCTGCTCAACATGCTTTCTCCGGGTGCTAGGAGATGGCTTACCAACACGTTTCTGTTTGGATACTTCGTCAAATTGAAGAGCAGCAGTGACTACGCTCTCTCTTCGATCATGGTGCTTGGGCGGCACCCAGTCGCTCACCGGGTTGAAACTCATTCTCCTTGGTGTCGAAACATTGGAGCCTCGACGCTCTCGTTCGAAGCCATCGACGGAGGCAATTCGAGTGAGAGACATGGCGAACTCTGTGAACAGTCTCCAATATGGACAGTGACGGGTTGGACGGAAGAAGCAAGCGGTTGGTGGACAGAATGCGGAGTACCGAAGGCTCAGCAAACGAGATGATGAAGGGAATGGGGCACGGTTGGGGTCCTCTTGCACTTTCACTGGTCAATACCAGGTCTTGTGACTGCCAAAAAAGAGTAAAGATGCAACATTCAAGAGATCGATGATGCAAGTCAACATCGACAGGCAACAAGCAACAGTAACGGCGATGAGGTTGAAAGCTGAGGTCAATCTAATAGACCAGTGAGCATGTTGACATGGGCGACGACTGGGTGAACGACATTTTTAAGAAGCTGTCCCCATGAACCAGGCGAGCTCAGTATCGTTGAACCTGCTGATAACGATAAGGAAATTTTGCATCGTAAAACTTTGGCGGGGAAAAGATAAGAACCGAAACGATTGGTTGGCAGGCGAAGTCCAGGCAAAGATTGGCGCACTCGGCAGGCGGCCAGCGGAGGCCCATTGCCAGTGGTCCCCTCGGTCCATTTGGTTAGGACCGCCCGGAGGACGCTTCCAGGTGCCAATAGCTGAATTATCTGTAGCGACCACCCCCAAGCTCTTAACGGTAGTCAACTCTCTCGGCCTTCATGAATAATGGAAGGCACCGCCCGAAAGTACCACATGGTTATCGGCACAGTCCATTTTCTTCAATTTCCCTTCCTTCACCTTTCGTTGCCAAAACCTCTGTCCACCTGCCTGGCAGACTTTTCAGAATCGAAATCTTCTCCGAGCTTTCGGCATGCCATGCAAGACACTGGCTGAATGATTGGCAATAAGGAATGTCGTGCATATGATCCTCAAATAGTGAGGACATTTTCAAGCCACCCAAAGATGGTCCACCAATGATGGAGTGGGGAGGTAAGTCCCGGAGAGCTTAGGAAGGTTTCTAGGCACGATGGACCATCACTCTTTTGTCCATGTTTTCAAGGCAGAATTTCCCCGTAACTCTCAGCATCAGACCAAACATAAAACCTCAAAGTGTCTCGTCTTCAATGGTCAGCCTCGTTAGAAGATGCGCTCAGCCTGCGAATCAGCGGCGTGCCTCTGGAGACGCCCTGTACTGGGCTACCTCTAAATAAGGTGAGAAGTAGCCGCTCCGTGCGGCCACAGAAATAGACCTTGGCGCCTGAAGCGCCCAGCCCTGAAACAGGGCTCATCTTGCTCCATGTTAAACCACCACCAGCCGATTCTGGATCCATACACACATGTTGAGACATCTGGTCGACACATACTGAGCATGTTGCTGCATTGACCTCAGAAACCATGCGCTTGCCTTTGTTCATGAGTCTCAGGTTCTCAAGGATCTCCACCTCCATTCAGATACTTAAGAATGGCTGAATCTTCGGTTCTTGCAGATCATCTTCAAAGCTGGCTGTACAACATTTCCTTCAAGTCCAAAAGATTGCTCATAGTATTTCTCAGCCTGTGTACTGTCCTTTCCTGTCAAAAAAACACGATCCCCTCATTCCTTATCGAGCGGAAGACCACAGCAGCTTGAAGCACCAAGTCAAGCATCATTCCCTTGGTCGTGATTTGAGCAATTCATTCAACTGCACAATTCGACCTTTGGCAATTCTCAAAGATTCAACATGGGTCCCGATCACGGTGCTCTCGGTGCGACATTCAAGATCGCTCGAGTGCTCCAAGCAGCATCGATGATAGCGATGATTGGCATCACGGCGAATTTCATCTCTGAGATGGTCAGCGCTGGTGCGACGCCTCCTGCAATTCTCATCGGGATTCTGAGCATAGTGAGTGCTCCCCAAGTTTTCTGTATTCTGTATGCAATACTCACCCACATAGGTCTGCATTGCTGTGCTGTATTGTGCAATCACAGTCATTCTTTACTTCGATAACATCCTACCGTTCTTGATCAGCACTGGTCTTGACGCTCTTTTCTTGATTGCACTGATTGTTCTCTCGGTTATTGTTGGCAAGCCACTTTCCTACCTCAACTGCCAGATTCTGGACGAGGTTTCCAATACCAGCTCCAGTGCATATGACTTTACCTCGGCCTTGGGTAACAGTCTTAACAAGGATGGCAATGTTGACTATTCGCAATGGATCGGGACTTCCAAGGCCACGTGCCTTGAGATGAAATCCATCTGGGGTTTGAGCATTGCGCTCTGGTGAGTTGGCTCGAGGCACGTTTTCCCAGGGTTCGAGAACTGATGGAAGAACTGCAGCATTCTTTTTACCTTCTCGGCGGTGAGCAGCATCTGCTTATGGAAGAGGACCAAGCAGCCACCGGCTGAGAAACTCGACGCATAAGGCATTTCGTCCGAGCAACCTACGAGTAGCACCAGGCGAGTTTGCCAGGCGACTGAGCTAGACCGAACATCAGGGATGTTACACGAGCCTAGTGTTGCCTGACAGCCTGATGGTGGGGACCGTTAGAAATTGTCGGAGAAAATTGACCAGATCACCGGGTCGTGATCAAAGAAAAACGGCTTGGACGGGAATACGGACCACAGGGATGCATCTCGGTTACGGAGGTTTCTCAAGGCCATCCGACATACATTCAGGGTAACGGGGTTGGACACTTGGATTAATACTGTCAATTGATTAGCTGGTCAGTGGTCAGGGGGGGAAAGAGCCGGGCTCACAAACAAAAATGCAAGTTACACGTCAGCTTTGCTGGGTGAAGTAAAACCACTGCACCATGTGTCAGAAAATGATAGGCTGGAGTAGATCATGTGAGTTCGACACATTCATGCGGTGTCACCAAAAAGATATTTCGACAGATAACTACCTCGGACCTAGCTAGATGAATAGCTAGGTATGTAGAGCAAAGACAGAACGTCAGACAGCCATTGCGATCGTCGTGCATTCGGCATTGCAGTGTGTACCTGCCTTGTACCTCCCAACCCCAGTCGGGCGTGGGGCAATAGAAGTCTAGTTAGGTAGGTACTCGTAGTTGCTGGTCTCTCGTGGAATGATGATCCCCGGGTGACTACCTAGGTAGTCAAGTCCACATGCAGGAGATGGCAAAGAATGATTCCTGTATCACGCGAGCGAACTGCACGTTGTGCGTTGTGTGCTGGTTCTGATCAACATTGATGGTGGAGAAGAGCGTACATGCTACTAGTTAGTTAGTACGTGGAACACGATAGAGTCTCCGTATCCGCACTCAGATCGGACGAAATGGAATGTGGCATCTTGAAAAGCGAGGCAGAAGTAAGCGACCCATGTCCTTGGTTCTTCTGCTCTCAGGCCGTTCAGAGTCGGTCTCAAGACTCGGACTCAAAGACCTTTTGAGGTCCCACGGCTTTGGGTCGCTGGGCATGGCGCCTCGGGCGGCCTGAGCCCCCAATACCGATGGACTGGGTGCACAGAACCCCGCAAGAACAGCCCGTTGAGAACCTGAGGTTGGTCACCGCCGCCATGGGTCTTATTTTTAGATTACCCATGTCGCTTGCAATGGAATTTGGCTTTGGTGGTCTCTAGGCGTTGACCAGCGTCGAATGGTGTGAATTGTGTCATCTCATATACACAAAGTCATTGTTGCGAGGTGACCACTGCCTGCTGTATGCTGGTCCTCCAAGTCGACTCCGGTTGGGTGGGTGAGAAATCCGAAATGAATGACAACCGGAGGGTTGAGACTTACAGCACTGGGGATTTGGAACGAGGATGAGCGAATAATGGTAATGGTAATGGCCAGGGCCCTGGACTGCCATCATGTAGGTCATCGCAAGGGGTGTGTTCCTAGTAACCGTTGTCACCGCTTATTGGGTTTGGGTGCCTAGGGAGCTTGCTCAGGCTGGGCATGCGGCATCTCCCAAAGGAATTGTTGCTCACACGATAACAGAGATACTCGTACTGACGAATTGCAACAATACAAGCATTTAGATCCCTATCTGACTTTACTCAAGTACATATCTTTGTGGGTGATGGTCTGGAAAGCTACCTGAATACAATACCTTTAGGCTACAGCTAAGTTTGGCCAGATGCATATGCCCATTTTGCCCCATCTTCAGGCTCAAGGACATTGCTCGGGATCGTTGCGTACCTACGGAGAAAGTAGCCTCTGTTAGGCTGCGGCTCCGGACCATCCCTCCCTAACCACCCAAGGTTTCCACTCCTAAGAGTAAGGTATTTGCCCGACTCGGAGCACAAGGTCAATCGGTCTCCAGCAGAGTTCCACCACTGACTTCAATTCTAGTGGGAACTGCCTCTCCTGGAGCTTCCAACTATTCAAGTAACCCCCTCGCTTTGGGCCAAAGAAACTCCTATGCTCGTATTTTGGCTTTCGTCTTACTCAAACACTATGCCACTGCCACCCAAGCAGAACTCGCTGCCAATTCCTTGCGTCTGTGTCCACATCAGTGAGTGTCAATGCACCGAATTTCCGGGTCAGCAACCTCTTGACAAGTAATCCGAAATGTGGAAGATGGTCTCCACTCTTCTCGCGAACTCACTGAAGGCCCAACCCACCTGGGCCTGAGGCCGCTCAAACTTGTCCTCACGTTGCACTTTCCTATGCCCGCCAAGGTGGTCGTTTTCACTGCTACACCATGTTATCATCTCTCCGTGTTTCCATCCTCTTGACCATCAGCAGCTTCTTTCCCTGAATCCAAGACTTCAGAAACCCCTGTGTAGGAACACGTCAAAAGTTTTGCAATTTTATTGATCGTCTAAAGGATCTACGCATAGCTCCAACCCAGATCGGGGACTGAATTTCTCCACCGGCCACCTTTCCGCCACGATCGGGGCACCGGTTACCAGTCAGTTCTTCACCTTCTCGCCTGGACACTATCCTGGACAATCCCATTTTCGTGGAGCACTGTTGCATTTTCTATATTGTTGGCTACAATCTGGGTTTCAAGTTCCTGATTCATCCTCTTCCATATCGTCCGGTGACGATGCATCTTCATGATGACCTACCTTGAAAAGGATATGGATGACTTGAATTTGCCCAGCATCATCCCGGTCGATGCTGAGTATGGACGCTACGCTTATGACAGCGAAGAGCCGGAAGATGATGAACAGTCGGCTTATTCGGTCGCCTCTTCGATGTATAATTTTCGGGTAGAGCATGGACGAAGATATCATGACTACAAAAATGGACATCCATTCCCTCACGACGAAGTATCCGAAGAAAACGAGTACTGTATGCACGCCATGATCAACTGCTTACTCGGGAACAAGCCTTACTTGTCTCCTATCCCAGAGTCCGACCTTCACTGTGTTGCAGATGTTGGCACAGGCTTGGGTCTTTGGGCCGAAGGCTTGGCCGAAAGATGTCCAGATACAGAGGTGGTCGGAATTGATCTCACTCCTCATGATCGTCCCACTCTGCCGAATTGCTCTTATATTGTCTCAGATGCAACGGAAGAATGGGTGCTTGATCGCCCATCCATGAAATTTGATCTCATCCATATACGGTCTCTCTTCGTCGGCGTCAGCGATTGGCCTCAATTATACGAGCGCTGTTTTGAGTAAGTGGATTCTCTCCAGGTTGAGGCCATCTTCTTTCCGGCTTAAGCATGCATGTAATCCATGAAGTGCCATGATTTGGGCACAATTCTTGCAAACTCGACTAACTCGACTAGAAATTTGAACTCCGGTGGCTGGGTCGAACAACTAGAAGTCGAGATTAATGCATTTGCCGACGACCAAACTGAAGATTCGAACAGCTACATTAAAAGACTTTGCAACTATTCTACCGAGATGAGTCGGGCTACGGGACGAGACTTTCAGGTTTCCTCAAGTATGAAACAAATGATTGAGGAGGCTGGATTTGTAGACGTTCGTGAGCAAAAACTCAAGCTTCCACTTGGGCCATGGTCCACGGACCCAAAGATGAAAGACGTCGGAAGATTTTTTGAGCGATTTTACAAGACCGGTCTGCAAGGCTGGCTATTACAGATCTGCACAAGAAACTTAGGCGTGAGTATACTAGCCCTCTTCATGAAAGTCAGCTATGACTAACGAGCTTTGGTAGTGGACTGTGGACCAAGTTAACGAAGCTTGTATAAATGCATTTCAGGAGATCAATTCCCGAAAACATCATTACTACTTTCCATTGTGAGTCGCAATGAACCTTGAAGGAACATACAGCTAGACAGCACCTCTAATCACCCTCACAGAGTCATCGTTGTGGGAAGAAAACCTTGAGATACCCTCCTCTCGCCGTCAAAACTCATCTACTGTCAACAAGTCGTCACGCTTAATACAAAAAGCAATGCATGATTGGGCGCAATGAGAATTGGACATACCTATAACAGCAATCCTGGATACAGAAATCTTCAGACAGGATCATTTGCTACATTGTCTATTGCCCATGCTCTGAACAAGAGCTAGCAAGGAAAAAAGGAGATCCACAAGAATCAGCACCTCAGTGTGTATCTCGACAACATTTTGATGAATCAACTGCCAGATCAACCATGCCGGATGTTGGCAGCCTCTTGGGTGTGATTACTCAAGGTCAACTCCCCAAGGGCATTCAGCTTGGTTTTGCAAGCCAAAAACCGCAGAGTCCCTCGGCAATTTGACCATAAGCGATCTTCCTGGATCCGGGCGTCTTTCGAGGATGACGGATTGTGTATGTTGAGGGCCGGAATCTATTATGTGGGAGGCTCGGAATGAACACTGGCCAGAAAGGGGCAGTACAAAAGACATAAGATGATTTCTCCGGTGTTCATCCTGGCGAAAAGTATTCCAGACTGCCCCACCGGGATTCGCCCAGACTGGAATTGAACAAAGACTCTATTCCAGTGGCAGGAGGCTTCGGGGAAAGGAAATTGTGATCCAGTACAGATGTAGCATTTGATAGACAGCATAAATAACGAAACCCACCCAATGTCATACGCACGCAGGGAAACTGAATACTAATCACGAATTTCTGGACTAGGTACACGCCATCATTCCAGGGGTGGCACAAACCCACTAAGTTAGGCATTTAAAGGGCGTCAACTCCCACTTGCAAGAATGCTACGATCGAAGACCTCCCTCCGGAAGGCAAACATACCCATTTAACGCTTTTCGAAGTCAGACTGTCATTCTCAGTACTCCGTACCTAGGTAGTCAACACGATTTCCAACCAACAGCCTGATCCCCGAGAACTTGGTATTGTTAACCCCGTCGGGCGGTGACCCTTCGTCACGCCTCTGGCGCTCACCAAGGGTCAGGCACTGAAGCCCGAAAATGGGGAACCAAAGTTCTCGGTTGTCGTTGACCTCGGGAATTATCAGCACCTATGGAAACACCCAAGTTCTTTGCCCACCGGTTGACAAAGTCGATCCAGTTACTGTACTTAACTGAACAGATACCGGCATTACAAATTGCGCTTTCAAATCTCACAGCTTTAGGCGTGCCAGTACGAGAGAGAATGGTAATGGCTTTTTGCACCTTTCTCCTCGCTACGCGGGCCTGACAATCCTACACCCCTTTTTACAGGTCGCGCCGATTGCCTACTATCCATGTGCTGAGAGTTGCGGACTGTGTGCAGAGACTGCAAACGCTTCACAAAACCCGAACGTCCTCCGAGGCAGTCAACACAGTCGCGGCCAATGACAATGACTCAAGGCTTTACGACCTCCAATCGTCGACCCTGGTCTGCTCAATATCTCATCTTTTAGGCAGTCGCAGCCATCCAACTCATTTACCTAACCAGTATGAGAGATGTTCAAGCAAAGGGTGTTACCTAGTACATCGCCGCCAGCTATTTCCAGCCTCTCTGCAAACAGCACGATGCAGTAACACGAACGTCAAGTATGACTGCAGAACCAAAGACGCCGTCTCTATCTAAGGCTGACTGTGCCAATGCGGGTGTGATCCTTTCGACGACCTACAGCTTAATCCTTCTCGGACATCTATTTGCACGAGCATCTGCGAAGAACCTTCCGACCCGTCTAGGCCCAACATTGTTCTATTACACCTACCTTGATAGGAGCAGCTATGTACCTAGGTAGGGAATTTGTTTGTACAACTGATGCGTACTTAGTCAGGGCTCGAATCGGCCAAGCCTCTTTAGTCATCATGTTGTTTCTCCCTATTATCTCATTATCAGTATTTGGATTCATTCTTATCCTCCGCGGATCGGGCAAGCGGTTGAAGAGCAATGTACGGTGACGAAATGGTGTCCCGAATGACCTTCCTTGAAGAACTTGGGCAAAATGTTTGGACTGAATTCTACAGGTGGGCCACCGTTTATCGGGCTTTAACCAGGCGCCTGGAGCTCTTTGAGACAGCTACCCCTCGCTAGGCCCTGCACTCAACGGTAATTCCAAATCGCCTCCCTTGACATCACTTCTTTTTGCTTTTGACGTCGGGGACCTCGATATATTTGTGGATCCCGTGGAATTCCTAGCCGTTGTGAAACTACCAAGTATTAAAGAGATATCCGAGCCCGACTGGACATGTCAATTCATTCCATTCGAAAAGCACAGTATAACATCTCACTACCATAGCAGCAAAATTACGCCTAAACAACTACAACAACACCAGAACCACGAGAACCACCTCTCGAATCCACCAAATCCACAAATCAATCCATTACAATGCCTCAATACGAAGGACAATGCCACTGCGGCCAAATCGCCTGGACCGCCGAAATCCCCGAGGAGAAGCACATCCTCTGCCACTGCGGCGCATGCAAGCTCATGGGCGGTGGTGAATTCACGCTCAATCAGATCATCCCCAAGGACAACTTCAAGTTGACCAAGGGCGACTTGAAGGTCTACACCTACAAGGGCGATTCTGGCAACAACACCGATTGCTTCATGTGCCCCAACTGCGCGAGCAGCCCGTATCACCACCAACACGTCATGGGTAAAGTCTTCCATCTCCTTTTCCTCCCTAGCAATGTCATTTTCAACTGTACTAATACAAATACAATACTAGGCGAGGACAAGATTGTCATCCGCACGGGTCTGCTGAAGGGGACTGAGAAATGGGGCAAGCCAGCCGCCGAGATCTACGACAAGGATCGCGCCAGCTGGCTTCCTCAGACTGGTGAAAACAGTTTCCCAACTGTTCCTCCTTCATAAATCGGCGTTGAAACCATTGAAGGGGCGGGTTGTGAGGCCATGTTGAGCTGTCTAGCCCAGGCAGGAAGGACATTCTTTGTCGAAAGGAGGGAGTGAAATATCGGGAAGCAGACTGGAAAAACTGTGGCAGGTAATTCGATACCTCGGACCGGCTACATATCCAAGTAGTCAATTATAATTTCGAGACCGAGCTTCTGTTGCGAATCTGGTTCGATCACTTTAAATGGCTGATAATTCTGTGCGTGCATCGGTACACAATGCTCATGAATGAATCTTATATCCCGCTCGACATCCTGGATATTATGTAATAATGGCAGCGAAAATGACCCCTTCGACGTTCAGCCAATATATCAAGTTTGGGCCCATACATGGAGGGGAAGAAGAGATATGTAGGGCACCCACCCGCCACCATATGCACGTAGAATAACGTATAGACATCCAGCTCGATCATAGCAAGGCAGTCACCCCTCCTAGGTCATGCAGCGGAAGCTCCTCAATGGCAAAGAATCAAGACACACACAACTAACTGCAAGGCGCAGACAAGCCTCCCAGCCAGCACGAGGCTCCCCTAACCTCCAGCGTGCCCCTTCTCTATCTCTCTCTCGCGCGCGCGCGAAAGAAGGAACAAAGGCATCGACAGACAGACACCACCCAGCCATTCATCCACTACTGACCGGCGGAATAATCCCGACCTCATCACCAACCTGCACGGCGACACTCCAGCCCTCCAAGTCCCTCTGCCACCTCTCCCACCTCTCTTCGTTTTCACTCTCCCCTTCAGCCTCTCCCATCTCAGGAAACACGACGTCGACATACTCGAGATTGAGCGTGACGGCCGCCGAGGCGAGGATCTTGGGCAGGAAGCCCGGGAAGCGGGCGTCGAGGGTGCGGAAGATGGCGCCGAGCGTCGTCGGCGCCGCCAGCGTCAGCGACTCGGCGTCCGTGTAGGCCGACGCCGCCGCGAAGAGCAGGAGCGTGCATGTCCCGCCTGCCGCCGCTGATGCCGCTGTCGTGGCGTTGGCTACGTCGCTTGAGGATGCCATTGCGGTCCCAATATCGTCTGCGGGCGGACCCTGGGGCTTGTTGCAGGAAACCTTTCAAGGTTTGGAGGAATTGTGCCCTTCTCTGACTACCCCTGGTTGTGACTCTTAAAGATCTGTACAGAAGTGGTGATACTCTTCGTCCTTGGCGGAACTATCTCTCCTCCTTGGACTCTGGTGAAGATTGTCTTACAACCACGTGTGGTATATTACCCAGACACAGACCCCCTCTCCTTCGTCGAGGCTTGCGCTAGCTGTCCTGATCGACAATTTCTGTCTTACGGACTCCTCTCACGACTAGGAAGAAATTCTTCGAAATTTCTCGGAATTCAATTGAGAACGAAAATGGTATTACCCTTTCTTCAAGAGCTTTCGCAGTTCTTTTACCCTGGTATTAATTCATGTCATACCTTAGCTCGACCAAGTGTCGAAAGATGTCCGGATATCGCCGGACAGAGGAAGAACGATGTTCCTGATCATTCGGGACGATGTCGGACAATTTCAAGAAAGACAAATAATGACGTCATAGCATTCAATCGGTCATAGGAGGACGAGGTTCATTAAAGGTTCTGTTCTTGAACGGTTATTGAAGTAATTAAAGAGTGATAGTTGGAGTAATCATGCCGGTTTCAACCAAATTTGAGAACATAGATCACAAAAAACATAATTCGCATGAATCGTATTAACTACGCCAATTATGACTGGATGCACAACCTAACGACAGTCTTATCCTTTTCATAGATAGACGTCTGGAAAATTCCTGTTTGGGGTACCAAGAAAAGAAAATGATATAAGTTTGCTATGCTCATCAACCCAACAATCTTGGTCATAGTACACATAATCTAGTGCTCAAGCAATCTCAAACTTCCTTGGACAACCACGTTTTCGAGGATACATCCAGGAGGGAGATCAATGGTGCTGTTCTCCGTGGCAACGATAATGACGGTACCTTGGATTCAGTTAGTTGAACAGCCTCAGACATGCGAATGGAAATGGATGACTTACCCTTGAGAACAATACCCCGGCCAAAGTTGACATCGCCAGTGACTGTCAAATGGTCCAATTCCACGATATTGGGAATGCTGCCAATTCTCTTCTGGAATTGAGCAACCTTCTTGAAATCGCTGCCCAACTTGATCAAAGGAGCAGGGCCGAATCGGTTGGGATCAATGACTAATTGACCATGGCTCAAAGTGTAAAGGTTGGATTTAACCAACATAAGGTCGGAGCAAGTCTTGACTGGCAAGAAGCGTCTTCGAGGAACGTTGACACCGTGAGCATTCTTGAAATGTTTGATGGCAGCACCAACAGCAGTTTCAAGTTGAACAATGCTGATATCTGCTTCACCCTTCTTGTCTGCCGGGATTGACTTGTCATTGGGAATGATCTCCATCTCGAGCTCATTGGCTTCAACAACGCGCTTAATAGCTCGGAGGTTCATCCAAATGTTGTTGGTGTTGAAGTACTTGAATTTCTTGATCGACTTGAATTCATTGACGTATTGCTTGGGGACTTGTGCAATTTCGAGAAGTCTGGCTTTGCCTTCGTAATCAATAATGGTACCACCCTTGACGTCAGCCTTGGTCTTGTCGGTCAATTCCATGATGTATTCAGCCTTGGTCTCAACCATGTGCTGCAGAATTCGGAGATCAACAACAGCGCCCAAGTTATCAGCATTGGACAAGAAGATGATCTCGATTCCTCGGTCAAGTAGCTGATCAAGGATGCCGGAATTGTAGAGCGACTCGAAAACGTCACCGTGTCCAGGTGGATACCAGTCGGAAAGTGCAGAGTCATTGGTCTTTGGTGCAGGGAGAAGCGAATCCTTGAGCACACGAGGATATCTGGATTGGTTGAAGGTCAAAATATCAATGTTGTGACCCTCGTACTTCTTGATGATGGCAGCAGTGTCCTCGTCGGTGTTGAAGCTGTTCATCAGGACGAATGGGACATTGACATCATAAGTGCGGTTGAGGTACTCGATCTGGCGAACTGAGAGATCAAGGAAGGACATGCCATCTCTGACTTCAATGACGGATTTGGGACCGACACAACCCATGGAAGTACCAAGACCACCGTTGAGCTTGACAACAGCGAGTTTATTCAGGAAATCAACAGCGTCACTATTGGGGAGTTTGTCGTAGTTGACGACCTGATCTGGGTTGGGAGGGTTAATCTTGGCCCAGTCAATGGTATTGCCCTTTGCTCGGTCATTGAGATATCTTCTGAAGAGAGCGAAGAAGTTGTCCATTTCGGCTTCGAAACGCTTCTTCTCTGCGGGGTCTTTGACAGTATCGGCGAGGTTGTTGAGGGCATTTCGCATTTGGCTCGCAGCCACATTGGTAGATGTGTTTTCAAAGGCCTGCATAACAGGGGATTTCATTAGTAAAGGCTTTGGGTGATTCTTGAAGCCATTTGTAGTAGACGCGGCAAGCTCGAAAAGAGAGGGGACTTCAAGGAGTGGCATTGTGACGAACGCTGGTGGAAAGGAAACAGAGTAAGTGCTCAAGAGAGTAACAACAAAGAAAAGTTGTGGTGTTCAAAAGACAACTCGAGTGTCACTTCAAGCTGCGTGCTGTTGCTCTTTAATAATGAAAACCAACAGCGAGGTTGAACTCGTAGGTCTTGTGGTCCGGTAAGACATCCGAGCGCAGGTGCCCATGAATATTTGAGCAAGAGCGAGGGCCGTGCGGCGGAAGTGTTCCCGAACAGACAGATTCAATATTGTAAAGCACCATCTCTTGATACCGGATTGGGAAGGTTGGAAGGAATTGTGCAGATGAATCCAAAACATTGAGTATCGTTCTGCTTACCACATGAGACTGTGTCTTGCCATGGTGCCTCTTCTCACCAGCAGGAGCTGAGCCCCCGTTGTTTCCATTAGAAGCCGCGGGGCGAAGGTGGGAGGGAATAGCTTTGGAAGCCATTGTGTCGGTGAAAGTTGGAGAAGGAAGCTCTGGAATGGGGGGGTAAAAGGTAGATTTCAGAGAGAGATAGCTCTCGGTCTTTCAAGGGATTGATCCTTAAGGTCTGGAGAAGTTCTGGAAGAGGATGTAGATTAGCGAGCTGAATCAGCCAGATTTGAAAGCAGAGAGTGAAACACAGGTTTGCAACTCTTTGTCAGGAGGAGGGGAGGGTAGTAGTAAAAAGATTTTGTGTGAAGATGGGAAGATGATGGAAAAGCATCATTGGGAGGCAAAAGGTGACGAGACAGGGTAAATTGGCGAGGGGAACAACTGCAGCGATTGACTGCCAGTGCACGCACGCCAGTGCCAGCCAGTGGTTTCCGAGTCAGGGCAAGGTGTCATGGCAGCTCCAAAACAGAAAGCACTTGTCGATTCATTCCATCATGTGCAAAAAAACCCACGAGGCGGACCAACTCGACACTGACAGGTCAACAACAGGCCAGGGATGATGTCGTCCTGCATGTGGAAACATGAAGCCAAATGCCATCATCCCTTGCCAGCTGCTGGCAAGGGCAAAAAAGTGGAACGTGAGGGAGGCGGTCTGTACTCACAAGCTTGGTGGATTAGGTCTTGGTCGATAGTCGGTAGCTAGTAGATACCTAGGTGGTGATTGAATGGCTGATGAAATGCTGGAAAACAAAGTAGTATACACATGAACGAACTGGCCCGTCCACCGTCGTCAATGAAAGAGATCTTGCAAGGTTGAGTTTACAAGAGAAGCACTGATAAGTGCACGATCCCAAGATCGAATCTCATTCATATATCGAATCTCAATCTAGGCACTGTAGCACCAGAGCTTTTCCACCCGACTATCAATGAAATGTTGGGCAATTAGTGATTGTAACCTTCGGAAGACGAGACCGCAAGTGAAAAAATAAATTATCTCATTCGATGGATACTGGCAATGGTACGAGTAGCTTGAAGCCCTGGCACCCACCAGGAGACCATCCAAAAGGTCGATCTGGCCCTAGAATCACCTGGACCTGGCCTGCACCGCACCGGGAGCTGGCGAACAGGAAAAGCTTCCCCCACCATTTTTGCCCACGGGTAAGAATAACCCTCCTGGTTAGCTGCCCAGGTGTCTCCTCCTAACAATATCCCACCTACCAAAAACACAAAAGTGATCGGCTGTTTAGGGTGCTACCCCTCCATCGATCCTCCTCCTCCTCCCCTCAACTTCCTCGTTATTCCCTAGCTGCCCCTCCAAAACAGAAACCCGCCACCGAGCTAACGCACTCAGGGACTGGCCGTTCGCCATGTTCGCCATATCCGTCTCCACCGTTCGTGGTGACTAAACCCATCCCGGGCTGGAGGGACCGCCAGAAATACTCGTGGGATTTTCCGACCCGTTACCTATCCCAAGGACTGTGCTTGCCAACGGGTATGTGATCCTTTTTCTTCCCACTTCGCTGGGATTATCGCTGGAATAGGTACCGAGCAGGGCAATGATAAACCCTCTCCGTTAGGTATCAAACGCCACGCCACGCCACGCCACACCGCGCTCGTCGTCGTTGTCGTGAGCCAGCATTGAGATCTCTCGGATTATGAAAGGAATCGAGACAGAAGTGAGGCAATTTTTCGTCGAATCTTTGTCCTCCACTTTGTGTACTCGGTACTCGTACGAGACTGCTTTCCGGAACCTGTTTCACGCTTTCGCATTTTCTGGTGATCTCAAGCCCGTCATTTTCAGAAGGTGCAGACTTGGTACCTAGATCACTACAAGAACAGTATGCCCTCCCAGACCAGTCCAGTGGCGCGCGTGTCTGCAAATGTCCTTCCTTCAAGCACGCACATGGTCCAACCTCGCCGCTCGAATGGCAAACACTACTAGTTGGTTGACCAGGCTGCTGCAGAACGAGAACTTATCGACCGATTATTTTTCTGACCGCACGTCCGCGTCCGCGTCCAGGTCCGTCTAACAACGGCGTATGCAACTAGGTAGACGACCTAGACAGGTACCTAGGTACGCAGGCAACTAGGTAGACGACCTAGGCAGGTACCTAGGTACCAGCAGGATCCGTCCTTCCTGCATACACGGTCTGACTGGTCAAGAGGTGAATATAACACAGAGTATCATCCCTAGACCACAGACCGCCATATAGCAAGCCTCACCGCTCCTCTCGCGTCCAGCGCTCAGGGCATCATGCTTCCAGAGACGTGGGAACACTCCTACATAATTCGCAGCTCCATACCGAGAGCATTCGATAACTGTAGGTTGACATTAAACATAACGTATATTCTTTTGACCGGTTTTTTGTACCTGTGCCTGGTCGTCCATTGACCACGAAAGCTACCTAGCTTGGCTCTCCTGGCAAGCTCCCGAACGCAATTAATAAAATAAAAAGGATTCTGGTATCATAACAATACAAAAAAAGCTCAAAAGTTGTCGTGCTTTGTCGGAAAAAGAAAAGAGAAACCTGCCTCCTGGCCCTCTGCTGTCTTGCTCCAGCATCTTTACCCATATATCAACAATGGGAACCCGGACGTCTGAATTGGATCAACGCCACCACCGCCACAGTTGAACACAATTGATCACCACACCGAACTCCTGTTGAGTCCACTCCACTATTGGGCCTCATGTTTACCACTGACGTCCCTCCTTCCGAAGAAACTTCGACGTCCCTCACGTCTGGAGTCTGGGCTATCTCGGCCGCTAGTCGATGGTCTGAGGCCGTCTGTATGATCTCCAGTTCCGGGGGTGAAATTGCTTCTGATGGTGACACTTCCAGACCCTGCCTTGACAGTCTGTTCAGACCCGGCTCCTTGGTCGGAAACGAAGAAGAGAGCTTCGCCAAGGTCTTTGGATCGGAAGGTGTCGTGGTCCCTCACCAAGATCTGAAATTGTGCGTCTGGTGAGCATGGCACTTTGAAGTTTTCGTGGCTGGTGTCAAACTCCACCGTCCCCGAGCTTGATTTGATTGCCTTTGTCTTGAAAAGCTCTTTGCTCTTACTTCCCACCATTTTGAAGATAACCTGAACATCCGCTTTGGGAGGGTATCCGGTGGCTGAGACGACAATGAAGTTGGCCGTTCCGCCAGGAGCATCGCCACCTTTGAAACCATTAGTCGATAGTGTTGATTGAGCGCTCTTGGTGCGTGAATGCGTTGTAGGTGTTGCAGGTGAAGCTGAACCGTCGACCAGAGCAGCAGCTTTGGTTGGAGTAGCCATGACTGGGCTATCTGCGACAGGCTCATCGGTGGTGAACGAACCGTTAGTCTGAACTGGAGATTCATCTTTGCTGCTACTTCTACCGAGTATTCCTCGTTTGATGAAAGATGCCCCTTTCACCACTCCTCCACCAACTTTACCGACGCCCTTCACAGGCGCACCAATCACCTTACCGGCTGGTGCGAATGTACCTGCAAAGGTCGAGGTTCCTTGACGTGATCGGGTGATGTAATCCGGTTTGAATTGCATTTTCAACCGAATCACTCCGGATTTTCCATCCAGGGGATAAGTGATCTCCTTGGGTTGGAATGGTTCCAGTACTGCCAAGTTGATTGAAGTCGCACCCAGGAAATCTGCCTTGTCGCCAAAATCCCAATCATAGACATCGACTCGAAAGTCAGCCGCTGTCCTTGACGGAACCTGCACTTCGAAAAATTCGTTCCATGCTGGATGAAGTGTTTTCTTCTGGGTCTTCGTCCTGTGTACCTCCTTGCCATTGAGTTTGAATTTGCAGTAGGGGTCACTGAATCCATTTCGATCTGCTGAAGGAAGGTCTGCCGCGTCAAGAACATCCACGCGTAACGTACCCATATTGTTGATACTCTCACTGGGGTCGAGTTGCATCTTCACAGGTAGATATTTCAATTCAACCACCACTTTATTCAAACCGCCTTTCTCGCTCTTCAACGTAAGGGCAGTCGGCTTGTACAAGCACTGCTGTAAGGTCAGTAAAGTAGGCCCTTGCAATTTGGCGATAATATCGTCTTCGTCTTGCTTGCCGTCCTTTTCCGTTTTCTCGACCAGTCTCAACGTGATGCGAGACATGTCTAACTCACGGACCATGGCATCGCCTGTTTCTCCGAACTGATGCTCTCTCGATCGAACTTTCGATGAAATATAGCTGGGGAATAGTTGATCATCCATCAAAACCTCGAGTCGTATATCGCTGGTAGAGAATGAGCCTTCAACAATGTTGAACACAATAAGACCGGATTCTATAGGCGTTGTTAGCATCCGACGAACTGACAGACCAATATATTGCTTACCATATTTAGGCAGGTCTTCCACTGAGATCCTGACCTTGGGAGCTTCCTTCTTCGCCGAGATTGATGATCCGTTCAGAGAAGGAGAAATACCATTTCCATTGAGAGAGGCAAGACGACGACCGCTTTCCAGACTTTTACGCTGTTCGATACTTGGTCGAGGTATATCGAGTGAAGGCTTGATATCGACTGATGACTTCTTGCTGTGAGTTGAGATTGGCGTGGCGGGAACAGCGTCGACACCTTCTATCTCTGCCTCAGCCTTGCGCTCTTCTTCCTCTTCGTCTGGGTCGACCACATTCAAGGTAGGGTAGAATGCAACAGTGTAATTCACCGTGCCTTTCTCTTGTCCTGCACCACCAAGGCGAAGACCATGCGTAAACTCGGTTGTCTCATGAGTTTCGTAGCCTCCTTCTTCGCTTTCATGAATGAAATCCGATCCTGATATCTGAACCAGACCTAGAGAGCGATCTTTGCCTAACTTCTCTTCGTCCATTATTTCCAGAACCAACCGTTCTGATGCGCTGTGCATTGGAACATAGATAACTTCGTCCCAGGTAGGGTCCAGGTCGTTCTTGAAGGTAACAGTTCGTCCCTTGGGGATACCAGAAAGAAGAACTCGAGCATATGGGTCAGATTTGCCCATGGTTTCAAAGTTGCGGAGTTTATTTGCACTCTTGATATGCAGACGCATCACACCAATGGGCGTGACATAACCCCCAGATCCCACTGCCCCCTTCAAAGCCACAGGTTTCCATTCCAGTTTTAATTTCGCCTTGGCTGAAGGTGTCCCGTGGAGACTGAACCATTCCTGGCCTTTGTCCATGACCTTCATAAGGTCATCGACCTTCATTTGGTAGGTGCCCAATACAGGGTCTTTTGCAAGATCGCGATCGTCCTTGATTACCAAGCCGATTCTTGCTTTCTTCCGATCCGTGATCAGAACAGACTTGGTGTTGTCAGAGAAGACAGGATTGTTGGTTCGCTTCAGCTTGTTGGTAATATGGACCTCCTTGCCATTAAGGAGCAAGACTGCATATGGGTCAAGTGACCCGACCATACTTTTACTTCCATCGAGATCTTTAGCTTGCTCGATAGTGATTCTGGCGATACCTGTGTTCGATTCCGGTGGTGGTAGAGTCTCACCTGTTGGCAGCTTCTCTGACTCGATGACCGGGAAGAATCGTACGTCTGCTGAAATGACACCTCGATTTTTACCATTGGCAAGTACTTCTAGATGCAGATTCTCGTGTTCCATTGAAGTCTCCAGCCGATCCAGTGGGAAAGTGGCCGTTCCGAGATGCTTGTCTTTGCGAACGTCATTGTAATCGTAGACCTGTAATGTCAAAGCGTCCGTATAGTTTGTAACAATGATGTACAAAGTCTCGTTCCAGCGAGGGTTGGCATCTTCGTGAATGGTCTTGGTCCTTGCAAGCTCTTTTTGGCTGTTTAATGAAAGAACCGCATATGGATCGGGAGTTCCAGAGAATTTGTCGGGGTTCTTGAGGCCATGCGCGTTGTGCAAAGTGACAGCAACAACGCCAATTGCAAGATCGATCGGATTGCCTGACAACATCTTTGCCACCTCGATGGGGAAAACATTGGGATCGTACATCATGGGGGCAAGATTACCGTGAATCTGCTCCGTGATGAACGATTCTAGGCCAGGAATGAAGTTGATATCAAATCCAAATGTTTCTCCACCTAGAGGTTTGCACACATAGTCGATTGTGGGCCGACCAAGGAAGCAGATGTCGACTCTCTCGATGTGTGGAAATGGGATTTGCAGCTTCATACGCACACGCATGAGGCCGGAGAATTCGAAATCTTCAACGATGACCTTCATAGATTTACTGACCACACCTTTCCCAATTCGAATTTCGAGCACAACCTTGGGGTTGATCTTGGTTTTGAGCTGACGGGCCGTCATGTCCATGGTATCTGTGGGCGTGAAGCTGAATTTCCAGTCCATCATGACAATATCATCTTCGGACTTGGGATATGTCTTGACGAAGTCCATGCGAGGGGGTTTGGTTCCCAAAATGAAGGTTTCGAGTCGCATGCTGTCCAGGAAGGCAGGGGTCGAGGTGCTCAAGACTTGGTCAACCGACTGAACAATGCCTTTGGCGAGCTGCGGAGCATAGATGGGCCAGAATTTGACGAGGAAGCTGTTCATCCATTCCAGACTTTCGGTGTCTGTCTCCAGGCGTGCTTTGGCGAGTTCTCGAGTGATATCATCTCTGAAATTGCGACGTACTCGACGGATGGATGTCCTATAATATGTACCGCAGGTGGCCATGATGATGAAGACCCATCCGAGGCCACCACCCAAGAGGGCAACGAGCCATGATGAGAGGCATGCGAAGATGATGACACCGGTGTTATGATACCAGTCTAGCGGAGTGTTCAGTGAATCATCCATGCAAATGAGAGGGGGTTAGGACGCACCGCCAAAGAACTTCTCATCCAGTTTCCCTTCCAGCAGTGTCTGATGGTCGAGGAGGGAACCTTCCTCTTTATCTTCTTCCGTCTCACCAGAGCCGAAGCGAGGCGCCCATCCAAGTTTAGACCATTGCTCTTGCTCCTCGGGAGCAGGCCCGTCTTCTTGGACAGACTTGTTAGCAGGGGTTATGGCGGCTTCGGCTGCAGCGGCAGATTGTGGTGGAGGGAGATCATATTGGTCTGGGGTGCCGTCGTCCTGCGGAATGGATCAATGAGAGTACTCGTAAGCAGGTGGGGAGATGAGGGTTTACCAGATCAGTTGCGACGCCTACACCTTTTGCAGGGCGCTTGGTATCGTTTTGCCGCTAGCTTTGTGTCAATGATTGAGATTCCACTGGGTCAGAGAGGTGGTGGAGCAATACCGAACGTGCTTGCGCGGCCTTTTCCTCTGGCGAAGCATTAGGGTCGAATTGCAGAGCTGCAGAGCCGGCCTTCTTGCTCTCTTCTAACATGACACGTTCCGCATCTTGAGCTGTGACTGAGCTGTTTGGGTCTTGAGCAGCTTCAATGGCACCCTGACTCTTGAGCTCGTTCTTGAGGGCGGATACGGACATGGTGAGCGGTTGTGCAGCAACCCCGGTCCTAGGAAGTGCTTAGGTGACGAGGGTCATGGGAGGAAAGGAATTAGATAGGAAAAAACAAAGAGACGGTCAAGGCAAAGAAGAGATGTCTGTTCCACAAGAAGTGTGAAGGAACGCAAGTACAGAAACAATCACCTCGTTTGTATTCAGATTGGGCGCCAACGAGCGAGGGAGGAGCGGTGTTGCGCCAAATATGCATCGGCTTGACATGTTCCTTGGTTTGGGTGGCTGGCCAGCAAGAACTCGGTGTGGTTTAGGGACCTTGAACAGTGGTGACATGCCCAGCTGCCTAGGTGCCGTGGCTTATTCTACAAAGTGGGCACCTCGGCCAGGGAAGTGCCAGGCCCAAGGGCAGGGGCCGAACGCGCAAGTCCCTCCACGACTCTCCAAGCCTGCGGCTAACCGCTTGTCATGGGTGCCCCTCGGCCCTAAAGCAGCTCTAAAGCAGCCCTAAAGCTCCCTGTTGCATCATTCGAGCTGAACTCGCACTACCAAGCTGCGTCTCTGCTCCAATCATTATCTTGCTTCACCTCGATTTAAGTCTGGGGACCTTCGCTTGCCGACAGGGACGATAATGCATGTGTCCGCCGGCTCAAGATGTTGACTTCGGCTCATTCGTTAAAGGAAAAGGACTGTAACATAAACCCTGCCTTCCACGCACCAAGGTGTTTCTCGCTTGGTGAGAATGTCAAGCAATTCTTGAATCATGAGCCATCTTGCGTCACTGCTTCGTTGATCAAAACAAATTAAAACAAAACTGAGCCACAATCGACTTCGGATTTAAGCCACTCTAATCTCGAATGACGCAGCCTGGGTGATGCAGAGCATGGCAGTGCTTCTTACAGGCACCCGAAGTGACAAACTGAGCTTTTGCTCTCACTGATCGATGATGTGATCTGAGGAGCCGTCTGCCATTGTTCTTTATTGCTCCTACAGAACGATGCATGGTTCTGGCCTCTGTTGCATGCTTGTGCAGCTGTTCGTACCTGGGGATTGCTTCTGGTTAAAACCCGCCCGAGATGCAAAGGCACGGTGATTGCTCCAAAGCTTATCAAACCCACTGGCAGTCCACAACTCCGGCAGCTAAACACCTAGCTGGCTACCCAACCATGCCGGTGTCTTCGTGCCATCCCGGATGCCTTAGCTCCAACTCTACCAACTTTGGGGCACCACAGGCCAATAGACTGACAGGCTTCAGCTGTGAAGTGCAGATTTCGATTTGTGTTTCGGTCCCAGGCACTTGAACCGTTGCCACAGGTGGGCTGATGGGTTGCCAATACAATAATATCGAAGAAAATGAAGGTCAGAGCTTGTCTTTGTGTTCAAATGCTGGAGTCAACCTGTGGCAATGGATACTGTGATTCAGCTACCTCTAACCTTTGCACAGCTAACCATGCAATGCAATGCAAATGCAATCCTTACTTGCGTCCAGCTGGTTTCTTCTTCATCTGCACTTTGGCAATGATTTCAGGCTTCTCCCGGCACGTAGGGCAATACCAGTCTTCGTCCTCGTCTGGCACTTTCTTCATGTTCAAACATCCAGTGTGGAACCATTGAAACGGGCAGTCGTCGTTCTCACACGCCACCATCTCACCATAGCTGCGCTGGTTACAGAAACAATATTTCTTATCGTCTTCTGCCTCATCGTCTTCCATATCTTCATCCTCGGCAACTTCCACTTCGGCCTCATCCACCGGTTGCTTTTTGTTTCTTCGTCTCCCTCTAGACTGTGAGGCATCTGTCTCAGATGCGTCTGCAGATGAAAGCACCGAGTCGGCATCCTCTGAAGCAGCTGTACCTCCTCGATTGCCACGTACGGATGGTGACTGTCCTTTTTTGCGACCCACTGAAAGTCGACCCTTGTTTGCACTCTTTTGTTTCAGCTTGTTCACTTGTTGATGTGATATGACCTTCTTCGACAGGCCCGACTTTTTCGTTGGAACCGTGCTTGACTGAGAACCCGTTGTTCGGGGTATACTGCCTGCTCGACTTTGACTCGTAGCTGTCGGAGTGCTTGCTTTGGGCGTACCAGGACCGAGGGATGACTGACGTAAATTGGACGGTTGGGCGGGCAAGTTAGTCCCAGCCAATGGATTTCCCAATTTGCGACGTTTGGTATCGGCCCCAAGGGAATGCTCACGTTCGCGCTGTCGTTGCTGTTGCACAACGGAGGCTGGTGTTGCTGGGGCAGAACTTCTTTGAACTGATGTTGTTGTTGTGACGATCTGTGGCAATTGCCTCGGTTGAGCTGGCGGTGCTGCACCCGTCATCTGAGCATTCAGCCTATGTGCGCTTGCATTCAGGGCACTGATAGAGGCGTTTTGTAGAGGGAGACTTGCAGGTGCGTCGATTATCGATTTTTGTGCCTCGGGCTTCCGGTCGAACACACTTGGCAGAGGCGGACCATCGACAAGTTGACCATCATTCTGTAGTTCACGGATCTTGACATCAAGCCTCTTCACTTGTCGTTCGAGTAAATTGCAAGCCTTTTCACTCAGAATTGCTTTCTGGCTCTGTAGCAAAAATGACTGTTCAAAGTTTCTTTTCACCAGGTCGGCATACTCTGTCTCCTTGGGATGAGGGGCTAGAACACCATTCAGTTTGAGATGCTTCTGTATATTGGTGTCCTTTTGGCCGATGGTAGATATCAGTTTCTGCATTTCCTTGTCTTTGGCTTGGATTTCTTCCATCATGTGACATATTTCAGCGGGTAAATTGGCAGCATCGTGAATGAATTGTTCCAGCACCGATGCGCAATCCTCGTTTGCCGCCATGGTGGGCGATATCTATGACCAGCAGGCACTTTCAGATAACCTCGTCGCCTCGTAGAAAATCAAAGTTATGCGCCGAAACAACCAATCCTTATCACGAAACGTGGTGGTCGAGTGAAGTCTTCTCAGTGTGGTCAGACTCACAGCCGCGCGTAAATATCTCCAAACTGATGATTTTGGGTTGTTTATTGATGAAAGTCTGCTGATGGAAGGGATGGTTAAAAGGACGACTGAAGTTGTTCTGAACCCATGGGAAGCTAAGCCGAAAGTGGGAGTGGCAAGAGCGACTTCACCGGTTCAGCCACTCGTGAAATGCAGGAACCACCAAGTCACAGCCGCAGCCAAAGGCACATCTCCCTTCTCCAACTCATCTTTCCGCAACTTCATCTCCGAGTCGCCATCTCCTCGATTCCGATATTCCATTCACTTCCATTCTATACCTCCATCTTCGGATTGACCTGCTTAGAAAAGGTGAATCAGTCCAACACTTCGATCACATCCAGTGATTCCGAATTATCATTTGACGTGATAATCTCTCGAGTAAACCCTGTATGTCAAAAACTGTCTTGGCCAAGGACGATGGATTGCATTCAATGAAGCTGTGATCATGCCTAGTCAGACATACAGAACGAACTAGAAGCAACAAATTACGAGCAATTCCCACAACTGCTCATTGCAACACGACCATGGCTTTCCCGCCCATAGTCCAAGAATACGACTCAAATCAGCCGTCTTCAACCTTCAGTGTCCAAGCAGAAATTCAACGGGAAGCCGATAGCCATGGCATCACTCGACCAAAGGGCTATACAGTATCATGGCACTACAACCCGGAAGTCGAAAATCACCATTTCGGTCAGACTCATCCGATGAAGCCATGGCGCCTTACCTTGACCAAATCCCTTGTTCTATCATACGGTATGCACACAGCAATGGATGCTTATTTATCGCGGCCGGCCACAAAAGACGAAATCAAGGAGTTTCACAAGGATGACTATGTTGACTTCCTCAATGTCGCAACGCCTCAAAACATCTACGAAATGTACCCAGAACTCGCCACTGGTCCTCAAGGCTATTCTTCCGCCATTTTCGGGGTGGGAGATGATTGTCCCATTTTTGATGGTCTCTACAATTATTGCTCCTTATATGCCGGTGCCTCTATCGACGCAGCCCGCAAGTTGTGCAACAAGCAGTCCGACATCGCAATCAACTGGAGCGGTGGACTTCATCACGCCAAGAAGGCTGAAGCCTCTGGCTTCTGTTACGTGAATGACATCGTACTCGCCATCCTTGAACTACTTCGCTACCACCCACGTGTACTCTATATTGACATCGATGTGCACCATGGTGATGGTGTGGAACAAGCATTCTGGTCCACTGATCGCGTCATGTGTGTTTCCTTCCATAAATATGACAAAGAAGTTTTCTTTCCTGGCACCGGGCCTTTAGAATCTATCGGCCCCGTTCACCCCAACAACCCCGGCAAAAACTACACCATCAATATTCCACTAAACGACGGCATCGATGATGACAGCTATGCCTACCTCTTCGCAAGTGTCATCGAACCAACCATTAACATCTACAAACCTGAAGCCATCGTGCTGCAGTGTGGGGCCGACAGTCTCGGTCACGATCGACTAGGCTGCTTTAACCTCAACATTCGCGGGCACGGCAATTGCGTTAGTTTCGTGAAGAAATTCAATATTCCCTTATTAGTAGTCGGTGGAGGAGGCTACACACCACGGAATGTTGCACGAGCATGGGCGCACGAGACCAGCATTTGCATTGGTGCGGACAAAACGCTCAACCCGGCTCTTCCAGAGCACACACCATACCGCGATGCCTTCCGACGCGAAGGCCTTACCCTTTTCCCCAACCTCGGTGGCTGGCGGAAAGAAAATATGAACAGCCGCGCCGACATCGAACGGATCATCAAACACGTCCGAGACCAGCTAGCAGAAATCCGAGCCGCTCCCAGCGTGCAAATGAAGCACATCCCACCAGACCTTCAGGGGTGGCGCGACGATGTAGAGCTAGAGTTACGGCAGAAAAGAGTCGACCGTGACGAGAAACAGGAAGAACGCGATGGTGCTGGAGGACTCATAGCCAAAGCCAGCCGGCGGAGAGAACTGGAACGTACGGGCCTGGGCACACTGCAGGGCAGTGTGGCGGGGAGTGTTGCTGGAGGAGGTGGTGGAGGAGCGGGAAGTGTGTCCGGCAACAACGGGACGGGGGGCGCAAAGTTTGGTGATTTCCTCAGTGTGTCTTGAGAGTATCAGTCGACGAATGCAATGTGTGGATAGCTACACGAGGATAGGGTAATTATATAGCTAAAGTGGGCTATGGTTAAAAGTTGTAGAAGAAAACCCTGAATTAACACAGAGGCACTCCGCCTGGACTTAATGAATGGGAAGTAACGACGAGAGAAATCGAAAAACAGAGACAGGGGACACACCTAGAATAATCACGAACCAGAAATGTCGAATAACATGTTATAGAACCGGATCAAAGTTGTTCATCCTTGGGTAGTTTAGCACTGAGGACATTCTCCCACGAAGCGAGGGAGTGAAATATTATAATACGCAAGCACTCATACTAGTAACAAAAACTAATGGGAACGCAGGTTTAGATTTCTGTCATTTGTTATTCTTTTTAGTCTGCGATCAGATCTCTAGAGCGCCGTGGTCGCAGGGAGGACGATCCCTGTTTGACCGGGCTCTGAGCAAAATAACGCTCGCGCGACTCACGTGCAAATGTGGCAACGAGTAAGGGACAGGAGACCAGACAGTCCTGTCTTTGCTAGGGGGTATCGTGTTTTTTTGGCGTTGGCTTTTGTGTTCGGCTCTGCCTTGCTGGTGGGAGCAGGGGCGAATGCTAAAGGCGATTCGCTTTCGAAGAATGCAAAATATTCGGGTAGTGACGCTCAAGAACCCTTGAGACGCATGCGACCGTTCCTCGATCGGTGTGAATGCTAAAGACAATGCAACGCCATCGCAATGCAGGGAATAGAGTAGTAGCACGGGCTGAATGGAAGATATCAAGAATCTCCATCGCCAACCTCGACCTCAACCTCAATCATTGCCCCCTCTTTTCCATGACCTTTTACCTTCGACCTGCCCTTATCCTTGGGGGCATAGACACCCACATCAGCTTCGCGATCGGCTGTTGCAAGGACATCATACCATTGGTCGAAATAGACGCAAGTCCGGACATTCACAGGTCCACCATCCTCGCATATATCAAACACTGGACAGCTCATACACGGGACCTCACTGGAACCTCCCGGGCCAAGGTCTTCTAATACTTGCTGGCGAAGAGCAGCGTTTCTGACGTCGAGTTTCTGACTGTTTGCACGGGCAACCAACTGATTGTCTTCGTGAAGGTCTTGGGGCGTTTTGAATGAGCGGTACATGGTGACAGACTCGTTATTATCGGGATCATCATCGTCTTCGCTGTTGGGCTTGCGGCTCACTTTGAAGAGCTTGTTATCATAAACCATAACATCCAGGAGTTGAGCAATGGCATTTTGGGGGAGAATGGTGCCCGTGATATTGGACTTGAGAATGTACCGGGAAATTTCGGTGAGTGTAGGATACTTGGCATAGCCCGAATCGTAGGGACGAAACGTTCTCGGGTGAGTAGGAGCGCCTTTGCCTTTGTGGTGGTGGGAAGAGTTTTCAAGTCGAGAGGACTTGGAACGGGTTTCGGCTTCATCGTCAAAGCCATCAGTGGGAGCCTTGCGTTTGTTATTGACAGGCGAGGACTGATCACCATCATCCGTTTCCTCCCAGGACTGTTCCGAAACATATTTTTGCACCACTGTAGCAACGGCTTGGAGTAAGGAAGTGTCCAGGTCACCATTTGTAAACCAGGCGCCTCCGGTGGCCTCCTCATTAGGTTGCAGGCCAGCCAAAATCCACATCTTTCGTCCTGGGTTCTTTACACTGGACATGGACTTGATAAGACCCTTGTTGGTCAATCCTTTGAGAACGCGCTCGAGGACTTGCGCATGAGCCGAGATGCGATTTTTGATGGTCTTGTTCCATATTCCGGCGGTGCCCGAGTTCTCGATACAGGCATAAACCATCTTCTCGTCGCGAGATAGGCCGATCTGGCTGTTAAAAACAAAGTTAGGAACAGAGGCACTGGTCTTCAGGGCGAATTGGTGTTATACTTTTTTGCCTTTTCCTCTTCAACCAGTTCCCAGCCGATGGAACCGCCGACTCTGTCATGAAGCTTGAAAAGGGCACGGTTGACAAGATGTTGAGTGGAAGTGAGGAGGATCTCGAGCTTTTTGTCGGGAATGATACCGGCGTTGAGGAGTTCATCCTGAGAAAAGACATAGCCTGCATCGTGATTTTGAACACACCAGGCATAGAGGGCTTCAGCGGTTCTATCCCTCCTACGACCGGTGCCGGAAGGACCTGGGGTAGGAGAGGCGGAATGCAGAGGAGGTGGCATGTTGTCTGAGTGGAAATAGGATCAAAGTAGTAGAGTGATGCTATCGATGAGGGTAGTAGTAGCAGAACATATTTGGTCAAGCGGGAGAGTGCTGACCAAAAGGGAATGGGTCGAGAGTGGTTTCTGTCACCGATGCATGTTGTCAATTGTTAGGATCTTCTTTGTGGGCAGCTGGAGTGAATTCCCACGAAGGTGAGTGTGAGTGAATGGAAATCTGAATACTGGTGCAGGGAGTGGAGCAATGACTCTGGAAATTTTGGCAGAAGGGCTGCAGAGGCCGCAGAGGAAGGTGGGGGACCGTTCAGTCACGTGCCTCTGACTCTGAAATTCACCCTGCCGCACTGTCAATTTTACGCATTCTATGGCAGTGTATTATGGAGGATTTTGAGAAAGGTCACAGCTTATGTACAGAGAGCGTTCTTCGCCGTGCAGCACTATTTCCAGTGCAGCTGTGTTCATCTGGTCTCGTGAGCATCGAAGAAATGTAGTTCAGCTCCAGCCTTGTTACACACGAGTCAGGCTCGCGGCTTCATTACCTCTTTCCCTTCCCTCCGCCCTCAAGCATGACTCGCGGCATCGAACCGTCTAGATACTCACTGAAGCCTTGCAGTTGCAGCCGGACTCCAATTGACCTCCAGGTATTTCCCACCCTCATATTTGATGAACAACTGAAATCGTGGCACAGCTCCTATCACTTCTCTACAGCAACTAGAAGCCCAACACCGCCTGCGGTACATAGCTAGAGCGTTCACACTCACATCAACAAGGTCCAAATTTTCAACAATCCTCATCATGGCCGACGCCTTCAAGGCAGAGGGAAACAAAGCATTCGCTGCCAAAGACTTCACTACTGCTGTGTAAGGACCCCCCCAACATGACCCAACTCTTTTACTAACACCCTCCAAGTGAAAAATTCTCTCAGGCAATCGAGCTCGATCCTGAGAATCATGTCCTTTATTCCAACCGCTCCGGCGCATATGCATCTCTGAAACAATATCAGAAAGCTTTAGACGATGCCGAGAAGACCACTGAAATCAAAGCCGACTGGGCGAAGGGTTGGGGTCGCAAGGGTACTGCCTATCATGGTTTGGGTGACTTGATCGGTGCCAAAGATGCTTTCGAAGAAGCCCTCAAGCTTGATCCCTCCAATGCTCAAGCCAAGGCTGGTCTCGAATCTGTCGATAGAGCAATTGAGGCTCAAGCCCGAGAAGATGGCGCTGATCTAGGTGAGGGTGGTCTCGGTGGTCTGGGCAACATGTTCAACGACCCTCAACTCATCCAGAAACTCGCCAGCAATCCAAAGACCGCATCGTACCTCGCCGATCCGCAGTTCATGGCCAAACTTCAACGTCTCGCCAAGAATCCTCAAGAGATGGGTCAAGAGCTAGGTGATCCTAGATTCCTACAAGTCATGGGTGTTCTTCTTGGGGTCGATATGAGTCTGGGTGGCCAACCAGGTGCTCCTGGCTTTGGCGGTGATAGAGCCTCCGAGGTCGAAGAAGACGTTCCCATGCCCGATGCTCGTTCCCAATCAAAACCGGCTCCTCAACAGAAGGCACCTGAGCCCGAGCCCGAACCCGAAGATGAAGATGAAGAAGCCATCGCTGCGAAAAAGGCAAAGGAGGATGCAGAAGCGGAGAAGAAGCTAGGTACCGAGAATTACAAGAAGCGTAAATTCGATGAAGCCATCGAGCACTATTCCAAAGCTTGGGATTTGCATAAAGATATCACCTACCTCACCAATCTGAGTGCTGCAAAATTCGAAAAGGGTGACTACCAGGGTGCAATCGAGTCATGTGAAAAGGCTATCGAGGAGGGTCGTGAGGTTCGAGCCGACTTCAAGATCATTGCTAAAGCATTTGGTCGTATTGGGTCTGCCTATGAGAAGATGGGTGATCTCGAGAAAGCCATCATCAACTATCAGAAATCACTGACCGAACATCGCACTCCTGAAATCCTGGCAAAATTCAAGGCCGCCGAGAAGGCAAAGATCAAGTCCGTCAAGGATGCTTATGTCAACCCAGAAAAGGCTGAGGAAGCAAGACTACTAGGTGCTGAGAAATTTAAGCAGGCAGACTGGCCAGGTGCTGTTGAAGCCTATACCGAACTTACCAAGCGTGCTCCTGAAGACCCGAGAGGCTACAGCAACCGTGCAGCTGCATTGATCAAGCTTCTCGAGTTCCCGACTGCCATCCATGACTGCGATGCAGCTATCAAGCTCGATCCCAAATTCATCAAGGCATATTTGCGCAAAGCACAAGCACTTTTCGGAATGAAAGAATACAACAAGTGCCTGGATGTTTGCACTGAAGCCGCAGAACACGACGAAGGTGGCAAGAACGCTTACGAACTTGAACAACAGCAGCAGAAGGCACTTGAAGCCATGTACTCCGCACGACAGGGCGAGACTGAAGAAGAAACCAGTGCCAGAATCCAGAGAGATCCCGAAATCAGTAAGTTCCATCCACCTACCCCATCATTACATGAAATATCTTCCCTTTTAATCTCTAACACTTCTCTTTTCACTAGTGCAAATCCTGTCCGACCCCATTATGCAGTCAATTCTCCAACAAGCCAAGGGCGACCCACAGGCTCTCAACGAGCACATGAAGAACCCCAGCATCCGCAGCAAGATCCAGAAACTCGTCGCGGCAGGCGTCATTCGCGTCGGCCGGTAATCATGGAGTGCTTCAAAACACATAGCGAGGCACGAGGATGGAGTAATGGGCCACAGTAGGATAGCAGGGGCAGCATAGCAGCATAGTGAGATTAATCATGAATCCGGACCCAAGTGTCTTGTGTTAGTTATGTCCACGGCGTCCCGCCTCGCGGATTAAGAATGATAGCGTAGCCAGTCAGCTCGTGCAGCAAGAGAAGATAAAAAGTGTATCAAACCGGCTTTTCAATTCCAGTCCCAAACACAATGTACCTAGCGTTTATAACCCCAGTGGGCGATACGCCACACCGTGCACGAGTAAATAATATAACCAAGCCGCCCTGTCCCTCGCCACTCACAACCTACCCAAAGATCTCAATCATCGCTCAACTGACTCGCCTTCCTCACCAGGCCCTTAACCTCCTTGGCGCCTTGCAACCCCGCTGCAACATTGACACCAACATTGACATTGGCCCCCGGGCCCACCCCGCCCACAACCTCATCATCGACCCTGCGGCCCTGCACGACCAACAACGCCGTCGCGAGCGCCTTCTCCCTGACCGCCCGGACCAGATGCGTTGCCAACGGACCCAGCACGCGCGTGTCCAGCGCGGCAGAACTACTTCCACCACCGCCCAGGATGATGCCGGAGTTCGCGAGCGATGTGAACCCCGGCGTGGACGACGATGAGGACGACGCGGAAATGCTGCGCCCCACCAGCACGATCGTCTCGGCCGCGGATGGCTCGGCGATCGCCGCGGTGATGGCGTCGAGCGCTGAGATGTCCAGGTCGATGAAGGTGACGCGCGCGTTGAGGGAGGTGGGCAGAGGGCGGAGCGTTTCGAATTCGAAGTCTCCTGGGCGCGTGTTTGGGCCACGGCGCGAGGGTTTGAGTTCGGCGTCGGTTTCGTCGGCGTCGTGGTCGTGGTCATTGGTCGAGTTGGAGGGGCGGATGTTTAGGATGATGAGGTCGACGGCGTCGTTGCGCACGAATTGCAGCCCAAGTTTCACGGCGTACAGGTCGTCTTCCGACCCGTTGTATAGCACGAACAGGCGGTAGCGGCCTGAGTCTGACAGTTTGAAATGTACGGTTGGGTTGGTCTGCTCGACGACGCTCATGCCTGTTACTGTACGGGCTAGGGGTTTGCCAGTCCGTGTCTCGACGGGACTGCTTGTGGAGGGAGGATCTCCGGCTGTGAGGGCCGTTTTGTCAATGAACACGCCTACGCTGCAGTTGTCGTGGGCTTTGCGGAAGACTTCGGCAGCGAGGGAGGAGAAAGCCGAGTTTGCGAGTGGGTTCGTGGGCTTCGCGTCGAAGAGATTCGGGTGTTCGCTCATCGTGCCGGTTTCCGACCACGGGAGGAGGATCAGGTCGCTTCGTAGATCTCGCGCGCGGGTGAGCAAGGTACCGGAGAAAGAGTGGTCGGGCACAACAGCGATTTGGCCTCCAACCGCGATGTCTCGAGACTGGCCAAATGTGCCGAATGCTTTGATCACCGGGTCGCGCGACGCGAATTCCTCAATCTCGCTCACTCTCATCACTGACGATTCTCGCTCTGTCAGTTCCATCAGGCGTAAACCATGGACTTGCAGCGGCCGGCGGAGGGTGACTACAGAACTCATTGCCTGTGGTTGCGACATGACGCCCTCGAACGTTGCTCCCTCTCGCGTAGCCGCCGGTGAGCTCGGGGGCGAAAGCGTGTCTAGATCTTCGCGTTTTCGAGCGAACAGGGACACCATGGTGAAAAGCGAAGGCAAGCCATCAAGCCGTAGGTAGACCAGGACTTTCCGCGCCACGTCGGTCTTCTTGAGGGCGTTCTGCTCGCTGAAGTTGGAGTTCTCATCCTCTTCATCATCATGATGAAGTCGGTTTCCGTCCCAGTCGATCTTGCCCTGCTTCCACAGCTCGAGCTTTTGCTGGTACCATGGAGGATACAGCCATACAACTAGAGGAGTGGTGGCAAATGTCGTAATCAATGCCATGACGACAAATATCGTGAATGTCCTTGTACTGAGGATACGGGCTTGTAACCCAATGTTGAGCACGATAAGTTCCACAAGACCTTTGCAGGACATGAGGCATCCAATCGTGAGGGATTCGCGCCAGACCAACCCATTCAAGCGGGATGCCAGGGTACCACCTGCGATCTTGCCAATAAAAGCAATGGCACAAACACCAACAACATAAGCCCATGTGATTCCACTGTTAAGTAAACCCAGATTGGTGTTTAATCCAGAGAGAGCGAAATATAGCGGCAAAAATAAAACAGAGATCAAATCTTCAATCTTTTCGGTCAGTTTGATGGCAAAACCGCCCTCATGCGGACAAATGAGACCAATCATGAAAGCTCCGAAGATGGCGTGTATTCCGATAACTTGAGTGAAAAAAGACGAAGCCAGTACGAGCATAACGGTAATTGCAACGACGGATTGCGTCGGTCCGTTGGCCAAGCTACCTGTTCGACGAAGCATATAGATAAACGCCCAGCGAATGGGATATGCCACCAGAAGACTATAGCCGACCGCGACCAAGAGGATGTATAATGCGGTGAGGCCTGCGCCAGAGTTCACCAGGGCAACGCACAGGGCCAGGAGAATCCAGCCCACGACGTCGTTTCCAACGCCGGCTGACAGTACAATGACTCCCACGGGCGTGCCGAGCAGTTTGAGCGAGGTCAGAATACGGCACAGAACCGGGAAGGCCTGAAATCGTCAATGAACAATTCACAGAAAGTATGACAAGGACATTTAAACATACCGTGATGGCCATCGCCACACCAATGAACAGCAAGTAGACACCAAAACTGATGGGGGCTAGACCGGGGTCGTCACGGAATTCGTGGTACAGGCCATAAGCAATGCCGGCACCCAAGCCAAAAGGAATGGCCATCCCGAGCGCCCCGACACTGAGGGCGATGCGCCAATTACTGACCAGGAAGCGAATATCGACCTCCAAGCCAACCAGGAACAAGAACAAGACGAGCCCTAGATTGGCGGCCAGCGAGAACGCGGGCATCGACGCCGTCGGGAAAATCGTTGTCGAAAAGCCATCTATCCTGCCCATGATCGACGGACCGAGCACGATGCCCGTGATGACCTCCGCGATGACTCGGGGTTGGCGGACCAGAGCGAGCGGCCAGTGGATCAGCCGTGTCAGGATGATGACCAGGCTGGCTTGGATGATGAAGAGGGTGATGGGGTTTTTGGTGTCGTAGTGCGTCGGGTTGACATGTTCGAAGATGCCGCCCTGGGGGGTTGCTCTGTTGGAAGTGGTGGCGGTTGCGGCGGTGGCATTGACGGTCCGGGTTACGAACTCGGTGATGGTTGCCGTCGCCATGGCGGGGACAGGCTGTTGGGGGTAACCTTCACAAGGGAGATTGATGAACAAGAAGTGATGACAATCGAGATATATAATATAGTATACTCAGTCCTGTAGGACGAGGATGTGGATGGGGAGTCAAAAGATGGTTGATAGATGAAGAAGGAAAAGGCTTTTGGATGCGGTCAGATGTCAGGGTCCACAGCCCACAGCCACTATCAGTTGTTGGGTTGGGGTTGGCACAGAGTTTGACAGGGGTGTAGATGTGATCATTAGGCTAGGCGAAGGCACAATCAGGGCGTGCATTAACCAATCGTATAAAACGCCAGAGGTAAGCCAAGGGTCCCTGGCGGGCGAAGGAGACGACCGAGAGGGCACAGATGACCTTGAGGTGGCTCCAGATGACTTTAAGAAGGCTGAACTTGTGTTGTCGAGTCGGTGAAGCATGCCCAAATGTTCGACTACTACTGCGTGGCAAGAGGCAGACCAGACGATAGCGTTGTCGAGAAAGGTAACACAACTGAACTGGAGTTAGTCCTTGGGGTTTGTATTCAGGGATGTCCCCAAGACACATGCCATCAGATGACTTGGTTGACTGACACACGGCATGAATGCGTGCATGGACGGGGTTTGCTATTGATTGTAAAAGAAAGAGACAATGTAGCCACGACTCACGAGGAACATAGCAACCACAGCTTTGGAACTGCACCTACAGTAACCACCTGGAATGAGAAACCCGGGGTAAGGTATGGGTGGGCCGGCAAAAGAGCGGGCTGGAATGGACGGGCATTTTTCTTTCACATGGGGTGGGCCCGGCCCCTGGAACATGCTCAATTCTCAGATGTGCATACGGAGGAATTTAGTGTGGTTGCATGGGGCAAAAGAATGTGGTTGCCTGGATGGAGCCCTCCCGTCTCCGTAGGACACCGAAGGAATCCGTTTACTACATCGGACTCGGGGTTCACTGGCAGGGTATGGAAAATGCTTTCAATACTCGGTACTGCTACAATCTGGAGGGCCCAGGCCTCTAATCAGTGACTCCACAATAGTAAAGGCACCGTGCACGGGTGGGATGAGGGCCCTGGAGAGCACGTACCTGATTGATTTAGGTAGCATTGGGTGGCACCCTGGGTAACTGAACCAAGTATGCCGATAGGTACTCTTTGCCCGAAGGAACTTCCAGGTCCCACGACATATAACGTACGACCATCAGGCACATGCCAAACGAACCCTGTCAGTAAACCCGAGTGGACATCCACTGATAAATACCAACACGTAGATGATCATCAACATTTACATTCAATGTATCAGTTCCAGTGTATGATTTTGCTCAACCTAGGATAAAACACTTAAGTACATGAGTTCGACCACACACGTTATCAGCCGAGGATCGATCAACTAGCTAACTAACTACAGCACCCTCCTCCTACTCGGAAAAGAACCTCAGAATAGAATCATAGCCACTCGCAGCAGCGTCGTCCAACGGCGTACGATGGTCGTGATCCTCCAAGTAAGGATCCAAGCCCGCGTCTAGCAGCAACTTGAACTTGCTAGCTTGGACTTCTTCGCCGCGGTCCCCAAAGATTTTACGAATATAGTAGTATTGCTCGTAATATGGTTTGCCCGTGCAGCCCTGGGCGATGGCATGCAAGAGACCCTGTCCTTTCTTGTTCACCACTCTAATGTCTGCACCCGAGTCAATGTACAGTTGAAAATGCTCCTTGGTGAACTCGGATTCGACTGCGTAGAATAACGGTGTCTCTCCTTCGAGATTCCCACCGTTCATATCCGCCCCAGCCTGCAAGAACCGTGGCATGAATGTTGGCCGTGGTGGGTCCACCCGCCGACCTGGAGGGTATCGACTTATGAACCGCGCTAGGTGATGGAGAGCATTGTCACCCAATGGGCCTGGGCAGCTCATATCTGCCCCGGCTTCAACAAGCTTAGCAGCAAGGGGAAAGTGACCGTTTCGCAATGCCTTGTATAAAGGAGTATATCCATCCTGGTCCGGGCCAAATGGAGGGCAGCTGGCCTCAAGGAGCTCTTGAACTATGGCGCCAATTTCTGGATCGTATCCAGCCGAGCTAAATGTGTTACCCAGTACCAGGTGGATCGCGTTATTGCCAAAGCTATCCGACACCGTAGCATTGGACCCTGCTGCTATTAACTCACGGATGTTTGATAACTTGTTTTGTCGGTTATGAGCACAAACAACCAGAAGAGCAGTGCGACCCTCGCCGTCGATCTTCTCAAGATCGGGACTTGCCTTCAAGAGGAGTGAAAGATCTCCGCGCACTCGAGCAACCCAATGGATGAGTGGACATCCCTCGTCATCCGTCTCGTTGATATCTGCGCCGTGCGACAGCAGTAAATTGAGTATCTCAGAACTCCCTTCACGAGCTTGGTCTTTGAGAATGGACCGCAACACAGATCTATGCTCGCCGCACTGAACTGCCTGTTGTGCAACCGGTCCTTCATCTGCTCTAGCACCCTCTTGTATCAGCAAATCGATCATATCGATATGCCGGTCTTGTGTCTCGAGTGCAGCGTACAGTGGATTGTGCCAGCCATTCTTGATCTGCGCGCCATGAGCGAGGAGCATTCGAGCCATCTCCATGTCGCCACAATGCACCGCTGTTTCAAACGCTGTTGCACCATTTTCGTCCAACGCCTCGACGTCTGCTCCAGCTTGAAGCAAGTAAGCGATCGATTCACACCTGTAAAAACCTTCGTCATTCTCATGTCTCTGGCCACTGTGGTCACGAGTTTCATTTTCTTGCAACACAGCAATTATCTCTGGGGTTTTGCAATATTCCTCACCAGAATCCTTTCTGGCGATATCTAGAGCTGTATCTCCATTCTTGTTCCTCAACGAATGGTTAGCACAAGCTCGCAGAAGACTTCGTACTGCTACAAGCTTGCCAGCCAGCACTGCATAATGGAGAGCCGTGTTACCAAACCGATCGTGCTGATCTCGTGCTGTGTTCGCCCACATCCGGTCAAGCAAGACGTCGATAGCCCCGCATTGTCCGGATTCTGCAGCCATGTGAAGCGGCGTTTTGCCATCGTTGTTGACTATCCCAGGATTTGCCCGATTTTCAAGGAGTGCTGAGATATGATATTCTGCATTGCGGCCAGTCGATGCATTGACAACAGCAGCGGAATGTAGTGGGGTGTTCCCATTATCGTCTTGTGCATCGACATTTAGACCAAACTCCAAGAAAGCATGCAAAGGGAGTTGCTTCCGCCTCGCTCTCGAATACCAACTTGGATGAAATTCAGTGATGCTAGAAGCTGCCAAATGCAAGCATGTTTGCCCGGCGGTATTCTTGGTCGACAGTGGTGTTCCACGTTCTGCTAGGAGACGGATCGCTTTAACGTGATAATCAGTTTCGCACCCACGCAAAAGATATTTTGCTTCGGACCAACCGCTTCTAGCCAATTCCATCAACGCAGTATCCCCTTCAAGACTGAGTGCAGACACATCAAGCCCCGCCTCCAAGAAACGGTTGAGTAAGTCAAATTTATACGATAGTCCTATCGAGAGACGCCACGAGTAGCTGCAGGGAAGTTTTGAAAAATTTGCCGCAATCGCGTGTAAAACAGATCTTCCACGCGACATCTTGACTTGCGGGTCTGCGCCATGTTCTAGAAGCAACTCGGCTTTCCGTGTATGGCCCATCATAGTACTGACAAAAAGGGCTGTCTCTCCGTCTTCGTTTTGGTCGTTCAGGTTAAGAACTCCTGCCCTCAGCCAATCTTCGATGGTGGACGAGTACTCCAAAAATACTGTCTCGTGCAACACGTGCAACAACCCGTCCTTGTAGTAGTTCTTTGTGTTTAGCCTTACTGCTCTGGAAAAGAGCTGGCCATACAGTGCCGGTTTCTGAACTCTCCGATTCATCATCAAAGACGTATTACCCTCGCCATCCTGTAAGTCGACATCTGCTCCAGCGTCGAGCAACATTTCTATTGTTTTTGAGTACCCATACCCTAACTCTTTCGCTACCCTCAGGTGTAGTGGAGTCTGACCGTCATTGCGGCGAGCATTTGGATCTGCGCCGGCAGCTATAAGCAAAGGCATCACCTCAGGGCACGCAACATGCAATGGTTGGTTCCCAAGGTTGTCAGCTGCTGCGAGGTCTGCTCCAGCTTCAAGTAATACTTTCACCAGATATCTGCAAGATGGTTTCATGGATGCATGATGGAGTGGCGTTTTCCCGCTTGGGTCACGAGCATTTGCATCTGCTCCAGCACCCACCAGATCTGCTATAAGCTGACTGACCTCAGCAATTTTAACTCCATCTTTTTCTTCATCCTCTGAACCTTTCAAGGTACTTGTAAGTGCATGGAGTAATGTTGCTCCACATGATGGAATGGGGGCAAACACATCATCTAAGTCATAAGGTAAATCTGTAGGAGTATCGTTCACACACGCACCAAGTGCCAGGAGAACTTTCACAATGGCTGACTCCCAATAGTAGGCGGCTTCATAAAGTGGTGTGAACCCTAAGGAATTCCTGGAGTCAGTTGGTGTTCGGCCGTCTTCCAGCAAGAATGTGACAATGTCTAGACGTCCATATCGTGCGGCTGCGTGGAGAAATGTGTCATTGGCGTTTCCATACCTCAGAACCTGCCATGGATGACTCGCCAACTCTCTGATGACTTGGGTATGTCCATTTTTGATTACCATGTCATAAGAGCGACTCGGAGACCGTGGGAAAAAGCGGTCACCTCGAGATAGGCAGGCACAATCCTGTCGACCACATCTTAGAGTCGGTAAATGTGGGTCAGCTCCAGCTGATAGCAGTAACTTCACCACGTCAACATGTCCAGCTAGGCATGCATAGTCGAAGGGATCTTGGTCAATATTGGAATGGACATTAACAGAAGAGTGCTTAAGGAGAAGGTCAACGGTGGTGACATGACCTTCATCGGCCGCATATGAAAGCGGTGTACGCCATTCATCAGCTTCATCAAGAGCCAAGAATCTGTTTGTTCCCAGCAAATATGCGGCATACGAAGTCAAACCAAGCAGAGCTGCTGTGTGAAGAGGCCCGAGTGTATTAAGGCTTCCTGTGATCTTAATCCCGAAGCGGGAGGGTACACAACTCTGGTGGTGGAGCCTGTAAAGAGCAAGCCAATTCCGAAGAAGATCAGGATTGGGAAGCATGAAGGCATCTAGGAGGCTGAACAATTCATTTTGATGGGGCTCACAAAGTCGAGCATGCTTAAAGCAATTCGTTGCAGTGTATTCTAGAAAGGAGAATTGTCGAGACCTAGTCCTCCGTGCGTGTTTAGAGGTTTCGCGAATGTCGTGCGGTATCCAGATTGGGAGGAAACAGTCCAACGAGAGAAACCTGATGCACGTGCTGGCTATGTCGAGGTGTGCTCGGGAACTGTCAATAACGGGGAACGTCGAATATGTATGTGAGAGCTCCAAGGCCCGTTTCTGATCCGTAAGGTATTCTGTTAGTGAATAATGAATGACTTGAATCGTCCCGTCTGGCAGTGTCTCGAGGAGAGGACCACATGCCCGCTTTACCGTATCCTTCATATTGAATTGATATTTTCTCTCAGCTCGCTCGGCATATTGCATAGTCAGCATAGCAGCAAGTTCTGGCGGTCGGAGTGGCCGAATTACATGAGTAACCCAGGTAAGGATGGCCAGTTGATCCTGCAACGAAACTCCTGTTCGAAGTCGCTGTTCATTCAAGATTGATGCATACATGTTTTCAATTCCTTTCGGTATGTCAGACAACGATGAGATCAACCAGTCTTTTCCCAGGTTCTCTGCTTTCTCTCGCAACTCAGCGATTGCAAGTTTGGCATACAGGAACAATCCACGGCTAAGAGTGCATACGGTACGACAGAGTTGTCTCCGAGTGTCACCGTCCCGTTTCAAGAAATCAAAGGATGATGACCGACATTGCACGAAGGCGGCAATATCTCTATCGGTGTTTTGGGGCCTCAGTCTGATCTTTGCGTATGGGATCCCCGTATATAAGCACTCCGCATAATCCAATTGTCTTGTAGTCACCATGACCTTGGTTTTGGCCGGGTTAAGGAGCACCAAACCGTTGAGCTTTTGATATAGATACTCACTTCCAGGTTCCAACTCATCCAGTGCATCAATGATACAATAAGCTTTCGGCGTGTTGGCAATCCCGATGATGAAAAGGTCCCATAGAGTCTGAAACGGCACGGTGGTGACGGTAGGATGACGGACCATCTCGTTGTGCAGTCCCCTTGCAAGCGAAGTTGAGTGTGGCAGGAGTTGACAGGCCCAGTCACGAACCATGGCAATCGGGGTCTTGTTGGCATTGATTGTTCTTCGAAAGAAGAAGTACAACACCGGTCCGGAGTCATTATTTTGGAGATATTCGATATGATGGCTGCACAAAACTGATTTCCCAGCCCCTGGAACGCCTTCTATCCAGAGAAGGATCGTGGTTGAAGAATGGTACCATTGTTGAAACTCAACACACGTTCGAAGCCAGTGGCACGTCCCATCGGTGCGAGCAGCAAGATGTTTTCTAAGATCCGAAGAGTTAGCATCGTAATTGGTTGGGCATAACCAGTCTCGAAGTTTCTGTAGATTTTCTACAGGGACATCATTGGGACTAGCATTCAAACGATTCTTGGAGGTAGATGTCACACGAGTGGGATCATTGATGGTCTCCGGTGCTGGTTCTTCAACCACCACATACCCATCAGAAAGAGCGCGTAAGGAATGTCGCTCTGACATATTGAGAACTCGAAGCCGTGCATTGTAACAAAGGGAAATGACAAGCCCACCGGGCTGCCCTGACCGAATATATCTGTATCCATACCTCCAGGTAGGTAGGGATGTACCTATTGGCAGTTGCAGTTGCCATTGCTTGCTCGTTTGCTCGTTGTTCGCTTATTAGAAGGAGTGATTAGGATTCAGGGTGCCGCCCGTAGTACTTGATCAAAGCTTTGGCGCTTTACAAGTACTTGCCTTGGCAGGAGCAGAAGCCCCTGCAGGTAGCTCCGTCTAGGGGCCGAAATCACTAGGGTGATTTGTGTTATCGCATAGGAGTGGGTATCAGAAGGAAAGAAACATATCATCTCATACGCCATTTGATGCCCTTGTTACAAGATGTATGTGCATTTTCCTTCATTACACTTTACACTCATGTGGAATCGTGTTAGATATTTTTTGGTTTCGCTTTGGCTTATTCACATAACCAAGCCATGTCCGCACCCAGTATGTCCACAACCCGCAGCCCCTTCCCATCGCATTTTTCATTTTCCATCCCTATCGCCCTCAGTCCAACTCAGGCACAGGCAACCCCTCCACGATCTTGACCCTCCGCCCCAACTTTTCGAGCGCAGCGGCACTATTCTTACTCCTGAGGTCGAAGCTCTCCTGATCCGTGACGAGCACGAAATCGTAAGTCAATAGTTTCGTGCCTTCGGGAACATTGTATTTCTCGGAAGTAGCTTTGTCGACTTTGCCGAGTTCGACGATGAGGCTATTCTTGACGCCGAAGACGGCGTCGGACGATTCATAGGGGTCGTGTTTCAGGTAGAGGGCACTATTGAAGTATGACTCGAATTAGCATTCATTATTCTTTCTCTACCATCTTCGCCAATTTCACAGTGGCATTTGGACTTGGGACTTACGTGATCAGATGGTCGTAACCGGGCTTCTCGAACATGAAATGCATGTGTGCAGGTCGCATGGGATGTCTCTTCAGCTCCAAGAGTAGCTGACCGACGGGACCGTCGTGTGGGATGGGATAAGGGATGGGCACGATGGCGTTGAACCAGAAGACGCCGTCTAGGTCGCTGCGCATGACGCATCTGCCGTCCGGGCCCTCACGATCGGCATGCTGGACGTCGTAAAAGCCGGCCGAGTCGGTCTCCCAGATATCGATCTTGACGCCGGGGATGGGCTTTCCGTTGACGTCTTTGACGGTGCAGAGAGCCAGTAGCGGCTCGCCGTTCTTGTCTTGCGACATGTTGTCTCCATGGTGCATGTCGGGGGCTTCGTGTGTGTGGAAGGGGCCGAGGACTGTGCCTTCGGTGCTGTTCGGTGGTTTGGGGTGGTCGATGCTGTCTACCAGCAGGGAGAGGCCGAGGATGTCGGACAGGAGGATGAATTCCTAAGTTGGAGCAGGTCAACAATGGTGTTCTGGATCGAGTCCTGGATTTCACATCTTCACAAGTCGCTTACCTGTCGCACATCAGTGCAGATCTGTCCCGTAGCAGTCAAAAACTGAAGACCGGCCATCCACTCCTTCGTACTTAACCGAGTCTCTCTGGCAAAGTCATGAAGGTGGTGCACCAGCCGCTCAAGGATGTACTTGAAGCGCTCGTTGGGATTTGCAGAATTGATCAACACGACATTCTCGGTGATGTTATCAATAGTCAGATCCTTCAAAGGTGGAATGGTGACTTGTGAGGGATCCATGGTGGGTTGTGTGAGAGTGGGAGTGAGAATGAGAGTGCTCAAAACGCGGCGGTGATGGCAAGACCTTGTGTCTTTCGAGGAGGGTGGTTTAAAGTAGAAGACCACTCTGGTGGAGAGTAAAAAAAACCCGTCGAGGAGGGAAAGAATTAAATCTGTAAACAATGTACGAGACACGGGCTAGTCAGAAGGCCGTGGGTGATATGGTCCTCTAATACAAACACTTGGTGACAGGTGCGCTCAGGAAAAGTTATCGGAAGTGGGCAGTCGGCGTCGAGGGCTGAGCGAATCAATGGCGGTTGGATGCAAATCCAATGTATTTGTTAGTTACCTAGGTATGCAAGATGGATCACGAGAGACTGAAGGATGTACGACTCTGACTTAAGCCAGCGATCGTATGAGCGGGCGTAGGAGTAGTATTATTCCCACTTGGTCAACGACATCCACAAGGACAGTGTGAGCTGGGATGGGATCCGAGAGACTCACCCAGCCTCATTATTGGGTCGACCATGGAAATGAATACATTTGGTATCGGATGAGAGCCCGACGTCCCCACAGTGAGGGGCAGGAGTTGAAATGCCACCAATGCCACTCCAAATTAAAAGCTGAAGAACGGGCAAGGCCAGGACGTGGAAGAGGGGGAATTCCCCTAGCTCCAGCATTACGTGGGGATCATCCGAAGACTCGAGACGATGACAAACATGCACCATCAAGGCCTCTTGTCTTTCTGGAATCTATTCCGTTCACGCACGAGCTACTCAATCGAATTGGACAACGGCTACATTGCAGCCTACTCAGTCAAACCTAGATAGCAATACAACCCAACAAGAAGACAAGACGAGTACGCTTTTGAATCTCGGTAACCGTAAAATGCAATGATTCCCCCTAGTCCTTGCCACGAAACAATAACTCAAATCTCTAGAATTCAAACGTGACTTGCATCTAATCATGTCCTATATTCGGTGTCCGCTCTGCGACGCTGTCCGGTAAACACGTGAGGCAAGTGCTTGCAATCTATCCCCCTGGTCGTCATCCTCATCTGCCCGCGACGCTGTTGATAAGCCGCTCGTTCCGAAGGATCGGTGTCCACCTGGACCGCTCGAAGTTCTTCCATTTGCAGCGTCCTGAATTTGTTGTACTAAGGGTGGTGGGCGGACGTCAAATCGAGCCGACGACGACATATTAGGTGACTGAGCCGACTCACTTCTCCGGCCGGGATCAGGTTTGGGCCCAACGCTTTCCGGTGCTTTCGCTTCTCGGTCGTGAACCGATCCAAGAGATGGTCTCCCCGTGCTTGCTGGCCGTGGTTCTTCTGGAGGACGAGAAACTTCAATTGTAGATCCAGCAGATAACGGAGGCGCTATCTCGGATGCCGCAGTTGCAGAGCCCTGCTCTTCTTCAGCGTTTGTCGATTGTGGTGCAACTCCTTGCAGTTCTGATGCTTTCACTTCCTTCCAGGAGCATTTGGCGTGTTTCTTAGTACAGCCCATACAAGCCGTCAGGTTCTTCAGGCAATCCATGTGAAGTCTTCGACAGCGATCACATGGCGGTATCACCCGGTCTCCTTTCCACATGTTGTCCATCCTCCTCACCATTTCCGACTTGAAAGGCCCACCGTCATCCCTCTCTAGGGTCGATGGCTTCAAATGAGGCATCAATGACGCTGGCGTGTTTGGAATGGCGACTGTTGGAGGGTTTTTGGCATTTCCAGCACCGCCAGCAAGCTCGAGGGAATCTGAACGTGGGTTCTCCGATGGTGAATTATGCATGGTGGTATTTCGAGCAGCGCTGAATGACGATCGTCGGATAGTGTCCTCAGTCAAGCCGGCCTCCCGCTCACTGGGTGTCAAGAATTTCTTCATAAGTTCTGCTCGCACGGTTGGCGAAGCGTCTTTGATTGATTTGCCGTTGATGATGGTAACATTCTGAGCATGTGGAGTAGCAAATAGTTCTGATGTGTGATTTCTTACAGCTTCACCACTACCGGTTCCTGGAGGTCTGGGTTCTGCCTCGGCAGCACCAGGATGTCGCAAGTTGACCGCAGTGAATCCCATTGGGGGAGACTGGGACACCTCTATACTTCGAACGGGCTTATTCGGGACACCATTGGTGTCTGGCGGAGACAAAGGCGACGCATCGGTTCGTTGAGGCGGCTTCCTAGACTCTGCCTCTTGCTCCCGACGGCTCAGAATAGCCGTTCTGCGGTTTTTCATCTTGTGAATCATCTGCCGAGCTCGACCAGAGACTGGAAGACATTAGCAAGAAAAATACAGGCCTCTCCCGGGGGCTTTTACTTACCTTGATCTGCAAGTTGGATGATCTGGCCAATATTCCGATCCAGTAAATCCATGACACCGAGTTCCTTCTCTTCATCCTCCAATATTGGTTGGGGAGGAATGAGCTTCTGAGGCATGCCACTTGCAATCAGAACATAATCCTCCTCGGAAATTTCCACGCGACATTGCTTGGTGTAGAATTGACACACCCGGACGCCGTTGCGAGTTCTCTCCAAGTTGAATTGTTTAGGACTGCTCTGAGCAAACTCGACCACATCCAACCAACTAATGGTCGAGTCTTTGGCATGGGATTTCAACACTTTGGGCGGTCCCTCGAACAATCTTTCAAATCGTTTGAGCAGAATTGGTCCCAGTGGACATGCTCCCAGATTCCCAGCCATGCTTTCATGGCGTTGTAGCACACCGTCATATTCGCCGAGGAGCCTTGCGATTTCGGGTAGCTTGTCGTTGACGGTTACCAGGGGAATTGTTTCCTTATGCTGACGAGCGAGATAGTTGATCTGCAAGTGGTTGGTAGCAGTCCGAGGAACTTTGGCCGCCGGGAGAGGGTGGTGCTCGGAGGGTGAACGTGGTCGCTTGAGAGAAGAGGCTTCGGATGTCATGGCTGGGGAATAATCCATGCTTCATACACATGGGCGTGGAGCTGGAGTTGAGGTAATCGGTAGGGAGTAGGGAGAAGGGAGCCCGAGGCGCTATGGTTGCGCTGCTCGGGCTGTGGGAATGCTTAGCTCACGCGTGAACTCTGTTCTAGCAGGAGGGGCGGAAGAGCTTTGGAGGGGCTGGATAATCAGCTCCGAACAGAAGTACCCAGTCGGGCAAAGCTGTAACGAAGCTGCAGCGCCTGTAGCAGAAAGTGAGAGATGAGAGTATGGCCGATACCGTGGGCACAGGAGGAGGGCGAAGAGGTGTGGTGTGAGAGAGAGATGTGGGCGAAATTGGGGTTGGGATGTGTGATGTGGGGAGGGAGTTCCGAGGGCGAGAGCGGACGAAGCAGGTGAGCTGGACGAATTATTGGAAGGATGATCAGCTGCTCGACAGAGAGATCAGAGGATAGGGTTGAGCGCGGTCGATGGCCGAGTAAAGCGAGTACAAGAGGAAGGGAGACTACGGACAAGACTGGAGAGCGAGAAGAAGGGCCAGGTGGTAAGCTAGTACAAGTTCCGAACAGCAGCAGCATCAGCAGTTAGGTGGGTGGGAGGAGGACGGACGATGGGTGGAGGGAAATTTGGACTGCGGTGGTGTGCGGACGAGGTGGGCGAGAGGGCGAGAGCTCGCACTTCTGCCGCGTGCCAGTGGGACGGGATTAAGCGTGGAGTAGGACGCCAGGAAAAGTTGCATTCGAGGGTGGGAGTCGTGACTTGGTAGTGGTGGCCACGGCGTTGTCGGTATTTCAGGCCTGACAGGATCTAATGCATAATCCATCATTCCTTATCCATACTCCGCCTGAAACTGCACTGGATTGCTCTGTGTTGAGCGCGGCCTCAAACTCCCAGGCTGTGGGAGAGCAGGACTTCGGGAGTGCCCCGGGTACGGACTAATGAGTGAGAAAGGTGCTGCATGCCAATTATTATCCAGGCTGATTGTCATTCTGTAGCTCGGGTTTGAGACTGGGTGGGAAACTGGGGGAATAGAGCCAAAGAAAGATGCATCCGTGGCTCTAACTAACTAGCCTGAGGTGGAGGTTTCGCTGGTGCGCCATTCTACTCGCAGGTCTGATAATTACTAGCTTCCTACTTCCTCCTATGTACAGGACCTGCCGCTGCGGGATGGAGTGGCTAGTAGGTACCTAGGTAGCAAGTCGGGTACCTCTAACTGCCTGCCAGTCATGGCTGCAAATTCCGCCTACAATTTGTACTCGTCCGGACTCCAAGCTCAGCTGCCTCAGGTATTTGTTTCAGTAATTTAATATGAGCATGCGTGGGCATGTATTTGGAAGCCTGAGAATGTCTCTCTTGTTCAGGCATGTCTGGCATGTTTCGGGCATGCTGCTGGAACATTTGTGGCCAGGTATTCCAAGTTAGTTCCTTCCTGCCGCATACCCGTAGTGTCGTCCCTTCCGATTGATCGAGCAGTTGAGGTGGTCCTTGCCTGATCAGGGACTCGGAGAATGACCAGGGCGGGTTGCGAAGGGAAGGAACCTCACGCTCGTCCCCTCCGATTGATCAGATGGCTGCTTGACCTGTTCGATCAACTTCCCTCATCTTCTATCCAGTAGCGGGGACTTCCTCCATCATAGTATCCCATTACTGTATCGCCCTCGGTTGGTGGCTGCCTTTTCCCCAAGCCTGGGTGTGACAGATTTGCTCTCCATGGGCGATGCTCCGCCCAATCAATTTCCTTGCCACCAAGCACCAGAGGTCCCGGCGGAACTCAACTTCGGCTTACGAGTGACTCGTAATGGCTTTGCGCAGACATCTTCTGATACGCGTCCTACAGACCCCACCGGGCCAGCATTATCATTAACTCCATTTGAGAACTGCCAGTGCCTCTCAGGCTGCACCTAACCAAAGCCTCCCAGGGAAGCCTCTTGTCCTGGCCAGTCACGCGTCGTTCCGATCAACCCCTCCGAATCTCCTCCCCAAAATTCGCGGACTTCGGGGGTCCACCTACCTTTAAACGTATCGCTTCTGACTGGCCCGCCTAACTTTCTTCACACAGCTTGCTCCAACTCCCGCTTTACCATTTTGGGATTTCGGAGTTTTATCCGCCGGTTTATTGCACACCAAGATATCACAAGTGACATAAAATCACACTAGGCCTCTCCAATATCATACAAATCAATCTTAAACGAGGGCCCGTCAAAAATGTCCGAACGAGGTCATTTTCGTGGAAGTGGCAGAGGAGGCGGTGGTGGACATGGTGGACATCGGGGTGGGCGGGGTGGAGGTGGAGGCAGAGGAGGTCGTGATCAACAGTCCAGTCAACCTCATGAGAAACCCAAGAAGGAAAACATCCTTGACCTTACCAAGTACGTTGACAAGCAGATCAACGTCAAATTCAATGGAGGCCGGGAAAGTAGGTGCACCTTTGCAATCTTGCTTCAAGACCAGAACCAGAATCAGGCTGACTCGTACGCATCATACAGTTGTTGGTACACTAAAAGGCTACGATCAATTGATGAATTTGGTACTAGACGATGTCAAGGAGACAATGAGAGGTACTGTATAAACCGGGCTTGACAGATCGAAACACCTCATTGACCTTGTTCTAGATGATGAAGGTAATGAGACCACAAGATCGCTAGGCCTCATAGTGGCTCGCGGGACGTTACTGGTCCTGATCTCACCCGTCGATGGTAGCGAGGAAATCGAGAATCCCTTCCAACAAGCTGCGGAGGAGTGAAATTTCAGAAAGCACGTCGTAATGAACTGTCGCGCCACAAAAGCAACAAGTTTGACTCTGGCCATTGCAATGCAAAGACGGAAGCCGGGGTGGACTGTTGTCATTTTTTATGGCCAAAATGGCATGTCTGCACCTGGTTTGAGGTTCCTGCACATCATGGCCACTTTGAGCCGCTCTCAACAATCTGCTTCTTCAGCCAGCTTGAGGTCACCGGAATGGAAGGGATGAAAAAAAGCACGAATATTGCGAAAGTGCTCTCCCTGGCGGTCGCTAGACGTTACTTGATATAATGGACCGTGGTGGCGTGGAAACAGCCTCCACAGCACAAATGAATAATAAGCTAGATCTTTGATCTCCATTGGATTTGTTCAACATCTATATTTTGCTTTCCACAGCCAGCGTAAGTCGATGCCCACCTTTCCCGCGATTCCAACTACCTAGTTGTCCGTCTAGCTGCCCATCGTCCAAACGCAACGACTTCCAAGTCCCAGTCGCCATATCAACTGTGTCGAACGCATTTTGAATTTCTCCGCAAACGATGGAGCCTTGAAAATGAACATATTGGTAGATCGGCGGCAACGGTGGGTCAGGTACTCACTTGGTCCAAGGGACCAAGGTTGATTTTGCATTTGTGATTTTTCTTATTCTAGTCTTCGGGTTCGGTCTTCAAGTGTCTTCCCATGCACTGACTTCTTCTCATCTTCTCATTCTAGCCCATCTCCACAGTGTGTGCGCTTCTTCTCCTGAGCATCGCTCTCTGCTTTCTTCCACCGATTTTTGGCTATGTTCTTTCCTTTGCCGTCCCTTACTTCCAGATCACTTTTGGCGCTCCAGGGTTTCAATCCATCTACAAGGTTCCACCCACGTACTCTTGGTTCCCGAGCAACCCCCATATTCCAAGGACTTTCGTCTCTGTACTTCACCAACTTTGGTTTCCAGACATGCTCTGAATTCTGCACAACCTCCACTTATATTTCTTTCTTGTTCAAGCTCAACTCGCCCAGTTTTTGTGCCGCCAGCAACACAATTCTAAATGGATCAGGTTGCAGCTTTCCTGCAAATCAAATCGCAAAAACAACCGTCGGTGGGCTTCACAAACTGCTTCCGAACTTCATCACCTTCAACGGGTACCCATCTTGTGTCGCGGACATCGTGCAAGACTGATACGATTATCTCACCATTGGCGGCGGACTCCTCTTAAGCAGTTCCGAGAATGCACTCTCCACGCCTTTTTTGAGTTCCCGATAGCTCACGACGAAACAGCTTTGCTCGTCTCTTGATATCAGTGTGATTTTTTCGTCCGTGCCCGCATCGAGTTTGTTCAGTGAGGTCAGAACCTGACCTAAATCCAGGACAGGTCGGTTTTGTGCATCGACTTGATGGAAGACATAGTCGCGGAACAGCTTCAAGAAATATCTCTCTCCATTTTCCGACCACGCACGGTCATGTTCGTATTCGGGTCGTTCTGTGATAAAGTTTAGTTTCGCAAGGAGTCTGACGAGTCGGGCATTTTCGACTTCACGAGAGAGATCATTGTGAAGAGTGTCGTCGTTATGGAGCGCTCCGTTGAACGCTGTGATCATCTGGTTGGAGATTAGACTTATGAATTGATCTATCGTCCTCTCCTGGTTTTGCATGGCTGAATAAAGCCACACTAGGGCGTCCTGGAGATCCTTTTTAAAGTAACGTTTGAACAGATCCATACTGCGGGCAAAGTTCTGGCCCGCTTCAGCGGTCCCACTGCCGATCGAAAGAATCACCAATCCAAAATTGGCGAGGTCTTGTCTTTGAAGCTGAGCGAGAGGGACATTATTGTCGAATTGGACAATATCCAGTATACCACAACCGTTCAACCGAATACGATTCTTGGAGGTGACAAGGATCTTGGAAGCGTCCACGACACGAGCTGCCAACCCGGAAGAATGGATCTGTTTGAGAGCCGATGCAATTTGCACAACATAAGCCCATAGAACCGGTTCGGTAACCTGGTCTTTATTGTTGCGGGCAGGACGGGCCCAGTTGTGACCAATGTGATGATGCTCGAGGAGGGTTTTGGAGAGAGGATGATAATCGGTGACGATAAAGAGGGAGGAATCTCCAAAACCACGATTTGTAAATATGTCCACGACTCTGACCACACTGGCGCTGATCAGGTTTTTCCATGCTTGCCCGGAACGAATGGCCAATTCATTGGTCAACCGGAAGCCTAGAATCAATTAATGTTTGAAAATGCCGTTTCGTCAGTTATGCATACCCTCTATTCTCCGGAGCGCAAATAAATGACCATTCGCACTTGACTGTGCTTTGTAAACCCATGACGTATAACCTCCAAAGATGTTTGAGCTTTTCTGGTTTGTATCGAGTGGGACAAGTGAATGATAGGATTCAATATGGTTGGGTAGCTGCGAGTCTCAAGGCAAGTCAGCAAATCATGCCCGAGCAGTGGGAGCAAGTAGTCACTTACTAGGAAGAGTCTGCAGAGCTGCGGCCAACTTCTTTTGGATTTCCTCACGAACATCATCCGGTATGAAGAGATCATGGACCGTACGTTGATAAGGGGCCAAGTTTGTACTGTAATGGCCAATAGGGGCATATTGGTGGTATTGGACCTGAACAGATTAGTGTGAGATACGCACCAGTCACCTCAACCAGCCTGGACTTACGGGTTGGTGATAGTTGGAAGCTCCTTGATAGAACGCAGCACCATTCAATCCGTGGTCGAGGTAAGGATTTGGCGCATGAGTGGGTTGAAAGGATTCGAACGTATGAGAAACCGGAGCCTCGTTCTCATTTGTCTGATGAAATATATTCCCGGTCAGAAGATAACGATCAAAGGCTAGTAGGATATATGTGGAAAGATGCTCACCAAAGAGGAGTCGTGAGCTCTTCTCGGGACAAATTCTTGCACATCGGCCATCGCCCAGTCCGGAGTTCTCGCATCTTGACGGAGTGGAGTGGTAGTTGATGATCCTGCCATGCGTTGTAAGTTGATGGCCAGAATTTGAGATGGGCTTGGGGTGGGTGCATAATCTCACGGGAGATGATTGCCTTTGGCATGAAAGGGGCGGCACTTGCTGCCTTTGGTGAAATGCCCGCAGATTTCTTGGGGGTCACGTTGGATCCGTTGGGCGAGAGGAAGGAGGGAGTGAAGCTGGGTGAGTCGACATTCAGTGTTTTTTTCTGCTGGCTGGATTGGAGAAAGTCAATCGAATGCGACAATGTATCGATCACCGGGGATTCTTTACCTGTCACCATGGTTGCTATCGACGGACACCGGCTTTTCTACATTGTGATTAAAGGCGCAGCCTAGCAATGAAAAAGTAAGTCGAGGTTCTTTCTCTCCATATTAGTCATAGGTATGTGGTGGTAGCAGTACCCTTGTCTTCATAACGGCATTTCCCATAAATTGTGACGTTGCGACATAGAGTGTCCTTCGCATTCTCTACACGGATACAGACAGGAAGTCGTCAGCAATCATCTTCCTATGGGCTGGCTCAGGATATGTGCTGCCCATACCTCGACCCTTGAGTCTTGGAGAAAGGGTGGTAGTCTTTGGTTCATCAATACTGCTTTTGATCACTGCGGCCATCGTCGGACGGTACTATCGGGAACGGGACATGGCATCAGACCCCATCAGATTGTATGAGAATGGTTTTGCGAAGGCCGTTCAGCGCATTGTATGTACACGGGGCAGAAGGCTTGTGTTCCGGGGGGCGGTTATAGAGGATTGACGTGATTGACGTGGTTGTCGATGTCGGGTTAAATACAACTAGATGTTCAGGTAATGTTCATGACTCGCAGCTGTGATGGAGGGTATCCAAAATAAGAATAGGTGAAGAAAGATAAGAGTAACACCGAAGGAAGAGGTGTACTCTGAGCGCAAGGAGGTCGCCGTCGAAGAGGACGTGGACTTTGAGATGCGGTGATGATATGTAGACAGCAGTGAAGGTGGGATGAATGAGCGCAGGCCGATGAAAGGGTGGTGACTGGTTGGTGGTCAAGGTGGAGGCGGAGGATGTGATGTGATGCCATCCAACTGAGTTTAGTCCCAAGCAGCAGGAGCAGCGGCGGCAGCAGCAAACAGCAACAGAGCGAGACCAGTGCCAGTGCCAGTGCCCGAGGCGCCCTGGAGGGAAAAGCGGCAAGGCGGGACAGGCGAATTATTATCCGCAATTAGCGTGACGATGGGCGTATTTCAGTTGACACTGGAGCTCCAAGGTTTGATACCAAAGGACACTGCAGCGTCCTCTCCCCAGCGGCTTTTGGGTGATGAACAACGCCTCGAGCTGCCTATTTATCGTTGTAGGAGGTGCCGGCTCCGAGGCATTGCATCTACCTCAGGCAGCCCTTAAGTCGGTGAATGAATGCATAGTGCTGAGAGATAAATCTATTCCGCTGCCTTGAAGTGCCAACACCGTCTCAACTCCGACACCTTGAACGCGTCAAAACCGCAACTTAAATCATACCGCTGGGAGTACTCCCCGGAGTACGAGTCTTAGATTTTGATCCTGGGCAACTAAAAGGGAAATCCACGATCTGTTCTCTTCAATCCAAAGGATCACTCCCTCCTATGACATACTCGGTGGATCCCTCTTAAAGGCACCGAGACTAACCAGGCATTCGTGGTTCGCATAATAATCGTCTCCCCCATTTTGACTGCGCAACTGGTCATTTGCGTTTCAAATATTGGACATCAGACCGAGCCTTTGTATATATTTATCGCTTTGCAGGCACCACGGCGAGCGAAATATGTCATATACGTAACATATTTGGATCTCACTGGCAATCCTTATAATCGACCCTGGCTCGCCCTGTTGGTAGCGTACTTCCATCACGATGTCAACTCCAGACATATCTCAGTTGACTCCGTCACAGCAGGAGGCACTGCAAACATACACGGCTGTGACGGATCAGGATCCTATCGCTGCCATTCCTCTACTTCAACGTGCCGAGTGGAACGTTCAAATCGCAATCGCTCGCTTCTTCGACGGAGAGCCTACAACGGACCCCGTGGCCGAAGCCCGCGCTCAATTACCCTCTACATCTGCTAGACAGACTTCCAACTTACAATATGAGTCTCTGCTGGCGGGAACACGGCCTTCTATCCCCCGAATCGATCCCGACGATGTGGTGGAAAGGGTGGACACTTCCTCCGCAACCGAGACGCAATATCGTCCGTCCTTCCTCATCTCCCTACTTTTCACTCCGTTCAACATCGTCTACCGGGTCTTGACCACCGTCCTCTCCCCCTTTGGTTTCCTCATTCCCTCCTTTCTCTCACGATTGTTCAATCGTCTCATATACCAACAGTCTAGACCGGCTAGGAGAGCATTACCACCAGCCGAAAATACGAGAAGATTTATACGGGAGCTAAGTGAAGAGTATGGAGAGAACACTCTCCCGTTTGCAGAGACAGGGTTCAACTTGGCCCTAGACAATGCGAAAAAGGACTTGAAATTCATTCTCGCGGTATTGCTGTCTCCGAGCCACGATGAGAACCACACATGGGTCAGAGAGACACTACTTTCGAGTCAGTTCAAGACCTTCCTCGATACCCATAAAGATGAGATCATCCTTTGGGGCGGCAATGTCAGAGACTCGGAGGCATATCAGGTCTCGAGTAGTTTGCAATGTACAAAGTTTCCCTTTGCTGCACTGGTATGCCAAACAACCGAAGCCGGCTCATCAAATATGGCAGTCATCATGCGGGCTGCGGGGACGACCACGGCCTCCGAGCTGGTGGGCAAACTAGGTACGGCCATGACCTCCCATCAGGCACAACTTGGTGCAGCCCGAGCTCAGCGAATGGAGCAGCAAGCATCTCGAAGTTTACGACAGGAACAAGACTCGGCCTATGAGCGGTCGCTGGCTCAAGATCGTGAGCGTGCCCGTCTGAGACGAGAACAACAGGAAGCTGCCGAACGAGCGGAACGAGAGGCCAGAGAGCTTGCACAGGCGCAAGAGAGGAAGCAGCAGAACATAGCACAGTGGAAGCAGTGGCGTGCCGAGTCACTTCCTGATGAACCGGGAGCCGATGTCAAAGATGCCATTAGGATCAGCATCCGCATGCCATCTGGAGACCGGGTGATACGGAAATTCCGTGCCGACGCAGATCTGGAAGAATTGTATGCATTCGTCGAGTGCTATGATATCATCAAGACAACGGAAGACGAAGAGTCCCCTGAGACACGTGAAAAGGGAATTGAGGAGCCACTCAACTACGAACACCAATATAGGTTTCGACTAGTTTCACCTATGCCGAGGACCGTGTTCGAGTTGGAGAAGGGGGGCTCTGTGGGGGAAAGGGTTGGGAGAGGTGCAAATCTGATTGTCGAGCCCATTACGGAAGACGATGATGAGGATGATGAGGACGAGTGATGCTCATGTATTTATCTCTAGGTACATAATCGTGTGTTGACTTTGGTCCTGGGGGTTGTCGTTCAGATGTATCATGCAAACCGAGATAGTCCATCACATGGACATAGCGGCTAACGAGCAGTTTGACGACCACATGGACCCCTCCTTTCCTGTACCTCTTCTCCAGAGCACTGGGCTACCTACCTAAATAGGGATAAGTGAGTCCGAGTGGTGAAGATTCATGAGCCAGTACTCCGTACAGTCACGTAAAGCCTCCGAGTGCAACTGAATCAAAGTGAATCCCCTGGGATGGGAGTAGGAACACTCGGTTCCTTGCATGGATGTAGTGATGCTAGTAGGGAAGGGAACGAGGGTTGATGTGGAGTATCAGAGTCCATCGATGACTTTGGTGGGTTGTCGGACTTTCAAGTCGTACCCACCTTATGGCAAATCCTTTTCTCGTGTTGGTTCAATTGCACCATTCATGGCTGATCTGACATGGAGGGGGCCCAACGGACTGGGGACACGATTAGAGGGATATGATGTGTGATATCTTGGAATGAATCGCAGAGACCCTTGAGTGTTGAAGGAAGGATTCACGTTATCAATCGAGTCCTTGTACTTGTGCCATGTTGACTCCTCACTAAAAGCCCCAGGATGTCGGACGCTATCTGTTCAACTCCTCTACGAATGTACGACCAAGGTGGAGGTGGAGATGAAGTCTTCACATGCCGAAACATGCATTGCAGCGCGGCTGTACGGGATGACGACCAAGAAACTCAGGGGCGTCGACCGAGGTGGAGCTCGATTCGCTAATCTTGGGTGCATCATGCATGAAAGACACAAATGCTGCCGGTGCATGGCGAACAATAATATGGTTTTTGGGATGGACTCTGGGAGCCCTATCAACCAAGTTTGCTTGAATTACCTAAAGGGACATGTACTTGTGGACGGATGAGTCTCTACGGACATGTTGGCTCTTTTGATCGCTGGGATCTTAACGTATACAGCAAATGATCACCATCTCCCCCGCCCCATGCTCTTCTTAATCTACGGAACGAGTCATGCCCCCCAGAGACCTCGTACTCCGAACTCCTTTTGGGAATATCCGAATGGATATCATTATCAAGATTTTGGAGGAAATGGCTTCCGCAAGCGAGATGGAGATGCAAAGTATCAAGATTAAGAATGCATGGTATCGATAGCCCCCAAGGATCAGCAACGGCAGGTACCCCACACAGTGGAAATTAGGCCCTGAAAGCCACGGCAGAAGGACATTTAATCGGTGCTCGTCCTCGTCCATGAGTTGAGGTGGTGGAATTTGTACGGATACGAGTACTGATTCTGAAGATAGCGTAGTGGTGACATTGGTGAGCCCTGGGGGTTTCTATGTATCCGTTCTCTGAAGTCGGGTCATCAGTTCATATCCCAGGTGGACTCTGGAGCTTTATCATGTTTTCACGTAAACTGTTTCTCCGAATCCATCAATGCACACGGCAACTGTCCGGACACACTTCCGCGCAGTAACGACCTTCTCATTCAAGTGCTTCCCTCTCGTGCATATTGGCCTTGACTCGATCTAGAACCGGTGTTCGCACCAGAACAACATCTCATCCTGTGGTTGGAGCGTGTTTTGCTAGATTCTCGGTTCCTCGCGTGCCCATTAATCCATCATCTACCAATAATTTCGACATCTTGCATGGTCCTGTACCATTAGCCAGGGTCAAGTCAGCTTCAGGCGACCGCCGCCATTGACTCGTACCCTTACTCGGTATTCTTTTTTTTCGTCAAGCATCCACCTTGGCCTGAGAGCTCATCATCCGCTTCTGCCATGTGTCACTCATTCGCTCTATCGAACTCTCTTCCACCTTTCCTTAGCCGGGCTTAATGAGCCTGGTCCTGGTCACTCCTCCCTGGTCCATTGATTCCCTGTCGCTGTCGGCTGTCGCTACTTGTCAGAATCTCTGCCTGCTCCGTCCCCCACCTAAACCTTTTCTGCTCTTTACCTCGCCTCTGCCTGACCAATCATGCCATCAATCGCTTTCGACTTCAGACCTGACTGCGGCTGCATCAAGGGGATACACAATTGACCAAGCCGTGAACACTTCCTCCTCATTCATCCATGTTCATTGTTCTATAGTTCATGCTTGTGTAACAAATCGTTCACATTCCTCGGCTTCAGGAAAGAATGCTGCTACTTTGACCGTCCGTATCTCAACCCACACATTCCACCAAAAAGTCACCCAAAGTGTGAGTTTCCTCTCCTCAGTTGCACATGCCCTCCAACCAGCTGAACCGAGATCCAAGTCCTTTGTCCTTCTATACTTCGGTACTTGGGTATCCAAAAATTCGGTTCCAACGTAGTGGTCAAGGCCACTTTGGTATTGAGCCCGTTTGCTGCACTGTCCACCCACTACGGTCCTCCGTCTTTCCTGGTGGAGACCTATTACTAGCAACCGTGTGTAATGGGTCCTGCATGCCCAAAAAATTAAAATTGTTTACCACAGACATCATACTGACATAGTTGCAGATTCTCGTTGTCCAGACAAAGAGTTCCTCCCCGACTTGACTTGGTTGCCGTCAAGTGATCCAACCTGCGGTGACATCAATCTTCGTCCACCCTCGACCCGTTCCCATACCACCGACACAATGTGCAATATCTTATGAGTTGATAGAGAGGCAAGAGAAGGCAATAGTATCAGATGATCCTCGGTTGGTCATATCAGGTTCAATCCGTACAGCATCAGGAGGGTGCATACAATTCAAGGGGAAAAACATAGTCCAAGAAGTCCAGGACCACCATCTGCTCCCCACAATTCAGTCGCTCTTTCAAGTTGAGGCTGTGAGGAGGCAAAGGTGTGTCCCTTGCCTGCCACCAGGCATAAAAGCTTTGCAGCTTCCCTGAAAGACGAATTGAACAGCTACCATGCCTTCAAATCAGAGGCCCAATATGGGGCCTCCAGAAACTCCCAGCAGGTTTATGCAACAATCTCCAAACCTGTTCCCGAGTCTACAGTTCTCCCCCGACCTGTATGCACACCAATTCAACACCGGACCAGCTACCGCACCAATCTATCCTCAACAAAGACTTTTTTGGGATCCTGCCAGTATGCCCTACGAGCAGCCAACCCTACCTCAGCAGTATCAAGACCCTTTTCAAATGAGCCCTGCTGGAATGAGCACTTCCTTTGCCTCATCTTCAACAATTGTTCCTCAGTACCCACCGCAGGAAATGTTCTTTGAAGAGCAACAACCTTACGAATTGCCCAACATGCCTCGGTCCGCAAGTTATACTCACTTTGACGGATCTGTCTTTCCTACCCCTTTCACAACTTCACCTCGAATACAAGCTCCACCTATGGAAAACCCAAGCATGTTCTTAAGTTCTCCTGCTCGGAGGTTCAATACCACTGATAACAACTCCTTCAAGTTTGGACACCAACCTGTCCCTGACCGCCCTGCATATGCTCATCAAATAGAGGAGTCTCGAAGAGAACAGGAAATGAAACGAGTTCGAAGACTAGAAGCCAAACAACCTTCAATAACTCGATCGGTCATGGAGGCTCTGAGAAGACCGGTCTCCCCAAAAAAGGATGCGAGACCAGGCTTGAAGCGGAGCCTCACCCATACAGGTGTTCGCCCGGATCGAGGACTCAAAATCCAGACTCAACCTGGTAGAAACTCTCCTGCTCCAGGTGTATTTAGGCCCGGTAGGTCTTCGCCTCTCAAGACTCTTGCGGATCCAATTTCGAGGACGCTCACTACCAGTCGTAACGCCAACGTCAAACGTGGCTCAATGTCATTATCCATTGATGAACATGGGGTCGCCAAGACAGTGTTGACCGACCGTGAACCAGACATGGATTTAGATGAGGCTTTGAGCAGTGCTACAGACTCGTTTGATGAATCCGATTTTCACATGTTGCATAGTCAGCATACTTCTTTCGCCTTTCATGAGAATGATGACCTTTCAGGGCCAACTCATTTTTCGTCAAATAGGTCTTTCAGTCATTCCAAGAACGACTCTCGTTCCACAATGGGCTCAACTGGCTCCGCCAAACAATCCTCCCATCAGAGCTCCCAGTCAAGTTATACCAAGCCACGTCCATCTGATGGTGTACCAGGTCGAAGAAAACGACCTTTACTAGGCACAACCATCGAGGATGATACTTTGATGGAGGATGACACATTCTCAGGCAATGCTCAGGCAGCACTCCGTGCAATTATACAGGATCGATCACGTTCTACTTCCACTCAAGGTGAACCCACAAACCACCATCTTCATTCCTCACCACCGTTATCTCATACCCAATATGCTACATTCAACGCTTCACCGACCACAATCACAGATCCGGACTTGGCCACTCCGAGCACCGACAGAGACAGCCTTGGGAGCAACATGAGTACACGTTGTGTGTGTAATTCGTCGCTCCTTGACGGAACGGTGCCGGTCATCCAATGGTGAGTGTTCCCCCTTCCAAACACTTACTTATCTCGCCACCAAATACTAATAAAGTGATATTCCAGTGATTCATGTTCGAAATGGCTACACATGAGCTGCTTGGGAATGGACAGTCGTCATATACCCGAAGTCTATGTTTGTGCATATTGCTACCAGAGCTCTACCGTCCGACATCCTCAAAGTCACGGTCGAGCAGCAAGAACTAAAGAGCCCTCCTCACAGAGACAGGGCCTTCGAGCCTCGGCCCTCCCGAATACTGCAAGTCCACTTGCGCACAAATCGGGTAGACGCCATTGATAGACCGACATGAGGTCAATCCCGCTAGCGATCAAGCCACCTCCTCCCTCCATACCTACTCAGTCCCAGAATCAATCATCGCTCTCGTACATCTTTTCTCTTGTCTCAATACACAACTGCCTCCTTGTCCTTATTGAATTTGAATTGACGAGCAATTTTAGCGAGCATATGTACGCGTGTGTTTTGTTGTCCTATTACATCCCCTCCTGAGGGGATACATACATATCATCGGGCGGCTGAGACTCCTTTTACTGTTCTTACTATTCCTTCCTATTGATTCCTCTTTTCGAGTCGCTGCTCCTTGCAATACAGCAAAGGGGATTTTCGGACTACAGGAGAGGGAATGTTCACGCAAACGAAGATAAACTTAAGCCGGGGGAACTTCATTGTTCATAAGTCTACATATTTACTCATACCGACAACTAGATGTACATATATACATACATGTAATCTGATACGATTATGACACGAAAGCTTGCAACCAAGCTTGTGCTCATTGCCAAGTTTTCCAGGAGCTGTAGACTATGAACGTAGTGCTTCGTGCGGATCATCCACACCCACTGAATACGCCCATTAGTTACCACGTCGCTGCTCTGATGTCACTACAGCACAGACATCTCTTCCATCTCCTTCAAACACGTAAAAGCCACCACCAACCTCGCCAGCCCTCTCTCCCCTCCCGCTCAACCCCAATCCACCCATCAAGCATGATCAATCGGACTGGGCCCGACGCCAATATCCAGGGTAAAGACATGCAGCGGCTTGACGACACGATTCGTGCCATTATTGAAGGGAATGCCGCGATTGAGCTGGGCGGCGGGCATCCAGAGCTTTCCCTCAGCGTCGATCCACATGGCATCGACCCAGAGCAGACGGTCGTCCTGGACGAGGGTCTCGCGGGTGCCGTTGGGCGCGATCTTCTCGACAGCCAGCCTGTCCGTGTCGGAGCAGTAGATGTTGCCGTCGGCGTCGATGGCCGTGCCGCCCGTCGAGGGCGTGAGCGCGAACGGCTCCACGTACGCCCCCAGCACCGCGTTGCTGTTCAGGCTCGAGTTGTACAGCGCCGCGTCCAGCCAGCGGCTTTCGATCCGCGACAGGCCCCCGTTCGCCGGCTGGAAGTAGTAGTATTGTCCCGACGGTGAGAGCTCGTGGTGGTCCGCGTATACGTACAAATACGCCCCGTCCGGCCCGTGCATCAGCGTGCCTTCGCCCGAGACGGGGAAGTCGCCTCGTCGCGTCGAGGGGTGGTCGTCTAGGAAGAGAAGAAGAGAGGTGAGTTGCTATGCTTTCTCTCTCTTGCTTGCTTGTTTGCTTGCCTTGACATCTCGGCCTCGTCTTTTCTCGTGAAACGAACGGGAAGAGGGAAATTGGGGGGTGGGAACAAAAACGGAGATAGATAAGAACAAAACGACAGTCAAACTCACCTAACACACGCACCGCAAATCCCGACTTCAGATCCAAGACGATCAATCCAGGACTCCCCGCATCCGTGAGATAGGCAACACCAGTCAGGGGATTAAACCTGACATCGTCCAGCAAGCTATTGACCCTGGTGACATTGCCCAGGAAATACGTGCGTTGGACCTGGTTGGTGGTGAGATTGAACTGGACAAGTTTCGGCCCGTCAGGAAAGATGACGGGGGCGCCGAAGCTCGGGCTGCCGACATCGACGAGCCACAGGGCGCCGTCGGGCCCGATGCGCTGCGAGTTGGTGCGGATTAGATGCGTGGCTGGGTCGGAGGACGACGATGGCGACGACGCGTTGAAGCTGTTCCATTCCGCCGACGGGATCGGCGTCGTTATGTTGCTCGTCGCGTTGTATTCGACCACTTGGGGGCCTTGCGACCCGTCGACCCGCGCGTATAAAAGGAAGATCCGCCCTGAGGGTGTCGTGCTCACCCCGTTCACCGGCACGTCGAGCGTGAGCGCTATCTCGAGCGAGGGCTTTTGTGCCTGGACGGCGGGGACACCGCCGTGTAGTAGGGCTAGTGTTAGTAGGAGGCGTGTGGCCTTCATCATGATAGACATGCTTGAGTGTCTGGGGGCCAGTCAAGCGGAGACAGCAGGAGCTTGTAGCAAGGCTGAAGAACCGAGGAGGGCCAGTCACTTTCCTGATCGTCGAGAGATTTTGCTCGCCAGGGACGAGACCATGTATTTATACCTACACCTTAAGCCCTGACCAGAATGCCGGTCGAATGGGTGGAAGGTATGATTTGCCGGGGACGGACATGAAAAGCTGCATTGCATCGACCAAGCTCAATTCGAATTCGAGATACCCAGTTGGTGGAGTTCTGGCATAATGACGCGATCTGCACGAGACACTGGAATCTGGTAGCGAAGGCTCCATGGTTGCATGGTGTCTGTCCAGACATTGCATACAGTAGTACATGGGTATCACCTTACATTTCGCGGTGTCAAGCCTGTCATACATACGGGATACATCGCTCCATATTGAGTATTTAGGTACTCTCTTGCATGACGAGCTAGGTAGTTGGCCAGGGCTGGCTTGCCATTTGACGATCGCTTCTGTGCTGAGCGGGGAGTCGATAGAACACTCCGGGTGCAATGCCACTGAACACGGCTCACCAGTTTCTGGCTTCGAACAATGTGTAACTCGACGTACCGGTTCAGGGTTCAGATTACAAAGCCTGCAACTGAAGTGACTTTTTACCCTGGCCTACTTAAATGTGGTAGACTGGGGGATTGCAGGTCTGTAAGTGAGGCAGGAACATGCAGTGCATGACGATCTGAGGGGTAAATAAACAAACGGCAGGAAGCCTCGGGTTTCTGGGCAATGAAGAGGCACATCGCGTTATGCTGCCTTTTCGGCTATGGTTGAAAGCCTAGCTATGTACCGCAAAGGAGCTACTCTTCAATGCTATCTCGCGGGTAGAAGCGGTAGAAGCATCATTCTAACTTGAGGTCGTGGAACATCCGTTGCTCAAGGATTATATTCACTCTCAGAGACGACATCCAATTCGAACAGTGCTGTCCTTGGCAATTCACGGGATTGGGTGTAAACAATCTGTGGTCTTCTGACTGAGATTTGATTGAAATTATAAATCTAACATTCCTAAATACTTCAGAGTGCGCTGCGTCCATCCATAATAAAAGCAAAAACATTGATTTATTTCGAGGTTGAATCATGTTTGTCCGGAATCAAGTCGCGTTGCCAAGTATCGTACAAGGCGCATCTCGCGTAGTTCGTTGGCGCACGGACTCCCAGACCTTGATCTTCCGAGTTTTCTCGTAAAGCTCCGTGGGCACAGTGCAGAACGTGGTCGTAGGACAGCAGTTCCTGACTGATACCTCTATCGTTGCGCAAAGCACGAACGATCTTGAGCCAGGAGAAGACGCAATGTGCTTTGTGATAGCTTGTTGCCATCCATGCAGAGCCGTGTTCTCCTTTGCGCATGTCCTCCAGAGGGAGGGTGGTCTTGCCATCACCATCCATATACCAAGTCCAGTTTCCTTCAGCCAGGTATTTCTCGGTCAAGACTTCGTCGTAGCATGGTAGAGGAACCCAGTCTTGCATCATCACGTCGTACACACAACCTTTCTCACGAGCTTCTTGTGGGTTACCTCCACAGTCGAGAATCTTGCCAGCTAATGGGTTGGTGGTTTCAACTCCAGTTTCCACAACCTCCACGGAGGGTGTGGGGGTTACAAAGACTGTGGATGTAATAGTGGTGGGTGTAGCGGCAGCGAGGGCCGTTGCGCTGTTGGTAGTAGAATGTGATGTAGAAGTGGCTCGAGCGACGAAAAACATGACACCCGCGCCGACAACAGCTGCGAGAAGATGGCTTAGTAAAAGTTTCCACCATGCTGGTGATGTGGTATATTGTATATTTTTGAGCTCTTGGGTTCCAAGAAATGGGGTATCATCGGTTGCCTCGTCGTCCTTGACGGGCTCATAGTTGTGAGCAGGGCCCATGGCTGCTGTCAGGGAAAGTTGACGTTGAGCTGGAAGCAGCGCAAAACGAGAGTCGGGAGATGGGAGTTTGAGGTGACAGACGTCAGGCTCTTTTTCGGTGTCCTTTTGGAATACTGGATGTGACGATGAATGATGAAGAAATCCGGCGATATAAGTGAGAGAGCCAGATGGGTCAATGCATGAGCGATGGTCTAACGATTGTGGTCAAGTTGGATAGGATGGATGGAAATGTTGGATGGAGGAGAGAAGTCGCAGATTGGGCCTAGCGAGAGGAGGAGCACATTAATACTCGTACAAGCACAAGCGACCAACAAAAACAAGCTGGCAGGCCAGGCACCTCAGGTGGCCTTCTGCCCTGGGTGAGGAACATCACACCACGGGCACCACCAACGGCAGCCCATGGCCAGACCAAAGGGACTTGGTCGCACGACGGAAAGCACCTAGCAGGAACTACCAACCACTAATTGCTAGAAGCTGGTGAGGTTTTCTGTTAGTGGCCGAGGCTAGTGGGGGAATCAACCAATATATCTGACGCATTGTTACCCCACCAGCTGATTTCGTCACGGTTACTTTTGCCACCCCTGGTCCCTGGCTGGGGAGGGCCTTTAAGCTCGGTTGTGCAGGGGCCAGAGGGGCAACTCCCAATGGCGAGAGCCCGAAGCTTCCAGGCGACATTGGCCTCGTGGGGAGAATCGAAATTCATGATTTCAAGGACCAAACTGCGCCTGTGGCTCTTTGTCTTCGATCGAGTATTAAGGGGCATCCAAGAGTCTCGTTCTTGCACTCAAATCTCAATGCTCTTATAAGGACTCGTACGTCGAGGCAGATACCCTTACTAAGTCTCGTTGCCATCATGTGTGAGACATTTATTGATTTAGACGTTCGTCAGTTAAGCGGGTCTGTGAAGTTCTTGGTGAAATTCCCCGGGTGTGAAAAATCAAAATAGAAACTCGGGTTTTCTTGCTTCTGCCAAATACGTCAGAGGCCACTTGGGTGCCACCTATCCCCGCAATTGTTTGGGTTTGGTTAACCAGGTTACCTGTGCATCTTGCATACAACTGCCTCGAAGTCCCAAGGGTCGAGGTCCCAAGGCTGGTGAATAGTATATTTACTGCATCGTGTATTGTTGAATCTCGAGTTTGGAGATGAATCCTCTTTGGTATATCATTGATGACCTATCATACTCAGACATTGCGTGGAATTGAGTCGCAGTGTTGCACTGCCACCCCAGTATGGGGAATTTAATTCGATCAGTCTTACAAACTTCAGCAGCCTTCAAGGACATACTTACGTTCAAGTCTCAACGATTGTCGGGACATGGCCTCGCGCTGAGATTCCAAATCTTCATCTCTGATATCAAATGTTTAGCTATCACCGTGAAAGTGAACTGTCGAAGGTAGGAATTGAACACTGAACATGGGTGCGATGCCGCTCCTTGGGACCTCGTATTGGTCAACTACCTCAGCCCCATATACCGATATGAGATGAGAGTACTATATCTTCCAGCTTCAGCTGCGTACGAATGCTTTGCTTTGAAGACTCTTCTCAAAACCTATTGCATGTCAAATTGAGTGCTCCTTGATCGAATCAAATAACCCCAAGTAGGTCTCAGAATCGACTAGACTTGGTTCATTCCATGAATACCATCATTCGCTTCTTCCGTCCGCAGCACGCTGGCAACGAGGCTAACACTCGAGACACGAAAGACGCTTCACTGCACAGTATCGAAGGAAATCACCCGAAGATAACACTCCTCGAATTCTTCCAATCTCAATCGTGCGATTCATGTCCGCCGGCAAACGAGACGCTCATCAACCTGGTCTCCACACCAGACGCCGACACCTCATACCTCTTGCTGACATACCATGTCACATACTGGAACCATCTCAGCTGGCGAGACACGTTCTCATACCAAGCATTTGACGGCAGACAGCGCGAATACATGCGAAAGAGAAAGAATCCGCAGGGCCTGTACACGCCCATGCTCATCGTCAACGGCCGAAGTATCGGCGTGGGAAACACCAAGGAGGCCGTCTCGAAGCTCATCAGAGAGGGACAGGGCTCGACAAACCCCATTGGCGACAAGGCCACGCCTAGTCGTGGTCGAGTCTATCTGTCAGTTGAGACGAACCAATACGGCGAGAAAGTCGTCACGGTGGATGCCACGGCGGTGAGCTCGGAGACCGGAGATGGTGATCTCCATGTTTTGGTCATTCGCTACCTCCGGTCGCCAGCAGATGTTCTGGTGACGAGAGGGGAGAATGCAGGACGCACTCTTCGTCATCGTAATGTGGTCACAGGTGTCACTAGGATTGGGTATCTTCAGCGTGAGTGTTTCAAGCCCTACATCTTACCACCAAATGAGAAAGTCGGGACAGAAGGGAGAGTGGTCGTGGTGCAGGATGGCGCAGGAGGTGAAATCATGGATGTGGTGGTGGTATGATATGGAGATTTCGAAATGGCTGAGGCTTTGTTATGTGGGCGAGCAATTAATTGAGTAATGAGGTCATGCACGTTCATTAGTCCTTCTCTTCCTCGTTCGACTTGACGCGGCCGACTCAGTCTGTTCATCGGCGAGAGATAGAAAAAGAAGAGACAACAGATCGAGGGTCTTTTCCGAACCCCTAAGTATTATCCTCCGGACAAGCGGAAAAGAAGGGACCACAATCACGAATACTACGGGGTTCACATCGTCGTCGAATTAAAGATTTGGCGTCTCAAAGATCTTCCCTGCAAGCCAGACCCAGATAGCTTTGGGGCCAGGAAGGCAGAGGGGCAATTTTTGAATGTTGCCTGACATGTGAACGAAATAGTGCGGATACCGCAAGGAACACTTTCGTGGCCCCAAAAGTTCAAAGAAGCTTGATTCATCAAGCGTTGAGATGATACGGATACGAAGGGTTGCACGACTATCTACAAGGTACCAGGGTGTTCTCCATGATTCATCGGTCGGGCTTTTTGAATGTGGCTTGTCGATCCATCGAAGAAAATTGAATGGGGACAAGGCTGGGGGCGGCCACGCGGGCGGAAATCTGCAAGAGTCGTGATCGAATATTGCTCCACATGGCGGTGGTTCGTGCCTACGAGGCTGGGGGGCCGTTGATAATAATGCCATTTATCAAAGCACAGACGTTGATACGAGTTCATCGTGAAATCTATAAGCGTGCACAGGTAACACGCTGGCAGATGTCGTGACACACTGGCTGTCAAGGCGGGGGGGCTGTACGATAACCCAAATCTGACAGCGATAACTTAGGGACATGACGATTCTTTTGCAGCACCAAAAAGAACGGCAAAGATTCCTCCGGTATAATTCCATGTCAAGATTCATCTAGATATAAAAAGGACTAAAACATCTGACGGGAGATGAGAGAAGAAAAGAGGTCGTGAAAAAGCTGTGGCTGGTAAAATTGACGTATTCGTTTCGATAAACTGCTTTTCCTTTTTGTTGACCTTCATCAGATCCCACTTCCGCCGCCAGACATCAAAGAAAGTTGGACACAAGAATAGATCAATTATTTTCAAGAAAAAGTCGTTGATCATTTTGCTCTTCGTCCCAGAAATATGTCGAGTTGCACAAGTACATGAAATGAAGAGTCCCTCGCTGTGAGTTCCGCCCCAAAAAGTCAATCATCCTTTGGCCTAAATCTTGATGCATGCAATTGAAGTATTATGCTAGGCTCCGCGCTCTCTCCAAGTAGTACCCGTATTATGCCATAAATATTTTGTCTCTCCCTGGGCAATCATTCACTTGAGCCTGTCCACTCCGCATCGAACGTTTACTTGGTTGCGAATGAATCGATTGGCAGTGGTGTTGGTGGGCCGTTGATGGCACACACTTGGCGGAAAGACTGTAGCCAAGCGCCGCTGTCGAATTCGGCGTAGTTGCGGATGAATTTGCCATCATCGCCAACGGTGAATCGGTTGATGCCGACGACGGGGAAAGTAGTGGATGTGATGACCCATCTCCAGGTGATGGTGGTGCAATCGTGCCACAGGTTCAAGGTCTTGACGGTAACCTCAGGTTGGGAACCTTGGCCAGCATCGAACGCACCCTTGCTGGGGAATGTGATGCTGCCGAGCTGTAATATGATGCATTAGTATACACTAGGCTCAGGTTAGATGGGTCAGAACTTACAGGGATGCCAGCCATGAAGTTAATGGAGTCGGAGATATCTTGGAATTTATCGTTCAGGATCTTGTTGGAGACATCGATCTTGTAGCCTCGGCCTGGAGGAGGGAAGGTGCTGTTGGGGGGTTGCTTGTAATCGGTGAACTCCAACAGGGTGATGAAGCCGTCAACGAGATCAGATGCCAAAGCATCAGTAACAACACACTTGCTTGGGACAGCGCTGGTGGTGGTAGTGGTGACGGTGGTGGTGGTGTAGTGCGATGGAGCGGTGCAAGTACCAGAAACAGTGACAGTGGGGACGGTGTGAGATCCATAGGCGCCGGACACGGTGACGGTCTTTGTGATGACGGTAGCAGATCCAGAGAGAGGGACGGAGACGGTAACAGTCTCCTTACCACCCCAGGCTGAGCCAGAAACGGTCTTTGTAACGGTGCCAGCAGCTGGGCAGGTGGTGCCAGAGACGACAACTCCACCGGTGGGCTTAACCCAGACGGTCTTGGTGGTGGTGGGTGCTGCGACGGTGGTGGTGATGATGTTGGTGAAGCCGAACTTGGAGCAAGCGCTGGTATAATGAGCATCATCACAGGCACTGGCGTAGTTGGGGACCTCGTTGGGGCAGACAATCACGGTTCCTCGCTTCCATCCATCCTTACCAGCGCCATCCGCGGTGATGGTGACGGTCTCAACGACGGGAGCGGGGGTGACGGTGGTGGCGAGATAGCTCTTGCAGTGGAATGCACGGAGACCAGCATCGCCGAGGGCGGCGGTGCCAGTGACAGCGGCCAAGCAGGCATCACCAGCTGGTGCTGACTCCCAACCGGGAGCAGCGTAGATGCCGCTGACCAGGGCGGCCAGGGGCAGGGCGACAGAGAAGACTTGCATATTGAGGGTATAAATTATTAGTTGTAAGAACGAGTGGCTTAAGGTCGAGACCTAAAAAATCAAACGGCGAGCTCAAAAAGAGTGGATGATTGAAAAGTCAATCAAGTTGCGATGAGTAGTTGTCGAGCTGGAGGAAGCAGAGAAACCTAGCAGGGAGGGATATCAGAGGTTTTATGTCGCGTCTCCCTTTCGGCCACCCAACGTCCCCGTAATGGGATTTGGTGTCATTGGCAAGCAGCGCCATCCGATTCGGAAATACTGCTTAAAATCGTTCCCTGCCATTACCGAAGATGTAAAGACGGGGTGGAAACTCAGGGCCTCATGGGAGCGTTGCAACCAAAGTTGCGCGGTGATTAGGGCGAACAGAGTTTCTCCTAGACTGTATCAGCAACGATGGAGGTATCCCAGACTCGTTGGTCTGGCAGTGAGATTATCCGCCGAATTCGTTGTGGTGGATCTATTGGAAAGACGATGATCCGCAACCACTTGTACAAGTGGATGGGGTTGCCAGGGTTGTGGATCAACCGAAACCCCCAGACACCCACCAGGCAGCCACGAGGGTAAACAACATCCATGGCTGATGTGTGAAAACAGTAAGCTAATTTCACAAGCGAAGTCTTAGCTGGGATGAGATTGCTCAAATAGGAGACAATCCGTAAATCAGCCATGCTTTGAAGAGGATAGTTCACGATTAGGCTGAACATGAACGATGAAGGAAAAATCGTACCGAACTTTGTGGAGTTGTCCAAGATACGGAGGTATGATCGTCTGGAACACACGGCAATAGGGCATCGATTGAATGGCAGATTTGATGTTTGAAGCTTAAAACGCAAATCGATTTATGGTTGATATGATGTTTTGTCAATACTGTCGTTCATATATCAGGCTATCCTCGAGTCTGGGTCTGGGTCTGGAGTTGACCCCGACTTTCGATGAGGCGTCCTCATGTGGCCCCTTTGAGAAGCCATCTTTAACTGAGGCTCAATGGCCGTCTAACTTGTGGCAAGGTTGGATTTCTGCCAGGTCGACCCTCCTTGGAAGCTGGTAGAAAAGTGAGCATTCAGGGGAAGGGAGAGGAAAGCGAAGTATCCACCAAGACTGATGTGGTAAGTAATCAGCCAATCAGCGAACGTAGTTGATGTCTGAGGCTGAAGCCTAGATGTCTTTTATGACGGTGGCTTTAATCTCGCGAAACGGGATCCCCATCAGCGCTTTTGTCTTCTGCACGTCGGCTAGAGCCAAGATTCCAAGAATAATGCCCCGGATGTGATGGGTCGGACGCTACGAAGCAATAGAACACGTTGTGTTGCTGTGTGGACGCCCTGAGGGTTGTTGTGAGGCCGCCTAGGCGCTTCTCTCATCTACATCTATTGAATTTTGGTACGAGGTACATACGAGGTGCCTGATTGTCGCACCAGTCCTGAATCTCGAGTCATGAGCTGCATACGCGTTCAAATAGGGTTTGACTGTTTTTTCCGCCAGAAAAGGTTAGCGGAACTAGAACCCCCTCATCGGATGCACGAAGTAGGTGTGTGTGTTTGCCAGTGTGCCGCTGCGCAATTTCGAGAGTCTCGAGAAGTAAGACCTTGTTTCTAGCCATCCTGCCCCTCGGTTCTGCTTCGTGGGAGGATGACTGAGTTATGCATCGGGTTGGCGCGTAGGGGTATTTTTACGATCCCCATCTGCACATCAGCGGGTGATGGAACTGGGTTGGATCGTGGTCCAGAGAGAGAGAGCATGGTTCATGGGAGGGCTTCAGGGGTGGGGGAAATTAAACAGAAACCTCACGCCAAGGCTGAAATATGGAACCATCTTCTTTGACGTTTCGTATTTGGAGGTGAAGGCCTTTTGGACTTTGAAATTTGCATCAGCCACGGTTGATTTTAGAGGAAATAACGCAACGAAATGGGGTTAACGTCTGATTATGCTTCCTAACAGTACGGAGTACCTAGGTAGTGATCGATAATTGCACAGCGTTTTTGCCCCAGATAATTGAACCCGTTAGAAACCCTGGAACTCAATGCATGATGAGGCCAAGCTTCAACCAAGACGGCAAGCCAAGTGGCGCGAAGTTAAAGAAAATTCGAGCGGCAAAACTTGACTCACATCCTGGAATATGCCCATTGCCCACTCACACAGAACTCGTAACTCGATATTCCATTGATAATTCAATATTAAAGGTCTTGGTCAGGTTTCAATTCCCGTCGCTACACAGAAACAGAAGATCAACGGATCTTCCATCCTCAATTGATCCTCGCTTCTACCAGGCCATCTGGGCAACCACCACCAGTTTCATATACAATAGCCTATGAAACAGGTGTACATACGAGGATCCATCCCAGTATATGATGATATACCTCATGGTGGAATGCTGAGCGGATATCCATTGTCCATACTCGGCTACGCATCCAGAGCATATTGCTCGCTACTGAACGAGCTTCAAAGCTGGATCCACTTACATTGTTGTCTCCCTTTAAGACCCCTGTGTCCTGGAGATTTCAAAGATGACGACCGAATGGCCTTATGAACCCCTTCATGGTAAGCCTTATGAGATTGGTTTCGTCCTCCGCAATCCTTTTGTTTCTGTCATCCACTCTTACCAACACATTCATGGGGGTGTAAGCAGTCCATGATCTTCCCCAACTATACCAGAAACCCGCTGCATCTGCCCTGCTTGATGCATTAGCTCGTTTGTCCCTGAAGCCATCTCCTTTCGTCACAGGAGGTGATATTCCTCAGGCTCAAATTGCAGAACAAGGAGTGCCACGATACTTGACCCAAATCGTCTCCTCCAGTCTAGCTTGGATAGATGATGACCTCGTCAAGGAGTCCATCTGGTCTGCTGCAAGCACGAGATTGAGTGAACGCTCCGGAAGGAATGCATTGCCTGATCTGACTCGGACTTTCGCCATCAATGATCACCTCTCCTTTCTCATCCATGAACCTACTCTCACCGGCGACCATCTGGGGCTCAAGACGTGGACGTCTTCTCTCCTCCTGTCTCAACGTTTACCTGAACTCCGTAAGTATATTGTGGATGATTGTTCCAGAGTGCTGGAACTCGGCTCTGGCACCGGTCTCGTGGGAATGGCGGCCGCTTGTGCCTGGAATGTTCACGTGCTGCTGACTGACTTGCCGGATATTGTCCCTAACCTCCAACGCAATCTTGATGAAAACAGAGAAGTGATCGATCGGCACAAGGGCAGTGCGACTGCGCGTCAGCTAGATTGGGCCGATAAGACAGATATTCCAAGAGACGATCAAGACAAATTCATGGTGATTCTCGCTGCAGATCCTATCTACTCCACTGAGCACCCCGAGATCCTCGCATGCACAGTCCGTCATTGGATACATCCAGACCCGGCCGCTAGGTTCATTGTTGAGTTACCTCTGCGGGATCGCTATGATGAAGATAGACAGCTGCTAAGGGACAACCTACGAAAACAAGGACTCGACATGATTGCTGAAGGACAAGACATGGGATATGATGATTGGCATGGTCAGGATGGTAGACCAGCTGAGGTGCACTGCTGGTGGAGTGTCTGGAGACATTTTCTTCCAGAACCTTCACCCACTTAATTTGTCTGTGTCATTCATCCCACATGATCCAAACTTGAGATCCTGGTTCTGGTGAAGTTTTCCGCAACATAGCAGCACACTTCTTAGTGCCAACAATCATATCCTTGAATGCTCGTTGAGACCTAGGACATATCGTCGTGAGACTCGTAGGCGTAGGTTATGCGACAAGTCATTGACCAGACGAGAGACTCCATCCACGTCATGTTATCACTGATATTTGCCCCGACTTCGATGTAGGGCCCAAATATCCTTCGCCTCCAGCGCCTTGCGAATGAACCGTACTTTTGTCGAAAGTCCCTTAAATCCATGGTTTCATGAGACCAACCGAATGCCCGTAATGCGATCAAAAAAGACGTCGTCCGCATAAGTGTATCGAGATTTATTACTGTGCTTTAAGTCGTCTCTCAGCAGGGTCGTATCTGAAGGCAATTGTCAATCATGTATCCAACAACATCGTACAAATTTTTGTTCCTCCAAGTACAACAGCATTCCAAGTCAGGGCAAAAGAGGACGTACTGTAATAGTTTCTCGATCAAGTCGACATGAGTCATAAGCATGCGACGACAGCAGTATCTCTTTGCGCCAACTTGATCCATCGCTTCACTGTTTACCCGAAGTTGTCAGCCTGCGTTCCGGTCTTTGAATTTGTGATATCGCAGAATCTTGAGGTCAGTGTCAAGGTTCGACTAACCCATCAGCCATGCCACCTTCTAGTAACTTCATGTATCTCTCCCATATGTCGGCGATCACCTGTGATCAAGCAAGATGTCAGATTATTGTCGAGGAAACGACAGACAACGAAGGACATAGTGTTTACCTTGCCACATGAGAAGCAGCGGATCGGAATGATCATCTTGGCCCACGTATGTTGATTATGAGGTGTAAGTACAGGGACAACCAGGCTGTGCAAGAAGTTGTTGTTGCTTTCGTAAATGCGACCGAAGATGTGAGGACGAAGAATTAGCCAAAAATTTGATACGGCGCATTGCAAGGGGATAGTGTGCAGTTCCTACCGCAAATCATTCGCTCTCAAGCGCTTGTCTTGGGAGAGATTCCGGCTAAACTGCCACAATTGGTGTGGAGAAAAAAAAGTTCGGTGAACCTTGAGTGCAGTCTTCAAGAACTTGCAGTTCGAATGCCTTTTACATCCTTCGTGGTGCGTTAGAACCCCGCCACGGACAGACATTAAGACCCCTTCATGATGTCCCAGTCTTCTAAGCGTAATGCCGAAATTGCTTTCGAAGGAAATGACCGGGAAGATCCTCACAACCAAAAGAAGCCAAGAACCAAGCAACCAACGCCTACTCACCAGACAACCATTCTCTCCCCTCCCAAAGAAGAGAATAACGGAGCAGAATCGCACAGTTCTCATGGCCGGGTGAGAAGTAGGACTGGCCATCGGAGAAGCCAAGAGACAAAGTTGATTAAGGACTTGGGAGACGCACCCGACAATGTCACTCCGCAATCCGACAAGGCACAACCCACCAAGGAGGAAGAACTGGCCGCCGAAAACCCAAAGCATCAGAAGAGGCTAAGGAGATCACACAAGGACAAAGAAAAGAATCTTCCGAAGCCTGTGGATGAGACCGCTGCTTGGCAATCCTCGGTCCCATCAACCACACCAAACAAACAACGACAGTCGAATTCTGTGCCTCAAAAAGCAGAAGAGGATAGAAGCACTTCGGGGGAGGCGACGCAGAAAAAGTTCATGCAGGTAGCGCAAGAAGATGGTCTGGCAGTGTTCAATGTTCCAAAGGAAAGTGATCAACTTGCTCTCGTTGCATCGCAGAAGAAGAAGAAATCACAGAAACAGAAAACGTCTGAAACCGTGGCAGAAGTCAAGAGACCCAATGCAGGTCATAATTCGAGTCGCTGGTCAATATCTCCAAGCAAGGGTGGCATTTTCATCGACCAAGATCCGCTATTGACAGCTGATGGAAAGTATCTACTCCTTCCAACACATTCTCAACTCCGCGTCTATTCTACACAAACCTCACTATTGATTCGAAGTTTGCAAACCAGCCATGGCTCAAGTATCGTCAGCTGTGCATTGTCACTTATAGACCCCACTAAGGTCTATGTTGCTTACACCAACGACAAAATCTCATTATGGGATTGGACGACAAGCCAAAAGTTGGGCCAAACTGCTACACAGAATCGCTTACGCCGAATCTTGCCCATGGCTTTCGATGGAAAGGAGGAAACAGTCCTTGCTCTACGCCACGGTGAAGAAAAAAGCAGTTCTGTGGTTGCATATTCTGTTGATCACACCGGCCAGCAATGTAACCTCGCCACTACCATATTGGAGCGACCATTCAGCATTATGAATATTGCATCTTACGCAGCTGGAAGTGTGCTCATTGCTTCGAGTGCCGGCAAGATTTTACTAGGATATTCACAAGATATTCCTAGCAATGGACAACAATTGAGTTATACGTGGAGGGAGCTTAGTATGTCTGGTTTCATAACCTCTTTTGATGCTCGAGTCCGCCCATATAAAGCAAAGGGAGCAAGAAGAGTGCCAATTGTCGACTTGGTGGTTGGTTTTCAGTCTGGCACTATTATGATATATCAAGATCTTCTTTTCAGATTGATTGGCAAGGAGAAGAGCACCGATAAAGAGGACATAACCCCACGCAAATTGCACTGGCATCGAAGTGCAGTGAATGCAGTCAGATGGTCACGCGACCAGCAATATATTATCTCAGGTGGCAATGAAACGGTACTTGTCATCTGGCAGCTGAATACAAACGAGAAGCAATTCCTTCCTCATTTGTCGACATCAATTCTAAATCTGACCATATCAGCAAAGGGATCGGAGTATGGACTTCGTCTTGGTGACAATTCTGTTATGGTCTTGTCGACTGCAGATTTGTTGCCATCGACGAACATTACCGGACCTGCAATCAGTGAGGATGCATTGTCTGATAGACCGATGTTACTTCATCCAACAATAGCAGGTCGCCTAATCGCAGCCGTCCCAGCTAATGTCATAACCAAAAACCAACAGCGAGAAAACAATGCCACCCTTCTCCAACAATTTGATATCGACTCGGGATTACAAGTCAGCCGCCAAGCCCTAACAAGGAATGTTACGACAGTCAAAAATGTGGCACCTACCGGTAAAGCAGTGGTGGAACCCAATGTCGATTATATCGCTATAAGCTATGATGGTAAATGGCTGGCTACTATTGACAGATGGACACCCTTAAAAGCAGACATAGCGTCAATGTACCTTGATGGTGACTCAGCAGATTCTCGTGGCCATTCTACAGAGACCACATTAAGAATCTGGGGTTGGAACGAGGATGAGAATGTCTGGGAACTGGTGACTCGCATCAACGAGCCTCATCGACCAGGCGATCGCTCTGTGCTCGGGTTAGTAGCGAACCAATCGAAGGCTGAATTCGCGACCATCGGTTCGGATTCGACGATACAAATATGGTCACCAAAAGCACGCCACCGAAATGGGGTCGCTGTGAAGAACAAAACAAATGAGCAATTATACACATGGTCCAGCTCAAGATCAATTGACTGTGGGCATGAACGTCTCCGTGGAAATGAACAGGCAAAGTCAGCAACAATAGCTTACTCTGATGATGGCTCGACCATTGCGGCTTCCTGGTCGTGGTTGGCATCACAAACGCGGCTATTACACCTCATTGATGCTGCAAGCGGCAAAATTAGTCTCACTCTTCCAGATATTCTATCACCAAGGGAAGCAAGGCTAGCCTTTGCAGGACGACATTTGTTATGTCTGTCAGACACTTTTTGTGTCTTCGACCTGCTTACAGCACAAACCATTCTCAACATCAACTTGGACTCTGAAGCCTTTGGCCAGAGGCACCTCGCAACGAACAAGTTTGAAGGCACAGTTGCCATCAGCATTTCACCTGTGGAGAAAAACAAATCAAGCAAGTTACTTTTGTTAAGCATCACGGGACAAGATGTCAAGCCTGTCTGGGAGACATCCGTACCCGGCCTCATTTTAGGCTTATTGGCCTCTACCACTGGCTCGGGCTACGTCCTGATCGACGGAAAGGCCAGGATCAGCACATTGAGGTCCAAGGATGCCACAATTCAAGGGGCTTTGTCATCAGCACTGCAACGTACAGAGCCTGCGCAAGTCAGCAAGAGCCTAGACAGTATTTTCGGCAGAGGCGGCCAGCCACTCCTGACCGCAGGTGACCAGGAAGGACTCAAGGCGGATGGGTCGAATGTACTATCATCGTCGAATCTAGATGCGGTGTTGAACTTCGTTTCCTCGAACCATGCACCTAGTCCCACAGAGCTTTTTGAGCGGATCGTTGGTGCATTTGGTCGGCGAGATGCTCAGGAATCTGTGGTTGCATAATAGGTGGGATATACTTGACTTGACCGGATTGGTAGATAGATTCGAGGAATCACATTGGACCACAAGTGTTCAACTTCAAAACCCTGCCTTTGACGTGTTCACCCTCGCTTTCACCCAATGTCTAGCCCATATAATCTGCTTCTTGATCCAGAATCTTCACGTTGCGAGAAGGACATTGAGCATACCTCTGAGCTCTAAGTCCTGCTATCGACTTACAGTAGATATTAGCTCAACTCACCCCTGACGTGGCACCTTTGAGCAGTCCGCATCCTTGTCTTCATGGTGCTTCGGAACTGATCCGTAAGCAGGGCAGATAACGGCCCGACCAGGTTATGCATATCCGCGCCAACCTGCTTTACCAAATGTTAACACGCCTTTGATACCTAGGATACTTTAGTACGTACCTAAATACCTCGTTCCTACTCCGTGATCAGCGAGTTACCTTGGCAGACAGAGAAGTAGTTCCTAGTAAGTTGCGGTGCTTCAGCCTCGGTACCGATGTGCCTGACTCGGCCACTCAAACGATCTTTACGGGTACATCGCTCGTTCTTCAGCTTTCCTAACTTGATTTCCGGCGGCAGCATCCCCTATGCTACGTAGTGCGCTTCGCCCAGTAATGACGGAATTCAGTGAATCGAATCATTGATCGCGAAACGACTTCTAAAAGCGTCCCAGATTATCGCTTCCTGCGGCCGATTTATGCACTTCACCCGCTGCCTGTTTCCGGGCGAGCTAGCTCTGACTCGGCGGATGTAAAGCCAAGTGCGGGGGACTGGGTTAGTCCTCGATGCTGTGGCATCAACCTGCGCTAAGAGAGGTAGCGAAGAAACTGATGCATATTCCTTATTAGTAGTGTGAAAGGAGGCACCCAGGGAGAAAGCATTGCCCCTCATTGCTGCTGTGCGTTCCCAATGAAGCCGAGGGGCAATAAGTAAGGAAGACGAGACATGTGTGCTAACTAGAAAGATCCCTCCCTTCCCTGCCTTTGTTGCAATCCTATTTCCTCTAATTCTCTTCATCGTAGAGTAATATAAACTCGTTTCACAATCTGAATTCACGGCCAAAGTCCCAAAGACTAGAATCTCACACATCACGAGCGACTTCAACACCCCACCAATCAAAAATGGTCGCCCACGCCACGGTCCTCTATCCAGGAGACGCACAGTTCGATCTGAAGTACTACCTCTCCACCCACCTGCCTCTCTGTGAGAAAGGATGGAAGGAACTCGGGCTTGTGGACTGGAAAGTCATTGAATACACGCCTGGTCCCGACGGCAGCAAACCCTATGCTATCGGTGCGCTCCTTTCCTGGGAATCTCTCGAGAGTATCGGAAAGGCATTCGAGGCCGAGGCAACCAAGGGCATTCTCGACGATGTAAAGAACTTCAGCGACAAGTCGCCGCTATTTCTCATTGGTAACGTTGCCGGTCAGGCTTGAGTTTGTGGCCACCGGCAACTCGCCTCCATGATCGGCATTTTGTCTTCCTGCGGACTTTGCGGGTGGGGGCAGTGTTTGCAAGTGGTGGACCTGGTCTGCTAGGAGACTTGAAACTCTTTGTCAACAGGAGACTGTTGTATGAGAGTTGGATGGACGGAGCTCGATCGATTGATCGTGGTAGCTCGCATATTGTTTGATCCCGACACCGGGATGAAATTGAGGCTAGCTGAGTCTGAGACAGTAATCAAAGGTCGCTACCTTCCATTCTGATATCCCTCCTCTATTCGTTGTTCTTGCCTCCCTTCCGGACCCTCCACAACTCGAAGTTTGCTACATGACAAGCATGCCAGTGCCTGTGGTATGGCTGCCTCATTTCGATCACTGTGCAGTTGATCACGGCTTCTTACTTCTAACGACAGAATTCGAAGCGTGCTGCTTGCAGTTTGCATTCGGAACGAACCTTTGAATGTTGCACACCTTCAGTGTGGCCAGATATGTCTTTATGACATTTCGGGATCGTGCTGCAAGAGGACGCTTTCCCGATTCTCGTGTCGATGAAATACTGCCGTCTTGTTACGAAAGACAATTCCGGACTCCAAGTGTTTGATACTGGTTTTCACTGATCGAAAACCTTCATCATACAGACCACGATTCAAGGTTGCGGCATAAGTCTCAGGGAGAGCCAGATGGTACGTCGAGATTTCTCATCTTCCTCAGCCCTGCTGACTGCCATTGCGTCGACGACTTCCCCAACTCCTTCCGCCTTCAACGCATTCTGGACGAACGGTCCACACCATGATTCTGCCTGTTTTAACAGTGCGACACCTGACAAGCCCTCTAAGCTGTATTCTTCCAATCGACCAATATACACCTTGACGTTGACCATCCTCAACCGGTTGCGCTCTCTGACTGGTATCCTCGAGAATAGCAAATCTAAGCACAAGCCACTGCAAACGGTGAACACCCTAGGCGAGCGGACCACCATGGGCTTGACTTCGTCGTGGATTGCTCTACACACCCGCAAGATTCGATCATCACAATGCGCGTGGATGTCGAACTGTCCGAAGCATGAGGTCGGATGTGTGATGGTGCAGTAATATGGCACAGTCACACATTTACATGGTGTGAGATTCCTCGGCCCAAGAACATATTCCCATATCTGGCAGCGAATGTCATAGGGAAGTGAGAGCAAGTCTTGAACCATGCTGACTCACGAAAATTTGCCAAACGCTGGGCGCGATGGAGGTGTCGATAAAGACTGTCAGATACGAGAAAACAAAAGTATAAATATGTAGGGAGGCGCCTGTGGAATATGGCCTCGATACGAACACGAAATAGGGGAACAATCTTTGTGCTTATCGATCGTCAAGGCAGAACGTTTGATTCTTGTCCCTGATCCACAGGTCGCCAACAAGTCACAGACAACAGACATATTTCCAAAAAGAACTGTCCTCTGATATACCGAATTTGATCAGGCTCCGGCTTCTGCATTTCTTCCTGCAATGCTTACGCGCGGAACATGAGGATGCAAAACTTCTGGGACAGCTGACTCATAGTAGTGCGTGGCTAGTAACAGTGGAGCGCGATTAATTTGATGGTTATCGAGCATTTGGCATTCCTGTCGGAGGTGAAAATAGTGGGATGTTGTTACATCGTAACTGTTGATTTGGCGGCAGGAGCATGGCAGTCAGCACTATCATGCCTTGTGGGTATCTACCCAAGCACCGACGACTTCAATGATCACTTCAATGATCCTGAGGAGGAATCAAAAGATCGAGATAGCTCACTTTTGAGGCTTGTACGCGTGGAGTCAAGTGAGCTACCTAGGTAGGTTAATCAATCAATTATTTTCACGGCGACCCGGCTGATCAGCAGAGGATATTATGGTTTTCCAGTGGGCGAACATCCGTAACTGGCACATGATATTTTACTAACTCGAAAACCACCAGATCCGGGTGACATAAAAGTACGTCACTTCCACTGCCGCCGGCATAATCACCTATCTGGGATATTGGTCTGGAGAAAAGTTTTATGTCGAACAAGCGTACCTCGATATATATTTCTAGACACGCAGCCTTTATTGATTACCAGATAGAAACTTTATCCTTCGATGAGATGAGCAAGCTCAAGTTGAGTCCCCTACCCCATGGGCTCCGCGGCCCCATCAGGAGCAAGATAACGGAGGATATCCACGCAATCTCGCCTGGATGGCCCCCGTAAAAATACATACCTGCCATTCTACATCGTTTACCTGGCCAAGTACCCCCAACCATTTGTGAAGAAGTAGCTCGTGAATTTCGCACGTCCAGAGCCGGTCAAAACAAGCTCTGACCTTCGCAGACCAGAAATCCCGAACTACCACTAACCACGAAGTTTCTGAGCAGCCTAATGGCTTAACATCGCGCGGTGTTAATTGTCGAGGAAGAGCGAGACAACGATTGCATTGTTGGAGTATTGTAGGCTCTACTTCCATGCCACTCAGCCAGTCACATCGCCACAACTGCTATCAACCCGGTCATGAGCAGCCTGTGTGCGAGCAGTTGCTGGCTCCCAGACTCGTTGCGATTCTTCAATCGAAGCGATAAGGCTGACCGAAGACTCTGCTCGTTCTCAGACTGGCGCATGTCGACTATACTGACCTATCTGTTTTATTTAGCGGGGGCCGAAGGCCTACGACGGCCGCGATGTCCGATAGTTCCAAGCCAGCAAATAGATACACTGACCTGATTCGCATCCTGTCACCAGATACCCCGCGACCAAACTCCAATTAAGAATGCTTGAGCTGCTCGGATTTATGCCCAATCAAGAGGAGACTCTCACACGACAGACTACGAAAGAGACCGTTTCCAACCTGAATTGTGAACTTAAAGGTAAGCTCATAAGACCATAAGAGTCAGTCTTCAACTTCCCGCAGCTTCGTGCTTCTTGATGCTCTTGTGTCTACGAGGTACAGACCGAACATCAGATCGTACATCACCACCATAATGAGTGGTCAAACTTATCTAGCAACACCAGCGGCAGTGCCAGAGTTAGGCATCCCGGAATCATCCTCTACCGTCGATGTTCGCATCATCGACACGACTGGATATGGTGAAGTCTCGACGTCGGTGGTTTTTACGCCTCAACTGCCAGGGCACGACAAGTTCATCTTTCCCTCCTACTCATTCCTCATCAGCAACGACAAGAACGGTAAGCACATTCTATTCGACCTGGGCATGCGAAAGGACTGGGAGACTTTCATGCCTGAACCAACCATTGGCTTCGTGAAGCAGATCATGCCATTCACGGTGCAGTCGAACGTCGATGAGATCCTCGATGCAGATGTTGCGAAGATAGGAATTACGACCAAAGACATCTCGGCTGTCATCTGGTCGCATCACCATTTCGACCACCGTGGCGATCTTTCTCCGTTCGACTCGAATACCCAATTGATCGTCGGGCCCGGGTTCATGAAGGCATACTCTCCAGGATACCCTACAGATCCCAAGAGCACTATCCAGGAGACAGAGCTCACCAGTAACCCCGTACGTGAGCTCGACGACTCCGCTTTCACGCTAAAGCTGGGACGTGTGCCAGCTCACGATTATTTTGGCGACGGATCCTTCTACATTCTCTCGACTCCAGGCCACACAACCGGCCACCTCGCTGCACTGGCCCGTGTGACCAGCGAGTCCAATGGCTCATCAACGTTCGTTCTCCTCGGAGGTGACTGCGCGCATCATCCAGGCGTATTCAGACCCACCGAATATCTACCCATCCCGGAAAAGGTGCCCGAGGCGCCTCGCTCGAAATTTGGCACCTCACCTTGTCCCGGCGTCTGGCTGCAGAAGTACGTACACCCTCAGAAATCCGCCACAGAACCCTTCCTAAAGGCAAATCTGGTTGTCTATGAAAACCCCGAATATGGCCTGCACAGCCTTTCCGCGATGCAGGAATTCGATGCTAGTCCTGATATTTTGGTCTGCATCGCTCATGATGCTGGACTGTTGGGGAATATTGACTTTTACCCTGACAAGTTAAATGGGTGGAAGGCGAAGGGGCTCAAGAACGCCGTGCATTGGAATTTCTGTGGCGATTTCGATGTCAAGGCTGCAAAGGAGAAGGCTGCTGCTGCTTGAAGGCATGTGTCCTTTAGCAGAGGATCCAGCAACAACATGACCCAATGGCGACTCGTACTCCTTCTAGAAGATCAAATAGTTATCACTCCATCTTTCGTGTGAGCTGTGAGTACCTAGGTACGAGATATATTGAGCTTTTTCAACCCCATGTGGGGAAGGGTCCGAGGCACATCAGGCTGTTCTCCTAAATTGCTTGCAACTCCACCCTCCTCTTTCTCCAACATTCATCCTGACCCAAAACCGTGCGTTTAGCAGCCTACGAAGGTAAGTCCCCATTAACATGCTTGTACCGGCGTAATCAAGGCGATTCAATGGGGGTTTCCGTCTTTCTGGGCTAGCTCTTGCCATATGCTCGGTCAGGGTGAACTTTCCTTTGCCAGGATATATACCTTTTAAGCCATTCGCTGTGGGCCTCGAGTCTAGCAGGTAGCAAACGACTCGAAGGTAATATGAAGTTTTCCATCGTTATGAGAAGACTGCCAAAGGCATCAACATGGGCGGGATCTAGCCTCCGCTGTGCTGCCATTGGACGTGTGGTACCAGCAGGGGCATGTACTATACCACTCCCGCCCATTTTCACCCGGAGGACTCTACATCGCCACGGAGAATCCCAGCGTTCTCTATTCTCCACTAGCCCTCCTAAAGCGTCGCCACAAGGAGAGATAGGATGCGAAATCAAACCCATACCCTCCACACCAGGGTCAACAACAACTACGGGAACTGTCGCGACCATCACAATCAACAACGCGGCGCGCCTCAACAGCCTGAACAGCACACTCATCTCCCAACTGACATCGACGCTCCAAACACTCGCATCTCCCAAATACCGCCCGACCCTCCGCGTCACAATCATCAAAGGCTCGCACCCACCTGACTCCCCCAAAACCCCGGCCTTCACCTCCGGGGCCGACATCTACGAGATGAGCGCGCTGCAAGACGCATCCGCCGCGAGAACATTCATCTCCAACCTTGCCACGCTGTGCGAAACCTTCCGCACGCTGCCGTGCCTCACGGTCGCGCAGATCCACGGCCTGTGTCTGGGCGGGGGCCTCGAGCTGGCCGCGTGCGCGGACTTCCGGTACGCGACAGCTGCCTCGTCGTTCAGCATGCCCGAGACGAAGTACGGGATCCCCTCCGTCATCCATGCGCGCCTGCTGCCGGATCTGATCGGCTGGCAGCGCGCGAGGGAGATGGTGTATCTCGCGCGGTTCTACGGCGCGAGTGAGATGCGTGAGTGGGGCTTGGTGGATAGGCTGTGTGCTGACGAGGAGGAGCTGGAGTCGCAGGTGCATGGGTTGGTGAGGGAGGTGGCCAGGCATGGCGTGCGGGCGATGCGGGTGCAGAAGGAGTTGGTGCGGGTTTGGGGAGAGGAGGATCTCAAGACGGGTATTGAGAGGGGGGTCGAGAGTTTCGCCACCATGTTTCGCGACGGTGCCCAGGAGCCCAGGCTCTATATGAAGGAGTTTACGGGAAGGAAGAAGCTGAAGGAGGCGGGTGGCAAGGGATCGTGAGTGACAAGCCCAGACTGGTTGGAGTCGCTTTGGTCAGACATCATTGGTGGCTACGGATTGAAACTACGGGAGGATATGAATACCGAGCGGACAGAGATGTGTATTGAGAATGATTTGGAATGTGGTGTCCAACTTCATCTGATGAGGGGAGAGAGCAGGGAAAGGAAGAAAGTGACCGAACGTCATCAAAGAACGGTGCAACAATTGACCACAACGATATGCTCAGTCTCCCCTGAGGCAATTGATGAGGTCTCTAAGATATTACACGTATTGAGAGCACAAAACGCTCATTTAATCTGCACTGACTCGTCCCTGAGGACACCCGAAAAGCAATGTACTATGATGATCTGCTGGCCTGATCGATTGAACAGTGAATGGAAGCCCTTGGGTTCGATATAGCAGCATGAAAATCTCAGATGTTACTGAGTAGATACTCTATCGCCCCCTGAACGCTACCTCCAGTTCTGCGAAGCGCCTGAACATTGCGGTCAAAGTCGTAAAATCCCATGTCATTCAATTGACGCAATTGGGTCTCATATCTCTCCTCTGGTGGACGGTTATCAGGTGGTGCTGCGGGTTGTCCACCTCCGAAAATGTTGAAAAGATTGTTGAAGTTATTAGGATCATTCTCTGATCCTGCACCCGGACCACCACCTAGACCACCACCGTCACGTGCAAGCTGGGAAAGTGCTTGAAGGGCCTGTAGTTGGCTTTGGAGATCTTGATTTGAAGGGGGATTCTGGCCTTGTTGTGGCGCTTGACCAAACATTCCTGGATTGAATAATGCTGCAAAGGGATTTTGCTGTTGCTGTTGCTGCTGAGCTGTTTGATCGGTATTGGGAGGATTGGTTTGCGTGCCTGGTGACGAAGGATTCTGTTGGGTGGTCGGAAATGGTGCACCAAACAGACTTGCAAACGGATTGGCACCCAGATTTCCCATGGCTGCAAAAGGATTCTGCTGGTTTGGCTGTTGCTGAGTTTGGCCATCCAATGAACCGGGATTCTGGCCTTCTCTTGCCTCGGTGGTGTTGGTGACGCCTGGTGCTGGGAAAGCCTCTTGTCCGCCCATGCCTCCAAATCCTCCGCCTCCCATTTGCTGTTGCATCTGCATCATAGATCGTAGAGCCTGGGGATCGGTCATGAGTCGTCTGAAATAGTCGGATTGTAGAACCTGCCTGGCCTGGGGGCCCATCTGGCGCAATTGAGGGTTTGCATTGATCATCATGTCGATAAATTGTGGGTTGTTCATGGTCTCTCTCATCATCTGTTGGAAGTTCGGATCCTCTAACTGGCGGACAATATCCTCGGGGGTCTGTGGTGTGTTGAACATGCTTGCACTCGGCAATTGAGCAAAGCCGGCGTACCTGGCTCCAGTCAGACCTGCTAGAGGGTCATTGCCTGTACCTGCGGCCAAATTCTGGGGAACACCCGATGCCTGGGGTGTAGTTGTGGAGGGGTTGGATGTGGAAGAAGATTGGCTGGCTGGGTTTTGTCTCTGATTACTCGCAGCGCTCTTGACCAAGTGCATGGTATTGCCATCCTTGACATTGTGCGTGGCTAGGGTGTCATTGTCTTTCAAGACTTTTCCACTGTAGATTAGGCGCTGTGCAGTTGCAGGAACATTGGCATATTCTTCAGTGGCGAGTTTGGTTTTGAGATCTTGGGTGGTGGTTGCGAGTGGAAGAGACAGAGTCCATTTCTGGCCGCCCGAAGATTTGATATGGAAGGTGACGGTGATGTCTTCAGAGCTTGCAGGCTCAGTCATTGTGTCGAGGGTGGGAGGTTAGAATGGATAGGCCAGCGCTTGCGAAGCTGATGTCGATGTTTGCGACGGTAGATAACGAACGGAAGTTGTAGGACCAAGCCGAGGGCAATGACGTGGGGACTTGGTATTTGTCAGAAGAATGGCGGTTCTCGTTATGCGGAAAGATAGAATGCAGGGAGAGAAGATGTGGAGGAGAAAGATGAGAGGAAGAGATGAGAAAAGCGACAAGATTCAAGTTGAAGAGTTACATCAATCGGTTTACCTGGACTGAAATGCAAGAGAGGCAATGTGGCAGTTCTTGGAGACTTTGGCTTGTCAATTGAACAGTTCCTATTGAACAGTTCCTGTTCCTGCCTTTCTGGGTGCCAGTGGTCGGTTTCACGGGTGCAGTGCAGTGCCAGTGGTCAGGTGCAGGCCAGGTGGGTGTGGAGGTGCACCACCAGATCATCGCTCCTGCCAGTATGCCTCGCGTCATCCCGGCTGCCTTGACTTTAATTGATCCGCCCCCGAGCCACGTTTGATAAATGACGGACTTGAGGTGAGTTTTGCCCCTCCAAGTGCAAAGCCTGAGGGGTTTGGTCCCTGGAGTCGGTCCAAGCTCAAGCTGCGGCCAATCCGTCCACGGGCTACGCATGCTACCCACCTGAGGTAGGTGGACCAGCAACAATAACCAGTAAACCACGCTGCTTTAACAATCTTCAACAAACCATATTCTCATCATTAATCATATGCTTTCCTTTTGTTTTAAACGATCGACAGCAAGAGACAGTGTTCCGAGACCATCGTTAGGTACTCACTGTTATGCTATTGAATTCTTGGTAATGTTGGGGCAGTTCTTTAAACCTGGGGAGTTTGTTGTTCTAACTCCAATATAACCATCGAGAGCTTGCTAATAAAGAGCACCAGGACTTATCTTGAAGGAGCTGGATACAGACCCAAAAGCAGATCAATATTGTCTAGGTCAGGTGGGAATATATCTGTGCTTGATCATGCTCAGCGCCTGCCCCAGTAGGTGGTGATACGGATTGATGTATAAGTGTGGAGCTCCATGCTCCGAGACATTGCACAGGCTTGAAGGATGATACACGCCGTCGTGTTTAATGATGACATTCGCTCCAAACCTCCTGGACTTTGTCGGCCCCGGATGAATTCTCCCATCGTGTCGATCTACGTTAACGCAACACTCTACATTGGCTCTGCGCACACTGTCAGTCTCTGTGACTTCCTTCCAGAATCTGAGTGAAGCAAACGAGCAACAATGGCATTAGCAGTACTAATTCCATTAGCTCCACGCTAGCTCGGGCAGGGGAATCGGAACTGGTTTGAGTCAGGATCGTCCTTGGCTCACGAGCCTGCCGTCATTGACCTTGCGCCCGAGGGGCCCCTGATTCCACTAATAGAATAGCCCGAGGGTCAAGGCTGGCCCCAAAGTGCAGGCGCAATGTTGGCAGATTAGTAGATCAACATCACTCTTTCAAGCTTGAGGAAGTGAGGATTATTCTTCCTCTCACCTGGCATTGTCTTCTGTCACAAATATCTGTGGAGCTTGTTTTGCGACACTCAACTAGCGCAAACGAATCGTAGCCATTCTCGGACAAAATCTTATCAACTGAAGACTACAATATCAGGCTCTTTTCATCCCAAACCCTATCCCCTGATATTTGCCCAGGCCTGAGTTGGTCACTTTATCTGACGCTGATGTCCATCTGTGCTCTCTCATCCCACTTTGGGCCTTGAGCGCATTTCTCAATGCAGAGAAATCTCAATCGTGTTGCTGCTCTGAGTACCACGATTCTCGTCGTCGTTGGTCTAATCATCTACTGTGAGTATCCCAAGGTGGACTGTTCGGCATCATTTCCTGACAGATTTCCCCAAGTTACCCAACCACAGGCCCGCTTTTCGAACATTACTGTCATCCCGACCACTGAAGAATCGCCAACCGTACGCATACCTCTATCGGGTATTGTTGAAGCAGAGAGGACGGATGCCTTCAACGTGACGCGATTTACCCGGCACACGACTAATGCCACGTCAGAGTTGCTCTGGCTTTCTCTCACCTATAACAAGGATTCCTGGGGTCGGAATCGCCTTCGATGGACGCGAACTGTCGACGATTATTTGAAACTTTTACCCCTACAGCATAATGTTGAGACTATTTCACTTGGTCTTCTTACAAGCTCGGTAGACGAGTATCACAAATATAAGGCAGCAACCGCACGTTATCCTTTCGCCAGAGTGGAAATCATTCTACACCCTGGCTATCACAACTCCAACGGGTCAACTGTGGATCGGGAGCACCGCCACGATGATGAGGTGCAGGCTGCCCGCCGCTCCGAGATAGCCCTGTTGAGGAATTATCTCATGTTGAAAACCCTGGAAGCAGAATCGCACATTCTCTGGGTGGATGCCGACATCTTTCGCCTCGACGAAGGTATTGTTAGGCGAATTCTCCAGCATATCCGCGATGAAGAGGCTATAGGCCTTGTAACCGCAAGATGTTCGCGGGACGGAGCGGAAGATTATGATCGCAATGCATGGCGAGGCACAAGAAAAGGTCCCAGAGGTTGGGATCTGGATCAGGATGAGATCGCAAAAGGAGAACTGAAGACCCAAGGCCAATACCATGTCGATAAATTGATCGTGGGTACCACAAACGATGACCTTGTTGACCTCGACACGATCGGCGCAACAATCCTATACTTACGAGCTTCGCTCATCTGGCAAGGCTTGAACTTCCCTCATCAGTTCGTCATCGGCACTCGGTGGAAAAAAGACGGCTGGGATGGTATCGAGTCAGAAGGCCTTTGTTATCGGGCTAAAGGACTGAGCGGAGGAAAATGCGCAGTATTAGGAGGTGAATGGTCTATTCAACATACGGATTTCTGATACACGGCCCGGCTTTCCCACATTGTCTATGAGACAAGTGAAAACCTGTCCTGAGAGTCATGGTAGGCACTGCACATATGAGCACATTGTCACATACATACCCCACTAAAAGCGATCCCGGATGCGCCAGATGACGGGGGGGTTCTGGCTCTGAATGGTGGGTGCTGCGACTATTTGTATTATGGAGACTTACGAACAGATGATGCAGAGAAGGACATAGTACTTAGGTAAGAATATGAGGGCCGACTGGGCTCGATCCATGATCTGATTCAGATATCCCTAAGTACCTACGGTACCCATAGACGTGCATTGCATACGGTAAAACATGCATAGAGCGGCATCATAATTCTGTCTAAAGGGGATACGCCATCTCTAGATCTGGCTAATGTGTCTTGGCATATTGCGCGAACTTTTTGTCCTTCGATACCACTCCAAGTCTGCTCAACTGTCTGAAAAGGTGGGTAGGGTGCCTAAGTTTTGGCGCAGGCACACGACGTCTTCATTTATCTCAAACTTCACAGCAGGAGGCTGCTCAGAATACTACACTATCTGAAGAGGCGTCTTTGACGAAATCCTCCTCTTCCTCCGTTCAACCATGACTTCGTAGAGTCCCTCATTATCACAACCTACGAAAACAACCCAACGGGGATCGCATTCAAGATGGCGACGACAAGTTCGATGTTCATGTATAGCTTGACTATACAACCTCCTTCAGCCATTACTCAAGCTGTTCTAGGTCAATTTGCTGGTACAAAAGAGCAACAAATCATCACGGCTTCTGGTTCGAAGCTCACCATCCACAGACCCGACCCTACTCAAGGGAAAATCTCCCCAATCTTCACCCAAGACTGTTTTGGCATTATCAGGACCTTAGCAGCATTTCGACTCGCTGGTAGTAGCAAAGGTCAGCCAATCACCATTCAAATCTTTGCTTGAATACACTAACACCGTACTTAGATTATCTCATCGTGGGTTCCGATTCTGGGCGCATTACGATCCTAGAGTACCTCCGAGACCAGAACCGCTTCAACCGCGTCCACCTAGAGACCTTTGGAAAATCTGGTATCCGCAGAGTTATCCCTGGCCAGTATCTAGCGGTAGATCCCAAGGGCAGAGCATGTCTTATTGCCTCGGTCGAGAAGAACAAACTCGTCTACGTCCTCAATCGAAATGCGCAGGCCGAGTTAACAATTTCGTCTCCATTGGAAGCACATAAGCCTTCGACGCTGGTGTTTGACTGTATAGCGCTCGATGTCGGTTACGAGAATCCCATATTTGCTGCCCTCGAGGTAGACTACAGCGAGGTCGACCAAGATCCTAGCGGACAGGCGATGGAAGAGGTGGAAAAACTTTTGGTATTCTACGAATTGGATCTTGGTCTAAACCACGTGGTTCGAAAATGGGCAGAACCAGTTGCAAGAGGCGCCACAAAACTGTTTCAGGTACCTGGAGGATCTGACGGCCCGAGTGGAGTGTTGGTTTGCTCAGAAGACAACATAACATATCGTCACTCCAACCAGGACGCATTTCGTGTCCCAATTCCGCGAAGGAGAGGCATCCTTGAGAACCCCGACCGCAAACGAAACATCGTCGCTGGTGTCATGCACAAGATGAAAGGCCAATTCTTCCTGCTACTTCAAACCGAGGATGGTGACCTTTTCAAGGTTACTATCCAGATGGTCGAGGATGACAATGATCAGCCTACTGGAGAGGTCAAGTCCTTGAAGATCAAATACTTCGACACAGTCCCAACTGCCAATAGTCTCCACATTTTGAAGAGCGGATTTCTCTTCGTGACAGCTGAAAGCGGAAACAACCATTTTTATCAATTTGAAAAGCTTGGCGATGATGATGAAGAGACCGAATTCTCTAGCGACGACTATCCCGCAGATCCAACCGATGACTACCAGCCAGCCTTTTTCCACCCTCGACCCTTGTCCAACCTAAATCTGGTACAAAGTATCGACTCCGCAAATCCTTTGATGGACAGCAAAGTTGCCAATCTTCTAGATGAAGATGCACCTCAGATCTACTCAATATGTGGCGCAGGAGCTAGGAGCAGTTTCAAAACTCTCAAGCATGGTCTGTCAGTTAGCGAGATCGTCGAATCTGAGCTTCCGGATAGACCTGAAGCTGTTTGGACCACCAAGTTAACTAGAGATGATGAATATGATGCTTACATTGTATTATCATTTCGCACAGGAACACTTGTCCTCAGTATTGGTGAGACAGTAGAGGAAGTCACCGACACTGGTTTCCTTTCGACGGCCCCGACTCTTGCAGTCCAACTCTTAGGAGAGGATGGCTTGGTTCAAATCCATCCCAGGGGTATTCGACACATCAGAGCTGACAAGAGAGTGAACGAGTGGCCAGCCCCTCAGCATCGGTCAATTGTGGCTGCAACGACCAACGAGCGACAAATCGCTGTGGCACTCAGTTCTGGTGAAATCGTCTACTTCGAGCTGGATACAGATGGTTCACTTGCCGAGTACGAAGAAAGAACAGAAATGAATGGCACTGTCACTTGCTTGAGTCTAGGTGACGTTCCTGAAGGAAGAGTCAGAAGCTCTTTTCTCGCTGTGGGTTGTGATGATTCTACTGTCAGGATCCTCAGCCTTGACCCGAACTCAACATTAGAAAGCAAGTCAGTGCAGGCGCTCACGTCTGCACCGTCTTCACTTTCAATCATGGCCATGTCAGACTCGACCTCTGGAGGAAGCACGCTCTATCTACATATTGGGCTTTACTCTGGTGTCTACCTCCGGACAGTCCTGGACGAGATTACTGGGGAACTTTCTGACACTAGGTCACGGTTCCTGGGCATAAAGCCTGCAAAACTCTTCCGAGTCTCAGTCAGCGGACAAGCCGCTGTTATGGCAATTAGCTCCCGATCATGGCTAGGGTATACCGACACCCAAACGAACGGCTTCATGCTAACACCTCTTGACTATGTCGGTCTCCAATACGTATGGAATTTCACGAGCGAGCAGTGCTTGGAAGGAATGGTCGGAATTCAGGGCCAAAACCTGAGGTGAGTCACTTTTTCTTTTGCTGATTTTCTCATGCACATGATGAGCCCACAAACGTACTCTTTCTGAAAATCTGCGATTGATGCGGAGAGAGATAAAATTATTCCAATTGTTCCTTCTGAAAACATTACCCAATTTGCAACTACCCTACTCTTGTTTACCCTTTTCATCGCTAACTTGAGAGATAGAATATTCACGATCGAAGACCTATCACGAAATCTTTTACAGCACAATATACCCCTCCCCTATACACCCAAAAAGTTCGTCAAGCATCCTGATCAGCCACTATTTTACGTCATTGAAGCCGATAACAATGTTCTGGCACCTGCCACTAGAGCGAAATTGCTAGCGGACTCGACCGCAGTGAACGGTGATGCTGTAATTTTGCCACCAGAGGATTTTGGACATCCCCGCGGAAGAGGGCACTGGGCGTCATGCATTCAGATCATAGATCCGGTCAACGCGAAAGCAGTCGTGTTTACTCTTGAGCTGGAAGACAATGAATGTGCGACAAGCATTGCCATTGCTCCATTTTCAGGTCAAGATGATGAAGCATTTTTGATTGTGGGCACGGCGAAAGACTTGGTTGTAAGCCCTCGATCTTATTCGGGAGGATTCTTGCATGTGTATCGCTTTCATGAAGAGGGCAAAGAACTCGAATTCATCCACAAAACCGCCATGGAGCACCCTCCCACTGCTCTACTGGCATTCCAAGGTCGACTACTGGCAGGAATCGGGTCTGATTTGAGAATCTATGATCTCGGCATGAAACAAATGCTCCGAAAATGCCAGGCGCAAGCAAGTCCAAACCTTATTGTCAATCTTCAAACTCAAGGAAGTCGAATCATCGTTGGTGACATCCAGGACGGCATTACATATGTCGTGTACAAATTTCAAGAGAACAAATTGATACCGTTCGCCGACGATGTTATTGCCCGTTGGACGACCTGTGCTGGTATGGTTGATTATGAAACTACGGCTGGCGGAGATAAATTTGGCAATCTCTGGCTTCTCAGATGTCCTGCGAAAGCATCCGAAGAAGCAGACGAGGACGGATCTGGAGCTCATTTGACCCACGAACGACAATATCTCAGCGGTGCGCCAAACCGACTCAGCTTGATGACACACTATTTCCCCGGCGACATTCCGACTAGCATTCAGAAAACCAACCTTGTACCCGGTGGTCGTGATGTTGTTTTCTGGACCGGTTTGCAAGGCACACTGGGAATGCTCGTGCCGTTTGTGAGCCGAGAAGATGTCGACTTCTTCCAGTCTCTCGAGATGCAACTCGCCTCTAACAACGGCAACCCACCTCTCCTTGGAAGAGATCACCTCATATACCGATCCTACTACGCACCATCAAAAGGCACCATCGACGGTGACCTCTGCGAAACATTCTTCTTGTTACCCAACGACAAGAAATTGCAGATCGCCGGCGAGCTCGACCGATCCGTGCGAGAAATTGAGCGCAAACTTTCCGATATGCGAACACGTGTGGCGTACTAATTAACGAGATTTTCAGGTAAGGAAATGTCAGGCAAATCAATCACCTGATTGTGTTTTCACGTCGGCGGATAGATAGAACTGTCCCAAAAAGATACCCCAGCCCATATTTATAAGGCTGGCTAGCTGAGATGAAGCTACTTTGCATAGCCTCTGGGCCAATATACAGCTTTACGCACAAGACCAAAAATATCATACTGTCCCACAAACAGTCCAGTCCAGTCCTATCACAAGCAGTCTCCACTCTCGTTCCCAACCCACCTAGATGCTCTGTTCGCTTTCCATGAATGTCTCTTACCTCGCTCGGTCAATACGTCTCTCCGTGGATTGATCTTGAGCTGGATGCTTCACTATGCAATTTCCGCATACGTTTACGCACGAGACGAGAATGAACAAGAGGCTTCAAAAACTTCTTTCCGGCCGATCTTTGAGTACGAGTTTCACCCAAGTTTTCTTTCTTGAGACTACCTTATATGGTGATTCATTGTAATATATGCGGCAGGACATGACATTCACTACCTCCAATGATCATACTGGCTTGGTTCACTGCGGTTACATAATTACACATATTTTCCCCTCGGGACTATGACGATTATCATTCTGACCCCTCGACTTGACTACCGTACTTTTTCTCCAGTGAGTTCGTCTCGCCAGCGACAGTTTGCGCGAAATCATGCTCGCTTCAATCAAGGCGGTGGATTAAGATCCAGCCCCTCGACGGTCAGTCTAAACGCGTCGGGCCTCGAGTAATGGCCCACGGCGTCGAAATCGAGGTGTCCGCGCTCGCAGTCGTCAAAGTCGACCTCGGCGTAGATCAACTCGTGTTCTTTCTCCCATATCGGCCCCTCAAGCGTCTTGCCCAGCGGACTGATGATGCAGGAACCGCCAGCTGAAACAAACTGTTCGCCGCCGTCTTCTGTCGTCGTGCCATGGCTCGCCAGTTTCGAGGTAGTAGCCGGTGCGGACGCTGTGCCGTCGACGACGGCTTGCTCTGATGCAGGCTCCTCGTTGATTGTGCCGTCTTTGCTGCGCCATGCGATTTCGTGGTTTTCCTCGGTTCTCATTGACATGGAGCGGCGCCGCCCGCCTGTTGATACGGCTTTCGGGGTGCCGTTTGGGAGGCCGGGGTTCTGAACGTGACCGTTCGTTCCCTGGGCGTTGCTTGTTGTCTCCTGTGTCTTCACACCGGTGATCCACTCCGGGAGGCTCTTCCGCTTGATAGCCTGATTTGCGCTGAGCACGAAGCACCTCCCCTCACTTGCCACTGTCTTCATCAGACTTTCCCACGTGTCACGAGCGTCTGCAGTCGGCGCGAGCCATAAGTTGACGCCCTGGCTATAGATGGCGTATCGCAGAAGCGGCATGTAGTTCTCCCAACAGATGGCGCAGCCCATGACGACCCTTACGCCCTTGATATTCGCGACAACTGCCTTGAGAGTCGACGCTTGACCTTGTGCCCACACGAGGCGTTCGGATCCAGTTGGCATCACTTTCCTTCTCTTCCCGATCACGCCCCGGATCGGATCAACGTATAGAGCGGAGCAATACAGGCTCCCGCCAGCTTTCTCAACCGCACCCGTGACAATGAACACGCCGGTCTCGCGCGCAACGTCTTCGAGATACTCTCGTGTACCATCTCCTCTCCTTCCTGTCTCTTTATTTACCGGTAGTTTATTCTCGAGCCAGTCGTCACCAGCCCCGAGGGGTGTGTCCCCCAAATCGACCGCCGACTTGGTATACGCAAGGAATTGATCTCTGCCATGTTCGGTGCGAGCTCCGACCGCAGCTCCGAAGTTGCACGTTCGCGGATATCCGCCCAGGTAGGCTTCGGGGAAAAGCAGGATCGAGATGCCCTTCAGAGCTGCCTCCTGTGTTGTCGCACGTAGGGAAGATAGTGTCTCTTCGCGGGTGCCCAGGGTGTGGGATTGCGAGAGCCCGATCTTAAGTTTCGAAGGCATCTTTGGAATTGGGTCAAAGGTTGAAGGCGCCTTGTGTTATAGTTGCTGGTTTGCTGAACGATGCTGAGCAAGAGACAGCCAGATAGCAGTATTTGTAGGCACTCTTGCTCGCTTCCTTTGACCTTGCCAAAAGGCGTGTATCTACTTGACGAGAAACCCGGGAGCAGGAAGGAAGGCCGAGGATTCGTGACTCAAAGAAGAGAAAAGCTCCTTGATTACTACATGTGTGTGTTTGAGGTCTTTTGGTGGGGGGTTTGTTGGAGCTGAACGTCGCAACGGACCTGCCTCGGTGCGGGGAAGGTGAGCGAGGCAGGGAGGGAACTTTCCGCCCTCCAGCAGAACAGAAGTGGCGATTTTATATTGAACAGGCTCACTCCGAGACTTGTTGACTCATTCATTTTCAAGAAGCTCCTTCAACTTATCCCAAGAAGCCCGACCTCTTTTCGCCCAATGCTCGGGGTCTGCACTCTCCAGCTCCATGGTACGGTGAAAGATCTCCATGCTCACCCATCCAGTCCACCCGCTGTCAATGAGCCATGCCCGTGAGATGTCTTCGATGGGCAGGTACGCCCCCTTCTCCGTCTCCAGCGGGAACAGCCTTCCATAGGTACACCAAGAATGAGGGCCGTCTTTCTTTTCGTTGTAAGCAGGATGACCTGGTAAAATCGGTGATGAGAGTTTCTCGGCATCACTCAGTTGAATGTAGATGATTTTCTCCTTGGGACACTCGCTATGAAATCGTTGAACTGAAGCCCACAAAGCAGCATCGCCCCCAGCTCGGAGGCCGGAGGGACTTCGTGGATCCGCCCATAGCCGGGAGAGAACGTGATAAGTATCAAGACATAGTCCAAAATTGGACCTATCCACTAGCTGCACGATCCGGAGTGATTCTTCCCAGTCTGCAACATGTGTACCCCAGGCTAGAGCCTCGTAGGCAAATGATATAGGAGGCTGTTCTTGTAGACCTAGGTCTGCCAGGGCTCGGAGCTCGTCGACAATGGTGGCTTCATCACCAACAGCATTTTCACTGTCATTGCTGGGGATCTGTATGATTTTGGTCTTGAGTTCTTTCGCCATGTCCAACCATTCCTTCGCCGCCTTCAGCCTGTCGACTATATCCGTCGGTTCACCTTCAAAATTGTCAAATGAACCGAGACACACAATCTCAATCCCTTGCGTCTCACATAATTGTCGAATACCACGAGCTGCTTCGGTACGAGATATTTCATGGGCATTGGCGTAGGCATCCAAATCTGTGATGAACATTTCCACGCCTTGAAACCCTGCCGCTTTGACGGCGGCAATCTTGCGCTCAAGGGTGTGTGATGAGTCCCACCCTAACGAAATGGTAGAGATTGCAATTTTATCGTTCTCCATGTCTGCAATTTTGGAAGAATCTTTCGGCAGAAATCCAGCCTGCTTGGACGGGCAAGAATTAGGGAATTGTCAAACCGACAACACCTTTGCCTGTTCGTAGATCAATCTGCTAATGATTCCCGAATAACCCAAAGTGGCGTCGAGAGGATTGCTGGTGTGAGAAATGATGGAACAGCGGCAATAAAAGAACTTACAGTGTGCCAGTGTTCGTGATCAACCGGATGATACGTATAAACACAAATCCAGCGAACACCAGCTCCAAGATCTGTACGGATAGAGACGGTACACTGTAGACCTCTTGGGCCTTTATCAGTTGCGAAGGGTGAACAACTCTACCTGTAGCAGCCCTTGCTGACATGGAGGTAACTTGACAAGCATCCATGAAGACGGCAGGCTTGGCAGACAGTTATTGCTGATGTGTCATTAAATATCTGCTTCGCCGCTTTCTCTCTCAACAACCAAACGCGATATAGCAATTCATCACCTAGACATGACGCTGAGTCTGAAAATGTCTTGAGAAAAGTTTCCCAGGAGCCCAAAAGCTCCTCATCTGTTCTTTCAACTCGATGGCGTGGTCTCAGCTCGAGAAGTATCGGGGAGCAGAGTCGGATTCGGCACAAAATATTGGATGCCGGCCCCAAGAGATCGCTCCTCGCTGGGAGGATCTAATGGGGTTTTCTCGTTGCATTGAACGAGCTCCTCGTCATCTCATCACTTTTCTGCGTCTCGCAAGTTCGAACATTCATCTCAGGAGCCATTCTGCTGGGCGCAATTCGGTATTGGCACCACAACCTCGTTGCCACTCTACAAGTCAGAAGTCTTGGTGCTATCCACATTACAAAACAACAGGTTGCGACCATAGCTTCGTTACCTCAAAGCTGGGGCTCTCTAACTTCCAGAAGCGGCCTGAGTCATGAGAGCCAGGGACCGCCATGACTCAAATGAGGCAGCCGAAGCAGATACGAATATCTCGTATACCACTGCCGCTGTCGATCAGATTATGGGGTAGTGATAGCACACCACACGTCTGTGGATACTACACCCTACCCCACGTAGCCAGATTCAAACCCCACGAAAGTGCAAAGTTGAACTACAGGGAGCCAAAATCGGGTGAAATATCGATACTAAATCCACTATCCAAATTCGGATCGCAGAAATGTGAGGCCATTAATCTCATCAAATCCTGTTAATGGGCTTGCCTAGACCTTATTCTTATCTTTGAAGCAGCTCCTGCGCATACATGGGCACTCGGAAATTGATATGGACCCTGGCATCTCTTTACGGCATCAGAATTTTCGCCGAACGGTGCAAAGGACGCGTCCAAGTATGCGCCGACTACTTATCCACCTGACATCGTACTACTCTCCGGCAACTATTGATGAGCTGAATGTTGGCATGATATTCCAGTACCAAGCCATGCCTAGAGATGGTCTTCCACCAAGTCCCTCATGGTTCCCTTTTGTTTTTGCTTACAGACCAATGGAGACCTCTAGTATCTCACGCTGAACACAACAGTGATTCATTCTCAGCCTTCTCAGAATATGCTGCATTTATCAACCAAGAGCATGAATTAAGACTGCATTCAACGCTCACAGCTGACAGACTTGAGCTACTTGTCGGTCCGTACGCCTACTGGGTCACAGGTACCTATGCTCGCAACACGGTAAACTTTCACCTTATGAACGACAGTATTGATTGTGCGGCGTCAGAACACGATTTCAGCTCGTTAGACATGCCTCTCGTCGTCTGTGGTAGGGTCAGCATCTCCAGTATGATCTGGAACTTTGCCAAAGTGCCACAATATGAACTCGCATCCGAGGTCCCCATGCAGATAGCACAAGTTCCACCTCTCGAGTGGAGAACAGTCAAGGCATAGTAAGGGCCAAACACACGTTGGCAACCTGCAGTCGTCTATGGTGGTCATAATTTACCATTTTGCTAGTGACTGTGATGTGTGTTCCGCTATTCGAGTATAACAGCACAGCTACACCTTTTTTGAGTGACACACTTCCTGGCAAAGCGAAGTCGAAGATGGCAAATTGTTGATTGCCACGAAAGCTAAATGGGCAACTGCAACTGTTACTGCTAAGGGACCTTTCACAACATTGCATGCCCCACGGCTTGAAGAAATGCGGCCTTAAGTATGAGCAGCAGTCATTGTCTTGTTTTGGCTAAAGTCCCAAGTCATCTAAGGCATGCTGAAGTGCATGTACTTGGAACCCTTTGATGGACTTGAACTTACGAGAAAGATCCTCAGAGGCCACATCGGACACAGTACCAGTACTTGCCCCAGATCTCTACCCCAGAATTGTCTGAGCTCGGATCGAGACCATCTTACTCCACAGAACCTGAAAATTGTCCGGATATTGGGCATGGTCGACAGCACACTTACATGCGCATGCAACCCCATGGCAGCGATCCATATACAAGGAATGGAGTTTTTGGAGTCGAGGTTAAGTTTGCTGGTCCAATGGTAAGTCCATGTGAAGGTACGAAGTAAGCCCTTTTCGGCAAATGAATAGCACCAAAGTCTAGATCACTCCAATTTCTGTGTATCTCCAAAATTGATATTCCCAAGTAAGCAGGCCAACAAAGGAGTACGGATAGAATGCTTGCGAAGTGAAATTCAATCCTGGTCAACTGACCCTCTCCCCGCAGATGCTCTCATTCGGACTCAAACAAATGGCCGAATCACCCCAGATTCAGAAGCGCCGATGTGGAGATCATGCAATCGTTCCAAGGCATGGGCTATGAAAGAGGCTAAATTCACCAACAATTAAAGATACCCAGACGGTCCAGAGATATCCACTCCAATAAAGAAGCCTAATCAAGCTGCCGTTCGACTCGTATGCCATTGTGAGTTAGCCTGTCGGCTCCCCCAATTACTGTCAGCCTCTGGGCTCGCACATCGTTCGAGTACTGCAGATCCGGAGTTCAAAAAACACGAACGAATAGGCAAACATTGTTCAAGAGAGTGAAGGTAACAAACACCCGATTTCCACGAATACTCAAGTTTGTACATGGATATCCAAGTCTCGAGGATTAACGATTATGGCATGAGTCTTCATCTTTGGGCTTATCGGCGGGGAATCTCACGGCGCAATTAGGTGTTTGATCCTTGAGATAGCCTTGGAACTTCGAGTCAGAGAGTCTGACATACCAAATGTCTGGAAACAACTTTCCCGCAATAAATTCAGCAGATGGCAAGCCCCAAAAAGCGATTCACGTACGGAGTAATGGTGAGTTGGCGATTTTCGGGCCAGGAGAAAATATGAGTACTCTTGCAACGGACGAGGCTACATTGGGCCTCAAAACAAGCAACGCACGCTAGAAGCGCCAAAAGGTACCGCCAAGTGAGAAACATTGTGATCACCATGGCTTCTAGGTGGGTCATTGACGGGTTTTGGTATAGCTTCCTCCGTATTTACCCCGGACGCACCTGCAGGATAGATGCTTCCGGGCCCAGCATGTCTCTGCTGAAGCCTATCAGAACCCCTAAAATCAACATCCAACCTCCACGTGGGGCTGAACTTCCTCTAAAAACCGCGGGCCTCCGGCAGTTGGCCCTAATCACCTTAAACCATTCACGACCATTCTAACTTCAAACGACATAGCGATCATATCTCCAAATCCTTTGATATAATTGATGAAGGATCTCCTTGACATGGATCGCTCTCTGTCCACAAGCATTATTAACACTGGGTTCCAGATTCTATTGAATTCTGGCGACCATTGGAATCCGCCTTAATTGATTCGATCAACTTGATTCACTTGTTGGACGAAGAAGGATGACAGACTCCCGTCCTCAAGGGCTCAAAGCCCACTGGAAATGCATTGCGGCGTGCACATTGGTCAGCATGTGTCCTTTTCAGTATGGGGTAGACTTTGGGATTATTGGTGGTCTACAGGCAATGCCAGGATTCTTAGCAGTACGACACTCATCGAATGTTGAAGAACGTGGTGATCTAACTTAAGCAGGTATTTGGTCACGCCGACCCGAAGTCGCCGATCGGGTACAACATCTCCCACGTTCGCCAGCAGTTGATCTCATCGCTCATGATTCTGGGTGCCTTTGCAAGCTCAGCCTGTGGAGGGCCGATTGCAAAATTCATGGGCCGGAAGGCATCCATTTGGCTTGCGAGCGTGTGCTGTGTCGTTTCCAATGTCATCATGATGGCCACCACTGGCATCGGAGCACTATACTTCGCTCGCTTACTGAACGGTATCGCAAATGGACTTTTCTTGACCTTCGCTCAGCTATATCTCAATGAATGTGCTCCGGCAAGGTATCGTGGCCTTGTCATCGGCCTATTCCAGTCTTGGACATCAATTGGCACTTTGGTCGGAACGGTCATCGACAACTTCACTGTGAAGATTGGAGGTCGAAACTCTTATATCGTGTCTCTCGGAATCATCTACATCGTACCAGTTCTCATGTCGATTGGCCTATTCTTCATACCCGAGTCACCACGTTGGTATTTGGCACGAAACGAGACCGAGAAGGCTCGGAAAGCCCTCCACTGGCTCCGTCCATATGCTGATCTCGTCGAGAAGGAAATCGACGATATTGCTGCTGCCATTGAAGCAGAGAGAGCCCTCGCGAAGAGTGCTGATATGATGGACATGTTCCGAAGCCCTGTCGATCGCAGACGTACACTTCTGGCTGTGGGTGCCATCAGTTTACAAGCCGCTTCCGGCGCCATGTACATGATCTCCTATGGCACTTACTTCTTCGAGATGGCTCACGTCGGCTCCGCTTTTGAAAATTCTTGCATTCTTGTCGCGGTCGGTGTGGTGGCCATCTTGATCAATAGCGCTATCATCACCCGCTGGGGACGAAGGAGAGTCTTCCTAACCGTCGGCATGACAATTTGCGGTATCACACAGCTCATCGTGGCTTGTGTCTATCAACAAAAAGGTCCAAGCACCTCTACAGGCAAGGTAAGCCCAGAACGCGAAACAACGATTATCTCGCCAAGCGTAAGCTAACATTGAAACCAGGTCATCGTGGGAGTCTCAGTGGTCTACATCATCGGCTACAACGGCATGGTTGCAACCTACGCCTGGCTCTGCGGCGCCGAATTCCCATCTCAGAGACTGCGAAGCTACACCTTTGGTCTTGCTACATCTATCGGCTTCCTCGGTGCCTGGCTCGCAACATTCACGGCCCCTTATTTCATCAACCCGGACTCGCTAAACTGGGGTCCAAAATACGGCTACATCTGGTTCCCATCCTGCCTGATCGGCGCCGTTTGGACATTCTTCTTCCTACCCGAGGTGCAGAACCGCACATTCGAGGAGATCGATGAAATGGTATGTAGGCCCCTTTCTCGCCCTGCATTGACATGGTTGAAATGAAGATTGCGTCGAATACTGACCTTTTGTACAATAGTTCGAAGCACGCCTCCCAGCCCGCAAATTCCGCCAGTATCGATGCATCGGCTCCGTGGCGGCTGTGGCTGCAGCGGCCGAGGAGGACAAGGTCGCCCTCGAGAAGGAAATTCAGCTGGGCAGGGCTAGCCACGAGGAGACTTTACGCAGGAATGAGAAGGGTGCGGCCGAGACTGCTGTGGCACATATATGATGAGCAAATGGGCTGAGCTGGTTTGGGTGACGAGAATTTGACTCCACGATGCATGATCTCGGTGGTACACATCAGCAATATACGACAAAGCTGGCCCCCCGTCTTAGTCTCACATGATATCACAGTCAGAGGCAAACCAAGTGCTATGTTTCATTCACATTGGATAAGCTGATTAAGCGTATTCGTCTCCTACCTACCCTAATCGTTTAACCCGTGTTGATGACTTACTAAGCATGGCCTATCTGTATTTTCGTACTCTTACAGGATATCTAACTTTTCCTGCCATCCATCCAACTGGCCATCTTCTCCCATCTGACTCTCCCTCATCAAAGATTCATGCATACCGCAATACGTCTGGCACAGTAACCAAATAATCTTCTTCCCTTCGTAGCACCAGAATAAATCGTCACGGCAGCCGTGTCGTATTTCAGACCTGCCAACAGTTTCCCGACCTGAAGCATTTCAACAACAGCAATAGTCAGAAATCCCTTTGCCCCGCCGAGTTCCAGAAGATGTCCCTCCTTAGGAGATTCGGCTCTATGCCTTCTTCTTCTCAGAAACGGCAGTTGCTCCGGCGAAGACAGCTTCGTCACGGTCCCAGATAAGGGTCAAAGCCGTGGCATACGGCCCGAGCAAAGCGACCTTGCCGATGACTTCGACAGCAGCACCAATCCCAAGGGAACTCGACTCATTCTTGTTTGCATTGACCACAGGTTTGGCGTACCGACTGGCCAAAGCCCAAAGAATGTATGCGACTGAGGTGATGGCGTAGTCGTATTGCAGGAACCACTGAGATCCCTGCGCAACACTGGCGGCTTTGACATCGGAGAAGGGATTCGGCGGGATGAAAGCGCTGATGGGGTTGAGCTCGCTTTGTGCAAAGGCCGTGAACATGCCGGGACAGAAGACGCCGGCGGAGAGTGAGAGCGTGACGGTCGCGAGGTGAGCAGGCACGCTGAGGGCCAACGCGAACTTGTAGACGTGCCGAAGGATGGAAAGCTGATTGGCGAGTGCGTCTGCCTCGCTTGCGTATTCGATCTTGGGCCATAGAGCGTTGCTCCAGATGTACGTGTACACGGTCACCCAGAGCGGGAACGCTTGCCAGACCAGGATCGCGATGATCTTGGATGAGACGGAGAGGATGCTGGGTGCCGGCAGTGACATGAGAATTGTGGGCATGATGAAGCCGATGGTCGTTCCGAAAGGGATGCCGGTAATGACTCCCTCCGGAATGCTCAGGGCAGAGGGTATAAGTGGTGTTGATGAAGTGATCAGTGGTGATGTAAAGAGATATAGTGTTAGATAGATTGGTCCCATCACAGCAAAACCTATGCATTGAGTGAGGAGGCCCCAGATAGTTGTGCTAGAATTGATGCTGGTTAGGATGATGGGATCCATGGGGGAAAACATTCAGGTTCTAAAATGCTGTACCGAGCTGGCTCGAGGAAAGAACAAAATACTTACAAAGAAATGAGGCGTCCACTATTGCCCTTCCTCTGCCCTTCAAGCACCATGACGATCCAGATCGCGACCGCCTGACCCGCGAATACGAACCCAATCAAGCTCGTACCTGGGTTCTCGCCATCAACGACAGGCCAGAAGAAGACCAGCAGTGTCTTGAGCAATGAATCCGGGGGATCATAGCCGGCGAAGCTGGTGGGGAATGAGGTCGTAGTCCACGTGCTGTGGGTGGGCAAGAGATGCTTATCTCGGTGTTGCACGATTTGTGGGAACAACGTGTTCGACTCGCCGAAAACGTGGAGAGACACGACCCCCAGGCCGATGAGACCCACGATCGCCAGACGAGAGATATTCAGGAGAGACATGCTGGCTACGGTGTTGATACTCGAGATGTTATAGATGGGATGATGAAGGAGATGTTGTAAGAATTTGAAGCTGTAGAGATGGACTGAAGAATTCCACAATCAAGCTGAAGCGATGTGGTTGAGCTCAATACCAGTGCTGATAGAGTGAGATCAGGTATTGGTGTTCAAAGTTCTATCACCCCATTAAAACGAAAATCGAGACGGTCGAGTCGTCTGTTGAAATGCGGGACGGGCTATGGAAGCTCCCGACAGCCGAGGGTTGTGGGTAGGCCTGATGCACAACACCAAGGAAAGGCCAGCTAAGGAAACAGCACCAAGCAAGGTAAGCAAAATGTGCTTCATGATTGGCCGAATTGACACCGATGCAGGAGCTGATGAGGTTACGAAGATTGCTTTGCGCACGCAATGAAATGGGACGGTAGTAATGTCTGAAGGTCGACCAAACCATGTGTAGTGGGATGCTAGAATACAATACGAGGTTCGAATATTTGGCCATACCTGTAAGGGACGTAGTTCAGTATCCTCTACATCCGGAATGCATCCTTGTATTCAATCTTCTATTCTTCTTGCGCCTGGGGTATCATAATCTATCTAACCATAAACCAGACCCTTACGACTCCACGAAGTAGTCGCCTGAAAAGACTAGCTTCCATCACTCAGTTCATTTCAACCACACTTGCTCAAAAACCCCACCCAAAGGCCTTTTCTCGCACATCTCCTCCATACACTTCTCGCTGACCGGTGTGATCAGAGGGCTCCAGCGTCCGAACCTCGTTTTGGCCCAATCTAAGGCGAAATGGTGCGTGTGTAAAAACTCGGGAAGCAGGCGATGCTGTGGTGGTGGCCCTCCACCAGTCGCAGGTATGCTTGGCGCCATTTTCCAGCGGCTCTCGTATAAAGTAGGACCCATTGCAAAATGCTCCAGAGCAGGACGATTGCCTCCTAAAAGTGCTGGGAATACCCACTCGACGAACTTAGTCGCATATTCTTTGATGGTATAGTCACCCAGTTGACTGAACACCTGGCTCTCGGGAAAGTTGCGGATATGAATGGTCCTCAAGTGCTGGAGAGTGGGAAGGAGCGTTTTCCGGAGCCGGATCATCTCATTGTCCCATGGGAAACCTATTCCCAGTTCGACAATGTTTGGACACAAGCGGGCGATGTCGTTTATTGACTCTTCCCAGAGATCTTGACTGTAACCTCCCACACCGAAAGGACGCGAGGTATCGTGACTTAGATGTTCCCGTGGCTGAATCCGGGACTCCAGCACTAAATTACGGATCGTCGGCCCATGTTCAGCAATGAGCGTCGATGGGCGTTCAAGGAAGGTTGCATTTTCGAATAGTAAAGATAGGGTTTCGAGACCGATAAATGAGGCTAGAAATCGGACCATCGAGTCCTTGAGTGCAGTGGTAGGCATCTCGTGGCGGAATGAGAAGTGTTTCAACGATGGATTCACCGATGGAGACCGTGGTGCATCTACAGCTGATGATGCCCAATGAAACGTCTCTGCGAGTGACTCGAGTAGCTCAGCGCTCCCAGTGCATGATTCTAGAGTAAGCCTTTCAATCTTGCAGAAGAACAAAGCTTGTGGTATCGAGCTTGGTCGAAGCGTATCCAAAGATAAGCCGTGCAGGCTCAATTCTCGCAATCGAGGAAAATTGACCAACGAGTAAGCGGATGCGTAGAAGCTCTCGTCCGGCTGAGGCAGATGATTGAGGAATCCAAGTCTATTGCAATGGTACCCATCAATCATATATCGCTCTTGTCCCAATCTGAGTGATTCGAGTGTAGCCTTATTCTTAGAAAGAATCTTGACAATGGCTTCTCCATCATTCACGGTGTGAGATTGTAGGGTTTTTAAACCCGTAGGATAGGCATCGTTCTGTGGTACCGAGTCTAACTCATAGAAGGACAAATGCTGCAGCGTGGAGTTGTGTTTCCGAATCAATGTTTCGAAATTCTGTGTCATCATTGGTATTGGATGGAGATAACTACGTCCGTCAGCCACTGTATCATTAATGATAGTAGTCACAGGACTCACGCAAAGTTGGTCAGTTGATTCGTCGGCACCTGATCCAAGATATCATGCACGAAGCCGTTGGTAGTGCCAGCATTTGACTTTCTCCTTCGTGTATATGAATTGCTTCTTTTCCGATCCACCACGCCATTCCTCAGCGTAAGGTTTCGCATCGACTCAATCACGGGCGCTCGTAGGGTAGGCGATCCAGCCGTTCTCGTAGGTCTGAAAGGTATTGCAACGTCCACCTTGTGATAAAGGCGGCGCATTGTCACATCCTCGAGGACGCGACATGTGCGAGAAAGGTTATAGAGGTCTGTAAGTCTGTCCAACTAGGTGGAGTTAGTTGTAGCACTGTGGACACATGAAACAATATACTGACATGATTTATGATATGCAGCGTCAGTTCGTGTGGGAGATCCAACAGCCAGCAAGGCTGCGAATCAACGGGTGCCACCATGGAGCGCCTGTTAGTATTATCACGTTCGATATAGCTCGCAGGTATCAAGCCTCAGACTTGGTTATGCTGGCGAAGGAGATAGAGGGTCAAATTTCACGGGTGGTCCAAAGTCTACATGTTAATATATCTTGCGGTCAAAAAGAGTCAGAGGGCTCGAAGGGGCAGTTTGAACGAATCCTGGTGGTACGTCAAGAGGACAAGGGATCCGCTGTGTGGAAGCAAGGGATACTATTATGTCAGATTAGCCGTCAAGCACGATTTCGTCAGCCGATTTGTACAAATAACATGAGGAATCCAACAGTCTGAGGACAAGCGAGATAAGCAAACATGCCTTCCTTCTGCGCTCGATCCTGTCGGGTTGCAACCACGATGATCGTAAGTTTAGACATCGGATCGTCGCCGGAAGTGAATGATGCTAGTTTGAGTCAATGGTGGGTGGTGAGCCCAAGGAAGTGTAGACGGGTTCGACACGAGACGACAGGGTGGGGGAGGAAATATTTGTTGGAATCGCACCTTGGAAGTTAGAAAACACGGCAACTTTTACGTGGGCCGCAGTATGACAGGGGTAGTCCTTTGGGACCATCACGAAATAAATCACACGGGGTGGGATCGGGTTGATCAGCAGGGACCGTTTGACTCAGCTGTGTTTTCGGTTCTGTCGGCCCTTCCTATCATTTGTTACCTCGACTGGTGCCATCTGTGCTCCTACAAGCGATTCTTCGCGGTTCCTGAGTGTAAATCCCGTTTGTCGGGCTTCGGGTAATTTGATACTATTAAATATACCATTCGCCGAGCGACCGCCGTTTTTGACCGCCTGTGTCCCTGCTTAGGTTGGAACGACTACAACTTTTGGTTGCCTTTCTGAGTATAATGGAGCAAAGCGCCTGACATGTCGAGGCGAATCAGAATGGATGGAATGCCTGCATCCTATGTAATCGCGCAGTTGATCGTAAGTTTGGATCGCCTCCACCGGTGAGAAACACTTCCATCCCTGACCAAAGTCAGGTACAAGGTCCTCAGTGGACATCTCTTTTTTGCGTTACTGTCTGGATACTCATTGGCGCGTACGGGTAGTTAAAAGCTGACAATCGCATTTGGAACAATCCCTGCCTGTTCGAGCTGCTTGTGGAAATCATAGTCGATTTCCTGATTAGTCGTGCTCCTTGCCGATAACCATTTCTGTCATCATCATTATTGTTGTCGCCGTCTCAACGTCCAAGGGTGCATGAGACCAGTGCCACTTATCCCCCGTTAGAAACACTGGCGATGTCCGCCTCGCATGTTCACCAGCCACAGAGGCTTCCAGCCACAGAGGTCTCTAGCCACACTCGTGACATGGGGCTTAAAGCTTCGGTGGCGGATGAACGTAGTTCCTCCTTGGCAGATGAATGTCAGCCAAATTCAACGTCGATTGGTAGAAGTCCTCTGAACCTAAACCATCTTCATCCATTTGACGACTCGAGAGCTTTGATCAGGATATCCACAGGACAAGAGTGGCATCTTGTATTCTCTTTTCCCTGGAGAAAGCCCGCATTCTATTCCTGTCCTCTCTCCAACACTCGGCATTCGGCAGAGTTCCTCTAGCTCTAAAGCGACAGCATACCGATTCGCCAATAAAATCAGAAGCAAGGCTATTGCATTGTCGTAGCAGCATTCGGGCATATATAGATATCAAACAGCATCGAAGGCTTGCTGGTGTTGGCTTCTAGCGTAGAAGATCATATCAAATACGGCGCTAATGGTAGACTAGGGGATTGAGCATCTGTTGAAGGTGAGTGCTGTACTGTTGTTCATGCTTGCATCGTGGATCCATCGGATTGTGAATATGTGCACGGGACAAGGCTTGGGAAGTCAGAATATATGAGCTAGTTGTGCGATGGATTGTTGCCATGCATTTCGTGGCCGTGGTCAGCACAAAGCACAAAGCACGAGAAGCAATGAATGTGTATTCACATGTCGAGGGTGTGGTCTTTACGCTAGCACTTCTTTCGACACTCTTCACATTTTGGTCGATACCAGAATTCTTCGCCTGCGGTATATCCTGCTTTTCCCACTATCGCGGTGTCTCGGCGTCTTCGCTCCTCTCCACAAAGGCTGAGCATTGTCACCATGGAGCCCGTAAACTCAGCAGACAGCCTAGAGGCTCGTCTTTCCGCGGCTGCTGTCAATTCAAAACTGAACTCCAAGCCTACCTCTGCCACCAATCTCAATCGCTTTTTGAAATTTGTGAAACCATCACGGACTGACGGTATGAAATCTAGATTTTTGTCTCAGGATCCCTGAGAATGATCACAAGAGACTGATCGGCACCTATTGCTCTCCTGTTTCCGCACTCCTTCAACGTGACACTGACAAAACCGAAGTCAACCAGGAATTGTCAATCGAAGATCCTGGAGAAACATCAACCAGTTGTCAACCTGACTCCGCCTTTTCGGCAAAGATGGATCGAAAGTTGCGCCAGAACAAGCCTCGCTTGTTACTGATGGGCCAGCGACGGTAAGCCAAACAGCGCTTCATTGACTCAAAAAGGCGGCTGACATAAGGCAGGAGCGGCAAGTCCTCCATCACCAGTGTGGTCTTCCACAAAATGCCTCCACAGGAGACCTTATTCCTCGAGTCTACGACTCGCATTCAGAAAGACTCTATGCACTCATTCATGGATTTCCAGGTCTGGGATTTCCCTGGTCAGCTCGATTACTTCGACCCGACATTCGACACCACCGAAATCTTCTCGGAGATCGGAGCCCTGGTCTGGGTGATTGATGCTCAAGACGACTACTCAGACTCCTTGAACCGCTTGACGACGACAATCCTCAATCTGCAGACCACCTTCCCTCACATCAATGTCGAGGTCTTTGTTCACAAAATCGATAGTCTCAATGAAGAGTTCAAAGCCGACATTTTCCAGGATATTGTCCAGCGAGTTGGCGACGAACTCAGTGATCAAGGCTACATCAATCCCAATGTCAGCTACCACCTTACCTCTATCTACGACCATTCTATCTTTGAGGCATTCAGCAAAGTCATTCAGAAGTTAATCCCTCAACTCGATACCCTGGAGAACCTTCTCGACATGATAGTGACCAGCTGCGGCATGTCCAAAGCATATCTCTTCGATATTCTCAGCAAGATCTATGTCGCCAGTGACACTAGACCTGTTGACATGGAGGTGTATGAAATGTGCTCTGACTATATCGACGTGATCGTTGATATCACAGATCTGTACACTTACGAGCGTAGTCAGAAGGTTATCCTGGGCGAACAAATGGAAGAGGCTGAATCGTCAATGACAATCCAAGACGGTACCATGATCTACCTGAAGGAGATGAACCGGTAAGCGGCGACCACCTGATTCAAAATTGCAGCACTGATTACTTCTAGCTATCTTTGCCTGGTGGCCTACATCAAAAATGCAGATGCCAAAGATAAGAAAGGATTGATTGATTACAATGTTCACGTCTTCCAAGATGCAATCAACAAGGTCTTTACCCGTGCTTGGGAAAAGGACAAGGCAACCGACGATGGTGACGGCGACTCTGATCAGAAGTCTGGCAAGTCTCCCGCACAAAGCCAACTGGAATCTCAGCTGGGCAAATTGTCAGTGACCTGAAAATCGAAAAGTCGAGCCGCAGGATGCAGTGGTTTGTCCTCTGTGCTCTGTTAAATGGTCTTGGCTCGGTGCGTGGAGATTGTACATGGAGAGTGGAATCATACGGGATCAAAACACGGAGACTGTCTGCAGACAGTGAAATCCCAGAGAGTTGACTGTACGATGAACGAACATGGAAGTGACGCCACAACAGCACGGCATCGTTTGACAGAACAGCACGGCACACTGCCCCCAAGAGAGGTCACCACCGAGCGCAAGAGTCAAAGCTGCTTCACAGCCAGACCAGCAGACTCAGTAGCAGCCATAATGAAAGTCCATGGGTCACTGACCCTTTGTCAACGGATCTAAATCCCTTTGCAAAAGTTGTAGAGTTCCTCACATCCAACTCACATTTGATTGGCGGATAACATGATCCGACTGCCAAGGACGACCCAAACCTCGTCAGACTTGCGATTCTCGTCACAATGGCAACAACCTCATGTCTCTACATGCAGCAGCGCTACACAGTTGAAGCAGAACATCCTATCAGTCTTCTCGGCGACGCTGACGGCCTCGAAATCCTCGGCGCCGACCTTCAGCAGACCCAGGAGATCGGTAGTGTCACTGCGCATTCACCCAGGCAGGCTCTTAATCCGCGCATTCAATTTTTACGTCTGTCCGCCATTGTGAGAGGAAGACAAGGAATTCAGGGAGCGACACCGCCATATCAGCCAGTGCCACCATCCTTGTATCGCTTTCTTGGTGGTGATCAGGAGGTTGATGAGACCCTGGAGAAACGCGAGCCATCGCCTTTGCGCAATCTTCTTTATTCCAACTGGCCACAACACCTAGGGCATGAGTCATCCCATCAAAACAATATCATCACCCAGCACCCCAATTTCTTTAAACTCGACTCAACCTTTTCTCAAAGGCCCAAAAGAATGCCTCAAACGGGTTTTCAGGCGCTGATCCTATGTGGTCCCGGCATTGGCCTTAGCACTTTCACAAGTGTGCCGGCTGAATTTCCCAAGGCTTTGGTCGAAATCGCCAACCGGCCTATGGTCTGGTACGTCTTAGATTGGTGTTATCGCATGGGTGTGACCGACATCACTCTCATCACACCGCCGACCTCAAAGGGACCAATCGCAGCTGCTCTGGCACAGAATCCATACCTGACTTCTCTGCCATCACCTTCACCTGATTTACTTGCACCACCAGACCTCGAGTTCACCACACCGACAGCAGAATTGCTCAGACTACCAGAGGTTCAGGCTGTAATACAATCCGACTTCTTATTGCTCCCCTGCGACCTGATCTGCAGTATCAGCGGAGATGTCTTTCTGGAAACCTACCTGACAAGGCTAGGCGGCCCTGGCGGCATTGGTAGCACGGGTGGTTCTGGCCTTGATACATCACGGAAAGAACTACTGGCCCTGGGAGGCGAAAGTCGTGGCCGGCGTGGTGGCCTTTCTATCTGGTACAACACTGTTGATCGAGAGGAAAGTGTCAAGGGAGAGGAGTGTGATTTTATGTGCACCATAAAACTTGACGCCGAGCATGATATTCCATTGTCGAAGTCATCCGCAGTGCAGCAAAAGCTGGGAATTCTCCGGAAACTCGTTTGGGCCATGCCCATGTCTGAACTCTGGGATCAAACTGAGCAAGACAAATCCTGGAAGATCAGACACTCACTACTCAGAAAACATGGCGCCATCAAGTGCATGACAAAGTATCGCGATTCTCACATCTATGTCTTCCCATACTGGGTGAAGGACTTTGCGAAATTGAACGAAGATTTTGAATCTGTCAGTGAAGACTTGGTTGGGACCTGGGCGAAAGCTGAGTGGCGCAAGCCGAGCTATCGAGCTCAGCACGGTGCCAGAAAGATCTTCAGTCAATCTGAAGCAGGCCGAGAAGATATTCCCACGCACGAACGACCAATCGAAGAGGAGATTGACCTACTGTCGTTGAGTAGCACACAGATCAGTATTCCGCAACCAACGCAAGCCGTTGCTCAACACCGCACTGCTCGCCTCGCCTCGAGGGTACAAGCAGATCCTGAAGACAGTATTTTATCCCCCGACAATCAATCCGACACAGCGGGAGAAGATGGACCTGTGCCTACAATCCCACCGATCCTCTCCTACATTCTCCCCTCAGCCTCAGACGCACCACTGGTCCGACGCGTGGACAATACCCCGCTAGTCCTGTCCGTCTCTCTATCTCTCGCAAAGCTACCCTCTATGGAAGAATCCCTCGCCTCCAAACAACCAGCCTCACCTTTCGCCCATCAAGCCAAAATCCATCCCACAACAGTCGTCGCGCCTCGCGTGACAGTCTCCCGCTTCGATACACTCATCGACAGCAACAGCACAATAGCTACGCAATGTGTGATCAAGTCAAGCGTTATTGGCGCCTCAGTTGCGATCGGCACTGGGTCACGGATCACAGGGTGTGTCATCATGGACGGTGTCACGATTGGCGAAAAGTGTGTCTTGACAAACACGGTGGTGGGCAAGAAGGCAAAAATCGGAAACAAGTCTACGCTACAGAACTGTGAAGTGCAGGATGGCAATATGGTGGCTGATGGGACTGAAGGGAAGGGGGAGAAATATCTCATCGGCGGTCTGGAGGACGAAGTGGACGGTCAAGATGAAATGGGCTTTGACGATGATGCACGAGGTAGTGATGACGATGGTGGTGACGGGCTGAGTGGTAGTGACTGATTCTTGAGAGACAGTGGGAGGCATTATGTCTGAAGGAGTGAGACACAAGCAGCATTCGACGGGGAATTGTTGTCGCAGGCAACACCACACAGGCAAGCCGAGATGGATCCCCAGCAACGTTGCTTGCCATGTACTTTTCGATAGAGCTACGCCCTACGGCCAGAGAATTTCATGTCTACATAAGGTAGGCAATCACCAATAAAATGGGAAGAACAATGAAATGACGAGGTGCCTGTATTGGTTCGAGGGACTGAATCGTTGAGCCCATGAAATCCATAGGTAGGTACTGCTCACAGCTAGGTATTCACCGACAACCCAGTCTGCGAATGAAGGGCGCGCCCACTCTACAAACACACCAGCCAGTCGAACACACATATATCCAAGTCCCCGAATTCTGGTCAACATTCCACAACCGCGAGGAGACATCCGCTTCTTGGTCTGCTGATACCAGATTTCATAGTTAATGGGCCGCTCCCCACACCGGTGTGGAAGTTGTTCAAAAAAAGACCCGGCTTCGAACCTCTTGCGAGGCGTTCCTTGCGCAGTGCCTTGCACCCCTAATCTGAGAAAAATCTCGGGTTAGAAGTGTTTTGGGGCTTTTGCTCCCTGCCTTCTAGATTTTTTTGGCCCCGTGTGTTGAGTGTTCTAGGGTAGTCCTAGTTAAAGTCCTATTATATCGCATATAAAATTGAGTGGCCCTTTTCGCAGTGACATAAATACCACCTACCATCATTCATCAACACTACCTTGTATTTGCTTGAAATTGAGGTAGCCTACGGCGCCCCAGTGGCACAAGGAGTGATTCGCAAGGTATAAGTCAAATAAAGCGGTAGCATCTCTCCCGCTATTGTTTGTTGCCTGTCTTGCTCCACTGATCCACCTACCTCTCCTGGCTGCGCAGGTATTTGTTTGAACATCTTCGGCCTCTAAGAGCTCAGTTGCATCTAGCATTGAGGGGATTCATGTCGGTCGGGTAGCGAGGTAGTAGGTAGGAAGAATTCGTCGCATAGACATGACTTGTAGACGGACTGAGCCTCAGAAGAAAAGCTGCTGGCCTCGCCGTGTAATGCGTTCACGATAGTATAGCCATTGTTTTTCAAGTTTGTGTGCTCAGGGGTTGGTTTTAAGAGGAAGATTCAATAAAAGGATTTCAAGGAGGTATTGCAAACAAAATAGAGGACATCGGAAAGGACGACGTTAGCTGGGCATGCGATAAAATGGATCGGGCCATTCAATTAGCGTGGAGCACGCTTCCCCAATAATTCGACCTCTAGGTGGTGGTGGTGCCTAACCCGCTGTAATCGGAGCCCAGGTGAAGTCCCGTTACCTGGCGAGTTGCCTGGAAGATAGTTATTACCGCGCTTAATAGGCCTAAGAATCCGGAGATCTTTAGAGACTAATATTGGAGCGTTCAATAGTAAATTTCTCTTTTCTGGGAATTACTAGGAATTCCTAGATATCTCTACTAAGTAATACTAGAGAATTTTAAGAGCGATAAAAGTTGAAATTTAGAAAGGAAAAATTTATTTCTATATGTCATGAACGTCGATTCAGACAACCCCCAAACCAAACAAACAAGCCAAGACTCGAGAACCTAGTTCGAGTAGAAGGCTTACCGCACGCTCACCGCATGAGAGGAGCTTCCCTCCTCTCTATGCTTTGAGTCTTAGTTAAGACATACGTCAAGAAACAATCTATAACCTATTGAACTACCCTAATCGTCGTACTCTACCTATCCCTATAGGTCCGTTCCTAACATTCTCAAAGTATCTACTCTAGGTCGGTCGAAGTAGACGATTACCGTACGTATCGTAGGCGATACGATGGCCCCAAAGAGAGTCGCGAGAGAAATAACTACTAGGTCGTCTCGAGCCTAAATACTACCCCTTAAGCAACTTACATCTCTATTCTCAATAGAACCGCTCCCGAGTCGCGTGCGAACCCCGTCGCACGATAAGAACGAGGAAGAAGATAAAGATAAAGAGGAAGATAGGGGAACGTAGTTAGACCCTACGAAAGCCGCGCGCGAACCGCATAAGCTTCCAACAATAGAATAATAGATTTAAGATCTAGAGAGGTAATATACTACACTAAACGTATAACTAAAGTTAATGCGCCTATAGTACGAGGTGAAAGCGATATAGTAGGAGATAGCTAGGGGAGATCTAGATATCTTTATACCTATCGTAGGTATATCGCTATCGACTCGCAAGCGACTCCTAAGCAATTCGTTCGAGAAAGATCGGGAAGAGCTTTAGAAGGTGCTTCGCATCGTAAAACCTATTAAATTTGTAAGTAAATCAATATAATAGATGCACAACTTTAATAGTACTTAATAAATAATTTTCGTCGCGGTGAAGGGGACTCGCTTTGGCGTAGTCGGGTCTGGCGCCGCTTGAACGACGCTCGATGGGGTTTGGCGTGGCCCGTTGGGGGAAGGTGCCGCCCGTTCGGGTTTGGCGCTGACCGCTCGGGGCCACTCGCCGCTTTGCCTCCGACCTGTCAAACCTCCCGTCTATAAAAGACCCTCGTCCCTCGCCGTTTTGTCGACGTCCCCGGCACTCTCCAACTCCTCGACACCAAGTCCACATCCAGCTGTGGAGCGTCTCGTTTTCGACGTGTCGAGTCCGGTCTAGCGTGGCGACCTCCGTGAGGAGGTGACGTCGACTGCCGGCGAACCCGATGCGACTGGACGCCGCCTCCCAGGGGCCTTCCCTGTCTACTGTCGCCTTCGAGCCCCTCGACGTCCCCAGTACCCTTTCTTTGGGCTTATGGACGGACGCCCTTCGTCGGTGAGATGGTGGACCTGCGATGGATAGGCACCCTTCTCGCGTCCCTCTGCGGACGCCAAGGTGCGGTTTCCTGCGGCGCAATGTTCCATGGGAAAGTCGCACTTTACTCTCGCTTAGCCCAAGATTCGTGCTGCTCAACCGTCGACGAGCACCTATGGTGACGGTTCAGCATTGGTTCTCGAGGGTCAGCCCGGGTTCAGCCATCTCGTGCTCGCGACCAAATCCGCTACTGGGTGCTGAACGAGTCGCACCATCACATTGCCAAATTCTGTCACACTAGCCCGGGCCTAATGCGGGAAAGGATGCAATGCGCGCGTTCGGATGTAATCCAGGTACGGAGAAAGGGGAACCCACCGAGTGTGCAGCAACAGATGTGCGCTCAGCACGGTCAACCCCGGGCGCCAAAAGCATGCCCCCCCCCGAATCTCCAAGCGTCCCATTTGCCAGGTTTGAGATGGGAGGAGAGGCAGATTTAGGCAGCACTGCCTCTATTCGGGCGCTCCAGCCAGTTCCGTTCCCGTCCGCATAGTGGGATGGATAGACCCAGCCAACAGACCCAGCCAACGAATGGATTCACGGAGTGGATTCCTACTGGATTCTGCCTTGCGTGCCGCAAACAGAAAGGGTGTGGTCTCGGCATGCAACCAGGGTAGAAATGGCGCTTTGTGTAGCACGAGACACCGGAGATGACGGCCAATGGCGGTTGGTAAAGAGAGTTCAGTATCCTCGAGGAGGTTGTTCACGCTGTAATTCCCAATGCACAGCCAGTCGCAAAAATGACGCGCCTCCTTAGATGGAGCGACGACATGGACACGGGCCACAAGCGTCCTTCGTCAACTTCCGCTGGTCCTACGACTGTCGTTTCCAGCTCAACCAGGATCCCTGGATTGAGACCCAATTTGAGGCCAGAGGTTGTCAGCGTCTCCCTGAGGTCCACTGCAGGCAAGATCGAGGAGGTAAGTGAGCAAGACCTGATGTGATGTCTCTGGGCGCAGGGTGTGGATTCTGGCTATTCGCCATTCTGAACGCGGCTGGCCGGGTTGGGGTGAGGAAACAACCGCAGTAGGAGGTATCTTGGCTCTCTCCTTCGACCCTGTATATCGCTGTGAGGCTATATAAGCCCAATTGGACGAAGCCGCTCCAGCGCCTTTTCTGACGGTGAAATCCTTCCCATCTCTCAAAGTTCCCTTTCCTACTCCTGAAATGGACAATGTCATCTTCGAAGACCCTTCGAAACAGCCTGCGCGTCTGAAGAGACCTTCGCAGGTCCAGACAATTAATATCTCGCCGATGCGAGATGATCCCACCCAAGGAAAGCAGCAACGATGCGTACCCAGTCAAAGACTGGACGCTTCCCATCTTGATCTTGATGGATTTGGGAGGTCCGCTGGTGAGTATGGTGTTGAGGCTTTGCTTTCCTCTCGCCTCGAGCTAGCCTTTGCAGCAGTCTGATCGGCAAGTAGGAACCTCCAACACATATGTGAGTGGCGACCGAGACGGCCCACTTCACGATACTCCTGACCCGCTGGCTTTCATCCCTGCTGGTGTTACGGCAACGTCTGTGGAGGAGCTCTTTTCGATGCTGCAAGGTGATCGCAACTCTGTCGATGAGGGGAGTTCATCAGGTCAGCGGGATAGTCTGTTTTCATCGCCCGAGCCCGAAGGGACCACGATGAATAGTAACACGAGCCTTGCCTCCGCCGTTAACAAGGGTTGCGAGGCTAGCAAACCACGCCACTTGGAGAGTTACCATCGAACAGGCCCGGGAAATGATCAAGGTGAGGATGCGAGAACATCCCCCGCCCTATCTGCCTGCCCATCAAGCTTATGTACAACAGTCGTAGCGATCGTCTCGCAGGACGATGTATTGCATGGTAAGACGGTGAGTTGGGTTGCACACCAGAACGAACGGTGTGATTCCCCGGTTGGAGTGCTTGCCTCGAGAATTCGGTCGCTTACCGATCGAGAAGAAAGTGAAGGTGAGGAGCCCTGTACAGAGAGCGACAACAACGAGAGAGATGATAATGGACGCCATCTTGAGGCGGCACGTAATGATCGTCATTACAGTGGCCGCAATCGAGTGGAGCGCCGCTCCAGCAGGGTGTCTCTCTCCGACTATAACTACACAACTGATGCGGTGAGAGTGGTTGACGGAATTCAACCATCGATGTTGGACGATTCTCACAGTAATCCCCGGCAAACCGCTAGTTCAACCTTCCCTTTGCCCAGAAAAAGGCAGGTTGCCGCGGGGCCCGAGTCATCGTCTAGCGGGTTAGTTATCAGCGACGATCAGAGCTCTGGTCGAAAGAAGGTCTCGCAATCACGATCATTTCAGAGTCGTCACGCCACTCAAAAAGAACTGCCCCTGGCTGCGATAGGGTCTCACTCGAAATCCCTACTGGAGGGACAGGGGTCACGATTTATGTCCTTCGGCCTTCCCCATGACCTTGATGAGGGACAGCACGACGCGGAGGAGGGGGTGGTATGGGAATATAGGCGTCTTCTCGACTACAGAATCGTTGATGGTAGACCTTGGGTCCTGGTGCCCTGGATTCCGACGTGGGAACCAATTGATGAATATCCAGAAGAAGAAGTGGACCGAGTCAGACGCGAATACCATGCACGGATACACGGCAGACGACGGGGAAGGCCGCGTACCAAACAGCACCTTTGATTCAGGTCGCTGGCAAACTGGAATGACTCCGCGAATACGTCTCGTGTGAACCATATTCGCCAGGTGCATCGGGAGTCGTCATGGTCTTTCTTTAGACAATGCCTCTTCACATGCTTTTCTGGATTTCACGATCCTCCACATTGAAGGCTGGAGACTCGCTGTGAATACAACTATCTAGGATGACCATGGTGTTATGGAGTTGCACTCTTCACGCTCAACATATCTGTAATCAAGAATAGATGTTATTGCTATTGATGATGTTTCCTCTTGCTACCCTAGTGCAGCTGACATTCCGAATCAAAAGGCTAGGGGCGATCGAGGCTGAGAACCTATTGTTGAAGGCTTGGCGGTAGGAAATGCACTTCAGGAATTGTCAAATTGTCTCTGTTTTCTTTACTTATGGCCGCTGTTCTACTTCCTATATATAATTGATAGTGATTTGATCTAGAACGGCCTTTTTTGCATCTCCTGAGATATCTCTCCTGGTTCATACACTGGTGTAGCGTAAATGAGCTCCTGATGAAGGAGTATGAGGCAGGTAGGTGCAGCATCATGACCTGCGCTACTGGTAGCTTGTACGGTGGAGTACTATACAGTAGAGTATGGGGGTATTGGCAGCAACAATACCTATCCTGCGACACAGATCAATCTACACCGTCAAAGCTCGCGATATTCAACCCAAGTAGATGCCCATCTGCAAGAAGCCCCTTTCATTCGAGAGAGTAATATCGATTGTAAGAGATCTTTGACCGCTTGGTCGTGGCATCGCAAACCAGTTTGGGTAGTCTCGAATAGGACTCACAAGTACATTTACAGTAAATCCTCGCCAGACCGCAATGCCTAAGTCCTAGGTTACGTTATCAGACTATTTCTCGATTCGCGTTAAAGCTTTCAGTGTGTCGGCGAATTCCGGCTACTACCTCGTCCATGTTGTCCAATCCTTTGGAACGATGAGTTGATCAGCTACGGGCAAGCGTATGGTGTCAAATGGCAACCTGCAGGAGCGAGTGAATGATCGACCGGATATCCGCATAGGAGTGGGTGCAAATCCTGACATCCAAAGTATGCAAGTTGGCGAAGACAAGGATGTTTCGCAGCTCTTGCAAAGGTTCCACACAGGCCAACCGATGAGCGATGACAAAATCCGTGTAATGGGACCAGTGTTACAGATCATGGGGTCGATTGACGTAAAACAGTCCGCTATATAGAGACAATCTGGGACAACAGTCCTAGATCCCAAGAGGTTTTAGAACATTTTTTGCCAGATAGTTCGGCACTAGTTGCGACTTGCCCGCTTCCGCCAAAACCCAAAACCACCGCTGGTCTCATAAGTTGCAAGAAGTAAAGCTGGATCTAGATTGTAAAGGAGCATAAATCCGATTCGTTGCTAAACAGAAAGTGACGTATCATCGTTCTCGGCAGAGACTTTTGCTGCTCAAACTGGGGCAATCCATAATTCTACACCCCTCCAATCGCTCGGGCCTCCAGCTGACGTAGGCTCCGTCACAACATGCATACATGAGGAGATTCAACATAAACATAAAGCTATAATTCTAATGGAGACTGTTCAGTACATTTTGCCTGTATTGTGTCATCTCCAACCAATATATGTGTCCGAATAGCAGGTCATTATGTCCTCATCCCAGCCTACCAAAGAGCGAACCACGGCCGCGGTTGAAGACCTGATCGACAGCGTCAGAGCCAACAAATCCATTCCGAACACCGATACAAGCACGGCCGTAAGAGGTTCAGCTGTTGATACCCTCGCCACTGGCGGACCTGTGGGAGAGATCGCTATGAAAAGCAATTCCGCCGCTATAGCTCGCCATAACGATCAGGATGCTGAGCCTCCTCGTATCGACAATGATCATAAGCCCGACATCACGAAGGAAATGGCACCGATCGTTACTGAAACTATTGGAGTCGCTCCTACGTTTGATACGGATAACTTTCCAGCGGATGATGAACAGCCACAGGAGGGAAAGCCAAACCGGGCATGAAGAGTGCAAGGCACTGAGAACCACTCCACAGAAGTGGTTCTTTATGCTGTGTCTCGTAGGAGGTGCGCTTATGGTTTAGTACCAGATCTTCAGGTTCAAGAAGCATAATTTCAGAATGATCACGCTTGGATATGTTGCACGTCAATCCAGCCCGAGCTCAACACATCTTTGGCAATTGAGCCATGCTGCTATATCCTTTGATAATGGTCTACTTTGCCAAAAACGAAGGGCAGAGGTTGGCGATGGCAATCTCGCAGATGACACCGTGTTTGTTGTGCTCACGGGCCGGATGGTTCTGGCACCCTCTTGCCTGTGACCCAATTGTTCTGCAGCGATTAGCGGCGGCATGGGACCCTTTCATTGTACATTTCCTTGGAACAAGAGTGTGTACGAACAGACGGTACCATTTTCCAGCCATAGATTTCCTTCATGTATGGTTTGCATGCGGAGTGACAACATCAATCGTGGACGCGTACTCTCCCAGTTAACTCCGGGAAGGCAGTTAGAGACTCACGGCTAATGCTCCAGTTGTCGTACTCGAGAAATGCTCCACAAACTGGGGCGTGAGCTTTCTTGAGTTATTCAGCGGGTCATACATAACAGCTGTGTTGAGGTCATATGGCCAATTGAGCGACCAATTCGTGTTCTTCAGCCTTGAGAGCCAATCCCGCATATGGTATATCAGGGCATATCGTGATGGACCTCTACTCGATTCAGCTTTGGACTGTCATACATAGAGCATTCGTAGTTGTGCCGAGTTACAAAGGCAGGATCTCAATAGCGCCAGTATGAGGGATCATGCGCTGAGATGGTGTTGGCTTCATCATAATGGGGACTTTGGCATAGTTTGCCTGGGTCGGTGATAGTAGCCACTGAATAAACAATGTCTTTCATGGAAGCCATGATCTTCTCATGTGTTGTCGCAACCTATCCGCATCATGAATGTCAGTATATAAGCACTCGCCATGCGAATATAATCGTCCAGTATTGGGAGTGCACGACAGACTTCGCATGCCCATGAGGCGCAGTCAAAGGTGTCGGTCTCAGTACGAGATCGAAAAAATAATTCAATGGATACTTCGTCGCTATGGCCGAGGACATCCTTGTATGAAGCCCTCGAGTTGAGCATTTGTCTCGTCCCTTCCACATAGTCTGTGTATATTACTCAGGTTAAGAATCATCAAGGGCTATCAGCGGGAGCACGAGATGAAAAGGAATTCTGAGCTGACTTATCGGGTCTTCCTGGCATTGATTAGGTCCCCGGCATTTCCTGCCCAATGCCCCAGGACAACGAGCCTGTTAGCCACAGAATCTGAGGGACTCTCCTTATCTCATATGAGGACTCACTGGATTGTTCCTGCCACCACGTTACTATCAGATTCGTAGGTTACGGAACTCCTTTTCCGGCCGGCTGTTTGACTCCCAATGCTTATTGAGAACAGGCTCTGAATCCAATGAATGCCTGTACATTAGCCTGGAAATGCTCTGCCGATCCGTGTTTGAAACGTCAGATCGACGTCACAATCGCCGATTCTGCAATAGCGATGTAGATCAAAGTGCGGTAAGGGAAAATACGCATCGAAATTCCGAAACACGGAAATGGATTGGCAATGACCTTCCCTCCGCCTATCAAGACGATGGTTATGAAGCTCCGAGAGCTTAATTCAAAGAATAATGTTACCGTTCGCGTGCCAGGACATGGTTGAAATCAGAGCCGATTAGCGGTTGCGGTTGAAAGAGCGGGCTCGCGGGGTAGTAGAATAGCAAACGGTGGAGTAGATGAGTACATCATCACGCGAATTAACACCACTTTGTTAGAGGATTGCAATAGCGACATCTACTGCAGCAAGAAAGCCCGTCTTTGAGATGAACGGGTCAATATCTGTTGGCCTGAAAAAGAGGGTAAATCTAGTAGAATTTCCCGTGCGATATCTACAAACTACACGCTATCATATCATTCTGCATCTTGGGATCCGAGTCGTGGAAGCCACCGATTTATCAGCGGCCTCTCTCATCTTAAGTTGAACAGACCTAACCTCAAGCTATACCGCAACCACATAAGTGGATGCCTTAGGATGACATTTCCTTTCTTGGTCAAGAGGCTTCCCGAAAATATCTCTATCTCTATCTGTCACTCTAGTTAAGATATTCTGCCATATGGACTACAATATATCCCTCTAGTGGACAGGAAGTGGTGGGAATTCACCGCGATCCTTACGGTGGAAATGAATGAGAGGGTGGGTAATTCTGAACAGCCGTACTGTTGGACTGCCACTCTCTCGGCGGCAATTAAGAGCCGAAACACGTATCCATGCAATCCAACCACGACTACCATGTCATGGGCAATCATGACCCGGAAATGGGACCTCCATCACGAGTACTGATATGGATCCTCATCAAACCCCGAACTCAAAAACATCTACGCAGGACATGGTAATCACGATTTCAGTCGTCGTTGCGGTTGTTTTAGGCATTTGTGCTTTGCTTGGATGCATTCGCCGGTGGGATGCTACGGACGTCCGCAGCAATCCATCACGCCATCACAGTTCTACGATTGGACAGCGTCATGGCATTGACGAAGCTTTTATCCAAAGGTTAGGTACTACTGAACATGACCAAATATCGATGGCTTCACCCGCTTGCGCGGTTTGTACAGACGATTTCCTCTCTACCAGCAAGGTCCGAGGGTTGCCCTGCGGGCATGTCTTTCATCCGCAGTGCATTGATCCATGGCTAT